GCTTTTGGAAACCATGAGGTCAGTTCATGAGGACAAGAACTTGGAAGAAGGGGGTAGTGTTACGAACCTAAGAATGGGGATGCACAGGTTATGAAGGAAGGTAATTACAAGAACACTCACGGTCAGCAAACAGGACACTACGTATGAACCAATAGACTTCGCCACCCCGCACGTCACGTGGTCCCACGAGTCTTGGCGGAAAGTTGCTGTGGGACAAGTCACGTGTGTCCCACAGGGTCCTACGAGATCCCACGATATCCCATCTATGAAACCCTATGGGACATATGGGAACTATGGGACAAAATATGTATATAGTCAGTAGACAAGAAGACCTTATGGTTCTTGTATTCACTCTAAGTTACAACCCACTTCTTGGAAATACAATCTAGTTGTTACTTTATACTTCTACCTTTGTTACTTCAGTGTTACCCGCTAGTCATCCGCGAAACCCAACCAGAGTTCTCCAAGATCTCAACACTGTTAAGCTTAACTAATAGCCTAACTAACTTCTCTAAGTTTGTTAAATATATAATTCTGTATGTATTTCTAGTGCTAGGCGTGCTCCTAAAAAAGAGTAAACTAGTTTAAATCTGTTAGCGCATTTAGCATTGTAATGTTGTTTATAGTTATTGTATAGGCAGGTTTGCCACGTGTTATCTTTAATGCATTGTTAGTTTATTGCAATCTGCATTTTTATAGTTTATTCTAGCGTTTTGCCTAGAAAATTAGAACTAAGTCTTTTATTAAATAGGTAGATAGAACAAAAGTTATTGTAGCACTTTATCTAATTGTATCTATAGATCTTGCGTAGATTGTCCTTTAAGTAGTAGAAGGCGTCTTTATCTAACTTATGTATTTAGCAAAGGTTATACATGCAAGCGCTAAAGTGTAGTTATCTATAATTTTAGTTTTATAAGTTAACGTTGTATATTAGTTAACGCATAGATAGCAGTTTAGGTTTCTTAGTTTTCTTGCTGTCTTTCTTATACTTCTAATAATTCTGCTAGTGTTTAGAGACATGTTGTACATAGTTGTCTTCTTATAAGTCTAAAACTTCTTTTTTAGGTTAGTTCTTTTTCTAATTGCTATCTGCTGTTTTATTTAGCAGATCTAGTTCTTTAATTTGTTTAGCAAGTTTGTCATCATCGTATTTAATAGATCCTTTTGGGCTATTTAGTTCTTCTAGAGACAGGAATTCCTCCTCTAAGTCTAATCTAAATTCTTGTAAATTTTTTGTAATGTATATCTGTTTAGCTTCTAGGGGTGCGTAGGTCCTTAACGTAGGATTTTCAGCCTAGAACTGTTGTGTTAGACGTAGTTGTTGCTTTTCTTGTTAATTATTCTTGCTTTTTACAGCAGCTTGTTAGGCGTTTTGTTCTACTTAACGTTTCTTAAGTAGTAGTGCATCTTCGTAATGCTTAGAACTACTTTCTAAATCTAAGTTATCTACTATAAGTCGTCCTTCACCTAGCGTGGGTTCTAGGATTTCCTATTTTAATTTACCTTTATCCTCTCTAGAGTATAAAGACTTAGTTGTTACGTTAACAAATTATGTAACCTTGTTCTTTAATTAACAGTTCCTAGCTATGTAGCTAGTTTTACTACATCTGTAGCAGGTAATCCCCTTAGGGTCCTTGCCCTTCTTGTTATACTTCTTTCTTTTATTGTTATCTTTAGCTTTAGATAGAAACGTTGCATTAATGTTACATGTCTAATCTATTTTCTTAGTATACCTTACCCTAGGTTAAACAGGAACGCTGCGGCCTCTTCTTTAGAAAAAATAGCAAACAGCTTTCTATGTCTTCTTATAAGCAGACTTATAACTGTAGATCTCTTTTATTTCTTTAGTAAGCTTAAATAGGTTATTGTTAATACAGATAGTTTCTTTATAGAGTTATTCTAGTATGTCTATAACTACACTAGACCTTATAAGTTCTTCTTTAACCTTAGGTTTAAGTCCTTAGCAATACAGTGCTATAAGTGCGTTGTTATTCTAATTAGTCTGCACTGCGTAGTGTTAAAACTTTGCAGCATAGTTAGTAGCAGACTTAAGCTATTTAACAAGTTAAATTTTACGCACTGCCTTATTTTTCTTATTAGATATTCTAAAGACCTAGCAGAGCTTAGTCTTAAACACTCTCTAGTTCTTAAACAGAGTAGTATTTTTATTATCCTTAATATTGTTGTCTAGATATTTAGTAAGCTAAGGTGCAATCTATTTATAGGCATTACCTTGCATAAAAGTTGCAGCGTAGGTAGCTTTATTATTGTTTTTAATCTTTTTATTAAACTTAAAAAGTAACTTAAGTTATAGGATCTATTCCTTAAGCTTAACACGTTCCCTATAGTAGGTGTTAGGTTGTTTGGTTTTAATGCTAACAGAGGTGTTGTTATCTATATTAAAAGTAAGGGTAGGCTAGTTAGTAGTACTAAAGCTAGACATCTTAAGGGTATTTACAATGTTAAGGTTTTAGAGATCTCTAGTTAAGTTTTACAGATAACTAGCAGGTAACACTAAAGTAACAAAGGTAGAAGTATAAAGTAACAACTAGATTATATTTCTAAGAAGTAGGTTATAACTTAGAGTAAATATAAGAGGCTATAAGAGCTCCTTGTCTACTAATTATATACATAAGGTTGTTCTATGCTTGCTAGCAAGCGCGCTTGCTAGCAAGCGTAATATTGCTAAAGAGCTAGTATAAAGTTAGGCTTGTTGCTTGCTAGCAAGCAGTTACGTGCTAGGTTATAAACATAGTTGTCTGCAGGCGCTAGCAACTCTGTTTCTTTTATTGCTAGCGCTTGCAGCGGAGGGAGTAAGAGGCTAAATTAAAAGCTTTCTTCTAATCCTAACAGCTACTTTATTAGTAATAAACAAGTATTAGCGCAAGATTAGTTTACTGCTATTTGCTATAACAATAACGCAACTAAACACTGCATTTGTAGTATTACAGCTAGCACGCTTTCTAGTTAACTTATTGCTAGATTATTACTAAGCAGCTAACAGAATTCTTCTATACTTACAATTAACTAAGCACCTTACTCTATAACTTAGAAAAAGTAATAGCTTTAAAGTATTAAGTAACGCATTATTTATAGATAATACTTTTAATAGGAAAAGCTTATAAAAGTACACAATAAAGCTCTTTAGAAAGCTTATTGCGTAGAGAGCTAATAAGCAGAATACAGTTACTACTTTAACAACTAAAGCTAAACTGCTAGCGCTTTTCTAAGTAGCAAAAGAGGCAATGTATCTTTTGCGCCTAATTTAGGAACTAGAAGTTATACTACCTAACAAATTAATCTCTATCTAGTGCGACAACATTTAAATAATTTGCCTAATTAATAAGGACATTACAAAGCTTTAAACAAAGCTATAATATATAAACATTTATAATTACTAGTTACAGCAAGAACGCGCTAAGAGAGTAATAACTATTAAGTATTAACCTACTGCAGAGATGATTGCAGATAGACTTATAAAGGCCCTGCTAGCTAACAAGTAGCACTAGTTCTAATTGCAGCTAGAACTAGTATAAAGAGTATATCTAGCTTGCAATAAGGTTTTAAGCTAAGAGAGTGTGTTAGATACATGCTAAATAGTAAGAAGTTTTATAGTAGTTTATAATAAATTACTGTAAAATGCTCTAGCTAATAGAAAAGAGTTAAGTGTACCTAACTCTTTTTAATTAGCTAATAGCTAAGGCAACTAGCTACCTACTCTAGGGGTTAGAACTGTCTAATCTTACAGGAGACGAAGAACAACACAATTATTAACTTTATTATTACTACGCATTACTGTAATATCTAACATAACTATCTTAACTATATATATATAATTAGTAGGTAAAAAGCCTTTATAGCTTTTTATATTTACTTTAAGTTATAACTTACTTTTTAAAAATATAATCTAGTTGTTACTTTATACTTTTACCTTTATTACTTTAGTGTTACCTACTAGTTATCTGTAAAACTTAACTAGAGATTTTTAAGACCTTAACAATTACTAGCGTAAAAGCTCTTACTAAAGTAAACTTATAAGACTAATTAAATTATTAAAGTTATAAAATACGTAACATAAAAATTAAAAAGCTAATTAAGATTTTAGTAACTATTGCAAAATTTAAGGAGATTAAAGGCTAGGGATTTTATATGTGTTTAGAGCTACAGCATTCTAAAGCTAAGGGAGCACTTTTTAACTTTGAGTGAGAACGTTTCCTCTGCGCTTGCGATTAGCTAGATTAGCCTTAGTTTTCCATGAAGTAAAGGATCCCCTGCCCTCCCCCCTCATCTTCTCTCCACTCCGCCTTTCTTTTCCGTTTACTTATCTAAATATCAATTTACATTTTGAACAGATCTACTTGCAATCTGATGGGGAGGTTCTTGCTTGCATCAATGCCGAAATACTGCCAAGTTTCAAACTTCGAGGCGTGATAACGCCGTTGTTGGGGGACTGTATCTCTTTCTCAAAAAGGTTTCACAAACCATTTCAGGTTGGTTTCTCTAGAACGACTTGCGTTGGATACATCAAAACCCCGTCTTATATTGTATTCATGTCCATGACTAGATATAAACAAAGTGGACAACCCTAAGTGAATCTACGGATCTTGGTCATTGATTGTTCGGGACACTTCAAGCAAATGTATACTCTGCATCCGTCAGCCTTACATTCCACCGTAAAATCTTCGAGTTCCCAGACCCGTGAAACAGATCATAACTGCAATAGAACTTCTTCAAGTGACTCATAAGCGATGCTGTGCCAAAATTAGGAAAGAATTTTTGCACTATCGCAACATAAGAAATACCGAACAAAAAAGTACAGTGCCACTTATCAGCCACGGTTAAGTTGATTTAAGCAAAATGACTTATATCTATTTCTTATCATCGCATCTATATTATGTGCAACTCTTCTACACTCGGAATGGTCGTCCACAATTCTGCGGGCGCTAACGAGATGAGATGAGTAATTTATATATCTTTGCTTCTCTGAATAACCATATACTTCACTGTATATAGCTGTAAAACTCTATCTGATCTGCGAAAACCTCAAGAATTTTTAATCGTCGACTGGCAAGCCTTTCCGCTTCCTTGTTTCTTCGCTCAATCGCAACACCCTTTGCCGCATGAACAAGGCGCGAGAATGAGTATCCGAAGCTTTCTTGCTCAAAATCTAGCACCTCGAAAATCGCTTTCTTTCTGTCTGCAATTGCACTCTGCTGATTGAATTCCCGGCAGCTATCACAATGCGACCTACGCTCGACATCAACTCTTTTTTCGGATGCCAGCACACTTTGCATGCGGCACATAGTGCCCATCTGCCGTACCATGACATTGGCGAGGTACTTCTCTTCCCCAGAAGGAAAGCAATCTTCGCCTCCACTGCCAGGCGTATGTGAGGCCCCGAGAATACAACATAAGAAGTAGAAGGTGTATGTAGAGCCAATGTTGTTACCAAAGTGGGTCGGTCTCTGTTCGCCTGTGTGGCCCGCCAATGCTTGCTTCACATTATTGCGCAATTTGTCGTAAGCTTGCCGCGCGTGAGTGAGTAGACCGTATCTCAGCTCTTGGTGTAGCATGTCCTTGTCCCAAGCGCTTGCGTACCGCACTGAGGAGTGGTCTTCAAATTGGTTCATGAACCTCTCTAAATAGCGGACGACTTCCTTGTGAGTTATTTCCACGTAGCTGCCGGAGCATGATTCGGAAACGTCCATGAGTTCTAGGCTCTCAGATTCACTGTCCATTGCACGGGATTTCTTGCCACAGAGGTCTTCAATCAGCTGTCGAATAGCATCATTACCACCAAAAGACGGTGAGTTCGCCACAGCTTCCATAAATTCGTCAAGCTGAAACGCTAGAATTGACGAAGTTGCCATCTCATACAGGAATGTGTTCGGCGCGTAGGTACGTTGACGATTGTTCGCAATTATCCAGGAAAACGCCAATACACCAAGATTCGGTGTGTTCTTTGCATACATAGGCGGGAAGACGATTTCGCTCTGCGCTCGTAGTAGGGGAAGAAACAAAACCGATTCCACGATGGAGCCGTCTATCTCCCAATAAGATAGGGAGCGAAAAAGTGGGGATTCGTGACGTTTTTTGACATATTCATCGATCTGTTTCATTTGTGCCACAGACCAGACGCTACGTCCAGTAGATAAGCCAGGTGGCGATGCGGATGCCCTCAGCGCTGCGAGTACGTACGCATCTCTCAAAAGAGGTGAAGCGTAGCTGACCTTCTCTATCCATATGTAATCCAATGACCGATCGCTAATGGAGTTGATGAAAGTAACTGCGCGAGCAATAGCGTCGTTCAGGGGCTTTTGAAGGGTTTCAAAGAAAGCTAGCCGTCGAGCTTCATTGAGAATCAGGAGTGCATAGGCCGTCTCTTCAAGAGACTGATTCCAGGATCCATCAGCATGTTGGTCCGACAGAGTCCGAAAGCAGGCTTGGAAAATGGTAATGGCAATTCGAGACTGCATTTCCGCGCTGAAAACTCCAGGCAGCCTATCATGCTCGATTAAGAAGAGTAAATCCACCAGGCCCTGGACTAAAAGAACAGATGGGTAAAGATGGCAGATATTCTGTACGCCGTACTTAGCTCCTGAAGGAATCTCCTTTCATGTGCTGTAAAACATACCCATTTGTCCTCAATCCTGCCGTCGCTCGCCCACCAATAATTGCAGAGAAACTTCGTAATCTTGAGGACCTGTTTGGAGTACAGCAAAACATCAGGATGATGCAGAAACGCTAGGAGCGCATTGGCGTTTGCAGTACAGCTAGGATCTCTCTCCCCTACATAAGTTCGGAAGTGGGTATCAACTTCGAATGTTTGGATCATACCCTCTGGGCTATCATTTTGACCCAGTACGCTTAGACAACTGATAGCTTTCGCAGTGTCATCTACGTCCGCTTCGAAGCCGGGGGCTGAGATGAATGTTAGTATCAGTATTGGAAAGGGTGCTAGGTAAGGACGCGGCCATACCAAACCCGAGAACACCGTTCTCTTTGATGAATGAATTGCTAAGTATATTTGTCATTTTTGTTAGCTCTGCACCACTCAAATCAGAAGGTGTGAATCCTCCTCTGAACAACGTTGACAAAACCTGCACCGCAACAGGTCAGATCATTGTAGCGATGGTAGCCAGTAACCGAGACTCACCCAGGTGCATTCAAAATGCGTGGATGGGAAGGCACTTGGAATGCCGCCACTATTCTGACCAGCACCATATCGGATAACATGTCGCAGATAGTCCTCGGACTCATTGTTCCAGTCCGAAGCATACATCAAATATGCTGCCGTAGAGGAGGGCGAACCCATCATGGAGCCTCGGATTAAATGATGCTTGACCTTGTCAAAATCAATCTTGCCGATGAATGACTCCAAAGAGTGAAGTGCCGTAAGTCTTTTTGATCCGTACAGTGCCTCTGGTCGAAAGCGCGACATTTTCGCATTATGGATCTTCAGCAAAGCGTCCCTGGCTTTAAATTGAAAGACTAGCGAAGGATCTTCTTTCTCCAACAGATCGAGTATAGCGGGCACAATGATTTCAAAGCCGACATGATTAGTCGTCGAGACGTCCCAAACAGCCAGCTGGGATCTTAATGAGTGCGTTGCCTTCTCGATGCGCCTCTTAATTTCATTGGTATCCTGTTGATTCTCAAGGAGCGCAGCAGCATGACGCGTGAGAGCTAACAGAGGACCTGCGGTGTTCAAAATCCCATCAATTTGAGCACCCGATTCAGGCGACCAACCACCCTCGTCGGATTGTGTGGCCAACAGATGGTGGAAACATTCGGGAAAAAGCCACTGCTTGCTTCCATCGATATTCTTTGTAACTAACGACACCCAGGCAGTGTCATACGCAGCACAGCTCATAGCGCCTAGTCCATAATGCTCGTCATAATCTGACAGGGTTCTTTGAAGTAACGCCCTGGCCTCGTCGGCAAGGCTGAGAACCCTCATGGTCGATAAGATAAAGCTTTCAGAATTGTTGGCCGTCAAACATGAACTCGTACATTAGATTGATCTCTGTTTGAATAGAAATAACTATACTGGGAGGTATATGCAGATAAACCGAGCCGCCGATGACCATCGGATGGCTCGAAGAGGAATGGTGGTGCAAGGAAATATTACGAACATTACCTTTCGGCTACGTCGGGGCGCCGCAAGCGGACATCCGATTGTGATCGAACCACTTGTAAGCATTCCACATATTACTGATTGACCAGTAAATGAACAAAATAACGATACGCCTCAAATTTGACACTACTCCAAGAAGTAGACCACACGTCTAGCTTTCGCTTACTGCCACAAGCGCGACAGCTAGAATGTACATCTATTTCGAAGGAAACAATGAGCTTTTCGCACTTATCGCATTCGGACTTACATCTGCCATTTCTCTGCTCGGGTATTTCTGTCTTTTCGCAGGTCCAAAACTCGATCAGATTCCCCGAGCTGGCAAGGGCCCAGGGTGGTTTGGATTGAGCTTAGTCGAAGCGAAACGCGATTTCCTCAAAAATGGCCCTAAAATCATCAACGAAGGATACAAGAAGGTATTGACGGCTCTCTCAAAGCTTGAAAAAATAGTACTGACACTCCATCAAGTACAAGAATGGCATGTTCTTGATCCAAACATTGAACGTCGAAAGAGTTGTTCTGAGCCCAAAATACATCGAAGAAATCAACAGAACTGTACCGGACAAATCCCTGGACATGATCGACGGTCTAAGAGAGGTATATTTCCAGTGTCTTGTCGTCGTCTTAGCTTGTTTACTAATTCACGGGAAAAAGAGGCTGATGGCGTCACAAACAAATCTAGACGCGGTCTTCCGAAGTCCAATGCACATCGATGTCTGCAAAGATCAGTTGACCCGCAATCTGCGTAACCACCCATTTCTACACTTTCATCTTCCCTGGACCGTCACTAACTCCTTCTAAGATGCCCTGATTGGCCCACTCAACGAAGAAGCGACTTATTGGTTATCGAAGCGTATCGATGGCACAACGGAAGTCAAGGCCTATGAAACGATGGTACGGATCATAGCCGCAACTGCATCCAGAATGCTTGGGGGAACGAGAGTCAGCCGAAACGCAGAATGGCTTGAAACAGCTGCTCATTATTCAATGGACGTAGTCACCGTGGCGATGAAGCTACGCCCCTACCCAGCCTTCATGAGGCCGTTCGTCGCTCCCTGGTTGAACGGTACTAAGGTCCTTGCGCGCCATCTGAAGGTTGCCAAGAGCGTCTTCAAAGATGAATTCATTCAACGATTGAGTTCGACACCGGCGGTCAAGAGTAAGAACAAAGAGCAGCCAATTGATATGATACAGTGGATGACAGAATCCGCACGTGGGACTGACAGGAACGCTGACGTCCTGTGCCACAACATGCTGTTCATGTCTTTGGCTGCAGTTCATACGAGCTCGGCAACACTTGTCCACGTGCTCTTCGACCTCTGCGCCTCACCTTCATACATGCAAGACCTTCGAGAAGAGGTCGAAAGGGTTATTGGCGAGCAAGGCTTCACACTGGGTGCCATCAACAGCTTGAAGAAGCTCGATAGTTTTATGAAAGAATCACAAAGGATGAATCAGACCGTACTTAGTAGGTGTTCTCTCTAGCATGACTCGAATCTCAAGTCCCTGAAAGTTCTAATGCAATGAATAGTGACATTTAACCGCAGGGTTGCCGAGCCCATCCGGTTCACTGACGGCGCTACACTCCCTATTGGCACCTACATCACCATGCCAAGCGATTCTGTAGCCCACGATCCCGACATCTATGAGAATCCCTACCAATTCGACGGCCTCCGCTTCTATGATAAGAGAATGTCGGCTAAGACAGAGGCATATCGTCACCAATTTGCCACGACTGGACCGGAAAGTCTTGCATTTGGTCAAGGCAAGACGGCCTGTCCGGGGCGATTCTTTGCTGCGTCTCAAATCAAGATAGTGCTTGCCAATATTCTCATGAAGTATGATGTATCATTTCCTCCAGGGCAGACAGAACGACCCAAAAATATCCACAAAGGCGGTCTGGTGATGGCAGATCGAAGCCAAAAGCTGGTGTTTACTCCACGGAAGTAATGAGATGCCCCAATACAGCGATAACATGTAACGTTTGGGGGATGGTGTGATAATTTTGTATGCGCTAGAGCGGGAGCAGGCTGCAGTGGGGTGGGAAAAAATCTTAATACAATTGATGATGTAGGTGTAGCTATAGTAGGCGCTGAATCATGCTTCTCTATTGAAAATATTCATTAAGTGTAACAATCGTGAAGTCTTGGGGCGTCATTGACTATGATTTAGGTATGTCAATTCAAATTAATTAATTTTGAGTCGAGAACGTAGAATCTTCAACTCAAATATTGACCTTAATACAAGAGTTGAGAGACCGGACACACTTAATAAATACAGGAAAGATGACTGTTCAGACACAATTATTGGGCTGAAAATGAGATGTTCGAATATAATATCAGGGATCTACTACAGGGTATCGCTCTGAGATCGGACCTCGGAGATGCCGAATTTGGAAGTCCGACTTGGCATCGGACAGCATAGCGAAAGCGAAAACTGTATGTTTCGCAAGTAAACTCGCAGCTGACTACGATTGAATCATGACTGGAATGTAAGCAGAAAGTCCCCTCATCTACCACAACAATGGCGGATGCGCACATGGTAGCTTTTCTTTTCCCACCACGTCTTTTTCTACGTTCTCGATTCTCACCTCGATCAGACTACGGACGAATTAAGTGATCCTGCAATTATGGAGACAAAAACGCTAAGTACGAGACTAAAATTCAGTTCCGAGCTGAACTAATGTGCGTCAATAGCAACTATGTCCCCGTGGCTGTCGTGGGGACCAACTGTACCCCATTCTGTGTACCTGGGACAATCTCATGAAAGCCGACTCGGAGGATCTGTCACAGAGACCTCCAATCGTTCATCTCAATCATATAATCAGTCATCATATCAACGCGCTTCAGGTTATGACCAGAAACTGAATGAAGAAAATAAATCGAGCCATCTTATTCCTGTGGCTATTAACGGAGGAACAAATCACATCCCTGACCCACAAAGATTCAGTCGCGATGACTTCGATTTCATTTCTCGAGGAACCTGGAACGGCGAGAAAGATAGTATAATCCGAAATCCTTACGACTACATAGCTTCACAGCCAGGGAAGGAGTTTCGAACGTTGCTTCTGAACGCGTTGAATGCATGGCTTGATGTCCCCGAAGACAGCCTAAAAGTCATAACCAAGGTGGTGCGCATGTTGCACACGGCATCACTCCTCATCGATGATATTCAGGATCACTCAGCTTTGCGGAGAGGATTACCTACAGCCCACAAAGTGTTTGGTATCGCGCAAACCATTAACGCTGGCAATTACGTGTACTTCCTGGCTCTCAAGGAACTGGGGAAGCTCCGGAACCCGAAAGCTGCGATTGATATATACACAACGGAAATGCTGTATCTCCACCGGGGTCAGGGAATGGACCTCTTTTGGCGCGATACATTGACTTGTCCGACTGAAGACGATTACCTAGAGATGATCTCTAACAAGACCGGGGGACTTTTCCGACTGGCGGTCAAGCTCATGCAGTCCGAGTCCACGAGCTCCACTGACTGCCTGCCATTAGTCCAGCTGCTAGGCCTCATTTTTCAAATCGCCGACGACTATCGGAATCTGTCAAATCTCGATTATACGCAAAAGAAGGGTCTTTGTGAAGACTTGACCGAAGGGAAATTCTCATTTCCTGTCATTCATAGCATACATTCCGATCCCACAAACCAACAGCTTTTACATATTCTTGCACAGAAAACAGATGATATTGATATAAAGAGGAGCGCTGTTCAGTATATCGAGCGTACAGGGAGTCTCGATTACACGAAAAAAGTCGTGGATCAATTGATTTGTCGGGCGAAGGTTGTCGCAGATGATGTTGATCGGGGGCGTGGAAAGAGTCAAGGTATCTATACGGTGCTGGATAAGCTGGCCCTAAATCCAGATATAGAAACTCGGAAGGCATTCAAGCGTTCAACATCCGTTTAATACTCGGCTGGTTCAATATGAAGTTAATATTCTTAGAGTTCATACAGTGTACATGTTTAGAACAAAATTCGGACAAATAGAACGTGTGCAAATTGATTGTTTCGTTATGGTCACCCAATTATTCAGCCTCGAGAACTAAGAGTACAAATTTGATGTGGAAACTCATACAATCTCCGATTTTGAAACCTTTATCGATCTGACTAACATTGAAGTCTTCAGAAAATTAAGTTATCAATCTTTTTTATTGGAAGTTTCTGTGTTTCCTGCACTCAAAAAGGCACCTAAAAGAGGTGGTGACAACAAGTAGGCAGACAAAAGAAGGGAAACCAAATTAGGTGCTCGAGAATCGAAGAATTCTATTTTAAATAGGCAAGTGACCTCATAGGGGTACACATCTGGGCATGTACCGAAAGTTAAATGAGGTGGTGGATGAGATGGTACTCGACCCACTCTACAGCAAAGAACCCTCTTTTTCCATTCCAAGCTGCAGTTCGCGCAGCAAAGCTTTGTGGGCGGGCCAACTGTGCTGGCTGACCACTCGATCAAGCATATTCAGCAGGCGGCCTAGTCTCGACAGCCGCGCCGTAAAGAGACTCTGAAGCACAAGACGTTCGTCATCGTCATCTAATGGCCTTGACCATATCCTAACGCTATAACGCCGGTGATCTGTCCCCCGGTTATCACCGTTACCAAGACTCTTCCGTTTTCTTTTCTCGGAAACCTGTTCCACTTTTTTGATACTTATTGCTTCTCCGGAGTCTCCAGCAGGGTCGTCGCTGCACATGTCTTTGAACGTTTCCAGTAGCTTGTTACACATGCTGATGAGAAGCATGATGTACGCAGGCTGTGTTTTACATTTTTGGCACTCCAAGAGTCCCTCACATTCTATTAGTAGCTTCTTCTGATCTTGCAGCAAATTATCAGCGTCGCTTGATAGCTGCTTCTGGCCCCACAAAACAACTTCTATGGCCTCATGCGTTCTGACGGCACGTGCAAAACAGGAGCAGTTTTCCCCTGTCTTTTCCATCGATGGTGCTTCAGTAAGGAAACTCGAGTTGCCAGTGTTGAGGTCGAAGTACTCAAGCTCCAGGCCCTCGTCCCACGGTTCCCCGTTAGTGTTGGAAAGAAGATTGAATGGCTGCTGCTCCAGTGGTCTCATCATGCTGACATACTCACTGATGTCGATGTCTCTTGGCGTCGCGAAGTTTGGTATTTCGAAAATAGGGCTCGAGTCATTAAAGTTACCATTGGTTGTTGATTCTCGATTTGATGCGACTGTGACAGAATCGCTGTCGGCAGCTTCTTCAACCACCGCGGGCGGCAGGTTTCCCTTCGGCGTTTCTGGTAGAGATGGTGCTTTACGCTGGATATGGCTCCGCGCGAGGCTCGGATAATCGCATTTGACCTGCTTAGCCAGGCATCTTTGGCAGCTATACGGTTCGCCAGAGCACTTCAACTGTAAGGGCAATTTGTTGAGCCCATATCTCCCACCAATGATTATGATGCATACCTTGCTCATCCGACAGTTTATGCAGGCCACTTTAACCAGCTTACTCTCACGCTTCTTGGAGAATGGAGGTGTAGTTGTCTCGAAGGTATATGGCTCGTCGGATTGACCATTGCCCTTGAGAGTATGAAACATCTTATATTCGGACTGTACGAAAGCTTCGATATGCGCGGCTCCTCAGAGAGGCACACGAGCGCCAGTGGCATTGGATTTAAATCAGAAAAAGCCTTACTCCTACAGGTTATCAATCAAGTGCAGGCCTTATGCATCAGAATTCATTGAAGGACGGTTAGGCCCAGGTCCCGAAAAAGTAAGCAGACACTAAAGTCGTACGAGACAAATGCTGCTATAAGGCGCGGCATCTTACGCCTCGTAAGATCTGACAGTGCGTAAAAAGTAGGTGACAAGCAAGAACTACCGGGAATGCTTGTAAGGCTTAGCTAATGTAAGCTCTCTTGCAGTACCGAGGCGGCGCCATTTCAATTTAACTCAATCCCAACCGTTCGCCGTATGCTAGAACAGCCAATCGGACCCCGCGCTCTTCCAGATCACCCATGTCCCCCACTCAGGCAACGTGCGTAGGTTTTTTCGCAACGATGTACACAATATCCGTGATCAACTTCACGCCACTCTGGCACTCCTGAACTAGATTCTTCGACATCTCCCTCCATTCATCCGCCGTCGGGGAACCCGGCGGCATTTTGCCGGCTTCACACATTGGGATGATGTCGTTTTCGATGAAGTCGCGGTTCCCCATCAGCTGCATAAGAGTCCATGGTCTGGCCATAGAATCGCTCACTGCTTTGCGTCGAAAGTCCACCACTTCGAGACCGTGGCTGCGGAAGATAATGTCTAGCTCGGCGATCCAACTGCAGATCATGTAAGTCTTGTTCTATATGACGCAAGTAACATGACAAGCTTACCGCGTAGTGATACCTTGCGATTGAAGCCAATTTTTTCCAAAACCCTCTATCCTGTCAGCATGCACGTGTGACACACTAGGGTCCGAACTTTTAGAATGGTGAGAATCAAGATCCAGCTCATCCCAGCACAGGTATCCTCCGGGTTCTAAACTGTCTCAGTACTAAAAGACACACATTTTTCACAAGGCTACATACTAAGGAGCGTGATGAACTTGTCCAAGAGCTTCGAAGGATCGTCTTTTTGGATGTACATCACGATACGGGCAACGTGAACGATGTCGTATGTCCCAACAAGATGTTCAGGTATTGGCTGCGTCATATCCAGAAGATTCAGGCTCACATTTTCCGGGAGCTCATACTTGGGCGGAAAGTGTGCGCTCGAGATGTCGAAACCGTCGAGCTGGGCATCCTTTGAAACCTTTTTGGCCAGGTCTACGAGCCATATCCTGGTAAGTGTAAGCATGCATGCATTCACGGGGGCCAAAAGAGGACAATAATCTTGATCAAATTACCCTGTGCCACAAGCGATGTCTGCTACCTTCAGTTTCTGCTTTTCCAAATCCACGCTCGGGTGGATGAGAAATCCATATTCTGAGGTGCACATCCAATGTTGCATGTAAATTCTATCAGTGTCAGCGTCCTCTTGCCAAATTGGGTATCTAATACAAGCCTACCTTATTGCGGCATCGATGTCCCGCCTGAAAGGGCGTTTTTCCGCCTCGCTTGCCATTTGAATGAATGAGCTGTTGATACTTATGCCTGACGTTCAATGGGAAACCGCTGACACACTGACATTAAGGTGCAGATTGCGCCCTTCGTTTCTTGTTAAATACCGGGCTTGTGGATTTTTTATTCTGCTGTTTTGCAAGTCATCTAACATGGAAGTGCGAGGTTTGGCATGCACCATGCGCCGTGGAGTATATTGTAACCGTCGTACATAAAGCTTCGGAGTCCTGATTAGGACTAGCGCTCACGCGAAGACGTGTCCTGAGAAACGTCCCATCTAGTAAACGCTGTATTCCCGGGTGTGGGGTTCTGATGACAGGCGGTCTAGAAAGAACCCCTGGAGATTACTCACCGGAGGTGTCATACTCGGAGTACCGATCCGCGTCGGACCGAGCCGAGATTGGGCATAGCACTGAAAAGGCTCGGCTCGACTAAGTCTAGAGTTCGGGCTAGGCAAAGCCAGACTTTTCTTCTTGTGCTATGTTTCAAAGGAAGTGATTACCGAAGTAGAGAATGGACATGGGCCCCAGATTCGCGGAGTTTCTGCTAGACAAGCTGTGCTGTGAGCCGCATATAAATCTACCAAAGAACATCCCAACCGAACACCTAGAGTTCAAACCCCGGCAGCGCCTTGAAACCTCGAGATGGACCAGTATCCCTGGGAGGTAATTCGAAACGGACTTGCCTTACCCCAACACGCCCAAAAATGGTGGGACAAAACGGCGCCTAAATTGGGACATATGCTCCAAGGAGCAGGCTACGATGCGCATGAGCAATACAAGATACTCCTATTCTTCTGGCGATACATCGTCATACATTTTGGTCCTTATCCCGAGGAGTCTCAAAAAGATTCATCCCTCCCATTCTGGAAGAGCTTCATGACTGACGACAACTCGCCAATGGAACTAAGCTGGGCATGGGATTCCATCAATAGTCTACCGGAAATCCGCTTTAGTATCGAAGCCATTGGGTTTAAAGCGGGGACAGCTGAAGATCCATCCAATCAGTTGGAAACATTGAAGCTTATGTCCGAGCTGAAGGTCACGCAGCCTCAGTTTGTGTGGGAACTATTCGAGTACTTCCACAATGCATTTCAGCCCTCATCCGCAGGCCCCAACAGCAATCAAGAGTTTCCTCATCGATCATCCCTTGGTCTCGGCTTCAAGTGCTCTCGGGTCAGTATGCGTATCGGAGCTTATCTCACGCCCCCGGTATTAGATCCTACAGCAAGCTGGAATTACACGTACGATGTGATATCCAAGTTTCGCAAGGACGAAACGTCATTCCCAACCGCGAGACAACTGCACGACTTTCTTACCCAGACCGAGACAGGAAAGGAGCTCCGCTTTGTCGGACTCGGAATAGACTGCGTTAAAATCAACAAGTCCCGGCTGAAGATATACGTCCGCTCACGAGAAACATCCGTCGAAAGTATGCGGAACATCCTCACGATGAACGGTACAATGCCAGAGCCATGGACGGACTCTATTCTCAAGAAACTCTATACCCTCTTGGATATGGTCGCTCCTGGGTACAAGGACAGCCAAGTCAACACCGCGCAGACAGCCGGTATGCTTTACAACTTCGACATTCATAGCGGCCGCAAAGAACCGTATTCACGAATATACATACCAGTCAAGCACTATGGGATTGATGATCTTAGCATCGCCCAAGGATTGGAGCGTTTCCAAAAAATCCAGGGACGCACAGACGAAGATCAATCGAGGTCATACCTCGAGATGTTACGGCAGGTTTATAACAAGCGGAAGCTGGAAGATGGAAAAGGCTTGCAGACGTTTATTGCAATTTCCCCGAAAGATGGGAGTCTCGCTATTGCGGCGTATGTCAGTCCACATGCATATACAGAACGTGGACCAGGAGAATGGCCGCTTAAAATTGGTTGATGGTGAAGGGAGTTATAGGAGAATACCGATCATGGTAGATTAAGTAAAGTGAAAGCGGAGTATATTCGGAAAACAGGACACTACTATCCCTGAATATAAATAAAAATATCAAGACCACCCACGAAACAGCAGAGAACAGAGCAAATCGCGTATAGTCAGAACACAGAACGAGTGCAACTTTCTGTGAATAGTAGAACGACTGATTAAGCAACAGTAGGGGCAGGCCCACGTAGCATGTGCGGAAATGCGACCCCTTCAAGCCTCGCCAACCCCTGAAAAGCGGTACTAACAACCTGCGACATGCCTACGCCTTCAGCTCGCTGCACCCACTCATCAAACGGTACTTGCTCAATTTCTGCCTGCATCTCTCGACTGAGATGATCCTGCAACCCCGTGAAGGGAATACGCAGATCGCCAACGTTATGCCTGTAAATGAGAGCAGCTGTTATGCTGTCTTTGCTCTGCGAAGTCTTAGTGAGGATGGGTGTTGACAAGACGCCGTGCACGATATCGTCCGCACATGTCTCTGGGAGTACAAAGTCCATGAAGCCTCCCATGTGCCTAAGGTCTGGCACAGTACGAAGATCGCGAGAAAATTTTAACATATTTTGCAAGATGTCTGGCACAGGGTTCGGGCCGCTCATGTCGGTAGCTGAACGCATGACGCTCGAGGGCCGATGGACGGTCACTGGAAGGTGGTAGCGCGCGTGCACATTTTCGAGGTAGACTTCACAGGCCCATTTGCACGCGATGTAGCCGTACAGTCCGTCCCGGGGTGGAGGGTGGTCGCGGACGGTGGCCTCGGGAAATTTGGATGACTGCGAGTACATGGAGACGGCAGCAGTTGAGATGAAGTGGAAGGCGATCTTGCGCGGCAGGCATAGGCGCACCAGTTCTTTGGTAGAGTTGAAGTTGCTGTGGCGCAAGCTCTCGAAGGTCTTGAGATGTGAGACATCTGCGCCATTGTGGATGACTGTGTCGGCCTGGGAAAATATTTCTGTTGCTTCTTGATCGCTGAGACCGAGACGCGGAAGACGAAGATCTCCGTTACAATAAGAGGCCTTGGCGAATCTGGTTATGAGCTCCTTGCGGGTTGTATCTCGCGAGCCGATGCAGATAATTTTGTCCACTCGTGGGTTGTCATCCAGCGTCTTCAGAATAGTCTGACCAAGAAAGCCTGTAGCGCCTGTAAGAACGACTGTCTGGCGACCAGAAGAGAGCTGGCGACCTCCATCCATCGCAGGAATAGCGTCAAGCCCTGGCTCTGGGGCCGTCTCCTCGTCCCAATCTATGCTCGTTTCTACCCTTCTGTGTTGCCCTGGTAAAAGTGAAGCCATGTCCTGTAGCGTGACTGATTCGAACATGCTTAGAAGTGTCAGCGTGGCCCCCGACTCCCTCTCCAGCGCGCGCTGCAGCTGGATGAGCAGTAGCGAGGTACCGCCGACGTGGAAAAAGTTGGATTCGCTAGTGATGCGGTGGACACCGAGCACTTCGCTGGGGATGACCTCTTCCCAACATCGGCGAACCACTTCCTCCGTTTCGGTTAGCGGTTGGTCTGGGGTTGAATCGATGGCGATATGCATGGAGACGGGTAGTTCGTCTACAGCCCTCCTGTCCAACTTTCCTGCAACGCTACGGGGTAAGCTGTTTACGGGAATGATAGCGGAAGGACACATGGTGCGTTGCAGTGGCAGGTCGGCTATTAAGCTATCGAGAAAGTCTGCGCGGTCAAATTTGTGTGTGTCCTCGCCGGCAAAGACAACGTGTGCAACCAGATATCGTGCCTCGCTGCCTTCCTGCAATCTGAGTGATACCGCAGCGTCGGCGAGCTTGCCGTTCGACGAGCGCAAGATTGTTTGTTCGACGTCTCGTAGGTCGATGCGCACGCCGTTCAGCTTGATTTCTGTATCGCCGCCGACACGGCCCAATATGCAGAGAGACCCGTCAGGGAGAAGGCGACCGCGGTCTCCGGTCGCGTACATGGTCTTCCATCCTTGGGACGTGTATGAATCGTCAGCGAACGGGTTCGGTACGAAGACATTTTCGCTCAATTCGTCGAGGTTCAGATAGCCTGGGCTGACCCCTGCGCCGCCGATGTAAATCTCGCCCGGCATACCGACGGGTTGGAGTTGTTTCTCGTGGTCCAGAATGTAGATGCTTTCGTTGGCACAGGCCTGACCGACCGTGACGGCACCTTGTATACCTTCCTCCGCGTCATAGCTCAGACGCGTGATGGAAGAACCACAAGTTGTCTCGGTGGGGCCATATTTGTTGTGCAGCGCTAAACCTGCATTACCGAAGCGTCGAAACAGCTCCAACAACGTCGGAGTCACTGCCTCGCCACCCGTGAACGCTATGCGCCAGGAGGAGAGACTCAATTGCGCTCGGCAGGCCTCTACCATCCAGCTTTTGTACTCGGTCGGAGTAGCCCAGGTGAGTGTAACAGCTTTCTCGTCGATCGTCTTGATAATTGAGACCGAATCGAGCCTCATTGTTGCTGGAGGTATTATAAGCTGTGCGCCTGCACTTAACGCCAAGAATATCTGTAGGATAGATAGATCAAAACTGTACGCAGTTTGCTGTAGCACGACATCTGTTGGCTGGAACTTGTGCTGCTGGTAGGCAGATTCAAAGTCGCTTGCTAGACCAGAGTGCCTCAGCGATACGCCTTTCGGGACCCCTGTCGAGCCGCTGGTGTATAGGATCATGGCAACGTCGATGCTCTGAGTGACCACTGCCACATCCGATGTCGTTTCTGTAGACGCGTGCGACACATCGATGACTGTTGCGTTGAACTTCGCGCCTATCTTACTAAATTTGGCTGCGGTGCGATCATGAATAAGAACCGCGGATGGTCTGCTGTCCTCCATGATCAATGTGAGTCGTTGGGGAGGCGTGCCGAGATCAAGCGGGACGTAGACGGCACCAAGTCGTAAAATGGCTAGTAAAGAAGCCACCCAATCAATACCCGAATCTTGAAATACTGCAACTGTATTGCCGCGGACAACCCCGGAAGCAGACAGACGCCCTGCAATACCATTTGCACGTGCCGCGAGATGCTTGTATGAGATGGACTGCCCGCCTATTTCATCGACAGCAACGTTAGACGGGTACTGTTCTGCGACGTCTTTGAACCTATGGACCAAAGTCGGCCAAGTAATCGTCATCGACGGCCCTAGAATCCGAGATTAGCACACACGCGTAAATAAACCTTGGACTGAAACGGCATACCTTTCCCACAAGCGATTGCTTTGGATAGATCGTCGTCCCGGAACTTCCAGTCGCGACCAATGCCCTGGGAAGTAGCTTCTGCAAACTCATGCAATATGTCCTCGAAGCCTCGTGAAAGAAGAGCACAGTCCGCGTCAGTATATAGCGAGCTTTGTGTTGCAAGATAAATCCGTGCTTCCGCTGCTGGAGTGTTGAAGACGGTAAGCGAGAAGTCGTATGCAAGTCGAGCTGGTTTGTGATCCAGAGCGGATAGTTCGCATCCGCAGAACGTTTGCTGCTCGTCCATACTTTCTTCGAGGAGATAGTTCATAAAAGCTTGGAACAAGGGAGTGTGGGATGCAGAACGGTCGACGTGGAGTTCGTTCAAGAGCACTTCAAGCGGGATGTGTGAATGGGATCGGACGAGCAGGCTTTTTTCGCGGGCTTCTTCGATGGCCTGCCCGAATGTTTCGGACGAGCTCGCTTTCAGTCGCAAAGGCGCCATGTTCAAGAATGGCCCGATGCTCATGCGATTTTCATCGGCGGAGCGCTGTTCATCTGCCAAGCCGATGCAGATATCCTCGGTACCCAGAAATCGATAGAGTAGAACTTTGAAAGCGGCAAGATATACGTGGTAGACCGTCGATCGATGTTTCTTGGCCGTGGCCCTCAGGGCCGATCCAAGCTCAGGATCCACGCGGAATATGGATAGGCGTTCCTCGTATTTTTGCAATGCCTTTCTCTCGGAAACCTGACTGCGGTGAAGTGGCAACGGGGTTGGGATAGTGGCAAACTGAGACTGCCAGAATGCAATGGAATCAGACCATTCCCCGCTCTCGTAACTTGCTCGTTGCTTGATTGCGTGATCCATATATTGCAATACCTGGTTGTCCAGGGGTTTTCCCGTATATGCCCTTTCGAGGTTTGCCATAAACGGTGTGTGACTGACTCCATCAAAGACGAGATGGTGGTACCCGATGAGGAGGTATGACCTCGTACTGGACATTGACAACAACACCAACCTGAGCGCCTTTCCTTGAGCAAGATCATATGTGTGATCTTGCAGCTGCTGGTATAACTGGAGCCATTTGTTGTCTTCGTGCGAATGCACCACTTCTAATTCAAGCGTAGAGAACGGAAGAATACTTTGGGACACCACTCCATCTTCTTCGGCAAAGCTGGTTCGCAGGATGGAGTAGAGCCGTCCCAGACTTCGGACAGCGCTTGCCAGTCGCTTGTGATCCACAGACCCCTTCATTTGGAAGACGGCCGTCGTGTTCAGGGTTGTTTTGTCCTCGAGGAGGTTCTGTACGAACCAAAACATTTTTTGAATTGAAGACAACGGCCCAGATCTCTCATAAGCAATTGGTTGAGTTTGCTTTCGCCGCTGCTGTTTATTGGAATGACTCGGAATGAGGGCATTTTTAAGTTCCAAAGGATTTTCGGATGCCTCCACGTCTGTGTTAGATAGCCCGGTAAGTGGGGTCGCAATTGAATATCCATCTGACGTGTCAGAGGTCCCGGAAGATAAGGCTGTGTGATTTGGTTGTTCGGATTGCTGCGATCCTGGGTCTGTCGTAGGCTCTATCATAGTAGGCAGTACTTTCTTATCAGGTACATTGGGACCATGATCGACGCTCTGTAGTTCCCCTGATGTAGTCTCTTTTAATGAGGCCCCATTGGAGTTAGGGATCAATTCATCTGGTGTCTCGTTACAGATCTGTTCAATCAAACTCGCGATCATAATGCCCTGCAGCATTTTCAGAGTGGGCACGTTGACATGGAAGTTCTGGGAAATCCAGGTTCTGATGCGAACGGCGACCAACGAGTCAAGGCCAAGCTCATCCGTACTACTAGAGAGGCTCAACTCGTAATCTTCGTTAAGATGCAGGATGCTTTTCACTTCCCGCACTAGACACTCTGTCAAGTTGTTAGTGTCAAACCCTGAATGTGTTGCAGAATTAAAACGGCATAATACTAGAGAATCAACTTACCTGTCACAATCTGTCGAACAGACTCTCGGCTGATGGCATTGGCCAAGCGTTCTGAAAGTGGCACTGCTCCTGACTTCTGGGTATCTAACTCCATCTTGTCCGTGGCCTTGGGCGTGAGGCAGGCGAAATGAGGATAGGAATAGAATGCTGACCGATAGGAATGTTCTGTACCCATACGCCGAAGACCGCAAATAATCTCTGAAGGAAGACCGGAGTCTGGTCTTCCGGAGATGATTGCCTCCGCGAAGATTGAGAACAAATCATGTTCCGAACTGAGGAGGAATCCGTAGTCATAATGCACATTCTGTGCCTCCAAACTCAACTCCCGAGCCACGTAACCGATGCTGTTGATCATTCCCAGATCGATTGCTGTCGCTGCGAGACCCCTTTGACGTCTCTCTCTTGCCATACCACACAAGAATCGGTTAGCGGCAGTGTAATTCGCCTGGCCTGCATTTCCAATGACACCAGTCAGTGATGAGAAATAAATGAAAAAATCCAGAGCCGTGTTACAGAAGATACTATCAAGGTTGATACTACCTTGAACCTTGGGTCCGAACACGGTCTGCGTGTCGTGGAACGTAAGGTTTCGAATCGGATTATCACGCATCACCATTGCTCCATGGGCAACACCTGCGACAGGAGGTAGCTTGCTTTGAATCGTTTCGTACAATTCAGTCAATTGCGTGATATCGGTCACGTCACTGGTCACCTGTTAGCAATCCTCTTGGGATGAATTTACATCGCGAGCGAACTTACTTTTTGGCTACCATGATCTTTGCACCCCTTCTTTCTGCTCTGGCATACCAATCTGGACTGACACGTGGGTTCCGGCTGCTGAGCACAAAATACTTCGCGCCTCTTTCGATCATCCAATCGCACAGCGAAAGACCCATTTCGCCTGACAAACCCACAAACCAATATGTACGATCTGACTGGAATAGAGCGTTGACAGGCTCAGCTGTGATAGCAATGGATGCAGGAGAAGTCCAATCTAGAACCCCGAAGCCATTAGTGGTGCCTGGCCCATTGGCGATGGAGGAAAGATCGAGTGCTCCCGAGACAAGTTCACCGGCAGGAGCATTCTCGAGTTGCCTGCTAATGCGATGATGCGAGGATTCTAAAATCCGTTTTATCCTTCCAGGATCTACAAAAGGTGCATATTGGGCTTGTCGGGAGAACATGGTCGAAACGTCGTCCCTCAATGCGCTTCGCGTTGTGAGCGAGCCGAAAATAGATGGTCGCGCAGATGGTTTGCTAAAGTCCACGTAACCAGTTAGTACCGGCGGTAACAACGCTTTCAACCGATCAGAGCCCGTAAAAGGATTAACAAAAAATCCACTAGGTGGGACGTTGAGGCCATCAGACGTGGTCGGGATGACTGTCCACCCCGTTATGCTGGCGTTTTCGTGTATAAGCTTGGAAATGATCTCCGGGGCGTCATGAATGAGAAGAAGGTCTCCTTTGCATAGTTGATCGGTCAAAGTTGCAGCCAGCATTGAAGCTGCCACTAACGCAACTGTCGCGGCCTCAAATCCAGTAGATGGTGAGCATGGGAAGATACAATCGGTCGCAATGCTAACAGTTGACGATAGCGAGTCCGTCATGAACAGATAACGCGAACCATCTGCAATGGACGAACCCAGGCATACGAAAAGGAAGCCGACAGGTGTTCTGACAGCCTGCGTTGTTGAAGAGATTAGGCGTAACTCTGTCACGGTGGTGGAGCAACATAAATCTGGCCGAGATTGGGAAAACAAGTCGGATGAGATTTTGTACTGTCCGTTTGAGTAGCCCAGAGAAACACTGCGGGAGTCCAATGTGGTATGTTCAACGACCTGGCGACGGGTAGAATTCAATCGGCCATTCGGGCCGTCCATCGGCGCGACTCTGGGAATCAGATAGCTGCCATCCGACACAACGACCAACTCGTGTTCCAGTGACCAGAGTGTTGCATTCTTTTCTTTTCGCTCGTGACTCAGCGCAAGCTCATGGAAGCGTATAAGACACTCCGCTATAACGGTGGCACCCGGTTCTGCAGGGGCTTCGAAATCGAGAAATTGAAGATGAAGATCTGGCATCTCCCAGAGCACAGCTCTTGCAAAGCCAACAATCATGTCCGTCCAGGAACTTCCAATTCGGCGGTCCTGGGTTACCCATAGGATATTTTTTGCGGTGGCGAATAACATTCGTAGACTCTCGAATCGATCCGGTGACAAGTCTTTGAAGGCAGGTGTATCAAGATCGCACATAGCCAAAACCACGTCGCTAGGGCCTATATCAGAGCAATTCAAATCTTCCAGGGTGGCATAAGTGGCGACGGTTCCAGCGATGTTTAGGAGCAGGTTTGATAGCTCTCTCGAAATTGACTGGGACTGAGATGTGGCACCCCCCAAGAGGATCAACTTCTCGATACCACTACCGCCTCGCTCCTTTACTATCGCCGGTAGTAGAGGCTGCCGTAGAAGACTCACCCTTTCGTCTACAGCTTGTGATACGTAAATCGAAATGGTGAACGGTAAAGCGTCGTGGTCGGGAGATGCGCTGTCCACACCACCGAATCCAGAATTCCGCAAATGAGTGTCCCATTGCGCATGTGATGCTTGAGGACCAAGTATACGTCCCTCTTCCATGCCTGCCCACCATCCCGGGAGACATCCGAAGATCAAAGATGCGCGACAAAGCTCGTGGCTGGAAAGCTCATTCATGATCAAATAACCACCCGGTTTGAGCAAAGATCGCACGTTCCTAAGTGTCTTCTCTAAGCTTTTGGTGGCGTGTATAACCTGAGAAGCAATGACCAGATCGTAGCTATGTTTTTTGAGGCCCTGGATCTCCACATCATTTTCGATGTCCAGAACTGCATATTTCATTTGCTTGGCAAATTTGGCATCGAACTCGTTCTGTGCAGTGCCAAAGAAGCCAGATGAGATATCGGTGAATGTGTATGTCGAAAACTTTGCTTCTGGATGAGACAGGACTTCTCGTGTGGCACTTCCGGTTCCTGCTCCTACCTCCAATACTCTCATGTTGGGATACCGAGACATTACTTGAGCGGCGGTGTCTGCTAGCCATCTTGTAGCTATACCCATGACTTTCGATGTGGCGTAGTACTGATCGAGCAGTGCATCTTGAAGGTAGAACTCAAGTATAGAATCCACTTCGCCCAAGATTACACGCGGCATTTGAGTGCCAGCCACATGCATGATCTGAAACTCGGGAAGGTTGGCATAAGGCTCGGTAATGGTCATAATGTCATCCATGGTGTCTGTTAGCCAGCTCTGCTTGAGCCATTTGTTTCGACCGTCGACAACAGACTGTGTTACATGTGCTGCATAGTTAAGATAAGCTTGGAAGAACTGATCGGCTCTTCCCGGGTGATCCTTCGGTATCTTCGAATTTAACACGCGGAGGTAGTAGAAAGAACTTCTTTCCAGAATTGTAGCAAGCTTGTATTCCTCCGCGGAAGCACGCTGCCACGCGGCGGCCGGGACATCTGGATCCGCGCGTTTCCATGTCCATTCATAGAAGAGAACCTTGTCGTCGTCGGCTACAGCTGCAGAAAGCGGGATCACCTGGATATCTTCCATTTGAATCAAGCAATGTCCACTGTCCTCGTCATATATCTGAACATCACCTTGGATGCCCTGAATGTTTGTCTCGTCTCTGGCGGACGCGGCGAAGGGGAGCCTCTTAGCTTTGATCAAATCTTGTTCGCACAACCTTGGATTGAAACGTACAGTACCAATCTTCGTAGGCAAATGTAAGCTCCACAGCTGGCCGTCTTTGGGATATCCGAATGCGAGCAAAATGCCCTGCAAGGCTGAATCCAACACAGCAGGCGGAGCGAAATATCTTATACTGCCGTTCTCTTCGGGGTCGAAAGCGATTGTGCCTACAGCTTTACGAGACCCGCGCTTTAGATCGCCCAAACATCGGAATGAACCGGAGTAGCCATATCCCAGTTCGAACAAGGTGGAATAAAGATGATCTGAGGACACTGGCACCATAAGTGGACCTTCTTGATCTGCATCAGGTAGAACGTCCACGTCATTGGTTCCAAGAGTGACCGCCAATTTCCCTTCGGCCGTCGGCTGTAAATCATGCGTCGCCCCTTTAGACCATGAGAAAACGAATCGTGCTGTGATGGAGCCCTCGACATCTCGTTGTATGTTGCTCAGCGTGAAAAGGGTCTCATAAGCTTCGGTTTCGTTATCCTCATTGAACACCATTGGTTGATGGATAGCGAAGTCTCGAATCTCTACTAACTGCAATGAATCTGCCACTGTGAAGAATGGGAGAGTTTCCATTGCCATTGCAATATATGCAGTCGCTGGAAAGACAGTCTGGCCTTGAATTTTGTGGCCTGCAAGCCAGGGGAAATCCTTGAGTCGTAGAGTATTGGACCATTGCATCTGTTCTGAGGTCATGTTGGGAACGATTGTCCCCAGCAATGGGTTAGAAGCTTGGTCTCCGAGACGTGCTACTCGGGACGAGCGAGATTCGTGCCAATATTGTCGATCGTGAGTCCAACGGTAGACAGGAGGGCCTGGGACAAAGGCATGGTCCACGCTACAAGCCATAGAATCTTCGACCTGATCGAAGTCGATTTTAGGATCGGGCACAACTGACCACAGGAACCCAAGAGCAGTTGCAAAACTCTGGGTCGCTTCTGTGGAACGCAGCAAAAGGCTTGTGTAGGGAAGCTCCACGGAAGAATGCTGTTGGGAAGTCTCGCGAAAGGGACCTTTAAGTGCAGCGTGCGGACCTACTTCGATCACAGCATCGTATGGCCCAAGATCCATTGCACCTTGAACCGCCTGAGTGAAGTAGACGGGGGAGATGAGATTTTTACACCAATACTCTCCACCCAGGCTGTTGGAGGGATCTGAATCAACAATACGACCTGGATGCACACTCGAGATCCAAGTACAGGGTGATTTCGATCCGGCTTGTTGTACCGTGATGTTGCAGCGCTCCAGCGCGTCGAGGTAAGGTCTAGAAGCCGGCGTCATAAGAGATGAATGATAGGCTTTATCCACCTTGAGCCGTCGCACGAACTTGTTCTCATCTTCGAAGACGGCTTCAACATCGATAATAGCATCCTCCTCACCCGACAGGGTCACGCTTTGCGGAGAATTGAAGGCAGCTACGCCAACTCGGTCTCGGAGTCCTCAAGCTGGCACACCTCGAGTGCGTCCTCCCCAGTCGTGCCCACAGCCAGCATGGCGCCGGTAGGGCACAACTTCGTGTAGATACCACGATAGTAGGCAATCTTAATGGAGTCGTGCGCAGTGAGCAAGCCCGCAGCGAAAGCAGCTGCGATCTCGCCCGATGAATGCCCGACGACAGCGGTGAATGAAACGCCAGCGTTGCGAAGAAGATGTACGAGAATAATCTGCACGGCAGTACACACTGGCTGAGCGATACTCGCTTCGGCCAGCCTGCTCTTTGAAGCTGCCGCCAGAAGTTCATCCCTTAAGGTCCACGACGGCCTGTCAGGCGGTGGCAATGCGGCTAAACACGCGTCTAGATCCTCCAGTACGCTGGATGCCAAGGGAGACTGCTCAATTAGCTCGGCCCCCATGCGAGGCCACTGCGCGCCTTGACCTGTAAAGACACCCAGAAGACGCGGCTGCGATTCACTTTTAACTCCTGGTCCTCGCCGCAGACGAGTTTCCTTCAGCAACTCTATACCGGGCTCCTGCAACTTCAACTGCAATTGTGAGATCGACGCCGCCGTTAAGGCAATGCGATGCGGCAAGACAGACCGTCTACTCCTTAAAGTGAAGGCCAGGTCGCCGGCGTCTATATCAGGATGCACCTCTAGGTGCGCAGCTAGCGAGCTTAAATTGGCAAGAAGAGATTGCTTCGATGCCGCTGAGAAGACAAACGGCCGGGTCATTTCATGTCCCTCGCTGTTTGCGCCTCTCTGAGGCGGCTGGAAGCTCTCCACGATCACATGTGCCTAAATCAAGTTAGAAGCAAGCTAGAAATCGACTTCTCCGATTTCAACTTACATTGGTTCCTCCAAAACCGAAACTGTTGAGACTTGCCCGACGCGGCTGTCCCCTTTTCACTCTTGGCCACGGTGTGAGTTGTTGAGGTATGTTCATACCTTCATAAAATGGTACAACGGCTGGGTTGAGCCGGTTCAGCAGCATGTTTGGCGGGATAAAACCATGTTCCATGGCGAGTGCCACTTTGAGAAGACCGGCAATACCTGCTGTGCTCTCTGTGTGGCCGATGACTGTTTTTATCGAACCGACGTATAGTGGATCCTTGACACCATTGTCCGGGTAGCAGTCGGGCTGGCTCTCGCCGAAAAAGGCCGTATGGATGGCTTCTGCCTCTACGGGATCTCCCGCCGGCGTGCCCGTACCGTGAGCCTCGAAATACTGGCATCTGTCCTCTCTCGAAGTGATGTCGAGGCCCGCCCTTGCATACACGTCTCGGATCAATGCCGCCTGAGCGCTTGCTCTCGGCATAGTTATTCCCTGACTGCGGCCGTCTTGATTAACACCAGTCTCCCTGATAAGACATTGGATGTGATCGCCCGCAGCGACGGCTTCGCTCAGTGTCTTGAGAACAACAACACCGACGCCTTCGCCTCGTGCATAGCCGTTGGCATCGGCGTCCCACATTCGTGAACGACCTTCTGGTGAGAGCATGCGAAGCTTGGTCTCAGATACATAGTTCTCTGGTCCTAGCAGCAAATTCGTACCGGCGACGATAGCTACGCTAGACTCTCCGGAGCGCAGCGCGTGGGTTGCTTGATGCAGAGCAACTAGACTAGAAGAACAGGCTGTGTCAACCGTAAAAGACGGTCCGTGCCAATCGAAAAAGTAAGATACACGGTTAGATGCAATGCTCCGTGCATTACCAGTCCCGTGGTAAGTGTTGAGGTGTTTTAGATCACGATACTGCAGAGCTTCGTAGTCTGCAAACATCATTCCCACAAAAACACCAGTGTCGGAGCCTTTGAGGGCAGTAATAGTCAGTCCAGCTGACTCGAGACCTTCGTAGACCGTCTCAAGTAAGATCCTATGCTGAGGATCCATTGCATCAGCCTCCTCAGCCTTGATATTAAAGAAAGCTGCATCGAATTGGCTGATATCCTGCGAAAGTACATAAGAATGTCGGACGTTTGCATGGCCTGGGTATTGAGAGTCTTGATGGTAGTATCCTTTTGTATTGAATCGACTGGGGGGTATCTCCTCCAAAACATCATACGGATCGCGAAGTAATGTCCACAGAGATGAGGGTGAGTCGACATGACCGGGAAATTTGCACCCGGTTCCAATGACGGCGATGGGCTCCGCAGAGCGTTTGTAAGTATCGTTCGATCTCATGATGCTGTGTCGAATAGATGCTCGGGTAGAAGATGAGTTGAATTATACTTGCGCATAATGGTTTAGGTGGATTAGTCTCTGTGTTCAATCACATATTGGAATCCGTAAAGACTCATGTCCCCCAGAACTCTGATGTCGGACTCTGATGTCGGACTCTGATGTCGGACGACGTCGTCTCTCGCAAGGTTTCTGGAACAAATCAGTGACATCACAAACTGTTTACGGGTGGTTTATAGGGCGAAACGGGTCGGAAGTACTGTTTGCAAATTTCGGCGCCCCGAGTGGGTGTACTTCTCAAAGGTCCGATGACGCATACACCCGATTACCCCAAACCTTCCGGCCACCCCCGAACCCTCCGACATGGCAGGCCGAGCTTCGCTAATCCACTCAAACCGCAGTGAATTATAACACAGACTTGGCGGGAATATGACACCCAGAGTTTGGGAAACACGAACGAGAGCTGTTCCGTCACTACCTTCGCTCATTTCATCGCAATTCCCAGGCTTTCCAATGGCAGTCAAGATCGAGCATCAATGCCTGAGACAAGGAGAAGGTGGTCTAGTCGAAAATGCTATCATTGGCAAAAATTCCCTAATGCCTGATGATATTAAACCATACGAAGTCCTGGTACGCGTCGCAGCAGTCGCTCTGAATCCTACAGATCACAAATCACCTTCATTCTGTCCCACGCCTGGGGCTATCATGGGGGTGGATTTTGCAGGGGTAATCGTGCACCGCGGTAGCGATGTGCGCAGAGAACTCACAGAGGGCTCGCGCGTGTGCGGGGCTGTACATGGCTCCAACCCAGCAAACCCGGGAAAAGGCTCCTTTGCAGAATACGTCGCAGCGGATTCACGTCTTCTTTTGAAACCTCCAGTAGACTGGACAGACACGCAGGCAGCTGCTCTCGGGGGCAGTGGGTGGTTCTCTGCCGGGTTGTTTCTTTACGAGTCTCTAAAGCTCGATGGCAAGCCATCCAGTCCAACAACAAAGCGGGCTGACGGAACCAAAACGCCTATCTTGGTATATGGAGCGGCGACAGCCACCGGAACGATGATCTGCCAAATCCTCTCGCTGTATGTATTGTCATGTACTTCCAATCGCCGAGTGCTAAGCTTCCATCAGATCTGGGTACGCACCCGTTGGCGTTTGCTCGTCGAGCTCGGCAGATATGGTCTTGTCCTATGGAGCAATCGCAACAATCGATTACGTAGCCCCGAACGCGGCAGAGACGATCAAATCGCAAACAGGCGGGCAGCTCCGCCATGCTATCGACTGCATTTCCTCTCAAGAATCAATGCGCTGTTGTATGGCGGCAATGGGCCGGGCGGGGGGGAAATACGTGGCTAGTGAGCATACCATGGAGGAATGGCGTACTCGGCGTGGGGTCAAAGTACTTCCATTGCAGCTAGCTTATGAAACGTTTGGAAATGGTGTCGAACTGCCTGGTTTGTATCACAGAGAGCCCAGCCCAGCAAAGCATCAACTCACTATGGACATGGCGGACGAGGTGCAAAAGCTGCTCGATCGTGGACTCATAAGATCACATCCTCCCAAGGCTCTGCCACCAGGTTTCCAGAGCATCATCGGTGGCTTGAAGATGCTAAAGGCTGGAGAGGTCCGGGGTCAAAAGCTTGTTGTATGTCTGGATTCAGGGCTGACCAACCAGTCGTAGTTTCTGTTGTTCGCGTGTGAGTTTGTTCTTCGTGGCGGAAAATGCAACGATCAGTCTACCAGTAACACGCGTCCGGCTAGACCCATAGGTAACTACCTACCTAGGTAGGTATGTAGGTATGAATGAGGGTAGAGCATCAAGCTATAGTATTATAGGTAGTGTCTGTGTGTCATGACGACAGAAAAAGGCTATATCGCCCATAGTACGCAGTTCGAAATTGCTGGTGGAGAGTTGGGTGTAGTGACGCTGGTGACCTAATTGTGCACGCAAAAAGATGGGGCCGGAACTAAGATAAGCCGATCCGTTTCACGTGATGCAGCACGTGAAATGTCACGTGATCCGCTTCCTTCGACTCCCCATGTACGCTTACTCAGGTACATATGTACATACATGTATGTATTTAGCGCCAAACTACTAGATATAACGATCTGGATTTGCAGATGCTTTGAGTTCTATCCTGGATCATGTTTGTGTCGGGACGTGTCTACGACTATCAATTGATGGCAATTACATACGTTACAAACGCTGACCCACGCACTACACAAGTCATTCTCCATCAAATCTCTCATATTAACCAGAGCTCTTCTGATTGGTTCACTATTTATTTGCTTGAAAGTGTGATGATTCTTACAATAGACCTAGTACCACCATTGATTTGCAGGTGTTTCAAGAAGAAAAAAAGATTATACTAGAGATTGCTAAGTACCTAGGTATGTACGAATTCATTGATTTACTCTAATCAATATTATCAAGTCTTCCGAATCAGTCAATAGAGGACTTCTGTTTTCAGTCGTTGGTACTCCAATGCCGTCATCTCTTTATAAATAGAGGGACGATCAGGAGTCACGAAAGATGGTAGTGGGCCCACACTAGTCTCCCTGGCCGCTTTGAAGAAGAAAACGCTCGAATACCGTGGTGGACACAGCCCGTTCGCCAGCCCTTTCATCGAAGGTGGAACATCAACGCGGTGGACTCCGGCGCGAATAGTGCCATTTGACCATCTCTCAAATGTATCGCTGATATTCACCACCAGTGCTGAAGGTTCATCTGGGCGTTGAGGCTCCACAGGAACGAATGTGTCTGGCCGTGACCGGTCTTCGAGTTCAAGTCCGCCGACATTATCCTGGAACAGAAGGGTGATGATGCCGAAGTCTGTGTGTGCATGAGTCCGCTTTACTTTGCCCTCGCTTAGCAGCTTCATATCGACCTCGGGATAGTGGTTGAGTCGTATTTCACTTGCTGACGGATTGCACCTCTCTGTCAATGAATCTTTCGGCATTTTTAGGCCCACCTCCATCGCATTCAGAATTTGGAGACTAGCAGCCTGCAGACGCTTATAGCATCCCTCCATGGTACGCTGGAAGTCCGGCAAGTGTGCTTTGGGCCATTTGTTGATAAACTCCTTATCACTGGGGGGACCTGCATCGAAGAACTCCTGGGTATATAGTCAGAGAGATCTCAAAGCATCCGGGGAATGCTCACTCTTTCGTCTTTGAGCTCGTCTCCATTTGAACCGACCGGGATGTTTTTCTTCCGTAATTTTGCTGTCACCTCGGCTCCCTTGCTGCTCCATCCCCGCTGCGGTTTCGGGCCCTTTTCGTTCTCAAATTCTCTCTTCGCCTCAAGACTAAGATCAAAAAGCTCTTTAGTCTGCCCCAATAGTCAGGTAAGATGTATATGTGATGCCAGGAAAGGCACTAACCGAGGCTTGATACTGGCGCACTATGTCTTCTGGAATACCATGATTGATCAATTTTACAAACCCGTGCTTGACGAAGCTCTTGATGAGCGCTTCACCAAGCTGCTGCTTCTCTGACGGAGTACCGCGGAGATACTTGGAGAAGTCTAGTGTAGGCAAATCCATTTTCATTCGTGTCGTCCCTTTTGCTCTGTTTGTAACCTCCAAGCCTCTTAGATCATTCTATGAGTTTTATATTGATTCATCAATATTTCGATGCTCTACCGGATGAGGCTGGTTACTCATGACGTAATGCTATTAGCAGCTGTCTTTTAATTTATTGACGGAGAATTAAACAGTCCGATTGTGGTTCTTGCGATGCTGCGAACGTTCCGAACCCTCCGAAGTCGGTTGCTGTCCACAAAATGCACGAAGTCGGAGGGTTTTAAGTGGACCGACTGGCGTACAGTCAGTTCCGACTGAACCGAAGAATGCTAATCAAGGCTTTCGGGATCAACGTGCAACACAGATTTGCTCACCCGCGTTGTCTCGACATTAGCGTCAGATCATAAGGGTCCGAGAGTCAGTGGCGTATCTATGATGTGTCTACATATACAGCTTTTGATGGCTGTTGGGCTTGAAATTGATGTTGATTGAGTCTTGTGACTCTATCCTGCGTCCTCTTCTTCAAAGCGAATATGTTTCTATCTTCATTTGACACCATCAGCCTACGAGATCAAGTCATCTTCTGGGAATCAGATAGCAATCGCTCTTGGCTTCTTCCGGGAATTTTCCTTGTAATTATCGACCTTTCATGATTTCATAAATGTACAACGCTCATTATAACTTACACAGGCATCGCTTTACGCTATTCTAAGGTGCACTTATCTGCTCTGGTTCCACCCGCTCTCTAGATTCCCGGGACCTCGGCTAGCCGCGATATCGAACACGTGGTACGCCTACGCTTGGTACGTAAACTACAGCCCTATGCGCATGTCAGATCGAGCTAATGAACATGCAGGCTTTCTGGAAAGTATCCTTTCATTACTGCAAAAGCCTTCGAGAAATATGGTACCTTTTCGCATCACGCAACGGAAGGCTTCCACTGACGTGGGGCAGGCGACGTTGTCCGAATCGCACCAAATGAAGTGATCTTCATCACGCCTCAGGCATATCATGGTAGCTTTTGAACTGTCACATGTGTACAAAACATCTTGGCTGAACTTCCAGACATATATTCTACCCCTAAACCGGGTCGCCCCGTCTTTCTCAAATCAGATATGCACGACGAAGGGAAAATTCATACAAGCGTATTTTCCGAACGCGATCCCGAAAAGCATAGAGCCATACGAAGAGTCTTAGACGGTGCTTTCAAAGTTGGTATGCTCAAACAGTATCAACCCTACATCGACCAGCATCTCGCAAAGTTTGCGAACAAAGTAGAGGGTTTCCAGAAGGGATTTAATTTGACCGAGGTCAGTATGGCTTTCTCGGCAACCCTTTAGTGCTAACATTGCATATAAAGTGGCTCGAATGGCTATACTTGGACATCGGAGGGTCGGTGACTTTCAACCATGATTACGATTGCATGGTCGAGGGTAAGCCCAATAAAAGCATCGCATCACCAAACCATTACTGACTCCAGCAGGTCGCGACGACCCGTTGCTCGAGACCATGTCGGATGTGGGATGGTGGATGACAGTCCGCTTCGTTATGCTTCGCTTTCCCCTTTTCTATCCTCTGCACGTGTTCCTATTACCTATCAAAGCACTCCTGAGCTATCGCAACATCTTACGGTCCACCGACCTTGCTATTACTCGCCGCCTAGAACGAAGCAAAGAACTACAGGACAGAGACTACTTGTCTGTCGCTCTCGACGACGAACAGTTTTCTCAGTCGAGGGATTTCTTGACTAAGAACGCATCAATTTTTGTCTTTGGTCATGTCGAGTCATCTGCAGTCATAACGGCAGCGTTTTATTTCCTGATGAACAACCCTGTATCATTTCAAAGATTGACGCGCGAGATCAGGAGCGAGTTCTCATCAAGTGATTCCATTACAGATGAAGCTCTACGGCAATTCCCTTGGCTCGATGCCGTAATCAACGAAACGATGCGTTTGCATACAAACGTTCCCTATGGTCTTCCTCGGATCAGTCCGGGAGCAAGCGTAGACGGCGACTACATTTCTAAGGGTGTAAGTGATTCCAATTCTTCTTGGTTTTGCAACAACTCACATACAAGCAGTGCGTAGTGTCGTCTTCAGCCTTTGCGACGACTCACTCTTCTCGATACTTCGCAAAGCCATGGGAGTACCGTCCAGAGAGATGGCTTCCATCAACACATGAATACTACGAGGAGGTCTTCTCTTCAGACGATCGGAAGGCTTTCAGACCATTTGGACTGGGTGCAAGAAAATGCATTGGACAGAGTGTTGCTATGCTTATGATGCGCATGGTTTTAGCGAAACTATGTTTCGAATTTGACCTGGAAATGACCAATAAGGGCGAGGTGGAATGGAATCGTGATCTTCGCCTCTTCAGTCTCTGGCGGAAACCTACAGTGAGAGCTAGATTCCACCGTATCACTCAAAGATAGCCTGAAAAGTTTCATAGTGGCAATTAGCTGAGAGGAAAGGAAGTACATGCACTTTCCGTAGGAGTAGCGGAAGCTTATTTAGCTCTTTCCAGACGTAAATTTAGTCCATTAATCCATGCGACAGATCTGACTAGCCGAACCTAACTAAGCAACGATGACAGCGACTGTATGGTAGATCTCAGTTTGTGTACCCTGCAAACTCCGTCTCGCGTCCCACTCTGATTTTGTTCCGCCGTGATGTGTCGAAACATGGAGGCCTCCTGCACGTTCAAAAATCCCCTTGTTGTCCTCCAGTCTGGCCAATATCTCATATCCTCGGGAAGACCGAAGTAATTCTCAATTAGAACGAGATGATGTTTGATAAGCTCCATGGTGCCCTTGACATGGTATCGGAATGCAAATTGGTCCTCATCGATCCCATTCGGGATGACTTCTTGTTCTAGTATCCTTTGTCGGACTTGGGATAGAAATACATCCAACAAGTCGAGGAGTTGCAAGTAGGTTGAGATTACGACTAACTTGATCGGCGTGGTTGATTGATGTATTGGAGGCGTGCTGTCATTGCTCGGGGTCATTAACTGCAAGACCAGCATAAATTTCATCGTCGTCCACATGGTCATCTCAAGTGGATTTTGTAGGCCAGAATCTTGGGTTCCGATTCTGAAGTCGAGCCAGTTGAGTCGTATCTGGGAAGTGTCCCATGAAAGATTCTTGATATGGTCGATCTGTCCTGAGACATCGCTCAGTAGAGCAATGAGACAGGTAGGCGAGTTGTCTCTCTTGAACGCAAACCCAGGTCTTTCGTTCGTGGAGGATGACTGGAGGTCATTCAAGAATGAGGCCGTCCCATCTTCATCGTCTACCGCTTGGCCTGTGGGCTCGGTATTTGAAGATTGGTTGGTCAGGGAATGCATCCATAGGGTATCCAATGGATCGTTCGACGCAGTCAAATCTGTCGTTGCTTCGGTAGGGAAGTTGAGGCCTTCCAGGCCTTGTAAGGCAATTTGACGGTTTAGAAAACCAGTAATGCTGGATGAAGAGGACGTGCAGAGTCCTTCGAACCCTCCTTGGTTGTTTTCGAAGTTTTGATGCGGCATTTGATGACCGTTTGATGGTCGTCCAGGAGGGCGAGACGGACTGGTTTGACAGATGAGTCGCTGACGCATACAGCGCTCGCACGAATTTGCCCTTTTCCTCACGCATCTAACTTTATGCTCTCGACATTTGTCGCAAGCCGATCTTTTGACCCCATGGCTCTCCATATTTACCTAGAATGATCTCTGGCTGTAAGAGCAAAGTGTGCGATCATTAGAGTGCTACTTAGTTTTATCATATAGGCTGTTCTACGATAACGAACTTGGATGTCAATCCCTAGCTTCGGATCGGAGGATCTCAGCGCTCACAGAAAGCCATGGCATTGCTCTTCTCTTGCCTAAACGCTCTGCATATTTGTTGGTGAGTGTTGGTTCATGTATTACTATTTTTTTGGTTACGGAATCACTATTACTATGTATTACTATTACTAACAGGGTAAATATATAGTATTACTGTCAAATGCCGAACACTGGTTCGTTGGTCGTTCCCAATACCCAGCTTCTTTATTGAATACTCATCTCGGGTCCCAATCATAAGGAAGAGGAGCGAGTTACCTAGCATGTCATCGCTGCAGCCTTCGCTTGCCTGAATGCTTTTGTTGCGAATCAACATATTAAGGCACCCTGCATCTACTGCCATCCTCTTTCTACTCCTTTCTTATCTTTACGTAGATTTATGTCTACCCGTGTTGCCTTGGTACGATTATAGATAAGATTGAGTACCTAATCTCGTTAGGCGTCAGAGCCAAGTTGTTTCAGGCATAGTATACATTCGTTAGCATCAAAATGTCGTCTCGCTAAAGCAACGAAAATACTGGTTGACGTGCAGATCCCGTTCCGCGCATACATGCATACATATACACAGTATGTCTGCAGCAGTAATCCCCTTCCCCTCCCTTAGCCCCCGTGCCGTTTCTGGGCCCAACTGATTCCCGAAAGATTAACAGGAGACCCACCTCAGGACTTCGATCTGGGGCGGTAATTTCTCCATAGCCAGCATGCGGTTGCTTGCGAGATACGAGGAGATCGCGATCAATGGAATATGGCACAACAAGAGGTCCAGTTGCGATGTTGGTCCTGTGACAGCTGTGTTTGAAACTCTTGTTGGCATGAGTTAGAGCAAGGCAATTTCGACCTCTGTTCTTGCAGATAGTTTAAAGATAGTCTGTTTCTGAAGCGTCGGACCCCGGGCACATGATCAACACGATTACGTGGTGGATGAGATCCGATTGTACCAAGTTCAGTGACGCAAATGCACGCTCGCATCGCGTTGATCTGAATGGCAGTTTCATAGCAAAGCGTGGGAAATATGTTCACTCTTATTCGCTTGTCCAGAAACAATGCAGGCGAAGGAGCCGTATCTTGAAAGCTATCTTCATACCTGATTCCTTCAATGTGCAGTGCAGAAATGGGTCTGATACAAGAACGCCGAAAGCTCACGTACGCGCCGGCCCGCGAATACGCCCCCCGATGTCAGATCTGTCTCCGGTCAACAGTGGCGCCGCAGATCTTCCCCTCATCCGCCTGCCATTCCTAGTCTAGACTCCGAAGTAACGGTCTTGCATGCTCCTTTCAAACAGGCTTGCATATCATGGGCAAATTACCGCATCGTCGTACATGTTTTTTGCCGAATCTAATGATCGCAATGGACTTGGACAACGTCCTGTTATTGCGAGAGCCCCTTTTTCGTATGATTTATGTACCAAGAATCCTTCTACCTCTTCGGACATTCTATCATCTGCGGGCGTGTGTTGGTTTGCACCAAGTAAATATATAGTATCCTGCATTTCTGTAGAAACATTCCTCTCCCTAGCTAGACCTCCGCTTTCTTGCACTGCTGCGATGCATTATGCATTATGCATTATGGACATGAACTATTTCGGTCCCCGAAATGCGTCACCGGGGGTAACTGTTCGGTATGTGGATTTCGAGCGGTTCATGGTGCCGGATGCATGCATCAGTGACATTTGTCTGGTTGCGCATCGGATCATGAGTGGGGTAAGGCGTGCCACTATTTGAATGACATCAATCTCCCGGGCGACGCTGATTGTGCGGATTCTCGAAATGCGATGATTAAGAATAGTCCTCAGTGATCAATTGCTGAGATAATGGAGTTTGACAGGATCGATACTCTGCGCGTGTAGCCTTTGGACCGTGTTCGTCAAAAAAAAAGGGGAGTAATGTATACCGATATTATCAGTTACGTCACGCGTAACGACATACTGCTTCCCTATTCCAGCCCGTTCCAAAGCTACATAGGATCTTCATGACAAGCACAACTGCATACGTTCGGTATACTATGTCACTTTTGCGCCTCCAACTACCAGCTAAACGCTGCGTTTTCTGAACTGCACCAAAGGCCCCTTGTGTACACTGACGAAAGCATCCGCAATCTGATACTGCGACCTATCCCGCCTGCCCCAACCCAAACTGGGGTGCCCTGCGCCTAGGTCCTCACCAACAACGCTTCTAACATCGAGCCTGAACAAAGTCCTGCAGATGATCAGCGCCATCTCCGTCATTGCAATGTTCTTGCCGACACAATTGGTGGGACCAGTCAGGAAGGGATGATAGGATGCCTTCAGCCTATTGACATCTTCAACAGTAACGCCTGTTGCCTCGGAGGGGACATAGCGCTCCGGACGAAAGCGGGTCGGATCGCCGAAAATCTCTTCGTTGCGACCCATGGCATAGATACCGCAGCCTACAACTATGCCCGCAGGGAAGTGTTCCCCGTCGATGGTATGTCCGCCTGAGAGCGTCTCGCGCGCGAGCTCACTGGGTCCTGCGGGCGAAATGCGTAGACACTCGTCAATACAGGCCCAGACGTACGTGCACGACTGTAGCTTCTGCGCGCCGCCCACTATCTCGTCGGAAGACGCGAAAGTCGAGCGGATTTCATTCACAAGACGGGTATATACAGATTTGTTGCGCGAGATGTAGAACCAGAATGCAGAGAGGATCGTAGAGGTGGTGTCGGATCCTGCGACAACGAGCAGAAGGGCTTCGCCTTTGAGCGTGTCTTCTGAGTACGGCTTCGCAGTAATCGGGTCTCGCACTTTGCAGAGATAGTGGAACATGTCACGGCGCGCCGACCTTTCGTCTTCAGTGCTTTCATTCTCTTCCTTTATACGCCGTGCCACACTGTCGTTGATGAAGTCGTAGTAGGTCTTTAATTCTGGGGGAGCGATCATGTTCAGGATGTTGTCCAAACCTTTAGGTTTGGCCCATACAACGAACTCCACAAGTGGAGATTGCAGAATCTATACTTGTCTTTAGCTTTATGTGTAATGGCTTCCTTGGGAGTTCTCTCTGACCGCATAGAAGATTACAGCATTGTGCAAAACCAGGTCAGGTATCGCTCGGATGGGGTTTGGTCCAGGTTCTTTGATCTCGAACGACCGCCCGAAGCAGATGTCACCCAAGATGTCAAAAATGATGTAGTTGGTCCAATCCGACATGTTGCGCAATTTGCTCCATCCATCCTCGGTCACGATATCCTCGTCCTTGACGAGGAGGTCGATCCACCTATCTAAAATTGGGGAGTACAAATTCAGTTCAGTTCAAATAGGTATGTCTTTGATAGCTGATATAGTTTCAAGATGACCCTCCACGGAAGCACTTGAAACCGGTTGTCACCCAGGATTACTCACCGGTATGCTCAATGGCGAACGACGCCGCATGCTTGACAGACTCTCCAGTGAAGGCTTGATTCAGCACCTTGCGCTTCCGAGCGTGAGCCGCAGGGTCAACAGTCAAGCCTGTATTTGGGTCTTCCGTTGTTTTCCACGCTTCGTAGGTCTTTGCGCGGCGCACATTGGCCTTGTAATTGTATATGTCGCGATGTGCCTGCTGCGAGAGGAACAGAACCTGGTTGGGCTGCACGCGGATTTTATCGCCTAGTCAGCCACACAAGTCAGCTTTATCTTTCCGCGAAAGTCGGTTCGATGTCTTTTTTGCATGAACGAACCGTATATTTGATGACATTGCCAGATCCAAAGGTGTCTATCACCCTTGATTGCGTGGTAGAAACCAGGGAATCTTGAGATCTTGGCGAAAAATGGACCAGGTATCTTCGCCAGAGGGTGAAAGAAGAGGTTATAAATTGTCCTTGATAGAAACTGAAGTCAAGGGTGGTATCACGAAGAAATTAGTGGTTCGGTCGAACAAGTGTGAATGGGACGAAGAGACATACATAACCGAACAATAGCGTAGGAACAGTAACTGAAATAGAGAGAGCCATGATTGATCACTGAGAATAGACTTAGTGTATTACAGTCTTAAGTTAATACTTTCACTTGTAGCAGAACCTGGTTTGAGGGTCTGCGACGACGATATCTCCCTACTCTCATTCATTTACTCGGATGTGTACGCATGCCTATGATTCGTGACGAGCAAAGATCCTTCGGAGGGATTTGCCTTCGAAACGTGGTGGGTTGGCCCTCCCGCGGGCTGCTTCCCCGCCTCCGAACGAATCCCTCCGACTGCTACGTAACCACCTGACCAGACTAGGCTCTACTACGAGACTCAATCAAACTGCGTGTCTCCGAATTCAACCCCTCGGAAGGATTAAAAGAAATCTAGGGTTTTTAGGTTACCCAAGTATAGTCGCATTGGCTGGCGGAATAGATGGGTTAGGCATCGCGTCATCGCGCGTCAAAGGAGAAGGGAGAGAAAATCCACGAAGATTGAAGGGTAATAATGGAATAACAACTACATCAAGACAAACGGTTGTGGTTTCGATAAAAAGAAAGCGGTTATAAGAAGGGACATCAGCACGCCAGCCTATTAGTTCTCCTAACATCCCGTCATCAATAAATCCCCCAACCATCAACCAAGTCTTCGAAATCCATACACCTTTCCTGACTCTTATCGCAACATCCTATCCAAACAATGGCAGAAGAGAACCTCGCAACCTCCTCTCCCAACCTCCGCGCAGCCCTCTCTTTCCTCTCTATAGCCGACACCCTTGACCCCGCCCCACTCGAAACACTCCTCTCGCCCTCCTATACCCACACCCTAGCGCCGTCATCCCTAACCGGCTTCGGCCCTTGGGATAAAGCCGGCTTTATGGCACACATCTCGTTCATGGGTAGCGTGCTCGAAGGTTTTCCTGTCAAGGTGGTTGAAGCGGTCGAGTCCGAGAGGAGTGTGTGGGCGTGGACGCGCAGCCAGGCGCGATGGCACGCCGCAGCCATGGATAAAGACGGTGAAGATACGGGAAAGGAATGGGACTTCAAAGGGGAAAACTTGTTTATGTTGTGGTTCGATGCCCAGGGCAAGATCGAGCGGTGTGTGGAGATGATGGACAGTTTGCGGTCGGTGAATGTGTTTATACCTTTGTTGGAGAGGGCTACAGCAAATGTGAGTAATGCGAGTTGATTCAAACCCAGACTCAGAAAGAAAGAGGGATGGGAGGGCTCCAAACGCAGGTCGATAATTTTCCAGTGATATTCCGAATGGCTAGCTAGAAATTCCGGTCAGTACCAGTTCATGGGGACAGAATGCGTGACTGTGGTTAGTAAAAGGATACGCCACTTAGATCATATATGGAAATACAAATCATGATTTTAATCGCGATCATAGTATTGTAAAATTATTCAGCAGGATTAGGAGGGGCGAGATACTAGCACAAATGCCGGACCACGTTGATTTTGAAAGCTTTGTCGCGCGGCGTGGGTGTGAGGGTGGATGCCATAGTGAGACAGGGTCAATAGAAGTAGAAAGCCTTGTAAGAACACTACTATAGCTTTTTTTATAGTAAAGAGTAACAAGCGTACTATAGTTCCTTAATAATCTTAGCACTACAAATCTGTAAATCTATACTAGATTTTTAAGACGTTGTATACGTTACTACACCAAATGCGCAGTCAATGCCGGACGGACTCGCACCAACGCACATAAGGGAACTAATATATGATCTATCTATGACCCTTCGAAAAAAACAACCATTCGCTTTGATTTAATGAACGCAAAGCCTTCCAGTTTGACACGGAAAAAAGACGAAATACCCGAGGTATATGCCCATCATATACAGAGCGATAAGTTACACTGAGGAACGATCCAAATCGAAGTGGACGTGTTAGATCTTCCGCCATAATCAGGCATGACTTCATCAGTTGTCGCTATTGATTCACGCAACTCGCTTTCTGTTGCGGAGTCTTCGACGGCGACCACCGTCCTGTGACGGTTTGGTGGGAGGGGGCGCCTCCGGACACGGCTGAACCTTTTGGGCTGGCTCGCCAGGCACAAGTTTATCCTGAGGTATTGAGCCACATAGACCCCCAAACCCACTCGCGCCAGGACCTGCACCGTTTTTATTCTGACCATCTTCATTCAAACGTTGCTCCTGCTCTTGTTGCTTGCGGTCAGATTCTTCCTTTGGTATCTGGCGGCAGATACCACCAAAGTTGTTTTCGCATGGCGTAGTATTAGGGTTAGCGCCGTTTTCATTATCTTGTCGCTGCTTCTCCTCGTCTTTCAGATCTTTCTCCTTCTGTTCCTGATCTGTCAACGTATTGGGTGTGCGCGGTCCTTTTCCAGGCTCTAGTATTTGGTTCATGAGAGTACCCTTGAGCCGGCATGGGATCTTATGCCCGTCAACGACTTTCTGATTGTCCACGTCAAACCCAGTCGTCTTGTTCTTCTCGAGGATGGAATCATAGAACGGGATACATTCATCAGTGCTTGCTTTTGCCCAGAATGCCATACGACCAGGAGCCTGGCATAAGACGTTCGGTGTTTTCTGGTACTGGGTCTGGGCTTTGGCTGCGTCGTCACTGGTGGGGAACGCGAAGTCGGTTAGCTTGACCGATATCGCTGCAGGAAAGCCTTTTTTGCTATCTTGGCTAAGCCATATGCATCCGGGACGGTGGTCGGTCCCGGGTATCACCTCTGGCGAGGGAAACCAATACGTCGATCCCGAAAGCCGAGCGCATTCTTTCGTGTAACCAGCATGCCTATTTTCCGAGAATATCAGCATTATGTGTAAGGCAATTCACTCTTAATGTACTGACCAAGTCCTGGTATCCTTATTGCCCACGCTTTGCGTGGTTAGATAGCTTACACACACTGCGTCGTCTCCCCTAGCCACAATCTTTGCGTATTCTGGGGTTATGGAACCGGAAGACGAAAATGAAGTCGTCAAATCTCCCATATCAATGATTGGATTTGCGCCGGGAATGAATTGTTCGCCGGGTTTGTTTGTCGCCCCAAGGCTTTTGCGAATTTCTTGTCCGCGAGCATTATACAAGACAATGTCGGGTCTACTGCCACCCGTGAGTGCAGGAATATCTTCATTGAGGGGAGGGCTGCCGCATCCAATCTGTACTTTGGGATTCTGTCCCTGTGGTAGCGTCGTTGCGATCAGTACTGCGGCATTCAAAGCTATATCAGCAGTACCAAAAGCTGCCACGAACGACGACATGTTTGAAAATTGCTGATATGTTGTGATACTTTTGCTTGAGTTGAGCAGGGATGGGTGATGTATGAAGAAGGATTGATTCAGATAAAAATTTATCTGTGGAAAAGTTATCCTCAGCCAGTAGGTAATGATGAGTGGTGTTGTAAAGATGTGCGTTGTTGTTCGATTTGAACGTGAGAACAGAAAACCAGTGAAATACTTATGCATTTTCAGTTTCTCTCAACTGTTCACTGCCAATGTGATTATTTGCCATGCCTTCGAGTTCAAGACAACTATTTTTGTGTCTTATTGTTCTGCCTTGCATTGTATGTAGGCCTTATTGTTGGTGTTCCACTTCAACCTGCCTATGAATGCCTCGAGTACTCGGAGTGTCCACATCCGATGAAAGTTGCCATGGAGAAGTATACTAATGATGGAATTAACTGCCTTCGTGAAACAGTATGACATCTCTTACGTAAGGCCGTGATATCCAGTTCAAGTTGACAGGCGTGTTCTTTACTGTGCGAACACAACCTTGATCATGTCGTTCGAAACAATTGATCGCCAGCGGCGTGTAAATTCTTAGCAACTAACTGAAACAATCGCCTGGCTGCTAATTCCATCGTATCATCATCGCATTTCTATGCGGCACAAACACTTGGGTCGCCTGATTGCTAACTCGGGAGCGCTTGCACGGTTCCAGTGCCGTCCGGCAGTGAACATCACCACCCCGCGTTTTTCCAGACTTATTTCCGTGAAACAAAAATTCAATGATGAAACTATCAAAATCATTCCAATGTATATGATGACCACAAGGCAGTGCTTTGTTTCTGCCAGTAGACCTTTCAGGATTGCCCTGCCTATTCAGGCCACCCCATCACCGTCCCTGTCTCGGTGTATTACCTTGATACTGGGTCATGAATACTCTCATCCGCTTCAATCGACTCTTCATACGTGATGGAAATCTTCTAAGACTCACCACGTCTTGCGGCGTGTAAGACAGCTGGCTGTGTAATGAGTTTCAGACGCTCAGGAGTGAGATAGAGCACAACTAAATGTTAGCATTGGAACAATATATAAGATAGTATCCCACACGTCCAAAGGAAGTTTCTTTCTCAGATCACCTCAAACACATCATTCACAAAACTGATCACCGGAGCTCTTCGAAATACATCTTCCTTCAATCTCAATCCTTTACTATCGGCTTCTTGCACGACGATCAACAAACATACCATTTTCTTAAACTGAAGAATCAATCAGAATGCTGTTCACCAAGCCACTCACAGCAGGTCTCATCTTTCTGGTGTTATCAACAACATCTTACGCAAGAGCTGTTGACAAACACATTTCAATTCCAGTGTCGAACGGCACAATCCTTGATGGACTCAAATACATCAATTTTACCATGGGTTTACCCATTCATTATGGTCCAGAAATATGGCTTCGCAAACGAGCACCTCCAAGAGCTCCAAGAGGACCTAGTCGAGGAGGTCAAGGCGAAGGCTCAGGATCCCAAACCGGGTCCCAGACCGGATCTAAGACTGGAAACCAGCAATCTGGCAGCAACCAAGGCGGGGGTCAACAAGGAGATAATACTCAAACGGGTAACCAAGGAGAAAGGTCAGGTGAAGAAGGTGGGAATCGAGACACTGGAAGTGGAGCTCCGCCTCCTGTCCCTGTGGCTCCCGCGAATCCTGGTCCACCCGCAGTCCATCCTGCTTATGCAGACCTGCCAGCGAACTATCAACCACGGTTGAACGGTTTTCCAGGTGTGGACAAGCTACCAAACGAGATACCGGACTTTAGAGGGCTGGGAAATGGTCCAGAGGACCTTGAGAGGAGAGCATCGATGCAACGGTTCATCAATTGGGATATTAGCTCGTCCAACACGTATCCCAAGCCCGAGTTCCTCATCTTCACGACCCAGGAAGCTAAAGATAAACGGGTCGCCTTCAAGACTGGGTTTAATAACAACCAAAGGGAAGGCGTGAACATGAACAATCAAGGCCGTCTCATCGACGTGGACGATGTTTACAGAGGCCAAGCAATGGGGCAAGATATGGTCCCGTTTCCTGCAGGCTACGAGAAGGAAATTTGGCAGACCTACCTCCAATTCTACGGTGTTGCAAAGCAGGCTTCTCAAAGCGATAGACCAGTTCGGGTCCTTGTAGATGGACTGAACGGCAAAGTGAATCGAGCTCGCATCTACCAAGAGGGAAGTTATCTCCACAATTTCGAAATGTGGACTGTCACGAACAAAGAGTCCAAGGTTCCGAAAGTCATAGCCTACCGATCAGATGCCATTGATGATGATGGCGAGGTTATTTGGGTCAATGGCGATGAGCCCATAGGAAAAAAACCTGATTTCATCGCTGGTACTATACCCGCAGGCAGGCGAAAATCAATTGAGGAGGACGGAATTTCTATCGGTATACTCGCTAAACTATGATTTATTGACCAATTGTACAGTATCACAGCCGGGGGTAATTTTTGGTCGCAAGTTTCTCATGCCGAATCTAGTTTTATTCATCACAATGATGGCTTATACTACCTGTTGCTCGAGATGTATTCCAATTCAGACTTTCCAGGTAGATCCCGTCAGAATTCATCATTCCGTGTGAAGCTCCGATGACTACATCAAACATCAAATCAATACAAGTTGAGACCAATATCCTGCTAGTCCGCGACATGAAAACCCTGACCCCAAAACTCAGTGCCCTTATCTGCATACATTCAATCCGTTTGATTAATGAATTGTTCTATATAACGAATACCTAAGATTGCTCGTGATATCCACGAATATAATAACCTGTCTAAACACCGCTCAAACTTCATAAGTAAGGAAAAACCCATTATCCTCAGTATTAGTAATGAAAACCCTGTTTTCCCCTTCACCGTCATCGCTCCCTTTGATTTCCAGTGCCACTTGCTCGCCGCATTTCAGAAACCCAGATCCATGTGTTCCCGGACTCTCCACCCATCCCGTGAAATCCAAGCTTTGACTCCACTCGGCACTGTTATCCTGGTATTTCTTCAAACTGTTGAACGAAACCTTCTCTTCTGAAGTAGGGAAGCCAGTAAGTTGGCGCCGCGATGCTTGTCCTTTTCCTGTGACCTTAAAGTCGTTCTCGCCACCGGGCACAGTAGAGTTCCATCCAAGAAAGCAGTTCTTTGCGCCTGCAGGGATATTTTCGAAAACCATAGCGTTGGTAGTGACGATTCCGCCATTAGCGACCTTGAGGAGATCGACGTGAGAGACAGGGTCCTCGGAGTCGTGTAGAGCCTCATTGAGTGGATAGATATTATAGGAGCGGGGTTGGGTGAGAGTGTATTTCGCGCTTGGAACAGTGGTGGGGGTCGGGGTAACGTTGGGCACGGTGGTTGGCGGAGTGGTGCTGGATACTTGAGGGCCACACGGGTCGTATGCGAAGCAGCCTATATTGCCATTCGCGCAACGATAGAAGGAGGTTCCGGGGTTGGTTCGCCAGCATTCAGTAGTTTCAGTGTTTTTGCCGTACGACGGCAGTGCCGATGTGAAGGCGACTATGCTGGCGAAGATGATGGCTTTGGTAGACATTATGTGGATAGCTTGTGTTTTTCTATAGTGCTCAAGTGGGAAATCTTCGGATTATGGGGATAGCGTTGAATTAGTCTCAGGAAATCGATTATGTGTAGGAATTCCGAATGAGAATGAAGAAAGTGATGATTTTGTAAGGAAACGTTTGAGATGACGATGAAAGAAATTGGTGGGTGATGATAGTTTGTGACGAGGGCGGATCAAGTCCCCTATATACACAGGGCATTCGCATAGCCATCAACATATGGTGCCCCAATTACTGCGCCCGGTGTCTGTACCACTTCGCGAAATAGCAGTCTCAAATGCGCAGCAGCCACAAGCGTGCCAACATTCTTGGGAGGGAGCGCAGACTCAGCTAGTTTAGCCTCACTAGTGTGAACGGGCGGATGGTTTTTGGGCGGGGGCTGAACTGTCTTGGGGCTGATATGCCAACTCCGCCTCCGTCGTTACTTAGCAGTCTTATAGTCCCGTTTTAAAATTTGCAGAGACTAGCGCTGAGGTAGACAAAGTTATTTTAAGTTGCACTTGTGTAAGCACTGCGCCGGCTTTGGGTGTACTTTAGTGTTGTCACATGCACAGTACACTGAGAGTGAACGTTGAACAATGTAAATGTTGAACAATTCGCCCGTCAAGTTACTACGCTGTGGCTGAATTTTCGTAGGTGATACATGACAAATCAGCACGTTCCGAGTACCCTCAACCTAAGAGTCCACAGACGCAGCTGACAAAATCATGAGCAATCGTGCACATGGTCACACAACTTGCGCAAGGTTCTAATTTTGTGGTTTTCACTCGGTTTATTGTTGATTTGATGAGCACAGTAGCAGCAAATACCGTAGCTTTTTTCGATGCATCCCGTACACTCTGATTGTCTATAGATCCAAAATTTTGCCACGATCCTGCTACAATATAGGAAATAGTAGGTCACCTTGATGATGTATCCTCATACGTGCCTGCAGCATGCATAGAACTATTCAATCGAGTGTTGCGTATTAATCCAAGAACTTCTGAAGGTCAACAGCCCAGTCTGTAGTGCCAGCAAAGTTGAATGAATCATAGAACTTTGCCCGTGACGCCTTCATATCCTCATCCATATATGCCACCCACTCTGTGTCATTGAAGACCAGAATATTGGAGCCTTCCTTGACATACTGCTTCTGAACGTTGCCATTCTGAATAATCTCCAGAATCTCTGCGTTCGCAAGATACCCGGCACTATTTGTACAACGCCCCTTGTACGCGTCTGAGCTGATAGACGATCCAGTGAACTTACACATTTCCGAGTCGCAACCCGCTTTCTCCATCTTGAAGGATCGACCGTAGCTAGCAACACCAACGACCTGCTTTTATTAATATTGGGGGGAGACCATGAGAAACGAAGAGCTTACCACTTTTCCGGAATTTGCGCCAGCTTTTGTGATCATAGAGAGTGCATCCTTCGTCTCAGTCTCATTGACATGCGACCTCAAACAATTCCCGGACGAACAGCCAGACGAGGTCCAAGGATTTCCATAGTCCCATTGACCATGCAGGTCGTACGTCATAAAGATGATATAGTCCAGTTCTCTCGCCATCAAATTGATAGGGAACGCTTTCAGGTACCCGTAGGACGCTGGAGCGGCGAACGAAACTGACTTTGACGATGACTTGACAGCTAACTTGACACTAAGAAGGAATTTGTAGTAGTTCAGACCTTCGGCAAGGGCGTCTTTGGGTGTTGTGTTATCTCCGGCAGTCTAGCGTGATCTCAGTCAGCATTCTAACATCATGGCGCAGCCGTTTGTGAAAGAACCACTCACCCCGGGGTATTCCCAGTCCAAGTCAACACCATCCAAATCATGTTCATTCAGAAACGCGACAACATTATCCCTGAATGTGTTGCGATTTTCGGGTAAAATGCCCTCTCGTATGATAGCAGTTGTCCCCGGTTCTGTGCTGAAAGCCCATCCGCCCAACGAGATAATCCTCTTAACATTCTTCATCTTCTTAAATTCTTCGAACTCCTTCAAAGTCCTTTCATCCGGGATTGTGAGTTTATAGGTACTTGCTGAAACACTGACGAATGCAAAGTGAATATGTGTATAATCCGAAGGAATGGATGTGACCGGCATGTTCAAACACTTGCGGTCGAAATTCCAAGATTCGTAGTATCCCACTTTCATCTTGGTAGCTGGGGGGCTCCCTTTGACGATGTCCCTGCCACAATTGCTGATACCTGAGATGATTGGTCAGCTGAACGTCAATGATACGATTGCTTTCACTGTCACGTTACGTACATCCAGTGGTACCGGGTGCGCCAGTTTTCGACGGAGTGAGGAGACAAAACTCGTCTGTCGTGCCGCAATTTCCCCATTTGTTGCAGCAAGCATTTAGTGCACAGGCGTTGAGGCTGCTGAGATTGGTCCCTGAAGGAGGTTGGGCCGTTCCATCTACCTGTACTCGATTAGAGAACAGCCTATCCAGTCAATTCGTATTGCTTACAGTTGGTCCACAGACCGCATTCTATCAAATTTCTCGTAAGTTCCTGTCTTTAAAGTTGAGAACATAGAGGCACTTACCTTAATGACGGCAGGCATAGGTGGGTTACCGGTGCTAACACACATCACAAAATCCGGGAAAAATTGGTCGTTACAACCATTCCAACCCCAGGTACCTTTGTTGAAGGTCTCCAGTTCAGATACGGTCAGGTCAAGCGTAGCAGCAATCTTGGAGCAACTGTCGTTCTGCTTGATGGTATAGGTAGCGCAGTTACCTTTATCGTCGGGCTTGGGCTTCAAATCTGGGAAGTTTCCAGCGGTACAACAGACCTTCTGTCCGACAAAGAGACTGTTACAAAAGTTGGGTTTCGTGTTGACTTGCAAAAAGTCGTTCAAGCTGATGCCGCACTTAGAGGCAAGAGAGCCGCAGAGGTCCCCTGACACTACCTCTCTGGTCTTGCAAGTTCCATCGGCGTTACCAGGGGGTATTGTGTTGGGGAGCGTGCCACTACTGCAGCATACCAACTCATCCGGGACAAGGGTAGTGCAAATATTAGCTCGATTGAATTTTTGCAAGTCCGCCGTATTGATACCACATCTTTTGGCGACTGTCGAGCAAATATCTCCGGACTGTACTTTTGCAGTTGTACAATCAGACCGAATTTCAAGTGTGGCCCTCTTTTGGCGATTATTCGGTACTTCGGTCTGTACTTTAGACGTAACATTTGTGCTGTTGCCAGATGTCTCTTCAATAGGTTCGGGAACTCTGATTGCGACATCCATCCAAGGCTCTTCCGTTTTGGAGGCAGAAAGACAGTCTCCATTAGACCAGCTTTTGACGGTTTTCTGGACAAACTCGAAGTTCTTAGCACTGGCAGCCACTATTCCAAGGCTGTAATCGGCTCCTCTTCCTTCGCCTCCACACATTTGAATTACAGTTGTCTGCGAAAACCCACTACTCTGAGCTTTGTCCAGGAACTGTTCTAAGACTAGCGCAGTCACACCTTGCTGGTGCAATTCCGCTCCTGCGTAAACACCAATCGCTGAGGACTGCGAATATGCGAACTCTATAGCACTCTGTTGGCAAGATGGTTTTTGAAGTGCTAGATGGTTGGCTATTTGGCGCCCAGCGGATACTAGGTCATTCGTGTGATACCCTTTGTCGTCCACAGGTGGCTGTGATAGATGGATAGACGAATTTTCCAACACTCGATTGGCAGTCGTGCAAAGGGAAGCTTTGTTCTCATCATTCACGAATTCTGGCTGGACTGGTGGGTCATAGTCGGCAGTGCAGGCTCTGGTAACTATCTTCCCCGAGTCACCGATCTGGGCATTCTGGACCACCATGTCCACGAGCATGGTCTTGTTGCACACAGTCAACATGTCAATATCAGAGTATAAGAACCATCCCTCTCGTGATGTTGGATCTTGGGTTTCGCGACATGATGCCGGGCATTCTTGTAGCGAAATCGAATTGACTCTTTGTGCTGTCGACATCCAATTTTCGATATCTTCGTCTTCATTGCTTTGTCTTGTTGTGTAGGAGCCTGAGCTGGAAGATCTATCGTTATTTATGTGTCAGTAATTTGTTTCGATCCTAGCTATCTGCGGTACATTGCTGGTTACGAAGCGCAAACGCAACTCACAGAGAATTACCAACTAGTATAGCGAAAGCCAAGAGACGGTGGGGTTGATAGTTTTTCATTCTCAAGAGTTCCTGTTGGATTGGAATTGTCGTGAGAAGGTCTTCAGGTCTAAAGACAGAGTAGCGCGACGGCCAGTAGAGATGAGTGTCTCAAGAATAAGCATTGAAGAGGTCGCATACCACACCTTTTATATGTCGACTATCGCCATAGCTGGAAGAAGAAGTAGATGTCTAGATTGAACTCCCGTCCACATGATCGATGTACACCCATTGATGGGAACACGAGCTCAATCTCTAAATGGGGCCTCTTTAGTGACTCACTTTCCTTTTTTATAAACCAACGAATCTATTTCGAGGCATCCATCTTGTGCCAAGACGTATATCCCGCAAGTTGCAAAGCAGTAATTGGTGCAGCGATGCCAAATCTCACTCTCGTAGAATTTCGATACAACCTGCTTAGGTTGCTTTCCGGGACCGGAGTAACGGTGCGCACAAAAGATCATCATTAGAGACTCCAATTCCAATTCTCATAGCCTCGTATTCCAGATTGTGGGGCTGAGATACATACTCGCTTCATCAAGCGTAACCGACATTGTACGGTACTTGAGGGGAGAACCTACGAATCAAATACTTGCACGCCCTGCTAAGTGCCTGTGTAATCTAAAAAAGTGATGCAATATTCCATGTAGTGAATCGCTATTATTGTGATGGTTGCAAAAGCGGTGGTATATTTCGCAAATGAATCTCTGCGGAGGCATCCGTACAGAGAAGATATCAGGGTATGGCTTTTACTGTAAGCCGGAAGGTCCATGCAGCCGCGGGCCAAGTAGCAACACGGCTTTGCGCCCCCAAACTTAGATTATCTTGAGACTGATTACTTTGTTGACTGCACAACCGAGCGAGCTCCTCTTTGCACACAAAAAGAGTCGACGAAACCAAAACTCCATAGCTAGCTTCGTTGTAGTGGATAATTCTGCTCTGGTCATCTTAACACCACCTTATACTCTATCTATCCGAACTTGATCACTGCGATGCTATCAAATCTGCAAGTATAGGAGATTTGTGTATCGTGAACTATCGACTCTAGACTATACGATAGCGAGGTCCAATTGGCGGGATCCTCACCCTCGGAGGTTATTGACTCACCCCGTGAGCCCCAAGGCAGCCATATTTTCTACCATCACCTCGCCAAAACTCCTCTTTCGTCGCGCCGGCTAATGTTGTCTTACTAGGACCCTGAAAGACCCGCGTACACATCTGCCCAACGTTCGTCTACAGAACTCCCAATGCCATTCATTGCAAACTAAATGATTGGTGACTTCGCAATTCGGCATCTACGCCGCTGACCGGTTTGCTCGCTTCTTCTACTGTGACACTGCATATCCTATATCCCATGTAGAGATTCCTGGCGCTTCGCGGCACACCAGTCACTCTCGGTTGATATATTTTATAATTGAATGTGATGGTAGCGGTCGCAAAGTGCTGACCCAATATTTGAATGTGCCGGAGTTTGCCGTTGATAACTTACGAAGTTCATCCTAATCCCATCATCTGAAATATGATAAAAAGCAAAGCAGAGTCCAACACGCTCGTATGCAAGAAGGTGCGACGCAAAGACTGAATTTTGATTACTCTTTAATATCTGAAGGCATGCCGATCAAAGAGATCTAGCATAGCGCGTACACAGAACCCCAATGAGTTGCCCAAGTGCCCAGGTCATTACATTGTCACTCGATAGCAAGGGAAAGTAATTGGAACCAATGAGAATTGGTTTATATGGGAAGTGAATGACGGGTTTCTGAATTATTTTGCTGTCTGCCTACGATTACAGTAGCGCGTTTCCTGCGCACATAAAGAAAAAGTCTACATCGCCGTAGTGTCGTATGCCAATGCATCGAGGCTTGCTCCAACAGATAAAATACGCGGCTACATGCTATTATTCCTCTGATTCTGACCTAACATTAAATTTTCTTCCAGGGAATATTAGTTGACTCGGTAGCTTCACGTATACGCGGAAGTCTTGGTATACGCGTATTGCTAAGCGAGTACGTAGATTGCGCGGATCTCTCGCCAAGGTGAACGGTGAGGTGAGAGTGACGAAAGCCTCAGCATAGGACTCAACGGATATAAACTTGATCTAGCAAATACACAGCTTAACTTGCAAGTATTCACTTTATCGATAGCAATAAGAGATAATTCTCTCAAATTCTTCATACAGCAATTGCTTGCGCAGAGTTGCTTAGCCTTAAGCAGAGGCAGCGAGGTCAGTTGTCAGGATTTAATAAATGTTGTTACCCAATATGTATACAATAATAATCGATTTGCAGATCTGGGGAGATTAAAGTGGGGAAAATCAAGTCGCTTTGGGACTCTGTCGTACCCCTTTGTCATGAGAGCCACGCGGTCCAAGACGTATCTTTGAGTTGTCGTATTTCTGTACACGCTAATGGGATCACTAGGACTTGAGCGCCACGAAAAAGTCCTATATCTTTCGCATCCGCCGCAAAATTCCTAAGATTTTCTTTCTTTTTTTCAACTTATATTTGGTGCTAGAATAATGGCAGACTCAGGTCATCTCTCTCACATCAGGGCACCGCATGACACTCCACCACCCCTCTATGAACCTGAGGATAGCTCCACCAGAACTCCACAACTCGGCAATACTGGTGCTACAGGTCGGTGCTTTATATATTAATTATGATTTAACTTACTCACTGATACAGACGATGGTCGCATCAATATCGATCTCAATTCCCGCCTCGCGAAGACACTGGTGAAGCTTGTTCCCGATTCCAAGGAACCTCAACCATTTCAGTCAAGCCTCCAGCTGTCTCAATCCAAAAAGCTGCATTATATTCGCTTAAACATAGTCATTCAAGTCGTCGGTAGTCGTGGTGATGTTCAACCATTCGTCGCACTTGGTCAGGAACTCCAACAACATGGTCATAGGGTGCGCCTGGCAACTCACAATGTCTTCGAAAGTTTCATTCGGGAGTCCGCTCTTGAATTCTTCCCCATAGGTGGTGATCCAAAAGAATTGATGGCGTACATGGTTAAGAATCCCGGACTCATACCCAGTATGAAGAGCCTTCGCGACGGCGATATAACACGCAAGAGAGCCATGATTTCGGAACTGCTGGACGGCTGCTGGAAATCTTGCATCGAAGATGACCCTCAAATTGGACGACCCTTCGTCGCTGACGCGATAATCGCCAACCCTCCCAGTTTTGCGCATATCCACTGTGCTCAGGCGTTAGGAGTTCCACTACATCTCATGTTTACCATGCCTTGGTCAAGCACCAAGGCATTTCCACATCCTTTAGCCAACTTTAGAATTGGTGAGCTTGATCCGGCTACAGTTAATTATATCTCATATAGTATTGTTGAATGGATGACCTGGCAGGGGTAGGTATTCGTCAATACCAGCTGGTTCGATCCACGCTAAGGGAACCTCGCAGATTAGGGGATATCATAAATAAATGGAGGAACTCTTTAGATCTTGAGCCAATACCCATGACTGTAGGACCCGATCTTGCGGAGGCTCTGCGGATTCCGTTCACATACTGCTGGTCGCCAGCATTAGTACCGAAGCCAATCGACTGGCCATCGCATATCGGTATTTCATTCATCCTTTCCTCTATGCGACGTATCTTACTGGATTAGATGTATGTGGGTTCTTCTTCCGTAACCCACCCAACTATGACCCTCCCAAGGACATCGACGATTTCCTTAGGAATGGTCCACCACCGGTGTATATTGGATTCGGAAGTATAGTTATCGACAATCCGGAGAACTTAACAAACATGATATTAGATGCTGTTCGGCATTGCGATGTTCGAGCAATTGTTTCGAGAGGATGGAGTAAGCTGGGAGGTGACGGGCTTCCGAGTTATGACGTGTTGTTCATTGACGACTGCCCTCATGAATGGCTTTTTCAGCACGTATCGGCAGTTATGCACCACGGCGGAGCAGGCACCACTGCATGTGGCTTACGCAATGCATGCCCAACATTCATTGTGCCCTTCTTCGGAGAGTATGTCTTTCTCGTTCTTAGCCTTCGTACTCTGCTGAAATCAATCTAGCCAACCTTTCTGGGGCGACATGGTTGCTGCTGCTGGCGCAGGTCCGCATCCTACTCCCCATAAATCGCTTACCGCCGAAATTCTCGTGGACGCCATCACTTTCTGTTTTACTCCATCAGCTTCTCAGGCGGCACAGAAGATATCGACAAAAATGGCCACCGAGAACGGAGTAGCTTCGGCGGTACATTCTTTTCATGCCAATTTACCTTGCGAAGGTATGGCATGCGAGCTCCTTCCAGATCGCCCAGCAGCATGGATCTATAAGAAAACCATCAGACTTTCGAATTTAGCAGCTCTGATACTGGTGGAAAACCATATCATCAATCAAGGCCATCTCAGACTGTACGTATTCTGCCCATCCGGTCTTCTATCATACGCTAAAATTTTCAGTCACGCAACTCAACCTCTTCACATTTCCCATACACGCTGGGATCCAATCACTAGCACATCATCTGCAGGCATGTCCACAGTTCATGGAATGACAAAGTCTGCGACGGGTCTTATCATTGACCCATATTCGCACGTGAAGAACTCCCAGGATGAGTCTGCATTGTCCACCGCTGGGAAGATAGCTGGTGGAACCGCAAAAAACTTCGGCAAGTTCAACATGCACTTCTTCAAAGGCGTGATCGTAGATCTGCCCTACGCAGCTGCAGAGGGTTTCCGCGCAGTACCAAGGCTATATGGTGAAGATGTCCAAGGGCATGGACAGGTCGAAGGTTGGAAGAGTGGGTTAGAAGTAGCTGGAAAAGGTTTCGCTCATGGAGTGTTGGATGGGGCTTCCGATCTTTTCGTGAAGCCTTTTGAGGATGCGAAGAAAGAAGGTGCATTGGGGTTCGTGAAAGGCGTTAGCAAGGGTACGCTAGGATTCACGAGTAAGACGGCCTCGGCTGTGCTGGGGTTGGTGGCCTACCCCGGTCAAGGTATATGCAAATCTCTGCACACATTGGCAAAGTCGAAGACACGCAAGAATATTGCAATGAGGAGATACACTGAAGGACAATTTCTCGCTGCAACAGCAGAGTCAAAAATAGTTGCTCAGGTGTTTGATCGATTCCGGGCTCTGGGCCACCAGTGATCTAGATGTAGGCAGAACAGATTCAAGTGATACTATACAAATTCCAATCGTGCTAATTAAGTGATCGATGGAAAGTTTAATGGGAATCTAGCTTCCCGCATGGTGTTCTTTCACTAACGGGTTGTAAAACCTGAAACGGTTTTGACTATCATACTTTGTCTTCAACTGTAACAACCTCTCTATCCTCCAATCCTCATGCCCGTACATCTGCTGGATTGTTTCCCCTCCCACAGCATAATTCACGTACGTGTGATCCCTTGCACGTTCATCCTGAACAGCCAATGCTTGTCTAATCCGGCTTGCGTAGGCTAGTGCGTCCACAGCGTCCTGTGGCTTGTTGCCTTCCCACCATATCGCTGCAGAGGTGAGTATGGGGTAGATTCGCTCTTCGAGAGATAGCGATGTGCTGGCTGGATCTACTTCTTGTACACCTTTCAATCCGTAGTTTTCTAGCAGGAAAACGGATGTCGAGTAGCGGCTGTCAGCAGTCAATTCGTTGAAGATACTGAAGGCATCAGACAGAGCGGTAACATTCCATGCCGGAATCGAAGCGCCATTCGCTAAAATATTCTGTTCCTTTCGACAGGTGCTACTTTCAATGTTGTTTTGTAGAACTGTGTAAAGCGAAACATAATCCACATCTCTTGCGATTTCTGTGGCTACAGGTCCAACTTCCAGGAATAGTTGAGCCCATTCGCCTGCTTCGGTTTCGGAAGTTTCAATTCCTACGTTGTATGCAATAACAGGCTACATAGTTAGTTTGCGCAACTCTTTTAATTTTGTCATTCACTTACCTTGTCTCCATCAATATCTGGAATTTTGGTCCCGACGCCGAAAAGAAACATTGATGTCGGACGTTTAGGATCGGCATCAACTTTATTAACAAGCTCAAAAAGATTTGCAATCTTGTCTTGAGAATAGATGAATGTGTACACCGTCCAGTTCCTCTGGATGTCGTATATCTTGAGGACCATGCTTGTCACAATGCCAAAGTTTTGTCCGGCACCACGGAGAGCCCAGAAAAGATCGGAATTCTCTCCTTCAGAAGCTTCGATGATGCTACCATCGGCTAGAACAACGCGAGCAGATATCATGTTGTCGAGCGCATATCCGTGACGAGCTTGAAGCACGCTATGACCACCGGCCAAAAGTGGTCCAACAACCGAGACGCATTCGCACACACCGGTCACTGGAATCGCTTTCAGCAAGGTACTCAAACCTGCAGCTGGATGATTTCACATACCGGCCTGCTTGTTGTAAGGATACAAAGCTCTTGTTATTTCATGTTGAAGTGTGCCGCCCTGGACTGTAGCTGACTTCCCTCCAGCATCTACGGTAGTCAAGTTCAACCTGCGCATTCGAATTTGAATACCATGTGAGACGTCATTGAGGGAATTTGTCCAGCCATGTGTACCAGTCACTGCGAGAAACGAAACATTGAACTGATTCGCGACTTGGACAGTTGCTTGAACATCTCCCTCTGTTCCCACCTCGACGACCATATCGAAATTGGGTTGTACGCGAGGCGAGCTCCCTCTGACTTGCAGATCGTTCCATTCCGGATCTGAAGGAAGGTAAAGGCTTGCGGTTTTTGATAGAAGTGGGGATAAAGCTTCAGCCATTGCGCTTATTTCCCCGAAACTCGAGGCAATAACACCAGGGGCATCGACGTTAAAGACAGGCAGCAGCCCGCCGAAAAATGACATATTAAATTTCATAGTTGCGATTCGTGGCCTCGGCTTCGAGGAAAATGATTTTATTTGATAGAAAAGGGTGGTTTGAAACCCTTTTAACTGGCAGCCGAAGCTGTGTGTGTGAATCGTGATTAGCGGTGAATAATGTTGATACCTTGCACCTGCATGCTCAGCACACGTAATCTTTGTTGATGACATCTCCATTGGTCACTCCCTGACAATAAGGTTCGATCAGTTTGCTTGTTCCATTCCGGCCCGATCTATTCAAGGTTAGAATATGCAGGCTATCCAAATGCGTTCAATGGGGTTTTATTTTCGTCTCCTACCAAAAGCACCCAACATTGCTTTTTGGAAAATCGAAAGTTGCTCGAGAAAAATTATCAAAAATCAATTGAACACATGAGTAATCGCACAAGGACTAGACAGGGGAACTTTAGGGAGATGCCCATACACGCACGCTCGTTAATCCAATATTTCAATCAAGCAGACGTGTCATTATAATTTTGAGTCGGCAACATCATTGCTGTCCCCGGGATTCAAAGTTTCCATGGCATGAAAAGTCAACCTTCAGCTATCTTAGAAGCATTCCTGTATTGTTTTTGACCCTCTTCCTTTTATCGGATTCTTTACCGTATGTTATAGAAGTTTAGTCCTCAGCGAGCACTTTTGTATAAAATGAAACGGTATAAATGGGCATCTAAAAGTCAAATCTGGGCGCTGTTTTGCCGCGAAGTACGAAATACCTTTCACGATACCTTAAACCAGCTCCCACACTTGTCTCTTCTCGTCATATACGCCCTGAGAAGCTAAACAAGTATCTATATACATTATGCATATGCTGATTCATCCAGGTATCCCTTACTATGTCTTCACGCGTTTCTTAAGAAGATTCCCAGCATCGCAAATGGGCCAAGACAAGACACGCATAGCGTGGGCAAGGGCCCCAATTGCTAGCTCCTCGTACATTGGGTCTTTTTGAAAGACCCCCTCCAGAACTTCTCTCAAGGATCTAGACTACATTTTGGAACATGTTGACGTTCTTGTCAGTCTGTTCCTTCCAATAGAAACCGCGGACGTCGTTGGGGGCTCAGTACGTGAAAGAAATTCATTTCTGTACGTCTTTTGGTGTCACTAGTCGGTATCACATATAAAAATAAGTTAGACAATGCCTCAACAACTTTCGATGCAAAGTAGCCTGGTGGAGCAAGGCTGACAAGCTGTGCGACCTACCGGTCCCAAGCCGTGCGAAAGCAACCCTATCTGCATTTCTGCCGTCGCTTGTACGACTCAAAAATGCGTCATTTCTCCCATAGATATGTAATTTCTAATAATTAATGAACTCAACGATGTTACATGTCTACGCTGTTAGTACCGCGTCCTTTGCGGCGTGAGATTGTCAATCGGTCAAACGGTAGGCTCGCTCTGCGGCTCACTATATGAAGCGAGGCTCAATTAATTTGTTCACGTTGAGAATCGCATCAAAACTTCCACACGGTGGACATGATAGCGCATTTTTCAGGCACTCAGTTATCTTGCCACTTTCTAGCCAAGCGCAAATACTTCATAATTCACATATACCGCGCAGCAAAGTCATCACAAGTCCTACTCCCAAATCTTCTCGTTTTCCCTACCACTCTCGGGGAATCATGCCTTCCAAATCCGTTCAGCTATCACAATATCATTCTTCAAATCATTGCTATCTTATTCACCCGCAGGTCCAAGTAAGCAACAATCGATTGACTCGCTACCGTGTACAGAGCTCACGAATGCAGGGTACCCTTGCGGGAAGCGCCAGCTTTTTGCATGTTCCCATGCCGGTCGTCTTGCTCAATTATGCCAAAATCAAGACCCAGGAACTCGACTTCATCTTCGCTGAATTCGAACGCCAGGACGATGTGCTTTCACGAGACTTTCTAAATGAATGTGAGACGATAGTCGTGCAAGATCAATCTGGAAACGCCGACAATCGTGAAACTGATGCAGAAGTTCAACGATTAATCGGGGATCGAAGCTTTGAGCGACTTGCGCATACATTAGCAGATGCTGACCCCCTTCCGGAAGGTCCATATTTTCTTGTAGGCAGCAACATCCATCAGGCATGGAAACTGTACGCCGACACCTTTGACACCCTTTCTGTGGCTGTAATTCCTGAAAATATTGATAAAGCGGACACGAAGTACGAAATCTCACTTTCCAGGTCTCTGGGTTCGACTAATGGCATAATATAGCTTCTCCGCGCTTGCTAGCTTGCATCCCGAAGGGATATGGAAACATGTGACGGTACCGAGCCGTCTCCACCATCCTAAAACCGCGAATAAACCTCTCGCAGGAAAGCGCATCACTATCAAAGACAATTATCGTCTTGCTGGTATCAAAACCACACTCTCTAGCAGATCCTATGAGTCTAACTATGGCCCTGAACAAGAAACTGCAGAGTTTGTCAAGAGATTGCTCGCACTTGGAGCTGTCGTGGTTGGGAAGTCCAGAATGTCAGCATTTGCCTCATCTGAAGAGCCTACAGATCAATGGGTAGACTTTCATGCGCCGTTCAACCCTCGAGGCGATGGATATCAAACTCCAGCTGGCAGCAGTAATGGAGCTGCTGCAGCACTTTCGGGTTACCCATGGTTGGACTTTTCCGTTGCAACAGACAGTCAGTCGCATATAACTGCGAGCGAACGACCTCCTCTAATTGTGATATTCTAGCTTCCGGGAGCATTCGTTATCCTGCGGCAATTTGTGGTCTATACGGACTAAGATACACTTCGCATACCCTTCCAGTGAATGGTCTTGTTCCCTGCTGCCGGTAGGCTGCCAACATACCCAGTGTAGCCCCGACCTAACTTTTGGATATTAGCGAGCTCGATGCCGTAGGAGTCCTCGGGCGAGATATTGACACCCTTTTGGAATTTGTCTCGCTCACAGCATTGTGCAATAGTGGAGATCCCAGCAAGGTAAGCTGTATCGACTCACCGTCAAAATGACATTACATTGACATGACGATAGTTTCCAACTCACATCATCTACCCAAAAGACTTTCTTCCTTACAACGAGGAACCCGTGCAGGCCATACTTGAGGAGTTTGTGCAGAAACTGGAATCTTTCTTAGACACCAAACGAACTGTAGTCAGTTTGGCTGATCGTTGGGAACAGTGTAAACCGCAAGAGGCCGACAATAAAACCATCAAAGAGTTTCTTGCAAAGGTATGATAGTCGCTTTATCATTCATCCGCACCACCTGACATAAGTTTAGACAGGATTCAACCCTTTTTATTACGACGGGTATCATACTTTCGACCAATTCCGACAAGACCATCTCGAGAAGTTTAAGTCAGACGTATATGTCGGACCGTATATGCGCTGGAAATGGTATGGCTCCTTGAACGACATGAACTCGCATGATAATAAGATCCCTGATCATTTCTGATATGTACTTTTCCAAGGATACCGGATCGAAGGTGACAGTCGAAGAAGTCGAACAATCAATGAAAGAGATGGACGTATATCGCAAATGGTTTGCGGACAACGTCATGAAAGAAGGCGAAGGCACTATGTCAGACGCCATTATGATCATGCCTGTGAGCTGTTATGCGCCAGATTATCGCGATACTATCCATGGGTTTGTCGCACCATTCCGATTGAGTATTATGAAACTGACAGATCCTAGGCCACCTGGTAGTATATCTTCCTTCAGTGAGGGCTACACAGCATCCATTCTTCGTCTACCGCAGTTTGTGGTTCCAGGTCAGCCTTTGGTTCCAATATTATTCTGAGCAATGCTGAAAGTATTCTGATTGGTCAAGTCAAATACGAATCACGTGTCTCGGGCAGGAGCGAGTACCATCCAATCACAGTCGGTCTCGTGGGAGCATCAGGTATAGATTGACTTCGTGTTCTTTCCCTGGAGTTTGTTAACATTGTCGTTTACAGGGAGTGATACTATGCTCGTGGAGTTGACGAAGCAAGTTCTGAAATATGCGGATAGGCCCACTGTCTTACTCACGGGTAGAAATACTTGGGAGCCAGGAAACAACGTCCGTAATGTGGGCCCAGACCCCAAATTGTAGGGTTAACGGCAGTATAGTTTCCACGTCAAGGTAGGATGCACAAACGGTCTCAATCCATGATGAGAAAATGATAGAATATAGGGAGAAAAACCATGCGATACTGTGATTCACTCGGAATGGGGGCGGCGTGAGCGAAATGATTTGAGATTAGGCACTAGCTTACCTTGATTAGAAAAATCTCACGATTACCATGATCCAATAATCGCGATACTTATTCTTGATTATATTCGCGGACGGATTGATCCACGAGGGAGGCTCGTTGTTGGTATTGAAAAGCTTTAGTTAGAGACGCAAAAGACCATTGCTACATCCTACTCTTCCCTTCTTGGTATTCATGGACTTCCGGTCGATTTCAACACACTTCAATGCGAGATGATTGCGACAAAACTCATCCGGATAATGGGTACCAGGATCGTTCATCTCTTCATTACCTACTCTCCTCAAACACACTCGTATTTTGTGTGATGACCAGGTTCGTATCGAATTTCGTCACTCTAGTGCGAGTTTTCAAAAGACTATAGGGAGTAGCTCTTGATAATGGGCAGAAGCTTCGATTATGGATGGTGCGCCCTCAGCGATTATGGCTAGACAGAAAGCGTCGCGTCGAGCACGTTCTAGAAAAAAAGTGTTGAGACCGGTGAAGGACGGGCTACACAGGTTTCAGTACAACACTCATTTTTTTCTTCTCTGAATGCGCTATTTACCCTCGGTACATACGTAAGCTCCTCCTAGCCATGACCAAAGTCTGGCCCTGTGTAGACCAAGCGAATCCCATTGTTTAGCTCCCGCAGCCTTACTGTACAGCCGTTGGCCCTAGCAACCGTGCCGAATTTGCTGATGCGGGCTGGGTACCGAAAGCCGGGGACATAGTTGTGAGCGATCAACATAGCACGGGCTCAAGCTCAGACTCAGCTGAGATACAATTGCGCAGCAAATGACGTCCATATTCCCCTGAGACCTTTATTTCCCTGTTATTGCCGTTTCCTTAGTCGTTTTAGCTGATGTGTCGATCAGGTTCATCTTGCTTGGCGCCAAGTCTTCCCCCAGCCATCACCAGCCTCCCCCAACCTTCCGTTCCTACATTGGTAAATCATGGCTGGAACAACCAAAATAAGTTTCGGAACTCTCCACGGTTCAAATTTCTAGTTCATTGCCTTTCCGTCAACCACGCCGAAAAGAAAAAAAAACTAAAACATTGATTCTCCATCATGGAAAACCACTACCCGGAGCCCGCCCGTTACTACCGCAATTCGTTTCGAACTTCTCAATCTACAACACCGTCCAATATTAATTACCCTCCGCCGCTCTCAAGATTTGACTCTACTCCTACGCCCTCCTCTTTACGCGACTCTCGAGAAAAAAGACGCAGCGCGGCAAGAATGAACAGTTCTCGATCAATCCCCCACAATGGCGCCACGTGCAGTAATAGCATGTGCGATGCTCCTGAAATTGCAGCGGATGAACGGTTGTGTCCAGGACCAGAAGGTCGTCACCTGTGCAGCCGATGCTACAAGCGCTACAAGATCGAACGTAGGCGCGCCAAAGATGCTCAACGTCCCATGACAAACGACTGGATGAAACCAGGACGAGCCCGCTCAAGGAGCACAGTCGAGGAGTCTCGTACACTGCAAAGAGAACCACGATATCGCAGTGAAGCATCAAATTCCGACGCACACAACCCAGAGTCTATTAAACGGCCTTCTCCGGTCAAGACATGGTCTGCATCCGAAAAGACTCCAAGTTTGCACAACTTCCCGACTGCTTCTGTGGAAGAGTACAACCAGCACGACTCGCGCCCACCTCGGAAGAACAGATCACGCCGTGGTAGGGGTGAGCAGCAATACGCTCGAACTGGGCAGGATGAGGCCGACTTCTATAAGTATGGCGGAGCGGAGGAAGATGGCCATCACGACAACCAGCGATGCTGTAGTAACCTTTGGAATCGCAAACGCAAATGCGTAATCATCGGATTGGCCATCATCACCATTGTAGTAATGGCGATCGTCATTGCGCTCGCGGTAACGCTCACGCGCAAACCCGGGTTCAAGTACGTGCCATCGACCGCTCAAGTGAACAATACAGCAGCCTTCGATTCCGGTGGTGCTACTCGCAAGAGTGTGACCGACACAAGCATTGGTATCGGAGCTGGTGAGGACACATACACCTATTACCATGGGAATGCTTCGAATTTTCCGTCAAAGGATGTAAGTAAAATACGGGTGCCTCATTGCACAACGCTTGATTTCATGGGACTTGACTAACTCTGCTTCTTATAGAAATGGGTTTCGTTCGAAGACATGTGGACAAAGAACTTGGATACCTTCAAATATTCCTGCGGATGGTTGGGCAACGGCGACAACAATACCCCCGAGATGATTCAAGACATCTACGACGCGATTCAAGACCGAGCTGCCGCCTCGCTTGTAGATCACCGTATCATTCTAGGCACCATCATACAAGAAACCAATGGATGTCCATTGAATCCATCCACTACCTCGTCCGGAGGTACAAGGAACCCGGGTCTAATGCAGTCGCACAATGGGCATGAATATGATCCCAAAAACAGTCGCCTTTCGATCTTCCTTATGATTCAGGACGGGACGCAGGGCACTGAACATGGTTGGGGACTGGTGGACAATCTGAACATCTACGCCAATCCTTATAAGGCTATGCGAGGCTACAACAGGTACGTTACTTCTGTGCGCAGAATCCTGTCGCTTAGTACTGACATTTGGATCAGTGGTTATATCCCCAATAGTGGTGACCTTTCGGAGGAGTCTGGGGCAACTGCGTGTTATGTGACGGATATTGCGAACCGACTCACTGGATGGGTCCGCGCAAAGTCAACATGCCCGGGTGATACGCATTGAGTGCTTCACGCATCTCAACGTCTCAGTTAGGTAATGTTTATGATAATGTATGATAGTTTCGGTCAAAACCATGCGAGAGAGACAAATTTCAATATTGTGCTTCTATGAAATCAAACTCTGTTTTCTCTTCTGTCTTCGCCTCCATACAATGTACCCAGTCAACAGCCCCACAAACACCACAACCCCAAATACAATCCCCAGAATCGCAGGTAGAGCAAGCGAACCTCTTCCACCCACGCCCGAGTCTTCGGGAGGGCGCGCATCGGATCCAGAACTCGCAGTAGGCGATGCAGCGTTTGTAGTCGAAGATCGCGACCCCACCCCCGACGGAGGAACAAACGAAGAAACCAAAGCATCCACATCCACCGACCTCGTGACCGAAACGCAAGCTGAAATCGAGCTCCTCCCCTGGCAGAAATCAAACACGCTGAGTGTAGCAACAGCATCCATCTTCTTACTCATACGGGACAAATCGGATGCAGCCGAGGTCTGGAGTGAGACGGCAGAAGTTTTCCATGCGGAAAGTTCGCTGGATAGAGCGCTGAACTTTGTGTCGGTGTCGCTGTTGCTGGCTTCGGATGCTTGGTATGAGATTGGTGCCCAGATACCGAATACTAGTGCTGCGGCTACCCCGAGGACTTTAATGATCCAGTCCATGGTGATGGAGAGAGGCGGAAAGTGTCCAGAGCTCGATGTCGACATTGATTGTTTTTGTGGTGACATTGTTGGCTTGGAGAAGTTCTGCTGACCGGCTTGCTGTGTGCTCGTTGGCTGTTGCGCTTTCTGTGGTGTGCCATTGCTGGAATTGAGTGCGGTGTTGATGATCTGTGGTCGGGTCGCCATTTTCGGCGGTCTTTGCGATTTTGCGAAGAGGTCTGCGTTAATTTGCATCAGTTATATAAGACGAGTGAGATGACGTGCAAAGAGGCGAAGTTATATCATCTGAGGTGCAAAGGCGTGCGGCTGAGCCAAGATCTGATCCAAGATCTGATCACTCCCAGTAAGATCTCCTGAAAAGCGCCCCCACCCTGCGTCGGGTTAGCGATTCTCGTACAGCCGGGCTTCGTCGTGTTCTAAGCTCACTCATCTGAGGGGCTGCCTCCAGCATCTTCGAATTTTCTTGTGACCAGTGTGCAGTATCTGGGAAGTGACTGTCGTCCTGGGTATCAGAATGGGCAGTATCGGCGTCTGGTTTCCATCTTATCGTCTGTAGCTATGTCTGATGCTGGGCATCGGCGATCGCAAAGTGCTCGTAAGCTGGAATAGCGTTAAGCTGAACCATGCGCATGCTTTGACAATTACTAATTATACTTATTGGTATAGCCTAGTAGAGGTGAGCTGAGCTGCCCCTATGCTCTAGCGATTTTAAAGAGCTTATACGGGTACGATACGGTTTATCGGTAGCCATGAACACAGTACAAACGAGCTATCGCCCTGCCTTCACTTGCGCGCATCGATTTGCATGGCTGGAGTCTACAAGCCAATCGAACCTGCATGAAACTTTGCATTTATCGATCTTCTACTGTACTTTCTTATCATATGTGGGACCCCCAGCTGACTTGGTGGCATTGCGCATACTCCAAAAGGGGTTGTTGAAAGGACACCGGTATGACGAACAAGATCAGGCGTTGATGTCACTCAAAACACAATCATGGACTGCTGTCATCCGAAGAATTACTTCCGTGCGCTAAAAGACAGCTGGAACCAGTGAACCGCCGATCTTGTGTCCAGTCCATTCCATCTACGATGCGGAGATGCGGACGTGTCAATCAATCATGTTGCGTAGATTTTCGAAGAGTTCGGTATCCAACCACCCGGGGATAACTACCTAGGTGGTTACGTGCATAGGAGACGGGAGCGCATTTGCGGGGTTGCTAGCTCCATCAGATCTAGCATTCTTGTATTGTTCCGGCTTAGCAGGGGAGATGTCAATCTCATGTCTTTCCGCCAATCAAGGTGATTGTGAGAAAATCACCAAAACAGTTCCACGAGTAACAGGCAAGCATAGTCAAAATGACACGCTTTCCATGTGATCATATCGGTTCTTGGCACATTGGCTTGAACGGGAACGGAATTGATACACAAAAGTCAAGCCAGACTAGTATGAATGGTCTCTCATGGCACTGGAGGAATTAGAAAGTGCTTGATTTCCGAAGGGTATCACGATAAATTACTTCGAGAATGTTTTCAGTCCGGGTTAGATATTCTAGGGGTTCAAGAAAAGGTTATATAGATATCGATGCCTTCGAAGAGCATCCGAGATATCCTTTCACCAGGTCTTAACCACTTACAGACACTTCATTGAAGTAAAAATTGTCAACATGCTCTTTCAAACCACCGCTGTCACCGCCATTCTGGCTTCTCTGTGCGCCGCGCAGACACTCAACATTCCTTCCCGCAGCGGCAACATTGTATCCCTTCCTCAGGCTAGCACCATCTCAGGAAGCAAAGACATGGGCAACAAGGAGTTTGACAGAGGTCGCGCCTGCAACACAGACGACGATACCGGTAGTAACAATGCTGTTTTCATTCTTGAGAATGGCGCTACACTGAGCAACGCCATCATTGGCGCTAATCAGCTTGAGGGTGTACATTGCAAGGGTGCTTGCACCTTGATCAATGTCTGGTTCCGAGCTGTCTGCGAAGGTGTGTAAAATAGCCTCCCAGTCATTGCCAAGTTTCTTGTCTCACTGAACTTCAGATGCGATTTCCGCTCTCGGTAGTGGAAATGTCCTCATTCAGGGTGGCGGCGCTCAGAATGCAAAGGACAAGGTCGTTCAGCACAACGGCCGCGGAACTGTGACGATCAAAGACTACACAGTTGTTACCGCAGGCAAATTGTACCGCTCCTGCGGCAACTGCAGCAACAACGGTGGCCCTCGCAACGTGGTCATCCAAAATGTGAAGGCCAAGAGTGTCTCCGAGCTCGCTGGTATCAACTCCAACTACGGCGATGTTGCCACCATCTCCGGATCTTGTGGAACCAGTGTAAAGAAAGCTTGCCAGGAATACAAGGGCATTGAAAAGAATGGTGGCCAGGATCCAGTCAAGCTTACGACAACTGCTAACTGCAGAGGAGCTCAGGGACTCTCTCTGCCGTCTTGTTAAAATGTTGAGGGCTGTGGCACAGGAGTGTTGTGCAAAAATGTGATGGCAGATAGTAATTTAGGTGAAACTTTCCACATAGCTGATGAACATAAACTTTTGAGACACAGTTGGTAGTCCTGATGGGCTAATTGTGGTGTACCGTAGAAACAAGAGGACCATTGATTGAACTCATATTCGATTCACTTGATTCGTCGCATTCCATGAACAGCCGTTGGGAATCATTAATGGCGGTCTGGAATATCATCATGGTATGAAGAAATCAGTTTTGAGCAGAGCCCATGATAAAGAATCTCGCCTTTGCTTAGATCCATACAGAAAACAAAGGCTGTGACTGACATTTCAGGTATCAATAAGTCCTCAATTTCAGAACACTTCACCAAAGACAACCGAGTGAGTGGGAAGATGCAAATCTACCTAGGTACCTACATGGTAGTTACATGCACATATTCATATCACGTGATTATCTACTTGCGGTCGCTTGACTTCTAGGAAAACCTCTCATGCGCATTTTCGTCATGCATATAAGAGCCCTCACAACAGTTCGATACTTATATCGATGAATCAAATGCCCTCTCATATGAAGATAGGCAAGATAACTGACAGTCAACAAGTCGAATGAATGTGGTCGTCTGACGCGCCAGTCCTGGAATATCGTCCGTCCTACCTAAAGATTCCCTGTGGTACCAGGTCCAAGTGAATTATTGGACAGATTTCAAGTTTCGCATTATCTCAATATTCAACAATGCAGGATAACCCGCCACAGTCGATACTGATTGGACAGGGCGCAGGCACATGGAGGTTGTGATAGGGGGCTATCGAAGCCCGTGACCGGGGCAAGCCAAGAACCGACTTGGAATTTCTTCCTGCCTCACTTCAGAAGTTGATTCATCTCCTCCGACACAACTTGCTTCCCCAACTTAAGTAGCGAGCATTACTAGTGAAACGATCTACCCAACCTAGCTTCGATGAGTGCTGAAAATCGCCCGATCCGTTGGAATATCTGGACTCAATCTCACTCACTTCGAGATGATATCAAGAGAGCATTGGCACACAACGGAGGTGGCTTGCTCGAAGCTCTGAATATCGAAAATGTGGACAGCTTGAAGTACGGGGACTTTTTCTCCCTTGCGTGGGAATTATTACAGCTTTCCCGCGATGCAAAGCCGAAGGATTCAATCCAGTTGGGTTCCTACTCTGACAAGGACTCTCTGCTCAGCCATCTACGAGACAAGCTTCAGACAAAATTCAATATCAATGCGACGGACTGTAAGGGCTTCTCATTGCTCTTGTGGGCGATCCGCGGGAAACATTTAGACGCCATTGACCTGCTGTTGACATACGGCGTAGGTCTCGAATTCGCCACCAAAGCTCAAATGACAGACCATTCCCTCACTTTCGATGTATACAACCCAAAAACCATAGATGACCTTTTTTGGTATCACGATATGATACGTGTGAGGTCATTAATTGACGTGGTTCGTCTGAGTCGCCTGTGTGGACGCAAGCCGGAACATCAATTCGTGGTCACTTGGGAGGATCCAGTAAGAACAGAAAGGTATACTAGGATACTAGATGCCACTGTCAGAAATATCAGATCTTTCGAGCCCTGGCAAAGTGATAGGGCATTCAGCTCGAAAACGTGGATACATATCCCCAGTAACAATGTGAGTCTACCTTTCTTTTTACAATAGACACTTGAATAATGACTTCGCAGGCCGCTATGATAAGTGTAAGTTCAAAGACAAGCCAACTATCCTGAGTTCACATTAAAAACAGGCCATAACGAGGACACTGAACGATCTTCCCAGTCTCACGGCACCTCTCGCTAAATATGTTGTTGACGACTTGAACCATGGAAGGATAGCCGCTGGCCAAGAATGCTTGGCCTATAGGGACTCTGGATGCATATAAAACGAGGGCGACGTTAACAAGGGCATCATGAGTATTGTAGTATGTACAGCCCCGTTATGCAGAAGTTCGCATCAATAACCGACCAGATTCCTTGGTTTGCTGTTCAAACAGTAAAAGAATGGCAGACGACACGAAATTGGTACCGTGAAGTATGTCAGTCATTGTGGTCACCCGAGTCTTTCGATGAGACACACCATATGATCAGGAAAACATACGCCGCTTGCACGCTTGATGAGGCCTGCTATCCTCGCCTGGCTGCCGACATACTGAGAACTGATAATGATGATCAAGTCATTCAAAACCATATAAGAGAAGAAAGGTCTCGAGCAAAAGACCACGCAAGCTCACTTCCAATTCTCATGGTTCCTCGATTCTGGATCTGGAGGGCTGACAATGTGCTGCTCACATCATGTTCAATATCGCGTCCATCAAGGGTTTTCCAAATTTCGAAAGATGATCCACAGCACATAGTGCCCACTCTCATTTTTCCTCAAGATTGTTCATTTGATCATGATATTTCTGAGATCATAGATTGTGTCACTGAAAGCTTTGGCGAACCCTATCTTGATCTCGAATCGGGGGTCTCCTTTCCTCCAACCCTGGACATCTTTGAAACTCGGCTCCGCACCATCTCGTCGAAAGTTCGAGCGTATCTCGACTCGGATATTGAATTTAACGACGACCAACTACTGAAAATGAATATAAAGATGGAAAAGTCACTCATTCACGGAATTGCAGATCTGCAAAATGAGGGAGGGATGATTCAGGGAATTATTAGACAGCAGAGGAAAGTGATCGACGCTTTTCATCAGTCATGTCAGAGACGTGTTGCAAAGAGAAGTGACGCCATTGATAAGGATATTCAGATATGCCTACGCGTTCTGAATTCACCCGATTCAGTAAGAATGATTGATGATGAAGTGAAAGGGTTGTGGAAAAGATACAAGGAATTTGGGTCACAACGGGGCGGTGTGGACGCCAATTCTTCTCCTCCAATCAGAAATTACGGAATTCTCCACCAAACCCTCATTAGAAGGGCCTCCAGTTATAATCTGGAGAAGGAAGCTCTTCTCGGGAAATTCGCAGCTATAGACGGCCGACTTGAAACATACACGACACGAATAGCGAATATTATCCAGGACGCCAATAGAGTTTCGAAGACCATCGACGATATGCTAAATCTGAAGCGCACATATATTAGTGTCCAATTAGCCCGTAGCAGCATTGATGAGACGAAGAGAAGTGTGTTTGTTGGTCTTGCCGCGCTTGCTTTTGCAGTGGTGACTATTGTCTTCACACCTCTGAGTTTCGTGACGAGTCTTCTGGCACTACCCCTATATGACCCCGAAAATCACCCAAGATTCGGCGATTCTCCCTTTGTTTATAAGATACTTGGTACGTTCCTCCGGGTAGACGCAGAACACTTACTAATGCTTGTCAGTTGGCACGGAAGTGGGCACGCTGGTCTTCACTGCAATATGTGTTGTAATCGCATGGCTTTTTATCAAAAGGTCAGGGCAATCACGACAAGAAGAAAAAATAGCTGAATCAGCCGGGTTGGGTGTCAAAGGTGAAAGTATTTCTCGATCAGTCAGACGCGATGGCAACAGTCGAATGTGGTCTTCGGGGGAAAACAATCCTAGCGAAGATGTGTAGGAGCACAACCCCTCGACGTATGAGTCACAGGACATCAATGGCTGATTTTTGAATGGGACGAGATGTAAAAAGTACGCTATGATGCTATGTGGGGAAAGTACGCTTTGTTGTCGTTTGGATTTGGAAGTTTTGCGCATCTTGCAATTGCAATCTTTGAGAAGAATATCTTTTTAAACTACTATTTGGTAAAGATTAGTACAAAGTCTCACATCCAGTCAACTTTCGTCCACGATGTGATCATGTCAGTCACCAAACATCACGAGTAGAACCGAGACGATTTCCGTCACTCCCACCAGCCCAATCCAACTCCCAATTGCCGTAAGCGAGTGTGAATCTGCGCAGACAATCACTAGCCGGCCCCAAAGCCCTACATATACGAGCCTCGCGATGCGGCTTACCCAGCCAACAGCACATATTCAATAAAGCAATCAAGTCTCACATTCCCAATCGCTAACCTGTTTGAGACAGCCTGCATATCTTCCGTGCTACACCCGTATGTCGGCGCTTACAGTACATGATCGGACACGTGGACTGTGTGCTACCTCAAACGCCAAAACATCAAGTCCGAACCAGTGGACTTGTTGGAAAAAAGAGGCAATACGAATTAGCACGTTAGCCCCCATTCTGACTACCATCGGGGGCCGGCACTTCAGCGAGCCTACATGCCGCTCCACGTGGGCATTGAAATGCGAGCTGTTCGTAACGACGACTCCGTCGGATCAAACCGAATGACCAACAACAGAACATTCGTCGAGCGCTAACGCTCTCTCGAGCGCGGTACCAAACAGTAGAGCTCCTACCAGAAGATCGATCCGAAACAGCCAAGTTATGAGCTGCATTCTGAGTAGTTTCCTATTACCCTTGTAAAGGGGTGGAGCTTACCCATGATCGCCTCGCTCGGTTGGCGATCTCGCTCGCAAGCAATCCTTCTCGCGCGAAAAGTTCACCTAAGCCGACCGACTGGGAAACGCATCCAGCGCTACTAGAGTGCGCCCTGCAGGGCCGGAGATGCAATAGCGATTCAAAAGAGACCTATACTCCGTAGAATTCATATATGGCGTTGATACGAACGAATTCGGTTCCTGCCCCGCCAATCGAAATTGTCCGGGAGCGTTATTGTGAACGTTTGGCATTGGGAGCAATTTCGGGGTCTGTTATCGCTGTCGTGGGGTTATTCTATCCCGAGATACGATCGATGAGTTAGCAATCGTTGTCATTGCAAGTTACCATGGAATCAGTATTCGGCTCTCTGATTAAGATTACATCTTTAGAAGCAATGCCAGAGAAGAATCTGAAGAGTTGAGTCATTTAAACATTATAATCGCGTAGAGATAGCGAGTGATCTTCTCTCACCACCTATCGTTCCCATCTCCCTGCACTCTAGAGCTATGAACCTGCACACTCCTTTCCACTCGAATCCCCAAACTATCCACTGACCTCCGTCGAAACCTTTCCCCCATCTCAATATCTCCCCTGTCGCTCCGTAACCCCGGACTCTGCACAATCCGTTCCACGCTCTCGTTTCCATCCACTACCGTATCCCCAGGTATAGCATACAAACTCCTCTTTTTATTTCTTGTACTCTTCGAGAGACTGGATGCATGCGCCGCATCCTTTCCAGCACCACTGCCGTTCCCGTAGCTCCCGTACCCGTATCCTGTGCCTGAGCGAGAAGCCGCTGCTTTGATAGAGTGACGAAGCTGGTTTACGTAGGGGTAGATAAGCGGGATGTTCGTTACGATTACGGCGGTGCATGACTCGCGGGCGGACCAGAGTCCCGCTACACTTGCGCCTTCAAGACCGGGCTTTTGGTTGGGAGGGGAAACGAATTAGTCGGATTCATTTGGACGGGGGCACGGCGATAGGTTTGGTGGACTCACTGAAGTTACGATACTGATGCATCGCAAGAACCCGAAAACTGCTGTTACGACGGCGCCCGCGAAAAGAGCTGTCAAGCCGAATTTCCGCTTCAAATCCAGTTTCGCAGCCCATATCACCTTAATGATATATTAGTTCTGATTCACTGGAAGAAAATAGGATGATGTGTGCTCTATACGTACTGGGATTGGGAGGTACATGAGATACACGTCAGTGAGGACGTTGAAAACGAGCATCACGTATGTGTTGCTGTTGGCAGATGATCCACGGCATGTACCTGGGCAGCGTGTTACTTTTGACGTTTCCTTTGGAGAAAATATGGCAATTGATCAAAACGTACCTCCAGGATGCGGCCCATTTTGCCATTCCGGTTGCAGTGGTGAGCAAACGAGAAGTATAACACAGACCAGCGAAACAAAAGTAATAGCGAGCGCAAAAGCACCAATTCGAATGCGAAGCCTCATGTTGTTGATATGCACGTTTTGCCTGACCTTCATGTCAGATCTCCAAGATTGAAGCCTTCGTCGATACGTAGACTTTAGCAGGAGTGTTTGCAACTCACGTCAAGCGCGAATAAAACAGCAAGATACACGTTTTCAACGTCCATATCAGCGCCGTGTACGTCAGCCACCCGGCGAGGAAGATCTTGCCTGCGCTTTCGCGGTCGAACAATCGAGGTGTCGCTCTCGGTCTGTTGGCCGCTCTTTGCTGTCTGGTCATTTCTGCGACAAAGTATGCGCAGGTGACTTCGCCAGCGTAGAGGCACTACATGTATTAGCACTTCTTCTCCTCCATACAATCTATACTGTGGAACGTGAATATGTACCCCGGCAAACACCATTAGGTAGTCATCGATCTGGAGTTTCGTGATGCCCAACTGACGCGAGCGAGCAAAGATGCGAAAAACAATAATCATCCAACCGATGCCGAGCTCAAGGAAGACCTCGATAGAGTGCATGGTCGATGAACTACAAGAGTACCCGCTCGTAGGATTAGGGTCATGCGTAAAACAAGAATACGGAAAGAAAGAATACAATGTCAAAGAAACACTGAGGATAGCGCGCACGAGTAAAGAGGGGATCATCAGGATCTAATGACACGCGAAGGATCCGTATATATGCTCATCATCGCACTGCGGCGGCAGATTGGCGTTTGGGTCCCATGTCGCAACCATGCTGCTTGTCCTCTAAATGCGGTTGCTCGTCTGGGATATAGTCCGGATGTGAAAACTGCAAGAATGGTTTTGAGTGGTCGAATTAGGCGGAAGGATTAGAAGGTGTCAGACTCTTCGCGCGGGAGCAAGGGCCTAGTCTTTTTGGTGGAATGCAGGGGGCGTGCATGGTTCGGTGGAGGCGTGAAGCAGAACATGGGCAGTATTTGGCATGTCTATGCGTATCTTTTGTAGTTGGTGTGCTCACTCGTGGGAATCTGCGATTTATGATCCTAATTGAATGGTTTGGTCCGGTGGACGCAGGTATGTTGCCAGTGAGGTGTTGAAGATCTCGCGCTAATTTATGTTGACCACATCAAAAAGCGAACTATTCAAGCCATATGCATCTGTGGGAAACCACGCTTGCGCATAAAAATGAAAACGTCATACAGGTTGTGTTAAAACCAGCCCTCGCTATAGTCATCGAAAAGCTTGTGGATGGTGCCGCTAAGATAGCCCTACGGCTCTTCTCAAGTCCTTCAACTTCAGCCTTATGGGTGGAGCAGGGAAAAACCGTTGACCCCGCGTGGTAGACCATGCACAAATGCCGTATAGGGCTGAAGGGAGGCCTTCTTGCCCCTTATCCCTCAATCTCCCGTTCAACGTAATCGTTACCACAATGCTAATGTTCTATTTTTGCAATGGGGCGAAGTTTCAAATCCCTTTCGCCTGAAGATCATTCGCGAAATATGTACCTACATTGCTCTAATATATACAAATTATAGCTCTATATTGCGCCTTGCAAAACATCAAGCGTCACGATGGCCCTCATGCTCCGCTTCTTCTTTCCTTCGAGCATGCTGCTCATGGCGAATGCCCCAGAAACAAGCCAGCAGCCCGAGGACGCTGGAAACGAGCGTGACATAGTATGCTGCGCGATAACAGATAATGCCCTCGTCGCAATTACGTTCGCCACTAGGCTGGACTTCCGAATAGGAGTCATACACAGCCCCGTAGAAGAGGTTGAAAACGTTTCCACTGATGACTGGGGCCAGCGTCATGACACCCCAGTTCACTGCGAAACCGTCCGGCCCAAACGCATCCACAACTAGCGAAGGTAATACGCCAAATAGAATGCCGTATGCAAGACCACACAAGCCGGAAACAGCCCAAAGATAGTGTGGGTCTTCGATGCGGATGGCGCAGATCTGAGCGAGCAGAAAGACGGTGGCGGAAATAGCAGCGCACCAGAAGCGAGACATTTGGAGTTTCTTGACAATGATATCGGAACCGATGCCGGAGGACAGCCGGCCAAGGAAGGAACAGAGTGATATGATAGAAACGTGTAACAATTGGCGATGGACAACGAAGTCCTTGTCTAATGTGGCATCGTAATGGTTCCAGAGAGCCTGGACATCGTGGCCAATATTGCTACCATAGTGTATCAGCAACGCAAAACACGATATTAGCCAATCCGGTCAAGAAACTCACTTGATAGTCATTAGCCCCACTCCAGTCAGCAGACCCATCAAGCTCCATAGCTGCCAGAACTCAATCTTATACAGCAAGGCAAGACCCGTTATATCTAAGCAATGTGAGTGATTCGTCTTCATACTGGCTGCGTCGTTGTCCTCGGATACAATGTCGCCCGGAATGGAAAGAAGGGACGAGGTTTCGGAATCGACATCATCCTGTTCGTCTTGGTCTGGATTGTAAAGTTGGCAACTACTAAGAGGTGCATAGACGAACGGGATGAAAAAGAGATCGAAGGAAGAATTGAGGACTTACTCTGTTCTGGTTGGGACAATGAAGACCTTCTGTATTTGCTGCTCGTTTTACTGCCATTCGACCTTGAGCGATGGAGAAGGTTGGAGTCTCTCCTCGCACGATCGGCAGTAGGAACAGCGGCATAGGCAGCTCCAAATCTGTGGTCTACAACTCGTAGAAACGGTAGTGATACAAGCACGAGGCTCGATGTGCCAAACGATAGCAAAAGAAGCAGACCGGATGTGTTTCCGGGGAAAGCGATGCCTGCAATGAGGGTATAGAAGAAGGCGCTCAAGCCAAAGGCAGCTAGAGGGAACGCAGATGCGGTGCCGCGATGTGTGGGCCAATTGAGGGTAGCTATAGCAGTTTAGTATCGTAGGAGGCTTTACCCATCGGGGAAGAGTGGTGTAGTAATTACCAGTCTTCAGGGCAGCTTGGAATGCCGCGCAGCTCCCTAGTCCCGATACAAAGGAGCACAGGGAGATTAAGCCCACGCTCATGGATCCCACACCTCCATCATATGCTTTGCGACGTCAGCCCTTGACCAATATACCACCACCGATCTCATATATCCGTACCAAGGTGAATGGGGAAGTAGCCCACAAACAACGCGACCATGCCAATGAGGCCGGACAGTCGAGGACTCTTTCGATCGGTTATGATGCCCATGGGTATACCCGAGACATACATTCCGAGATTCGCAGATGTGCCCTGGTCATTTAAATCAGGTATGCGCTCTTAGATGATAGGTAGCACGGAGGGGTATCGGGGGTGCGGTGCGTACGATGACATTGCTCTGGGTTGCAGAGAGCTGCAGTTTATCGGCAAATTGAGGAGCCCATGCTGAGTAGGCATACTAACATCACGAATAAGTCAGTCAGCGTGTCTAAATCACATTCTTGGGTCTGCATACATTGGTCCCGCAGGCGAGGGCTATCACGGTAGCAGCAACGACGGAGACGATGCGCGTCTTTTTGTGGGTTATAACGAGTTGTTCAGCGACAACCATGGCTACTTAAGGGAGAGAATACATGGAAAACAGGTCAGAGGTAGGTGAACAATGGGAACGACAGAGAGGATGAGGGATGAATGATGAGATAAGACGAAACGAAGTGTTGATAGGTGACGGATCGGCAATTGGTGACCCGAGCGAGGCGGGTAGAATCCGATAGGTAGACGTGTTCTATTTGCGTTTGATCTCAATCGTTGTTCTTCCGCAGGTCGAGTCATGGAGATAGATAGACTAGCTATACGGAACGCTTTCACTACGATTGCGCATATCGATATCTATTTGGAGGCTCTACATTGTAGATTGTACAGATTGCCGGGTTAGTTGTCACCGATTCGATCCTCGACTGAGGGAGATGATCAGATAAGATTACCGACTAGACCTGAAGAAGACTAGCTTCGCCAAGAAACTGGAGATGTGGACGCGTGAACCTTCAACGTCATGCCCGATCGTCCACCTCAACTCTCGTACCTAACCACCACACATCTCGAAGCGTCTCGCCATCTCAAATTATGGGCGCTTTACTATCCCTACCTTTTCTGGCTATGCCAGGAGTCGGCACAGTATGTATATCACGCATTCCACGCATCCTGTCGACCCCTAAACCTCTCTCGCCACATGTTTATGACCTCCCAGCTAACCACCACCATGATAGCTCTGGGGAATCGGTGCCTCATGTTGTGGAGCTGCCACCTGCAGCGCCGTATGCAGCTCTTGTGGAAAATGCGGCAACAGCATCGCTACCCGTATCGCATACGCCCTCATCCTCCTCGTCAACTCCATCGTCTCGTGGATCATGCTCACCGACTGGGCCATGAAGAAATTATCCCACCTTACCCTCGATTACGTCGATATCAAATGCCACGGCGAGCAGTGTTATGGATATGTTGCTGTTCAACGCATCAACTTCGCTCTCGGCTTGTTCCACATCCTCATGGCCATGATGCTCGTCGGTGTGCGCAGCTCCAAAGACGGTCGAGCCCCCATTCAGAACGGCTTCTGGGGTCCCAAGGTCATCGCGTGGATTGGCATGATCGTCTTGACCTTCTTCGTTCCCAACTCCTTCTTCATTGTTTGGGGCAACTACATCGCCATGATTGGTGCTTGCCTGTTCCTACTCATTGGACTCATTCTGCTGGTCGATTTGGCTCATAACTGGGCCGAGTACTGTCAGGAGAAGATTGAGCTTACCGAATCTAACCTCTGGACTGGTTTGTTGGTTGGCTCTGCTCTCTTCATGTACTTTTCTTCCATTGCCATGACGGTGGTCATGTACATCTACTTTGCGAACAGCGGCTGTGGCATGAACCAGGCAGCAATCACGGTATGTGCTGAGCAGTGCTTGTCAATATACTGAACCAAGACTAACGGACGCAGATCAATCTGCTTTTGCTCCTAATCTCCTCGATCGTGTCCGTCCATCCCGCCGTACAGACCGTCAATCCTCGCGCCGGTCTTGCGCAGTCCGCCATGGTAGCCATCTACTGCACCTACCTCACCCTATCTGCGGTGGGAATGGAACCCGACGACCACCAATGCAACCCCTTGATTCGCGCACGCGGTACTCGTAAAGCTACCGTCATCATCGGTGCTATCGTTACATTTGTTACTGTCGCATACACCACCACCCGCGCTGCCACCTACGGCTTAGCCCTGGGCCAGCAGGGAAACTCCTATGGAAATGGCTACTCCCGTGTCGGTACCGATGACTATGAGCATGGTCTTGTCACGCAACAGCCCGATTCCCGGCGCGAGATGCGTCAAGCCGCCCTCCGTGCAGCCGTCGAGTCTGGCTCGCTCCCTGCCTCTGCTCTCGACGACACCGACAGCGATGACGATGACGACGATGAGAACACGACTTCCAAGACTCGCGGCGATGACGAGCGCAACGCCACGCAGTACAACTACACTCTTTTCCACATTATCTTCTTCCTCAGCACAACATGGGTCGCCACGTTGCTCACGTCCAACTTTGATGAGAAGGATATGTCGAACGACTTTGTGCCTGTAGGACGCACATACTGGGCCAGTTGGGCCAAAATCATCAGTGCATGGGTCTGCTACGCCATCTACATATGGAGTTTGGTGGCCCCTCTCGTCCTGCCTGATAGGTTCGATTACTGAGAGCTCAATCATCGTCCTGCATGCTGGAGAGGAAAAACACAAGAAAGTCTCCTTGAAAGATCGCATCGCTGGAACCTTCTCCGGAACCTCTGTACATTATACCTGATGCGTCATAGTTCTATTTTTTCTTTTCTCTCTGTTGCCTAGTCGTGTTGTCAGACCTATTTTCATAATTATACCCGTTCATCTATCGTTTAAAGCATATCAAACTTCACTATTCGTGCAAGGTTAAAGCAATTCCCGGCATGCCCACGTGTTATCACAGCATACATTCATCGTGAATCTACCTTTGCGATGTTGAGGCTAGTTGGAGCTATTGCTCCATTGAGAAGTTCAAAAGTCTTCGTGGAACATTCCGCCTCTCATAAGCAGGAAAGCGATTGTATCAATCGTGCTTTAAGACAGCTGAAATCATCTAACATGATCTCGCAGCAAATGAAGTCTAGAAGCGTCACAAGCCCAAGAATCTATGGGGAAGAACATGTTTGACACTAAATCGGAACGCAGGCGTAGCTGCATGCGTGAAATTCGACTACTTTTATTCGCCAGCCACTCCGATGGTGACACATACTAGAATCTGCGAAGACCAGCTACTGGCACGTTGGCCTTAGCTATCAAACTCGTGAACGTTTCCAACATCTCAACACGTGCCACTTAACTCGCGACAGAGCGTTGACTCTCATATGTAGAAGCAAATCCAACGTCGTGGGAATTCCAGCCAGTCGCCGAAGGACATCTTCACTATTGAGATGCCAATGCCTCCCACTCCACATCCGCAAACTTCTACAGCATGGCTGAATGGTGTCCGCGGTCTCGCTGCCCTCATCGTCGCCTTTGTCCACTTCATCGCTGGCGAAGTGGATCCTCCCTTCAGCGCCTTTTCTGCTGAACCCCCCCACGAGAACCGTCGCATTTACCAACTACCGCCATTTCGCATTATATTTGCCGACCAGGCGATGGTGGCTCTCTTCTTCGTTGTTTCTGCCTACTCAATCTCCATTGGACCCCTCAAGGCACGAGAATCTACACCCAGGGGGAACTTTCTAGACAGTTTGTCATCGTCTGTGTTTCGTCGCCCAATCCGACTGTACATGCCTGTTGCAGTGCTCGAATTTCTATCACACATTGCGTATTACCTAAACCTGTACAGATGGTCGTCTCTTCCCGACGAGAAACTCGAAACGCTGGGTGACCATATCAAGCATTACTTTTCGTACATGCTACATTTGGCGAACCCGTTTTTTCCTTTTCAAATAGCCCTCAATATTCAGGTCTGGACGATCCCCGCTGAGTTCATGGGCTCGTGTTTTGTGTATTTGACGATCCTCGCGACGGCGAACTTGCGACCCGCAGCTAGGCTTGCCGTTATTGTTTTGATCGCAGTCATAGCTATCTGGCATCTCAGCTGGTTGCTATCCACCTTTATGTGCGGCCTCGCTATCGCGGAATACCAACTCCTCCAGCACACTTTCATCTCGGATTCAACAAGAATATCCAGATCGCGGACACAAGGTCTTCCGCTTAACAGCGCCCTCAACACCATACTCTTCGTGCTCGGCTTCTACCTCTTGTGCATCCCCGAACACCCTGCCGACGACCCTTGGGGAAGCGAGTACCGAATCTTCAGCACAATCGGTCCATCCTTGCCCTCCGACCAACTTCCAAAAGCGCAAATGTGGCGAAGCATCGGCGGCGTCATGTGTATGTTTGCTACAAGCCGTTCGCCAACCCTCCAAATGCTCTTCAACACACGCGTGGCGCAATATCTAGGCAAAATATCGTTTGGACTGTACCTCGTACATATCCTAATTTTCTCGTTGTTGAGGAACGAGCTGGTCCAACTGTTCTGGTGGGTTATTGGGGAAGACAGTGTGTTTGGGTGGATTGGCGCTGGGGCTGTTTTGGGGCCATTGGTTGTCTGGTGTGGGGATTTGTTTTGGAAGGTGGTGGATGTCAGGGCTGTTAGGTTGGCTAGGTGGGTGGATGGGAGGCTTAGGGCGCAAAATTGATGGGGTGGATGTGTTTGTGTGGGGGTTGAGGTAGTTTGTTTTTATCTTTTGCTTCGAGTATTGTGAGATGGGGAAGAGGGTGGCTGATTCATTGTGTTGATCAATTCCCGTAGAAATTCCTGATTTACAGCCATCGTGGCTGATTGGTGTCGCTGATTGTCCGAGTGTGACTGGAATCTAGCGATCAGTGAAGTATTCTCCTTTGTGATCTGATGTTACTGGTATAACAAATGCTCGGTTGCAACAACTCCCTCCACCCACCATTCAAGTTACCATTCTTGAGAAAGCTCATTCTCTCTTCCAAGCTCTAAGTTGAGAATATTGTTATCGTCACAGCTCTAGAATGCAGTTACCCGCATTGGTAAGCACGGAATCCCTTTCTTTGTAAGCATGGTTGACCTTATATAAGCCTTAAATTCAGCCATGAAAAGAGCGGGCAAGGAGTCCCATCTTGTTCTGTGTAGCGAGTGCGAAAGAGAGGTAGGATTCACGCCCGCTCAAGCCACCCAACATTCATGACACTTAATTTCCTGCTTAGCGGTTTCTTCCATTGTTGCATCGTTCACGTAGGTATCGAAATTCAATCCATAATCAACTGCCATTGAATAATTTCCCCACAGTCACCCGAATAATCCTGATTTCTAGCCTGCACACCTTTCCCATCTCCCAACTCAGCCATTACCTGCACAACTCATCCAAGAAAACCCTCAAAGTTCACCACCACCCCATAAAACAAAACACCCCAACATTCCAATCTCACCTCCCCATAATCAACTGCGGCGCCACGATGCCAATCATACAAATATTAAAACAATGCAACCAAACCGTATCCACCGCCTCATAATGGATCAACAGCAAATATGTATCCGCTAGCCCCGTGCAGATCCAGCACGTCAGGAAGATCCCAAGGGCCTTCCGTTGCCGGGTGAGCTTCAATGCCCACACTGCTAGTCCGGCGCTGAAGTTTCGCCCGCCTATCCCGGGGTAGAAGACTGTCATGTCGCGGGTTACGTCGATGACGCCGAAAATTCGCGCCATTTCTGCGGGGTAGAGGACGCCGTAGGCTCCGGAGCCGAGGAGGGCTATGCCGAAGATTGCGGTGATGATGTCGAGGGTTTTTGAGGGTGGCATTTTTGTTATCGTGGGATGGTTTTGTGGTTGCAGTTGCAGGTCGTGGTATATTTTGGTTTTAGGTCGTCTCTTTTCTGTTTGGCGAGTTTGTGGGATTGAACGACGAGTGGTTTCGTTGTGAGGAGGTGCTGTCCTGACTTGGTGCTAACTTTGGTGCGAGGAACTGAGTAAGAAGGACTTATTTGTTGTTGGATGGGATGTTGAATCAATGTACCTCGAGGTATTTATACAGTAATGTGTAATTGAAGTCAGCGGCAAGGGCGTTAGAAGTTTTTATCTCCATCCATCACTACGAGTTGGTCTTCGATCCTTTCGCATCCCAAAATCTCAGGGTTGTACGCCCTGGAGTTCATCTATCCCGTCTCCGGGCAATGCGATTATGCAATGTATAAACCTGCAAAGATGTTAAGAGAATGCTAAACTCCGCGTGGTTAGCGAGATCGTATTCAGGCGATCCAATAGAACGAATAGCGGTAAGGTAACTGCGGTAGATGTAAACACCGCTCCTGTATGCTTAAGTCTGTGGGGTTGCAGATCCTCCACAGTTTGGAATGAGAGAGAGTATTTGGGTACAGACAGCTTCGCGGAAGTATCAACGTCCCGTGTTCATCTAATCATCAATATGGTGGTAGCGCACTGAATAGGTAAAAATAGAGCAAGACGGTGCTGACTAGAGACGGGAGTATGCGCGTAGATACGACGGGATAGAATTTAATAAGAACTATCCGTGCTGATTTCTTCCGAAAAAGGGTATGGCTTGCGCGATAGCGGTGTAAGATGAACCAAAACAAGCCCGTCGGAAGATGATGATGTAGGTCGTAAGCAATTACTCCCGAACATCTGCACAAACCTCAAATCGTTCGAAATAGTAGCTTATCCCCCGTAGTGGACAGGTTTTGTAAAGATCGAACATACTTCAGTTGTCCTCCCACTGGTCGCCTAGCCCCAGTCCATGATTGAATATCGTTCAACGCCGAACAGTCAATTATCTTCGTAGGGAATGATTGTTTCCATATTTCTTCGATAGAGTTGCCCGTTTTCATCAACCATCACTAAACAACAATTCTCTGTGCGTGCGTGCGCCACTCTTTCTTCGGTATTTCGAGTGTCTGCCATAAAAACTCGCCATACCAATAGTAGCAAGCTGAAAGGTTGAAGATTACCTATAGACTCCTTATTGGCATGGAATCAGACTGTTTATTAGTGCATCTTGTCTTTATGCGACTGGAAGTTCACTGCAACTACTCTGTATACGAATCCCTGGGTCGTGCGTGCCACTAGGATCGTTCACATACTGCCCATTGACGATCTTCTTAAGTTACGTTCGCGTCATACTGTTGAAGAGGCGATGCATTCGTGACATTCACTCTTTGATGATTGCGACGCTCTTTCATTGAATACGACGGCACCCGACACCCCAATTCATTGTTTGTGCCAGCAAACAATGATCGTTCCCGTAACAATGTCGTCCCCTAACTCCCATAAAAGATTCTACATCTCAGTGACTGTTATAAAATTTTCATCTTTTCGCACACCCATAACCCACGTAGGTCAGCCCTTGGGACTTTACATCTCCCTTCAGTCTACCCCCGGGCTACCATCAACATCATTTTCCCGCAGTCCTCTAGCCTTTCAAAATTAGTTCCCAGACTTCAAGTATGCCTTTCGATAGCCACGGGCATCTGCACGCCGGCTCCATCGGCCTCTTCGACGACGATGAAGCATACTACGGCAAATCGAGGCCTAAAACGCCACGCGTGAAGTCACCATCCAAAACTAGCTCGGGAAGCAAGAGTCACGATTCAACGCATCTAGCTCCAGGCATCACCGGTACAATGAAGCGATCGTCATCCGTTGAGAAAGTGAAGTACCTCTTCGCGAAAATCACGACTACATCAAAGACGAAGGGAGGGAAATCGGAGCGGCAAGATAGAACCGAAGAAGCGCAACCGCTTCTTCGCCAGTCAAATATGAAGACACAAATCCGCTCTTCACACAATTCCGTTGCTGGGACCAACGGAACGGGAAACGAAAAGACGGGGAGCAACCCTAGGATAAACAAGACACAGAATGGGAGCGAAGATGCGAGTGTTAGAAACGAGAAGCAGGCAGAATACGAGCAGTACGACGTTGTCGAAATGGATTCACCGTGGTTCGATGCTTTGGGCGTGCTCTTGGTTCAGGATGGGTCGGGCTGCGGCGAAGTCGTTCTCGATGGGAAACGCCAATAATGGATTTCCGACTCTGACCGCGAGTTCATGATCTTCTTTCTTGTGCGCATTCGCATTGCCCCCGGGTTTTATTGGCCAAGCACTTTACACTCATATTCAAGAAAGCTTTTAAATCGCTGTGGACAGGTTTGAGTCTACTCACGGACGATACATTTATTTATTTTGGTTGCGCAACATAACATGCTACATTCTTCTCTTGATTCTGTGACCATGCAACTATGACTGGTGACGCACGTGAAAGATATTCACATGCGTAGCTTCCTTCCACATCCGAATTATGATCAGATCTGGCTAGAATGAAGCAGATAACATACGAAATATAGCTCGTAAGATGGTCCAGTATTTCAAGGTTTAGCTATGAATTTCTAGACGACAGATCACAGTCTGCGGGCCGATTTGAGCAAGGCAAACCGAACCGTGGCTCTCACACTAAATTTAAAGAAGGATAACGTCTGCATGTTGACTGAATCAGTTGTTAACGTCTCAATTTCCAGATCTCCGACGTCAAGATTATTGTTTCGTGGCCAACAAAAGTGTGGCCTGATCTTGGCGTGGTAAATATCTGGGTATAGTTTGTCAATACCGAATGGTTGTTAACAACTGAACAACCACGAACGCTAATAGATCTAAGTATCCAGCATACGGTGAGTTACAAAAGGGGCGGCGAGAGTCTAGAAGAAAGCTTGGATGCTAGCCACTCCAGGATCGCACGCTAATCTGGTTTGTATACCACTTCGTCAGGTCTAACGCTTTCAAGCAGCGCTGTAACTAGATGTAGTTTTCTCGAAGTTCAATGTCCGACAGAACAATGCTGAAGAGATCCCTGGGTTTCGTTCCAAATCGATCAATCGCACGCAATTGACATTGTTGATGGGCACCGTAGATACGCAACGAGCCAATGCATGATGACCATATATCTCGTAGAGAATCGTGTCTCGTTGTAGAAGATGTTCGCGCGCCTCAACAGAATATACCAAATCGGAGTCGGTCCCCCATGCAAGTATCCCAAACAAGCGAGCGACTGAGCAGGATGCTCTAAATCCTCTTCATCCCCAGCCATCTCCGTAGAATTAAGCCCAACAAATCTCCGATTGCCATTGGGCCAATGAAAGACGCTCACACCATCGACACCGAGTAGAATGAGCTAGAAAAAGACGTTTCTGGGAATGTACCACGAGAAAAACTTGATCCGCGATTAGGTTTCGACGAGCGCAAGGCTACATCGAGGTAAGGCCCGGGGTTCTACAGATCATAGCCTCAATGCAAGTTGACCATATAAGGATGTGGTGAATACCCTCATGAACATCCAATTCAGTCCAGTTCCATTCTCTAGTCATTCTTTTCTTGATCTCACTCTCAACTTCTGTCTTACCCAAGTCTTTCTTTCAGAAGTAACCAAAAATTTCATTCCATTCACCCGATAATACTATTTCCCAAGTTCAGCATTTTCATCATGAAGTCAGCAATCGCTTCTACTATTTTGCTCTCCTCGCTCGCCCTTGCAATGCCACAGCCCGAAGCTCGCGCAGCCCAGAAAACCGATGTCGCCGATGGCATGGACCTCGTCATCAGCGGCAAGTCAAAGTGCAAAACCAACGCGGTTCTTTTCGCGCGTGGAACCTTTGATTCCGGAAATATCGGTGTCTGGGTTGGCCCACCCCTGGAGCAGGACGTAGGCGATGAATTCAACGGCGATGTCTGGTTCCAGGGCGTGGCTGAGAAGGACTACCCTGCCTCATTGAGCGACTACGTCAAGACCAGCGGCAGCAAGACGTGTGCTACCAGCTGTGCGAAAACCGTGACGGACTATGTCAAGAAGTGCCCCGACTCCAACGTGTTTTTATCGGGATGGAGCCAAGGTGCGCTCTGCACTCACACCTGCCTCGACAAGCTCAAAGGATCGACTGCCCTGAAGAACATCAAAGGCGTCACAACATTCGGTGACGAAGCGGGACTCATGGATCCCAAAGACGTCCCCCCATTCCCCAAGGATATCCCCGTCAAGCAATTCTGCGTCGAAGACACAGCCGCCCCCGACGTTCTGTGCACCAAGACCCTGAGCTCCGGCTTCAAACTTCCCGACAGTATCAGCGGATACAAAGACCTCGTTATTGACGCCATGGTTGGTCTCACTAGGGTCGCCGTCAGCAGTGAACAACGCAATTCGGTTTCCAGCATCCTTTTTGGCATGGCGTCGGGTTTCTTGGGCGTTACGGATTACTTTCTCGCTGATGTAAAGGCTGGAAAGGTCAGGAGGTGGGCGGTTCTTCCTCAGCACTTCAAATATGCTACCAATGGTATGACATCCGATGCTGCTGAGTGGATGAAAGCCCAGGTCAAGCGCTAAGCGTAGGGTTGAAGTAGGGTGGAAGAACATAATCCAAAGGTTTTCACCTTATTACATTCGTGTATATACCATTTTAGACAAAATCCATATCCCTTCACAAATCAGCTGCCGTCATGAGAGTTCGAGGATCAATCTGACTATAGCTCCCTGTCAAATCAATTGAATTCAATTCTAAGCTCTGCGAACTTCTGAATGTACACTTTAGGCTGCCACTCACAGACATACCGTAAAATATAGCGAATATCACCGAATACGATCTGAACCTCCCCGCAGCGCGTCATCAGTTGATATTCATTGGCTTCGAGGAATGTGAGTCACGGTATCACATGCCACCGCGTCAGCGCTAACCTCGTTCGACTCGTGTTCTCGTATTCAGGCGCGTATACCCCACCGAGAATGGCACGCATTCGTAGGCTGACGCATGGTCCGTATCTATATCACAGCGGAGCTGAGGAAAACGAGAGAGGGGAAAAGTGTTGATAGAACAAGGGCTGTTTGAACGTCCAATCAGCACGTACGGAGGCGATCAAGCACTTCCATCTCCGAATATATATTCCATCGTCCCCTCGAGCCAGCGAAACATCAATCAAGATCCTTTCTCGATATCCGCTAACCACCACCAAATCAAATCAAATATAACCAACATGACAATTGACCACATTTCCTTCAACGTCCCATCGCCGCGTTACGAAGAAGTCGTGGCGTGGTATCTCAAAGCCCTAGCGCCACTCGGCTACGTCAAACAGGACGAAATCAAAGATATCGCCTGCGGTATTGGAGACACACCACACAAGTCCAAGTTCTGGATCGGGCAGACGGACGATGCTTCGAGACAGCTGGGCGGCGTGCTGCATCTCGCGTTCACCGCGAAAGACCACGACGCTGTAGACAAGTTCTTTGAGGAGGCGATTAAAGCTGGCGGCAAGGATCATGGGAAGCCTGGAATCAGGGAGAAGTATCATTCGAACTATTACGGAGCGTTTGTGATTGATCCTCTTGGGTGAGTTTTGATCTGCGAGATGGGATGGGAAGGTAGGTGGCTAACGAGAGGCACAGGAATAACATTGAAGTGGTTGACCACTCGCCGCATTGAGTCCGGCATAAAATGGTGCAGGAAATTCCCCGAATACAGCGATGAGAGTCCTGTTGGCGTCTGCTTATGTACATATGTATGTTATCGCTAAAAGAACACTCACAACTGTTGACAAAGGAACGGATCAACTTTGCAGAGAAATTCCTATAACTGTCTAGTATCTTCTGGAGGTTTGTCTCCGGGCATGCTTCATGGACACTATACAATACCTAACTGATATGCCCTGTCTCGGAGGCCACGGATTGATGCACTGGTTACTGCACGGTGTAGCTACGCATATGATACAAATCCTTTTTAGAAGTATCCAATCACATCAAGCTCACTACGTTCTTTCATCCCATTTCAGAATAGACAAACCAATTTCCTAGACATGGCGGCGCAACGCAAGCTCAAACATCACGACACCGCGTACTAAAGTTGCTCTGATTCGCCGGTGCCGACCACCCAATCGACGCTAGACCCCAGAAGGAAAGGTCCAACGAGCAATTACCCCATTACACAATACCATGAAGCCAAACCAAAGAGTCCCCCCCACGAGCATATAAAATCAACGCTCGACTCCTCTCATCTCGCCCATCATCAACTCATTTGCTATATACCCAAACATGTCTTCCTTTGAAAACCAAGTCGTCATCGTCACAGGCTGCAGTTCCGGCATCGGTCTAGCCACCACAAATCTCTTCCTCTCCCGCGCCGCAAAAGTGTTCGGCATCGACATCCAGCCCTTCTCCCACACGCTGCCCGCAGACCACCAATCCGCGTTTGAATTCCACCAAGTGGACCTCAACATCGCCAAGGCGACGGAAGATGCGGTCGCGGCGTGCCACATCAAGTTTGGCCCCAAGATCGATGTGCTGGTGAATTGTGCGGGCGTGTCGGATGGGTGGTCCAGCGCGGATACGTTGAAGGAGAGCGAGTGGGACCGTGTGATTTCGATTAACCTGACGATTCCCGTGAAGCTGATGACGGCGGTTTTGCCGGCTATGAAGGAGGCTAAGAGTGGCGCCATTGTCAATGTGTGTAGTAAGGCTGGTGTCGCGGGTGCTGTGGCGGGGATTGCGTATACGGCGAGCAAACATGGCTTGGTGAGTACTCTACCATCTCCATCTCCCTTTAACCAAATATGTTTCAGAATTTGTGCTGATTATCTGGGATAGGTCGGTGCGACCAAGAACGTAGCATGGCGATTCCGACAGGACGGCATCCGATGCAACGCAGTGCTTCCAGGTGGTACGTTCCTCTACAACAAAAACACCCATCCAACCCCAGACTTCTTCTCAGACTAATCCGACTCAGGCGTGAACACTAACATTGCATCATCCGTCAACATGGAGTGTTTCGACACCGAAGGCTTCAATTCCTTCTTCCCAAACATCCAGACGCACCTCGGCAAGTCCGACGGCCAGCCCGTACCCATTATTGGAACCGACGACGTGGCTCACGGGATCGCCTATCTCGCCTCGAGCGATGCAAAGATGGTCAACGGCGCGTTACTGCCGATCGACGGGGCGTGGTCGACTGTGTGAGATAATTGAGGGCAAAGGTTGTTGTATTGTTAAGTTCGTCTGTATTAGATAGTCCAGCGCTTGGGATGTTTGCAGTGCATGAAGTTGCATAATGAAAATAGTTCCATCGAGTTTTGGCCTGGAATCAAATGCTGATCGCTAGTCTATGGGATTGCAGAGCAACGATTTTGTTGTCAAGTCTGGTTGACCTAGATAATCACAGACAGTGAAGTCGAACAAGTGTCACGCGCGGACGTCGATCAGTACCAGTGTTCAATATTGAAATCATGTCATAACAAGTCATTACAATTACACAGCTAGTAAATCTGTCTACACTTTTTCCAAGCCCCTTCTATGCACCAATAGCCTGCGGGTTCCAAAACACACCCTTAGGATCCACTTCGCTCTTGAGCGCCTCAAGCCTCCCATAAACAGCATCACCGTAATACAACTCATGCGCAGTCGCAGCATCCAAAGTAGGATCGACGTAGTTCAAATACGCGCCAAAGTGTGTCTCGGGCTGCGCCTTGACAACAGCATCGTTGAGCCCGTTGATGAAGTCAATGGAGCCAGCAGTGGATCCGTAGTTCTGCACGACCCAGAGGCTGTCGCGGTCGTTGTATGCCGCGAATTCGGTGTCTTTGGAGTTGATCGCCGAGCCAGGTCCACCGTACAGGTTGATGATGCTGTAGTAATCGACTGAAGTGCCCTCCTTCATGTAGTCGAACAGCGAGTCGAGACCCGCGGAGGTGAACCCGGAGGATTCGGGGACGGTGATTGATTTGGCGAAGAAGTTATCGTGGTCGTCGTACCCTGTGAGGGGGACTTTGATGGTATCTGTGCCGGATACCTTGACGAGGTAATCATACCAGGTATAAGATTTTACAACAATGTTCCCGGGAGTTTTGAGACCGCGGATGAATTCTGGTTGGATCTTGGAGGTGAATTCGGAGACGGGGCCGAAGAAGGCGCCGCTCGCGGAGAAGGAACCGTATCCATCCATGTAGACGCCAAAGGAGATGCGATTGTCGACCACCGAATCATTGCGAGCAAAGTCTTGCAGATGAAGGAAGGTGTTGGTGAAGGTAGTCTTGTCGTCGAAGATGCCGCTCCACGGCACTTCGAAGTAGGTGATGGATTCGGGTGCTTGGTGGGTCTGCATGTAGAAGTTGACCACGATACCCAAGGACTCAGCAGCGCCACGGATGCCCCAATAAAGCTCAGCATTCTCGCTAGAAGATGCCGTCACAAGGGATCCATCGGCCAGAACCACGTCAGCCTTGACAATGGCGTCCATCGCAAGACCCCAATTGCGCGAGGTGTGACCGTAACCCCCGTGAGTAGCGTGGCCACCAACGCCGACACCTGGGCAGGTACCGTGAGACAAAGCCTTCTCTCCTTGGTTCCAGATACCGTCTGCCAGATTTCCAAGACGTACACCGCCGCCGACTTTTGCCAGACCGCTCTGATCCACGTCTACGCTGGTAAACGATGCAAGACTGATCATCATGGCTCCATCTTTTCCTCCAGAACTGAAACTCGCGTAAGAGTGACCTCCCGACTTCGCCTGAACCTTGAGACCTGCACCGGCAGCGCAAACAACGGCGTCTTGAATATGTTTAGATGTTGTAGGGAGCACCACCACAGCTGGTTTATACGCAAGGCGCAGATTGTAGGGCTGCACAAGACCTCCGTATTCCGCATCGGAGTTCATCTTATAGGGAACATCCTTCGAGTTCAAACACTCAGCAGCGGAGCTACCTGACGTGGATGTGGGAGCGGTAGAAGATTGGGTAGTCGTCGGTTCATCTTTGCCATCGCAGTCTCCGAATGCCGAGTTACACGATGTGCCACAGTGACCTGCTGAATCGCCGCACCAGCCGTGCTCGGAACAGCAATTGCCGAACGAGCTGCCGAGACATGTGTAGCCATTGTTTCCTGCGCAAGTTCCATCCGACGATACCTTTGCTGTCGCTGTTGGTTTTGGTGGTGAGGATGATTGAGTTGTGGGGGTAGGAGGTTGCGAGTTGGTGCAGCTTCCAAAGGCAGGGTTACATCCGGTATCACAGTGTCCAGACGAGTCGCCACACCAGCCGTATTGGGAACAGCAATTGCCAAACTCGCTGTTCAGACATGTGTATTGCGTGGTTCCTCCACAAGATCCATCGGGAGAAACAGTTGCGGCGTGAGCAAAGCTTGCGCTGAGCAGAGCTGTCGAGAAGGCGATGAAGGTCTTCATCTTCGTCGCAGGTTCCAAGATTTCAGCGCACCCAGATATTATTAAGTAAAGATTAAGATGAAGATGAAAGCGGGAAGAAAGTCAGGAATAGGGATTGAAGGCAATTAATATAACCATCTGCTACGCCTTCTTTGCCTGACAAGACAGCGCTAGCGCACGCTTCATCTCGTACCTGCACGGTGCATATCGAATTCTGATCTTCTCGTATTCGAATTCTTGGGGTTTCCTGACTAGCTTTCCAGTAGCATGCAATCAGCTCAGCAAGCTTAAATAGCGGGCTGGGCCCTATTCTGTCTAGCGAGGGATAGACAGCTGCTGGCACTGGTCGACATTAAGAAATGTCATCATCAGTGATGGTATCCTCGATGCAACACGCCCGGATGTCGGCGCAATGGGCCTCCACGGTCGTATCGGAGGAGAATAAAGGCGTAAAGGGGCTGAATGGCAATTATCGAGTAGTGGGTCTAGCGCATGAAAACTGCTATGTCGATCCCCACAGCCAAGCCACCGTCGCACAATGTTTCTTCTGGGGAGAGACGCTTGTTCTCCCAATCTATGTTATTTTAAGAGGCTTCTTGCGGATTGGGTATTTACGATGGATACTGGGGGTCCTCATTTGTAATTAGCTTGACCGTATGCGTCTCAACATCGTCAGCAAACGGCACCTAGCATATTGACAACTGATAGTTTTGCCTGCTGCTGCTTGATCTAGCGAGCCTCCCCTCATAAAACGATGCTTACTGGGCCCAATTGATACTTTTTATACTGTTAAGGTTAGATCAGACCGTTTTTACACTTGGACCGTCGGTGATATTGCGGCTTGTTCTAATTCGGGAACTTGATGACTCGCTTGACTTTGTGGCACATTGCCGAGGCGTGAATAGCAATCGCAGCCTCGTACTCCCTTAACTCATCTTCAACGTCATGAGGATCTTATGTGCAGTATGAAAAAGATGTAGGGGTTCTGATTCCTTTTGATCATGGCTGTGTTCAATATGTTATATTCCCATCTGCAGATCCAGATTCAGACAGATGGTACAAAATGAATGAGAAAGACAGAAGAAGATAGCAAAGTAGATATCCAAGAGCAAAAACTACAGTCCGAAAGTTTGCGATAGTAGTAGCAATATTCCGATGAGAGAAACGAAAGGGTTCCACGTGATTTCTCTATTCGTCATGCAGGGTATCTCCATAGGTGAGTATAATGCGGACCTAGAATCATCGAGCGTGTGCCAACTTGTTGCGCAAGAACAACACAAAAAGAGTGAACACAACATTTCTAGGCGTGTAAAATAATCTATCAAAGCAAAAACGGTTCATAAATATCTAATGAGAGGTATATACATAATTTCGTAGATCGCAACTACTGCTTCGCCCATTCCTGCCTGCAGGCTTTTCAATAATTTGCAATGCGTGTACAAAAGTCGACTATTTACATGGTTGTTGTGTTTCCGATCAGTCTAGATAATCATACTTCTCCGATCCGCACGGGAGGTTAGAGGCCTTGCAGCTTCCTGCTTCAGCTTCCCATGCGATGTTAAAGGCCTGGAAGGGTCGTCGTTCTTGGTCCTCCGGACTATATCCCTCAGGCTGAACTTCAACTTGGATGCTTCCGTGTCACTCTTCTTGTTCTTCTCGATGTTTGCGAGGTTTATCGCGAGCTGCTTAGACTCGGCTTGCGCGTGTTGCAGCTGTCTTGTGAGCTCCACATTCTGAATTGAGAGTTTCTGCAGCTCGTTCTTTGTGATCTTGTGCTTCTTTGTTGGTTTTTCGAGTTGCAAACGCACGTGTTCTTCGCGCAGCTTTTCAAGATCTTTGGATTGCTGTTGAGCGAGTGTTTGGGACTTCTCGAGCTCGCTGCGGAGGTATGCTTCCAGTTTGGTTTCGGATGCGCGTCGCTCTTCCAGTCTGATGTCCATTTCGCGGCTGCGTAGTTTCTCTTCTTTCAGTGTGTCCTGGGTTGACTGTAGAGCATCGCGCAGCGTTGCTTCCTTGGTTTCCAGTTCGGCGAACAGGGATTTCGCGGTGTCGAGCTCTTTCTGTAATGCTTGCCGTGTATCTTGGAGGTTTTGTTGTCCGCGTTTCTGTTCTCCCGCGAGATCCTGCTCAAGGACTTCCTTGCTTTCAGCGAGGGAGATGTTCTCGGCAGTCAAATCATGTATCGACGCATGCAAAGCGTAAATCTCGAGTTCTTTGCTTTCCTTGTCGGCCTTTAATTCATCAATCGTCGTGTACATGGAAGAGACTTCTTTCTCGAGTGCTTCCGTGCTTTCCTTGAGCGCGGTGCTCTCGACTCGCAGTTCATGATTAGCTGCATGCAAAGAGGAGATCTCTTTCTCGAGCTGCTTGACAGTTTCTTGGGAACTTATGCATTCATCTCTCGCCTGATCGCGCTCTCGTTGGCTGGAAAGTTGAGCCTCGACACTTTTTTGAAGCTGTTCTTCAAGAGAAAGCTTCTCCACTTCACTAGCTTTCTGGCCAGACTCATGATTGGTAGCTTCAAGCGCCTCCATCGAGGGATTCCGACTTGGACCTTGGAAAGAAGTAGATTGACATTGTACTTTTCCGGTTTTTTCCTTCTCTTTAATTGCTTGATCAGGCGTTGATCCAGTAGGGATATCGATCGGAGCCGTGGTACCATTGGTAGAGCTTCCTGCATTCGTGGCTTCGAGACTGGTTGTTGCTTTTTTGCTAGCACGGTCTCCGCTAGTGCCGTTCTTACCGCCACTACCACCAGCAAACCAGCTCTTGGAACGAGTATGGGTGCTTGGCCGGCCAGCAGGAACGGGTTTACTCTTCCCCCAACCACCAAACCATCCTCCCGAAGAAGTTGGACTCATACTAGCTGAAGCCATGGCTGTAGCGGGATGAGGAGATGAAGATCGACTCGAACCGGTTTTGATTGATGAGATACTAGCAGCGGGTTTTTTCTGGTCAAGGAGTACAGCGGATGTTTTCCCAGTACTGAATGAGCTTCCGGGAGCATCAAAAGTAGCTGTCGATGGAGCTAAAGGTTGAGAGGTGGGATTGAGTTTGCCTGGAGCCATGGCGATAGGTATTTGAGGCGAGAGATTGCAAAGTCGCTTCGGTGAATCTCTGGTGCCGATGAGCAGAATTGGATATTGTTTTGTTACGAAGTAACAAAGGGTGTACCTTGAGCTTTAAGTAAGGATATGTCGCCATGCAGGGCGACGACGTGCGAAAAAAATGCTCTCGCCTTGGTTGGGACCGTGCTCTTGCGGTGTGGTCAAAGTGGACATCAAGTACCGGTGAGCGCACAGCGCACGCCTCAAAGTGCTAAGTTACTACATCAACAAAACACCCAGATGAACCCCACACACGAACAAATCTTGATGATTCGAGGAGGCTTTTGATATACCTTAATTGCTACGCATGTAATAGATTTCAGAACCCTGGTAAAATGAAAAGACTTGTTCTGCGTCTGTTGTACCTGCATTACGTGGCCGTGCATAAATAAATAAACGTTTGTTGTTGTTTGCACATGGATTTAGCTCGTGCGCTTATCTTCCACGTGCACGTTGACCACACCGCAAGAGACCGTGCCCGCGCACTAACACGTTGGGCGAGTATGTCCACAATACTGAAGTAGATGGTTGGTTGGTGTTGAGAAAGGTCGGGCTGGAATGGAAGAAGTAGTAGTTTGTTGGCATGTGGTTGGGCCGAATAAATACCATCCAATGATCGAAATCGGAAATCATGCATTGATCATCTGTCATCGCGATAGCAAGGAATACCTAGGTAAACGCTTCAATCTGACGTGGTTCATCACATATGAGATATAGTACATACACTTGGGGTACCGAAATACGATAGTCTACCTAAAATCCCTACATGTCAATGTACCTATCGGTACATGGACTTAGTTAACGGTAGGTACCTAGGAGGCATGACACATAGCACGTGACAATACAAGCAACCTATGAATCATGAGTGTAGACAACAACTTCATGTGTAAGGCGGCTCCGGGCTTCCTCGGATATACTTCGAGTTGACAGCATCGCTCACTAACACTGGATTTTCAGGATAGCAGGATTTCCATGTTGACTGCATCATTACTGGTTTACTCGCTTCTGTGTATTACCAATTAGCATTCGGGCATCGGAAAGTCGGCTATAAGTACTCGGATTTCACTTTCCGATATACCTGATTCTAGCTAGAATGATGACGAGCTCCTGTCGCCCATCTAGGATTTCAATACCATTAACTCGTCGAATCTATCGATGTTGAATACGGCAGACGGGTTGGCTAGGCTTCACAATCAATTTTGGGAGCTCAGCAAGCCTGAATAGTGGTGCATTATGCCCCAATATGTTTCCATCTAGGGTAATGTGGCAAAAAAAAAAACTCGTATGAAATGGCTACTATCGAGCCATAGACCGTTGTTACTATTTGATTTTGCTCTGGAAAAATCTCTGGATCTCAAGCCGCTAAATAGCACTTGAGCTCCAGGCACCACACCACACAATATACATGGCAAATTCACCGCTGAAGTACCAACCAGAGGCGTCCTCCAACTGAACATGTTCGTCACGCGAGCTTCTAGTGTTTCTCACTGCCAGTCTTGTATACAAGAACGCCCGTATCTCCTACGATATGTAAGCATTCACGACAAATCAACGCGCTTGACCTTTTCAGGCATTGATCTGCTGAATGGTCAACCCCGCTTTCAGCTCTCAACACCCCAATCCACTAAACAATGTGTTCTCTTCTCCTTTCCTCATCATTCTCATTATCATGTCATTCAACCAGCTTGCAAACGAACTGCTCATATGCATTGCAGAGAGTATAGACAGTGATCGTGATATCAATGCACTGGCACAAACCTGCCACCGCGTCTACCACGTCACGAATGACATCCTCTACCAGCACCACGTGCTAATCGGTGGCGGTGTCGCGCTGCGATGGGCTGTCGAGAACGGTCGTACGGAAACGGCCCGGAAGCTCTTGCGCAAGTGGCCGGAGGGGAAGAGCGTAGATAGGCCTGGAGGAGTGTCAATACCCAGCCTCCGGCTGCTCGACTCCGTCCACGGTTGGTATAAAGTACCGGAATGCACAACCTTGACACACGCGGCAAGGTACGGCTACATGGAGATTGCGAAAATGCTGCTTGAGAAAGGCGCGGTCATCAAACGGCGGATTGCGACGTCCAAAGATCCGCTGTGTACAGCTATCGAGTCATGCTATGACAGCCTCGATATGATCAAGTTGTTGCTTGACAGTGGCGCCATGGTGACGGGAAACCATTACGATCCCCTGAGTTCCATCATGCGCCCTCGAGACGAGCGTCGGCGGCCTGGGCCCTCTGGTGTGACCGATGAAGATATCGCGAGATTGTTGCTGGAAAGAGGGGCCGATGTCAACGCTTGCGAAACTAAAGCGCTCCGTGTTGCTGTCATGTCGAATAATCTCGGCATGGCGAAGTTGTTGCTAGATCATGGGGCCAATGTTAATGTGCTGCAAGAGAAACAAATCTTGGACGCCTTGGCGCAGGGGCATACTGTCATGGCAACTTTGTTGACATCTTACGGAGCTTGTATTGACGTTTCCCATGGAAACAGCCTTGAAGGGAATCTTCAACCACAGGCACTGAATTGGAGAGTGATTGGTGTATAAGTTACTATTGGAATCATGCCGGATCCATGCCAATTTCAACATGGTAACATGGACGGTTCTTCGAAGCCAGGTTCACGGGCGGACCTAAGGATTTATATCGCATCCTTCAGAAAATGACCGATCCCGATTTAGCTGCAGTTGATGACAGTGAGGAAACCCTTGCTCCAAGGCCGCGCTAGGACCTGGCTCGTTTGTACCCTGCCACTCCTGCCTTACTCAAACTCGGGGTTTCTAGTAGATCGCGTCTCATGTTGTCCTCCTGTGCCAATCTATCCTCGATTCCGAGGACCCGCGTCACTTGATCTACGTCAGGCCCGTTTATAATAGTACTAAAGTATGCATAACGGGAGTTTGTACGCAATGCTAACTGCGCCTTGCGCGTTTAGATACCCATATAGCTGACCACGACACCTTGTTTAGGGCTCTATCTTGCGTCACACATAAGCAGCATCAAAGTGATATTTCCTTTCGAGTACAAGTATACGCCTATTTTGACCTGTACTGTTGGAAGATCAGCCTGTTAATACCATAAGCCGTGTATACAGATCATACACAGAGCAAGAAAGAGTTCACACACTACTATCACAAATCATGCTCTCTCATCCATTATCGCCTACAAAAATTCGATAGCGACGTAGTGCGATGTCCTCCAATTCAAACTATATATCGCTTTCAAAATTGATCCTGTACCGCAACCTAGTTTGCCAAAGACTTCTTCCCCGGACTGTCTATGCGTCAAATCCTCCGATCTATCACAGCCCCCACTGTGAGCGCCACAGGATTTTGGACATCGGACGACTTCCCTAGTATCCAGAACGAAAGCCATCCATGCTTATTCTCCAAATCGAAAAGATTGACAGGCATCATACGATGAACAATGATCTAAACATGATTCAGCTGTGTCCATGCGTCGTTGAAATGCATCGTAGACCAGAGCATAAATATGTCCTCACTATGTAGCTTCAGAAGCATTTATAAATCCAAACGCATTCGTTTCGTCTTTCTTCCCCTTCTTCTCACGGAAAAAGAAAGATTGGACTTGTGTAGTATACAAACTAGTTCAACTTCGATTCAACTTCCCAAACAACAGCAAAGATGAAGTCACCACCAACAAAACACTTGCTCTCTTCCCTCCTACTCCTCACATCGCCGCCTTACCTCGCCCTCGCCCAACCAACCGTCCAGCCGGCCACTACACCTCCATTCTGCACAACCACAACACCAGCCGACCAATGCGCCCAATCCGCGCTATCCTTCGCCTTCACCGTTGGTCCAACTTCTCCTCATCCTCTCCCTCCTTCTTCCCTTTCTCCTCTTCAAATCTACGAAGAACCAAGCTAACGAACCTCAAAAGTACGGCCTTCCACTGCTCTCTTTCGGCGCCATCGTCAAACCACCTTCTCCATCCATGCCTCCCCCACCGCTCAACACACTCATACATCAGCGCTCGTTGCGGTCAGCTAGTGACCGAGAAGTTGTGAGGCCGAATGCGGATACGCTTTATTCGAATGTGTTTTTTGACCTTGGGGGGATTGAGGGGATCGAGGTTGATGTTCCTGAAGTTGGTGGCGGGGAGGATGGAGGTAGGTATGTTGGAGTTGGGGTGTATGATTTGTGAGTTTTGCTTCCTTTTCTTCTACTGTTTTCTTTGCATTTTTGTTTTCTTTCAAGCTGCTTTTGTTGGTAGGCGATGTAGTGTTGTTGTGAAGAAGGGGAGGAAAGAGAAAGGAGGCACTGTGTGTGAGGGTGTCAAGTGAGCTAGCTCATCTCAATTGTTGGTTAACATCAGTAACAGTTACGGCAACAACATCGCAAACATCGGCACCGCGAGCACTCTCAAGCACGGCAAATTCCTATTCCGCTATACCAAAACCCACTCCTCTTCATCATCATCGCCGCCGCCCTCAGGCGAGGCCGTCTCAGAGAAGGGAGACTACGCGGGAGTCATAACGCTTCCAACACCCTACGGTCAAACCCTGATAAGGATCTCCACATCCAACACAACCCAAGATTTGGATACCGTCCACGCGCTACAAGATCGTTTCGTAGTGCGCGAGATTCCTCTCTGTGATACTACGACGGATTACGGTAGTGCTATCGTCACAGCGAATTCTACAGAGAACGGGGGTGGGGATGCCATACCACCGCTGGACCTCACGGTATTTCAGAACCCTTATTACCTTCCTACCGGTAACACGACAATCCCTGAGGCCGTGCTCCGCCTGACCGCGAAATTCGCGGCGTACAACGAACCTTTGGTCCCCGAGGATCGAAAATGGGTCCCACACGCGCTTGAGCTTGCAGGTTGTAAGTTCGAGACTGGGACGTGGACGCTCCCACAGGGTACGAATCTCACTGGAGCGGTTGCCGCAGCGAACGCATCTGTAGCAGCATTGCTGCAAGAACCTGGGAGTATTGAAGAACTGGGGAATGGATGGACAGTGTTTAGGCAAGGTTTGGTGGGAACTTATGGGGGAGAATATGTGGGGAGGTATATTGGAACGGGGTGGGGATATTTGAGTTTGACGGGGGATCAAGCGCTTTATCCGTCTTATGGTTCTTCTTCTGCTCTGGCGCCAGGGAGTAGTGGGGATGATGAAAAAGGAGAAGAAGAGGAGGAAGGCAAATCCATCATCCTGCATTTCTCGCGCCGTCCTCCCGTGAAAGCAGGAGCTGGGTTTTGGAGCGTGACCATGTACGGCGCGGATTTGTTCTTCGTGGACAATGAGATGGGGAGGTATGCGGTCGGTGATCGGTCGGAGTTGAGGTTTGCGGATGGGACGTTGGTTTATCCGCCTGCTTTTGGTGACAATGGTACTGCTACCGGCGGAGGAGCTGGGGAAGTAGTGGGAGAGGATGGACCGTTTGATGTGCTGATCCAGAGCAAAGACGTTGTGCCGCCGACGAACTGGACGAGCAATTGGCTGCCTGGGCCAAGTTCGGGGGAGGGAATGGACTGGAACTGTGAGTGTTTCCCTTTTCATATTCTTAATTGGCGGGTCTCGTGCTGGGGTTCTGTACACTGAATTGATGGGTATGGCTAACGCTCGATACAGTACGGTGGTATGCTCCCGAGGATGAACTGTTTCCCGGCGGTGGGTATGAGTACCCGAGTATTGAGGTGGTGGATGTTATTCGGGAATGATTCATAGATCGTAGTTGCCATGTTTCTTGGGGGCGAAAGCAGGGGAAGTATGTAATTGCTGTGCCGCTACGCATGTAGTGGAATTCAATTAATCAGTTGTCTTGGATCATCCGTAGAGACAAGCTTCAGTTCGCAGATTGCGTATATGGGTAGGTATTTCACCTCATCTTCAATTGGTGCCAATATCTGGCGGGTATCATAGTGTTCTCGTCCTCCTCTTCATACTCCTCTAATCTCCAGCTCTGCACATTTGCAGCACCACGAATGCCTACGAACTCTTGCCCAAACTCATGATCCTGTCCTCCACCACTTTGACTAAACTCTCCTTCTCCTTGACGGCCTTGATCCTTTCGCCCTCGAGGTCCTCGAGCTCCCTCTCTAACTCGCGCATGCGCTCCAGCTGCTCGGCCTCGCTGGAATGTAAGCCGGGCAGACTGCCAATGAGGATCTCAATCTGCTGTTCCTTGAGTAGCAGATCACGGCTTAGCTCGCGGATGTCTTTTCGAAACTCGTCGGGGGTGGGGAGAGGAGCGGGGGCAGGTGGCTGTGCGGAGTTGTTTGGGTTGTTGGGATGCGAAGCGGCTTGCTGTGCGGCCGCTTGGGCTTCATGCTCGGCAAAGGAAGACAGGAGCGGTTGACTAGGAATGTGGGCAGGCGGGGTGCGGTGGTGGATGTAGGCGAGTGAGGACTGCATTTGGTTGAGGAGCTGCGGAGGTAGGTCAGCGGGGGGGTGGTGAGTTGAGGGAGGATGGGGGCAATGTTACCATGTCCAATTCGTCCTGGATTTGGGTGAGGATGTCGGCCATGGTGTAAAATGAATGGATGCGATATTATGCAATCGTACAAGGTCGTAGTGGTATTGGCGGGTGGATAGGTGGTGAAGCTGGGGTAAGAGAATGGTTTTGGTGGAGAAGGTGCAACTACATGCAATTGATACTGATGTTGGTAGGCACATGTGCATGTACGCGAGGAGTGACTAGCGTCTTGGCGTTTATTCTCCTTTGCATCAATTGATTGTTTCAACCTTCTCCTCTCCCTCACGCGTCGTCTCATGACTCCAGCCTCCACGCAACCAACACTTGAAAACACATACGCATACCCGCTGTTTTCCTTTGTTTTCTCCAATTGACGTGTTCTTTTCTCTGTATATCGTTTCCCTCCCCCCTGCGAAGTTCGCATCTTCGGCCGCTCTTTTTGCAGCCACCATGTGCCCTTTTACATGCACTTCATGACCGCGCTGCTAAATAAACCCCCGGGGATGCGTGCAGTGCTGTCACGCCCGTCTTTTCTCAGTTCTGGATACCGTTACTTCCTCTCTCGGCCATGCCTACCTACTCTCGTTCCCCGACGCGTCGTCGTAACCTCGTCGTCCCGCACGGCACCCATCGATTTACCCAAAACTCTCATTCCCCATGGCTCTGCACTCCATAACTCCTTGTCCACTTTTCTCGAGCACGCTGCTAGGAGGAATCTCAACCCCGAAAGCACCCTTTATGTTGGCACCCTATACGAGTATCAGGCCGCCAAAACACTGAGGCGCTTCGGATTCGCCCTCACCCGCACCGGCCGCAAATCCGACGCTGGCATTGACCTTGCCGGCTATTGGTGTCTTCCTACCTTTCGCGAACCTCTCCCCGTTATTCTCCAGTGCAAATCCAGCTTTTTACCCGCTAATCCTGCCCACATTCGCGAACTAGAGGGTTCCATGAAGAGTATCCCCACCGAGTGGCACCAGAAAGATGTCTTAGCCCTGCTTGTATCCGTTCCTGCCGCAACCTCCGGTGTCATGCACGCCATGAGCATGAGCCGCCATCCCTTGGGATTTCTCGGAATCACCCGCGACGGCACAATCGAACAGTTTTTCTGGAACCGCGCCGCTAGCGAGCGGGGCCTGGAGGGCGTCGGCGTTACTGTCCGCCACACACCCACAGTCCTCCTGCCCGGTCCAGAAGATTGGGAGAAAAAGGGCCCGCTCGGCAAACGCGAGAATGATCGTGGTCTTCGATCTCGCGTCGCCAACAAATTCCGCGGGACGGGCACCAAGAAAGATATCCAACTGACTTGGCTCGGTTCGCCCATCAACTCAACCCTCCCCGATGATTGTATTCCACAAGCCCCCGAGTTTTTGCCCAACGTTGTTCGTAAGACGACCTCAACGACCATTAATGGAAAGAAACGAGGTCGACGCCCAGGTTCCAAGGATAGCGTAAAACGCGTTCCTCGCGGTACCTATACGTCAAAGAAAATGCCAAAAGTGAGGAAAGATGAGGCGGCGGGCTGAAAGCCCGGGAAAGGATCACCAGTTCAAGTAACTTGTGTCATGGTACGTCGGGTCAGCACGATTACCACCTAATAAAGAAGGTAGTGAGGTTGTTAGATCCTCCGCAACTAAACCATTCACTTGCCACCGCTTTCTCTCCAAACCGAATAATGGCGCCCTGACGCATTTCGCGCGGGCTGGTGGGCTGCACCATGGTAGCGCGGTCGTGCGGGGACTATAAGCCAACAAACGTAAGCCTCGGTCGAAAACATGGCAATTCTTGCAAAACGCACGACGGTAGTAAAGAGGAGCGTAAGCAATTGCAGCGCCAGCAGATGTAGCTGTAGCAGGGATGAATAGATACCCAGACAAGCGAACTTGTCTTTCAAACAGAGATATCGCATGTTTTATTTATAGTGTAAACGAATCAAATCAAATAAAGTACATAGTCAAGTCCAACCAAGTCCTGATAATATTTTGGTCGAAAGTAGCTGATGATAATTTGGACAACGTTTGTACCCTTTTTTTAAGGGGGGAATTTGATGTCTGGGATACTGCGTGCCACGTACTTTTCACTCTGCGCATATATGACTTTGTTTCTCTCTCTGCCTTAACTCTTCCTTCTCTAGTTTCTCTGCACGATTTTTGACCGCGCTGTTCTACTGCTGTTCTTCCTATCCCATTGGCTTAATTTCAGATCGGATTGAAAGTGGGAAGGTGTTGGTCAGATCGCGGATCAGACTACATGGCAAGTATCTTTATACAGGGCATTTTCATCATTGGACTTTCCCCTGGTCAGTCATGGGTGGTTTGATCTTCCATGAACGTACTGAGCTCTAAAATATATGTATGTAGCTGTTGGGCTGGCGTTCAAATAATGATGTGCTAGAGGTGCGACTATATTGTCCTGAGGACTGCAAAGTGTCTGTGCCGCATAGAAGATGCGATAATGATACAATAGATTCAATTCTGAGGACCACACATAAAATGAGCTTTGATTGATGTCGTCCAGTTCATCGACCGATTTTAGAGTTGGAATCTCCTTCGTAGATGCGTTTGGAGCGATTTGGTGTGAGCCAATCGATTGTACCTGTCTTTCCAGCTCATATTATCTTGATTGTAGTTCTTAAGACTTCCACCTTACCAGTCTAAGATGGTCGGTTCTTCGCTTTGTAGGGACTACCATCGAAAATAGGCTCTCCAAAAGCACTCTTGATCTCAGGATGGCTCCAAAAGTCTGCTTTGAACCTGCCGATTCGTGCGAAAGCATTAGTCTCTGCGTTTACTTGGCGAAGCATCAAACCCCAGATATGCGGGAATGCGGTATGTGCGTATATGAGCGGCATGACGTAAATTAATAGATTAGGTTGCTTCTCTGACATGTTTGCTTAACTCACTAGGAACATCTTCCCCAACCCCTTGACTAATTTTAGCTGCATTCAAGAGTACCTATACTGCATGTATCTCATAAATGAAGTGCAGCTAATCTCCACAAGACATGGTATAGCTTTTTACCCTGTATCCCCCGAGTGTGTCTCATCTAGCTACTTTAAGACCCAACTGATAGCGACCGGACGTTCATTAAGTGATACATCTTTACAGTATCATTGTTGATTAACCGTGCATTCCCATACATTTGATGAGGTATCGGGACATTTCCACGCGTAAATAAGGTACCAATAATAGCAAGCTGTGAGCGATATTTCTCGATTCTTCTGAGAAGGTCTTCGACTCCGACCTCCTCGTACACCAGGCTTCCATCCTCATATACAGGGGCGCGCCCCAACTCTACCCCGCCGAGCGAGATGCTTACATCTCACAACATGAGATTCCTCGCCGTGGCGAAGATCATGACGAAATTCCGACCAATGTTCTCTCGTTGAGTCCGAGCAACGACCATCATCCTGGTCACCGGTGTGACCTCCGGTCAAATGGTACTGCTTGTTGCAGATATTACAGATATGCGAGTTCAACGTTGATGACCAATGATTCGCGAAATCTTAATACGATGCAACTCAACTGCAGAACACATCGTGTTCGTGTTGGGGATAAGTATAGGCAGCCGCGCTCCACGTTCGGTAGCCGAAGCGAGACACGAAGGAGAGCTGAGAGAGTGTTTAGGTCGACGACATGAAGGCGATATATGGAATATGCGCACTCGATAAGTGATATCATATGTTGATTTCTTGAGATTAATGCATTTCAAGTCAAACTATTTTGTTCTGCTTTTTGCGACACACAGCTCCGTCAAATTCGAAGGTATTTGAAGACGCGACAAGTGAGAGTTTCCCATTATGGCGTTCAGTGTACAACACGTTCGTGCAATCGCTATTACACTCCCAATCATTGCCACTTTGGCGGTGGCAGCTCGTTTTTATGTCCGAAAACTCAAGAAGGCGAAGTATGGAGCAGATGACTGGACAATACTCACAAGTTTGGTAATTATAACCCTAGCTCAAACAGGTAGATTCGATAATAACTAGGAAGCAGATTCTCACATGGGCATTGACAGGAATCGTGCTGAGGGGTAAGCGGAGATTAACGATACTATGTAGTCTTCATTCATCGCTGACTTGAGTCAGGCACTGTGATCGGTGTATACGGGGGGTATCACCCACCTACAGCACGTGTTGACGCTGGCATGATCGTAATGACGAAGGTGAGATCCAACCCGCTTTTTTTTCTTCGACAGCGACTAAAACCCATCCAGTTCCACTTCTCTCTATGGCTAATGGCCATCGCATGCGTCGGAATGATCAAGATCAGCGTCCTACTACTCTACCGCCGTGTCTTCTTCGCAGAGCGAATCTTCTACATCTATTGCACCTGCCTATGCGTAGCTGTCGCTCTGTGGGCAACCGGCTTCTTCTTCGCCAGGGTATTCATGTGCGGGAAAGACGTATCGTTGTTCTGGAAAGGCTTCGCGATCTATAAGCGGAAATGCGTGATCTACCCTATTTCCAACGGCTTCGGGATATCGGATATCATCACCGACGCACTTGTTGTGATCTCGCCTATTCCGATTGTTTGGCGTTTGCGCTTGCCAAAGTTGCAGCGCGCGGGTGTTGTCGGTATGTTTGCTTTGGGGTTTCTGTATGGCTTGACTACTCTTCTGGTCTCGAGGGAAGTCGTCGCTGATGATGATTAGATCAACGGCTGCCGGTGCTGCGAGAGGGTATATTGTACTATCGGCTAACCACGGTATGCGTCCTTTCTACACCCGTCCATGGACATCATCTGACCACAATCTAGAAGCTCGCAAGATCCCAGTTCATCCTGTCGGTACGTCATCATTTCTCATATCTCCGATCTTACGACTTATCCTCCGTTTAGTTCTCGGAACCAACGTAGCGGTCTGGTCAGTTATCGAAATCACAATGGCAGTGATTGCGGCGTGTCTAGTCACCCTTCGCCCATTAGTAAGCGGTGAGCATGTAAAAGTACTCACCAGGCGCATCAAATCTGCCATATCGCTTCTTCTCCTACGATCCTCCTCATCACGGCTCTCGAGAGATGGCTCGACGGATCTTAGAAACGGTGAAGACTCGGACTCTAACCAGCACCATGATAAGGAGCAGTACTTTGAGTCGGGCTCTGAATCTTCTGCTCGTGTGTGAGATGGATCGTGACAGGCATGATCTAATTTGAGCTTGATACTTACCATGAGACTATGAATAGCGTATTCGTTGGTCGTTTGGGCTCACGAACGAAGGAAAATAAATGGCAGGTCCAGATATCGTTCGCATTTTAGTCGGGCGAATTGTTTCCAAGGCGACGCATTTATACGGTTCAGCAATGGTACTCACCTCACTCGTGGTTATGTTTATACGATGCTATTAACATTGAAATGAAGAAATGACCGTCTATATTATCAAGAAGCTTCAGTATACGACCGTGAAAATATCCGAAAGTTTCGTCTCGAGCGTCTGACACCAGTACAGCGAGCTTGCGAAGCATCACATGAATTTCAACCCAAGACACAATCTACTCGCAGGTGAAGCGAGTTCTGGCCATATTCTGCGCACGAACATACCTCTCCGTTATCTCACGAAAAAAAAAAAAAAGACGAAATGCCTTCCATACCCATCCAGCTCTAAGCACCCGCCCCAAGCCTAACCAAATCCGCATTCAATAACGGATCCTTCTCAAACCCACCAACAACCTGATCCAGCATCGCCTTGGAAATTTCCCTCAACCCCACACTCGGGACAACTCCAGTCACTCGCAGCCCCATCGACAGAACCCTCTGCCCGAGATTCCCCGGATCGACAATCAGACCGGGTTTCGCGACAGTCGCTTCGATGAGCGGAGCATGCGATTTAGCGTAAGCTAGAACCTGTGATTCTGTCTCGCCCTGTTGCACGTGAGGTATTAGTATAATACGGGCAGATAGCAAACTTCCATTCCAGGTGTTTATCGAAACAGAATGAGATAAGGGAAAGGAGTGAGAGAGCGCAAAGGGAAGGGAAAATGCATACCCTCATCAAACAATACTGTGTGTGATACCACGGTTTCTTAGTCTGATCGCGCTCCCCCGAAACACCGCTCACATAAAGAAAACGAAATGGATTCGCGGGCCCGGATTCAAAGATGGTGCGTAGCCCGACGAGCGTGGATGTTTGGCACACCCGGACGACTTCTTCCCATGGGGTTTTTGATGCGCGCATGGGGGTTATCGCTATTGTCCTGTTTGATCCTCAGAATTAGCTTTGCATACATTCTGACCCAGCGCAAGATTGCATTGTGAATAAAAATAGGAGAACTTTGGAATTTTCCGGTGACTTCTTCGAGCTTATATCATAACCAGTGGAGGGAAAGGCGAGGAGCAAGATACGTACCAAATACACCCATCCGCCCCCGCAAACGCGCCCTTTGCCTTCTCGTCATAGACATCGTAATCCTTCACCACCACATTTTCCATCTTCTTCTCTGCATCCGCCTTCACTACATTTTCAGCAAGCACGCGGCGCGTGACGGCGACGACTTTTGTGATGTCCTTGCGTGCGAGGGCCTGTCGGAGGACTTCGCTGCCGAGGAAACCCGTTGCGCCTACGATGATGACTTTCATTGTAACTCTCCTGCCTTTAGTCTTATCGGGCTGTGTGGTTTGATAGGGAATGCGCCAAGGACAGTTGTTGATGGAAAATATTGGTGGTGTAGGTGGTGTTGGTGAGGTAGATGCAGATTCAATGATCGGATCGTATACCGTGGTGGTGATTGGGCAGATGACTTGTCGGAATGTAGGATTTAGGCAAAGTATACGAATCCCGTCCTCGCTATCTGTGGCACAGTCGTTGAGCCCGGCTTTCCAGAATTCCGATCTCAAAGAACACCAAGCTTATGCTGAGCGTAAGACAAAATGAAAAAGGCTCCTTGGTAATTTCAAGCGGCAAAGAAATTTGCAGATGTACTCACTGTTATATACTCGCTGGCTGTTATCAAACGCTCGAAACGATCTCCGCGCTTTCTAGACCGCTTTGGAAAAGGTGTAGCCTGATTGGTTGCAATTTGAAGCTTACGACCGCTACTGATCGTATATTCCCTAATTCGTGAGTTCACTAAAGTTTGTCATATCAGGGAATCGAGAGAAGAGCACAGTCTTATGTAGAACGCATATGCGTCCTTTGAGCGGAATTGTCCTGATTCCGTGGTCGAGTCCTCCTTGCGTCGGCGATTCGATTTTGTAATCATGCCGAAGTAAGCTTAATGTGTCTATGTTAATAGAATTTTTAGTTTTTGAGGCATTCCAAGCTGCTACATATTTATGGAACATATTTTATGCGGTTAGTGTGAAACGGCTTTGAACTGTTATCTGCCAGATTTGTTCGCTGGTGCGAAAGGAATGGTGATACATCTTCTTTTCCTCATAAGCAATCAGCGATCCACAGAAAGTCAGCATCACGTTTACGAACCGAGCTATCTACAACGTGCTGGGATGGTGGAGCGCAGGCATCAGTACTAACAATGTCCTAGTGAGAGTATCTTCCATCGCGTTTTATACAAACTATTGAAAGTCTCTTTCCTTGTGTGTAATCTACTTAGTCGCAGATGAGAAAATGTAAGCCACTAGTAGTGAGAGTGCGAACACAGTTTTGACCCTATAAGTCGTTAAGATGAATTAGGTGGAGAAATAGTATTTATGCGAGAGGTTTGATAGGCATCTAAGAATAATCATTCTAATATACCTGCAAAAATTGACGTTTCGGACGAGTAATAGAAATCTAATTGGAGGGAAAGAATTCAGCTTTATGCTTTTCAAACGACCTCAAGTTATTCCCGTCTGAGTAAACCTTCAGCAACAGAGTTACGAACTGTTTCCTCTCATCCTCTTGATCGAATCGGTCTTTGTTCTTCTCAAGCATTCGCCGATTTTTATTGTTGAGCTTGACACCATTCTGAAAGAAAAAGTGCATCGTGTCAAGACGACTCGCTGTTTCCCATATATCAATAACACGGTCACGTACCCCACTAGCCCTATCACGTACACCAGTCCGGAATGAAAGGTATGGGTTTTGTTGAATCAAGGCAAATACAAAACAGTCGAGAGCGCTTCTTAGGAGGGATGAGTAAGTTTGTGAAAACAAATTCATGATACCCTTTTTCTTGGCCTTGAGGCGGCTTTGACTCTCGAGCCTGCCGTGAATATATGTATGACATGCACGAGCCGCAGCCAAACTCATGCTATTCAATTCATTCGATCCAGAGATTTTACTGTTTATAATGATTTGGTAAGGATCTCTATTCAGATCAAGATCATCGATAATGCGAACGAGCTTGGCACGGCCATCCACACTGTCGGGTATTCGAGTCGCAAGTACGAAGATACGCGAATGGAAGAAATTCCGCTCCCAGACATCGAATGTTTTGTGGTCGTTGAGCTGGCTGACTAAGACGCGGAGGATATAGAATATGGGATGGTAGTCGGCCCCACCCCTCTCACGTATGGCGGACCAATTGGTATCCATTCGCAACCACTCGAAAGCTGTTCGATGGAGAAAATCCACAGCGTCATGCCCTTCTTCATCTTTGGAAACTTGCAAGATGCCTCTTGTGTTCCCCTGGAGGAGCCGGTCAACGAGCCTCAATATGTCTGGCTCTTTTTCGGGTTCTGGATATGAATAACTCTTCGTGGGATCTGTAATCTCAACAGCCAACCAGAGATATGTAGCGGGTATTTGGCCACTCCAAATTCTTTTCCATTCCATGACAATCTGATATAGATGCGAAGCAACGCGTTGTTTGTCAGGGCCGATTTGGTCGAGTATCTTGGTGTACAAAGCGTTCAGCTCGTCTGGTAACGCATCAAAAGTTTCGCGAATCGAAGCAAATTGAGGATTCTCTTGGCTAGTGAGAAGGAGTTGCTCGACTACCAGAACGACCCACAAAAATACACCTTTTGCTTTATCACCGATCTCACCTATCAGGTGATCAATCTCGAGTGGCATGACAGCGCGAAGATCCTCGATAGCTGGGTTTCGCCCAAGCTTTTGCTCGACATAAATATCAATGTCGGGCTTCGTCAATTTATGCATAGAAAGAGAGGGGCTTTGTCGAAAGGCATCGGCGAATACGTTCCAGGGCCTGCTTGAAACGCATAGCTTCAGGTCGAACCTCTGATGCAAGTCTGTTAGGAATGCAGTCAACTCCCGCGTATTCCCATCGTACTCGTCGAGCCCATCAATGAAGAGAGCAACGCGTAGATTTTTCGATCCTGCATTGGAGACCAAACGGAAAAGACAGGTACATAACTCATCCCACTCCCATGGCGGAGGTGCCACTTTCTCGTCTGATAACATAAGTTCAAAGAACATGCGTCTCCGAGGGGCGAGAAACCCAGCGAGTTCTGGCTTTTGCCCAAGTAGCTGATGTAGCAATGTCTTCAAGAGACCAGTGCGAGACCTTTGCATGACAGAACCCGGACCCCAGAAATAAAACGTGGCGACAAGCAGCTCACAATCACCAGCCCATTTATGAAGGCCTTCTTTCAATAGATGGTGTTCAGACATAAACTTCATCAGCGTGCTCTTTCCCGAAGCGGGTACCCCAGTTATCCAGAAAATGGAAGGATCTTGACTACTGAGCCATTGAGGGAATCGGCTCGTATCGCCAGCCATTGATTGATCTACATTGTTCTCCGAATTCTGGAAGAGCCATTGGAAAGTGTTTGGAAAAGCTACAGCAATTCTTTTCGCTCGATCGGCGATTTCTTCGAACCCGAGACTTTCGATGATCTTATTTGATATGTTATGCGAGGCTTGTGTGTCTGGAACGGAGGGAACAGACGGAGGTGAACGCAACTTCGCATTATCGTCCGAATAATTAACCAGGCTAGTAGCAGGCCATACGGCTTCGAGCAAGGGAGCTGAAAGCGCCTTTCCTCCGGTGGGTGTAGTGCCCTGTTTTATGGCTGCGAGATTAGCCTCGATGCGTGAGAGTGAGTCAATAATGTTGTCGGTGACTTCGTTCGATTTCGCTGCATGCACTCTCGCTGATGTAGTGTCTTCCCTAGGTGAGGAATCAGAAGCGCTGTGGTTTGTATGCAGTAGAATAATTCTGGCACCCACCATATACAAGTCAGAACAGTAAGCGTAATCTGCTCGCGTATTCTCCCAAGCTGCTTTTCTCGATCATCGAATTCAGCTTTCAACCAGGAGGATCGCACAGCTACGACGAACGTCGATTTATACTTGTTTAGACCCTGTGGGGCGACTTTAAACTTGGCCACTTTATTAGTGAGTTCCTTTTCCACGATGACACACTCAGAAGTCAGTCGTTCCAAGGACTCGGCGTGGTGAGGGTGATGGGCAAGCAAATTGTTGATTTTGTCGCGGGCGTTGGCACTGATCTTTGATAGGTCTTCAGCCGAGGCGGCAAGACTGACCACATCATCAGGTGCGCTTTTGCCCGTTCTGTGAATCTCGCGACATCTGCTCACGATCTTGGAGGAGAAATCGACAAAAGTCACGACGGATGTTGCAACAGACAGGATAGATACGGGGTCCATGGTGGTGTCATGTTTCAAGTGTCTGGGAGATAGGTTCACCGACCAAACGGCTGGCGGTCAATATGTTGAGATCGACATGGCGTCGCCTCAGCCTCAATTTGAAATGTTTAACTGTATTACACCCCCGAAAGCCGGTTACGGACGAACAGGAGAGATAAAAGGGTTGGTTTGTAATCAATGAACGAAAAAGGCTTCGCCCAGCCTCGAGCTCGTATTGAGGCAGGCTGACTGCGAGGCACGTCCAGGGCTTTCCAGCAGGGATTCGGCATATGATTGATATGATTTATTCGAAGAATTTGAAGAAAAGGGTAATGATGGTGCAAACGTCAAGCGGAATCACACGTCAACAGTTGAGATGGTAAATAGAAAGAAAGCCGGTTCGTGCTCCAGTGTCAACTGCCCAGGTAGTCTCCATGCACGCACGCACGTGATACCTAGTTGGCCAATGAGGGCGTTTTAACCCTCTGATATTAGAGAATCCAGATGATCTAACGTACCTACCTAGGTAGCCAACTCAATGGCGAGAAAGGAGAAACATGACGTGGAAAAATTTGGTGTTTGCCGTGCTAATCATCGCGCATCAGATGCGGCAGAGTATCTTGCTGTACTTGTACGACAAGGGTCGCAGTCTTCTTAACCATCTGCCAGCGGATTCAATCTGGAGTTCAACCATGGTGAAAGGACCAAGACGAATCAGCCAGAAAGTGAAATGGGACAGTCAAGCACCGAGAGGAGGGAAGACTGGATGGAAAGAAGTTGGGATGGAAGAAAGAAGGTCCGAGGGAGATGACTAAGCAAGACGGGTACATACGAGGGGTCTTTACATCATTGATTGGCCAGATGTAGCCAATCACAGCATTGAAATTCAAGCAGATGAACAAGAGCGGAAAAGACAAGGGAAGAGAAACATGGCTTGACCATTCCGAACTGTAGCGATGATAATCAAATGTCGTAGAGATATTGCGCAAAAAGTCTAAACATTAATGATAGACATGCTTAAGCGCCGGGGAAGGGGACCCACCATTCATGTAGATGGAATGTATGTCGATCATTGCGGGAGAGAGACGGAGCACCGCCACAATTGCCACCCTCACTCCTCTGCTCTACTGCTCTACTCTACCCTCTGTCTTCCACCTTCTTCTTTACGTCTCGTCTTATGTGAGTCTTTCTCCGCCGAGCACCATTCTTTTCCTATTCATTCTTCCACTTTTCCTGCATTTTCCCTCCTCTGAACTCCACCCAACAAAAGCGAAAAATCCCATATCCAAAGAGGAGCGCCATGCCCGCGCCACTCGCAAAAGGTAAGCTGAACAACTGCTGCTGCTGCTGTCCCCCGCCTGCTCCCATTCAAACACCCTTATGCTTGTGGCACATCCTGCTGTACTCCCTTCCTAAACCTTCTTCCCTCCATGTCTGTTATTCACCAACCAACCTGCTAGCAGGCCACGACTCCTCTCCCCCCTCCTCTTCCCCACCTCCAGATTGTCATTGTTCATCATGCCGCCGTCATCCGACTGCCGCCCGACCTAACCACCCCCTTCAAACAGGCCTCATCATCGCCGCCTCGGTACTGGTTGCCGCCGGAATCGCCATCTATGAGTCCCCTCAAGTCCGCCAATGGGTCGATGACTCTCGCCGCAAAATCGCCGTCGCCCTTCACTCCCTCGGCGATGAACTGCAACCCCGCCGCCCCTCCGAGTCCTCGGAAGACTTTGAGAACAGGAAGAGGGAAGTCGCACGGAGGAAACGCAATGAGTTGATTCGCCGCGCGAGGGAGGAGGGCGTAGCTGTCGATCTGGACGCGCTGGCTGCCATCGGTCGCGAGGAGGAGGTGGAACTCGCTCAGACACGCCCAAGGCGGAAGACCAATGCTAGCCAGCGCAGTTTCGACGATCTCGTGGGAAGCGACGGCATGCTCAAAAAAGATACCGAGACAACAGAAAAGGCTATTGGCTCCGGCACGGCAACCGAAAATCCAGACGCAAACCTGCGAAAGCGAGGTGTTGCTGGATTCATGGCTGGCGCTGCTGCTGTTGGTGGCGACCCCTTCTCCGACGACCACACCCTGTTCGATCACGACCAAGACAGCAACACCAAGCCATCCACTCGCGAGTCTACAGCTACCATCCAAGACGACAGCGAACACATTCCCTCCGCTACCGCTGGTCAACTCATCGACGTCACCCCAGAATCCGTCTACATGCACCCCGACAACGCCCAAACCGCATCTATTCACCAATCCTCTGCACCCCCATCCGAAACCGAACAAGCTGCACAGTCCTTTTATTCCTTTACCTCCGACCACTCTCACATAGCCGCCGATGAAGATGAAGAGCCCGATGTCTTCTCTACAGGCACACTGACTCCCCGTTCCGAAGCCTCGGCCTTCACGGGCGCCTCTATCGTCGGTAGCCAGGCCTCTGACATCGCTATCCTCGCCAGCATGCAGAACGAAACCGACGCCGACACGGAGGATCGCGATGCCGATGCGCGCTCCGAAATCTTCTCCGAAAGCGGCTTTACCGAGGCTGGTTTCTCCGAGGCTGGCTTTAGTGAAGTCGGCGAGAACCGTGGCATTCTGACCCCGAGTAGCTGGACAGATGTCGGTAGTGACGATGAGAGCGAGTGGGGTGGTCCTGCGCAGGGTGGGCAGGTCAGCCAGATTCAGCAACAGTAAACCCTCTTCTTGCCTATCTTTTTTTCCCTGTTTCTCTTGTACCTGTGTCCTGCACCCTTCTCTCTTTGTAGTGGGTAGTGATTATCGGACTGGACTTTTCATCGGCGTTTTCTAGGTCTTCTGTGATGGTTATCAATCGGAATCAATGTTTGGGATACCTCGGGTCTTTCTTTTCCTCTTCCCCGTTTTCTTTCCCTTTTTGTTCTCTGTTACATATGAAAGGATAGGTTCGGGCAATCACGGAGTCTGGATCTGGGATGAACAGCTGTCTGTGTATGTTGTAGGCAAGACAGTCTCCGATCATAACATCGTATCCCGGAGAGTCTCGTTCCATAACTTGACTACATAGGGCAGCGGCAAGCTGCATGCGTTTCGTCAAAAAATACCATTTGTTATAGACTTATTCGCTTCGCCTTTGTTTTTCTTCTTTTGTCCCGTCGTGGTGCTTTGATGTATCTACAGATTCCCACGTTTTCTCAAACTTTGGAACATGTTCCACCGCGTATGGAGAATTTGTGAGGATTTATCGGTGAGAATGAGCATTTTGCGCCTTCACCAAAAAACATGAGAGACATCATACAACATTTCCCCAGCAGTGGCCAAGATAATAGAGGGCCCGCCAACACATAGTATTCTACTATATAGAAGCTTGTAGCCAAATTGTTCGTTTTTATCACCCTTTCTCTAATCCTTTGTCACACACTAAGGGAGTTATGAAGGAAACAATGAAAGTGCACATCATCATTTTCCTGTCAACACATAATACTAGACACCTATCTAGACACACAACCAACCAACCTGAAATCTCGGGTCACTAGATAACACGCAGCTCTCCATTGCCTACTCCTAGCTTTTAAAACTGTCTGCCACTTTAACACCTACAAGTTCCTACCTAGGTAGGCATCTCACTACATCTGTTAGCATATGCTCATCTATCGAACAGCTCATTCGCTAGTACAGATCATATCCATCATATGCAAAGAAAGAAAAACTATCTCTGTAGAAAGTCCATGGAATCATAATGAAGCTACTACACTCTGGCCCAGCTGGACGAAGGATTCTCACTCCATCCTCCCTGCACCATTCGCAATCGGCAACACATACATCGTCACCATCCACAGATTCCACAGTCGATAAGTCACCGCATCCTGAGACGCATCATCCGTCCGCAACACTCTCACCGCAACAACAATCGCAAGAACACCACTAACAACTGCCGTCACCGACACCGCAGCCTCCCAAAACCCCACAGCCACCACTGTCCAGAACGGCACCATGACCGCAATCGACCACCGACACACGCGTCCTCCAACCACCAACGGCACAGTCTTACGCCCACGCAACGCATCACCCCGTACATCCGGCAGATCCTGCATATGCACCATCGTAAACACCACACATCCAACGAGCATAAACCACCGCACCCCACGCTCTGTAACCTCGCTGGACGCAGCCACGGAAATCGCACCCATGCTAAACGTCACGTAACCCAGCGCATTCACAAAATTCCGCGCCACGCACGACCGATGCGCAGCCCCGAGCCCATTATACAACCACCCAAAGCAAATCCCAAGCACTTTCTCCCGCAGCCCGCCTACAGCCCATGAATACACCAACCCCACTGCATGCGCGACCATCATGATTCTCCACGCCTGCGAGCTGCTCAGCCGTTTTGCAGGGAGGGGGCGCCAGGGGCGGTTGAGTCCATCTTCTTGGATGTCGCGGGCGCGGTACTGGTTATCGATGTTGCAGGGGAGCAGCACGATCCAGACCCAGAGGATCACGAGAGGGGCGCGGAGTAGGGTTTCTTGGCTTGAGAGGCCGGTGGATAGGAGGTTGGAGCCTGTGAAGGCGCCTAGGATGCCGAAGACGGATTTGGGGAGGACGATTGTTTTTAGGTCGCTTCGCGTGAAGAGCCAGATTGTGTAGGCTTCGTAGCATAGGCGGTTAAGGAAGGTGGTGGTCGTGGTGGTAGTTTTGTCGTCGCGGTTGGGGGTGTTGGATTGTTTGGTGGGTGGGGATGTTTGAGTTGGACGGGTGTTGGTGTTGACTGTAGTGGTTGTTAAAGTCATGGTTCATAAGTACACAAAGTGAACCTTTCGCGGTGCGATGACCTAAGAATAGTCTATTGTTGTGTAATGTACCCACTGAATTGCAAGATTGGGAAAAATGGCAACTCAAAATCATCGAACCCGGAAACCTCGAGCGCTTTCTATATGCGCAGAAATCGGGTTAACTTTTTGACTAAGATGTCGCAAAACGAAACATCCGCGGACGTACAAGCAGTACGGATGATCAACATCAAGTCTACATTCGCTCTGCATGGAGCCGGTTGTCTGCTAACAGCGAATATCACGGTACAAATCGAGAAAGCTTCTGATTCCAACCAATCGGCAAGACTTCAACAATGCTGCTCTCGCATCAAGTCACCCGGTTTCAAAGACTTGCATAGACCAATTCCGACGGTTGATCACTTCCATATGCAAAAGACGTATCGGAAGAGCGGAGGAATGGTGAATATTAAGACCGATTGGCTGTTCGCCATTCCTTTATGTAGGATCTGCTAGGTATGTAGCGCACTGGCCATTGATGGGGGAAGGGACCCCTATAGTTTTGTGACTCTAGTCTGTACGAACAGCGCACGTACTATATACATATGTATGTAGGGATCTGCAATTGACGTATGTGCATTGTAATTGGCAAGTAAACTGCGAGTTCCCTGGGATATGTATCTCGGCATACGTCCGGTCTGCGGCCGACAACAAGCGGACTGTGCTCTCCGAAGATCGGGCATGTTGACTGAGCGGTTTATCAAGCACTTACAGAAAACGGGCACCAGTCTCGAAGATCAAGATTCGATGTGTTGATGTACGTTGCGAGGCAACGGCGATTGGAAACCACCAAATAATGATGTGCCAGAGGAAGAAATCGAACGAGCGTGCTCTGAGCCGGTGACTACCTAGGTACACAATTCAACATATGGTACTTCCTCAAATACACATGCAGTCGAGAATAAACATGCATATGCCTTCTGCACAGAAAATCCTGCATCTGCAATGCATGTTTCATCCAACCCACTTCACCCCGTCAAGCACATTACAAGCAGTGACGAAGCATACCCACACCGCTGCATTCCAAATGGCATGAGGCAATCCTACGCATTCTCTAAAATCCTCTTCTGCATTCAAGATAGATGTAGAAGGTGACATCGCGATACCCAGCACGCGGGAAGGCAGACAGGAAGGTACGAACCGTAGCATGCATGCAACGTGTCGAATCCAACGACAAAGGCGACCCTTGGTTTGGTCATGTCGGTCAACGATACCTGACCGCTCGGGAAAAACAACCGGCTGTTTAGTACGCAGGATTCAGAATGTTGATGGGCTCGAGTTCGAATCAGAGGAGTGGTCGTCATAAGAAGATGCATTAGCGCCGGGTCGGAACGCATGCGTGGTTAGCAACAGAGTTTGCGCTAGAGTACCAGAGGTTTGGTTGTTAGAGGTGGGTGACGAGAAGTCTACGTAGATTGTCGGATATGAGATGCACTTACCGTTGATGGTTGCTGACATTGCGTATAGTATGACGAATACGTTGTATACGACTTCACTTGAGAAAGCACAAGCTTCTCGATCAGATATACATAGGTAGGTAAAAATACTGTACAAAGCTCTGGTGACTCAAAATAGAGGCTGATGACGCCGGATCGAGTGGAAAGTGTAGGACAACATTTATGTGATTGACTTGGGAGACTGGCATAAACCTGAATTTACATGACATCGGGAAAAGCACGATGCAAGAGCCATTCCTATTGCAAATTATACCAGTGTCAATCCAACTTCGATCATCTCAGTAGACTTAAAATTTCATGTTAGAAATACTGGCCTGTTCTCTCAATCATTTAAGTTTCATATTGACTTATATATTCTTTCGCAAAGGGCTGAATGAACAGGAATATGCGCATGCAACTCAAACTCAAACTCCATCTGAATCTGCCTTGATTGTACAGCGCCGAATCAAAAAATGAGGCTGTCTCATTTCGCAATGTCGGGGTGGGAGGACTGATGTGTTTAGAGGAATCTCATTTTTCAATCCATGGAGAACACGCAGGCATAGTCTTTTTGGTTATCGCTCGTTATTTTGGTATTTTCCTCGTTGTAACTCATCGCTGTGTGTAGGATCAACTAAACTCCAACTCAAAAAATAAACACGCAGGCATTGTTGGGGAGAAAGATATATAAACACATTAAATTCCACTCACCCTCTCACAACAAGACATCTTCCTATATACAGAACCTCTCATCCCAATCTTGTTCAGCAATTCTCGGCTCCCCCACCGGCCCTCAATCTTCTAACCCCTACCCTCCCACTTTCTTCACAAAGAGTAAAAAAGCTCTAAGCAACCCACCTCTTCGCAGACGAACCGCTCAACCCCATCCCGGCAGCAGCCGCCGCAGCATCATCAGGGTTATTCCCCTTCAACGCCGCCAGAATACTAGCGATATCATCGCCGCCCGCAGCAGCTGCACTCCCAGTCTGCCTCTTCTGCAGTTTAGTAGCAGTAGTGGTACCAGCACCGGCGGCACCGGCGGCGCCAGACTTCATGCCCGCCGAAGCAGCAGCAGCGTCATCGGGGTTGTTAGCAGCGAGCGCCGCAAGGATAGCATCGACATCCTGACTCCCAGCTGCTGCGGCGCCCTGCTGGCCCTGCTGCTGGGTTGTCGTCGTAGTCGTTGTCGTAGTTGCAGCTCCAGCTCCAGTGGTTCCCTGCTGGGCAGCAGTAGTAGCGCGTTTCTGCATAGCCGTTTCAGCGGCATCAGCGTCGGCGGGGCTGTTAGCCCGAAGTGCGGTGAGAATGCTAGATACTTCGTCGTCTCCGTTTGCTGCTGCTGCTGCGGAGTTTGAAGATGGGAGGGCGCGGATCTTGACTTTCATTGCTGCGGCTGCGGCTGCGGCGGCGGCGTCTTCGGGGTTGTTTTCGCTGAGGGCGGCGAGGATGGCGGAGACATCGTCTTGGGGGTTGGCAGTGGCGGCTATGATGAGAGAGTGTTAGGATGATTAGGTAGGTGGATGGATTGAATGAGTGCATGGAAAAGGAATGGGATATGGTGGAGGACTTACTCGCCGCGGACAAGACGACGCCGGAGAAGGCTGTGGTGGCAATGAGGGTCGAGAACTTCATGGTGATGGTGTACGTTGATTGACTGTTTGATTAGAAAGAATAAACAAGAATTTACGTGATTACAAGATGTAGATATAAGTATCTGGTGTAGAAGTTGAAAACGTGGCCGGCACAAAAGAAGGATACGAGATGAGTGAAGAGTCAACCAAAGAAGCCTTGGGGTTACTGCGATATATAATTTGAAGTTTTCAATTTCATGACGAATCGGTTCCAGAATGAGCATATATCCGTATCTGCACTACTTCATCGTGGTTTGGGAGGTTGTGTCAAGATTGGCCACGCAAGTTTCACGGATATGCACATTTCCGACGGGAAACGCGCGACTCGAAACGGATGATAGTAACATATCACTTCTTCGAATCGTGGAGTTCTTAGATAGTTTTTTTAGTGCGACATTTTTGTTCGATGGGGGTTCTCGATGGTCGTGTTTCGCGCCAAGTATCAAAAGCGTACTGAAACATCCCGGAAACTTTATTGTTTTGCGATTGCAAGCCAGATCCAGAATGATTCTTGCATTGGTATCAATGTTTGTACAAGATTATTAATTTTAGAGATGACGAAGTTTTGGTGTGCGTGAAGACGGTCCCAGTTGCGCTCATTATGGCCGGCTAATTCCAAGATATTCACAGTTCTGTGGTTAGCCATTTGGGTTTGAGTGATATATTAGTACAGAAAGACATGCATGCCATCCCACGTATGGTGAAGGCGCTCTCCAAGAAAAGTGGACTACCCCAAGAATCCCCAGCCCTCCCCAAGCCGTCGTCAGTTCTACCGCGTAGATGACTCCAACATCTAACGGTATAGTCCGGCCCAAGCTTTCCCATCCACATCACCGATTCTGCAGACAAACTGTTGAGAGTGTCCTGTTCCGAGTAATTCGCATCATCGCCTGCCAACTGCCTTTTCCAATTCTCCTTCTTAAATCAAGAGAACAAGCATTGTGCGCCCAAACCCCAATCATTCCACCACCCATAATATGATCCCCACTGCCACAAGATACCCCACACTCGGGTCCGTACGAATGTAGATATAGTCTAGTATCATTCATCTTGAATCCGACAATGTGGTACTTCTACGATAGCTAGAAGCGGTCCGCAGGGGGTAATTCGGGGGGAAGAGAAAGAAGCATTTCATTTCGTATACGCCAACTCGCTATCATCCGCAAACCCTATGCGCTCAAAGTCAGTACTCAGGACAAAAGAAAAAGTAACCCCCGAGCTGTGTAAATACATGGGGACATACATACCTATACCTATATACTTCTGCCCCAAACCAATCCTCCATATTACTACTGCACATCAATTATAGTACAAGAGCCTAGGAAGCAAAATATTTCCACATCAGCCTCTTGTTATCTTGCGAGAAAGCGCACAAAAGTATCGAGCTGCAGGCTCCAAGCTCCAAGCTCGCGCAACGCATCCGAGAAGCTCTCCCTCGGGTATACGGAACAAACCTAAACGCGGGAAGCGAGCTCAATCAACGACGAAGAGGAACGGCAGGTGAGTAAGGAATACACAAAGCTTGAGTATTGTAAACATAACCATAAAAAAGGCGCAAGAAGCCAATTCGCGTCGCGTGGAAGAGCGCAGCGATGGGGGAGCTGCTGGAAGAGGTGAGGTGAGGTCGGGCGGTAAAAAGGCTTGGCGGCCCGGAGCTGCCAGTTTTCATCAGCACCAGCAGGTGTGACAGCGGCCATTGCCATCGCGCAAGCTGCGGAGAAGCCATGGGAACACCCGGAATTAGGTTGAGCGGATGCATTGAGGCCATTGGATGAACGATTGGGGAAGCTGGATGGAGGGCGCGATAGAGCGCATCGTTACCATCAGTGTCATCAGATCACGCAGGTCATAGAGATCAAGCCAGGATACGAAAATTAAGAGCAGCTAACATGGATCTTTGCTCCTCAGATTGCTGATCTAAAGTACATGTTTTACACAATCCGAGCTGCCACAGGAGTCAAGGAAAAGGAGGTAGTAGTCCGGTTATGCACACACCCATCCCCACGCAAATTTTCCACCCTGAAACGCGTACCCGAAGACCCGAATGACAGAGTGCGCCGACAAGCAACCACTCTAGTTGGCAACGTAGAGGAGCAAGAAGGACATCATGAGGGCGAAAAGACCAGTGGCCTCAGCGAAGGCGAAACCCAAAACGGCGTACTGGAAGAGCTGACCCCTGAGGGAAGGGTTGCGGGCGACACCCTGGATGAGGGCACCGAACACCGTTCCGATACCGACACCAGCACCAGCAAGACCGACGGTGGCGATACCAGCACCCTGGATCTTGGCGGCGGCGACCATGGCGGCAGCGGTCGACTCAACGACACCGCGCTTCTGCATCATCTGGCGGCCGGCGTTGTTCTTGAAGGCGTTGCGGACGGCGCTGTTCATGACGAGGCTGTTCTTGGGGGCCTGGACGCGGAGGGGAGCTGCAGCGGCGGTGTCAATGGCGGTCTAATGGACCTCAATGGATGGAGGGATGGATGTTTGTTGCTCAATGGCTGATGATGATGCTGTATGGAGTACACATACCCTGGGTGGAGACGAAACGGGTGGCAGGCTTGCCAGCGGACTGGACGGAGCGGGCGGCCAGGCGGGCAGCGCCGAAGGATCGAGCAATGGCAACCATTTTGGAGGTGGAGGTGTGTGGGAGGGATGGAATTGGGGATGGAATGAGGGTGCAATTGGATGAGGTTGGTGTGGTGAGGAGGTTGAGGATGCAGGAAAATTCGGGATGAAGAGCACATTGGGGAGGAGCTTGGACGCCCCGGCTGACTCATCCGCGCTAGCCCTCTTGGTCACACCCCATCATCACCCAGACGACTACTTACTCACCATTTACCACCTATCCAGACATCCCGTCTACCGTCACTCTCATTCTGCTGCTCTCCTTGAAAGTCATCGGTCGGGTAGTTATGAACAAGGCTGCAGACAAATCTTCGAAAGAAAAAAGAAGACATAAAAGAAGAACCCTTCGCATTCACTGATCCCGTTCCTTCAACCTCCCTCGTACACAATCATTTATAATACAACAGCCCTGTCCTGCCTTTCTTTCTCCTTCCTCTAGTTTTACACATCTAAGTAATCTTTGTGCGGATAATTATACATATATACAGGCCATGTAAATGCAAAATACAAAACAGAATCATCATCCTCTCCGCCGTCACACGTACCAGTACACATACACGACCAAAATTTACAACCTCTTACACTCCACCTCCCTTCACTTTGGGTACAAATACTCCGTTTGTATCTCATCTCCCGTCCGAGGCATCGTATTTATAGCGCGAATTGTCATCGGCGCAACTCTTTCAATAATGTCCGCCATCCAACCCCCCAGATCCTGGCGGTACCCACGACCCTCGCGCTCCTCCCTCTGCACCTGCACATACGCTGCTGCAAGTATCACCACAGTTTTGTACCGCGGTAACACGTCATGCTTGCCAATCTGGGGCTTGCGATAATCCATCCACAATTGACCCGATGGGTAATTTCGTTTATAAGCAGGAGTAACGTCGACCCATCCAGGAAAGGCAGGCATCAGGTACATTTCAAATGCAGTAAAAGCATCTATGAGGCGTCCACACAGTGCAAGATGCTGAATGTACTCGTTCCAAGTCGCCGTGTCAATGACGAAGCCGCTGGCCAGCAGGTCGTGGATGGCGAATTGGGCTCGCGCAAGAGCATCGCGATCATTTTTCCGGGCGCACAAACTCCGGACGTATACGCGTGCTGCCCTGGTCAAAACGTGGCGACGTTGTCTAGAGATACGGGTCGTTTCCATCTTTTCTTTAAGGGCAGGATCAGTGACGCTTTCGAACATGGTTGCGGGCTCTTGGTCTTCCATGGCCTGTTGAAGAGTCTTGACCAAATGGTCAGCCCCTCTGCGAACCGTCTTCCAGCACGCTTCCACCTCATCATGCTCTCCCGCTTGGAAATGCGTTTCCATTATCGTGCTCATTAGTGCAACGGGAGCTTTGAAGTTGGCATCCGGTAGCGACACCTTGGTTGCAGCCTCAAATAGCTGCTTGGCAATGTCGAGCGCGCCGCGTGTGTTGTAAAGCATAATTACAAGCTCAAAATATCCCTGGGGAACATTGCCCAGCTCAGGGGAATCGATGAACCTCCGGTAGGTGGGTTCGTTGTTCGCAATCTCGGAGCCGTAATCGGTCATGATGCTCCTCCGCAACTCATTTTCCACCTCAATCAGGCGTGCACGGGGATTTTTGACACGCTGTGATTTCAATTTCTCCAACTCGGTGACTCCAACCGTCATAATAGATGCTTGGCGTGAGCTTTGAGTTTGGTTCACGTGAGTTAGCTGAAGCCTTTTGAGAATTCTGCGGGCGCGATGGGGCTGCCGCGTCTTGATATATCCCGCCATAAGAATCGCATGGTGGTAGGCATGCTTCCGCATGTTTTTCTTGGTCATTGTTTCATTGAACATTTTCTCTGCCGCACGTACGTTCTTCGTCTCTATCAATGATCGCATGAGCGCTGCATATGTCCATGTGTCGAAGGGGATTTTCTTCGTCTTCATCTCTGCGTATATTCTTCGGGTATTTTCCAGATCACCGCGGGACGCATAGTGCATAAGAATAATATTCCAGGGGTGAGTGGATAATTCGCCGCGCATGGTGCCTACATACCAGTCTCGATGCATGACTTGCACAATGGCTTCAGCACCTTCTGGATCGCCGGAACTTAAGAATGCCTGTACGTAGCCGGAACGTGCTCGGGTATCTCGTCCCACTTCGATTTGCATTTGTTGAGCTTTGGTGAATAAAGTCTCAAAGGCTTCAACATCACCCCTAGCAGCACAAAGATCGAGCAAGGGCCCGAAAGTCATTATATCGGGCTTGATCCCAGAGTCCAGGATGTTGTTGAAACACTCAATTGAGCCTTCGAGATCGTCTGCTCGACAGAACGCGTGCAATAGATTGTTCCAACATACTACGTCTGGCATGAAGCCAAACTCTGAATTGATACGTTTGAACTGCTCCACCGCTCCCGAAACGTCTGCTCGACGGGAATACACGTAGACGAGAGAGGAGAGATGATGGAGGCTCACCCAACGAGGAAACTTTGATTGCAACTCTTCGAAATATTCGTGAACGCGTTCTGCACTTCCAGCTCGAGCGTAGAATCCAACGACATAAGAAAGCGTCGTGCCATCCCAAGGGTTTCTCCCGGGATAGAACTCACGAAGATCTTGCATCAGATCATCTACGCCTTTTTTGCTATCCATGGCGCCATGTTGCATAATCAAACGTCCGACGAGAACCCGAGAAGGGACAGTTGGTGGCCTGTCCGGAGAATCTCCTGTCTCTCGGTAATGAAGGCATAGATGTCGATACTGGGCGTACAGATCAAGCCATATTTTCCTTTTCTCGTTTGTGTATCGTTGGTATCGAGGCGTCTGCAGCATTTTATTGATGGTATATTCGTAAAGTGAATCCGGTGCCACCTTGATGGCCTTGAGGTCGCGAAATAAGTTGCTGACAAATTCGTATATGTACTCTTCGTCGGGCTTCGGGTCATCAATCACAAAATCCACGACGCAGGTTATCAATCCAGAAGCGAACAGTTGTGTATCCTTTCTTTGCGTCGGGGTAGTAGACAAGTCTTGCTGGTTTTGTTGCGCGTAGATGAGGAAAGAATGATAACGCTCTACGAGATCAGGCAGCTGCGACACGCGACTCCAGATGACTTTGAGAAAAGCTGACTGGTGAAAATGCGTAGCTTTGACCGATGACCAGTCCATCAGTTCACGAGACGTTCTGAATACACGAAAAGCGAGGTCCCACTGGCTGTCCTCAATTGTACACTGGAGTATCATGTCTGTCCCAATTTCCAACGTATTGTAGCGTGCGACAGCTTCCTCCTGTAGTTGAATAGCGGGACCTATCGACTTAAGAAAAACGTGGGCGGTTATGGCAATCTGATAAGAAGACGCTTGACGATCATCGTAATCGATGGCATTGAACACTTCTATGACGCGATTGGCCACTTTTCGAGACATGTTTTCATCTGCCAGGTATTCAAGAAGAGCTGGAAGATTTGCGCTGGGACGGCTTGCTTCTGAAACCGAAGAATAGAGAAGCCAGGCCAACTCTTGCTTCCAGGGCTCTTGACTGCGGAGCAGCTTATTCAGGGCATCTTCGGCCGTGTTCTCGAGCAGCAGCAACTCGAGTTCTTGGTTGACTTCTAGTAGAGACAGATTATTATCCAACTGTCTATCATCTCCCGGCGGCCAATGCGATGTCGAATACTGACGAATCACTGGGGCTTTGATCAATTTCCTCCGAGAATCTATTGTGGCGGAATCTGCAGGGTGAGTGGACCATCGATACATCAGAGCAAGCGTCTTTTCAGGATAGAGGAAATCGAGAAGTGGAGGTTCAAGCGGCCTGGCCACCCGAGTGTTTCGCGGTCGGTCGACATGGTCACCAGAATCGGATTGATGGAGAGGAGGCGCGGTGGTAGAGGCTGGAGAAGCCCACCACATGGGCGGAAGGTGCAACTCGTTGGCGCCGTGGTGCCAAAATGCTGAATGTAGTTTGCGGCGTGTGGGAAGGCATTGTTTCGGAGCTCGAAGAAGCTGACGTCCGCCGGTTTCGAGGCATGTCGAAGCTCGCTCAAGCATCACCCGCCACGGAAGAGCGCAATAGGTGCTGCCACGAATTGCCGATTACCGAGGGTGGAAGAGGAGAGGGCGAAGAGAAGGGGGAGACGAAGGAGGCGAGGCGAGGCGATGGTGGATGGTATTCGAGCGGTGACAGCAGTTGCGCATGCCTCGCGACGACTTGGACGGAAGAGGGAGGGTTGCACGCGCGGCAGACCCCGATTAACGTCAAGGTGATGATGGCAAATGGCAAAAAATGGATGACCGAGTGGCAGATGGGTGGTGGGTTCGTCGACAATTAGATGGATAGGGAGCGAGCGAGCGAGTGGTCAAAGAGGAGATGCAGATGCAGTGAAGGGCGGCAAAACCTTTGTACAGAGCAAATGCAGAGCGAAATCGTGACGCGCGCCGAAGAGAAACGACAATGTACCTATGCAGGTGGATAGAAGCAGAAAGAAAGAAGATCAGTCGATGGCACCAATCACATAATTGGACGTGCTAACTAGCATTCATCGGACTAGGTGGACTTGTCTCTGAATTATCATGACAGCTCCTCCGACTTTTTCTGGGCCGCCAGTCCATCATGTCACGAGATCCCCCGTTCTGGCCTAGCGCCCTTCACCCCTCCACTCTTCACAGCTTGACGTGTGTACGTACATATATATGCACATGTGTATATTCAACGACGAATTGACTATACAGGCAAGTCAGCACTACCCCTCCACAATGCCGGCGCTATAGTTTTCATACGAGAAGCAATTGACCCTCTAACATACGCTCAGCCATGGATATCACCAGATTCGTCTTCGAATATCGCGAGTCGGCCTTTCTGGTGGGCGACTACAGCACATATCGCGCCCAGCTCTCACGTCGCCTGCGCATTGTGCGCAAGAAGCTGGGGCGCGCCACGGGCAAAAATGCGAAATATCAATCCAAGCCCCCCGTGACCGCCGACGAGGTCAATAAAGACATCGAGTTCCTGCACTTGCTGCTCCTCACCTCGGAGCGAGCGTGGGCCCACGCCATGTCCATGAAAGCCTCGCATTCCGAAGACAACGCGGACCAGAACATCACCGGCTCTACTCGTACCCACATCATCTCGCGCCTCCACAAAGCCGCACGCTACGCACACCAGGTGGTCCAACTGCTGTCTGACCAGTCCGCTAGCGGAGCCTCCGATATTGACTTGCTTGAGGCCAAGGGCTATGCCTACTCGTTAGCAGGAGCAGAGCAATTCGAGAAACAGGCTGAAGGCAGCCACTCCAACGACACATCTTCCACCCGCTGGTTGTCATGCTTGAGAAACTACGCTGCCGCGCGGATCATCTACAACTCTTTACTGAAGGCTACCCAGAAGGATCTGTTCAAGGAAGTCCTTGCAAGCACGACAGACCCAAGCCTGCGATACGCCGCCTACCAACACCGGATACCAAGAACCGTGGGTGTACCTGAGGTAGCCAAAAAGTTCTTTCCCGAAGACCAGCCAGAGCTCGTCAAGTCGTTGGAAGCAATCGACTCTTCTGCACTTCAGGTGGAGGAGGCGTCCGCTTCAAGTGAGTACAATACACTTTTTCTTGTTCAACAACACACTGGCAGCATCTAATCAATTCACCCACAGGCACCAAGATCACATGGCGAAACCGAACAGCGAATATCGTAGACGCCGCTATTGGCCTCGCGCTTGCCCAAGTCGAGGTCTCCTCCACCCAGCTGGCCAAGTCTCTCGAATCCTCCACGACACCCAAAGAAAAAGCCAACGCCTACGATGATGTTTTGATCGCAAGCCAAGACGCGGCAGACGCTACAAGGAGAGCTATCGATGAGCTAAAGAAAGAAGGCGTTGGCGAGGAAGACCGAAGAGTGCAGGATCTCCGTGTGACGAGTTTGGCTGTCAATTACGATTTGATCGCTTGGCGAATCGGTCGTTACCGAGTGCTCATCGGCTCCGACGATGGCCTCACCTTCCCCGCGACCCTACCCCACCAGTCACGGCGGCCCAGAAAAGATGGTAAAGAGTGGACGTCAAGAGAAGAGCCGACGGGGCGCAAATTGGCGAGACTGCGGGAACGGGTGGCTTTATATGATGCCATTCTGCAGAGCATCACTTCCATCAAGGAACTCAAGGGTGCAGTCGGTGACAGCGACTTCATTGCGGAGCTAGAGGGCCAACGCGCCTACTTCCAGGCCCTGAAATGCCTCAACCTATCGCATTCGCACGCGTTCCTTTCTGCTCCGAGACAGGCATTGGCGCTCTGCAACCGCGCGCTCTCTCTAGCATCCCAAGCAACATCGGCTCCACGAATTTCCGGCGAACCGTCGGTTGCGCCGAAGTTGATGGTTTCAGAGCAGCAGGCGAATAAGCTAAAGCAGAGTCTAGGAAATCTGACATCTCACTACCGCGGGTTGGTGGCGCTTTCTCAGCTGTCATCCAACTCGGACGCAGCATCGCAGAGCCACCTTAACAACGCAGCGCCCGTGGTCGAAAGACTCAACGAGTACCCGTCGTCAGGCAAGGTGGAGCTGGGGAACCTGGTCACGTGGCCGCCGAAGCTCAAGCCGGTGCCCGTGAAACCCATGTTCCTGGACGTCGCGTGGAATTATGTCGAGTACCCGGGCCGCAGCAAAGCGCAGGATCAAAGCTCCGCGGCGGCGGAGAAGGAGCAAGCAGAGGAGCCCAAGAAGGAGGAAGTCAAGCCAGCGAAGAAGGGGTGGTTTTCGTTTGGCAGATAGAGGGAAAGAGAGAAGGAATGGAATATTTTCAAGCAGCTGCTACGAGATTCGCGATTGTAATGTTTGGTGTGGAGAAACTTGAAGACAGCGCGATTGGAAGTAAGCAGTGCACGATACATGCTAGCATTTCCTTTCCGTAGGGCTGTCTGTCAGGGGATGGAAATGTCGAGTTTGGCAACTATGTACCAGCAGAATGCAGCATGGCACGCGTGCAACCACGTGTACAACCGAACAACCTGTTCTCCTTTCCACGGCATGTTCAATCTCCCTTGTTCCTACGAACCCTCCATCTATTTTTCAAACCCTCTCTCTCTCTCTCTCTCTCTGCGTGTGTGTGGTCATTTCCGCTCTTCTCCTCCCCCTCATACATACCTAGGTATGTGTATGTCCTGATCCTGGTAATCAACCAAGTACCTAGGTAGGTACCAAGGTACATTAGCAGGACGTTGGATCTAACCCAAAAACCAGAAAATCCCAAGTAAAAGTTATGTAATTAGCTCCCTATATCCCATCCCCTCCCTTGCAGCAAAAACCAATTTTTGCTCCTGGTTCTGCTGACCCGCGGATTACCGTTTCTGTTAGTGATCATGTTACTCTTGGTTTCTGTCTGTTTAGACGTCTGTGCGTTGCGTAGCGTAGCCGTGCGAGCCAGTGTCAGTCAGTGTGCACAGATCGCCGGGTGAGCGGAGCAGCGGGCGCGTTCTTGGGCTTATTTTTTTTTTCTTTTACCCCTGATCATCATAGGTGTGTAATCATATCATATCAAATCCAATCAGACAAGCAAAGATCCCGATAAGATTGATACCACTGATTAAAAGCTAAGATATGATTTGATGTAAATCTCCCTTTGACGTCGTCGAAAGTGTAGAGTAGGGAGAAGGAGAGGAGAGTTGTTAGCGCCAGGGGCAGGCAGATGGCAATCAATCGTTCATGGTCCCTTTGACACGCGCGCGCTGTTTGTCTGCACCTAGCGACCCCTTGCAGGACGGACATGGACCGTACATAGACTGTACATACATACGTACGTATCTATGTACTCAAGTATTGACAAGTTGATTGATTCAAGCTCGTGGTCGTAGTACATGTGCTCCTTTTACCTACCACCTGCCTTACCTTACCATTTCGTTTGATCCAGTTGAGTGCCGTTGAAAAAGCCAACTATTCCAGCCCTGTTCAGTTCAGTTCCCTCGTTACTCTAGTTCCACCCTCCAAAGAAAAAAAGAAACCAAAGACGAAACAAGGCAAGGCCAGGTAGCAAGAAACAAAACAAACAAAACGCCCCCGTGTGTTCCATGGCGCAATGACACGATCCAACCGTTTACCACACTTTTTATTTATTTCTCCGGGCGGGCGTCATCATCCCCCCCTCCCTCGTCGTCTTCTGTCTCACTGGAAGCCTGAAGGTAGGGTAGGGTAGCATATGCCGGTACAAGCGGAAGCGCCCCCAATTCTCAGGGCTGAAGTTGCTTGGTGTGCCGTTCAGGAATGTAACACGGCGCAGTTGAGTTGAGTTCATTTCACATCAGATCGGTTCAAGTATAGGGGGAGGGGGATGACAAGAGAGACCAGAAAATGAGTTCAAGTCAGTTCATCTGCACTGGCAATCGGCAACCAGAGTTTGCGTTATCATTCAATGTTAGCATGCACACGGCGCAGATGGGTGCATAAACTTTGCGGAAAGACGCGTGATGGTATTGATAGAAGAAGCCCAAATTTAGGAGCGCGTTTGAATGAGATTAAGCTCGTCGTGGTGGTTCAGTTGATCGAGTGGGAGCACTTGAGAGTTCAAAGGGACATGGCACGTGCCCCCCCTGGCCCTGACCCCCTTTACGATAGCTGCGCTTATCCACCACGAACCACTCACGGCCTGCTTTTCTTGTCCTATACGTACCTCTCCATAGCGAAGTACTTGGTGCCTTACTTACCTACTACCTCCTCCTCCACCGTTCATCGTCGCCGTTGGTTCGTTCCTTCTTCCCGTTCCTTCATTTGCTTTTTGGCCCTTTTGGACTTGGACATCGACATCATTCGCTCCCTCGCTCACTCAGCTGCAACTCTCTCTCGACGGCTTTTCCCTTCATTCTTTTGTGGATTTCTGTCGGTTTGCTGTCTGCCTGTCCGCCTGTCTTTACTCTTCCTCCCTCGCCCGTAGTAATTACCCCGTTGCTCATTGCACACATACCTCACGACACGACACAAACACGTTCATTCCCACGCATACAAACTTCACTTTCTCGCGTCTAATCCCATCCACAACGACATTCGCATAATATCCCTGCCTCTCTCTTTCTCTCTCATCCATTGAAGAGAGCAGCAACCGTCCCTCCTTACTCCAACCACCAAACAAAGATTGCGAGAGACGCTGCATCCCAGCGTCCCTCACAATTGCCCGTCCAACCATCATCACGGCTTCAGCACTAGCAACCTCGATCCTGCCACGGCCCCAGGTCCTCGACTCCTTCCGCCGACCCTCCATCCTGCAGGCCTTCGACCTGCCCTCGCTCAAGACGGCGTCCCCCTCGCCCTCTCCCGCGTCTTCGCTGCCGCTGCTGCTCGATGACCACCGCTCCAACGCAGCCCTGCCGTCCATCGTCAGCACCCACGGCCACGTTCACAACGACATCATCTCGCGCCCTTCGTCTACGTCGACGATTGCTTCGTCGTTTTTGAACCAGGGGAGAGAGTCGGGCGGCGTGCAGTTGCCTGCGCTTTCCACGCTGGCTTCTTTGGCTTCGACGGGTCCTGCGGTGGCTCGCGGCGGCGGCGAGGGGGGTGCTGTTGGCGGCGGTGGTAATGGCAGCAGCAGCGGTGGTGTGAATGCTGAGAGTATTGGTGAGAATAATAATCAGAATAATAGTAATATCGCGATGGCGGCAGCGGGTGCCATGTCTGCGGGTACTTCACCGCAGAATGTATCGCCGCCGCCACCGCTGCCAGTGCTTCCTCAAGCCAGGTGCGTTTGAAACTTTCTTTTTTTTTCTCGGTTCGTCATAGGGGTCTTTGCTTGCTTTTTATCCCTGCTTTTTTGTTTCTACTATACTGTTTCATGTTGCCTGGGACGAGGTATACGTGAAGGAAGTGCAGTCGTTGTTGGCCCTGCAGCTGTTGAGCTACCTGGACAGAGAAGGGAGGGCTTATCGCGGGCAAGCAGGCAGGCAGGCTTGGCATTTTCTCTGCGCTAGAACTTTTCCACGCCTACACCAACTGACCTCAACTTTGCTGCAGCAGACCTTCCAATGGCCACCACACCATGACCTACGCAACCGCTGCTCCTGCCACCGCGGGCGGTCAGCCCAACTCGCCGGTACGTTTTCTTTTCTTCTCGTCGTCTTTTTGCCGCGCCGGTGCGTCATGTTGGGCCCTTCTTCCGCACATGTCTTATCACCATTCCTTATCGCTATCCACAATCGATAGCGACAAAGAAACATTTTATCAGATGGAGCGAGCAGGAAAAACAACTTTGAACATCTGCAAACAAGCAAACATGGCAGCACCTGACTGACATCTCTCCAGCCCGTCTGTCAAAACTGCACCACCAGCACCACCCCGCTTTGGCGACGCGATGAATCCGGCTCCGTGCTCTGCAACGCCTGCGGCCTGTTCCTCAAGCTGCACGGCCGCCCACGCCCCATTTCCCTCAAGACCGACGTAATCAAGAGCCGCAACCGCGTCAAGACGGGCGCCCCTGGCAGCCGCAAGAAGGTATGTGCTCTCGTCCCAGCTCCACCTTCTTTCCACCCGCTGACTTTACTTTTTCCTCCAGCCGGGCGAGGTCAATGGTCTACCTGCTGCCCACCCCGATGCCGATGGATCGCTTGCCTATGCTCAACAACGCCGCACGTCAGGCAAGATCTCGTCTGGCCTTTCCGACCGTTCCCAGTCACCCATCTCTCGCACCGGCACCCCGGGCTTTGGCCATCCCTCCAACATTGCCCCCCAGCACCTGTTCGACGGCGTGCTCCAGCCCGATGCGTTCCAGTCTCCCCAGATGCCCAACTTCATGCTTCGCCAACCCTCGCCCGCTCCTTCTTCGCTGAACGGCTCCCACTTGGAACCTCCACTGCCATACGACACCCTTTCCGCCCAGAACACTGCGCTTAAGACACGTGTGTCAGAGCTCGAGCTCGTCAACGACCTCTTCCGAGGCCGTGTGTCAGAGTTGGAGGGGAGTGAAAAGGCTGCGCGCTCCATGGAGGCTCAGCTGCGAGCCGAGCTTGAGCAGGTGAAGCAGCGAGAGACGGATCTCAAGAGGCGGTTAGATGAGCTCGAGGGAGAAGGACCCCGACACAAGAAGATGCGCCTGAGTGATCTTGTCGACGAGAGCCGTGCCGGATCACCAATCAGCCCAATGACGGAGTAACATCTGTCGGTCGGATATTATGTTAGCCGCTACTCATTCACGATATGTCATGCCCGACGGAACTAGGTTTTGTTTTTCTCTTCTCGATCGACTCGTGTTAGCTGCCAGCTCCCTTGCCGCTTGTGGACGGTGGAGAGCTTGCGCAGTTTCTCTCCCATGTTCTCCCCCTCTAATACCCGCTGCACGCAGCCCTTTGAAAAGTCTGTGCAGCAGAGAACATACCAAATATATGGTCACAACCCGACCACCTAATGTCTGAATACCAATTCCCTTTGCTTCAAAACTTCACTTTTGACAGTACTTCCTTTTCTCTACACTCGGGGGAGCATCTACTGTACTGTAATATCTCGGTCTGAAGCTTTTCTCTCTGCGACTTGCTCCTCTCATCCCCCTTCTTTTTTCTTTGTCTTTTGGACACATGGGCGACGGCTGCTGCTACGGGATGAACGTATGGGTCTACCCGATTCACATCTTTTTCCACGAGCGATTATGGATCTTTGGAAATGGGTGCCCGACGATAGTGGGTCATACGAATGGATCCATCGTTCGGATTGTCTGGGGTCAGACCCGACTGGATCTGGATCAGATGATGGGGCCTGGTCGGTTGGAACGTTGATGAACCGGCGTGGCATGAATCACGGGATTTGAGGTCTGGTGTGGAGGGAGGGAACGAGATGAGGCCACGGTTTCAAAGATGTTATTGCAATACCTGCCCTTCCCCCCAGTCTTGGTAGAGGAGCAGAAATCATAAAAGTTTACTTCGCTACTTTTTTTTATCTTCTCTTTCTTTGTTTAGTTTTCTATACGTGAAGTACTGGGTCCTCTCCCCTTTTCTTGGGGTGCCTTGATGCGTGATGATATTGATGCTGGTAGTGAGTGGGTGGGATGTATTGCTCAAACCCATAGGTACATGACCCCAACCCCCCATGATCTGTTAAGTAATAGGTATTCCTTTGACCTTTGATCACATATTGCTGAGAATACGTCTTCTTCCTTGCCTCATATTTTATGTGTGTAGTTTCTCTACGTCCTTTCTCCGTACAGCTAGTAAGTAAAAGTGAAGAGGTAGAGGTTCTTTTTCTTTTCTTTCTTTCTTCTTCTTTCTTCGCTTTGCTGTTATTGGTTTAGTAAATTCTCTCTGAAGAAGAAAAAAAGGAGTCAAAAAGCAATATAATACGTTTTTTCTTGCGCGCAATATTTACAGAAATTATACTAAGCAAGTTGCAGTATAGTTACAGAGAGAGAGAGAAAAAGAGAAACCTGAAATTAATAAGCAGTACAAATTAGAATAGGACATTAAAGGTTTAGTTAGAGGTCAAGTTTTGAATACCGCACGGAAATTTAGGAGAGATTTAGATTTATAGATTCAACAGCGTTGTGTATAATATACTGTTTACTTGTTAACGTGCGTGTGTTCTAATAAAGATAACAACTGTCTTGTAAAAAATTGTATGTACACGCCCCCCTTTCCCTCCCTTCTTCTACTGCCCTCCTTGGAGAAAGTAACAGAAAAGGGAAAAGAATAATAGAATAATTAACTGTTTAAAAATAAAATAAAATTTACTACAAACGATAAAATAAAGCCCAGAAAACTCCCTGCTACCATGTCCCATGCCTCATGTTGCATGTACACATATATACCAACACTCCCTTTCTCCCTTTCTCTTCTACCCCGTTCCCTCAAACCCCCCATCGACTCCAAACATTACTGACCCCCTTCCTTACTCCCTCCCCTTAGGATAAACATACGGCTCCAAATGTGCCCCAGGAGACGGATACCCTCCCGCCCCCGTCACAGGTACCGGCTCACCGACGGAAGAAGACGACGCAACCGTGCTGACGCTCTCACTCGACGTCGTGCGTACGCCCGCACTTGCTGGCGCCATGGTCGTAGTCAAGCTCGGAGAAGCAAGTAACCCTGGCGGAGAAATGGGGATAGACGTTGTAGGCGAAGAAGCGGTAGTGGTGGAGGTAGGAGGAGGGACATTGTTGTTGTTGTTTGGATTCATGCTGTAGGGAAATGTTGAGGGGTTGATGTTGTGGAATGTTGCTGTTGCTGTTGCTGGGGGGAGGGGCGGTGGAGAGGATGATGATGATGGTGTAGCGTTTGTTGGTGTTGTTGAGGAGGAGGAAGAGGAGGAAGAGGAGGGTGGTGGTGGTGGAGAGAGCGAAGAAGAAGAGGGTTTTGGGACCGTGTTTGCTTGCTCTTCTTGGAGGAGGAGTTGTTTGGAGGAATAGAATGCTGCTGTTGCTATGCCGCTTGTTGGGTTCATCTTTGATTGGTTTGATGAGGGGAGTTGCTTTTTTTTCTTTTCCTTTGTGTTGTTTGGTTGGATTATTTTTGTTTGTAAGGGGATGGTAGGCCCTGTGTTCCTCTTTTGTTTCTCGTCTCTGTCGATCTCCGATTGGCGTTTGGGGTTCTGAATAGAGAGGGAGATGGTCGTCGTGATAGTATACACTTCGAACGATAGACGAACAATATAGTCGAAGAGAGCAAAGTCGAGACAAAGTGTCCAAAATCTCCAGTAGACAAAATCAACAAGAAATCTCTTGTAAATCAGAATCCCCAAAAAATGCAAAGGTAAACCGCAGTGTCAGTGTTGCTCTTCCAATTCCTCCTCTTCCCCTTCCTTCCCTTCCCCCATATATATATATCCCCCCACCCCACAAACCCTTCCTTCCATCCAAGGCACGCACCCAAGAAAAAAAAAACGCACCGTCCCCTACCCTCATCCTCCCAATCTCCCGTGCAACTCCTCACAGCCTCTCAAAGCGTCCCCGATTTCTCGCAAGCACAGGCGGTATCCCACCGTCGCCCGCCATTCAAGGCGCAAGCATCCACCATCGTGTCTCCGCTTACCACATTTAGACCGCGCTAGGTGGTTCGCGCTTTGCTGGATTGGGAAACACACTGCGCTCCACCAGCCTTGTTTTGGGAAAATTAGTGCGCTGAGGTGGTTTGGGGGCGGGAACGTAACGTGGGCTTTCTGATGTAGCGGACTAGCGGAGCTGCTTATAGGTATTTTAGGGCCAAGGGGGGGTTCCTGTTTCCGGGAGGAGCGCGCGCTGTTGCTCATGGAGCTCATGGACGGGGTTTGTTTCTAGGGGTGACAGGGTGTTGATGAGTCGTCATGGTAGTGGGCTGGTGGGTGAGGTGTGGCGAGTGGGTTCAGAAGAGAGACAAGAAAAATGTGGATGCAAGGGTTCATGGAGAGGGCGGTGAATTTGTTGCCTGGTTTTTCTCGGGTTTGGTGTGCGAAAGGAGGAGATGTGAGAAGGTTACTGGACGGAAGACGTTAGCTTGGTGTGGTGAGGATGTTCGGGTCAGGCGCATTGTTGAGTTTGCCTGTTCCAAGGCGTTGAGATATCTATCGATGGTTTGGGAAGCTTTCTAGCATGACATAAATCCGGATTTTGGCGAGAGGGAGATAGAGATGGTGGAATAAGTGTCGCGATGGAGAAAAGCGTCAGAACAAAAGCTTCACGAAACATCTGGGCAAAAACATTCTTTAAGTACCTTGGTATGCATTGCTGCCACCTCGTATATATACTCTTGAGAGTGTTTGGGGAAGGTAGATGCGGTACAATAGCTCTTAACGCATTAGGTAAATAAAGTGCAGACAGCAGTGGGCAAGTTCAAAGGACTATCCCAACTCGGGGGGGAATCAAAGTACGAAAGCTATGGAGCAACAATCGAATCTCCGTCGCTTCAAGCAGCGATCTAACTCCACAACCCACAGCTCTCACAAGATGCAGCATTTCCGTCCTGGCCCAAGTGTAGCTTCCAACTCGGCATCAGTGACCTCGTCAGTCTGGTCATCCTCCAGCGGGCGGCCAGCACAGAACGCTAGCCACTTCTCCCGCTGCCCTTTGATCCACTTCCTGCACCATTTCGCAACGGGCATGGTGTTTGCGCCCGCAAAGTCTTTGTCGTATTCTGCGATCCACGCCTCGATCTGGGCTTGCTTGACTGCGTCTTCTGATGCCGCCCAGGCGACGCTCAGCACGGGCGGCACTGTTTCCGTCCCAAGGGGTCGGAAAGGCGTCATGCTTCTGGCTGTGTCAATTACCTCGTCTATGTAGAACGCTAGCTCCTCTGGGAGCGTCTGGTACTCTGGATCGTTTTGAGCCAAGGCGGCGAGGGAGTAGTTGAGTAGGATTGCATAAGGAAGAACCATGCAATACCGTATACGATAGATGTAGAGCGTGTAGATGTGGTTTAGCGGCAGAGACTCGAGCGGGGTTTCGTCAGTGATGGCCGCCGACACCTCAGTGACATTTCGTTTTATAATAGTGATATCCGAACGAGCGTCGCGGTATATATCCTCCATACCTGTACGATCGGGCAGGGGATCTAGAAGTAATTTGTTTGCCCTTTCCATTTTGCGCAGCTTGATCATTTGTATCTCGGAAGGGATGTAGTTCTTCGGCCCATATGGGCCAGCCAATTTTCGTAACCAGGGCCCAACGGCCACACGTGGGTTGGATAGCTGCTCGTTTAACTGCGTGGATCCGTCAGCGAGCGGTCAAACGAAGGGATGAAATACAGATATTGATGATGAAAGCTAGCGTACCACCATGTAGGTAGAAGCTATGATTAACTGAGCGTCATAATTATCATAACTTTGCCAGTCTATGGTCTCGGCGAAAGCGTTCAACAATGTGCACATTCCTTCCGAGTGAGTACCATATCTGACGTGCGACCTCGCTATCCAGTTCTGTGCGATGGAACAAACAGTTAGTTCAACATAGTCAAGCTAGAGGTGAGGTCCAGCTCACCTGACATAGCATGAGCAACCATATCGTCGTGAGAGTATCTGCAGTGGCCCCCTGTTTGAGATTCTGCAAAGTCACTCTCAAAGTCCTCAACGCCATTCCATACTTCTCTTGAGCCTCTCTTTCCCCCTCACCTGTCGTTATGTATTTGTAGGCGCCAACCAGTGCTGAAGCGGACTGATCAAGGGCATCATTGGAACCCAGACGCTTTGGGATCTCGGGAAACAGCGAGCCACCAACCAACTCGAATTGGTAGCCCAGCTTACTCACACGGAAAGCGTCTATAAAAGAATTCCGAATGTGATCCGTCTGATTCGAAAGATCCGGTACAACGACCGTGACTTTTCGACCAGCGGCAAGCCGCCTTGCGACCTGGTTGGGAGCTTGAGGCCCTTGCTCCACAAACTTGAACCTTTGCTGGCCGCGCTCCACACACGGGATTTCAAGCCTGCTGCATCTGGAACACGCAGGATGTTTCTGATCGCATTTCCTTTGGAACCGGTGAGCTGGATCGGTTTGACATACGTCATTGTTGGGGGAACGTACTTCTTCTGGACGCGGCAGGCTTTGCAGCCCCGACTCGATGGGACACCAGGCATGATTGGTAAAACAGCGCAAGGTTTCGCTCGATGGGGTAGGTCTTCTTCACGCGATCAATAATGTCTTGACATCGGTACTTTGTAAGTTCTGCACGCCGCTGATATGTGTAAGATGGTCGGGCCAACCGAGCGCAGTATATGACTTAATGCGGGTTAGCGTGCCCATAGGGGCTGAGGCTGAGAACGATGGTGTCGATCGCATGTCCGCTGCTTGGCTTCTTTTCAGCTCCGCTGGCTATCTCTATAGTTGTCTTGTTTTCATTGGGTCAATTGTTCACGACGTATACGCGAGAGAACTGATAAGTCTCACCGAAGTAGGAAGCGAAAACTCTACTAAGACATTTTGAGATAACGAAGAGCACTTAAGGTGCTATTTAAAGTTGTAACGGACTTGTTCTGCCAGAGTAAGTCCTAATCACTTGTTTCAGAAGTATAAAAAGTTTATTGCCAAAAGATATGAGAGTGATCATAGTCCACATCCCTTTGGATCTCGAGTTAGTGTGAATGGCTAGGTCACATGACATGAGAAAATAGATGCACGTGTGCACATGGGATGTTTAATGCACTATGCAATTTGTATTCTACACACATCCACCTCTAAAATAGAAGAGAAGGAAAGAAAAACAAGAAAACCAACGAAGTACAAAAGAATAGTATTATATCCCACCATGAAAAAGGAAAAAAAGAAAAGAAAAGAAACCCAGTCATCCGCTGTTTACACAAAAGAGAAGAGAGGAAAAACATACAAAGCACGCAATCTGTATCGCTCCGTTCCAGACATCTCTCCACCCTTTCCCTGCCTGCAAAATAATCTACCTAGGCAGCCTCCACCTGATCTAGATGCAAACAGAGCAAAATATGCGTCGTCGACTTTCCTCGCGAATAGGCCAAAATGAATCTCTTGGTTCCAGTCACCCGCTCTAAGAAGTAGCAGCAGGAGCAGCACTTGCCGGTTTCACCAACGTTATACTAACATCCGGATCCTTCGAATACACACGCAACCCAATCACGCAAACTGGATTCCAAGCATTCGGGTCCGGTTCCGGCGGCTTGGCGCCATCTGCTGCGGGAGCAGCCGCTGGAGCTGGAGTGGGAGCGGGGTCAGGCGCGGGAGTTGGGGCTGGTGGTGTGGGAGTAGGATTGGGTTGGGGTATTGGCTCTGGCGCAGGTGCTGGAGCTGTGTGCCCAGTAGCTATGCCGTCGTGGTTTTCGATGACGGCGGAATCAGGTTTGTTGGGGTCGTCAGACTTGGTGGATATTGAGTTATTCTTGGAGGTGGAACGGGCTGGGGAGGTGGTCTCCTCGGAATCGGAGTCTGAATCAGAGTCTGAATCGCTGTCGCTGTCGGAGGAGTCGGATACGTCTGCAGATGCGTCGGGATTGGGATTGTCTATGGTAGGTTTGGAAGCATCATCGCTGGTTTTGGGGGCTTCTTCGCTAGTTTTTGAGGCCTCTTCAGTTGATTTTGAAGCATCGACATTCGGACCGGAGACGTCGCTGCTGGGTTTGGTGGCATCATCAGCAGGCTTGGAGGTATCTTGGCTGGACTTAGATACATCGCTGCTGGACTTGGATTCCTCATTGGATTTGGAGGCTTCTTCGGTAAAATTCGCGGTGTCGTCGCCAGAATTAGGGACACCGTCGCTAGCATTGGTGTCCTCGCTGGGATTGGGGCCGGCAGCATCGCTGAGTTCCACTTTAACGAGAGATTGGTCCGAACTGCTGGAGGTTGGAGTGCTGACAACCACCTCACTCCCATCATCCGAGACGTTACCGTCCTCAGTCTCCTTTGTAGTATTCTCGCTGCTGGGTGCTGGAGATGGTTTTTCGGAGTCGTCAACCTTGTTCTTCTCCTTCTTCTCCTTCTTCTTCTGCAGCGCTTCCTCTTCTTTGGCCCATTTCTTCATAAGCTTCTCACGGGCTTTGAGCTCCTTCTCTAGAGCTTCGCCTTCAAGCTTTCGCAGCTTCTTGCGTTTGGACTTTGATTTCGATTTCGGTCTCGTGGGCTCGACATTGCCTTCATTGTTTTTCTCTTCTGTTGGCGTCTCCTTCGGTTTCTCCCCTGCATCGTCTTGACCCTCTTCCTTCTGGACAGTTTCATCTTTGTTGTCTTTGTTGCTCTTCTCTTCTTTGGGCTTGGAGTTGTCGATGGCGGCTTTGGCGTGTGCAATATCATAATTCATACCAATCTGCCTGAGTTTATCCGGGTTCGACTTCGCCAGCCTAGTCACAGCCTTGTAAACGTCTTCTCTCGACTCACTGAAGCTTGCTTCGATCCCTAGAAATGGAGGGTTAAGGCGAATTCATCTAAATGTGCTAAACATCAATGAGGGGAAACTCACAAGGCAGAACTTCGTAAATTCCAGGCTCGAGATGGATTTCCGCGGACACACCGCGTGCGCCTGAAAAATTGCCACCGTCCACCTTTATGCCGTCTTCCCCACTTGAGTTCTTCTCCTGTAAAACGAATTGTGGGTAGAAGGTGAATTTTCCAGTCAAGCCGACAAAGTATCTCTCGTCGAGCTGATATTTGGTCAGTGCGCTGCCATGTTTTCCCAGATCTGGGGTTTCCACTCAGGAACAGAGGGGTATCAATGGAAAGAAATGCATACCTCAGTCAACACGAATACTACAGGCCCCGCCTGCTTGATCTCCACTTCGAATTTTGTGTTGAGGAATCCAGTCATCCACGCAACGCCGACACTAGTGAATTGCTGAACGCTAAACCAATCCTTATCGAAGAGCCTCGTGCGATGGAGGTCCGGGAAATGGTTAAGTACCTCCTTGAAAGGCATCCAGAATTGACCATTGTTGCCAAAAGTATGGTCGAGCTTCTGTAGCCAATACGGCGTCCATTCTTTGGACCCATCTGACCATGGCCCGACCCACTCGCCGTTGCCAGCATCTTCCTTCTTTCCCCAAGGGTTTCTACGGGTGGTGAGAAAGTGTTGTGACGAATTGAGGGGGGATTAAGTGATTACCTGATCAGAACTAAGCGGTGTGGCACCCCTTGTTCGTCTTTCTCTTCAACCGCCCTGACAATGGTGTATGCATGGTTCAAAGAAAGCCCTTGAAGTTGGTCATCGGTTCCGTCTCTGCTGCTTGCCGAGAACAGAAATTGCTTATTGACCTGGGTTGTGTTAACATTCAGATCTGCACGATGAGCGGGGCTGAGTGACAGAGTCAACTCTGCTCTCCTCGCCAGATGCTGTGACTCACATTGAGCAACTCTTTCCACAAGACATCTTTGTTCAATACACTATAACTGAAAAGAGTCGTATTGACACCTCCCGTAAGATCCTCTAGACCTTCGCCACTGTATACCACTCAGTCAAATATTCCCTCAACCTCGCGGAAATACACATACCTGTAGCCCGTATCGATGGACTTGAAATCGCCATGTACTTTCGCATATGCCTTTTCAATAAGCGGGAGCCATGTCTCATTCTGATTGGTACACGATGCAAAGATGAGGGCATCGGAACCTGTCTGATACTTTTCCTTGTACTTCCGGTACTTCTCCCCCGTTGGATCAAATTTGCCCGTGTAGTCGGCGTACAGTAGATACAGCATGTCATCAACTACTGTAGAAATCCATTCGCCATCCCTATAGAAGACGAAGCCGTACACGCCACAGGCTTCATCTCTAGCGACGCATATGCTTTCGAGTAAGTCGGGCTTGCTGCAGGCTGCTGAGAGGGCAGCAATAAACCAGCAATTCTTGTTGTATCCTTGTCGTACTTCGGATTTCGCAAAGCCATCGGCCACAAAGGTGGGGTTGTCGAAGATCCAGTCGACACGGTGCACGCTACCGGGCAAATACTTTCCTTCGTCTCCTCGGTAATGGTAGTTGCGCTGTCCTGATCGCCAGTCAAGCTCAATGTCGAATTCACCATCCGTGAACTGAATATCATCAGTTAATGAATCACTCTTCTCATTTCATCATTCGCGAACTGACTTTCTCGTTGGTGCGATGACATGCTTTCACGATGCGTTGCACACGTGCACAGCACTCGTCGCGGACAGCTCGGTAAGATTCCAGTACGTTGTTACTCGTCTTGGCCCCCGACTTCTGCTTGGGCGGTAGAAGATTCGCATATACGCTGGGAGGGAGGATGGTCGTGATCTTGGTCGGATCTTTGGTAATGTGCTCGTCCCAGAACTTGTTCAGAGACTCCTGGGGTTTCAATGGTGTTTGGGTCGCCATGGTGGATGTGGATGAGTGTGAGATTGTGGAAGACGAGGCTGAGGATTTCACTTATATACCTGTATATGTACCTACCCTGCACGATGCAGTGCCAACTCAGTCTTAGTAAGAGAGTACAAACACCTTTAAAATCCCGTGCCCATAGTATACAGCAAAGGTAATTGGAGCTGGCCAAGCACCCACGCAGGCGGAGCAATACATGTCGTTGAAGCTAACCACATCCAAACGTCAATCCCGCGTGTTCAATGGCTCCATTGCGATTTAGTGCATTAAGAAGGCAAGATCAAAGCTGTGGCTGGTGAGTACCGGTGACCATTGTTGCCTAGAACCTTTTGGCCTAAACTGCAAACGGAGTTGTGTACGCTGCATTGTGTTTCGCAGGCGCAAGGCTGAGCAGGACTGATTTGCTATCCGATGTGGATGCCTTGGGGGCTGATATCGGGAATACGAGAAGGTCACGTGACTACCCCGCCCACAACTACATATGTACATACATTGTAGCCGCTCTCGAGGCGTTTGAGAATCGAGAATTGAGGCTGAGAACTGTGCATTTATGCGTTGGATGTCCGTGAATTGTTGTTTGGCGTCATTTCGCTACCCTGAACATCGAGGTGTTTATTGAAGGGTGAAGTCGAGCCACAATAGGAGCTTCCGCGACCTGTTTGCTGCATGGGCTCAACCCTGTTCGCCTTCCAAGGGGAGCCGGAAAGTCGGCATCCGGAGCAAGTAAATATGAATCGAGGATGCTCGAGATCGATCAGAAACAAGCTCTTCTGCTCGCCCGCATCCAAGTACGCAATTGCGCACATGTGTATACGGTGCAGCATGTGTTGGGTACAGCATGCGTCGCGTCGGAGGGTGGTTGCATCGCAGTTGCTGCCGTTTCTGGTCTCGACGAGTGCCGCCTGCCGGTGCATCTGCTTTTGGAAGGAAAATACGGTTTCGTTCGACCCGTATGCTTCAGCGCTGTACACGCGATTGAACTCGTTTTGCTGTTCTCGTCAATAGATGTAAGCTGGACTATCGTGGACGTAATGAACACACAGCGGCGATAGAAAATTGACTGTAGAGGAATCATTCGAGCATAACCACACCAGCCCCTGTTCGATGGACGCCGCGTGGGGAAATGCACAAAAACAGACTTCGATAACGAGTACAGATAAAGGTTGGTTGCTTGGGCGGTTCACGACACGAGAATTGGGTCAAGCACTGGGTTCTGTTTCTCGGGCGATAGGCGGGTGGCTGCAGCAGCGCTGATGGTTTTGGCTGACGACGAGTCAGGAATATGAGTTTTGTCTATCTTGTTCAAACTGGAGGTGTCTCCTTGAGGAATCTTTGTCTTTGGCGCGAAACCCGACATGTAAGAAAGACTTGTCAAAACACAAACAATGGAAATGTACCTTATGATGAGAGAAATCTAGGTAGACTGAGTCGTGACAGGTAAAGATGAACCGATTGATAACCTCCAGGTCAAGGGAGCTCCCAAACGCGCGCTCGATAGGGGAAGGAAAGGTACGGGATACATAGATTATCAGACAGGTGATTGAAATGAAAAAAGAAAATAGCTCGAGGGAGGAGATGGACCGCCGTGAAACAGGATCGTCGTCGACCAATGACCCGACAGGGCATGGTGGTGAGATTATGCGACAAGGCCTGGGCTTGCTTGCAGGCTTACGAGAAAAGGGACAGAGCCGTAAAAAGAAAAGAAGAGACAATTTTCCTGCCCACAAACACCAGACGGCTGAAGATTATGCTGTACCGGGATACCCGTCGCAGGATTCCAAAGAAGGAGGCGAGCGGGGAAGATGATGGCCATGCGAATTATGAGCTCATTGTGGAAAGGATGCCTCCGGGAAGTCAGTCTATCGTATCATAACGCCGTGCTAAAACCGGGGGGAACCGAAAGAGAGAAACCGGAGATGTAGTGGAGAGGAAAACGATGGAAAAGCAGAGATGAATGGGCTGATGGTGGGTTTCAAACGACCTGAAGCATGTAATGATGATGGTGATGGAGGATGACCGGGGTTTGGCGAGGATGCCTGCCGTCGATTCGCGATCCAGTTACCTGGGACGGCCATATTGATCGACCTGCATTCGAGTCAGCATCGAGCATCCTGAAGCCATGGCCTGCCAAAAGGATTTTGTGATGAAACAAGGCCCTGTATTGGAGGAAATAAAAGTGAAGGGAGGATTCGGGTACCCATGGGCAAACGCATGTGGGGAGTGGTGAGGGGGGATTTCTGGATGGTGAAGGAAAGCGAAAGCGAGCTTGCATGCGTGCATACGTACCAGCCTCGATGCTTTTTTTTTTTTTTCGCCCGGACTATTTGCTGGTGCATGGCCGACAGCACTTGAGCTTGCACGAAGTGCATTCGTAGATGAGAGTGTGTGGGCCAGAGTGGCATTTGTTGCAATTCCATTGGATGAAGGTGTCGTCGGATTTGATCGACTTGAACGAATGGTTGCAGTTCGCTTGAGCAGCCATTGTGTAAGATGGATTCCGGCGATGGGGTAGTGGCTTTGCTTGCTTGTTTGGTTTCGTTTGTTTGCTGGCTTGCTTGCTTGCTTGCTTCCGGTAGTCTCTTGAAGTCTGGACTGTCGGCGGTCTGATCGATTGATCGATTGACTGATTGGTGATTGCAATGAGGGAGAAGTGGTAGAGGGGAAAGCGTCAATTGGTTCGGTTAATGCCGGGATGCAGCGAGAGTGAGCGGATAGGGCTGAAGAAGTGAATAGAGGGATGATGGGTGAGGGAGGTACTCGCTAACTGTCCGATGGTCACTCAGCAATCGGGACGACGATTGATTATGTACTTTCTTGGAGCAGAGCTAGAAGAAACAATAACAGAGACAGCACGGCTCACTCACCAGGATCGTGTTGAAGACGGGTTGTGCGCGCAAGCCGAGCGTGAAGCAGCTGGTCCTGAGTCGTGGCGGGGGCAAAAGCAATTAAGGGCAAATGTCACTGGGCGAATACCCAAGTGTGAATCCGGGGTGTCTGCCAAAGACTGCGAATGAGAAGGAGCTGCAAAGGCGCAATGCTTGGTGTGCTGTGATGGACAACTCGGCCAGATCCTTCATCTTATACCGCCTCGCCGTTTGGGGTTCCTGGCCCTTTTGCGGGTACACTAACAAAAGTCTACGCATGCTGGGTTTGAAGCCATCCAGCTCCACAGAACATGGGAGTGTGCAACGGCCCATAACGTGCACTCGCTGCCCTCGTACCTGGTCCTGCCAGACCAGCACACGTGAAGTTCCCAAGTGGGATGTTGATACAACGCATAGAGGAATAGGTACACCCGCGTGTTGCACAGTGTCCGGGATCCAGGTCCATCTCCTGCCTGGTTACTACCTTCTACTACCCTCCTTCTACCGCACACTGCACGCCAGCTATACCACTCCCCATCACGCATCGTGTCCAAGGGGACGTGGACTTGCTCCATGGCTGCTCTGTCTGGATGGAGAGCCGGTCTGACGCGCATTGGCTGATCCGCAACCACCCACCCAGCGTCATGGTAACATCCACCGACTGGAAGAATAGAGTCAATCCACACTTTCCACCACCACCCGTGTAAACCTAGCCATGCCCCGATACGAATAAGACGTCGACTTGTGTATGAGCGTGGCCAGTGGGAGATGGGGCGGAATCAGGGAGGTTTGGCTCTTCGGCCATACCGCGGCCAATACCGAATTACCCCCCCTTCGCAGAGGCCTTGGGACCAGGGGGTCCATGATGCTACCATCATCACCACTTCAATCAAAGTTCGAATGTGGTTTGGTACCGTTTCTTCCTTTTCCGTCTATTCTGCCATCATCTTTCTTTGATGCATCGGGATACTTTCTTTTCTTTTCCCCTATCGACGACATTTGCTGGCCCCCCTGCCTCTGCATCCGAAAAGAAACGAGACGCAGCAGCATAAGAAGAAAATAAAATCAGCACGTAACGTCTCAACACTAACGCTTTTTCTTCTGCATCTTCTTTTCTCCGACCTTTTCTTCTTCCACCGACCTCACTCTCATCTGCTATAACGCATGCCAGGGGACAGCTTGCCAATGCCCACTTCCGGCTGAAAGAGGTCATGTTCGCGGCTTCCTACACACGGGCGGCAGCTGCCGTAGGACGGTTCGATGGAGCATACCCAAAACAACCGTCTGCAGGCGCCTCTTCTCCACCGCTATTTCTCTCCTCTCCCACCTGGCTTTTCCTTCTTCTCCTCTCAGACAAAATGAACATCACCAGTCTCAAAGGGCGTGGGCAGCTTGTCGATTAGGGTCGCTGCTCGGCCGCTGTTTGACAGGCGGCCAAGGGTGTGGCTTGCGTGGGCGGAGCCATCGTCGTGGTCGACCTTTGAGACCGGTCGCACAATCATGCTGAACTCGGTCCCCGGTAGCAACATTTGCATCCCTTGGTGGCGGGCAGACGCTCTTTTGATCCTGCGTGCGGTCGGCGGCATTGCGACAACCCCAGCAAGGCTGCTGCATGTGGGCCTGGTGTCTACGGTCAGTCACCTGCGGCAAACCCCTGGGACTAGGTATCATTGCATTCCCCCCAACCTGGCTCACATCCGGATCGACAACTTGTATCTGGCCTCACTCTGTGCCCTTCATATGCTGTCAAGGTTGTGGAAGATACAAAGAGTGGAGTGTACCGACCATTCATCCCTCATCCCTACACGCTTGGCAGATCATACCCATTGTACTGACATGTCCACTCTTCCTCCCCACATTCCCTTTTGGGACTCGCTGTTCCTCATCCAGCGACTTCTTCTACTACATTTGAAGCCCTTGAACGAAAATGTGGCTTAAAAAATAATGCCCGCACTACCCACTTTGCGCGTTGATTCCCGTCTTCCATTTACAACAGCAAGCTACATGTAACCCATCAAACTAGCAGAAAAGGGCAATCGAAAAAGAAGCAGAAATTCGGCCAACCGCGTCCGCCATGATGAAACGGATATTTGCAGTTGCCTAGGCGCTTTTATCACGCACGTTTGATTTCAGGAGAAGCTCAGTCGGCAATCGCGCGATACAGAGTCAAGACCATCAATACATGTCATTATGACCGCTTTACAGTCCAATAGAATCAAACACTCATCACCGCCATTTTCATAAAGGTCCTGACACGAGACATACCTTTTGGGGTCGGGGAACGGGCCGGTCGACAGGCATCGCCGTCAGCAAGCCGAAAACAAACATCTCTGCCGTGTTTACTGCATCTTTTTGTCTTATCTCAGCAGGGTTGAAACGAAGAGAAAAAAAGGGATAATGAAACATGTGGATCGGCAGCCAGTCTGTTGACTTCAATTCTATCGCCTGCACGATGCTATTGTTCTCACTGTTCGCGAAGCTTCTGTTGATCATAGCATTCGATTATGCTTCGCCAGAGGCCTAAGACTTTTATTCAATTGCCGATACTAAGTTGGCTCCCAGCAAAATCTTCAATAGACAACGCTGTTTCAAAAAGCGGTAGTCGCTTCTAGTGAATCATCTCGTTACACGGATCGATTGACCTGGTGGTCGGAGCCACAAATAGGAGATTTGTGTCACCGTGGGTTGCTTTATCTGATTCATGACGCCTCAAACCCGGTTCCATGCGCGTCATTACTCTAGCTTCCTAGAAGACTTGCTGCAGACCTTGAACTAGGCTTCTTCGGAAGCCAAGCGTTAATGTTGTTTCTAGTGCACGCGAGCGCATCGACCCTGTGCATGCTTTGCCATTTTGCTTTTTCTTCCTCTGAGCATAGATGGGCGCCAGAATGGCAGTTGTTAATACGACACGGCCCAATGTAACCAGAAAAACGATTGCTGCAGACGTGGGGGGTATGTTTTCTTGCCCTTCTCTTTGACGTCCATTCATGGCGGCTAGACTGCACTGCAACTTACCCACTCGGGCGCAAGCATTCAAGGACCAGCCTTCCAAATCACGGGAATGGTCCTGTTTCTGCTGTTTGCATATTGTAGGGATCCACAATCTTCGTTCTTAAAGATGCCTGTCTGTGCACAAGATCTAGAGAGCGACTTTTTTTTCTCTCACACGACGAAAACCATGAGGTCCCCTGAACGCATCACACCGCTGGTGTGCCGCCGCAAGAACAACAATACCAGCCCTAGAGGCATTTGCGTCGAATGAGGTACAAGGGGTGGGGGGCTGCGTTGTGGCAAGGAGGCTTTTTACTGATTGTTCTTCTTTCTTCTACACGCTCTTCGATGTGGACATTGCGTTGCAGTGGATGAAGTGACGATTGGCCGGCAACGGAGGTAGATCGCTGTTGTGCCTGCCGTTTTATGTCACTTCCCGTGGCAATCAAGCACGGCGTTCCTGAAAGCGCAGCCGCCCCGGAATCAAATGCATCTACAAGGAGCATCGCAGGTTTTTGGCAACCAATCGGGCATTTCCTTGGTAGCCCTAGCATCCATCTCCAGCCACCACGCCCCGATGTGCGGGATCGCGGGAAGAACGGTCTAAATAGTCATTGTGAGTCACACGATATTCCCATCCATGTACGATCGATGCCAAATGGGCGTCACTTTCCATGGAGCCTCACTGTCCCACCTGCGGCAGCGGTACGCAGATTCGGCGGCGGGATACCCATCCCGCATCATGTCGACCGGATATGTTCAATATGCTCAATGCTCAATATGGCCATCACAGGGCCCTCGTATTTCCACACAACCTACCCGCAAACGGGCCACGATCCAAAAACCTTGAGCACATGTTCCCGCCGATTGTCACACTTCTTCACCGCTCAGTCTTGGACGCGCCTCGTTTGGCAAAGCAGTGACTCGATCGGTTCAATTCCGTCGTCGAAGAAGGGCGCAAGAAGCCTCATTTGTTGTCTACGGTGGTCGTCGGTAGAAGGTGGAATCCCTCGACGACCATTGCCATCTGCTCTCCACCAATGTATTGGAGGCGTCGGCTGCACTAGAGGCTCGAAAACGCAGCCACATGCCTAAAAGCATGCGAGCCCGTTGCCAATGGAAGGCAGAACAGAACCCATTGTGTCTGTCTAGATTCGGAGAACTCAGATGCCCATGCCCGTCTGTTGCTCTGAACTTTATATAAGCTTTTGTTTGGTGGGCTGATGTTCGGACCACATCTGATTGATAATGGGATACGATGGCCAGGGAGATGGATTGGCAGCCAATCGGCTCGCTTCCTGTTCTAGAAGCTCGCGGGACTCGGTGCGCAGCAGCACCCTGATATGGCAAAAGGTGGAGGCGGTGAGCGTGTGCTACCATGACACGGCGAATGCACGAAGAGCGATAAGGAGATGGGGAACCAAGGGCGGAAAAGCAGTAGGTTGAGCAATTGGCTCATAATGGGTGAGAGAATGTGATGTTTTTGGTTTCTGATATAGGCAATAGGAACGAGATGGGCATCTGCTTTCTGAGGTGCGAGGGAGGAGATATGAGACGGGACCACACATCTCCACCACGTGTGGCTGTCTTGCATTGTCGAGTCTGAAATCCCGCTATTCTACCCAGCCACGGGAGAGGAATTGAAAGAAGAGGTTTGAAGTTATAGGAGCAAGCAATCGAGAGCAATCGAGGTGATGGGTACCACCCGATTCACGGAGATTGATTCCACAAGGAAGAGACTGCACCCGGCATTTATTGAGGAAACACAGCGCGTGCCCAACCACCTCCGACTAACATTACCATTGTCATTGTCATTATCGCCATTGCCATGGCCATCATCTTACCGGACGCAGGCTGATAGATAACCACGTCAGCAGTTACACGACATCGGGAAACAGGCATTCGATTGAGGACACACGATTCGCCAATCTTGCACTCGCCAACTCCGTATCATCCATCCGAAGGTTTTGGAGAAGTTCACGATGCATGGCGGCAGAAGGAAAGCGTGGTCGAGATAGAGACGATGATTCGGCTGGCGCAGTGCTGTGGTCGCGTGCCAGCGCACTGCACTGCCCCAGATTGAAGAAAAGGAGGGGTAGAGTTTTGTCCCACGCAGTCTTCGCACTTCCCAGTATTACCGTGTGTGTGTATATGTGTGTGAAGAGATACGACATGTCGCATTGAATGGTTAGTGTATAAGTACGGCGCGCGCAGTCGCGATGAAGGGGGATTTTGATATTCTTTTTTTTTCCCTTCTGTTCCTGATTTTCGCATCCTCGCACCACTTGCCGTTGTATAGTAAAGAAGGGTTCCTTATCGATATCCCCCAGTCTATACCCGTTTAGACCACCCCTCCTCGCGGCTCCTGACCAATCATAGCCCCCCGCCAGCCTCCTAGCGCCGCCGAAACGCCCAAGGGTCGAAAAAATATCAACGACGACCATGTCCAACAGCAAATCCCTTCCATCACCACCACAAACTCCTCCACCGCCGTTGCTGCTGACCAACTCCTCCGCTCCCCTTGCTCGACTCTTGGACGACGACGTCGACGATTACTGTTGTTTCCGTCTCCTCGGGCCTCCCACCATGCGCGGCGCCATTGTCTTCAGCGGCTCGTCCCACCCGACGCTCGTCGATGGCATCTGCGACCGTCTGGGCATGAAGAGGGGCATTGCGTCGCTGAGCAACTTTGCCAATGGCGAGACTCAGGTGCAGATTCACACTTCGGTTAGGGACAAGGATGTATTCATTGTGCAGAGTGGGAGTTCCAAGTGAGTTCTCGAATATGTAGTCGCTGCTCTCCGGAGTCAGTCAGCCAGTCCTTCACTACGACATGGGACGGAACAACAGCAACGAGAAGACCCTGGGGCTTCAAGAAACAAGTTCGAGGAAGATTCGTATGGTCGTCAGCTAACCGTTTATGCCCAGAATCAACGACGCCCTCATGGAGCTGTTGATCATGGTGTCTGCGTGCAAAGGTGGCTCCTCTAGATCCATCACAGGTACGATGCCTCTTCCGTGATCAAACAGCCACGTTTGACCCACTCTCCTGGTACACTCCTACTCACCATCTTCCAAAGCCGTCATGCCCTACTTCCCCTACTCGCGCCAATCTAAGAAGAAGTCGCACCGAGGCTCCATCACCGCGCGCATGGTCGCCAACCTTCTCAACATCGCTGGCGTAAATCACGTCATTACCATCGATCTTCACGCTTCTCAGATGCAAGGCTTTTTCAAGTGCCCGGTCGACAACCTCATCGCCGAGCCTCTCCTCGCCCGTTGGATCCGACACAATGTGCAGAATTGGAAGGAAGCTGTTGTGGTCAGCAAAAACCCGGGCGGTACTAAACGTGTCACTTCGCTAGCCGATGCACTCAAGCTGAGCTTCGGTATCGTGACTACGGATCGGAGACGGGCTGCCACATCCTCGTACTGGAATGAGAGCGCCATGTTCGAATCACTGAGACTCGATAGCTCGTATTCGGATTCGTCTGGTATCGTGGAGGCTGCCATGGATCCGGAAGCAACCATCACACCCGCTACGAACATCACTCCTACTGCTAAATCCGACCAGGGCAAGCCGAAACTCCGAACTCGGACCATTTCGAATCCACACCAGCGACGTCTCAATGGTGGTTTGGAGGTAACGAGCAGCCCGCTTCAGAAGTCGATGCGAGCTGAATCCATTGTCGAGTCTGAGGCTTCAGCGGATACTATCCGGGCTGAAACTGCTGCCAGCAATGGTCAGTCCGAGGAGTCTAACAATGAAGAGGGTGCTGATGAATATACCGACGAGGCTAGTATTTCATTGCTGCTTTTGGGTTTCAAAGCTAATTTATCGCGCAGCGAGCAAGAGACGTGATCCACGGCCGCCTTATCCAGGGACACATCGTTGACGACGACCACCCATCTCCCTCCATGTCCGCCGTTTCGCATACGACCTGGCGCGGTCGCGCTCCTTCAGACGGTGATGCGGACGTTCCCGAAAACATGATGTCTTCGTTCGTATCCACAGCGTCTTCTATGAAGAACAGCAGTCACACGGAGCATGCGCATGCTCTAGGCGGCACCTACGATGCGGCGGCTTCCTCTGAAGACGAAGAGGACCACCTCGTGAACCCCGAAGTGGAGACTATGGTGACACTGGTTGGCAACGTCAAGAAGCGTCCCGTTCTACTTGTCGACGACATGATTGACAAGTCTGCATCTTGGATCGCCGCTGCTGAGACGGTCGTTAAGCGTGGTGGTGCTACAAAGGTATACTGCATGGCTACGCACGGTTTATTCGGTGGTGATTGTCTTCAAGAGATGGTCGACTGCGACTGCATCACCAAGATTATTGTCACCAACGCCTTCCCCATCCCTGAGGAAAAGCTCGACAAGGTTGGCGACAAACTGGTCGTGCTATCCGTGGACAATCTTCTCGCTGAGGCCATTCGCCGCAATCACCATGGCGAGAGCATCTCGCAGCTTTTTATGCATTACGATTGATCGACATTGAATACGAATCTCGGGTCAATCTCGAAACACGAGTATAACGGCGGGTCTTCTCTTCTTGAATTGTATTAAACATTATCTGCATTTAGCGAGGCGCATGGGAAAAGGGTTGGGAAGGTCTCTCTGTTATTCCAATCCACCCAGTGTCCTGCCTTTGAAAGGTATAGTCTTCTTTTTGCTAAAATTACAAAAAGCATTCAAAGGCTGGTGGGTGGATTTACTTATTCTCATTACCTTTCATAGAGAGGAAATATGCTCATGGGTTGAATTCTCACTTTTCTCTCACTATCGGATATGAGAGGACTTTATTCCATGCCTCATTATTTTTCTTCATCACAGCGAACCCGAAAGACGTCGGACTGTGTACGGATAAGCGACCGGCATCGTAAGTAGGAAGTAAGTACATCCGGTCAGATTCGATACACCTTTGGGTCAAATGGTGTGTGTATTGTTGACCACTTGCTTCTGTTCCAATACCGCCCTTCTCTCTCTCTCCTTCTACTCTTTCCCCCTTCTGCCTCATACCAATTTTTTTTTCCCTAATGTGATGCCTTTTTCCCCCATCCATGACCAATTTTTCTACCATTGAAATTCTTGAACAAGAAAACAAAAAACCAACGATGTAGAGCTTCAGGCTCTGCAGGAATCCCGTCTTTTTTCTATATGGGTCATTCTTAACGGAGCGTTGGGATAGTAAAAAGAAATCATTCTTTTTGAGTCACACTTTCTTTCCTGTTCATCAACTCACCCTATTTTTCTCTGTTGGGGTGGTTGTAGGGAGGGGATTTTTTCGAAGGTGTGGCTCGGACATTACAATCTAGTTGTACTGGATATAATAGATTTGTTTTTGGATCTTTTGAGATGATAAGTGAATGCGTGGTGTTAATAGGATGATGTGCTGTGACGTGCCCGTGTATATGAGAGAGGGAGAAAGAGAGACCAAAAGTCCCTCTCATGCGCAATCGAAAAGGGATTGGATGGTGGATCGATTGATAGTAAAGCACTCTGCTATTGAAAAGACTACCACCGCCCAACCAGATTCCTCCATCAATAGTAATCCGAAGAATAGCACAACCAAGCCCAGTTCACATCTCACACGCTTTACCATTGCTCAAAGCACATCCAATAGCACATCCCCAAGCCAATCCTCGACGACTCTAATCAAGCGCTCCTTCTTGTCGGTCAATTCAGGATACCTAATCTCCCAAGCCGCCATGAACGCGTAATCCGGACAACCCAAAAGTTCGAGGAACAAGGTGCAAAAGACCGTCTCGACCCTGTCCTCGCACCCATCCCGTAGTAAAGTGAGGAGATCGGGGCTACTGCTACGGTCTCCGGCCTTCCACCATCGGATCAGCAAATCCCCGTCGACGTGCATGGCTCTTGCTTGCCCGCCTTGCACGCCTTGGTCCATGGAATTAACGTCTTCATCGTCTTCGGGTCCATGGACTCTAGGGTCCACGTCGCGGGCGCAGATAGTGTCGTTTTCCTCTTCGCGCGCGCCTTCTGGACTGTTCCTCAGCAATACGTCGAAGATGTCACTATTGTTTTGCTGCTGGTGCTGTCCATATCCGACGGCAGAAGAATATTGTAGCGCCGGGTCCCTTTTCCGCTTTGCAACGAGTAGATTTTGAATAAAGCGGAGGACACGCAAAGCGGGGACGGAAAGAATGCTGAAAGAGTATATCGTGCCGTCCGAGGTGGCGCCTAAGATGTCGTCGGCGAGGATACCATAGGGCGCATGTGGTGGCCTCGTCGGCCATTCCTTGAGTGGGTAAGCGACATAAGAGCGTCGCCAGGGAGGTCGAACATCGGCACGGTAAAGCCGGATGACAGAGCGTGGAAGCTCGGCTTCAAAGAACATCGGCGCTGCCAACTTTTGGGAGGTCGGTGAGGGGTGGAAGAGTCCTGTGACAGAGCAGGCTTTGTCTGCGAGGAGGACAAGTCGAGAGGTTGGTTCAGAACGGGCCGACGCTGGGAAGTCATCTGCGCTCATCATGCCATCGTCATCGTCGAAGGTCTTAGATGCTGGGACGTCGTAAACAAGATGGTGCGTCGACGGACGTTCGCGGGAATCAGTGAAGAGCTTTTTGAGGCGAAGGTGCTGCTCCATTTGTTCGATATGCAGGATCTGATAGCATATAAGGGAGTCATTGGAGGTTGAAATGTAGACGAAACTGTCGGATATTGTCATATGAACTCCATTGGATGGAAGTTTCGCTTCCACGCATATTGACCATTTTTGCGAGGCAGCCTCGAAGTCGTATATGCGTATAGTTTTGCCAATGATAGCAACCAGATACGTGCTTTTATATATCCCCAGACAGCGGACCGGAGATGTATGGGGGATCTGTTTCATCAGTTTGACCCCAGATTTGCCTCCTGCGTTGAAGAATAGCCGCCGACCTTCTTCTTGGCCAGGGCCCTTTTTGATTCCAGTGCCCACCACGAGAATCTTGTACTTTTTGCCTTTATCGGTGTCCATGACCCATTCCACCATAGAGTAAACGCGCTCGTATGGCTCCAATTGAAACTCGTAGGCCACAAACTTATTCGCATTCAACTCTTCATCCTCGCTCTTGATATCAGGCTCTTCGTTCATTTGCTCCTCGCTCATTTTCAGGAATTTGAGGGTTGAGTGTACGGTACGATAACCATTTGGCGGCGCACGCACCTCCTTATTTTCCATCGTCGCGACCACCATGAAACGCGTGGTGCCAGCCATATACATCATCTTCATTGGCGAGGCACCTGTGGGAATTGTGCGAGGAACAACTTTGCTCTGCTCTTGTACTGCTGGTTGGCCATTCTGACCAGACCACCGGACGTCATAGTCCATCTGTGCAAGGAGCATTTGCTCTCCGGACACGGTGAAAATGAATCCGCCGAGACCCCTACCAGTGCTTGCCGAGTTGGGCACGAAAGGGAGTTGATCCAATGCGACAATGGGACCCTGAGCATACGTCTGTATGTGACGATCAACAAGCCAAATGGGATTGACATCGATGGCGCGCGGGCCAGAGCCCGACAATGTGATTCGACAAAACTCAGATCCACAAGCCAAGAAAGCTGAAGAAGGATCAGTGGAGCAGGGGCGAAGTTGTACAGCTGTGGAGCCCATCTGTACTGGTTCGCGAGACTTGATTCTGATGTTCGAATGTTGTTGTGTATGTGTTGGGTAGGATGATTCGCCATCGCTATCTGCTGCAAAGTCTACTAAGACCATGGATCCGTCACGCGCACCGCATACCAACTGCCGATGCTCTCCAAGCACTAGTAAAACCGCACTCTCGCATATTGTAGGTAGCCCTGCAGCAGAAAATGGAAAGATCTCGGAGACGACAAGCTTGAGTGAGCTGTGTTCTATTTTGAAAATCATGATACTACCCGTGATGGTGCCAACGAACAGCAAGATGCCTTCACCATCACCATCATCGAACGAAAAAAGCTCGACACAGGTAGGATCGTCTGGTAGATTGTATCTTATCCTTTTTTCGGGGTCGGTCTCAATTATACCTCCGGGATGTATACGAGCGACCTCGATGACCGCTTGGTTACCCATCCGAAACGACAGGGCGACATATGGTATGTGATTCCTTGTCGAAGCTCTGAGTAAGGTGCCCGGGAGAGTGTATGAGCTCGTAGCCGTGAGGGCCGGACGGTGGAGACAGCGAACTTCGTTATGCGATATTTGGACGGCATAATCATCGTCCAGAATGCAAGCTGCGATTGTCTCTTTTGCACGCATAATCGAGTCCTGTATTGGTTCGTCACCGCTGCCCGGGATTTGTACTATATCCCAGTTTCCTTTTGCCCATGCGCTGTTGGAATCATTGTCATCTATGACGCCTTCTGTCTGCATTCGAGTAGCACGAATCACAATAGTCTCTGGAGGTAGGGTGAATATAAACGTTGCATGGTGCTGCTTCGTGGTTTGTCCGTCGTGTTCGACACTTTCCACGCCCTGATCCAGAACCCATAGACCTGTACATCCTTTCATACCCCGAAAGGAGCAGTCTATGAGAGCTTTAAGGCCTCGCCGTAGCTCGGATATCTCCCCATGCATTGATTTTCCGTTGGTTACGAATATGCTCGCACGTGAGGGTGGAGGTAGTGTTCGTCCACCGGAGACCTTTGTGGCAACCATGTCAGCCACAGGGGCCCAGCACGGGATCGACTCAAGACGCGAGAATCCATTCCCTAATATACCCTGGGCGTACTCGTATTCTGTGGGCCAGGCGCCGATTTTATGCACAAGACCATCACCTCCCACGCCTCCTGATATAAGCACGTCGGGATAGCAATGCGCAAATTCGGAATTGTCCACAGCGAGAAAGGCGAAGGCAGTGTCAATGGGCTTTTTCAGATCCCCTTCGGCCGAGATTTCGATACCAGTCGTGCGCCCACATTGCACATACATGACCCTGCCGTCTTCACGGGCGATGTAGAAAACCTCTTTATCAAAATCGGGATTTCGCAAGGCTTTGTCCCATTGCACCCATTGTGGCATACTACTGCTGGCAGCTGGGTGGAGCGGAGCTCGTATATGGTCGGGTATCGAAATTGGCATAGTGTCTGGGGGCCCAGAAAGAACAGATTGATATAAAGAAAGGTGATTATCGCAGACAAGGAGGAAATTGGAATCATGTTGTAAGGGAATGAGAAGGGAAGGATAGCTATCCTCTGATCATGGTCAGTGTCTGGATTAGCTAATCTTGGGGTTGGGGGAAGGGGGGGAGCAACGAATGGCGTGTTAATGCGGCGACGAGCGAACGAACGTACCGGGAATGACGAAGGATTTTTTCGTTTCCGTCATTGTGTCACCTAGACTATTTCCAAAATCCCACTCATAGGAAGCCACTTTGGTGCGGCCCTCGTCGACGTAAATGAAGACAAGAACCACGTGAGCGTCATCTTGCGCGTGACTTGGTGACAAGAACTCCATATGCATGACACGCCCTTCGAAGGGGACGATGACCTCATCAACAATGGGCAGGCCATCGTTTCCATCGCGCATCTCTTTTCGCCAAACATCCATCGGTTTGAGTTTGTACAGCACGAACAGGCCTTCGGAGGCAGCCACGGCCATAGCACGACCCTTGGGGTCGATTGCAAGATGATTACCGGTACGATCGAAGCGTGAGTGACCCACTGGCAAACGAAGAGTCTTTTGGTGGAAGGTCAGGAGACCTGGTTGGATTTGACTGGCCCACAGGAACATGAGGGTTCTCGAGCTCAGTGTCAGTACAGCAATATCTGGGGGTAAGACCGTCTCTTCATTGCCTGTCACCGATGTCCTCGCGCGGTGGATGGTGGCGCGTTTCAGCAGCGGATTGCGATCAGAGGTACTGACATGGACTTTTCTTGGGTCGCCAAAGACGCGAGCGGCCAGGATTTTGCCCTTGAAATCGGACTTTGTGGCTACATGACGAAGATGGCCGTAGTCACCGATCTCGTGCAGCTGGACAAAGTCTTCGCCCACGTAGAGAACATCGCTCAAGCCACTACGCCGTATATTGGCGGATAGGATGAATTTGAAGAGAGGAGTTTCGATGATTGTCCGAGAAAGGATACCGAGACAGGGTGTCGGCTCGGGCAGCATGGGTTGGTCCTCATCTACCGCCGCAGAGTCATGGCTGCGGGGCATGATGTCGTAGGCGTTGGTAGATCTCGATACCCACTCGCCGTCCACGAGGACGGATTGTTGGAACTGGAACGCCATTCAGTCAAGTGTAAGGTGGCAGCAAATAGGGCAGAGCGTCAACCGAAGACGGGTTCAGGGACATGTTCGATATTGAATGGGAAGATTTGCACAGGGACAGGCAGCAAAGAACAAACCATCAAGTGACTGATGTGTTGGCGGTGGGGTGATTAAAGGAAAAGAACCTTGGAAGACAGTGGCTGTAGGGCGGGTAAAAGGTAGCTAAGCGGGAAGCATTGGGCGGGCAGTGATAATCGAGATCTAGATGGATGCGATCGTGCAGGAACAGGCCGTGATTGGTCGGGGAGAGATATTTTTGTTATGGCGAGCAGCCGTTCGGAATACGATGGGCTGATGGATCAATGACTGGCAGCAGCAAGAAATCACGTGCAGAGACCGGTTTGAACTCGTGAATGCACCTGCAGCCAGTCAAAGACAAACAATTTCAGGGACTTGAAGACCCGAGGAAAAGATGACTGGATAAGAAGCTATCAATTGCTGAATGCCTCAGTCGCCGAGCTCGTTGGCGGTGTGAGGGTGTAGGTAGGTAGAAGCCAGCACTTGAGAGGTAGAGGTTGACCCTGCTGGTTTGTTTGCCTGTATATTTTCTTTTTCTTCTGTAGGGGCGAGGAACAGAATCCTTCCAGTGGGCTCGGGGGATGAGTGAGGCAAGGCTCCGAGTTGGTTATGATCTGTACGGTGGTTGTGTTTGTGATGGTGACGGAGGAGTTTAGCGTGTGGGGGTGCAAAGCAGAGCTAGGGTGGTGCCAAGGACGGGTAAGTAGTGTATACCGTACTGTGCGGTCATGTCATGTGCTGGTGGCAACTTTGAACATTGAAACGAAGAACAAGGAAGTCAGTCGCGAGTGTTTCGCGTCGGCTGCGAGGCCAACTCCAACTGGAACCCCCCATTTTCATCATGGAAATTACACGTATACCTCCATCTCTTCCAGCTTATCAACGCCCCCTATATGTCATCAGCTCTGCAATTGCTAATGACATGCTGCCCTGCTCTCTGATCCATATACTCGACGCCCGAAGCAAGCCGTCCGCATTCAACCCTACCATTTGATACGACGCAACTCAACACAACCCGACGCGACTGGAATCATCACCTCTCAAAACCCCCCTGGCAATGATATGCCTTCCCGCCCGGCTTCCCGCACCCCACCCTCTCGGTCCGTGAGCTCCGACCTCACTTCGGAGGAGAAGGAAAAGGCCGATCTGGTAACGGCCGCTTGCCGCGACCGCAACCTCGATACATTGATCCACCTGGCCACCACCCGTCTGGGCCTCGTCTCCGATCCTCTGCGCCGCACTGCGTGTATGTCATTCTGCATACTTGCCCAACCTCAATTGCTGTACATTTCTGACCTTATCTAGGGCCTATACTGCTAGGATGCCCCGACCCAAACCGCCCTCGAGAGCGGGATCCCGACAAGGATGCGGATAACGATGACACAAGCCCCCGCGAACCACCCCATCTCGACCAGCCGTCGGCCAACGTGCTGCCTCGCCACAAAGAGGAAGAGCAGGTGGCCCTCGACGTGCACCGCGCATTCGTCTTCTACCCCAAGAACGGTACGCCCTTGCCAATGGCATCGTGAATAAAGGGACGCTTGCTAAGACAACACAATACAGAGTCAGAGAAACAGCTCGATCGCCGGAAAGAAGAGCTGTCCGACCTCATCATTCACGTCCTCCGCCACCACCCTACATTGAGCTATTTCCAGGGCTACCATGATATTGCCCAGGTCTTCTTGCTTGTCTTGGGCCCCCAAGATGCCCCCGCCGCCGTCGCCCGCCTCAGTCTGTTGCGCATACGTGACTTCATGCTATCCAAGCTGGAACCCGCCATGTCCCAACTGGAGCTGCTCCGACCTCTCATAGCAACCGCCGATCCTCCCCTCTACAACCACCTTCCCAAGCACCGACCGGCTTTCGCTTTGGCCGGCACCATCACCCTGTTCGCGCATTTCATACGGGAGTACAAGGATGTAGCGCGCCTCTTTGATTTCTTCCTTGCCCAACATGCTGTGATACCCATTTATTTTTTCGCTGCCGTCGTTCTATCTCGCAGGGACGAGATTCTAGAGATCGATCAGGAGGACGAGGACATCATGTCGGCCATTCTCGGAAAACTGCCCGAGCCGTTCGACATTGAATTTCACATCGCCCGCGCCGTGGAGCTTTATGAACGGCTCCCACCCGAGTCCTTGGTGGGCTGGGAATGGTGGCGCATTTCCTCTTCCAGCGTCCTCAAAACGTCCCCCACGCCTTTCCACTTATCTCAGACTTCGCTGGAGGAGGGCGAGAAACTGCTTCAGAAGCAGGAGAAGGAGATTCGGCATCGCCAGACTTGGGATAATGCGACTGTCCGTGTCAAGATGGTTAGGCGCCATCTCTGGCTCTACAGGAGGCACGGTGCTGTCGGTGTCGCCATCATCATTGGTGTGTATGCCATGTGGCTCGGTCGCGCGCACACACGGCCTGGCTTGTCGCCCGTAGTAGACTTGTTGAAGAAACTCGCCGGGGCACTGTTGTAGACGAGACGTCGGAATGCAGGATTTGTTGGCCGGGAGTTGGCTTGGTCGAAGTTAGGTTGGTTTCGGAAGCTACCTAGGCAGATAGACCGCATTGTACTATATTCATCCATGGCCTGGTGTTTGCGTTGGATCAAGAAAAAAGACACCAAGGGAAAAGAAGAGTGCGAAGGGATTTAGCGGAAGGGCTGAGGAAAAAAAGAAAATAACTCAATACAAAAGTCTTTTTTGCGGATTCGCGTTCGGGCTCGTACTCTGTGCCGCAGTTAGTAGCGTTAGCATCAGCATTTGTATTAGAAGTGTTTGTTTGATCGCGTTCTCATTCTCTGTCGCACTCGCACTCAGTTTTTTTTTATTCGTTTTCAGTGTCGTGTCAACTATTTCAGACTCTTGTTCGTTTCCCCTTTCTCCCCTGCATTCTCTCTTGTCATTTAAAGCCATCATAATCAATCAAGATAACTTCTATTGCGAACAAAAATCACTGTGAACATAGCAATTAGTCCATCGTATTCTCTTCCGTACTCCCGCATTCGATTTCTTGTCTCTAGTTTTATTACGTTGTGTTGACGGTCTTTGGGTCGATGTATGTCTTCTGCGTCTCTTTCGCGATCTATAATCGTCCTCTTACCTGTTATCCTTTATTGTTCTCTTTTTTCACAATCCCTGTTAATAAGTTAGATAGCACTGCTTGATGTATCACGCAGAGAAACCCACGATATTACGTCTTCTTTTGCACGCTGGATTGTCTATATATCCTTCTGCTAACTCTTTATCAAGATAAACGATGCTTCATCTGCGCGTGAAATAGATTTGTAGATTGGAGGGGGGACTGGTTTTTCTTCGATGGTGCTCGTTAGAGGTATTTTCTTTTTCCTTTTCTTCGTTATCGTATCTAGAAGGGGGAAAAGGTCTGAGGGAGGGCGGGTAGGATTTTGATAGTGTGAGAGCGTGGGTTCTGCAATGCAGTGTCTGTAGTCTGGAGGTGCGATATATAATCATGGGTCTTGAGCTCGCTGGACCCCGGGGAAACGGTATTTCTTTTTCAAAAGTATATGTTATTACTCGGGGCCAGTGAGTGTTCGATGTCCATTAAGGAAGAGTTCTCACGCTCAGCAATGGAAGATGTTGATGTCGAAAAAGCATTAATGCTTTGGTCCCTTAAACATGAATTCAATATTCCATATCCGCACAATCAAATATACGCCTTGAACACCTAATCAATACTCCAAACACATAAAACACACAGTTGACCTAATCATACAGAGCACCACACAACTCCATCATAGCCCCTCATTTCAAACCCTCTCCAGCACTCTCGTATCCAACCGCCTCATCTTCCCTGAGCTCCCCCATAAGCGGGCCCTGAAGCACCCTCTTATAATCCTGCCCACTCCAACTGGGTCCCCGTCCCAACGCCTCCAACGACAGCCCCAAAGGCTTAGCCTTCCTCACCATCTCCGCTTGTCCACCGCCCACGCTAACACCCGCATGTCGCGGCACCACGCCCTCGCCCGGTGCGGGGAAGTCAGCTGTAGAAGGAAGAGTGGGTGACGAGAGTGAGAGGTCGGAGGATGCAGAGGCTTGATCGTGGGCTTCTTGGAGGGCGGCTTCGTAGTGTGTTGACGAGGCGCGGATGAGGTTTGTACGGCGTGGGTTGGTGGAGGTTGTAGAGAAAGGGGGTGCGGCGGAGTCGGTCTGGGTTGAGGTGTTGTGGGTAAGGGCTGCTTCGGCTTCGGAGCGGGTTGTTGGGGTGAGGCCGGAGGGGGTTATTGCGCCGGCGAGGGTGTTGGTGGGAAGGAGGAGGTTGGTTGGTTTCTGGGCCATCTTTGGTGGTGGTTGGTAGGGTGTTTATTGCTGTGGTTTGGTTGGTTGTTGGAAGTGTGCGAGTTGGACGTGTGCGAGTTGGATGCTGGAGGGTATGATGTTAGAATGTTGGTAGTTGCGTAGTAGTAAATGAAATTAATATATATGCGAGATATATTTTCAGGAAGTTGACGTGCAAGCTGAATCGTTGTGTCGAATGCCTTTTCTCATAGTGAACTGACAATCCCTCGTGATGTAGAGCAGAGTTTTCCTCGCCTAAGATCATGTCGAGAAATGAGAGAGAAGAAAAATCATACCTTCACAATCAGTAAAGTGTCAAGGGCTCCACAATTGACACGGTAACCACAGTGTCAAGTCAATCGAGTATTGGATTCGAAGATATTGGTATCAGCAAAGGGAACCGTGCATGTCAGCTATTTGAGGCATGCGTCTAGGAGGTATGATGGCATTGCTTGGCCAGTGACGTCGCGATATGCAGGGTCCATTGCGGGGCGCACTAGTCCCTTTACAGCCATCAGAGTGAACATCTTCCTTTGTGATATCGTCGATGTAGACGATGGATCCCATTCCATGGAGCTGTGCGAATCGACGGGGGTAAACAATGGTTAAATGGAGTAGATTGGGAGGATTGCTAAAGTGGGATAGAGGACGGAGGACGGGAGCGTGTGGTAAGCTACTGAATTGAAGGAGGTAGCATTGAGTGGTATCAATGCCCCGACAAGGCTGGGAAACAGACTCAGCATTCTCCAGACTCACGAATGCAGAACTGTAGAAGTGATTCTGATCGACGGATGTTCAATACGCTTGTATACGCGTTCAACTCTGGCAATCGCAAGTTTACTTCTACCATTGTGCATTCTGCGCTTATCACTTCCACCAGCGTCTACCGTCTGCCGTCATAAGCTTAACCGACTACGACAACAATGACGCTGAATCATGTGACTCCTGCATTCATCCTGTTATCGAACCAGACGAAGATCATCGGTGACCGCATCCCGCAATATCTCAGCTCGCAATTCAACCAATAGCCTAAGGACGCGTCGATCATGTCGGGACTCGGGAGGAGAAACTTTCGGCTCAGACAAATCGAAGGAAAGACTAGCCGGCGCTGTAGGCGGTGAGTAGGCTGCCACTCGGTGTGTAGATGAATCGGCTTGTTGATATTGCGCCAGCTTTGTTGGAGGGCACCTTCAGATGATCTGATTGGCTGTAGACAGATGCATCTGCGTGAGAAAGGGCACCTTCATTTATCGATCCTTGGAGAGGCCTCGGTACAGACTGAACTTCGCGAGATAGGGGGCACTTTTGTCCAATAACATCAGGGAGGTATCTGCATGAGTGAGCGAAAAGTTTCAGCCTTCCGTTAGGGTGTGGGATACTTTTGTAGTGTTAGGGATGAAGATTGATGACTTATGCATGTCTCTGTATGCGCTGGCAAACTGTGCATTGCGGCGCATTCGCTGAATTGACAACTCATCTACAAGGATACGCCAAGTGCCCTCTACATGTACATGTAAGGGCACTTGAAAAAATCCACCAAAGTTCTAGATTGCGTGATGCAGACTGAGCAGCAGGGCCTAAGGAAACACGGAGCGCTAAGCCACTTCGAGATCATCCATGGTATGCCAACATCACTTTGACCTGAGGAAGCGATGGGAAAAGGGTGCCCTTTTCCAACAGTAGACCGGTGAGATATGCAATGAGTACAGGGAAAAACTGATCAGCCGTCAATCTGACCGGAGCACCCACCAGTGCAATGCATCAGGCCGAGAAAAGTGGAGAGGAGATTACCACCCTCGCTACCAAAATGAACGTCTCTACGACTACCACGTCCGGGACTGCGAAGCTTGAGATGTTTGCGGAGGATAATCTACCATGTGCACAGAGAGGATGCTGAGTAGTAACTTCTATACAACGAGATTGATTATATGGTAAAGACAGTAGATTTGACTAACATACAAATAATAACTCGGTAATGACAGTGAGTACGAAAGAACACGATCATAAACATACTAAGAAAAAAACGAGTGGACTACATTACTTACCAGAATCCTCCTTCTTGCCAATATCAGCTTGAGTCTCACTATTTCATCCCATTGCATGGTTCTGAATGAATGGGTGACCTATCCCTGCCCAAACCCTGTTCATTCAATGCGTCTGCCATGCATCTTTTCCATATGTTCCTGTACCTTGTCTAGTCGAGGGTAAGTGTAGCTGCAGAATGTGCAACGAAATTCCACAGCTTCATTGGGGCTATGCACAGTCCTCAGATGACGGCGGAAATCTTGAGGCCGACCAAAGGTTGCCCTGCAATCTGGCTGGTCGCAGGGCACACGGTTTCTTGCATTGCGAGAACCCTGGCGTGCCCTCCTGCGGCGCACAGTTTGATGGTTCGTCGTGCTGCTGAGTTGATGATCCGGGATAATCCCAGATGGAAGATGTCCTGGCTGAGCCATTGTAGCTTCGCTCATCGGGACAGCGACCGAAGGTTGCACAGCCGGAAAATATGGCAGTGACTGAGTGGCAGGCCACAATGGCGTGCTAGTTGTAGTTTCATTGACGAAATTCCAGTTGAAGTTTGGATCAGAGGCGTCAGGAAAGCCGAAATTGGGCATATAGACCTGAGACAGTAAGCCTGGGGTGCTGTACTGCCCTACAAAGCCTTCTGGGTGGAGCGAGGCAATGCCAGGGTTGGTGCTGACTGCCGGGAAAGCAAAGTCGAGAGCCAAAACGTCATTGGTTTGACCGAAATCGTTCGTTAAAGCGGTTCCCAAAGTGGCTAGATGAAGTTGACCTTCGTGATAGTCCGGGTTTTTGGAAAAGGCATAACTGCATGATGTTAAAAAAAAAACTCACTTGGGTGACGACTGAACTAGACAGTCCAGAGGCTTCGATTCTGGAGAATTTTTCATACTCAACCAAAGTTGATATGAAAGTCGTAGCCTTCTTCAATCGAGTGATCAATGGATCAGGACTTGTGTAGTAATCTTGCAAGGATATCTCGAAGTCGATATTGTTGATACAAAAATGTAGATATAAATTATGATGTGATGGTGCCTGAAGAGAAATATGAAGAGCCGTGGTTGATGAAAAGCCAGCAGAGCGAGAAGGAGGCAGTGGAGTGTATAAGATGAGACGAGGCTATGAGAGGTTTCAAAAAATATCCTCTGGGCTGTCCTCGCCTTCGCTTTCGGTGGCGTTAGGGCACCATCCACCAATGGAGTTCCGCAGTCTTTCCATAGCCGAATATTACCCAGGCTCGCAATTCTAGGAGTCTTGATATAGAAAATCGTCGACGCCGTATATGTATCTCCTTCTTTCTTCTTCACGCAATGCAATCGGTCTCTCTACATCAGGAAGCATGGCCACAGATGAATATTTTTCGTGTCTGCAGTGTTCTGACATGTTTCAGACACGTAGTCGATTCAAGTGAGCATTATATTTACAAAATGCTCGACATCAACTGATGAAGCGCACAGCCAGCATCTGAAGACACATTCGAAACCATTTAGTTGCGAGAAGTGCGACAAATCGTTTGCACTCCGTGCAGATCTTACCCGACATACACAGGCACGACACCGCGTAGGACAGACAAGGTTCGCGTGTCCAACATCCGGCTGTCACTTCAAATTCACCAGAAAGGATAATATGCGCAAGCACATGCGAAATTTACACGGGGAAATCTCGAACTCTAACCCGTCGGGAGAGAGACTGTCACCGCCCAACAACGAGGTCGAAACACGTTCCACTCCGAGAGGCATTATCGTTTCGCCAGGAGCTATGCTGCTCCAAGCTGCAAGTCTTGGAAATACTGCCTACATCATCGACGCTCTCCAATCGGGTGTCGATATAAACATGTCCGGAGACGATGGATCTACGCTGTTGCACTGTGCAGCAAAGGCAGGCCAAGTCTCTACCGTCAAATTACTTCTTGAACGTGGCGCCTCTGCAGATGTTGTCAACGATGCTCACAGGTCAATTCTACATGAAGCTGTGCTCAGCCGAGATCCTCTAATGTTCGATGCTCTCCTCAATTTGGGCTTCAATCCGCGCATCAAGACTTCATCTAGAAACTCCGTGATTGATATCATCCTGAATGACTCTCAAATTGAACTCCTGAAGTTTGTTCTGGATAAGAACTATTGGGAACTCCTCTTTGGGTCTGCATTTCCCTTACATATAGCTATACGGAAAAAGCAAAATCAGATCACTGCAACACTACTCTCTTACCCCAATATCGACATTAACAGCCAAGATGAGGATGGCTTTACTCCTTTGCATCTGGCAGTCAGATACGACAACATATCGGCTATTCAGATATTACTCTTGCGGGAGGACATCGATGTCAACGCGCTCGGGGGAAGGATAATTAAGACTCCTCTTATGTGTTCATCCATTGTTGCATCATCGGAAAATAGGTTTGATATATGGAGGCTGTTACTTCAGCACAAGGATACAGATCCAAACCTTCGCGTCGGGAGTACAACAGCTCTGCATTTTGTTTCAGAGTCGAGACAACCCGATAGGCTGAGGCTATTCCTCCAACATCCGGAGATTGATCCAAATGTTACAGACTCAGACGGGTATACACCTCTAGCCAGAGCATGCATGGGGAGAGCTTCTGAAGTCGTGAGATTATTTCTTGAACATCCACGCATCGATGTAAGTGTTGTCGACAAACTGAACCGTACGCCTCTGGTTCAAGCAGCTCGACGCCGATATTTCGAGATTGTAAAAATCTTCCTTGAAAGCGAAAAGCCAGCCCCAGACGGTTACAGCTCTCTTGGATACACTGGGTTGCATTTGGCAATTATCAAAAACAACCCTCGGGAGGCAGAGACAATTCTAGCTCTAGAAGGAACAGATGTGAATGCCAAAGATATGAAAGGAGACACACCACTTAATATGGCGTTGTATTATGGGAAGTTGCAGATGATCAATCTGTTGCTTCGTCATCACTGTGTGTCTGTCAGTCTCAAAAATAAGGAGGGCTTATGTCCTCTACATCTGATTGCAGAAGGAAAGGGAGATATCGAGCATCTGGATCTGCTGCTACAGAGGGAAGACATCGATGTCAACGTTAACGTTCAAGACTGGGTCCGCAAGTCACCCCTGCACGTGGCATGTAACCGAGGACACTTTGAGATCGTTGAAAAACTTCTTGGACACAAGGACATTCAGGTTAACATTTTGAATCCATATAATGGGTCTCCATTATTTGGTGCTTGTAAAGAGGGCCGTTCAAATGTTGTTGCAATACTACTAAAGCACCCCGACATACAAGTGAACTTGAAGAACAATTCAAAAGAGACGGCACTGCACGCTTGCATAGGATTATGGTATAAAGAAGCCAATCTCGGCACAATCCGACTTCTTCTCGAAGATATACGCGCCGATGTCAACAACGTGCGTTGGGATTTCGAGACAGTGCTTGACACTGCGATCAAATATAGAAATGCGCACGTAGTCGAAATGCTTCGCTCATTTGGCGCCCTCACCTTCAAGGAACTCAATTCGAGAATCACAGATGTACAGGCCAGTTCCGACTGGATGTTTTCGACAGCACAAGAAGTTCCAGAAATGTATGTATTCTTTTAGCTCGTTTAAACTCATTTGAGTACCTACTAAAATTATACTAGGCAGGAAATCAACTGGAACCCGGATGCCACACGAGTTGCCTATCCAACCCAAATTTTCGATGATGTGGCTAATTCCGATGACTGTGTGGGAGCGGATATGGAAGGATTTACTTGGACTTAAGGGTGCGGGCTGCCGGAAATCATTGACGCATTTTCTGTTGTATTTCTTGCTGTTATGACACATATGACGTATACTCGTGCGGTGAATCTCATTTTCTTCTAATGTCTGCTGCCTGACAACCTTTTGAAATCGACATATTAGAAGTATGTAGCCAATGGCAGCAATGAAGCAATATCCTCCGTTGCGTGTGAAAGAGTAAACAAATCTTTGTAGCTGCTGAAAATTGTTTGACTATCTTCCTTCCCACCGAGTAAGCGCTGCGAGTGACTTCTGCGTATCTGGATGAAGCGGCCCCAGCATCTTCTTCCTTAGCTCATAGCACTCCCTCATGTACGCGACAGCCTCACTGTTCCGTCCAAGACTCTCCAGAGTCAGCGCGAGATTGTGCAAGCTGCTCAACGAATGCGGATGGTTCACCCCTAGGATTTCTTTCCTCTTATACAGCGCATTCCGATGCATCGTTTCCGCCTCTTGATACCTGCCTTGCAAATGTAGAACAGACCCTAGATTCCCAAAACTGTATAATGTGAATGGGTGGTTTTCCCCTAGAACCTTGATACTGTCCTCTAGCACCTGTCGATGCAAGGTCTCTGCTTCAGCATGTCTTCCTAGTAATGCTAGTACAAAAGCCACATTCCGTGCGCATATGAGGGTGTCTGGGTGGTGTTCGCCAAAGGTTTGCTTACTCCCTTCTAGTGCGCGACGGTGCATTGCTTCTGCTTCGACAAGCTTGCCTTGTTTTCCCAAGGCCAATCCCAAGTTATCGATGCTTGCGAGAGTGCTTTTGTGGAGCGGCCCGAAGATCTTTTCCACTTCCTGTAGTGATTTCTGCTGTATTACTTCAGCATCGCTATAACTACCCTTTTCCGTCAACACCAAGCTTAGATTTCCGAGGCTTTGCAGTGTGGCGGGGTGCTCTACCCCGAGTGCCTTTTTGTATCCATGGATTGCTTTCCTGTGGAGAACTTCGGCCTCTTCGTACTCGCCGTGATCTGACTTAACTAATCCGAGACTATCGATATCGGATAGCGTGAGCGGATCTTCTGGTCCCAATATTTTTTCTCGTCCATCGATCGCGCGTCGAAACAATATTTCGGCTTCTTTAAAATCGCCACCCCTACGTAGCGCAGTTGCGAGGAGGCTAACACTGGACAGTGTATTTGCATGCTCAAGTCCAAGCATCTTTTCTCTCGCCTCTAAAGCGAGTCGACCCATCTCTTGAGCTATGACGTAGAATCCCACCTCGAAGGCATAGACCATGGATTTAGAAAGAAGAGATGTCCAAGCTTCCAATGCACTCTGATCTTTTGGTATGCACTGTACAGCTGTTTGAACGTGCGGGAATAGCGCTTGACATGTTTTCCAATCTTTGTATACTGCATCCCACTTCTCGTATTCACTGTCGGGATAACTTTTGTCTAGAAGCAGAATGTATTTCTCTTTCCAGTAGTCTAGCTCATCGTGTAACTCGAGCCATTTAGTTGTCGAAAATTGTACTAGCCGGTGCATCTGTAGATGTCGCCCCTTCACGTCTGTCAGAACTAGAGAGTAGCTGAGCAACGTGTTCAAGTCGTCTTCGAAGTCAGTACCAGCATCATTGGTTTTGCTGTTGTAATGGGCCTCAAGTAGCGCCTCCGGGATTCTTTGCCAATGGAAAAGGCTCATGAGAGATAGCAGACGCGTTGCAGAAGGTCTCTCTTTGCGGATATGCTCGAAAGATATTTGCCAAGTGGCCATAATCGAATTCGAGGTTGTTCCGTCTCGACGAGTATCACCGAGATCCATGCGCAACAATTTGGCTCTATTTTGGTCGCCTCTGCGAAGGTCTCGCAAGTATGTGGAAACCGAAGCGCGGGGAGCCCTTTGAACTATGTAAGCCGCAGCTTGAGATATAGCAAGTGGCATGTGGTCGAGTGTCTCAACTAGATCTTTTGCAGCTTGTTCTTCTTCGTTCGTTTGGTCGAAGCTACCCTTAAGTTGATTTTGCAGTAGGGTCACAGCGTGAGCCTGATCCATTGGGTGTACTCTGACCACGTCCGAATAACTTCCAGTCAGTCGGAAAGCAACATCTCGGCTGCGCGAAGTGATAAGAACCGAACCATTTGAAGATTGAGGAATGCAGTCCAGGAGAGTAGGCGTGGCCTGGCTCGCGAAGTCGTCCTGGGTACCTCTACTTCCCGCTGTTTTACTTGTGAAAACGTCAATATCATCTGCATTGTCGATAATCATTAACCAACGGCCGTTTGTCTCGTTACTCAGCCACGTATAAGCCAGCATCAGAATGTCTGCATCGAGTTGGTCCCATCTAGGTAACTTCACTCTTTCAGCAATTTTCCGATAGCCCTCCACAAATCTTGCGGTGCTGCTAGCATGAACCCAGAAGACCCAGGTATCCGGCGATTTCTCTCTGATGCGATAAGAGTACTCGACTGCCAATTGCGATTTGCTATCGTTTATCAGTCATGCTCCAGGAATTTCATAGCTGTGCACATACCCGACACCACCTAAACCAACCAACGCTAGTCTGGAAGCAGGTTTTCCAAGTTTAATTTCTATCTCCGCAAGCAGTTTGAGATCTACGAAGTTTGGGTCGCGCCGGAATGGAACTGTGGAAGACGGGACTGGGGACGGGTAAGGTGGGGGCGGAAGCTGATCTGCAGTGACACCAATCAGTGTCATTGTTTCCCTCGGACCATGAAAACACCGTCACGTACCTGCTACAGGTACCGGTCTGAGCGATACGGCGGCGTGGTATGTCAAAGTCTGGATGTATCCCCGGATGACCAAAGTAATTTTTTCCACTTTCGCGTCATACCAGAGGCTTTTGAGTGCCTTGCCACTTCTCCTGCCCCAAGAGTCGCTCGGCGCAGGCAGCGTTTTCGCGACCAACTCGTCAAACAGCTGGATCTGTACTTTACACCCCTCAACGACCGGAAGCAACGCTGATTTTGAATCTTCTCCAACATTTCCGGCATCTATCGCGGCCTGGGTATGTCGGAGCGCATCCAGCAGTGCGGGCAGCTCGGTTTTGATATGAGAGTATGCTTCCGGGATTTCCACAAGCTGAGATTGGTATTCTTCGAGACGGCCCAGAACGCGGGAACCAAAGTCAACGAGCTGGACGATGCTTGCCACAATACCGACTACAGCCAGACCTTCGGCCATGTCGTTACTTGGGGCTCTACGAGAAAATACGATTTTACAACGGATGTTGCGACACGAAATCAACTCGTGTACACATGACAGTATGATGGATGTATTCGACAGCCAGCTGCAGCGTGCTGGGATGAGAAGCGAGACCGCTTATATAAGACATCACAAGAGCATTCTATTAATACCCTTGCATTATGTAGCAGATCTCAGCTTTATCTGACTCTGGGAATTAGACGAGCGTAATTAGGCAGAACACAATCATCAACTAGTCGAATAATGAAGACGAAAACAAACTAAAATCAGTGCTTCTAACTCTCAAACCCTTAATGAGCAACGGAAACGTAGAAACCTCGGACGGTTTTTCCGACATGAGAAAAACGAATTATATGCAAGATCTCATAACATGCAGTATTACTGTTTCCTCTCGACCTGTTTGATTCGATATTTGAACGTGCAAGTTGTCTAATTGAATGCAGTACTATCATTATCGCTGTTCACGGCAGAATTGTGCAAAATCCATGAATCATACACGAAGCATTTATAGCCTATAGTGCTCTCCATAGATTTAGTAAGTCCATTCCTGTAATATGTGTGCTCCCTCAGCTACATATTATAGTTTGAGAGTTTATTGCTCGGCCTCTAGACAGAATTTCAAGGTAATCGAACATAGAGGCGGTGAGGGTTTACATATCGGATTCATTCAACTAACAACAAAGATACATTGAAGTAGAAAAGGAGTGTACGTATACAAAGGAAAGACAACTAAAGTACATGTAAAATTCGAGCCATCCAGGATCCTGCTATACTACAGAAGTAATCGTCGAATCTGGCAGACAGTGAATACTATCTGATCATGCGTCCCAAGCCTGGCCGCGGATGGCGCGCTTGACGGGCTGCGGAAACTGGGCGTCAGGGCCGAAGTGGGAAGTGCAATCCAGCTTGCGCACTCCTTGCACACGGCCAGCAAATCCGGGACTACAATAAAAGTGCGTGTTGGGTGCCACCTTGCAGTAGCCATGAATGCTGTTATCGGTGCCACGGAGAACACCGCCGTCGTTCTTGTAGTACGCTGACGATTCATTAGTATCGACTGAAACCCGAATCATCTCTATGAGAAACGTGGCTAAACTTACTGATGTGCTCCACCTTGCTGTTGATCTCCAGGACGTTGATCTCGTCGCCAGTGGTCCCCTTGTCGTCACTGCAGCCACCAGGAGAGCCATCGCAGCGAACGCCAGATTTCTTCCCGCTGACGTCTTTGCGTGGGCCCCAGAGCCATTCTTTGGCTTTGCTGCAGTCGAATTCGCCGTCGAAGATAGGATAGATTTGCCAGCCTTTGCTTGGTGTAGAGAGACCTTCACCTCCCATGCTAATGGAGTAGACGGAGAAATCAGCAAAGACTTCTGGAGTGAGAAGAGCCAGAGTGACTGCGGAGATGGTGTTGAACTTCATGGTTGCAAGTATTTAATGAAGGGGTTCGTAAAGTGATGAATAAAGGTCTTGATTGGAAGAGTGGTTGGTATTGGGTAGAAGAATGTGTTGATCTGATGGATGATTGTGTTGATTGTTGTTTGATGATTTCAAAATTTTGGAAGAAATGATTGAGGGTTTATATACCTTTTCCTACGACCTTGCTCTCTGGCTGTCGACATCGATATAGTACTATAATCCTTTGCGACTACACTCTATGCCTCCAACTACGTCATTACACTACTTTTTGTTTCTCGGCGCAATTTTCCCCTAAAACATTACCGTATGATTTGGTCGTCGTGGGTTTGCGTAGTCCGAGACGGAGTCAAGGTAGATCGTAGCCAGCCATGCGGCACAGTTGAGGTCCTTCAACAACAAGCAACACTAACAACGTCTTGAAAGGCTTTATCGAGCTTCCGACTACGCCACTCTCATAGAGTTCATCGGAGTAAGAAATAAAGTGATTATGTAAATGCATGAAGGTGGCTACCCGCCGCCAATCAGACACCCAGTTTGTATGTAAGACAGTGAGTAGTCGGGAGAGCAAAGTGAAACTTGGGCAGCTTAACCAGAGGACCTTTGCATAATCATTAAACAGCCTCGTATACCCCACAGAGAGACAAGCACGCCCACAGCCACATTCCTAAGCACTTTTCCGTTTGTTTCGTGTTATGCTCTTCTATGCTATTATGCGCTCCTGCGTTTCAGACACCATCAGCTTAACCATACTCATTTAAGCTTAAGTACAAGCGTTTATTTTGGGCTTTAATGCTGTATGATAATGGAGGACGCGAGGCTAAGTTGGGCGTCCTTGAATCGAGGAACTGTAATATACATGGGGGTCGACTCGTGGTAGTTTCACGTCACTAGTCCTTTCATTCCAAGGTAAAGCGCAATCCTTCGCTCATTTCTCGTATCGAAGGACTGATGGGGCCGGTGCTTTTTTGATGTCAAGTTACAGCTGAAGGATTTTGATTGCTTCTCTGGTGATTGTAAGGGCAGAGTGAACGCTGGCAGTGCTGAGGCGGGTAGTTGTTCGGAGTGCGCCTAGAGGTACTTGAAAACTTGAAATTCGAGGGACGATGAGAAGGCATGACGGGGATGGCGCATTTTGATGATCCGTTGTTTTGTGCGGCATATACTATCCGTGAGGTCCAACTAGTTGAATTAATGTTCAGATTGTGCGTGTTACAGGGGTAATAATTTGTGATCTCATTCAGTGTCCGTCGATGCAGCTGCAGCCCACTAATTCACGAGGAAACGGATGAATCTAGATACTGCCACGACTCCTCAAAAGCACTTCAAAGTTCCAGATGTGAGAGCACCGCGAACAATGGATTCGAATCATATTCGATGTTTCAATGGGAAGATCACATCAAATTGAGAAGGATCAGTTCTAGTCCTCCAAGATAAACACTCACGTCGATTCATGGACACGACGTCAATGTCAGTGCATTTTGCGGTTCAAGTGATCCTTTCCATACAGACTATGAATACATGTGGATATGAACTTGGTTTGGTCACACTTTTACGTAATTTGACGATATCTTAGCCGCAAGGCAGACACTCCATCCTCTTCTAGGGGAGTCCTTTGGTTACATGATACTATCATCCTCAAGACATGGCATAGAAGGACGATGTTTATATCATACTTCGGGAACGAAGGAGAGGTTTTCGTTTCCATTTAAGTTGGTTTTGCCGCTCTAGGAACCAACCGTACAACCTCAGGGCATTATATATACACAAATCGGCGCGATCTTGACTCGTTAAATATGAAGCCGTGGAAGGAGCCTCGAATGACATGACCACGTGGAACAGAGTTGAATTCAAAGGGTTGCAGACAGACTAGCGCTGATGAACTAGTCCAGCTGCTCGATGTTGTGTGAGCACCTTGATCAAAGATCCAGTACAATGATAGACCTGAAAAGCCCAGCAACAAGCACTCTAAAGACTGCCACAGTGCCGCTGATCATCCTGATCGCACGCACATTCAGAATAAAGAATGCAGAGGCACCCTTCTACACGTTCTTAAATATTAGCAACTTATCTATCTCCAGCATATATACAACAACTCAAAAAACATAGACCAGAGTAAAAGCGCAAAAGCTTCCCAGTGTCACTTCCAATTCCCACATCCCAAATCTATGAGAAGGAGCCAAAGATCAAACTTTCCGATCTGATTCATCACAAACCTACGCAACTTTCTAATTCACAACTAATCTATAATTACGAGCCAGAAAAGTTGCAGTCAGTGTTTTCTCCTACCACATTGCAACTTTCTCGGCCCCTCTTTCTCACCAGCACGTCGAGCTCCGATCTCTTCTCACACACAAAAAAAAAAACGCATATTATCGTGAAACCGTAGAAACATAACATCTGCGCTCTATCACAAGAACCTATTAACTGAACTAAAAACACAGCTCTAGCACCAACAGAAAAAGAATCTCGCAACCCACCAAACTGCAAAATACACATCCCCCACATCCACCAACAGACTGGTAAAGTTTGGCGAGGATCAAACCTTCCAAGAAGCCTTCCCAAAGCTGTGGGAAAGACGCACGTAAGACAATAATAAACTCTACAACTATTCTAGAAGAAATAAGAACAAGACAAAAGGCAGGGGAAAGAAGTAAAAGATAAAGTTTCCTCGTTTCCCTTGCTATTTGTTTGCTTAACAAGGTAAAAACTTTATATCACCCTGAGTGTGTATATGTGTGGATCTATGTATGCAGGGAAATGAAGTTCGCTCTCCTCCCCCTTCACTCAGCGCTGCTCTGCAGTTTTGGATTTCCGATTGAGATAGGTGGAGATAGGCGATTATTGATGATGTGACTATAGTTGAGTGGTACACAGTATATACAGTATTTGTTCTATATCGCATCGACTCCTTAATCACTGTAGTTTTTTTTTTTCTTCTTTTTTTTTCTTCTTTCTTTGCTCTACCCGCTGTTAGATGCCTAACACAACACATAAGAAAAAAGGATAAGCAACCACGAGAAATAAAAGTAATTTATACGTATACACCTTTAAGTTTCCTCTCTTCACTACACCTATTCCACAAATATAACTATTCATTAGAAAGAACAAAAATATTGAAAAAACTACAGACGAACAAGACGATGCATCACCTCAATCACCTTACTCTGCCTCCGCGTTCCTCACACCTCTGTTCTCTCCTAACTAACCCCCCCCCTAGCCTTAGCTTTAGCCTTAGCCTTAGCCTTCCACTCCATAATCTTCCCTCCAGGAGATGGGCACACCCGGTATACCCGAAACGGAATAATGCCGAGCCCCATCAACCAAATGCGCGCGGGCTCGGGCGAAATGGAGCCGAAACTAGAACTTGAGACCGCTGTTTTTTGTTCTTTTTTACTTTTTTTTTTTACTTGAGGGCAAGAAGATGAACAATTTTTGTTTAAATAAAAAAGAGAGGAAGGAAGGAAGGAGTTGTTACGTTTGCTGAGCTTCATTCTACTTGAAATTGTAGGAGTAAATAGAGTTTGATTGGCAATTGGATTCATATTGGATTCATAATAGTGACGAATTTTTTTGGTTGGGGTGCTAGTCAGTAAGGCAGGCAGGTCAGTGTGGTGTAGCTACTACCTAGGTACATGTACCTTGATAGAGCAAACAGCGACCAGCACCATCAATTTGATTTTTACAAGGAAAACAAAACAAAAACAAAGGAAAATCAATAGTAGCGAGAAGCAAGAAAGGTCTTGTGATGCGTGATAGCCTCGTCGTAGCCTTGGGTCATACAAGTGGACATGGCTATATAGGTATGCATGTAGTCAATGCCAATAAACGTAACCCACGGTTACTTGGTTCAACAGCTCCTCATGTTTTACATGTCATGCATGTAGCTGAGCCGCAGACATGCAGCATGGGCACGCGCAGTCATTCCCTACTACCTGGTAACAATTTTCCTTGAAACAAAGAGAGAGGGAAAAAGAAAGGGTCAGATGATGCGAAAATGTAAAGATTTCGAGTCACATGCCGAAAAAGATTTCCTCTTGGAAGCGCCGTGTTACGAAGGTGAACCAAGGGAACCGCAAAGGAAGCCGATGGAAAGCGGTGTTGATGATGCTTACCGGCGATGATGGCATGTATACATGTACTTTTCCCGGGGGGTGAGGTTTCGAAGAAGGATAGAAGGATACATAGGTCATTTGCAGTCGCATCGCATCAGTTGATGGCCCGTGCAGCGCTGGCATCACGTGCACCAACGCCCAAGGGACCAGTCAATTGATGATTCGAACGTTTGAATGTTGGAACGAGATGAGGCGTGCGCGCGTGCGTTGCTGCGCCAGCCACCCCGCCTCGGCACTATGCAAATCCCTTGAAACTGCGATTCATGGTTCAAAGGGATCAATCAATCAATCGTTCAGTTTGTTTCCTGGTCAGTGCATCGCAATCACCATCACATGGCCGTAAGCAGCAAGAGGTCCAAGTTGAACCCAATCCATGCAATCTCCACCAGCCACCCGGGTTTAAAGGAAAAAGCGGGGAACTTGTTGGAGTTGATTGAGTAACTGATTGATTTCAGCCGCAACAGGGTCGACGCAGACGAAATTGGAGCTAGAGAGAAAAAAAGGTTTGGAGGAGCGAGGGGAGGGGGCAAGCGAGGACGGAGAGGAATTAGCGCTAGAGCCGAGTCCCCCAACAGAATGGAGATGGATGGGAAAGTGTGATGAGCAAAAAGAAGGCGAGCGAGGGAAAAGCGCCGGAGGAAGGAGAATGAGAGAGGCAGGGTGGCTACAGCGGAAAGGCGGATGGCGCATTCGCTCGGTACGGCAAAACGTTGCGCTAGCTAGGCCAGCCAGCCATCTCAGCCTGGAAAGCAAGGGAGGCATTTTTGTTTTTTGTTTTTGCGGGTTGCGTAACGGAAATCCAAAAAAAAAAAAAAAAAAAGAAAACGCTCGTCAAGCAGGCCATCATGCTGACTGCCGCTAACAAGAAGGTTAGCTGAGGCGATTGTTCCAGAGCAAGCGAGAATGTCGCAGGATGGATATCATTTGTTCTGGGCAATCACTTCGTTTCTCTCCCTCGGGGACAAGATGGTGCGTGCATGGTTGGGAAACACGCATACAGGCAGATTATTGTGGGTATGGGCCATGCCTCGCTCGCGTGCGTGCGTGCCTGTGTGTGCGTGGAGAGAAGCTATGGGGGGGATCGGTGCAGATGATATCGATCTTGGAAGACGGCTTCAGACAGGGTCTAGATGGAATGGACAGCAGTCGGACGGGATAGACGTGCGCTTGGCATGCAGGTGTCGAGGAGATAGGGAATATACCAAGAGGCGGAGAATGAGGAGAGGACAGGAGACTTGGGATGGATGGATGCAGTCAGCAAATGGAGCGGTAATGGATCCATCCGCCATCCATCATCCACCCATCCATCAGGCGGCTCATGTGATGCGACTGAATTTTCTCCTCATTCTTTGTTTCGGCGGCAGCGAGGTGGACTAGCGGGTGCGGTGCGGTTTGGCTTGGCTTTGGGGTGGGGAAGAAGGATGGTGAGATGGATGGTGAGGTGGTGGTGGTGGCCAAGTTAAGCGTCTGATCAAGGCATGCCGGACTGGGCTAGCGGGCCCTTGACTGTTCTTCTTCTTCTTCTCTGGTCAGCAACGGGGGCGGCACGCTTGTCAAGCAGTCAGTCAGTCTCGTGCGTGCGCGCGCGCGAACCAAGTCTTGAAGGAATCCATCCCCACAAAAGCGCCAACAGCGCCGCCCGTCGATTGGCACGTTGGTGAGGGCCCAGCGGCCTGCTTGTCGGGGCTTGCTTGATTGCCTGCTAACTTGCTTGCTTGCTTGCTTGCTTGGTGGTGCATGTGGGTACATTCTAGCTGCATCGCCGTCTCGGTGGTCGCCGCGGGCATTTTTTGTTTTGTGTAGTTCTGGTTCTGCACAACAGTCCAGCCTTTATTTTGGATGAGTCTTCTCGACACTGGATGCATGTTGCAAGCAACTGTCCAAGCTCCCGATGAAGGCGTACAGGACAGCGGGAGAGGGCGGGAGGGTGACGTCAGGCTGCCTGCGGCTGGCGGCGTTTGTGGGTGGGTGGCGCTGTTTGGGCTTGATGCCCTGGTCACCTGTAGTTGTACCTATACCTAGGTACCTAGGTATACATGCCATGTACTATGTTTTATGTCCATACACCAGTCACTCAAGAGCTGCTAAACATCTTGTCGTCGCGGCACCTCCATCTCTTCCAGGCCATGGCGACATGGCAATCGCGCTTGGTGCGTATACGAAAAAATGAGTAGGTACTTAGGTATAGAGTACGTGCTATAGCAACAATGTAAAGTGAACCTTGGAGTCAGTCTTGGGATGGAATCTTGACCGGACTTGGGCGACGCTCACGCCATCCGCCGGGCCCAGCGCCATAGTTGCTGCGCCAAGTGCCCCCAGCCCGCCCGTGACTGGCCGTCACATCAAGCCACCGTGCTCCCCCGCTGCCCGCTTTCCCCCATCAGGCACCCCCCAGAGCCCCCCAGAGCCCCCAGAGCTCCCCGTCTTTGTCCCCCCCGTTGTCTCCCCATGGGCCCGTAAGCTCAAGGCCCCCAGCCAGCCGAAGAGCTTGCCTGCCGCCAATTCGCTGCCCGTGCGCCAAAGGTGGGGCTGCGCTAGCCTAGCTATGTTGCTGCTGCTGCTGCTGTTGATGCTCGCGCTGCTGCTCTGCCTTGTGCTTGTCCATCCGTGTGTAGGTACAAACAAACGGACAAGGCAAGGCAACGAACAAACACCCCCAACACTGACTGACCGAGCGAATCAACCAATCCATCGCCCGCTGCTGCTCACCTAATCACGCCCCACTCTTTTCCCACTGCCTGCCCGTACCTCGACCTCTCTCTTTTAAGCTCGCCCTTGTCCCTCCCCCCCCGACCAAAACAACGCGACCACCTCTTCCCTCTCAACTACCCGCGTCCTCAGCTCCTCAATTGCATCTCGCCTTACCACATCTGCAACCATGGCTGATCGCGACGAGAAGATCGTCGAGACAAACGACCCCGTCGTCCACCAGGACGAGAAGGTCGCCACGTCCAACCACCAGCACGACGAGAAGATCGATGCAAAGACCGACCCTGCTGCTGGCACGCGCCGCAACAGCTCCGTCGTCGCCGACATCGCCGTCCACAACCCTCTCAAGGTGCGTCCACACTTTCACCTACTCTGCTGCCAATTCACTTCACTAGCTAACAATCCCCTCAGCGTCAATCCGTAGAGACCGTCGCCACAGATGCCGCCACTTTTGCCGAGGCCAACGGCATGGCAGACAAGGTCACGCTCTTCACCAAGGCCGCTCTCGTGGCACGTGATCCAGAGAACTTTGAGAGCTTGTCCGAGCTGGCCGAGGACGAGCGTGCCGCCCTCATCTACGAGCGCGAGCACATTTGGCACGGTTCCAAGATGCTGTGGTACTCGATCGGTCTTTGCGCCGTCGGTGCTGCCACGCAAGGTTGGGATCAGACCGGTTCCAACGGCGCCAACTTGGGTTTCCCCCAGGAGTTTGGCCTCGACAAGCGCGGTATCGAAGGTCGCTGGATCATTGGTCTCATCAATGCCATCATCTTCCTGACGGCCGGTTTGATCGGTGCCTGGATTGTCGACCCCCTCAACCACTACCTCGGCCGACGAGGTGAGATCTTCGTCACTGCCCTCTGCCTCACTGCAACCCCCATCGGCTCCGGTTTCGCGAGGACCTGGCAGGAGCTGTTTGCTGCTCGTTTCGTCATGGGAATCGGAATTGGTGCAAAGAACGCTACGGTACCCATCTTCTCCGCCGAAATGGCCCCAGCCCGCATCCGCGGTGCCTTGGTCATGTTCTGGCAGCTGTGGGTCGTCACTGGTATCTTCCTCGGTTTCTGCGCCAACGTCATTGTCAAAGATGTCGGTGACATTGCCTGGCGTCTCGAGCTCGGCTCTGCCTTCATTCCTTCCTTCATCCTCGGAGCCGGCATCTGGTTCTGCCCCGAGTCCCCTCGTTGGTTGATGAAGCACGGCAAGATCGCACAGGGCTTCCACTCCATGGACCGCCTCCGCGCTCACCCCATCATCGCTGCCCGTGACTACTACTACTCGTACATCATCTACACCGAGGAGATGAAGGTGGCTGGTGGCCAGGGATACTTCCGCCGTATGGCCGACTGCTTCACCGTCCCTCGCATTCGTCGCTCCAACTACGGAGCCTCAACCGTCATGCTTGCCCAGCAGATGTGTGGTATCAACATCATTTCCTTCTACAGCTCCAGTATCTTCACCGAAGCCGGCTTCTCAAAGGACCAAGCTCTGTTTGCCTCGCTCGGATACGGCGCCCTTCAGATGGTCTTCACCGTTCCCACCCTCTTCCTCATCGACACCAAGGGCCGTAGAACGCTGACGCTTCTCACGTTCCCCTTCATGTGTATCTTCCTGCTCGCAGCCGGTCTCTGCACTCTCACATATGACGAAATCCCTGCAGAGATGCTCACCGCGTCTCAAGCTAGCGCTCGCGTTGGTCCCATTGTCCTCTTCATCTACCTCTTCACCATCGCCTATTCGCTCGGTGAAGGTCCCGTTGCTTTCCAGTACTCCGCCGAGGTCTTCCCCACCATCCAGCGTGAGCAGGGCATGGCCTGGGCCGTCTTCATCAACAACACCTTTGCCGGTGTCTTGTCCCTCACTTTCCCGCCCATGGTCGACGCCATGTCGCAGGTCGGTGCCTTTTCCTTCTACGCCGGCCTGAATTTGATCGCCTGGGGCATGATTTTCTGCTTCGTGCGCGAGACCAAGCAGCTCACCCTCGAGGAGCTGGACCGTAAGTTTTATCCCCCAATTGTCTGTTCATCTTGCGGTTCGGTGCTAATTCAATCAAACAGAGGTCTTCTCCGTCCCCACCAGGCAATTCCTCAACTACGAGACCAAGACGTGGTTGCCCTACTTCTTCAAGCGCCACATTCTCCGCAAGCCCATCGAGAAGCCCCCACCAATGATCGAGACGGCTCCCCGTCCCGAGCAAGTTGGAAAGGCTTAGATGCGTGCATCATTCCAATACAAACCATGATAAAAAAGATTATACCCCCAGGGCCTGCTGTTTAGCACGCTACCAATTCGCTCCTCATATCTCTCGCTAGACGCGTGAGTATTGAATAATGCGGGTCGGAAGTTGCGGCAGGTCCGAGCCTAATAAGATATGCCTTTCGCTTTTATTGTTTTTGGAGCGTCAATTTACCTTTCACTATTGCACGCATGTTGTGGGAACAGGTGGGGGAACAGAGCGTGTTAACTGCCTATGTTGCTGTGATCACTCTCTTCCCTCCACCTTGCGTTTCGCAACCTGTTTAGTTCTTCGTTGAATGTAAGATGACGAATATCGGATGATTGATGTGGACTCGGATCGATCCGAACGAAATCGGTCATCTTTTACTGAAAGGGGTGGTCACTCTTGTATAGCGAAAGAATTAGCTCAGCTGTTAGCTTCTGGCTTTGGCTATTTGGAATATATACCCCTACTCGTCTTCTCTCAACTTACTTGCTCTCTCGCTTGATGTGACGCTGCCTGCATTGATTACTCTTGAAGTGTGCATCCATATATTCTCTGAGACATAACAACCTCATCCAATGTTTGGACATTTCAAGTATTCACCGGTGCACGTGACTAGCCCGATAATAGATACTGCGCCCTCCCTCAGCCATCCTTCTCTACCATATGTGTGCTCGCAAGCACTTATATCTTTCTCTCTCTCTCTGTTCCCCTCTTTCTGTCAACTACTATATACATGAACAAACACAACCCTCCTCTTCCCCCCCCCCCCCCCATCACATATATAATCCCGTCACTCAGTTCAACTAGTCCAAATTACATCTTACGCAAACCTCCTTTTTTCTTCTTCTAGAAAAACTGATAGCATAGCAGATATATACATGCTATTACTCCAGGGTACTAATAGTGTATTCTGAATTCTTCAAGTTAGAGTTCCAATGAAGGAGAGAAGGGAATTTAGCTTATAACGAAAACAAGTATAGCTAGGAAGGATAGAATATATGTTCGGTTTTTTTTTTCCTTTTCTCAAATGAAATCAATTGACACTTTTGGATCTATGGTTCAAGGGTTTGATTAGATAGGATGTGGTGTGGGATAGCGTATGTATGATGGTGTAGTGGTTACTGAAGGCTGAGGGCTGGGGCTAGACATGGCTGAGTGATGGCTTGAGGGATTGGGAGGGTGTTGCTATGTGGACTGATTTAGTAGGTGGATTGAGTTGGGTGAGTTGAGTGATGATTCGAGGGTTAGGGGAATCATGAAAAAGTAGTGAATACCAAAAAGACAATGCATTATAGATTCCAATTCAAGTTTAATCAACATTGAATCCTCGTTCCCACACCCCTTTTACACCTCCAACAACCCCTTCTCAAACGTAACCCCCGGCCTCGGCGCCCCAACAACCTCGACCCCGTCCCTCGTCTGCCAAAAATTCTCACACCCCCACCGAAACAGCTCCCCAAAAGTCCCGACCCCGCAATCCCTCCCTTGATCATCCTCATCCCACAGCTCCCCCAACTCCTTATCAACCGTCAACGCCTTCCCGCGAAAAACCTTCTGCATGCTCGACTTGGCCAACAACCTCCACACCACCCTCTCGGCATCTTTATACTTCGCACTCTGTTTATACATCTCATCCCCATCGACCTTCATGCTAAAGTACTCGTACATTTTCCTCCCGCACCCCTTAAACCCCAGCGTCGTTTCCGCCCCCCACGTTTCCAGCAGCCCGTCCCACAGCAGGACTTTGGTCGACCAGTAGTCGGCGCCGCTGAAGGGGTCCGAGGGGGTCGATGACAGGTGGCAGAGGCGGTTCCAGCATTGCACTTGCGTGACGTATTCGTCTACTTTTGCGGCGGGCTGGCTGATGTCCCATTGGAATTTCGAGGGGCGCGTTGGGGATGGGGGTGGGAGTGTGGAGAGGATGGTCATGAGTGGGTGTTGCATTAGTCCGGTCGAGTTTGTGTGGTTTTGCCAGAGGTGGGTGAAGAGTTTGTGCCTGGGAAGGAGGGAAAAAAAGGGGGGGGATTGTTAGTTTATGCTCCTTTTTTCTTTCTTTTCTTTAGTTGGAATGGAATGGGTCGTGGAGAGACGAGGGGACAAAAAAAAACGAAGAGGGGAAAGAAAAAAAAACGAAGAAGACAGAGAGAGACCAAAGGGAAGATGAGAAGGAAACAAGGAAAGAAAAAAGGAAATACTCCAAACATACCACCGCCTTATAAACTCACTCCCCTTCCTCGCAGCAACAAAATGATTCCCAACATGCGTCCCATAAACCCACGGCGCAGCAACCTCGAACCCATTCCCCTCGCTCTCCAACACCCCCCAACAAACCCTCTCAACGCCCCTAACAATCGGAATCCCAACATCCATAAAAACCCCTCCATGCGCAAACAAACACGCTCCCCGTAGCATATCCGCACTATGCGGCCCCACATACGGCCCGTCCATAGTCCCCCCGACAAACGCGTCGGGAAGATGATCGCCGGAAACGTAGTTGAGGAAGTAGTTTGGGGACGCGGGCGTGCTGTCGAGGACGCGGATGGTCCAGTTTGTGGAGCTGTGCATGCGCACCCACGATGCTACGTTGCGCTGGCACCAGGGGGGCATCGAGTGCAGGCCGGAATGCCAGTACGCCCAGATGTTTTTTTCAGAGGTTATTGGGCGGTAGGTTGAGAGGGTTGAGAGGATTTCGGCGTCGCTGCGCGTGTCGGGGCAGGGGTGGTAGGTTAGTTGGGATTGGTATTCTGGGGGGATGGTGTATTTCTGGGGGGGAGACATTGTTTTGGAGGGGTTCTTTTTTTAAAAAATTGGTTGTGAAGAGTGTCGGAGGGGGACCTTAGGATGGTGAGGATGGGTTGTGTTGGGGATGAGGTGGGAGTGTTGATGTAGTGCGGATTGTAGGTGTTGTGGGTGTAGATTGAGGTAGTGTGACTGTCTTGAGAAAGTTCTGGTAGGTTGCTGATCAAAACTTGTGCGAGCGGTGTTGGGATGAGTTGAGGATGCTGGGGAGGGTAATGAAGGAAGGGTTGCAGGTAATTTGGATGTGAATTGGTGTGGATGATTCTTTTGCAAATTTGCTAGGAGATCGCTGATCAAGAGATTTTCATAATCAAAACCTCCAGATCAAACCAAGTATACACCCTGGGCCTAAAGCTGGAAAGATAATATCACAATAACACGGAGTACTTTCTGAACATGGGCTTCGCAGAAAAACACAAATGACTATGTCACTCTATTGACTAGCTTACCTTTCAAGCTATCCGCAAGCTAGCCAAAAACCCATGCTTGTACACTAGCTACATATGTACACGTAGATAGATGTAGGCCACATAAGCGCTAGCAGGGGGGTCCAAGATTATGTAGCGTCTACATACACCACACATGCCGACTACGCTAGGGAAGTGCTTGCGCAAGATTCAACCCTCTACGACGCAAGGTTTGGACGCCCAAACGGCTCCAAATCCGATTAGGCAGGTGTTGGCGCTTCTCCAGAGTCTATTCCTGATGATCCTGTGTGCTGCCCCTCCAGAAACTTCGTCATCTGCTGCGAGGAGCAACTCGGCTGTAGAACCGATAGTGCAGAAAGAGTCCCACTCCCGTTGTTTTTTATTTTTGTAGTTAGTATCCTGGCATTGACTGAACAGTACAGCGCACTGTTTGTTTGTACCGGCTATCCGTGCTTTGCTTTCATCTACACCTGCCATCTTTTTCCACCTGAGTTTATAGTTGAACATTCCAAAAAGAGACCTGAAACACTCCACTACTACTCCTCCGGCATCTAAATCCTCATTTTATAGATTTTGGAAGGGATCGAAGGCGGTCATGTCGACCGGCACTGAAAATACCCTGGAACAGCTCACCTCTACATCGTTCGCAAGGCTCGCTATCACGCTCACGGTTCTCGTCGCTACGACGTACTACGGGCGCGTCTTGTACGATGCTTTCCTCGGCCCGCTCAGCAAATTCCCAGGCCCAAAACTCCGAGCCCTGAGCAAAGTCCCAGGACTATACACCACAATCATCGGCCGGGACGCCTACGTCCGCTCCTCGCTCCACGAGAAATACGGGCCGATTGTCCGCGTGAATCCCACCGAGTTGTCGTTCAATGGCGGCGCGGAGGCGTGGGAAGCGATATACAGTTTCAAGAAGCCAAAGCCGGTTCGGGATCCGCAGTTCTATGCCGTTGGCGTCAATGGTTGTCCGGATGTGGTCACGGCAGATGAAGCGAATCATTCGAGACAAAGGAAGATATTGTCTACTGGGTTCAGCGACCAAGCGATGAAAGGGTACGAGCCACTGCTGAAGTCGTGGGCTGAGAAGATGGTCACGGAGATGGCGAAGCTAGCTAGCAAGGGCGGGGAAGTGGATATGCTCAAGTATCTCAACTGCACTACTTTCGATATCATGGGTGAGTAGTATACGCTCGAAAGATGAATTAAATCACACTCTCATTGTTTTCCAGGTGATCTGGCGTTTGGCGAGGGCTTGGGGATGCTCGAAGACGGCGAGCTCTCACCGTGGGTTCAGACCATCTTCGGCGCGTTCAAAGCCGGGACCTTTTGGCGTTGCGTGATGCAGTACTCTGCGCTTACCAGCTGGCTAGTCGGGCAGCTGCTGTTCAACAGCAAGCAAGTCCGCGTAAAGCAGTGGGAGAACTTCGAGTATTGCCAGAGCCGCATGGATAAACGACTCGCGAGCGAACCCGCGCATTCGGATCTTTGGTCGAGGATACTAGCAAAGTCCGATGGTGCTGAGAAGTTGAGTCGGGATGAATTCCATTCGAATGCTGTTACGTTTATGGTGGCTGGTAAGCGGGGTCGAGTTTGAGCTATGCGCTTCTCATCGACTTGCTGACCGTGTGTTGTAGGGACCGAGACTACTGCTACGGCGCTTAGTGGGTTGATTTATCTGCTTCATCAAGACGAAAACAGACATGCGCTAGAAAAACTGAAGGACGAAGTCCGGGGAAGGTTTTCCAGCGTTGGAGATATCACCTTGGAAAGCCTGGCCCGTTTGGAGTACATGCACGCTATCATCCAGGAAGGGCTCCGGGTGTACCCACCTGTAAGTACTTCCAGATTTCAATATTAGCGATCATTAACCGAAATGCGTAGGCTCCGAGTCAACTTCCTCGACGAACGCCTTCTGCAGGAATGGTAGTCAACGGTAAATTCATACCAGGCGATATCACTATCGACGTGCATCCGCTGGCTACATTCAAATCATCAACACACTTCAAGAACCCGCAGCAATTCCGGCCAGAGCGATGGCTCGGGAATCCCGAGTACAAGGACGACCATTTGGATGCCGTAGAGCCCTTCTCGTACGGTCCTCAGAATTGTTTAGGAAAAGTACATAACAATCTCATTGTTCAACTGCGGAATCGCGCTAACATATAATATCTAGAGTCTCGCCTGGCATGAAATGCGCCTGCTCCTCGCAGCTCTCATCCTCAACTTCGACGTCGAACTCGCAGCCGAAAGCAGAAATTGGATTGACCAGAGAATCTACGTGTTGTGGGAGAAGAAGCCGCTCATGTGCGCATTGAAACAGGTTTCAAAATCTAGCTAGATAGTTCAAGATGTTCCCTCGCGCTTTCGAATACGCATCCTTGCGCGGGGATCGGCAAGTCGCACAATCTCATGCTTGATGTCCTGCGGTGCATCATCACCGGGCATGAACTCAAAGTCGTACTCTAGAAGTAGAATGCATAGCGCAATCTTTATCTCATTTGAAGCGAAGAAGCGACCGGGGCATGCATGCTCGCCTAGTTTAGTTTTGTTAGAAAATCGTAGTAAAAGTGTTGGATGAGGAGTAGCATTACCGAATCCAAAGCCCATTTGATCAGCCGAAGGAGTGCTGAATTGATGGAGGTTGTGCTCGCCTGGTTGCTCTCGTAGTTTTGCGAATCGCTTCATGTCGAATGTTTCGGCATTCGGAAAGTGTTCCGATGAGTGCGCCCAGTCGTTCATGACCATCAGCGTGCTACCCTTGGGAATCACAGTACCGTCGGACAATACCAGCGGAGATTTTGCATAGCGCAACATGGAGGCTATATATGTATCAATCAGTTCTGAACAGGGTGGAAAAAAGCGCGAGGAGTCTTACTGGCGAGTAGGTCTTTCGTTCTCTGACTTTCCCGCATGAAGCTATCCAGCAACTTCATATCCTGCAGCGCCTGTTTCGTCCATCCTCTCTCATCGAGAACACGACGGCAGTCTTCGCGTAGGGGTTCGATCAGCTCCGGCATTTCACAAAGCTGCAGCAGACACATGGTCATTGTTTCAGAGCTGAGGTGGATAGCAGCAAGGCTGAAGGAAAGTTGCGCAGCAGCGTAGTCGATCTTCCGCCCTCTTGCACATTCCACCATCCAGCCGATTGCATCGGAGGCTTTTGATGATCCCTCTCCCTCTGCTAAGCTAGCTTGCAGTTGCGCTTTCCTGCGATCGACGACTGGCTGGATGAGTACCTGCGCTCTTTTGTAATAATGCCTCGCCTGTGTGCAATTCTTGGAAAACCAGTGAGCGAAGGGCCTAGCCAATGCATGGTGTGAACGTAGCTCGCTGATGGCCTCGAAACTGCTGTAGGTGTAGTTCTTGGTAATGTCCAGCCAGTCTTTGTTGCGGCACAGGTCAAGCCCCAGGAAGACCCGAGACGAAAGTCCTACGATTAAGCGATTAGCGGGAATCTTGATTACAATGACGTGAGAAATGTTCCGTACGAGCGATGATATCCTGGACGTCGGATTTGATCACACGGGTCTGCCATTCTTTGCTTTCCCCAAACATGTCGCGGTACGTCAACTGCGTCTCCTCAACCAGATCTAGATCACGGGATCAGACATCAGCAAATTTCGCAAAAGTGGGAAAATGCATGAACAATACCTGCGGTAATTAGGCCCAAACTCTGCGTAAGCTTCCGCCTCACAACTTCCTGGATGAAAGTGTCATTTTCCAGAATCTCTCGAAACGGCTGAAGCCCCGGATACGAAGTGAAACTGTCGCGAGCGTGAGCATCGTTGAAGCTGAGGTCCGGATGGTTCTTGATCTCCGTCGCAAATCGGTTCGGCACGACGATTTTGAAGTTTGTGCCGGTCTGGACCTGGAAGCAGCTTTGGAACTTCTTGCCGCTCTCAAGCAGTGCACGTCCATTCTGTAGGTACTCGTTGCGATCCGCGGAAAGCACTGGGATATTCGCGTAAGGCTTCTTCTTGTTTTGGCCGTAGAAGAGCCAGATCGCGAGTGCTGTGACTCCGAGGACAGGTGCGGTCCAGCCAGACAGGAGGGCTTGATACTCCATGGCTGTGCAGGATTACGTAGGAAGTAAACAATAAAAGCGAAGAAGGTATCACAGAGTTGTTGATCGATTTTTTGATTGATTCCGTAGGACTTAGCTGTCTCCTCACACAAATCGATCACTTCCGCTGATAAGTGAACTTGCTTTGCCGGACAATGACATCTACAGCGATACCCGTCGACAATTAAAGACGCAACAGGCTTAGTCGGACAGCGCACATCAAAGTTTATATCCCTGACTTGATGACGTGATAGCTTTTCACCCAGATTTTTTATTTCAATATTACCGAAATGCTCTAACATTCATATCTAAGTGAGCGACCACTTGTTTTCCTCTATCTCGCCGCCCCAATAATATCATGAAGTGGGTTTCAACTATGACTAATGGCTCATGTATATCAACTAGATAGAGCTGCATGCAGTAATTGTAGAGTAATTGATAGTGGATTGAGAGATTGTGTGAAATCTTAAACGTGTCATTCACAAGGTTCAATCAGCATCTTGTTCGACATGAAGGATTATCCGGGGCCGCTACTCAACCGCAGTCCTGTATACTCACAGATAGGTTATTTTAGAGTTCTGTGGCTTAGACTTGCTACTCTGTTTTCTTTCCCACCCAAGTAGTGTACTGTTAATTGGTCCTGTGATCTATGTGAAAAGGATGCAAACCCTTGCAAGGCCCCCCACTTTATGTTGGTTTTGACGCATAGTGTCTTACAAGCGGATTAGAAAATGTAAGCCTAAAATCTCACTTGCTGGGACTCTCCACTACTCCACTGAAGAGAACCAATTGCCGAAAGAAGCCTAGCAAATGCCCCGCGTACGAAAGAATAGCAGATACCCCGCGTGCGAAAGAATGGGGTACTATGTACGTGTCTCAAGACTTGCCAGCCATACCGGCAGTAATCCAACAAGGGTACCTAAACCCCATGCATACATGTCGGAACGACGCTTGTATAGCGCAAGAGTGCTGAAAGCTCCCCAGAAGACGGTGGATCGAACGACGGATAGTACGGCACTCCCACCACCATAAAGCGTGATGGATAAATCGCCCATCATCGTGCTCCCGAGCAAGAAGGTCAAGGTCTTGCGGATACCAAATGCAGTAGCTAAGGTCGTGACTTTGTCCCGCTCGTCTTCTTCGATATCTCGCACATCAGAAATTGACTCCCAAAGGAAGTCGTAAATGATTGTGTACATCAAAATTTCGAGGTGCCCCACGCCTGAGGAAGTCTCCGGGTAAATCGTCGTCCCGCGAAGGTACAGCACGACTGCGGTGACGTCCATGAGCCCAATGCATGTTGCACCGAAGAGAGACTTGAATGGCCCGAGGAAATACTTGAGCTTGACCCTGGTGATGCTCCTGGTTTCGCGCGAGTACACAGGGATCAATGGCAGCGCATGTATGATTGCGAAGAAGGGGACGCCGAGCAGTCGAAGGAGGGCTAAAAATCCACAATGCATTGTGCCGTAAACGGTAAGAGCAATGAAAGGGCTCGCAAAGAGGATAATAGTCCTCAGCCAGGTTTTTCTCGTCTGCCGGGGGAGGTCTGCGGCCTTGTCCATGACTGCATCAGAAGAGTCAGCTTCAATCTCGGATGGCGTTTGATGGCGATATCGACTTACCGTCGATCAGGACGTGAAGGGAAAAAAGCAGCAAAAGTATCGGGGTATCGAGTGGTTGTTCATCTCCAATCGTTGCTCGCATCGCGCTTACCGCTGGTGGGATGTGCATCGCTCCATTGATAACGGGAAGCAGGAAGCTTGCTCCCACGATCGAACGAGTTAGCTCTGATTGTGACATGATGCTGGCCGGACGTCGACAGTGACAGTGGATGGTCTTGGGTTGTGAAGGATGACGGATTGATCCAAGGGGTTTCTCCGGTATTAGATCTGTATACTAATAAGCAAAAACCGTTGAGTAGGATGCACAGACGTGCGTTTGCATCATATGCGCAAGCAAGGACCCACTTCTGCGAGGTGTAAAGCTATCGGTGAGTAACCTTATCTGACGCACCGGTCCGGACCTAAATCCTAAAAGCTCAAGAGTGACATGTAACACCGCAGATGACCATGTCTACGACCGAATCTCACTAATCCTTAAGGACTGCATGATCAGCTTGACCCCACAGCCAGCATACACTGGCGATCCTTCGTGTTGTTTGGCAACTCAGCGCCACTAACATGGTCACGACAGATGTCACTCGGCCTGCAAGGTGTAAAAAACATCTGTATGGCTTGTTGGTACGCGTCAAAAATTTAATTGACCATTACCACGAACATTTGCGACCGTTTCGTTCAAGCAATACCATCATGTCGAATCGCGAAAACGTGATTGATGCGCTTTATAAGAGCGAAGAGTGGCTCGAGGCCAACAAGAAGACTTTCATTTCCGAAACAGACACTGGCGTCAAGTTCAAAGATAACTTCGCCGATCTGCTTATATTGGAGTTGTCTCATAGATGGTGAATCACAATCACCCAATTGAAGTCAGAAACGTTTCAATAACACCTAAGTTCTAGGGATTACGTAGATCTTCGGATACCAGAGCGACGATGGCATTACTTCGCTGGCAAGTGCTAGTCTACCATACTTCATTATAGTCTTACTGATTGTTGCAATAGTCAAGCCGGTCATTGTACCCGCAGATTATCCCGAGGACAACGACACCAATGCCGTCGCGTTTTCCATTATCAAGCCCAATGAGTCAAGAGCTAAGGTATTGATTGACGAAATCTTAGCATGTAAGAACGCGGATGGTATTGTACAAGTAAGAAGACTCACAAAATCTTCATGATGTACTGAGCTCACAGACTATCAGGTTCACCTGGACCCAAACCGGCCCCGAATAGCACCTGAAGTCAGTGCCAATATACTCTCGCTCTTCTACTGCTATGGCCGTGGCCACGAAGTTCAAGAGTCTTTGAGCTACCTGCTTAAAGCAATGGCATTGGAGGAATATGAGGAGTCGCGATACTATTTTCTGCCAGAACCACTGTTCTTCTACAGCTGGCGCCTGCTCTGCATCGCTTCAAGTTCCTCTATCGGAACAGTGGACAATCGGCGCCTGCCTAAGGAACTTCATTCGCTAAGAGATCATCTGATCAGACGCGTGAGTGCGCGTTTAGGTACTGCAAAGGATAATGCACTGTGTCCTGCAATACGTATCTTGATCTGTCACTCGCTGGGGATCAAGAACGAGGTTGATGTCCAGATCTTGCTAGACTTACAAGAGAAGGATGGTAGCTTTGGGGATGCCTGGTATGTTAGGTACGGCTCAGCTGGGATCAAGATATCTCATCGAGCTTTTGGTGTCGTGGTCGCTACCGCGGCTCTACGGAGAGTCAAACAGCACAAGGTCGGGATGAAACGGGCAAGAGTGAATGGCGTGAATGGGATAAATGGCACAAAGACTCATTGAATCTGTATATAACGGTATAGACATTGAGAGAATGAATCAATTATCAATCTACCTGATCTATCTGTGCCCATATTTTCCATCTCCCTACTCTATCCAGCGAAGGAACATATCTCTTGAGAGCTCTTCTGAATACCCGGCATAGCTAGCTTCCCCTTTCATGTATGTCTTCGAATCTCCAGCCCCGTATGACCAAGAAAGGATGTGTATTTTCCGAGGATCACGCGAAGGGTGCTCGGCGAAGAACTTCCTCATGCGCTCGTTCTTGGATGTGAAAAACGTATCGGCATTCTCGACTGGCGCGTAGAACGCTACTCGGGGTATGTGGCCTGTTTCAGGAATGATCGTGACGCCAAAAGTCTGCTTCGGATGCGTATTATCGTTGATGACTTTGATATCTGCTTCCGACAGAGGCGCCGATCCAGCCAAAGAGACGTATTTGGCGGCTCGTTCCGCAGTCAAGCCTCCCGGAAGCAAGAAGTAGACGTTCATACTCCGGTTAGCATAGTCTACTGCCGCAAAGTTCACGTGTTCGAGACCCGAGTTTTGGAGGTCCGATAAACGAGTTGCCACGGGGGCCGGCAGGCCATGGTTGCACAAAATCTCCTGGATGGGTTGCAGGCGACGGAAATAGATCCAGTTCTTTGCTATTCCTCGACTAGGGTCAAAGTCGCACCATTGCTCTGCGTCTTCCTGCGCACTCCATGATCTGACTATCTTCGCGAGGTCATCATCGAAGTCAATCCAACCGGCTTTAGCTAAGATTGCTGTAGTATCGACCCGTTTGCCATGGAATGCGAGGCGGAAATTGACCACATCCGCAGGTTTGCTAGTGCAGCGTAGCCAGACATATGAATCATCAAGATACTCGTCGAAAGCTCCCAGGATTTGCTCGGTCACTTTATTTGAGTAAGGTGCATCGAGCGAGTGGCAGAGGGAAGAGAGCTCGGACTGAAAGGTGGAGCGGTCGAATCTTTCAACGGCGGCAGCCATATTTGGGTTTTTTGATACTCCAAAAATGTAGTAAAATAGATCACGATAGGTGGAACAAGGTGTTTGGAGTTGTATCGAGAGGATCTGGTATACGACTGAAAAGATCAGCGTTCAAACACACACCCAGATCCAACCAACCTCTTTCTCAGAAGCTTATCGTACGGTAGCACCTCAGCTGCATATGCGGGGTTGAACCATTCAGGTTGGACCTCCTTCAAGTTACAGATGCGCAAACCGCGCCAAACCAATACCTGCTTGTGTTGCGTCGATAGCAAGTCGTCATCAGCAGATGTTAGGGGTCCACAGTATAGATTATGCGTCACCACGTCAAGGTGCGAAGTGGGTCCCTAATCCATGCATGCATTAGCTTACAAGTAGGTTAGACTAGGTAAAGGCTAATGATGTGACAGGTAGAACTATCTAAGCGTGCAGATGCTGTACATACGGCCCCCTACCGTATCGTACGTATCGTACGTATGTACATGCAATAATAATGTCACTTGTTGTAGAAGTAGAAGGTAGCAATCATTAACCAACGCATGACTTCATCGATAAGTAGCCTGGTTTGTACAATGATGACTCAATTTACAAAACTTGACACGCACTGCTCTACTGAATAGACTTCTCCCGCCAATCGCTACAAACGAACCTTTGATTTAACGATGTCTGTGGCATCATGTATAAAGTATATAGACAACTGAGACTTGCACGATTGTAAGTTAACAGTAAACAATTGAGAGTTGAGAGCCAACAACATCGACAACATGGGTCCGAAATCGCACATGTCAATCTTTACCCGGATAGGCAATAATAGAGTCTCCAGACTCTGAACTCTATTGTCCTCTTTTAGAGCGAATTTTCACCCATCAGCTGGTGCATTCAAATCAAGAGAGAGCCTGAAGAGGCGGTGAAGCATCCTGCATACCCTTGCGCGTTCTCCATGTACACCTCTTCTGACTCTTTCTTGTTCTATGAATCATCCAGTCATCTTCACACGATATGTCATCTGCGGAACTCTCCATAACCGGTAAACGAGGCACTTGACGTACTCAATACTTGCCCCCATGTACATCCTTCACAGACTGGAGTATCTAGAAACCTCTAAGCAAATTAGCGTGGTTGGACGAGTCCCGCTCGTATAGATTCCCTAAAATAGGCACACCATTTGAACATGATATGCAACCACTCCATCAATTGCCTCGTATATTTCCAAGTTTGACAATGGGGAAGCAATTAGTACAGTTCGCACCAGACTTCTCAGCTTACGCCGGCGGCGTCGAAGAAACGCAATTTTTCTATCGGGAGATATTCCAAGACCATGCCTACGATGTGGCTGAACTTCCCGAAGATGCCTTCATCGTTGACGCGGGCGCAAACGTCGGCATGTTTACTCTCTACATGAAGAAAAAATACCCAGCGTCCACAATTCTGGCGTTCGAGCCGGCTCCGGAAACGTTCAAGATGCTGAGCGAGAACGTCAAGCTGCACAATCTCAAAGACGTCGAGTTGCACGAGTGTGCGTTGGGAGCCGAAGATACTACACAGATCTTCACTTTCTATCCGACTGTTCCTGGGAATTCGACACTCGTGCCCGAGGAGAAAGAGATTGTGAGAGAGGTCTTTAGCGAACTGAGTCAGGACTGGGCCGATGGGGCTGAGAAGATGTACTCTACCTCACATGAGATATCTGTACGCGTTCGTCCTTTGTCACACTTTCTCAACGGGCGCAAAGACCTGAAGCGCATCGATATGCTCAAGGTGGACGTCGAAGGTGTCGAGTTGGAGACTCTACAAGCTCTGGAGGAAGTCCACTGGGCTCGAGTTTCCAACGTGGTGGTGGAGATCTGCGATCTACGCGGTGGGCGGCTGGATGCTTTGGAAAGTCTGTTGAGATCTAAAGGTTTCAGTGTAAGATCAGAAAGTCCTTCGTGGTCACCAAGTGAAGGGAAGATGTATATGGTCATTGGTCACCGAGATGTAACTGCTGGTTAGATGTAGATACAGAGGTTTTGGGGCGATACACAAGAGTTGGTGGCGATAGATCAATAGAGCTCTATGCAATTGTCACAAATGAACACCAAGGAAGAAGAAGTGGGGTAGATTGGGTCCAAATCAACCATAGCACGCATGTTTGATTTGCACCGAAAAGTTACATCTAGCTGCATTCCTGGTATTGCTGGCTAACGAGGCTTTCCGACACAGGACCAGATGCAAAGCCAGTCTTGTCCAGTAGAAATATCAGTATATAAATGCCTGCTACGCGTCCTGACTCCAAGCGATTTCAATATCTTTAATGGCTTCTTCGTATGTCTGAGCCACAGAACACGTAGCCTTTCCTTTATAAACTTGTTAGGCTGTGTTCTTCCGGCGGCGGATCAGAATTTTCTTGCTATAAGCTGGTGCAATACCGTCAGCCGACACGATGTCTTCGGGGCGACCCTCGCCATCTTGCAGCTTCATTTCGTAATTCATCAGCAGATGCGACAAGACAACCTTTATCTCGTTGTTGAGGAAGAAGCGGCCGGGACATGCGTGCGGGCCATGCCCGAAGGCGATAAGATCATTTTGGCCAATACCGGTCTCGATAAAGGAATACTTGCCGCCAACGGCGTTGTCGCCGCGCAGATTGAGGAAGCGGTTGCCGTCGAACACCTCTGGGTTGCCCCAGCGCTCTGGGTCCATAGCCATGAAGTAAGCAGGAACGGCGAAACAGCAGCCCTTGGGGAGCACCGTACCATCGTGGAGAGTGATGTCCTGCATGACCTTGCGCTCGAACGTCAATAGACCCAACGGGTGGATGCGCTGCGCCTCCTTCATGAAGCTGTCTAGCTTGCGTAGCTTAGGCATGCTGGACTTCTTCAAATAGTCTTCATCTTCTTGCGATAGAACATCTGCTATTTCGTCGCGGATAGGACCAATGTACTCCGGTCGCGCCAGCATGTCGAAGATGATGTGCGTAGTTAGCAGAGTGGTGTTGTGTATGGCCGCCGTCGATACCACCAGTTGGGTGTGCGCGTGGACCGTCAGGTCTCTCTTCTTCTCCGCAGGTACGCTGTTGATATGCCAAGTTGTCAAATTGCTGGGCGCCTTTCCTTCAGCGATTAGTTGCAGCCGCTCAGGCACGACTTTTGCCAGGATCCTTTCCATTTGCTTCAGGGAGCGGTGAATGCCTCGCACTTCCTCTACCCAAAACTGGGCCAGCGGACGCAGCCAGACCGGGTAGCGTGAGATGGCCTCAATGGCCTTGAAGGCGACAAAAGTGAATTCAATGATGGACTGGAGATAGTCAGGGTTGCGGTTGAGTTCAGGTCCGGCAAAGACGCGGCCAGAGATGAGAGCGACGGCGCGCGTAAGGACATCACCAAGAGCAATCTCTTTCCAGTCTGTAGGCAGTTGCGATTTTGGTCAGCAAGCATCACTTCTCCAAATTACTACACGTTTAACTTACCATTGCATTCACCAAGGCTGGTATTGAAGGCGTACTCGGCCTCCTCAGAGATCTCCTTCATCAGGCTGCCAATGTTTCGCGTCAGGTCGTGCTTTACGCAGTGAAGCAGGTGAGCAGGATCGTGCCCAATAGATGTTGGGGTCAAGCGGGTGTATTGTGTGAAGAATCTCTAGTGGTGGGTTAATCCGGCTCTGCAAACCTAGTATTGTTTCCATAGATGGGACGGTCTGCTCTTACATCCGTATTCTTCGCCTCAAGAGAGACGAACTCCTCCGGGAGGTAGCATAGCTCATTAATGAAGCGTTCAGGCAGGACCACAACCGTGCCGTGTCGCGCCTTTAGCTGCCAGAGCTGGCCGCGGTACTGTAAAAGATGGTCAGCTTAGAACTAAGGATTACCTCAATCAATATGTTTAACAGCTTCTGACCTTTTCGCAGTTGGTCGCAAGCGCATCTTGCAAATTACCGAGCTCGACCTGCCCTTTCTTGACTTCGGAGATGTCGACGAGCGGAACGTTAGGCAGTATGGGGTAGACGGGTTCGCGGGGTAGTGCGAGGAAGTACGCGATCACCAGAGCCAGCACGCTCACGAGGGTGGCACTCAACGTCTGGTTCTGCACTACGTATGCGTGAAGCTGGTCGAACATGATTTGTATTATTGTGTGATGATTTTTATATAGAATATGGGTCAAGTTTGTGCGTACTGTCCAGGAGGAAGTCTGCTATAAGTACCCGAGCTTATTGCTCAGACCCGAGTCGACCTATCCTATAGCGACTTAGTAGGCAAAAACCTTGTATCGCGTGCATGAAGGTAGCACATTACACCCAAAATCTTAATTGCAAGAATATAGAAGAATTGTATATGCTTTTTGTGCTAAGAAGTGATATGAACCCTTGGTGATGTCTTATTATTTCTTTTAAGCACGATGCGCCATGAATGCGCCTCACTACGCTAATAGCTTGCGGCTATCTCACCTTAGAGACGCATACTTGCCGGTTACTTACACGATCACTTACCATTTTTACTACCGGGAATTGATAGTAGTAGTATGTGCTGTATAATGAGGCTCCTAATACCCCTACTACTACTTATTAAAAAGGCCAAAGTCCCCCTTTCCATCGGTTCCTACTTCAATTCATATCCATCTTTACTGTCTAAAACTTGTCTCCAAACTAACTGCGAAATCTTCAGTTTAACTCCATCGAATACCATATGCGGTACCTGTCGACGATCGTTTTTTCCATCGCCATCATCACTGCTCTAGCCAGCTTGTTCAAGCCGCCACAGCCAGCCCCACGACGCTACTATAGGATCCCGTCGCTGCAAATATCATTCAAGACGAGCCTGACGACTTCCAATTCACCAAAGTTGATTTAAAAGAGCGGGTTCTCTTTAACGGGTGTCTATAGTAGCGAGGCTTGAGTATTTATGTATATAATTCGTGGGCGAGCAAGGGAAGCGCAATAAGAGCCGACATCACATATTGAATGTTGACCGTTGGTTGTAAGGGTAGTTGCCAGGAGGTTACTACAGTAAGTCAATCTCCATGTTTTGGCTCTCCGATGGGATTGTGGACTGATACTAAAGTTTAATGGGAGAAATGAACTGACGGCATCTATCAAAACTGGGATATGCAGAGCATTGAAGCTTCTAGCCCCATACGAGGTGGTAAGTCTGCTCGATCCCACTTCCCCGAACCTTCCTCGCACTCCACCCGAAGAAACATCCTCGTTGGTTTTTGCTCTTTCTCTATCAATCCTGAAAATAGTGTGAGTTCGGATCTACAGCGAATCAGGCTGTAGGGGGGTATGACAAGAGACATTGCTTCCCAACGGTCTCTGCGAGAGCGATTAAATGACACGCGGTCAGGACCCCGGTCACCTCATCAAGACGTTCAAGGTATCTGTGGAATGAAGCCTTTTCCTTTCGAACTTACTTAAGATAGAGCATAAGGTCTCTTTTTTTTTTTTTTTTTTTTTTTCAAGGCTTGTGCAAAGGCATTCCAACGCTGAAACTCGGCTTGTTACGCCGATATGCATCTTTCTCTTCTCCCCATCGATATAGATTTCGTTATTTGCTTCAACTGAATCAAATGAAACATTGTTCTATGAAAGCCGCTCACTTCGATTAACATCTTGATCCCTTCTTCACTCCCACCCTCACCCTGTAATTGTCCTTTTTCGGATCATTCTGAAAAATCCTGCAAGCATACCTCAAAGCCATCATGATCAGGAACGCACCGTATCATAGCCATTGAGCACCCCTCTTTGACCGCCGTCAGCTTACTCTTCATGCTTATGCCCTTCCCTTGCAATCCAAACAAACCCCGCGCGTCTGCACTTGCATTCCCGCTACGCGAAAATTCAACCCATCCTTGCACCGCTGTATATTGCGGTCGAAAGAATTTCGAGGTCAAACCTGAGCAGTAGGTCTTGGCAAGCGTGGCATTTCGCGGGAAAGTACCAACTATCGACGATGCGGGGCCAACCAGGCTGGGTAGATCTTCAGAGTCCCGGGACCCAAGAACCTGCAAATTTTTCATAACGTGTAAGAATCATGTATTTATGATCATTTTTTGAGAGAAAAGGTGAAGGCTGAAAGCGGTAGAGGATACACATACAATAGATCCCATCTGTGAGCGCATTCCGAACGTAGCCGTTACTCCCGCATCCAGAGCTACACTCGCGCTCACCTCCCAGTCACCATATCGAAACTCTGCATCATCGCCAATATTGTACCAAGAGAAAATCAGATTGAAACGACCCGTTGTTGTGTTGACTCCCTTCGGCAGAGAAAGAAGTTGTTCAGTCGAGGCATCTAAGGGAGTCACATCAACATATATCGTCGAGTCCTGAATATGAGTTGATACGGCTGCAGTGACGAATTGGTCGTAATCGGAATTATTCGCGCTGCCCATTGAGTCTGTGGAGGCAATGCAATCGTAGGAGGCTGCTCGGGTTGAACCGCTAAATAGGACTGTCGGAGCTATAGCCATGGTAAGGAGTAAGTGTGTAGGGGAAAACATCTTCGAAGCTTGTTGTGTGGTAGTTTGTGGAATGAATTAAGCCTGATGATCTTTTGCAGCGACCTCTCATTACCGAATCAACTCAATAGTGAGCAACAATCATGAAAGCCAAAAAGTACATGACCGAGGTAGACGAAGAAGCTTTTTACGTTCCTGAGACTAGAAATGTTGCATCAGTTTCCGAAGACGTTAAAAAAAGTAAAGCTGTGAGGTTATATCATGATCGATCGCCAGTTGCTATTTCTAGACATGGTAGTAAACTAACAGCACATTTGCGTGTTTGCTTACTGTATAGCGAAACAGGCAAAATACGCTGAACCTATCATGAATGGACCTCTCTTAACCCCAGCTGGGCCGTACATATGTCTTGCGAGAAGGTTTCCCATCTCGGAAAGTGGTTTAGCCGGTTCAAGGAGACTCAATAAACAGCTATATATGTTATGTCTAGACAGCAAATCGACAGAGCTTCTGTGTATATCCCTGCTTTTAGTTGATATTGAGAATTCCGCCTAATGAGGGGAACATACGATTGTTTTCCATCATCTTCCCGTCTGTGCGCGGTAAACAGATCGCTTCATGTATTTTGTTTGCAAAACTCATCCAGCACACTCATGTCACAAGGTTTTTGATGATTAGAATCAGCATGTTCCGTATTTGCTATCCATGTAATCAACAATAGTAACGCCAGAAAATTAGCCCAGTATGTGCCTATGCATGATATACAAAAGCAACGATCGATGCGAAGATCGAACCACAGAACGAGAGGCCGCGGAGTAGTATTTCCGGGTCCCAGATTTCCAATTTAGATGTGACCTTCCTTGCTTGATTTGCGGCAGTTATCTGGAGGAGACTAAACCCTCTCTTTTGCGAACCTAGAAGAGCGCCAGTGTATAAGCCTTTGACCTACAACAGCAACCAGGTTGACAGTAGCACGCCAGGAAGAGAAAACCCGAATCCGTATCCAACCACAACGCGATGAAGGTGACTTCAAAAGCCGCCGCAGGACTTTTGGGCCTCCTGTGCTCTCAAGCAGTGGAGGTCCACGCCCACATGTCGGCAGCTCACCTTCTAGTCAACGGTAGCGATCTCGGGCAGTTTACTTATGTCCTGTAAGGAAAATTTCCAATTCCTCATAATAATCGATTTAGCTGTGAATACAGCTAACGTATTGTTGACTAGAAAAACTACTCCCGCAGTTCCTCCTTCTTACTATTCTCTTCCAGAGACTAGCCTGGTAGGGCATACGATCCCCCAGTACGATAATGAAGGCATCATTACGACAAATGCTACATGTGGGATCAGTCCATGGCACTCCATGAACACGACTAAGATTGCGGATGTCGTCGCTGGAAGCGAAGTTGGGTTCCGAGTGCTCAACGATACTGAAGTGGGTTTCAGTGGGCAGTTTGCGTAAGTCTTCGTCGCTTTCTTCTCCCAGTCGTGAATGGTGCAGCCGCCTTGTTTCTTCAATTTCTCTATGAAAATAACGCCCATTATTCGTAGAGTAGCGCGAACTAATTTTTCTTCGGTCAAACAGCGCGTTTTACCACCCCGGACCAGCCTCAGTCTGGCTATCTAAGGCCCCGAACAACAATGTCAAAGCCTACCGAGGGGAGGGAGATTGGTTCAAGATCGCCTATGCCGGGCCGTTGAACGATACAACGTGGTCCAATTATCAGCAGAGACTCAACCCGTATGATTATTCGACCTGGCAAGACACTGTGAGTGGGGAAATCAATGCAGATATTCCTCATTGACGCTAACATAATTCGAAATTTCGTAGCTCAATTTCACAATCCCTAAAAGAACACCCCCGGGAGAGTATTTGATGCGTTTCGAGTACCTTTACCCCAACAGCCATATCGGTTACAGTCAATGGAATATTAATTGCGCGCTGGTAAATATTATGGGCCCTGGGGGATCGGAGCCGCCTGCGTCCGCTTTGGCAAAGTTCCCGGGCACGTATAATCGCGAAGACGCTAGTAAGTTGACATAGTCTACAGCCTCAGGGAGAATAATACTTGGGAGAAGATGGGGTATTGGAAGATCCGCTGACTTCACACTACTAGGTATCTGGCTTCCCGCGAGGCACGATGTCGAAGCGATGCCGGCACCACTGCTGCAGTTGACCAAGTACCAACCCCCGGGGCCGCCACTTTGGGAGGGATGATATGGGACAGCATGTGAACGCTCGAATCGATATTAAAACTGGGGCTAGTGATGGAAATGTGCGCAATGAACCTCCACCTCTCTTTTTTCCTTGTTTATGGAAGAGGATGAATGGATCCCAACTATGTACACTTTGGCCCCCAATATGCAGCCTCGAGGCTTCAGCCTCGGCAGTGTACTATGTATAGTAAACATGCCCTTACAGGTACATAGTTGATCACCGATCACGGGAACCCCTCATCGCTGTAAATGAGCGGCCTCTGCCCCACTTCTCTGCCATACTGGATACATGCAATGTCACAGTTCTTTAACATTGCTATAAGTATATTGTCTGCTCCATGAGAAAAACGGCACGAACACTCATATTCAACATCAAATCACGCTAGTGTATTGATTCCATCTGCGATTCGGTCTTCTGCCGCAGTGGGAAGTTATTAGAAAGATGCCGGAGTCATCGACAAACACTAAAAATGACTCTCGACCTGCTAGCGATCCTTCCAAGCTGACAACCTGGAAAGAAACAACCTACGAGACGTTAAGCTTTGTCGGCGTGCGGCCCAAGGAGCTCCTGCTAGTATGTTTACCTTGCAATCTCTCTGACATTTCTGTCGGGCCACTTACCAATGAACAGCCTGTGAGCACTAGGTTGAAGTATAAGCCATTACCCCATGCTTCCTCCATCCGACTTCTCCGCCTCCAGCCAGCCAAAGACTGGGAGGTTATCACATGCTCCCTTCGCATTGTAGAATTTTCGGAGCAACCACAGTATCAGGCACTTTCTTATACGTGGTCAAAATCTTCGTTTACACAAGCTTTGAAATCGTATGTAAAGTTGAGGCCTGTTCTTGCTAAGACGTGGGATTTGGCAGAACATGGAGCACATGGCGCATCAGATTTGCTGAACAGGGCAATGCTGGGATTGAGCAAGAAGCAAGAGGGGCTCGAGGAAGGCATACCATCTGAGCGGGAGAAAAGTAGGTGTAAAATCGTATGCGACGGCCAGGCTATTTACGTTGGCGAAAACCTCTACGATGCCCTGCGCGAGTTAAGTCAGAAGGACACGTCAGTTGAGTACTGGATAGACGCTATATGCATTAACCAGCAAGATCTCACTGAAAGAAACGCCCAGGTGCCGTTAATGGATCAAATCTATCAACAGGCATCCAGGGTCGTAGTGTGGCTTGGAACCTGCCCTTTCGTTCTGCAATCCACCATGAAGTCTCTTGCCGAAATACATCCTGAAACACCATTGCAAGATGAAAAAGGAAAGGCCAAGCGTCGCAGCAAAACTCACAACATTCCTTGGATATACATGTTCTCACTTGGATGGTTCAGTCGCCTGTGGATCATACAGGAATTCTGCTTCGCAAAGAAACCCATTTTCATGGTTGGACCTCATGAAGTCTCGGCGATCACCATCATAGAAGATGTGTTGAAATTTGACGAAAAGTACCGAAAGAAAGTCGATTTCGAAAAGGAACTTGTGGAATCTGTATCGAAGTTCTATGTTCAAGTGTATCCCATGGATAACATCCCACGCGCATTAATTCTTTTGAGCTCTAGGGACCTCATCGCGCAAGGTAAACGGTTCTCAATCGAAAAATGGAGCGAGTTGTGCTCCAAGCATGAAGCTTCCGACGCACGTGACATGCTGTACGGTGGTCTGTCCCTCATACAACCCGATTCTCTCGTCATCAATGGTGCTTTGAAGCCACAAATACTGGCCAGAGATACTACCATCGCGAGCAATAGCGACACGGTCAGTTCACCTGCAATGGATCCCTCAAATGTTGCGCTATGGTCTGTCCTTCATGCGGATTACAATGCCTCCGTTTCGTTTGTATTGTTAAATCTTGCGGCATGCCTACTGTCCCGTTCCAATAGCCTCGTCCTTCTATCGCTGGCATCTCGGTTCCCAACGCTTGACTCTGATGAGGTTGTCGTTTCACTTCAAGGGCAGATCGACGTTAAAGTGGAAGACCCTTTCCCCAGCTGGTATCCTCTGCCGTGGTCGGCGACGTCTCGATTTGTGGAAAATCTAGTTCAAGCAGAAGGCTCCCAGTTCTCTGCCTGTACCAACTTGAAAGCATCTCCGAGTATATCTGCAGACGGCCTCTCCTTGTTTTTAGAAGCCGCCACTTGTAGTGTGTTACGGCAGCACTTGGGGCTACTTCCCAAGGGAATAATTTCCTATTATCTTTTCGATCATTATCGAGAAATCGAAGAATCTTTCAAGAATGAAGACTTCAAAAACGCAAGATTCAACAAGGAGGACTTCAGAAGTTTATGCCGAATGTGCCTAGATTGGATCGAGATCAGCAAAGATATCGGGGCCGAGGATGCACTTGAGATGTTGGCCGACGCGACTCTCGCTGGTATGGGTAGTGCTGACGATGAAACCGAAGACGGAGACAATGCCATCAGCGTCTCCAAGCGGAACATAGCTGGCTTGTGCCAACATATCAGCCATTGCATTACCGCAGATGAACAATATCTGAAGATGATGGAAGCAAAAACCAATGAAAAGAAGAAGAATAATATATCAAAATGGATCCCAGGTCAGCGCATGTCCAGGATGATAGATTCTCGGCGCGAGGAGGCTATGTCCCTTTTACAAGCAATGTTACGTCAGCAAAATGTCGACTACGCATCGCTCAAAGCCGCTTGTCCTCAAGCACCGTGGCCCGAAACCGCTTCATGCAATTATTCGAAAGAGCAGGCGGAACGTTTGTTGCAAAGATACCACCGCCTATACAGACAAGCGGCAAAGGGCAAAAGTCTTTTTGTCACAGACAGTGGGAAGCTTGCAGCAGCACCAGTGTGGGCTGCCAAAGATGATGTAGTAAGTTTCCCTGTGATGAGAGCATTGCTATTCGCTCTCTTCAATTTGACTCACCATTGCTCACAAATGGTATTTACTCAGATCATGCTAGTCGCGGGAGCTGCCGTGCCGTACATTTTAAGACCGAATGAACAGCACCTTACCCGGGTGATTGAAAAGAAGAGGAAAGATTTTGAAGATCTAGTCAATGATTTGACCGCGGAAGGCAAGGCAAAGAAGATAGCGATCCAGCAAGACCTCGAAAAATGCCAATCATCTATGGGCCAACGTCGCGGCCATATTCTAATAGGAGAAGCGTATGTTAAGGAAATCATGTACCAGGAGAAGAATACCAGCGAAATGGAATTCGTAAGAGTAGAAATTATGTAACGGTGAGGAGCACCTTTTTCATCTGGGTAATATTGTATCAGTCTGAGTCATTTTTTTTTTCAGGACTTGGAGATTTTCATATCGTTCCGTCTTTCGCAGCCTCCTTCTCTGCATTTAACTTTAATATTCAAATTGATACTTTTCCGCGTTTGAAGTTCATGCCTTGAGCCTGTAATTGAGTAGGATACGAAGGAAAGGCAAAAATGTACATGTTTGCCTCTTTTTTCTCACCACATCCCGGTTATCATTCGTGTCCAAGTAAAATACATAGATACCTTCCCAAAACGACCGTGCACGTGGCGTATATGTTTTATCGAACGTGATACCATTGGACGTGATGTAATAGAACAATGGTGGAACCAAGATGCTTTTGGCATCGGAAGTGCTCGAATATATGCACCCTCTTTCCTGTAATCTATAAATGTCTGCATACCAAGACCCAAGTTTTCTCGGAGTCTTCTCTCAAAACTCATCATAATAACATTGGACCATGAAGCAACATCTACGTTCAAAATCGTTTCCGAGCCTTTTAGCCATTTATCTGTAGCTCGTGAGTCTGCATTTCGTTTGGCCTGTGGTTATATTTGGGTGATCTCCATAGTAAATACGGTGCCGTGATTGCCGCGTTATTGCCGTTTTTGCAATGTAATCAAACGGTGTTTGGGGGCGAGGAATCAGTCAACGGAGAAGATTTCGTAAAGTACTACTATCGTATCAAGTGAACAGTATTAAGCTACAATATGCTTAATTTCCCTGTGTGAGATGAAATAACTATTCTGTGATGCTGAATAGATTTCAAGAATACCAGACGGATAGACCAGGCCCACGCAAAAGAGAGCTCGTTTCAATGATATTCTGTTGCTATCTACGCACAACGAGGAGTCTTGTCCACCCGCATAGTCTGCTGTAATTAACAACTGGATGGGTCCGTGATAGCTAGCTTTGTTAGGCAGGAAGCACAGCCCGTGCGTACGCTCCTAATCTTAACTTGGGCGATGACTACCCTACTAGGCACATATTTCGTATACTGAAATACTCATCGGTAGGGGCTGGTCAGATTTAGCCTCGTAAGGCGGTCCATCTGCTATTGGACGGGACTAGTTATAAGCGGATGGGCATACAACTATATACAGCTTGTATACCATCACACGTAGCAAGAGACAATAGCCCAAAGAGAAGCGATGGCAGACAACAATAGCGATCACGAAATGCACAACATGCGCCCCCAATCAAATGCACCAAAAACAAACCAACATAAACCCGCTCCAACATCTCTTCCGGCGCGCCCCTCCATCACCGCGCCGCCTGTGAAGCAACGTCGCAATGCACTTCAACTTCTAGTCGTGCTTTTCTACATGGCCTTAGCGCTGCTTTCCTGGATTCTATTCTGCGTCATGACGTATAAGCTGCGTGGCCAAACAAGCTATTATCCAGATAAAAGCTACACCAAGGCGTTCTATGGGGTACAGGAGCGCATGCGAACCAACGAGCGATATATGCTTGCCGCGCGTGTTATCCACACTATTGCCACGCTGCTTACGATCCCGGTTACTACCTATGTTTGCACGGTGGCTGCGATGGCGTATTTGCAGAGTGGGGGAAACAAAAGAAGACTCACGGTGAAGCAGAGTGCAGCTGTAGCGGATCAAAAATGGTGGAGTCCTATGGCGATGATTTATGCTGGTAGTCTGCCTCTTTACATGGGATTCTCGATGACCTTGATCGGTAAGCAGAGCCATTCGTTTGTTTGGTATCATGATCACCTCTGACCTCAGCTTTCTTCCTAGGTGCGCTTTCTCAGCTTCTGCAAAGCGGGCTTGTAGGCCAGGATGCGATCCGTGTCGCAAGTTCCGGGACAGAGAGAAGGCTAGAGTTCATAGACCCCTTGAATTCAGTAGACAGGCAGTTCGGCGACGCAGGCCTATACATTCTCGACCTACAATATACGTTAGCATCCTCGAACAGTATCTACTCCGGTAACCTTTGGGTCGATCGCCCCGCTACCGAGAGGAACACAAGGGCAAGCTACATGACGCCCTTTTCGTCCAGTTTCAATACGGGTGTTTACCCCAAGCCACAGTTCGCCCCCCGCATCAATACCACGATAAAGTACGAAGATATCTCCGAGGAAGTCTTTAAGCAAGAGTGCCGCAATGAGACAGACAGTGGCGCATTCTACGCAAATTACGCATACGAGGACTTTCAAGGAGATCCTGTCGGGTTCAATATCGAGGTGTGCATCACGGGAGACATCAGGAAGAGTCCGTGGAAAATAACCCGAGACCGCCAGGATTTCTCTGAAGCTCTTTACTTCTCGCTCGTTTCGAAGAGAAATGAGACCAGGATGGAAGATGGCGAGGATGAAACCGAATCATACGACTACCCTAATCGGCACTTCAAAGTAAGCGCCGGCACCTCATTTGGCTACTTCGAGCTACCAAGCCATTTCAACAACAATACAGCTGGGTCGCTCCTCGATAAAGACCCGCTGAAAAGGAACGACGGCCAAATATACAGGAGAGCGGACAACGACTCCTCCGTTTCTTACGGAGGGGACAAGTTTCTGAACAATGGGTACCACTACGGGCCCCTAACCTCGCTAGGCCTTGCACTCTTCGGATATCGCTCCTTTATAGGAGCGCGCATGTTGAACGTTTCTTCCTTCGTTGAACCTCTGGCATCCGATCCCGATTACAACTGCGCTTACCTCACGCCGCTCGAGGGCGGATCCAGTGCCTGCAGTTCTCCTGCACACAGCACCACCAATGTGGCGGACAAGGTCTTCCAGTTGATGAAAGTGCTCGCCAACTCGAACAGGAACTCAGCAACCCCGGGGCAAAGCCTATTCGAAACCGGGCTGAACATAACGAACTACATGTTCCTCAACGGTCGTGCAGAGCAAGATAGGTCTTGGACGATACCCGTCAATACCGACGAGGGAATCGCGACTATGCGACCCGCGATCAGCAAGACGGGAATGATTCTCGGCTCGGTCTTTTTAGGTCTGCATCTTGGCGGTATATTGATGCTGTCGGTGTACTGTCTGTTCCACAAGCTTACAGCAAGTCGTCTAGGAGCTGAACTGATGCTCAGATTGGGTGTGGCACACGCGGACTTGCTGAAGCAGACGGAGAGCGAGAAGGAGAGGGAAAACCTTCTTAAAACCCTTCCGTCATCTGTAGAAGGTGGCTCTGGGTTGCATCCAATTCGAGCTTATCGATGAGATGGAACGTGGCCCAGAGAGGGTGCAGTGCATTTATACCTTCGGCCTGATTATTTTCCAGGAGATTCTTCTTCCTCACATTCGAGCAAACCACTCTTTGCTCTCTATCCTTGGATATGTTTCTCGGATGATTCGCGTGATGCATCCGTCAAATCAAGTATATCTAGAGGTAGCCTGGTCCATCGAGGCAAAAAGATCAGATAGACATCATACTGCCATGCGTAAAACATACCAGCTTAAAATAGGGAATCAGTTCGATACTTGTTTAATAGACCTTTACTAAGGATACTATTGTATAGTACTTATAGCCCCTCGCCACTACCTTAGAAGCAATGCTTTTACGCGAAATTGGTTTAAAGTTATGAGTTTATAGTGATCTTATCCAACAGCTGCTACAACAGTGCACCTCTGTTCTCTTGTGAGAAACTATGTCTACTGTAACTTTAGAGTATATTTAAAATCTATATGCAGGCTGTAAAGACAAATAGCGTATGATAATACAAACTTGGGGGTTGTCCGCAGAGATGCGCACCCCCTCGCCTCTATGTAAGAAATTTTCGTAAGCTAAGAAAGTGCCCGTAGAGCGCCGGAAAGACCTCGTGGTTGTCTGGGTTTATCTTGCAATTGAATGGCTGAGGCCATCGATGGTGGAAAAGGCTGTTTGGGGCTGAATTGAGCATGGGCACAATTCGCTTTGCGGGTAACTTGCCGTGCGCAACAATTCTGCCTCAACCCTTTCCCTCGTACATGCATCTACATCGTGACTGTGAGTGAAGTCAGTAAAAGCAACCGTCAACCTTCTGTGTATTGCTTGGTCCACGAAAGGACCCGTCGCCTGCTGCATAAAAGTAACCGTGCGAACAGTTCAAGCTCAATAGCCGTTCCCGCCAAGTCTCTACTCTACCCCCAAACCTCGGTACGCACTCTAGTTACTGATTCCTAATCGCGTTGCGGATTCCTAATCGCGTTGCCTTTCTGAGTTGCATCAGCTTGTAACGCTTGCAGCATATCGCATCTTGTTCCTACGGCTTGGCATAAGCACGCTTGCGTTATTATATCCTAATAAGACAATAAAGTTGCAAGTTTTAGCCTCGCACTCCAGATTTGAGAACTCTAGTGAGCGTTTGTCGAAGCTTTTCACAGCCAAGACAGAATAATACGTTTCCGTTATCAGCACACCATTGGACAATGGTCATAATTACATGATTGCTTCATTCAGCTGGTCTTGGCTACCTATCTCACGTATACAACTCGCAGCGCCTTTAGGCTTAGATCTCAGCATTCGCTGACTTTTCTGACTTTGCAAGTGATTGTATGCACACCCACATCAGTACTCCCATCTCCGTAAGGGTGCAAGAAGTCTACAATCAGTATGGCTCCAGATGTACACTTCTCGCAAAAATAGAAATGGGTTCAATCGGACAACAAGGCGTGACTGAAGACGTGGCCATGGAAGTAAAGTATAAAGTGGTAGCTTGCGCAGCATCTACGAGGCATCAACCAGCTACTTTTACATTCTTTATCAACCAACTACTTTTACATTCGTTTCAACAGTACACAGTATCTTTCTGTAATCCACTCTTTTTTATTCAATTCTCTCTGTCACCATGCGTTTTTCACTTGCTGCCGCGACGGTGTTTGCGTCACTGTTCATTCCAACCATTGCCAGCAGCTGCGATGAAGGTATGAAGAGACGCCACTCTGAACCATTCAGCTTCGACGCTGATGAAAACAGGCCCCTTCATCTCTACCTCTGCCGGGATCCCACTAAGTGACAACCCTTCCGAACAAATCTTCTGTTCTTCCAAATGGTTGAATGGGGATGTCATCACAGGGCTCCGCGTTTGGTGGGCCAAGTTCCAGATCAAGGTACTGCTCATCTGAGTATGATGTATTGCAATGCTAGGACTGATAAAACTCCAGGGAATCCAAGTCCGCTATGCCAGCATCACCAGCGACGGCGAATGGGGAGCTATCCACGGTCAAACCACTGAAGACGTCGACGATTATGACGAAAAAACCTGGGACTCAAACACCGCCATTGGTATGAAGCTATATAACAACAAGCCTGATGACGGCGACCCCATGGATGCCGTTGGACGCATTGTTGTGACTATACCAGGTCAAGAGGACTGGGTAGTAGGCGGTTCAAAGTACAACGATGATGAGATATACGTAAACGCTGGAAGCGGAAGGCTACTAGCAGTGCAAGTAAGACTATGCCCTTCTCCCTCCTCCCCTTCTTCTTTTTTGTCTTCGTTCTCCTCTCTTCATTCTTTATTTCACCGACTAATATCATTTCAGGGTGCCGCAGGCGGGATGGTCACGTCCCTTTCATTCAAATTTCTCGAGTCTAGCATCATGAGTCTGGAGATGACCGACATCAGCTTCACGGAAGACCCCATGATATGGTCTCAAGAGCACAAGGGGATGAACCCACAGGTCGTCACTACTTCAAGCTGGTACAAAAACTTGAATAAAGAGGGTGAACCTACCCTTCACGCCACCGACGGAATTGCTATCGACGAAAAAACTACCAAAGAACTTGTAGGTGATTTGACTTCCCCCAATCAACTTCGATTTAACAACTTCTAGACAAAGTCAACTACCAACACCTTCGGATCTGGAATAACGGTCTCTATTGGAGGGGGGGTCCACGTTCCGTTTCTTGTGAGTAAATGCTCTATCTCTATATCACATTGGTGAGGAAAATTAACGAGGGTCCCAGGTCGATGCCGAAGCGGAAGTGGAGACTTCAATCTCCTACTCCATGGAAACAATGGCGTCGGAATCCGAAACCAAGGAACACGGATGGATAAAGACAGGGACCATAAACGGAGATGTCCCTCCCCAAAAAGCATTTCGCTGTGAGATGCCCCACTTTGCATATCTTCCACTTCTTGCTTACTCCGAATATAGGCAAATTTATCGCCATCGTGGGTACATACGATTCTCCATTCGAAGCCAATGTCACTGCCAAACTAGCCAACGGCGAAACTTTTGTGTACAAAAACTATGGAAACTTCAAGTCTATAGGATATGCAAACTTGCAGGACGAGTGTCAGCTTTTTGATCTCGAGGACGTGCCCCCGCTCGATCCGTCGGAAATACTTAGTGATGATAGTGATGATAAGAACAAGCGATCTACCCGCTTGACTCGTTTCATTCACTGAGTTTTCAAAACGAGGATTGACACGACACAATGATGATCAACGTGATCAAGTCTTGAAGCTCTCTGTGAGTTGTAGGTGGTAGCATTTGGCCCGGGGATCTGGTGGTCGGTTCTTGTTGCAATGCAGTAGGGCGGCCGGAGTTCCATGTATTCTATTCTCTTCTTATTGATCGACTTTTACCGTTGGAGATTAGGTTTTATTTGAAAGGCTGAATACATTCTTTTGATACCTTACAGATCGGTTGTTTTCCATGTTTATTGTGTTGAAGTGGGGATTAGTTACAGATTGCGTCGCTTAACGCCCTTTGAGCTCACTTGACTGCTACTTAAGCAATGATTCCATGAACTGCCTCCTAGCTATAACATCGCCTGAGGTGTCACGCTCTTGAATTGAATCCAACGCCCAATTCCTACAGTCCCAACATCAAGGCAGAAGCGGCGAAGGAAAAAGCTGGTTTAAGCTACATATGTAATTTGCACCGCTGACAGACTTACTAGTACCCATTTGTCGATTTTTGCGATACGCCAGCGAACATAGAGCCACCGCACAAGCATAAGCAACAACAGCGGCGTTTCCTTACACGCTAGCACTAGAGTATTTCATCTTTTTGGATATATCGATATTGTGCCGGATTTTGATCCTGAGCTTACGGACGTAGCAGTGGATGCAGAGATTGCTGCTGAATGAATAGGTGGAATTTCGTTGCACGGCCCCAAGACTGTGTGCATACGTCCGTAAATATGTACTCTCAGTAGAACTCAAGTTGTCACGGACGCTCCGCCCTCAGGAGTCTCGCACGAAAAGCTTGACATGATTGCCAAATCTTGACTGATTTGCTGGTTTCCTGTCACGCTGTTATGGGCCTAAGTATACAAATCCATCATCGTGCTGACTAGATTTTGATATATAAGTAGCTGAACGTGTAGTAAAAGCAAGCATCCGAGGAGCCAGAAGTTCCAATCATCGTTACCTCAGAGCCTACAGAGCAACTATGCGAGCCAACACAGCAGTCCTCTGCGCAATCTGCGCTTTACCTTCGTTCGTCGCAGCGCAGGTGTCCCAACAGCCACCAACCCTAACCTGGCCGGAGCCGACCCCAGGAATGTTCACGCTATCCAACTTCACCTTTTCCACCGGTGACCATCTCTCCAACTTAACCCTGCACTACCAAACGCTGGGTACGCTCCAGACGCACGCCAACGGCAGCACCAATGCGGTCCTTCTCCTCCACGGGTCGACCGGCGAAGCAGCTCAATTCTACGTTGATGAGTTCGCGGGAACGCTCTTCAACAGAGGACAAACTCTCGACGTCTCTAAATACTACCTGATTATCCCCGACATGATTGGCCACGGCAACTCGAGCAAGCCCAGCAACACGGGCCTGCGCGGGAAATTCCCAAAATACCAGTACTCTGACATGGTAGCCGCGAACCACGCGCTGCTCACCCAACATCTCGGCGTGCAGCATCTGCGGCTCGTGCTCGGAGTTTCTATGGGCGGCATGCACACGTGGATGATGGGCCAACAGTATCCCAAGCTCATGGATGCTCTCTTCCCCATCGCCTGCCTGCCGACGCAAATCGCAGGGCAAAATCGCCTATGGAGGAAGTTCATTATTGAGCTGATTACATCCGATCCCGCATGGAAGGACGGTGAATACACTTCTCCGCCTCTCGTGAGTTTGTCTGGCACGCTGTCGCTTTTACAAGTCATGTTTTCCTCGGCGGTTGATTATTACGCGAAATACCCCACTCGCGCCGCCATGGACGCCTTCGTCGACGACTACTTGCTGCCCCATATTCCTGACTTTGATGCGAACGATCAGTTGTTTGCGTGGAACGCTTCTTATACCTACAATGCAGAGCCCGGTCTAAGATTGATCGAGGCGCCACTGACGGCAGTAAATACCGCGGATGATCTGATGAACCCGCCTGAACCCCAAATCCTGCAGTGGTCTGTCGCGAAGATGAAGCGGGGAGTGGGAAAAGCGGTCGTCATACCTGTGTCTAATGAAACGTTTGGACATGGGACGTACATCAAGGCAAGTGTGTGGAAGAACGAGCTCGAGATGCTGTTGGCTGCTACCAGTGGAGGAGAGTGAAACTGCATTGTGTAATACTCTGCTGACGTTTGTCTCTTCTTCTGAATACTTCACTCTTTCAATTATATGTTTTTCTTCCAAGATTCGTTCATTATAATACAATTCCCTATTTCTAGAAGATTTTGATAGTTACTATTAAGCTATTACGCATATAAGTTACGATAGACAACCAGCCTACGTTTTGAAGGCATACAGCGGTTGCCAGTCTGCACTCCGAATTCATCCGTGCAAAAGGGTCTTGCAATGTGTCTTAGTATAAGTGTGTAACGTGCTGACGTAGTATGATACCAAATATCTCATCTGCTGTATTGCAATATTCGCTATGCCTTACTGACTCAAGATGTGGCGCTCTTCCTGAGGCTGTGTAGATTGTCACGTGACGGTCGAGCCGACACCCGGTTTCCAAAATCATCAAATGTGACTTATTTTACTTTACTTATTTTCTTCCATAATGTAAGCCTGTAACTTGCGGAAGCTTGGAATGCGAGTGTCCTATTCCAACATTTAAATGCATTCAGTAAAGGGCTAGCCACACTTACTAGCCACCGTCGTGACTAACGTCTTCTTCGGCCTAGTCTGTTCGACAGTGAACTCTTCAACTACATATATTGACGCGCCGCGAGACGGCAATCCTTCAGCCAACCCCACATATCGGCTACATTCCACTATACGGCTCCCCTTACGAATCTGAATCATCAGCAACTTTGGTGTCATTATCATTTACATCGGACTCAACTTCTGCCGCCACACGCCTGTAACTACATCGCGTAACAGCAGGCATCTAGCTAGTTCTCCAACTGTCTTCGTCGATCGTAAACTATTCCCTGGTGGTGTAACAAGACGATATTTTGAAGACCTGAACAGTATCGCTTCGCGATGTGCGAGGTCGGATGAGTGCACCTTGTTCTACTGTACGATGTTGAGATGCGAAAGTCTGGAGATCCCAAACAATCGATGATAGTTAAGTTTCATGAAGGGTATTTTTTCAAAATATATATATATATATGCAAGATATGAAAAATCTGCGTATACGTGCGTGTGGAGCCGCCATTACATACAGTTCCGACTACATTACCAATTCACTGCCCGGTGGCGCAGTAAGTATACGGAGTCCGATAGGGCTGGAGTATAATGACCTGATTGAAGCGTTTGCTAACGTTTAGTATCGTACTTTAAAATCTCAAAAAGTAGGCGTCCTGGTCTATCTAGCCTGGTGCGACATGTCTAGCGCAATGAGTGACATGCAAAGTGGAGTCCCATTTCGGTAACCGTAGCAGCCCTACGGGGCTTTGAATGCATTTAGCGCAGAGTAGACTGTACCTCCGATGTACTGCATCCTTATATAAATCAGATTTGGCTCTAAGAGCCTGTTTATTATTTATTTCAACTACCATTCGTTTTTCCATCATCGCAGATTCATACATTCATTCCCAACTTAAACGTTGATTATCATGAAATTCTCCATCGCCGCCGCTTTAGCCCTGGCCAGCTTCCAGGCTGTTGCCGCCCTCCCTAGTCCGCCATTGACAGATGCCATTGTGCCTGCCATCGAGGACGACTCCAGTGTTAACTCCACCGATGTGGAAGAGCGAGGCCTATTCACCAAGTACCCGTGTACACGAGGTGCATCCATTAAGCTGTTCAAGAGCCATCTATGCAAAGGCAGTGCTACAAGGACCGACATTCTCAACTTCCCGCTACCAGAAGGCTATGTGGACAGATGTCAAGATGTTACTTCAGTACGTACTCCAGCCTTCTTTCATGACTCCACCTTACAGAACAATTAACTGATTGATCCTAGAAATCCGACATGACTGGCATCAAGCTACTCAGCCCACTCGACATGTGTAAGTTGAATCCTTCTCCCGCTGCCATCTAATTTTCTGGTGTAACGTGGCTGACCTTTTTTTCTCTAGACCCGAGTATGGCACAGTGGATCGTTTGGCAAGAACCCGGTTGCAAGGGCCGCAGCAAGGTGCTCAGGCCTAATGGCCTCTGCGAGCACATTATGTCGGAGAAGGGTCAAGTCGAAACTCCTCCTATCAAGTCGTTCAAACTCATTGCAAAGGATGCCACGAAGTGCGAGGCCAACAGAGAGGATGGTCGATCTTAGAAACCGCCAGTAGCACCTGATGAGCAATGCCTAGGGATGGATCAGGAAAGCATCTTCAACCGCAGAACTAGGCCATGCTACAAGCAGGCTGGATCTGGGTCGGAAGACAGACTATCACGCTACTTCCATCTTCAGGCATGCTATTTCTCAAAGATCCTCACACAAATCGGCACACCAGCTTGTTACAAGAGGCCTCGATGTTTCCAGCCAGCTCCTTTCTTGAGCATTACTTTTAAGACATGTACATTACATTGCCGCCACGGGCTGTTTCATACCCAATAGATTTTACTTTCTGCATTTTCTTCGACTTCGCAATTGCACTGCATGTTTTCTATTACTATGCATTTTGAAGCGCACGCGCACACACTTAAGCAACTGTTATTTGTACACAATAACCTTCGATCAGGCTACGGACGAGCAGAGCTATATCTTGACACTAGCGACTAGTATATTCCTACCTTCATAAGCGACTGGATCGAGGAACCTCACTAGGAGACGGGGGGAATAGTGATGGTCACGTGATCATGCGCTTTTAACCTCAAGTGCTTTCAACATTCTTGACGTCGAGCTTAGTTCAAGCATACACGAACAATCAGCGCCAGGATTAACATGCAGAGCCGTGCTTTGCTCAAGCGAAGGAAACTTGGGTGACGCAAGACTGGAGAGGAACATGGCCCTTTAAGAAACATGGGTTGACGTAGCGGAATGCTCGATCATGTAAGAGGGAGAAGACCGTATTTCCCGCCAAAGACCTCGACTTTCCACGCAGAACGTACGCAAAACAAGGAATCGCCAGTACTCGTCGTGAGAGCTAGCCACAACAAGTAATGGTGAAGTTGCAATAGTAGCCGAGAAATCATTGGCGCCCAGATTGGGGGCCGCAACACCCATTTTCCCTACAAAACGAAAGGCGTCTGCCTTGAATGTACAGCCTTATTTAGCAGACTAAAACGTCAAGCCGGTGAACCGGCATTGAATCTTTGATTCTCTCTACCTAAACTACTAACTCGACATAACAACATCTATAACATCAAACCACAAGCACCAAACCCCCCTTCTTCCCCGTCTAAACCATCAACCCCAAAAAAGCTACAATACTCGCCATGGATCCTAAAATAACCACACCAATCTACCCCACAAGAAACTCCATCCCAGACCCGCGAGCCCCCATCGATTTCAGCGGAAAATACCCCCACGAACCCTCCCTAGAAATCTACCCCCACCAACAGCAAATCCCGCTCCCCCACGAAAACGACGCAGAAGAAGACTGGAACTCCAAAGCGCGAGTCTGGCAAAGAATCTCCCCTTTCCCTTCCTCTTCTTCTTCCCCTGAAAAGCAAGATCAGCAGCAACAGCAACAATGGCAAGAAATCTCCAACCCGCGGCCGCGAAAACTATGGAAACTAGGCGTTGCGTGCAGACGGCCTCGGTTCGCGGATTACGTGGAGAAGACGGGTCGTTGGTATTGTTCTAGTGAGCTGTGGCGCGGTTTGCTGCATGTGGTTCCGCTCGCGTTCCCGGATCGGTTTGCGCGTTGGGGGGTTTATGTTTGTCCGGTTGAAGAGAGTGGGGATGTGGATGGTCGAGGAGGAGAGGCGTATACGATCTATGGAATCAATTACGCTACGCGAGGGAGATGTGGGTTGATATTGGAGAATGTGTGGCCGACGAAGGAAGGAGGGGTGTGGAAGAGTAAACTGGGGGTTCGGGAGTTTGATGTTTGTACGCGGTTTGGGGAGGTAGAGGCTTGTTTTGCGGAGGAGGAGTTTGTGCTTATAGGTGAGTTACCCTTTTTTCTTTCCCCTCTTCTTTTTTTCTCACGATCAAAAAGAAAAAAAGGGGGGGTAGACGTGGAGGGAATGGATGGTGGGAGACAAAGGTAGACTAACACCCACCAGCGCAAACCTTCCACACAATCCAAACCCTCGGCGGCAAAATAACCCACGACATCTTCAACCTCTCGTCCCAGCAATTCGCAGAGCAACTCCACGCCTTCTTCAAACCGCACGACCCGCGAAAGCGGAGGCACCACGGCCACGACTGCGCTGACTTCTCTACCACCTCGTCTGATCCCCCTTGCACAACCCCCTTCACAATACCCTCCTTCACCAACTCATCCTCCTCCCTCGCCCAAAAAGCCCTCGAAATGCGCACACACAATCCCCCCTTTTCATTCCCCGCTCCTCCATCTCCACTGGCAACGCATTTCTGGACAGCCCTGCACATACTAATGCAGCACAACATCAACCGCACGCTATACAACAAATCCTGGCTCACAGGCTCGCCATCCTCCCTCGAAGAATGGCTCCCGCTGCTGACATTCCCCTTACCGCACATGATATACTTCTTGTCTGTGCTCGTGGAATTCTGCCTGCCTAGTCATATAGCGGCATGGAACCCCACTAATGAGACGGTTAAAGGGATAGTGGAGATACTGCATGTGCTGAGCTTCGCGCAACTCGGTGGTTATGTAGCGCACTACCTTTTGGACCGCAGTTTGACGATTACAAATGTTGTGAGGTATTTCTTCCGGTCTTGGCGGCTGGGGGGTTATTTTTTCGTCGTGGCGGTAGGGGTCGCGTTGGTGCTGGCGTATGTCGCTACGCAGTCGTTGGTGGCGACGTATGTGTTCACGATCCTGGGGTTGACGCCGCTGTGGGAGTTTTTGTCCACGCAGATGGGGATAGCGTGGGTGCAGAGTCAGAGGGAGGGAATGATTGAGAGGGAGGCGGTGAGGTGGAATGTCATGTTTTGGTATCAGGGGATGCATTGGGGGCATTGCTCGCATGAGTTTAAGAGGGACAAGTATTTTGATTCACGGTTACGTGAGGACTGATGTGAGGGATGTTGTTTGTTCGGGGTAAATGGGGGAATTGGATTGGATTAGGTGCGAGAGGGATAGATTGAGTCTTGCTGGGATGATGGGGATCATGAGCTTAGCAACTGGGTAGATGAATTTATTGGGTTCAATCCCCATTTTTGTGCCTCAAAACTGCGATGCTGAGCTCTTGAACACGAAGCTCTCAGAGTAAGACACGCATAGAGGGAAACATAATATGACATGGAAGATCTATCCCTATCAAACCATTTCAGACCCAGGGATAAGATAATCCGTTTCAAGGAAAGAGGGGAAAGGCATAGATAAAGAAGCATAATCCTGTACGCGTAAAAGACGCAGTGTTGGAACAATCACCAATCGAGCATACATTCCCATCCCGAACAGAATCTGATCAACGAAGCTCCCTAGTAACCCATTAAATAAATAATCGGTGCATCAATGGTAGAAAACGCAGCAGATAATAGCTTGCACAGCGAAAGAAAGTCCAGGCGACAAAGCTCAGCCACACGCCTAAGGCCCCACTCGTCTTATACATCAATCATCCCCAGTTTGGCCATTATCATCGTTTGTGTCTTGGTCAATACTGATTTCACCTTCAATATCAGCACTTGTAGCTCTAGAATGGCCTTCTTCCATGTTAGGATTCGCAAGCTCAGGGTCGCGTTCATCAAAGTGGGTCGTCTCAGCGGCCATGTCCTCTTCGGTCCCATGCTCATCCGAGTCGGTTGGAATAACGTTATTCCTCAAGGATGGAGGCTTTTCAGCAGTGTCTCCTAGAGCTGACGTGCTGCTCGTGACGTTTGTTCCGCTAAGGTTCGGCTGGGGAGACCCGAATGATGTACTTGGTTGACTGCTGGATTGGCTGTGATATGGTGATATCGTCGAGCGACCAGCAGCCGGCTCTGTCTCAGTTTCTCTGCTTCTTTCTAGCCTACCTAAAGTATGAGGGTGCTCCCGGTGGTTGTCGAAGCCGGGCCCCCAATTCATTATTCCCAATCCTACTCCTGCGGGAACGGGAACATGAAGCTCTTGCATCGCAATCCATTCTGGAACAGAAGTTCTCGTGCTCGAGTCTTGATGAACTTGATTGTCGTTGGCTGGTTCCCGAGTTCGCGGAGATATAGATTCGTCAGCATCTGACTCAAAGCGAGCACCAAGAGTTGAGTGTTCGTTGTAGGCACCGGGAAACTCAGTTTGCAGTTCAAGCCTCTCATTTGGCAGCCGAGACGCTGGTATAGCGACATTTTGATCATCTGGTTCTAATGATTCAAGAACAGTACCAACTGGGGGATTGGTATTTGCCGTGCTCCTTTGTCTTTGGAATCGAGGCGGGTTTACTGAATCATGGCGCGCTTCTTCTTCTGCTCCCGACCTAGAACCAGTAACCTGTGACTGGACTTGTTGTATGGTTTCAGCGGGAGCTCTATCCAGAGCGGAGTGGGAGATGTCGCTGTGTAATGCTCTCGATTCTGCTACCCCAGTTCCAGTTTGATTGAGATCTGGGTGACTTAAGACACCCGATGAACTCTCCGTTTCCGAGAAATAAACTGTTGTGGCAATGACATCGGCTGAGCTTCCATCATTGTGCGGCCCCAGTGTTATTCCTGCTTGATCGCTATCGTCTGCATTCTATTAGCGTCGAGACACGGCATACCAACAGCGGTAGATGATCAGTTATCTTTACCAGGAAAGATGAGTTGGGTAGGGTCAAAGAGGTGACGGGAGCACTAACCTTGCCGTACCAGTCTACCAAGAATACCGCTAGAGGGTCTATTCGAATTGGCATCCGGATTACTGTTCACTGAATTTACCAAAGGTCCCATCGTGGCATCCATCGCCGGACCAATCCCAGTATCAGCGAGTGTCCAGGTATTATCGCTCCCATAAGCACTAAATCCATCAAAATGAAGTCCATCGAAATCATCCTCTGTAGTGCCATCGCCATCAAGTGGAGTCTGACGCTCACGATGTCTGACCCGATGAACATAGTTGGCAACACGTTTGGCCCTCACCGTCCAGAAGTTCCCGTTCTTCGCCCGTTTTTCGATAAACCTTCCGAGGCGTTTGCTCCCAAACATTGGATTGAAGCTTGGGGTGAAGCTCGGGGTTTCATCGGAGTCGGACCCTTCGACTCGAACCTGCTAAGATAGAATCCCTTGGTCGGGGTTTTTTTGACGCTCAGCGGACGCCGCACGAGCTACTCTCAAAGCAGCTGCACTCATTAAAACTTCTCGTGGAGATGTATGTGACTCAGCGACGCCCGGGTATCTGACTTCGCCGGATTTTGCTTCTTCTGCTTCAGAGTCCTCTGATTCATCTCCGCTCGGCTTCTCCAATGTCAATGAGATAGGAATACTCCCTTCCCTCATCCAGACAGAAGGATCCGCTCTCAACCAGATAGGCACATCCACTGTGGTGACGGGGATGGGGGTTATGTCATCGGTGGAAGGATCTAGGAATATCTCCCCAGTATTTGGATCATAAGCTAGGCCCATGTTCAACGGCTTAGGCGCTGGAGATCTACAAACTTCTCTTGGAGACCTCGGTGGCCCATCATCCATTGTGCGAGGCAGGAGTGGCCGAGCGCGTCTCGTACCAGAAGCCGATGCTTGCGAGTCATCGTTACCGGATCGCTGGGATAAGTCAGTCGGCTTGTTGGCAAAACAAAACCCATATCCCGCTTACCTGCTGTCTCGATGAAGAACCCACATTTTCTTCTCGTGGTTCCAGTTCCGGTTGTGGATGACCTTCATCATTGCGCGGATGGGAGCGGCTTTGAGCTGACTGTGAATATTGGTTTGATGCCTCACCATTCCTCAAAACTGTATTGGATTTTGAGGAAGATGAAGGACCCGCTGATTGCATAGTATGCCCAACATCGTTGTGAATATCGATCAATGGCAGCCTCCAAGTAACACGACCCTGGTCTTGACGTTCAGACCAACGACTTCGCAAGATGGGAGCGGAGGGCTGCCCATCAGAACTCGAATCTGAAGAAAATGGCCCAGGGCTTAAGCTGCTGCTCGTATCCCCACTCTGATTGAGGTGTGAGTGCGAAGGGCCTTGAAAGTTGGAAGCGGAGGGCTGCCCATCAGCACTCGAATCTGAAGAAAATGGCCCAGGGCTTAAGCTGCTGCTCGTATCCCTACTCTGATTGAGGTGTGAGTGCGAAGGGCCTTGAAAGTTGGAAGCGGAGGGCTGCCCATCGGCACTCGAATCTGAAGAAAAGGGCCCCGGACTCAAACTGCTGCTTGTGTAGTATCCACTCTGATCCGAGTGAAAGTGCCAAGGGTCATGTAAGTTGGAAGCGGAGGGCTGCCCATCAGCACCCAAATTATCGGCATCGGAATCCGAAGAAGAAAAGGGTCCAGGGCTCAAACTGCTGCTCGTATACTCATCTCGATCCGGGTATGAGTGTGAAGGCCCAGCTTCATTGTCTGAGTCCAGCCCCATTTGCGGTAGGAAAGAGCCATCAAAATCCTGGAATGACATGGTTCCTCGTGTGCTCTGTTCACCAGACGACGACGTCTGTTCCCCCGAGTCATCTTCTTCCTCGGCGGATCCTGCGTATCCGTTATCTTCGTCCATGATGATGTCGGACATGATTTGACCGGTGACTGGAGTAGGTTTTGGGCTATGTTCGAAGCGATAGATCTGACAGTTCGGGTTGAAAGAAACGGGTAATGGGTGCCAGTGAGCGAAGATGCAATGGAATGGGGGGCGTGCAGCGGGTGGAGGAGGACGGGACGGGTATCTCAGCGTCTGCAACGATGTCAAATCTCCGTATAACGATGATACCCTATGGCGAGAGGATAAAACGAAAGGCAGGTGAAACATATATCCTAATAAACAGTGTGGTGTGAATGTGGATGTGGATGTGCTGAGAAGAAAAGAAATGGCCGGGGCTCAGGTACACAGCAGACCTATTGGAGAGGAAGGAGTGTGGTTGTGAGCGAGTGAGGAAAGCGCACCACTCGTGGAAGCAGCCACGGGAGAGATACTACCCTGCCCTATTGGGTACCTGTCCAATCTTCGCGAGGTCTCATCCCAGTCTCCCCGAACCCCTCATCGTTGCTGCATCAATGCTCGTAGAACAGTGAGGAAAGTGAACCAATTTGAAACGGGGACATCGAAATCGTCTATTCCCCAAAATCTCCCTCTTCACCTCCACCTAGACATCCATCAAGGTCACAACCGTCATCTTTGCACCACAAGCATATCGATGACACAAAAAAAAAGCTGCATGTAAGAGGAGGAATAAGAGGAAGTCTATGTTCAGTCATTGTTCACATTGAAACGTCCTTCAACCAGCGTAACACCCCGCGAGCAGTTTTTGCATTGCCAGGACAATATGAAATCTGTGTGGAAGAAGAAGAGAGATTAGAAAAGAAAACGCCTGTCCTATAAAGCCGAAGGCAAAAGACGCGAGCAAGAAAAAGAAACACACCAAAACAATGATCAATGCACCACCCTCATTCCTTTGCCGTTCCACCGCGCTGTGGTAGTAGCGTTTCCCATTGAAGCGTAATAAGAAGATATGAAAAGAGCCGTGAAGCATGCGCTAGCGCACCAGTAACACGCCTTTATGCCAGGTAGCCAAGCTCATCGCCGTCTAAGCGCTCCAGATACTCCTTCTCAAGAAGGATGTCAATGCACTTCTTGATGTCGGGAACGCGGGGCAAGAACCGGCTCTTGATCTGCTGAATAGTCTCTGAAACCAGTTGCTGGTGCTTCATCTTCTTGCGAGACTTCATGATACGCACGATGGCGGACTGTAAATAAAGTCAGTGTGCAATCTCTTGAACCTGTCGAATATACAATACATACCTGCATCAGCAGTTTCCTGTCCTCTTCGATTGTCTTATGCGTATCCTCAGCCTCCTGCTTCTGCTCACCCTTGATGGCGATGTTCAAGTTGATCTTTATCTTCTTGGGCTTGAAGCCGTAATTCAGCTTGTACGATGTGCCCGAAACTGGCTTGGCACCTTCGGGTTCAGCGATCAAGACTTTGGCCTTGATGAAGACGGCAATACTAGGGTCGAGCGTGTCCCTATCCAGCTTCGTTGCCTCAGCGATCTCATCGTACGCGACAGTTTCACTGTCGTTGAATAGAAGAAGGATGGCCATCTGGAACGTTGATACCTGGAGCGTGGGAGACGCCTTCTGACCTGCCACTTTGCAGTAGTTGGCTTTCATCTCACCCTTCGACAAGTGCCACAGCCAAGTGAGTTTGCGACCCTGATGTTTGTTGTTATAAAACCGGGAGAATCGCTCGTAGGTTTGCACTATCAGCTGAGGCGGAGTGAAAGGCGTAGTGGGCGGGTTCAGCGGCCAGAAACCGGTACCTAGAATGTGGTAGGTGGCATCAACACTATTCTTCAGGTCACCTTCGTCCAAAGCCTTCTCCAGCCAGTCCTTGTACGCGCTGTTGAGATCCTTGGAAATCTGCATGTCTTGGAACATGCGCTGAAGCTTGTTGGTGTATTCGAAACCACACGCCTCCTTGAGTTTGGAGATCATGGTAGTCTCCGAGTCGTCCGACGCCGATGTGGCCTGAACCAGGCGCTTGGCGAGCATGCGCGAGTAGAACTTTTGGAAGACGTCCTTGTCCTCGATGTATTTGAAGACGGTCATGACTTGGCTCAACAGGTTCTCCATGTTGTCCTCCTCGTTCATCTTCGCACTCGACTTCTTCAACAAAGTGTCCGTGTACTTGGCGAGAAGCTCGGGCGATTTGTTGGAACCGGATTTGCAGATCTTGTTACGGTTCACGAATTCCCGGCATGCGTTGTCCAGCGAGCGTACGAACTCGGATTCTCCATTAAAGGCACGGTTGACCAGCTCCTGGTATTGGGTGTGCACTTCTAGAAGAGCATCCACGTATACCTTGGGTTCGATCTTGTCACCTTCAGCAGCAATCTTGTCGACCGCTTCGATACCGGCCTTGCGAACGTGTGTCTCGAACTTGGTGCGCAGCGGATCCAGGCCCTCTGGAATGCGAGCCAGAAGTTTATACATGCGGCCTAGATCGTCCTGCTTGTCCTGGTTCAGCAAATTTTGGAACTCGTCGCGAAGAGCTTCCGAGTGGTTCGTGATGAGAGCCTTCTCGCAAGTACGCATGAGCGGGGTCATGATCTCATTGAGCAGATACAGTGGCACACGGTCCTTTTCCTCGTCGAGGCGGGCTTCGGCCTTTTTCATGTACTCAACGACGCTGTTCTCCGCCAAGAACTGTTTGGACTCGTTGTCGTAGTATTCGGCGGTAGCCAGGAGGAAGGGCTTCTCGAAATGTTCCTTGTAAACCTCAAGCGTCGTTCTAGAGCTGTCCTGGTCGTCCATGCCGAGCGACACGAAAGAGTCGACGACGGATTTGATGTATGACTGTTCTATTGTCTCACCGTTGCGCTGTTTCTCCACCAGTTTGAGGACTGAGCGCATGACAGACTCCTGGGTGCCAGTGAACATGTCTTCCTTCCAGCGGACAAGGTGGAGGGTGTAGATGTCATAGATGTGTTTCTTACCCTCGTCCATCTCGCGCTTCACCCAATGTCGGTTGAGGTAGCGGAACAAGTGGTTGTTGTATTGGCCGGCGGTGGTGTATCGATTCCATTCCTTAATGTAGAAGGTGAGCAGGGCCTCGTCGGTATGTTCCCTTGACCGCGTCTGCACATCCGCCAGATGTGTCTTGAGATACTCAATCAGATGCTGGTATAGATCCTCGCCCAACAGGTGTGCTCCGCCGCGATTGTTGTGCGATGCGAATGAGTGACCAGCGACGGCCTTTTCCGCAGTGCAGAAGTTGTGGATAGCCGTGTACAGGCCCATATATGTCTTCATGTCCATGCCTCCCCGAAGGTTGGTCATGATCTTCTCCACACCGGCCTCTAGGTAGGTCCATCTGGTGCCAGTTGGTTAGCATATATTCAGGCTGGAGAGAAGGGTCGTGGGTGTGGGGTGGAGGGGTCGCGACAGCCACAGCAACGTGTGGCGACCATGCGAGTTGCGTGCAATGAGGAAACCAGTTGCAAGTACTCTTGTGGTCAAGGATTACGTGAAAAGGATGGTCTAGACTCACGTTGCTCGCACATCATTCTTCGCGGGGAAGCTGGGCATGTTTGAAGACGCCATGGTTTGGATGGAAGGTGGGATCGTCGCGTGCTCCGGGGCACCTTTCGGGGGCGACTTTTTGAGCTTGGTGAGGAGCTTTATCTTCGTAGCCTTGTGGCAGCGGTTGATGGGCGAAGGGGACGAGCTGCGCGGGGTGTTGTGGGTTTCGGAGGGTGGCCGAGTCGACGATGTGGTATCTCGTTAAGTGAGCGGCGTAGAGCGGAGAGCGGAGAGCGGAGAGCGGGCGCCTGTCAGCGGAAGAGGTGAGTTGGTTGTGTATACGGAGGTGAATGGGAAATGAAGTGGGGGGGCGGTGATTGAAATGACTAGGTATGTCTAGCGGTCGAACGGGACAACGGCGCTGACGATGCTTTGGAGAGGGGAGAGAATGGGAAGGTGAGAGCGTGGTTGAGAGGAGCTTTTGTGTCCAGCGTCACATCAGGCAGCGAAGCAGGCTGGCTTGGCATTTAGCCCGCCGCCTTGCGCTAAGCAGCACCCTCGAATGCCGTGCTGTAGGTACATGCATACAAATTACTCATGTCATGCCGTCTATTTGCTGTAGCTCACATGGAAGAAAATTCCTTTTGACCAGATTTGCTATTCACTGCCGGAATAAACAACTATGACGAATCATTGCTATTTGGCAAGGTGCAATTCGCCGTGTTTTGCTTTGCATGACCGCCAACTGCCCGGCATGTGATTGACAAACCACATGCCAACAAGACCTCTTCTCTTCAACAACTACATCTACCTCAAGTATACGATTCCTCTATTGCAGTTTGTGTGGGGACATCTATAAACATCATACACAGCCCTCTGAGTACTCAAGAGAGAACCATAAAAAATATACGCCACAACGTCCGTGTATCAGCACTATGCACACTATGCACAATATGACCAGAGTCTGCATATCTCTTCCCAGTACTTGTGAATCCTCTTTTGTCATGTTCTCGAAAATCGAACATAATCATCGAGGAGTAGAGACGTGCGTGTCACGTCTTGTTCATTCATCAATAAGCCCTTCGTCTTCTCCTTACAAGTACATGATTTTATAGTACAGACGGTAGTGTAGGAAAAGGTGATGTATATACGTGGAAATATGCGAGTTGCTGGCATGAATTAAAGAGAAGAAGAAAAAAAAAGTAGAGATGTGATGCAAAATCAAGTGACCGACCCTCTTTTTGCCCAACACCGAGCTAAATCAATCGATCCTCAGATTCGGAAAGGAAGATTCTACCGCCCACCCATGCCACGGCTCCATGGTATCATGCAAAACAAAACGTCCGCCCAACTCCAGTGTGCGATCATTGGCACATGAAAGCTACAAGCTGTAGCCTGAAAACCAAAAGGATAAAGATCAAAACATGCTCCCCAATCAAACCTCCTTTTTTCCATCCCCATTAGCCACCTTTTCGGCCTTCTCGTGAATCGCCTGCTCGGTCTCCTCGGTCAGCGCTACTTTTTCCAGGACCTCAGCAGGCAGGACATCCTTGGCCGTCTTGCCCTCTGCGGCCGTCGCCTTCTCGAGCTCGAGCTTCTCCTCAGCCAGGCGCTCCTTCGCCTTGAGACTTCGTTGTACTTGCTCAACAGCGCGCTCAATCTCGATTTCCATGTCTGGCAGCTTGGCCTGTTCAGCAATCAGCTTGCCGTTCCAGCGTTGCAACACCATGACATCGTCGGCGCCATCTTTGGTCTGCTGCTGCACAACGCGCGCGACGTCCTGGGCTTGTGTGAGGGTGGGACGCGGGGCGGCGCGCGAGATGGCGCGTGTTGGGTACATCAGGCCGGCCGTATAGACCTCGTCGAGATCGGATGAGGGACGTGGAGTGGGGAGGTTATGGGCGAGGAGGAATTCGAGGGTTTTGGAGCCGTTGAGGGCCTTCCAGTGGGACCAGGCGCGGTAGACGAGGTAGAAGAATGGAAGGTTGGGGATCCTATCTAGTTAGCAAGGATGAAGGGATTGTAAGACGGGTAGGGTATAGATGGAGCATACACTGGGATCAGCATGAAGGGGGCGCTGAAGGGCATGGCGACGACACTCCAGATCATCTTCCGCCTGTGCATGGCCTGGCGCTCGCTGGCCAGCTGCTTGAGCACGGTGGGGATCTTGTCCTGGGGCAGGTAGAGGCCGGGGAACGTGATGTGGTATTCCTCGGAACCATCCTCAATGGCTTTGCGGCGGCGGGCGGTCAAGGCGGGGATGGTTTTGAGGCCCCATTCCTCGTAGGGGATGCGGGCGAGGGCATGGTTGCCGTAGCGGGTGACTTTTTGCTTCCAGGCCAAGGGGGCCTTTTCGTCCTTTTCCCAGGCCACCCACGTCTCACTAGCCTTTGTGGTGATGCGATCGAGCAACGAGCGCTTGCCGGCGGGGGTTGAAGACGAGGACGAGGGCGATGACGACGATAGCCTCTCGCAGTAGATGAGCGAACGGCGGGTGGAGATGGGGAGGAGGAAAAGGCGCATGACGGGGATGGGGGATCGATGGTGGGAAAGGGTTAATCAGCACATGGAGATGGAAGGAGTGAGGTCTGTCTTAGCTCGTGGATCAAGCGTGGGCTAAGGCAAGAGGGAGTGGCGAAGTGAGTAAGTCTGCAATGATGGCGATTGAGAAAAGGCATTTCTGGTGTTTCAGGCTGCATCTGCCCTGAAGCTTGAATTATGGAGCGCGCCATGTGCTAGCGGGGGCGCATGGATGACTTCACCGCCCGTTTGGGCATGAGAAAGCTGCACGGATCGTCGACTCTAATCGGCTCCGTCGACGAACCGTTCCTCCGCCGAAACATTTCAATCTCACGTAGCGTCAGTCAGCCTCCTGGCCATCATCATCATCATCCATCCATCCATTCTACCATTCATTCGTTCCATTCCGTCTCTCTTTGTCCGTCTTTTTCCGTTTCCCAGCTTTGCTTCTCCTTTCCTCTTCTTTCCACTTTCTCCCTCCATGTGGGCGTCGCCGCGTACCCCCAGCAGCAGCACCACGGCAGTTCCAAGGCACAGCAACAGAATAATCAGAATAATACGCTTGGCCCGCTGCCCCATATCTCTCTAATCTCTCCCATCGCGCTCTCTTCGATCAATCGGATCCCTCCAAACACGCCCGCCAAGCGCGGCGTTTCATTGCGCGACTGAAGCGAACTAGCGGATGCTGAGCGTTCATCGTCTGCTTCACCATCCATCCCAAGCCATCCTGTCCCATCCCATCCCGCCAGTCTCGTCGCTCGCTCCCTTCGCTCACCGCACCGCGCCTCTCCCCACCACCCCACCCTCTCCCTGCCGTGACTGGTGGTACTCGCGGGTTGGTGACGACGACGACGGCGGTGAAGGCCTCTCTCTGCTTGTGCTGTCCTTCCATTCCTCCGCTGTAACACCTCCCTCTCTTCGTCCGTCCCGACATGACGGGCTCCCGGCCCATGGTTGACAGCACTACCACAACCGCCGCCAACAACAACAGTCATGCCGCCGCCGACCAATCTGCACACCAGCCCTTTCTCTTCCCCTCACCTCAACTCTCTCCCCCGCCGCCCACCTCGCACTCTAATAACCTGCTCGTTCCGTCAACCTCCCACTCGCCCTCGACCTCGCCCGTTCCGCCGCCCACTGCTTCTTCCTTTGGCTCCCAGCAGCGCCCGCCCTCGTCGTCCTTCTCTTCCAACCGTCGATTTCGCGACGAGGTCCCCTCCGACGCGACTACCGTGAGGAAGGAACACAGCCAGTCCATCTCGTCCAATCCGCTCACCGTGGCCTCGTCGGGAAAGGATAGCAGCTCGCAAGCCGAGCGCCGCGAACTGCAGCACAAAGTCCGCACCCTTCCGCCATGGGTCCAGTCCGCCGAAGATGAGGACAACGCCGATGCCACCTCTCTGCTGCTCCCTCGCACCCCCGTGTCCGCTCGTCCGCCGTCTCACAATTACATGCCTACTCCCAAGTCCAGCGTTCCTGGCCGCAAGTTTGACCACGCCCGAGAAGGTGCCCCTGTGACACAGGTAGTCTCCACATCCGACCAGGCTTCCAAGTGGCAGCAGTTCACAAAGGCCTCCAACCTGGATCACGTCCGGCCCCCCTCGTCGTCGCGCGGCCAGATCGTCGACGATGCTTGGATGAAGGAAAACATGCCCGATTTGGAAGAGCCGTGGCAGCCCATGGATCAGGAAGAGAAGGAGATTGAGAAGGGTTTTTGGTTGTTCAATAAGCAGAAGCGTTCCAGGTTCCACCGCGCCCTCATGAATCACCCCATGGTTCCTCTCGCCGTGCGCATGATTGTCCTCACCTTCTCCGTTCTGGCTCTCGCCCTCGCTGGTGCCATCTTCCACAAGTCGAATAATCAGTCATGTGAGAATAACTCTTCCACGTGGATGGCTATCCTGGTCGATGTTGTCGCTATCCTTTACACCATCTACATTACCTACGATGAGTACACGTCCAAACCTCTCGGCCTGCGCTCCCACAATGCAAAGATGCGGCTCATTTTCCTCGACCTTGCCTTCATTGTCTTCGACTCTGCCAACTTGAGTTTGGCTTTCCAGGCCCTGACGGATGAGCAGTGGGCGTGTAGAAATGCTAGAGATGAGAATTTCAACTATTGCGTCTACTCGCGAGACATTTGTACACGCCAGAAGGCCTTAACCGCTACTTTGTTGGTTGCCTTGGTTGCATGGCTCGGAACGTTTACCATTAGTACGCTCAGGTATGCATTCTTACTGGTACGGGGAAGGTCTCTAGAGTTGACAACTAATCGCACGACAGGCTTTTACAAAGAGTGGCTAGGTAGCATTCTTTTCTATATTCGTTACCCCTTTTTGCGTTTGTAGCATTACTACTCTGCATCACCTAGTTTTTGCATACACGATCCAGACATGGAAACCTCTGTTCTTTGCTGTATTTTTTTTTTTTTTTTTTTTTTTTTTTTTGCAAACGAAACATGCGCGGACGTTCGAACTTCCCCCGCTTACTTTCCAAGTTGTTTTCCTCTAATTGCGTTCTCACCGCGTCTGTCTGTCTCCAAGTTTTGTTTTGTCAGTTTCTGCTTAGTCCACACTTCACAGTTGTTCATCAGCATTTTCCGGCGTTTGTGTGTTATCATTATCCTGTTATCAACCCAACAGCCAGCTGCGCCGCGCCACATTACCGAGCCCGGCCATTGGGAGGATTGCAACCTTGTTATACGTTTCCGCCATCATCCTGTCCGTCTTGTCCGTGACCAGCGAACTATCAAGGGTTGTATGGAAAGGAGAGGATCCAAAGATCAATTGCACCGAATTGACGTCTTTGTCATCTCCATATCGATCACCCGACAGAAAATAGAGCGACACGGGAAACGGGAAGACTTATACGGCCAGTCGCATACATTGCCCTACAAAGGTTACGGCGCAGTCAGCGTTCACAACCGTTTCACATCTCGCACCGACGGCGTTTTGGGGGCGAGATAAAACAAGATCTCCTGTGTTTTTCATTCTTTCTCCTCGAGGTTTGGGACTATCTGGGGTTGGGGAAGCTTGTCCTTTTAATTGTTTAATCGCCGTCTTTTTCCCCTTTTGTTTGCATCTCGATATCGTTCCATTGTGCGTATCGCAAATCACCAGGCGGGTGAGAAGTTTCTTTGGAAATCGGAGAAAGGAGGGGAGAGGAAGGAAATCCGGGCCATCTTATTCCTACGCTACGCTCGTCACCACCACAACTGAAAAGTTGGCTGTTGGTTGGCTATACGTAGAGTAATACAAGGGAAGCGGAAGGCGACGGCGATAGGAGCAAGCGGTAGCGGTAGTCAAAATCACGCAAAGGTCGCATCCGTGTCCCGTTCCACATAGCTGCAACCGCTGGGTTGGGTTCGGTTCAGTTCCGAACCAAAACAATACATATATATATTTTTTACTCACCGATCCCTAGCCATGTGTCTGGTATCCCAAGCCAACACAAATTCTGCGATTCCATCACACCTACAACATCAACCACATCACACGAAACAAACCTCTCTCCATCCGTCTCCCCCTCTCTCACCCTTTTGTTATTTTCCAACCGAAAAAAAATCCTGAATACCCAACTACAAACCACTACCTATTAATCTTCTCTCGTACCCCTCCTCTCCCACTCGTCCCCAAAAACAAACCTCCCCCAATTCCCTCTCAACACCTCCACCCCTTCCCTCAACCCCCACCCTTTACACCAACACACCCTCCTAACAATATCCTCCAGCCTCTGATCCATCTCCGCTCCCGCGGTATGCAGGTCCGATTCCACGAGCAGCATGTGCGAGGGGATGGCGCGGATCATGGTGATGAAGGCTTGCGGTGTGTCTTCCATGTTGCCCGCGTAAGAAGGAGAGGTAGAGGGTTCGAAGGGTACGGAAGAGAGGTTGATTGCCGAGGAGAAAGAGAGAAAGATGTCCGCGGGGATGGTGGGGGAGAAGTATGTTGATTTCAGGTGGGGGAGGGGCGCCGAGTACGAGTGTAGACAGATGCGTGGGGGGTAGGGCACATCTGCTCCTTTTCCCCCTTCTTCTTCTTCATCTCCCTTTGATCTCTCTTCTTCCTCTTCCTCTTCATCGTTATGATCGTTTCTGTCCAACGCTTGCTGTTTCTCCCTCCTTCTCGCCTCGCGCTTACTCAAAACAACCTTCTCGCGCCCTTCCCACAGCGAGCTCAGCACCTCATACACAAGTCCATGCGCCTGCACCCCGTGCACGCTGACCCCCCTCCCCAGTTCCGCGGCGAGTTGTAGTTGTTTGCGGAAAATGCGTTTCTGGTGTGCTGGGGAGCAGCGGAATGGGGTTAGGCGGCGCCCTTCGCGGCCGCCGGGCGTTAGCGACTCCTCTCCCTCTTTTTCTTCTCTCGCTCCTCTGGATCCGTCGTTGGCAATGCTGTTGGATGGCCAGGGCTCTGGGATGCGGTAGGATCTGTCTAGCCCGATTTCGCCGACGAGCGCGTAGGGGTGCGCGAGGAGGTGTTGGCGGGTTTGCGAGAGATAGGATGAGAAAGAATAAGGGGAGGGGAGAAGGGATAGGAGAGAGGAAGAGGAATTTTGCGGGGTTAGGGTCGGGTGTAGGATGGATGTGTAGTGTGCCAATTTCTGGGCTCCTTCGAGGGGTTCAGGAGACGCTTTATTCAATCTTTCATCGTTGCTGTTGGATGTGGTTGTGGAAGAGTGTTGTTTAGTAGATCCATCTAGGTCGTGCTCCGCAGACTGAGGCGAGGTGTTCTCTATACCTTCATTGTCGTCGTTGTCTTCGTCGTCAATGTACATCATGTGCGCGAACCACGGATGCCATCCGAAACACGGTACCACGCATTCTTCCTTCGCCCACGAGTTTGGATCCGCAGACTTGACGCCGTGGGTTTTGGCGGTCTGCGCGACGAGCGTTTGGTCTTGATGTCGTGTTGCCATTACTGTTAGGCAGCGTGCTCTCATGGACGGGATGCTTGCGATGCTGGACATTGTGTCTGTGGGATGGCAATGCGCGTCGAAGACTCCCATGTCCCATGGGAAAGACTCGGGCTTCTCCATTTTTCTTCTTCTCTCTCTCTCTCTCTTGTTTGTTTGAGACTAAGTGGATTTGAGAGAGGATGGTGGGTGTTGGAATTTTGGGCTTGAGGCAGAGTGTGATGTGATTCGAAGTGGAATTGCGTCCACTAGCGATATGGAATCTTGCGCTGCGGTAAATCTAGAGATCTAAACTCCCAGGATGATTTTTATAGGGTACTTTTTGTGTTTTCTGCGTTCAAAAAACCATGGCAAGTCCTCGTCGTGTCATACTGGATCTCGTATGACGTTGAGGTTACTCGGTATACTTTCCTGTTGTGGAGCAGGCACTAGACTACATAGGATTAGCAGAAGACCTCTCTACCATAATCAATGCCAACGTTATGATACGAAAACGCAAGGTAAAGTCGAATTCCGAACTGCATTGACCCCCGAAACATGTTTATCATGTGGTACCGAGATTCTATACTTCGCCATATATAGCTTATAATTAAGTGCAGTCGCGTCCTTTACCCAGCGATCACGGAAGATGGCCCAATTGAGAAGATATGAATACTGAACGAAGAGTATACGAACACACGACAGCAGACAACTATTTTCAGATACATTTGCATTCAATTACGTGCAAGCTGGTGTGCTTAAATTGTCACATACACGATTCTACACCAGGTACCATTCGAAAGTCCTGTCCACACGATATGTTATCCAAGTACCGCCGCCCACAGCGATCATCAATAGCATCCATATAAGCACTTCCAGCCCTCTACCATTTCAAACCCCGTCGTAAACTCTTACACCAACCGACGTCCTATAATCCTTCCACATAATCCGATCCCCTCTTCTCCCCCAGAACAACTAAAATCTCACGAGTGCTATAACACGACCCCACGGTTATCCTGCACATGCTACCCGGACTCCGTGAGCGGGGAACCTCTCCCCTCCCCGCCCTCTTCCGGTACGCACGAAAATGGTGCAGCCACGAGCAACATCGACTGCCACGCGGCGACTCTTCGAATACGATTTCAATTAAAATGGAACACGGCAGAATTTTGCCTTCCATTTCCTTTTTCTTCTTTTTTGTGACTCCTCGGAAAGGATAAGATATCTCGATAACCTCGCTCGCCGTGGATCTTCTCCTCTCTTTCCCAAGAGACTTGGGTACCAATTACCTCGGAACACTGCTGCCCTGCGGTCTCAACCTTCAGAATTATATTTATATTCCGTTCGACGTCCTTATTTCATATCAGAATCAACACCAACAACAATTCCATTATTGAAAGAACCAGCACTATTACCCGGGTCTACCATTCCGCTCCAAGAATCAACACAACTAGACTTCCAGCATTAAAACCCCTTTGAAAGAGAGAGCATCAAGAGAAAGAGTGAGAACAAAAAAAGGAAAAGAAGAAACATGCCAGGCCGACTCACCCACAAAACCGCAATAGTAACCGGTTCCGCCAGCGGCATCGGGCGAGCCATCGCGCTGCTCTTTGCGGCCGAAGGCGCAAACATCGTCGTCTCTGATATCCGCGAGGCCCCCTTGGAAGGCGGGGAAGACACTGTTGCGGAGGTACAAAAGATCATTAGCAAGAATAAAGACAGCGGTAAAGGGGATGAAGAAGGGAGAAAACAGGGAGTAATCTTCATCCAATGCGATACTACATCTGCCTCGCAAGTCGAGAATCTAGTCCAGCAGACTGTGGAGAAGTTTGGCAGGTTGGATATGTGCGTTTCCCCTTTCCCCCTCCCAATCTCTTTAATCACCTACTCCATTGTTCCACTGTAAAAGAAGGAAAAGGGAAAGATAGAAAAAGTCGACCTGACCTTCATCCCCCCCTCAGCATGATCAACAACGCAGGCGTCGGCGAACTCGCCCCCGGCCCCATCTACGACTACCCCGAAGAAGCATTCCAGAAATGCCTCTCGGTAAACGTGACGGGAGTTTTCCACGGCATCAAGTACGCCGCGAGGCAGATGCGCGCTCAGGATCCTCTTCCTCCATCATCTTCTTCCTCTTCGTCAAGTAGTAGTACGACGGAAACAGAGGATAAGACATCGAGGGGCTGGATCGTAAATCTCGCAAGCATCGTCGCGATGGGTGCGCAGCCCGGCGCTGGTAATTCCCCTCTCCTTCCCCTCCCATCCGTTTCGGATGATCCTCAAAGACTAACCACTCCGCATAAAATAGTCGGCTACACAACCTCCAAACACGCAGTGCTAGGTCTAACCCGCACATCCGCCTGGGACCTCTCGGCCTCGCTGATCCACGTCAACGCACTGTGTCCCGGCTTCACGCACACGAGCATGACGAAACCTTACATTGTGGACAACGAGGCCGCGAGGGACGAGTTGAGGCCGATGCATCCGTTTAAAGGGTTCGGCGATGTCAGGGATGTGGCGCGGGCGGCGCTGTTTTTGAGTAGTGAGGATGCTGCGTGGGTTACGGGTGTAGGGTTGCCGGTTGATGGGGGTTATACTGCGCGGTAGGTGAGTTGAGTAGGTGGGTGGGTGGATAGCATGAGAATGCTGGTGTGTGTTTCGATTAATACGTGTGATTTGAGACTGTGCGCGATTTATTAGCTGTAATCAGGATAATGAAAACGAATTCTCGTGTATAATGGAACCACTGCGAGGGTATTGCTTCTCATGCCCAAGCGCATACGGTATAACCACAGTAGGATGATCAAGTACAACACATTATCGACCCAGCTCTCCGATTCGAATTTTTTTGAAGTTTTGCATTGCTCTTTCTGCGTTATCATGTCATATCTATTCGCATAATCTATTCGTAACCAATTGCCATGGCGGTGGTGGTCGTGGTTGGTGTATTAAGACCCCATTCCATCCATTGCACCACCATTGCACCCCCGTTAGAAAAACCCATTTTCACTCCATCGGAAATGCTTTTGAACAGAAATTTCTCATCATCTCTCAAAGAAAGGGATATTCTAAGATGAGGGCTCCTCGACCTCATCCGGCTTCGTCGTCTCGGCATCAGTCATCTCGGCGTCCTTGGGTTCGGGCGCTTCGGCCTGCTTCTTGGCCTCCTCCTCGCGCTTCTTGCGCTCAATCTCGGCCTGCTTGGCGGCGTGGGCCTCCTGCTGCTTCTTCATGGCGACCTCCTGCTCCTGCTGGATCTTGTCCTTGTACCGTTGGATGATGGGTCCGGCAATGGAGCGGATGTCCTCCATCTTGGAGACGTATTGTGCTTTTGACGCATCCTCGCCGTCATCGTAGAGCCATTCCTACTATGCGTTAGTAACGTTCGACGGGATATTATTGAGGGATTGTATTATCTTACCTCGATAGCCTCGAGCTTGGTGTTCAACCTGGACTTCTCATCGTCGTTGGCGAACTCGGCGTATACGTCAAGGATCTTGTCCTTGAGCTCGTAGATGAATGATTCGAGTTCGTTCTTGGTGTTCTCGGTGTCGGCGACCAGCTTGTCCTCCATGATCATCTGGTTCTCCTTCTCAGCCGCCGTGTCCTTGGATGACTGGTCCAACGCCGCGGTGCCTGCTGCCAGCGGGAGGTCACCCTTCCTCTGTTGCTTCTTGACCTTGCGCATCTTCGGTGGCTCCTTGGGCTCTTTTGAGTCGACATCCATCTGTTGCGAACCTTTAGTTAGCGGACGTGCATGGGATGGAGCAGGATTTACAACATTTGCTCGCACTCTTTTCGCGGGAGGCTCCGACGTATTCTCGTCGGAATCCCCACCGGTACTTGGATCGACAACAGGTGATGGAGCACTCGAATCGGGTATACGTACATCGCCTTCCTTCTTCTCCTCGGGTATAGGCTCCTCAACCTCGACTTCCTCCACGTAGTAACCAGACTCTACGTTGAGCACACCGTGGATGTTAAGACGGGCCTTCAACTTGCAGATCATGAAGTCTCCCTTGGAGTCCTCCTTGACTCCCTTGACGGAGAACCTGCCGATCCAGGGGTTGGCCTTTCCTGGCAGCTCCTCGGGTTTGGCGTACTTGGCCTCAAGATCAAAGGCGTGCTTTCGGTAGAATGTGAGGATTTTGGTGGAGGGCATGACGTTTCCTTTGTTAAAGACGGTCAGGCTGGTGTCCTCGTCGGGGATATCCTCGGACTTCTCCCAGGTGAACTCGATGGGGTAGCTGACAATGTCGTGCACGGAAAAGTCACGGACGCGGAAAACGGGGGAGAGAATGGCGCAGTTGAAAGCACATCCTCGGGCAACGGCCTCGTCCTGGTTCAAGGTGAAGGAAAGAGGCTTTCCGAAGAACTCTTGGATGCGAGCCTTCAAGGCAGGCACACGTGTGCAGCCACCAACCATCTCGATGTGGTCGATATCTTCGGGCTTCAACTTGGCCTCAGCAAGGGCCTGCTCGATGGGAGCAGTGGCGCGGTCGAGCATGGGCTTGATAAGCTCCTCGAGCTCCTCACGCTTAAGCATGCCACGGACGTCGACGTCGTTCATGACGGACTCGATGTTGAGAGGCGCAACTGAGTTGGCAGAGAGAACCTTCTTGAGCTTCTCAACACCAGCGGCGACACGGATGCGCGCTTTGGCGTTCTCGTTGATGTCGACCTTGAACTTCTCCTTGAACTCGGTAGCGAAGTGATCAACAAGAGCCTTGTCAATGTAGCGACCACCGAAGTGACGGTCCCAGGCAGTAGACTTGACAGCCAACTCGCCCTTCTTGAACTCGACCACGGAGGCAGTGTAGTTGCTGTGGCCGATGTCGACGAACACAACCCTCTTGGGTTTCTCCTCGGGTGCGGGAAGGTCCGTCTTTGTGATACCGTAGCCAAGGGCGGTTGCGGTAGTGGTGTTGGTCAACCTCAAGCACTTGAGGCCGGCGATTTCGGCGGCATCCAATATGGCCCTACGCTGGGCATCGGTGTACCAAACGGGGCAGCTAAGAACAACATCGGAGACAGGGAGCTTCAACTCGGCTGAAGCGGTCCCCTTGATCTTCGTGAGGTACATGGCGGTGATTTGGGTGGCAGTGAATTTTTCTTTCTTACCTAGGTATGTGACTTCAGCGCCGACCTGGCCGTTAACATCGACCAGCGGGGCCGAGACAAACTCCTTCTCGAGCTGGACATCGGGGTCGTTGAGCGAGCGGCCAGCGAGGCGCACGAAAGACGAGACGGTGTTCTTGAGATTTGAGATCTCTTGGTTCTTTGCGGCCTCTCCAAGGTATCTGCTTTTGGGGCCGAAGCCTACGAGCGAGCTGGAGAGTTGTCAGCTATGACGCATGTCGCATTATGACATTTCCCCAGACTCTTTTATTTCTTTTTCTTCTCTTGAATTGTGTTCGCAGCGTGTGGGGGAGCGGTGAGAAAAAACTTACGGAGTGGCACGGTTGGACACTTCATTGGTGATCTAGCAGACGAAAAGTCAGCGTACATTCTGCAAAAGCAGGCTGCTTGGTGTTTGCCCGGGAGAGACTTACCACATCGACACCGCGGTTACGCGCAACAGCGATTACGGTGTTGAGCGTCCCCAGGTCAATGCCCACAACAGACATGTTTACGGATTCGGTGGCGGGGTATCTGGGCTATCGTGTATCGCGACGAGAGTATGATGTTTGACGATGTTGGGCGAATGTGGGATGCAACGGAGGCGAGTATAAATCGGTATCTGTGGAGGAGGAGGAGGCCCACAATATAGAGGAAGAGTTTGAAAGTGTTAGGTAAATGTCGAGCAGTCGAGGCTTGGGCAGACGTTCGGATTCTTTCTATCTATTTCCACGCTGTTTTTATTTTAGTGGGGGTGCCAATCCGGCCAATCATGCGCTCCGCCGCCGGGTGCGCCACGCACTAGCCACGCTCACCACCACATGTTGTGTCCCCCTCCACCCTCGTCCCCATCACCACCATGTCCCTTCGTCATAATCAACCTTCTCTCTCCACCAGAACTCTCTTGTCATGCCCCGCCCACCGCGACCTTCTACTTTTGCTTATACCATTACGCGTCGCATTCACGCACGCCCTCCGCGGCCACCGTGAATGAAGCTTCATAGCTGCCAATTCCTTCTCATTCTCACTCCTCCCCCCAACAACGCGTCCATACCTTGTTGCTGTGTGGTGACTAACATCACGAAAAAATCCCAACGAACAACCAATTTGCCGTGGGGTCCACAACGACGTCATGGCCGACATACCCCCCTACCCACTCTACAACCGCACCTATATGCTCTACCGCGTCTCTCCCCTACACCATGGCGACCGTCCACTGCTGCACCCCCTCAGTCTCCGCACCCATGCGAAGCGACTCCAGGAGCAGCTCAAGGGCGATAATGTGCGCGGTGTCCAAGTAAACTATGCAGGGACCGAAGATGCCTTACCCAATCTCGGCCCGCTTCAAGACTGCGAGTGGGACATGATCGGCGACGAGGACGCCTGGATCGACCACTATCGCCAGCTCGTCGAGCCCGACGCTTCGCAGCTGTCCACCGTCATGACCGCCGACCAGGCGCGTGGCATTCACGTCACCCTCAACTACGAGAAACAATCATACAATGCCTTGTTGCTGAGAGACCCTGCGGTGACGACCGCCCCTGAGGCCTTCACAGCTCTACCGTTACTGTTCGTCAAGATGCCAGCTCAGATCCGCGAATTCTTCCTCGCCTACATGCGAACTAGCTTTGATGCCCACGTCGTCCCCCTCAAACTGCCATCCACATTCCTCACTACTAGTCTTGAGACCTACTTCCGTCACCTCTCGGCCAGCGACTCCACCCAATCCATCCTGGATGTCATCAGGCAGTTGCAGATCCAGCTCGCGTTCCCAAACGCCACAACCCTACTCAAGCATCTGGATATCACTATTGCAGGTCGACATGTTTCTGGCTTTCTCGACCGCGGCAAAGCCATGAATCAATCCAAAGAGCACCCATTCACTTCCGCCCTTGCAGTCTACGTGAAGAAACATCTCGCGATAGACATGTCGCACCCCAAAGTCCAAATCTCGCGTGTCGCTTGCGGCGGATTTAGCCTCGCAACCGATCGCATGAAGCTGCTCGCCCCCGCCACCTCGACCGACGCCTCGTTTGAAAGCTCCGCTCCCGAGTTCAGTGCGAGCCAGCTGGCCGTCAACGAAGTCTACACCTCGCTGGTACGAGAAGCTACTGGGACTGGGAAGTTTTTGGCTCAGGACAACCAAAGAGAGGTAGCATCTGCAACCCCATCCTCTCCAGCCAGCAAGCGTCGCGCCGATGGCAGGAAGAGAGCTGGAAGCAGTGCGACCACGGGCAATAATGCTACGAAGCGGCCCAAAGGCAGGGGACGTGGCGGTGATACACGCGATTCTGATACGACACATGCTTGATCATGGACGGCATTTTCATCATACATCGTTCTTGTTACCCTTCCATACTTTAGCGTCGGAAATACCCCCTTAGGCAGTCAGCATTTATCATTTGAGAGTCTTAGCAAAAGCAGTCCTGCTGAAGCAGAAAAGTATCAATCAAACGCTTTTTTTATCCACCCTTTTGCGGTTTTCAAAATCAAGTGTCACTCCACGTAATAATAGATTGAGCTGCTTGTTGTCCTCCTTGATGGAAACCTTGGGCGGTATAGGACGGGCATTGGGTGGGCTGCTATATACATGACGACGGGGCTGAGGCGTCTCAGCTACCTCCTCCTTCAAGAGAATGATGCCACTTCGTTCAATAGCATATTGGAGAGCGAGGCCAGGGTATTCAGCACTTCCATCCACCCCCTAACCCAACCTCCTGCTCTTGAAACTATCCACAATCAAACTGGTCTTGCTGTGATAACCCACCCTAGAAGTCTTGAACCCACAGATCAAATTGCTCCTCCCACCCCGTCCCTTCATACAAAGATCCCTCTTCACCCGCGGTAATATAGCTGCCGAAAAAGGGATCAAAAGAACTGAGTAAAGCGTTGTTGTTATTATTCTGCATTGTCATCGTTGAAGGAGGAAGTGGCGGTGGTATCAGTGCTGGTGGGTTCTCGTTATCCAACATCGATATCATATCGGTAATCGGCACATCACCACCGCTTTTTGAAGGATTCGAGTCGCATTCGTTTGATAACGATATCGGATATTCAATAGCAGGCGCAGCAGGACCCAATTCGATAAGCAAGGAACTCCTCACGGCCTGAGCGCGGGAATAGAGTTGTAGGAGGGGGTTGTAGATTGAAGATCGCGGGTTGATGGCTTTTGCTTCTTTTTCTTCGGGGGAGGTGGAAGAGGGAGAATAAGATGAAGATGAGGAGGGACCGCTCTTCCTCTGGTTCTCTTGGGAATTTGTAGAGGTGTTGCCTCCCCATTCTGCGAACGCCGCGTCGATGGTCGTGTATGCTTGCTGTATAATGTCTAAACTATATCTTTGCTTCGTAGAACAGGATGTGCTACAACCACTTCCGTACGAGGGAGAAGGGCTGATTTTGCAGAGTTGGACGAGCAAATACGCAACGGCATGCCACTTCGAATACGCGCACCTAAAAAACCATCCATATGCTTTATACTTCTGGGGCAGTGCGTGTGCGATTTGCAGAATCGCTGTGTTATGTTGCAGAAGTTGCTCTTCTCTTGATAAGGCTGAGGATGTGGTGGTGCTGTGGTCGAATTGCAGTTTCTGGAGACGCGCGATGATGAGGTGTGTTCCTAGTTCACTGAGACGGTGGATTTCGGATTGTTGATGTTGTTGTGAGCTTTCAGATGACGACGACGAGGATGGAAAGAAGTAGGGTAGATATTTTGTTCTGTAGCGGGTGATTTGTGTTTGGATAATCTGCCGTATATCTTCCTCATTTTCCGCGGAAGAGGGTGAGGAAGACGAAAAAGAGCGTACACGCCTGACACGCAGCCCTGTCCACGCCATCTCAATCTTGATCAAACTCGGCGTCATCTCCGAGAATCTATCCCTCTCCTGTACTGTCCCGTCGGAGCTACAAGAAGACAAATCGCTGTCATTAATATGCAGCGGCATCTTGGTAGTCGCAAAAAAAGGAACATGAGACTGTAACCCGCAGTTCTCGGAGATCCTAACGTCGAGCTGACATAGTGTCCACCATACGCGCCGCCGGACTTCAGTTTCGATGACGCTGAAGGCGGGGTAGGATGAGCCGTCTGTGTGCATGCCCATTGCTTGTGCGATGCTGAGGGCCATGCCGCTGAGCATCCATGTTGCGCGCGCGTTTTCGGGGGAGAAGATGAGATAGAGGGTCAGGGCTTGGAGAATCGAGAGAGTTTGGGTTGTTGGCCAGCTGTGCTTGTGGAGGGAGTGAGTGAGGGCTTGGGTGTATCTTTGGAGGAGGGTTTGTTGGGAGGTTTGTGTGAGGTGGGCGCATTGCGTTGGTGTCAGTGTTATTGCGGATGCGAGCCTGGGAGGTTTGAATTAGATTGCTACTTTTGGCTGTAGCTTTTTGGGTACGGTGCAGGATTACAAGGTAATACGCACCAGATTGCGAATAATAGCGATTCATCGGTGCCTAGATTTGATGGCAATCGGTTGTTGGCAGCCCTTTGAATTAACTCGAACACTGCTGGTTTGTATATAACTTTTGCCATTATGTCGACGTTTTGCACAAAGTGGTTCCATAGCACGTGCATGATGTCAGCGGGAGGGTGGCAAACGCTCGTATCTTGCTCATTGTACAAAGAAGCGCTCAGAAGTGCGTTTGGATCCAGATTTCGACTAATCTTTGGATTTTGTTTTATTGCAAGCTCACCTCCTGCTTCTTGGGGGTGGGTTCGCAAAACTTGCTCGCAGTACATGACCTAGAGAACTTGATGAGAATCGTTTCTTCCATATATGGTGACCGACTGTCGTACCTGCTCCACCTTCTCGCTACCTACAAAGTGACAACCACCATTCGAGTCAATCAACAAGCGATCTCCACCCTTAGTACACGTCTGGACTCTATACGCCGAATTGCGAAAGTCTTGGGGAACAACAGCCTCCTCCTCTTCTCCATCATCAAGGGCTTGGCCAGAAGAATCCCATTCGGTCCCATCCACGGTTGTTTCTTCGCTGTCACTCCTTCTTTCCAATGCGGGAATACAGCTCAAAGATGAAGCAGGGTTGGCAGGTAGCAATATCTTTCTTGCTAGAGAAGCAGTAGTGGTTCCCGAACTTTTCGTTGATTTATGCGACTTCCTAGGACGACGGGCCGAATAGACGCATGGCTGACGGTGCGCGGCACAGTGAGCGCAGCCAGTGAGGGTTTTGTCACATTTGACTCTTCTAGAACGGCACCGAAGACATGCGTACTGGTGATGTGTAGCTATTGTCTTGTTAGATTTAAGGCGCACACGCTGCGGCTGATGTTGCGGGGGAGCTTGATCAATGTTTTGTGACATTCTTATTCTTGTTGTCTTCGCCGTGCGTTGAAAGATCCTGTTCTCAGTGCGTCATGAACAGTTGTGAGATAGAAAAACATATATTATGACGAGGATATGGAAGTAACGAATCGAAATATGCCGCCAACATGCTGTGTGACGCATTTTAATAAGTCAAAATTATACAACTCACCCATCAGTTGAGGACCTTGGGACTATTGGAAAGAGATGGATTGCAAGAAGGATTAGCTGCGTGGAGTAGAAGAAGTGTCTGCCAAGCTTTTTAGCGCATCGATTGCTGACCAAAGGGTCAGACCTAGTCGCTGGATGGGACGCCAGAAATGATGAAAGAGATGGAATACTTGTAGATTTGGATCAATGATCTGGGCTGATAATTGAAAAAAGTATAATAGTGATCGATCCAGCAGGTCTGGTATCAACTGACAGATAAATCGCCCTACAAGCTAATGCCGAGTATTCATGATTGGTAACACTCACGGACTTCAAGAAGGGATCTTGGTCGGTCGATTTAATGTGTGGTTAGATAGCAGCGTGATTTTCAAAGATTGAATTCCAGAAAATAGCCTGCCATTGTGAAAGTTCTTGATCCACATCAAGCAAGCAAATTTTGAGGAGTAGAGATTGAATTCTTTGATACATACCTAAGTAGGTATCTATAGCAGTCTTCAGCAGGAGGTTGATCCCTTTTCTATATTTCCATAACACAGAGAAGTCCCAAAAGACAGCATTAGACGACCTAGCTTTCGCAGATTCACACATTGAAATAGGAGGATACTTTCCTTGTCTGTTCACTAGGTTTACGTGTATTTTGTGCGAGACGACCATACAACATTCCTTGTTCCCATGAGCGAATTCGTCAGTGAAACGCTTTCACCTCTTACTCATGACTATAACACACAGTTTCCTTCCTGCGCGACAAACTGAATATCGAAATAAATAGAAATAACAGAGTTGCGCCGATATTCGTCCAGCAAGATCATCCACGGATATGAAGACCCCTGCTAGTCTACAAATCGACACGATGGGGCTCTCGCTCTTTCACAGCCAATAAGCGATGCTCGCTGTTAAGTGGCCAATCAGGTGCAATGCTCTCACCCGAATGTCAATGCTATTCTACGTCGCTCGGAATTCTGCCTGGAATAGGTTGATGATGAAGTAGGGACTGCAGGGAGATTGGCAATCAAATTCCGAATCATCGACAGTACTCGGCCGACCTTCTCGCAGTTTCGGTGTTTTCACAACGCTTTTTTTTTTTGAAAAGCGGAACCCACGGCGTAGCGATGAAGTGAGTGAGCGAGAGTGGAGAAGTATATATAACTCTTCGCGAATGGCAGTGACAATCAGCATTCACTACAAACTTACTGAAAAAACCCTCCGGCACTGCTGATTTCCGCAACGATAGATCTTTACCAAATCTTGCAAAGACTGGCTGATTATGTTGGACCAAGAACAGAATCCTGGGAATGACAGTCCCAGCCACAACGTCGATGTTGAGAAGTCTCCCGCTTCCTCCCAGCTCGACCCTAATGGTCATACTAAAGTCTCCCTGATTCATGCGAACATTGTCGGCTTCGATGGGCCGGACGATCCTTACAATGCCGTCAACTGGCCAAAAAAGAAGAAGGTCATCGTGACGATGCTATACAGTTTCCTGACACTGAGCGCGACTTGGGCTAGTACAGCGTACAACTCTGGTATTGGTCAGGTGCGACAACACTTCCATGTGAACACGGAGACAGCTTTGGCCGGAATGTCGTAAGTAGATTGGATAGTGGCCTCTTGCAAGTCTCGTGACTGACATCAAATTCAGATTGTTTCTTTTCGGGTATGCCATATGCTTTCCCTCGTGTATTCCGTACACCGCATGAGGTCAAACAGCTGACATAAAGAATGCAGAAATGCCTTTGGTCCTCTGATCTGGGCGCCCATGTCTGAAGCATTCGGTCGTAAGCCGTCTATCCTTATACCCCTGTTCGGCCTCTGCGTATTCTCTTTTGCGACCGCCACTGCGAAAGATATCCAGACTGTCCTAATCACTCGCTTCTTTAGCGGTGTGTTTGGTGGTGCCCCGTATGTATACACCAGTCCAAAGTAATTCACTGAGACGTGGAGCTGAATCAGTACATGTCTGTTTGTACCATACTAATTTCGTACACGACGTAGTCTCAGCAATGTCGGGGGTGTGCTGGCGGATATCTGGTCCCCCACAGAGCGCGGACCCGCATTGTTGCTCTGGGGTTTATGTACCGCGATCGGACCTTTGATTGCGCCTATCGTGGGCGGGGCACTGGCGATAAATATGCCAACGGTCGGCTGGCGTTGGACCGAATATGTGAGCTCACTCTCCTGCACTCACGGCGTGGCATAAAGGCCTATCACTAATGAGAATTTCACGTCAGGTAACCGGCATTACTCTTGCCGTAGCCCTCATCTTATCCACCCTCTACATTCCTGAATCGTTTGCCCCGGTGCTGCTCAAGCGCAAAGCCGCACGCCTTCGGCTGGAAACTCACAACTGGGATCTGCATTCTATTTCTGAGGAACGTGATGCTTCATTTGGCGAGTTTTCAAGAAATTACCTTGTCGTACCGCTGGAGATGCTCATCGACCCTGTGGCCTTTTGTATCAACCTGTATTCGGCTTTTACATATGCTATCATCTACCTCGCAATTCCCGCGTTCCTATTCGAATTCCAAGAAGTGCGCCAATGGAACATTCTGGAATCAAGCATCCCTTTCACATCAATCATAATCGGAGTTCTTCTCGCATCAGGTGTCATCATGTGGGGAGCCGTTCAGTACAAGAAAAGATTCGAGGCGGCAGGAGGCAAAATCATCCCTGAAGCAAGACTATTGCCGATGATGATTGGGTCAATTTTCTTTGCTGCAGGGCTGTTCATCATGGGTTGGACAGCCGACCCTTCAATTCATTGGATTGGATTTTGCATTGGCTCTGCAGCTTTGGGATTAGGCTTTTTCGCTGTGTTTCAAAGCGCCTTGGGGTATCTCGTCGATACGTACCTCACGCTCGCCGCGAGCGTTATCGCCGCCAACATGTTTATGAGAAGTATGCTCGCGGGTGCGTTCCCGCTTTTCGCCCGAGCACTCTTCACGAACCTTGGGTTGGACTGGGGAATGAACCTGCTAGGCTTCCTTGCCGCTGCAATGCTGCCTATCCCGTATGTGTTTTACATCTTTGGAAAGAGACTCAGAGCTTTGGGCAAGCATTCCAAGAAGACTTTTATATCATGAATTGGCAAGCTTCAGCAACTTTACACGACGAATACACTTCACATGATAAGAGCATACGGTCGAAGATGAAAATTCAATAGCTTTACACTCGATCATACTATCAGAAAACCAAACACTCGAGAAACCTTTGTTTTAATCCGTGTGATATGACGTTGGCAAGAATTATTACAGTTGAAACATGATTCACAACGAGCTTGACCAAGTAAGAAGCCTGTATCGTCAGCTTGTTGTCTTCACTCGCCGTGTTGCGGAAATGAGCGTGATCCAGGTGGCTCGCGAAGACGGCGTGAATGTTGATTTTCCACTCGCGCGCAATCATTCAACAAAGAGTATTGGTATCACCCTATCGCAAGGTCACTTCGATTGTCAACGCAATACCATATTGTGCTCAACCTGAGCATCGCAGTTTATCTTAGCATGCATACTGCATGTTATCTTTGCAAACCATTCTTCTGTCCGATTTATCTGCGTAAACAAATGAAACGAGATCTCGATCTTATATAGCATTCTACCTTGTCAGACTTATTTCTCTTATAAATTCGAGAGAGATTGTGAGACGCTTGAAGCCGCGTCTGCTCACGTCTCTTGTTGATACTCTGCTTCACCTCCAAAAAAGTCAGCTTGCACAATCAGTGGTCACGTCGGTTCAGGCTCCAGAGCTGGCTTCTTGTCAAAGTAAAAAGAAGTTTTTGCCCTATAAGTACGCTACTCACACAACACAAACACCTCTTCACGACCCACACTTTTCTATCATCCCCTCGCAACCTATCAAACAATACAATTCATTCTCCAATTATCAAGATGTCCGATCACGAAGCGGAAAGGAGAGACGAAATCGAAGTCATCGAACTGTCATCTGACTCCGAAGAATACGATGAAACGGAAGAGGAACCACATAACCCTTCCGCATACACCACGGAACGCCCCGTACCCTTCCCACTCAAAAACGGCGAACCCATCAACGAAACAACAAAAATCCGACGCTTCTACAACGTACTCAACTCCATGAAGCGAATCCCCTATACCGTTGACCGACCCCCCAACGGCTTCTCCTTCAACAATTGGCACGGCGACTTCAACCACGCCACAAAGTATGGTGTGTTCCCCGGGGACGAAGAGATCCCCGACTACGAAGCCAACAACAGCGAGCGAAAGCGAAGATGCCGAGCTCATGCAATCTTGATCGAACACGGATATGGCGTGGAGGCGGAAGTCCCATGTGGACGATGCGAATCTCAAGGTAAGCGCTGCCTCGTCTACCACCCCCATCTCGGGTTTTCTTTGAGCCATCAAGATGCCCCATCATTCCACTCCCAGTTTGGTTTCAGATGCAGCGGTTGTAGGACGGGGAGTTCGGAGAAGACTGGATGCAAGGCGCATTGGACCGCAACAGAGGGTCTTGAAGACGTGAGGTACATCGACCATTGAACGAGATGGATACTTTGCTGTCAACAGGGGATGCGGTGAGGGTGTGAGAAGGAGGGTCGAGGCTTCTAGGTGAAGCTTCAAAATTCGGGGGGATTGGTGAGGTTACTTGAGTGGGAAGTCTCGGGAGTACTGATAGGTAGATGCTGGACCGAGAGTGACCTGAGGGTAGTTCGAGGACACGCATGTGTTCTCAGGGTCAATTTGTATATTATAATTCATCGATGCCTTGTCCAATGATCCAATGCAAGCTCTAATCTGAATGCCTTCTCAAATGTCTTGTATTTGCTGAGTGGATGGCTTGTGAGTCTTTCTCTGGTTAATGTTTCACTGCCAGCCCCCATATCCCGTAGCTCGACCTTTATAAGATATTTACTGGTAGGATATCCTCCCAATTCTCCATATCTTTAATCGCGTGACTCGTCAATGTTTGCTTATGATTCTTTCAGGCCGTCATCGTGAGGTTCAAGTAAGTCAAGGTGGACTTTGGGGTGAAAGCAGATCATCGTGTATGTACTTCTTGCTAGTTGCATATCTGGATTAGGAATGATTGCAGTAACCGTCTTTTCTGGTGCGTATGGCAAGCCCATACCCTCTTGGGTTTCCTCATCCAAAAACAAAAACAGAGAGTAGTGTTACAAACACCGTAAAGACCAACTACGATCAGGTTAGCCGAATCCAAGCAGGATGTTCCAACACAACTTACCATAGCTCCACGATCGAAATCATTCAGCGCAACACCGGCCGCATTTGTTACTTGGTTTGACTCTGACCCCCCAACGAGCCCTGCGCAATCCGTCCATACAATATTTCTTAGCGATGGGTCCAGACCCACGCTCCCGTTTGAACTCTTCGCTCCGTCATTCACTTTTTTGCAGAAGCCAGTTCCGAGTACTGCTTGACTTCCTGCCGAGCCGGTAGGCAGCGATTGATTGTTCGAGCCTCCCAGCACAGCGGCGATGTTATTATAACCCTGAGCGCTGAAGTAGCTAAAGCATGAAGCAGCTTTACCATCGAAATCAGAGATCGCAAGTGTTGGGGCCGCAGTCACTTGTGCCTGTTTAGTCCCGGTGCATACCGGCCCACCCGCCGACCTCGTGGCGGGTGTCGAGTAGCAAGCGCACGATGCTTGTGCTGTGGCGTCTAGTGAGTAGAAAGATGTTGTGGCAGTTGCGCATGACGAAATGATTTGGGCGAAAGAGGAGCATGCTGCGAACGATTCAACTGGTACCGACGCAGTCGGTGTAACTGTCTATGGTATCAGTTCACGATATTACTGACGTTCCACTTGACACAAGACTTACACTCAGCATCACATGTTTTGGCGTCCTGGCCGATTCTAGTTGGGGGACTGCAGTCCACGTTTTCCAGGACAGCGGAAACGATGTCTGTCAATGCCCCAATTCCTTCCTCCACCGGCTTCAGTTTTCGCTCGAGGTTGCCCATTTTATATTGTATTCCAACTTGAGCTTCCTCGCCGCTTACACGGGACCCACTTCCTGGCGAGCCAACTACCACAGGAGGAGGAACTGGGGGCCTAATTGGTGGTGCCTCGGGTCCGTCTGGCACATTCTTAGGCGGTTTTACGAAAGCTGGATCTGCGCTGCTGAATTGCACATAGAGTGCAAATACAAGTGCATTTTTGAGTGTCGCATAGTATGGCATTGTTCCTCTGGACTCGGCGATGTGCGCATGTAATCGTATATGTTGAAGATGCAAAATGTGTTGGACAAGGCGCTAAAATTGTTTTTCGTCGTATCCCGATACTGCAGGTAGGTTATGGGGCTCAAAACAAGCATTGCAGCCTTGGGCTTTGTGGATATATAGGGACATTGTCGGAGGACTCATCGGAGCACTTCTGAAACAGTTGTGGCAATGCACAATTAGGCCTCCATTAACCCCTGTTGTGTGGGATGGGGGCCGCTGGTGAGAATTAAGCATTCCCTAAAAACTCACGCGGGCAGTGATCCATAACAAAACAAGTATGCAGGTTGCTGCGAGGGATTGTCGAACGCGGGTTTCATTTTTGTCTAAAATGCGAGCAAGAAGTTCGCATTTTTTAATGCAATCATTGACGAGGGACTCATACGCACGAAACCGCTCGTAGCCGTATGACAATTTTTAGTGCACCTTCAACGGAGCTGTTTGCCTTGCGAGTGACCCGGGTGTGCATTCGCCGAACTGAAGATACACCATTATAAATCCAATTGCGGCCCAGTCTGAGAACCAACTCTGTTGTTTCTGATTGTTCTTACATGGAATAACGGAAATATCCAAGTTTTCTGAGCATTATGAAAAGTTCGCAGCGGGTTGACTACCTAGGTGTTCTCTTTCATGCGACCCGGAACGGGCCAATGACAGTCCAAGCACAACGAATTCACTTATCGTGATGGGAGACTGATGCAATGTTTCGCTTGCGTTTTCAGAAATCTTTTGTCCGGTTATGTATTTGGTTTGAGAGGGGAACACTGTTTGATGATCTGCCCGTCGGCGGCGTTGCCTTCGGTCTTCCTCGGCGATAATTTGTTGCCTGAGCGATGTAATTTCGTCAGAGTGAAGAAACCCATGACGGACAAAACAAAGGAGTACAGGAGACATGCAATACGAATTCGAATTTATTTATCAAGTTTCTCGTGGTTCCAAGGCCCAGTATGAAGAAGTATATAACAACTGTGGTTGCTGCATTCGTTTTGGCCGTGTCGGTGCATGGCTGATGGCAAATTGAATGATGCGTACCCAACCTCAGACGTTTGCGAGTCTCAAGTTAGATGACTACGCCGCATAAGCTCATCCTGTATTTCGTTACGATCGAGGTACTGTCAGTTCATGACAGCAATAAATCTATTCGCACATGCCTCTGGGAATTTGGCGCTGGATGTACGTACTGCACTGCGAGATGTTCAAAGTTGGCTGTATGCGATTGAAAGTCACGTATAACAACCTTAGTCTTTCAGAACAAATTTTTTTGTGAGACGTAGACTCTCTTATCTTGAAAAATCAGGACTCCCTTCCCTCCCCATAATGTACTAAGATGTTAGCTTGGACACAGCTTTAGAGCACGACTATATGATCGACGTAGGTGCTCATATTGAGGACTGATATCGAATTTTGTAAGTCAATCAGTCTCCCAAGGAGGGTCTATTAATACATTGAGTTGGATAGAAAGGTTTCGAGCTTTGTGTTCAAATTCATCAGCATTTTGCTCCGCCAAGTTCAACCCGACCCTTGATTGGGAGTACGGCAGAATCAGTCTGCGTTGCAGCGTAGACGGTCCAGTATTTACGGTGACGATGTTTGCGGACTATAGAGCAGAAGGAGGGGCATTAATTCCAGGTTCATTCACGTGGAACGTTGATGTTCACAAGGATTCCCGATTGGATGTGTGTACGCACAATTCGCCCAATGACAGTCGACATCAGGTGCCCTGATGTAACCTTCATCTATTTGACTGATGTGATCATATTTAGCAACCATACTTATTCGAACTTTACATTCATTTCGATATGCCAAATTGGGAATGCTGTTCGCAATGATCATTTGCATATCGATAGCGCGAGTATTAGCATGTTTTGTGTTACCTATTGGGCAACTTGATACAACATTCGGACGCGAATTTCCATTGAAAGTTGACTAACGACACCAGTACTGTGGGTTTTGACACGTATCTGGGACTTTGTGTGTGACCTTTGCCAGAGCGATTGATCTGATGCTCTATAAACATTAGGAGTATCGAGACACGTCGAATGTCAGATGGCGATAATACCACCACTCAACCGGAATAGAAAGTTGGATCAATTACGCACTGTCGTGGCTATCTGAAATGTTATAGAGGTGTGGGGAGTACGCTTCTTGAAGATTTTTGGAAGTACACCTCGTAATACAACATTAACACTGGGGAGCACTGTACCTGACAGTAGTGAAGTGCTCCTAAGATGACTTACCACCATTTCTATTACATGTACGATATCCAGCATCAAGACGAAGTACAAAGAAAACATTTGTGCTGCTTAGGGACTCCAGGTGGGCGGGCTATCGATAAACATTGCGATGACCTGATACGAGCTTGTAGTTCTATGTCATTCGGTCTTATCCATAAGTTCAAATCTTTGGAAGCGAATGGACTTACCTACGCAGAGAATACCTCTTTCAGGAGGTCGTTTCTGGGAGTTGAACTCCCGAATCTGTTTCCTACAACTGACGAATACTTTTATTTGCATATAGAACGACAGGGGACATTTTTGCATCCATCCATGCTAGTCATCCCTTCTCTACTCACGTTGTTTAGCCTATTCGTGGGTAGCAAATCACCGCTCTGGCACTCCAGAGCGGGGTTTCCATAGGATTGGAAACCCTCTTTTAGGTGAATATGCAGCAGACTCAATCATGTCAATTAGTGAGGCGACAAGTTTTCCAGGTTTGTTCGGCATCTGTGGTATTGCATCGCCGTGCTAGTTTGGTCGACAGGCCGCCAACGCTGCCTTGGGAAAACTTTATATTAAGGGCTTCGCATACTCGTGTGATCAACAACTCAGTCTCTCAATACAATGATGATGAAATCGGCAGCACTTCTTTGTCTTCTACTTACGCAGGGTGCGATCGCCCACTGTAAGCTTGCCTGCCCCCATAATTCTTACCATGCTAACAGAATGATAGATGTGTTTCCGATATTGATTGTCAACGGTAAGAATAATGCAAGGTTTATCTATTGTTTCTTATGATTTTAAGGGACACAAAGTGCACGATGGCAATATGTTAGGTAAGGCTGATATTGCTGAATATTTGAGTTGTAATGGGTCACGAATTTACCTCCACGTGTAGGGACGTTGCGAATATCAGTTCTTATGCCCCTCCTCACGAGGAAGATGCGAAGATGGAACCGCAATATCCTAAATTCGACGACAAACACGAGGTCGATGTCCGCTGCGGTCGCTCGGCACAAAACTCAGCCAATGGAACAGAGACTGCAACCATTGTCGCAGGTTCAGATGTCGCATTCCAGGTCAAATCTCTTCATGTTGACGTAGGCGAATAATTTTGAACCCTCGAAACACATTGTTAACGAGCACGCAGGATAATTCCGTTAATCACATCTTCCACGAAGGGCCTGGTAGTGTATACATGGCCAAGTCAGACGACCTCGAAAACGATGTTGGTGATGGCGACTGGTTCCGAATTTCTTACGAAGGGCTTATAGACGACAAAATCTGGGAAGTTGAATGGAAGGAGTTTGTGCGTGCCTACCCTAGTACCGTGATACGGAAGAGATGCTAATTTCCAAATTGTGCTAGGTGAACTTCACTATTCCATCGACCACACCCCCCGGAACGTATCTGCTTCGCATGGAACAATTTTGGCCTTGGGGCAATAAAGATAGGTCCCAGTGGTACGTGAACTGCGCTCATGTGAACATTGTGGGTAGTGGTGGAGGTAAGTCGCAAGTTCAACCAGCGGATACACTAACACTAACACTGCACAGGAACCCCAGGCCCAACTATCAAGATTCCTGAAGCATATCATGCGACAGATCCTGGGATTCTTTTACCTACGAACAGTACCGGCTGGATCACTGAAGGTTACAAGCCGGTTGGACCTCCTGTCTGGACCGGTTAGATAACCTTGTCTCTTCTCTGATTAGACTGGTTGCTGAGTTTGGGCGCCAGATGGAGGAGGAGTCATAGCTGAGTGTGAGCGAGTTTGTTGTATATATATATATATATATATATGTAGACGGCAATGGGAGTGAACGTGATGTGTTGGATCAATTAGGAATAGCGGTTGAGTGCTAAATAAACATGTATTGACATGAACAAAGAATGATTGTGACAGTATCTTCCAACTTGTCCATATGAACTGCTAGCAGTCACGTATAAAGTTACGCGACTGGGTTGATCGATACAAGTGTCGACTCAAAGCTTCATGTGCACTCGGCTATCCCAAAAATTAATACGAGAGGAGAAGAGTATAAATGTGATCGATCGTTAACTTTAAAACCCCTAGAATCCTAAATACAGATCAGGTCACTAAGGCAAATTGAGCGTTGTGACAACCTTGAAATGTTGCTTGAAAGTCTCGTCACATGACTTCCGGAATATCTCAGGGCACGCAGTCATGTCAACAGCAAACTGCCGTGATAGCGGATGTTCAAAGCACAACGTATGCGATTTTTTTCATACTTCGCGCCCTAGTTTCAACTTTCTATCCTTTTATCCTCCAAATCATATAAATCAAAACCACTCTGAACTGGGCGGCCAAATCCCGGGTATGCTTTCGTACGAAAAGCTGATATTTGACCGGAGAGGAACAGACAATCCAGGAGGAAGCTTATTCGGGGTGTCAGTTGATTGGCCAACGTGAAACGTGAGATAGTCAGAGTACTCAACGTCGCTTGTAGCCCAAAGAAATTTGGGGGCCCTTTCAAGTCAGGTAGTCAAACATGCTTGCTGGCCTAACAGCTGGCATCATCAATTCTCTCGTCCCACACATGCGCATCTTCTTACTTGACCCAATGGCTCTGTCATAGGTCATGGGAGTAAGTTCAGCCAAAAAGAATAAACTTTGGAGAGCCTGTATACGCCTATATCTCCTGTCGGGGCAGGAACTGGATAAAAATAAATCGACTCCGTAGACTTGCTTGCCTAAAACACGGCCAAGCTATTCAGCTGACATGATACCAGACAACGGATTATTACTAGACGTTAGAAGAATATAAGGATATCGCACCATGCCTTTTCTGCGCAAAACAAAAGTCAATCAACCCCGGTCTTTTTTAATCTATTATTTATTCCCTCGTTGAGTTCACGCCGGATAGGAAAGTCCAACCTACGAATTCACTATGCGCATCTCCAACGTTCTATTCTGTTTGTGGCTCGGGCGTGTTGCAACTGCCCAACCTGATGCAACTGCGAGCCCAGACTCAGAATTGACACACGCCGAACGAACACGCTGCATCGACCAGTCTGCTCCCCTTGTGGTCAATACGAACAGTTCGCAGGTTTGTGTAGACAATCGCTCGGCCGACGGCGAGGGGTTTACCTGCTATCTTACTCTGGACTGCGACCTGTTTCTCTACAAATACCCTTGCTGCGAAGCCTCGGATGATAACCAAATTCTTACGGGGAGTCGTTGGCCCACGAACACACCCGTGGAACCAACTCAAGTGATGGAAAGCATGAAGGCGAGCATGAGTAGCATGCTTTCACCGACTTCGACCGCTCCAAGCTCCACGCCTCCTCCTACGCCTTCGCCGACATCGGATACTACTCCTTCGAATGCAGTAACGAATTCGTTCAGCTATTCTGTTATGAAGCTGAGTCTTTTGTGTACTCTGTGGGCGTTTGTCAAAATTTCTTAGTGCTTCGTCCCCAACATGTTCTCTGTCTTGAATATAATTGCGGATATATTTTAAACTCTCGATTCAAGCGTTGGCAGGACGGTACTAGAAGATGAATTAAGAGAAGGCATTGCGTGTACCCACATGTGTGTCTACGCTGTTTCCACTCGGTTCATCTTATATCTTTCGATCCCAATGCTGATCGCAACATTACTATACATATGCTGTATTCAAGCTGTAGTGTTAAGGCCCTCATTAATGACTGGCTTACTCTTAGCTACTTGGTACTTGTGACGGTAAATCATACCGGCAGTGTCACACGATACTATGTTGCATGTGTTCAGCCGCAAGTGATTGGAGTGACGAAAACGGTTTTTTGCACTTTTCAATTATATGCACGCTGAAGACGTCTATTACTCTACAAACCACGAATTGCGGCGTCGCCAACAGCATAAGCCCAACCATGAATACTGTAACTAAGGTACGATATCTCGAATCTTACACATACAAGTTTTGGCGTGGATCACGAGTATCTCTTAAGTGCATCGGATTTGTGGACGGGAATTCGCTCCGACGATCTACATTCCTTGTTTCACGACCTCCAGGTCGCTATTGGATCTTGGCCCGCTTATGCACGTGATTGAGAAGGGCTCCGACCAGTGCAGATGGCTACTACGATTGGCTGACAAACTCGTTACTGGTACAAAAGCAAAAAACAACAGAGTCCAATGAAAATGACCGGCGGGGCTTGTCGCTTAAGTGTTTGCGATTCCAGAAAAGTGATAGAGGCAATTGGACCAACGGGCATCGTCTTACCTGGGTCAATTTGTTCGTCTACAGGGCTTCCGTCTTGGCAAATTATAGCATTGAGGGGTGACGTGGCAGACTGCCAGCGGCAAGGCTTACTTTGCTTGTGGCATTGAATCCTTCATTCTGAGTTCTCTCTAATATAAACTGAGATTTTGAGGGCTGAGGGAGTGGACCAGACATCATGGTTGATACGCCGAGTACATATTACTTGTCAGTGGATGGAAACTACACACGTACAGGGTATACGCACATTGTGATGTTGCGTCTTGGGAGGTTCGCTGTTTTACTAGATATAAGCTAATCAGTATTAAACGGAGGATACAAGCTGCACATGTGATAAGCTGAAAAAAAGAGTTTAGACAAACCTCTCGAAACGCAACATCCCGACGTACGGAAGGTGTGTACATGACCACAAGTCAATTATATCCAAACGATAAACACGGCTTAGTTCACGTGGAGTTGTCTTTCTCTTTCGGGATAGATATGCGACGAATCAGCAATATTTGTGTACCACATTGGCTGGCCCGAGTAACAGGCGGTCCACTTACGTCAATGTATCTGCATGTAGAGTAATGACTAATTGCGGTCGAGACCCCTCCCGACTCCATACTTAACCCTTGGTATTGGAACGCCCCTATGCGTTGCATCTGCTCAAAATTCTTCTATGATCTCATTGATGCACACTTCTGAACTACACAATGCCCGTTCACAACCAGAGACCTCTTCTTCCTGCCACGCAGCGGCCACCTCCGTCACCTCCTCCTGCTGTCGCGCAGAAACGTCGACGCGTAACCGTGGCATGTAAAGCGTGTCGAACCAAAAAGCTCAGAGTATATCAATGCGTCCATGCTTAAGGCACTCCCGCTGGGTATGCTAAGAGTTTAATAGTGCTCTGGTGAGCAACCCATCTGTGCACGATGTACAGACCTCAGCCAGCCATGTGAATACCCAGTCGATGGCGGCAATAACAACCGTCAAGTTGCATTGAAGAGACAGTACAGTCAGATAGAGAGCGAAAGAGATCAGCTGCGTGATTTATATAATCTGATTCGAACGCTACCCGACCCTGAAGCACAAGAGATATTTCGACGTCTCCGTACTAGTGCAGATCCGCTCCAGGTTTTGCAAGCTGTGAAAGACGCGAACACGTTACTCCGGAACCCAGATTCCACATCCCCTATCGTTGCGCATCTACAGGTTCATCATATAGACGTTCAAGCTCTTCGCTTAAGCGCCATGAGATTGCGCGGACGGCCATGGACGCGTGTTGCTGGCGATGGTTTAGTTTCATCTCTGATTTCTTCATAGTTCGCATGGGATGGATATCATCTGACGCCATTCGTGGATATTACGCCATTCATGACAGATATGGATGCAGGCGATATTTCTAACGCTAAGTTCTGTTCGCCAATCCTTGTGAACGCAATATGTTGCATATCGGTACGTATGAACAGCATCAATGCTGAGCGCTATGTGCCACCGGTTGTCGAAGAATTCCTCCTAGAATTATGGGTACTCGTTTTCCCGTCTTGAAAATATCTAACTAATACTTCCTGATGACAGTCTGTAAGCCGATTCAATTTCTTCATGCGTAAAGTGTGGGGTTTGCTAAACATGCGGGTTTAGTTCTTCTCTAGCAGAGTCCAGAGAGTTCTTACTACTACAGGCTGGAACCTCACTACATTGTTCAAAGCTGAGGTAAGACGTCAACTTGATCATCAGAGCAATGAGCTGTCCCTACCTACTGTTCAAGGACTTCTCATCATGTTCATCGTCAGCTGCTACCTTGGGCAAGACAAAGCAGGTGTCATGTCATTTGGGATACGACATGCTTGACCGTCTTCACATAGAGAAACGACTAGAAGAGACTGACAGTCTAAAAGAAAAAATAGCATACTGCAAGGCATCATGGGGCATCTACTGCTACGAGAGGTAAGATATCTGGCCGTGAAGACACAAGTGCACGATACAGAGCTTATTTGCATAGTGTGCTCGCAAGCTTCCACAATCGGCTCCCAGCAGTCCGTGAACCTTCCGTTCCTCGCTTATTTCACGATCCAAAATGGGACCTGGATGATGTCGCCAACTTTGATATCTTCGGAGAAGAGTTCACAAGCAGCTCCTATAGTCCTGCATTTGCGCCTGGTGTCTTCAATGCGCAGTGCGATCTGGTCATCTTTGAACAAGAAGTCAATAAGTATAACAAAGAAATAGTCGGCTCTAAAAGCGGAAAATACTTGCGCAAGCGCAGGGCCCTCTACAACAGGTTAAGACGATTGCGCAGCTCGCTGCCAAATCACTTACAGAATGATCATAATTCTACGCCTGGCACCAATCTCCTCCGGCAAGTTTCGCTACACTAGCTATACCACGTGACGTGTGACTAACGTTATGTACAAGGCTGCATTACGATGAAATCGCCATGTTCATACTGCGGCCTGTTAACCCCAGCCAGTTGTGCTTCAAGAAATCCACAGCATATGACCTGCACGTAGAGCATTCCCAAAGCCTTGTCCAGATCGCGGAAAACCATTTCCACACTCATCTTCGAAGCGATTACACGATAATGTTCATGCACGGCACGTTCCATGTCACCTTGACACTTGTGCCGTTTCTGGACGAACCTATCTGTCAAAATCTGTTCACTCGAGCTGCTGCTGCATTCCATCGAGGGGTTCAAGACATCCCAGGTATGCAGTTGGTCCTTAGTGCTGTCGAGGCGGTTGTGTGGGCAATGAAGAAAGAGATTCCCTCGGCAGCAAAAGCATCGTTCAAGGGCCAGGCACCCAAGGATGTAAATGATGTGTCCATGGAATGGGTGTTTCCGCAGCTGGAGTACGTGCAAAGTCAGGCCGAAGTGAGCCAGAGGATTTGGAAGATGCCAGAGGTCGCCTTGGTGTTCTACTACAAAAGTGGAACGCTCTGACCCTGTAAGCACGACATGACTTGGAGAGCCTGCACAGAATCTTGAAATGACTTCTTCATTTTGTACGGTATCATTGAATATACATATCTACAATCTAGGGTGTAATGTCCACAAGAAAGACGCTCTACAGAATATCCGCTTGTTAGTTTGTTCATATTCTACGTTCCAGTCTGGGATTTTCAATTTCCAGAAAAAGATCAAACCTGACACTGTCGCCAGAAGATTACTCTATCGTGTTTTCCAGTGGTCTGTTTTTCACTTACACTTGCTCTTTTTCGTTTCATTCATCTACTCGACCAAACATCTTACCGTATCCCTCCTCCCACCTCTATGATAGTGGTGACTGTTATCAATGATGTCCACTTCCCCGTTGCGTAGTGAGTGGAACATGGATTTGCATGCAAACATTTTCGGCTTATAACTGCGACTCTCTCACGTTTGCATATTGGTTTACTCTACCCTTTCTGGCAAGCCCCAGTGAACGTGTCAAAAAGTTTCTGCGCTAGATTCAAGCTCGAACTACTATCAGTCTCGGAAAGTCTTCCTTTGCTTCACAACCTTTTCGAAAGTTCGCAATGCCGTTTTAAAGTTGTATTCGTGTCAGACTGTAGCTATCTATATCATGTTTGTCGCGACCCAGCAAACGGCTCGGTAACAGGTAGCAGTGTACAAACGCAACGAAAGTCATAGGGTGCCGCATACACGTAGTTACTAGCCACGTATGCAAGCGGTCATGCGTCATATCATCCGTCGATATATTAGGGGGAAGTCGTGCATCAAGAGATCGAATGACGTCCGTCCGCACGACATCAACTTCATTTCTCTTTTCATAAATCGACAACACCGGTGTTAAATCATGGCAAGCCCCTGGAACAATCAAAATTTGTGGTTTCTACCTCATCATCAGCTTCAGCGACAGCAGCACCGATTTTCAAAGGGTATCGAAAGGGCGACGCGAGCTCATATGGAGGCGAAGGCGAAACTGGAAAAGAGCAATGATAAATATCAATCTGCTAAGATCGAGCTTTATAAAGCGAAGAGACATATGGATGATGCAGAATTAAGGTTAAGAGCTGCAAAAGCCGGGCAACGCTCATGGTGAAGACGGTGTGGTTGGTGGGTCTTTGCGACAATGCTCTGAACATTGTCATGTACCTGTTATGAGGAGTGTCTTTTTTTGGGCTCGAAGACGGCCTCACTATCTTTTCTGTACTCTTTGGATCATTTTAGACATGTACGATAGCAACGGGTAGCATGGGCCTCTGCTCTTAGACTGCTACAGTATCACAGAGTGAAGCAACACCATAAATTCTTTAATGCCATGCTTAAGATAAGAGAATACAACCAGCTATCAAAGTTTGCTGGGATCAGTTAGAATGACGTGAACTACCACAAGGAAATCGCTGTGTGATGAGTACTAGCAAGTCATGAATGAGGGCAAGAAAACGCAAACAATCATGTCAATCTTCGTCGCAAAAACACGAAAGATATAAGAGGTTTCTATGAAGGAACATTCAATACACCAAGACTGCCCATTACCGTCTGGAATATTTCTCTGGAAATGGCAAGAACTTTTGAAGCCATTTGATTCGTGGCAAGAGGCCCGCATTCCAATTATTCACGCTTTACTCACCTGACACAACCAACATTGGTGTTCATTATTTTCACTTAATCACTCAATTTCACCATGTCAAAGCAACCGAAGATCTCCAAGCACCCATAGATTGCCACAATGCGACTATACAACGCCTATACGCCGCTTTCTACAATGTCAAAAATCCAGCTCTTCGGTGCACACTGGAGAAAATATGGGATACGATTATCCTAGACCGCAAAATGGACTCGCAGACTCGCGGGGAAAAGTTGCGCGAAATATTAGAGGACCATATGCAGGCTTCGCCCAAGACAGCTTGACAAAATGCACCTCAAGGGGTCGGGCAAGGTAGATTCGAGAAGACCGAGCAGAAAGACCCGGAAGGTACCGAACAGAGTGGATCTAGAAAAGACCCGCAATAACCTCAGACATCTCGAGTATACTAGGGTATCAACTGCCTGGTGGGGTCCTAGCTAGGTGACAATGTAGAGAGGCTGGATCTCTCGGGGTATTCTTCTTCACTAGAGTTTCGGTTTCTTCTACGGGAGGCGTGAGAAAGGCGGTGAAACTGTGATAGATCCTTTCATATCCGGAGATTTTCTCACTGAAACCAGGTTCGTTCTATCGTGAAGGCAGTTATATCCGAGTGACCACCGCGCTACTCGGTGATCTACGGTATCATGTGACGATAACATCGACCTCTACATATCAGAGATTACGCAGGAGCCGAGATAGAAACAGCCCTAAGGTCCTAAGTTTCATACATACCGCCCCCATGTGAAACGTCGATATGTAGTCGGTGACCGACGCATTTGAAACGTCTATCTGGTCTTCTGTGTGGGCATTCGGGATTACTACTTCTGCTTCAATTGATCTATCTACGTTACAGAAAGCTATTCAACGTGTGTGCTGCTTGCATAAAATGGTGACCTAGTGTTCAGCCCCACACGCATGTGCACAACTAACTCAATGGATATCAAGAGACCCACGCGTCCCACATAACCACAGCTAACGGACTGTTCGCGCTAACCTTCAACTATCATTTCGTCATTCGCAATTTCTCTCCTTCCACGAGCAGTAATTCTATGACTATCACGATGCACGGCTGGGGTCGCTTCTGCTGTTGGTGTGTGCTCGTCGTTATCAACGCTGATCTACTTTTCCGCGAAGATCGTACGAATATCATGATATTGGTTGGGTTCAGTGCGTGTATTTGGGTTCGGCTAGATGTAGATCTCGAATCCGCGGTTGTGTAACTGTTAAGATGTATACCCGAATTAATGTGGTTCAAGCATGTGGAGTGGCTGTACTAGCTACTCGCGATGGTGACATTCTCCTCATCTGAATAAGCTTTGTGCGGGGCGTGTTTTGGATGGAGAGCCATATTGATGGGCTGGGTTTCCCCTTCGGAAGATTAAGGAGTGCCTTTTGACGGGGTAGACGGGTGCACTATCTTGACTTTTGGGTTCCAGGATGATACAGTCTCGTGATGCGCTTTCATCATTCTCTTCGAAAATTTTCTACTGCTGCGCGACACGAGCGGTGTGATTGGTGTCAAGTGAATGCGTCTATCACTCGATTTTCTCACATGGACTGTGGGGATAGTTGGACGTCTATCTAGTTTTGCTCGTTCAGTATTGTGGAAACAGAGTGAAGATTGGATGTGTGTTCTTTATTACTTGTTGTGCTACATATGTGTATCATTTCAACGTCTCATTCCCTTATTCACTGAAGCTCCTACAGAATTATTGTATGTGTACTGGTTCGTTATTCGTACAGAACGACACTTTGCCCACGCGAATGCAATTATTCGCCATTACGGGTCCTGTTGTCGACATGTTTATTTTTATTCGGATCTACACAGCGTAATGCTGCTGCGCAGAAGCGTCGAGTCGTACAGATGCCGGCGCATATTAGGCACAGAAATGGTACGACAATAACTATTGCCAGTAATTTCATGCGGCGCCGGTGTTCTCTGGTATCGTCGACTCCGCGCCGCGGGAACCAAGGGCGACGGTGTTCGAGTCAGAAACGCCTTTAGCGTCTAGGCCACCAGCTTTTCTCCAAGGCGGCGGGACTGTTCGCGTCGTTATCGAAGGCTAGACTCGACCGACTTTCCCCACGGCAGTTCTGGTCCCGAAGTATGTCGTCCGAGATGCGCCGCGAAGCGCGAGCATGACAAAAGGAAAATTGCAGGCCATACAAGTGAAGATAGCGACACAGGGACAGAAAAAGGAGTGTTGTAAGGAATCGGATCGTTCGTTTCGAAAGAGGGAAGGAAAAAGAAGTATCAAAAAGTTGTTCAGCCCTGGCTAGTTTCCACTGCCACAGTTTTCGTGATTTGTATCCCGTGGGGTCCCAACTCTTTCCGCTTCTCAAACTCCATGTGCATCTCCATCTCGTCCTCGCTGATCCGTGAACACACCGCGGCGCCCCCGCCCGTTCCATTCGGTACCATACCCGCCATTACGATCCCGCGTTCCTCACTGTCATCTCTTAACCGTGCTCGTGACTGGGATTTCTTGGACTGGTGCATGCTAACACCACGGCTGCCGGCGGTGCGGTTGTAGGTGCCGGGACGGCGTCCCATGCAGATTGCGTAGACGGGTTTCAGGGCGGGGATACTGCCACAGACAATGAGAAGGATAATCTCAATGCCTGTCCAGAGGAAGAGGGAGAAAGTCTCCCAGGTGATATCGGAGCGAGCGTTGAGAGTGGTCAGCTTCGTGGCTTTGACGGCTGCACAGATGCCGGTTCTTTGTCATGATCGTTAGCTTTTGGGTATGGCTTGAGTGAGGTAGTTGATGGCATGTACTTACATGCTACCGCAGCCTAACAGGGCACACAGCCCAAGTCTCTTCCTCAAGTCGGTTTTGAGTCCCCATACCAGGGTCGCAGGGATGACCGCCAGGTAGAAATCAATAAGCACATGGACTGCGGCCCCATAGATGGAAAAGCTGCTCTGCACTTTCGGGTCCCAGCACTTGGTCGTGTCCTTCAGCGACGTGTCCCATAAAGCGGCGGGATCATCGCATTGCGCAAAAGTGAGGACGATCATGCCGATGGTGTTAAGGGCAGTCCAAACACTGGCCACATACAGAGACCACCGTCTCCATACTGAGGCGCGGTTAAGTAACCGGAGAATCAGGAACGCGACAGCTATCTTCCCAGTACCAAGGCAGAAGATGGCAAATGGCTGAGCAATCCAGTTCAGCTTCGAGACGTAGATGAGATGTTGAGGGTCATCGGCAAGGTATATCAGATGTCGCGTGCCGCCTTGGAGGCACATCAAAGAAAGGAGTACGGTGAGTGGTATGAAAGCAACCTATGATCCAGTCAGTCAATGTACACGGTCGTGGTCAACCGTAGCAATGATGTTCATACCCAAGTCAAAAGCATACACCAATCATCAATCCCCACACCTGCAATACTGAATCGCGCGGTCAACCTCGTCGCTACGAAGATGAATGAGATCGCACATCCTGCAATGTACACAGCTGCCAGCGCTGGTCCTCGATCATAATCGGGGAATTCGGAGGAGACGACGACCATGACGGATAGCGCGCATACACGCCGACGAAGATTTTAGAGAGTCCAGTTAACCACGGCCTCTAGTCGGTGTAAAAGGGATCAGCTGTGTAGATGCCCAAATGGCGGACCGGTATCGATTTGTCCAAGCCGCGGGTTCTTGGGGGAAGAGTACTTGTTATGAATGACCTACCCATGGCGGTTGCCCTGCTAGGGGAAGGCAACATGACTGCCAGTGATCCGCGACTCAAACTACGGCCAGCATTGCAGCTCCTAGCGGGAATGATGCTGAAGAAGGACCCCCTGCTCCCGTTTGCTGCCCAGCTGTGATGAGACGAGGGGCACACGTGCGGGTGCTGGTCGTCACCCACGACTAATGGTCAATTCAGTATAGACATGACCCGGATAGGATTGGTCCAATGTTTATCGTCCATGCATGCGCTCTTTCAGTATAGACACTAGCGCACGTCAGCGCACGGGAGGGGTTCCTGTGCGCGCATCCTACAGATGCTCACACAGCGGGACGAGGTGAATTGGCCAGTGAAGTTGTTGCATTTTTTCTTGTCCAACAAGCAACCGGGCTGGCTCCGTTGCTAAGTCTGGCAAAGATAGGCATACTTCCTACGTGTATATGCAAGGTACGCAGACTCCACTTTGGAAGCTCATAGTAACACAGTTGATGTTTGATCGCCGAGAACATCTCAAATTGCTGGGGAAAAAAAATGGAAAGGCACGCTGTGTTATCAGCCGCAAGACAGCAGGTCAAGATAGTTGACGGCAGCGGGCGAGTCAGGTTACGTACTAGTCGACTATGTGGAAAGTTTGTAGGCAATAGCAACCGCATCCCCATCGCTAACTATAGGAGCTTCGCAACCTGGTACTCAGAACAGGATTCGATATACTGTCACTGTTTGCAGGATATGACTAAGTGCCTGGATAACAGTGGTACCCATCGAACGGCTCGCCACAGTCCCCTAAACAAGCGACCAAATGGTGTTGTTCTTGGATGCCAAGGCAATGCAAGGCGTACATGGTATGCAATCCAACGAGCAACGGTCATGACAAAGTTGCCGTCTACCCCCGTTTTTCCATCGTCTCTTACCGCCACCATCGCATTAGCAGACGGGTTCCATCATTCACAATGTAACTTCTAGTGTGTGTGACTTCGACATATGAAACAGATGATTGTATAACCTGAACTCTGGAATCCAGATCTTTTTTCTTTGGCTTCACACGTGGCGTTGCTAAGTTAGTCGCGTGGATGTTTGGCGGCGTGGGCGTTAGCGGTGACACGCACGGGCCGAATGCATGCCAGCACGGCTCGACTTTCTTACCTGTTTTTATTGACCCTTTTTCTCCACATTCCTTTTGCGAATTCCTTTCTAGCTTTGCATTGACGGTCATTTAATTACCAATACCCGCCACAGGAAACAAGACGGAATCCTGTCGTACAGTCGTCACTGTCGGACCATCAGCTTGGGCGATGAGAGATTGATTTGGTGATGGGAAAGGATGCGTAACTCTCCCACCACGAGGTGAGCTTACGGCAGATGCGGGAAGGGCTAACCAAGTCAGTATTTCATCCCGAAACGTTGTGAACTGGAACCTGGTCATCATTGGCCCGCATGTCGGGAAATATCCGTATACGCGCAGCCCCTGTCTACTCAACTGTCAAACGAAAAAATGGGGACGATGGAGAAACAGCGGCGGTAGATCTACGCTTCTCAGCGGTGTTTGTAGTATGTCGCTCGCCACCCTCATGTTGCAACATGGCCTTGATCTACTTCCTGTCGAATGTACATGAAACCTGATTACGCAAACATAGATCCAGTTCCAACTTTTCACGACACAGTCACAGTGGCGTTGCCTCTCAAATCTTCCGAGCTTGCACCAACCCAAACCACAAACTCACCTTTCTCCACCACGTATTTCATCTTCAAGTCCCACAGCCCCCAGTCGTCCACTCGAAGATCTACCTCTACATTGACAGTTTCTCCGGCTTTGACGAGTACTTTCTTGAAAGCCTTGAGCTGGATATTGGGAACTGCAACCGAGGCGATAACGTCTTGGATGTACACTTGCACAACTTCTTTTCCATCAGTTGGCGACGTGTTGGTGATGCTAACAGAAGCAGTGATGGTATCTGAGGGCGAGACCGTGGTCTTTGATAAAGTCACATTGGAGTAGGTAAAGTTGGAGTAGGACAGTCCGTAGCCAAACTCATAAAGTGGTTGTGGCGAGTCCAAGACATAGCGATGTCCGAAATGAAGGGTACCATTCGGCAAAATGGCCCCAATGTCTGGATCGGTCCCGCGCCCTGAATTCAGATAATCGTAAAACACCGGCGAAGCACCGACGTCATGTGGGATTGAAACCGCGAGCTTGCCTGATGGGTTCACATCCCCAAATAGAACATCTGCAAGTGCGTTGCCACCTTGCTCTCCGGGGTAAAACTGTTGCACGAGCGCCGCTGCAGAATCTGATATCCATGGCTCCGTGACTGGCTTGCCACTCTGGAAGACTACGATGGTTGGTTTACCAGAGTCGATGACGGCTTTGACAAGCGGGCCCATGGCCCCGACGAGCTTCAAGTCATGCACATCTACATGCTCTCCGGTGGTTGCATTCAAGCCCTGCCACAGTTCTTGTTGGTCACGCGACCATGTACCGACGACCACTACCGCAACATCAGCAGCTTGAGCTGCTGCAACGGCCTCGGGGAATCCAGATTCGTCGCTGGACCAACGCTCGCAACCTTTGGCGTATGTGACCTTTCCTGATGTTGCATTGCGGATACCCTGCAGGGGATTCACATTGGTGGGATTATATTGGGAGCGATAGACGACGTAGTCGCCAAACTGCAGCAGTTAGCTTGAGGGTATAAGAATATGACAAAAATATCTCACATTAACGAAGTCCGCCATCGGCCCAATTACCGCAATGTTGGTATCCTTCTTGAGAGGAAGGATGTTGTCATGGTTTTCCAAAAGCACAATGGACTCCGCGTCCAACTTCCGCGCAAACTCAACTGCCTCTGGGGTATGAATAGCATCGCTAGTGCTGTTTGTACCATTCGACCACACTGGGGGATACGGATTCTCGAACAAACCCATCTCAAATTTAGCGCGAAGTTGTCTCGCTACTGCCGTATCCACCACTTCAATATCGAGTTTGCCTTCCTCGACGAGCTGCGGGATGATCTCAAAGTTGTAACTTCCTCCTCCCATTTCCACGTCATTTCCTGCAGGGAGAGCGTAAAGGGTAACAGCTTCTGAATCGATCGGTTCGCAAGCACACATCTTGAACGCGCAGCAGAGTCTGTCCGTCGCCCCAGCATCTGATGTCAACCAGTATTCGTATCCCCATTCCTCACGGAGGATCTCGGTCATGAGGTGGTGATCAGCAATCGTGGGAATTCCATCGTAAGAGTTGTAGGCGCCCATGATCGACCAGGCCCCGGCATCGATGATGGCACGCTTGAAAGATGGCAGCCAAGTCGTGCGGCGCTCGCGCTCTCCCCCATGGACTGGCCCAGTGTTGAGTCCTTGTTCCGGGGCAGAGAAAGCCGCGAAATGCTTCACTGTCGCACTCACACCCTCACCCTGAGAACCTACGACATACGAGTACGCAAACTCCCCAGCCAAATGGGGATCCTCGCCGTATGTTTCCTCGACTCTGCCGAACCGCAACTCCCTTGCCAGATCCGCAACAGGGGCAAAAAGCTGGTTGACTCCGATGGCCTTCGATTCTCTCGCGGCGATGGCCGCCATTTCTTCGACCATCTCTGGATCCCATGAACAGGCGTGCGCAATCGGACTGTTGAAAATTGTCGCGTTTCCAATCAGCAGCCCATGGATTCCCTCGGTCTGCACTAATGCTGGGATTCCTAGAGTGGTATTTTGCATAAGATACTCCTGCGCCTTTCGAACACCCTCGCTGATCCACGATTGCGGAACAGGAAAGCCTACGTAGAATTGACCCGCGCGGTTTGCCATATTCCACGCCAGACCGGACGCGTTGAAGGCGTTGGTGGTCGTGTTAATCCAATTCCCGAAATCGCCTTGCACCAATTGCGCTGTTTTCTCTTGAATGGTCATCTGGGAGAGAAGATCGGCGACACGGGCGTCGACCGACGCGTTTGGATCTTTGTAGGTGCTATTTGCGACATTCTGACGGCGTACGAGGTCGTAAGAAGTCACGGGAGCCACCAAAAGGAGGACCGAGAGGACCGCTTTCGTGATCATGGACGACATGATGAAAAATCACTTTCTGCGACGACCTTGCGAAGATACTCGGTACCCAGGGGACACCATCGCTCATATTCTAATTGAAGATTCGTGTGCTAATTCTAAATTTTCCGTCTATGATGAAATGCGTAGACATGCCAGGCACGCCAGGCGTTTCCCAGCATAATTCGCTCGTCCCTGCATTCCACCGATTGGGTTCCTTATTGAAAGCAATCTATCTGTACCCGGTTTTTCCTAGACTACCTATGATCGCCTATGCGCGAATGCATTGCTGGTGAGTCTCGACGTCCCGTCCACTCGTAAGACCTTTGGTGGTCCGGATGAAAGCAGCTCCAGGAAAGGCTTAACGCCGCACGTAGGGAAGACGCTTCGTTCATGGGTTGTTGACCGAATGCATGTCCATTCAGATTAGGTCTACTACAACTTACAATTCCTAGCTTAATACACAATAGATGCTTCAACAGCATCGTAAGCATCGGCCTGACGCAACAGCCTGACCACTCCGATTTTGCAAAGTCCAACTCAGTGAATTATTTCTTGTGAGCTCCCAAATTATATCCGACGATCAATCCCCCGAGCGGCGCTGCATCGGAGCATCGGTTGGAAGGTGGCAATCCGCAGACGTTGATTGGGGGAATTACAAATATCCGTGAGCAGGACGGCTCACCCCGCTGGCTATACTCCACAGCCAACGACAGCACCCCGGATCTGCATTCTCTTCCTCTTAGCAAAAGTAGATCAGGTGCGCAACGCGATCTTGAGCATCCGACTCACGCAGGAATACAACTGGACAATCCTGCGTACGGCCTTCGCTTAGGATCAAATGAATGAGGCGTACCATTGGATCACGGGCTGGTGAGGCGTGTTTGTTGGAGGGGAGAAGATGTTATATACTTGGGACCCCAGCTCCTGCATATTTTTTCACACCTCTTCTATAAACTGAGATTTCGTATAGTTCGCCTGGTGATACTAGGTGTCAACTTTCACCATGGGTCTTGCTTTCAACCTGCTCCTGGCTATCTTTGCCGGCACAGGAAGTTTTCTGTTTGGATATGACAGCGGTGTCATGACAGATGTGATCCACTCGGAGAACTTCCTCATGTACTTCAACACCGACAAAACAAGTCCTATAATCGGTGCAATCAATGCTACGTTTTCAGGTGGAGCCGTGTTTGGCTCATTGATGTGAGTGGGAGGATGACTTGCCACGTACTGCGCTTTTACTGCTTGATGAAATGTGACTGATTTTGTACAACAGGGGAGGTTTCACAATGGATCGTTTTGGCAGAAGGAAAACTGTTCTCATCGGTGCCGTTATCAATCTTGTCGGAGCAGCACTGCAAGCCGGAGCCCGCAACCTAGCCATGATTCTCGTCGGTCGCATTATGGCGGGATGGGCTGTTGGACTGATGAGCATGTCTGTGCCCGTCTATCAAACCGAATGCGCGCACCCCTCAAAGAGAGGCAAGATATATCCTCCTTCATATAACTGTATTCTCATCCTAACTCATCTGGATACAGGTCTTATCGTGGGTATAACCCAACAAATGATCGGTGTAGGCTTTATCGTATCAACCTGGGTGGGATATGGTTCCGCCCACGTCCCTGAAACCAGCAGCTTCTCATGGCGCTTCCCGCTAGCGTTCCAATGTATACCTTGCATGATTCTGATTGGAGGTATTCTCTTCTTCCCAGAGTCTCCGCGATATCTCGTCGAGGCGGACCGCGCCGATGAGGCACTGCAGGTATTGCACAAGCTGCACTACAACGGTAGCAACGAAGACGAAATCCAAGCCGAGTTCCACGAAATCAAGACAACAATTGAAGCGGAGAAGGCGATTACAGCACCTGGATGGCGCATCATGTTCAAGGTCAAGGCATGGCGCACGAGGTTGATGCACGCTACGCTCGTGCAAGTGTTCACGCAGATGACTGGGTAAATCATCCCGAAAACGACACTACCACCCCTCCATTCATTTTGACTATAGAACTAACAAAATCACAGAATTAACGTCATCGGGTACTACCAAACTATTCTCTACGAAAATCTCGGCATAACCGGGAAACGCAACCTCCTCGTAGCGGGAATCTACAACATAGTCGGCCCGATCTTCAACCTCATCTTCATCATCTTCTTCCTCGACCGCATCGGTCGTCGCAAACCCCTCCTCTTCGGCACACTCGCTATCACTGGCGCACTCATCGCCGAAGCGGTCATTGGCTCGCAAGTCACTGGCGCGACAGGTTCCCGCAAAGACAGTCTCTCCATCGCAGGCGTGTTTTTCCTGTTCCTCGTCTCCGCGATCTTCAGTGTCTCATTTGGGCCCATCTCCTGGTGCTATATGTCAGAAGTTATGCCGCTGTCAATCAGAGGAAGGGGTAGCGCGTTTGCAACTGGTATTGGTAACTGGTTGGTCAGTACCGTCTGGTCACAGGTCTCGCCAATTGGATTGGGAGCAATCACTTACAAGTTCTACTTCATTTTTGTGGCGTTCAACTTGTGTGTCTCTCTGCCAACGATCTATTTCGTTTTCAAGGTGAGTTCAAGCATCTTCTTGCGCGTGGGCGATCATTGGATCGGACATAATGCTAACCGTTTGTGTGACACAGGAAACGAAACAGCTCACTCTTGAAGAGATCGATTTGCTATTCGGTGAACGCGCATTGGGAACGCTTCCAGAAGATCTGGGCACGAATAAAGGAGGCGTGGAGACGTATGAGATGCCCAAGCACTCCTCAGAACAGCCATAGGCCGTTGGCTCAGAAGGTGCAACGTTCATCTATTATGCCGTGTTATAGTTCGAGTATTGATCAACCAGAGATCTAAAAGACTTGAAAGTCTTTACATTGATTGACTCACTGTTACGGAATCTTCTCAATACAGCAGATGCCAGTCAATTCATTCTGTAAACTAGTGATAGCTGTATCTAGGCAACGAAGTGGATGAAATACGAATAGTTCTACTCGCGCAACACGCCCAATTCTGCAATCTCCCAAAATTTGGAAATAGACATGATCAAAAAATTACATGACTATCAATTGACACAGACGTTAGCTATCGAAAAAGTTAAACCATTTTCCAAGCTTATCACGTGGAAGAAAACATACCTCCAACTGACGAAAAGATCGGCGCATAAGCGCTCCCAATACCAGGAACAAATTCAGGCAGATGAGCACGCAAAACCCCACTTATGTGCATTGCAGGCGCTTGCAGCTGTCTACAATGGTACTTCCGTGAAGTGAGGGGTACGGAATAGAGGGGCATGCATCCTATGGCAAAATACATGCATGTCACTCGGAACATTTCTCTCCGAACACGTCACTTACTTCCGTCCACTAATTCAACCTGCGTACGGACGCATGAGTTTTATTTGGGTAGCATGAGCTTAAGAATGTAGGTTGAAGAGAAGGGAGCACTTCGAATTAACTAGGACTTTTGTTGTCGCGGTCGTGTTCGTGTTTGTTCACCGAAGTTTTGCGCCTGTCCATCGTACAAAACAAAGGCGTAGACTTCACCAGACGGCTGTCTACCAAGAGAAGCACAGAGACAAATTCTCGATTTTTGCCTTTGTCCCTACAAACATTCTGAGCACGCGCTGCAAGAGCTCATCCGGTCGACTAGGGAGTATCGAAAGATAAAAGCAAAGCCTAGAGCAACTACTCCAAAATCAGTAAATGAAAGGACTTTAAAGGTCCCTGATAACTTATTGGAAAACGAGAAGGGCAGAAGCTCACACGTCCAACAAAATGAAGTTCCGCGATGGTAGGTAGCAAGAATTATTTCTTAGCGCTTCAATACTCTGAACCAGATTCATGGTTTTTGAAGATATTTCATTCCCTGTTCTCTCAACTCCAAGTTACCGCTCTCCTCAATTGAGAAGTCTCAACACTGACTAAAACTCTACGACTTCCACAGGAATGTGGCTGCCGCACCCCACGGCAACCGTCCAATACGTCGAAGAAGTCCACACCGTAACTCCCAACACCGATTCCACCACAAAATCCTTGAATCTACTCTGTCCAACCCGCAAGATTCATACCCGAGGCGACACCCTTAATCTCTCTACCCTCTCGGTCAAACTCGAAGCGGTATCTGACGGCATCATATCGCTCGAAGCCACGCACTTCAGCGGTGCCCGAAGACGTGGACCAGACTTTGAGCTCTTCCCAGACGGAAAACCCGAATTCGATGGCGGGGAGATCTACTCTGAAGATGGTCGCTCAACCACGCTTGCCGCCGGAAGTCTAAAAGCAAGTGTCACAGGCGAAGGCGAGCGAGGGTTTGGAATCAGATTCCACGGGCCTTCATCCAGCGGCGACGATAGCGACAAAACGTTGACATCGTTGCTGGGTCGCAGTATCGGCCTCGCATACACACCACCCCTCGCATCCCCGAAAGACGTGTCGGACTTGCGGGACAAGAAACATTACGTCTTTACGCAGACGGAACTCGGCGTTGGCGAATCGATCCACGGCCTCGGCGAGCGCTTTGGCGCATTCAACAAAGTCGGGCAGCACGTTGAGCTGTGGAACGAAGACGGCGGTACATCCAGCGAGCAAGCGTACAAGAACGTGTCGTTTTACCTTTCGTCGCGCGGCTACGGCGTCTTCGTCGACACCCCTGACAAGGTCGACCTCGAGATCGGAAGCGAGCGGTGTTCGCGGCTGCAGAAGAGCGTCGAAGGGCAGAGGTTGAAGTGGTATCTCATCTACGGCCCAACCCCCAAGGAAGTGCTGACGCGGTACTCGATCTTGACTGGAAAACCTGGAATGACGCCCGCGTGGTCATATGGGTTGTGGCTTTCAACGAGTTTCACTACGAACTACGACGAGTCGACTGTTACGCACTTTGTTGAGACGATGCAGAATCAGCGTATTCCGGTTGAAGTGTTCCACTTTGACTGCTTTTGGCTGCGCGCGTTTCACTGGACCGATTTCGTGTGGGATCCTGCTTTCTTCCCGGATCCGAAAGGTCAGATTGACCGCATGAAGGAGAGTGGGTTGGTTGGTAAGGTATCGGTATGGACGAACCCATATGTCGGGCAAGCGAGTCCCATATTCGCAGAGGCCGCGCAGAAAGGGTACCTCTTGAAGCGCAAGAACGGCGATGTGTGGCAGTGGGACTTGTGGCAAACGGGCATGGGACTCGTAGACTTTACGAATCCTGAGGCATGCACGTGGTTTAAGGAATGTCTGAATGGGTTGTTCGATGTGGGTGTTGATGCCATCAAGACCGATTTTGGAGAGAGAATCCCGACGGACGATGTTCAGTGGTTCGATCAGAGTGTCGACCCGAGCAGGATGCACAACTACTACGCGTTTATCTATAACAAGCTCGTTTACGAAACACTACAGGAGCGCTATGGTAAAAACGAAGCGGTCCTTTTCGCGCGCACGGCATGTGCGGGGACGCAGCGATTTCCGCTGCAGTGGGGTGGGGACTGCGAAAGCACACCAGCAGCACTCGCCGAGTCTGTTCGTGGGGGGCTGGGCTTGGGCCTTGCGTCTTTTGCAAGCTGGACGAGTGATATTGGCGGGTTTGAGGGAAAACCGAAGCCCTGGATTTACAAAAGATGGGTCGCATTTGGGTTCTTGTGCAGTCACTCGCGTCTACACGGGTCGAATTCATATCGTGTACCTTGGTTGGTCGACGATTCTTCCACCGAAGAAGACAATTGTACAGATGTGTTACGGCACTGGGTACAATTCAAACGAAGACTTATGCCATATCTGTTTGCCCAGGCGGCAGAGAGCATTGAGAATGGGTGGCCGACGAGCACAAGGGCGGTAGCGCTAGAGTTCCCGGATGACCCTACGGCATGGTTCTGCGATCGCCAGTTCATGGTAGGGTCTTCCATTCTTGCAGCACCCGTCTTTGAAGAAGATGGCACTGGAGAGATCTATCTCCCCCCTGGGCGTTGGTTCAATTACTGGACTGATGAAGAGGTACAAGGAGGACGATGGATTAGGGAGAAGTACGGATTCTGCGAGACGCCCCTGTTTGTTAGAGAGAACACAATCCTAGTACTGGGACAGGAGGAAGGAGAGGGTGGATTTGGATACGAGTGGCTACAAACCGGCGGGAAGGTTAAACTCTACGGTGTGAGAGAGGGCGCGAAGGCCATACTAGTAGACGGACAGGGAACCGAGAAGGGACGTCTCGAGATCAATGATGAGGGTGAATTGGGAGGAATGGATGCTTTGGAAGGAGATTGGAGCGTGGAGAGCATCGGATAGGAATTCTCGAGACGTAGTACATCTATACTGTGCATTTCGGCGTCGATTTAGAAATACAGGAATGCAATTCCATGGAAGAAAAACAGCAGAAATGATTCTTGTTAGGTATTGCATCCCTGGCCTCTGGCGCTAAAAGCAAAACTCCTTTTTTTAAAGCTTTTTATTACCTGCCTACTTTTTGTTAAATTATTTTTATTAGCTTTTTTAAGTGTAGGAAACACTGTAACTTCCAATCAAAAAAACTTAAAGCTAATAATTCTTGAAGCATCTGGTGTTGATATCTGATTCATCTAATATCTCCCTACAGAGTCTCGGAAAACCTAAGATTTGCTTCTCAGCCGCCATACACTTGTTGTGAGTTCTACATACATATGTAACCGGCTACTTTGACCGGTGTTGCTCGTCACGCGATATACCGGGATAAATACAACATATGCACACATCATTGCCGAGTCGCCTGGCATGTCACCGTGTTTGCAGTCATTCTGAGCGCGTTGATCGGGGGATACCACGACGATCACGAAATTGTCAACCAGCGATTCTACAAGGTTAAGAGCCTCAACGTCTAACACATCACTCCCTCCAATCTTTCCGTTCCTACAAGGGACTAGCCACTGAAGAACTACTCGAATTTGGGAAAGAGGTGGATATAATACAACGCTTCTCATGCAACGCGCGTGCACCGAGACGTGTTTCCCCACTTATCAAAATGGATCGAGCGATGGGGGCGACTGGGGTCCGCCGAGCAAGCGAGCGAGTGGATATCTCAAACGGTCTTAGGATCGGTCGATCGGTACGAACTTCACCAAGCTCACTTACACAATTCCATCTACATACGGGACGTTTACACCTACTAAGGCAATAAATGGGCTGCTTTAACCAGGGTACGAGGGAGAAGAGTGGATAGGGATGTTTGAGCAGTATGACATTTCCTTGGTGTGCTCGTTTACTACCTCTTTGTAGCTAGCTGGCCTGCAGGATTGCAGCCGTGCTGACCCAGTCGCGGGACTAATCGGTCACTCACGATACAACAGCACATGGGAAATCAAGGAATTTGGTTATTCGCGCATGTTAGACACGGCACGACGCGCAGCGTGGATGTGTTTTGTGGGTTGGTACAAATAGTCGGCCTGGGTGCATACTTGTCGTTATCACCGTTGGACATTTTCCAGTCGTGTTCGGTTTCAGTCCATATTCATTCGCTTGGAAGATTAAAGAAAAAAGTCAAGAAGAGAAGGCGGGAATACTATCTTCTCTGAAGAACAGGATAGAGATAATATCTCAGACCCACTTACGATTCACTCAAAGTACACCGAAGAAAAATAGAGCTGGCTTTCGCCCATCATGTTTTTGCCCCTCGTCTTCGGCCCTCTCCTAGCCATTTTCGCGATATGCTATCTTGCCCTCGTACACCGTCTGCGCTATGCGCGCATCAACGACCTACAAAAACGATACGGTCGCACTCCCGCGGAGTTCGCAGGGCTAGGATACAAGGACGCGCAGGCGATCTTGGGTCAGCTGGGGCTATATGAAAGCCCATGGTTGTTTCTCGCTGGAAAGGACTTTGCATTTCTCCGGGTATGTATGCCAGTATATCCTACTCAAAACGAGCATACACAAATCCAGCTGCCATACGCGCAGCGATATAACCAACATGAAGCTAACGAAACAAACCAGGCCTTCGCCATCCCTTCCATCTCCAAAGTCTCGGTCAACGCCTCAGAAATGGTGCATCGCGCGGGAAAGCGCTACGCCGACACCACCGTCCTCGTTGGCGAATTCCTAGTAAACGAGCTCGATAGCCAGCGCGCGGTCGTGGCCATCAACCGCATGAACTGGATCCACTCGCGCTACGGCTCCGCAATCGAAATGCCACAGATGGTATACACGCTCTGCTTGCTGGTCTGCGAGGCTCTGCTGTGGGTCGACCGCTTCGACTGGCGCCCTACCACGCCACTCGAGAAACACGCGAGTTGGGTGTTTTGGAGCGAGGTGGGCAGACGCATGCGACTGGTTGGTGTACCCGAGAGTTTCGAGGAGTGTGTAAAGTACGTGGAAGAGTATGAGAAGAAAGAGATGGCGCCGAGTAAGTGGAACGCGAAGATCAAGGAAGGGGTTTATGCGCTGTATGCGAGCAGTGTGCCGAGTTTTTTGACGCCTGTTGTGCATTTGGTGTTGGATGCTTTTATGGACTCGAGGTTGAGTGCGGCGTTTATGCTCGAGGAGCGGACGTGGTATACTGATTTGGCGCATACGTGCTTATGTGCTGCGTTGGCGGTGCGCAAGTACATCGTGCGACACGCTTTTCTGCCTAGAACGAAGACTTTCCAGGTCTTTGGCGATGCAAATGCAGAGGGGTTCCGCGCCATGTCCTTCTGGGAGATTGAGCCGTGGTATGTCGCCAGTGAGAAGAGTGGGAATTGGTTGCGTGCGGCTTATATCAAGTTGTTCGGTTTGCCTAGAGCAGGCGACGAGAAGTATAGACCTCAGGGCTATAAACTGCATGAGATGGGACCTAAAGGTTTGGAGGGAAGAGGTGGTGAGGAGGTGTTGGGGTTTGTGGAACAGAGCGGTGCGTGCGCTTTCTCGACGTTTGGGCAGTTTGGGAAGATTGGCGAGTGCTACTATGTACCAGAGGAAAAAGAGAAGAAGATGAGTGTCAATGGGGGCGGTGGAATGTGCCCGATGGGATTTGGAGTTGTAGCTGGGAAGTGAAGGGGTTAGTGACGATCTGTCCAAGGCATATAAAGCGCTTGAGAATTTGAAGACTCCGCGAATTGCCAAACTGATTCGATTTTTCCTGCACCAGGGTTTGATCTGTGTTATTTCACACAGTCCAAATCCACGGAAAATGAGGAAGCAATAAGCAGTAGAAAAAGCGAATACAGGAAGCCGATGGCGAGCATTAAAATATTTAAACACGCCATGGCTCCACTGGTTTGAAAGATCCAATAATCAGTTGTGCAAAGTTCGTATAACATTGATTCCATCTGTTTTTCACAGGAGTTACGCATACCTGCCCACGAACCAGATAAAACCCTCAATCAAACAACACACAACCCTCAACAGCGTAGTACCCAGTAGTCATCAATCACGCTCCACCTACATCTCCCCCCTCTCCAAGAGAAGAACATCACACACAACCGTACCTCAGATAACTCCAATGTGCCAAAGAAATCCACGCACCGATCCATCCAATCAAGTAAGACAAACAGCGCCCTTAGTGACCATCCAATTCATAAGCAACTTGTTTATATGTGATCAATAGATATATTTTAAAATCCCCCCACTTGAGAAACACTGTACTGCAGCGACTAACGTCAACTGGTGTGAAAGCCACAGTCATGTGACTCCAGCTAATCTCAAATGTCTCATCGCGACCCGAAGATATACAAAATTCGCTCTTACCATACTCGATAGCAAAAAGCAAAGATACTGGGTCTATGCAGGGGTTTATAGCGGGGTACAGGAGGAGAGGACGGGAAACTAGGTGTATTTACAACGAGCTTATTTTTTTTCGGTTGGTCAATCGCAGTTTTGGACGAGAGAGTTAACGTCTAAGAAGAAGGGAAGATTAAGAAGTTGTAGCCGGGCAGAGACGGAATTAGTTTTGCTATTTGTTTGAGCGTGGGCAGTGAGATGGAGAAAAGTTACGCTGGGTGTGCGGCGAGGGAGGCGGTTCGGATGCATATGGGAATTGATGGGTATTATACGAAGGGTCGGTGGCTGCTTGCTCAAAGGGAAAAAGTGTGGGATTGATGCTAAGTGCGAGGTAAAACACGTGACGTTGAAGAACGCTGCTGCTGTGCTTCATGGGGAATTGGGAGGGTTCTTAGCTTTCGGGTTATCATTTGGATCAAGTTGGGCTCCGAACATTAGGGTAGGGAAGGAGAGGCGCGCAGAGGCTTTTATACATTGATGATGCATGCAAGAATAAGTAGAAATAACGGTTTTCTTGACTATATCGATCCATGGCTCCAGACTGCTGATCTCAGATGACGGTAGATTTTTGTTCTCTGTATACTAAATATCAATCGGATCTACAAAAGATCGTATCCTATTCGCTGCAAAAGATATACGAGACAGTAAATGGCTCAAAGATAAAACAGCACATGCACAATCGCAAATCAAACCCACTCTAGGTGGTGTAGATGAAATCGGGCCTCAGATCGCCCAACTCGGAAATCTCCTGCGCGGTCTTGCCCTCGATCCAATGATCTCGCTTTCCCTCCAGTCTGAGTCTATTCTCGCGCTTCAACATGATGTGCGTGAAGACGGATCCTCCGAAGAGGAAGAGGAACATGTATGAGAAGACGATACCGTGGCCGGGGAGGTAGCGAGGCGCATCACCAGGACTCCAGATGTTAGATGAGACGACTCCGTTGAGGTTACCCCAGCCCACGACGATGCCGACCATGACACCGCGCTTGAGCGAGCCTTCGACGTTGTTGGAAGCCCAGGTCAGGGTGTTAGGGACAGTGGGGTAGATGCCGCTGGCGGCGAGGAACGTGCCGGCGTACTGGACGTGCGGGTTCGTGCTGGCGAGGAGCATAACAAAGCCGACGCAACCCATGAGGGAGACGGCCATGTTCGAGTATCCGCGCATCTTGGTGCGGTCCGCGAACCATCCCACCGCGACCGTCATGACTGCGGCAGCGGCGTAGGGCGGAACCGACATGAGTTGCGCGCGGTTACCCTTGTAGCCGAGCGCGACCATGATGGAGGGGAGGAAGAGGGAGATGGAGTAGAGCGCGCAGAGGCACCCCATATATTGGACCGCGTAGGCCCATGTCTTCCAGTCTTTGATGGCTTGGAAGACGAACTTTCGGCTGATTTTTTCGGCTTCGGCGCGCGTTTGGTTGTCGGCGCGGAGACGGCGTTGGGCGCGGAGGCGCTCGTCAGGCGTGAGGAAGGCGGCTGTGTCGGGGAAGTCAAAGGTCATCCAGTAGCAGAACATACCGACGAAGACGGTAGCGAGACCTTCGAGAATGACTGGGAGGACGCAAAGGTTAGATCTTGATGTTTGAGGGGGAATTTGGTGAGAGCTTACAGATCCATCGCCATCCCTCGTATCCACCTACGCCGTGCATGTTGGAGATGGCAGCGGCGAGTAAACCTCCGAAGGATCCGGCTAGTGCAGCGGCGGAGAAGAATATGGCGGCGCGGACTCCCAATTCCTGGCGTCTGTACCAGCATCTGTTTTATTCTGTTAGCCTTGGAAAATTTCAATGTCAGACAGCGTAATCAAACAAACTTACGAGAGATAGTAGTTGACACCAGGGAACAGACCAGCTTCGGCGAGACCCAAGAAGAAACGGCATGCCAACAAGCCCGGTTGGTTCTTGACACATCCCATGACAGTCATGATGGCACCCCAAAGAATAATGATGCCAGTGAAGAAGTAGCGAGGTGTGTAGCGCTTGAGAACAATGTTGGTCAATGGCTCGGCACCGGCATAAGAGACGAAGAAGATGGTAAGCGCATCGTTGTAATCACGGCCGGTCATGTGCAGACTGGTCTCCATCTTGACGGGGACGGCGACCTTTGCGTTGCCGATGTTGGTACGATCCAGGAAGGAAAGCAGGTAGAGGAGCGACAGCCATGGAATCAGCCAGAGATCGATCTTGCGAAGAAGAGCTTTGTCCTGCGAGCGCGATAGGGTCAGTATTAGATACAAGAAGAATGAGAAGGGATTACACAATGGCCTACGTACCAGGATAGCGCGCTCCTCGTCTGATTTGCCGACATCTGGATCGGGGAGGTCGTCATATTCGGCGGGAGAGTTGATGCCGGAGCTCTCGAGCTCGCTAGCAACTTGATTTTGCTTTTCAGCGGCGACGGTAATGTTCTTTTCGTCGGCCATGGCGGTGGCGGTCGTGGGGGTCTTTCACCTTTCTGAAATCGGAGGATTGACGACGACGCAAAGAGCCAATCTTGGAAAGGAAGAAAGACAAAGGGTTGGCGGAAACTGGGGGAATCGGAATTTATAGTTTGGCGGATGGCGTTTGCAGCCAAGTAGCCGTAGGCACCGCCGAAGATGTAAGTGTGTGTGAAAGAATTGCCGGGGTGGATGGGTGGAAGGAAGATTGATCAGCGGAAGAGGCCTGGGACTAACTAACTAGCGACGGGAGCCCATGGGGAAGGGGAGAGAAGGAGTTGGATCCTGCACTAAGTGAATGAAGATGAGGGAGTCCGAGCGTAGCTTTGACTGCAGGACGGACGGACACACCCCTCACCAACAGCAGCCCTATTGGACGCTGTATCACGTTGCTCGACAGCCTTCATTCAACATAACACTCCCTCTTGTTTTCTCGTGTACCCACCCCTGACGCCATATCTGGTCCCTTATTATCTTGTCCTTTGTTTCCTTTCAATTGCCTTCTTTTTCTTCTCTCACCCTGGATGTGGCTGACACGCCGTACACAGACATCCGTGATGCAGCCGTGGTTGGACACGGCACTTATGGATTAGGTTCCAATGATATCAATGGCGGCGTGCCTCATCAACACATCGATCATCCCTTGCTCCCTCTGTCCGTCTGTCCATCCCTCGCTCGCTCGCTCGCTTGCTTGCTCGCTCTCCCTTGGGCCTTCGGACCGATCCTTTCTCTTTTCTGTCGTCTCCAAGGCCCCAAAGCGAGTGGGGGTACGTGTGCTGTTTCTTCGATGTCTGCTTCGAGACAGGCAGAAGGGCCGTTTGGGGCGCGGCTGTGTACAGCGCGGGAGCAAGTCGCATCGGGCCAAGGCCATGATTCAGGCAAGTCTGCGTTCTCGAACGCACGGGGACGGCGTGCAACCGCTGGGAAACGAGGGCGTTGTCTGGTTTGGTATCGAACACAAAGTCGAGAAAAACGCCACCCAAGACCTTGGCACGCTCTTTGGCACACGCGCGCAGGCAGGATAAGCCGCCCAGCCCAACAAGCCACGGGGTTGATTATCTGCAGACGATAACGAGTGACTGCATTCCTGAGATGAAAGTGGCCGAAGATTGATTGACGGATGGAGGGCCTGAGTGGGCGTGCGAAGAAGCTTTCCGCCCTGCGCCCGCCGACGGAAGGATCGAGCATGGCGACATGCTGTGGTGGTGGTGTTGCTGTTGTCGTTGTTGACAGCGAGTGTATTATTTACCGGTCGACCAGCAGAGATGAGATGAGATGGGCTGTCAGCTGACCGAGGGACAAGCACCGCTACTGTATTAGCAAGCACCACGCGGAGGGCACGTTGGCGAGCTTATTAGTCTACTCTACTCCGACCACCTTACTTTACCCCGCTGCCCCGGATCGTGCCCACCGCCCCAACCTCATCTCCTCACTCTCCTCACTCTCCTCGACACGCTTGCATCTTAGCATACCACTATATCGCTTGGCTGGACTGCTCGTCTCGACTACCGCCCCGGTCAATGCCAATACCTACCCACTCCTTCCCTCATCTCATCCTCTCACGGACAAATTCACTCATTACCCACCGCTTTCTTCCTCTCACCCGGACGCTGCTGACACTCGTTACCTACCCCCGAATCTACTGGCTGGTCGGATAAATGGAACACCTCGCGACTCCAAACAAACACGTACCGCGCTTACACCTTCTCTCTTCCCCCTGTCCCTACATCATAGATTCCTGCATATACGCAACGCACGTACGCCCCAAGGACCAAGGCGAAGAAAATCGCTAATCAGCTCCGCTTCCGCAAACCACCAACCGACTTTCGTCCCGCCTTCTCTCTCTCGCTGCGACTTCTGTGTCTCTTCTGCTTCGCAGTGGCGTAAGCCATGTAAGAAAGCTGCTCAGTCAATCACTCGGGACCGGCCTTTTCCTGATCCATCCATGTTCTGTTTCCCCCATCTCCTTTCAGTAAGCTTCCGAAGGCTGCATCGATGCGGACTTTACGGATATACTAATCAACTTCGTATCCTCACTAATCTGCTCTCTCATCACCACCAACCACCACAAACCAGACATCTTTGCGCAAGATAATATCTGACATCCACAGCACTCACTGCTCGTACGTCTTCCCACAGTATCTCAGGCCAGACTATCTGGCTGGAACCAGATCCCGGACATCGGGTTCCCCAGTCTTCGTCCCCCTTAGATTGCGAACCCCTGGGATAATTAACCACTTGAACCCGTATACCGATTATCCCTAGATCCCAGCCCAGTCCAGATCCCCCCCAGCCCTGGCTCACCACTTCAGCCCTTCATCCCAAATTCCCTTCGAGAAAAGCTTTTTCTAGACTCGTTGCACAGCATCGCGCGTCATGTATGTAAGCGGGTGTTTGTACACCACTCCCATGTTGCTTTAATGAACATAATACATGCAAGGCGCGTATCTGCACGCCTCACGCTTCTCTGCTACACAAAACTGGATGCAGGAGCGTAGATTGGAAACGATGTCTATGTACTGCAGGACGATATCTGTCAGTGTACGCACGCAGTATACCATTGATCACAGCACACAGAAACGTAGACCCCGAAATAGAACCCCAAAATAAAAACATCTACACTTGTACCACACATGTATTCCTCCCCAGTCCCCATCAGTGCCCCTTCATCCAACCAAACCCACCCAATCTAGCCCCCTCACCTCCCCTACACTGGCAGCTTACTACCCCAATATGCATGCATACCCTCGATGGTGCGCGTGCGCGCGCCTGTCTGCGCCGCTGCAAGTGTATGTATATATTATATGACCCTGCATACAACGTAAGCCCCGCTACACGGGTCACCCTGATTTTTCCCGAGATTCTAGACACCGACCGCGAAATTTTCACAATACTTTCTGGTGTTTGAGAGTTTTTTTTTGGGGGGGTGGAAGGGGGGGATAGGATAAGCTTGCTTCGTTTGCCCCGACGGTGCTTGAGTAGGGTGCTCTGACGCCAGACATCGACTTGGATCTCTACCCAATCCAGAAGCTGTCGACCAACTCTGGCGGCACAGTTCGCAGAGTAGAGAATGTACGCGCCAATGACGAGGTTAGGGGAAACGGAGTCCTTCGTCGGGGCATTTCACATATACACGATCAAGCGGCAGAGCGATTCAGTATACTGGAATGGTTTCCCGGCAGTTCCAGGGTAGCCATTCAGTACGAGTCTCTTCAGTCTGGGTGAGCAGTGTAATGAAGCACTCCTTGCTGAATCGTACGATATATCCCCGGTGCAATATTTGCAGCGAAAAGATAATTGATGCAATATTTCCCTTAGCGAAAAGGAACACGTTACTTGTGATTGAACTATAAGACTATTGACTAACTCGTCCCAGAAACATCGTCGCTGTACATATATTTATAGTAGACGTCATCACTTTTCAGGTGTTAGGAAGCGCGATGAACAGATTAGGCGCAGCTCAACTATCGTTCCAATGTCTATAGAACCCTGTGTGCTTGATTTGTATGTTTCTAGTTGAATGAATGATCTTGGATCTGGTTAAAGAGCGACATTGTAATTCTCCACATATATACTTGCTTGGGAATCTGAGGGTGTAGACTCCCCTCTGTTCCTTCATTCACTCCTCATATCTTTCACGGATCGAATTCGTGTTGATTACCAAAGTATCTGTCATCGTTCTGAACGGGTTCAATGGGAACCGATTATTGTTGTTTAACGCAATGGCAATCATAGATCGATCAATGCAGTGCGAACTCGAGTTCACTCTATTCTCGTCACACTTTGAACTCGACCTGAGTATCATCGGTATTCCATCGCCTCAGCATCGTCTGGTCTGCCTCCGAGACCGGCCTTGAGAACCGATTGTGGACAATCACTGAACCGCGTTTAGGGTTCAGGTAAGAGTTTGGTGGAAGAGCATTTGTTTCGGAGCGCATCGTGATCTCTGCGGGCTCTTCCTCGATGATAGGAGCGATACCTTTCCACTTGTAGAATGCGTCAAGGGCGGGGATGGAGAGTCCGTGGAAGATGATGGAGAAGAAGACTAGCCAGTATACCACTGGAACCATGGCTTGGACGAGATGTTCTTCTTCTTCAGTCATGGCTTCGCCCACCTTGGGGAATAGGTGGCGGGTGTGTTCGACGTAGAAGACGGCTCCGATACCTTGTTTTGAATGTCAGTTTGTACTCTGAGCTGATGAATTGAAGAACAACGAACTTACCGATTGGTCCAAAATATCCCATGAATAGAGCTTCCTTCCAACTCTTGACACATCTCGGCATCAACTTGTAAGTCAAAAAGATGGCAGGAATGCGTCGGAACACCATAATCAGGAAGCCGAGAATGAAAAGCCGACCGATAGTAATGCCAGTCACCTCCGGCATCTGGAACTCTTTCCAGGGAAAGATCGTACCAATGTACATGAAACCGCCAAAGTTGAGGATAACATCAAAGCAGCTGTTGACTTCATCATGTCGCTTCTCCGTCTCTTCCAGATACAGCCCATTCCAGTTCATCGCATTGCCAGCGATGAAACAGGCAAGAAGGTCGTCAGTGCCAATGGCGCCGCAGATGCCGATAAGGAAGAGTCCAACGGCCATGGGCCACAAGAGCAAGCTTTCCGAGTCGATCCATTTGCGGCGTAGACCAAACTTGAGGGCGAACATGCTGCCAACGCCAACGACGACGCCAATCACGACTGCTAGGAGGATGATGTAGATCCAGCCTTCCACAATCCATTGTTCCATGGCTTTAACGACACCGCCTCCGAGTCTCCCAACCTCTGCTGAGCGTTTGACATGTGCTGCTACTTCTCCAGCACCATCTTTGAAATCGACATTGGCCAGGTCCGCGTGCCTGATGAGGTATGTTGCGAGACTAAAAGCACGTAAGCAAACATCCAGAGTACACTGGACAAGCCAAATAACTCACAGTAGGAACGGAAATCCGAATCCGTCATTAGCTCCAGCTTCCGATGATATAAGCTCCCTCAACGCCCTGGGCACAAACTTGTCTGCAAAAGGTCCCTTCGCTACAGCCTGCGAAAGAATGGGATCGGTGCAAGTAACACACGACCCAATCACCAGAGCTGCGAGAAACGACAGTTTCGGAACAACGATAAGAATGCAAACGCTCGTGCAGAGCCACATAATCGTCATCACGGGAAGAAGACAGATAGCCATCTCCTTCCAATTAGCTTGTTGGTACTTCGCTGGGAGCTGGAACCCCGCAATGACAAGCTGGACGCCGATGACGATACGACAGAGACCCTATTCCACGGAGAAGATTGGTTAGTACTGGATGCATACTAATGGCTTTGGGAATTCACATACGAGGGTGATGGCCTCCTGCTGGCCTTCCGCGGCTGAGCCCCATCGTTCGGCGCTGAGGAACTTCGCTGATATCGGACCTAAGATGATGCCGATGAGGACTGCAGGTAACGCTTCTCCCAAGTACCAGACTTGTTTTATCTTGACGGAGAAGAAACCGTATATGACGATGAAGGCGCCTAGAGCTCGTCAGTTGGCAATGAAATTGGTGGGTGGAGGGCCGATGTACCTAGTATGGCGATCACAACGTTCAGCTCGCTGACATCGAGAGTCGGCATTTTGATCGATTGATATGGCTCACACCCCCGGATCGATTTTCTGTGGTATAGGAAGACAACTTTTGACGCCTGTGACTATCCGTCGACGGAAAAGATGAGGAAAAAGGAGATAGACAGGAAAGAAAGATAGCAAACGATAAATAGAACAACAGAACAAGAAGAAAGAAAAAAAGGGGGACCTGCCCAATTCACGCGTGTACGATTAATGAAGCGCGACAGAAGAGATGAACAGAACAGAGGAGACAAAGCTTGGGAAAGGCTAATAACTATGTCAAGACGCCATGGTATCGATCGCCGCGCACCCACCAACTCGATTCCAGGGGGAGCGCCTGAAAGCATAGTCGGCGCTCCGAGGATGTAGCAGAACGGAACTTGAAACTTCAGTTTTGAGCGTTCGATGTGTTTGGATGTCCAAGATATGTGAGCTCGTTGGCCAAGTCGGACACTGGGCGCGGGCCCGCAGGGGGGCGTTTATCTACTTGGCGGGGGTGAAGATCATCGTGTAAATGATTGTCATTAGGAAGCAACGCCATGCACTATCAAGAGGATGGAGAAGCACTCATTGACCAAGCCAAAACATGCACGGAAAACACATCAGAAATTGTGTAGGACTAACTCTAGGAGTCATTTCTAATCGACATGCGGTCCAGGATGCAGGCCTTCCACCGACTCCTAGTACACTCCCCAATGTGGAACCGCGATGCTCTCCCTTTTTCTCTAATGATCTTGTCCCGTCATTTTTCGAGGGAAAAACAAATATCAGTGGCTGCTCCCAACACGATTGAGCGAATCAGCCTGACTTGGCAACCGGCATAGAAGGGCAAAAATGGTCGTGCAGATGTCGCAGAAATCATCGCCAACCTTCTGCCAAGCTGTGATCAACTGCGAGACCAAGAGAATGACATTTGTTCCTTTTTGTGTTGTACCAAGCTTCGAGTAAGCTCATTCGCCCTTGATACTGTAATTAACAACAGGCGCTTCGATTGTATACATCTAGAGTGGTTTATGTTGCTGTTCATAATGAATACTAATTGGTGGACTTCGACATGATCACTGGACAAAAACAAAGTGATTCCCGAATTTAAGGATACTTCTGCGATACACAAGCGCAATCAAATTTCGCTATGGTCAAGAAATATCCTCCAGCGAGACAACCATTCTTTTCTTAATTGTTGTTCCAGCTTCTTTTGCGTGCCGACCGCTGACGAATAGCATAGGGCTCACTCTGAATCGGCCAAGAACATCGGTGTTACACCGCCAAGCTACATACTCCGAGTTACCCGTGTTGGCGGTCTCGACAGACTGACATCACTGCACACCCTCATCCAAGACAAGAACAATTGCCATATTCCGCGGATTAAGCATTGCTTAACATATTTTGAGCTTATCTCTACTGCTTCTTCAATTCATCGATTTTCGCGAGCGCTCGCAAAAACCCAAATTCTAGCGCTACAACATTCCGCGTCTCTACTTGACATGTCACGATTTACACAGTGATTCTTTGCCTGCGCCGTATACCTTTTCAGCGATTACCATCTCGATACTACGAAACACGGTATGTTTTGGGGCTTGCCTACGTTATACCAAGCCCCTTCATACATGACAAGTCGCATTTGGCACACTTTGAGTGTACGCCTTAGCCAGTGCTCAACTTGATGCATGCCTAGTACAAGACGGCTCATAAGAAATGTGTAACTTCTGGCGAGGGCTTGCCAAGTGTTGTTTCGTCATGGCGGTTATACGTAAAGTCTCGGGTTCTTCTCTCTGGCAATTTCCCGGGAACTGGCGTATGGATGGATATCTGTGTTCTCATGCAATATGTAGCATGACGTAGGAAGCCAAATGCAGATATTGGACTGGATAGAATTGTTTTTGGGTAGTTTCTTGTTTATTGAAGCTGAGACTCATCGCCTAGAGTTGAAGATGATCCCCAGATTTCAAAGAATAGAGATGGCCTGTAAAATTGAAGGCGTAGTCAAAAGTCTGCTTGATCTCGGTTCCATGTTACCAACTCGTAATCTTTTCTTATTCCGCGAACAGTATACAGAAAGGATTGATTCATTCGTCTCTCGTTTTCGAATAATTCAACTACCGTTTTCGCAACTGGGGTAACCAATTATTGCCGTGATGATTCGATTAGTTCCAGGTCTACCCAATACTACACAAAATACGACGTTCATTCATTCTGATCATGTTCGTTCTCTGGATTATCATGCCCCTCGGAGGTCTCTACTCGGTTTGATCGATTTCCTATAGTCACCTGTTAGACACAATCTCTGTTTCGAGAAGCTAGAGTTTCATTTCTGGGGGTTCAATTTGTTCTCGTATTGCTTGCAGTTATGTACGTGTGCATAAAGGGAATCCTTCTTACCCGGCCTAAGCCGGGGAAGATGGAAGAAGAAGAGAATTTAGGGAATTAACTGATTATGCTTGTGTAGGGGGGCTCTCTCAATCCAGAATGGTGCAGTAACCATGGATGAAAAAGAAAAAGTGGGAAACCAAGTGCAAGTGGGATTAAAGGGGGGATTTTTCCAAATTAAACGGACTCAGTTGCCGTGAATGAAAGAGCAAAACCAAAGAAAAGCCATTATGTGTATGTTCCAATATGTTCCTCCTTCCCTCGTGTTGGGCACGATGACCACATGTGAAGGTAGAACGGGAATGACCAGAAACCGGATTTTCGTATGCCAGGATGGTGTTGAAGTTTCATCCGATCTGATATAGTCAGCGGATGAAGAATTAGAAAATGTAATGAAGGAAATGTGTATGTTTGGATACGGCCATCCGTAACACCGCTGCAGTGCTTGACCTGATGCTGTTCAGTGAGTAGATAAAGCCGGTATTTGGAGAGAGGATTCGAAATTCTCCGAATGATTGCACCTCCAGATATATCCAATGTGCATGGCCAGTGGTCGAGTGTGATTGAAAAGACTGTCATACAGTCGGTGGTGAATTGTGGTGTTTGAGAAGATGAGTGCATTTTGCATATCTCTCGTTCTCTCCCTGTTCTCTTCATCAATGTCGGTAATATTGTATCCTTTCTCGTTTCAAGTGCCTAGTATCCGTCAACGTCCAGATCGGAGTTGGACGACATTGAACGGTATATAGCTCCATAGAACTCCGCTCCGCAGTCAAGCCCCAAGAATACGAGTAGACAATCTTCCGATCCTTTGTTTTGAGCCGCAGGAAGGCCTCGTTGAGAAATGATCGGTAGCATTCACGAGTGGTGTGATACCTCTTGATAGCGCGACGCTGGTCTGGAAGAAGCCGTTTCTCCCTGACATAGCGCAGAAAGAACTTGTCATCATTGCAAGCCCAAGAATTCAATTCGTATGGGAGAAGAGCTGTTTCCTTGTAGAGCTGACGGCACACGTTGTTTAGCAGAGTAAACCCCTTTGACGCCTTCCCCACCGAACTCTTCAAGAACGGACTAATGCGATCCGGAAACGTCAGGCAAGAAAACCGTCCAGGCGGAAAGAATCCACCCTCTTCATCGGCTGAGAAAGAAAGGTTATGATGCCTCGCGGTGAAGTTCATCATGATCGTATTGCCGCCTAGAGCGTATTTCCAGATCATTAATCGAATCTCAGCTGGGAGACGAAGGAGAGGTGATTCGGCGGCATTTCGTGCGTAGCTATAGTAAATCAGTATTCCACACACTAATAAAGAGTACATGGAAGCTCACATCTTGGCTTGCTCAGAGCGATTGGCAATCTTCTTCGTCAGGATGGTGCCGCGAGACCGTTTGGCCTTCGGCTCAGTCCTGATGGGCGGCATGTCGACGGGGCCCACGCCGTCACGACAATATGATGGGAACAATACGCAAGGTTGATTGAGAAGTTTGTGGGTGTTTGTGGGTGCGGAGCTGGAAGAGTCTAGGCTATGTTTTGTCCTTAGGTTGATATAAATAGCGTGGGATTGGCGAGCTGTCTCTCACATTCACGTCAACACGAGGTGAAGTCAAGACTTCCTTATCAATATTTTAGTTTCCTTATCGAGATATGGCGTTGCAGAAAAGTGATTCCGGAGCTGAGGTGAGGGAGTGGCTATACTCAAGATTGCTTGAAACTGAATCCGAAATTCATTCCCAATATCACAATTATAACACTCTGGTACGAGGCACGAAACATTACCATACCTCTCTGCTCACCGCTTGCACTACCATTCATTTTGCAAAATATAGCCACCCAATGACACCTAGTTGATCTTTGATTACCTCCTGTTCCTGGTAGTTGGCATTTTTCTACAGAAAATGAGATGCCAAATCTCCATTCACCTTGACAATGAGATCAAATTAGTCTCAATTGACACTCACCTCTACTCTGAATGCTGCCACAACCAACACATTTTATATAAGTAGCCAACGCCCCTTTTAATGCTCCGTTTTCTTCTTACAACCGGCTATCTTTGCCATCTGATCCAGGAGTTCCAGGACCGCAGCCAGTCAACATAATGTCAGTGGAGGACACCAGGGAATACGGTCTTGGGGACCTGGAGGATTGTGAGGCAAAGAAAGAGGTCGAAAGCGACAATGAATCAGACGAAACAATTCGTCCTCGCCCACGCAGCTGTAAGTTGTCCCTTGTGCGTTTGTTGCCAAACACTGCCATACACTCCGCCATTAGCCTGTCTTTTTCTAGCACCCACTCCTTGTTTCTGTCCGAGACATTATTTGGTTCTGCAGATATGGTACCACCTGTTTGCCGTGAACAATCCAGCTCGTTTGTCTTGGCCCAGCCACGCACTTGTGGTCTCTGCCCACCCATTACCTCATCACGTGGCTTGGGTCAACACGTCGACACAACACCTGATTTGGGACGTCCCTGCACCACCTGTATTTTCTCCACCCCACCGTCGAATTTCTCCACTAACCCACTACTTCCCTTTGCTCCACCTTACTGCATTCCATTTTGCCCTCAATTTGGACACCCTGCTGACTGAACCAACTGAAATAGACACCACATTCTCAGACGACCAGCCAGTTCACGCGGACGTCATGTCAGAGGCTTGGAGGCTCCCAATCCCACCTTACGGTGACGGCAAAGCAAAAAAGGACGACGGCTACGAGAGCGATGACAATTATACAGATACCAGGATACGCGACCGTGCTCGCACCGAGCCAGCGACCATAGATAGCGACGAAGAGTTCGAACAGGTCGAGGCCTGGCTGACAGAAATAGATGAGAAGCGCCGTGGAGTAGACAGACCCAAGCCACGCGCGTCTGGCCGCTCTAGAGAAGAGTCCCCCAACTATGTCATTCACAACAGTACAGACACAGAGACGTCGGACAAGGTTGAAGTCCCTGACACTCCCATTCAGCGCGAAGGAAGTGATGATAGTTCCGTCATGCGCGAGTGGATGAATGCGACGGCCGTGGCAAACCCTCCTCGCACTCCCATCCAGCTTGGACCAAGTGAGGCCGATCGTTGTGAGTGGGATAGGATGCGCATCGTATGTACACCTACACCTCCAGGCGGTATAAGCCGAAACGACCGATACATGCCCAAGAAAGGATATAATATTTCCGAATACCCAGACGAGCAGTCCAACAATCTCAATATCAACGCCGAGCGGCATGACTTCAACAAAAGCAGCACTTCCCCTTTCAAGCCAAAACATGAGGATGCCGATGCCGGGAAACCCATCATGGCGGAGCAAACCAGCAATACGACCACCGAATGGATGGAGTCCTTCCCCCTCTTCGAACCACACCGTCCACCTCCTCCACCCCCAGTCTCGAGAATGGAACCTTTCCCCGCCTTCGAACCACACGGCCCACTCCCCCAATCCCCAGTCTCAAAAACGGAGTCATTCTCGGCCTTCGATTCCACAGTCACACCACCTTCAACCACTCACTCCCGGCCCTCCATTCTGGAGTCTACCCCCCTCTTCGAACCACACCGTCCACCTCCTCCACCACCAGTCTCGAGAATGGACCCCATCCCCCCCGTCGACCCCAACCAACCCCCTTCCCAAACTCCCACATCAAACTCCTCAACAACCCCTCCCCCTCTACCCCTCCCCCTCGCAACCATCTGCATGCGCCTCCAAGAACACGCGACCTTCGTAACAATGCTCAGGAACCGCACAACCTTAGCCAACCAAATCTTCCTCAGCCCCTACCCACACAACCCGCTAAAACTCCCCATCCCCTGGACGATCCCAGCCTGGGACCAATCAAGCCTATACCCGGATATCCGGGCGGGCTACCTCTCTCTCGAAGACTACATCGCAAACTATCTCCGCGAGCGCCTCGCTGTTCTCCGCGCAGAAGTATCAACAACGCCATCGGCGATGCGCTCAGCGGCCGAAATCGCAGACGCGGAGGCGAAGAGCGAGGAACTCTCCCGTATCATTGTTCGCTGCAAGGTGCATGACTTCACGCTGTCTCAGGATCGCGAGCACGAGGTTACGCCTTCGCGGGTGACGTCTTCGACGCTGATTATCGCGCCGTGGATGGCGAGTGAAGAGAAGGAGGTTAGGGCCATGGTGGACGATATGGATCAGGCGTTGAAAGCGGCGGTCGAGAGTAAAATCGCTATCGGGATCTTCGCCGAGGAAGAAGAGAATGTTCCGCCGATTGTTAGGGTGCAGGGGAGGGATGAGGAGAGGACTAGGGCGTGGCCTGATGAGTGGAAAAGGTTCGAGCGGTTGGAGAATTTGGAGAAGAAGGAGTTTCCGGGTCGGTTTGTTGGGAGTTGGAAGTGAACGTTGAGTTCGTTCTCGAAGGGATAGCGTTTATTCGTGGATGGGATCTGGATGGGCGATTTGGAAGGATTGACGGATTGCCTGGGGAATTCTGTGGCTGGGTTCGGAATTGTGTGTTCCTCGTGTAAACACTTTACTGGGATTCTAGAGGAGGATATCTGGGTTAGAACGGAGCTGCTTTCTGGAAGGATTGACGGATTGCTAGTTCTCAAAACGTTCGATGAACTGCGAAGGATCTGTCTACGATCTGGACACATCCATCAGTCCTATGGGCCAACGCGGAGGAAGAAAACGCTTGATTTGCTGGGTTGTCTTTATGGAAGGATTGACGGATCGGCGGACATTTGTACTATTCAACGATTCACTTGATGATGACCTACGAGGGTCGTGTCATCTGGAGGATATGACTTGCAAGAACTCTTGCATCGACAAAAGTTTCTTGGTGAAGATTAGTTTCACCCATCCGATGTTCTATAAAGAATGTCAAGACTTGCGATTTCCCATTCCACTTTTGCTTTCCTATGTAAATATGATGCCACCGTCAATAACAATCGTTTGACCCGTCATGTAATCCGAATCTTTGCTACACAAGAAACTCACTGTGTTACTCACGTCCTCCGGGACGCTAGTTCTACCCAGCGCGATCAACTCCTCGCTGTACTTCTTGATCGTATCTCCCTTCTTCGCACCCTGCTTCTTCCCCAACTCCTCGTCAATCAGATCCCACATAGCAGTCCCCACAATTCCCGGCGCATAAGCATTGACAGTGATTTTATGCTCCGCAACCTCCATGGCAAACGCCTGCGTGAGACCGCGTACCGCCCACTTCGACGCACTGTAGTGCGACAACAGCGCGAACGGCTTGAATGCTACAATCGACGCCGCACCCAGGATTTTCCCAGGGGTTCCCTGTGCGATCATCTGTTTGGCGGCGGTGGAGTAGCAATTGTAGACGCCGTAGACATTGACTTCGAACATGCGTTTAAGATCGTGCTCGGTGAGGTCCAATAGGGCTTTTACCTGGGCGATCCCTGCGTTGGCGACCATGGTGTTTAGAGGGCCGAGTTCGGATACGCTTACAGATACCATGGATTGCACTTCAGAAAGTTGGGAGACATCTGCTGTATAGGGAATTGCTTTGCGGCCTAGTTGTTGTATCTCGCGAACTACGGACTCGGCTTGGGTTTTGTTGGCAGAGATGTCGTTTACGCAGATGTCGTAGCCATCTTGAGCAAGACGTAGAGCGATAGCTTTTCCGCTGCATAGATTTAGTTTAGATCATGGGAGGTGAATCGAGAGGGTCGAAGTGTGATACTTACATGCCGCGAGCGGATCCTGTCACAATGGCTGTTCGAGTTGGTGGCTCTGTACTAGACGCCGCGTATCTTCTCGTCCATTGGGGAGTTTTTGAGTTGATTGGGGCAAAGGAATACGGTTTCATAGAACCTTTGGAGGCTTGCCATAATGTTCTTGCTGGGATGCGGAAGGGCATGGTTTTGGAATGGGCTAGGACGATAAAAATCGAGGTTCTCTCATTTGAATGTTACTATACTACATCTAGACAGAAGATATCCAGATGATGAGAACAACAAGTTTTTCTCGACTAGGAATTTGGCTATAAGTAAGTAGTGAAACGGTATGCAAGTGAAGTGAGGACTAGGGTGCTAATGTACTCCGCATCTTGACCCTGGCAGAAGGGGTAGTTTGATCGGATATGTGGAAGATGGCGCAACCCCTCTCTTGTGGGATATTATAGCCCGAGATCTGCAAAGGCTCGGTCTATAGCAGCGTATGTGACGTATACATGTAGCTGCATATATCTTCCATGACGCGGATGGCCATAGACCCTATGGTGGTTGACTTGAAGGTACGGTTGTATTCCTCCTCTTCGCGTTCCAGAGGTGTGAAATCTACCGAGATGAGCGAATGACCCAAATCGGCGGTAGTCGGTTATTATTCTGTTCCTTTGACAATGAAAGAATTAAACAAAATCATGATGCGTACGGCTGCGAGATGGAAGCACGGCGGAGGTGGAGGAGTGAAGAGGGGAATAGCCCACTAGCCACGTACAGAATAGCGCCTCTTTCCGAGGTCGGATCTGTTCCGGTGGGCCTTGGTCTGATTCCTCCCACCTCGCCAACATTTGCAAAGAGTCTCGGAAGGATCACGATAATCCGCGCAACCAAACATTGTTGGACTGTCTAGCTGTGCTGGGCATACAAACACATTCGCAATGTCTCGCCAAAGCATGGCGCCACCGCGCAATCTGTCGCTCACCGAAGAATTGGAGAAGCTAGAGCAGTCCATCACCCTCACATTGCAAGGTAGGTAAACAAACAAACCCCTCCTCCTCGTGTTGGTTCTGTTGGACTGACGCGCGCAGAAATCGACCACAACTTCAGCCGTGCACATCGAATCGTAACCACGAGCATCCTTCCAATCGTCGAGCAATATGGCAAGCATTCTGAAGCGGTCTGGGAAGGCTCCAAGTTCTGGAAGCAGTTCTTCGAAGCTAGCGCAAACGTCTCCCTCTCCGGATATGAGGCGCGCGACACCGACGACACGACCGTTCACGATGACACCCAGCAGTCTCAGATGTACGAAGAGGAGACAATGGAGGATAACACGGTGACGGGTGGATCTGTGACCCCGCCTCGGCCTACATCCTCGCAGGCAGGCCTGGACGAGACATCCGAAATGGACTCGCCGTCTCTTGCACACGCCCATAGTACTCCTCGCGCGCCAAATACCGGGGGAAAAGAGCCTATGTTCGCCGAATTCTCATCTCCCTACGAAACGCTGCGGCAGGAGATACAGGGCACACGCACCCCTAAACTGGTTCCTACCACACCAGCAAAGACCACAGCGCTGCCCGAAATGAGCTTCGATTCTTCCCCACTTGTGCCACCGACTTCGGGTAAGCAGAGCCATGTCATGGACCCGCTGCTTCACCGAGTTCTCGACAAGACGTACCGCGTCCAAGCGACTCCCTTGATAAGCCCAAGGAAGTACAAGCCAACGGGTGCTTTTACTCCATCTACGGCTCGACGCGGTGCTCCTACGCCTCAGGCCCAAACCTCGACGCTCGCTGCGTGGGAAGACTCTTCCCCTGAGTCTTCGCCCGCGCCACCGCAGCTCCGAGCGGACCTGTTTTCGCCCCTCAAAACGCCGCGCACTCCCGGCGTGAGCGTACAGACGCCAGGCAAAGGAAAGCATCTCTTCAGTGTCACCAAAACGGGGGCCAATATCTTCGACGACACCGACAGCGAGGAGGATGATCTTAGCCCCCCCAAGACGATTCAATTTCACATTCCGCAGAGTAAGCTGCTGCAGACTCCTGGTACGTACATGTCTTGGTCAGATCCTGGTTACATGCATGCGGAGCGCTAACATGACACAGCCCAAGAAGCCAGCAGGCGGATTGTGGATGACTTGTTGATGACAGCTGGCGGCGACATCACTGACACGACCGAGGGACTGGAAGAAGACAGTCCCAGTGTGGTTCGACGTCAAGTGAACATGGACGATACATTTTGAGGAGGGTCTGGAATGAGACTCTGGCGGGCGTGCTTGTGCATTAAGATACCCCTTTTAGACAATTATTGATTTCTTTTGCATTCTCAAAAAGCGTCTTGTCATCATTGTCATGTTTATGATTTGTCTGCATTTATTCAAGGTTGGTCCAATAGCGTGAAATCGAACGTGAAATGGACCATGGGTCGGCATTCGCACGTGTCAACAAAGCACATGCAATGTGGATTCGAAGCACACGGCGGGCGCTAGCGGTCGATCACCGGGAGTGCATCTCACTTCCGTCATGCCTGGCAAGTAGGCCGTTATGTGAGGAATTAAAACAACGTGTTTCCACATCTCGGCCCAGACTGCCTAGGACCCCTTTCATAGCTTTCTACAGCCCATCCACTCGTTCATACCTCCATTCAATCGTCCACACACCCGTACAGCCACCCACCCCAAAAAGTCATGCCCAAGCCCAAAAGACCACCTACCTCTGGCTATGCGCGAATAGCCCAGGCCGAGGAAGAAGAAGACTCGCACGATGAATCCGAAGAAGAATCACAAAGCAGAGCCCTGCTGTCCAATTCGTACGCTCCCATTCAGCCTCGGCGGAATTCTCGAATGCGCGGGCCCTCGGGCGAGACGTCACCCACATTGAAGCGCACAACCTCAGGGCGGCGGCAGCGGAGCAATTCGGGCGTGGATATCAAAGCCATCAATGCGAGACTAGAGCGTTGGGCTGAAGAAATTGCGCAAAAATTCAAGATCAAGAAGCAGATCGACACGCCTGACGATGAGCCGCTCGAGATTCACCATTCCGTCTTCCAGGCTCCAGACTGGGCGCGCCCTGCCACAGCTGAGACGCTGACATTTGACTACGAGGGCTCATCAGACCGCATGACGAAGCTACAGTTTGACGACATTGTCGAGAGCGTCAGGGTAGCCATCGAGCAGGGCACACATCCGAAGCTGATCACCCAGGGCAGCTCTGGCAGCTACTTTGCCCGCAACACTCAGGGCAAGGTGGTGGGCGTCTTCAAACCCAAAGACGAGGAACCCTACGCGTCGCGAAACCCCAAATGGACAAAATGGATTCACCGGAATCTGTTTCCCTTCTTCTTTGGCCGTGCCTGCCTCATCCCCAACCTTTCCTACGTATCCGAAGCCGCTGCTTACGTTCTCGATACACAACTGCGCACGAACCTCGTACCGTATACCGAAGTCGTCGAGCTATCCTCAAAGTCTTTTCACTATGACTTCTGGGACAGGAGAGCATTCTATAGAAAGAGGAAGCCGCTGCCGATGAAGCCCGGCAGCTTTCAGGTGTTTCTCAAGGGCTTCAAGGATGCGAACATTTTCCTGAAAGAGCACCCGTGGCCAGACCAACATTCGTCAAGCGTCAGAGGCGATCCGCAATGCAAGAAAAAGAAGAGAAGATGGGCAGAGGAATGCAGACCAAGCGGACCACAATCAGACGACGAGTACGACGAGGAAGCCTCCACAGGTCCTGCGAGTCAGCCTTCGCAACAGCGGAGAGAGTTTTGGACAGATACACTGCAACAGTCATTTAGAGAGCAGTTGGAAAAACTTGTCATCTTGGACTACATTATGCGAAATACCGATAGAGGGCTGGATAACTGGATGATTAGAATTGATCAGAAGACACAAGAGGCCAGCATCGTGGCCGAGCCTCCGCAAATGGAAAGAGAGGATGATGATGAACATGAGTCGAATAGCTATACCAGGCAATCCATGTCTGAGATGGATCCGTATGGGCGTAGGGAGCCCATGACGGCTACAAGTCGCTCAAACACGCCCATGCCAAAGGGGCCTACGGCCTCTGTTTCTCTAGGTGCCATTGACAACAGCTTGTCGTGGCCCTGGAAACATCCTGATGCTGTAAGACTGCCCTGTGTTTCAACGTAGAACATCCCACATGCTAACATTTTCGCAGTGGCGAAGTTATCCGTTCGGCTGGCTTTTCCTGCCTGTGTCGCTCATCGGCCAGCCCTTCTCCGAAAACACTCGCAAGCACTTCTTGCCTCTTCTTACATCCAAGCAGTGGTGGAGCGATACCCAGCTCGCCCTTCGCAAATGCTTCTCCCAAGACGCCGACTTCAAAGAGCGCATGTATGCCAAACAAATCGCAGTCATGAAAGGTCAAGCCTGGAACGTCGTCGAAACCCTCAAGCTCTCCGACCACGGCCCTTTGGAACTCACCCGCAGAGCCCGCGTCTGCGTCTGGGACGACCTAGTCGAAATCCCCATCGCCGTCCCACTCCGCGCCCCCTCCGCCGAAATGCGTCGAAAGAACCACCCTCATCACCCCAACCAACAACGCCCCATTGTCGTCGAGCACGAAGAAATGGACATCACAGCCCTCTCCACGCCTCCCCCGAAAAATTCCCAACAGACCACAGCAGATCTCCTCATGAACTCGCCCCCCTTGGACAAAGCAAACGGAAACCGTTTCAACCTCAGCCGCGAATCCAGCTCCGTAGACGTCCGTCCCACACCCTCCTCCTCCACTACCTCGGACGCGCACCCCGCAGCAAGCGCAACCCAACACGCTGCGTCATGGACCTCGACTCCCCGTCTCAACATCAACACCTCAGACCTCGCGTCCGCCAACGGCCGGCCTAACCACCGCGCGCGCATGAGCTATGAAGCGCCACGTCGTCGCGAACACGTCCCCGTGAAACACCATCGCAGGTTATCGCTGACGGTCAGACGACACGATGGTGCTAGTGGTACGCATGACGAGGACGATGACGGTGATTTGGGGTATGCGGCGAATGAGGATATGGAGGCGAATCGGAAAAAGGTTATCGTCGAGCGGCTGGAGCAGGTCAAGAGCAAGAATCCGGTTTTTACTTGGTGTTAGAATTCCCTCTCTTCTCTCGAGATGGGGAAATAATTGTATTTTGGAGAGGATAGGCGGGAAGAGTGTTTTTGATTGCTTGGTTCCCGTTTCTTGTGTGTTTCTTCTTCTTTTCTCAGTCTTCTTGGGTCTGTCTCTAGAGAAGAATGGGCGTGGTGTGTCGTGTCTGCGTGGGTGTGTATTACTACTTACCACTACCTTATCTCATTACATCCTTTTCCTTTCTCTCTCCTTGGTTCTGCTAGCATCTTACTGTTTGCTTGCTCCTCATAGCAGACGGTGTCCCTGGTGCATTCTCTGGAGTTTATCCATGTTTGTTTCCGTATCTTTGGGGGAAGAAAAATATAATATATGTACTATGTAGATGCCCACTTTTTATACATAACTGTCATATCGTACCGCAAATATGTATCTACGTAGTCTGCAGCACTTGGTACTCATCGCTCATCGCTCATCACTCTAGATTCATCATTCAACTTATCTATCTAAGTGCCTACAAGAGACTTTTCTTTCTTTCTTTTCAACCAGAAGCTGGAAACAAAATTACATATACGAATACCAAAAATCCCTCCCCCACCCAAACAGTATACATAGGTACTCACATGAATACATGTACCTCAGTATATTACGCGCGACAAGCGCCTCCCCTGTCATCCATCTACTGCGCAAGCGCATGACCTAACTAACCCCCCCCCTTTTACATCCCGCCCTATTTTACGTGCTAGTCAGGTATATATATTTAAGTGAGAAAGAATAAATGCGATCTGCCGAGAGGGGAACGCGATTGATCATATGACAGGACGGTAGTGTGGGATAAAGGCGCTAGGCTGGATTTGGGTGGGGGTTTTTTGATGTTTGATGTTGATGATGATGGGGGAGGATGGGATGGAGGGAGGGATGGCACGTGGGTGCTTTGGACGGCGGCGGACGGACGGATGGGTAGATGTGGGTGGAGATAGACATAAAGGTGTGGGTGTGATGTGGATGTAGATGGTGTTGATGGTGTTGATAGTAGAGTATGAAGATGGGGTTGTTGATGGGGAGATGGAGGGTCATTATTATTGTTATTTCTTATTCCCGACAGCAGTGATTTGAAAGAGGCTTGTGTGAGATAGAGAGTCGTTGTGTTCTCGTCTGCTCTCTCTACTTGATGTTGGATGTGGTGGCATCAGAGTCATGGAAAGAAAGCATCATACATGCTATCAACAACCACCTGGCGTTTTCGCTGACATCGTTGCGGTCACTTGATCCCCCATGGCTATCCTGCAATGTCACCTCCAGATAAGCACTTAAATGTTACACGCTTGTTCATGTGCAAAAAAAAGAAAAGACCCCCCACCGTCTTATCCATTTCCCTTTTCTCGACCGATTTGCCGAAGGCACCGGTGTGTGTGCAGAGTGGACATTCTCAGAACGGGTCATATGACCCTACACAAAATACCGCCGCTAAGCCCAATCGAGCCACACCCAAAATTCATCGCCCGTCAAAGAATGACCAAGGCACCCGCGCCCGCACCCCATCTTCTTCATCGCCAGACAAGAAGGTTAGCTGAAAAGCGCCTGGTTTCTCCCCCGTTCTTTTTACCTGAAAATCCACATCCTGGAATGTTGATGCCCGTTGATCTGAGGTTGTTGCGTCGCGTTAGGAGACGCCTTCCTTACCTCGCGAAGCCGCCTGATACGCCTGTTGTACTGTGCTGATCCCGCAATTCGACTGCATCTATTACCTGGGCGTTTTTGTGTAGGATCGATTGAACTGTTGAGGTGGTTTTCTGATATCGAGATAGACGCGTGTGCTGACATCGACGACGAGAGGTTTTGTGGGGCCGAGTGAACGAACGAACATACCAACGGACGGACGGCATCTAGCTGCCAGAGCAAACGGAACCACTGCGGATTACAAAACAAACAAACAAACACACTCATACGAGGGCCAATCGACATTGTGTATCGTGGTCGACCTCATATTTGCTTCAGCATATTGAGCTATCAGCAGTATCACTCAGCGCAACAGACTAAGAGCATTTGGCCGTACATTGTAGAGCATATTCGAGAATCTCGCCAATTTCACGACTGTGTGCATATTAAGAAAAGATAGCATAGCCCGAGCCATCGCGAGTTTCGACCAATAGATTTGAAAAGTAGGCGTCCTCTATCACTTGCGCTGTTTGGTTGTGGCCGTTTACTTGGACCATGGACCCTGCTGCCTTACTTGACCCGCGAGGTGCGCGCAGACGAGGTAATTATAAAAGCACCCTCCACCAACCTCAACTCTCCCCTCTCCGTCTCTCTCTCTCTACCACTCGCTCTGCGTCTCTACTTGAGTCCTCTGCTGCTCAACATCATTCGTCCTCTTCCACCACACACACTTCTATTCACAGTCATTCGCGCGGACCACGTGTATTCGTCGCTCAGCATGGCCGACGACGAGCATGCAATGCACTTTGGTGCAGAGAACGCGCGAAACATGCTGAAAAAAGAGACTCCCCTATCCAGAACTGTGACGCCTGAGCTGATGGATCATGATGCAGCCCAAAAACAGCAAAACTCGCTGCCCGTTCCCACCACTGCACAACAACTGCCATCGCAACCTCGGCAGCAATATGCGTTTGATCCACGTGCTCTTCTAAACCCCAAGCGACCCGCGGGAGCACACGCAGATCGCGGCCGCGAAGATGCAACTGAACACGGCAGCGGCCAGTTCAACCTCGTGGAGCGAATTCACAATGTCGCCGAGCGCACTGCATCTCCGGCCAAACGCCCTCGGGTTGATGACCCCAACGAGCAGAACAAGAAAATCCAGATTCGGAACGGAGGGAGTGGCGGCGCTCTTGATCTAACACAGAAGCAAGGTTCCAGCAATGTTTCTGCTTCGGGCCCAGCTGCCGCCATCGATCTTACGATGAGTAAGTTTGCTCGCTGCTTATTCGTATGTTTATTGTACTAATGGACTATGTAGGTGACGATGAAGACAATGAGGTACAAGTAGTGCAAGACAACTCTAACCAAGTGATTTGCATCGGATGCCCTAAGAATCTGTACGTTCAAACTCATGTTGTCCCTTACCCGGACCCGAAGAAGTATTCGGGAAACACCGGTCATCGTGGTCGTATCAAAGTCAGTCTCCGCCAAGCTGCTGCGGTTGGTCTAGCAACAGACAACGTGATCATGGTCGTGGATCCTACCAATCGAGAATTCGGTAGAATAGATCGCATCTCTGCAAAATGGCTTGCGCCTCTCATCAACAGCGCTAGGAGCACCGGGCTCAAATGGATGGTGTGGACTACACCCCGGAATAGGAACCAGGACGATGGCCTCCCAGGATCTCCTAGCAGCGCGTTGATCGGCTTGACCATGCAGTTGTACTGCCCTCGCAAAGTTGCCCAGGACATTGGCAGGAACTTTGTGCATTATAAGGTAGCTCTCGTTCCGCCTTCGTTCGACAAAGACTCATATGACTACTACAACCCTATTACTCATGAACATGTGCCGGCGGATACTGGTCACGTCGGCTTTCAAACACATGCATACCATGCACACCAAGCATCAGCGGCTGGCAGCGGTAACTATGTCATGCGATCTGTCGAAGAGATTCGCAACGACGTCCAGGATGTCTTCGATAAAATGATTAATAGCGAGAACATCGAAGTACGCAAGGCCTCACCAATGATAGCGACCAAGCTTTATAAGCACCAGGAGCAGGCATTGGGATTCATGTGGAACAAAGAGCAGGATTTCCAAGACGATGATGGTGAACGGGAAGGTTCCCTGTGGAAAATGAAATACAAGAGAACGGGAGAGAAATACTACTTCCATGTCATCACCGGCGAGGAGATTAACCACAAACCTCATGTCTGCCGTGGCGGCATTCTAGCTGATGAGATGGGTCTCGGCAAAACGCTGAGCATTCTCTCGTTGGTTGCTGATACCGACTCTTTGGCCGCCGCCAAGGCGTTCTCTAAAAAGGCTCCCCCGCCTCGTTCTGGCATTGCAAACATTGTGAACAGCCGCGCTACACTGCTTGTGTGTCCTTTGAGCACCATGTACAACTGGAAGGATCAACTGGAGAAACATTTCCCTGTGGGCAAGAGCTTGAAGTGGACCAACTATCATGGAAAAAATCGCATGCAGCTCAGTCCCCACCAACTCGCTGATCACGATGTGATCATTACCACTTATAACATGTTGCAATCGGACTATCAAGAAAAGAAGGCACCGCTGGCATATGTTCACTGGTTTAGGATTGTTCTCGATGAGGCACACGCCATTCGCAATACAAGCACTAAGCAGTCCATTGCGGCTTGTAATCTGGCCGCGGAGCGGAGGTCTGTTTTGTACTGTATTTTCGACGATATTGTGACTTGCTAACTCTTATGTAGGTGGGCTGTGACTGGCACTCCGGTACAAAATCGCCTTGAGGATCTCGGCGCGCTGTTTCGGTTTCTGAGACTTCGCCCTTTCGATACGGGCCCGGGTTTCAACCAGCAGATAATCACGCCATTCAAGAACGCCGACGTCGAGATCGTGTCTAAGCTTCAACTTTTGGTAGGCTCCGTCACTCTGCGCCGCGTCAAGAAGAACGTCTTGGAGGTGGAGATCCCAGCTCGGAAAGACTCTGTTGTTCGGCTCAAGTTCTCTCCCGATGAGAAGCGGTTGCATGACTGGTTTGAGTCGGATTCCGCACGCAAGGTCAATGCTGTGACGTCAGGAGAGAAGCTGGGCGGTAACTCGTATGCCCGCATTCTCACTGCCATCACCAACCTCCGTCTTATTTGTGCACATGGCCGAGACTTGTTGAATGAAGAAGCTCTGAAACTCACTGATGGTATGAGCTATGACAACCCCATTGGTATCGACGAAGAGGGCGAGATTGATATGCACCCCGAATTGAATCGTTCCAAGGCGTATGACATGCTCGAGCTGCTGGAATCCACCGGTGGAGCTACTTGTCAGTATTGCGCAGAGAGCATTGTCGATGGCTCTGATGATGACGAGGAAGAAGGAGGCCATCAGGTGATGGGTTGGATGACCCCGTGTTACCAGGTCGTGTGCATAAAGCATGGAAAGAAGCTCGTGGATGACTTGTATAAGCGGCAACCGAACCCTGACGTTGCTTACTGTCCATTCTGCGACGCACCTATCCGACCGGTACCGTACAAACTTGTGCGTGGCGATTACGAGAACTATCTCGAAGAGCGCGACCGCAATCGGAAGAACCCTAAAATGGCTAGGAAAATGGGCGGGTACACTGGACCATCCACCAAAACCAAGGCCTTGCTGGAAGATCTGACTATGCACAAAGCATGGAGCACTGCTAATCCTGATGAGCCACCTATCAAGAGCGTCGTCTTCTCCTCATGGACCACTCACCTTGACCTCATCCAACTCGCGCTCGACAACCACGGCTTCAAATACGTCCGCCTCGACGGCCGCATGTCGCGCGAAGCCCGCAACCGCTCCCTCACGAACTTTGACTACGACGACTCCGTCCACATCATCCTCGTGTCCATTGGCGCCGGCGGTCTAGGCCTCAACCTCACAAAAGCCAACAAAGCGTTCGTCATGGAGCCGCAGTTCAACCCAGCCGCCGAAGCGCAGGCTGTAGATCGTGTTCACCGTCTCGGTCAGACGCGCGAGGTCGAGATTAAGCGCTTCATCATGGACGGCAGCTTCGAAGAGAAGATGCTCGACTTGCAGCGCAAGAAGATGGCCCTTGCGGATCTTACTATGACCCGTGAGAAAGGCACGAAGGAGCAGGCGGCTAAGCAGCGTCTAGCTGATCTGAGGAGCTTGTTTAAGTAAGGGGCTGGACAGTGTGCTGAATATAAAGGCACAACGGTAAGGTCTTTTTCTTTCAGTGATGGGGGGTGTGCATGGATCGGAATCGCAGAGGCTATTTTGGGAATGGAAAACGGCGACTTATGTGGATTTGTGAGCGAATACCCTTCGCTTTCCTCGTCTCTTTTCCAAGAACGCCCCTCACATCAGAGAGAGAGAAATGGAATCACCGCACACGAAGATCGGCGGGGGAGAGGAAACGAGGGATTATCCTTTTTCTTCTTATTGCTGGGGAGGGCGAGGGCGACTTTGGCCCCCTTCTTTTTATATCACACTGGCGTTGGGGAATGTGCGTGGCGGGCAAATGTCTAGCTGTGTGCATACATGCATACATGCATCATTCATCTATTTCTCCCTTCCCCTTCACATATCCATTCAACGATGGTGTGAACTAGGATAGAGGCATTCTTCTAATAACATACTGCTCTCCTCCTCATCTATGCTCTCCGTATCTGTTTTTCCTTCTCTTCTTCTTTTTCTTTCCCTCTTATTTTTCTAGTTCCTAACTGTCCCTCTTGTTCTGCATGTCTTCCTGCTTCTTCGCTCTACGGAAGAAAAGAGAGGAGATGGGATAATTGTTAGTCGCTGGTTGGCTTTGTGTAAACGAGAATACAAATCTACTACTGTATTTCTCTTCTTCTCCTTCTTTTTACGCCAGTACTCTGGCATTATATTCTGTGTAATAAACTTCTGGCAAGCATGTTTACACGCTATCCCCTCTCTCTTATCGACTACAATGATTGTAGATATAGTAAGAAACGTAGGGACGCACTAGTTGCTCATGCGGTTAGCGTCTACCGATTGGTTATCCATCCCATCCTCTACAGTCTACGCCTACTTCCCACCAGCTTTACCTTGTTACTCACAATTGCCAGGGTAGAACATCTTCTCCATCCTGTACATGTTATATGCGGCGATCTCCGGTCATGGAGGATAGCTCGGCTGTTCCTGCACATCATGAACCGGCACCGACGCGCGCAACCAGATCCCAATACCTCGGCGCCCGAATCCTGGACTTTCTACACTGATTGACAAAGTACCATCCTATTGAAGCAATCGAAATAGCCTTGCCTCTGGACGATCAAGACAGCCATACCCTCTACAGCTTCCAGTTTGCCTCCTCATTTCCGAAGGTCGATGCATCCTACACGACCTTCCCGAAGAGGATGGTGCAAAGATGCCATCTCGGCAAACCCGCGCCTCGCTCATCCAACCAGCAGCAGCACGCGTATCAGCCACGGCCCTTTGCCAAGCTACACCATCACTCGTCTTCTTGTCGCGATCTGACCCTGAGGCTCTGAGCAGCACCGCATTGGCATGCCTAAGATTGCCTCCGAGCTTCGCCTCCATCCATCGCATTGCATGGCGTGAACTACCCGATGTATAAGACCTGGGGGGTTCCCCTCCCCCGGACCTCCAACGGAGAGAGTAGGACATCCAGCCCTCGCCAATCATTCTGTGAACCATCATGTCTTCTTCGTCTCTCGTTCGATTGTGCAGTCTCGCGGCAACCGTAGCCGTCTCGTCTGCCTTGACCATTGCAGAGATCAATGGTGACAAGTATCTCTCACCTTACAATGGGCAGACTGTATCCAATGTCTCAGGCATCGTCACGGCGAAAGGTCCCGATGGCCTTTGGTTGCGCTCCGACGCAGAGCGCCGCCAGAACTTCACAACTTCAGAATCCATCTACGTCTTCGGTCGCGCATTCGCTACAAACCTAACTGTGGGGGATGCCATTGTTGTTGGAGGTCAGGTCCAGGAATACCGTTCCAACAAGGATTACGTCTACTTAACCGAACTGTCCAGCCCCGTACTCCAGTCTAAAGGGTCGAGCGGAAACAACGTGGAGCCCCTCATCATTGGAGAAGATACCGCTCAACCCCCAAGTGAGCAGTACAGCAGCTTGGATGGAGGCGATGTGTTTGCCGTCCCCAATAACGTCTCGCTTGTCTCCGTGGCCAATCCCGTTCTGAACCCCAAGCAATATGGAATGGACTTTTGGGAGAGTTTGAGTGGTGAATTGGTCAAAGTCAGAAAGCCAACGGCTATTTCCAAGGCTAACAACTTCGGCGATACGTGGGTTTATGGTGACTGGGAGGTGACTGGGAAGAATAGCCGTGCTGGCTTGACAACTGTCGACAAAGGTAATTACAGCCCAAAGATCTTGACAATCCGAAAAAAAGATGACTAACACAAAGTTATTCAGATGCCAATCCTGAAGCCATCATCATCGGCTCGCCTCTGGATGGAACTAAGAACCCGAATGCTACCAAATTGGGCGATGAGCTCGAGGAAATCACTGGAGTCGTCACATACGCCTTCGGATTCTATCGCATCCTCCCGACCACTGCTATCACGGTGAAGAACTCCCAGGAACCCGCCCTTCCCTCAGCTACGAAGCTCATCTCCGAGGGCAAGTGCAATGGTCTCACTTTCGGCGCATACAATGTGGAGAACCTGTTCGCGGAGAGTGCCCATCTTCCTACCATCGCCTCTCACATCGTGGAGTACCTCAACGCCCCCGACTTCATGTTCCTGCAAGAAGTCCAGGATGACAATGGTCCCACTAATGACGATGTCGTGTCCGCCAACCTCACCCTCTCTGCCCTTACCGCCGCCATCGCCGCAGCTGGAGGTCCAAACTACACATTCACTGACATTGCCCCGACGAAAAACCAGGATGGCGGTGCACCAGGTGGTAACATCCGAACAGCATACTTGTACGACCCGTCCCTGATCCGTCTTTCCAAGCCCAACCCCGGCACCAGCGTTGATGCCAGTGAAGTACTCCCCGGCCCTACCCTCAAGTATAACCCCGGCCGCATCGATCCTACGAATGAAGCGTGGACCGCGAGCCGCAAGCCACTCGTCGCGCAGTGGGAACTCATTGGCACGAACGGCACAGGCCAGCACACATTTTTCACCGTCAACGTGCACTTCGGATCAAAGGGTGGCAGCAGCAGTATCCAGGGCGACGCTAGGCCTCCCGCGAACGGTGGTGTAGAGGACCGTCAAGCGCAGGCCGAGCTCACTGCCAACTTTGTCAAGGTACGTTCCCAGCACATTCCCTCCCCCTCTTTTCCAAAGCCTCGATCCGGATAAAAGAGAAAGAGAAGAATAAGTAAAAAATTCAAATCTAACATGCCCTACAGTCCATCCTCGACATCGACCCCTCAGCCCGCATCATCACCGCCGGCGACTTCAACGAGTTCGCCTTTGTGAAACCAATGACCGACTACGTCGCCCTCTCGGGCCTTCAGGACCTCGACCAAGTCGCCGGAATCGATCAACTGGAGCGCTACACGTACCTCTTCGACATGAACTCCCAGCAGCTCGACCACATGTACGTCTCGCCCGCCATCGCCGAAGCACAAACCAAGGCACAGTACGAACACATCCACATCAACACGTGGCCGGATAAGGCGGGCGAGACTAGCGACCACGATCCTAGTGTTGCCAAGTTGGATGTTTGTGCGCCTGCTGCTGCTGCTGCTTCGTACCGTGTGTAGAGGATATTTGATCCCCATAGTTATTATCTATTTTCAACTGTGAGTGTGAGAGAGAAGGGGGGATGGGAGTCTTCTTGTACATATTTACACGATGATGAAAAACAAAAAAAGAAAACGAGAAAATTGAAAAAGTTCAAAAAACAAAACTATTGTCTGCTTCTACTGCTGTATATCGTGATGTGACGAACAGCTAGCAAGCTAATTCTGTTTATTTTTTTTTCTTTTACGTGTTTGGAAAAAGTTGGGTCTTACTGTTGATGCAACGTTGAGGGTGGAAGAAAAACGCTACATCACAATCCGAGAAAAAAGAAGAAGAAGAAGAAGAAGAAGACAAGTCAAGTTCTTTTAACTTACCTATTTAAGCGCTGCATAGCTTCTACCTAAGCATCTATACACACAATTGCGCACACACACACATGCTCTATATCCCCCACAGCAAAATCCCTCTACACAGCATTCTCGAGTTACAATAACATGAACCAGATCAAGATAAGACAAACAACTCAAATTTCCCATCTATCCATTTCCATAGCATGAACCATATATATATATATATACCCACCTTCTCTAAGGGAGGGAAGGGGGCTGAAAGAGTATGGCGTCAAAAAATAAACCCCCCATCACATCTCTACCTCTCTCTTCTAGCAATTATCATGAGATAGCAGATCAACATCCATAAACCGAGCTTTAATCGCTCCAGGAATGAGAATAACAAGGTCTGCAGGTATATATAGCGATACCGACATGACTGACAAAGCACAATGCGCAGAATTGCAGCGACCGTACAAAGACCGAGGAACGTCTCAGGTGGTTGTAGCGGGTTACGGGAAACCAGAAACAGGTTTAGTGACGAGTGAATGGAGAGAATAATAGAGAAGGGAGGGGAGGAGGGAGGAGGAATTGGCATGAGTGTGAGTGGACTCGGGGATCGCTAGACGAAGTAAAGAGGAGCAAAGTAGAGAAGTGATGGGATGATTTGAAGGACGGCGGGGATCCGACAGGAGATTGGTGGAATGGGGTGGTGGGTAAGGTAACGGGTGATCAGTGGATTTGGACTTCGACTGTGTCATCGGGGTGCGTCACATGGTGGGAAAGAAGAGGGAGGGAAAAGAAACCCTACCTATTCTTACCTTCACCTTACCTAGTCAGTCGGGGTCAGTAGAATATACTGTTTGGAGACTGTCGCATCCAAATTGCTGCGTCCGCTTCTTATTGTTGATGAAAGGCTGCCAGAGATGTGTTCGCATTGTGGGTAGTGGTCGCAATGGTAATGGTAGCCGCAATGGTAGCTGATATTCGGTTGTCGCAATGGAAGTCGCAGCCGAGATGCACACCCAAGGTAGTCGTGCGAGGGAGAAAGCAAGGGCAACACTTCACCGAGCACTCTCATAGCCAATTAACAGTTGGTGCCGTCGCGTGAAGAAGTCGCTTGAGGTGTGTTGTGGATATCGAGATTGCGGTCGTAGTCGCCATGGATATTCGGCCCTTTCAATTGCCCGAGCAGGGGCAAGGGGAAGGGAGGAAATGATACTTAAATCACACCTTGTCATGGTCGCATCGGAGACCTAGTCTGAAAGTCGCTTGAGGTACCCCTTGCTGGTGTCGTTGGGCGTAGTCGCAATGGAAATACCTTCTCTTTATTCACCTACCGTTACGAGATGGTAGACCTCACTGCATCTCTTCTCAGGTGACACACGACATCTTTCACTCTTGCCTGGACACAGCTCTGGGGGTTTGTTTTGTTTTGTTTGAACTATTGAATGTGAACGCTTGACAAGGAACGTGGACCCGATTCAGACCGGGGATTGATTAGTGCGTGGTGTAATGGGGTAGGGTGATACTTTGTCCTCATGCTTCTTCTAATGAAGACCCTCCCTTTCTAGAAAACGAGGTGAATGCTCCAGATGAAACGCCGATATAATGATGCTGGATCGCTGCAGTTGCTTTTGATGAAATGGATGATGTTGTACAAAAATGAATGCTGTGAAATATTGTCGAAATGTGTTGGGTAAAGTCGAGATCAAAGCGTCCAGAGGCCGCTACGGCGCTTTCCCAGCGGGTAGATAATTAGTGCGGACATAAAGAGGCCGACGGTAATGCCGATGGCAATTTGGATCATTGAAGCAGCGACGTTGAAGCTGATAGCGTTGAGGGCTTGTTGGTCGTTGGGGTCAACAGTCTCGTTCCCGCCTCGAATAAGCGATGATGCCGTCTTCAAAGCAGTGTTGATGCTGCCACTTGCTGCCAAACTTCCCGGGACCTGAACATAAACAGCGGGAAGCAAAACAGCAGCGGCAACTCCGTGGCGCAATCTGCTATATAGATTGGCAAGAACGCCGATGGCAAAAGCGCCGAATGTGTAAGCAATAGCTGATGAGTTTGTTAGCAATAGAACTTTGTGCTCACAAGCGGAATAAATTGTAATGAAACTTACGCGCACTCGCACTGAACTTCATGTTGGAATAGAAGTTCACTACATAGCCCGCAAATGCGATGGCAATCATAACGGGCATTTGCTTGTATTTGGCCTGCACTGTGAAAGTGGTGAAAAAGACGTAAAGAGGGACCATAAGGAAGTTCCAATATGGGTTCATGGGGTCTCGACACTCCGTCTCGCTCGTCGCGTTGCTATCGATAGCGCCGTAGATAGCTGTGCCTGCAGGGTGTGGGTCAGTGCAATTGCATTTGTATTGAGCTTTTTGTTCTTACCGACTGTGATGCCGTAACCCAGAAAGAGACTGTAGATGATGGCATACACAAGCCTAATGGAGCCCGGTACAATGGCTTTTGATTGAAGTTCCAGAGATGAACTGAGGACAAGCTAAATCGGTGTCAGCGATCATGCAAAAGAAAATAAGCGAACAAAGGGAAATTACCCAACCAGGGAGAATCATGGCAATCGAGCTTTGCGTCAACGCCGAGAAGCAAAATAGATCTCCGCCACGAATGCTGCCGAACATGCGAGACAGAAAGGTCATCAGGATCGCAGCACTGATCTCGAAGACCGTGCTATACGTTTTGGACAGGGGTGCAACAACCAGCTGCAAGAATCCAAGAATACATCCGAGAACGAAGATGATTGGGAAGTCGATCGGCCGAGCTTTGAAGAAGCAAGATACTGCGGTACTTGCGAGCCCGTACATCAACACAGACAGCCAGACGGGGTGACGGTCCTTTGCAGTGATCACCTCTTCTAGGCGTGCGAGTGCCTCATCAAGATCGATGACACCATGAAGGACCTCTTTGTAGATTTCATGGGTGTCTTTCAACTTCCCGAGGTTCACTCCTACAGATCGTTAGTTGACCATTTTACTGTCGTCATGGAAAGTGAACTCACCTTGCGTGACTCGCACCATCTTGACTTCTGAAGTCTTGGTTCTCGTATCATCGTAGGAAACCAATATGCAGCCTGATTCAATCAGCATTGTTCTCTCGCGTTCGGCCTAAGACGGCTAGATGTAAAGATTTGCCATTCTCTAGGTGGTGCGATGAACCTACCGGGTATGTAAAGGAATTGGGCGTTCGTCTCTAGTATCTTTGCGGTCATGGCCAAGTACTCCTCGAGGCGATGCGTGGGAGCTCCGAAAAGCATTAGTGCACGCGCCAATTTGAAAATGTATTGCTAAGCTGCAGTTAGCAAAAAGGCCCGATAGCACCTACCAGAAAAATCTCTTGCCCAGCAAAATCGCTTACCTGGCGTTTGAGGATGGTAGCGAGATGTGCTTTGATCTTCGCACTCTGGTCCTCCTTGGCCTTGAACATCTTGGTGATTGGGTTGGATGAATGTCGTTTGTGTGCAGGTCTCGGGGGCGTCGAATTTGGGTTTGTGAGAGCAGCAGCCGCGCCGATCAACGTAGCCAGCGTTTCCTGGGATCGGTTTCCCTTCTCTTGCTCATACCACTTCCTGTTGGTACGACGGGGGGTCATTGTACCTGATGAGCCTGGCCTGCTTGCTGTATCAGGGTACTGTGGCGGACTCATACTAGCTGTCGAAGAAGCATCAGTCATGGCTGGGGCTTTGTAAGCTTTGAGGAGATGGTAGAGAAGGCCTCCCTCGGAGTTTCCAGAATAGGCATATTCCTCTTCTTCTTCGGAGGTGACCTTCTCCAACGGCTCAGGTACTGGTTTTTCTGATCTGTGTGCTTGCAGGAGCTCTTCTGCTTCAGCGGTTGATGTGCCGATGCCGGCAAATTGAGACTCAACATCTTCGCGATGGCTGGCGTTGGCCGATGATTGTCTGGGGATGGTGTCGGCATGACTGTTGATGCGAACTCTGCGTCGCTCGGCATTTGGAGGCTCTAATATGGGCGATGGCTCCAAAGATGGCGTTTGGAGATGTTTCATCTCGTGATCCGATTCGGACGTCATGGTTTGTATATTGGGATGTGCAGACTGCACAGGATGTAAAGAATGGTGAATTCTAATGGGAAGCGATGGAGCCGGTAAGCAGAATTCCAGTTGATGGACGCAGTAGATAAAAAACGAGAAATGGGAATTTGATTTTGATGTGATGTTGGAATAAAGGAGGAAGCAGAAGGGTATATGCAGAGCGCCAAGGGTGGAGAGTGAAGGGCAAGACTGGGGAATTAGGTTTGTTACGTAACAAAGGAGGGAAGCGACCCACTGTTTGCCGGTTCCAGGGAAAGCACCAAGGAGACGCAGAGTTTTGGTTTCGCAAGCCCAAAAGTTGGATCCGCCTCGAAAAGCATGATGCAATTCCTTGCTCATGACGGCCGACTCAGACTTTTCGCTACTGCCGCGCGTTAAAAAAAGGGCCGGGCGTGACCCCTGAGCCATCATCAACGTTGATGTGTGCCTGATCAACGCTTTGTTTCTGCTGTAAAGTTTCAAGACCCTCTTTTCCTCGACTTCTAGACTCTTGTGGATCCTGTGTGTCTTGCGACTATGGATTTTTTTTCGGTTTGGCAATGCTACTTCTGTGACTCGTGTATCATCGTGTGGTTGCCCTCGCCAACGGTCCAGAACACAATCTCTTGCTTTGCATGCCGGAAAAACGCTGCCAAATACTATTACCTCCCAGCAGACCCATAGTTCTCAAACGCTGCTTTGCAATGCTCCACGCAATTCTCCCCGTCTTCCGCGCAAGCGACTTTGAAGAATTTGTGGGGAGAAGATGGAGTAAAAATAGACACGTGGATTTTCTTTCCTATTCGGGAAACACTTTATGCTCGATTGGGTCAGATGGTCTGTGCCATGTACAAATTTTGTCGACCCGGAGCCTCTTTGAGCCTCACTAACTTGGAACAGCTATACTAATTATTCAAATCGGTGATGGATATTCACATCGATTTATCCATGCCGGAGATATTTCCGTCAACCCTCCTTGTGACTCCATCGATCCTGCTCACAAGCAATTAACGCTTTGTACTTGGTAGTTTGTACAGGGAATGATGAACCTGGACTACGTGTAGAGTGGAGAGTATTGAGATTTCATCTCAAGAGCTAGCTTTTACATCAGTTTTTATGCCTCTCAGGCACAACTAGGACAATATTAAATTCGCATCAAGGACCAGTAAACCGACAACCATAGCATCCGAGAGAGAGAGGCACATAAGCCCTTCAAACCTGCCGTATGACCAACCAACCAACCATCCATCGCTGATGAGGCTAATCGCCATCATCATAAATACTATTACCATCCACCACATCCATAATATCCACCATCATCGTCGCCACCACAATGCTGACTCTTAATCACCCCCTTCTTTCCCGATGGCATTGAACCTCATCTGCACCGCACCAGGCTCATAGTACTTGCCGCCAGCACGATCCAGCTCATCCGCGACATAGATCCAGAACTTGGAGTTGACAGTGTTGACAGCCTGGCAAATCATCTCGGACACCACGGGCGTCTCCAGCTCAGCTTTCTGGTCTGAATGCGGCATCTTGGGGCGGAGGTTGCCTTTGAGGTCCTGCTCCTCGTTGCCTTCCTCGCGCACGCGCTTGCGGCCGGCGCCGCTGCCCCAATTCTTGGAGGGCTGGACGCGCAGGGAGTCTGGGAGGTGGTGGGCTGGGTGGCGGAGGTAGAGGTAGTCCTTGGGGTCAAAACCTGCATCACCGCCTCAGTTCACATGTAGCGATCAGTCTGCTTTCATCAGGAGAGGAGAAAAACGAAAACGACGGGGTAAGGGAGACAAAAAGGAAAAGAAGGGGAGCTACTAACCATAATCGCCCTCGTTGATGGAGATGCGATGTCCGTTTCGAATGAATCTACCATAGACAGAAGCCTCCGTGAAGTCGTCCTCCTCGCCCCTATCGCGCCGCAGCGAATTCATGGCCGCCGCGATCCCGCCCCACGACATGTGATCCTCCTTGCGGAGGCGGACAATCATCTGGTTCTCCGGGTTGTCCTCGGGGCGGACGCGCGCACCGCGCTGGTGGCGAGTAGTGTGGATTGGGTTGACGCCTTCGAGTTCTTTCTTGATGGTGCAGGCGCGACGCGCGGAGCGTACGGGAAGGTTCATCTGCGTTGGGCGCTGGGTCGGGGGTGTTGATGCGTCTGGGTTTGTGGAGGCGGGGGCTTCTTCAGTGGTGAGAGACGGATCTACCTCCATTGCTGTGTTCATTTGTCCGCGCGTTGTTGGTCTGATGTCCGGTTCGAAGAGGGGGGAAGATGTGCGTTCTAGGGTAATGTGGAATTCGTGCTGGGGTGGGGAAGGTGGACGAGACATTGTGGGATAGGTCGAGTACTCAAGCACAAGAATTACCTGCTGGGCTGAGTATAGTGAGAGACGTCGGAGTTAGATATACACTCACCGTCTATTCTTCCAGAGTAAGAAAATATTGGACAGATGTCGATACAACACCCCCCTTCTATGAAAACACGAGGATATATCGCACTTTGATCGATGAAGGTCGGCAGTGATCTGGTAGATGTCGTGGTGCTGCAGACCATCGAGAAGCTTTCCTATATGCGGGGGTGGGTAGTCTGTCGGGCTTTCACATTATTTTCGCTTCAAGAACAGTTGCGAGGTCGGTCAGTACAAACGCCCTTCAGACCCTTGAATGAAGAATTGTCACAGGTAGCAAACATGACAGCCAACCAATCCCCTTCGACAATTGCCAACGGAAGAGGCGGAGTTCAAAATTTCGGTTGCGATTTCTAGGATCCTCTCATTAGTTTGCGAGATTCGGACTGACTATTGGACACTAGATAGAGTCTACATGTCTTCGTTTGGTCGTTGTACGACGTCAGGCGTTGACTGCAGCCTACTGCCTAAACTACATAAGCACTGCTCTAACCTGCGTGCGATTGCTGACCGCTTTTTCCTATTTCACGTGCCAACGTACAATGACCAGCACCTCAAAAGGAGTTTCAAGAAGAGAAGAGCGGATATGTGGCCGGGCTCTTGTACCCGTTCGTCCCCACAGCCCTGACACCAAAGATGACGTTATCCTTGCTTAAGGGCAGGGTAACCCTATCGACTCTGCCAACATCAAGTACGTGAGTCCATAGACTAGCTGTAGTCGGTCTCCAGACAATCTCATAGGTCTTGACATCTGTGCTGTTCGACAAAATCCATTTCAGCCGCGTGTTGTTGTCAAGCGCGGTGGTGTCCACAGTCACATTTCGGACGAGACCAGGGGCCTCAGATAAACTCCAGAGCGTAGCTAGGTTCACCTTTGGTGTCGTTAGTATTCATATTCGGCTACCCTTATCTTGGATCGTTGTTTACTACGTACCTTACCAACACGGGCCGTATATTCAAAATCCACAAATTCAATCAGATCGCCATATACAGTGTCGTTCTCCGTACGCAAGTCCTGATGCTGATGATCGAAGTTCTCATTGGGTTCCGTGAATCGTATCGCAGGATAACCTGCCTCCAGGAATGGCCTATGATCTCCCCCACGCAAGAAGCGATCCAGACGATAGATAATGGCAATAGACATGTTGGTCGCAGAGTTTGACGCAACTTCGCTCGAGAAGCGCGCAAGCTGCCTGGCGGGTGAATCATTTTCACCCCCAACCTGTAGACGGCGGGCTGCTGTGGTTGCGTTTTCGCTGGGAGGAGGACCTTGAGCGAAAGCGCGGATAGTGTAGGGATCTTTTTGGCCGCGATCGCCAACGGACGATCCGACAATATCACAATTTAGCATGCCTTCTACGTTTGTGCTGGCGTTTTTTAGTGTTTGGGCAAAGAATGTAGAGCCTATAAAGTCGTCAGTGTCTTCTTCGGTGTCTCGATCTCATACGTACCGAATAAGCTCTGTTCCTCCCCAGCTACGGCAGCCAACATGATGGTAGCTTTGGGCTTGGTCTTGGCTAACACACGCGCAAGTTCCATTGCAACTGTCGTCGGTTAGTTCGTCAACCATGGTCATCAAGCCCAGCTCCAGGATACATACTAGCTGTTCCGCTGGCATCATCATTTGCACCCGGTGCGTCGGACGTATAATCCAATACATCAGTCACACGACTGTCGTAATGGCCACTCATGACATAGACTCGATCTGGATCTTCTGATCCCTTAATTGTCGCTACGACATTAGAGATCTTGACTGGAAATGGAATTCTATTGGCTACACCCTGAACATAGCCTGGCACAGTGACGGTCATTCTTCCGTCGCTCTCTTCAGCGTACTTGTTCATTTCTGATGCGATCCAATCGCGTGCCGCTCCAATGCCTCGTGTAGTACTATTTTGCGTGGATAGAGTGTGTCGCGTTCCAAAAGATACCAGTTTTTCAATCGATGCCTGTATATTGGAAGCGCTGAAATCGTTAAGGAGAGATTCTAGTTCCTCGGTCGGCGCTTGGGGTATCAGATCGGCTCCAAGGTCTGAAGGAGGCCATTCTGCGGTCGCGCATGATGAATAACCGTCGGCATTCGAAAAATCACGCTCATATACGAGTTCGTTGGAATGCACCGCCGTCAGCAGCGTTGCCGCCGTCCAGAATGAAGATGATCGCATGATTTGTGACAGCAACGATTGGGACGAAAAGAAGACAGAACGTAGGTACAAACGCGCTATTTGAAGACCTCGTAGAATGTATGACGCAACAATAGATACGACTGGCAAGGGAGTAGAGCTTCCCGTCGCGGTTAGATGCTTTGCTCTATTCCTGGTAACCCCTCATCTTTAACGTAGAATATCGTCAACGATAGCAGGCATGCGGCTCGGCAGGACAACTACACTGGGATGCCGAGCAGGCCCTGTAGGAAGCCTCTTACCGAAGAAGGAAGGTCGAAACCATTTAGGCGGTATACTTGCCCTGGGCATTTGTGCGATTATCTTCGGCGCGGCATATATTCTGTTGATGATGAAGATGTAAAAGAAATGCAATTGGTGACGAATCAAATCAAACTGTTGATGTTGTAATATCTAGGAGCGATTATATTTCGATTGGAAGCGCATAAATATAGTCAGTCGGATCTAGTATTGATCGTCGTCTACGGACATCCTATCGCCATCTGAATTGTATATTCCACTGGCAGTCTCGATTGAGGGTGCTGGAATGTCTGCTCCATCAGAAGAATAGTGCGATCCTGGGCTTTGATTTCTAGGTATGTCCGCCCTTTCCTGGAATTCTGCATACTCGCGGGTCCCGCGTATTGGTATGTCGATATGGGTGGCAGCTGTACGTGGATTCCGCTGGCTTCTACTTCCTTCAGAAGCGTCATCACTCCCGGTCATATCGTGTGGGTCATCCAGCCCATTTTCGGCGCTTTTCTGCGCAGCAGCAAATTTTGAAGCAGGGACTGGCACAGAAAGCTCCTCCCAATCTGCACGATACTGCGTCCAGCTCCGCCAATCTCCTGTTTCAAGAACAAGTTTGGTTTGTGGCAGCTTGGAGTCTTTCTCGTCGGCCTCGCTTTTCAGGCCGGTTGAATTTTCATGTGGGACATGGCCGGTGTCGAGTAAACCCCATAGAGCCTGCTCTTCTTTGTGACTTGCATCTTGGTCAAATGTCTCAACAGCAGTCAACTCTTCTTCGTATTTCGTCCGAAAGATATCACTTCTTCGCAATGTAGCACTTGATGTATCCGAATCGTCGTCTTCGGAACGGGAGGACATGTTTGCGTCAGCAATCTCGCATTCAGAATCCATGTCTGACACTACATCGCTTTGTACTGACAGCGACCGGCGTATTGTAGGTAAGGGAGTTCCGCCACGCATGGCTTTAGATCTGAATTCATCATGGTCCGTTCCCCCGGCAGATTCCGCGGTATCTAGGTCCGTCGGAATAGGTTCCCTTAGGCCTAAGAACTCTTCAACTTCATGCCATGGCACGTTTCGTCTCTGGCCTGTGTCACGTACGTCTCGGTTTCGATCAGTGACTTGAATGCCGCAACGCCTTGCAGCGCCTGCCCATCTCTTATTGCCGTTTCGAGGCAAACCCATTAGGTCAACAGCAGTATGGATATCTCTCGGTTTCACGAACGGTTTGACGCCCTTCTTCACTCGCCATCCTTGCGATCGAATGCGGGCGGTGGCTTGCGTAATCGCGCACTGTATGATACGCCGAGTTACAGACAGAGTCAGATTGTGTATATCACTGAAAGCGGTCCTGTATATAGACGGCTCTTGGGCGATCTCTGAAGTCAAGTCCATCCAGTGGGGCCATGGATACGATACATTTGGCGAGGGATTCATGAAAAAAGTCCTCGATAATTTCAGAAACTCGGCTGGATTCAAAAGTTCGGCTTCCGGTATATCTTCGATTATGGGAGGAGATACTGCATTACTGCCCGCATGACCCGCGGTGTCATGTTCAGTGTCAGGGAACCCAGGGGAAGAAACCAGATCGTAGTCTCGGTTAGGCTGCATGGCTTGTTCAATTTCCTCGGCCAACTCAGACGTAATGAGCCAATGTTCACCGTACTTCACTTGCTCCTGCTTTGCTTCGTAACGTTCTTGATACCATGCTAGAGCATCGCCTGCCAGCTCCAGACTTTCTTCGCATTCGCGGCCAACTTCCATAGCAGCAGGGACATCTTGCATAGCGACCTTCAATCTTGCGTCTCCTCGAAGAGCGACACGCTTCATTGGGGCATCCTGAATTGCAAGTAAGAACTGCGCAGTCTCGGCCACAGTCTTGGTCCGAATCGCGTTGGATATGCCGGGTAAATCATCCTGACCGAGACGTTCTAATGCCGCGAAAAAAGTATTCTTTTCTTTGGCAGTCCACAAGATAGCGCCAAATCGGCTACTTTCCAGGTTGAGTGAATCATCTACAACAAATCGAGATGTTGCTGCATTGACATCGTCGTTGTATAGTTTGCGGTAGGGGTCGCTGTATTTGCCTTCCAGATGATATTTACGCTGTCGTATCCAGTCTCCAGACCCAGATCGACGACGTTTACGAGGGGATGTAGGGGTAGAGAGGGCACGCGAAGGAAGCGGTATTTCAAGATCAAAGTCGTGGTCAGTGGAAGAGTCTTGTGCTTCACTAGCAGCAAAGTCGGCGTCTGAAGAGCTCATAGTGCGATTGGCATAGAGTGAGGGCTAAGATTTCCAGCCGCTTCTCGGATCTGTGATTTGTGCAAGACAACATGGTGTGTGCTATGTGGAGCATGTCCCCAAAGTATGTGTACTTCGGCCCATAGAACTTTTCGGGATGCCAAGGCGGAGATGCTTCGGGGCTAAGATAGAATCGCGCACGCGTTCAGCTGATCGCGTGTGTAACAATCGGCGGCCTTTCATCCATGACGATTCTTTGATGCATTGCCTTGGTCGCTTTGCGGCGAATGTATTCAGGCAGCCAGGACGGCTGTCTGTACGAATACCATCGAGGCACGCGTCGACGATTGCCAGCCGGTCCCTCGGTGGAGATAATGTCGCTCCCGCCACTCCTCTACAAATCTCTCTTCGCGAATACCAGGAAGAGTGCATTCAGTCGGTTCTATCTTACCTTCAAAAGGGCCACAAACGACTAGGTGTCTCGCTGGCCACAGGATCCGGTAAAACGGTATGTATACAGAGTTACAAGGGAGGGCTTTCATTGGATCTAATTGTTCTAATCAAGCATTCAGGTCATCTTCACCCACCTTATCGATCGCATTCCCGCCGACGAAGATGCCGCTCAAACACTCATCCTCGCTCACCGCCGTGAGCTAGTTGAGCAAGCTGCTCGACACTGTACACTGGCCTACCCCCACAAACATGTCGAGATTGAAATGGGCAAGCACCAGGCATCGGGTGCTGCTGATATAACTGTCGCCTCCATCCAGAGCATCATGTCTGCGGATAGACTACAAAAGTTTGATCCCTCAAGATTCAAGCTGGTGTTGGTAGACGAGGCTCATCACATCGTCAGCCAGAAGTATCTCGAATTGATGGAACATTTCGGGTTGCGACACGCAGTTGATTGGAAGAATGCTCATGTACCTGCTTTGGTTGGTGTGTCCGCCACCTTTTCGCGCTTCGATGGGCGCCGATTGGGTACTGTCATAGATCACATCGTCTATCACAGGGACTACCTGGACATGATTGAAGAGAACTGGCTTTCGGATGTCGTCTTTACTACCGTGGAGATGAAGGCTGACTTGGACAAAGTCGGCACCGGCCCTAATGGCGATTTTCAGACTGGTGCTCTTTCCCGAGTCATCAATACTGATCAGACCAATAAATTGGTGGTACAATCCTGGCTGACCAAGGCGAAAGAGCGCAAGTCAACCATTGTCTTTTGTGTGGATCTCAGTCATGTCACGAATTTGACCGCGACCTTCAGACAGTTTGGCATAGAGGCTCAATTTGTGACTGGCGATACCCCAGCAAAGATACGCAGTGCTAGAGTAGATGCTTTTCGCAACGGCGAATTCCCTGTTCTTCTCAATTGTGGAGTCTTCACTGAGGGAACTGACATACCAAATATCGATTGCGTCCTGCTGGCACGGCCAACCAAGTCGCGTAATCTACTCGTGCAAATGATAGGGAGAGGTATGCGGTTACACAAAGGCAAAGAAAACTGTCATATCATTGATATGGTGTCGGCTTTGAGCACCGGTGTCGTATCTACACCAACGCTCTTTGGCTTAGACCCTTCCGAGATCGTCGAACAGGCGAACACCAAGGACATGAAGGAGCTCAAGGACCGCCAAGAGGAAGAGCAGAGACGGGAAGACAAAGCTATCCACACAACCCAGAAGGTCGACACGAGGAAAGTTTTAGGGACAGTGGTATTCACAGACTATGACACAGTACACGATCTTCTTGCAGACACATCAAGTGATCAGGCTATTCGGAATATCAGTGAGCTTGCTTGGGTTGCGGTCGGTGATGGCAAGTTCATCCTGACTACAAACAGCGGCAATTACTTGCTCATCGAGCCTCAAGGAGAGAATAACGAAGGATATCACGCCAAATACTATTTGAAGCTTCCTCCTAACGACAAATACAAAAGCCCATATGCCACTCCTAGAGTGATTGCGCGCGGAGACACATTCGAGCATATTGTACATGCTGCCGATACCTTCGCTATGGAGGCCTTCGAGTTTATATGGATCTCGAAGAATCAATCCTGGCGTCGTAGCAGAGCATCGCAAGCGCAGGTTGATTTCCTGAACAAGTTTCGCCCTGAAGAGGATCAACTGAAGCTGGATGATATTACAAAGGGCAAAGCTGGTGACATGATCACGAGAATTAAGCACGGAACCAAAGGAAGATACCAGAAAGCACAGACTAAGCAGCGTATCGCAAACCGCATCCGAGACAGGGCTCAGACAATGCAGAAGCGATTGCAAGGGCAAGTCAAGGTGGGGCCTTTGTCCGCAGAACACTTTGCTCAATAGCCTGCTGTTTCTCCTTGCATCCAGTTCTTCTTGTTCTTTACCCACAGGGTGAAACCTGACGATGCTACGGTACATTTTTCTGCGCTTTGATTTCGTCATCGCGAATAGGAACTCTTTGTGTTCACTTTTCCCTTCCGCGTGTGGACAACACCGGATTCGGATAGTCTTGGCCCTATCGCCTTCCCGAAGCATTCCAGATCATTTCCAGAACGATTGAATGAAAATTCCAGCAGTAACCAATGCCTACGATCTGGGTACAAATAACTTGGAATTTGCTTAAATACCATTGGTTTTCCAAGAACGCATGCCAGTGCTCTGCCTTGCGATGTCGGACGCAAACTCTTCTCCGCCTGGACACGTTCATACGCCGAAGCGGACTAAACCTCATCGCCTGCCCATTCTGCACATGTTCAGACACCGGAAAAGTCATTCGCGCTCCGATGAGCGTGGACCGGTACAACTATCGACTTCACCAGAGTCTCCCAAATCAACTCATGCACGACTGCCCTCGAATGCGGGATTACGCAATGGCATGTCTACAACAGTCCTTGTAGATGAGTATTCAAACTTATCCTCTAAGCGTGGATCGCAGTCCACGATTCACAGATTGATATCACCAGGACTGCCTCCTCCGTCTCCTGCACGATTACCCTCCATCGTGGGGGTGTACAAAGACGTGCCAGCGTCCGTGATTGCGGATGCATACTCAAGTTTGCACGACTGCATTGACTCGCATGTACTGCGGTTCTATCAACCGAAACCTAAGTACTCGGGCGCGACGCAGGCAGTCATTGAGCATGCTAGCACGGGGGCAATGATACCATGGCCACAAATCCGAAGCTTTTTAAGTAACCCATCAACCACTCTGGCGACCTTGTCGCTCTGCATCGCGTGGACTATCTTGAGTCGGAGTCTTCTTCTAAAGCTGGGCGTCAGCAGTAGCTCTGGATCTTCTTTCCTACCCCCAGAGATTGTAGAGTGCTTCCAAAGCTTCTCCTTGGGCAAGGGGGCAATGACTCTGGAGCCTGACGAAATCGATTCAGTCGACTTTGCTCTTCTATCCCGTTGGAAACGGATCTCTGCCACGTTGCTTCACTCGACCTATGTGGATAATGCTTTTAGCAATTTTGATTCCCGGACTGTCAACATTGAGCGCGCCCTTAAGGATGTCGATCCGTTGCTTTCGACGTACGCGGTGCCAGATGACGCCGGTCGCGGCAAAGACGCTCGGGTTTCAGAGCTGAGGGATGTGCTAAGAAAAGGCGCCAAGCTCGCCTTTACGTTGTTCAATCAGTCTAGTTTTTGGAAATTTGACTGGACATCAGACCGCGCGGTCGAACACGGCAAAGAGGAATCGCAACGCAATTTAGGGCGGATACCTAGTTTCGAAACCGGCATGGCATGTGTGTCTGTGCTGTTGACACCGAAAGAGGTTGTTATTTGGCCGACCTTGCTGAGGGTCATGGATGGTGAAGGGATCAGTATTCAGGGGCAGGCCGATGACGGGAGGAACACTTTTGGGGAGAAGCAATATCTGAGCGATTTCGTGGAGAATCGAGGAAAGCAGTGAAGCGTGGTTGCTTCCATGCAAGCAAATGTACCCATGGCTTCCACCCTACCTATCTCTCTCTGCAGAGCATCACGTCGACAATAGACTTTAATTGTTCCTTGATTCGACGCATATCTAGTCTCCCAAACGTGATGAGTACGTGTCGCAATTAAGCTGGTGGACACTGATGGTAGCGGTTCCAAAGTTAGCGTAGGCGTGCCTGCCCGCGGAGAAACACGACCGAACAAAGCGGGACGTCTTGCTAGTGCCATGTGTTCATCAGCCATCTCCGTCGCTCCACCACTCCTCCATCTCTTATCGTTGGACTGCAAATGGGTCGATGACCACTATCAGGACTCATTTATCTAGAGCCAACTCGTTCCACCTTCTCCGTGGATAAACATGATGGATTCCAACGTGGCCTCGACCCACTACGGCCCGCTCTCGGCTCGAGTCGCAATGCAATGCAATATCTCCTGGACTAGCGATTGTGGAATGGGCGATGGCAGAGAGGCGCCGGACGAGAGCGTTCTTTTTGGGCCTTCAGGACCGTGTTGAGTGTCGTAGAAAAAAGGAAGACCAAATCAACTCGGATGGCCAACCTGCATGCTTGGTGGAAGTGTGTATATGGCGAGGGAAAAGCAATCGAAAATCCACGGTCCCAATCGCAGAGGGTACGAAAGGGAGCATAGAAATGCTATATCTAGCTGATGGGTTAAGAGTCGGTCCCGACAGAGGACGCTACATGCTGCAAGGCTCCTCGATTGGGCGGCCACGTTGGGGACTTGCTTTTTTCTCCCCACAAATGCACGCGAACAAGCACGCGTCGGGAATGTGCCGGATGCTGCTACACGACAGGAATTCCGATGCCAACAGTCGGTCACTCGCTGTATGATGACAGCCGCCATCGTGTCGTCAGATGGGAGAGCGTTATGTTCGAGGAGCTTGCTTGGCATCGATTGGGCCGCTTAGCGTCTAAAGATAAGGATGCATATCAGCGCCCTCCCACCATCACAGCCTCCGCTGGTTGGCCATCGAGGCGGTTGACAGTTTCAATGAGCGAATCTCCCCCACAGTCCCGTATGCATCGGGCCTCTGCGATCCCCGTTTGCCTGTGTCAGCGTCTAGAGCCCTGGCTTTCTTCGGCATTGTTCAAGGCACATCACCTTTCTCCGCGATGATCTGTGTTTTCCATGACATGACGAAGGCCGAGCGCATGTATACCCGCCCGTTGATCTTCACTTCCTTCTTTTTCCATGATGCATGTCTTATTAGACTATACCCTACCTGTTCCCTGATATCTATCCGTAATTTCGTGAGAGCGATACTCCATATCTTTCTATTCGACTTTACGAACGTGCTTGGACACCACCGTGCGTCGTGCGGCAATCACTCACATAATTCATACGCATAACATCCACACGCTATACCCTGTCCTTTTTCCCTGTCAGCCAATATCCAGTTGGGTTCAACGTGTTGCGAAATGGCATCACAATCTGCAACTCTCGCAACGACCATGACCAAGGAAAACACACTCCCACCCACACCTCCGGAAACCATTGTCGACGGTGACGACGGGAAGATTTCAGAGGATGGGAAAGACGTTGTAGACTACCCACTTCCACCGCCAACAACCATTCCAGACAAAGTCTTGGATGTTGACAAACCAACCCCGGATTCGCACGTACCTAGAGATCCTCGATTAATCCGTTTGACGGGCGTTCATCCGTTCAACGTTGAAGCGCCCTTGACGGATTTGTTCAACGAAGGTTTTCTTACCAGCCCCGAACTGTTCTATGTTCGGAATCATGGTGCTGTACCACAGGTTCAAGACGAAGATATACCGGATTGGGAGTTCACAGTGGAAGGGTATGCACCATATCTGCATCTTGATATCGGTTATTGACGGTGTTGTAGAATGGTCGCAAACCCAATCAAGATCACATTGAAAGAGTTGATGTCAGATTATGAAAACGTCACATACCCAGTAACCCTGGTTTGCGCTGGGAACAGGAGAAAAGAACAGAATGTCGTGCGCAAGACCAAGGGGTTCTCGTGGGGGGCAGCCGGTCTGTCTACTGCTTTGTTCACAGGTGTGGTCATGAAAGACATCATCGAGCGCGCCAAGCCTTTCAGAAAAGCAAAGTATGTGTGCATGGAAGGTGCAGATAAGCTGGTATGTTGTGTGATGCTGGTGCAGAGCCTCAATCTGATGCCGTGTAGCCTAACGGGTATTACGGTACCTCTGTGAAACTCAACTGGGTCATGGATCCCAACCGCGGCATTATGCTTGCCCATGGGATGAACGGAGAAATGCTTCGTCCAGATCATGGTCTCCCTCTAAGAGCAGTGATACCTGGTCAGATTGGCGGGCGAAGTGTAAAGTGGCTGAAGAAGCTCATCGTCACTGCGGAGCCAAGCGACAACTGGTATCACATATACGACAACAGGGTTCTACCGTGAGTAGACCTCTGTGGATCATGACAAAACACTTTACTTACCTTAACAGCACTATGGTCGATCCAGATGAGGCTACGAGAAACGAGAATTGGTGGAAAGACGAACGTTACGCCATATACGATCTGAGTCCAAACTCGGCAACCGCATCTCCCGCTCACGACGAGAAATTGGATCTCAGCAAAGCTGCCGAGTATTACACGGTAAGAGGGTATGCTTACAGCGGAGGCGGGCGCCGGATAACACGAGTTCAAATATCTCTCGATCAAGGAAAACATTGGCGATTGGCCAATATTGATTACGCAGAAGATAAATATCGAGCTTACGAAGACCATCAAATATTCAAGGGGCGACTAGATATGGACTGGCGGGAAGCGAGCTTCTGTTGGTGTTTTTGGGACCTTAAGATTCTGGTAGAGGAACTCAAAGATGCAAAAGATATTGTCGTAAGAGCCATGGATGAGAGCATGTGTATTCAGCCGAGAGACATGTATTGGTCAGTGTTGGGGATGATGAATAACCCGTGGTACCGGATTGCTATACACAAGGAAGAAAACGAGCTTCGATTCGAACATCCCACACAACCAGCGCTCATGCCTGGTGGTTGGATGGAAAGGGTAAAGAAGGCCGGCGGAAACCTGACAAACGGTTATTGGGGAGAGAACCTCGAGGGCGAGAATGCAAGTGCTGTCGAGATCGAAGATCCGGTAGAGATCAAGATGACGAAAGACACTGTGAAGCGGGAAATTTCGATCGACGAGCTGCGGGAGCACAGTAATGCGGAAGCTCCGTGGTTCGCACTCAATGGGGAGGTGTACGATGGCACTGCGTTCTTAGAAGGCCATCCAGGAGGCGCACAGAGTATCATTTCAGCAGCTGGCCTAGATAGCACAGACGAGTTCATGGCGATACGTAAGTCATCCTTGTATACACTCGAAGAAGCACATCTCTGACGAATTCATGCAGACAGCGAAACCGCAAAAGCAATGATGCCAGACTACCACATCGGCACCCTCTCTTCATCAGCCCGCCTCGCCCTCGCCTCCCCAGAACCCCCAACATCCCCCTCCTCACCAACGCCCGAATTCCTCAACCCGCGTGTCTGGAAAAAAGCCCTCCTCCACTCCCGAACCTCCGTCTCTTGGGACACGCGCATCTTCACCTTCTCGCTCGAACACGCCTCGCAAACCCTCGGTCTTCCCACAGGCCAACACCTCATGATCCGCCTCAAAGACCCCGTAACCCGCGAATCCATCATCAGGTCCTACACGCCCATCTCCATGACCGACAAACAAGGCTTCTGCGACGTGCTGATCAAAATCTACGCCGACACGGCCTCGCGCGCGGGCGGCAAGATGACAAAAGCACTCGACTCGATCCCCGTAGGGCACTTTGTCGAAATGAAGGGTCCCATCGGGAAATTCGAGTACCTATCCAAAGGCATGTGCAGCATCAACGCCAAACCCCGCACCGTCAAACGCTTCTACATGATCTGCGGAGGCAGCGGCATCACGCCCATCTTCCAGGTCCTGCGCGCCGTCATGCTCGATAAATCAGATGCCACCACTTGCATCGTCCTCAATGGAAACCGCCTCCGAGAAGACGTGCTCTGCAAGGACGAGCTCGATGTCTTTGCTGCTGAAAACGTCGATAGGTGTACCATTGTCCATACGCTTACCCAGGCTCCGCAGGATTGGCAGGGAAGGAGAGGCAGGATCGACGAGGCGCTGCTGCGGGAGTGGTGTGGTGAGAGTAAAGAGGGGGGTGAGAGTTTGGTGCTGGTTTGTGGGCCCGAGGCGTTGGAGACGGCTGTGGGGAAGACGTTGAAGGGGATGGGGTGGAGGGATGAGGATGTTTTGTTCTTTTAGACCCCCTTTTTTTTCCGTCTTTCTGGTCTCTTGATGACCCCCTTTTTTCGGTTTGTTAGGTTTAGCGGTTTCGAATCGAATAGCAAACAGCGACGGCAACGAAGTGGGCAGTGTGTGTGTGTGTGTGTGGATTGTTTCTTGGTGTTTTAGAGCTCTTCTTCGACTCTTTTTTTTTTTTGGGTATCTTTTCTGTCGTGTTTAGATACATATATAGGTACATCATTCTACGTACATGTATATATTCTCTTTATCTCTATCATCAACAACATGCATGTATGTTTTTAGTTCATTCTTTTTTTTTTCTGTATTTCTCTCATTTCTACAACTCGCTTTCCTTCTGCTTTCATTCTCTATAGCAGACATGTCGGAGAATTATCAGGCAATCCATCCCTACATGTGAATCACACAGCCACTTGAGAAATAGAATCTCTAAACTACGTCATCGAGTATACTCAAACCTGCACATTTTCACACCTTGTGTGCACCAAACATCAATTGTTATTGAGTATTGATATCACATCAACCTATTTCCTTAATACGTGTACTCAAGCATGGATTAAGTTGATTATACATTCCATAACCGCTCACATCATTGCTCAAATCAATCAATTAATTAGATAGCGTAATTGTACCACACTCCCCATGCCAAATCAAACAAGAAAAAGAAGGCATGCCCGGAGAAACGATATTTACGAAGTATATCTCCGTCCGCATCATCTATTCCAACTATCTCCTTTTCAACCCCAAAAGCACCTAGTTCCATTTCCAAGTAGATATATTGACAATCCCTTATCGCAAAAAGCCAAGCCTTCCCTTCCCTACATACAGTAACTATCTAGAAGAGGTTTAGCGTCGATGACCCACATGCGATTCTTACTCTTTCCTTATCGGCATCCTTGTTACGTGGGAAAGCGTTTGAACGGACGAGGATCTCCCCGGAGTAAGGATGCGATGGGCGATAATGATGGTGATGATGCAGCATCTCCGCGTTGCGTTGCGTCGTGTTGCGTGCGTTTATGTCACTCCGCGGGCACCCCCCAGCACCACCAGCCCACATAGAAGGGAGGACTTTGGCTATCTTGCGCTGGGCTGGGCTACGCTGAGGTAATAGGATATCGTTTGCGGTAACGCAGAGTATCTCGATCTCCCCCCTTTCCGGCCCCCCTTAGCTCTTTGTAGAATTGAGTGAGTTAGCGCCCCGCGTGGGTTGCCGACGGGTTCTGGGTGGATGTTGCGTATGTAAGGTAAGTAGGTATACCTCCGAATCTCCGATTTCTCTCTCATTTACCCGAGAAGATCTGGTGGATCGAATTGGATTGTTCTAATTTTTTTTTTCTTTTGGTAGCTTTATTGTTGAGCCTGTTTTCTTTCTTTTCTCTTTTCTGACTCGCTTGCTTACTTACTTGACATTGCAGAAGAAGTTTGGTGTGTTGACGACCATATCAATCGTCTTCTTCTTCCACCTCTTTTCACGCTTGCTTTGTGGACTACTTCTTGGGACCCTTCTACTATCATCGGAGCGGGGGATCTGTTACAGAAGGAAACTCCACAGGTTTCTCTTTCCTTCTCGTGGTCGCGAGATACCAGCAGCAGACGAACATCGCAAGTAGAGAGACAGCAAGCGAGGGGGAAACAAGATTCCGCTTGATCACTTTTACCTGGTTGACTCCCTCCAAACGCAAATATCCTCCGTGGCCTAAATCCAACCCGGATATCCCAACAAACTACCACATATATACACACACGCGGTCATGGCATCGCAGAATCACTCGGATCCCGATCAGGATCCGATCCCCACCCCGGGTCTCGAGCCCTCGAGCATGGGGCTACACAGCGCGCCCCCGTCGCCGCCGCAGAACCCCACATGGGGCGACAAAGGCGCCGACGCAGCGAAGCTGTATAATGGCGATGAAGGCGTCCACGAGCTTCCGGAGAAGATCGCGGAGACGGAAGCGCTGATGGAAGAGGAAGGCAGGAAAGTTGAGGGGAAGAGTGCGAGGAAGAGGGTTGTTGTTGTGGGGTTGGGCATGGTTGGGATTGCGTTTATGTGAGTCTTCATATTTTCTTTTCTTTTCTTTTTCTTTTTCTTTTTTCGTTTCGTTATTCGATTCTAGTTTATAGGAGACTTGAAGTTACGAGAAAGAGTGGTAACTGTGTTGGATGTGCGGGACAAAGTCTTTTTTTTTTTTGAGTGTATTTTTTTGACTAATTGTTGTTGTACAGCGAGAAACTCCTCAAATACGATGTCAGACGGCGAGAGTACGACATTGTCGTCATTGGCGAGGAAGAACATCTTGCGTATAACCGTGTGGGACTGACGAGCTTCTTCCAACATCGGAATGTTGAGGATCTTTTCCTGAATCCGAGGGAATGGGTATGTCTTCACTCCTTCCCCTTCTCATATCCCTGCTTTCCCCTTCCTTGAGGGCATTTACAGAAGTAAATCGCGAGCGGGCTTTCCTAATGTGGCTGAACAGTACTCATCAATGCCCGAAGGCTCACTGAACTACCACCTCAACACCCTTGTCACCGAAATCGATTCAGAGAAAAAAGAAGTAAAGACGTCAAAGGGGGATGTCGTTCCGTACGATATCCTGGTCCTAGCCACGGGATCCGATGCGTTGCTTCCCCGACACACCCCCGGACACGATGCAAAAGGCGTCTTCGTTTACCGAACAATTGGTACGACACCTACATCAACCTCAATTTCGTAGAAATGCTAATCTTTTTCAGATGATCTCCAGCGACTTATCGACTTCGCATCAACACGGAAAGGCACTACAGGCGTAACAGTCGGTGGAGGACTACTAGGTCTCGAGGCGGCGAAAGCGATGATGGATCTCGAAGATTTTGGAAAGGTCAAGCTCATCGAGCGGAATCGTTGGGTGCTAAGTAGACAGCTAGACGGCGACGCAGGGGGTATGGTTGTGGAGCAAGTCACTGCGTTGGGGCTGGACGTCATGCTCAGCAAGCGCGTGGGCAAGATTGAAGTGGACGAGAACAATCATGTTAAAGGTGTTGTTTTCGAAGACGGAGAGAGCATGGAGTGCTCAACTATATGCTTCGCTGTACGTCTACTTTCCATCCCTTGGGATTTTATTATGTTGGACGATGGACTGATCAAGGACTACAGATTGGCATCAAGGCCCGCGACGAGCTCGCCAGAAGAAGCGGCATCAAATGCGCTGATCGTGGCGGCGGGATAGTCGTCGCGCCCAACCTATCCACTTCCATTCCAGACATCTATGCCATTGGCGAGTGCGCCAGTTGGGAGAACCAAACGTTCGGTCTGATCGCGCCGGGCGTGGAGATGGCCGACGTACTAGCCTTTAACCTCACACAAGCCAAAGCGCATGCGCCGCGGACTTTCAAGCGGCCCGATCTAAGCACCAAGCTCAAGCTCCTTGGGGTCGAAGTCGCTAGCTTCGGTGACTTCTTTGCGGACCGCGATGGTCCCAAGGACATGCCTGGACGAGCCAAGGTCGGAACGACCAAGGAAGGCGAGAAGAGAGAGAAGGTCAAGAACTTGACTGATGGACCTGCGCCTCCACCTGTTAAAGCGCTGACGTACAAGGATCCGTTCCAGCAGGTGTACAAGAAATATCTTTTTACTATGGATGGCAAGTATTTGCTTGGTGGGATGATGATTGGGGATACAAAAGACTATGTCAAGTTGGTGCCGATGGTGAAGAACCAGAAACCACTAGAGATCCCACCGAGCGAGTTGATAGTCGGAGCGTCAAATGGGGACGATGATGGATCGGATCTGTAAGTTCAATGTTCAGATTTCAACCAGACTAAGAACGAAGAGCTGACAACGTATAGATCAGACGACACGCAAATCTGCTCGTGTCACAACGTGACAAAAGGCGACGTGGTGAAGAATGTGAAGGACGGCACCTGCAAGTCCATCGGCGACGTCAAGTCGTGCACGAAAGCCGGCACCGGATGCGGAGGCTGCATGCCGCTCGTGCAAACCATCTTCAACAAAACCATGTCGTCCATGGGCCAGGAAGTCAAAAACCATCTGTGCCCGCACTTTGATTTCTCTCGCGCCGACCTTTTCAATGTCATCTACGTAAAGAAGCTGACGGATTTTGCGTCGGTAATGAAGGAGTGCGGCAAGGACCCCGAGAGTACAGGGTGCGAAGGGTGCAAACCAACCATTGGATCCATCATTTCGAGTTTGTTCAACAAGCATCTCCTAGACGAATCCCGACGGGGCCTTCAGGACACAAACGACAGATTTTTGGCAAACATCCAACGCAATGGCACATTCTCCGTCGTCCCGCGTGTTGCGGGTGGAGAAATCACCCCCGAGAAGCTCATCATCATCGGAACGGTAGCGAAGAAGTACAATCTCTACTGCAAAATCACCGGCGGTCAGCGCATCGATATGTTTGGAGCCAAGAAACACGACCTCCTGGCCATCTGGCAAGACCTGGTGGATGGAGGCATGGAATCTGGACACGCGTACGCCAAATCGCTGCGAACTGTCAAGAGCTGCGTGGGTACGACATGGTGCCGCTTCGGTATCGGCGACAGCGTGGGCATGGCGGTGCGACTCGAAGAGCGATACAAGTCGATCCGCGGCCCGCACAAGTTCAAAGGCGGCGTATCAGGGTGCGTGCGCGAGTGCGCGGAGGCCCAGAACAAGGACTTTGGACTCATCGCAACGGAGAAAGGCTTCAACATATTCGTAGGAGGCAACGGCGGTGCCAAACCCCGTCACAGCGAGCTTCTCGCAAAGGATGTACCTCCCGACGATGTCGTCCCCATCCTCGACCGCTATCTCGCTCTGTACATCCGTACCGCCGACAAGCTCCAGCGCACCGCCCGCTGGATCGAAAACCTACCCGGAGGCATCAAATACCTGCAGCAAGTCATCCTCGAAGACTCACTCGGCATCTGCGCCGACCTAGAAAAGCAAATGCAAGACCTCGTCGGGTCCTTCTTCTGCGAATGGACCGAAGTGCTCAACTCGCCGCAAAAAAGAGCCCTCTTCTCCCAATTCGCAAACACGACGGACACAATGGCACCAGCCATCGAACCAACCCAAGAGCGCGGCCAACAACGCCCATCGTACTGGCCAAAAGCCTCGGTAAAACAAGACTTCAAATCCACACCCTGGACCCAGCTAAGCTGGCAACCGCTGGTGCGCGCAGCAGAGTTCACCGACTCGGCCACGGGCGACTCCAAAGCCATCAAGCGCGGCGACACGCAACTGGCCGTGTTCAAAGTAAAAGGAGTGTACTACTGCACGCAGCAAATGTGCCCGCACAAGCGGGCGTTTGTGCTCTCGGACGGCCTGATCGGCGACGACGCCGCGTCCAACAAACTCTGGGTCTCGTGCCCGTACCACAAGCGCAACTACGAGCTCAAAGGGCCAGACGCCGGGCGCTGCGCCAACGACGACGACGTAAACATCGCTACGTTTCCCGTCGAGGAGAGGGACGATGGCTGGCTGTACGTCAAATTGCCTAGTGTCGAGGAGCTCGATGGTGTGCTGGGCACCAGCAAGTTTGTCGTCAAGAAGGACGAGACCGAGGATCCGTTTGTCGAGATGGATCGCAAGCTGAGAGAGACGAGTGGCAAAGGGAGGAAGGGCGTCAGGGTTAGCCATCTTGAAGGCGGGTTGGGCGAGCAGGGGAAAGCCGCGGCGATATTGGCCGGGGGCGAGCGAGGCGCTGGCGGGTTGGATTGGTGAGATGGTGATGCCGTGGGTAGCTGAGGCTGTGTATTTCAAGCGCGATTTTCGGAGTTGCTCATACGTTAAGTTCTTGTATATTGGTTGCTTTATACCTGGTGCGTTTGGAGTGGATATTTCTTCTGTCTTGGGATATATGATTCGTAGCAACATGAGATTAATTGATACTCCCGGATGTAAACTTCACAAGTTCAACCTAAAATATACGTTCCGTGTACAGCGGAATATTGGTCTGACAAATGAAGACTTACTACTGTCGTCATCACAGCAACTAATCTATTCAAACAAACATATATCCACCTTTCAACCCATTTTAATCTACTCATAATCCATCCCTACTTTCCTTTATCTCACCAACAATTTGTCCGACCTTTTCCGCCTTTTCTGTGATCGACTAAGCCATCAAAAAATGAGCGGTGCAGCTTTAAACCCCTGACATTGATAATAGAGAAGAACATCAGAGACTCGATATAGATTCTATAAGAGCAAGGGGTTACTAGAGTAGTAGGAGAGCGGATGGGAAACTAGATAGAAGTCGTGCATAATAGCATTACCAGTATTAAAGCTGGTTACTAGTCTGCTATTTGAATACAGCATGTATGGCGTTTGTTGCTCTATTCTAAGGGGGGGGAACGTGATGTGGAAAGCATGCTTGACTTCGATTCTCATGGATTGGAGGGCGTCAACATTCAACGAGAGCCACAATCCAGATTATGAATATTCGGATATCGTATCCCTAGCAGATGACATGATCTGATCTTTCAGGATCCCTCGTGTTTCCTCACTTCCATACTAGAAGTACATGCCATCGGCGCAATGTCCGCACCATCCACAATCTGTATCGCATAGCGCCCAGTCCTGGTCATCATCCAAAATTGTCTGCCCGGGGACCATCCAAACTCCATCATAGCTCCCACTGCTAGCGTCATCGCTCTCACTGCTAGCTTGCTCAACATCGGTATCGTTTCTTGTCGATATCTGCCTGTTCCCCCCTGCGGCTAGAGGGGTTGGTTGAGTCCTGCGCCTATTGGCTGGCATCTGTGTCTGCGTTTAGCACATCTATTGGGCTTGCGTACAAGGGATTCATACATTGGAGTTCGCTACCGACGTGGCTGACGGTACAGATCTTGACTGCTTCTTTGCGTGGGAATCTGAGCCCGTGTGCATTTTTAAGGCTTGCTTGCTACCAAACCATTTGTTGCAGATACCACAGCTAAGCGTCTTGGTATGGGATAGCGCTTTCTGATGAAGCCGCAGGCTCTGCTTGCTGCAAAACGTTCGGGGACATCGGGAACATGGGTGCGGCCTCTGAGCGGAGACGTTACTGGTGCCGGTGTGATTTTTGAGACCTTTGCTAGTATCGAATCGCTTTTTGCAGATAGTGCATACGAAGTCCATGTTGAGATGAACTTTGGGTGCTGGTTGGAAAGAGGGCAGAGTTAAGTTTACTACAATGTTTTGGATGGTTAAAGCGGGGTCGAGCTTGTGTAACAGTACATAGAAGCTACTGACCAGTCGCATGTGGCAGCGTGTCACGTGTCTTATGCTCATTCTCAGCGGGTGGACATACTGAGGCATTGTGTGTCTGGTGTTCGGTGTACGCAATACTGCAAATCGTTATGTCAATCACATATATTCCAAAGCACCGCCCTAACTATGAGGTAGTGTAGAGATCAGCTCGATCTGCGGTAGCCTTCTTAGAGTCATGTCAGGATCGGAAGTCTGATTTCATATGTTCCCCTTTCCTCGCTGCAATGCTTAAGGTCGTTCATGACCCAATCTAGAGTAGCTGCCATGGCTCAAGATTGCATCGACCTGGAATTTTCTGAAGCACTGATGAGAGGATTTGTGGAAGCATTAGAAAACTCAAGAGATCATGTCTAAAGATGCTGATTATTTGAGGGTCATGCATGTTGCGTCTTTATCATAGTCTTTCGGGCTCATACCAATTACGTACCCGATGAGTTGGACATATAAAGAAGGGAATCAATGGAGATCCCACTCACAATTACAGCAAGCTAAATAGATAAATCAAGGCCAGTTCACGCGGAAGAGGCCGCTGATTTCAAAGGTCTGGTATTTGTTTGTTGTCGCGCTAGATTGCGAGAAGGAATGGCGGGGAGTTTGTTGTGTGACACACACCGTGATATTGCAGTCGCACTTCATCATGTATCGGAATTTGCCGTTGATCCACAGGTAAAAGCCTCATTTTTGATTTCATACTTTGGTAATCATGGATATCGCCTGACTAACGCCGTCGGGTTGCGCAATCCTTGGGTGACTGATGGAGAAGAGCTTGTACTTGTTCAGTGTTGCTGTAAGTACTTTGCACTACTTCACGCTCATATGTCTCATGACAGCTGCGTGATCTCGCTCTCATACGATGTTTGTACGGACACGAAGTGAAGTCGGGGGGCGGAGAATCCCGCTGAGATCCCCGATTCGGTGTTCCCAAGGCCGATACACATCACCCATAAAAACCACGATAGCCGGCCGGCAAAGAAACTAGGGTACTGTAGTTTTCTGTAAACTCTAAAATTCAACCGTTCATTCTAACTAGTGGTGCTACCCTCGGAGGATCGGAGGAGGCATCAACTCACTCACCTATGTTTGCCATTCCTTAGCTAATCAGATAGTCGAAGCCAATGGAACGAAGCATGAACACCCTGATAATCAATCAAAGAGGCAACAAAGTTACGGTGTGATTCAAGAAACGTGATTTAAAACTATTCCTAGCTCCATCTTCGAATTTTCCCGATGCCGCCACGACTCATCGTTCTCGGGTTACACCCCCATCCACGCGCAGAAGGTGTTGCTAAATGGGTGACTGCCTTTACCCATAGATCGGGTAAACTTGTTGTCATCAGATCAAGGCAATGTCTAGACCCTCATGCTGTCTTCTAATAGATAGTCCATTGGTCAGTGAACAGTCTTCAAGAAAGTGAGGCATCTGTCATCGTCATTTCGGGCTCATTTAATAATCAGGCCCACATTTTCATATACGGACGTGTTAAACAAATTTTACGAAGATAGAAGATTCCTACTTATCTCAATAGAAGATTCAGTTTATCATGCGAGCACGTTGCGGTGAGAATAAACACACTGGCGGGAACGGCATGAGATATCCGGGAAGTACAGACGATGAGTGGTCCTTATACTTGTGGCAGACTGAGGCGGTGAGTGGGGGCGGTCAATTTGAGTCACACCCGAATACGGTAATACGACACATGTGTTTCACTGAATTAATCGGTGGTAAAAGATCTCCAAGCGGCAAGAAACGCTGTTATCAGGGTGAGCCAGTGAGAGACAAACATAATTTGGTTTCATTTGATTACAGTGCCATTGTGTGACGTGAAAATCGTAGTATTCATGTAGTTAGTTCTCTTTAAGTTCAGTTAAGATGATTGATGCGTTCCCTCGGATAGATTCGAATGGAAAGCTCCCTTGAAGATGTACAGGATTTCAACCTTCTATTTACTACCAAGTAATGAAGTAAGCCAATCAACACTCTATCGGTTCCGTCATTCGGGGCTGAGCAACAAAACGTTAGTGCCACAAGAACAAGTCATACCGGTGGGCACGTGTCTAGCTGAGATAAAAAAAAATGGATAGAACCAGTAAACTATCCGCTTCTGCTAGCAGACGCGCCCCATCTTCGTCGCGTAAAACTTGTCTTAACTTACTTAACCCCAATATCGCCGAAGTACGACGATGAGCATGCCAGGCTGCCTGTTCATCAAGCGATTTTTATGGAAAGGAAGCCAGAGCACGGAAGTTGACGTGAACGGGGAAGCGGCATGGCATGGAAGGTTCAGCCGGATGATAGATCATTGGAAACCGCATCATTACCGACTAGGCGGCACAGATGATCGAGAGAATTCACAAGGTCGAATCAGAGTGATCAAATCCTGTGTATCCACGCTTGTCGTACAAGTTTGCTACCACCAAGGCTTAGTTATTGATGTAGGCAAACTTGCAACGTCCAAAACAAGGCTGGGAGCGCCTTAGGCTCTCTATAGTTTTTATATAGGGCACTTCAGCTGTCATTTTATTCTAACTCATAAGCTGATTACCACAGAAAACATCTTACTGCACCCGAGAAACTCACCTCCCCTTCGCAAATACCAACTCCAACTCCCAACCGATGTTCGTCCGAAGTCGTGGTAGGTTCATCGATATTGATGATTATGAGCTCTCCAACTGGCTCCCAAATCTCTGGAGTTGGTGCAGCGGAGGAATTCTCAACTTGCAACAACTATCCCTCATAATTTGCAACCATAACCTGTTACCCAGAAGATTCTCCGTCGCCCACACACTAGGTTCATTCTTCGGACTTTTCAGAAGAAGACGTTGGAGACATCGCGCGCGACTCGATTACCGCATCCACGACCAGTTCAGCCGTATCTTGCACCAAGACCGCCGCCATTCGTACAGAAGCGGTCTCGCAGGGAGTCTCCATTACTTCAGCGCGCTAGCTGCTCTCGCCAACATCTCCCAAAGCCAATCACTCGCCTACATACTCATCTACGTCTTCTGGCGCAACCGCTTCACCATCATGTACGAAGAGCGATCGAGAAATCTCTACTGCTGGGCTGTCGCTATCGAGCTGCTAAGGGGCCTCATTCCCTCCTCCGAAGTTCACAGGTGCTACTCGTATCTAGCACGCAAGCGCAATGTCATGCGGCAGTCATACTACAACTCAGGTATCAGCGACCCAAGAATCGATACAATACTGGGCATTTTATTTCAAATGAACGTGGGGATGCCAGGATGGCATCGTGGTCGGGGGCTGCTGCATAACGTGGGGCGGCCGAGGGTGCGATCAACGCCCCTTGCCATCGGTGGGCCGCTGGATGATTATGACTACGATGATGGCTATGACTTCGTGTCTCCTGTTGGATTGATTGAGGACTGGAATGGGGGTATCGATCGACGTTTGGGCGGTGTGAGACAAGATTTGGGGATGGGCATAGCTCCGGGCGTCCGCATGATCGGTTTTTGAACTTGGCCCTCGATATTTCTTGAAGTACTCCTCGCGTCTTTAAATATCTGGTATCTCATCTTTTAATACGGGAGATTTCTGTGGGTCATCTTCTCCATGAAACCGAGACAAGCAGCTGATGGAACTAGGGCTGCCTCTCCTTCCTCACCTTCCTCACCGCTTTCCTTATTACATGTCCTTACAGTTAAGCTGCATGCACCGATTTCCTTTCGTACACGACTGTTAGGCGTTAACTTGATTGTTTATTGGTCGGGGTTTAGCCATATATAAGAAAGAAAAGAGTTGTATCCATCCACGCATGTATAGCAATGACTGGATTGTATGGGGGAACGAACAGAATCGAAGGTGGTGAGGAGTTCAGTATTTCGAGGGAAATGAGCCGGCTTTATGATTCCCTTGTGATGTTAAAGCTCGTATTGTCTACACGTCAACAGCAACCCCCAGCGAATATATTGAGCGCCGATTGAGGTACTCAAATATGTTTCTCTGCTGATACGGACAGCGTATACACAATGCATGGATTTTCAGACACTTTACAGATTTTAGTTATCGGCCTACGGGTCTTCCACCATAGCCGACAGGTATCAATATAAGTATGGCATCTTGTGATGAAGATACTTAGAGTACGCCAGACGCCTCGCTAATGCAAAATACACAATGACAGGATACTCTTTGGAAAGAGTAACCGCAACCCAGAATGTTAGACAAGATCCACTTGAAAATTACTCGTTCCACCGAGCTTTTATCGCAAGTAATGCAGAACCAGCCAGCAGAAAACGAAGAAGACAACGACGCCTGCCCAAAAGATCCACTTGTCTTGCTTCGCTCTTCGTTCAACCATTCTGATCGTATCTCCACTGATACCCAATGTATTGGCTACTGTATAGAGCCTTTTTTGTGTGCCTTTCAACATTTCCCTCTGGTCGCCCAAGTCGCCCAGGACCGCCCTTCCTCGATCCAGATACTCATCGAGCTGAGCAGAAGTCTGGTTCAAAAAGGAATTTTCACGAAAAGCATGAGATTCCCTTGTGTAATCGGAGGGGCCATTAGCGGCTCCGGCGGAGTAAGGATTTGCCTGGTAAGGAGCGTTGGGATTGTATGGTCGCGACGGGGCGAACGGCGAGTTACCGGCAGCAGCAGCTGAAGCAGAGATGGCGGGTTGCGAGTATGGATTTTCGGGGGTGGCCGCGTGATGGGGTCGTCGGCCGAGAAGCTCTGTACGTGCGGTTGTGGTTTGCTGCGAGGATTTTGTGTTAGCCTTTGAAGATTGCTGTGCACTCAACACGTCATGCGTCATGCTGTCAAAGGTGTTTGGTCCGTACCACGTCTTCGTTGGCCTCCTTCACTCGTTTGAAGCTCGCCCTGTATTCTTCCAGCTCATTGCGAAACGTCTTTAATCGCTCAAAAGCCTTTTCCTGTTTGGTCTGTACTGGTTCTTGCTTCGCGAGCTTCGCATAGTCATCGACGGTGCGAGAAAAGGAGGTCAAGGAGGCAGAGATCTGGCCTTGTAGCGCAGGCGAGGGGGTTGATGTTTCTGCAAAGAGATCGAGATCTTTGCGTAAAGCGGTCGACTGACGGAGAGCGGAGTTGAATAGAGCGTTCTGCAGGCGTTGTTCAGTGACTCAATCATTGTATAAACTGAATTGTTTGCGGCACGAACCATGATGGTAGAGCGGGCCGTGGGACAGAAGAAGAGGCGGTGTGGGCGCGGCGATGGCGAAGCGCGCGTGAAACTGGGAGTTGCTTGCTCTTTTCTGTCTGTCTTGATGGTGGCGAACACTCTGTCTTTTTCTTCTTATCGCTTCTTCTTTTCTGACACTTGACATCCACATGTCATGTTGGACATGTACAACCAATGAACGCATCGGATTTGCCAAGAGACATCAAACCTAGTTGGGAATAGCCGACTTTCCACGTGTCCCTGAGATATTCTAACTATAGCTTCAAATGTTGCTGCCTATGTCTTTCTCATGTCATATCCATTGAACCCCTTCGCAATGATTAACACATTTCCATATTCTGGAGCATGTCGAAGAAAGATGCATTGATGGACCATCGGCGATTCTAATACGGGCTACACTCTTCTCTCACTCGATTTCTATCCAGTTATTATCAAAAGTAATGACAATCGAACACCCTATTTTCAAATCGCCCCAACATCATTAAACCGTCCGAGATGCTGCTAAACTCTTTGCAGTCTAAGCTTGCGAGATCTTGACATGGACTTGTTTCAGCCGTGATGCTCCGGCTTGCAAGACCCAGCACAATTCGCCAGTTTACAAGAAAGCGGCCCCATCTTACATATAAGCGAGTATCCTGTACTCTGATTTGACCCCAATGCTCCCAGATCATTGACATAGGCATAATGTACTATGATGTTCTTTCCAAGCCTTGACCCATGATCACCTCATACACAAACTTTGATTCGCTACAATTTGGACCCCACGATGGCTTGGGGCCGCTCGTGTTCGTCCTCCTTTGCTATGTATATCAGTCACCACCCGAAAGTCCGTTTACACGCACGAGTCTTTTGGTCACTTTCTGCCATTTATATGATCTCAACTAATTCGAATTCGCGAGTACATTCTCTGCTCTGCTAGCCCTGGGTGGCTGACTTTCCATCTTTTATCTGTCTAATCTTCATCATAAATATTTAAACTTTTCAACTCAGATCTTCCAGATAGATTGGGAAGAGATGTCTGACGAGGTGGCAACCGGTTTCTGGTACAACTGGGGTAATACCAGCAACCATTTCACACTGTACACACGCATCACTAACTTCCTTCAGAGCATGGCAAATTCAGAGGAGCGACATTGACGTTGCCAACCACTGTCGGCCTGGTCCTCGTCTCTTTCCTTACTCTGTGGGTGCAGTTTGCGGGTGCCTGTTTCTGGCGAGTTCTCTGCTTCGTGATACACCAAATTCGCTCTTCGACAGCTCCGCACTCTGGCCTTTTCCATCAGCAGGTTCGTAGCAATCGAAGTCTTAGGCGACCAATATTAACTTCATCTGAAGCAAATCATCCTGCGCAATTCAGTCACTGCGCCTAATGCCTTGTGGAGTTTTGCCCGCTCCGCCGTTGCCTGGAGAGGTAGATCGAAGGCGATATTCCGAGACACCCTGCCCTTACTCATCACCGCAATATGTACAATCGGCTTCTTCTCAACGGCTTCGCTGCTGTCGTCAAAAATCACAAGTCTAAGCAGCAATCAAGCTCTGCTGAAGAGTGAATCGTGCGGGTTTCCCAAGGACATGATCAACGTTCGCAATACAAGTACAACGTCACTGAATTCGTCGGAACTCTTGGACTTCAATGCCCTCGTCATTATGGGACGTCTTACTCTAAGCAAGAGTATGACATACGCTCGCACCTGCTATGCCAGCCAGAATGCCTTTACTTCAGCGGAATGTAGTAATTTCGTTCAGCCAATACTTGTAGGTGTCAATTCGTCTGTAGTCGACAACACTTCCTGTCCGTTTGGAAACAATGCTTGCGCGGAGGCAGCTGTAAGATACGATTCGGGGCACATACACTCGAATATCGATCTTGGCTTGAATTCTCCGAGGAATGAGGCATTGACCATGCGTCGCGTCACAACTTGCGCGCCAATTAACGCGACCCGATATGCTACAGAATGGCGAGACAATGTCCCTGAGGCGTTTGGCAGAGGTGCAACTAACACCAGCGTCAAACTATACGAATTTGGGAGAAGCTTGCTAGGTTCAGAAGGAGATGGGCCAGACAAAAAGAGGGTCATCAATTGTGATGCCACATACCTAGGCTTTGTGACCAACGAGACTACCTTCTGCGTTTCCAAATTCATGAAAACTTATTTCCAACAAGCTTATACTATACGAGCCAGCACAGTATATCAGGACAACGCGGACGTGAGCGACTTTTTCCCTATTCCCGACTTCCAGGTCCCGAACGCCGATGTGACTCTCATATCCATCTTCACCCAAGCCAAATATATCGATACGGTCAACGACACACTATTCAGCGCGCAGAATACTGAACAGAGAGGAGATGTCAAATTTGCATTGCCAAGTAACGACCTTTCAGTGTTGGGATGCACTGAGCAGTACCAGTTGTGTACGTACATCCTAACATTACCTCGTGAGCTATTATGTGTCGTGGCGCCGTGAAATCTTGATGGCCCACTGAATCATGTTTGCCTAACGTATGCTAACTTTATACCAGGCAACGCTGCAACTGAAAAGTGTACCGAACTAGCTGGTCTTTACAAGATCAAAAGTACTCTCGAGAGCGATGCGCTTAAATTAACACGGTATCAAACCGCATCGGCGAATATTCTCTGGAAGACAGCTTGGGGTATGGCGCTACAGTGGGCCTGTGAAGTCCTCTCTGACAGCCTCCTCCTTGCGCAAGATTCGCTTTTTACCGCAAAGTCGCAAACATCGGCGCCGCTTCAAGATGGCCACTGGCAACGCGAGGCATGGCAACTGCACAATATGAGTCTAGCAGTGATGCAGCGCCGCGTCTACGAGCACGCGAGTCCCGGAAACTTCACCGTCCGCCCGGGCGTTTACTCCACGACTCAGCTCGCCACGCCACAGGATGCGGAGAGCCGTGATTTGTGTAAACGTCAAAAGACACGCAGCAATTCCAGCATCAGCATCAGTGTGATGGGCATGAGCATTATTCTCATTGTTGGCGCGCTATTCATTCTGCTCGACTGGTTCTTCATACAACAAATCTTCTGGTTCCGCTCCTTCTCACACGAACGCTCCTCTAAAAAGGCGGACTGGACATCGGGAGGCACGCTGCAACTTCAGAGGCAGGTCCTGGAGAGTCGTGGCGTCCAAGGTTGGAAGGCAACAACGCAGGATATGGCGTTTCCTGTGCTCCTCGAAAACGAAAGAGTATTTCGGCATCTGGGTCTTAGAGATGAGGGAACGGCGGGCTTACCGCACATCGATACGGGATATGGAACCAGGCGGAGGAGTGCGATGATGCATTCTGCACACAACGGGGACGTCGAATACGTGGCATTGTCCGATTTCGATAAGGGCCTGGGTAAGAAGATTTGATGCAAAAAATCGAGATGTATATGGTGGAGTTCTTTGGTGTCTTTATCAATTTTCTCATCTTCTAGGATATGGGCTGAAAAGTAAAATGGAAAAGGGTCTACGGGAAAAAATAGTTAATTCACGGTTGTAGAACAGATCAGCGTGCATGTCGGCGAAAATTGCAAACCGCAGTCGAACTCTGGGTGGATAACCTTTGTATTGCCTGTGACATTGCCTCGCAATATTCCACTTTCCTTGGACATGAACCACCCCAGCCCTGCCTTTATCCACCCTAAAAGCAAGGACTAGGAATACATGCCGTAATAGGTAAATAGCTGTACAGAAAATCGACACCTGATAAAGCGCATATACACAAAAGCTACGCAAACATTGGCGCTAACTAGTGTTTCACATCTCAGTTACCTAACTTTTTGTCCGTTCCGCGGGATCGGACTTTGACTAAATCTCCTAATGTGTGCACGCACCTTGAAAAGTTAGGGCTGGTTAATAGCCTAGAAATGGTTTTGCACAGCCTCGCGCGCGAAGACAATGGCTGTGGTTGAGTTGTGTCAAACAAAGCTTGCCTTGCAACTTGTAGGTGAAAAGAGAGACGAGTTATTGTCTTGGTGTTTAATTATATGCACGGATTGAATCGACTACGCGATTTACTGCCATGAAGCCAAACGTCCATGCCTTCATCTGCTCTATACTGAATCGTTGACTTAGGTTATGAAAAGTCATTCGGCTGCGCGTGCCTCCAGGCCGGACACCAAGAATTTAGCTTTCGGGAGTATTCGAAGTGGCATGCAGCACTTATTGTGGGGTGAAGTTTGGAGTGACAGCACCTAAGGCAGTTTCCCGATGCACGGTGAAAACCAAGAGTAGTCGGTGCAAAGCAGGACCTTCTGTCATGATAGGGATGGCTAGCGTGGTACTAGCTTACAATCCAAATGATGGAATGTCACTGTTTAGGGGAATCTGATGTTTAGTGGGAAGCTCGAGCACTAGGAACTACCCGAATGGTAACATGGATGCGTACCACTCGTGCAAAAGGCTGTGATTTTTGAGTGGTAGTGATCGAGGAACTGGATGGATGTGATTTCAGAATCTTCGAGTCGCAGGACATTCTTCCTCGCATTTAAATCTCGAGCGTCCCAACAAACCACATGCGACAGCAGAACAAGTCAGAGACATATCGAATACGCGGCTTTGAGCGATATACAGGAATCGGAAATTGCCGTACCTTGGGGAACTTTGACAACCCATTGTCGATAACCTACTAGCTTCATACTTCCTAACTAGTGACCAAAAAGAGCAAGGCAACCTCTTGTGGCTTGCGAGGCCGGCGAGGCTGTACAATAATTCTTTCCAGAGACCCTTGGCTTTACCTTCGATGACATCGCGTTCTAGAAGCTGAAACCAAAACGGAAATATGAGATCTTTTAGTATTCCGGTTCTAGTAGTTTGACATCACAGTTCAGTAACCCAAAGCATATATAAATATCAAAGGTTTGCACTACATCAAAATCATAAACACATTCATTTCTTCACTCACTCTCCAAGTTCATTCATTTCCAACAGCCGTTCAGCGAACGCATTACTTTTCTTGAATTCTATACCAAGTCACTCTCGTTTCAGTCATCAACCACTTCTTTACAACACCATCTTCCAAATTTTATCTCCAAATATTTTCATCGCCAACATGAAGTTCTCCGCTCTCGTCGTTCTCGCCGCTCCCCTTTTGGCCCTCGCTGCCCCAGCCGATCAGCACGTCGATCAGCCCAAGGATGTCGCCATTGGTAAGTCTACTCCCATAAGTAGCATTGATAATCGTCTAACAACTCGCAAAGAAACCCGTGACATCCCCGGCTGCGAGGTCGACGCCTGGATTGACGACGACTGGAGCAAGGGTGCTCTCCAGCGCTACCGTGTGAAGTTCAGCACCAAGCTGGTGAACCCCGAAGATGTCTGCAACGTTCCCTACTGTAAGTCGCACAGCCGCTGATCAGCTCCATTATTTTCATGGCTAATGTTCACTAGACACTTGCATGGCCATGAGCAACCGTCAGTGCTGGGTCGCAGATGGAATCGCTCACGTCGATGGTAACTTCGCCAAGGGCCCTGGTGGCAGGAGTTCGGTCAAGGCTTGCCTCAAGAATGGCAAGAAGCAGTGGGCCAAGGACAACGGCTGCAAGTGCGTTGGCAACTACTGCAAATAATCGTGTGAATATTGGTGAACATGGATCCACCTTTGGATTCGTTGTTGAGTGACTGGCTTGGGGTTACTGTGTACATACCATTATAGAATTCGATTCTTTTCACGCACACTTCTTGTCTTTGGATATCTCGACCGAATACTCTGATTTTTTCTTATTCTCTGAAGTTCGGGATTTATCAGGGAACGCGATACAATGACTGCCAGTTGCGATTTGCTAGCTATTGATGTATAGCAATTTGATCACATCATCATTGTTACCTCGGATATGAATTATTTGATACGTGACCCCTCATATCATTGTCCACCAATTCGAGATTTTTACCTTATGGAATTTTGGTGTCAGTATAGTATGGAGAAGTGTTCTCGATGAAGGTCGGCGTATACGGCAACTAGCTCGTGTCAACTTCATAGGGCGTGCCACCAGTGAGATGACACCGATGACATGCCGACATTGAATCCCGCCACTACCGACTGCAGTAAGGCAATGTCACTATCGTGAAAAACAAGTTGAATGAACGATATCGTGATGCTTCGTAGAGTCGTACTGTGAGTAGAAGCGATCAATGCTGTACTTTCTGTCACTAATGAGCGATGTTGTCACGCCGCAAGTAGCGCCGAACCTTAGCAAACCGGTATCGCATTTGAATTGGGCTACGACCGAGCCGTGTTTCGGTAACAGCAATGAGGGAGTAGTATGAATTTTACTCGTACTGATGCTAGAATTACTTATTTTGACATAAAGAGGTCGCATGATGGTAAGAGTGATCGATCTTCGACGCGATGAAGAACAACAACGGCATCAATCACGTACAAGGAACGGAATTGGAACCTTTTCTATCCTTTATCTTTGGACGTTTGCTTGAAAGTCATTTAGAAAAATTCAACATGCTATTCCCGATAAGAACGCCTGTCAATAGCGGTACACTTGGCGGGCCGAGAAAATTTCCGACAACCGCTCAATTACTGAAAGCGGGATAGTCAATGTCATCATCTCTATGACTTAAAGACCCTCAGCCCTGCGCAAAAGAGTGAGTTGCGGTAGGATCAATGTACTTCTTGTTCTTCTGACCGTGAACCAATCAATTCCGACTGTACAGTACAATGCTTATCCAAACGCGAACCACCACCACGGCAGCCTTATGGCTCGCCTACGCCAGCAGCCCCATCGCAGCAATCCCAAGCTCTTATTCTACTTCTGCCCCTAATGCGACTGCGCAACTCCGCACCTGGCCTGCTGAGGCAGCGCAAGCCCTTGGGAATATGATTACACGAAATGCGAACCAAAGCAACTACGCAGTCTTCGATATGGACAACACCAGCTACAAGAACGATCTTGAAGAGTCGCTGCTTCCATTCTTGGAAAATCGCGGCATCCTTACTCGCGACAATCTGGACCCCAGTTTGAAATTGATCGACTTCAAGGATACTGCCAATTTCACCGAATCGCTATACAGTTATTATAACCGACTGTGCGAGGTTGATGATATGGTTTGCTATCCTTGGGCAGCTCAGGTCTGGTCCGGTTTCACCCTTCGAGAGTTGAAGGGCTACGTGGATGAGCTCATGGCTCTCAACACATCGATCCCGACTCAGTATTGGGATGGCGATGAAGTCACCACGAGTAGCGTAGACCCGCCCAAAATCTTCACTGGTCAGGTGGAGCTCTACAACACCCTCATGGCCCATGGCATCGATGTATACGTCATCAGTGCCGCGCACGAGGAACTGGTGCGAATGGTTGCAAGCGACCCCAAGTATGGGTACAATGTGCCTCCGCAGAACGTCATTGGCGTCACCACTATGCTGCGCAATGCTACCTCGGGACACCTCACGACTGCGCGGAAACAGATCACAGAGGGCAATTACGACCCTGAGGCCAACATGGATCTTGTCCTAGGGCCTTACCTATGGACACCTGCTACGTGGTTCTCTGGGAAATGGGCTGCTATTCTCACGTACATTGATCAGTGGAAGAGACCTATACTGGCAGGAGGCGATACACCTGGAAGCGATACTTATATGCATATCCATGGTGTTGATACCGACAAAGGAGGCATTCATTTGTGGATCAACCGGAAGGAGAAGTACTTCGAGGAGCTACAGAAAATCATTGCGGAGGATGCGGAGGGGCAGAGAGCAAACAATAGAGAGGTCACGGCGGACAAGAACTGGGTTGTTGTGAAGCCGGAAGATATCTTGTAGAAGTCTACTTGTACAAGAGAATGTACAGACAAATGATGTATAATATTAATCATAATCACCGCGTGTTGGAGATAACGCGGTGCAGTGGATGCATGTTAGGATGAGCAGGTCCAAATATAACGAAGATATGCTGTCAAAATGAGCAAGATTTTCTAAGGGAAAGGGTCACTGTTAGATGCGTCTCGCTCTTTATCTTCGATATTGAAGTTGTGAAATACTCCTAAAAATAAACCCCTGCGCTACCCATTCGACCCCGTCGATATATGCAGGCAAGGATTAATATACATATGCAATGCCACTACAACCAAACACGAGGCTATATATTAGTGACCTTCCCAACAACCGGGTGAAGTGGTGGACAAGACTGACAAAGGCACAATTGCATCCACCACAACTGCGGAAGTATCTCGTGTTTCAAGTGGGGCTTTTACATTCGCATATACCAGATCTTTCAGTATATAGGAGTCCTTTCGTCTTGTAATCTGATGAGATACTCGTTGGAAAAAGTGTGTGTAGGATTCTACATTCTATTTCCACAGAAACACAAAATTCACCCACCCACATACATTCTCTCTATCCCTCACAAGCCCTCAGAAACGAAGATAAATAATACCATGTTCCTCCCACCATCAACCCACCCCCTCATCACTCTGATAACTCTCACCCTTTTCACCTCTACAACAACAACCGCGCAAAACTTCCCCTTCGAAGCAATCCAACTCACAGAAGCAGACACCCTCACCAACCCCTCCCTCCGCTTCGGCAACGCCACCAACCCCCTCCTCCCCTCTAACCCCTGCAAAACCACGCCTGAAGACCCGGACTGGCCCACCGAAGCAGAATGGTCGAGCTTCAACAACACATTAGACGGGGCGCTGTTGAAACCTGCTCCACTTGCGAGTCCATGCTATGAGGGACCGGACTATAATGCTGCGAGGTGTGCGTCGTTGAAGAGTGGGTGGGGGAATATGGCGTTGCAGTAAGTTTCCAATGATTTGATTGTGGGGGGATTATGGAATACGTAGAACCTGAAAAGGTTGGGGAGTGTAAGTGACTGACAAACTGAATGAATGGAGGACTGACATGTTTTTGATATCTGGGCGTTTAGTGCGAACCATCCTATTTCTGTGTGCTCGCAGTGGGCTACTGGCGATGCTTGTGTGCCGACTAGCAGTCCGAATTCGACGTGTAGTCAGGGCGGATATCCGGTGAGTACATCTATAGCTCATTTTCCGAGGAAATTTTTTCGATGGATCAAAAGATTCAGATATTCCTGCTCTGAATCTCAATCATTGTTTTTCCTTGTTGACTTGTAGCATTTTCTAGGTTTACGTCGTCAACGCAACAACAGTTAGACATGTCCAAATGGCCGTCAATTTTGCACGGAACAAAAATATCAGGGTAGTCGTCAAGTGAGTTTTTCATTTCATGCTTGAAACCCAAAATTTCGAGTCTCGGAAACGGAGGAGCTGTCCATGACAAATCCTTTGCGTACACACTTGTCCCACATCAAGGAAATATGAAGACAATCTCGTGATATATATCCGACACTTGATAGGAAATAAAGAAGAGATTCTCACTGACCATCACTCCCAACCAGAAACTCGGGCCACGACTACAACGGCCGCAACATCGGCGCCCACTCCCTCGGCATCTGGGTTCACAACCTCAAAGGCACAGCATACCATGCCAACTTCCAAACCTCAGATTACACCGGTCGAGCGGTCGCAGTCGGCGGCGGGACTCAAGCTGCAGACGTATATCCCATTCGAACAACCTACAACACCACCATTATGCTACCGGGTGGCAGTACCGTTGGGGTCGCAGGCGGATATGCCCAAGGAGGAGGCCATTCTAGCTATTCCAGCATCTACGGGCTCACAGCTGATAACGTGTTGAGGATCTATGCCGTGACTGCAGACGGGAGATTCGTCACTGCGGATTCTGAGACGAATGCGGATCTGTTTTGGGCGTTTAGAGGGGGTGGGCCTGGTATGTTCTTCTTCCCTCTTTGCTTCTTCTCCCCACCCCACGCAACAAGTGATCTCTTTCTATATCTTGAATGACTGGATCTCTGACGTGCGCGATAGGAAACTTCGGCATCGTGACATCCATGCTCATCGCCGCTTTCCCAAACACACCCTCCACCTCCCGCTCCATCACCTTCTCCACTTTACCCTCTAGACCAGGCTCCTCCGCCCCATCTCTCGACACGGAAACGTTCTGGGAAGGCGTCAAGGCGTACTGGGGGTTCTGCATCGCCATCTGCGAAGAAGGAGGATTAGGGTATAACTTCATCCGGCACGGTTCGTCGGGTGGAAGAACAGGGTTAACGTTTACGACGAGCATATCCCTCCCTTTCCACTCATCATCAGAAACGCGGGATTTCCTGCAGCCGCTTCTAGATCAACTGGATGAGCTCGGCATCTCGTCTTCAGCAGCTCTATCGGAAACGAGCGAGGAACCTGCCTCTCCTCCTCCACCGCAAGACGAACCATACGCCTCCGCTCTAGGCGAGCAAATCCACAACACGCTCCTAGCATCGCGGCTCTTCCTGACTCCAAACTTCGCCACCCCGTCCGCCCTGTCCGAAACAAACCTCGCGATCCGCACGTTTGTCGAAAAGGGGGGTTATGATTTCCACGGCCAGAATTATAACCCGTCGACCGCAACGCAGGCATACTCGACGCAGAACGCAGTTCTCCCGGCGTTCCGCTCCGCGATCATGCATGCTCAGGGCTATCTCCCGTCGCAGCACTGGGACGGCACGTCTCCGCAGCTCGAACCGGCTGAGCAAGCGGCGCAGCATAAACGGTTGCAGGAGTTCATGCAGGGGTGGCGGGATATTACGCCCGGGAGTGGGAGTTATGTGAATGAGGGGGATGCGCAGAGTGCGTTGTGGAAGGAGGAGTTTTTTGGGGGGAATTATGAGAGGTTGGAGGGGGTTAAGGGGAAGGTGGATCCTTGGGGGGTTTTTTGGGTGTTAGGGGGTGTGGGGTCGGATGGGTGGGAGGTCAGAGGGGGAGTTGGCGGTGGGAGGGATGGGCTTTATACGCAGGATGGGGTGTTGTGTAGGGTGGAGTGATGGATAGTTGGGTGAATAGCATGTAGCTGGTGGTTTGGGCTGGTGGTTTGGAAGGGAGACTGTCGACTGTTGGGAAGTGTGGTTCGAAGGAAAGAAGGGAGAAAGGATAAGGGTAGCAGGTTGAGTATAGGCACAAGGCAGCAATTTGATGGACGGGTATTCTTCTTCTCTCTCGTACTGCAAGGAAATCTATGAATAAGCAACAATACTGCTAGTACCGCTGAATTGTAGCAAAAGGGGTAGTGGGGAGATTTGCATTGCAAACCTCGACTGTTGAATACATAGGGAAAACATGCAAGCTACATAGAGAAGCAAGAAGGATATGGCGAGCATTCATTGTACAGATTCCAACATGCCCCAGAAAACTACCCGCTCTGCCGACATAAAAGCTTACAAACCCACATACACCCCAACATTCTGCCTATAGCGACCTTTCTTTGAACATTACAGATACCCGCGCTTATAGCAGAAACTCCAGAGGGTTCTCAATGACCTTCTTCAACTCCTTGATGAATTCACCACCCACTGCGCCGTCAACCACCTTGTGATCGAAGCTTGCGGTGATGACAATCTGGTCATCCCACTCAATGCTGGGCGTACCGTCCTCGGTCAGCTCGCCGGGCACGGGAACCTTTTGTGTGGTACCGATGGCGACAATGGTGGCTTGTGGGGGGTTGATGACGGCGGTGAAGCGCTCGACAGCGGGGTTCATGCCCATGTTGGAGATGGTGATGGTTCCGCCCTGGTACTCCTCAGGCTTGAGCTTTCCGTCCCGAGCGCGTTTGCCGAGATCCTTGACCTGTGATGAGATGGAAGAGAGACCGAGACCGTTGACGTTCTTGACGATGGGAGTCATGAGACCGACGGGAGTAGCGACGGCAACCGAGACGTCAACCACATTGTGTTGACGAATGACGACCTTGCCGTTCTCCTCGCGCCACGAAGAGTTGGCAGCAGGGACCTTGCGGGCAGCAACACCCAGAGCCTTGATGAGGAAGTCGTTAACAGAGAGCTTGTAGTTGCCCTCGGACGAAGCGTTCAAAGCTTCACGGAGCTTGAGAAGCTTGGAAACCGAGATGTTGGAGGCAACAAAGTAGTGGGGGTTCTCCTGCATGCTCTGAGTAAGGCGCGAGGCGATGACCTTGCGCATGCTCGTAGCCTCGGTGTCCTCGTAGGTGGGGGCACCAGCAGTCGCGGCAGCTCCACCAGCAGGCTTGTACTTCTCGATATCCTCCTTGGTGATCTGGCCGCCCTTGCCAGATCCCTTGATGGAGCTGAGGGGCACACCCTTCTCGAGAGCGAGTTTCTGGGCAGCCGGGGAAGCCTTGGGGGCACGCTGGAGCACAGTCTCCAACTTCTTGCCCGAAGACTCGGTCTCAGTGGCCTGGGGAGCAGAGTCCTCCTTTGATGGGGGTGCGGTGTTGGATCCAGTCTTGGGGGGCTCGCTGGCCTCGGCCGCCTCGCCTTCTTTCGAGGGAGTAGCAGCAGACTTGTCGCCTCCAGCATCCTCAATGGAGAATGACTCAAAAGCAGAAACATCCTCGCCCTCCTCGACCATAACAGCGATGGGCTAATAAAAGGTAACAAGTTAGTGGTTGCAATATTTGTGGTTTTTTCTTCTCTTGGGAAATTCGCAAGATCGGCATTCATTGTGGAAAATGCCGAAGATGTGCGTTCTTGGAGACATGGAATCAGTACTTACGCTGCCGACAGCGATGTCCTTCTCGCCAGACTCCTTGAGGATCTTGGCGATGGTGCCCTCCTCCTGGAACTCAAAATCCATCTGAGCCTTGTCGGTCTCGATCTCGACCAAGACATCTCCAGGAGCTATCGAATCTCCAGGCTTCTTCTGCCACGCGCCGATGTTTCCGGAAGTCATTGTTGGGGAGAGAGCAGGCATGCTGACAACGGTGTGCGGAGGGAAAGCTGAAGATTGGCGAGGTGGGTTAGCATGATATAATCTGGTAACTTTGAACACAGATCAGACGAGAGATGGCGCGGCTCACATTTGGAGGCATAGTATCTGGCGAGGGCAGCGAGAGCGGGAGTTCTCCTTCTGGATGATAACGTTAGTCAGTAAGCAAAGAAAGTTTGGAGCGCGGGGGGAATAGGAGGAAGACGGGGAAGCTGGTGATGGCTACATACGAGGCGGTAAGGCCACCACGGAGAGCAATTGATCCCCTCAAGCTCATCTGGGAACCGGCGCGGGCCAGCATGGTTGCGGAAGCAGGCATTGTGTCGGGATGCCGATTATTAGCAAAGAGTTGGTACTGCTGCTGGGGGGCGGTCTCGTCGTGGGATGGAGGAGGTGGCGGCGGTGAGGGGGTAGCAACAGCTGGAGCAGTTGTTGTAGCGACGGCGGAGGTCGAGGGAGATGGAGGAGCTGAGCTCGCGCTCGATTGAGAGAATGAAGAGGAGTTGGGGATGAGGATGTTGCTCCCAACAGAAAACTTAGCTGTGATTCTCGGAGGCCCGAGATTGCCAAGGCGATTTGGCGCTAGGGAATGGATCGGCCAGGGCGGCCACTGCCAGGAACTGAAACCTTTTTTGACATTCAACTATTTGCGCGGCCATTGACGGGAATGCCATGCTTTACTTATACTGCGTGGTCTATTGGTACCGCGCTTTGCGAATAATGAAAATGATGATGTATTGCATAAAAATACACCCGTGTGAACATAGACTCACACCCTTTTTTCAAGTTCTGCCTTCTTGTCTCTTCCAGCTCATGTGGGTAGAGTCTGCATATACATGTGTAATCAAATACCAAACAGCGACACCGTCGAAATGGCAACTCGCCAGGGCTTCCTGGATCAACTACGGCGCATGTCACATAGCAGACAACTGCATTGATGCATGCGCGTCCACAGATGGTAGCAGAGAAATGACATGGGCCGGAATGCAGGGATCGAGTACTAGGCGGTACTGGTCACTAGTAAGGCTGATGGATGATGGATGGCGTACAACGACGACCCAAGACAAGAACACTTGGTCAATCATCCCTCACGCATTGCGGAATAATCCCCTCTCTTTCTTTGCACCCACCTCCAATCCCCATGCGACATGCCATGAACCAGCCCCGGTGCTCCTAATACTGACCTATGCACTGCTGCTGCTGCTGTTCAGTGACAGACGGAACGCAATCCTCCCCCACCTCTGCCTCTGAAGGAAGGCTCGCACTATAGCTTGGTAGCTACTTTACTTTACCCAAGTAGCTTGCTTCAACATCCGCCCACATCCACCCACACCACAGCTGGCGCTGAATGAACCCGCCATGGCTGATCAGTCCGCGCCGCCCGCCAACGAGCACGATGAGTCGGAAATGCAGGGCAAACCACAAACTCAGGGAGAAGAGCTGCACGACGTGCCCCTGACCGCAGACGACCATGACCGCGAGGCATCCACCACCACCACCGACAACACCACCAGCACACCATCCCAGTCGGCTCCCCCAACACCGCGGGGCCCTTCCGAACACAAACCACCAGCATTAAATACTCCCACCGTCTCTCTGCCCATCGCCGAACCGTCCACCCCTCAGACTGCCGACTTCTTTGAGTCGCGCATGCATGCCGGCAACCGATCCAGGACCGATTCGCAGTCGACCGCGGCCACGGCTGCCACTACCGCTACCAAGCCCTCCACCCGGAGCTCCCTTGTCTTTGTCGTCACAGCCTTGGAAAACATCGCAAACTCAAAGGATGCGAGGAAGAACAAGAAACTCGGCGATGCCCTGTCTACCGCCTTGTCCGCTATCAAGCAAGAGGGCGACCCCGCCCGCATCAATCCCGAGATTCTCTTTGAACCGCTTCAATTGGCCTCCGAGGCACCCACCGTCGCCGTTTCCATCACTGCTCTTGACTGCATCGGCAAGTTGATCAGCTACTCGTACTTTTCCGTTCCCTCCGAACCCCAACCCCAGGGCGAAAGCGAGGTATCGCCTCTCATAGAAAGAGCCATAGACACAATATGCGATTGCTTCCAGGGAGAGGCCACTCCGCCCGACGTCGGTCTTCAGATCGTCAAATCCCTCCTGGCTGCTATCCTCAACGACAAGATTGTGGTACATGGAGCGGGTCTGCTCAAAGCAGTTCGGTTGACATACAACATATTCTTGCTCTCTAGGTCGAGCGCAAATCAGCAGGTCGCGCAAGGCGCATTGACACAAATGGTTGGCACCGTGTTCGAGAGGGTCAAATCAAGACTCGCAATTAAGGAGGCTAGAGACAACTTCTCCCGTACATCGCTCAATGGCAATAACGGGTCCCTGGATCACATCCCGGAGCATGCTGAAGACCAAACTCAACGCCTTGATACCCCAGAAGAGGGGGATGGTAAAGGCGAAGAAGAAGATGAGGACCACCTCGATCCCGAATCTGGCGAGCCGCGCGACAAACCTGTTGACGTACATACCGGTCCCAAGATTACTCTGCAAAGTTTCGAGAATAATATGAGCTTTAACGACGATCGGATACATGACAATGCTCCGACGTTGGTGACACGGATACGAGGGAAACCTAGCTCCCGACAAGTGTCTGGTCTTGATGCTTCGCCGAACCCGCAAGAAGCCGAACCCACAGATGAAGAGGAAGAAGATGAGATATTCGTCAAAGATGCCTACCTAGTTTTCAGAGCCATGTGCAGACTCAGTACCAAATCGCTGTCTGTGGATCATGCTACTGACGTGAGATCGCAAGGTATGCGATCAAAGCTCCTTTCGCTGCACATCATCCACACGGTCCTTCACAACAACATCGCCGTCTTTGTATCGCCTTATGCAACGATTCGAAGTGGCAACGGAGACGAGCCCACTACGTTCATTCAAGCAATCAAACAATATCTATGCTTGAGTCTGAGCCGGAACGGCGCAAGCTCTGTCAGCAAGGTCTTTGAAGTCGCCTGTGAGATCTTTTGGCAGATGCTCAAATATTTGCGTGTCATGCTAAAGAAGGAAGTAGAGGTCTTCTTGAAAGAAATCTATTTGGCCATTCTGGACAAACGCAGTGCACCGGCCTTCCAGAAACAGTACATTCTCAACGTGTTTGGCAGACTGGCTGGAGACCCCCGAGCATTGGTTGAGATGTACCTCAACTACGATTGCGACCGTACTGCGCTCGACAACATGTACCAACGAGTCGTGGAACATCTGTCGCGAATAAGCAGCTCTTCGGTTGCAGTAACGCCCATGCAGCAACAAGCATACTCGGATCATCGTGATAAGCAAGCCAAGCAATCCGACTGGCAGACCCGGGGTACTTTGCCGCCCTCCCTCTCAACGGCATCGATGAACTCTCCACATGAGGCTGAAAACGCATATCCTCCCGAGTATGCTATGAAGCAGGAATCTCTTGCTGCTCTGGTGGAAATCCTTCGTTCCCTGGTCAACTGGTCTCAGCAATCGGTCGCCAATGTTGAGAAGAACTCCCACTCCAATCTCGATGTGAGAAGTTCAGTGGACACCAACCTCAGACCGTCTGTTGACTCAAGAGCTCTTGCCGAATCACCTGTTGTGGGTACCGATTCTGGTACTGCTACACCTCTAGCAGAAGACGACTACAGCGAGCTGGAGAAAGCAAAGCAGAGGAAAACTGCCCTAACTAATGCAGTGCGGCAGTTCAACTACAAGCCCAAACGGGGTTTGAAAGCCTTAATTCAAGATGGCTTCATCCCATCTGACTCCCCAGAAGATATTGCCCGCTTCTTTATCAACACCGACCTGCTGGACAAAGCAGCCCTCGGTGAATTCCTGGGCGAGGGTGACGCTACCAACATCGCCATCATGCACGCCTTCGTTGACCAGATGGATTTCACCAAAACTCGCTTCGTTGATGCCTTGCGGCGATTTCTCCAGAGCTTTCGGCTGCCTGGTGAAGCGCAAAAAATCGATCGTTTCATGCTCAAGTTCGCCGAACGATACATTACAGGCAACCCCAATGCCTTCGCCAACGCCGATACTGCGTATGTTCTATGCTATTCAGTCATCATGTTGAACGTGGATCAGCACAGTGTGAAGATCAAGGGAAACCGTATGACCCCCGAAGACTTCATCAAGAACAACCGCGGTATCAATGATAACGCCGATTTGCCGGAGGACTATCTGAAGGGCATCTTTGAAGAAATTAAGCACAATGAGATCGTCCTCAATACCGAACAAGAGGCCGCCGCCGACAAAGGTTTGATACAGGCTCAGCCCACCGGAGGTCTTGCTGCTGTAGGACAGGCTCTCACGGGCGGTGGTCGAGACTTGCAACGGGAAGCATACATTCAGGCCTCTGAGGCCATGGCAAATAAGACAGAACAGCTTTACAAGCAGCTTCTGCGTGCCCAAAGAAAAACCACCAAGAATGTTCCAGTCTCGAAATTTATCCCCGCCTCGTCCTCCAAACATGTCGGTCCAATGTTCGAAGTCACATGGATGCCCTTTCTCACCGCTCTATCCGCACAAGCACAGGACCATAACATTGAAATTGTAAAACTCTGCATAGAAGGCATCAAGCTCGCTATCCGCATATCATGTCTCTTCAATGTCGAAAGCTCTCGACAAGCCTTTGTCGCGTTTTTGTCGCGCTTCACCAATCTCTATAATCTAAACGAGATGAAAGCGAAGAATATGGAGGCTCTCAAAGTTCTTATTGAGATAGCGCAGACGGAAGGCGACCTTCTGCGTGATTCGTGGAGAGAAATATTGACATGTATTTCACAACTTGATCGCTTCCAGCTCATTGCTGCTGGCATTGATGAAAATACAGTGCCGGATGGTTTCATGTCACAAACCCAAGGCGCGCAACGAAGAAATCCGGGCGCTCCACCTAACAGACGGCGCCAAACACCCGGTGGCAACAACATCAATTTCCAAGCTGACGTGGTTGAAGAGAGCCGCTCTGCAGACATCGTAAGAGGTGTAGACAAGATCTTCACCAACACAGCCAACCTATCAGGAGAAGCAATCGTGGATTTTGTCAAAGCCCTAACACAGGTCAGTTGGCAGGAGATTCAGTCTTCAGGCAATAGCGATTCGCCGCGTACCTACAGTTTGCAAAAGCTAGTTGAAATCAGCGGTTACAACATGACCCGTGTCCGATTCGAGTGGACAAATATCTGGCAAATACTAGGTGCCCACTTCAACGAAGTGGGGTGCCATACCAACACCAATGTCGTTTACTTCGCTCTCAACTCTTTGCGCCAGCTGTCGATGAAGTTCATGGAAATCGAAGAGCTTCCAGGTTTCAAATTTCAGAAGGACTTTCTGAAGCCGTTCGAACACATCATAGGCAACACGAATCATGTTTCCGTCAAGGATATGGTGCTGCGGTGTTTGATCCAGATGATTCAAGCGCGCGGTGAAAACATCAGATCGGGCTGGAAGACCATGTTTGGTGTTTTCACTGTCGCTGCGCGAGAGCCATATGGTAAGTCTAGGCCCATCGCAAACGCAGATTGACCAGTACTAATCTTTTGCAGAGGGAATTGTCAATCTGGCATTCGAAAACGTTACACAAGTGTACAACACTCGCTTTGGTGTCGTCATCTCGCAGGGCGCCTTCGCAGATTTGATCGTCTGTCTCACTGAGTTTTCGAAGAACTACAAATTCCAGAAGAAATCGCTACAGGCAATCGAGTTGCTCAAATCGTCGGTGCCGAAGATGTTGCGTACTCCCGAATGCTCGTTATCGACTCAAGCTGGGCTCGTCAAACAGCCAGAAAAGGGATCATCCATCCCAAAACAACCAAGTCGACAGACACAAGAAGAGCAGTTCTGGTTCCCCGTATTGTTTGCGTTCCACGATGTTTTGATGACTGGAGAAGACCTTGAAGTCCGCTCACGAGCGCTGAGCTATCTCTTTGACACTCTGGTTACATACGGAAGGGACTTCCCACGAGGATTCTGGGATATGCTTTGGCGCCAGCTGCTTTATCCCATCTTCATGGTACTAAAATCGAAGTCCGAGATGTCCAAGGTGCTCAACCATGAGGAGCTTTCCGTTTGGCTATCCACCACCATGATTCAGGCATTGCGCAACATGATCAAGCTTTTCACCCATTTCTTCGAATCTCTGGAGTATATGCTGGATCGATTCCTCGACCTGCTCGCTCTGTGTATCTGCCAAGAGAACGACACTTTGGCCAGAATTGGCAGCAACTGCCTGCAACAACTTATACTGCAGAACGTCGAGAAATTCACGCCCAAACACTGGAATCAGATAGTGAGAGCCTTCGTCGATCTCTTCCAACGCACAGAAGCAACTGCGCTTTTCTCGGCAGCTACCACTGGGGCGTCATCTCAAACTTCCACTCCCAACGTGAATGGCTCTGGAACTCCAGGAGGCAAAACTCCTACGGCCAGCGACGCGCCGGCAGAACTTTCTCTTCAGGCTCTGGACGACGGCGCAGCATCAGAGAATGCTCTCGGCATCAATGGTCTATCAGACTCTCAGCGTCCTTCTCTTGTAGCCTCCGACTCCTCCAGCACCATAGCGGCTGAACATCAGCGGATGCCATCACCACTTCCTAAGCGTCAGACACAAGAGCTAGAGGACTACAGGCCTGAGAATCAAGATCTTCAACAACCCCCGGTTGTTGTTACAGCCGCTCGCCGCCGGTTTTTTAACCAAATCATCACGAAGTGCGTACTCCAACTTCTCATGATCGAGACCGTTCAGGAACTTTTCACGAATCATACCGTGTACGAAAAAATCCCGTCTGGGGAACTTCTCCGCTTGATGGTAGTTCTCAAAAAATCATATCACTTTGCTAAGCGTTTCAATGCTGATCGCGACCTGCGAACTCGCCTGTTCCGCGAGGGATTCATGAAACAACCACCCAATCTTCTGAAGCAAGAGTCCGGTTCGGCTTCAGTATACGTTAGCATTCTGTTCCGCATGTATCACGACACGTCCACCGACCGTGCAGCATCCCGCTCCGATACTGAGGCTGCACTCATCCCTCTCTGCGAGGATATCATCAATTCTTACATCGAGCTTGACGAAGAAACGCAGCAACGAAATATTGTAACGTGGCGTCCGGTTGTCGTTTCGGTGTTAGACGGCTACTGCGGTTTCCCCGCCGGAGAGTTTGAAAAGCACATCGACGTATTTGCACCCATCGTCGTGGGTCTGTTAGGTACAGAGGTTCAAGGGGATATCCAAAGAGCGGTACAGGCTCTGGTCATGAGGATATTCGAAACTAAGTTGGGACTACAGCGGGTCCCGCTCATGACGCCTTTGGCGAGAAGCCCTAGAGGGAGTTTTGGGAGTCCAATGGTAGGCCGAAGGACGAGTCGCGGGCGTTGATAGCCTCCTTATTAGGATTGCTGGAAGTCTTCGATTGTTCTTCAAAAAGGATCTTGCGGTGTCTTTTATGGGGGTGTACTTATGTATCATTCAAGAAGCTTTTCACTGCTCGTTTCCTTCATTTTATGGACTTGTTACCTTTTTTTTTCTCTTTTAGATGGGTAAGACATCTTTTTATCTGCTCTGACTATTGGCACCATTGGGATCATCTGCTCGCCTGGTATGGGAATCTTTTAGCACCGGTTATAAGTTACCTAGGTACACTTCGTAGTACTTGAAAGGAGTTTTGTTGGAAAAATCAATTATTTTAAGTCAGACCGCACGGGTGTGAGATAGAGACATCTATACTATATTGCTTGAAGAAGTACCAAATATATGATTCCCATCGAGCCAGCATTTGAATGTACAAGAGCAACTGAGGAAGGCGCGCGGCTGGGGTGCGCTAACCACGTGACACGGAGCTAATCCGGGCTCCGATTCGTGTTTGCTCTTTCCCAAATCGGAACTTCTCTACGACGCTACACTTTTCCACTCTCCAAACTCACACACTGTGCAGCCTCACGCTCGGAAATCTTGCAAGTGAGTGTGACAGCCATGTTGCTGGAGGAGGACGAGAAGCCCGGTTTTAAGCAGTGGCTGCTGCCAAAGCTCGAAGTAATGTATGTTCCATCAAAAAGCTTAACCCCCCAATAACGCATACTGATCAAAAAGACATAGCTCCGATGCTTCACCCGAAGTTCTCGCCGATTATGCCATTGCTCTCGTCACCTCGGGTGGTTCTGTTGAGGTTGTGAAGCGGAATGCGGTAGAGGCTCTTTCGGAGTTTCTTCATGATTGTATGTACCGATTGTTTCAGTGTGAAATAGTTAGTGGAAGCTGATGATATATGCAGATGCTGGGCCATTTGTGGATGAAGCGGTCGCGGGGATTCAGCGTAAGAGTTGGGCTGTCAAAGCGGAACTCGGCAAAAAGTCATCTGTGAGGACTGGCTCGAGGACTACTGGGACGAAAGCCATTGCTTCACCGTTGGTTGGACGGAGAGGCCAGGCTAGAAAAGCTGGTGTTAAGTTGGAGGATCAACCGACCTCCACTCCCCAAGACCCACCGACTGGCCCTGCAGCTCTAAGAACGCAGCCGACTACCTTGAAGCCATATGACCACAAGTACAACAACCAGGGAGAGAAACCACGGAAAAGGAAACTTGACGCTGAGATTCCCAATAACCACGTCCAAGCTCGTCAAAGCCCAATTGCGAATCAACATGCTCGACCTGCTAAAAGGCAGTCTGTACAGCAAGTGGGAAACCTACCCCGTGACCACATACATACTGGAGGAAATGGAAGAACCGCTCAATTTCACAATCCAAACCGATTTCCTACAGCAACCACGGGTTTTGCTCCTACTCTATCAACATCGTTCGCTTCACCTCAGATCGATTTTTCAAATCCAGCCGCATTTGCTACCCACATGGTCAACATGCTGAATATGAGGTTGTCTGCAATGAATACAACGACTGCTGGACCAGGGGGCGTGCCACACTCTTCAATTAACAGTATGAGATGCAGGAGCTTGGATCTGCAAGGATTTTGCATCTTGGGAATTGCCTGTCCGTTCGATCACACCGGCATGCCAGCAACTGGCGGAGTACCAGGGTATGACCCAAACAATCCATCGCTTGCTGTTCAAGCAAAGGCTGCCACTAGTAACACTCACTCGGCATCATCACGATATGGAGAACCCAAGATTTTCCAAGGCGGACGGCATGCTATCGCTGGACGTCCACTCAACACCAAGCTAGTAGTAGAGCACATCCCCGAGAATTGCTTCACCGTGAATCATGTGCGGCAGTTTTTCGCACAATTCGGCAATATCATCGACGTGCAACTACAAAATCCGAACCGACTAGCTACAATCGAGTTTGAGAACCATGATATGGCTCAGCGAGCCTACGATAGCCCCCGAGTAATTTTCAATAACAGGTTTGTGAGGCTCTATTGGCATAAAACTCGACAGGCAGATGACAATGGGTCGACTGCGGCGCGTTATGGGGAAGCCTTCGAAAGACAACAGGACAAAGCTCAGAAAGCCTTTCAAGAGAGGCAGAAGAGGCTAAAAGAGAAAGACGCCAAAACCGAGGAGATCGAGCGAAAGCTTCAAGCCAAGGAAGAAGAGATCAAACGACTTCGACGAAACATCGCAGAGAAGACGAGTGACAAACACGAGAAAGAAAGGCTAATGTCAGAGAGTGCCATCTTGACAGATCTGTCTCTGCTGCAGGCCGAAGCTGAGGGACTGTTTGCTGCTCGTCGCGATTCAAATGCGTCATCCGCAGGTGCCGGTGGCTTTGTGCGCAGGTTTGATCGTGGACGTGGCAGAGGGGGCAAGCTTCGATGCGCTGTGAAAAGGGTGGACAATCGACCAAGGCGTCTCGCCATTGCTGGAATCGAACCTGGTTCAGAGAGGGATTATGCCATCAAGTCGTACCTGGCCAATACGGAAGGCTGCGAGGATGTTGATGCGCATTTGGAGCAGGGCAACACATTGGTCGCGAGCTTTTCGGAGCGATACCTGGCAGAAAAGTTCCTCGACGAATCTGCATTCATCCCAGGAGTGGGCAGGCTACGGCTTCGGTGGGTAATGAATGGAGAATCGGTGGTAGCGGCGGGACCGAATGAGCCGGCAACGGCTGAGCAGGATACGGCTGCAATGCAGACGGAAGCGGATGGTGAGGATTTTAGCGCGAAGAAGGAGGGCAACGAGATGACTATCAAGGTGGAGGACGACGATTTGGATGTTGCCGAGGATGCAGACCAGTGGGCTTGAGAGTCAAGAGCACGTCATGTTATGTGCATGGCTTGACAAGCGTACAGAATTGGGGGAATACACGGGGAAGGGAGTTTCTAGATACCCAGACACGGTTACTGCGGCGAGAATGATGCTGCTAAAATGTATACATATGTAATCATCATGAGCAATTGTGTTTTTCAAGTGTGTTCTTGTCTCGTGGGAATTTGAGTGACGCGCCGGCAGCTTTGACCAAAGATGGTAAGCGGATGGTAGGTACTTAAGTAGATGGACGTGAGAGACGCCATAGTTATTTTTTTTTCTGGTGTGGCTGATAGATAGATACTATTTCCAGATATACTCGCCCAAGGCGCCTAGCGTAGCCTTGTGTACTAGTTTTGCCATGTACCTGATCTTGGATATGTAGATTGGAGGGGATCACAAGGGTACTAGCACTGGGTGTTGTTATTCCCGGGCCGATCGATTCAATTCCTGCATACGCAACGAGGAGAGAGATGGCCATGACACCACAGTGGCAGAGCCGGCAAAACGTTGTTTCCGACCCGAGCCGCCTTATTCGACTAAGGGAGGACTCTAGTTGCGCGTGTTCGCATGCAGCCGCCTGCATGTCACGTCAGTCAATCTGCCAGCGCCAAGACTCCAATCAAACTGGGCCAATCGCACTCCTCTCTATACCCTAGCGGCCGGGGGGACCCTTTTCGCACTCGACTCGACTCGTCTCTCATCCATCCGTCCACGCATTGACACACAAACATCTCTTTTCTGTTCCGCCTCCTCTTCCTCTTCTCCTCCCCTTCCCCTCCCCCGACCTTATACGCCCGCCCGCTTTGCTTGGGTTCTCCAAATGGCTGTCAATGCGAGCTTCGTTTCGCCCACGGCCGACGCCAAAGTCGCCCAGGTCATGACTTCATTCAATGCCAATGGCCTGGTCTCGCAGGTCCTCAGTGATATGACCTGGTGGAAGCTTACCCTAACCATCCTGATGCTTGCCGTCGCCTACGACCAGTGTATGCCCCCATTCGTTCCACCACCTGCATCCACAAGACTAACAACCCTCTTCAAGTCAAGTACATATGGAACAAAGGCTCCATCAAAGGTCCCGCCTTCAAATTGCCCTTCATGGGCCCTTTCCTAGAGTCCGTAAACCCAAGCTTCACCAAGTACCACGAGAAATGGACCTCTGGCCCCCTCAGCTGTGTCTCCGTCTTCCACAAGTTCGTCGTCATCGCCTCTACCCGCGACATGGCTCGCAAAGTCTTCAACTCGCCCACTTTCGTCAAGCCCTGCGTCGTCGATGCCGCCTACAAGCTCCTGCGCCCTCAGAACTGGGTGTTCCTCGACGGCAAGGCTCACGTCGACTACCGCAAGGGCCTGAATGGCTTGTTCACCCGTTCCGCTCTTAACCAGTACCTCCCCATCCAGGAAGAGATTTACAACGAGTACTTCAAGCAATTCGTCCACACTTCCCAGGTCGAGAACAAGGGCGAGCCCATCCCTTTCATGCCGGCCTTCCGTGAATTGCAGTGCGCCCTGAGCTGCCGAACCTTCTGCGGTCACTACATGACCGAAGAAGCCATCAAGAAAATTTGCGACGACTATTACCTGATCACCGAAGCCCTCGAGCTTGTCAACTTCCCCATCATCCTGCCCTTCACTAAGAGCTGGTATGGCAAGAAATCCGCCGACATGGTTCTAGAGGAATTCTCAAAGTGCGCCGCAAAGAGCAAGGTTCGCATGGCTGCCGGCGGCAAAGCCGACTGCATCCTCGACTTTTGGGTTCAGAACATCCAGGCCTCCACAAAGTACCGCGCGAGAATTGCTGCTGGTGAGAATGTCTCGGACGACGAGAAGCCTTCCATGCTGCTCCGCGAGTTCACCGACTTTGAGATTTCCATGACTTTGTTCACTTTCCTCTTCGCCTCGCAGGACGCCACCTCGTCTGCTTGCACCTGGCTGTTCCAGATCATGGCTGACCGGCCCGAAATCCTGGAGAAGGTCCGCGAGGAGAACATTGCGATCCGCAACGGTGACATTCACGCCCCTGTTGATCTAGATCAGATCGAGACAATGCAGTGGACACGTGCTGTGGTCAAGGAAACTCTTCGCTACCGCCCTCCCGTCATCATGGTCCCATATGTGGCCAAAAAGGACTTCCCCATCACCGACACTTACACTGCCCCCAAAGGATCCATGGTCATTCCCACGACCTATCTAGCTCTTCATGACAGCGAGGCTTACCCTGAACCGGATTCCTTCATTCCTGAGCGATGGATCTCCGGCGACGCCGACAAACAGACCAAGAACTGGCTTGTGTTTGGTACAGGTCCGCACTACTGCCTTGGACAAACATACGCGCAAGCCAACCTCATGCTCATGATCGGAAAAGCCAGTATGATGCTGGACTGGAAGCACAAGGTGACGGATCTCAGTGAGGAGATCAAGGTTTTCGCTACAATTTTCCCTATGGTGAGCTCACGTACCATCTATTCTGCCGCTCGCAATCACTAACTGTGTACAGGACGATTGTCTCTTGACATTCTCGGAGCGTCAGGCTTAAAAGTTTGATTTCCATTCCACTGCTGTGTGATGGCACTACAGCGGATCCGGCGTTGGCAACCATAGTATGGAGTTTTATGATTCGATTCTCATGGGTTGAAGATGGCGCGGGACCAACTCTTGTAAAGGTCCTGATTAGATCCATTCTAGCACCTCCTATTAGACCTTGTAATTTCTGGGTAAAACGCTCGTGAAGAGTGCACCAGATACTTCTTTTCTTGACGATGACGACGCAGTAATATCCATAGGGAGACAGGGCAAGTCGTGTGTAGTGTAAATAGGCGACTCTAACGAAATGAGTTCGTGTGAGTGTAATGGAAAAGCACAACGAGTATTGTTAGTATGAAGATGAAGTCACAATTACCATGCATACGCAGTTGTGCCGTGCCACAATTCCACTCCAATCATCGTCGCTGGAGAACTTTTGGTATTTGAGCTCGGGCCACCCTAGCTATCCAGATGCGATTTATCGGAGCTTCCACCTCGTACACTCCACCACAACCTCAGCATCCAAGCTCCACGCTTGGCCTTCTGCACATGCTATAATGGCACCCACTACCTCACCTACCGATGCGCCCACCCATCCGGCTTCCAAAGATGGCCGTATCGGTCCCCACCCCTCGTACATCGAAGTAGCGAAACCGTACCTCCTCCAAAGCGCCATCCAGAAATGCTTAACCGATCTGGCCATGAGCGATGCCAAAGAAGACGCCGCGCGACTCCAAGGCGTGGCCTACATTGATCAAGTGCGCCGCGCACTCCAGCTCCCCGTGCGCACGTTCAATACCGCCGTCGTCTATTACCACAAGTTTCGCCTGCTACATCCCGATCACGAGTACAACTATGCAGATGCGGCAGCGGCAGCGCTGTTCACGGCTTGTAAGATTGAGGATACGCTCAAAAAAAGCAGGGAGATATTGGCGGCATACTGGAATTTGAAAGTCGGCGTGGGAGAGCAGGCTAGCAGTGATGATCCGGTATGGCATACAGCTCCCTTGGATATACCGTTGTGTTTGATAAATGGTGAGCAGCAGTGCTGACATATTTGGAAAATTCTAGCGCTTCGAAAAACACGTCAGGATCATTCTTGGGCTCGAACGCCTCATGCTCGAAAGCGCGGGCTTCGATTTCCGCAGCCGGCATCCACAGAAACTGATTGTCAAGCTTGCGCGAGTGATGGGGTTCAGTTTGAACGGTTCAGCGAACTTGGCGTGGAATTTGAGCATCGACATGTACAGGACTTTTGCACCGCTAAAGCAAACAGTGTCGACTATGGCCATTGCGTGCTTGGAACTTGCAGCAATGCTGTATGGCATGAATATGGATACGATCGTTGATACTGGAGCAGCCAAATACAAGAAGTGGAACACGAGTCGAGCAGAGATCATGGGTAATCCATCTCCTCTCCTTCTCCTGCGTGATTGTAAAGCTGACAACTGGCAGAAACATTGCTCGATCTTTTGGATCTTTACACTCACTACCGTAGCTCGACCTTTGTAGGCCCGCTGTATACCCTCGAGACCTTTATCAACCTCCGTATCGGCCTCAATCAGGAAGCTTCCAGCACGAATATCCCCCGCTTTGCAACCTACGCTTCCGACTCCACAGCCGCAACGTCCGATTCTCAAACGCCTAGCCACCCTACGAATGGCGCCTCAAAACCCCGCAACGGCTTCGATGCCAACTCGCCCCACACACCGATTACTCCTGGACAGATTTCCCCAGGCACGGTTGCTCCTCCCTCTGCTATAGGAATCAGGGGTCAGAATGGCACCGTGAGATTCATGCTCAGCGCGCAGAGGGCAAAAGAAGAAAATGCCGTCGTGAACAGCTACTGGAAAGTGGAAGAGGAAGAATACGAAGAAGTCGTCACCATCGATCCCGGCCGTGAGCGTGAGCGAGACCGCGACTGGGGGCGAGACCGCGAGCGCGAGAGAGACAGAGACAGAGACAGAGAATGGGAGAGGGAAAGAGAGAGAGAAAGAGACCGAGGAAGAGTGCGTTGAAAACAAAACCAGTGATCGGCTTGTAACCAAACCGAGCTTTTTCTTCTTTTTCTCGCTCGCAGTTAGGATTGCTTTCTGAGATTTGTGATTCTAATTTTGCGAACTTTCAATTCAGACACATACTTATTCAAGTGAGCAGAGAGGAAACGTGAGCAAGGAAAACGACTCTGGCATCGGCCGTGGAACAACCACGACCACAACATCATCATCAGTCAGCGGAAGAACGCGAGATAGAGAGAGCGCGGACAGGATAGAGCAGCTCTTCCAGCAGCAGGATGGGAATATTCCCGAGCATAGGCAGAGGTGGAACCCGAATTATTCTCGTTCACAGACCCCTCTATCTTTCTTCGAGCCCAACCACGGATACCAACCCGCACGAGAGAAGAGCCAGCACGAAGCCAGTCGCGAGAAACGAGAAGGCAAAGGCGGACGACAAAGTGAAAATACATACCTCCATCACCGAGCTAATTCACCCACGTTGAATGCCAAGCGCGACTTCCGTCACGGCGATTCCCGCGACCCTGTCCGCAGGTACAACAACACCTTTCAACGACCTTCCAGCCCAGCACGAAGCGAAACGGGGCCGATTCACCGCGATTCCGCTCGCCGCGACAGAAGAAACACGAGCGTACGAGAGCGTGAGACTGTCCGTCCCGGTCGTGGCAGCATCTCACCGCCGCCATCGTCTAGGACGCTAGCTCCACGACATGGAGAAAACCACACGGCAGCAGCAGAAGGAGGACGCAGAGGAGGAACTAGAGATCCACTGAAGATGGATCAGCGAGGTCGCGATGGGTATCATTATACCGACGACCACAGACAGCAAGGAGATGGATATACATCGCGCCATCACTTCGACGACGACGATGATGATGAAATTAGTGATCAGGAGGATAACCGTGAGCATGATCATTATTACGCTCTTGCTACTGTGGATTATCGTCCTTATCAACGACCACACGATCTTGACCACCTCTTCAACAACAACGAACGCGAGAACGGAGAAGGAAACTCTAACGGCAGGGTTCGTGGATATGGATATGGACATGGACATGGTCGTGATCGTGATCGTGATCGTGGACGCAGAAACGGAAGAGGAAGCCACTATCGCGGTCGTAGACGAGACTAAACTCGTGCTCTTGTCCGTGCAAATACTTTGAGCTTTTCCCACCCCCAGACATAACATGGCATAGCCATCGTTCTGTATATGTAGATACATGATGGCTGTAGTAATAGCCATCGATCATCGTAAAGAGAGATGTCGGGGTTCTTTAATGAGGGGGAGGAATAATACAAACACCTGTTTTGCTGCTGTTCCCAAAGCCGCCGTTTTTTAATCTTGATTGAACCTGACCCTGCCCTGCCCTGCCCTGCCCTAATCATTTACTCCCTTGTCGCTGAAGAGATGAAATTGTAGAGCAAGACAGGAATTGAATTTTTTTGGTTTAATCTCTCGGGCTTTTTTTTTGTGGGGTTATTTATTATTGTGTAACTATCGCTGTGTGTGTAGTGGGACCTCACACCTATAACTCCAACTCGGCATTGAACAGGTTTCCGCAAACAACAAATTTGATGTTAATTCTTTATTTTGGGAGAAAAGAACTAGAATCATCATCATCATCATCATCATCATCATCATCATCATCATCATCATCACAAGGAAAGATGGACTAAATTGAATCGTGGATTTGATAAGAAAAATTGTTATACAGATTGTGTTGTAGGACGGACAGAGTGGTTGTTGTGCAGCTCGTTTTTCATTTTATTTTATTTACCATATTTTCCAGGGTTGCTTTATTTTACCCTTTGAATTTGTGGTTGCCTGGTGAATGTCGTTTTGCTATATGAAGGGGGATATGGGGGAGGAGGGTTTGAGGATCGATTACTTCAATGTTGGTAAGTGAGTACGTACTTAAGTACCTAGGTATGCATGCATGTTGCTGAGTGAGCGAGTAGGTGGGTGGGTGGCATCTCTGAGACCATGCTCAACAACATGTGAAGGAGCGACATGCCATATACACATGGGAACAAGGAAGACGTACTGGCACAGTTCAGGGCATTGACAAGATGTTATGAATTCCTTATGGCACCGAGGCCAGCTGATATCACTCCACGAAAAGCATCACAGAATTATACGTATACATCACAGAAGAACGATTCGTTAGCCAAGACAGGATATACAAACGAATGAACAGGAAAAAGGTTTCATTAACCGTGCCTTATCGCCAGCCACCTCCAAGTGCTGTCCCAAATAATGGCCACGTTGCCCGGATCGTCATTTCTCATTGCGCTCGCTGATGGTAGTAGCTTGAAGAATGAACGCTTTTCTTTTTTATCTTTACCAAGTTGTCGTGATGCATGCATGGGGTGTCCAGCGGCTAATGATCATGAGCAAACTTACAACAGCCCTACGCTCCAGTGTCGATAGTAAAGGAAATCTACAAATTTTGGACAGAAATCCTTTATAGCTTGTCGTAGTACTGCGATAAAGGTTAGCGGAAGTCGACATGGCAAATTTGAAGATTGGGATACTTACGTTCTCAACACCGGGAACCTCGACCTTAACACCCTTCCTCTTACGCATCTCCTGGACGATCTTACCGGGCATCGTCGAGGCATCAAGTGGCGAGCCACCCTGGAGAACTTGCCAGTGATCGAACACCAATTGAGGGAAGGCCTGACCAGCAGTGTTGGATCGGAGATCGGCGGTGAAACCGAAGGACTCGTTGACGGGCAAGTAAGCCTTGACGTTGAAGAGAGGAGTTCCGATACGCTGGTTCTCCTCGAAGACGTGACCACGACGGCGGGTGAGCACACCGTAGATACCACCCATGGCCTGCTCGGGAACTTGGATCTCGACCAAGTACACGGGCTCCTGCAGAGCGGGCTCGGCAAGGAGAGTGGCGGCATAGAGCACACGACGAGCAGTGGGGATGATCTGACCACCACCACGGTGAATGGCATCGGCGTGGAGGGTAACATCCATGATGTTGAAGCGGACGGAACGCATGGGCTCCTCAGCAACGGGACCTTCCTTAGTAGCCCACTGGAAACCGGAAACAACGGAATCCTTGATTTCGCTGAGGTACTGAACGGCCTTGGTCTGGTCGACGAGCAAGTTGGCACCGTTGGTGTCAGGACCGAAGCACCAAATCTTACGGGCATCGGTCACATCCCAGCCGTGCTCATCAGCAAGGATACGGGCACGAGCCTTGAAATCATCACGTGGGCCAATCTTGCCATCCTCGATGGCCTTGGCGACCTCCTCGTCCAAAGGCTGAGCAGTGACGTAGAGACGGTTGTGCTTGTTGGGAGATTTGGACAGAGCGGTGATGCTCGATGTGCCGTTGACAGTCTCACGGTACTGGACGACGGGGTCGGAGATACGGAGGGGAACACCAGCGTGATCTTCCTCGAGATCCTTCAAGCAAATCTCCAAGTGCAACTCACCGGCACCAGCAACAACGTGCTCACCGGAGTCGGAGATGTAAGTCAAGACGCAAGGATCAGACTTGGAGAGACGCTTGAGACCTTCGACAAGCTTGGGAAGATCCTGGGCGTTCTTGACTTCGACGGAACGACGCACAACGGGGGACACGGAGAACTTCATGACCTTGAGGTTGTGGGCGGTCTCGCTGGTGGTAAGAGTACCAGACTTGAGCAAGAACTGATCGATACCGACAAGACCGAGAATGTTACCAGCAGGCACATCCTCAATGGGGTCAGTGTTGCGACCCATCATCAGGACGGTACGCTGAACGGCCTTGATGAACAAGTCCTCCTTGCGGCCGGGTTGGTAGTTGGGACCCTGGATGCGGACCTTGAGACCAGACTTGACGGTACCAGAGAAGACACGACCGAAGGCGTAGAAACGACCCTTATCGGAAGTGGGCACCATCTTGGAGACGTACAACATGAGGGGACCCTTGGGATCGCAGTCACGGATACCAATGGCGTTGGGGTCATCGGTGGGACCCTCGTACAAGGTCTCCATACGGTACTTTTGAGCCTGAGCAGGCGAGGGGAGGTGGAGAATCATCATCTCCAAAAGGGCATCAGCGGCAGGCAAGAACTTGCGCATGACGACCTTGAGGAGCTGCTTGCCCTCCAAAGCCTTCTCTTCGCTGGTAAGCTTGATCTCGAGCTTCTCAAGGAGAGTGGGGATCTCGTCGGTCTTGAAGTTCATCACGGCGTTGAAGATACGGAAGATGGGGTCCAAGATGAACTGACAGAAGGCACGCTCAAGGGGCTTGCCCTCGTGGGTTCCGACCTTGGTCCACTTCTTGGTCTTGGGGTTGAAGTAGCTGTCACCCTGTTCGGCAGTCAGAATATGTACATGCACAAAAATAATGTGGAACGGATTTTGGACTTACCCAGAGACGCTCCATCATCTTGTTCTTGTCAACACCAAACTTCTTGGCGTAACGAGAAGCGAACTGGCGGACAGTGAAGGCCCAGCCGTGGAGACCGGAACCGAAAGCAATGGTACCCTTGTCGGGGTAGACCTGGACATCACCGAGGACCTTGTCGAAGTAGGTGGCAATAACGACGTTGACGGACTCGATGACACGGGCGAAGTTCTGGTACAGATCTTCCTTGGTGAGCTGGAGCTCGAGAAGAGCACGGTCGACCTTGTTGATGACGACAACGGGCTTGATACGCTCACCAAGAGCCTGGCGGAGCACAGTCTCGGTCTGGACGCAGACACCTTCGATGGTATCGACGACAACGAGAGCACCATCAGTGACACGGAGAGCGGCAGTGACTTCAGATGAGAAATCAACGTGACCGGGGGAATCGATCAAGTTGATCAAGAAGTCGTTCTTAGAGACCTTGACGGGGATGTCCTTGAGGTCCTCCTCGTCCTGCAGCTGAGCATACAGGGAGATGGCGGTGGACTTGATGGTGACACCACGCTCCTGTTCGTCAGCTCGCGTATCCGTAAAACGCGCTGTTCCGGCCTTTGCCGCCGAAATGATACCGGCACGCTGGACAAGGGAGTCGGTAAGGGTGGACTTTCCGTGATCGACTAGAGGGTTTGGTTAGATGGGCGTTATTCGATGTGTGCATACGACGCGGGGCTCTGTCTGGGAGCGCTTACCGTGAGCAATGACGGACATGTTACGGATGTTCTCCGCCTTGTCCATCAACTGACGGATCTGTTCATGTTTGTTAGCTATGCGCAAAGTTACTCGAGAGATGAATCCAGTCCTGTTCGGTAGGAGTGGTAGGTGGTGGTGGCGCTGCTGAAGACGATGGTGCTGTAATGTGGTGTTTTGCGGGGCGACGTACCTCCTCAACGGTGAAGCTGGCAGATAGTTAGCAGCTATCATGATTTATTGAATGACCAAAAGCGAAAGAATGAAGCGCAGAGCGAACTTGGACGCTCAAGAACCGAGGGGAGCCATGTGTTAGGGGGGCGGCGGCGACGACTTACTTGACCATGATTGCGGTGGTTGATGATTTTCTGGGATGAAAAATTCAAAGTGGGATGTCTGTATGTGGTGGGATACCCCGCACGACGTTGGAAGGGGTGGAGAGCTGCAGGCAAGCGCTGGTGGACGCGGAATGCAGTTGAGTACTCTGGGAGGTAAAAGTCCAGAGACAGACAGGTGGAAGCGCTCTTATATGCCCGGGGCGCTTTGGCGTGCGGTGGGTGGACTTGACTTGATGGGCAAAGGAAAGGAAGGGAAAAAGAGTCGAAGCCGAATTTGTGAGGGCGAGATAGTGGGGTGGGCCAAGAACGGGCCTAGCGCCGACTGAAAATTGCCTCGCCACCAATTGTTCCGCTGCCTCGCACTGCTCCCACTGCCGTTTGACCTTCACTCCCCAAGCCTCTCGCCGGGCACATGTTGCGCCTATGCCTCTAATGAACCCTGGGTGCTGTTGGCTGCCATATGACTCTTTGGCATCATCAAACCCTTCTGTTTCAGCCCTTGCAGCCCTTTTTTGTACCTATCCATCCGCCATAGCGGACTGGCAGCCCATGCCACTTTGGTACGTCGACCACTATGGGTCGGTGATTACTACTAAATTCTTCATTTGCGATTGGCCATGGCTTTACCGAGTACATCAATGCCTACTGCATGCCTTTTTGCCATCATCATCGTCAATTGACTACATACTTATTTTCAAGCGCTGTGCACAATGAACGCATGTTTTGTGACTCAACTCCAGTTGCTGACTCTTTCGGTCTATCAAGTACATATGTATATATACCTCCAATCACATCACAGCTTACTTGCTGCTTTGCGCCCAAGGCATGGCAAGATGAGCTCGAATAAGCCATTGTGAGGCGAAATACCATATGCACATTATTAATCATGAATGCTTTGAAATAACCACCACTACTGCCTTGTGATATACTGTCAGTGGTTTGCACGGGTGAAACAGACTCGCACTCGGCACAAGCATTTCGAATGAGTGCCACCAACGGCTCCAGTGCTTGAGTAGCCAGCAACCGGACATAAACCGGACATAACAACACCCATCCAGCTTCACTACATGATTATCAGGAATGTTTCCAAGTAGGTAAACACATGTATACATCACCATTACGTCTCATTATCATTTGCATTCGCAATCTTGTCCATAGTTGAAGTGCTGCATGCGCATGCACCTGTATGCATCATGGATTCATTTGACCCATGTCCTGGAGAATTGGTATCGTACAGTAAGAACACTTTTGTGCTTCCGTCTCCAAATCATTCGCATAGGCTGTCCATTTCGGCAACCATTTCCCCACGCAATCATGTCCCCCGAACGCCATCATGGAAAAGTAAAAGGAAAGCATCAAGTCCAGTAAAGGAAACCCCTACTCGTCCTCCTTGATCTCCAACTTGGCCTTCTTCGGACCGTCATTGACCTCCTCCTCGGCTTTACGCTTGTTGCCTTGCTCGCCCTTGTCAGCTTGGAAGCGGTCGCGACGCTCGTTCCAGTCATCACCACCACCAGAGTTGCGGCGGCGACGATCGTCCCGTCCACCACGTCCACCGCGGCCACGGCCACGACCACGGTCACCGCGTCCACGATTGCCACCTCCACGTCCGCGTCCGCGAGTGTCGCCCGAGTTGTTGTTCTTCTTCTTCTCCCAGTCTGGGATGATGCCCTTCTCGCGACACTTCATCTCGCTATAGGCGCGCTTGGTCATGATGGTAAGGTCCAGGCCGTTGAAGGTTGGCTTGGGATCGAGGTGCAGAAACTGCTGAGCGGACTCGGCAGAATCAAAGGTGACGAACACGCTGCCCTTGAAGAGATTGTCCAAGTCACGGCGCTTGCGTACTACAACTGAGCCATAAGGCTTGAAGAACTGCTCAAGGGTGAGTTGACCGACGTCGCTACCGTTGGGCGCGTCTGCCTTGAGGAATCCCTTGACGTAGATGTCGGCACTGTCTTCGGCATGGTAGGCCCGAATGCAGCGCTTTTGGAGGTCATTCATGGTAGGAGGGTCCTGCTCGTGGGGACCCGGGGTGTCAGGGACAACCAATGCCGACTTGCGGCGGACACCTTCGTTGCCTGGACCGCTGAAGGAACCATCATCAACAACTTCGAGCGACTCGCTGGCTCGGAGAGCATCAACGACGGCGGTGTAGGGCGTGAAGCGACGCATGCGCTTGAACTGGCACATGTGCTTGATAGGGACGGGGAGGTTCTTGGGACCCTGGCACTCGAGGAACAAGTGCTCGTCTTGCTTCAGGTTGTGGTCCGAGAAGTAGAACTCGACCTAACAAGGTTAGAACTGGCAGTATCAAAGGGACTGAACACAGTCATACCTGACCGCGGATCTCGTCGGGATCACTGGACTCTGGAAGATTCTCGTACTCCGACTTGTCAATTGGCCTAGTGCGAAGTTAGCAAGTGTGCGCCTGGAGCAGCTGATATATTAACGCACTTGCGGAGAGGCTTGCGGCCGTTGTAATGGTCGCCGCGAAAACCGCCACGCTTGCCGCGATGAGGGCGTCCGCCAGACTCGCGCTTGTCGTTGCTGCGCTTGTCATTGGAGTCGTTGTCGTCGTTGCGCTTCTCGGTGGGCTGCTCGCCGGACCTAATGAACCTGTCAGAGCCATGTTGCGATATCGCGCGGGAGTACTTACTTGGTATCTGCGGTCGCGTCGGCGGTGGCAGTCGCCTCTGCAGAAGCTTCAGCGGTCTTGACGTCCTGGGCGTTGCCATTGCTGCCATTGCTGGTCTCGGTGGGGTTGCTGGCTGCCTCGGCGGCTGGCACAGCGGCGGGTTGGTCGGACATTGCAGAGTGCAGATGCTTCTTCGCGGTCGATAATCGTTGTTGTAGTGGGTTTGTACCTGTTCACGAATTAGTCTCCGTTGTTTTCTTTCGTAACAGGGAACAGACGGTGTGAGAGGGACCACAGGAGTGAGGTTGTGGTGGAGGAGAAAAAAAGTCGGCGGCACAAAAGCTCAAGCAGCTAGTAGATTAGCGGGGTGGGAGCTCTTTCCCCAATAGATTTTCCGCGTCCGTGCACCGCGCGCGCCTCAGATTATTCTGAGGTGAAGCCAAGTCCACCGTGACAAACATTCGAGCCCTCACATCCACCTTCACGTCTCGTTTTCCATCCGCTCCGCCACAATGAGGAAAAAGGGGAGATTCCATTCGCTCAAGAAGCTGGTGAGTCAGCCTGCTGGTGTCCTGCTTGCGCCCTTTTCCTGGCCTGCCCGTATTGTCTGAGTCAATGGGGGATGGGATGGGATGATTGATGACTGCTAACCACCACCCATCATCGTACAGAGGCCCCGCCAGGATTGGTCACGATGGTCGTTGTACAGTATTTCCCAATTGAAGCCTCCTATCACCAGCCCCAAAACCTTCTTCCAGCAGAAGTGGACCGCCAAATCCCTTACCCGCGCATACCACGGCGAACAGATTCGAGAGAAAGTATGGAAGCGCATGTTCAAGAGGAATCTGCCTGCCGTGGTGTCCATGGACTACAAATACCTCGCTCGGAACGATGGCTCTGAACAGGCTGCTGGCCGTGGTGCAGGAGCCGAGGGTCCTAAAGCACCCAAGAACCCTCCCATGACACCTTATATGCAGATGACATATTATCCCATCGAAAGACGTCTGGACTCCGCTATCTTCCGGTCTCTGTTTGCAAGCAGTGCCAGGCAAGCAAGACAGTTTTGTGTTCATGGCTTGGTCAAGGTGAACGGCAAAAAGGTAGGATCCAGATGGAGCTCTCATGGCGGCTTCGGAACATCTTTGGCTAACATGCTTCGTTAGATGGTATATCCTGGATATATGCTCAACCCCGGAGACCTCTTTCAAGTTGAACCCTCAAGCGTCATGTACGCCACTGGTGCCCCCAAGACGCGATCCTCAACCGCAAGAAGAATCGCCAAGGAGAAGTCCACAGCGCGCGCCGACGAGTGGAACGAAAAGTCAAAGGTCAACCCGCCCACAACAGAGCTGATTCAATCCACCAATCGCGAGGAGCCAACTGCCGCCGAGTTGAAGACCCACATGCAATCGCTCATGAAGGATGTTGAGGATGTGCTGAACGAAGACGTTAGCGCCAAAGACAAGCAAAAATTCCGAGGCCTGCGCCAACAAATCCGAAAGTCCATCTCGCTGTGGAAAACGGCGAACCCGGAAACCATATCCACGCTAGATTCGCAATTCGACTTCCTCAAAAACGCCATCAGGGCGCGTTCCGCCGAACTGGAGGCTACGACTCCGACCACAACAGATGCCGAATCCACAACACTAATGTCGTCCGAAGACCAGCAGAAACTCAAGCAAGCCTTCGAGAAGCTCAAGTTGGAGACAGAACACACATCAGAGTGGAACAAGCGCAACGCCGCGGCGCCATACGCGACGCCCTGGAGACCTCGAGACTATATGTCGGCGTTCGCCTTCATCCCTCGTTATCTAGAAGTCAACCAGAATATCTGCGCTGCTGTGTATCTTAGACATCCCGTGGCTAGGCCTGGCTTGGCTGAGGTGCCGACACCGTTCCACCTGGAGACTGGACAGCTGGCATTCAACTGGTACTTGAGGAGAAGATAGAGAGTGTTGGATTGCGGGTTTCGACTCAGAGCGTGGGGCGTGTCCGTTGGTGCCATGTATGATACTCGATGCAAATGCATATGCAAAGCTGGTGTTGATGTTTTTTTTTCTGGTTGGGAACTCCGGTTTGCTTATATGTGTGTCTGTGAGAAAGAGAAGGAAGAAAGAAAGGTATTACTGTAACAATACTCTTACTTTTATGTAAACCAATGTAAAAAACTCATAGAAGATGTTGCACCCTGGACATGAATCATTCACCATTGGTATGTGAAGTCGGTGAGAGCAACAACGTACGGAGACGAAACTGTTATGAATTTGGCTCGTATCACTTGCCTTACCATATCACATAAGAAAGGCATCTCTATAGTTCTTCACTTTTGTACACTGCCGCCAAAAAAAAAGTCCACGGAATTCATTTCATTGATACTTCATCACTTTGAAATTGATATTTATCGAAACCCGATGAATCGACGTCTTACCGACCCGGTCAATCGAAATCTCAAATCAGTGTCTGCTTTGTCACTGTTTATGTATATGTATATATATATACGTCCTAATGCTTTGATTTACTTCACTCTGCCTCACCACCCCGCGGCCCAGAAATTATTACATCTTCACCCGCGCCGCTGACTTTGATACGCCTGTTGATGAATGAGGAAAGGAAAGATGAGAAAAAAGTAAGAGGAAAGGGAATAGTCGTACACACTGCTGTGGATGAGAAGAAAAGAGATGGATGGATGGGTGATTAGTAGAAGCGGTGGTGGTGGCTGTCAATTAGTGTGGATTGGCTCAATGCCTATTGACACACCTGGAGAATGATGCCTTTGACTATGCCGCAGGGAGGGCTTGATGCATATGCATAGGGGGGAAGTTTGATGATGTGCTTAAGGAAAAGAGGAATGTTGATAAGAAAAGAGGAAAAGGGAAGCGAAATAGATGGGAATAAAGAGATATAGAAAGAGGATAAGGATAAAAGTCCGCGGCCTGGGAACGAACTCCTTTAGCAAGATAATAAGAGAAGAAAAGAAAAGAAAAGAAAAGAAAAGAAAAGAAAAGAAAAGAAAAGAAAAGAAAAGAAAAGAAAAGAAAAGAAAAGAAAAGAAAAGAAAAGAAAAGAAAAGAAAAGAAAAGAAAAGAAAAGAAAAGTTTAGAAGATCAGAGTCACCACCCACACCTGCTGTCGCTGCACTAGCATTTGCCGTGGAACAAAAAAGGAAAAAGGAAAGAGGAAGAGAGGAAAGAGAATTCAAACGCCGTCCTTCATGAACATCAATCAGCTACATGACGGAAACAAGAAGAGACGAGCGATCAATTCTTCTCCCCGACGCCCGTCTCCGTAGTCTCCGCATACGAAGTCTCGGCGTATCGCAGCGTATCCGCACTCGGTCTCGGACTCACGTCCACAACGCTTGAATCGGGTGTCCACCGCGAGCTAGCAGACGATGCCGCGGATGAAGTCGAAGTCGTGGGTGAGGTTACGTAGTTTCTGAAACCGTTGGCGACCGAGTCCGACACGTCTTCGTCTTCTTCGTATGCCGGGGGACTGCTGGAAGCGTACCCGGGTAGACTGTCTGTTCGAGAGAGAGGACGGGATGGGCATTCAGGAAGTGAGGTGGGCGGGTATGTTGATGTGGCGGATAGGGGTGAGTACGGCGCCTCGGGGATAATAGGTTGTTGGGGTGCAGGACAGTGAATGTGAGATGGGCGTTGACGGGACGATGGTGACGAGGATGAGCGCCCTTCTTCTGCTCCGATCAGCTCGTTTACAATGCCGTGGGCGGCACGGAGCTGTCTGATTTCCTCCTGCATCGCGTCTTCGAGGACGTTTTCTTGGTCCTGGATCAGGCTTCGCTTTTCTTCGTAGTCTTCGATTCTCGAGCGATCTCTCCAGTTGCCGCGCCACCAGTTGCGCCATGCGTGGTTGCGTGCAGCGCGGCGGTATGCTCGTGCGTTTCGACGTTCTTCGCGGGCGGCTGCTCGTTCGGTGCGGGAGCGGAGACTGCAGCATCGAGTACTGCGGAGTGCTGTCACGAGACAGCCGCAGCAGAGAATACCGAGCACAACCTCGATCGCGATGACGAATGGTGAATTGGGTGAGGGCATTCGGGGACGAGGTCGGTGAGCATCCTGCTCGGGGGAAGGTGGAGGGGGCGAAGAACCTTCATCTGATGTGATGCGGACATGACCTTCAATAGCCGGGAACTGCTTGTAGTGGCTCTTCCTCAGACCATGGTATTCATCTTCGAGTTTCCCCATCGGTTGTTCGTTATGGCGGTGCTTCGATTTGAGACGGATGTAGAAAATTCTCCATGCACCATGAGCTCCGTTGGCGATGGTTTTGACAAAACATTTGAAGCCGTCACACTCTCCGAGCTTTTCGCGCAAGTTCCCGGTTTCTTTTTCGATGTGTAGCTTGATGAGAGTCTCTTTCTCGTCAATGACCTCTTGGAGTTTTTGCACTTCAGTTCGGAGTGCCTCGAGCTCGCTAATCTCGTTTTCTAGAGAAAGGGACGGTGGATGTTCCGGAGATGGACGGTCCTCTTTGGGTGGCAGGCGTAATCGAAGCTCAGAGGGGGGTGCCAACCAAGACTGTGCTTGTTGTTTGTCGGCTGCTGAGCGATTAGGTACTGATTCAAGCCGAAGGAGTTCCGGAGGGTGTTGCTGTTGCTTGAATGACACTGTGAAGCCTGATGGGGTTTGGGTGGGTCTGCCGTCGATAGCTTTGATGTTGACAGTCAGGATTTGGGCAGCGTCATCCGATTCGTCCTCTCCGTGGACACAAGTGTTTTCCCACTCGAGGTCAAGATCGTGTTGAAGGAGCCAGGCATTCGCATCCACGTCAGTGACACCAGTGTAGGAAGCAGAGCCAGACGCGACGTCACCTTGCCATTCGTGGGGCAGGTACTGTCCGTTCAAGGTGATGTTACTGGTACCACATGGTTCATTGAATGAGTGAGCCTTAAAGCTAAGGATCTAAAGAGGGATGAGTATGAGGGGCAGTCACGAAGTTGCCTGGAGTGGGTCATCATACTATGGACTCGTCATCATGGCTCGTGTGATCCGAGCCAAGACAGTTTGCACATGGGACACTGAAGGTAGCTTGCGCGTAAGTGTCGTGGACGTCTGGTAGTAGTTAGCAGCTGCCTGGCAATGGCGAAATCAGAGTGGATTTCTATAAGAGAGCGAGACGCACCCAGCTCCAAAACGTCCGCCTTCGGTTCAACACGCTGGGAGTGTGGAGCTTGGGGAGCTGGCGGGAAGACTGATGCGAGTACCGGTACGGCGGCCCAGGCACAAGCCGACAGCACCTTTGATTTGAAGGACCGCATAGTTCAAAGAGACGAGAACAAATGGAAACAAAAGCAAACTGGAAAGAAAGCTGTGGCAAACCAGCCGGCGAGCTGGGGACACGGCGGTGGAAAGAGAGACGATTTGAAAGAAAGAGAGTCAGCCAGACAGCTGTTCTGATCCCACGGGCGCGGGAGATCAGGCACCAGTGGATGCAACTGGCAGGCCGTGATGTATTATGGCCTGAACGGGGGGGCTTAGAAGTCGGTCGAAGTCAGCAGCAACTTGACGCGTGGCGTTTGCAGCCAATCCTGCAACGGGGCTGAGCAGTTACATGGTCACGATTCAGCTGCAGGTGGAAGGGAACGAAACATGAACATGCTGTTGCGATTATTCTTCTTTTGTGTCTGTCATGTACCTATGTATGTAGATTGTGGATTTGGTGTGGGGATGGATTCCAGTAGGTGTACCATGCTGTTTTACATATACCTAGGTATGTACATGTATGCATCAATGAGGTACCTACCCTCGAGTACACCAACAGGATGTCGGCATCTCGGGATACCGTGCAAGGCCATCGTCAGTCACAGACCAGGAAACTCGAGCGGCCTGTGGTGCATCCCGCTTCCGCCGGATCAAGCTTCAAGAGCTGTTCATCTGCGCATGGATCCATGGAGCCAACGGTCTTCTCGGATGCCGACTGGGAGCATCTTTCGCATTGCTCGTTTATTCGCGAGTGAGAGAGCACCAGCCGTCGCTTCTTATCGATAAGCGAGCCATAGCGCCAAGACTGCCAGACGCGTGATTGGCCACTCCAGACCTGCGACTTCATTCCGCTGTTTAGATCGTGATATACTCCACCAATAGCTTCAGCCATTCGCTTTATCACTTTCCGTTCAATTCGAGTTGCCTGACACATCAAGGCACCCGCAAACTCGCTATCTGACTTCTGTCACTTCCCGGGACGTGTCCATACGCCGCGCTGCAGTCGACAGCTGCTAGCGTCATACACCATGGTGGGCAGCCCGAAATCAAATACCAGGCGCATAAAGAATGGAACTGACCATGCTGTGTAGCTACCTCTCGGTCTCTTAACGGCCGCGACAGGCCACCCTATGCTCGTCGAGCTTAAGAGCGGCGAAACCCTCAACGGCCTGCTGGTCAATTGCGACACATGGATGAACTTGACGTTGAAGGAGGTCGTACAAACAAGCGCCGACGGCGACCGGTTCTGGAGATTACCCGAGATATACGTACGCGGAAGTACCGTCAGTCTACCTCATTCATCCTTTACCCAGCGGACCGAGCGCTGACCGAAAGTACAGATCAAATATCTACGGGTGCCCGACGAGATTGTTGATGTAGTCAAGGAGCAACAAGCAAAGGACCAGGCAAACAGGGGAGGCCGGGGAGGAATGCACCAGCGCGGAGAACACCGTGGGGATCGTGGAGGCCGTGGCATGCGTGGGCGTGGACGAGGTCGTGGAAGAGGAGGCGGCGGTGGTGGTGCTTAAATGGATAGGGGTGGACACGGCCAATTGTGCAAAAGTAAAGACTTGCTCTTGGACTCTGGTGGCGGAACCTTTGATGCTCTTTGGGGCAATTCAGCGTCTAAAAACACATCGTCGACCATCCGGTACACCTCTTGCAAATGGATATCGAATCCTGATTTCCGGGGATGATAGACGATCTGCTCCTTCGACTACTATACATGATCAGGGGCAAACGATACAATGTGAACAGAGGAAGGTGGCCATTGTGCGGTAGCAGCTAACGGCCATCTCGCTCGAGCTGTTGTATAGCATACAGTCCAGGTGGATCATGAGCTCGAGTATCGACTGAAATGCCAGGCCTTACGTTCGAGGTTATCTACTGCTCTTCATATCCTAGCTTACTTGCTTATGGTTCGAATGTTCAAACTGTTCCATGATCATCATCTACAGCTTGTAGTAAATGCGGGTCTCTGAAGTTATCGACCGCTCCTACAGCTGTTTCCATAACAATTGAAAATCATGGGGAAGTCTGAATATCTACATCACAGACATCATCAATTAGACAATCTGTTTCAGCCATCATCTCCTACAAACCTTTCTGCCTTATTTTTCTCGACCCCTTCCCTATCGTTCACACAAGATGTATTTATCCCGATGCAGTACAAAGTTGCCTCAAACACAGGAGCATAACCTCGTCACTCACTCAATCAAACCCCCATGATTGATGACCCAATATGCTTTCCCCCTTTCCCGATTAAAACACAAACCTCAATCATCTTGCTCCACTCGAGGAGGAAAAAAACATTGGATACCACCACACACAACATCATCAATTAAAATACTGCAGATGCAGAATCAACTCCACAATAACGCGCACCAACCCATGCATCGAAATTAAGCAACACGAGCATGCCCCTAGCTTCAGAGAAGCATAGCCAAGTATCCCACACCCCCTCTTTCTCCACACTCCCCCCCACTAATCTATCACGAAGAAAATCAATATGAAGAAATTGATTTAAACCAACCTTGCGTCGCACGTTCCCCAATGTTAAGGGGTATATATATTATCGCGAAGGAAAATTCTCCATCGAAGTCTGAAACATCAGAGTTCTTCTCAACGGCGCTCTGGCAGAGTGGTTATTGCGTAAGACTAGAAATCTTATTCCTTCGGGAGCACAGGTTCGAATCCTGTGGGCGTCGAGATCAACATCAAAAGCTTTCTTTTTGTCGTGCTGAGTGAGCTTCATTCGAGCTATCTTCTCTTTTTTTTGGCATGGGTTGCGGGCTAATTGCGCGCGTATGAAGTGTGAGCAAGGAAGTCTGCGTCATTCACACTTTTTTTTACTTAGGGAGGTGAGGATTTGGTGCTGCGCTATGCACGGATTTCTTCCTACGAAGGGGACTACCATTCGTGTGTGGCCTTCTTTTTCTCATATTCTTTAGATTTGGATCAGCAGGTATTCTGCATGCAGCAAATTCGTGAACTGATGTTTAAATTGCCATAGTCTCTATATTTCCTCCTTTCTTCTGTTCCACTGTCCTGGCTGTGTACAACAAACTAAATCGTTCCATCGCGTTGAAGTCTGAGATCCCTTCCCCCCACCACCCCACTCGCGGGTGGCTGCTCTCCCCCCACTACCCACACCAGTCAAAAAATCCTTCCCTGGTCGCCCAAAAAAAAATCAAAGACCAACCAACAAAGAAACTAAAGCAATCGTGATCTCCACTCTGAACTGAAGGATCTCAGGTTCAGAATGTTCGTTTGACTGAATCTCCCACTCGTGTTGAAAATTTTTGAGTAGGTATATGTTTTGTGAAGGGCTTAAATCCTCATCAAATCACATCAGGACGTGTGGCCCAATGGCAAGGCGCTTGACTACGATTACAAGCAGTGATCAAGAGATTCCAGGTTCGACCCCTGGCACGTTCAGAGATATCTTTTTTTCTTGGGGTTTGCTTGTAAGTAGTAGACCAGATTTCGAGTAAGGGTACCGGAATTTGACGTGAGGTGTTGAGCTCGTAAAACACACCCCTATGAAGTTTTTACGAGCTCAACTCATCACGTAGAACTCCGGTATCCTTACTCTAAATCTGGCTTACAAGCCTAACTTTTGTTCTTCTAATCTTGAGTTATCGTCTCAGGTGCTGCTTTTGGTTGGTACTTGTGGCAGTGATGTCACAACTCTCCTCGCTTACCCGAGTTTTTCTTTTTTTTTAAATGTGTGAGTGCAATAATTCGCACTCTTCGAAAAAGGATTGGGATCAAGGGCTGGAGTGACTTTTGTTCGCGAGAAGACCACGCATCAATGACGGTAGCACAAAGATACTCACTGGGTAACGTGCTTGAGGGGTAGACGCGCGAGGGCATGTTGAATGTTGGGCGTTCCACCCTCAGAAAGAGCAAGAGACCATGTGAAAACGACAACAAAACTTCTCTTCAACAATACTAAATTATAATACTTCCATACAAACACCTTGAACACACTTAATCAAGGTCTCCACCTGAAAGAAGGATGCTTCCAGTCCAGATTCTGCTGCTGCAGCACACTAAGCCCAGCCAACTCGGCATCAACCGGTTTCTTATCTCTTTTCGAATTATCCATCTTCATCCAGAAAAGCAGCAAGACGGAGAGAACCAGCACCGTCGAGCTCGTAGCAAGATTCAAACCATTCCCGACGTGGTAATTCGGTTTGTCGTTGGGCAGGAAGCTCCATGTAGCGATTAGCCCGCCGACATTACCCAGCATGACATTGACGGCGATGGCCGATGCCCGAGCTGTGTCGCTGACGACGTTGGCCGAGACCTGGGCGTTGCACAGCGCGCCAAATGCGAAGGCGCCGCTTGCGATGATGAAGGTGGCGCCGTAGCGGACTGCGGCTTTTTCGCTCGCGAGGAACATGATGTAGCCGATCATTATGAGAGGGGATCCGATTATGAAGAAGATGGTGCGTTTGTCGAGACGCCAGCTCAGGAAAGGGAAAAGTAGGGTGAAGAAAGCGCCGACTACGTAGGGAGGCACTGTGTGGAGTTGCTGAGAGATGACGGAATCCCTGGGGTAAATGGTTGCGACGATTGTTGGAGCAAAGAAAGCAAGACCCTGCACAGTGATATTGTCTAGATTGGCAGTTAGTCGCTACTGAGCCAGTTGGTATGAGTACAGTTTGACTTACTGAGCAGGAAAATGAAAGATGTGACTAGAGTGACTGGACTGAAGATTCCTCTAAAAGTCTTTGTGCGATCAATCTTGTCGAGGACTTCGGTGGTTGCCACGCGCTCGGACTTGACACGAGCAATGGCCAGATCCTTTTCTTCTTGTGACAGCCATCTGGCCGTTTCAGGACGATCCGTGAGCGTAAGAAACGCGATGAGCGAAATGCCACAGGTGATTATACCCTCGATGGCGAAGATCATCCTCCATCGCGTGAGGGACCCAAAGTGAGGAAGCTTCAAGATGGCTGAAGCGAGCAAGCCTCCAAAAGCACCCGCGAGCGGGGCCATAACAATGTAGAGTGACAGACGGAATGCCTGAATACCAAGTTAGCAAACACTGGCGAAGAAGTGCTGCGATAATCAATCATGACCATGCAGTACCATGATATGCTCGCTACCACAAGGATACGTACCAACTCAGACCTCCTGTACCAACGTGACATGTAATAGGCAATCCCAGGCAGCATTCCCGCCTCGAAAATGCCGAGCAAGAATCGGACACCACAAATAGCATGGATGTTGGTGACGAAAGCGGTCCCAATGGAGCAGATGCCGAAGCCGAGAGAGATGGCTGGAATGAACCAACCAGGGCCCACCCACTTGCAACACATGTTGCTGGGGATTTCGAAGATGATATAGCTGATGTAGAAGACGGAGAGCACAGTGTTGTAATCAAATCCTGTGAGACCTAGATCTTTTTCAAGTCCAGCGAGTTTCGCATTTCCCTGTTCAATATCAGTAAATGGGAAGTGGTGCAGCAGAAGAAACGGCGACTTCGTACAATGTTGGCTCTATCGATAAAGCAGAAGAGGTACAGGAGCGCTACGGTCGGGACAATATAGAGATCAATCTTCAACCGCAGTCTCGCCTCCGCCTTGGGGTCAAACTGAATCAAAGATTGACCATAGCTACGAGATTGTAAGTTTGAGCGCCTCAAAAAAGGATGAAGCCAGCTCACATATCCGTTGCAGCATTTCCTCTTCCGGCAACTTGGTGAGCATTTCCTTCCTTGAGATCCTCGTAGTGCGCCGCCGAAGTCTTGTCTTCGATTGGTTCTGCCATGATCTTCACAGGTTAGATTCTGGATCCACCTGTTGAATGAGTTGAGATGGAAAGGCGTGTTGAGATGATCGTCTGGGGCTCCCCAATGCGTGTTATATAGTTTGTGACCCCGGAATCGAAGGGCAGGCGGAGGTCCTTGCTAGCGGCTGCCACCTGGGGTACGCTTGCCACCTGATTTGTGTACTGAAGCTCCCTATCGGGGACTCGATAGAGCTGTTTGATAGGCGCAGCTTGGCTCAGACTTCAGAGGTATTTGAACATGAGAAATTGTGCTTGTATTGCCCCATGATTCACGTCTGCTTCACTCATGAATTCCTCCACAAGGAACCCTCTTGAGGTCAACCATGAATCTATGTCAGAGTTGACCAAATAGACTTTGGCCTCGCCAGTATACCCAGGTGAACAAATGATAGGCTTTCCGCTATTCATATTTGTACATTACAACGCCTGTTTGTAATTTACTCGTAGTTCTAATGGATGCTGGTCGTCATTCCGAGTCAGTGGTCCATTCCCCTTTGATCAATCGGAAGCGACCTGCTAGAGCCATAAACAAAGCTATCGCGGAAAGTACAAGGTACGTATCACCAACATGCCGTCCATTCGGCCCATATGAGCTCCATGGCGCAAATAGAACGTGCGTCATCAAACCAGCTCGTAAGAAATCTGGGGAAGACGGGCCACGGCGAGCAGAAACGGGAGTGGGATGGGCACTAGGCGCTGCCGTTGACCAATTCCGCTTTTTGCGGGGTACTTGCAAACCGCTGCCGATGCTTGATGCCGACCTTGAATTGGGGATCAGTGCACATCTTGCCCATCTCCCACACGCAACGTGCTGCAAGTGATCATCCCTTGCTGCGCGCCCAAACGCAAATGCGACATGCTGGATATTACGTCGCTTTCATCCAAGATATGAGATGCTCTATAAGTGTCGCTATTGCGGCCCACTGATAGCCAAATTCGCGCATTCAGTCTTCCCATTTATTGTTGAGTCACCCCTTTTCCGGGACATGTGAATCGGTTCTGCGCGATATCAATAAACAAAGAGTTTTGCAGTTTTTTTTATCCTCGGTATCAATGCAACATTCCGCGGAGGTTTACCTCTCCTGGACCATCTAGGCTGTTATCAATTATCATCGGCTCTTCGGACCATCTGAAACGGCTATCTTGCTCTTCATCCACGTGCCATCGACGTAATACCGAGCACGAGCGTCAGAAAAAAGTTGTTATAAGACTATTGTAGAGAGTAAATAGAGTCAGAACGGTTGTTCGTGAGACACACAATAGAATTGGGGATCAAGAGGACCCAATGCTCTACTTGCAGTCAACCAGACACAGATGCATAATGTCGATAGATCCTTGCCTAGTATGCAGGCTTTGGGCTTCGCTGACTCCATCACAGGTGACAGTAGCAGATCACATCGATTTCGAGCGGAAAGGAGGGAACGAGAGTGGTTTCCCCCAACATGACCTCATGGAATGGATCCCTATACAGACATGCTCTCTGCGACTTCACTACTCTACGATCCTCCCTAGAGAAAGACTGACGCAAGGTTCAACTCTCGATTCGAATGGCTATTACCGAAGGTCCGAATATCCTTGTTGACGAACAGCATCACCAAGACCGCATCACGCTAATTCACAGATATCATCTCCACCATCATCTCTCTATTACACATCATTTCCAACAAGAAAATTCTAGACTCCCGTACAGAAAATCCGAATCAAACGTAACACCTTGGCCCTTCAAACTATTACCCCATCGTCGACACATTCCAAGACTGCGATTTCCACCAGACGCCTCAACATTCGTTGGTCAACATGTCACACATCTCCCTTCAGTATCCGCCATGCAAGTAAGTGGGCTTCCGCAGCTTCCTAGCTTCCTGGCCAAGATGTACCAGCTGAATCGTGAGTTGAGTGTACGGCCTGGGGGAAAGGTTTCTGGTGTCGGGAGTCGGCAGTGATGTCGGCTTATCTGTATCGACCGGGTGAGGAACAGCACTCAACAAGACGCGTGAATTCGGGATGAGTATGGAATTTTCTTGCGTAATGCGGTTAGATGGTGCATTGGTACATTTTGGCATGATGCTAGTCACGACGTGTCGCTCCTTTGGCGACGGAAGGTTGTATCTTGTGCAGTTTAGATGCTCGTGGTAGCTATCGCATCATGGAGATTCAGACGTGAAAGCAGAGACTTCTACAAGGCATGAATTCTAATTGACGTCTCGACTTTACTCGTCCCGTGATTGCATCTTACAATTTGCTCTTCCCACCTTTGTTCAGCGTCACGACTAGTTTACCAAATTGACTAGCGTTCTTCATATCCTCGAACAAGCCATCCATCTTCTCAATGTCAAGGCCGTCAACAGATCGCGAAACCACGGGCTTCAATTTCTTTTCCCGCACGAATTGGACCATGTCGGCGAATTCTTTCCTCGAGCCCATGGTAGACCCGCGGACTTCGATGTTGCGCAAGACGGCAGACATTAGGAAATCCATCTTTGGAGACACTGTCATACCGTAGATGGATATTATACCGCCGGTCTGTATACAGGTTAGGCATTGTCAAAAAGCTGAATCTCCAGAGATAACTCACCTTGAGCAATCGTGATCCCTTCTGTACAACATCACCGCCAGCTCCATCGACAATCGCGTCCAAAAACGGTCTGTCTTTGGGCAGCATGCCCTGCAAATTCTTCTCCCATCCTTTCTCCTTGTATATGACACCACCTTTTGCGCCCAGTCCCACCGCCTTATCAATCTTCTCTTTGTTTCCACTCGTCACATAGACATTGCAGCCTTGTGCCACACCATAAAGCAACACCATCAATGCAACCCCTCCTCCGATCCCTGTAACAAGAATGTTGCGCCCGGCAACTGCATTCCCGCTCTTGACGAAGAACGCCCGCCACGCAGTCAACCCAGTGAGCGGGATCGCAGCCGCTTCCTCATCGCTCAAATGTTCGGGGCATTCTTCCAGCTCCCCTTCATTCAGTGTAATTACGTCGGCAAGCGTTCCGTTAGCATTCGCTTTCGTCCCGCCCATGATCGCGTAGCCTTTGGGGTTCTCGGGCCCTTCAGGATTTGTCGCCCAGCCGGTACCTGGGTTCAAGATTACGCGCTTGTGCAGCCATTTCTTCGCCGAGGCGGAGGATCCTGTGGAGCTTACGATACCGACGCCATCTGCGAGGAGGGGAACGCCGAAGGTGGTGCCTGGGTAGAGATGCTGGCGGATGAAGAGGTCGCGGTGGTTGAGTGCGGCTGCGGTAAGAGAGATCACGGCCTGATCATCAATTATTAGATTTTAGTCAGACCGTGAAGTGCTATGGGTACATACTTGATTATCGGCAGGCTTGGGCTCTGGAATCGTGATTTTTTCTAATGGGTAGTAGACTTGGCCCGGCTTGCCGGGTACTTGCTTGATTGCGATGGCTGAAGGCATTGTATGACTATTGTTATGCAAATGATGTGTAGCTTCCGATCGTGTATGAAAATGATCAAGGGGGCAATGGGAAGCTTTTACGGGCGATTGGGGCGAACAGTAATGCACTACAGAAGCTTGAGCAATGCATGTTGATTGGGACGGGTTGGAGATCAGTAGAAAGGATGACGAAGGCCGGCGGACCGAGGTGGTTTGGGGTCGGCGGGGAAGATTAGCGCGCCGTCTAGCGCCGTCTACTCCAACACCCTCTTAAGATTTTTCGGGGGATGGGAAGCAGCACTTGAGAGTACAGGCGAAGGTCGTGAATGAAGAAAATGCAATTGTTAGATTTCAAATACTTCGTTCCAAGTTTACATAGATGCTACTATGACATGCACGATTCAAACCCCGAAGACTGATAGCGTACTAAGAAGAGCTACCGTGCTTCAGTGTATTCGAGAGACGACTTGTTCGACTCGACCTGCAATCAAGACATGAAAGACGGAATTTTTGTACGTCTGATACAATAGAGTTTTCCCCGCGCTTTTTCTTCTTCTGTTGCATTGATCATGCGTGCAACATTCAGATTAATTACTATATAAAAATCAGTATACTGTCGAGAACTTGACTCCATTTGATAGAAACTGACATCATGTTTTGAATTCGTACAAGAAACACGATAACTCTCGTCTTTACTAGACATCCCTTCGCTGTACAATGATCATGCTCTGTTCCTCGGCAAGAATCACGGCCTGGGCTCCGATATCAAGTCGCTGGGAGTTCTGACCGGCCAGTAGGCGCTCTTTGAAATGCTGAACTCGGGGTTAAGACGCATATCTGGATTGCAGGCCCAGCGTCTTTCGAGTACGTTCTTTAGTTCATTTACAGAATCTCCGGTTTGCCCTTCAGCTGTCCTGAAACCAGTCTTGACCACGAAATCTAGAGGTGAGTAAACTGTCATCGCCTTCTTTAATTCTTCTTTCTCCAATTCCCAGTTAGATTTGTCGAGAGCGAATAGATGCGTGAGTGGCCTCGGAAAAGCAAAAGAGCTTTCATCATGATGTAAGACACTGATCTGCGTATTTTGATCGTGCTGTAGCTTATATAACGGCGAACGGATGGCTTCAAGGATATTCGTCAAACGACGTCGTGTCTCTCGTGTCTCATCATCTGGAGTGGACCGATCTAGACTACGTGGTGGGAACGATGTCATGAGTATCACTTCTAAACTCATTTGGGGAGATGTTTCGGTCCTTCCAGAATGAGTCAAAGCATCGAAAGTACGGAAGATATCCATCAACATGTCTTTCTCCATGTCGAATTCGGCTGTGCCTCGGAAAGATAGATGCTGATTCTTGACACGAATTTGGAGATTGCGAACATGATCAATTGGAACAAGATCGAGGATCTTCTCCTCATTGAAGAAGTCTGGAAAGTTGGTTGCTACGTCGTAGAGGAGGAATCTCTCTATTGAATCGTCGATAGTGCACATGGAGAAGGTGTTGGACGCGTAGTAAAATTTGGAAACTTCATGTGCCACCTCTTTCCCCATGAATGTCGGATCCAGGGCATGATCAGTAGGCATTATGATGCCATCTGGAGGTGAGCTGCTATGGTCTTGTACCATAGCCCCTTCGCCAGCGCTGGCAAGCAACGCGCGAACCAAGTCTTGCGCGCCTCGACCCACCTCTTCTCCGTCTTGGATCAATTCTTCCCGGTCTTGACTCACCCGAGTTGGTTTAGAAGGTGTAAAATGATGTGAGCCAATCGTTATTGGGCTCTCTTCAACGTAAACGTACTCATACACCATCTCCCGGATCTCTAGAGGTAGCCGCTGTAACATCATTGATGCAAGTTGACGACATTCTGCTTTAGCGTGCTGGCGAAGCAAGATTTCGAATTCGTTATCTATTCGTTCTTTCTTTTCAATCAAGTCTTTCCGGTTTCTCTCCAAAATTTCAAGGCTGAGAAATAAGCATGGCGCCGAATTAAAGGTGAGGAGAGACTTACTCTTTATCAACTTCGCGGGACTCTAATTTGCAAAGACGCAGTCGTTGCGCCGATCTTTGAAGGCTTTCTGCCATGGCTTTATATAAAAATACGTCTATCAAGTGGTGTTGGAGAAATTGGGAAGCGGGGCCAACAAACAGCTTTAGGGAAAATTTTGCTTACTAAAGTAAACATCAGAGTGCATGTTAAACAACCGCTCTTTGTGCTAAGCTATGAATCGTTAAATCTGTGTAGCAGCGAGATCCTTTATGCATTGCATATAGAAGAAATAAAGTTGTTAAGATCCTACATGTCTTCGGCTAGACCTGCACCCCAATCTATCTGCTTAAGGGCAACCAACTAGCTTACCTAAGCATTCGCGGCGCGTGTCTGTCGCGGTTCGCGTCCGTCGAACCTATCACATGTCGTCATTTTTTCGATAATTGTTTGTTAGATCCATGCAAATGTACCTCCCAGGCTTCGCAACAACCCGCGGTATGGATTGATATGGCCACCATCAAGCCCATCGAGGGCCGCTCCGTACATCAGATCCAGTCCGGCCAAGTGATCGTCGACCTCAACTCTGTGTGCAAAGAGTTAGTAGAGAACAGTCTGGATGCAGGCGCCACTTCCGTCGGTATGTGGTGTTGCACTCTTCTATGCACATAATTTTACATTGAACTGACCAGTCTCGTAGAAGTTCGCTTCAAAAACAATGGACTTGATGCTATAGAAATCCAGGATAATGGCAGCGGCATTGCCCCCGAAGATTACGATACGATAGCCCTCAAGCACTACACCTCCAAGCTCTCAACTTACGACGACCTTTCCTCTCTCAATACGTTCGGTTTCCGAGGCGAGGCACTTTCCTCACTATGCGCTCTTTCCAAGTTTCATATTATTACGGCGCGAGCGTCGGATGGTGCAAAGGGGACCAAGTTGGAGTTTGAACAGTCGGGGAAGCTCAAGAGCACTTCAGTGGTCGCGGCGAAGCAGGGCACAACAGTCGTCGTCGAATCTTTATTTCATAACCTGCCTGTAAGGCGGAAAGAGCTGGAGAAGTCAATCAAACGAGAGTACAACAAGGTGCTGCAATTGCTGCATGCATATGCTTGCATCAGCGTCGGAGTCAAATTTAGTGTGAGCAGTCAGATGCCCAAAGGGTAGGTCGTGATGCTGCGATTGTGCCATGGATTCAAATCAGTTGACAAAGCCATAGGAAAAAGACAGTGGCTTTCTCCACCAACACGAATCCGAACACGAAGGAAAACATAGCCAACGTTTATGGCGCGAAGACACTCCTTGCTCTTGTCCCGCTCAATCTCAAGTTTGAGTTGGCTCCCTCAAATCGCTCGAGTGCCACTCAAATCCTTCAATCACAGACCACACAGGGATCCTCAGGCTCTCGAACAGTGCAAATTGTCGGTCACATATCTCGTCCCGTTGTTGGCGAGGGCCGCCAGACACCAGACCGGCAGATGTTCTTTGTCAACTCCCGCCCATGCGCCTTGCCACAGGTGGCCAAGGCTTTCAATGAGGTCTACAGGACATACAATGTCACCCAGTCGGCGTTCATCTTTGCCGATATCAAATTGGATACCAATGCGTACGACGTCAATGTAAGCCCAGATAAGAGAACTATCATGTTGCATGACCAGACTGCACTTCTAGAGAGTTTGAAAGAAGCACTAGCAGATTTGTTCGACCACCATGATCAAAGTGTACCGCAGTCACAGCTTATGGTCAAGCGAACCCCATCACTTGCTACTTCCAAGGCGTTACTCGGACAGCAACAGGGCAATACCGAATATGTCCCCGAAGATCGAGATGAGTCTGACCAGGATTCCTCATCACCCGTCAGTGAGAAGCCGCGAACTGAGTTTATCAAGGCTAGCTTGATTGAAAGATTTGCTGGAAGAGATGCCGAGGAAAGGCCCCCTCCACGCCCTGCTCAACAGAGAACACAAAGTGCTTCAACTGTAAACGTTAATCTTCCTGATGAAACAGACAATTTTTCTGCGATTGGAAGCGTAGATAGTCAGTCCCGCGCTGAGTCGACCACCCGGCCAGCATCCGATAGGAACTCGGAGTCTCCGCTATTCGAGCCACAACGTGGGCTCTCCCTTGTACCTGACGGCGCTCAGCAGGTCTCACAAACAGTACACAATCTGAATAGCCGACATTCATCTCTACAAGCAGTTCCAACCGCGCGGGATGACGAAGGTGGAGAAGAGGTTGTTTCTGCCATTAAACAGACTCCCCAAAAACATCTGTCCCAAAGTACCATACAAAATGCGTTCGATCGAATGCGGCCAATGCGCACGCCTACGCAACAAGCTACCATCACCGTAGGCAACACAACAACTGTATCGACAGTGGGAAACAGCGGGGAGTCGCGTGCCGCTAAACGGGCTCGAATCCATACACCCAAGTATGGACTGAATGGCACACCACTCAGTCAAACACCTAAACGGCCATTGTTTATGCAAAGCCTGCGCGGGTTTGCTGCACCTGGTACACAGATGATGGATAGCGATGACGACGACGAAGATCTTGAGCAAGATGTTGAGAGTAGCATGCCAGTCGGAGTTGCACGCTCGCCATCGCCCGTGAAGCGTCGCATACGAGAATTCGATGGGCCTCGCCCGGACGATTTCGCTGAATCTTCTAGCATGCCTGGTCCTGGAGATAATCTTCGTGAAAGAGATTCTCTTGACGCGGGATTAACCCGGGCTGAACCGGTAATTGATGAAGACAGCTCAGATGGTGAATACATTGATGAAGGCGAGAAGAAAGCTCGTGAGGAAGCTAGAATTGCCAAATCGATCGCCGAAGCAGAGGAAGCTGCTGCTCGACCCACTGAAGTAAACCTCAAACGAGCAGATAAACTTACCAAGGTCTCTCATAAAAAGTACCAAACCATGCACCTAGAGCGGGCAGTGAATACCAAGATATCTTCAATCAAGAAGCAAGTTCACGCTCTAACCATTGCTTTGGAAGAAGCAGAATCAAAAGCAGAGACCAAGACAGGAAGCGACGGCCTTGAATCAAACACCCAACTCCCGACAGAAGATGCAGAGGAACGGCTGTCGCTCACGGTTTCCAAGTCAGACTTCATGAACATGCGCATCATCGGGCAGTTCAATCTCGGGTTCATTCTCACCGTCCGACCGCCCACTTCTTCATCGCCGTCTGCCGAGATATTCATTGTCGACCAGCACGCCTCGGACGAAAAATACAACTTCGAACGACTCTCGGCATCCACAATACTGGTCCCGCAACGACTAGTCCATCCTCACCCGCTCGAACTGACAGCAGTCGAAGAGGAAATCATCCTCAACCATGAAGCAAGTCTAGCAGCGAACGGATTCAAAGTAGACATGGACGTATCAGGCGAGAAGCCCGTCGGCCAACGCGCTGCGCTAACGTCGCTCCCCATGAGCAAAGACGTAACCTTCACGCCCAAAGATCTAGAAGAACTCCTCGCTCTCATCCTCGACAACCCCCCTCCTGTTGCTTCCTCTACATCACCACTCTCTACCCCATCCTCTTCACCCCTCTCACCTAGCCTTCCATCAACGAGAAGATCTGTTCCACCACCACAATCTACTTCAGCTATACCATCATACACCCCACGACCCAGCAAGATCCGCAAACTCCTCGCAAGCAGAGCGTGCAGGAGCTCCGTCATGGTCGGTAAAACGCTCAAAACGACGCAAATGGAGAATATCGTTCGGCACATGGGTAGTATGGATAAACCGTGGTCGTGTCCGCACGGGAGACCAACTATGCGACATATGGTTGGTCTAGGGAAGTGGGAGAGCTGGAGCGAGGGGGATGGTTTAAGTGGGTTGGGAGAGGTTGGGATGGGCGTCGATTGGGGGGATTGGGTGAAGAGAGAGAAGGGTATGGAGGAAGATTGATTGATTGATACGATATCCTCGTTATACCTTTGGGATGGTTCCTTTTCATGCGGCGTTGGGGGTTTTTGGATGGCTTGTGCAGCACTGGGTTGGGCTGTTATGTTTCAGCTCTTGTCATCCCTCTTGAGGGGTTTGTCATGCGATATACTGATTATCTACAGTGTTAAAGATGCATGTTGTACGGTTTGATACGGAGGAAGAATGTTTAACATGGCATAGCCTAGATTAGATGGGAGCTGTTCTGAGTACATAGCGATACAGGTACATATACATGCACGAATGGCTTTGCGAGATATCTGTGGATGAGTGCACAAGCATCCCATTCCTTGTCTTGATTGACTATTGATTGAAATCCCTATCGTTCATCGCAGTCGACTAAAAACAATCCACATTGTCATAAACAGAAACAAAAAAAGAACGCCGACTAACCCGTTCTTCATCAAGTCATGATTATCAACTCGTACTCGTCCAAGCGCAATCTCAACCAGGCCCTTCTAGATCTTGTACACGATGTCCCCGCTATACATAATCTTATTCTTCTCGCTCAGAGCATTGAGAGCCTTCTCCGCCTCAGCCTCACCAAATGGCTCTTTACCAGGTCCACTTCCCAACCTAGCATTCACAGCCGCGACAAGGGGCTCCACATCGGCGGCATCGTTAGCGAACAGAGGCCCATCGATGAGCTGACCCAAAGCAGTCTGGAAGACCTGAAGACGTTGCGGGGAAAGATCTTGCGAAGACTGCGATTGCGAGTCGAGGAGCTGTGATGCGGGGAGAGAAGAGGCGGCACTGATTTGGGACGATGATCCCACGTTTGTAGCGCGGGAAGAGGTGGTGCGGCCACTGCGTTGGGTAGTGGTGCGTCTCTGGGTTCTCGAAGCTGGCTCAATGGCGTCTTCGCTCTCCTCCGCTTCTTCTTCCTCCTCTTCATCATCTTCTTGTTGGGCTGCGAGCGTCTGTGAAGTACCGGTTTGTTGACTCCGTGTGCTGGGGCCGCCTGCGCGTCTTGGTGTGGTTGTTGGTCTCTCGTCGCCATCCTCGTCGTCCTCATCGGAAGATTCTCCGTCCGTAGACATGGCGTCCGGATCGCGCGTGATGCGTCGACGCTTTCGGCGCTCGTCTTCCACTACTTCTTTGAAGAGGGCGAAACGGAGGATTTGTTCCGCGACTTCTGCGTCTTTTTGGTCAACGCGCTTGCTCAAACGAGCCTTTGCGTGGGCGGTGGAGAGACGAATCAGAGTTTCCAATGTACGTGCTGTGATGGGTGATGTGCGACGGGTACCAGAGTCTAATTCATCGTTTCGTAGTGCAGAGTAAGCGGTAACAATGTGATCTGCTGCGCCTTTTGTGAGAATTGGCTTCTCTCGCTTGGCGTACTGTACGTATTTCTTGATGAAGGGAATGGACAGCACTTCAGTTCTGCGGTTGGAGCCACGACCGACTGTGATGGTCACACCAGAGTGCAGCATCGGGTTAAACTTCTCGTAGACTTCCGTAGGTTTATTGGCATCTGCCTCGGTGTCCAGGCCAACACCCAGAAGTTGTGCACCTTCTTCACGGACAGGTGCACCCTCCTCGGTACCTGGTTGTCTGAAGCGATGCATACGGAGAACATGCTCTGAGATTTGTCTGTCCCGTGCATCTTCAATATCATCCGTGACAACGAAGAGCAAATCAAAACGAGACAATAGCGAGTCCGGAAGCGCGATATTCTTGTGGGGGTCCTTGTGGATGTCGTATTGGCCAAAGATTGGGTTAGCAGCAGCAATGACACTGCAGCGAGCATTCAGAGAGGTATGTATGCCAGCCTTGGCAATGGTGACGGTCTGTTGCTCCATCACTTCGTGAATGGCCACACGATCTACATCTGACATCTTGTCAAATTCATCGATACAAACAACACCACGGTCCGCAAGCACCATAGCACCTGCTTCAAGCCGGCGCTCGCCTGTCTCTTTGTCTTGAGTCACAGCTGCTGTAAGACCGACACCGGACGAACCTCTACCCGTTGTAGCAATTGCGAGAGGAGCTGTGTTGAGCACGAAACGAAGAAGCTGAGATTTGGCGGTAGAAGGGTCACCAACCATTAGTATGTTGATGTCACCTCTCAAATGCGTTCCGTTTTCCAAATTCTTCTCTTGACCACCCAGCAGTAACAGCAGAATGGCCTTCTTGATGTAATCATGACCATAAATGGATGGGGCCAAGGACTGAGATAAAAGATCAAAGACTCTCTTGTTCTTTGCGATTTTGTTGATGTTGCGGATATCGGTGTCAGTGATGACGGCCTGCGCAATTCCACCACCCGATTTAGATGAAAGCAATATCACGTTGTTCGCAATGAGAAGAGTGCGGAAGGTCGAGCTGCCAGACGAAGCGTTACGGTTTCCGAGTGATCTGTAAATGCCAACTAACTGGATTCTGTCTCCAGGCTTCACACGATCCACCAGGTCGTCGTCCAAGATAACGTCTACGGAGCGGGGTAATTGGCCTGCTGGCGCGCGTTCGGGCATTTCTTGGATCGAAATGGTCTGGTGATCTCTGTATGTGGAGTATCCGTACTCGGTGACCAGCTAATGAAAGATTAGCTAGAAGTTGCAATTGTAGCTGTGCATTGTATTCCTTACTGGGTCACCGTCTTCATCCTCTGTGGGGTATACACTCGAGCTCGCGGCGCCCATACCCATAGTCTGATCCTGGTATAGTTTGGAAACAAACTTTTGCTTGTTTTCATTGTAGTGTACACTCTTCACGACCTTTGGGCGCACGAGCGATGTTTTGGTTACAATGCCTTCCAGCGACACCATGTGGTTGAGATGATTGGAACCGAGTGTTCGTGGATTGCACGAAAACTCGCCGAAGCTCCCTACGAATGCGCAATAGTATACGGCGTCGTCAGACGATTCGTGTTTCGGGCGATCTGCCAGTACTTTTATGACTTCCTTCAAGGCTTGATTGAAGGCTTCGGTGAAGTTGTAAGGCTCGTTCAGCAGGCCATCGGCAAGCTCACGTTCGTGTGATCGGATCTCGTCAATGCTGACCGTCAAACGCTTCTGACCACGGTTCAGCATGACCAGAATATCTGGTCGGTAGCTTCTAGAGGCAACATCATCTGCGCACTGTCAGTGAGCCGTCGTTTGAAGTCAAAAGCAAAGGCAGCCATGCTGTCTATACATACTGGGGTCAAGAAACTCCTGCGCCAGACGTACACGCCGGCGCTTATCTTCGTCCCGCAGGGTGTCCGCCATTGTGATAAAGTCGCTATTCGAGAAAGGAGGGGAGTAGTTCGGGGGCGAGTGGACAGAGAGAAGTGAGGGGGGTTGCTGGGGAGGTTTTGTTGTGTATACAGAAGAGGAACGGAGGGGTCAGCGCGTAACTAACTCTACGCGACGACGCGCTCCATTTTCTCATTAGAGAGCCTATTCGGGTTTAGACCCATTCATCAATTGACCCTATAGCAACCACACTCCATCATAAACCTCAAAAATGCAGCAGCCGGCATCCATTAAACAATTCTTATGAGTTGATTATTGTCTTTAAATTCAGGTAATTGCGCACGCTGATAGATCAATACCAATGCTCCTCTTCAACAGCGAGCGTCAATCATGTTCGTGGCCTAGCTGTGATTGGCCGTCAACTCTTAAGCGATGGAGAACACTATATACGTACCTAGGTATGTATCTTGGCCTTTCAAACTGAACTGTTCTTACTTTGATTCGAGCAGTTGAACATGTGACAATGAATAATGTCGAAAATCACGCCGCTCAGCATTAATGATGTCACATGCGGCTACAACATCTGGATCAGCCTAACCACAAGTACCGGATATCAATGGCGGAACAATGGAGCAAGTGGCAAGCTGTCTCAAGCTTCCTCCCGTAGAACTGTACAACATAACTCCGACGTCTTCAGGCGGAGATAAGACGGGGCTTTTGTAACCCCGCATCGCATTCGAAAAGTATATAGAAGTCGACAGGCGCACAACACAAAAGCTCAGTTTACCTCCTTCCAACATCATACCACGCACCTCCAAAATGTCACCCCGGGTATTCTTCATCACTGGAACCTCGACCGGATTCGGCGAGGAACTGGTAAAATACGCCCTCCAGAAAGGCGACTATGTGTACGTGCACCCCAAGGTTCATGGTGTTATCGTGAAACATTTTGCTGACTTCGATTCCAGAGTAGCTACGGCCCGCAACTCCTCAAAACTTTCCTTCGACGGCGCTACTTCCACCAACAGCCTCCTCGTAGATCTCGACGTCACGAAGAAAGAATCCATCGACAAAGCGTTCGAAGAAGCCATTAAGAAATTCAAGCGAGTTGATGTCTTGGTCAACAATGCAGGCTATGGATTAAGCGGTCCAATGGAAACGCTCACAGACAAGCAAATCCGAACGCAAATGGAAGTCAACTTCTTCGGCCTAATCGACGTGACCCGCAAAGCCATGGAAACGATGCGAGAGTTGAAAACCGGTGGTCTTATCCAGCAAGTCACCTCCATCGGTGGCCACGTCGGCGTGCCGACGTTCAGCATCTACTGCGCGTCCAAATGGGCCGTAGAGGGCTTCACCGAAGCCATTTCCAAGGAAGTAAAGCCAGAATGGGGCATCAAGTTTACGTGCGTCGAACCTGGAGGTTTCCGCACAGATTGGGCGGGTCGGTCCATGGACTTTGGAGAGATCGACCACCCGGCGTATGATCACATCAATGCTAGGGATACTATGGGGAAGCGGCATGGCAATCAGCCTGGTGATCCTACAAAGGCTGCTATTGCAATGTATGAATTGGCGGTCATGGAAGATCCACCGCTGAGGTGCATTTTGGGTACTGATGCCTATTCGATGATTAATGAGAAGCTTGACACGTACTCGAAGAACGTCAAGAAATTTGAGAAATTGAGCAACAGCACCGACGTTGATGGGTACAAGGCGTCGTAGGATAGACTATAACGGCAGTTCTCTGTAATATGAATTGAAAAGGATTACACACTTCAACTTGTGTACAACTAGATGCATGTCATTCTCAATAGATAATGTACATGCTAGAAGTAACAGACACAAGCATAATGCTGAAAACTACACCTTCTATTAGAGTTTCTAGTAAACTCAAGCTATTTCCATCTCCTTTTTCTCTATATTCTTCTAGACCCTGCCTTATTGATATAATAAAATTGGACAGAATAGAAACATAATACTAAAGTGAAAGTCAAGGTGAAAGTCAAGGTGAAAGTGAAAATAAGAGTGAAAATAAGAGTGAAAATAAGAGTGAAAATAAGAGTGAAAATAAGAGTGAAAATAAGAGTGAAAATAAGAGTGAAAATAAGAGTGAAAATAAGAGTGAAAATAAGAGTGAAAATAAGAGTGAAAATAAGAGTGAAAATAAGAGTGGAAATAAGAGTGAAAATAAGAGTGGAAATAAGAGTGGAATTGAGAGTGAAAATGGGATTTTAAATAACACTTAATGCTACACAATCTTTGCTCTCATTAACATCTTTAATAAAAGGACGTCAGTGCTGTACAGACTACACTCTAGCCTGCCCATTCCTACTCTTGTTCAGCAGCCTACGCTCAGTCAACAGCTGCCTCACGTTTTAAGCGCTTAGACCGAATTCTTTGCATATACTTGAGCAATATAACAGGCGCTTGAAAGTAGGACACCCTTAACATCTCCTTGCGAAAGGACGCAACAAAACTGATCAGCACAAAGCAAGAGAACAAATGGAAGTGTTTACCAGCAAGTTGTTTCATTTGAGGCTGTATCAACACACAGCTGAAGCCAAGTCGGCGACCACGATATCCCAAGACTCTGATGGCAAATATCTACACCACGGAAGCACCGAAACGGATGACTCGAAGTATGCAAATTTCTAAGAACAGTGTGGGCGAAAACTGGCCCCATCACTCCCATTCCACGTCTTCAATTGAGGAGGAGTGAAGCCAACACAGCTGAGTATCCCTACAAACGGGGCGCCTGCTTCTCTCACCGGCTGGCCGGTTAGCTAGGCTGTGCTCATCTGTATCGGCACTCCCGCTTTCTTCGCCAATGTCCAACCAGCGGTTATAGAGACTACTTCCTATGACTCGAAGTATGCAAATTTCTAAGAACAGTGTGGGCGAAAACTGGCCCCATCACTCCTATTCTACGTCTTTAATTAAGGAGGGGTAAAGCTAACACAGCTGAGTATCCCTACAAACGGGGCGCCTGCTTCTCTTACTAGCTGGCCGGTTAGCTAGGCTGTGCTCATCTGTATCGGCACTCCCGCTTTCTTTGCCAATGTCCAACCAGCGGTTATGGAGACTACTTCCTAACTACACCCACTCAGAGATGACGAGTAGAGTGCATTAGAGACATGCTCAGGTCGCATGCGTGCCAAAAGCATACCCCACTCGCATTATGCAGAGCTATGTACAGCAAAAATCCTTGCTACGCCAATCACCGTTTCGTCTCTTAGCTTTCATTTCGCTGACTATCCAATCCCCTCACTGCGAAGTGCTACACTTGGAGTGTCCTGCATTATCATGTACCAGACATTCGGCGAGCTGGGAGTCTAACTCCGAGTGGGGTGGATGGAGCAGTAGGTTATGGGCGCGTTGGACAACAGCGTGCATGCAAACAAGTGTTCAATAGCCTCGCTAGGGTGATTTTGGACTTCTGAGGTAGCACTTATGTACAATGTAGTGTGCATCTTCCAATACATCACGAGTCGACCAGAGTGTTGGGATTTATTCCCTTTTGAACGGATTGCGTAGTGTGTGGTGCTGGTGGGCTTCTGCGTTGATCATAGTTGGGTCCCTTCCTATTCTTCATGAGATAAATTGGAATGAGGAAGGAGGTGTTCGTGGAATTCATGAGATGTATCTCTTTCCCAGGTTGCCTAACTCACCTCCTCTCGCATACTCGTCCTTTCGCTCTCGCCAAATAGCTTTTCTTCCTGGACCGATATCGCTTCCACTCTTAAAGCGTATACCGGAACTGGACCACCCCAAGTTGGAAGGGACCTAGACATACGTACACAAAAACAGCGCACGAATATGCATCAAGGTGTATGCCGATCACCCTGGCTACGGACTCCATTCTAATACCAACATATGTAAAATGATATGCGTACTACCTACGCATTGCTACATAACGTATGTACCAGGGTAAACCTTCAACCATGCGTGTTCAACCCTTACATGCTTGTTGGTACCACCCCAACATGTCATCCATTCAGACGGTAAGCAGACACATCAAAAGCAGGGAGACCAGGTTCCGTCAAACCGGCGAATCCGACTGACATATGCTTCGCCCCACTCCTTTGCTGCATCATAATATAAAGTCGTGCATTGGTTCCTCGCTTACATGCTACACACACAGAGTTTCTGGATGCCAACAGCAATCCAATAAAAATACTTAAGGGATAGCCGTTGTTTAGTACCGTGCCCTTGTTCCGGGGTCCATGCACGAGAACGAGATAGTCTGGATATGGACAAAGTGGCTGGGATTGGAACACAGTCAGGCACACAAAGGCCCTATCCGGAGTTTCCGGGACATGAGTTGTGGGGGTACCGTCTGGTTTAGCCTTCCCTGCTTTCTCAGCCAGCCATGTATTCGATGTGAAGGTCCTCGGCGAAGTTGGCTATGTGCATACGCGCTTTGTTTGATTGCAATCTACCTACGGACATACAGACACACACACACACACACCCAGACGGACGTACGTGACAATGCGCGCATGCACAGGTACACCATTTGCAGACGTTACATGACATTGCATGCCTGTGTAGTCGAGATGATTGGTCGAACAAATGCGATGAATACAAGGGCAAGCGTTGAGGTTCTCGGAATCGGAGTGTCGGCATGGTGATGATAGACAGATGTGCCATAGTGGAATCAATAATTTGCAGGAGGGACCCTTTGGAGGATGCGGGAAAAGAGTACAGCGGACAAGGGTGTGATGATAGATTAGGAAAGACAAAAAAGGCAAGGCAAGGTTTGAAGTCGGCGAATTCGCTTGAGCTTGATCAATCAACCATACAACCCCAATCTGGACATGCACATCGTCATCTCGTCAATTTTCGCTTGTCATTTGGTAGGATTTGTCCAAAGACCTCCTCGCCCTGTCTAGCCTAGTCCTTGTTCGGTCTTATTGCGCTGTACTTGCTCAAGATGAATAATCGTGAAGTTGGATTCGGAGAGCACTGCAAAGCATATGGATGTAGAGGGTTCAGGGCACACGGCGAGGCATCTCGTCACGCAACATGTTATCTTTGTGAATAGTCCGGCATCTATCCATTACAGAGTTTTGTAGTAGGGGGCTGCACAGTTATCTGAAACTATGCGACGGCCCTGGCTGCTCTTTTGCGCTTCAGATCAAGACATGATGGTGCTGCGCATGAATGTAGTGAATCCGGCAAAAGTCAAACCACCATCCAAACCACACAGTAATGGAACTTAACCCTGATGATGATGATGACCTAGTAATTGTTTTCAATGCCTTCTCGGCATTTGATGAAACTCTTAATGCAATTTGATGCCTACCTCACTGGCTGATGGGCATTGGTGCTGTGTAACCGTTGAGACTGGCCCCCAAGTAAATCAATGAATGCAAGACATTTTGGGGTCTAATGTTGAAATCGTCATATAGCAAGATTCGAATGTCTGTGAAAAAGGTATATGAACAGTAAGACATTTCGCACCTTAAATACGGCACAGGCACTTCGAGTGCAAAACCAGAAACAAGTAAGACGGACAACACACGAGATAGAGAGCAGTCGGAAAGGACAGAATGTCACAGCTTAGTGCTCAGTTTGTAAAGAAAGGGTTCTGGGTACGAGAACAAGGCTTTTCCTAAGATCTATCTGCGCTCTTTGCTTGTACTATGCGGCTTTGGAACTGATAAAGACAACCACAGATCGACAACACCCGAGGGCCAGTAATGGGTCGCACAATCACTACGGACACGCAGACTGGAAATATTGTTGTGGCTCTCATGGCAGTTCTGGCCACGCTAGGGACGAAAAACCTCTGGAATCTTACATTATTTGTGTACCACCAGATGCGAGTGAGCAACCAGCCTTCTGATGGTTTCTACAAACAACAACAGGCTATCATGCGTAGTCTTACTGGGCCAGTATCAATCGCTTCAGACTCTCTCAAACTCTGGTGGATTTGGAGAAGACGTACCAACAGGACGATCTCACGATCTTTACCGCTATTTGCGCTGGCAGTAATTTTCGCGGCCGCCACATTAGTGGTCGGAGTCTTCTCGTCGTATCTGGTGGACAGTACGGATATCATAGTCCTTGTATCAAGCCCTTATTGTCGTCCCATCTCGTACAGCACCAAGAACGTAACTGCGGCGCAGAGTTACGGCAATAGCATTGGTGCATCAACCAGTCAATATGTGAGAGACTGTTATACCAATCGAATCTCAACACCGGAACGCTGCAAAATCTTTACCCGCTCCACACTACCGTCTCGTCAAGAAAGGATTGGGTGCCCTTTTGAACAGTCTATGTGTAAAAACATTTCTTCGCCAGGCCTTGCATTCGACACTGGATTATTGGATCTCAATGAACATGTGGGTCTCAATCTAGCCCCCAAAGATGGAATGAAATACCGCCAAACAGCAAAATGCGCAGTTTTAGAGCTGGAGGGCCACTCTGACATTACTAATGCTTCAAACTCCACCACCGCACGCTTGAAAGCAAATGGTGGCCAAGATTTCAGTCCGAATGAGATGGTAAAGCGAATCTATCTCGGCAAGACTGGCTCCGGTAACGTTACGTTTGCGATCAGACATGGGCCCATAGATTCTCCCCGTACTAACGCTCTGTGAGTACTTCTACTTACAATATGGATGAACATAAATCTGACATATGCGCAAGTATTCAATACTACGAGTCGTTACGGTCACGGGGTAGCGCAGATAAGTTTGAACCAATACAGGAACTGAAAGATAACAACAGTGATCTGCGAATCACTATGTTATACTCCACCCTTTCTTTCATGGCGCCTGTAGATGATCCGTTGTTTTCAGCTCATAGGCCCGTCAGGATGCCAAAGTCGGATAATTCGAGCGTTGTCGTTTACAAGACGGACGAACCTGTTTCCGCATTCGCCTGCCAATATCAGGCAAGTGGATTCTGACAGGACTGATTTAAATACGACTGACTTAATCACAGTACCAATTTTGCTTTACTGATGCAAAGCAGAAGGATGAATGCTCGGCCCTCCAGGGCTTGCCGTCGTCAACAGCTTCATTGAACATTTCTTCCATTAACGACGTCCAGCTATCGTTACTGAACCTTCTCGTAACTTTGTTAGGAAATACCTTGAGTCGAGAAACTCCAAGCCAGGACGTCTCACCTGGCTTAGTCACCGAGTTGTTGAGTGTACCTTTGCCGAAAGACCAATGGATTCGGCAATTCAATCTTCTCAACGACGTAGCTGTCAGTCAACTGCCAATTGGATTAGAAGCCTACTCATTAGGGCTATCGAATTTCGGTCTAGAGGGTATATTCCCAATGCGGCAGAACGCAACAGCGGTCGACCAAAGCCTGTGCACATTACAGCGAATGCAGAGTCCCGGCGGATTTGTGTGAGTTTGATTTCATCAATATTCACCATTCTCATATAGCGATAGAGGTTTCCGCATCGAAGCTAACTTCCACAAGCAACATCAACGTCTTCGCACTAGCCTTCATGAGCACGTTTTGCGTCTTGGTCACAGCCCTTGATCTCTTTCTCCTCAAATTCCTTGTCTATTCGGACAAGTTGAGAGGCATCTTTGCGCCACGCATCGACTCCTGGATCCAGGACGGTGTTCTTCAATTTCAACGCCGTGCATACGAAGCCCACGGCGAAGGTTCCTGGGAACGGCTTGACAAAGAAGTTCCGGCGACAACAGATGACGTTCAGCTTGCAACGTTACCAACTGTGTCGAAGCCGTCTTGTAATTGCTCTGTTGCTTCTTCTTTGCTAGCAAAACGGGCATCTACGGAGACATTTGTCAGTTCGAATTCTCCATCCATTCCGCGTAACACACAACCTGAAGTTGCGAGGACAGCCTTGTCAGTTGAGCATGATACTGCGGATGAGCTTACCGACCTGACTGCGATGAGTTTAAATGGACCTCCTACTTCCTTCGTGATGAAGGAGTAGTTCAAGTCTCTGCAAGTTAGCTGGGGAGTGCTTTCACGTAGTGTTATCTCTGCTCATTATATTGTTCTATATCGTGATAGTCATGGCTAGTAGAATTGGCAGGCACTCTATCAATACAAGATCTCTAGTCACAGAAGATCGGCATGCAACCACGTGAAGTACCGAAACATGGCAACCGAGTCTCCAGCCGCTACCATTCCAGCGAAATCCCTTCAAACGGCTTTGTCTAACCATATCAACACCACAAATCCGACAAGGCCCGAATACCTCTCCCTTCGCGTGCGCTTGTATACTTTTCTCCCCTTCGAGCCTCCACGCGCAAACAAGGGGACGCGCAACCGCCGATCCACACTCGCTCATCCCGATTGGCGGAAAAACTCATGTCTCCGAAAGATTTTCATACTCCTCTGCCTTGACTCGGGGAAGAAATTGGAGATGGATGATTAGGACCGAGAGGAAGGAGCAATGATAACTTGCGATTGGTCGGGTGTTCCAATGTCGGATCGGAGGGGACGGAGCCGGCACGGTAAAAAAAAAAGAGGGCTGGCAGGATGCGCGTACGCGAAGATGAGGATGATGCTCGAGTCAGATGTTACTGTGTGTAGGATTGCGGCACGGAATCACCCCTGCTTTTTTTATATCTCGGTTGTCGCGATACTGCGGGTGGTGGTGGATCTGGACAGAGATTTTTTCTTTCTTTCTGGGGTGGAAGGGGGACTAGTTAGTGTGTTAGCGGGAACGAGTTGATTTGAAGCTATTTGATAGACGTGAAAAAGAGCTTTCAGATCCACTGACTGGAAGCGATATCTACGACGTAAGCAGGACTTTGAAGGATGAGAATGTAAACGAATGGTCCAATCGCTTAGTTGATCACGTCCTTGGATGGATTCGGTATTGCGCAATATACCGTAGCGTTCGCCGGTCGGTGAGTGGCCAGAACTCCTAACATGTTTTCATTTGGTTGTTTAGTGGTACGATACGAAAGACATCAAGTCAATTATTAGAATCACAACAAAACATTGGCGTTACTTTGTCCAACACATCTAAACTTCTAGATTTCTCAGCTTTCACCTCGTACGTAGCTAGCTATCGCCTCGCAAAATGTCCATCCAAAAGGTCTAGTGTACGACAGCCGGCCAGAACCTCATCGCCGCCATTTCGTCGATGGGCGAGATCATGCCCAAGCCCCAGACGTGACCTTGTTCTGCGCTGTCAGGTCACCCACCCCCCACACACATTGCACTCCCAAATCGTCAACCCATTCCCTCCCCCTGTCAAAATCCATCTCATCCAGACCCAAAAATATGTCAAGGCAAATGAAGAGCGAAGAAAGGAAGCGAACAATCCCCATCTTCAGCCTCCTCGACACCGCCATTCACCGATCAAACACTTCACGCAGGGCACGCAGAGTCGTTGGAACGCGAACAGGAACACTCTATTATGCGTTCGCCACTTCTCACTGACGACGTAGCCACGGTCGATGCTTCTCAAGCACTCGGTTCACTGTACTGCAAGTATTTGTGCTCCATCTGGAACGTCACCGGAAACATGGAAACTCTCCTCTTAATCCCAGCTCAACCCGAGTATCAGGCTCAACCGGGGGGCACCCGTAACGCAACGACGACAACAACTCTAAAAAAAAGCCATTGCCAAAAGTGACAAACACCACCACAGTGCAGTGACAGCATGCAGCCTTTGACGCATCGTATCACGAAAACAGGCAAAAAAAAAGGACCCCCACAAGCTAAACCATCACTCGTTTGTAGAGAAATAGAAAGAACAATGAAAAGAAGGCAACATACGGCAACAAACCCCGGCATATACATAAAACATGTTGTTACTACTATATGAGAGAGAAAGCGGTAGACGTTTCCAAAATTAGCATATATCGAAGCACCTTAACCATGCTACTGGGGCTGGCTGGGCTGGGGCTGGAGCTGGGGCTGGCACGCTGAACGTTTGCCATGTGTCGCTGTTGTTGAGAGATAGAAGCATGCATGCATGCATGATGAACCGGGGTTTTGATGTCTGAAGAGGCGAGAGCCGTATGCGGGAAGAAAGAGGCGAACCCATCCCCGCCGCCCTTTTCATTCTCGAGAATGCTAGGGTACGGGAGAGGAAGAGAGAAAGAGGTATTTGGATGAGGGGGGAGGGGGGGTGTGAATGAAGTCCCCTGATCCATAACAACTCTAAGCATTTACGTGAAGCAACGAGAGAGAGAGAGAAAAGGCGTATACGAGCCGGAGAAAATGTACCGGCCCAGTCAATCGCTTTTCCGTTCACATCACACTTGGTATGCCATCTATCTACACGAACTCGAGAAGAAGAAAGAGGCTACCTCATCTTTGTCCTTTACAGCAGTCGGCCACGCGCCTGGCTAGTTGGCTCAAGGTGAAGAGACATGTACGTTCTACGCATCGCGACCGTTCCCAGCAGCAACAAAAAATCTCAACACACGAGCGGATAATGGATACAACACTCCACTTGTAACAGCTCAAGTTTTTTCCCCGCGGATTCTTAATAACATGACAAGGCTCGTACATAAGCTCGTACGCTCGCGTGGGAAGGAAAAAAGCTGGGACCCCTAATAACGCAAAAACACGGGTATTGTCCTCGTGTCCGTACATGCACGTAAGCGCTTGTTCTCTCGCCCATCCACCCACCCATTTTCTTGTTGACCCCAACCCCGTATTTTCTGACACACGCATACACACACACTCTCTCTCCCACTCTCTCTTTCAAGTAATTTATGGATGTATAGCAAGAATCGGCGAGCCCCATAAAGGCATCCGCGGAAATACAAAATACAGAAATGTAGATTGGACAAGAGAAAATAAAAAGGTGGTGGCGATACGCCTGCCTGACCACCTATCCTTCATCGAGAAAGAAGGAGAGCTGAAACCAAGATGTCGAGGTCAAGGCCAAAAGCGTCATTGGCAGGTCTCCTGGTTTTGCCCATATCTGCCTTCTTATTTTGACCCCTCGACCGCGCAAACAGCGCTCGAAAGATGGTATTTTCGCTTACGCTGGTCGATTTTATATGGGGCGCTGGGTTCATGTATACAGTAAAAGGATGACTGATGTGGTGTTTATTGGTTGAAGGGGGGGACGGGGATTTTGGGGGCGGGAAAAGCGCTCGCGGGCGGGCGCGCGCGTGTGGTTGAAGAGGTGGCACGAATTCGAATCAAAGACAGATTTGGAGAGCTGGAGTGTCAGCGAGTTAATTTCATCATGCCCGGATATTTCTAATGCCCGCCATGGATTGGAAGAAGGTGGGAAAAGGGGGTATGGGGTCATTGGTAACATCGCGGTGTTTGAAGAACTGTAATACTGCTGTACCCGATCCAGATTGAATTCATCGTTGTTGTGTGACAACGTTTGCTATAAATGGTATACAAGAACGACACAAGCTAACTACCGTTTGTGTATGCCGCAGATTACTAAAGAAAATTTGGAATCCTCTGGTTCCTCAACAAACAGGGCGAGTGATAACCATGAGGAAGGAGTATTGCGTGTGGTGGTACGTGCGTCCAAAGATGACCCTGAAGCGATGGAAAAGATGTCTCACCTGGACTTTACGGAGATGAGTTCTACTCGGTCATGACTGTGTTGACAGGGCACCAAGTAACGTGTATTGGAAAGCTCGATAACCACGTTCCATTGAACATCAGATCAGCCAGACCGCGCTGGCAATAGAAAACTTCTCGGAAAAGGATCCGTTCGAGTTACTATGCTGCTCGTATATTCTGTGCTATCTACATCCGCAAAACCCTCTTTTCGGGTGATCGCACGGATGAATTGCTGCTATTTCCAGACTTCTGGTGATGGGATGGTAAGCCAGGTACCTACGCCGGGCACTGACACCGTTGGGCCGCACTGATGTCCCAAACGCGAGACTCAGCACTAACAGCCCGGAGCGTTGCCACACGTGGGAAGTCCCTGTCCTTTGAGGTTATAACCAAAGTGCTATGCGTTTGAGGCGCTCGTGTCTGGCCCCATGTCGTCAGATTCTTCGTGGGAATGTCTGGGCGATTCTAATGTGCGAGATGAGTGAGCGACAGGGGAATGGATAACGAAGGCGCCAGTCTTCGACATGATGGCGAGGCCTTGATGACTGAGTCAAAGAATGTCTCGGAGAAACGAGTCTTGTGGCTCGTAAAAAGAATCAAGCATTATCCACAGGGTTGGTTTGACCTCAAGGCTGGAACTTGGGTCACGTATCAGCAGTACGGGGTCGTTGTTCACGATTGCTGACGATTGAAAGAGTTGAACAAAAATAGACCTGCTCATGTTGTTAACAAAGGGCTCCTTGCGGCAAATCGCGCATCAGGCTGAGGATCATTCTGGAGCTCACGTTGGGTGGGCTATCGCTACGTCTAGGTTACGCGGCCCTCTCAACAAGCGAGCTCGAGTGTATGGCCGCACATCAGTATGCATTGATGACTGCAGAGAGTGGGGAGAATACGTAAGAGTGTTTGTCGAGTTGGAGATAGGATCGAAGAAGGAGGGAGGTACAGAGCGATACGCCCGCATGCTCTCACAGCGAGTGAATGCAGCTGGCTGAAATGCGGATTGTTATTCCCTTGATTACACCTTGATAACGATCCCGAGCCCCGGCGAAAAATCTCGGTCCAGCAGCAAGTTGCATAGCCTCATCTCTACTTTATTGCAATCAGACGTGATGATGGCGCATGTACCTTGAGGTTGCGCCGACAGATATGAGTACATACGACTTCGACTAGAATTGGGTTATGATCATCATCTGGGGGTACAGCGCTTGAAAGCATCGGCGATCATGTTCATCTCTTTCGAACTGCCGCGCAGCCAGTGATCGTCGAGAGTTGCTACCTAACATGCTCCTCCATAGCGAGGTGGCTTGCTAGCCGAGCAGACATCACTGCTGAACAGTGTTTGCTCTCAAGCTGCAAGTCCCAGTAAACATGCCGTGTGGTGTGCTCTCTTTTGTTCTTCCAACAGTGAAAAGGGGGTCTAGATCATGGTGAGTTTTCTGAACAGGCTGCTCGGGAAAGCCGATCATTACCCGTCTGACCACGCCAGCGAGCAATGCCACAGTTTCTCTGCATGACTATGGAGCTGAATAGGTGGGCCACACAGCGTTGTGAACGTTGTAGACAGTGGGTGTGTATGTCAGATGCGCCAGCCCCTTGCTTCCAACGACGGCTCGACTTCCAAGTTTCTTGTCATCAGAAGTAGCTAGCAGTGTGTCATTACCACAAGCAGGTATCTTGTTAGGTCAACGTTATGGCGCTTTGCGGTTGTATGCTTGGCGAGAAGTAGCGCAGTGGAAAAGTCCTCGTAGTGGGCCCTTTTTACGTGGCAGTTGAGGTCGGCGAGCTCACTGTGACCGGCCGTGAACCTGCCTTCTTGGGCACCGTTAATGGATATACTCGTCCAAAATGGACAAGGCCAACGCCTCAAAACAACAAATGCGAGATGCTGCACACGATCCGTTCTCGATACGCGGTGGTGTTGATGATTATGAACAGTGCTGCGCTCACCCAACTGTGCCGTACCCATCCACTAGCTTCAACCCGTTCGCCGAGTGGCAGACGGTTGCGGACTCTCTCGATCGGGTGCATATCTAGTGTCAACGCTGGAGAAGCAATTCGGAACATCTGCGGATGTCAGTTGGCTAGTTTGCTGCACATTTCACCGGCCCCTATCCAGAACCGGCCACGTCCTCGACAGTCAACGCCTGCTCGATGGATTTTGGGTGGATATGCAATGTTACTATGTGGATGGTGTATTGGATAGCAGTGCGATATGACATGCACGCAATTTGCATGGTCAGTGGGAAAAGACGATCTTGTCGATGATTCTGCGCACCCTGATTCGTAGCGTCAACTTTATTCCTGCAGTCCCTAGACCTGAGGCAGCTCTCAACGTCCGGACTTTGACAATGGGGGCAGAGAGTCAAGCACGGCAATAGATGCGTGACTGGCGCGGTCTGTATGCACCGCCAACGCTGACTCTCGCACATGGACGGACGCTGGACAGCTCACTACGCGCCGCCAACGGTAGACTGAGGCATAGATTGGCGGCCTAGAAGGGAAAGGGGAGCTTTCTTCTTCTCGATATTGGGTCAAGAAAGTTTGAATGACAAGACGAATGGTGATTCAAGGGAAAAGGGGTCCAACCGGGCAGGCGTTCGGCGGGGCAGCGCGGATGAGATGGGCTTGCTGGATCGAGGATGGTTGGTGGTGGAGACCGGTGGAAGTCATGGCTCGAACGGTTCAGGAAGGCCGCAGAGAATTAGGCGAAAGGCAGGAAAGCTGCCAATGGACAGTCAGTAGCAGAGTTTCGATAACGACACACAAGCCATTGTTGTTGATGTCGGCGAGGTTGAGCGGGTTGCAGCCATTGCTCGTGTCGACAAAAAACTTGGAAATATTGAGGCGACGAACATGACAGCCACAGCCACACCCAGAGAGGTAACGATGATGTTGTATCTGGGTCAACGATCGGCCGGCACGCAGCGATCCGATGAGAGAGGAGGTGCCGGGTGGTGGGGCTGGAGGGGTGGAGGAGCAAGGGCCACGGTGGATTAGTCTCAATGTCGTATGCACCGGCCAGGACAGATGGGTACGGGCGACGGTGGAAGTGGTTGCGGGCTGGTCTGTTTGCTACAGGGCACTTGGCAGGAGTCCTGAAACGTCGAGAATGGAACAGAACAGCGGGTCAGAGGCGAATTTGCTTTTTGTGCGCCATGCATTCCCCGAGGGCGAGCGGTAAAGGGGTAAGTAAGGACAGTAGACGGTGATGGTGATGAGGATGGTGGTGGGTGCCAGGGGTGCATGGTATTATTGGACGCCGAGGTGCAGCCTCACAGGTCGATCGCATCCGCACACACACAAAAGTGAGATCTAACGGCCAGGGTGCTGAATCTGCTGAATGATGCTTGGCTTTGGGTACCTGTACATTTGCGTGGGGACATGGATTCATCTCGGCCCATCCACAAGCCTTGACAACCACGGGTTGCGAGAGCTGCAAGGCTAAAAAAGCAAACTACCGAAGCGGACCGCATGCGTGACAAATACAGAAAGACGCCGGCCTCACGTCTCCTGCTGTAGATTGCACTGTGGATGAATGAATGAATCAAACAAGTCATTCGCTCATTCATTCGACGCAGTCCCACAGTATACAGTTGAGAGCCGCTGGAAACGGCGCGCCGAGGACCGGATGAGAGCAACGGTCGGTCTGAGGGAGCAGCGACACACGTAGATGGGCAGATAGACTTTGCAGCGGGCGACGCAACATGCTCTGGTACGGCTTGTAACAGATGGATCCACATGCCTTGCCATGTGCCTGCTGTCCGTAAAGGGGTCATAGAGTTGGCTGCTTGGTAGACGGCGAGCGATCAGATTTGCGCACATGCCAACCGGGGTTGTGCCGCCGCCTCCGTGCAGCCTGCGGATGAGGGTATGAGGGGAAAAGCCAGTGCGTGGATGTTTGGGCGTCGGCGTTCCGCTGTCAAAAGTCGAGCAGTGTGCTCCCGAGTATCCAAGCAGAGGAACGTCCCGCGGGTTGAGGGCAGCCAGCCGCGAGCAGTGGGCGCACGCACACGCTCACGGCGATGCTTGGCATCGGTGACGGAAGAGTAGGGTGGAATTGGGCCGGCTGGTGGATGGACGGATGGATAGATACGATCAAGGGGGGTTGGGCGGATAGATTCTGATGTGGTGGGGGTACGCGTGGCCGCTGATTGGCCCCGGCGGGATCTCTTTCGCCAATCTGGAACCCGCGATCTGGGAAAGGCTCGACCCCTGTCGTACATCCCGTGTTTGTTTGCCCTCGCTGCAAGAGTCTCCCTTGTACTGTGTCTCCATCTACTGTCCGCCCCCGGTGACATACATGTATTTGATCATTACATGCTCGCATTCGCAAACCTCGTTTTGCATGTGTGTGTGTGTATGTGTGTATCTATGTTTGTTTCGTGGTGCCATCGTTTGGGCCTTCAGCTCAGCGATATCACTGCTTTGCTTGCTTGGTTGCTTGCTTACTTGCTCACCGTACATGCGACTGCGGTGGAAGGAGGACAAGATTTTTTGTTCATGTGTGCAGGATCAATCCATCGGCATGCATGGATTGGTTGCCCTGCCTGACGGTTGGTCGTGGTGGGAAGCAAACTCTATCTCCCCTGGACACGATACGCCTCCCATAGATGGTGATATGCAGCAGAATGGGCATCTCAATGACACGTCGATCGCGTGTCGAGGGCGATTGTCTGATTCATTCATCGATTTCCTCCATCTGTTCCGTTCCTGTCCCAGCTCCCCGTGTACATGGAGCGTATATCGCCGTTCAGTTTATATTATTCAATAGCTCACATGCATCGTCGTCCTCATCCAGGCAGGACAGGTGGGGGACGTTTGGATCGACGATCCGAGATTACGACGACGAAGAGTCAGGCCAATCATTTGCCCGTAAGGGAAGGTCAGCAGAGAGCATGTCCTGTGTACGCTGTGCCTGTGTATATTTCCGGACCCAGGCAACGCACGCACTGCATAACGAACCAGCTAGCCAAGGCATGTGGGAGAGAGCAAAAGCAGCAGCCGCCATGTGCCAGTCTAAACTCAATGGCGCCAACGCTCGCCCTCCCCAGATGGATGGATGCAATCAATACCAACGTCGCCGACCTGTGCCTCTGTAGCACTGGTGCTCCACCACCACCACCACCACAACCACCGCAACCGTTTTCGTTACCTTCGAGTCGGGGCCACGCCGCGCTTGTCGGGTCAAGGGGGCGCAACATGGCGCCGCCGGCCCCGACAGGGGATCCTCTGCTTTGCTTCACTTGCTGCACCCTCGCTCCTGGTCGACCTCAATCAACCCGCGACAGTCCGTACCCTCACCAACAAACTATTGCCATCCTGAAGCAGCAGGCAAACAAGGAACAAAAAACCCATCCAAACCTCCCAAAATAAAGTCGCGTTATGTCATCTTGCTCAGGGGTGTTTCGCCTTTGTTTTTTTTTCCCTTCGGTCTCTATTGCCTGCGCGCGCGTGAGCTCCGTGTGCCGTCATCGTCATGCACCCACCTGCACTTACCGGCGCGCCTTTGAACTACTGTACAGTACGTCCCTAGTCAGCTACTACTCGCCCACGAGGTGTTTGCCCGTCCGCCCATACATACATAGTACACGCAGCTGAGACAGGTTTTAAAGGGCCTGCTTGTCCAACAATGGCATCATCAATCGGAGCATGAAAAGGAATCAACCCGACTCCTAAAAAAAGCTTTCCAACAACGAGGGGAGGGCAGGTTGAGCACGGCCACAGCACTCTGCGGCGCGCAGCCACGAGGCCCACGTTTCGATCCTCGCTGGGGGGGACTGACTACCCACCGTTAATCACCCTCACCTCTCTCTCTCAGCCGCATCCATACATTCCCCATTTCCCACGCCCACCCAATGATGATCGCCATGCACAGTAGTATGCCCTCTTTCTTCTTCTTTTTTCTTGTCGCATTCCTGCAGGGTGCGGTGCGCTGCATTCGAGTTGCCTCGCAGCGGGAGACGGAAGCATGTATGCATGCACGGCAGCAAGTCGCATCCCCCCAAGCAAGAAAAGTGCAGAAAAGAAAAAAATCATCTCCACCATTCGGAATCCCACTCCAATGTTTGGATGCTTCATTTCTATGAAGGGGGTAGGAGGGGGGATGGTTTCCGTTGAATGATGCCTGCTGTGTTTTACGACAGCGGGGGCCCTCCCCGCCCGTCCAACCACTGATCTCCCTTCCCATCCATTGCAGGACCTCTCGCCCCTCTCCACACCACACAAACCCCCCTCGCCCCCTCAACACCATGTCCAGGTTCATGGGCGACCCAATCCATGTCCAGCTGCGATGCGCAAGGGAGCTTTGTACGAGGCGGGGATATCCCTCTTTCCCTCTCAACAATCGCCCGCCTGGCCCTGCGTGCATGCCCCATACACAACATACTTGCTCATCCAGAAACACCGCTACGCAACAGCATACGAACGGAAAAATCCACGGGAACCTTGCTTTGCTTTGCCTCTGCCCCAATCAGACATGGATGATCCCCTATTTTTTTTTTGCCTGCCTTGAGTTTATTCAGACTTGCGTTTTGCGTACCATGTTCGAGGGCTATGTGCCCGGGGCGGCTATACTCGGGATATCCGGACTAAGGTAAGCCTAGCAAGGTAAGGTGGTGAGACGAGGGCCAGAATACGCACCCTTTTTTTTGGTCATTCCCGCCTACCCGCCCGTGCGAACGATGTCATAACTCTCTCTCGCTTTCGCGTTGAGTTCGTCCAATTTGGTTGGTGGGATTGTTGGGTTACTTTTGAGTGAACGTTTGGTACCGGCGGTTTTTCGCCGCGTCTGTGTGTTTGAGTGTGTGTGTGTGTGCGCGCGAATGAATGTGTGGACGAAAGAGAGAGCTCTAGATTTCGAAATTCTGGTGTGTGGCCTTGTCAACCAACGGTGCTTTGCCCGTTGAGAAAAAAAAACCCTATTCTATCTACCTATCTATTCTCTAATCTCTAGTCTCTCATTCTTGTCGTGGGTTATCCTCCAAATAATCTACAGTGTAGCATCTCGACATGTATCTAAGTATGCATTACACATTCCCGCATTTATGCACCGAAAATCCCAAATCCCGTCCAGCCCAGCCCAGCGCATCCTACAGCACGTGGGCGGATAGGTACATACACACTTACATACATACACGTACCTAGCAAAAAGAAGGATCAGATCAGATCCTCCCTTCCTCCTTCGATCGATCTTTTCCCTGGCGCGTCCAAGAGTCTAACTCGACCTGACTACCTGACTTACCTTCGTAGTTAAGGCGAGTCAATCCCAACCCCAATCCAATACAATCCACTCCACATAATATCTGAGTAGCAAGAGCAAGTTGAAAAAAAAAGACCAAGGATCGTTACGGCACCGAGGGATCGGATGCATACACCCACACATGTCTCTCATTTGGAATTTGGCTTCTTTTAACCCACAATCGGGGTTTTTCTGTGGAACGTGGATGCGATTCGACTGAACTACTAGAGTCTACTAGCGCTCTTATAATCATGAACACACACGCGCTATTGTTTAATTTATTTCATTCTTTTTCGATAGTGAAGAGAAAACTTGACTCTGATTACATCAGAGAGAGAGGGAGGGAGAGAGGAAGGGAAGGATGTAGGACTGAACAGCAAAGCAAATGCCTCCCAAAAGCGCATCAACGTGTGTGTAGGATAAATATCTGGATAAAATCTCATTCCGAGGGTGTAGTGTAACCCAGGGACTCGGGAACGGGCCCTTCTTCCGCGGCATCCATACATCCATCCATCCATTCCCATCGTAACTACTCCCGCTCTCTCTTTCCTTTCCTGCGAGCATACTCGCTCAAAGGGGACCCGTGATATTCTCCTTTGGTCTCGGGATCTAATAGACCGATCCGTAGTGCGAAGAAGATGATGAGATTTATTAATATAGATCGTCCGGGCGGGTAGATCAGAAAGAACTGGGTAGGGGGGAGGGATACCTAACACGCAAGGCCCAAAAAGAAAAAAAGAAAAGAAAGAAAGGAAAATGATGGTCGCGTGGGGGTTGAGGGCACGGGTTCGGTAGATATGCGGTCGCTCAAAACAGAGGTTAGGGCAGGTCAGGTCAGGTCGCAAGCAAGCAGCCTAAGGAGAGAGGATGTAGAAGGAAGAGAAGGAATATGTATATGGGGTAATAACAACCGCCCCGTCGGCCAACGACCACCCACTTTGGGGACACACGCAGTCAGGCAGGCAGGCAGGCAGGCAGGACACGAGGGAGAGAGAGGGAGAAGGGGAAGGGGTGTGATTCCTTTCCGTTTCGTATCTGCAGTCTGCGCTCTATCTGCCAGTAAGGTGAGACACACAGGCAAGCACGCAAAGCAAAGCAAGGGAGTGAAGCAAGCAGGGTCAAGGGGGAGGGATGGGGTTTGTATAGTAATAGGCGTCTCTCCTCCCCCCTAAACAACAACATTCTATTTATAACCGAAAAAAAGTATCTTTTTGTTCGTGTTCTTCTCTGAGCGCGCGCGCGCGCCAACCGGCTCTCGTACACGGTACTTGAAGGGAACTCGCCGACCTGCATCCTCAGGTTTCTTTAGAGCAAGATGTCTAGGTTATGGTGAACCGGGTATACAAACAGGGTGTTGAGGATTGCTTTCCCTTCCCCCCTCGAGCCCAGGGTTTAATGGGATTCAGGGACGCGGGTTGTGGTTAGGCCAGTACAAATGTCCGTCGTATTCGCAGTGGCTACCGCTCGTGGGACTGGTACGAGCAGGTAAGGTATCCGTTTCTATTCCGGATCTACATGGCTTGCCACCATTTTCAGTCCGGATACATACATGGATCTTGTTGTGTACTTGTTGTGTAGTAGCTGGATCCGTTTTGGGTGTTTGCAACGGGCTTCTAACTAGACAGAGATTCAGGGTCGAAATTCTGGAGCTGCTGCGGCAGTGCGCGATAGACAGTCTAGACACCGAAAGAGAAGGAAACCGAATAAAAGCAGTCCATGACAGGCGTGGACAGTCCAGGACGTAGAGCGACAGAGGATGGGCAGCTAGTTGGTCGCTAGCCCTTGCAGAGAGCTCACTGCTCAGCGCTGAGGTGGGTGGAATGAATCATGTCACGAGGCCAAAGGGGGCCGCAACAACGTCCTGGCGTGTGCCGCGGCGGTAGGGGCAGGCGCAGGCGCTAGGCCGCAACGAAACTTGTCAGAGTCTGAATCGGGCAAGGGAGTACTAGCGCAGAGATTGGATGGGACGGATTTTAGGTTTGATTATAGTTTCCCGGCGAAGTGGGTACTGGCCAACACATCCGCTCTCGCTTTCGCCTTGCGGCCCGGTAAATCGGGTTTCTCAACGGTTGTCTCCAGTGCCCTTTTCAGCCAGAAGGGACTGCACCGCACTATACCAGCTGCTATACCGCTATACCAGTCGAGCCTGTGGCTAGGCACGCCCAACTGTCTGCACTGGCCGCCTGAGCCGCCGCCGCCCACGCTGAGTGTCTATGTATGTATGTGTGCAATTTGTTTGCTGAGTGCCATTAGCAGAGCGTGCAGCAAAACAAAACAGTCAGTGTGTCCGTGGCCAGCGGGTTGCGACAGCGTACAAGAGAGCAGCATCGAGAATAGAAACACCATCTCAATACAACAGAGCGTGTCACAGGTTGGCCGGCCACCCCCTGGAAACGTGACCGACCGACCGACTGACTGACTGATGAATGGGCCACGCCAGGACCGGCGGTCGGAAAGCAAGCGCCAAGGCCTCACCTCGCCGACCTCTCGTTCCGCCCTGTCCTCGATCATCATCCCCCATCCATCTGGAGCTTGGTCCGTCTCTGCGCCTATGCACCGTTTGATCTCCACGGGCCTGTCGAGCCCTGTCGAGCGAGTGATGACGCTGTTTCCGGCTGCTGCTCGCTGCACGTTGCACACGCTGCACTACCGGTTCTCTCCGTTTGGCCTCTGTCTCTCTCTGTCTCTCTACCTATTTTGCCCGCCTCGCTCGCCCGCCCATACCTGTACGGGACGCTGCTGGACGGCTTCTGACAGTAGTAGTACCAATGCGGCAATCAGCCACAGTGATCAAAGAGGACCGCACATGGACGATTAGCTACATTACTTTGGGAATACCTGGTTGACAGGACTGACAAGTGCAGGTGCTTGGTTGACTCGATGGGTTCATCCACAACAGCTTTCCTTCGCAAGCAAGCAAGCAAGAAAAATATGCAATTGCACAGCAAGGAAACGGGCAACACATTGTTCGTCGATTGAACAAATGTACATGTAGATGAATGATCGTGAACCCCGTAGAGCTGGCTAGCTCGGACGGATGTGCTCACTCCCGAGTGCAGGAGCCAGGCCAATCCCGGGCCTGCCCCCAAGTGACTGGCTGACGACCACTGGCTGGCGATTATTACACCACACTACGCACCCGGTACGTTACCGCCCAAGTCCAATGGCGGATGAGGGAATGGAATGGATTGCTGTTCTGGGGCGAGGGGCAAGACTTGGACACCGGTCATCGTCGCTCGCCATGTCCCTCCCGGGGACCAGTGCCAGCCAGGGCAGGCGACGCTGGATGGCAAGGCAAGGCTGGGCAGTTGGCAGCAGAGGGAGCGGCAGGGGACGGGCTCCAGCTGGCCATGGGTCACGGCGAGAGCAGACTGGGAGGCTGGCTGAGGCTGAGGATGAAAATAAACGATTGATGTTTGAATTGATAATACCGTGTGGGGGGCAGCGAGCGTTTCTGTGAGCGAGGGCCGTGACTGATAGATAGGTACAGCAGCAGCAGCAGGAGCAGGTAGGGTAGCCTCACACATGGGCGCGCGCACCGCCATAGCTGCTGGCAGTGTACTGGGCGGCGGACGGCCATTCCGCCAGGCTACCCCAGCCGCACCACGACGGCCGTCGCTCGCTCAGGCGGGCGAGCGAGTGCGTGCGTCCTGTTGCGTGCGTCGTGCGGCGCGCAGGCCAGGCAGCGCGTGTTTGGCAGGGGGGGCCTGCCCGAACCAGGGCCAGGGGGGCTGCCCTCGCGTGTCCAGGATAGCCCGGCGAGCGGCCGGCGCAGGTGGTGGAGAAGAGGGAAAGACGTCGATGGAGCCCACTGACTGACTGACTCCCCATTGCACGACTGACTGACTGGCTATTCCACCATTACACTATTACTTACGGGGTGGGTGGGGAGTCGGTGCATGCGGTGGTGGCTACTTCGTTTTTCCCGCACACACGCCAGGCAGGCCCATTCCATCCCCCTCCCATGCCGTCCCATGCTCTGCCAGCCGCCACCTTAGATACATACATAGCAGATGTGCTACATGGGCCACCGACTCCATTCCGGCGATCTGGGACATCAAAAACACTGGGGACTAGGGACAGCCTAGAAAGCCTGTGCAGCGCCCGTCCAACACCACGCATACATTAGTACCGCCCATCGCACAAGCTTCCGTCACTTTGCAACTGCTGCTACCACCACCGCTACCATCTCCCTCCACCTCCACCACAACCACTACCACTGCTACTACTACTACTTACTCGCTGCCCTCGCTCCGACCACTCCTTTGTGCTCGTCATCACAATCACCACTACCACTTTTAATCCCTCTTCTTCTTCTTCTTCATCTTCTTGTCCATCTTCTCTCTCCCCACGACCACCGCTACACTCCGAGAACACACATCTATCCTCCAAACTCGAAACATCCTAGAAACACTCCTGCTCCCTTGGTCCTTGTTTCCCTCCTCAGCCTCTCCAGCTGCCAATCCTACAGCCCTCGCCGACTTCGTTGCGCCCGCCGCCAGTATATACTTCGGCTTCCGCCCCTCCTGCCCGCCACCTTTGGTTCACTCACCCAAACCCCAACACCGGTACTGCTGCCCTTGACATCTGCCAGTATCGTTCCTTCCCTTCCACCCCGACCCGTGCTTTCCACTCTTCAGGTATGTACTCACTCCGCCGCCGTCGTCATATCTTCCCACCCTGTTTTCATATAACTTTTCCCATCCCTTCCCTACATCCTTCCCGCACCCCACCACCACCACCATCACTCTACACTCTATCCTTCCTTTTCCGTTGCATCCTTGCACCGATTCACCTACTATGCAACATATTCCTGCTCCATCTCTACCTTCAGCTGCAATCCATGAGCCGTCACTCACTCCTCACCCAGATTCCAAAATGGTCGCCCACCGCCGCGGCCCTTGGTCGCAGCATGAAGACCGATGGCTGGTAGAGTTGGTGAACCGCAACGGTCCTCACAACTGGGTCCGCATCTCACAGGAAATCGGCTCCCGCTCTCCCAAGCAGTGTCGAGAGCGATTTCACCAGAATCTCAAGCCTACCTTGAACCATGAGCCCATCACTCCTGAAGAAGGCGAGCTGATTGAGAAGCTGGTGCAAGAAATGGGCAAGAGATGGGCCGAAATCGCCCGAAGGCTCAAAGGCCGCAGCGACAACGCCGTCAAGAACTGGTGGAACGGTGGTCAGAACAGGCGGAAGCGCAATCCCGAGCGACCAGACCAACGCGACCACCAACAGATGCACCAGTCTCCCTACCATTACCCAACCATTGCCCAGTCAGGCTCGCACCACGACGAAGAGCCGGCTCACCACCTTTCGCACGTTCCTTCATACTCGCAGTCCCGACGTCCATCCCTCGGCCGCCCGATGCACTCCCCTCGTGCTCTCAAATTCTCACAGCCACAAAGTTACGAGCCCTACCCAGGCTCAAGACCCGCACCATTGGAGCTTCACCCATATCCCTCACAGTCTTCGGCACGAGGCCGCGGTTTTGAGACACCCATGCCTTCACCTTCGGGCTACTCCATTGTTTCAGCCGACGGTGCGCCCTCGCTGATCACAGACACCGGCTCAGAATCACGGTCACCTAGGGGAGCCGCTTCGCCACTCGACCTTACTTTGGCCCCCCTAGTCGGGAGCAGGGAAGAGCGCAGAAACTCATGCACCCGATACCTACCTCAGTCTGGCTTTGCTGTGGAGGACGATGCCACATATGATCATTACAGGCGACCTGGGTCTGTCCAACTACCACCCCTCACACGCACCGAATCTCTCTCATCAGCGCCCTCCTACCAAAGGCCAGAAAGGCCGCAGCTTCTCACCCAGACTGCTTCCTCTCACATGGTTCACCACCACACCCTTCCTCAGTCCGCCCCTGTCACGACGCAGCGAGCGCTGCCTTCGTTTTCCACACTCGCCGAACCAGGGCGTGTTCCACTGCCTTCCCCATCGATGGCTAGCCCAGCCAACAGGCAACTTCCGTCGCCTTTCGCACGCCCCAATCAGCTTTCGGAGACGAGAAGCGCGCCTGTTTCACCTCGGGCCTTGCCTCAGGACAGCAGGATGAGCTTGAAGAACATCATGTGAACAACATTATCCTCGGCTGTTTTTCCAACCTTTACCACTCCGTTGGGCTCGCTGTATGCATACATGTCTCACACTCCGACCGACCAACACCTTTTCCACCGTGCACGGTCTTCTTGTACGAATCCTTTCGCTACTTCAGTAAAATGATTGGCTCTTTGCAGAGCACTACGGACTGTTTCTGCATGTCATCATCACCGGCATCTCTTCATATAAAGCATTTATCTTTTACCACGAACATGAATCCGACGGCGGAAATCCCGTCCCGGACTTTTATTTTTTTAGCCGTCCTCCTACTTGTAGAGCGACGCAAGGCGATACCCTTTCTTCTTCTATTTCGTTTTTATCATATCATGTAGGATTAACTGGAACACAAAAAAGTGACGCGGTGGGGCAACATTAGTTTTGAGGGTTGGCTTATATTTTCTGGAAATACAATGATTTTGTCTATCCATCTCTATCGCTCAATGTTCACTTCCGCTCTTGACGACCACTATGCTCAAATCTTGACTATGATATTCTGATTCTCGCAATGTCATCCAAAGAGAGATAGCCAGCCCTCCTTCAGGCTTCCTGCCCAGACCGGGAAGGAGGGTTAGGCGGGCGGGGCAAGGCGCGCAGGCAGAGCAGGGCCAGACGAAACAGATGTGAAGGGGGCACTGATCTTCTTCTTCTTTATCTTGTTCTATTTTATTCCCGTGCGTTGGTTGCCCTTTTCCCTCTCTCTATCTCTACGTTCTTTAGGCGTCCCATTCTACCTGCCCTTTTTTTTCCATCGCTGTCATGATAAGAGCTGAACTCTTTTTTTTTCTATTGTATTTTTGGACTTGTGACTAGGGTCGGAGAGAGATTTGATTAACTCTTCTTCTTCTCTTGGTCGTTTAGGCATATATATAATACGCTGTTGTTGTTATGATGAAGACGAAGCAAAGTTAATGTTATTATTATTATCACGAGATTGAGGAAAATATACAGTCTGATGCTTTATGTTTGATGTTCATGATAATTACTATCATGGGTTTGGTTAGTTAGGTGTTGGTCAATCCAGTTTTGGTTTTTGGTACGCTGGTCCCCCAGTCTGCCTTGCCTTGCCATGCCCTTGTCTCATGTTGCTGTTGGCTGAGTACGTATGCTAGGCGGTTCTAAGGACTCTTTCTCTACATCTCTTTTAAGGGATATGTTCATCTTCTACACAATCATCAACAAATCCAAGTGCCTTTTTTTCCCTCCCCCACCAGCAGCGTAATTCAGGAGAGTAAGAGGAACTAGTAGTAGTAGTTTAAACTGCAAAACGAGTTCAAACATGGTCGCTCTCAGTTTGGGAACGGTTTCCCAAACAATGGCAGTTTCTACTTGTCTTTATAGAAAATTATTGATCATGTTCAAATGTGTTGCTCAAGATGTAGATTTGGGCGTTTTTTTTTATGCCGTCTTCTCGGGGAATTCAAAGCACTTCATTGCTTCTTGAAGAATCTGTCAAAAAAATACAAGGAGTAGATACTAAGGTATCCAAACCACAGTCCCCCTTCATCCCCTCTCCCCTCTCTCAGTACCCAACACCATCGACTAACTAGAAGATATGGGTAGATTGCCAATCAAACACTCCATCCTACCGGTATATCTAATCTCTCTCACTCACTCATAAATACAGACATACACGATTCGAACCCGAGACCGAGAATTCTCTCATCATCCCCCTTACCTTACTCAAGTCCTAGAGCAGAAAAGAGAAGAATTAAAAAAAAACGATAGCACAGCGTAGCAAGTAGCGTAGCGTTCGTGTAGCGGCCGGCCCACGGTAGTGCAATGCCCATCATCATGCAACATGCAACACGCGCATGAGTATGCGCGCCGCCTGCCGGACTGACTGAATGACTGAATGACACTACCCCCCCCCAACCCAACGACCTCAAGAACCAGGCCCGAAACGAAGGAACTGCTTCTGCTAAACGCCTCGCGCCTCGCGCCTCGCCTCGAGCCACAAGTGACCCAGCGAAGAACGCCACCGTCCGGTCTGGTTAACCGCCCCGTTTCTATCGCGCCAGCGGTAGCCAAGCGGTAGCCAAGTGGATTTGTTTTCGTTCGTTGGTGGTTGTATAATGTGTGCGTGCGCTTTGCGTGCATTAGTTGGTTCAGTTGGGGTTTTGGTTGGATGGATGGGTGGGTGGGACGTCTTGGAGGGAGGGAAATGGGGATTGGCAGAGGGATGGGGTTAAGGAGTGGTGGAAAAACATGATGGGGATTAGATGGTATACGATGTCAGATGGGTCACTGCTGTGCGGGTTTGATTGCTGTATGCTATGTTTTTTACTCTTGGATGATTCGCGGGTTTGGGTCGAGTGGGTGGGCTAGATGCTTAGTGCATACTACAATCTCCTCAGTCAGTCAATCAGTCAGTACATTAGTTGTAATGTAGGGTGATTTCAGAGCATGATATCGGACATGTGTGTGTGTGTATGTAAGGAATGTGCAGCTTATAGTCGCATCTCCATGCATTGTAATCATTCTTCCAAGCATCTTGACGTCCCCGATCATAACAAATCACCGGTCCAAGTCTCGGATATCCGATCCTCCTCTCTTCCTTCCCCCCGCCGATCACTGGCCGTAACCCGGATCAGCAAGTAATGTACCTACATAGTCAACCCCTAGTGGCATAGACCACATGGAACTTGGAAGACAGAAACAGGCAAATGCTCAAAAGGCAAGGAACCCGCAACCCAAAACTTGGGTTGAAAGGATTTTTTGTGTCTATTGTTTTATTTTATTTATTTCTCGATTGATGAAACACGGCAAGGTGGGTTTGTGTGGGCTTGTGTCCGTGTGATTTGGAATTTGAGAGAAGTGGAGATGGGTGGATGATGGGGTAAAGGTTATGTGTGGTAGGGGAGGGGTTTGTAGGTGCAAGGGTACCTCTCATTTCATGAGTACAAGGGGAGAGGTGTGAAGGAGGCTGGGTTCAGGGGTGTTTTTTGGTGCGCCATTAGGAAGGGAGTGATGGCCTTGAGGGATGGACGGTGTAGTTTCACCTGTCTGGGGCTGGGTTGGCTGGGCCTTGAGGCGAGGATTTGGGGCAGGAGGGAAAGGGCACGTTTTCTGCTGTCAGTGCTGGCATGAGTCGTGACATGCTATGTTACTTCCTATTATCATCTACCGGCAGCACGTAAGGAACTGCTTTGCTATAAGCAGGGGCGGCATAACAAGTGAAGAACGAGTGACGAGCGGGAGAAAACGGGAGCTAGCAGAGAGTGGAACAACAAGTCAGAGGCCGCCGAACCACAACTTCATTTATTGTGTCTCACTTGATTCAACGGAAATAACGAAAATGGCTACTGGAAAGAAGGCAAAGAGAAAAGGCAAGAAGGACGCAACAAAGGCTCTGTGTGCGTCTTGCGTATTGTTGGATCTTTACCCTGTCTTTGTATCCCGGCTCATGCATACATAAATCTTGGGGCAGATCGCTCTTCACTTACACGTGGCAGAATGTCTGACTTCTTGCCGACCGTTTACGATCGGATTTCTCCATGCCGTTGCGTGCGCGTGTATGCGTTGATGTCGTCAGAACGTTGCCTTGTTTGTATACGTGCTTGTGTGTTTGCAATCAGATACCTTTATTTTTTCTTCATCACGCGACGTCCTGACTGTACCTACGATATCCAGTGAAAGGGTTTATGTTTTTGTGGGGCCGGAAGATCTCATATTATCTCCATCTCATCTGTACACCGGATCCTGGACTATATGTCGACCGTTTTCCCTTATCCGTCAAGGGCCCCTTTCGCGGCTTGGAACCCCCGCTCCATTTTACATCATAATTCTCACTCCTTCCTATTATCTTTGTTTGAAGACTCTTTTTGTGTGTTATTTCGTCAACTACCTCTCTCCTTGAACCCTCTTGGAACCTCAATCCCAAAATACAATGATCTACCAAGTCGAGCGTCAATCAAACGTCTAAGATCATTACCGGAAACAGCAAAACTTCGCTAGCTCACAAAACCCCAGGCAAACCGTCTGTGCGCAAGCCTCTATCAAGGTAATCAGTGGGGCATCAGGCTGTGCTTAGCTTGATTCAAGTGTAGTGTACGCCGGAACATGCCGTAACTCGGTCTAGCTCGGTCGTTGCTGATAGACCGTTGGAAGATCGGGAATCCGGAGAAACGTGTTTTTGCGCCTCCCGAGCGCCACAGCTTTCTCATCTCTAAAACCTGTCAGAGTGTCTGTATGTGGCACAAATATGGTAGTATGACCTGGCCATATTGAAAGAACAATCCAGGCACCTTTACCGCCTGATTTCATACGGTTAATCGAGTGAAGCAGTGTACAGTACCAGCCCCCCCTGTACATACGAACATGTGGAGGGCTATCTTGTCGCGTATTTTGCCCTAATTGAAAGATGCTGACCGCCGTGTTGAGGAGAGTATCATCTGCGACACTCCAAACTGTTTGCGCCTACGGCGCATAAAGCTCTGTCGTCGGATCAATTAATCCTTCCTGCCTACCCCACATCCAACAGTCACCAATGTCCAGATCGGAGCCTTTTACCGCAAGACATGCATTGTATATTGGTCAAACCCGAGGGCCTGCTGCCGAGAGTCAGCTTTCAAGACCTGTTCCTTGGTGTTTTCAATGTATATCAAACGCAGATTATAACTAGGCCCCATGTCGGAGTGATGTCGAGAGCATACCAAAATCTTACAGGCCGACAGGACCGTTGGGCCCCTAGCATTGGGATTTCGACCCATGGCTCCGTTTCTCTCCCATGTGGCCTCCCTGTGCTCCCGATATTCTTCCCATTGTCTCTTTGTCTTCGTTCGTGCATATCCAACAATTTGGAGCGGGACTGGAATCTCGAAATACTTGATTGACGAGTGCGCGATAGTTGAACAAATGCGTCCCGCATCGAGCAAGGCACACGAAACAAGTTGATTTGGATTGTCGCACATGCAGAGAGTCCCACTCCGATACTGGCCCCCAAGGTGGTCTGTTCGGTGAATGAATGCGAACGCGAAAGACATCTCAAATATTCAATGTGGGGCTTTATGGAGGATCCATGCCCACGCATTTCTGCGACAAGCAACACTTTCATCTGCGGATACGACATGGGTTTGTGTGACACAAAATCAGATCGATACTTTCCGGGGGAGGACATATCCGTTCAGGAACCCAGATGAAGTGCTGACTCGTAGGTCCGACGAACTTCGGACCAAGCATGAAAAGCGAACGCGAGAAACAATTATTCCGCCTCGTTATGACCACGGTAGAGGTTGAAAGTCATCGCTGCCGCCCAAAGATGCACGGTTTGAATATACCGTATTCGTTTAGCTCCTAAGGGCCGTTTAAGGATCTGGGCCAAGTGATCATCATTTTCATCATTACCACCCATGTTCGGCTATTCTATTGAATTTCGACACTGATTTGAATCTTCATCATGCTGGAAATAGCAGGTTCCCGCGTGTCAGAGTTCATAGCGTAAATGATTTGAATATCAATTATGCAGGCTTCAATTGATCGGACATCTACCTTGAGATTGCTGTCATCCGGAGATACTCTGCCGCGTGCACAACCTTGCAGAAACGTGTAGGAATTCATCCTGGAAATCGACCGAAGGATCGTCACAATATACGCGATAGACTTTACGAGTGTTGAAAGATTCACATCTGAAGGTCGGCGAAGAGCTCAATCACGTGCATCATTAGCGCGGCACAGCACGGCCCAAGGCGGTTGTTGCGAGGGCAGCTTCATCCTTTCATCAACATCATTCATCAACGGCAGCATCAGTGTCATCATCCCAACCACTTGCAGAACTATAATTTACTGCCAATCTTATCCGACACAGCTTGAACTTTCTAGTCACGTCCCCAGCTCGTGTCCGGATGCTTGCACTGCTCGGATAAGCGCAGGAAGCGGTGTGACGGCAAAGCAAGGCAATAGGCTCACGGCATGTCGGACGGTGCACTGTATGTTCCAGATCAGGCTGCCCTGGACACAGTGACGGATCCTTGGAGCGAAGCACTTAGGGTAAGTTCTTGTACACCGTTGTGCTGTGACGTTCGCGAAGCATGTGGTAGCCCTGCCAATTATTACTCAATGCATTGATAGGTCGCTTGCTACATGTGTGGATGGCGTACCTACCATCGCTCTACACATCATAGACTAGCGGCCTCATATGTAGACACATGTCTTAGAGACAAAATGGGCATTTTTTCCATGCCAGGACGTGTTTTTAGTACTCCACTACGGAAATTATTAGCGTCGTCAAACTACCCGTATAGGGTCAGATCAGATGAGAAGTGTACTGACAGATCATGATCAGGCCCAACGCGATTTGGGGTTATACATTCCTATAAATTTCCATACTGTACCTGCAATATCGTTGAAGGCGGCATGCTTTAACAAGAATCTATACTCAGACAAGGCTTTCCAAAAATGCTTTTCCAACCTACTAGCACTTGGATTACGCAGATTCAACGTAGACGTATACTGGGACCAATTGAACTCAGCATGGAGTTTATGTCCCGCCGAAATAGCTCCAGCAGACTCAGATACAAACTCTAGTTCTCCTTCATCCTCATCGTCTTCATCATCAGCGTCAACTTCGATAAGCCCCTCACCTACTGCTACGAACCAGAGCGTGTCTTCAAGTAGCAGAAGCGTGTCACTCACTGCGAGGCAAACGGTTGCAACTCAGACGTCGCTGTTTCCATCATCAGCTCCTACAGTAGAGGCACGGCAAATTTCCTCAAGCACAATAAGCCACCCAGCAAGCTCATCGTCGTCAGCATCTGGATCTCAAACTGGAGGCAATGGCTTCATCGCTCCAAGTGGGTCGTATAACTGTACACCTTCGCTGACGCTGGGCTACCTGACAAGAATTCTTTCGAATTTCCTTGAAAGAAGCGCCACAACGACGGACGCAACCTCTACTCTGCTCTTGCTCAATCTTCATGCTGCCGCTCCTTGGTCTTCTCCAAATTCGCCAGCCCAGAAACCAGGCCAGTTGCCCCAAACCGGTAATTTCATTAGCGACATCATCACGGGAAACCTATCATCGAACCTGTACACACCCCAAAGGTTGGAGGCAGAACGAGCAGATCTAGACGACAATGATGGTTGGTTCTCTGGGAACGAAGACACCCACCCGGCCTCAGGCTACTACGAGACCCATCAGGTGGATGGTAGACTGATTACGACGGACGGATGGCCTACAGAAGCTTTTATAGTGTTTCGTGCACTACAGCGTCTCATCGTGTCTTTCAGATCCGTGGACCCGCTACTGAGTGATTACAATCTCACCGTCGATGCACCTACTATCTTCCCTCAAAATACAATCAGGCACAGCAATGATGTTGCATTGAATTCTGATGGGACCTTAGCAACGGGCTGTTTACTGGTTCCATCAGAAACCACCATCACAGCCTCTACCAACTCATCCTGGATGCTAGCCACGGCACCCAATATCAACATTGACGCCAATCCCGATCTCCTAGTTCCCCTTTCATCCATCGCCAATTTGACTTCTTGTGGTCTCTCCCCTTTTCTCAACTCCTCTCTCGCAGACACAACAGCCGACCAAAACCCTCTACCTTACGCCGCATTCACGCGCTCGTACGAGTGGACATTTGCCCCGGGTGAACCATCGAACAACACAGCTGGTAACAGCACCATGGGTCGGTGCACAGCCATGTATACCAACGGAACTTACCGTGGCCGTTGGCGGACAGTGGACTGCGCTGCCTCGTTGCGAGTCGCTTGCCAAGACCCCTCTGTGCCGTACCGCTGGGAGGTCCCCAGTGAACGTAGCCCTTATATCAACGCGCAGTCGCTTTGCCCCGAGGGCCTAGAATTCAGCGTTCCACATACCGCACTCGAAAACTCTCATCTCCTAGCTGCGGCGCTCGCGTCGTCGTCGGAGAAGGAAGTCCGTGAGCCCATTCTAGTCAACCTCAATTCACTCGATGTAGAGGACTGCTGGGTGGCCGGGGAAAACACCACTTGCCCATATGTTCCGCCAACTGATACTGACCGAGCGAGGGTCGTTGTGGTCCCGACGGTCGCCGCTGTCATCATCTTTGTGTGTGCGGCCCTGACGTTTTTCGTCAAGTGCGCGGCAAATAGGAGAGAAGACAAGAGAGGCAGGCGGCGGAGGATGGTAGGGGGATGGGAGTATGAGGGGGTTCCTAGTTGAAAAGCGGAGATAGAATGGAGTGTAGTAGTCATATGCAAGTATATGGTTGTATGTATATATGTATAGAGCTTTCTGCGGTTTCGGCGGGTACTCTTGAGGCTGTAGTAATTCAGTGGCCGAGTAAGAGGGCCGAGAAGGCGTACGGTATGTCGTTAAGTACTTCTGTCTAGATTATGAAAAGGGCAACAGGTGGTTTCTCATACCAATGGTCTATAGTCTAGAAAGTGCAAGTTCAGTCCCTCGAGGCCACACAAATGTCAACTTGAGCGCTAGACGCCAGTATACTTTATTGAAGAGAGAACTACAGTAGACCAACAAACTTGCAGGAATAAGCCCATACCAGCATTTACACATAAGAATCTACGTTCCACTTTCCCAATCACCTACTTGGATAAACTGGACGTGATTAATCGCACATTAGATGCGACACAGTCTCTGATAAACACGAACTGTTTGTTAAAGTCTCCAATCACTTAAAACATAATTTATCGTACTCGTTAAATCATCATCATGTATCTATCTACAGTTTCGTCCGATATTTTCCACCCTAACTCCAAACCTTCGTTTCAGCATTGGGACAGCACCTAGCACTCTTTACATATTCAATTGTCTCGTTTCGTGTCGTTATTCGTTATGTTATAAATCCCGCTTGTATCAGCACTGTCCAAACTTCTCAACACCTGACTTCGCTGGGATAGAGCCGTTAACAAAGGAAATGTTGCGTAGCTTAAGGAGATCCGTTTGCTTGGAGCAGGTCCACACTCCCAGATCAAGATTCTTTGTTGCTGTGATCCGGGTTTTTTGGGCGTTGGAGAAAGGAGTCCTTGAATCGGTATAATGAGCATCCTCAAGCTCGACTATATCGTTCTCCTAACATGGAAAATGTAACAGTCAGCAGAAAACCCCACACAATACCTCAAGAAGATAGCACACCACCGCGCGATTCGTCACACACAGCAAATCATAAGCTCCGCTACGGAGCACACATTGGATCACGTATCCATCATCAAAGAAGATCCTCCTAACCATCACCCATCACGCACCACCCCAACAACAAAAAAAAAAAAAAAAAAAAAAAAAAAAAAAAAAAAAAAAAAAAAGAACACTCACCAAAACACTTTTCGACTCCTCGCCACCACCACAACCTTTCCCAACACCCGACACCCAACCCATCAACACAACGCCCTCGCAAATCACACCTCCACCTCTCCCCGCCGCCCTCTCGCTCGCTGCTGCACCTCGCTCGACGGAGCCTCGATCGCACGCCCCCTTCCCACCGGCACACGCTGTATCTGGAATAAACGCTGACCCGCAAAAGTCCCCTCGTCGACAGATACCCGCCGCCTCGCTCCCGAGGGCCCGAAGTCCACTGAGCGGCGCGGTCTTTGCGACGACTCGGGCGATGGAGGTGATGATGGCGATGAGGGAGGTATGCAAGTACTTTGGCGCGCCGAAGAATACTGGTCGTAGCATTCGGAGCCGAAAGTACTGATGTATGAGAGACGGGTTTGGATGCAGAGGGTGCGGAGGTGTGCGGCGAAGAATGAGGCTGGCATTGGTTGGGTAGGTGGTTGGTTTACGTGTGATGGTCGCGTTGTTTTTGCTGGGTTAGGTTGGGTTGAGTTGAGTGGATTTTTTTGGAAGAGTTGTTGGGTTTGAGATTGCTTTTGAGGGCGCTTTTACCGAGAGATTTTTTTTTTTAGAAAAGGGGGTGTTATGAGGAATAGATTCGACTGATGCTTTTATCATATAACAGTATGCGCAATAGGGGGTTAACTGCTCTACATCCTCCATCATAGCTACCAAACAAACACAGATCCTTATCACCCGTTGCTAGGTAGGTTGCCAGACTCTGCCATCATAGAATGGACAAGATATCCTAGCTATAACAAAAGACCTACTCCAATCGACAACGCAACAAATTCAAGTTACTCTACCTACCCACCCCCTATTATATTTTCTCCACTGCACCCCAGCTAACCTAACCTACCCCAACTAAACAGGAAAACAGGAAATCTTTTTGATAAACAATAACCAACCAATCAACTGAGCACAGAATAAAACAAGGCGTGTAGACTAAACATGAAACAAGTACTAGACCTAACAGCAACAACAGCGAATTTCCAAAGCTCATAGACACTACACCTCGCTCCCAACACTCCTTAAACTCTACTACAAACCCTATCTAGTAACAAAATAGCGGTGAGAACTGGACCTTGAGTACAAGTACAAGTCCACTTTTAGCTGATAAATTCTCTCGGGCGAGTTAGCTAGCTGCTGGAAATAAAAAATGTGTGACTCATACCCTATCTCTACAAACAAACAACTACACACACAAAACAGAATATCGCACAGTTGTTTATCCCCCTACACCCGTTGTTGTTTGAGCGCGAGGAGGGTATATCTAGCTAGTTAGCTAGCATGATCCCTTCTCGCCCATTTGTTGTGATAGTAGAGTGTGTTAGGCAGGGATGAACCCAGTAAACTAGATGATTACTTGTTATGTTTTGGAGCGACGCACAACGATTAATCTGAAAGCATTAGCAGTTGTATATTTGTTCATCCATCTGTTTGTATTGTTTAGTAGAGATGAAAATCTGCTGTGTGGTATTATAAAGTCTATGGTTGGGGATGACTGATATGACTGTTATGCAGTGGTACAGCTCTGTTTCAGTATCTGTTACAAAGGTTTGTTATGGGTTACTAGGATCCCCCTTAGGTTTTTTTAGTGGTTGGCTGAGAGACGACAACAACTAGAGGTTTTGAATGGAGTTTTGTTATTTTTTTCTCAGTTGTTCGCAGTTATGCTGTACGGTTTTCTTTGATGGGTAAATGAGCAATTGAAATACAAGCTCAGAGCTAGTAGTTGCCTTCTTTCTAATTTCAGTTGGAACTATAAGGTCAGCCTCTAGGTCAGCCTCTGGCTCAGCTTTCGTATAGCTTTATGGTGCTGAATTTTTGCATGCCTTTTTTTCATTCAAGGCAGATGTTTTACCTCTTCTCCATTTGCAGCGTTGGTAATAAGTCAGGTAGTTGTTTATCGAAAGACATATTCACTCAAAGTCCACACATAACAATGATAGGTACGACTGTATCAATATCAGCCGCTATTTTTGGTAATTGATTGGTATCCAACATAAGGAAAACATTTGCCAACATTTCCCTTCCCCATGACAAGAAATATGGCAGTACGGAAAACGAAGAAAAGCTAATGAGAATTTGACATTATAGACAATGATATAAGGAAAGAAAAGGCATAGAGGTCATGAGTTGAGTAGGGGAGATGCTGCGAGGAGGATTCGCGAGAAGAGAGTAAGAGAAGAATGGAGAAGGTGAAAGGAAAACTATATGATGAGAACGAGGAGAAGTCGGACGTGGGAGAGTAAATAGCGGACTCCAGGACCAGCTGGGCGGTGCGATGACCGGCTTGCCATCCTTTTGCCATGCCATGCATGCACATCCAATAGCACCAACTGCTTGATCTCTCTGTCAATATGTAGCATGCTAAAAGGTACGTCTCAAACGCTACGTGAATATACTCTCGGTATACGCATTGACTTGCAGCCCCTTCTCCGCCATCTCAGCGTCTTGCAGAAATTTCAATGACATCCACACAAGATGGCCCTTGATCCTATCCAGTTGAGCGCGGACCTCAGCAGCAGACAGCTCTTTCGCCCACAAATGGCCTTGCTTGTGCTCCTTCTCGTTGTTTGGGTTGGGCGTGAAGTGGTCGTAGTCTTCGAATGTCAGGATGGCATCGTCGGGATCGGCGTGGAAAAGATCGCGGAAAACGTTCGTGTTGGTCGTGGCGCGCTCGCACCATGTCGACCACAGCTTCTCGGAGAGTGGGTCACTGACGAAGTCAGCTTCCGGGCCGGGAGAGGTCCTGTTGGGGGATGATTCCGAGGGGGGCTGGGCGTTCGGGTCGTCTGATGCGTCGAGAGTTTGTGGGGGGAGGAGACCAAGGTGTTCGCGCCAGAGCATGCTGCGGAGGTCGTGTGCCAAACGCGAGGCGCGGTAAGGCTTGCCATCCATTTCAGTTTCGACCTTGTCGGTGTCGTTGAGAACGATGGTAAGTTCCGAGTCGTGGTAGCCCAGTTGCGAGCGGTCGTTGATGTTGGAGGAGCCGCAGAGCACATACTCGTCGTCCACGATGCAGACTTTGGCGTGAATATATAGCTCTTCCTGGAAAAAGTTGTCCTTTTCGTCCTCTGGTTCACCGATCCATTCCTCAGTGCTAGGTTTCTTGTCCGTGAGCATTGCATCGTCAGCGATGGAGTCAGGGTCTATAACACCACCCTGGTCGCCTAACCCAACGTCCTGTTCATCGCCAGCGAACTTGCGACGCATTTCCTCGGCGTGTTTACGGGCTTCGTCACCGTCGTCGAGAGGGGCTTCCAGCGCCTCGATTTCTGTCTGTTGGAGCTCTTTGTACGTCATGCCGGACCTCTTTTCCTGTTCCTTGAGGTGGGCATTGTTGTTCAGTCGGTCGTAGGAGCGCAAATTGAAGCAGAAAATGTAATCCTGGGGATTGACGCCTTGCTTTTCGATCTGTCCAAAAATGCTGTTCTCCCCGCGGCATATACTCTTGAATTGATAGTCCATGATGGCGCGAGTGCCCGCAGCTGCTTCTTGTCTCAAATCACCAGCAAAGCCAGGAATGGCTGGGATGAGGATAATGACTCGGAACTTGCGTCCCTCGCTAGCGGCTTTGAGAACAGCATCTACGATAGCACGTCCAATCTGGTTATGTATAGGATACTGATCCTCGCCCGTGGCTGTTATGAAGAATTGATTCTCAATGTAAACGTAGTGCTTCGCATTCCGGATAAGATCGCAATAAGCATTCTGGATGCTGTGCTCTGCGGGGAGAATACCAGAACTCCAATCAGCGCTACTTCGTACCAGTTGAGCGTGTACGGTGCCGCGGTTGTCGAGGTTCTTCGTGGATAAGGGGTTGAGGGGATGATGCACGTATCCTCCCACTGGAAACTTGGGCCGCTGAACGCCTACAAGGTCTTCGTCATCGCCTGTTCGCCCTTCTAGCGTTAACCATGGGTATCTATCGTCGCGCTTGTATTTGTCGCGCTTGCAGAAATTCCAGCGAAGAACAAAATGCTCTGCAATATCGTACACGCAAGGCCCAATGACACCCATGGCGACATCATGCCATGGCATGCGACCAAATTCGGCTTTGCTGAGTTGATTTGATTTCCAATCCTCCACGCTCTGGAAGTCCATGATGCGGTTGTTGTTGAAATCCTGTCCAGGGAAAATCTCGTTCTGAACACCCGATGGATGAACGTCGGCCAGGGGATGTTGGTGATTGTCCCAACGGCCATAGCAAAGATCCAGCCCACCGATAAAGGCAAGTGCATAGTCAATTACGATGAATTTTTCGTGATGGGCCCAGTAGAAGGTCATGTCCGAGGCATTTTCCAGAACATTGTGGTCGGGATGTCGCATCACCTTTATGTTGCCGTAGCCGGGCTCGCCTTCCTTGATGAGACCCATCATATGCCTCTTGGTATGCTGGCTGTTACAAGTGAGAGCTGCTGACACCTGGACAAGGTCAGCCTCTTGACACGGTGTCGAATGGAGAAACTCACCTCCTTGTATACCACAATGTAAATCTTGACGCCCTCTTGGGCCTTCTTCTTGATTAGCTGATCCAACCTACAATCCTGGTTGTAGAATGGCGGCCTCTTCAGAAACAACTCAGGACTCAACCACCAATCCTCGATGTAGATGGTCTCTTTGGCATTTTTCAATGCCTCGGCAACCGCCTAAAAGCATATGTCAGCTCAGCTTTGAACTCGGCACAAAACGAAAAGGGAGGCTACGCACCCAAAAGTAATCTCTGCCGTCAATGTACCATTTGACCAGGTTTCCATCCCTCTCCGGGGCGAAGCTGTTGAAGCGGTGGCTTTCGCAAACGCGACTGCGCTTCTCGTCGGTCTTTTGCTCGTGCTCCTCGTCGTGGCGATGGTTGCTGTTGAAGAGGTTTTTGAATTTACCTGCCTTGTTTTTGGCATGGTAGGCCTTGATTTTGACGTCGTAGAGATGGGTGTCTTTGAGCTTCTCGCGCAATTCGGGAAAAGGATGAGCAATCTTGTCTTTGAGACTACGACGGTTGGGATTGCCTCCTGAAGCGTCGGCTGGCTGGTTGTCGGACATGGTTCCGCGTGTGGGTTCTGAAACAGAAGGAGAGTTTGTTGCTTAAGCCCGCGATCGGTGGTAGTCCAGCTATATGTCTATCTCGCTGAGACGGAGCTCTGTCACGCAGATTGATGGACTGACGTGGAAGGAGTGAAGGTGGTGAGGGCGGCCTTGCAGCAATTGAAGGGCACACGACGCGGTTTTGTAGGAAACAAAGTAAGCGGCCACCCACGGCGTGTGCGTTCGCGGAAACCTGTTCGCGCAGCCGGCGACCAACCCAGGCCGTACTGTACAAGGCCGGGCGGGTGCATAATAAGCAAGGATGGCTGGTGGGACGGTGGTGAAAGGCCAGACTCTGCGGCGCGGGTGATGTCATGATCCCGTCCATCATTACCCCGCTACAGCCTCCAAACACTCTCGTAGTGGGAGGCAAAGCGGACGAACCGCTGCACTTAAAAAAGCTTAATCTCACCAGTCAATTCCATCTCAACATTCAACGGCCCTTCCCCAGGTCTCAATTCTCCTCGTGTGGCTGATGCACCTGTGCGAGTGAACAGTGGCAGTGAGCCGTCTTCTTCCAGACGTCCCGCAGCCGTCGTCACCACCACCTTCTGCAATCGCGTCACCAACATCCCAGGACCTGGTAAGCAAGGTGAAGCACCAACCCAGAAGCCGGCTAGTCACAAGCCTCAAGCTTTCAACCAGCGGAAGTCGGCATTCTGTTATTGAGGATGGACTGCCTAAGTGCTTGCTTGCAGTTAGGCACATACATTTGTTGACGCGTCTACATGGGTCAAAGAGAGCCATCAAATTAATGCACTTGGTAGTTTAGCAGGATTTTTTTAAAAGGTCTACACGGGTCAGAGAAATGTGTGACAATTGAAATACCCATGCTCTCGGATATGTACATACATATGTAGGTACCAACATGTTTACATAATACTCGTACATCCTAGCCAGGCACCTCCTTCACTTCTCACCTGCACCACCATATCCACGACCAGCCCGACCCCACCGCCACAACCACCCTCCAATTGCATACATACTTTCGCGACGACATTCACCATGAAACCCGCGCACACCCCACAATGCCCCTCGCTCCCTCCCGAACTCTGGATCCGCATCCTAACCTTCAACACCGACCTCACCCACCTCTGGACCCAATGCCGCCACACCTCGCACGCCTTCCGCGCCTACACCGAGCAAGTCTTTGCCCACCACGTCCTGCGCAACACGTATATCGACTTCCACCTCGAAAAGTACAACCTAGGCGGCAAATCCAAACGCCCCGAAATCCCGACTTCGTTTGCGCACTTTGCCGACGCCAGCGTTGTCCCCAACACCAACAAGAACAGCGATGACAATGACGATGGCGATGCGCCGCAGCGACAACAAGAAAGAAACAAACCCCACGCCACCTTCACAGACACGCGCCTGGAAAAAGCAGTCAGCGGCGGCAACCCCAAAGAATACACGCGCATAATGCAACGCTGGGCCAACAACATGCAAACCCTCACCCCGCAAATGCCAAATTACACAATCCGCATCCACTCTCCCTCCTCCTCCTCCTCCTCCTCCTCCTCTTCTTCTTCCTCCAGCTCGACGCTCCTCGTCAACGACACCCCTCTCCCGTCCCTAACCCACGACCCCTCCTCCCGCAGCATATCCTTCGACTGGCGAGAAATGTACACGCTCTTTTTCCGCGAACAAGCGCTGTTCCTCGCGCTTAAAGGGAAATGGGAACGAGCCACGCACGCGAAACTGAAACTCATCAACGACGCTGCGCGCACGACACAGGATCAGAATCAGAAGGAGAAGTTGTCGGTCAGGGAGTACCCGCAGCCCTGGGCCGTGGCATCCATGGAGCTGCGCAAGCAGATCCGCAGGAAGAGATTGCTGACGACGAAAGGGTACCAGGGCAACAAGGAGATGGAGTGGGCGATTGGCAGTTTGTCGTGTTTTGAGAACCACGGGGCTGGAGCCAAAAGTACAAATAACAGCAACAGCAACAGCAACAGCGCATTCAAGCTGAACCCAGAGTTACCGGGCGCCGGCATCGGAGAGCGGTGGTTCGGCAGCACGAGTCTTGTGCAGGGGCTGTTTCTCGATGAGTGGAGCTGCATGCATCGGATCGATACCAAAGTCGAGCATGTCAAGGGTGGTGGTGGTGGTGGTGGGGAGTGATGTTCTATTCTTCTTTGTTCTCGCTGATTTATGACGCTTTCCGCAACGATGACGACGAAGACGATGATGATGATTATACACAGATTCTATGATACCCAATATTGATGACATCACAAAACGCAGCGAGCGCGAAATAAGATAGATTAGATAAATGGAGAGTAGGTGAGGAATTTTTGAGTAGGAACCGTATTCGTGGTTGGTGGTTGGTAGTGACATACCAAGTCCATCATCGTCCATATATGTACTATACACATAAATTCTATACATATGCATGCCCCCATATTAGACAAAATGCCGCGTTAAAGAGACTATCATATGGTATTAGATCCGATAGGATTGTGTGCCAACTTCCTTCAAGAGTTAAGTGGTACATATGCAAGTAAAGTAGCAGCGGACCTGACCTTGTGAGATGTATTCAGACCGCCAGTGTAAAAACGAGCCTTCGTGGAGAACAACAACCAAAAAAACGAAAGGCTGGGGTATTCGCAAATGTCGCATGCAATAAGAAGAGAGAACAAAAAAAGGACAGACAGCAAGAACAACGAAGAGACTGGATTCAGAAGAGACGGAAGGAGGGGAACTGAACCACCTTGAACAATGCAACAACAAGAACAGCAACACTAAACAAGTCCTAGGGTCTAGATGCAAGGAGTATCCCAAAATAACAAGAAAATGGTAAAATATGGTCCCCATCGTGCTCAAGAAGAGGGAGCCGAGATCTCTTTCCTCTGCTTCAGAACGCCCTTGCCGGGTTCGTGGTCTCTCAGCCAAATGTCCCCCCCTTCGCCCTTTTGCCAACGCTCCCACGCAATCTCATACGAGTCCTCCAAGTCCCTGACCCACCTCTTGGTGTCGAATAGAGCGCTGTTCCACCTTGCCCCATACAGCATGCGCCGCAATTCACTCAGGCGCCCCGTTGCACGGTGGCCCCTATAGACGCAATCATTACCCAGTCGCACAGCCATGTCTTCGTATTCTTGGTCGTTGGAGGCGATGAGGTCCTTTGCAGCTCGATCGCCTTCTGGCGTCTTGGGGAGCGCACCCTTGAGGATCGACGCGGCCATCCGCGAGCACATCTTGTACTTGTAGCGTGGCAATGTGAGTAAAGGTGTCCCGGACCATAGCGCGTCGGTGGCGGTGGTGTGAGCATTACACTCTGGAGTATCTAGAAAGAGGTCACAGACGCGTGCGCGAGCAATGTGTTGGCTCTTTTGCGCCACGTCGGTGAATATCACGCGTGATGCTACGTCGGAACCTCCCCAGAGATAAGCGGTATGCTTGAGGTTGGTTTCACCCAAGTCCGGAAAGCGGAGTAGCCAGAGGATCGCTTTGGGAAGTCGGGTCAATATGCGAAGCCATGTACGGAAGGTTGTTGGTTCAATCTGAAAAGGTTAGTTGGTACACACAAAATCGGGAAGAGTCAGGAGAAAAGGCTTACCTTGTACAACTGGTTGAAGTTGCCTAGGATGATGGCATCGTCGGGAATCTGAGGGAAGATTTCTTTTCGCATATTCCACCTTCGCTGCTGTTCGTCTTCCCAATTGAGCTGGGCTTCTTTGGCGTCGGGTGCGCTCTGTCGATGGTCACAACAGAAGAAGGTATCCCGACAGTAGATGATGTTCTCGCCGTAGATCCAGTCATCTTGCTCGCCACCGCTGTTTTCGTCTTTCAAGGTGTCTTCCATGTCAACGTTGCGCCGCCAATCACGAAGAGTGTCTGGTGGTACAGCAGTGTCATCGGCGAGAAGATAGTCGCACCACTCTGCACCTAGCGTACCAGCAAAACCCATGAAAGACATCTGAACAGGTGCTGGGCGCGCTGCGAAAACTTCGTTTCTCGCCCCCCTGGTGTAGCCATTCAAGTTGATCAACACGTGGATACCGTCGTCGAGAATCTGGCGAACAAGACGTTCCGCAGGCCAACTGCTGGCGTCGTGAAAAACGGGTGCTTCTTGCTCGATTTGCTGGCGATGAATGGACTTGTCTGTCGCCGTGGTAGCATAGCAGAAAGCTTTGACTCGGGATAGATCATGCAGACCGAAAACCGACTGCATCAAGTGGGCCAGTGGGTGGTTGTTGAAGTCCGACGACACATATCCGACTTTGAGGTAGGGTGCGGGCGGAGGGGGAGGTGCGTACACGGTCGGAGGCAGCCATGGGGCTCTCAGGGTCGAACAGGATATCCTAAGCCCGTTGCGCTGAGAGATGAGGCGGATTTGCTTTGCTGACATGGGGCAAGTGAAGGTGTGGAACGGGAGAACTGTAGGTGCAGCCGGTACTGTCAATGCGGCCGGAAGTTGGGGCCGTCTGTAGCTCGCAGACGGTCGTTGCTTGCCTCCAGGCTTATAGAGATCTTGATACCATTGCCAGGTAATTCTTTTCACAGCACGCTCAATGAGGCGAACGATTCGTGAACCTTCCCACTTCTGGCCCCGCCACTCGATAAGCGTTTCTCGGAACCGAATCTGCTTTTCTCTGGCATCCTGAGGCGAGCCAGAGGTGAGTGCCAGTGGCTGCATCACGTCGCGAAGGAATTGGTCGTCCATGATGCCTCGACCCCAGTCCTCGCCATCGGCAAGCTGTTTCTCAACAAGACTGACGACTTTGTGGATCCAGCCAAAGCTCTTGGCTCCTGACGCTGTCGCATCGAGCAACATGCCACTATCGTCCACGTGCCAGCGGTCGCGGGCCCCGCGATCGTTGGCTATTCCGCCTCTCCCATTCCATCCACACACCGAATTCAAAGCGTTAGCTAGCCCACATACAGCCTCTGCGAAGTCAGGACTTGACTTTACAGCTCGTTTGTAGTACATGATGGCATCGGTAATCCGTCCCTTATCTTTGACTGCATTTGCCAAATTCGCGAGTGCAATATCAAAGTTCTTGTCGCAATTCACCGCTTGCTCATACATGGATATGGCAACGTCCAATTGGCCAATATCCTTCAGAAGGCTGCCAAGATTGGTATACAAGTGTGCGTGTCGAGGGTCGAGCAGTAAGCCGTAATTGTAATAGGCCAGGGCAAGTGCAATACCACTTCCAGGCACCAGCCCGGGGATCGAAGGTTTCATTAATGGATTGGAGACGGCAATGTGCTTTGACGGTGCCGATTGTTGAACGCTGGCGAGCAAAATTCCGACATTGTTCGCTGTGGAAGGACTAGGCTGCAACGCCAGAGACAGGTAATACAGCGCGAGGATTTCTCGAACACCGTAGTTACTTTGGAAAGCAGCAGCCTTGGGCGAATTCGTTGCCATCCCATCTTGAAAGATCTTGGCCAAAGAGAGCAGAGAATTGCTTGTTGTTGAGATGGCAGCCTTTCGTGACATGCCCTCACTGGGTACATATTTCAACCCGGGAAGTTGTCCGTGGGGTGGAAAGCAAAGCTGGGCCGTTTTCAATGCCGGATCCGGATGAAGCAAGACGGGATCAGTGGAAGGGGGAACATAACGACCACCAGGAGAGCGCTCGGCGCTGTCATAACCAACGACGGAGAGAATGTGCTTGATCAGTCCATGTATGTCTTGTATCTGTTTGCCAGCCCCAATCAGCACAGCATTCTCAAACGCTTTGGCTGCGCCAGCATTGTCGCCTAGAGCGTACAGCATGTTGCCTTTGGCATGAACCAAAGCGAGGATGCGGCCATTGTCAGCACCGGGAATGGCGTAGCCGCTAGATCCAAAACCAGGCTGATCGGATCCAGGCAACTCTTCGTGGTCTTTTACAGCCGACTCATTCTCGGCCTCGAAATCAAACACCGGCCGGTCTGATAATTCCGAGTGGTTAGACGACGACTCACTGACAGACGAAACGGAGCGTTCACTCGCGCCATCCGTGTTCTTGAGCATGTCTTTCTTCTTGGCGAAATCTAATGATCGCTCTACCTCTTGTATGACTTTGATAGCTTCTTGACCTCTATTTGCACTGCACAATAATCCAATCAAATGTTCTACAGCTTCAAAGTAGCTGGGTCGAAGTTTGACGGCATGTCTCCAATACCGCTCAGCTTCGCCCTTTTGCTGCAGGGCCAGTAAGGTTGCGGCGAGGTTCGATGTTGCTTCAACGTGACTAGATTGATTCAGCACACGAAAATCGGGGATTCAGCAAGGGAATACGTACTCTGGATCTAGTTTCAAAATGTGTTTATACCAGTTTTGAGCTTTGAGATAGTCTCCCAAAGCATAAGCCAAACAGCCACCTAATAATATGCCGTCTATCCAATTCCAACTGCTTTCTTCGCAATGCTTGGTGATGGCGTCAAGGGCCGAAGCTGCGGTCATGCTGGGGGGCACTTCATTATGCAGGTTTTGATGGATTCCCGAGACGGATCCTGATATGCGTCGCAGCGGGCGTAGTGGTTCTATTCCCGGATGCATCATAAGCGGATTATTATACGATTGTTGTACAGTGTGCCATGGTTGTTTGTGTGTGTTGAGATCCGATCCACTGGCCGACCAGGACGTGTACGAACGAGTCGGGTTGGGTCTTTGATAAACTTCTCGGTTTGGTAACGTTTGAGAATAAGAGTCGAATGAAGCAGGTCGGGTCAGATCAGGTCGTTCAAACGCTTGGGTGGGCTTCGTGGACGAGGAAGAAGAGAAGTTTGCTGCTGGTTGTCGTGGTGGCTTGGGATAAATATGCGGTCGTGCGGGTTGCTGGTGGCCATCAGGAAGCTGTGAGTTCGATTTGCGTGTTGATTGGAGATATTTCAGAAGGTCCACATAGACGGCGTGTGCCCATGCAAAGACCTTCTCTCTCGATTGTGCGTTGACGGATTGTGGGCCAAATTCGGCCAGAGGGTTCGACGTTGGTGTTTGCTCAGCCACAGGGGTGGTCTGGCCTGATGATGATACAGAATATTCTGAATGAGATGATAGTTGGCTCGTGCCTATGGCCAGTGGGTGATTCTGGTAGTCCAACGCGACGTTACGTTGGGGTTGTTGGAACTGAGGAAGAAAATCGTAAGATGGCCTTGGTATGCTCCCAAATGGAGTGGAGTGCTGTAGCTGATAAGGATTAGGTTGGATCGTAAGGTTGGGCATTGTATTATAAGCGTGATTTAGAAAAGCATTGTGCTGGGGATGTGTCCAGTTTGGCGCATGAGGATGGTTATAAAAACGAGGGTCGCGAAGAGCAGCCGGCTGATAAGGTATAAAAGTGCCGTCATGCCAATAAGGGCCAAATGGGCCCTGATCATTCGATATTGTAGGTCCCAGTTGGCTATGCAAAGAAAAGTCGGCGGGCGCGCCATACGGATTCCCGACCATATGATATTGCTGGTGCGTCTGCATGGAGGGCATCTGGTTCAGCATGGAGTCGATTTGAGGCAAGGGATGTGGACCTGCTCGACCCGATCCAGTCTCGAAGTAGAGACTAGGACTCCAATCTGGCGTGACATCGTGGGAAGGCTGACCGAACTCGGCGTTGACGCCTGGAGACCTCATAGGCAAGTCCTGCTTCAGACCATAAGGAATCTTTGACTCGGCCGTCACCGGGAGAAGGATGTGCTTGGTTGCGTGAGGCTTTTCGGACTGCTCGATAGATGTCCCGTCGTATGCTGCTGCGAGTATACCGTTGGGTGTCTTGCGTCGGAGCATGTGTTCGGGCGGCTTCGAGGCATTACGGATGCCATCTGGGGTTTGCGATGGATATGAGTTGTGCCTCGACAATGGGTGTGCGTACTGCTGCGGAGGTGGTTGCAGCGCCAGGCTCCTCTGCTCGATTCCCTGGCCATTGGGGAGGAGCTGGTTGTGCGATGGAGGCGGCGGAAGCTGGAATGAAGCCGGCGGAGGCTGCGGAGGGTATTGCCGTACCATGGTCATTGCTCGAGGTGTGAGGGGACTGGGCGGAATTATATTGGAGTAGTGTTTTCTGTTAAATGCGTTGATATGCGAAGTTGGGGACGGTGCGGACCCAGGTGAAAATTCCCGATTGAAGCGCTGATTACCGAGAGATCAAGCCCAGCGCGACTTGATGATGATGATGCTGTCGGACGCTTTCACCAAGACCGGCTTGTGCCTATGCCTTTGCGAAGTCGTCGTCCGCCTTCGACGCATGACATGTCTTGTAAATGGTGGCTACGGCGCGAGCTCCGGCACTCTGGCTGGAAGAAGCCAGCAGAGCCCGGGAGGAGTGAGGACTGGGGAACGGAGGGGCAGACGGAGAGTCAATCCGGGCGATTTACGGATTGCGGAATGGTTGGCGGCTCGCGATGGATGGGGCGGCGGTACGTGTGTTGGAGAGGGGCGGCGACGTCTGGCGAGCAGGTAGCGGTCAGTAAGAGGCCGTCTAGGGCGACACTACATGGCTCTGGAGAGAAGGGTGCGTGGGATGGGGGTAATGGAGAAGAAAGAGTCGACGGTGACGAGGGAAGGGGAAAAGAATGAGGAGGGAGAGGCCGAAGGACAATGCAAGGGAGGGCCATGCTTCGCTAGAGCAGGCATGGGGGTGAGAGTGGCTTCATGAATGAATGGAGGGATGGATGGAGTGTGGATGGATGGATGGATGGGCGGGATATGATGGCAGGGGGGTCTGAGGGTGTGACGGGACGTACAGCTACATAGGCTGCGCTACCGGTATTTTCTGGATGCTAGTACAGACAGGCACGCAGGCTTCCAACGCGAGCAGGTGGGTGTGTGAGTGGATGCGGAACAAGACGACGGTATAATCAAGTGTATAATTGATTCAATGACTGACTGGGTGCGAAACACGACAAAGGATGAGGCAAGCTTTGTAATTATGTAGTAGGGGCCAGGGAGCAGGAAGGAAGGAAGAAATAGTTGGTTAGGTAGGTAGCTAAGCTGCAATGTAAGTAGGCAGGCAGGCGGTAAGCGTGCGTGTATAGGCGCAGAGGGCAACGACGACCCATGCGACCAGCCAGCCAAGGCAGAGGATGACTGACGATGGAGCTATACATACATGAGAAGTAAGCAGCACTGGAGTTGGGGTTTACAGCAGATTCGAGATGGTTGCGAGTATACCATACATGTACATGTACATTGTATCTATATTCTATCCTGCCTGCGAGTACAGCGGCATGACAGATGGCGTGGCAGCAGCCATGGGCGTTGGAGGGATGCGGCGTGTGGCAGCCACTGGCAAGCCGCCCATGCTCGCCGCCCAGCCCCAGAATCCCAAAGAGGACGCCTGCAAAGTCCGCTCTGCCCTATGGACCAAGGTCAACATGGAACCGGCTCACGGCATATTGTGGATCGGTGCTGATGCCGCCCAAATCTCGATGTTGTTGATGGTCATGACGATGATGTGCGTGCGAGCGTACATGGTCTGTCGCAGAGGAGTCTGCTGAGTCTGAGACGGTCAGACAGTCGCCCTGTCTGAAGACAGATACTCGGATGCTCTCCCATCCACCTACCAACATACATAGACATGTATGTACCTACGTATGCTGTGACGGTGGCCGACGGTCTGACCGATGCATCACGAATCGCGCCTCTCCCCATGCGGACGGGCGGCAGCGAGGCACGCAGAAAGCAATCTTCGTTGCAGCACACAGCGGCACGACACGGCAGCCAGGCTCCAGCATACAGGTTCCCCATTGATTGCATCAAATCCTCGCCCTCTTCATTCGCCCACCTCCCCGTTACATATTGCAGGCCACCGCCGCTATGCCATGCACGCCGGCGAGACACAGGCTTTGTGGCGTCTGCATATCTTCTCGGCCACCCACTCACGTCCCCCCTCCGCTGCCCAGCTAAGAGCTTACTCTCCGAACGCTCCACCCTCAGCTCCACCCAGCAACAGCTGTTCATTACACTTCAAATGAACCAAGCCTGCCCAACACCAACTACAGCAGAAAAGAAAACACCCACCCCCCGATCGATTTGCTAATCATTGGCAACGTGTTCTCCCCTGGTCCACCTGCAGCCATGCGCCATCATCGACCATCCTTCGTATCATCGTCAAGTACACGTAGATAACCCCCGATCCACTGTTTTCTTTTCTTGCTCTTCACCGGTATGATGAATACGCTGGTAGCAATATACCAATATGCATGGAACCCACTCTCATCATCTCCATCCCCGACCATCTATTCGCACTTTTTCTCTCCTTTCAAAGTCTACTACATATATATGTATCCCACTGCATGCATGTAATGTGCCCGTCTATGCACTATTCATGTCGAGTGAATCCCACACCCCGACAAGTCACAACCGTTTAGCCTAGATTAACCCCCGATCCGGACTTGCCCTTGCCTGCCCTGCAAACCACCGCTTCAGGAAGCTCCTCATGCTTTACCCAATGCCGTGTCATGGTCCCTCCAACTCCATTATGCACACCCTCTGCACCTGATGGCCTGCATTTGCCACCAGCCGCCCCCTACTACATGGTATACAGCTACATTGCAAACGTGTGCTGGGCCAGCTACTACACTGCCACTCTTCTTCATGTCGACCAAAATTGATGGACCACCGCATCCACGCAAAAAGCCAGGATACCGCGGTGAGTAGATGGTTCGTTTCTCTTCTTTACACCGTAAAGGCCATTACCACCGTCTCGATTCCAAAAGAGGTTTCGAGCAGATAAGGGCCAGAGTGTTGGTAAAGTTGCATCACGTTGTTTATATACCCACAACGGGCATCGCCTTCTTTTAATGGAAATTGAAGTGTTTCCCAAATACCAAGACTGATAAAAAAATGTGACAAAAAGTAGACAGAAACAAAAAGGCTTCAAAAAAGGTGTTTTGCGAGAAAGCAAAACACCTTTTTTGAAGCCTTTTTGTCCTCGCCTACTTTTCGTCACCTTTTTTTATTCGCCTTGTTAAGTGTAGAAGAAACACGGGAACGTCCAGTCTAGAAAAAGAAAGAAAGAAAAAAACTCAACTCCTTTGGTGTATCTTCTTTGTCACCCCCTACTTTGTTATCGGCCTTTTGAGGATCGCCATATCATCCTATAGTGGGCCCTGCGGTGTAGGAGCATACAGATGCGCCGCGCCGTGTGTAGATAGCGCTGAGGCGTAGCATCCGCAAACACCCGTTGAGATGGGTAGCTTCAGAACGCCTTCTCCTCGGTATGAATTGTTTGCTACGCCACTAGCATTGTGCATAAGTGACACAATGTTCGCGTATGCAAGGCTCATCACCTATTCTCGAACGTCGAGGGCTTTTTCCGCGGCGTGTCTCGAAGAGAGGGGGTGTCCCGTCGGCAGCCACAGCGAAGTGGCGCGCCCACTATACATCGGTGGAAAGCATCGCATTGTGGTCGCCCATCACCCCAAAAGGCTTGAGCAGTGGCGTCGAGCACAAAGGATGCTGTTCCTGTTAGCAGCAAGCTGGAATACATGTGAGGGGATCATGAACTACCACTGAGCAGGTCAAGCTGCATGAAGTGCACCAGAGCTTGCCGTGCGACAGTGGTAACTCATCAGTGGTAGGAGTTGTGCAGGATGCCCTACTAAAGTGTTGGTGAGTGGGTGAAGGTAAACAAGAGAGTAGAGCTGGAAGCGAAATTTTACTCAAAGCTCCGGCGCCGGCGCGGATAATCCTTTTTTTCCGAGTCGGAGCTAGTCCTCCTTCGACCGTCCAATGTACTAGCCATCGTCGGCCTTCCAAAAATCAATATAATAATTCGGCGACGTGTTTCGGTTCAAAAGCCTTCCCAGACACTGCTATTCACAATCCTGTTTTAGATCCTGATCATTAAAAGATATATGTGTATTCAAAGTATTGGCGCAAAGACATCAATTAAACGAATGGCTATAAAGCATCAGCTAAAACGGTATCAGTTACAACATTGATTGACAGTTCTGTTCTGGAACCCCGTCTTAACTTCATTCAGAGGCTTCCTCAAGGTATATAGAGTGAATCCCAACAACAAACACAAAAGCTACGACGAACAAAACATCCCCTCTAAAATCTCATCTCAAATACCACACCCGGCCAACCTTGTTCTGACCCAAACTCCCCAGCCGACTTGAATCCTTGACTTTCGTAATATCTTTGGCTGCCGTCAGTTCCATGGCCGACGAATATTCATAGTCTTACTTACTTCAAAAGCTTCCCATCATTGCCGGCGTAACAATCGCCATCAATTCTATGAATACCAAGTCGCTTCGCCTCGTCTTTGGCATGTTTGATCAGCGCCGCGCCCGCACCCTTGCCAATGGAACTGGTCTTTCGATCCGAGAAAAGGGCGAGTAGATAGATGAACGGATCATTCTTATCTTCCTCGGGAAGCACATCGCGGACATAATCTGCCGATTTCGAGTCCAGTATCATCGATGCAACAGGCACCCTCACCCGCCCATTTTCCAGCGGAGGCCCCGAAAGTTGCTTCAGCTCTTCACTGAGTGAGTCTGCGTCCACTTCGGCTTCCGATATGTATGCTCGCGCCCACTTAGAACTGAATGGTTTCTCCATACAGGTTTCGCTCAGTTGGATTTTGCCGCGAATCTTCTCTTGGAACGCCTCGTTGTTGCTGCGTGGATTCGGTCCCCATTGTCCGCCACTTCCTATGGACTCCAGCCATTTCAACTGACTGTCGAAATGTGACAGCATGCGTTCATCGTCCTTGGCTGCTAAGCTCGCTGGACGAATGTGGAATGTAGAGGACATGGTGGAATTACTCAAGTAAATGGTGTAATATTTGTTCGCTTTTCGAGGTACCAAGCAAAGTCGTCAAGCTTATATAAATCGTATTTTGGCAGGAAAGAAAAGGCCAGCGTGGCGGGGGAAGCGTGATGATGTTGATCGAGGCTGGAGGACCTAATCCCCCCATGTCAGACGCCGCCTTGTGCCGCACGAGAGATATGGCTAGTCAGCTTCCAGATAAGGCTAACCATTGTGAGCAAACAAGTTCTTGTTCACTCTATATACGATCCGCAACTAATCGAATGTATACATACAATGTTTGTTCAAACAACAAATTGAAGAATGTATATCAGAACTTCATAAGTCGCCCAAATCCCATATTGCCATAGAAAACGCTGAAAAGTTAAAGAAGCTCAGAAAAAAAAAATCTCAGGCTTCACAACAACTTTCGAAACTCATCAAGGAAAAATAAAGGTCAAACAAAGACTTTCAACCGCTTCAAGAACATGTACGCCATGTTCTTTGCACTCCTTTTCGCATTGCTCTCTTCTCTCGCGCAGGCCGCAGAGCACAACTCTACCCTCGTCCACACCGCGTCAAACTACACCATGCCCGCCGCAAAGGCCATGGAGACTCCCGAGGGCGGCGTGGAAGACATTACTCCCGCGAAAAACACCCAAGTAATCATGGGTGGAATAATCGTCGGCCTGATTGTCATCGCTGGCCTGATCAGCATTTGCTTCGCCACATACCAGCGCCGACGCGATGCTAAGCGTGGTATCTGCCACGCTGAGGGCCAGCCTGCTGAGCAGGCTTAAATTGATTCCTTTTTTTCCCTTTGATATCGAGCTTGGATACCATGTGAGTGATTCCCTTTGAATGATGAGATCGGTGGCGATGGGTATGTAGTACCTGAAGTGTCGTCGCTGGTTCTCACTTTGTGTATAGTATGAAATTGAATTCTCTGTTTCTTCATCATCTTTTTTAATTCACGATAGATTGATCAGTGCATTTAGCTTTATATGTGATTTAGATGTATGAGATGTGAAACTTGGTGAGCCGTGATTGTTAGTTAACACCATCGGAGTATGATTGATAGGCAGAGATTGGTACTATCCCTCTCCCTACACTACACCTCAAAGGGTTTACCTAATCATAATCATAAAATTCCAGGTATTCAAGACTCTAATTCTCGGTTAGGCAGCAGCATTAACTCATACTCACTTACAAATTCACAATGTGTACTTCATAGCGAAAGGAGCAAAGGGCTTTTGTCGCCAGGGTTGGCCGTTAGATAAGCCTATGAACTAGAGTGCGCGTGTCAAGACCATACAATTCAAGCAGAGGGAAGCGAAAGTATCTAGCTGGAACAATTATGAAATTATTTATGTGAGCATCTTTTGCAAACTCAGCGACGTCAAAATACTACGAAGCGATTCTTGGAGTACGTACATGTTTCTGTATCTATCTCGAATGCTGTCTCATTTGTTACCCTTGCTTTTGTCCTCTTCCACCCCATGCCCTCCTTTTAGCTGCTCCGAAAATCCAGACAAGTTTGCATCCCCATCCTCATCTTCACTCACGGCAGTCCATTCCTCTTGGTCAGCAAGCCTCCCCCTTAGGATACATGCCATCTTGCTCTGAAAAGCACGAACGCATTCATCATAATCTTTATTCTCTGTACTATGCTGTCCGAAAGCCAGTGCATAAGCTGACAGACGATCCAATAGGTCCTCTTCATCTGCGATCTGGAACCTCCAGCACACTTCGGCAATATTATCTTCCTCGGCAAGTAGAACATCGACGTTGTATGTTTTACCTCTTAGCTGGTGGGCGTTTGGATGCCGATGTGTAGCTACAAGAGTGAATGGTTGATTCGGGTCGCTTCGCCTTATGGAGGTGACGTGGACAAGAGATGCGATCTGAATTCTCGGGGGAGTTGGTTGGATGCGTAGTGGCCAACTGCGGAGATTTTGGATCGACGTTCTTGGGTTCCCTCGAATGAAAGGTGTCGTGTATTTGAAGAAGATTGGTCTGGGCATGGTGTTGGAAATTTAAAGTTGCGAATTGAGACCGTTAAGCAAACTTCAGTCTTCTAAAGAATCATGTACTCAAGCAGGCCAGCCACAAACACCAAAGGGGAAATTGAAATATAAGGATTCAAGATTGGAATTTTCAGTGCGTTGCTAAGTACTATCGTGGGTGGGGAAGGGGACGGGTATTTATTGCTGATCGATTCCGGTGTCTCTTCCTTGTGATACAAACATGCATCTTCTAGACTCTGCCAGAGATAAGTTTGCGTAACACAGCCGGAGTGACTTTGTGCGAGCTGACGCACGAATTGTTATCGTACTATTTTAGACCTACAGTGAAGATCAACAACTACAGCTTCATAGTTTGAATCGCCGCCTCGTTGCGTATGAAGATCTCGGTGATGGACTATACTGAGATGTTGATAGTGAGTTCTGGTTCTCTTGGGCCCAGCACGTTAGCATCCCATGGTCATTTCGGTGCGACGTAGGTGCATTATGCCAAGGGAGCCCCGCAGCAACGCGCCTGGGGCTCACGCTTGCTACTTCGTCTCGAGACAACATGCTCTCCATTCTCCCATAATTTGTCCCTGTTATGGAACGACGACCGAAGAGTAGCTAGTCAACTGTTGCGCTCAGTCCACATTTGTTCATGATTCAATTCATAAACTAGATTGTGTTGTCAGAAACTCCAAGTACGATTTAATCTCGCCAACATGGATTGTTGATGTCGAGAAACATTAAAACACAAAATAACACTATTACAGAGACGTATTTACAGACAAAGTTCCGGGTGGGTGTGAAAGGATAATCACGAGATAGAAAGGCCTTTCCACTTTCCTTCGACGAAACAAATGGCTGCCTCCTGGGCTATGTCTTACTAAAAGAAAAGGCCAGACATTGTGTCTTTTGATGATTGAAGCCTCGTACCCAGTCTTTGTGTCGGCGCTCTATGTTTTGGAATTGTTTGCCAATGTTGAACAATTAAACAATGACTCACATGTGCATAAGGTTGGAAATTTCCTCATACATATCGTACTCCAACAAACACATTTTGAACTTACAATCCCGAATAAAGCCCCAAACAGTCCTGTCAAGTTATCAAGATTACCCACATGATGAGTTGGTTTGGGCTTTTCATCCTCATTGTGCTCATAGTCGCACTTTATTACGCGATTAATCTCTACTTGTTTAGGCAGAAGGTCATCGCGGCTCGGAAACGACTTGACTTTTGAATCACCATTTTTGAAACGTGGGGTTTTTACTTCAGTGCTCACTCAGCACGTAAAACTTCATACTTGTCTGATGCACAAAAATCTGGAACGATAGAATGGACGTTGCCTCCACGCATACAGCGGTGAGTTTGAGTGTTTGAAAGTTTTGACATAGAATTTATGGAATGGTACCGGTAGATATCTCATAAAATGGCACTGTGATAGTGAATACGACTGCAACCCGCAGGACGGCAATTAGAATGCGAATATTTTCTGGTGCATCCAACGCACCACTGGTGATATAACAACCGTGCTCGGCCAAATCCAAATCTTGTATTCCCGACGAAGAAATGGTCCTGTGATCTAGACGTGCCCATCTTGCATGCGAAACACAGCCACACCTAAACGAATCGCAGGAGGCGCATCTCGTATTGGCAAGCAGCTGAGTACCCCTCTATATAATGGCTGAGCCTCCTCGCGAGTGTATACAACTCTATCATTTCAACTTCAGGTCGCGAACATGTCGTTCGATTTTTCCGTTGGAGACTTCATCGCAGCGCTGAAACTGGTCGGTAATGTAGTTGCCTCGCTGCAGGAAGTTGGGGGCGCGTCTTCACAGTTCCGCGAACTCACACGAGAGTTATTCAGCCTCGAGACTGCGCTTCTACGCGTGAAGCAGCTTGAATTTGAGGACCACCAACATGCCGAATATGTTGCCTTGAAGCAAGCCGCTTCTCAATGTCGGCACACCATTGACGAGTTCTGGACTAAAGCTGCGCGGTACCAAAAACATCTTCTCGGCCAAGGGAAAACTTCAACTGCGAAGAAAGCGTGGATGAAAGTCCAGTGGTCGCTCTTCAAAGCCGATGATCTAGCCAGGTTTCAAAGCGATATTGCTGCTCACACCCAATCGATCTTGGTCCTACTAGCTACGCTCCAGTTGCAACAAATCAATCTCCAGGCAAAGTCAAACTCAAAAGAATATACTACCTTGCGCGACTTTATGCAAGATTCTTTTCAACAGTGCCAGGATCGCATCTCGCAGATTTCATGCGCTATTGGCGGATCTATTGCTCAAGGGGAGCGGCTACTCCGACGCACCGCGTTGATTTTCCAGACCAACCTCCAAATTTTTCAGGCCGTGCGGTCGATACATGACATGCTGGTGCGGGTACCACAAGGTATCGAAAGACAACAGCCGGTGTACATGATAGACGCTCTTGGTAAAACATCACCGTTCCACCTCGAATTTGTGCGTTCCGCCGATACTCTCAGAGCTGTCCTCAAGTCCAATTTCGAAAAGGTGCCTTCCGGTCTCCGAAAGATCGAAAACGGCGAATATGTATTGTATAATCAAGCTACTGGTCGCAGAATAGACCTCACCAAGGACTGGGATATGTGCTTTCTACCAGGCCAACGCATCGAAATGCGCATGGTATTTGATTGGACAACAAGGAAACGCGGTCTCTGTCCGTCATGTCAAACTAGATGCCCGAGAATCAAAGGAAAGAGAGATATAGAGTGCAATGCGTGCGGTCTGGTTTTCGCGAGGACTCTCATCCATGCAGAAGCACCAACTTCAACGGCAGAGAAGCCTACCAAAACGGCAGTCAAGCACGTAATTTCAATGTGGAGCGAATTGAACGGAACCGAGTCTTCACCTGCAACTAGACACACGACTGCTTTTGATGAATCCGACGATGTCCAACACTATCGTCGGGTACACATCATCTCGCGTAAGCGACGCAAAGTCTGGCAGAATCCTGCCCTCGTTTGTGGAACTCCTGCGCCTGAAAGTCCAAGACTTGATGCCTCCACCATTGTGGCACCTACAAGCCCCATGGAACTCGAATCAAACATGGAGGATGATAGCCTGAGAAATCTAGATGACATCCTGGATCCTACCACATTTGAGCTCATCCTCGAAATGGACGATGATTTCGATGACCGCGAATTTTCCCGCTCCATCATCATGGGCTACTTCCAGCAGATGAATAGCGCTCTAGAAGACATTGGGTCTCTCACAAATGACCCACACTCTAGTCTGCAACGGATCAGCTCATTGGGTCATTTTATGAAGGGCCAGGCTTATACGATTGGCCTTAGGAAGCTAGGTGATCTAGCGTGGGAAATCCAGTTTGTGGCAGGTACATCGCCTGGAGATCCCTATGGGTTTGATCACATCAAGTCCGAGGAGGATCAGAGAGCATTTGCGAGACGGAATGTTCAGATGTTCTCTGAGCTTTATGATGTTGCTAAGACCAAGATGTCAGCGTTTTACAAGTGCCCTATAGAATGATCGGTGGTATATCCTTAATTCGAATGAGGCCTGTTCAAAGTAAAAATGTAGAAAAATAATTCCGTTACTTCGTGCTTCTGTTGCAAGGCATGACGGGATGAATACATGCAAAGATACTCGATTGAATGAACAAAGGGGCAAGATACATTCCAGACCGCAATATCCCACCCTTGTTTTTGCACAATGGAAACAATTGACAAAACTTAAGAACATTTCCATCACATTGTTCTTCATCATTGAATATTGGGTCGTCAATATATAACTATAATCTACAACAATTCAAATTCTTGTAACTACAACCTTCTCAAAAAAAGTCTTAAAGTAAACTGAAACACTTCAAACACTTCAATCAAATATCTTTAAGAAAAAAATTGTTAAAATGATCAAGAGCACGATCATGCGCTGCATGATCTTCATCGCGTTCTTCTTCATCTTTCCGGCTATTAGTAGCCCGATCCCTAAAACCACCACTCTCGCCAATCCAGCTCTGTCAATCCCCCGCGCGCCGGAGATCTTCGTCCGCGACAACTACGACGGACAATGGGTCCCTGACGTCGGGGTACCTGGTGCAAACCCACCAGCGACAGTGCAACCACCTCCTCCACCGCCCGCTTCCACACAGCCTGGCGGACTCCCCGCCAACGACATTAGAAATACATCCAAGATGTGGATCCTGTATGTCGTGATTGGGGCAGTTGTTGGGCTTCTTTTCATCGGCATGCTTGTGATGTTTGCTAGGGCACTGCTCCGTTGGCGCAAGACCGGAGAGCGCCCGAGCCTCTTGAATTTCGGGTGCCTCCCGCAGCGCGACCCGTGTTCAAAGCACCAACAGTGGTGTGATGGCAGGCAAGCATGAAACTTCCCAGGAACTGTAGTGGGAAGAAGAATGTCATATTTTCATATAATCAAATTAAACAATTCTCAAACATTAGTTTTGCTCCACTGTACGTTGACCATCTATATGCCCGTGATTGATCTGGCAACGATACCCTCCTTTTACTTACGCTGTGATCATTTAGTATTTAGGTGTTACCACACTCTCTATCAATCATTTCTTCTTCTCGTGGAAAACGACGTGATATCTAGCTTGAGATTGAAATGCGCTAGCGCATTTATGGTTTACCAAAAGGATGGGATCAGAGATCTGTCTTAGATTATCTTTAGTCCGTCCCACACCTCGCGAGCATAATAATTGTAGAAGAATCCTGCCTGTTAGTCATGACATGATATCGCTCGTAGAATTTTACCCTATTCTGTACCTGCGTTCTTCGCGAAAAGCATGCCTCATGATGACTGACCGCCGCTAGTCGGCCGGACGGACAAAATATCGCGGGAGCTATCGAATCCTTTACAGAAAGATGCTCTCACGTACGAGATGTGGAATACGAGATGTTGGATCCCCATAAAGATATATAGAGCCATTGATATGCAAAGATAAAATGTAAATTCGCAATCTACCTCCTAATCAAGTTTCTAAAAGAATTCATTGATATTGCCACAGACTTTACAAAGTTTTCAATGGTGTCTGACAAAGCGATCAAGTCTTCCAACGCCCTCATCAACGATGCAACAGCCCCAAGCATCGCAGTCTTCGTTGGAGGCACATCTGGCATCGGCCAATACACCATTGAAGCTCTCGTTGCGACGGGCGTGAGCACGCGCATCTACCTAGTCGGCCGCAAAAGCTCCGAAGAGCGCATGAAATCCTTCATCAAGGAATTACATGCCGTCAACCCCAAAGCAGAAATAATATGGGTGGAGGGCGAGGTGTCGCTCCTTGCCGAATCGAAGAGAATCTGCGAGTTCATCAAGACCAAAGAGTCGCATATCGATCTGCTCTTTCTCACGACGGGCTTCGCCGCTTTCGGCGGACGGCAAGAGACGGCTGAGGGGTTGGAGATTACGCAGACGTTGGAGTATTATACGCGGATGCTGTTTGTGCAGCATCTGCTACCGCTTTTGAATAGTGCAGAGGCTGCACGAGTGATTTCCGTTCTAGGTGGTGGAATCGAAAAGACCAGCTCCATCGATATCGACGACCTGGGTCTGAAGCAACCCGGAAATTTCGGCCCGGTGAAAGGGCAGACGCAATTCTCGACCATGAACACGATTTGTCTCGATAAGTTCGCGCAACAGAACCCTAGCGTGACGTTCATCCATTCGTGGCCCGGATGGGTGACTACGGGGAATGTCGACAGGACTTCTGGGCCGCTGGGACCGCTCTTAGCCTTTGCTATACGGTTCATTTTGAAGCCCATTATTGCGTTCTTTAGTATTAGTAAGGAAACTTCGGCACAAAGATACTTGTTCCAGAGCACCAGTGCGTATTATGGTGGGAACGGGACAGCTTGGAGAGGGGACTTTGGAACGAATACAATGGGTCAACAAGAGAATGGGATGTTCCTCGTTCATTTTAGAGGATATACCACCCCGAATCTGAAGGTCATGAAAGTGCTTCGTGAGAAGGCGATGGACAAGGTCTGGGATCATACGCAGGAGGTCTTTAAGCCTTACCTGTAGAGCAGATGCATCGGCTTGTGCGTTCACGGAGTAGATAGGCTCCATTTAGTCGTTACTGTGGAGGTTTATTTCGTTTGCGATCGTCAAAAGTCTCATCTGTTGCGACAAAATCGCATGTTTAAATTGTATACCCAAGAGCGTTGAGTTGGCAAAAGACAAGTGTCTCGGGAAAGTGTAAAGGGTCTAATAGTTGATGACGTTCCCCACATCGCAGTAGTCAGTGCAAATGCCATTTCTCGCTCCGACTAATGCTTCCTCACAAACCCCAGAACACCCTTGACAAATGACTCGGGATTTTCTTCCGCTATATAATGGCTAGCCTCCTCAACTAGAAACGTCTCCACCTGTTGCTCTTCATGCACCTCCTTCAACATACTCTCTGTTGAAGCTGCTAAGAACGACTCCTTGCCAACCATTCCCATAGCCGGCACATTCAGTTTTCCGTTATCCTTCAGCCATTTCTTGTTTTCCTCTGCATCCTTCGCAAAAGCCCTATACACATTGATTCCCGCACTGATTGCTCCAGGCTGCGCATAAGCCACCGTATATTGCTCCAGATCCTCAGAAGTAATGGCCGCGGTATTGTATAGCAACTTATCGAAGAAGTGTTGAAGATAAATCTTCTCCCTCCCCGCGATGAGAGCCTCTGGCAGATCAGGAACCTGGTGAAAAACAAAGTGAAAAACGCCGGGTGTTCCCTTGATATCTTCGTAGAAGCTCGATCCAGGCAAAGGACATTCGCCCCAAATAACGCTCGCTACATCGTCTGGGTATTGCGAAGCGTACGCGAAAGCTACCATGCCGCCAATGTCGTGGCCCACCACGTGGATCTTGTCTTTGATGCTGAGGTGCGACTGGATCAGAAGATGGATATCCTGAGCCATTTGCGACTTTTCGTATCCTAGCACAGGTTTGGATGATTTTCCAGCTCCGCGATAATCGGGTGCGATAACGCGGTACCCAGCATCGGAGAGGGGCGTGATCACGTGGCGGAATTGGTAAGACGTTTGTGGGAAGCCGTGGATTAACAGAATAGTTCCTTTCAGGCCTGCTTCGCTAGGTGAACTGCAGTTGATGTAGTTGAGACGGACTTGCTCTCCTTGCTCAGTTGTGGATATAGTCGCGATGCGCTGTTGCCAGCGAGAGGCATTGTATGTGCGGAAACTTTTGTCGGCCATGTCGAACTCAATCAATTGATAATTCAGTGGAATCGGATTCGCGCGAAGAAGATGGGATAACTGTGTTTCTGCTTCTTGATCAACATCTTTATATCGAGTGTGATAGGTTTCCATTTGTCAGCGCTATGACGCTGCCTCAGCGTCACACACAGCGTCATTTCCGAATGAACCATGTAAAACTAGGTACAAAAGATTTTGAAGTTCCTGCTTTCTGACTCCTCTTGTCTGTATCTTCATAGGCTATCAAATTGCTGCTCGGGAGGAGCATATATGCTTGCCCTTACACATAACATTGGTGTTGCTGAACGAATCTTAGCAACTTGCTTCGCATTTCAAAAGCGTCAGTCGCGGCTTGCGACGGGCATGCAAAAACTAATAATTGATGTATGTTTTCTGTCGTATGAGTGGGTTTATTATCTGTAGATCTTGAAATGCATTGTACTATCTGCCTTATAACGACGGGGGAGAACTGGTTTTTACGTCGGAGAAAAGGTAAGAATTAATTTACGCTTATACCATGTGCGAATGTGTTTCAGTCAAGCATTCACACATCTACATCTGGAGGATATCAAATTATTGAGCAAATTACGATTTGCACGCTGGCCGGTCACACAGGCGCACAGCGACACGGGAACAATACTGTAAAAGATCACGCCCGCCTGAACACGCGGGAAATCATAGCGCTAAGCCTAATCGAGCATATTGTACTCGTGGTCGTCTGCCATTTCTATCACCCATGACTAGGATCAGTTCTCCTTCGCAGCTTCAAATATCATTGGTCAGTAATCGGAGTCATTGTTAGTCTTGTACTTCGTTCATAGGGCTAGCGGTAGATTATCGTGAACAGGCCATATTAGGTCAAGACTTTCACTCTTACAATAGCTTGAATAGCAAACAACGATAGCACAAACCTCCTCAAATTCGCATCGGCGGATTGCCGCAGACAGGATTTCCCACGGATTTACAGCCTTCTACCCTATGGTTGAAGTGGGCGACTGCCAGCAACATTCACCTTTGCAGCTGTGAATATCCTGCAGTGACACACGACAGGTTAGCACAATGCTCGAGCCACAGGTGAGAATTTCTTAATCTAAAAACTGTCTCTAAACTAATGCGCGGATGCGGTAGCCCGATTTGAGCATTTCGAGCAGTTCGCGCTCCTCAACGCGAATGATATTCAGTATAGCTACACACCTCACACCTTCTCCCAACTGGAAAGAGTCGCAAACCACCTTGTCCCCCTCTAGACTACCCCACAGATTGCGAGGTTTCTCGTACCCGATGAATTTAACAAACGAAACGCTGGCTCCATCAACATCCGCAGTCGATGGAGTACACATTATGCCCCCAAAGAGCTGGATGGAGACACTCAGCACGGCATCGCTAGAAACTACAACTTGGAGCACTGCGCCCTCACAACCTACTCGATCTTGGACGGATGTGTTTACGACCTCATCCTCTCGGATAGAAGATCTCTACACTTTACCTTCTGCGACGTCGCTACGGTACCCCTCCTATGCCCGGACTACACCGACTTCAGCGATCACAACTGCACCGAACCCAGACATAATGCTCTTTTCCACACCTGTTGCCGCATCTTCGAGCACATCATCCGAGACTCATATCACCACGGACACTCCTACTACCACAGACGCTCCTCCTACCACAAACGCTCCTCCTACCACAAATTCTCCTCCTACCACAAATTCTCCTCCCGAGCCGACTGCAACACAATCGCAGGCCGCGAGGGGCTCACACCCCCGGTCAGCTATGGGTTTCGGCATCGGATTCGGCCTTCTTTCCATCCTATTGTTGATCGGGCTCGGTTTCTGGCTCCGAAGGTGGTTCAAACGACGACGCCTCCCAGAAACCCAGTTCGACATCGAATCGCCTAGTCAAGCTAGAGACCTAGAAATCAGCGAACCCCATGGGTTTACTCGTGTTCCGATCGACGTGAGTTTTCCTTTCGTTTCTCCAATCTGTCTCAAGATTATTTATTGACGTTTCCTTCTGTGTAGATCGAGGCCTTGATGCCGTTCCTGCCACCGCAGAACTCCACGACCACCGCTGCCGCTGCCGCTGCCGCTGCTACCTCTGATACGTCCTCACCGCTTCCTGTTGGCAATCCGAACCAGCGGAGTCCCTCGCGCTCGAGCCTTAATATCCAGGAGGAACGAAGGAAGGAATTTGACACCCAATCGCGGATACGGAGCCTTGCTGCTGAAATCGAGGTAATGAGGGGTATGGACTGGAGCAGCAGTAGACGTGCCTCGTCGTGCGAACCTGGGCATGAGCTGGCAGAGGAAGTGGGGGGTACTCAACCAAAGCAGAAGATGAATAGGCAAAACAAGATTGGGCATTCGAGGCGTGCCGGACCTAAAGAAGGCGAGGACGGAAACGAGTCGAGCGGGAACGAACGACCGTCGAAATTCACCGAGCACGACTGCGATTGAGAGTTCAAAAATTTGGGTTTCATGGTATTATACGGAATCATGCTCTTAGCGAGGATGCCCTGTACACTGCGGCCTAATGGAAGAGCACATCCTTCGTTCAGTCATGGTATGGCGAACGAAAAGTTGGAATGCAAGTACATTTCCATCGATATACCTGATACCAACTGCGTGTGTACATGTAAGAAGAAATGGTGAATACTACGATTGGTGGCGTCACTCTTGATTTTTAGTTAATGCGTTTTATACCCCCTCCTGCGCCGAGGCGCTTGTATTCTAGACAGATCGAGGGCAAAGATGTAATGAGCGGCTGTGGGAGAATTGCCTCGAATTTTTTGTCACTTTCATTTCGACCTCGATTAAAAGGCATTTTACCTTAGACTACATTTTAATAAATCCTATATCTATCGTAGTAGCCTTTTTCCATCCGTTCTTCCTCTTTGATAAGAGTTTACACAATGCACATGTCTATCTACCTATAAACTCGTTTCCCTGGGACTCTCTACACAATGCTTGCGCATAAATCATACAGAAAACGCAGATAGAAAGCATACACACGTAAGTAAGCAACACAATGTACACTGTCTATCCCCGCCCTTATCTCAAAAGCATTCCCTCCCCCTTCCTGAACTGAAGCAGAGTAACATCAAACATATCAAACAGACATACCGCTGAAAGAAATTTGTACATACACACACACAAACATACCAAAACCACCACCAACACCATAACCTACAGAAACATGCCACCCCACCCCAAAAACGACCCACCATACGGTCACCCCCACCACAAATCCAACCAGACGCTCCCCAAGCACGGAAACTTCTACTACCACTCCACACCACCGACTCCAACGCCAAATGCAAACTCTTCAGGCGAGTTACCAGAGATGGTGCTGCTGAGCGACATCGTGCCGTTCCAGCTCGACACGACTGGCAAGGTAGCGATTGGAATGGGCGCGCTGCTGTTGGTTGTACTTATTGCTGCGGGGTTTGCTATTCGGGTATGGCGGAGGGGGAAGAAGATGGAGATGGATAAGGAGGCAGGAATTTCGGTGAGGGAGAGACAGGAGAGGGAGAGGATGATTGGAATGAGGGGAAATCGAAGGAGAAAGACATGGGTGTGAGTAAGTGGAATAGAATTGAAGAGAATGAAGAATGGTTTTATCATTTCGTCATGTTCTAAACAAGGAGACAAGATACTGGACCTCCAATTGTGGGGGATATCAAAAATGAAGAAAAGAAAAGAAAAGAAAAGAAAAGAAAAGAAAAGAAAAGAAAAGAAAAGAAAAGAAAAGAAAAGAAAAGAAAAGAAAAGAAAAGAAAAGAAGAGGATGGGTTGATGAAGTAGGACTACCTTCATTACCCGACCTTGCCGTTGGAAATCATGAGAATTCCCGATTATGCAACCCCAAGCTAACAAATTCCTTTTGAGCGTGCAGACATAGATGACAATTGAGAAATCTGATTATCTTCCTAGACCCATCTTTGTCCTTGACTTGAATCACTCCTTTGCAATTCCGTACTTGTTTTTTGTCTCTGGGCTTCCTGGTCTGCCAATCAACGGCACGGGCGATGGTGCTCCTCGATCTCGCAGTCTCTCTGTCAAACTGTGATATTCCCTGATCGAATACTCCTCTGGGAGTACTTCATTGTCTGACGAAGTTTCAATGGACTTGACTACGTTGTCTTCGGCATCGGTGGGGCATGTTGAAATCCTTTTTTTGGAACGTGTAACCGCATTACTCGGCGCGGTTGCTTCATCGGGGGATGATACTTCGTATTCTTCATCATCAACAAGGTCCTCGCTTTCTTGCTCAATAAAATCTTCTATGGATTTCTCCTTGCTTTGTTGCTTTCTCTGCGTGCAGCTTTTCTGAGTGGCAGATTTTGTCTTCTTCGTTTTTTAGTGCCATAGCTTAGTGTATGTCTAAGCAAATCGTTAGCAATCCCTTCCTTAAAATATATCTAAAAAAACAAAAATATAGATATATAGTAATGCATAGTGATGCCGCAGCCTGCAAAGTATATAATATTACTTTACCTGCTGCCTGTAGACAGCGCAGGGCAGTCTATTAGGCGCAATGGCTTGTGATACCACAAGACACAAGAAAACTTGTACATTGTAGTATAACGAGACAGGAAATGGTGTGTAGAGTCGCCTTCACCCCACAAAAGCGCGCATAGTCAGGCAGGCGTAGGGCAACAGACAGCGTAGGGCAGTAGAGAAGTAAGTGAAGGACATACGTAGCTGTTTGTAGCGCAAGTAGGTAATGTATTTGTATATATTTGTATGCTTAGTTGTATTATTAGCAATTTTTTAGATAGGTAGCAGAGAGTTTTAGGTAGACATACACTTAGGGCTGAGGTAGGAGAGATTTAGCTGAGTGCAAGTATCATCTGGTGCTGCAGCTCGTATCGTTGGGTCAGTTTGTAGGCGATTGAAGGCTGTTGTTGAGACTCTGATACTCAAGGCCTGCTACAGGAAGAGGAAGAGGAGAGCAGTAGTAGTAGCAGAGAGGAGTGTGGTGTAAGAAACAAACCCTCCAAGACCAAGAGCTGTCTCTTATACTCATACCTGAGCGTACCTTCCTCCTCCTCTCCACTAGCGCGCTTTCTTGTTCTGGTTGTTTCTGTCTATCAGCACTGACCGACTTTTATTTTACCTGCTTGTACGACATGAGCAGACAACTGGTCCATGACACCGCATGTTACTGATAGGACGATACGATATGATTAGACAAGAGAAATTCGATATCTGGAGGGGGAGAAGTCATGTTGCAGTTGAATGAAAGGTCTGTGTGAGGGTAGATACAACGCGTTGTGAGTTCTCGGGAACAGTGTGTGTGTACCAATGAATTGGACTGGAGCATAACATCCAATTGAACGAAATTACTTCCTTGGGTATTATGTCAACTGTTGTGAATAGACATGTCAGACTTTTGTACAGGCAGTGAAATGATATAGCAGAAAAGTAATCTTGAATTCTTGTCGCGAGCAAAATATATGTACATATGAATAGATCCCAATTCGCCGGTGGCCGACTGAAGTGAATGCAATAAAAGAAGTTCACACGTTTGGCCGGCTTTCCCCCTTCTTTCCCTTCAATAAAACACTCTCGTCGCCGTCGCCATCGCCATCCACAAGCCCTATATCTGTTGTCCTCGGCGACACTGTCTTCCCACCCAAATACACCCATGCGTCGGGCAGACCTGGTACAGGAAACTCGCTTGTCTTACGACGGCCGTACTCGATGCTGTAGCTCTGAGACTTAATTATGGAGCCCGTGATTGACGTCAAAGGTAGGGCAGGGCCATCTGGTATGCCTCCTCCTTTTTTGGAACGTTTCGGTGTAGAAGGACTGGATCGGGTAGGCGCCGAGAAGATACGGGGGAATAGACGGGAAAGTAGGGGCTTACAAGCCGGGATACAGCCACAGATGATGCCCATGCTGGTTTCAATAGTGACAATTGCGTATAGATTTGCGCCGTTGTAGAGGACATCGAAGCTGTCGACGTAGACAGAGGTATACCATAGACGACAAACTCCTGCGACGCAGATGATGGCACCGAAGCAAAACATAGTGACAAGCGTGACGCGTTGTCTAAGGGAGACTTTGAGGTTCATGAGGTCTTTGGCCGGCCAAAGAAAGATCATGAAATCGCTGAAGATGTTAGGGATTCCTGTGGCCCAGGCGATAATCTTGGGCGACAAGCATTTCGCGTCAGGATACATGAAGGGCTGCCAATAAGCTTGTATGGGCATGCACTGGAAAAGGGCCAGGCAGAATGTTGTTATGGAGAGCGCGACCGTATAAGCCAGCATGCCGTAGCAGAACCACTTATTCGTCGCGGAAGGAAAGACACGAAGGTAGGTCAGAAGTATCGAGATCTTCAGGAGCATGGTTATGACCACAAACAACAGTTGAGATGCTATTCCCATCAGTCCAGTCGGCATCGGATTCGAAGCAAAAGCCGGCGTGAGGTCCCATAGGTGGTATCCAGTGAGGAATGGCTCTTCAGTGGCGACACACATCATGGCACTGGTGGACATTGATGCGATAGCCGCGAATAACATGACCCAGTCATCGGCGCCCAGCGCTCTGACGATGAATATGCGACTGTAGAATCGAACCGAGATGGCTATAGCCACAAGGCAAAGCAAAGGAATGGCGGTTGCCAGCACCAGGGGACGTCGAGTCTCGGGGTTGACATAGTTGGGAGCCGGCCAGGAGGCAATCTCCTCTGCCGACGGCCATTCTATCATTTTGAAAAAGGAAAGGAGCCGACAGACTCAAGTAGAAAGCAAAAGAACAAATGAAGACAGAACAAGAACGATAGTGAGATGGATCCAGGAAAGACAGGATGCTAGGATAGTATATGCGTTTTGGTTATTTTCATAAGGCGACCACCGTGTGGATGTGATGAACAAGCTGTTGCAAGCATGGAGTCGAAAAGGTTGCAGTCACATAGGCTGGAAGAAAATGTTGAAATTGTGGGGAGGTCTCGCAGGGTACACCATACAGAAGGACATGACCTCAGGGATTTGGGACGGAGACTAGCTTTTGGAGGTAACGCGCATTGCGCATTTTCTGGATGAGAATGCGAAGACGAAGAGCCATGACCAAGTTCATGCCTGACTGGTGAACAGTGAGGCTTTACAAGTGCAAAAGTGACATCAGACGGGTAAACCGTGATGTTTAACAGAGTTCACCGGTGGGCACAAGATGAGTTGGTAGTTGAGGAACGACAGGTTGGTGTGCGGTGAGAGAGGTTATTGTTCGGTAAATGTTGGTCGCTCAGTCGCATGATGGTTATGTAGACAGGGTATGCATGGTATATGTCGCATATGCCGTGCAGCTATAGGTATTGTAGTCGACAGAGCAACTCAACTGGGCCTCACGATCAAAGCCTGGAGCGATCGATCGGCAAGATAAGCGACGCGTGAGCATCCTGGAAAGACATGTGGGCACAGCTAGACATTAGCTTGATCCAAATACACGGCAAGTATTCCTATTGTGGGCAAGGCGTAACAGTTTTGTAGGCATGCCGCAGAAAGTGTGGAATCTCTAAAGAAGGCGACCGGGTAAGTCCTAGAGAGAGCGGAGATTTGACAGCGGTTAGGAGTGTAGATGGAGGTTTCGAAACCAGGAACACTGGCCACGGCAGATTCCAACACCTTCGACGACTTTGACCGGCAATTGCAAATCCAGGTTTTTGGAGGACAGTCAATACGGTCTTCATCTGGGTAAAACCGAGTGGAGACATGCGGCGATACACGTTTACATGCCGCTCTCCAAATGCATGGTGGTGATCAGGGATCGGTTTCTGTGGGGATAGGCACTGTGCAGATCCAGTTAGTTTCTTCAGACTGTTGATGGCCTCCATCTTGCCTACTTTTTTTTTTCTCTTTGCAGCAGTGACCAAAGAACATTCGTCCCATACTACGACACGAGAAAGCGTAGATGGAAGAGCGGTGCAGCCATCACGGGATGAGGATGTTGGGAATCGAACTGATGACGTCAAAAGGCGCATGATCCCTGCCACGCTCCCCAGCCTCCCCGCTTGCTTTTGGTTGCTTACAGCTTGTCGGTCCCGTCCCGTACAGGACGAGTCGTTCATTCATCCCATCCTATTAACCTCTCTTTACCTATCACCTCACTCCTCCCGTATCGAACCGTACTACCGCCAGCCAGCCTCCCCCCACTCAATGACGGCCGCCATCGGTGCTTTTTCTGCGCATTGATGGGATGGCAAGACCACATCGTGTGTAGCCCCATCTGTGACCTACGCGAGTCCAGCTGCTGAACTTTCCAACCTCCCCAGGTCTACTTTCGCGATTTTGCCTACACGACACGACGAGCCCGAATGGCGAGTGGAAACATTAGTCTTCTGCCTGCAACCTCGTATGCCGAGTATGCTTCAGTCTTTTCCGTTCCCTCCCCCAAGCACACGTGACGGCGCATCCGATGATGCCGCTGCACAACCCACCGTCGTCGAGGCAGAGACAACGTCCGTGAAAGCGGACGATGCGCCTGCCACGAATGCGCTGGCAACGCGGTGCCCGGGCATTCCCGTCCGTCCAGCTCTGGCGCATCGTCTCAACTCTCATCGTCTCCATGTGCGAGCCAAGGCTAAATTACAGCGCGACAGACTCCTCTCCGGTCCGATGCTAGACGTCTACGTGGGTGAGGACAGGCGTCACTGGGCTCTGCATCGCAACCTGCTCTGCCACCACTCGGAACTGCTCGAGGCCGAGCTGCAGGGCGAACATGGCAAGAAGAAGAACACCCTGGAGCTGCCGGACCACGACCCGGCAGGTTTCGCCGTGCGTTCCTGATATACTGTTCTCGCCGTGGAAAACACCAGGCTGACCTCTGATAGTTGCTGGTAAAATGGCTGTACCAAGGCCAGCTCGACGATGTGTCGGAAATCTTCGACTCCACTAAGAAATACGAATACGCCGTGAGCTGCCACAAGCTCTATCTCCTCTGCGACCGCTTCGACATGCCCCAACTGAAGAACGTCGCCATGGATCAATACCGCAAAGGCTTGAACCAAGCCGAACTGGTGCCGGATGCCGATGAGATCGATGACATCTATCGCAACAGCCCGCGCGAGTCCCCGTTCCGGCGTTTGATGACAAGAATAGCCGCCCGTCAGATAATGGACCCAGATAACAACCGAGACGTCGAGACGTACCGTGAATGCTTCGAAAATAACCCCGATTTCGCCGTTGACTTGGTCAATGCCATCAAGCGCGGCGCTGGCGGCATTCTCTTCGACGACCCCACCGATCGAGGCAACGAGTGCGAATATCACGATCACATGGCAGCCGGCTCCAGTTGTCACATTCAGGACAAGGGCAAAGGGAAGCAAGGTAAATAGCGCCCCACGTTGCTACGGCACATCACATGCTCAAGCCGTCCGACATGCGACGAAGAAGAGCTTTCATCACTACTACCTTCTGGTTCGTCCTACAAGATTTACATGGTAACACTCATTGACTCTAGCATTCAAGGCCTCAGCTTCCCTACGCGTCCACACCTCCGCCAAATCGGCTCCGAAATCCGAAAATTTCGTCCTTCCTCTCCACCGTCGCCCCCCGACTCCCCTCCTGATGAGTCCCCCACCACCCCCGCGACAGGCTCGCCTGCAAGACGGTCTAAGTACCGGCCCTCTGCGTCGTCGCCTCACCAGTCCGGCTTCTTCGACAGTCGAGACGTCAACGGAGAACGCAATGGGCAGTCTCCCCACGAGTCCGAAGAAGCAGAGGGACAAGACTCCGCAGATCACACCCCCAAAGCCGCGCCTACAAAGTCCACCTCTATTGGAGGAGACCGAGGAGACCGAGGAGACCACGTCACACCCAGTCCTCGTCGCCCTCCCCCCAAACTCAGAAAGCATGTCACACCCACTCCCTGATAGCCAAGTCAGCGAGCGAAGCGAAGCGAAAGACAACCCCCACGATTCGGGGGAGCCTACTTCGCCGTCGCGCGGGCTCTGGAGGTGGGCAAATGTGGGCACAGGCACATTCGGCATCATTAAGAGAATACCGCATCCAGACTGGAAAGCACCACTTATAACTTCAAAAACTGCAACTTCTGCAGTGAACGGCGCACTTGAAGGGGGGGATTCAGTTGGATCGTTTGATGATTTTAGCATCCCGTCGTCGATTATCACGGAGCCAGAGAATAAGGAGCGAAGGCAAGAGGTAGCGGAGGCGAAAGTAGAAGGTCTAGGAATCGCCAGCTCCGTCATAGATCCTTCGTTCTCCCAAACGAAGGGATCTTCAAGCGATCTGGTGGCATCCTTGTCTATCCAAGGCACACCGTCGCCGAGGACTGGGTGGGATGAGCAATGGGCAGATGGCGACGACAGCATCGACAGTATGATTTCAAACATCAGCATACCAGCTAGCAACGGCAGCCCCCCGGCAACACCATCCCCAGCACAACGCCCGATCCCACCCAAGCCCGAGTCCAAGGACACACCCAGCCCGCAACGCATACCCAAATTCAAGATTGCTCTTTCACGCAACATTCTTTCTCAACACGCTGCTGCTACGACATGATACCCGTATTTCTTTTGAATATACATCTATATAATACTTGATTAGCTTTCTGGATTCTTACAATGTATTCGGTCATTTTCTCACTGATATCACATGTGGAAGCATGTCGTCTTCTGTACGACATATTCAATGATATTTCTTATCTTGGGACCTGTTTTTTGCAAACTGTGTAATACTACCTTGTCTCCTTACTTCGTAGCAATTCAAGCGATAATAAACCCTAATCATTCACTACACGAAAGACTTGCAAACCCGTGAAATTCCCCTTTTCCTCCTCTTCTTCGCCGACTGTTGCACATAATCTTCTATTCCCAAGGTCACCGTGTACCATTCCCCCTCGCCATCATTGCGAAATCAAAGCCTCCCCAGCCTATCTGCTTATCCCACCAAGCCCTCACCCCCTGATCCCCGCGAGTTTTCCGCCGGTGCAACAACACCAACACTGCCTCATCCCAATTCCCGTATCTACTTCACTCCCCCAATCACAAGCCCAACCGTCCACTCCGTATCCTTCACCGTCTTTGGAAAATTCCCGCTTCTCCCTCCCTTCCTCTCCCTTTTCTACCTCATCGTGTCACGTTCAAATTCTTCAATCTCATCACTATCTATCCATATCGCTCTTCTCATCCAATAATATACATCCATTCACCATCCACCTCACCTAAAAGCGCAGTTTAATCTACCCTTCCCCCCTGTCTTTCACCCGTTTGCTATGCGCACAGGTTCACAAACACGCGCTACCTATCCATCTAAGTTTTAAAATTTTAGAAGAGAGGGGTGGTGTAACGAAGATAAGCAAAACGAGCACGTCATCTCCTTGTCGTTTCCTCTTTTTGCGGAAGTTCTTCGGGATCTAGGTGGGATGGGAGGGTATATAAACCCCCCCCTCGTCTCCCCTCTCTGTCCTTCTTTCTTTTCTTCCTGTGTTCTTCATATACATATATCGTATCTTGGAATCTATTTTGAAAAGACATTTTTTGGAGGGATCGAGCGGAGAGATTGAAATTTTGGATTGCGACTATGCATGTGTTTGGAGGATTCTTCTTTTTTTGGGGGGATGTGCTGGGGCATTCGAAAATATTGAGCTGTGAAGAGTAATGTTTTTGGAAGATTTTTTTTCCTGGGATGTGCTGGAAAGATTTAAAGAAAAACGATACATGGACACCTATATGTGTTTGAAAAAAAAATCTTTTTGGAGGCATAGGGGAGGGGGATCAAAAGCCAGATCATCATTTGAACATGTTTGGAGGATTTTTTTGTGCTTCTGGGGGAATTCAGAATATTCGAAGGAAAAGAGATCTATGTGCTTTCCCCACGACGATATGTGGTCAAAGAAGTGGAGAATTCGAAAATCAATCAAATGTCTTCTCAATGTGTTTGTGGTTTCTCTGGAAGTATTTTGAAACAATCTTTTTTCCTGTTCTTCTGACTGCCAGAATGAAAAGCAAACTGCAAATGGGTTTAGTGGTGGAATATGATCTGGATTACACTGAACTCATGTGTGATTTGGAGGAACATACTTTTAGCGGAAGAGGCTTAGAATGGGGGGAATAAGAAAATCGACAGTGAGATGCTGCACGTGCGACGGAGGTGCGGGGGACTAAAAATTATCTAGTAATTCATATCATGCGGTGGAGGCTTCTGCAAGTCTTTAAAAACGCTCTGCCTCTTCTGGATGGATTAAAAAATTTGAGGATCCAGATGGAATGTTTTTTGGTGGACTAAAAAAGAAAAAGATATATTACATGATGTGTGTGGTGGGGATTGGAAGAATAAAAAGTAAAGGAGCCGACAGCAATGTGGTGGAAGTCCTGGGAAGTCTTTTTATCATTGAATGTTTTGGATAAATGAGAACATTTCTTAGTGGATTAAAACTCGTTTGCTTGACTGGACATATGGAGGAGGGTCTCGGGGGGGGGGGTTGTTTTTTCTTTCTAAAAGTGAAAAGAAGAAAAAGAAAAATGAGCACAAAAATGAACAGAATATTGAGCGTTTACAAAATTCGGTGAATACGAAAAACGATACGCAGGACACTCTATGTTGTAGAGCTTTTGATTGTCTTCTTTTTTTACAAAAGATATTTACACAATTTAACAATCTGATTAGAACAAAAAGATATCTGACTAATGTGAGTGCGGCTGGGAGACTACTAGGCGATATACAATGACAATCAAGAGAGATTTGCGCAATGGAGGTTCTGGAAAAGTTGTTATCGGCGGGGAAGAGAGGCGGATTTTTCTGGGGGGGAAGAACAGATATGAATCGACTTCGTATGGTGGATCTATTAAAGCGTATTAGAAAAACGCAAATGAAATTTGGTGGACTACAAATGCAATAGAAAACCAAGCATGTTGCGGAAGAGATGAACTATAAAGCCCTTCACTCATAGCGACGTGGAAGACTATAAATGCTTTTATCTTTCTGGGGGACACAAGAAAGAATTGGATGATCATATGAATTGAAAAGAGTTATCTTGACGTTGCTATGCGATGGAGCGATTTATGTCTAATGAAACTAAACCGAATGCTTCACCTTCTCTGTCAGTATGTGGAGGATCTGGTATTCGCCTAGGAAGACAAAAAGATTTCCGGCGGATTGAAAACTTCACAGCCAGAAACATTATGTGGTGAAACGAAAAAAAGGCGAGAAAAAAAAATTCTCGCACTAAAATATATTTTATACTGTCCGCGTGTTGGAATTCGTAGGCTCGAGAAGAGCCTATGATGAATACGATATTTGATGAATCAAAATACAAAGAGACAGTGTTCCATGTGGAGAAGATTGGGGGGAGATGTGCTGAATCGGAAAACTTTAAGCCTATGATTATAGAAATCATGTGTTGAACTTCAGAATTAGAACCACTGATCTACGCATGTGGGGAGACTAAAACTGAATCTACAAAGCTGACATGCGGTTGGCGACGGGGAGATGCAGATTGGAAATATCTTGTAGATCAAAACGGAGGCTACAGAGGTCAATTTGATTGAGAGAAGAACAAGCTTTTGTACTAAAGCGTCTCACTCATCCTCTCAATGTGTTTGAGAAGAGAAGCCAGAAAAGTAACGGTGTGCTATGAGAGAAATAGGATGCGCAAGTTGTGGCAGAAAGAAGAATAAAATATATTGACCTGAATTTTTTTGGGAGGCTGGCGTATTACCATTACAATTAGAGCTGGACTAAGATAGTTCGGCAAGCTCGATATGTTGTGTCGGAAGACAGAGTTGCAGTGATCCACAAGAGCCCGTCTACTTTTTGTTAAACCTGTTTTTATCTACCTTTTTGAGTGTAGGAAACACTGTAACTTCCGATCAAACCCCCCCCCCCCCCCCTACAAGAGCTTTACCAGTTTACTCGTATGGAGAGTAGGCAGACTCCAGATAAAAATAAGTGAGGCAGAATGGAAGGGAAAGTGCAAGCTTTCACTCATGTTGCGAAGAGAGGGTGGGGCGCTTAAGATTAATTCCTACCCCTCACACAACAAGTAGAATTGGGGGATAACTACAACAGACATTATATGATGTACAAAAGACTATTAGTGTTGACGACGATTTGAACTAGACTCATCCACGTCTTATATGCTCAAAATTATGATGAGCATATCATATATATGGACTTAATACATGATTAGAACGATGGGATATGCCGAAAAACAACTAAGCCTCCAAGAACAGACGAAGATGAATTGATGAATTTAGAACACGTAGCACCCGTTCTACGTAAGTGTCAACGAGGAAAAGATTACTGTGGTGGAGGGAAAAATTACTACAATTCGTCTTGACATGGAAAACAGAAATTGCTGTTACGACTGGACTTTAGAACAAAACACTCAGAGTAATATTGTGCTGGGCCTGCAGCTCATTCTTAAATATGATTAGCTTTAAAACCCGCCTACGAAGAAATCCATATTTTTGGTGAAAGAGATTAAAGGCAAAAGTGTATGTATTGTAGAGAGCTCCATTTATTTCTTGCCATTACTCATGTTTGGTCTTTGAACTTAGTAGAAAGCTAACACGTGAGTTGAAGCGTGCAAAACCCTTCTGTTGTTATTGTACACAATTTAAAAAAAATCGTAGAATGTTCTGCGATGGAAAATGAAGCGTGAGACTATGAAGACGACAAGCAATGGTTGTTTCTGTACATGACGTGTAACAAAACCAGGAAATATCTCTAAGTATGCTGCTGGCTGTGCAATTCCTTATCATCAATCTTATAAAAACCTGACAAGATGTCTAATATGTCCCTTGCGCCTGCGCAATAACTGAGATGTACGCAAAATAAAATATATCCCCTGCATTCCCTACGGGGAGAATTTGGAAACGTGATTTATCATCAAAAAATTCACTTGCTGCTCAAGTACGTAAGCTGCGTTGTAAAGCATATTCACGCATATGTGCTTTTTGTCTGTCTAGATTACAGCTCATATTTCATATTAAACTCAGGCATTCATAATCATAAGCATAGTGCGGAAGATAAGGATCTGTTATTGTGTATTATGAGATAAGAAGCGAGGCTCATCACTTATGATTCGCAACAATAACTGACATTGAAACTGTCTAATGTGCCGTGCATCTAGCAAACCACCTTCCTATATAAGAAGCAAAAGCTTTTAGATACAGAAATTCTGTACACAATAACTTCAACTGCCTTCTCGTGATGTGTGTCAACACTTATATTAAAACTGCAACTAACTATGATGTTGTACATTACAAAACGTTCCGACTGCCAGGTCTATGTTCTGTGTTCTAAAATCAACCTTCACAACATAAAATGTGTTCGGTGGTTGGAAAATGAGAACTTTGTTATAATGTTTCCTGTGATGACGAAATGCGCCCAGTACAATGCCATGGAGTGTTTTAACACAAAAAGTCAATTTCAAAATGCCCTATTCTCCTCGGCAAATTGCAAGTCAAAGGAAGCCATGTCTTTTCCCTTCAAAGTATGATAAAGAGTAAGCTCATGCTCTGCGTTTTCAAGATAATTTACAAATGAAGTATATGTGCTGTGTCTTCTAAATCTAAAACAGCCCGTGCCATGTGAGGTGCTGCGCAGCCAACCGTTTCTCCACAACAAAGGAATTAAAATACCTAGTGACAGATATAATATGTGGCTTCATTTTACAGAACTTCATAGTAAACCATATCTAAAGCATCAGCAGCAAGGAACAATGTGGAGCATTTTCAACCCTTAACATAAATCAACCCCGAATTTCATGATGAATACTCTAAAGCACACCAAAACTTCAACAATACTACATCATGTTGCTGTCCAGACCAAGCTTGCATATAAAAACATTTAATCTTGATCACCATATGTGAACCGGCCACTCTACCAAAGATCCAAGCAGGCTATACGATATATTTTGTGCGTTCGGAGACCTCATGCACAGCTAACAAAAACAATAAACTCTCAAGCTATGGTGTATTTTCAAAGAATCGTATGGGAAATTCGATATAGCGTGCCGGGCTTCACTAAAAATGCTATCAATCAACCATTTCGCTGCCTGGTGCTTTTAATGATGAGAAGTTTTTTTCAGGCCGATGGTACGTGTGGTCCTTTGGTCTATGGATACCACCAACGCCACGATTTTACAGATGATATCATGTCCCTTGCGAACTCTAACCACTTCCACGACTCAAGCGATGAACGATACCATCCATGTCGTGGTTCCAAAAAGCATAAATCAATCAACCACATGGGTGGGGTGCCCCATGCTGTTATTCCTTGTTTTTACCAGTATCAACTACGCAGGGAGAATGATAATGTGTGCCTGCTCTGATTTACGATACAAGTGTAGCTATGAACGTTATATAAGTGTGTTGTGATTTACAAACTCGATTCAGATGGGGCGTATTGTTTGAGTGTGTGGAGAACCGACCCTCATGTGAAGAAGATCATCTGCAGAAATCGAATGTTTTGGGGAATTTTCCAGGATCAAAGTATGGTACCAAGGGGGGAAGGGGGAGCAGCGATGATGGTGACGATCATCATTAGCATCATCAGCATCAACATGTGTACTATCAGAAGCTTGCGAGAATAGCACGACACATATCAGGAAAATCATGAGTAGACCACTAAAATCAGGATTCGCGAAAAAAAAGAGCACGTGGTATATATTTCCACTCTCTCACCTGCATGCCATGGATCAATAGTCCTATCTTCGATCTCCATCCCTCTTCCTCGCCCTAAAGCACGCAAACTCAACTCTAGTCCCCTCTCTCAGCTTCTTCAACACTCCCCTCAACGCTCCAAGCTCCTCTTGCAAACGCATCCTCGCTGCATTATCTGTCCTTGAGTCCAATACGGAATAAATGTCTGTTTGAACCTGGCTCACCTTCTCCGTGGTGTAACTAGCAAGAGTTTGAGCCATGAACTCAACGTCGAGGGTAGCCTGTATAAGTTGCGACAAATTATACGGTGGCATATTCTGGAAAGTGGTGATGAGGGAGGAGGTGGTAGATTCGAATAGGGCGCGGAGGATGCGGGATGTGAGCGGCGGGGACGTGGTGCTGACTTCGGTGTGCACAATGACGAGGTCGAGGAGGACAGAGAAGACGTAAGGGGAGGGTTCGCGGTCTGCAGCAGATTTCCCGGGGGGAGGGCTGGGCGCCCAGTTTGGGCTGGTGATGCCGGCTTCGATAGTGGCGGTGGCGCGGGCAGAGTGCGGTTTGGTGTAGGACCGGAAGAGCTGTGAATCGAGTTGGGAGAGGACATCGCGTATGCGGTTTGTTTCGTCGGTGAGCTGGACAGAGAAGAGTGTCTCGAAGAGAGTGAGGAGTTGTGGGGCAATTTCGGATTGGAAGGAGGACATGTTGGAGAGGGTTAGGAGGAGACGAGTGGACTTCGATGAATTAGTAGTGTGTATCTTAAGAGGATTGCATAGCAGACTTACTTGTTTGGTCGAGTCGACCTTCCCCCATGTCCCATCCTCGCCTTCTTCTTCATTGACTGCTAGATCATCGTCCTTGATCTCGAACTCTTTACCAAGTGCGTTTCTTCCCTTCTCAGCGCACTCCACCATTCCACTCAACGTTCGGTATAGACTCATGACAAACTGGCTCCTCACCATCTGCAACAATTTGCTGCTAGGCGGCACAATAACATCAACATTAGTCTTCGTCGATGCTTCAATGTACATTATCTTCTGAAGATTGTTGAGGAGAAAGCTCTGTACAGCGAGGAACCGAGTGGGCATAGTTGTGATATCTTTGCGATCCGCGTCGCGCGACCAATCCTCGAGCACCTTGATGTTTTCAGCGTCTGCGTTCCAAGCCGCACAAACAGCTTGTATACAGCGCTCACGGACACCGCCTACGGCTTGACGCAGGGACTCGTCGATGCGAGGAACTGACCCTGCCGTTGATAGCTGGAATGAAGCCATCTCGTTCGCTGCAGTACCGATCAATACCAACAGCTTTGAAAGATAGTGTACGCCCGACAGTGCATTCGAGTTGGGCGGCCAGAAAGCATATTTTTCCCATGCCTCGCCACGGCCGGGAGAAGGCGGGGGCACGTTGTTTTTATCAAAACGGAATTTGGACGCAACAGTGGGACTAAGTGCGGCACTCAGGGGAGTCCTTGGAGTAGTTGCTGATGTAGGTGAGGGAGGGATAGGCGAGAAAAGCATCGATATATCATCGACTGGTGGCTCAGCGAAGAAGGAGTACAGCACTTCCCGGATGACGTTAATGAGATCAGCCATGCCGGTTTCAAGGTCCTCAATGTTCGCAGAAGTGAGCTTGTGATGAACCGAAGATTGGTTGTTGAAGCCCATAGGGAGGTTACGCTGCGCTCGTCCCTGGACGAAAGACTGCACAATCTCCCAGTACTCAATGAGTTCACCCAAAAGACCGCCATTGATCCCAAGCAAGGCTGTCATAGACGCATACTGATGTTCCCAAAACTCAATAACCTTCACTGTATCGAGTTTTCCAGGTTCCACGCTGACATTGTTGTTAGTGGGAAGAGCGCGTAGATGCTTGAGCAATAGCTTGAGTCCCGGCTTGGAACTATTCGCTAGATGTCTGCGCAAAATCTCAATCTCCACCTTGTTGCGATCGCATGTCGTAATGACCCGTGATTTCAGGTATTCGTATCGAGACAACAGCCATACCCAAATCGGATTATCTTCCACGCCGAGCTCCAGCATGATGGAGATCAACTCCATATACTGTTCGCTTTTTGTATCTTCAGTACTGCTCTGATGAGGATTCACTTGCTTCGTGAAATGCATAGCCGTAAGTCGTTTCCATGCATCGCGCTTGAATGCCTCCACTTGATGTTCGACGTCAGCCCACATCCTCGCCGTGACAATGATCTGGTGAATTTGGACGTCGGTCAACGACGTTTTGGAGTAATTTGCCTGCTCGACGATATACCGCGCATCTTCCGCGTATTTGCGCGCTCTGGTATACTCTTCCACAACCACTTCATGGTCCTTTCTCCGGATGCCATCTTGTATCGCGGATCCAATCTCAAAAAGGCCACGGTGTTTTTCCACAGAAGATAGTATGGACTTGAGCGTCTCTTCCTTTTCCCTTCCCCCCAAGGCAGGACCCCAGACCTCCTCCGCTTTCACAGCGACCTCCGTGAGTGGCACCTTGATTCCATGAACACCATATTCGCTCTCCTTGACCAGCGCATTCTTCTTTTTCTTTTCCTCTCCTAGCTTCACTCCAGCGCTGAGCGAATTGCTGGCTTGTCGTGAAGAGAAACTACTCCTGCTAGGTCCGCGCGAGTGTGCGGGTTTACGACCGGGGCTGGGTGGGGCCTCCGGCTCCTTTCCCACATCTCTCATCTCATTGTACACGCGATCGATTGTGGCCTTGGCGCCTACGAAACGCTCGAAATTGGCCTCGACGAGGACTTTGAGAGACGCGGATTTCTTTTCGATCGAACGGGACAGAAAGTCGAGTCCCTGGAGCAGGGAATCGGTCGACGCCGAATTATGGACTTGGGAAAGGAAGAGAGCGGGAGAGAAAGTTGTAGACGATAGCAGGAACCTGTTCCCTATATTGCACAGCTCCACATCAGAACAGCCCGCATTTCTCTGTATAAATTCGTAGATAACGTACTCATCTTTATATCGTCTTCAACACCCAACCCCCGCGATCGCAGCACCTGCACGACGCTAGGATACATGCCCAACGGATCCCCCTCATCCTTCTGCACCATATTCTCCACACCATCCTTTGTCTTTTCCACACCCTCCCTCTTCCGCGAAAAGCTCCCCGAGCCCTCTAAAACCGAGAATCGCGACTTCCGCACCGAGACAATGCGCGCCGACATGACCGGGGGTCCATCATCATCCGAGTCGTCGGATTCGTTTTCGCGCGCATCTTTCTCCGCAGGCCAGGCTTCGGGGTAAAGGGTCGCGATGTTGTATTTGTTCAGGAGCTTCGTTTCCATAGACTCCATTGCGGAGAGCGTTGTTGGCACAGCGGTGCGGGAGGTCTGGGGGCGGGAGATGTGAGGTGAGGTCGGAGGTTCAGGGTTAGGCTCTCCGAGACGTTGAAGACAGCCAATCAAAGCCGCCGTGCTGGATATGTAACTTGGCGGCCGTTTGACGACAATGCGTGTGCCTGTTGAGAGATTGCGAATAATCCTTCGAGTGTGACAAGGGAACTTCGGATTAATTCAATTGAACTCCTAATTCAAAAGCAATTATATTCATTCAAGCTGAAAGAGGGGAAAACTAGATGTAGAAGACCGAACCTCTGAGAAGTACTTGGATTGCATCATTTCACCCACTCAGACGTTGATTTTAAAATCACTGACAATGTATCCAGGGATGACACCCAAGGACGAACATACTGTATCTCAGTAGAAGCTCATGGTATTCTGCTTTTTGAGAAGAAGTTGAGATTAGACTGTTCAAATTCTAATTATACACGTATGTACTTCTCGAAACACTTTATTGTACACTCTATAACCCTACTCTACCAACAACAACGCAACATGCTAAAAGTTACCGTCTGGAAGATCTTGACAGTTGTATTCCGAAAACTTCAGCCACAAGCTGAACTGCGAATTCTTCGGCATCAGCCTTTGAAGGAAAGTCTTCATGTTCACCAGTATTCTTCATTAAAATCCGGGCTGGCCTCTTCCCCCTATTCTGCATATGCCCAGCAATATCGTTTTGTTTCTGCTGTGCAGGATTGAAGGGACCTGTAGGTACTGCTAGGCTCTGTGCCTGCGTGGAGTTGTCCAAAGCGACTGCCGGTTGCTGCTTGTGGAAGTGACTATTGGTGAACACCGCTGGTTGCTGTGGCTGGCTGGGATCGAATCCAAATCCCACGGGTATTTGTTGCTGCATTTGCATGGGATTGCCCAGAAGTCCTGATGGGTACTGTGCCTGTGCCTGGTCAGGCACATAGAACAATCCAGTTGGTTGCTGTTGTTGCATCTCCATCTGCATCCGCATCTGTATAGGATCGTTTATAGATCCCAGTGGTTGCCATTGCTGCATCGGCGTAGAACTGTGTTCGAATCCAGCTGGTAGCTTTTGTCGCGTAGAATTGTTCCCAGCTCCTCCAAGTGGCTGTTGCTGTACTGGTTGCTGTGTTTGTACAGCAGATTTGGAAGCTCTACTCTGATTTTTGTGATCCCTTCGCTGTTGTTTCTGTCGTCGCTGCTGTTGCTGCGACTGGGTAGGGTTATCCATCAGTCCTACACGGCGCTGTTGCTGTGCCTGCACAGGAAAGTTTGAGGCTCCAGCTTGCTGCTGTGGTCGTATCTGCACAGAAGAGTCTTGGGTTGGTATTTGTTGCTGCATCTGTGTGGGGAAGTACGGTGCCCCAATTGGCTGCGGTACTGGCGCAGGATAAGCTGGGTGTGGTGCTTGTTGCTGCGTCGTTTCGATGGGCGTGTCAAAGATGTTGGGAGGGAAAAGTGTGTCAAAGTTCATCCAATTGGTCGTCACATCTCCGGAGAACTCTTCCTCATCCCAAAGAGAGCGGTTGTTGTTGGCGGAATCCATCGCGATGTCTGAGCACAGTTGGTCAAAAGTAAAGGTGAAAGGTAAAAAGTAGCGGGTAGAGAGTAGCGGGTAGAGAGTAGCGGGTAGAGAGTAGCGGGTAGAGAGTAGCGGGTAGAGTGTAGCGGGTAGGAAGTAGCGGGTAGGAAGTAGCCAGTAGAAGTAGCAAGTAGAAAGTATAAAGCAGGAAGGAGGAGAGAGGCGACCAGCTTTATACTCTCGCAACCAGCTCTCTTCCGCACCTCATCGCCCTCCCAACGAACCTGGCAGCTACCTGGCTTCCAAGCATGGTACAATACCGCCAACCCACCTACCAAAACATCGAGTGTTGATGAATATACGTCAAAATGGCTGGAGCGCGATTGCTAAAGTTGAGAAGTGTATAGGCTCTTGCCATGTGCGGAAGCTGGCCAAAAATGGATTTTCGACACCCCGAGTCATCATATTCGAGCCCAATTAAGCCACAATGCCCTCAACTCATGCAACATTACGTCAATGTTCACTTTTAGTTCTTTCTTCAATAATGGAAAGATCGATGACTAACCGTAATAAGGGGTAATGACCGCGACTGTCGGCGTAGCATTCGTCCTGGCAAGCATCTTGGAGCCTCTTGGAGAAACACTTTGATAATCAGCACGATTAGAACGTCACCCACCTTTTGGTCGCAATCAGTATGACTCCTATTCCGCTCCGAACCCACCGGTTTTCTCTGCCAGCTTAATTACCTGCACGCATTAAACTTGCAACGGCACTCGATTCTAGATCGACCGATAGCAGAGGCGGGTAGTCAACGTAGGCAGGCTTCAGAAGGGGGATGTTGAATGATGATATGCCGCTCTTCTTTTGTCGGTGATTTTATTGCGTCGACATTGCCTTGCTTCCGCCCTTCTTTTGTCGGTACTGTTCTTGTGCCGAAACCGCCTTGCTTCCGCACCACTTTTATGCCGACGTTGACCTGCGCAAACCCATCGTCAGTACCGAGTCCACACACCCGCGACCTTATTGAAAACCAGATGAACAAAGAACATGACAACAAGATACACTTACTTCCTAATCGCTATCATCAAGTTTTCGTTCCCCTTTTTTTTCCCACCAACATAAAGAACATTTGAACAATCGAAGGTCAGATGAGACTAGAACCGACATGTGATCAATACTCAACCGCATGTGCAGACCCGAAGAAAGAGCAAACGAGACGGCAGAAAAACGATTCTCCCAGTGCTCTAGGGAGAAGTTCCTTCTGCACCAAACCAACTACTATCTCTTTTCAGATAACTCTTTATTTAGAATGCTTTCAATACTGCCCGGAGCGAGACGGTAATAAGGGAAGAGGGGGGAGGAGAGGCGTCAGTCGCTAGTACTTTCGTTGAAACTACTCTATAGCAGCCTTATGTGCAAGGGATACGGTAAATACCTTGGCAAGATATATCGAAGAGTTTCTGTGACTTTGAATCGATTCCTTCAAACATACCGTACAAAACAACATGACACATATTTGCGGATCGATCAACATGGGAGTCGCGCACATTGAGTATCTGCAAAAGAAAAAAGAAAAAATGATTTTCATCGGTTGCGCAGTGGAATTTATAATGTGACATTCTGCCAAGTGCTTTCAGTAATCAGGCTAACCCGACTTTCTGGTATTGCTCCTATCACTACCTATTTACTTGAGTGTACGCCCATCGGCTGTTGAAAACTCGTTGGGCAAAAAGAAAAAAAAAGAGATTATGTCCACCAAAATCAACAGTAAGCTGTAGCATGCTAATATCATTCCCGAATACCAGATCAAAAGTCCAACAAAATCCCGCCTGAAGTAATAAGCTCATGCAGGGTATCTCTATCATCATGTTCCATGTCCGAAAGAACGCCGTATAAATTCGCGACCTGTGGTTCCATTGTCTTTGACTCAGCCACCGCTGAGCGCGCAATAGCACAAACCTCAGGCTACCCCCAGCACTCAACCGTCCTGGAAAGGCGTAATATCTCTACCCATGAACCTCTGCGCATCCGGCGGGCTGACGCAATCGCTCATCTCTAAATCGTTGTCATCCGTCTGTTCGAAGGATCGCTTGGGAATGACGGCATGTGTGTGCGTCGTATTTGGTTTCAATCCTGCATTCCCTGCTTGACCGAAAAACAATGAGTCGTTTCGCATCTTTTGTACAGACCGTGTTGCAGAGAGTATATCCCAGTGTGATTGCAGACATGTCTTCGCCGCATCGTCGAAGTTGATGCAGAATCGCTGCGTCTGGGCGACCTGCATGGCTTTGATGTAGCCAATGTCTTCCAGCGTGTCCATCAAGTATGCCGCTACAACCACAGCCGACTTCTCGTTGCCCGATTCGCAGAATACAAGGACCTTCCCTAATTGCGGGTTACCTGAGGCTGAAGTTTTTCTCCAGACGCTGGCCATGTGATGGTTGATCATCTTGGAAGCATCCTGAAACTTGCCGGTAAGTTCGAAGTAGGATGCAGCCTCAATAGTCGCAATCTCGTGATCGAATTGCCCCGCAGCTCTCAAAAATCCATTCATGTGATTGACGGAAGAGCGAACAGCGAGGATCATGGTAATGCCCATATCCGAAAGAAACGCGTGGTCTTTCGCCGCTGCCAACGGGCCCAAGTACAGCCAAGGTAGAATCATTTGCGCCTGCCTACGCCGCGCGTAAGACCAATCCATCATTGTATCCCTCTCGATGGCCTGGTTGACATCCACGTCCTGGAGAAATCCCAGTTCCACATCACTTTGCTCATTGAGTATTTCCAAGCGCAGCCTGAGAGAAGGGCTCAAATTCGATGGAGGAGGTACGGTGACCCTCGGAACTGCTGGAAGACGGTAAGAATATTCGAACCGGGCGTCGTGCGAGAGTCCCGCATCTGACATAGCTGTTTTCTCGTGGTATGCCATGGTGATGGTTCGGGTGATACCGTAGTTGAGGACCGTTTATATGCTGGCAGGGGGCGGTCGCCTTGGTATTGAGGCGGATAGTAAGGACACGGCGCTGGGGGTTCAGGGTGGAGCTACCTGACAAAGTAATGACTAACGCTGCATCATATCAGAACGAAGCCAGTACTTGATTCGTGGGGCGGTGCGAGAGTAAGGTCATGGCGAGCCGGGCGCCAGCGTGAGGGCAGCAAGTGAAGTAAGTGATTACTCTCAGGTCCGATTAAGCTTTCCAATGCCGCACAGCTGCCTGGTCAATCTCGCACTTTACCCGCAAGAGCTAAGCGTCAATGACGTCACGTGCAGACGCGACTCCCGTAGTTGAAAACCATCTTCTCTAACGCCTTCACATCAAATGAAATTCCCAACTCTGCAGTAGATAAGAATCTAAGAGATGTGTGACAGAGTAACCAGTTCCCGACAGAAGTAACCTCGTTTAGCCCTCAGAATCACTAATCTCGGAGCATAACAAAATCTCCCTATTCCGCAGTTGACAAAAGACTTTGAGTGTTCCACTAACAAAAGGGCGATTTAATGAACCGTGGCTCTATAGATCCAACATCGTGGAACTCTGCTTCGAGTATCGCTTAGTATTAGGCAGCAGTACAACAGGAAAATGGGGTCGTTGAATTCATATGTACATCACAGCAACCGATCACGAGCCACGTCGACTTGAAGGGATGTCACTAGTACGAACTATGCGATAGCAATAAGATGAATGGTATTGGGGGTATAATGCAAACTAGATCCTCTGTGATAAACAACAACAACAACAACAACAACAAATCATCCCCTACTTCTTTCCAATCCACGGATCCCACTTTGCCGTCAACTAAAGTGATCGCCGTGATCGCTCTCCCCGACGCGCCGGCCTCCGCTCCTACCCTGCCGCAACCTCCACCGCGCTCTGCGCTCCCTCTCCTCTTGCTCCCTTTCCAATCGGTGCTTCTTCTTCCTCTCGTATACTGCACGAACCGTTCTCTTGGTCTGTTCGGCGCCTTCTTGGAAGTTCGTCCGCGCGAGGTCGACCACAGAGTCGATCTGCTCAGGCGTATATACGAAGTTCCATGTCGATAAGAAGTCTGATGTCTTTGGGTCCACACCGGGGACTTTGGGGTTTGCCATGAGAGGGAAGTAAATAACAGCGAGCCCCGCGTCTTTGCGCATGAGTTCCCAGTCCTCTTCAACGAGTTTAGACTGAGGCGGCTCGTCCGTGCTGGTCCGTTCCTCTGTGGAACCAACCCACACGTTGCAGTAGCCCAGATCTTTGCTTTTACCCTCTACCTGGCGGGCTTTATCGTCCTCCTCGGCTTGGTGGATCTTCTTTTGCACCTGTTCTTCAGATTTTGCTGCGGCTTGTTCCAAATCTTGTTCGAGTTCTTCCACAGGCTCATCTTCGGGCGGCCATCCAGCACCAACAGGCCAGCCTTTGATGCCACGTTGGCGCGCATAGCCATCGGCAACTTTAAGCCAGTTGTCGGTTCGGACGTCTGCACTGGCATCGAATGCAATCAGAATGTCGACGTTTCTTCCCGGCCGCATGAGTGGATACAGTGGAAGATTGTTGCTCATCCCTGCATCCATCAATTGGAAGTTCTTGGACTCAAAGATGCTTTCAGGCACGGATTGTGGGAGGAGCTCGCGCATGCCAAGCGCAAAATTGGGTATAGCTGCTGGGTCAATTGGGTGAACCTTGACAAGATCCTCGTCGCGTTGAGATATCAGTGCGTCCAGCCCCGCGAAACCGACTAGACCTCGCACAGCTGGGCGGATCTCTTTGTAGTAATGCGACAACGTAGCACAGAACGCGCTTCCCCAAATACCCATCAGCAACGGCACCCGAACTTCTGGTAGCGACAACCCATTTTCCCGCCACACGGTCCGTCCGTTGTCGAATTTACGGCCCATTGCCCAAGTTGGGATCCCGGCTTCAAGCTGAGAAGATGGTTAGCACATGCAACTCTAATCATAAGCAGTGAAACTCACCTCCTCGCACCAAAATTCATAGGGTGTGAACCTGACAATGTTAATAAATGCCAGAGGCTACGGATTCCGGACATGTCTTACTCAAACCATTGAAACCAAGCTTCTTTGCGTGCCTTTGCCTGCGCCTCGACAGGATCCTTCGTATCCATCTGTTCCGTTAGAGGAATCTCATGCCGTACAGCTGTGTATATGGGCAAAGGCTGTGATCCGTTGTCGGTGTATCGCCGCTGGTTGGAGACTTTGAAGTCGTAGTCATCCACGGAGAGTTCACCCTTGGGAACCAACAATCTTGCTCCGAGCAAAGCACCATATATGTCCACGATACCAAATTCCGCATCAGGGGTCCCTTTGGCCTTTTCTACAAGTCCACTTAAGAGGTATTTGTTGGTAGGCGCGCTAGCAAGCAATTCCAGTGCATCCGGGGGAAACGCAATGTGGACACCTAAGACGCGATAGAATATCAGTAAAGGCAAAGCAGAAATTGGCTTATTGGGTGTAGAAGCGTCAATCACGCCACATGTCTTGATCTACCGATACACCTGGCACCTAAGAAACGTACCTAGTCGGTTCTTTAAGTGGCGAATCAGCCGCGCATGGCTGCGCTGAGTGATGTTGGAGTAGTACAACGTTTGAAGCCAGCAGCTTCCACTTACGCCAGCTGTGTAGGTAACGCAGTCAAAAAGGCCTTGCTCCTAAACAACAATGGTCAGTATCTCCTACTTCCTATAGAACTATGAACCAGCTTACATGGGCCGAGAGGTATGAGCTAGTGCCAGCGACCAACGCTCTTAGACCACCTCCAGATCCGCACATGGCGATGATGGGCACATCGTCGGGATGAATCATGTCTTCAGGTATATCAAGATAGCGCGCTAGCCCTCGTTTTGTGAAAGCCTGACGTTTGTTCCTGAAGTTTTTCTCCTCTGCGCAGAGGTCATTGGACACGCGCACAGAAGCGTCCCAAATGATTTCTGGGTTGATTTCAGGGTCATTCGCTTCGTACCAAATTTCCTCTGCCAGAGAACCCGGTTCCATGGACAACTCGCTTTGTAGCTTCCTTGCGAAAGCAGGAAGCATCTTCGCCCAATTGGGAATCACATAGTCGACTATGCTATCACCCAACGAAGTGACAGATTTGGGGGCTTCCGAGATCTTCTTGGTAATGGTCTCCCAGGCGGACCGTTGATCCTCGACTTTTGTCTCGCCACCTCCCTCGTTTACAACACGAGTCTGAGGTGGGGGTTTTGGTTGGTCACCATTCCCTTCGGTGGGATCAGATGTGGTCGAGGTGGGTACAGGTTTCCCCGTGCTTGTGGAATTGCTGCGCGCCGAAGCACCACCATATGAGTACCATGTAGAGGGTTTGGGGCCGTCAAGGAGCGTGGGCTTAAGGAGTGTGGGACGCGTGGTCAGGTAACTGGTCGCGGCGGTCGCAAAGAAGAGGGGAGGGCCATATCGAAGGCACAAGGTGCGTGTGGAGGATCTTGTGGGAGGCGATCGTGTCGTGTGTAAACTTGGTAGCATAGCAGGGTCAGATGTAGGTACAGATGGACCTTCAATTGTCAATTGACGCTGATGGCCACGTACCTTCGACGGGCTCCCCACCAAAGCTGTCCGACCTCTCGGTGCTGGTGCAGACGCGCCATGGCAGTTCCCTAGGGTGAAAAGAGCGACTGGTGTTGAAAAACAATGAGAGGAAAAGAATATGGGCGGGATGACTTGGCACAGCCCAGCTGGGCACTCAGATCATGTTATGGAGATTCCAGATTGATGGGTTGAGATCAGCATGACGGGATACGCGAAATTTAAGATTCCGGCGGTGCTGCGTCATCTGCATCGTGCCACCTCCAGGTTCCTGTTCCTGCTAACGAGAATCGGGACGGATCGGGCCTATGCGCCGAGGTAGCTTTGATCTCGATGATTCTCGACCATCACCAGACTGCTTGGTGAAGCTTAGCCGGCGGAGAAACCCACTGTATGATGAAACGGGGCCAAGTTTTAAAAGATTGTTCCTGACTGTGTATAGTAGTGCTCCCGTAGATGAGTAGCGGCGCACCAAGCTCGTCTACTCGCGCCAAGGTAGAACAGACAACACAATGCACTAACACATTACATACAAGGGAAACTTACAAACACTCCACCTTCTTGTAGTATTCTTCTTCTTCATGCGCCTCTTTGCACATGCTGGAAGTTGAAAAAAAGATAAGTCTCGACGATAGGCCACTAGTGCAGTCTACCACTTCCATGGCACTCGAGTACAAAATGGAAGATTCAATTACAACGGAGTGATGTAAAATAGGGCAACCAAATCTCTCCGCCCATCGTGCTGAGCTCCTACTGAAAGTGGCTGCAGTGATGGAGAAAAATACCACAGATTACGCCCGCTATATGTCAACTTGAATGGGCGCCAGGATTAGAGTATCTCATTTCTTCGTGCTGTTGTTGGCGATCTAGATGTTGAAGGGCATTACAGGCCAAACCTTGAGTATATATGGTAGTGTTTCAATCTTTCAGAGACATGGACACAGTTGCACGGTAAGCAAAGAATCCTACGGAGTTATGCTTGGTCTTGTGCCTTGGTAAGTTCCCTCGGAGGATTAGTTGCTATATTGCAACGTTGAATCCGAGAGACTACGAGAAGTGCTCCGTTCGTATGTGGAATACTCTCTATCTGAAATGCGATTGCTACCATAAATTGGAATATTCTGAAAGCATCCGAGTTGGCTCCGCGATCGTATTGGTCTGTCGAGGACGACACTGAGCTCCCATATGGCGCTTGAAGGATTCTGTCCTGTCCACTATCACAAGCAGCAAAACTAAAGAACGTCATCACAGAACAAGCATCTGGAAGAAGGACCTATTGCACGAAAAGCATCGTTGTTGGTTGCGAGGTAGCTCGTTGGTGTGGGGGGAATCTGAAGCCATGCTTGATGGAACTCGGTGATAGGAATAGCACTATTGTACTGGAGTCCGATCTCGAGTTGGCTGTGGATGTTTGCGTGACTGACTAATCTCTCAATATATGTCCTCACATTAATATGATGAAAGAGCGGTGCTGATTGACGCAGGCTGGTCATATTTGCATGCCGACAGAGCATATCGTCGTCCAAAACATCATAGCAAAGAAGTTTCTCCAGATCATGAAAAACACAGTGGCCGCGAGCTCAAGCAATTCCCAGTTTCCTAGAGTCATTTTCACCGAATGGAAAGCCATACTAAACAGTTTGCTGTCGCTAGCAGTGTCGCAAAGCACGAGAGTCGCGTTCAGGAGCAACGGGGAAGAGTGATTTAACTAGAACAAGCTTCCTCCTTACAATCTTAAACTATATCAATTCTTCCATGAGTGTATGACAAGAAAAAGATGTTTGGCGCTCGCAAACGACACGCGATATGGTTTTTGGTGTCAATCTTCACTAAAGACTTCCGGAAGGCTCTTGCACTGGTAAATATAATCCATGGAGGGTTAGTTCGTACACTACAAGGGCATGAGGGCGAATTTGTTGACCTTAATAGAGCCATATATATCAACAGCATGACTATTCGCGGAACCTGCACTTCCCTATGGTGGCATGGAGAGTACTGGTAGGGGGAGATATAATGCTGACCTTGGAGTGGAAGAATTTTGGGGTACTAGGTCAGTGACGTGGGATAACTGAACGAGTATTCTAAGTTTTCGATAGAATTCATGATTGTGGGATACAAGCCCTTTTCTTTTCCGCCATGAAACCCTACCAGCAGCAAAAAGAAATCACATTATAAGTCGACATTTACCACTATACACAGCTACTAGCCTGACATGTACCATCGCGAGCATCACCAATAACACAACCTGCATGATCAGGCACAATAAATCCATCATGAGGCCTTATAAAACCCCAGCTCCTCCCCCTCCACTTACACCGCCATCATCTATTGATTCAAGTCAGCATACTCAGTTCCATATCGGACCATCAGAACACCAAGGTGTCAGACTTACAGCCCCCACCACCGCCATCCCCGCCACCATACCCGTTGGTGTACCTATCACCAGGTCCCAAGTAATGTGCAGGTACAGGCCCGCCTGATTTCACTTGTCGTTCATACCGCTCGTATCGCTTTGCTGCTCTCTTCTCCTTGCGCGTTTCGCGTGGCTCGGAGTCCGGACCAGACTTTTTATCGCTTTCTGTATCTAGCAACTTTGTGAAATCTGATGCGTTCTTTTGGGTAGAGAGTTTTGCGCCCATTCTGGTTGGGTAGGTGCAGTATGTTGTGTGAGGGATCGATTTGCACTTGTGTGTAGAGACGAGATCCGTTCCTTGAGGACCATATGGTGGGCAAGGGTTTGATATTACTTGTACGATTTGAACTCAAAGTTTAAGAGCGAAGAACTTGCCGAGGGGTCATTGATTGACGCTGTGGATCGAAAAAGCAAAATGAGATGTATCTGATGTTCATCCGTGCGAATATATACTTATGTACTTACCAACATCCATAAACCTATTGTATTTCCGGAACATAGCCATCCAGTCATCCTCCCAAGAGGCGTTTTTAATTAAAGGTCCAAGGCGAGGCACAGTACCCACGTGTGCCATCCAATATGTTGATCTCATCATCTTTGAGGGCGTCCAATCATGTCGAGTTAAGACAATCCTGCTTGCACGTACAGTAAGACTCGGTGTGCCTAACGTCCTCTATCTTCAATATGCTTGCGACAGTGTGGCTCATCCTGTTTGCTCAAGAATGATATAAGCAATGCGGGCCGATCACATTTTGCTTGACCTCAAGACGTGTGTTGACATCGGTCAGACCTCAGCAAAAGGAAACAGAAGATAACCATCTCCTACATAATGAAAACCGGCCGACTGTATTTCGACGTTGACAGCTTCACAAGAACCATTCAGCCTTGGTGGCAGTGTTCCTTGCCCATCACGGAATTGCTGGGTGGGTTTCGTACGAATATGCGAGCCGTTCGAGTGCAGGGCTGACCCAGTCTCGATTGTGGCCTACATTCAAGCTCTTCACACATATTAGCAGTACCTAGGCTCGTGAGGTTTCCGTCAAATGTATACAGGTCAAGGTATCAAACACTTCGGTTGGGCACCACCCTGGGTAGTAGACCTCATGCATGGACTCGGAGAGATGCGGCGCGGCGCTATCCCCTGAAACGTTAGCGTGAATCCCTGTTCCGTCCGGCACCTCCGCAAGCTTCCCCACGCATTCACCTCTCTTGCAATTGATCTGCGTTATGCGCTCCGATCGAGCGCCATGCTATTCCTATTGATGCCTTGCTAGCTCAACATAATATTCCTTTGGGCGCTTCATATTTTTGAAACCACTCTCTTTTGACCCCTTGAAGGCCCTCCAACTCCCTCGACGGTCATTGAGAAGCTCCCCCGAGCCCACTTACGGCAGGCACCATGGTCGGCGCTCGCAAGGGCGCCTTCGCCGAGGAGAGCGCTGAGGTGGAAGTGCTCTTCGCGAACATGGAGAAGATGAAGACCTTGACCCGCAAGATCCAGGCATCGAAGAACAGGCTGGAGACAAGCGGCAAGGCAGTTCAAGATGCCATCACCCCCATTTATGGCAATACCCAGAAGCTACAAGTCATGAATTCCAGTACGTACTCCTGGGTTGAGCTTCCTGCAAAACCTTCAAGTTAATGATCCCTTCAGATGTCGACAGGGTACTGGATGCGATTGGGCGGATGCGAGCACCTTTGGAGCAGACAAACCAGGAAGACAGTATCATTAAGAGAGGGTGAGCATCCACCTACCACAATATCCATGCTATGATCCTTGGCTGACATGAATTTTCAAAGACTCCAGAATGTCGACCTCCGCGATTATATAGCGTCTCTCGATCGTACCAACATGGCTCTGCAAGAACTCAATCGCACCAACTTCCGCGCAAACCAAGGTGCCATCAGCGAAATGACTGCTCTGCTGAAGCGCGGAACGAAAGAGCTAGAAGACGCCTTCCGTCAGATACTACAACAGAGCTGTGCTCAGAAGGTCGATCCCTTGGAATATGTGGCAAAGAGTATAGCTCTCCGCTCTTCTCAGCGACGCTGTTATAGTACTAAATCAGACAGACAACCCCTTCCCTGTTATGGAACCGGATAAACTTTCCACTCTTCGGCTGATAAACACACACATCTCCAATTCCTTTGCGCAGTTATCTCAGTCTGACGGGCGAGAAACACCGACACAAAGGATCTATGCCGAATATAGGGGTGATCACATGGCCAAATGTCTGCAAAATCTAGCGGCAGCTTCCGTGGCTACCACGAGGAAAATGACAGCAGACGCTATCTATAAGATGGGCACTAATGGTGTGGGAATATACGTCCAAGCCATGGAAGGCTTGTTTGTCGCTGAATACGACAATATCACCAGCATCTTCCCTCGGGACGAATGGACAGCCACGTGCACAAACACCTGTAGCCCCCCTTTGAAGGATTTTGAAAGGACATTACGGGACTTGAACGGTCACATCCAACGCAACCTCTTGACGGACTGTTTCCTTGGATACGAGACGGTTGGTATTGTGTCGGGTTTCTCCATCCGCATCGAGCAAAAGGTGTCGGCTCTAAAGCGTCCGATTTACGATAGTGTCAAACCGATCCGCGAGACGTCCAAGTCATCTCTCAACAAACTTCTCGAAGACACCAGAACTCAAGTGCAGACGTTGGTGGCTTTGCCACAAGATGGTGCCACCATCCCCTTGACTGTAACCATCATGAAGCGCCTACAGGAAATGACCAACTACTTACTACCGCTATCCGGGATTCTTGCATCTTTGGGTGACGGTGGTTGGAAAGCTGGTTCGTCCAACAACTCTTCATCCTCGCTGCCCATGACCCTAGATGTGAGCCCCAATACGATGCAGCTTTTCGAACATTATTGCGCCGACACGATCGATACGCTACTACAGAACCTGGAGGGCAAGAGTAGGATGTTGCTGAAGGGCAAGAACCTACAGGGAGTGTTTGTGGGAAACAACGTAGCTGTGGCCGATAGAATGATACGGTCTTCAGAGCTTGCACCGATACTCGAAAATTACGTCAATAGAAAGCTTGAGCCATGGAAAAAGAAGGCATCGGCCATGTATCTGGACGCATGGAGAGAGCCCTCTGGTTATCTTCTGGATGTGCAGTATACAAACCGGAAAGAACGACCACATTCTGGCGGAGGAGCAGCGCTCGATTCGGTTGCCATTGTCAAAGCGCTCGGGTCTAAAGACAAGGACGCCATCAAGGAGAAATTCAAGAACTTCAACACGAGCTTCGACAACCTTGTGTCGCAGCACAAGTCGTACAAGATGGAACGAGAAGTACGGTCACACCTTGGGCGCGAGGTGCAGAACATCATGGAGCCTCTGTACGGCCGATTCTGGGATCGCTACCACGAGATCGACAAGGGCAAGGGCAAGTATGTGAAGTACAGCAAGGTGGATCTAAACCAGCTGCTGAGCGGACTATCGTGAGGCAGTGGTGACGATTATGATATGGCGATAGGGGCGATAGAGTTGAGACCCTGGCCAGGCGTTGGGGAGAGATTTGGTTTGCGGTATACCCATTGTTTTGGTACCTAGTCGACAAATTGGACTAGGGCGGGAGGGTTAAGGAACACGGTGTTGTCTAAGCCGGGACCGAGGAGAGCACAACAGCATTTGGATTTGTACTATTATTTTTCTCTCCGACTGTGTATGTGAGAGCCCATGCGTGTGCGCTGTATGTGACTCTGATATAGTTTACAAACACCCGCCTGCGAGTCCCGAGTGGCATGGGGATTCGCATCGCTGGATTGATGCAATTTCGTTTTCACGTGACCGCGTCCCGTTCGGGAAGTGAGAGGCACGCCAAAGTGGTGTGTTTTCTGGTGCCACTGCCATGGTGAGAAGTAAACAGCAACGCACAAAGTCAACATTGAGCGCGCACGGCGAGGCTGAAGGCGGCGTCGATTTCATTGACAATATTGCGGCGACGGTGTGGTTGTACGCAGAGAGCATCTGAGGGCTTCCAGAGTCAATATTACCGTTGGCAGTCTGTCCAAGTCACACTGGCTCGGCGATTTCTCATTGGCCAGGCGACCTCTGCAGTGCATCCAATCCCTGCGCGGACCCCTTTCCTCCAGCGCGCGCACCACCTCCACGACGACGCTTTCCTCCAGCAACATCTCCATCCACCCATCCATCCTTTCTGCCTTTACCTCCTCCCACGCCCGAACCGCACGTCGTCCAAGACTGCTGGCTCAACTCCATCCCATTGCCTGCTTCCAAGGCTAATCGTCGCTCGATCAGGCTTCCTATCGTTGACTGGTGCGTATTCTACAACCCTTCCTGCCATGCCCCCGGTTTCACCATATTTCTCCAGCTTTTTGGTGACCGGTCGTGTCGCACCCTCTGCTGCTATCTGGCCCATCTCCGCCCGTTGCTTCTCATGCTGCATTCTGCGGATAACTGCTAACCGCTTCCCATTGACTGCAGGAGTCTCTCTTCCCCTTCTCTCCCTACTTACCGTCCATCTACCTCCGTGGTAGAACCATTCACAATGGGTAAGGAGCTCCATCAGTCCAGCGCCCGCATCAGCCATTGTCCCACCCAACCCTGCCGCCACACATGATGGTTTATGGGCAGAGTCGCGGCTGGTGTATGGCGAGTGGACTGTTGCGGTCGTTGCAGCCGTCATTGTCCCCGTCCCCGTCCCAACGGATACACGGCCAACCACCCTCCCGTGTTCGACTCGGCTGATCAAAGTCACAGATTCCAACGGCGCATCCCCTATTGCACCTACGCGTGCGTCTCCCTCGCCCCCGATGTCCGCCGCAGGATCGCCCCTCGACGAGCACTTGAACCGCGTGGCTAATGCTCATGCCGCAGCTCCTGCTCCTGCCACCGTCACCCACAAAGATCCTAAGATGGCCGCTCAGGCCGCCAACGACATGAACATTGTCCGCAGGAAGCTTACTGGATACGTCGGCTTCGCCAATCTGCCGAACCAGTGGCACCGCAAGAGTGTGCGCAAGGGCTTCAACTTCAATGTCATGGTAGTCGGTACGTCTGGGGAGCTTGCATGCCGCTGCACACGTCCACATGCTAACACGTCGACCAGGCGAGTCTGGATTGGGAAAGTCTACGTTGGTCAACACACTGTTCAACACGTCCCTCTACCCACCCAAAGAGCGCAAGCCCCCATCCCTCGATATCTCCAAGACCGTTTCGATACAGTCGATCAGCGCCGATATCGAAGAAAACGGCGTTCGTCTGCGATTGACTGTTGTCGACACGCCGGGTTTCGGTGACTTTATCAACAATGATGAATCCTGGGACCCCATTGTTAAGAACATTGAGCAACGATTCGACGCCTACCACGAACAGGAGAACAAGGTCAACCGCATGAACATTGTGGACAACCGCATTCACGCCGTGGTCTTCTTCATCCAGCCCACCGGTCATTCGCTCAAGCCCCTCGATGTCGAGGTGATGAAGAAGCTGCACACCAAGGTCAACCTGATACCTGTCATCGCCAAGGCCGATACCCTGACTGATGAGGAAATTGGCGAGTTCAAGGCTAGGGTATGTGGAAATCCAATGTCCCGTATTGCAATGCCATCAGACTAACAATCCCAGATTCTTGCTGACATCGCCCATCACCGCATTCAAATCTTCGAGGGACCTCGCTACGAGCTCGACGATGAGGAGACGGTTGCCGAAAACGCCGAGATTATGTCCAAGGTTCCATTCGCCGTTGTTGGTGCAAACGCCGAGGTTTCCACTGTCGACGGTCGCAAGGTCCGCGGGCGTAGGTACCCATGGGGCATCATCGAGGTCGACAACGAGGAGCACTGCGATTTCGTCAAGCTGCGCCAGATGCTCATCAGAACGCACATGGAAGAGCTCAAGGAACACACCAACAACTCGCTGTACGAGAACTACCGCTCGGAGAAGCTCATCGCCATGGGCCGCAAGCAAGACATGAGCGTGTTCAAGGAGGTCAACCCAGCGGTCAAGCAGGAAGAGGAGCGCTCGCTCCACGAGGCCAAGCTCCAGAAGATGGAGATGGAAATGAAGATGGTGTTCCAGCAGAAGGTGGCGGAGAAGGAGAGCAAGCTACGACAGAGCGAAGAAGAGTTGTACGCCCGTCACCGGGAAATGAAGGAGCAGCTCGAGCGACAAAAGCAGGAGCTCGAGGAGAAGAAGACGCGCATCGAGCAAGGACGGCCTCTCGAGGAGAAGGGCAAGAGAAAGGGTTTCTCGCTCCGCTAAGACGACGGCAACGGGTCCATGATATCCCCACGGATGGGTCACGCGGCAGCACGAAAACAAAAGGCCTTCCAGGCGACTTCCAAAACCTTCTCTCTTCCCTCTTCTACGTATCAGACCTTGTAATTTGGTGGCACGGCCGATACCACTGGGTGATGTCGGCAGCGGGTAATAGATGAAAGCGGCCCAGTGGTTCTGCAGATTGGGCGCGGCGGTGTTATCTCCTTGGTCAGTTGCTTCGGTTGTTGATTGATACCAGCAGCATTTGCGCTCCTTCCGGCTTTTACCTTTTTCCTTTTTCCCTCTGTTTTCTTCTTCTGATACTTCTTTTCCTCTTATTATTTAGTACATGGGCAGCAGATGTTGTATTGGAGAGCAGGCGAGGGGTGTACGAGGAAGGCATGGATGAAGGAAAGTAGCTTCTTGTCATGTATTCTACAGTTCATCCTAGCAGCCGGCAGTGGACTCGACATGGACTTTCAGTTGGTGACTGAGGCATGTGACGTTGTGTTTTGCAGCTAGCTGGTGTGCATGTGGTGACGAAGGAGCAGGTATGACATGATGTTGAGACAAGACTGACTCTGTTTGGGAGCGCTGGTAATCCACATGCACGCGCCAGAGCTAGTTACCGTAGTTGATATAACAAGCAAATGCCATCAGCAAGAGACAAAGCGAGCATCATGGGGATCGCCAGGGCTTACAGTGCAGGGTTAGCGTGGGAAGCTGTGTGGGACTGGCAGAGGGGTGAAAGCAAGCGAGCAGCATTTCGTCACCGAAAAACGCCGAATTTCCTTGCTGCCTTGGCTTTGGAGCTGTATGATCGCGCGTGCCACGATACATACAAAGCCGCATTATCACTCCCATATTATCATAACCAACCTCTCTCCGCACTCCACCCCGAAATCAACACCTTCAATCTGTCGCAAGACTGCTGACCCGTCTGCTGGTACGTCCATGTTTTTGAGTCTTCCACGATGCCAATCTTCCCACCCACGGCGGACACGGCACGAGCAGCATCGTCGTCATAAGGCCTAGTCTGTCGGACGACGGAGCCCGCGTACCAGCCACCACTGACTTATCCTGCTTCATGCCACATTGCACCCACATCCTCCACTTATCCATTGTCTCCCCATCCCTTGCTTGTTATAAAGCTGGCTGTTGCTGCACTTCCTCATAGCTTGACGAAGCTTCTTGCTGACCTGGTTGCTCCCGCCCACAGATAGCTTAGTAGCTTATACATCACACACCTCTCACCCCACTTGCTTGATTGCTTGCTCTCGCGACACCGCTCCCGAGCCGAGACATCCCACTCACCCATCGTCATCACCCTCCCCATCATCACCAACACCACAGCTGCAACCGCTACCACAACAACAATGGCTCCTCCACCTCCCGCTTCGATGCCGCTGGGCCAGCGCCTTGCTGCTCTCGCCCAGACGCTCCAGTTTGCCTGGTTCGCCGGCCACGTCTCCCTCTTGCTGGCCACGCTGCGCTACAGTCTCTCATACATCACTTTCAACACAGCCTCGAAAATGGCTGCCTTTACCTACCGGGTGGCCTTTTTGTCTGCCACCGTCACATACGGCATCGTCGTCTACAAGGCATACCGTGCGCGCATGAGGGCTGGGAAGCAGGGCAGCATTGTGTCGCTGGCCACAGATGAAAACGTGCAATATTTGTGTATGTCCTCCACATCACCTCTACCCCTCCAGCTCCCGGGGCTATTCAACTAACCACACGAACCAGTCATGGCCCTTGTTTGGCTCTTCTCTCGTCAGATCCCCGCCGCCATCCTTCCCTTCGCCGTCTACTCAGTGTTCCACGTCGCTACCTACGCCCGCTCCAACTTGCTGCCCACCATCCAGCCTCAGCCTGCCGGCGCCAAGCCTTCTGGTGCCTCAGACATGATTGGCAAGTTTGTCAAGGACTACTATGATGGCAGCATGACTCTGGTCGCTGTTCTCGAGATTGCTTTGTGGTTCAGGGTTCTCGGCTCCGCACTTCTGTTCCAGCGGGGCTCTTGGATCTTGCTCTCCATCTACACCGTCTTCTTCCGCGCACGCTTCGCTCAAAGCCAGTTTGTTCAGGGTGCCATCACCAACCTGACTGCCCGTCTCGATGCTCAGCTCGCCAACCAGAGCATCCCCCCAGCTGTCCGCCAGTCCTGGGGCACCTTGAAGAACGTTGTCAGGCAGGCAGCTGACGCGACCGATATTCGCAAATACGTTGGCGGACAGCAGCCTGCGCCCAAGAAGGCGCAGTAAGCGTGGTCTTTACATCCAGACAGCGACCAAGCTCCAGCTTGGGACAGTCGTAGGCGACTGGAGGTTGGCGCCGTCGGTCATGAGTAAACGGCAATGATTAAGTCAAATGATAATGAGCGTTTCGAAAATTGGGGTTTGTTGGACGTGGGCGATAGATGGCACAACATGACGAAGGCAGCGGTGGAAGTAGTTCGTACTTGCGCCTTCACCGCTACCATGATCTGCTGCTTCTTGAGATGTTTGGTTGGAAGAGAAAGGGTTGGCACGTACGCGTGCAAGTAGGATGGTTGATTGGAGATTGTGAATGGCAAGGTGCAAAACAGAAGGATATGGGAATATTTAGGGTCCATTCAGCGGATGGTAACAAAGGTCTGGTAGAATCGATACGAATCAATGTTTCGATGCGTCATCTTGGGTCTTTCGTGAGACATTGATGCTTTATGATGTATACTCTAGAAAGCTTGGTACTTTTTCTACATGCCAACACCGTCATTACTGGTCAAACGTTCAAACCTGCGTGAAGTCAGGGCCGGGTTTGAATAGGGTAATTTGTGAGGGCTGATTTCTTGCGGCGAGTATATATGAATCATTACGTTGTATGCTAGCCTAGCCAGACCAGACTTGACTGCATTTTTCCTTCCTCTCACTCCCTTTCTTTTCTCCTTTTTACTTCCATCATACGCTGTGGGCGATCGATTCATGTATGGTATGGGTGGCTTTCTCTACCCACCGCGGCACCACCACCAACGCTCCTTTTTTCAGTTCATCCCTACTCTGATTGTTTTTTTTTTCCTCTCCTCTTCTTGAGTATGGGGTTTGTGTGGTCATCTTAATGTCGTGTGTGTGTGATAACTCAGCCAGACAGAGGGAGTACAACAACATCATTGCCATATACTCACCGGTAGTGACTTACACACTCTTTTCTCGCTCATTATCATCTCTGTTTCCTGATGGTGGAGCTTGCGGATGAAAGTGTAACGGGGGAAAGACATGTTGTACTGGTTTTAATACATAACTTTTCCGCTTCAAACGTGATAGATAAACCTGGAGAAGAGCATCGAGATGAAGCAAATCCATTATAAAAGAGGAGGTGCGGGATCAGGAGGGCCTACTGTTCACACGCATCAGAGACTCTCTATAAGGGTGTGTATAGATGTATGTATAAGTCCGATTACACCATGCGCATCTAGCACATCATCTAACAGATTAAGAAAGACAAAAAGGGGTCGCAACTTATACGTGTTGGAGAGAAAAGAATGCGCAATTTATATAGCAAAAGTCGGCGGCACTTAACGGTGCAAGTCTTATATAATCACACACACACAGATACATATGTACAGACACACAAATATATACATCAGCATCTAGAAATAGGCCACTGCTTGGTAACCCACCCACCACCCCAACGCCACAGAAACAATATACAGCGATGGGGTGTGGGAAGGATTCCAGACTACTGCAGCAAGTATGCTGCGGGATGATAATGAGGGTGTTTTTTTTTTCTAGTGCCCCGGTCTCTGTCCATCCATCCATCTATCCACATAGCAGAATTTCTGAAGAGAGATAATGTAGCTTAGAGGCACAGACGGATTTTGCATGCACAAAATGAACACACAATCACACACACACACAAGAGAGAGGATCGAGGCGGTGAAGGAAAGCAGTTTGGTAGTTTATGGCTAAGCCTGAATAGGCAAATGTGGAGCTTCTTTCTGCTTTCGCTGGTTTTTATTTATTCATTGTTCGCTTTTTGGGGGACTGTTGGGGTTGGATTAAGGCCTGACTTGACTCGAAGGGGAGAGTTGATTCAGGTGTTTTTTTTTTTTTTTCTCTAATTCAATCCAACTGAGTAGTGGCAGGATTGTATTTGCATTGTTTGCCCGAGTGCAGGAGGGGTATTAGGGGGACTTTCAAGTACGTAGATGGTTTGTTGGTCTGGGGGGGATGGATGTAGAGAGAAATGTGCAGTTCATTCATGTGTGGCACAGTGGACTACCCATCTCCCTACCTCCCAGCTACACCCATCCATCCATCCCGTATCATTCAACACGAGCATATACACTGTCCCCTCCTCCGCCTCACGCCAGTCTTTTTTTTTTGTACAACACAGCACAGCACAACCGCGCTCGCTCGACCGGTGCGTCTTTGGCCCGGGCCGTCCGAGTACCAAAGTAACCGGTACCTAACGGTGGCGGTGCTCACGACTCCCTGAATCAGAGGAAAGTGGGGCAATTTTATTCCCACTAACTTCAAAACGATAAACAATAAACACATGAGACACGGGGATTGAACGCGAAATATTTTCTTTACAGGCGTGTGAAGGATAGAGGTAATGGATGGGAGATGTGTGTTGTTGATGCTATGGAATGGGTGGGGTGGCACGGTGGTAAACTATACGTCCGGGAGGTAAGAGAGAAGTGCGGTTGCGTGAGAACATGTACGGCGTAGCCCGGAGAATGGGTGTCGGCTCCTCTCCTCTCGTACTTCTACCCATCGTCCTCTTCTCCACCACTGCTAAACTTTACCCGCGAGAAAGCATAAGAGGCGGGGGTTTAGGCGAGGTAGGGCAGTCGTCAATCAGCACGCAAGCAAGCAAAGATGTCGGGATGGATGGAATAGATGGCGGAGATTGAGCGAGCATGTGAGGCGGCGGCGGAGGTACAGGGAACGCGGAGGGATTCTGTTATTCTGAGCTCAGCAGGGCGGCGGTACGGAGATGTGATGTGTGTGTAGGAATGGTGAAGATGGATATCAAGGTGTTTCTTGCGAACTTGGGCGGATTAGGGAAATGGGTAATAGTGAAACCGATCCGTGTGGTTGTTGTCGTTCGTTAAATGGAATGTCTTATTGTCGTCGTCATCTTGGAGAACGAACCTTGACCTAACCTGGACTCTTGTAGGATCGTACATACATACATCATGTACAAGCGCACATGTTTACGCCTTGGAACTAGGTAGATAGCTGTTTTTCAGCCAGCCATGAATTGGTCCTTGCTAATCTTAAAACACTTTTTTTTTCTGGCTGTTTCTTTAGTATGGAGATGGGAGTGTACGGAAGTTGCATGGAGCCAATCACCGGCAAAGGAAATTCATCTCTAAATATCAGCTGTGTTTTCACTAGAGAATTCGCCAGCGTCTACCAGCGAGCGAGCGGGCGGGACGGACACCTGTCCGATGAACCCAACTATCGAAACCGACGACCGATTCGCGATCTTTTTTCTTCTCCAACTGGTGTGGCTAGACTAGCTTGTTTGCTAGTCTGAGCTTTCATCGCAAGTGTACCTTTTTTCTTCTTCTCTCTTCTCCTCTCCTCCTTGTAGTAGTGGGTCATGATTTGCTGGACAAGTCGGTTTCCCAGGAAGCTAGGTTAGATGCTGCCCCTAGGTGCCGGCCGGTTCCTGGCGTTGTTGTTGTTATTGCTCCAGCACTAACGAAAATAAAAATAAAATGAACATGGGCCAAAGAACAATACATCATCATTATCGTCCATCGTCAGCCAGGGCGTTAGTCAGGCAATCAGTCGGCTAGATTTTTGTTAGTGGGTTGGGCTCGTGCCTGAAATGTGTGGCTGCTAGACAGCTCGCGCGAACGAGTGAACGGGAAATTTGCACCGGACGTGGTAAACAGATGAGGGGGAACGGTATGGACGGGGCTGGATCTGGATCTGGATTGCGTGGTTATATGGGCGGATATAGTGCTGTGTATATTGTGTGTGCGTGTTGCTGGATGGGATTGTGTAGAGTAAGTGCATACATATGCCATAGGGCAATGGATTTGTGGGGGGGTTAGGCTGGGTATGGCGTGCTGTGCAGAGTGCGTGGAGTGTGTGTGTGAGGAGCATGCATGCGTGGTGTGGAGGAGGGTTTGATATTGCCGTATGTGCCGTATACACGCGTATTGGGGCACCGGGGGAACGGCACTTTGGCTGGATACATGGCTGCTGAAGGGGAGGATGCCCGGGTCCGTGATAATTGCAATGCTGGACTGTGGGTATGCGTCTTTTCAATAGCAAACAATGGGTTTCTGAGGCAGCCGTGTTCACGAAATTTGTGGGCTTCCGTCTTTTTTTGTCACCGTGTGTGGAGCTGGCTCGGCGGGTTGGTACATAACATGGCTCCGCCTGTCAGTCAGCGCAAGCACAAGCTCAGGAATCAGCCGCCGCGATTCACCGTCAGTTTGTTTGGCGACCATCTCCCGCCAGGGCGCAGATGCACGCCCGCACCCCCTGGCCTGATCACTCAATAGCTGCTAAGTCTGTAGCTTAACTCCTCCTGCCAGCTAGCACGCACGCACCCAAGCACGGCACCCGGGAGGGGACAATGCAATCAAGACCAAGTATATAGACGCACCTACGCCTCTGCCACGAACCTCTTTTTTTTCTGCTCTTCTCCTGCTTTGCATCTCCTGCAACCCACACCTATTGTCTGTCTAGATCTATAAATGCAATACAGCCTCTTCACTATCCTTCGCTCACACACGATTGACTGCACACACGCTCAAGTCACTCACCTGGGGTTGGAATGAACAAGCAACAGCTACACCACCTACCACGACCGTTCGCCCATCACACCACCACCACCACCACCGCAACATGAACATGAACACACTGTCCCCGCCGCCGCATAACGCAATGCACTCGCACATGGACGACGACGACGACGCCGCCTCCACGCAACCACCCCCTTCGCCCGCCATGAGCGACTTCTCCAACATGGACGATGACGAGTTGGACCTGTATCTGGCGAGCTGCGTTCCCATGTCCAATCTGCCAACCCCTCCTACCAAGCTGCAATCGATACCGCCAGGCCACCGCAACCTCCACCCAGCCTTATGCACGCCTGCTCTCCAAACTCCGCCACCCGAGCTCGACGTGCAGCATCCTGCCTCCGAACTGCAAGGTACGTAGCTTTCTGTTTGTGTCGTTTCTTATTCACCCATCATCATTCCCGACTTCCCTCGTCCTGCTTTGGGCATCTTGTCTCGCGTGTGTGTGTTTGTGTTGGTGGCCCTGCACTTCCGAGGTCGCCTCCACCAAGACCCCTGCGTCGGCGGATGCCCGGGCCCAGTGCGGCCTTCCGTCATAGGGACGGACTATTGTTTCCCCCCTGAACATCAATGCTCTTCTTGAGTCCCCTCTGTGGCTTGGGGCTTGGATCTTGTCCTTGTACGCCCCGAATTCTTGTGGACGTTTCATCGATTGCTCGGCGTACGCATCGTATTCGGGACAAGGAGTGCTGACCATGTCTCAAAACAGTTTATGCCTCGCACCTGGTCGACCTTGTTCCCGGCGAGAATGACGACAGCGATGTCGTCAATGTCGTCGAGGGGTTTCTGCGGCGAGCCAATCTCCCTATCGAAATGTATGCCTTTGCAGGTTGCATCCTGGAAATGTTGGAGGCGCGGCTAGGGGCCTCCGAGGGCGGGTTGGTGATTCTCGCTGCGCTCGCACTTGCGCATGGTTACCTTGATGACCGCGGTCGCTCCAATCGACACTGGGCTGTCATCGAGGCTGCCGGTCGCTTCGACGCACACGAAGTGCAGCGCGTGAAGATGTCGATTCTCTCCGACATGGATTTTGGACTCTTCCGCATCAGCGATTCGGCGGTGAAGGGTATGGTGACGGCCATGCAAAACCGTCTCCCGGGTCCCTGCATCTCCATGCCCGGTGGCAGCGGCTTGACGGTCAACGAGGACGACGGATGGCTCAAGAGCGGGCTCAGCACATCGGCACCGGGACAAGCGATTTGGACATTCGGCGTGCAGACACCTGAGCCCAGTCCATGAACGTGGAACGTTATACAAGGTCGTGGCCATGGTCTATCGGTAGCCACCTCACCCCTTCCGGTATCTCGTTAGTGCGCATACGGTTCTTCTACGATACCCCCTCCCATCTTTTTCAACCTCATCTCTACGTAACGGCCCTGCTTCCTTTTCCACATAAACCACGGTTCGCATAATTCGGTTCGGTGTTTTGGCGATTGTTTACATTTTGGATTAAACAGCCTGGATATGCTTGTTTTCTTTCGCAGAGAAATAACCTCCCAACGGGCGCGTTCGGGAGGGTGCGGCATGTATCCATCTTGTTGGATGCAGAGGGCTGCAGTTGTCGACAGGCTGACGGATATTTTTGTCTCGTTGCTTGCGCGGTTTGTGGTTCACAGCACCGTGCGCATCGATTTGATTAGCATGATACCCCCCGTGAACCAGCGTTCACATCTTCCTCTACCGTAGCATACATAGCATAGCGTAGCATATATAGCATAGCGACATGGATTCATTTACACCACCATCTGCTCTTATCCCAATCTACTCGTATGCAGTGACGCTCATTACTCATCTCGATGGCCGGGCCACAATCCCATCACCGATGCAGCGCAGCTGGTTCGTCGCGTCGTGGTGTAGGTCCAGCCCCGTTCCGGATTCCCATTACCATTTTACCCCACCTCGATGCATACTCGAGCTCAACAAAAAAACCAGAACAGCTCCTCTTAGCTTCCTTGTCTTCCAATTGCCTAGCTACACGCATCCATGCACCATACTGATCTCAATTGCGATATCTGGTATTATTGGAATCCGACAGAGACCCACTCGGTTGCTGTTGACATTTGTGCGTTGCCGTCATTCTCGCATGATCATGGCCACACCTCTGGAACCCTGATTTACCTTGGCCTAGCTGCTTGCAGTAGCTATAGTGGAGAGGAGCGGAGCCCATGCGGGGGAGCTAGTCTACCTGTGTTTGTTTGTCTTCACTGCTCTGCTCTGCTCTTCGTGCTGTTTTATAGGGAAATGGCGAGTTGTTGCGTCTGCAACAAGTACGATAGATTGACGCGCAGGATAATCAACTACCAAAGTCAATTCGTATCAGCAACTATTCAAAGAATCCCATATATGTATGCATGGCACACTCTCTTCTTGCCATGCATTGGAATATGCTGGTCGATGCAGCATCAATGTATGTACCTGTGCCACCAACCTGTCGTTATGTGCCGCGCTGCGAGTGATTGAGCTTAGCAACTCCACCAGCAGCATCTAGAGCTGGTCTCAACGAACCTGTACATCTCCTGATCCCATTTATATCCCTCTCTTTCCCTTTTCTCTTCATCCCCCTTCTCCTGCTTCTTTCCTCTGTATATTGTTACCCGTCATTTGACACCTTCCCCCTCCTCTCTCTTCCAATCTACCCCCAAACCTCCACCACTCCCCCGCCTCCAAAACGTCATCCCCATCCCACTCACCCCTCCGCCCCACTACCCCACCATCCCCGCTCTCTCACAGGCACTCTCTCAGCAACACCAGCTTCGCCGCCATCGATATTCTCAAGATGGCCTCGGCTGTCTCTTCCAATTCGACCAACCCGCGGGAGCGTCGCCCTTCCACGAGCGCCCCGCTGTCCGACTTCAAGGGCCCCGTTGGGCCGCAATTCACGAGACCGAAGCACAAGAGAACCGTGACGGGGTTTGGTCCGGGCGAGATCAAGAGTGTTGAAGCCAGTATTCCCGAGCCTCAGAGGGCGGCTTGGAGGAAATTTGTAAGTTTTGCTGCTTTGGGTCTTTTCCAACCCTATGCACACCGCACAGCGCAGTTCGCTATCGAAATCGTGAACAACTTCTTCTAACGAGATCTCTTGGGCAAATAGACTCCTAAACCCTTCTCGAACCCCGATCAGTTCACGGCCGAAGCAGTTCGACATATCGAGACCACTCTCGCCCGCTCCCTTTACAACTGCGATGAGGCGGCGGCGTATGCTGGCACCGCTCTGGCTTTCCGAGACCGCTTGGTCTTGGACTGGAACAAGACTCAGCAAAATCAGACTTTTGCGGACCAGAAGCGCGTATACTACCTATCCCTCGAGTTCTTGATGGGTCGGGCGCTGGACAATGCTATGCTCAATGTTGAGCAAAAGGACAGTGCTTCCAGTACGTGATATGCAAATGACAAGACAAGGTGTATGTGAGTAGAGCTAACGACTGGGTACAGAGGGTCTTGATGATCTCGGTTTCCGCATGGAAGATGTCATCTCGCAAGAACACGATGCCGCGCTCGGCAATGGTGGTTTGGGACGTCTGGCTGCCTGCTTCCTTGATTCCATGGCCTCGCTCAACTACCCTGCCTGGGGATACGGTCTGCGCTACCGATATGGTATTTTCAAGCAGGAGATTGTCGATGGATACCAAGTCGAGGTCCCAGATTACTGGCTTGACTTCAATCCTTGGGAGTTTCAGCGCCATGATATCACGGTAGACATACAGTTCTATGGCCATGTGAACCGTTGGCAGGATGATGAGGGGAGGCAGCACTCTTCTTGGGAGGGCGGTGAGATTGTGCAGGCTGTGGCTTTTGATGTCCCCGGTATGTACGTGACTGTTATATGATCATGCATTTACTAATGTATTCATACAGTTCCCGGATATCAAACCCCAACCTGCAATAACCTCCGTCTCTGGGGCAGCAAAGCCGCTAGCGGCGAATTCGATTTCCAGAAGTTCAACTCTGGCGACTACGAAAGCTCGGTCGCTGATCAGCAACGGGCTGAGACTATTTCGGCGGTTCTCTACCCGAACGACAAGTGAGTCAGCTCAATTAGTGTACATAGAGGGTGTGTTTGCTAATTTAGTGAAGTTTGGAGCGCGGCAAGGAACTTCGTTTGAAGCAACAGTACTTCTGGTGTGCAGCATCGCTGTACGATATCGTACGCCGATTCAAGAAGACCAAGCGTGCCTGGAAAGAGTTCCCTACTCAAGTCGCCATTCAGCTCAACGACACCCACCCAACTCTCGCGATCCCAGAGCTCCAGCGCATATTGGTCGATCTCGAAGGACTAGATTGGGATGAGGCATGGAGCAGTAAGTCACGCCTACACTTTGCCTCTCCTACATAATCCACTGACGCTTCACAGTCGTAACCAAGACATTTGGCTACACAAATCACACCGTGCTCCCGGAAGCTTTGGAGAAGTGGTCCGTCCCGCTCTTCCAACATCTCCTGCCTCGCCACCTTCAGATCATCTACGATATCAACCTCAATTTCCTTCAGTTTGTCGAACGCAATTTCCCAAAAGACCGTGACATGCTCGGCCGTGTTTCGATAATTGAAGAGTCAAACCCCAAGATGGTTCGCATGGCGTATCTAGCGCTTATCGGCTCCCATAAGGTCAATGGTGTTGCTGAGCTCCACTCCGATTTGATCAAGACTACCATCTTCAAAGACTTTGTGAAGATCTACGGGCCGGACAAGTTCACAAACGTAACCAACGGTATCACGCCGCGACGATGGTTGCACCAGGCAAACCCCAGGCTTTCGGCTCTGATTGCATCGAAGTTGGGTGGTCATGAGTTCCTCAAGGATTTGACGTTGCTCCATAAGTTAGAGTCTTACGTCGACGATAAAGAATTCCGAAAAGAGTTCCGTGAGATCAAGTACGCCAACAAGGTGCGACTGGCAAAACACATCAAGGAGCACAATGGTGTCACCGTGAACCCTTCGGCACTCTTTGATGTCCAGGTGAAGCGCATACACGAGTACAAGCGACAGCAGCTCAACATTTTTGGTGTCATTCACCGATACCTTGAGATCAAGAAGCTGTCCGCGGAAGAGAGGAAGAAGCTTGCCCCTCGTGTATCTATCTTCGGTGGTAAGGCAGCTCCTGGATATTGGATGGCGAAGACAGTCATCCATCTCATCAACCAAGTTGGAAAGGTGGTGAACAACGACCCGGATGTCGGGGACCTTCTCAAGGTCATCTTCCTGGAGGACTACAATGTCAGCAAAGCCGAAATCATCTGTCCCGCAAGTGATATCTCGGAGCACATCTCCACAGCTGGTACGGAAGCTTCTGGCACGAGTAACATGAAGTTCTGTTTGAACGGTGGTCTCATCATCGGTACTTGCGATGGTGCTAACGTAAGTTCCTGCGAATTTCTTCTCGTTATCCTGCATATTCTAACAGCTTTTTCAGATCGAAATCACACGCGAAATCGGAGAGCAAAACATCTTCCTTTTCGGCAACCTCGCAGAGGACGTCGATGAACTCCGCCACGCCCACCTCTACCAAGAATACCAACTCGACGCGGACCTCGCCAACGTTTTTGACGCGATTCACTCGGGGACCTTTGGTGATGCAGGCTCATTCACAGCCCTCGTTAACGGTATCGTCGAGCACGGCGACTACTACCTCGTATCCGACGATTTCGCGTCGTACATTGAAACCCAGAAACTCATCGACGAGAGCTACAAGAACACGGAAGAGTGGACCACTAAGGCCATTACATCGGTGGCGCGTATGGGCTTCTTCAGCAGCGATCGATGCATTGATGAGTATGCGGAGGCTATCTGGAATATTGAACCTCTTGTTCAAGACCAGAATGGTGCCGGGGCTTAGATTAAGCATAGATAATTGCATGGGGAGGGGTGTGTTTTTCAGGGGTTTGAGGTTCACCCTAGTTTTTATTTCAGTATATATGAGTCTTTCAAGGCTATGAATTTGCATTTCAATTAATCGGATGGATTTAATGACGGATAGTGTGAACGAAGAGATTATTGTGGTGGGATTGCATTGCCGTCTAAGTACTTGTGGTATAGTCTTCCTGCGCAGAGAGCGGATGCGATGACAGCCACCAGAGATGCGATGGTCAACATATTGAGTATCTAAACCATCCTCAGAAATTTGAACCATAGAAAAAGCGGACTCTTGACAATCTCTGCGTTGCTTTCCCAGGAGTGGATGGGTGAGGGTTGATGAGATGACTAAGCTGAGACTCAATGCTCCCAATCATCTAAGCCGGGGTGCTTCGTATCATCGTCACTTACGCCAGACCTCCGACGCAATCTGGCCGGAGAGCTCCAGCTGCATAGCTAGTCACAACACCAACAGCCATGGCGAACAGAGGATATGATGTCGTCGTTGACGTTGATCAGGAGGTAAGCAGCCATCAATGTCTACTAGATTCGAGACTTCTAAAACCTGACATTTCCCCAGGGCGACCTAGGCCATACGGACCTCCGCGAGGACCTCGAATTCCACAGCTCCAGTAAGCTCTTCTCGATCTCATGAGAGTACCCAGCACGCGCAATCTAACTAACCCACCCCAAAAGACTTCGACAATACCCCCGACTCCCGCAACAAAATCCAACCCGACACCGCCACCGCCGGCTTCCTCCCACCCCCCGCCTCCTCTTCCTCCTCGCGCAAACACTACCTCTGGACTCTCTCCTTCTACGCACAAGCCTTCGATGTAGACACAACCTCCGTCATCCACCGCTGCACCGCAACCTTATACCCGCGCCAAAACTTCCTCGACGTCCTCGAAGGCAACCCCGATCTTTACGGCCCGATATGGATCGCGACCACCGTCGTCGTCATCCTCTTCCTCACGGGCACTATCAATCAATACCTCGCGCACCAGGGCAAAGACCACTTCGCCTATGATTTTAAGCTGCTAAGTGGGGGTGCTGGAATGGTGTATGGATATACGGCTGTGGTGCCTGCTGCGTTGTGGGCTGTGCTGAAATGGTACGGGAGTGAGAGCGCGAATTTGCTCGAGTGTGTTTGTCTGTATGGATATGCAAATTTGATCTGGATTCCGGTGGCGTTGATCAGTTGCAGTCCTATCAATAGTGAGTTTCTCCTTTCCCTCCTGCCTTCCCCCCATCTTCTCCTTTTAACCATCCTCTCCCACACCCGAGAATGATCAGATGGACATTTGGCTGATATGTGAAATCGCGATTTAGTCCTCAACTTCGTATTCGTAGCTTTGGGCTTTGCTGCGTCGGTCTTCTTCCTCCTCCGCAACCTCTACCCCGTCCTCTCTTCCACCGAAGCCAAGACTTCCAAGATTCTGCTCGTTGTCGTACTATTGCTGCACGCGGGCTTCGCTATCGCCATCAAAGTGCTGTTCTTCGCTGCTACGAGTCCCGTGGGACCGAAGGATGGCGATGGTGCTGGGACCGGCGCGGATGCGGGCGGGGAGGGTGAGAAGAAGGGGGATATGCTTGTGAGGATGTTGATGGGCTGATTGTTGACGGGACGTGAAGTAGAAAGAAAGAGACAGAGTCTGTATGCAACGTGTGGATTAGATGATAAGGGGATGAGCTTGTGTATGATTAGATATTTTGGGTGTCAATACGCCTTTTTTCTGGCCTTTTTCTTCCATCATCGCCATTATCATCGTCTCATCTGTGTGCCATTGGAAACCCTGATATAGAGTCTTTCTTTTCCACCCTTTTGTTCTTTTATTCATACCGCAGTCCAGTAGTACTCAACAGTTTTTATCTTCTGTCTCAATCCACCCGTCCGACTTCTCCTTCAGTGCTAAACTCCCACGCTCTCACATACCCATCCTTCTCTATTCTCCAACAACCCCCAAGAAATCCGAAGTTATTCACACCTCTTCATTAAATTCCCAGGCAAATACAATTCCATGCCCGTTTTTTAGCCAACCTTTACACAAGACACAATAATAGTACATAGTGTGGTTCCGAGCATCAAGTAGATCTATGTGATCATATCGAGAAGGAGATTTAAAGATTGAAATCTTTCTTGTATTGTAGCTTATATGTACTTATGCATCTTTGTGTTTGATACTGCACAGGCTTATTTTATATCCGGTGAAGGCAGCTGACGTCTTGACATGCGGGTTCTTGATGATTGGTTGATTGGGTCCCGGTTGGAGTGGTTGCAGGGGTCGCATTGTAGGGGTGGCGCTTGTACCCGGCTGCACTGCAATCTTTAGCCTGGAGGAGGAGTTGGGGAGACACCAGATTTTGGGCCATTTGATGGGAGGGCGCACTACAATTTCTAGCCTGGGAGAGGAGTTTGGGGATGAAGGCTGAACTGTGTAATGGGTCCCGCCTGGCTTTATCTTCCGGAGACATGCACTGCAATTTCTAGCCTGGGGGAGCAGTTGTACTGGGGGGTGAGAGAGGTTGAAGGGTCTCGGTGTCCCGGAAGGCTGCGTCCCAATTAGGAAATGCACTGCAATCTTTAGTCTAGGAGAGGAGTTAGCAGAGGAGTCGGGATAGGATGATGGTGTGTTGGCAAGGCTGAAAGTTCTTGTCGTTGTTTTCGTTTTCGTTGTCGGTCTCCACCAATAATCAAGAATCGTGAGCACCACGACGATTTTACTGAAATCTTTAGCTTCGGAGAGAAGTTGCAGTAGGAAAATAGCTAGGCTGGATACAGCGGGGAGTGGCGGTCAACTCAGAATTTGAGCCTCATGCACTGCAATCTCTAGCCTGGAAGAGGAGTTGAAAGCAAGGGTGGCTAGAGTAGTGGGTGTGCTGGGAACGTTACAACGGATCTTTCACTGCAATTTCTAGCCCGGAGGAGAAGTTAGACTAGAGAGGGAGAGGGGCTGAAAGGCGTAGGGTTAAAACGTGCGGCCTCCCTCTACATTTCCTCCCTGAGGCCAAAGATTGCAGTGAAAAAATGAGGATACCCTGAGAGCTTTCCTCACCGGATCGTGGCTTATACGTGGCAACTTCGAGTGAGAGCGGAAGGTCTAAAAAATTGGTAGTTCCCGTGTCACTATTCACTCATACAGTCGCATGCAGAAGATTCTTTCGCTACAATTCCGAGTGCGGAAGAGAAGTTGGGGAGAGGGAGAGGCAGGCTGAATTGAAAATACTCGCTCACCGGACCCGGTTGTACACGCAGCATCCCGGGTGGGAAATCGAGAGGCTCGCATTGACCAGCCATCTTGCGTTTTCTTTTACTGCAATCTTTAGCCCTAGGGAAGTGTTGACAGAAAAAAAATTTTGAGCGCTTACACAGCGATTTATAGCCTCGGTGAAGAAAGTGTGAGGACTTGGGCGATTCAGCTCATCGATTTCACTGCCATCGCTGCAATTTTTAGCCTCCAGGATGGGATTCAGGATGACAAAGTACATACTTCTGGATCTGCTACCCCTCTTTACACTGCAATCTTTAGCCCCGAGAAGGGGTTGTGGCATACTTGTGAGGCTGAGTCTGCAGGCAACAGCTTTTGTGTCAAGAGCCAATATTCTGTGTCTCACTACATTATATAGTCCACTGACCAACCTGAAAGTTGAAAGATTGGTAGCGCACCAGTATAACTGTTGTGGACTTCAACGTTACAAATTCCCTAAACTAGGAATGTTATCCAATGTATGATGGTAATTGCCAATCTGAGTGAGGAGTTAACATATCGCTGCGCAGTTTCAGGTAGGAAAGTTTCGCCAGCCCATAGGCACCAAGCGAGGCAACCTGCACTGCAATCTCTAGCGATGTGGAGCAGTTCTGAGTATGTGGGTGATCAGGCTGATTCAGGAGTAGCGCGGGTAGGAGTCAAGCCACATCTTCACTGCAATCTCTAGCCCGGAGGAGAAGGCTGAAGACGTGCCTGGTGATCGCTTTGAGGCTCTTCCACTGAAACTATTATCCTTTTCAAGAAGTTGGGACTTGTGTGAGCCAACCAGAGAAATGCATCGATACACCGCAAACTTCAGTCTCGAAGAAGAGTTGCAAACTATCATGGGATAGGTGTGGCTGTGTACTGTAGCCGATCGAAGCCTATTGTGGCTTGATTCACTACAGCATTCAGCCTGGGCGAGCAACTCAAAGTGTCTACTATGTTAATCGATGCTTGTCAGTGAAAGTACGGTCATGTCTGTGGGCGGATCAAGCGTAGACTCTCACTACGAACCAGTCTTTGTCGGGGGAAATTTGATGGAGTAGGTAAAGTGGCACAGGTCGGATTTTCTGTTTTTACTCGAGTTGAAATCGATCATGATCCACTTGAACATAGGGTGAACTTGAGGCAATTGAGGTGGGCACACACAGTCAATATATAAGTAATTCTGTTTTCTTTCCTGCAAGACGCTGTATTGCACCTGTCCTCCTCTTCTACGCCACAGCTGAATGTTCATTTCTTGATCATCCCTTAACTTCAACCTGCTTTTTTTTTTCTCATTATAGAACTTTCCGCACCTATGGCTCAACTTTAGATGGTTTCCTCGTGTACGCGCAAGCAAAGATCTCCTATAATGAAAGATGGGATCGTCGAGCTATCGATCAGTGGAAATCATGCATTTCTTCTAGATTGTAATCATTTGCAACTGCTCGAGCACCTAGGTCATATTAGTATTGCAATATTGTATTTATAAGACGTCCATACTCACCGTCTCGGAAAACCTCACTGCGACACCGACGCCATCGGAATCCGTGAATTCACTCTCGTGCCCGAATATATTCTCTTCCGTGTCGTCCAAGCAACTTAGGCATGTAAGCACTACATCGGTGTAGCGTCTGCCCATGCGATTTGGCAGATACCCCGTTGCCTCCATAAGACGAGCCTTCAAAGCCAAAGACCTCCTCTTTTCTTGCTTGTCGGCTAGGATCTCTTTGGTGCCGATGAAAGGCAATAGAGTTGGCTTCTTGTCCTTATCGTACTCAACAAATGAAGTCCACAACCCAATCTCGAGTAGCAAAACGCCTAGGCTGTAAATATCGTGCTGCATCATATAATCAGTTTCGGGGTATAATCCTTGCCGTGATGGGTGCCGGTAGACGTGTCTCTCCAATCGGGCGTCTCCTTTACGGCGAGTCCATCCATCTGCCGGCCGAAATTGCTCAAAGCCCATAAGAAAGCACTTGCCAAGTTTCGACTCGTTATCGGAGAAGACAACAACTGTTTCAGGACGGATGTTTTTGTGAACGAACTTCGAATTGTGCACGAATAAAAGGGACTTGGCTAGGCCTATTGCCAAGTTCAGCCGCTCGTTCATTGAGGAATCCGAGTTCTTTTGTCGAAGTAAGTAGCGTAAAGATACTGGGCTCCGAAGTCCGGCAGGCAGTGTGAACAGCATGTTATATTTCGGTCGATGAGCTGTGGCCGACGAAGGTGCCTGGTAGAATACGCCCAAACAGCTCAGGAGACCGAAGGTGCTTGCATCTGATTGTTTTAGGATCTCGCCGAGATCGTGAATGCTTTTGGAAGTGCGATCGAGCTCGGCCTGCGAGTCTGGCGTTAAAGTATCCACAAGCACCTGCTGAGAGCCATACAAAGCAGACCCAACAGAAGAATACGGGATCATGCTCTGGAAGGAATAGCCCGCGCTCGCAGAGAGCCATTGATTCTGTTCTGAAGCTGCTCCTCCAACTGCTTTCCTTAACAGTCGCAGTCGCCTAACAGGCTGCCCCGGCGCCGAATCATTTTCGCCGAGCCGAGGGTCGAGATTAATGCCGGCAACGCGGGTGAGTAGGTAAAACGCAGAGTCGAATCGCGTATGCCAACTTTCGAGTTTTTTGACGGAATCCTCAATTGCTTCAAATACAAATGAATACCGGAGCGCTTCCGAGCTTGCCTTCTTTCTCAGTCGTTGAAAGCGACGGGGTTTTCGCTCTTCGGCCCCAGTAAGATTATCTGTAGCTGCCTGGAGATTTCGCTTCAAGATTTGGGCTAGGTCTTCGAAATGCGTTTTGTGTCGGGTGCTGAGGCCGCTCCAGACTGTTTCCAGCAACTTGCTCTGGGCGTCTAATCTGATACAGTGATCGTTGAGCTGGACAGTATGATCTCGAATTCGCTCATCAGCCTGCTGATACATTTGCCATTTCTTCACGAGATTGTGACCGGCGCTGAGTTGCATTAGCCGCACGGTAACGTTGCGCAGTGTTTCGGGTTTGAGCGGCAATACCTACCCATAGCACCAGACCAGAGTCGCAAAAATTGCAAGAGGTGCGCCGACCGGATCAATCATGTTAACGTAGCTTCTGAGAATAGGAAGTGGGAAAGAAAGGTCACTTGGTTTGATATAATATTGGTCACGCAGAAAAGACAGGCCATGCGCGGTGCTGAATGCTGCGCAAATGGCTGTGTTCCAACAAGCGGCCTTGCGACTTTCCTTGTTTTGTCATCACATCGCATTGATAGGATGACAACCGCATCGGTATGTACAGCCTCGTGTGGCTTGAGTCTAGACTTATGCATATGTGCCTCAGGGTAACACTGGATCAGTCCACCATTTGATGGCCTGCTGGTGCGTACTCAATTCTAACAGATGCATCTAGGTGACGCACTTGAAATATATTGTATGTTGATTTCTTTCATGGTCGTCAATATCAAGACCTGGGTGTTGAAAAGCTGCTGCTTTTGATGCCTTTCAGAGCTCGGCTGGGTCTGTTGTTGGAGTCGCGGAATGCGCCAAAGCGGCCCCCTAGTCGTGCGAATTCAGCATAGTGAGCCACCCCTCCTCACCTCCCCCAATCAGCTCCCCTGTACCTCGTCTATGCTCGTATTTGCCAGTCTCTAAACGGAAAGTATCATTCTCTACAGCTCGTATACTATTTATGGTAGAGGTGCTTGAAGACAACCTGCCCCTCTTTTCAGCGCGATTCCCCAGCCTTGCCCGTCAACATCCGCTTCAAGTTCTCTCACTTGGACCGAAAGTTCTGAAAACTCCGTCTCGCTGGTAGAGAAGCTGTTCGCTCGATAGTCGAAATCATCCAGGATGTCGCTCGAGAGATCTGATCTCGTTGCTCACTTCCGGCTCGATGCCCGAATCTACGATGATTACACGGTGATGATGAAGAATGTGCCTGGCAAACGAAACACCAAGAGGGAAGAGAAGTGGGTGAGATCAAACAAGAGACCATTCGCAGGCGGCGGTTTCGGAAAAGTCTGGCTCGAACACGAAGAGGCAAACCCTAAGAACGTTCGAGCCGTCAAGGTCATTACCAAACCACAGTCTCAACAATGGTTTCAAATCGAATATGAGCAGGAGCTGTATGCTTTAGCGGCCTTGTCAAAGGTGAATGGCCCATTCCTTTTCAATCAAACTCCCGCTAACTAGCGAGTTTAGCATCAAGATTCTTTCTGTGAATTCCAGGGATGGTGGGATGATGACTTCGATGTTTTCCTGGCAATGGAATACTTCCCACACCGTGATTTGACGAACTGTATCAAAGCCGAACTACCCGAAAGCGAAGTCAAAGATATCACGACACAGATTCTCGAGGCGCTAGCGATACTGCACCGGATGGGCATCACGCATCGTGATTTGAAACCGCAAAATATACTTGTCGTGGAGCCAGGGCCCTCGTGGTGGATCAAAATTGGTGACTTTGGGATCAGCAAGCGGATCGGCCAAGGGTCTGCGTTGTACACAAGACAGATTGGCACCATCGCTTATATGGCTCCAGAGGTCCTTGATGAAGACTCCGACGATGCGTATACCAATGCTGTTGATATATGGGCAGTGGGCTGTATCGCCTATTCCCTTCTCACTTTCAATAACATATTCACGGACAGGAAAGCAATCCGCCGATATGCGAAAGGAGATATGAACCTCGATGCGGCATGGCAGCAACTGAACGCTAAGAAGGCTTCCCCGATGTGTATCGATTTCCTGAAGACTCTTCTGTCGCCCATAGCAGACTCTCGTCCTTCAGCTGCGAGAGCTTTACAAAGCACTTGGATCAAATCACAGCTACCAGCAGATACCAAGCCTGCTTTCAGTAGCACCATGGGAGAAACCACGAACACTGGACCAACCACATCCCCATTCGGATCCCAGAATCCATTCAAGCAAGCGTCATGTGTCACTGTAGTGGATGGTGGTGACACAATCGGGTCTCAATACACTTCTGTTACTACGAAGTCGGATGATTCGTTCTCGAGAGTCACACAAGTGAGAGCTTCGAATAGCGGATCTCAGTCGTCTATTCCACCTCCCTTTCAATCGAGTACCATTGTACCTCCTGGTATTGGTGGGGGTAACAGCCAGGGCTGTAATGCAAGATGCAAGTGTGCCATCTGCCTGAGCTGCTCTTGGACTGTGATGCCAGACAGCACACGGAGCGAACAAGTAATGCATACTTGTGATAACGGGTGCTTCGGAACCCAACCAATTTGTATAGACTGTCTAAGACAAATCGACGGAGGGATTTACGTATGCCCGCGCTGTAGAGAAGTACCAGAGGAAACCTACACACGCAAAGGTCATAAGCCATCTGGTTTATCTGCCGGCAACAGTGTGCAAAATACAAAACCCAAAAGTCCAGCACCACCACCGGTACCACCCCGTATTTCGCCAAATGTTCAGCAGCCGCAGACTACTGTCAAGACTGAGCAGCCTCAGGCCAAACCCAAAGTTTCCGAGACGGCACAAGCCAAAGCTCCCGTTAATACTCCCATTTCTCCGCCTACAATACAGCCGGCCTCGCTTTCCCAACAGCCGACTCTGGTAAACCCGCCAGCGCCAGCACCACCAAGGCAGGGGATACAGCCTGAGGATTTGTTTGAACTTTTCGAGACAGCGCTGAGCTTCGAGAAGTGTTGTGCATGCAAGCAGCCTACGGGCGATGAATATTGGTCATGTAATGACTGCCTTGCCAAGAAAAACCGACCATATCAAACCTGTCTGTCATGCATGCCGCTCATTACGGGCCGGCTCGTTGGTTCGCACTGGAAAAGCATCTGCCCTGGGTGCCTGAGTGGGGACTGCTACTTGACTGAAAAGTCGAGTGCCTCTTCGGCACCAACCACATCGCCGCTTTCTTCACTGCTGACTACCCGATGCACCGACACTTGCAAATGCGATAAATGTGGAACCTGCGCATTAACTCTGCCTTCCCATTGGAAGTGCAGGCTTTGCGACCGACCCCGATGCATCACATGCGCTGGACCGTCAAAACCAATTCCTTGGTGTACAAACAGTCTCTGCCGGTCCGAGATGATGGTGCCGGCCGAGCGTAATAAACTGGAAGTTTTGGCGCCGCCACTCGCGACAAATCTGATTAATCTGTTCAGACAAAAACCGTTACGCATCGCGTGTATTACGTTGGGCTGTTCCTGCGACCAGTGCGGGGAGTGTTCTAGAACCCATTACACATATATGTGTGTGGCGTGTACACCGACGGGATATACGACGTCAAGACACATTTGCCAGAATTGCATTGGTCAGCCGTTGAGGCTTGACGTAAGAGAACAGCCCACATGTCCATACTGTATGGGAGTACGCTTCAGGGTTTACGAACCAAAGCAGAAAGGGCTTCTGTTCTGATTAATTAAATGCAGCATTTTTGGACTTGCTATTGCGGCCTGAAGATTTCCTTTGGTGTCTTGTTTAGTCTCATATCTCTTGCTGGGCATTGTAATTGACTGTACATGTGGTCTATTATTTCTGAAACTATGTAAACATCCTGCGTTGTGGCATCATCAATACCCTCGATGGTATTAGATGCGGATGAAGCATGGCGGTCAGATATACTCAGTCTATTCGGGCTGTCCTACTGAATGTCCGAGACCTTAGGATGTGGCATTAAATACAATTTTCTATATTTCACACGATATGCACATGACATGCGATGCTGCAAAACCGTTATTACAGGATGTAGTCGTCTAGAGGGAGCGCATTTATACACAATCACGCGATCAAGGTCGTTCATTGCACACGTGGCAGTAATTGTATACATACTTGCATGGATTATGGGCTAAAGTACGCTGATCCTCAATGAGCTCAGTTTACGTTGCGATCGTGAAGACAAAAGTGAACTTCGTAAGAATTCGATAGCCCTTTCTGATCGCGTTGCGTTTTTGAAAGCGGGCAATGATATGTCAATCGTTTAAGACAGCTCGGTACATGTTTCAGTTGTGTGGAGGTATTTGTGTTATTTGGCATGTGTCGCAGTGGAAGGCCCATTTAGGAGCTAAGATAATGTAGAATACCAGATGGAAAGCATGTGAATATCACGTGATTTGGGATTCTGAGAACAAGCGCTCGGAAATACGTCTCTCCGAGCGCCCTATATATAGACGATATTTCCTATGTACAATACAACAGATTACACCTCATTTTCTACTCTCCTGAATGGTGATTTACAAGCTCTACAATAGCATGTTTACTTGTATTTGCATAAATGTGGGGCTACTACTTGTTTCTCTTATGTCAAGGTCTGGTTACAGGCTTACCATAACCGATAGAACTATATCCCAGGAATGCTGTTTATTATTTATACACGAATGATCCATTGAGTTGAACGACTTAGCAAGAAGCAGATGATGTCACCATATTATCGTCCAATGATTATAATGCTAATTCATTTTCATTCGTAGGAGTATGTAGCAGGATGCCTGATCCCTATAAACAAAAGTCTATCCAAGCTCCAGTAAAGATCGGAAGACATCATCAGGCGTCAATATACATTGGGTTTCCAGCCCTATACACAAGTTTTCATCCATATTTTATACATATCCAGCCTCGACCATTCCCATATTATAATTAGTTGTGGAAGTTTCCAATTTCCATTCTCTTCTTGAGCCTGTAAGCAATGGCGCGCTTCCTGGAAGCGTTGCTCTGAGTGAAAGCGACGGAGCCACCGAATGGACCAGCAGCGGCACCGTTGCGCACACGAGCCACGCAGACGTTGGTAGCACCGCCGACTGTAGCATCGCAAGTCATACCGGCGGGCATCTGGACAACCATCTCGAACTCGGTCGATGTAGCGAGAGAGATACCTTGGACACCAAGACCCGGGACATCTTTGGTGACTGTGGCATCTTGGAAAGCACTCGCGTCAGTTCCGCCAGATGTGCCGTCAACGGAAGCCTCGAAGGGACCGGCGCCATCCTGGTTGATCTGTGAATTGTTAGAAAAGATGTTTTCGAGATCGTTGAGGGGAAGCTTACTTGACGGAAGGTCATGCTGATCGAACCGTCGTCGCCAGCGGTCGGCAAGCCTGCGCTCGCACCCTCACCAGCAGAAGCCGCAACACGAGTTTCGGGGGCACCCTCAGCTTTGGTTCCTCCACCACCGAGGAGGCCACCAATACCAGTAGCACCGCCTCCTCCGGCAGCATTACCGCCTCCTAGCCCACCGAGGAGACCACCGAGGAGCTGTCGCTTGGCACCCGCACCTCCAGCATTCTGAATGTTGTCCTCAACACCCACGGAACCGGAAGCTCCGTTGTTGGTGGGAGGAGCGGCACCAGCACCAGATCCCATGAAGGAAGCAATCATAACAGCAGCGTCAACAGGACCATTGCCTTGAGTTCGGCCAAGGGGTCCTGCTTTGCCCGAGGAGATTTCGCTGTCTCTGATAATTGCTGTGTCGGCCTGCGAACCGCATCCGCTGTCGTAGCATTAGAAATGAACAGACGGTGATGTAGAGAGAGAGGACTGCCTACTTGGAAGAGCAATCACGAGGAGTGCCATCGGCAACTGTGAGACCAGGCATTGTGACGCCATTGGCACCATTCATCGATACGACCATGCCGTGAGCAGAGACATAGGTTGCCAGACCGGCGACAACAGTGATTTGCTTGGAGAACAGCATATTTGCGAGGTGGTATATAGATTTTGGGTGGAGGTGAGGAAAGATGGAACGGAAGAAGCGATGATATTGCGAATTAATAATTTGAAGCTCCAGGCTCTGTCGAAAAGAAGAGAAGAGAGTATGACCCAATGGAAGAGGAAAGTCGAGGCTGATGATGATAGTTCATGACCTGACGCGGTGGTCTGTTATATACTTCGCCATGTTCAAGACGATTTGACATGCCTTGTTCTGTCTCAAAGGGTATTCACGCAGCCGACCAATGATTCCAAGACTTCCCATCGAGGCTCCTCGGTCCAAAAGCGTGCTCTCTGCCTGTAAGGGGACAAGGTTTGCCCAAAAAAGATGGACAATGCTACATAGAGTTGGTGCCGCAGCATTGTTTGCATCAAAGGCAGAAAAAGTGGCCTTGGCGACACATTCATGTTTCTGTATGGCCTTGGCTGTATCGAGCAACCACTAAGGCATGATGGTCGCATTTTTTCGACTAGGCGTGTGGCGTCGAACTGTAAGGAAATCTTCTAGGGGAAAGGCTATAGCGCGGCAGTGGAAACATTTACCTAACCTTGTCGCTTTTGCCCTCAGCTATTTTTATACACAACGACAGTGGGTCATAGCCAACCGATGGGGTTTTTACAATAACAACTCATGTGCTGATGTCGTCTAGCAATGATGCCTTGTCGACCCCAGAATTCATTCGCGACTCTCGCGTCGACTTGTATCTACTTGACATAATGATGACAGTCCGTCAGTTTTGTTGAACCTATCAATGTAGCAGGACAAAACAAGCTACATTCGAGGTAGCGTTGCACCAACCGGTGACACTTCCTGCTCATTCAGACGTCGCGATGCTGGAAGGCCAGCGTTTCATTCCGCGTTTTACCTGAGTAGAACAACTGAGGGTCAAACTTTGTACACCTGTTTTGAAACCTGAAACCTCAGAATCTGGGTGAGCGAGGACAACAAATCATTTGGAATAAAACGTTACGGATGAGATGGTTGCCGGGCGTGGTGTGGGAGTTGCGACTCAGGGTGTGCAGGGCAGCTCGGATTATCGTTTGTCCGCACTAAATTTAGGCCCAACCTTCAAACTAGCTGCGGATGCCGAGGTCGAAAGAGCGAGCTCATTCTTCCACCAAATCGCCCACGTCGCCTTCTGAGATGCCAACTGAGATCCTCATTGTGGGTGCTGGTGCTATCGGCGCATTTTATGCATCACGTCTGGCTCTGATACCAGATGTGAATGTAGCTGTCATATGCCGCTCGAATTATGCGGCTGTGAAAGAGCATGGTTTCGAGGTTACCTCACCGCAGTATGGTGATTATACATATACGCCATCTCACACGTTTGCAAATCCAGATGAAGCACGGAGCAGTGGAATAAAGTGGGACTTTGTGGTTGTCAGCACGAAGGCTCTCCCCGACGTCAGCGATGACTCTGCTATACTTGAAGGCTTGGTGTACGAGAAGACTGCCATTGTATTGATTCAGAACGGACTGGGTGTCGAAGATCCATATACTAAAAGGTTCCCTGGAGCTGCAGTACTCAGCGCAGTCACCATCGCCAGCTGCGCACAGACAAGTCCGGGGCACATCAAGCACAATCGTTGGACGCGCATCAATAGCGGGCCGTACTTACCTCATCTCGACACTGGAAGCCCGAGAAGCTCGGACACGACAACCATCGAAAAGAATAATGCGTTCATTGGGCTCTTGAAAGAGGGCGGTATCAAGGATGCCGAAGCGTACGACCATGCCAAATTGCAACTTGTGCGTTGGCACAAGATTGCCATCAACGCCTCCATGAACCCTTCGTCTGTTCTCAGTGGCGGCATTTCCAACAATAAAATGTCGCTCGATTCGGAACTTTCGATTCATCTCAAGGGCGTCATGGAGGAAGTTCTTGCCACTGCACCCAAGGTTTTGGGAAAGCCGCTGCCGTCAGAATTCGCATCTCCCGAACAAATTTTGCGCAGCACACAGAAAAACACCAGTGGAAGTAAGCCTTCTATGGCACTGGACTGGGAGCAAGGCAAGACAATGGAGCTGGAAGTTATTCTTGGAAATCCAATCAGGATAGCAAGAGAAAGAGGATTTGAGATGCCTAGATTGCAGACCTTGTATGCGCTCTTGCGCATGGCTCAGGATATGAGAAATCAGGCGAAATCCAAGAGCGCACTGTAGAATGTAGCTGCTATGTGGTACTTGCAAAAAATACCCTCTAGTTCTTCGTGTAAGCCATTGAACGTGAACCTGACGTGAGCTAGGGAAACATGGTGCATACGAAGATGTGCGATGCCAAAAGGAAGGGGTTATGTCAATTATCAAAGCGTTGTGCATACCCAAGATCGTTTGCCTCATAAGGAACGCCTGATTGACTATTTCTAGAATGCCTCTTTTTCTGGGTACGCTGATCGTACCGTGACGTCCGACCAGCAGGTCAAAAGATGATGAAATATATTACGGTACGCGGGTTTCTAAGCCCACACCCTACAACCGTTTCAGCAACAGATCCACGAATTGATTTATATTGTCCGTTTTCAGCCTGCTTATAGGTGTTTCAAGATACGGCCAATCAGAGGACTTCAAGCCGCGAGATTACTTAAAAAGAATCCAGCAAAGCCTCAGCACTTTTGTTTTACGGAGGGTAATTGGCGGCCTTGTTTCCTGTGGAAACAAGAGTGACCGGACGGGGTTTGATTTTATTGGGCAGCTGCCTGGACCTGCGCTCAGCATAAGCGGCCAAGCTTTTCAGACACGAGCAAATCCCCGAACACATGTAAGCAAAGCTTCTTGTCGCATTGTTTACCTTCATAAAGAGTATTGCGCTGACTTGACACGGCGACACGACAGCTAAGTGCAATGACAATGACATAGATGATCTCACACGTAAGATTTCCAGTCAAGTTGTCTTGTGTTTTCCTAATGAGGCTACCTCAACTCATGATGCGGATATCAAGGTGGCGCAGAGCTATATGTTACCCCGGATGTAGACCAACATAAGATGAATGTTAAGCATAGACATGAAAGTGGCACTAGTAGCGTACTCCCTCTCCGCAGATTCTCGGCTGCATATAAGAGTGAAGGATCACTTCTTCAGATTTTAGCTCCCATCTCCTATCGCCTTTTTCGTCACTTCCTTTTCATTCTCATTCTTCTTAAGCGTTTATCCGTTGCCCGTTCTTTCTCTCGTTCAGACACCAAGTATTTATTCATCAAATACAATTCCATCAATTTCAACGATAGTCACCATGAAGTCATTCATCTACGCAGCTCTCTTCACCGCGGTTCTCGCTACCCCAACAAGATATGGCGAGGACAACCGATGCTTCTGCCCTCAGCCCAAGATCTTTTGCCCCCAGGTCTACCCTGAAGTAAGTTCCCTTAGTCGTTCTGAGCCACTCATATTGACTTAATTCAGAGCTGCGAGTGCATGTACAAAGCCCAAGAGGCATGCATCAAGAATCTGCCAGCTGATTGCCCTCGTCCAGAGATGAACTGCCCACCACTTGACGTCGACAGCAACAACACCGGAAAAAAGTGCGGTGGCAATGGAAACGATGTCCCTAAATGCTCGGACAGCCAGGTGTGCTCATTCGAGGGTGTTTTCCCGTGGAGCCCAGAGGACCAGGGCAAATGCGTTGAGAAGACCCCGGTTCTCAAGCAGAAGTGCGGAACACGTGGATCTGCCCCATGCCCTGGAGGGTACAAATGCTATCACGAGGAAGACCAACACCAGGTCGCCGATCTTCCTGGAACATGTGTAGTCAACAGCTACAAGCCTTCCGGCCAGCCTACGGGCACCAACCCCAGCGTCAGCAAAAGCTCCTCCGTGGTGATTCCAATCACCTCTTGCACCTCTTCAACTGGAACAACGCAGCCTACCGATAAGCCTGAGATCTGTGGAGGATTTGCTGGCATCCTATGTCGGGATGGTTACAAGTGCTCCTACGAGGGCAACCCTCCCAACGTTGCCGACCTCCCTGGAAAGTGTGTCCCTGATAACAAGCCCAGCTCGAAGTCTTCCTCCGTAGCTACTTCCAAGACCTCCCCTGCCGTTCCCAGCACCTATGTCACTGACGTCAGGCCCACCACTTCTGCTGCCGTAGCCTACTAGGTCTTTGGCTAGGTTTTGGTCATCTTACGCATTGATTGGATGACGGAGAATCTTCGTCGAGAGATTGTGAGAATAAGAGATGTCATATGTTTGGGTTGAGATAGTCCAGGTCTGCTGGTATTTATTCTTTTCTCGTCAAGTCAAATGTGGATACTTTCCACTCATTGACTGTTCATTTTCAGCTTTATAGACAATTTAGATTCTTTGGACACAAAAACTGCATGACTCATGCTGCGCAGGATTTGAAATTCATTCATGTTTCATTTTCAGCACGGCTTTCTGGAAACCAAGAACAACTTTTTTGATTTATTGAATGACACTTGGTGGTAGCGTTCACGTGATACACAGCGGTACTCACAGCTGCAGGGCACAAAATCGACTACCACAAGATAAAATCTGAACCGCCACGAAAGCTTCGTAGACGAGCCGAGTATTTTTCCAACCATTTTGAGCCTCTCACCTTTCTCACATCTTTCCCTGGATCATGTTTCGACACCGAAGAGGGATTATCACTCTGGAACTGCTTCAGCATGACTGCAGTGCGAGATGCGGCCTGCCAAGACCAGAGAGGTTGTTTGTTTGCTACCCTAGGGTCAATGCGAGTTGATTGGACAAAGACAGCAGACAAATCTTGTCCCACCAGGTCACCTCGAAAGTTCTTGAGCTGCCCTCCGTTTGTTTTGTTACTGCACCTTCCACATCTCATCTTGGGAAGGAGCGAGTGACCTGTCCACCAATACTTTTGTTTGTGCTTCTATACTTGTGTACACGTCTAACTGATTGTTGTACAGGTGTCCCAGCACGTGGCGTCCGCGCAATCAAAACAACCGCCATCAACAGACGACTGGTGCAAACGACCGTTCTCCGACGATTTGCTGCATATTGCCCCGATACTGCATATTGCCACGATACTGCATATTGCAACAATACTGTATACTACCGCAAACTATCATCCTATCGCGAACGGCTGGCTTGTGAGGTGCGTCTAGTTACCCCCAGAGACGATTGTACTCGGCTCTGAGCTTGAACCGTATACGATACGACACGTGAAAGAGAAGTTTGTTCCTCACTCTCAGTCAGATCAAGCGGGAGGCTTGGAGGAAAAAGTCTCTCGGGAACAATGGATCCTCCGCAGTTAAGGCGCGTATTCAAAGACAGCGACGATGGGGTACTGTCAAGATTGGAAAAACTGGAGCTGAATTTGTCTACCGCTCAAAAAGAAGGTGAGTTTTGTGCTTGCTCTACCGCCATTTACTGACAGAACTAGTCACCGGCTACCACAAAGCTGTTGAGCAGCTCTCGGAGTTGAATCAAAATCTTCAGAATCATGTGAAAACACTGGAAGAAAAAATTCTCAAGCTCGAAGCGGGCATAGCATCTACGGAAATGGGAACAATTAATTCCACAACCCCGAACAAGAAGAATCAACTCACAATTTCGATTCCGAATTCGAATAGCACAAATGCCCCCTGGTTTGAGATGCCGACGCCGATTTCAGCGGTAAGTTTAGCTACAGCTGTTTACTCACCTTGAGACTGATCCATAATACTTTAGCTTGGGCCCAACACCGGTTTCCCCCTGGTCGACACGCTGCACGGAGAGCACACTTCCTTAGATCCACCCAACCCTTTTCTCATGGTGCCCAACACGCCCAAGACGCCCAATAAGTCGCGTGTAACACACAATCTGCTTCGCAGAAAGCCGATACATGACCTGACAGCTCAACTCCCGCCAGCCAACGTACGCCTACCATTGATACCAATCACAGACGAGGAGTTGATTGTGTTCTTTTTCAATGGAACAACACATCCTGCCTTTTCTCTGCGCCTGTACGCGCGTAATTGGGGTCCTACACAGATAGTGGGACTGATCAACAATCACCGAGAGGTCAAGCCAAAAGGCTACATGAAAAATACATGCAGTGTCAGGATGACTACAGCTCTGAGGCGCGGCCTAAAAGAGTATGGAGAAGTCTGGCAAGATCTATCCAGCCATTTCTTCCGCTCTGTGGACGACGCGGTCGCTACGGATGCGATATCGTTTCTTGGAGACGGTGTTGAATATGTCGATCATCAGGTACTGAGCATGACCAACTCACTCAAAATATTCCCAACGGGCAAGGGGAGGGGAATATTCACAGAGAGCCTGGCATGGTGTGTCGAGAATCGAGCCGATATAATGTTGTCGCAACTCCACATTGTTGCTCTTGCACTTTCCAGGGGTGCTGATCCTGCAATTGCGGTCGCGAGTCTCGTACCACCCCAATTGTTTTGTTCCATGGATCTGGATATGACTGCTCCCGCGCTATCCCCATTCCATGGTTTGGGAGCCAATGACGGGACAGTCGAAAGATAGGTTATCGTTTTACCACTGCCCCATTGAAGGGCCTCGAAGCCATCATTCACCAACCGACTGATATAGTTGTTCTTTCGAATGACACCCCGTCGTTGGAAAACCACCTACAACATTCCCTATCAAATTGGTTTCAGGGTCTCTTCTGGTCTGTAAAATATTGTAAGAATACGAAGATGCCGATTGAAAGATTTCAAAATTGTTTGGAGATGGAACGGGGAAAGAATTTCGAGGCAAGAGCGGGGGTCTAGGGCTGAGGCAGTGCCAGGAGGACAAGGTACACCATCATCCAGAGGTTTCTGTCCCCAAGATTTGGAGTTGTCTGGAATAATGTTTGCCGCTGCTATGAATCCTTTTTTTTTCTTTGTTCAAACTTAATGTTTAATGTAATACACTCTGACTTGCAGACGACAGAGGTTTTCTTCCAGTCCCAGATGGCTGTCGCAATGTTCTCAGTCTCACGTGATGGCAATATTCACTAATCAGAATGCTAATGTATATCGTAAAGACCGTACATAAACGCCGTCCACAGGTCGCGCACATATCGCAAGTTGATATACGGAGAAATCAACTCACGGAGTGGATGGCCAGTGGATTGGAAAAGGCAGTGGCGACGAGTTATGCGCTTTTCAGACATGCAGTCTAAACTACGATGGAAAGTGCGACGCAGGTCAAGGCTCACCCTGCCGTTACCAACGACTCCAACGACTCTTCCATGATACAGAACTCATTCAACTACGTGACGAGAAGACGGGATATCTCAAGACTGTATTTCTACATTCACATCACTATACTCTATCAATCCGACTAAAGGTGAGACACCCGCCAACAACAAAGAAGAAAGCGGCACATCATCATGCTGTGCGAGACGCTGATCTAGTCTGAGCCATCATCCTAAGATACCCGAAAAACTCGACTAAGCCGCCTGGTCTACGCCCCGATTATTCGAAATAACTGCACGCGCAACATGACCAACATAGACTATTTCGAACTGTCGCCCCCCAACGTCGATCAAGGAGGCCGTGAACTACCCTGCGCTGCCAATGCCTCCGAAGATCGCGAGGTTCGGCAAACGGAATCAACCGATCACAGCAAAGCTATAGAGAATGATACCTCGGTTGTTCGTCAAGTGAGGAGGGATGAGAAAGTGGAAACGTCCGAAATCGACCCTAGCTCAGAGAGAGCGTTGTTCACTGAATATACCACAAAGATTGACGATGCGCCTAAAATGTCGAAAACAGAAACGCAGAATCCTGAGCACAACATTTCAGACGTACGTGAGCGCCGACGTTTGCAATTCTACGCCTTGAACGTGCAGCTTGAGACTTTACGTAAAGAAGCAAGGGACACGCATGACATTGATGAGAAAATAAGTCTATACCGCCAGTCTGATGATATTTTTAATCGAATTCATCAACTCCAAAAGACGGAATGCAGGGATTTTTTGGGACAATTGCGGGTGTGGGTGACTCGGGGGCTCTCGCTGGCAGAAGTCCAGGAAGAAGTCACGGCTGAGAAATTCGACATAATGTTGAGCGAGGGAGTTCGCAATGTGGCGTATCAATTGACATTTGGCGGTCTCTAGGCTTCGAAGTGCAAATGGAAAGGGGTGGTTGCAATGGTCTGAGAATGACTGGTCCGAGAACTATTAAAAATGGGTTTTTCGAACCCAGATGTGGTTGACAATGATTGTTTGGAACTAATGCACTTTTGAGATGAATATTTTCCAGCCAATCGATCTCCAGAAGAATTCCATCGCGAACCTGACAACTCGTTGCTGATCCCATTGTTACGGAACGCTTTCTACATAAAACTGAATATTGAACAACATGGAGTATATGAAAGGGGCGCTACTCTCATCTTCTCCTACCTGCATCCTTCAACCGAGACAACACTCTATCTCGCAACTACATAACATACTCTACCGATCTATCTCACCACTTGCTGCATAGCATACTCTACTGGTAAGTCTCACCCGGGCACATGTTGGGATCACATCTTGTACATTGTTTTGGCATACTGGTTGTTCATCGAAACAAGTCCGCACTGATTATACTGATCTTCTCTTCGCAACCTTAGTCGCCATTCAAAAACCGTAATTTCATCACACTTTCCGCGACTTTGCTTGATTACCACCAAGATGTTCCCTTACCGTACCACCAATCCCAGAAACGTCCCGCAAGTGAGTACCGAGGAGTGTCTTCGCCACGACATCTCCTTGATCAATGACATTCTCGACAATGCCGCGATGATTGCAGGTCCGGCACTTCCACCTCTACTACGCCAATTGCCGCAACTGAACCAGCGTCTAAGCGAAACATATCCTGTTTTTATTAGATTTGCCCAGACCAGCCCGCAAAGCCTTGTACATTGGAGGTTCTGTCAAGAACATTTGCGAAAAATGGCTCAGCTTAACCTGAGTGATCCAGTAGGCTCCTTCAATACCATGAGGCTGTCATGGAGGAGTTCTCAGCAGACGCATCGCGCATTTCCATCGCCTCAGCCAGGCCATGGGTTGCCGATGCGACAGAATGCCAATGGATTTTTATCTACCAGGCAGGTTCACGTGGCTCCGGACCTGCAACAGATCAATCCCCCGTGCGCTCTGGGGACTCCAGATAGGACACAACATTATCAACACGGTAGCCAGCTACAGCATTACCGGCCAATATATAATGCCTTCCAAAATCTGCAACCCGTCTATAATCATCACATTGCTGGTCCTAATTTTGCCCCGCAAGATTCAACATCAAGTGTCAACTTTCCCCTGAATACCCGCGCAGTAGAACAATGGGTACAATCTGGATCTACTACTGTGCCAGTACATCCCACTATCAGGAATGCAACACTACCCGGAAACCGATTCAGTCCTCTACCGAGCCCTGCCCCTTATACCCCTCCGGCGAGCTCTCGACCTACACCTAGGCCGCCACAACCTTCCAATCTTCGCCGGGCTGCCCCCAGTACACCATCTCTCCCCAGCCCTCGACATCTCGCACCGGCAAAACCACGGGCTACTAAGCCGTCAGAACCCAGGCCCCATCGTGTCGTCAAACCAGCAGCACCCACTCCTCGCTCAGACCCTCACCCAGAACAAACTCTGGAGCAGGCCCTCATCCACTTCAACGGCACCCACCCTCCGCCAGAACGTCCGAACCCCTTCATCCAGCCACCTCGCCCTACCACTCCTGCCCAGTCTCCACTACCACTTCCACCGCCCAAGAGCGTAATCTCCACTTTGGCTCCAGAACAGCTCAAAGCAGCCCGCATAGCACACAACAAACGGGTGTTCCGCGAGTTGTACAAGCAAAGTGTGAACGTCCTCGCGTACTGCTTCTACGAACATCAGGAAGCACGTCGTCCACTGAAGATGGGAGAGAGACCAAACCAGTACTATGTAAGCTTCATCTCGAACCAGAACTTGGAGAAGTACGAGAAGGCGGAGGATAAGCGTGTGGTACTTTATGCGAGGGAGAACTGGCAGATGTGCTGGTCTGTCAAGGACTGGGAGTTGGCGAGGAAAGAGATGAGGAAGCGGGGGTGGGAGGGACCGACGGAGACGGATCATGTGTGGAGGATTTGGGGGTAAGGGGAGGTAATGCGATCGGATGAGGTGCAATCTATTATTGGTTTGTTTCCGCGTCGTGTCTTTCCCCTGGGACATTGGGGGAGGAGCGGTAGAAGCGCTGAGCAGTGTTACATTGTTGGGGAGAAAGATAGGGATATTGTTGAGTTGAAGAGATCTTGCGTTGTTGCAATCCTGTGTTTCTGCCCCATTTGCAGATAGATGTGTATCATACGCGTTTGTATGGACGGTGAAATAAAAGCTACAATATCCTTCCTTGTGCTGGGGACATCCTTTTTTTTTCCAGGTAATAGCACGTTTGCAGCCACTCATTCACCTATCCTAAGAGATGAAAGCGGAAAAAGGGCGCATAGAAGGATACTCCGGGGTTCCGAGTCTCTGTTTCCGCATCAATTGATCTTATCACTGTCGGTAGGACGAAAATCTCCTCGCAAATGACTTTTTTATTTTTTTTATTTTGCCACGTTTGGAAGACTACCTAATATTATTCCTACATTAGTGTCTTGCAGAATATTATTGATAACTTGTGAACATGATGATCGATCGCATCTTTTGGTATCTGGATTATTGAAGTACTGAACGTCTAGATCGTCAGCTCACTTGCCGTTTAAGGCAATATGCTACATGAACCAAAAGGACGTGCTTATCGATACGAGTTTACCCAGACTGATGCCTGACGGACATCAACAAACATGTTTACCAACCAACAAAGCTAAGCGCAATGACAACAAATCCTCGCCCCAGGATCCTCCTTCTCCTCCCTTCCAATATGACTTGAACACAGCACTCCTGTAGCAAGGTCGCCAACAGATCAGCAATGTCCGACCCAACTCCCGCTCCCACCGAAACAATCGCAGACGACGACCTTTGCCCAGTACGCAACCCTTCGCCCCAAGAGATTACACCCACGAGCAAATACTAATAAGACGAATCTAGATATGCCACCTCCTAATCCTCTCCCCGGTCCTGACCCAATGCGCGCACATCCTCTGCGCATCCTGCATGGCACAATGGGCCGATACAAGCACCTCAACAACGCCCCTCACCGCAACGCCTCTCCTCGACCTCACAGCAACCTACACCCCGTCCCTCTCAGCCTCGTGCCCCATGTGCCGCACCCAGACAACCGCACACCCGTCCCCAACCCTCGCAGCAACCCTCGCGCAGAAATACCCCACGACGTACGCCCTCCGCGCCGCAGAAGAAGAGCAAGACATTCTCGCCCAACGCAGCAACGAGACAGGCGCAGAAAGCATCGTGTTATTGATCGGGAACAAGCACCGGATAGAGCGAAGGTCGGACGATGGGAATACGCACGATTGGACGTTTTTCGTGAGGGTTAGTAGACCCGAGATGGTGAAGGAGGTGAGGGTGTATTTGCATCCTACGTTTCGGCCGCCCGTGGTGACGCTGCGGGAGCCGCCGTTTGAGGTGCGGAGGCTTGGGTGGGGCACGTTTAATATTCGGGTGGCGGTCGTGTTGGAGAGTTGGTTTGTGTGGGATGCGGGGAGTGATGCGGTGGGGAGGGAGTTGGCATTGGAGTGGATGTTGGATTTTGAGGGGAGGGGAATGCAGAGGAGGGTTAGGGCTAAGGTTAGGAGGGTTGAGGGAGAAGATGGGGAGAGTGTGTCGAGGCGGACGAGGAATGCAGTTAGGAGGGTGCAGGCGATGGGTGATGGAGACGGGGAGTTTGAGGTGTAGGGTGGAGGGAAGTTTGGGTACATATATGTGCGCTGTTATGCGTGATATAGTGACAGTCGGTTCTACTTGACTTGGGATTTCGTGAGGAGTGCTTGATCCTACCAATATGTTCGGGAAGCTCACGGAGCATGCAGATAATGGACGTATATGTTCATATGATATATAATGAAAACAGAGTAATCGTTTATCTACCCAAATATTACTCTCATAAGGATACCTTGTCGTTGCAAGTTCCCCATGACCTCAGCATCCGCCCACAGAAAACCCCAGTCACATGATCCTCCGCACCGCCACACCCGCCGCCACACAATCATGCACCGCATCTCGGCTCCTCCAACCCGCAAGCGCATTGGCAAAGAAAGCACACGCCCATGCACGCGACCATTCAGCAATCTCAAGCTTCCCGGTCTCCCGATCTCATCGCCTTGGGAAACGGTGCCAAACGGCGAAAAGCGTCTTGCGATAACAAGCTGCTTTTTCAAGCATTTGAACCCTTCTTTGCCGTGCGTATTGCGCAACGTTGCCAAATCGGTGGCGGGGGAAGCTTGATGTCACGTTGGTTGGGCGCATGATCGTCGCCGCCAACTGTCTTGTGCGAGATAAGGCGGTTATCAGTGTCGATGTTGGCTTTTTCCTTACTCGAGTTTCCTTACTTCTGATCAAGTCTTTCCCTCATGTGTATGAGTTTTGGTAGATAATCGATATTTGTTTACCCACCTTTGCAGCACTTTTGCTTGGGTTATCCACGAGTTCATATACATTACACAAGAGTCGGGCTGGTCTGAAGAAGGCAGGATGTGTCGCTGGTTCGCATACATCAGTCCAACGGAGCCGTGTCTGTTGTCCGATGTTCTGATTACGCCCGCGAACAGCATCAGTAAACAATGTTCAGGTATATCGGTCTGCTCAGCTTCGATACTGCGACTACTGCTGACAGCGTTGCCAGAACACTACCTCCCCGGACTTTTACCCCACGATAAAGACCATGATCTAGACCATCCCTCCGATCCACTTATTCGAATGCGCAATTCACTCCTGAACATGGACGGCCTCGGAATCGCATGGTACAACTCAGCGGCGGCCTCGTATATGAAGTCTGTATCAGGACCTAGACCAGCCCTATACAAATCACAATCTCCACCGATTAATGACTTCAACTTCCGCTCGCTGTGTGAGAATACGGAGACGAAATGCGTGTTCGCGCACATCCGGGCCAGTTCAGGAAGCGCGGTGACGCAGGTCAACAGTCACCCGTTTGTGTTCGGCCGGCACATTTGGATGCACAACGGCGCCATCACGGGCTTCAATGCGGTCCGTAGGGAATTGACGGACCTGCTTTCGTTCGATGCGTACTGCAACATATTTGGTGCGACGGACTCGGAGCATGCGGCGGCGCTGTACATGACGAACCTGACGCAGTACGGTGATAAGACAACATGGCAAAAGACATACCCTTTGGACGAAATGCTGGCGGCGATGCGGAAGACGGTCATCCAGATCATGACTTTGCAGAAGGTCAAGATCGGCGAGAACCAGCGGACACCGAACTCACTCAACTTCTGCACGACGGACGGCGAGAAGATGGTAGCTATTCGGTTTCGGAACCACGAGACGCAGGAGCCGCCTTCGTTGTACTGGAGCGAATTCGCGGGACGGTCGTTGAACGGCAAGTACCCGGGCAGTCCTGATAGGGAGGGTTGGGTCAACGTGGAGGCAATCATGGGTGAGGAGGAGAGAATCGGCAAGCATACGATCATTGCGAGCGAGCCCACGACGTACGACGAGAAGGAGTGGCATTTGATAGGGAAGAACTGCGCGCTCACTGTGGATGAGAACGGGGTGGAGACGGAGGTTCCTATTCAATATGATGGTCGGTTGAATGCAGAGGACAAGAGTGCTCATAAAGCAACACAGCAGTCGACGGAGCAATTCAATTGAACCATCAATCAATCAATTCATTCATCAATCAACAAATCAAAGGTGCATGCAAGGATAGAACGAGGCTGAGATAGACAGTGCACAGCAAACGGTGACGGTCCAAGTACAGTGCTGATGGATGATCGGAGTTTGGGTGTGTTTCGCCTCGGGCGGCTGCTGTGAAACAAGCAGGAACGAGCCCGCCTCGTGGCTGCCGTCTGCAGGACCCCGTACCCCAAACCAAAAGAAATCGCGAATGGCACGGCAGACGCACCGAGCGCTTGGTCGATTCCTACTTGAGCACTTGTTTGTCATCGGCGGTCATTTGTCATCCAGGGCAATGACTCAAATCGCCCTGCAGATATATTTATCTTCACTTGATCGCTGCCATTGGACCCTTTGCACTCTGCATCCTCTCTGCTTTCTCCCAAACCGGACGCCAATCTGCTAAACGAGACATGCCAGACTGTCACCGTACCCCGTATTGCCTGCAGCAGCTGTCGAGCTGTTGGGACGACCGAGTCCGCTTTGGGGCCGCAGCACCGCGGCTTGGGAATGCCCTGTCGTGATTAATCTCCGGTCAAGAGAAAAACTCGTGTGCCGGAACCCATCCCTCGATACAGGATTGTGATCCTAACCCACGGCCAATCTTGCTGCGGGGAACGACGCCAAGGCGTTTACGTACAGCTGTGTGTAGCTGCGAGGGGACCAGGAGTGAAGGGACGAGGGGGTTCGCGACCTATACCTCTATGGGGCAAGACGAGACATTGGATGATGTATGCAGGTGGAAGGCAACGGGAGGGGGGATGGCTATGGCAATGGCAAAGACAGACGACAATGTACAGGACCAAGGCCGCAACGCGCACTGTCAGTGCTCGAGAACCGGTGCCGATCTACCCATCAGGAGAGAGCATGGACAAAAGCCACCATCTATCAGCGTGCAAAATTAATGGCGGAAGGTGGAATTTCAGTGTCCACTCTGGTGGTGGATTGCGCGAATAGCAAAGACGACTAACCCCCAAAGGACGAGCGCGGCCGTGTTATGGAAATGTGCGGGCCAAGAAGTGGAAAGGAAGTTTTTTCTCTTTGGCCCTATTTTTCGCGGTCGGTGAGGAGGGCGGGATAGGGCAGCAAGCATGCAAGCACCATGGCATGATGTTTCCAAGAGGCTAACAAGATGTACGAAGAAGCGTCGCTGGCGGATCCGGTCAAGCCAAGGCTGAAAGGATGGAGCAGGCCGGGCTTGCTACGAAGAAGGTGACCAAGAGGTGAAAGACTTGGTTGCCACCGTCGCGAAGGCTTACACGGTCAGCCGGCTAGTTGGTGGCACAGCACTGCAGAGAAACAAGAGGCCCAGCCTATGACCTTATCTGGAGGCCTCGACCGATGGATCGTGGCCCATCTCCCTCCAACCTTTTCAGGGTCCAGCAGCGAGTGACATGCAGGCAGGTCTCAGAGGCTGCGCGCCTGAAGGAGCCTCTTCATACGGGGCCATCGCATCTTCTGCCTCAGCACCGCGACGACGATTGCGCGCAAGGAACCCACCCCCTCGTGCGCGCCGGTGGGGAGTGGGGAGACAGAGCGTGGTGTGGGAAACGAGCGCCTCCACCGCACGCCACGCGCTGTAGCTCCCCTGCTGTTGCTTGTTGGAGGATGCTTGGCCTCGGCCTAACCGTCACAACGCGGGCGGGTGATTGGCGCCCAGGAAAGCGGGACACCAGTGCGGGCTACTTGGGGTTAGCGGAGCCTCACGCCCGCCGGGGTCGAATTCGACCACCCTGTCTGCGCGGGACGCCCTAAACATGCTTTCGCCCTCCTCCACCCACCAGCAGCCCTCACTTGCCTGCATGCCCTGCCTGCAATCAATCGCTTCCTGCTACCGGTATAAAGGCTCGCCTGTCCCCTTCGCTGCTGCTACCCTGGTCAAGGGCTCTTCTGTTCAGCCGCTTCCCTTCATTTGTTTTGTTGTCCTCACCACCAACATCCATTGATCCTGCCTGCCTGTCACACTTTATTTTGTGACCCCTCGCCCAACATCAAGTCGTGTGCTCCACCGACTGATTGACTGTATCCGTCTACAGCTGATACAATCACCTCCCGGCCACCCAATTACCCACGCGACCACCTCCTCCATTGCGCCACTCTCACCCTCTTTCTCCCCCCACAAGCAGTCTAACCAAACCTGACCTACCTACGCAACAACTCCCTCGACGCGACAATCTCCCTTTAGCGACAATGGCCTCCAAAGAGTTTGATAGCTCTAAGCAGTATGACAAGTCATATGTCAACGAAAATAACAGCGGCGATATCGCCCATGGTGAGATGAACGACAATGCCGATGATCTGCAACGCCATCTGGGCAATCGTCAAATCCAACTCATCGCCATCGGTGGCTCCATTGGAACTGCTCTGTTCGTCTCCATTGGAGGTGCTCTGGCCAAGGGCGGCCCTCTCGGTACTCTTTTGGCCTACACTTTCCACTCATGCATCATGGCTCTGGTCAACAACTCCATGGCCGAAATGATGACCTACATGCCTGTCAGCGGTGGCTTCATTCGTCTAGCTGGCCGCTGGGTTGACGACGCTCTTGGTTTTGCCGCTGGATGGAACTTCTTCTTCTACGAAGCTCTACTGATTCCCTTTGAAATCACTGCCCTCAACCTCGTTCTCAGCTACTGGAGAGATGACATTCCCGTTTGGGCTGTCGCCATTGCCGTCATCGCTCTTTACGCGTAAGCCGCACCCTGTTACCGCCCTCACCTCATTTTGCTTAATATGCTAACTTTTCCAGTGCATGCAACATCCTCGCTGTTCAGGCGTATGGTGAGGCTGAGTTTTGGCTGTCTGGTGGAAAGGTCATTCTGATTCTCATGCTCTACTGCTTCACCTTCATCACCATGGTCGGAGGCAATCCCAAGAAGGATGCTTACGGTTTCCGTTACTGGCGCGATCCTGGCCCAATGAACCAATACTTGACCACGGGCGACCTGGGGCGCTTCGAAGGTTTCCTTGGCGCTTGGTGGGCTGCATCTTTCTGTATTGTCGGTCCAGAGTACATCTCCATGGTCAGTGGTGAGGCTAAACGCCCTCGTGTATACATCAAGGCCGCTTTCAAGACTGTGTACTTCCGATACGGAATGTTCTTCATCCTGGGAGCCCTTTGCGTCGGTATCGTCGTCCCTTTCAACGATCCTGTCCTAGTCGATATCTACATCAAAGGTACCGGTGAGGGAGGTGGCACGGCTGCTGCTTCTCCGTACGTCATTGCCATGAAGAACCTGGGTATTTCGGTCCTTCCCGACCTCACCAACGCTCTTCTCGTCACCAGTATCTTCTCTGCCGGTAACACGTACACCTACTGCGCAACCCGAAGTTTGTACTCGCTAGCTATTGAAGGCAAAGCCCCCAAGGTCCTGCGCAAGTGCACCAGAAATGGCGTTCCCATCTACTGCTTCGCCATCGTCATGATGTTCCCATTCCTCTCCTTTTTGTCCGTTTCTTCCAGCGCCGCCAAGGCTCTCACTTGGTTGGTGAGTCTCACTACTGCCGGTGGTCTGTTGAACTTCATTGGTACCATGATCACCTACATCGCTTTCCACAAGGCTTGCAAAGCCCAAGGCTTGGACCGCAAAACTCTGCCGTACACCGGTTACTTCCAGCCTTACCAGACCTATGTGGCTCTCGCTTTTCTCATTGCCATCATCTTCTCGTACGGCTACACCGTCTTTCTGCCCGGATTCTGGAAGATTGATGACTTCATGGCTTCCTACGCCATGCTCTTCGTCTACCCCATCCTCTACGTCTTCTGGAAGTTGGTCAAGAAGACCAAGATTGTCGCCTCCAGAGACGTTGATCTGGTTTGGGATGCGCCGCTTCTTGACGCCTATGAGGCTTCGTTCATCACGCCTCCTGTTGGATTCTGGACGGAGCTTTTGCAGCTGATCGGCTTGAAGCGCAACGTGCCAGTGGACAAGAGGGCTGTCTAAGCCCCTTGCATAGATTCTCCATCTGTTCTGTGTGTCGATGGATGTATGATCAGGTGATATGATTAGAGGCGAGTTTGCATGACGTCCTCTTTCCCGAGAAGATGTAGCAGGAGAGAAAGGAGAAAAAAAGCACCAGAGCGGATACTATTGGGCAAGGAGCTAGGCGGATGGTTATCCCCATCTTTGTCTGGTGATGAGCTTTTATACCCCCGGTGTCTTTTCGGTTGGTTCTTCACTTCGAATACATTATACCCACACACTCCCTAGCAAGACGTGTACCCTTTTCTACCTGTATATTTTTATTTTTGGCTGGGCGTTCTATATGAGAGCGGTATCCGGCTCATGACCCAACTGATGACGAACAAAAAGACTAGAATTCCACAAGCAACAAACTTTCCATTGCGACTACTTCTGAACTCCCATTGCGACTTTCCATTGCGATGCTTGGTCGTGATACGTGCGGACTGATTGACTTGATTTTGCACCGCACCGTCTCTGTTCTCTTTTCAATCTAGACATAAAGATTGCCATTTATTCAACCCAACCATGTATACTCACCGTATCTAGCCCGCTGTCCCACCACATGCCGACGTGCTTGCGAATGTGTTCGAGGAGCTAAACTGTATAGGTATGTATTTGGTGTGTGAACCCAAGCAAGTCTACCCACCTGCCTACATGTCTGCTTGCGCCAATCAACAAGCAAACAATTTGCGTTGCAAACAGAAGATAAAAATGCCGCAACCATTACTACCCTCTAGTGTCTTTGCGCCCCATGTGAGCGTACACAGCCCCAGGCTTCGTTCAAGGGCCTAGAATCATGCGGGTGTGCGCGTAGGGTCTAGCAAACCCCCCCAAAAAAGAATGAACAAGCAATAACGTGCATAATGAGAAGCGAGAGCAGATTTCAGGACAGGCACAGACGGTCCAGGAATTATCGGACGGGGCCGATATCCGAATCCCCTCACGTGATTATTTGCGGCTTGCGTGTTTGGGCGTAGCGTCGAGAGAGAGATCGGCCCGGCTGTTCTTCGGTGGATCTGGCGGACTGGCTTGGGACTAGCGTTCGATGGGCTGGCACTTAGCCTGGCCTGGAGGCTGCGGAGTGCGTACCGCAACTTCAGTCTATGCCATCGTTATTTGGTCGAGTCCAGACGCCATCGCTCGCTGTTGCTGGTGTTGTCGCTTTATTCATTTTATTGGACTATCAAGAGGACAGTTGGTAAAGGGGGGAAGTGCTATTGTTGGATAGGTTGAAAGGGTAGTTTGTACGAACTGGTGAATTGATTGCGTGCAAGGGAAGAAAGAAGACGACGGCGTGTATCATCACTTACTCGGCAACTCGTTTACTCAGTCAACTCTCATCTTGATCTTTCTTTGCAGTCGAGTTGTTTGTCGGTCGATACGTTGTGAGCGAAAGGAAAGAGTACGGCTTCATCGCGTACAAGGACAAAACAGCAGACGAGAGGAAAGAAAGAAGAGAAAAGGAGATCAAATATACAACATCCATACCGGATTCCTATTCATTCATCCATTCCGAGCACAGCGTATCACAACCCTACTACACCACCAACCACCCAAACAACTCAATCCAATAAAAAAAAACATGTCAAAAGACCTGCGCAACCGCCGTCCCTTACCCCCTCACCAACCCCCCTCAATCGACCTCGAGCTCTCCCTCCCCCCTTCCTTCTTACCCTCCCAGGACTTCAAACCCGCATCCCCGCTCCCCTGGACACCATACACAACTCAATACAACCGTACCCTCTCCTCTCTTCCTTTCCCGCTGCGCGGTCTCGCGCAGTTATTGACAATCGCCGTTCTCGCGCTCACAATCTACGTCTCTACCGCGATTCTGCAAAACGGCGTCGTGGAGCCTGTTATCCGGGTCTGGACTGTCCTTGGGAGTCGACATGCTTCGGCTGTGTTTGGTGGTGGCGTGGTGAGGGATGGGGAGGAAGTGTTTTGGGGGAGTGGAGGGGGAGGAGGAGCGGGGTTTTGGATTGGGTTGGGGGTGTTGGGGGTGTGGCATTTTTTTGTGGTGGGGTTGGTTGCGGGGAGTTTGGAGGGCGAGGGGGAGAGTGGTGAGGGAGGGGATAAGGGTGGACACAAGGGAATGGGGTGGGAGACGGTTGCGAGGGTTGTTAGATGGATTTGGGGGGTTGGTTTTGTGGTGGGTTTGGGGGTTATGTGGGTGGGGATGGTTGGGAGGGCGGTTTGGGGGGTTTTGAGGGGAGGGTGAGGAGAGATAGATGGGGACGTGGGTATTTGAGCGTCTTTATTTTTTCTCTTTTACTTTGTTCTTGGTTTCTCTTGGGTGAGTGGGTGGGTTATATAGGGAGGGCGTTCTCCAGCAACCTTTTGGGTTTCATCGACCGTCGTTATCCCATTGTTATCAAACCCTCAAAGGTCGAAGAGAGGGGAACAAAGTTTAAAAACTACAAACTACATGTTAACAAAACAACCCCGAATATAAAAACACTTTAGAAGGAAGACGACAGTCCGTCACTCATAACGCCCATCCCCCCTTCCCCTTCCCTCAAAACCCCAAATCAGGCATCTGAATATCATCCTCCATAAGATTCATCAGATACCGACTCCCCGAATACCAGTCCTGTAGCCCATTCCCACCACCCCCGCCGCCACCAGTACCCCCATGTAACCCGACCCCACCTACATCAAAGCCCTGCTGCTGCTGCTGCTGCTGCTGATGCGGCTGCGAAAACGAGCTTTCAGGCGTCATACCACCGTCGTCATTTAAAGACGGGAACGTGGACATGTTAGGCCAAGCGGGGTTAGGCATGAGCCCCAGAGCGCTGAGATACGGATCGAACTGCCCGATAGCATTCAACGTCGTCGCCGTACTCGAACCCCCCTGTCTCATTCCCGCGGCTCCTCCTCCCGAAATACCTGTCCCCGCGGCTTCGAACCCAGCCTCGCTGCCGGCACTGGCGTTTCTCGCTCTGCGCTCCGCCGTCATACTCGGTGTGGACGCCACCGACTCTTTGGTTTTGGCGTCGACGTAGAGTTTGGCGACTTGCAGGAAGAGGTAGCACATTTTGTAGAGCTTGTCTGCGCCTTCCGAGACGGTGCGGCACGACTCTAGGCTTTGGACGAAGTCGGCGAGGGAGGAGAGGTCGGTTGGGTCGCAGTGTAGGACGGCGTTGCAGAAGATTACTATGAAGGGTGTGAAGGGGGCTTGGAGGATTGACCTTTTTTGAGGGGGTTGGGTTGGTTAGCGAGATTGTGTGGTGGTGAGGGTTATGAGAGGGAGGGTAACGTGTGGTTCAGTATGGTAATGGTGCATGAGAAGATAATGGAAATGATGGTAGTGGAAATAACGATGGAGGAAGGAAAGAACGCAGTTAAGGAAGAATTAGGACTCACCAGTGGACGTAGCCGGACCAGAGATCCTCATTTCCCTGGATGTTAAACTGCTTGTGACACCGCTGATGCGCGATCAGCGCTGCGCGCGCAGACTGGAGGCATTCTTGGTTGAAGGTGACGTTGTCGGGGCTGACGGCGCGTTGGATGAGCGCGCAGGTGGAGTAGTGTACTACTACGTCTGCGAGGTAGAATATATCTCCGATCTAGCACATTGTTTCAGCGGGTCTCGTTCTTTGATCACCAAATTTACCCGCTCTTGCAATATTTGGCAGTGAGTTCGGACCGGATTGGCATGTTGGGAGAGTCGGAACACTTACATCCGCGAAAGCGCCTGGAAACGTAAGCTTGGTCAACTAGAGCAGAAGAAAGAAAAGTTAGCTTTGTAATGCACACCTTTGACATCTTTCCCCACGGGACCCGAATGCTTCGTCAACGCCGAGCGCACATTATCAGCATGGTCCCGTCTTGAAGGCAACCGTAGCATGTTGGGGTCAGGAGGCAGTCCCAAGTATGCCAAGGGCGAAAGCATAGCTTCCTCTTGCACGGGCGACTTCCACCCCTCGACGAAGAATAGATCGAAAACACTTGCCTCGCCGCGCTCAGCCCAGATGTGGTTCATCTCTTCCACAAGCTCCTTTGCAGTTTGCGCTCGCTCCTCAGGAGATTTGCAAAAGGCTGCTGGGCTGAAGAGCTTTTCGTATGTTTTTCCTTGGATTTGGGCGACTTTTATCCAGTACAGTAACATGCTGTTGCCTTTGTTGCCCATCTGGACGAGGGCGCTGAATCTTTCGTGGTCATGGTCCACTACTGGGTAAGGGAGGCTCATGTCCCAGTCTTGGATCACAGAAGCGCGACCGAGACGTAGAGATAGAGTTTTGTCCATGAGGTAAATGAACCAGAAGATGTGGATCTTGCCGTTACGCTCTTCTTCTGTGTCATTGGTCATGGTTTGGATACGATGGTAGCCCAGTACCTGACACAATTGAGCAGCATTGCTGTTCAGTATCCAACATAGCGAGGGCTTGCACATTTCAATAGCGTAGGCTGAGCCAATCAGCAGGGCAAGAATGTTATCGTACGATGGGGGCAAGTATATATCCAGTTGGCTCATGGCAATTTCCATCTGCGTTCTGCAGGTAATCGCATATCTCCGATAACCTTGCACTCTGGAATAGTGGGTCAGAAGGTGGTGGTGAATATAAACGTGGAGTGTACACACCGTGGTTCTAGGACAGGGTAAGAGGCAAACTCGAGAAACAGGTTGTATAGCACGCCGAAGAGCAGCAATCTGGAGCCAACCGAAGCTTCGCCTAGATTGTCATAAGTCTCTTTCAACCCAGCTTTCATGTTCTTCATGGATAGGAACGGAAAGACGATGGCGAAGCTCATTGTTGGATACACTATGACGGTCAGAAAACACCATACATGCGATGTGTAACGAACAAACTCACCCGAGCCTTTGTCGAGCACTTCGCTCGCAACATCCCAAGGCGGGATTTCCAGTTTAGTCGCATCTATATCAGCGAGACTACGATTAAAATAAGGCTGAGAAAATGAGGCAGGAATTGCATTAGTATAATGCCCTTGTCTAGTGACCATATCTTGCAAGGAGCTCAAGGCATCTTTGATATCAGCATTTTGTTCCATTGATGGGGTGCTTCCAACGGCCTGTTCCAGGAGCTCACGTGCGAACACGCTCTGGCGATTCAGTGTTGTTTCGCCCTCAAAGGGGGCAGGGGTGCCAGCGTTGGTTTCCGAAGCACTCCGGCCGCTGCTGATCCGGGACTTTGCTTGAGAAGCAGGTTCTAGTACATCATGGGAGATGTCAACATTGCTTAGCCTGGTAGCGAGCTTTTCCAATACGTGCTCTATGCCGGCAAGGCGGTCTTCGATGCGGTCAATCTTCTTCTCGCTTTTCTCCTGGTCAGTGACGAATCATAGGACAAGCAAGGGGCTCACTGTACTATGCGTCCGAGATGTGTACCCGCTGCCGCTGGGGTTTCTGGGCCGAAGCAGTAGTAACGCAAGTCAGGCGGCTGCTTCGACAATTTGAGCATGGCGTGCCACGATCGCAACGGATTTTACGCGAGCGACAAGCATCACACTTGAATATGCACAAAGGTCAATCAATTGATAGAGTTGCTTGCTCGATCGAGGTGCTACTTACCGCTCGTTGAACGCGGGCGCCATCTACGCTCTCACCCCCGTCATGATCTTCTGGACTTCCCATAGTTAATTGAAACCTTCAATTCAAAATCAATTCACATGGCACCGGAACGCGAGGGGCTCGGGGCTTGTAGAAAAGTAAATTCGGAAGATGGTTCTCGGGCGCCGCGGATTCCGATAGCCCGTCGATTTCCCGCCAAGGCTCTTCTTTGAACTAATCAGCCACCTCAGCTCGCATCATCTAACGGCCAGTTCGATAGCAGAGCTGCTGCCTGGATGATCATCTAGGCGTTAGCAGAAATAATCAAAGTAGGTTGCGCAATGAATGACATACATGTAGATAGCAGCGAAAATGGTGGAGCAAACGTCGAGCAAACACGCTAGGACCAAAGCGGAAGTATGGCTGAGCGGGAAGCCTCCACACGGATCGACGACTCCATCAAAGTGGAGTTGACTGGGTCGATATATACATCGACGCTCCTGTTCGGTTCTACCACGACTGTTGGCTGACCAAACTTGATGCGTCTTACATAGATCTGACATAGATGGTTTGAGTAGGTAAGCACACGCAAGTTAGTGCGACGCCTAGAACCTTCACCTTGCCATCTCCAATGCTTTCAAACGTCAGCATATTGCCATGTACGAGCTTTGGCTATCAAGGTCAGTGACAGCTCCTCGGTGTTGTGGTCGATTTCAAGCGCGTATGTAGAGCGCGTCATGATCGTTGCCTACATATGTGCATAATCTGGCATCACCCCAGGGGTCTCTCGTCTCTCGTCTAACGGACCCTGCCGGCTCCGTTATGCGAAGAGGCTACCACAATAACGATGACTGTGCTTTCACCACGCACTCGTAGAGATCTTGGCGTTACCAACATCATGATCAACAACTCCCACCAAACGATCACAAACTTAGTTTTGTGACTCAAATCCGTTTGCTTGCAAGACTCGATCTTTCCCCAAGTTTCCCGGCATTGACTGCTCGTAGGATGGAGTCTACACCGTCTGAGAAACCACGCGAGGCAATAGTGCAAAGTGATGGAAACGAAAAGTCAGAACCACAGGATGGCGGCGGTTTGGGCAATTATATCGTAAGTAATTTTGGTATTCGTGTTGTTCCATTCCGATCGCATAACATTCAACAATACTAATCACTAAATGCCAGCGCGTCTTCCGCTACGCCGATGCGACAAGCTGGACCCTGAATGTCATCGCATTCGTTGCCGCTATTGCTTCAGGGGCCATCCTTCCCTTGATGAACTTGGTCTTTGGTAGATTCGTCACCATCTTCACCCAGTTTGCTGTGGGCGATGTGACTCCTGCGCAATATCGATCCGAGATAAACAAGTATACGTCAGTTTTTACTCTCGCGCGAAAGTCAAGATGCTGATGTGATTAGGCTGTACTTTGTGTACTTATTCATTGGCAGATTTTCGACATTCTATCTTCATGCTGTAAGTTGGCATGCTACATGCGATTAATCAGTACCATGGGAGCCAAAAATTAGATCGACTGACATGTTCAGGTGTGCATTTCCATCGCTGGCATCCGAACCACAAAGGCTCTTCGAATCGACTTCATCAAGCACACACTACGCCAGAACATCGCATACTTTGATTCCACCGATACGGGATCTGTAACCGCGCGAGCAACCACCAGTTCCAACAATGTGAGCACTGGTATATCCGAAAAGCTTACATTGGCGAGTAAGTACATGCTCCCCACCACATTAGATGGCACTGACGTGTATCTGCTTAGTACAAGGAATTTCCATGTTCGTCACTGCCTTCATAATCGCCTTTGCAGTACAATGGAAACTTACCTTAATCACCATCACCATAATCCCAACGATCTTAGTCGTCATCGTAGGTGGCGCACTTGCCTGAGCTTCACCACGATCTGCTAACTCTGCTCGCTTAGACAGTATGCATTGGAATGGACGCAAAAATCGAGACAAACATACTTGCAATCCTGGTTAGGGCGGGACATCTTGCCGAGGAAGTTTTCTCAACAGTACGGACCGCGCATTCGTTTTGGCTGACGGAGTTTCTATCTGAGAAGTACGACTCCCTGCTTCAAGAAGGGACGATTGCGCTCCGGAAACGTCCATTAATTTATGCCATCATGTTTTCCACGGAATTCTTCTGCATTTATTGCGGGTATGCGCTTGCTTTCTGGCAAGGTGTTCGTATGTATTCTCACGGGGAGATCACAGAGTCCGGCCAAGTATTCACAGTCATTCTTGGTGTTGTAGTTGCAGCTACAGCTATGAGTAATCTTGCGCCACAAGTCATTGCGATTGGAAAAGCCTCTTCTGCTGCAGGGGACCTTTTCGAAGTCATCGACCGTGAATCGGAAATTGACCCGCTCAAGGAGGAAGGCAAGATACCAGCCACTTGCAACGGTCATATCGAGCTAGACGACATTCACTTTGCATATCCGACAAGGCCTGATGTACCTGTTCTCAAAGGATTTTCACTGTCTGTCCCAGTCAATCACACGGTTGCTATAGTTGGCGCTAGTGGGTCGGGCAAAAGCACCTGCGTTGGTCTTCTAGGTACGCATTCCTAACATTTCCCATGCGTTCTTGAAACATACAATGCCTCTTTCAGTTTATTCGGAAATAAATGCTAACGATCTTCTGTAGAGCGTTGGTACGACGCTGCAAAGGGCAAAATCACTCTCGATGGAATCCCTATCCAGGAGCTTAACCTCAGATGGTTACGCACGAACATTCGCCTGGTTCAGCAGGAGCCGGTTCTTCTCAGTGGAACCATTTTTGAAAATGTGGCCTGTGGTCTTTTCGGCACCGACAAGGCCGAACTGTCGCATCTTGAACAGAAGACCTTGGTCGAACAAGCTTGTGAAGCTGCATATGCGGATGAATTCATCGAGCGACTACCAAAGGTTCGTCAAATCGGATGTTATTTTGGAAAGAATGAAGTGCTAATATTCATTCAAATTAGGGATACGATACTGAAGTTGGCGAACGAGCTATGATGCTGTCTGGAGGGCAGAAGCAGAGGTTGGCCATTGCGCGTTCCATCATTAGCGATCCAAAGTGCTTGCTGCTCGACGAAGCAACGAGGTGAATAATCTGACCGAAATAGTGGGGTACAATTAATTGACCACCAGCAGTGCTCTCGATCCAAAGGCCGAGAAGATGGTCCAACTAGCTCTTGACGGGGTGTCAAAAAACCGGACGACCATTATGATTGCTCACAAGCTATCAACGGTGAAAAATGCAGACAGCATTGCCGTTGTGTCTCAAGGTACAGTGATTGAACAAGGTAGTCACGACGAACTTCTAGCGAAGGATGGTGCTTATGCCAGGCTTGTCCACGCGCAAGAATTGGGCCACGCCGACAAAACTGACCCGAAGAACGCCGACGAACAACATGAGGACCTCTCACTGACGAAAACACAAACGCAAGCCGTCTCCACCCACGAGAATACCGTTCCTCGAGATATCGATGACGGAATCAACTATAATCTCGTTCATTGCATTGGCAGGGTTTTCTGGGAATACCGGCGATTATGGCCGCACTTCTTGCCTCTCCTCATTGCCTCGATAGTATGCGGGTGCACGTATCCCGTTCAAGCCATTCTCTTTTCACGTGTTACCCGAGCCTTCGAAATGTCAACCCCAGAAGCGATCAAGGAAGGAGACTTCTACTCGCTCATGTTCTTCGTGGTCGCGATTGCGAACTTGGGAGGGTATGCAGCCATTGGTTATTTCAGCACACGCGTCGCGCATCAAGTAGCCCATGGGTACCGGCTCGAAATGTTTCAACTCATTCTCAAGCAGGATATGAACTTTTTCGACAAAGCTGAGAATGCCTCCGGTGCGCTCACCTCGAACCTATCGCGCCATCCCGAAAGTCTGACAGAGCTGTTGGGCTACAATTTCATGCTTATTATCATCGCAGGTGTCAGCGTTATCTCTAGCTCGATACTTGCTATTGCTGTGGGGTGGAAACTAGGTCTTGCTATTGTATTCGGAGCCATGCCTCTAATTGTCTCGGCTGGTTGGGCGCGAATACGCCTCGAGTTCAGGCTGGAAAGACAGACGGGCAAGCGCTTTTCGAGCAGTGTCGCTCTGGCTTCTGAAGCTGTTGGTGCAATTCGAACTGTGTCGTCGCTGGCTTTGGAGAGATACATCATCGAAAAATATGAAGAGCGGCTTTCGGGAGTGGCAAAGCGATCTCTGAAGTCGCTCATTTGGACCATGTTTTGGTACTCACTGACTCAGTCCATTGCATTTCTAGGGATGGCTCTTGGCTTCTGGTAATGGTTTTGCTTTGTCTACGAGCTTGATTTGACCATTTCTAACATCCGATAGGTATGGTGGTCGTCTAGTGAGTTTTGGAGAGTACTCCACAGCACAATTCTACACGGTCTACATTGCGGTTATCTTCTCCGGCGAGGTATGGACAGCTCTCCTTGTCAAAGCTTCTACTAATTGATATGAAGGCTGCTGCGACATTTTTCTCCTATTCAACTAGTATGACCAAGGCTGCAACAGCGGCAAACTACCTCTTTTGGCTCCGCCGTCAAAAGCCAGCAGTACAGGAAGATCCCTCCAAGCCTCCATTTGATGATGGAAGAAAAAAAGATCCCGCCCACATTGACATTCAGGAAGTTGCTTTCGCGTATGAATCACGCCCTAACACCAATGTTCTCAATAACATCAATGTCGATATAAGACCTGGACAATTCGTCGCTTTCGTCGGCGCGTCAGGTAAACAGCATGAATTCATCGAAAATCGAAGAATGCTAACTGATCACGCAAAGGCTGTGGAAAGAGTACCATGATCTCGCTCCTAGAGCGCTTCTACGATCCCTCGTCCGGTCGCATTCAGAGCGATGGGGCTTCTCTTACCGAACTCTGCCCACGAAAGTATCGCAGCCATGTGTCCCTCGTACAGCAAGAACCCGTGCTATACCAAGGCACGATCCGCGAGAACATCGCCATGGGTGCCGATCAGAATGTTAGTGATGAGCAAATAGAGGAAGCCGCCAGACAAGCAAACATTTATGAATTCATCACTTCACTCCCTGAAGTACGAAAACATCTTTTTTACCCTTGCCGCCTCAATCTACAGTGTGCTGATCTATTACGCAGGCTTTTTCCACGCACGTCGGTAACCGCGGGACTTCTCTTTCGGGTGGTCAACGTCAACGTCTCAGCATTGCGCGCGCTCTTATTCGCCGCCCGCGTCTTCTACTTCTCGACGAAGCCACTTCCGCGCTCGACACTGAGTCCGAGAAGATTGTTCAAGCAGCGCTCGAAACTGCGAAGAGCGGTCGCACCACTGTTGCCGTTGCGCATCGTCTGAGCACTATCAAAGATGCGGATACGATCGTGGTGTTCGCGCGAGGCAAGGTGGTGGAGATTGGAACGCACAAGGAGTTGTTGGAAATGAGGGGGTGGTATGCGGAGATGTGTAAGGGACAGAGTTTAGATAGGGAAGTTTGATGGGTGTCAAAGATTTGTGCTGGAATTATTGGAACTACAGGACGCCTTGGTGTATATATCTGAGGGGAAATTGAGTAATTGGTGAGCACAGAAAGTGCTTGTAATGATTAATCACTGAATTCATTCCCGGCATCCCAAGACATACGAAAATTCGCTATGTTCCTGGTCGCTACCCTCCAAACACATACTGCTATGATCATCTGATACCCCGCAGACTCAAGATTCGAAATCGATCAAGCTCAATCAGAAGAAGTAGAAGCACGCAATCAACAATTGGCTCGTCGAGCACGTAAATACAATCCACAGTCGACGCTTACGTTTCCGCCCCCAACCACCCAGTCCCAGCCAACTCGGAGGTTCATTAACTCCCGGCGATTGGGTACTCAAAAATAACCACATTAGCGTTTCCGGACAAGGCCTCCCACCCCACATAACTAGACCCAGTATCGCAATAATTCGGGTGCTGTCAGGAGATCTCAGGAGACAAGACCCGGTTTTCTCACACCTTTTTAGTGAGGACGTCTGTCCGACGGAGGAACTTCAACACGACTACGAGAATGTCTATGTTCCGAGCTGATGTATAAAGGCGAACGATTAGACGGAAGATAATTATATAGCCATCCAAAACCCTTCCATTACTGCACGTTTTGAAAACCGAAGCCCCCTTCCAACCAACCAACAGAATCCGAAGAGAGAAGAAAAGCCAAAGGATCGAAGACATCCCGCAAAACAAGTTATCAAAACAAACAAACTTTTCCATAAAGATACACGGAATTCTCCAAAAAACCATGGCTCTAAACTTCAACACATCAACCGGCACCAGCCTCATCCGCCTCCTCCCAGCCCTAACCTCAACAACCCTCCTAACCTACGCCTTCTCAGAATCCCTCTTCCTAACCCCCTTCATGCACCCCACCATCCGGCCCCAAAGCAACTCCTTTCTCCCACCGTATTTCGCGCGCTGGCTCGCCCGCGCGAAATACGTCATCATCATCGGATACCCAGCCACTTTCCTCGCCGGAGCAGCCAACCTCCTCTCTTCCCCCGGACAATTCGCTACTAAGCTCTACGGAACGGGGATGTTGTTTAGCCTGGCGCATATTTTTGTGTTTGGGCCCAGGATGTTGGGCTTGTTGGAGGATATTAAGAAGGGTGTGCCGGAGGGCGATGTCATGGGGAGTTTGGGCACGTGGTTGAGGATTAATTGGGTTAGGGCTTGGACGACGGATTTTTTGGCTTGGGGATGCTTTGTTGGGGCTGCTGCGGCGAGTTTGTGAGGATGTATATGTGCAATGGTGGGAAGGAAGGAAGGATGTGAAGGGGGGTTATGAGGATGTTCCATTTTCTGGCGTTGGAATGGTAGGAAAGTGGTAATTCATGCCATGCTGATCGAGAAATTTTATTCAAAGGTACAAGCAGGGTTCTTCTATTAGAGGAGTTGTTTATATCAGCTGTTTGCTCGTATTGATCGTTTTATCTGCTCTTCTGTTGTTGACAAGCTGATAGCTCTGCCTACAGGAGATCGCTTACTTTACTTTGACCGCGAGCAAGAATGAGGTTTGGCACGGATAATGTAGGTAGAGGGGACGGGTAGTTTACAGCTTTTCGCTATTGAAGCTCGAAAAACCCGCCTCCTACTTCGAATCTACAAACCTCCCGATATGACGTTACAACCCACAATCTTCTGCCGGAAAAAGCCCAGGAACTGAATCAAGTATCCAGAAGCTGATGATTGTGCAAGGCATGCAGGGTGATGCTAAGGCATAGAGATCCTTTGGATCAGGGAATCACCCTTTCATCCCAGTTATCTATGCCTCCGCGAACCAAATCCAGTCTTCTCCCCCGTTCTCTCCAAAGGCGATATATCTTTATCGGTCACACTTCCACTACCATTCTGAGGGCCCCTTTTCTTTCCTAACAAAGTCCATAATGCCATGCACCCGCTGTATACGAGTTAAAAAGGGTGGACCCAAAACACGTGGTGTCTGCTCCAGCGCCAATCACTGGCTTATCGTTTTTTAGGTGGAGCCGGCGAGTCTATGTCGGAGGGACTCTTAAACCTCACTTTTTTGTGAGAGGGAATGGCGGGGGACGATTCGCTGGTGGACGAGCGAATACGTTTGGGGATGCGGTATCCACGAAACTTATCCTGGAAGGATTCAAGTGTGGCAGAGGGATCCTTCTTTGGGCTTGGATTTTGGGCGTTGGGCACGGGAAGGGGAGGTTCCTTGGGAGTAGGTGGGGTTTTTGTGGTATCTGATGGCACATCGCTCTCTCCTTTCAATGACTGCACGAGTTCGTTCAGGCACATGTAAGGGTAGGTAAGGATGTGTCGCGTCTGCATTGATATATGCAGTTTCACGGTCTCCTTCTTGATGTCGATTTCGACAACGGACCTACCATCATACTTCTCTGGAGTCACCTCCACTGCATCATCCCACTCGGTACTTGGGATGTCTTCGACTTTCCTCTCTTGATATGCACCTTTATTCCGCCACTCATCGAAACCCTCTCGATTCAAGTTCCTGTCTCCATAGGGTGGAAGTGGGATCTGCAAAGCGCGGAGCAGGAGCTGTACATGCAGCACGTTAAATTCCAGCCTTGGCGTAAACCTGTCTCTATGCTCGAGATACCACACCAAGCACGTGGTCAACTCCCTCGCATCATCTCCCTCCGGCAGGAATTTCAGCCCTTTCAAAAGTTGATCAAACGTTGGCACGGTAAATCCTCCTCCCATCTTCCCTAAAATATTTTGTGTTGGAACGAAAGGTGCCGTGGAAAGACAAGGATCTGGTTTCCCTTCCCAAGCACCCTCCGTGACTTTGAACTTCGGAGCCTTTTTCAACAAGCAATCACGCATTAGCTGACCAAGCTGCATTTTGGTGAGCGGTACGGCGATGGAGCGGAAGAAAGATTGTATGGAGTGAATGTCGCCGTGACGGTAACCGTTGTTCACGAAGCGGAGCATGACATCGGGGTAGCGGATGTGATGAGGGTAGTAGGCGTTGATCTCTTTGACAGTGAGTGGAATGCCGGGCGGGAAGAGCGCAGAGACGGGGAGCGCATCGGAGAACCAGTGGTATTGCGTAGGTAAAGATGGCAAGGACTTCTCTAGTGAAATGAGAGAGGGCAGAATATCTGGAATGACAGTTCCGAAGTTAGTAGAGTCTGGACAGATTCGAGATACGCTTGGGTGCGTGTTCGAATTGTCAGATTGTTAGGTCTTTTTTTGTCTACGTATAGCAAGCAAACATACCGTTGAGATTGAAGCGCTCGGTGGTATCCACCCACGGCGTACTTGGAGATTTGGTGGTTATCGTGGAAGCTTTGAACGAGTATCTAAGCATAGGCTTCCTGTGTGATGATTTTGCAAGCGCCGCTTCCTTTGATCGGGTCTCAGGTTCGTCTGTCTGGATCGCAGACTGATCGTGCGTATTATCGCCCTCGTTCACACGGCTGGAGGATTGCAGCTCTATGACCGTGTCAGATGGTGTATCCAAGGCAACACCTGCTCGCAGGCGTTCCTCAGATACTATCTCTTTACTAGATGTAGTCTCATGCTTTTGCGGAGTACTTGCTCCTCTAGAGGCAACCGGGGCCGTTTTTCTCGAGGATCTTGTTTTGCGCCGTCCAGTCATATTGGCTGCAAAGCTAGGTAAAGTGCTTATGCACGGATAAGAGGCCAGTTAAGGAAACGGGTAGGCGAAGATCTCAAAGTATCAAGGAAGTGATAACGAGGTAGGGAAAAGTGCTGCCGGTTATGGTACCTATCAGTCGAGTATACAAGGTAAATGACCAGTGTTTACATGTGAAGAGTGAGAGCACGCTTGCCCGCACTCCTGTTTGTATCTTGTTATCGATAGCAAATATGAGGTAATCAAATTAGGAAACAATCACTTAGTACCTAATCATCTCGAAGTTGTTTGGATTTGGCATGCGACAAGTAACTATGATGCCGCTCTATTCGATCTTGTCATAGAGTATGACGAGGTTGAGCGAGTACATATGTTGTATGCTACTTCCAACCAGGATTGTAAAATCAATTTCACCGCGCATTCATTACGCGCCTGTCTGCCATGATGCTGGAAAGGTCGGCGTTGCATTCAATTGCAGTCTTCGCACATATTCATCCACTGATGTACTCCGGAATCTTGTAAGTGGCATGTGTTGACATTGACAATAAAACGTACCACTGCCAGTCTTATAACTTAACTACATTTTGAAGGCCTCCATATGTATTACTAGTCGCCCAGACATTGAAAATGAAATTGAAATTGGTCAACTGGTGTTTGCTAGTTGCACATCACGTGATCATGGTACACAAAGTTCACTTACACGGTTCTGTCTGTATGAGAGTCGTATCGATATCGATGATACATAATTGATATCAAGTCAATCAACAAATCGACCTATGGGTGAATTCATGTTGAGGTCAATAGTTGTTCCGCATGCTAGCCTGGGAGGCAGCACTTCAGTGCTAGAAGCAACATTTGAATGTGCGCGATCAATTGATGACATCATCCACATCCACACCGTATGTTCGTGGAAAAAATCACATATAGTGTATCATGGCCACATAATTGCCATCAGAGTGTGGGCTATTTTCTGAGCAAATAAGATATACCGAAGGAATGTTTCTATCGCATGGTCGGAACCGTGCGGCGGTGTACATGTGCTGCGCCACGTTCACACGAGCACATGAACAATTGTGGCGACGCCAATGTCTTCTAAGCGCATACAGATTACGAGCTAGCTAAGAATTATGGATCGTTTTTCAGGCATTATGGCAAGTTCTAAGACTCTAGCTGGCTCCTCGGGATTCATCGAAGTATACCAAGCTTTGCAGGTGTGGCCTGCGCCTACTCCAAGTGATGTCATGGTTTTTGATAAAAGCTAGCCGTGTCGCATCCGAATCGTTGAACATTGACTCTGGAGCACTAAGATTCGCAAAATCCATTCCTCTCTTACAACGACAATACTTGAAATTATCAATTTCCCTAGATTACAGCTAGAAGGCAAACTGAGAGCACAATTGTTTTCCCGTGGATACCTAAACGCCGATCCAGATAGCGAACTTTGAGGAGATGGCTTCCCAAGACCCTGGTGCGGTCCCATACTTCCCACCACCTCCCACTTCCGCATATGCACCTGAGACTGCGAATGGAAGAGATCAAACTTCTTCGTTCGATGGTTACCAGCGTGGAGATGCTCGCTACGCGCAGGATCCAAGGTACGTACCAAGTGCTTCACCAGACAACAAATTCCAATTTCAATACCCGAAGGTCCACAATTCAGCCGCTTTACGGCGAGGTCGCTTACAGTCGCTTACCCTGGTGACAGAGATTCCCGAAATTCAAGATATGCGCCTCGTGTTACAGAACCTTCCGGTCAACAATGGCCTCCCACCGGAACTGGCTCGAATCAGCCTTACGATGGGGACTTCTACCCACAAGCTCCAACACCACCGACCTCCGGAAAGCGCAAAACTCATGGCCCGACTTATCAACCTGGTGAATATGTGCCGATGAACAATGCCGCGCAATACGCGAGCTCGCCGTACCCGCCAGCAGCGAATGAGGGCAGAGGTCAATCGCGCTCTGGGCCCTCTTATGATTACAGATACGAGAAAAACTCTACGCCACGTAACTCTTATCACGAAGTGTCACGGTATAGGGAGCCGGATCGAGAGTCGCGTCCACGACATCATCGGGCGCGCTCAGATGATGCGCAAAGAAGTAGCCACTACGCCAATCTACCTCAAGATAGCAAACAACAAAACTCCCGTCAAAAGAGGCTTCTAGCCGCAGTCGGAGGCGCTATAGCTGGCGGAGTGGGGGGTAAAGCCCTTGGACACGATCGATATGGAACCCTTGCAGGTGCTGCGGCAGGAGCGTTTGGAGGGCCAATAGTGATGGATAAGCTTATGGACAAAAGCAAGGCTGCTGGTAGAGAGAAGGACCCAAGTGAGACTTCAAATTCATACGAGGGGAAGCGAGGAGCCCGTTCGCAACGATTACTCGAAGAGAATGCGGACTATTATTCGTCTCGCTCAGACGATGAGTACGATCGCAGAAGACAACGTAGAGGACGACGTAATCGAGACTATAGCCGTGACGAATACGACGACGATGATGACGACGACGATTATCGCGGTCGGTCTCATCGCCCAGATAGAGGATATTATGATAGCCGCGACGACGACCGAAAATCTCGCGGCTATTCGTGGAGTCCAACGCGTTCCAAGACTGGCTACGGCCTGCGCGCTAGAAGCAAGAGTATCGTGGACCGATTTCGAGCCAAAATCATTGGTGGCGCCGTGACTGATGGAGAAAAGAGAGCGGACCCAGAAGACCGAAGACCTGCCCGCGATGATCGGTATTCTCGATCCCGCCGTGATAGCTACGATGATTACTACAGCGACTCAGAAGAGGACGATATGAGGTCAAGACATGGCGATCGAAGGAGTCGACGCTGATTAGCACCTGAACAATTTCTATTTACACCTCATATTTTCCTATACAATGCACATATCACTTCCAGGAATCTCCTGCGTTGGATCAGTTACAGGGAAGTTCTATCTCTCGAGTTTCAGCGAGCTAAAATACATTCACCTATGTTCTCAAACTATCGTGTTTGTATTATGTTGATGTGATAGTGAAAGCAATGAAAACATACGCGCGAATTTAGCCTTTGTTATTTCACTTGGTATAAAAACAGGCCGTTAAATCGTTACCAACTCAGCCACTCAATTCCACGAAACTCAACCATACCTAGTGAAGGCTTTCGACTCTCCTTTCAACCTACAATTCCTGATCCCCATACCCCGACAAGCGTTTCCGAATACGCGGGCGCCGCTCGCAACGCCTTGCAAATGTGCGCTTCGAAACATTCTATGACGGAAAAGATCGTTAGAGTATCCGATCGGCCAACAAATGCTGATGAGCTAAGCGGGTGCGATGCAGAACTTTCAGTCTCACTGTATCACGACAGTGACAATGACACTTTGGAAACTAGTCAGTACCCACAAGGGTTTAATCCAAACCCGGAAAAGTTTGGCCATGCTGAAGAAGGAACATATGATCGACCACTCGTTCATAGATACAAGTGTGCCAATGAGTCCACTTCAATTGCCCCAATATCTACTTATACGCAAACCTGCGGAGCAGAAGAAGCGCCCACAGACATATCTCCGATTAGTCACGAGATCCCTCCAGCTGCGAGGGTACCGAGGGCTTTAATGTCTGGCCACCTTGAAGGAGAAGTTGAAGGTACAGGCCACTTCGACACGGTGCAGGAGCCAGATGGACGATCCTTAATCAATCAAAATCAGTCTGCTCATAAACCATCTTCGATGGTGGCGATGTCTCAATATATAATACCAGGAAGGGCAGAGGAAGAGTTGATGAAAGTCATATTGGCTCGACTGGAGAAACCCCCGGCTACGATACCGAGCACTATAGTCTCTGACGGCTATATTGAAGGATTTAAAGACAAGGGAAACTGTAATGCACCGCTTGATCCAGCATTGGCCGAGCCTGTTGGTGAGAGACCAACAATTCCTCCTATCAAACCGTCACAGTACACGCCAGCATATCAAGCACCTGCTGCCACCTCAAATCCTGCAAATGGACCTTCTCCATCGTTCATTAATTTCCAATTGCCCATTTCTACTCACCATCATCAGATGCCCCTGACATCTGAAGCGGGCTCGCGGAAGAGCCGTCAGCAACAGGCAGTCTACTACCGCACAACAAACAATCGGCGCGTTCGGGTCGGCGAGGGCGACATGCCGCACTACTCTGAGCCTGCATCCAAAGCGAAAATTCACAAGGATCTGATTCGAGAGGAGAAGACACCCGATCCACTGAACTGTACCACACGTGCGCAGATAATACGCGCTGCGCAATCATTTGAGGGGAACAAGTTTCCGTTTCGCTGGTCCGAGCACAAAGACATGTTGGAAATCTCACTCAAGGAAGCGCTGATCACACAGGTCAATATGAAATTGGAGTCTGGTCTTGTGGGCGGTCTGATGCCTCTCAAAGATATGGATATTCGAGGTGTAGCGCCTGAGTATTTTGGCCCCGTGTTGTTCTCAAAGACAGGGTTGCAGCAGAGGATCAACTGGAGATGGTGCGCCCAGCATCTGGAGATCATTGAAAAACTGGATTTATCAAAGCCGAACATGGATCTGGAAGAGCTGGATTGGTTGGATAAATCCACGGGGTCTTGGATGGCGCCTCCTGAAGAGCTTGAAGAGGGTGAGATTCGCGAGGAAGAGGTAGATCAGTACGGGATAGTCAAGCAAGAAGGGGAGCAGTCTTGAGAATATTACTCTTTGCGTTGTTCTAGTTTCTGTGGGCATATTTATCTGCAGGGAGATAGCTAAGATGACCAATTCATCGTTTGACATCTAATGTTCTCTTAGAATGCTTCTTTAAGCCAAGCCATCGGGCTCTTTTCTATACTCAGGCCAATACCACTTTTGTCTACTTTCGCAGGCTATTTCTAATTATTCAGTTAATTGCTGGGTGCTACAATTCCGTCTTAGCACACATCAAAACCATTATTAATATGAGTAGTAGCTATAAATAAATTCAATAATAAACTTATGATCTTATTACTCAAGTAAAGTATTAAAGTAAAAAAGTTATATCAAAAAAGAATTCTTTCCCTTCTACTATTGCGCCTGCGACAGCCAAGAAACTGTAATAAGCCGGAACAACCTCGGTAGTCTAGTCAGCACTGTGAAGCTATCCAGGCACTGACACCTATGACTTGGCTGTCATCTTAACTGCTTGCCTTCACCACCTCTATGTTTGAAATACGAATAAATCACAGATCAGTTTGGTGATCACCTTTCTTATTTTTAACACTCTAGACACTGCCCTTTGTTCTAGACCCCATTCTCTCGTCTTGTACCAATACTAGATACAGTCAACAAGCCACATATGTATGTAAACAATGGTATTATTCTTATCATGCTAATGTAAATAGGTTGGAAATCTGTGAACTCAACGAGGCGTTTGAGGAGAAGGATGGGGACTTGAGATTTTCACACACGAAAATCGTAGGCAGAGATTGCGATAATTTCTTCTACGCCGTCACAGACCGTCGCTATCGCTCCAAATCGGAAATTGATCTAGCCGGCCTTGAACCTATCCCAATTCCACCCTCACACATCTGGCCACCCTTTACAAAAGAATTCACGCAAGCACCGGATCCGATGCCCCACAACTGTTATATCAAACAACCGTCATTGATCAATTACGGCGATTCGGGAGAACCATCTGCAGTAAGACAACTTTTGGCAAACGAGGCTCAAGTATGCGAGATTTTGCGGAATTCGCCCCACCCCAACGTCGCAAAGTATTACGGATGTATTGTTCACGATGGCCGGATCACAGGTCTTTGTTTCGCTAGATATGGCAACAACTTACTGGAAACAGTGAAGTCCACTCGCCTCATTAACGTGGACCGCTGGGTAAATCAGATTAGTCAGGGTATCAGCCACCTGCATAGCTTGGGACTTGTCCATTGTGACATTAACCCAAAAAATGTAGTTTTAGATGCCGATACTCTTGTTATCATTGATTTCGATTCATGTCGTAGGGAGGGCGAGAAATTGGGTATGAAAGCCGGAACGAGAGGTTGGACAGACGAAAGTTTCACAGTGGCAAACCGCCAGAACGATCATTATGGCTTGGCCAAGATTCGAATTTTTCTCTCGGATAGAAATACAGAATGACTGTTTGGTTGTTACACGACAAGAACGGGTGAGTTTAAGCCTGCAGGGCGAGAGGCGGGAGGTTTCTTTGCAACAGTTTGGCTTGCAACAATGCGAGCTCAAATCAATGTCCTGCGGTAGTCAATCGGTCTGCAAGCTCCTTGATCAATCATAGCACTGCTTCCATGTCACCACATCCCCAGGACCAAAGCTAGTAGCGCCCACCGTATGTCCAGCATGCATGCAGGCCGCGAACACTTCCAGGATTATGCTTTTGCGACTTGTTTCTTTCAGGGCTTGGGGCATGCAATATCGACAATGGAATATCTGCATAAGGGGGATGCCGCTGTTGCTACCGCAGCACCCAGGAATGTAGAATAGCAGCAAAGCGTGTGAGGGTAGGAATAGAGTTTCATGCTCCACTCGTCTTTTCGAACTTCTTCATGAGATAAGGCTTATCTTTTGTCGTCCCTTCAATATCGTTTTTGGCGCGCACCCTCATACTATCTTCGCTATAAGCTACTTGAACTGCAAATTGTTTTGTAGGAAGTGGCTATGGAGTTGTAAGGGGTAGGATGGTAGGGAATATCATTTTCTTTACAATTATTTCTCTTCAACGTATGAACGCTGATCTAAGGGTAACCCAAAAGCTTTTTAATAATTTTACTAAGATGCTACACTAAAGCAGTAGAGAAAGAGCAGTCCTAGCATCTACTCCAGAATATTTAGAAAGTAAATCACCCGGGAGGGGTTGGACACGTCTCACCCCTGCACAAAACATGTTGCTAATCCGGATCTTCGTCGCTGCGGGCCGGTTCGTAGACAACCACTTGGATGTGTCGTGCAGAAAGGTCTTTCCGAAAACCACAAATACCATCCTTATAGAGATGCTATGATGATATAATAGACCTATACCCTCTCTGGGCTACTTCCAAGGCATCTAAGCTCGATTCTTTTCAACACCAGGCACTTCCACAATCACGTGTCAGGCAGCTTGCAATGAGACAAATGGTAGCTATAGTGATGTCAACTTAAAATAAATAAAAATAGTGATGTCAACCTATTTAACATGTCTAATGATTGCGATCAAAACATCGCGAGCGTTGTTTCAGATGAAATAAAAAAAGAGAGGACAATCTCTTTTATACATACCATATGAGCGCTGGCGGCATATCGATCAACTATTCTTGCGTTATTCAATTAGCGCAATGTTGGGGAAAACCTGATGCAGATAATTACATGTCTCAAACCTTCTTCACTCATAATAAAACACCGCAGTTGCAAAGACCATATATCTGAAATCCAGTCTGTGTGTTCGATTGTTGAATTGATCGCGTATGTGAGATTGCTAATTAGATTGAAGGCGAGTGCAGAAGCCGAAGAGAAAACAACAGACTTTCACAATGTTAACCACGCCCGCCTCAGGTCATTGACTATCACGTGGGGCACTGAGTGTTGGTATATTTTCTGTGGTATCACAATGTCTCATTCCTTTTAAGGCTGTAGATATTCTTCTTGGGTGTTCTCTACCAATTTCACTCCACAACCGCGGACGACCTCAGCCCCGGTATTCACTCTACATTTCAACTCCGGATTTTCGAGCCTCACTTAACACTGGTATAAGCCATGTCTTCAAAGACGCAACCATCCAAAGAGCTGAGTCATATTACGATATATCAGAATATTGAACCTGCTCCACCGGGTCCACCTGTCCAACATGCTAAGTATCCATATGCGGAATCTGCCGTCGAAAAAGGCTCTGCTCAAAACTATGAGCATGTTTGGGATTTTAGGTGGACATACAATGCCCCATTACAACTTAACTTCACCGCCGTTGAGATAATCACCTTCTTGCCTGACCTCTACAAGGATTACAATATGGCTGTCCGGTTCCTGAACAATGGGATCTCAAACATGGCTCATACAGAAATCCACAAGATTCACCGTTTTTCGCGATACGGCGAGGACTATGTCGATGTCTTCACGGTGGGGAGGAATTATCTGAACACTATGCGGGGATCAGACTGGCAGGCTCGAGAAAAGATCAGCCCAAGTGAGACCCCGCTATGGACGCGAAAAATGCACAAGAAGCCTACAGGCTGGAATGCTGATTATATTTCCATGAATAACTTTCAGCCGCAATCTGGGACACGGTCGACTTCTGTACCCATACTTGCCCTACTTCATGGTGTCAAGCAGCTTCCAAAAGGTGCAGATGCAGCCGATCTCACTCGGGCGATCAATTTCGCGGCAGCAAATATGAAGCTTGCAGATGATGGTGAGACCCAGGTAGAGTATATGTTCCCTGATGATCTCGCACTCATCCTTGATAAGAATCAGGCTGGCAAGGAACCTGTCCGCTTCCAACAAACTGATGGGTTAGTCAATCAGCGATATGAGGCGATATATTGCGCACGAAAGGTTAGGGAGAGCAAGCAAAATTTTGTCCAAGGACCTTCGAACCAGACATCCACTACACCAGCGTCTTATGCTCAGACGGTCCCGGACAATGAATCATCTATCCATGCTACACAGCAAACAACTGCATCCACCATTCAGGATACCAATGACTTGGAACATTCGTTTGACTCGCCTTTGCTTTTGGATGAGGGACAAAAATTGGAAAATACGAATCTCAACTGTATTTCCGGACTCCTGAACAACAAGCGAACTTCCGACCCAGCATCCATTAGCGAAAATGAAGCTCAAGATGAACCCGTACCTAGATCAAACTCGGTATCACCAACGCTGACTGAGCGATTCGATCTGAACAACCCAGATCTTCTACAGGAGAATGAAAATGAGACGCCAGACATGGAAATCTTTGAGTACTCAGGAGTAGTTTACCCATCGAAGGCACTTTTGCGAAACTTGGGCGGCCCATCTAATCTCCATAACCTGGACCCAATTGCGTGGGCAATAGAATTTGCTTCACAGCAGGATCAGATGGGGATTAGTTGGAGGGTTGAAGACATCCCACTCATGTGGGATCTTGTCTCAACCAATGCCGCACTCCAGCGGATCTCCAGATAAATTGGCTAAAACTATGGGCGACTGTTGAAACAAGTATATTCTTTGGAACGTAAGAAAGCATTGGAGTCTTATAGAAGCCAAGATAAAATCCCACTTACTACGGGAAAAGCGAGATAGATAATTGGGAAATGAGGCGGTAGCTTGTATAAAGGCCGGCAACACCATAGTTGACAGATAGATTGTGAACAAAGAAATGTTGCTCAGAAACATTCGCTCCTGATGTCTGCAAAGAAATGAAATATGCTGGATTATTAACGAAACGCGCTGGTGTAATTGATCTAACCTAATGTTGCCATGAGAAAACCAATGCCCAAAATCCCAAGTGAAGCTTCCACTCCCCCTACCGACCCGCTAGACGACGATGCCGAGATACTACCGCTGCTCTTTTGAGAATTATCTCCCTCTGTAGATTTAGAGTTGGAACTTCCTGTGGGCGTTGGTGAAGCTGTCGCCGATACCTTTACGCCCTGCACCAATGTCGTCGCCGAAGGTGCGTACGAGCCCATGGGGAAATCGCAACGATTTAAGACTTGGCCGAGCTCTACGAAAACATCGTCAGAACCGATACTATGCAATTTGCTCAAGTTCCTACCTCTATCGAACATGAAGTTGCCGAAAAAATCTGTGGTTTTTTCTCCCCCACCCCCGCTGTTCTGACTGAGGCAACTGGCGCAAAGCCCACTTACAGCCTTTACATCGAACGACTTGTTTTCACAAATACAGCCATACTTCAAATCTGTTGATTCGCTGATTGCGGAATCTTTCCGCCTTTTTAATGTTGGGGTTTTCGATTTATCGATTGCGCATTCCGACATGAGTTCGACGACAGGACTGCAGATGGTTTGACACTGGGAGGGCAGTGGCGGTGAAGATGAGGGCGATGATTCGGGTATATCTTGTTCATTGATAGTTAGGCTCAAGAGAGTCAAAGTGTTTAGGAGATGCAAAGCTTCGGGATGCATCTTATATAGTTATGACGATATTGGGACGTATGCAAGTAAAATGTTATCGAAGCAAAGTTCTGGAATGATCGAGGTTTTTATCGGCAATAGAATGCCTCAAAAACACGAAAACTCAAATCATGGCATTCTTAAAGTGGTTTGCAAGTATGTCAGACCCAAAAATGACGAAAGATCAACGGGATAATATGGGGGTCGCATTTTAGTGGAACACATCTCTGGCGCCGGGGGGGAAGATAGTTCATCGTTCTCATTGACTCAATGGACGCTTGGAATAGAAGAAACATATCACTATGTCATGAGTCAAAGTCTGGGAGTTCGAGGTGTTGGAACTGTCAGACGAGTGTCTCACATTGCGTGGAGAGCAAAGCAGCCGATACTTGGCCGAAATAGGCAAGTTCTTTAAGAAGTAGTCGTAAGCGCGAAAGTGTGATCGAACGTCTGATCTTCTTCATCATGCGAAAAACGTTTGATTTCCCAAGCAATTGAATCTTTTAAAGTAGGGTGTGTTGATTCTATCATGGTATCCCAGTAGGTGCATTGCGTTTTTCATTGACTGAATATGCGCATGTTCGCACTTGTGCCCAAGAGCTATCTTAACTCATCAGAGACAGCTCGTCAATCCTAAAATATTGAGACAATTGATATCAAAAGATGCTAAGCTGTGTGCGGCAGATTCTTGAACACCTGATCTTCGTGCATTGACTTCAGAGGATCAGTCTCGTGATATCAGCCCAGCTAACACAGGCTTCAGCTGCCAACATGCGAATAACATATTGCGTATCGACTAGCACTTGTTCTAATTCGAATTGACTGGCAGAGCTTTGCAGATCCGAGAGGCGTGCTGAAGACTGCTTCTCACCCTGGTTCTCAGCTATGTGTCCATGGTGCCACCATCCTTGGCGTCAGCTGATTCTACCTTTCAGCCTTGTGAACTCGCATTGTTCTATTGCCGATTTCACCGCAATTTTTTTTTTCTCAAGGCAGCATGATTTTAGCCCCCGGTAAAGATTGGCAACAGCCTCTCAATATCTTTGTGATCTTGGCATTGGCAGATTCGAAGTGATCTGGGAATAGTGGTTGATCTTTTCAAGATACTTGCAAGACGCGTCCAGGCTTTTTGAGTCGATCCCGAAATGCATTGAGTCGAGAATCACGTATTTTTAGAGCAGCTGCATGCATGTAGGTGTAAGGGTGTCTTGCTCGTATTGACTTCGAAGTATGTAAGGCAATTCTCCCTTTCACGCGCTAACGCTATATTCGGCTTAGAGCCGCCCCACTTGTTAACATCCTTGCCTGAGCTGGCCTCGTCTCCACAACACTTGATTCTGGACCGTCCATAAATCTTCCCTGGTAATCACTATATGCATCATTCATTCTTCCCCTTAGTTAATCGACGGGCTCACTGTATCCTCCGCGTTTGCATTCTGCGACCTGCTCATCAACGTCGCTATTCCAACCAGATGGTCGATCAGGACCAGTACATTGTCGGTGTGCCTGCAGAGGACATAACGCTGTACACTCGAGGAGGATATCACCCTACTCACATCAATGATCGGTTCAAGGAAGGAAGATATGAGATTTTGAACAAACTCGGCTTCGGATCATTTTCCACGGTCTGGCTCGCCAGAGACCATCAGTAAATTGATACTTCTTCTCCACAACGCCCTTAACTAACGTATATCAGGAACAACTGTAACGTATCAATGAAAGTTGTTGTCGCCGACAGATCGAATTCCGAGAAGGCTGAGCTCGGTATCTTAGAGCATATTGAAGCAAAAAGTGATGGTCAGCACCCTGGTCGCAAGCATATATCGCGGCTTCTAGACTCGTTCTATCATGATGGTCCGAATGGAAAACATTTGTGTATCGTTTCAGAGCTTCTTGGACCCAAGATCTCTACCGTAGCAGAAAAGTGCACAAACTATCGCCTGGACAGTAAGCTTGCTCGTCAGGTTAGTCGCCAGCTCCTATTGGCGGTGGACTATCTCCATTCATGTGGAGTAGCACACGGAGGTAAGAATCGTCCGACTGGCTAAATCGTTTTCAAGTCTCTGACTACAGATAGACATCCACATGGGAAACATTCTATTCCGCCTCTCCGAGACTGAGCGCTCGTCTTTAAAACAGATCGAAGGACTGGGAGCTCCTATGACTGGTGAAGTGTCCAGGAAGGATGGTTCTCCTCTTGAAGAGGGGATACCAAAGTATCTTGTGGAGCCAGTAGAGTACAATAGCAAGCAGCGCACACACATCGACGAGATTCAACTTGTAGATTTCGGCGAATGTAGGTGTTTTCGCGACCTCCCTGCCCGAACCTATGATGCTGACAATTAGCAGCATTCTTTATCTTGACTCCTCAGAAGTCTCTATATACCCCGTTATCTATGCATCCCCCTGAGTTGGTGTTTCGTCACACGCTAAGTAAAGCGGTGGATTTGTGGAATCTCGGCTCCACGGTAAGGAATCATTATCTTTTGGAAGTCTACATGTTAATCGAGCAAACAGACCTACGAATTGGTCACTGGACGCACGCCATTTGAAGCAGATTTTGATGAATTTGTCTTGATCCCTCAATTCCAAAAGGTTTTGGGTGGAGTTCCTGATGAGTGGATTCGAAATGCAATTAAAGACGGGTTGCTGAAAGATAGGCCAAACGGTAAGACTACTTGCAGAGGATATTTTTTCATCTCAACTAACAGCCTACAAGATTCCGCAGCTGAAGGTTTCGAATCTCTTGAAGAGGAAATCAAACGCTCATACATAAATGGCTATGATACTAGTACACTGCAGCTGGGGGAGGAGGACTTCGATGTATTCGGACGTTATCTTCGCAAGTTGTTAGTGGTGGATCCTATCCATAGAGCTACCACACAAGAGCTGCTCCAAGACGCATGGGTTTCCGATGTAGAAGATATTGGGGCGCCAGGCTCGGAATGAAAACTTTTGGTGGCGTTCCCCGCCGCTACATACCCCTGCAACTTGCAGCTGCCCCACACCACTTATTCATCTCAGAAATCAATGATTGAAGAGGCCGTGATTCATACGTAGAATGATTTATCACTATAGCAATATCATATCATGGGATCGTTCATGTTCATGTTCCACGACAGTCAGCACAATATAGCTGCATCTGACCCACAACCGAGATTGTGCACTATTAGGCATAAGCTTACAACTCATCTGCATTGAGAATCTCGGCTTTTCACAGCTCTCTCGTATTCAGTTGGTGGACGCATCCTACAGTACGCCAATTCAGCTTGCCACAGAGATTTTACCACAAGTTCTAGCCTGGTGAAGTGAGGGGTATGTGACTATCCCGAATGTCTGTGCAGAGGGTATCATTCATCACAATTCACATGGGAAAATGTACCATAACTATTGAATCTCACCGCTAAAACTCTCTTGGCGGACAGTAGATTCAGCTGGAACATGAAGCCACTGAGGCTGTAAGGAGTTGGATGCAGAAGCGCATATTTGGACAAGCTGTTCAATTGAATATAAAAGTAACTACCGTTCACCCGATAACATCTTCACTGTCATCATCACTTCACCTCGAAATACCACAAATCACCTAATCACCACAATCAACTTTTCCAACGCAGACCTAATCGAAAATGGCCCCAACAGTAGCCTGGCGTGTGGGATCCGCACCTCGAGACGCTACGAAAGCGAATGGTACTCAAACAGCCTGCGAAGCTGCTGCCGCTCATGCGGACTTTGACGATTTTCTGACCATGGAAATCTGGTAAGTCCATCTTGTCTGCTGGCAAAGAATAGTGTATCGAGCAACTCAATAACCATCGATATCTATTATAGGAACGGAAGCCATACCAGTCGCAGTGATCACACGCCCCACGGAACTGTGAGAGTTAAGACCCAGGTTCAGACGAACGATGGAAAGCACCAGGTTGCACATATCTACTTCGATGCGTCCTACACCTACACGAGCCATCGCTTGTTTCCCAATGAGAAGACTGATTGAGAGGGGATCTAAGGTTATTGACCAATGAGCATGTAGTTAGTGAATGTAGTCAGCACAACAGTCTGGGTACTTGCTCTATCAATCTTCGCTTTTTCAATATGAGATGCTGTAACCTGTTTGATCGTTTTTAAGAGTGAATCATTGAATTATCGATGAATATCAATTGACAATCATTTAGTAAAATATGACAATGATGGGGCTGAGAGCATTCCCTGGATAAAGCAACAATATCGCCTATTCGGAAGCAAGACTTGGACCGAGTATGACACTCATCTTGAGACAATCACGCAGGAGCGGAGGGATAAAATGTGGCTTAGCGAAGAAGCTATCCAGAGTGAAATGTGATGACTGAAAGTGGCTGGAGATTTTTCATTTAATGATGCGTATGGAGTGTCGCATGTGTCTTTACTGTATGATGTTGCTGTCGTGGTGGATGTGCGGTGTCGCTGGACTGTTAATGAGTATGTACCTTTTCGGGTTAGTGGATTCCTTTCGGTCAAGTTTCAAGTTTATAGGGAGTCAGTCTCCATGATATCCATGAGGTCTCATTCCACCCCATATTTTGCCCCAAACCGTTTCACTCCTCCTTCTTTCCCCCACGCCTGAAACTCTGGAACAAGTGTTGCAAGTTTCCAAAGCGATGGTGACGACCCGTATGATCGGTTCCGCCCGATGGATTCGGTAATCTTGATGTTGTTGGAGGATGCGTCACTCGAATCCGACATGTCTGCTGTTCTCTGAGCGTCGAAATGACGATTTAGTGGCGTGGTGTCTGATCCCTGGGAACGGGGAAATGCTGCGCTTCTTAGTTGATACTGGTTGAGTCAAAATCGAGGTTAGTGCAAATTTTGAGCAAGGTTACGTCGCAAAATTTATCTTGCAGGCGCAATCCGTGGTTTTGATCCCTTGAACAAGCCAACTGTGGGCCGCGCATCCCGAATCACCATTCCCCATGAGAAATCGACAATATTCAGAATACTAAGTATATTATTTGATCGTCGCATATTGCATGCGGCACAAACACTGAGTATTAAAAATTACACAATAAATCGGCCTTCGAGCTCTGGGCAGGATAGCTATATCCTATAGTTGTCTTCAAAATAATAAGTTATTATGATAAATATCTAAGTGCAGACTAGGTTTACAATAACCTTTACGCTACAAATTGGCAATCTAAATTAATTATATTTAATCTTAAGGAGAAAAGCCAAAAGTTGTTGCCTGTTAATGGGGTATAAAGCAGACAGTTTGCCACCATAGCAGTTTTCATAAAGAAGTAGTTAGTCAATATGACATTCCATCTCTTATTCTCTACCGATTACTGCACACAAAAGACTGGGGACGTTTTGCCCTTCGATGCACGAGAGTACTAAGCTGATGAAAATCTATCCAGGGGTGGACATATCTCAGCAGGGATTGCGGGAGATCATGACGGCAATCAATGTCCCTCGGTCTGAGCATTCGGTACGAAAGGATATATAGTCAGATGTGCGATCGAAAGGCGATTGTGCAACTCTTACTGTACTACTAAGTTTATCGCGTTCATACTCTCAAGCTGGGTGCTGATACCAAAATGGTCTTCCCCAAAGATATCGCCGATGTGCTTGTAGGAGTATGGGTACTACTCAATCAAACTAGGTACCTCAAACTCATGCAGAAATTTGCTTTCGCATAGGATAAAAGTTATTAATTATTTACTCAAAGAACCGATCTCAACGGCGTGCCTAAAGAGGTTATCCCTTACCTAGGACTCATTACCTATCACGCCGACGGCTACATGTCCGCAAATCTCGCATCGACTGAACCGCAGAAACGACCGGCAAACTTGACCTATCCCGCCGAAGACGGCCAATCAGATAGCGACTGGGCGCTAGTTGGAAGGAACACTTTGGCTTATGCTGGGAATTGTAGTGTTGAGCCGGTAAATTTTGTTCAAGTCTGATGGCAAGTGCAGCTAGAGTCGAAGCTGACACCGTTACGCAGTGGTCCACAACAACCAACGGTACATTAATACATGGCCCTCTTCTAGTTGCTGACGTGCCGAGCTGGCAGGGGACGAATCAGACTCGAAACTATCAAGTAACGCAAGAGGGTGAGAAGACAGTTCTGCGTCTGTGGATACACAGGGAAGGATCCGACACAATTGGTAACCTCTATTGGGCCAAAATCGTGATTTAGGGAAGGTAGGGTAGTTATTGACTGTGTCGAGTGCTGGATTGTCATTTCTGCAGCGATAGATCCCACTGGAGCGCACATTTCAATATTCAGACGGAACATGTAAGAAAAGATATGGGGGAAGAATTAAGGTGAAGTCTCCTGTAGTTTAAAAAGACAATTGGCGCGATGAATAGCATGTCTGTTGACCCCAAAAGAAATAGAACGCGGCCGTTCAACTCCGTGTTCTGTCGCGGTGGATGGCAGTGCTGACTCGTATCCATGCAGGATGACTTGTTCAATACGAGGCTGAGATCAGACATACCATTATCACAAAGGAATCCGCATAGCCTGATTCGTCGCACAAAAGATTCGCGAACAGGAATTCCCACCGGGAAAGTCTCACTTAACAAGCTATTGCAAAGGACGACTCTACATCAAAGATCTATCTCGGACGGGAAAGAGCGACAGGGGTCACAAGGCTGAGAGAGGGGTAGCGGCTGAGCCTCACAATTGTATGTGACCCTATCATGTATAATCAGAGATGACTTCCGTTTATTTGAGCATCGTCTTTCATTGAACATGGCAATCAGTAGACTGCAGGCGTCACTTGCTGCTGCAAACAGCGAAGTCACATTTGCGGCAGCAAACATCAATTTCGATTTCACGTTGGTGAAATACGAGGCACCAAAAGAGTATCAAGTGCTCGGAATGAGCCTTTCGGAGAAGCGTAAACACAACGCTGAACATGGACCTAGTCATATCACAGCCCGCAAACTTGGAGCCCTATTTGATGGTGTCTGTCCAGCGGCCCCTAATCTAGTAGCAGCATATGGGACCAGAGCATCGCAGATTGCCGAAACCTCACTTAATCAGACCGAGCCGTACAGAGACACTATATTCAGTCAGTACACTGGAATCGACGGGACTTCAATATGGGCAGCGGCAACCTCATCAAAGTCTGCAATCTATGTGCACTTGTTGGCTTGCATGTTGGCACGCATGTGGACGGCGCAAGAAGCCGCAGCTATTTGGGTGGAACTGGTTTACGAGCGCAGAAAAGAGGTGGCTCAGAAGCTTGAAGAAGGCGATATGGTCAATTTCGCATTGGCGGCAGCGGCAGCCCAAGACATCTCGCATTCGGACCTAGCATCTTTGGATGGTAGCGCAAGAGCCTGGTTACGTACAGCTGATACAGTACATCAACGGGACCAGAAACAGCTCGAGCTGATTCTAAAGAATCTCAAAGTCCCCATAGGCGGTGACACAAAAGTATTTTCGAATGTTATTTTGGCTTGGACTACTGCGATCAAGATCATGGATCGGCTTGTCGCAGGTGTCCCGCAGGAGGTCCAGAACGGTGCAGCATTACTCGGATTATCAGCATGGCACCTGTTTCCAGATCTGAACGTTTTCTCGCCCAAGATTGTTTTTATCAAGATGAAAGACCCATTGATGGATCGAGGAGGGATCCTATCTTTAGGCCTTTCCGCGACTCCACACAGTGGTAATACTGAGGATAACGGCGTTTACTGGTCTCTTTCGCTGGCGCACCTGAAGTACTACGGACCACCGGTAAAAAGCGTAAGAACAGTGGAAAGCGATTCTCGTATCACTTTCTCGCAGTTGAATCTCGTGCTCCATGCCTGTCTGTTAAGATTTTGGGATCTAAACGCTCAGCAGAACCTGGTGGTTTCCGACACGATTTGCAAGCTCGTTGAGTACTTGGACAAAGCGCAAATACCTACTACGTTTTACCAAACATGGTTTCTACAGACGCTTTCGAACGGCGTATCTGATTACCTCGATCCCTCACCCAAAGACAAAGATCTGAAGCAAAAATTGATCATGCTGGGAAATAGACGAGCGAAGACGTTCTTGAGGAAGGCGCCCAGAACGACGGATTCAAGTGAGGATGACTGCTTGTTAGGACTGTTGAATTACACAGCATTGATTGAGTGCTTAAAAGATCATACGTCCCGAGTATGTCTGTTGCGTCGCATTGCGAGTCGAGCACAATCCCGTTTAAAGAACAAAGTCCAATTTATAGTGAACATCACGCCCGACCAATTCGGACTCGATGATGAAGGTCGAGACGACCAAAACCTGGTTTTCTTTATACACCGCGAAATTGTGGATTGGAAGACCTCCTTGTGTGGTAACTCCGATACGACAGCGATGTACATGGCAGGTTGCTCGAAAGAGGATTTTGAGATCACTCGCGAACTGTTACTTGACATCGATCTGCAACTTGAAGATTTCCATTATTTTTTAGAGCGTGAACTCATCGACCCGAATCGCTTGATGGCTGCGATCTTCGACAAAGAGGAAAACTCGCCACTTTGGAAGCCCAAAGGGTCCCCGAAACAAGCATTACTTGCCTTATCCTACGCGGCGCAATATTACAAGGATCTCAGCAATGCCACAATTGACGTCGGGATTTTGACTCGCCCTATAACGGAAACAAAATGGGTTAGAAATATCATAGCCAACATTCAAGGAGTTAAATGGTACCGGACAGGCTTTTCCTTGATTGCTTACATGGAGACGGGTATCGAAATCGACCCCCACGATCTAAGAGGCGTGATTGCCTTCTCCACAGCCGACTCGATCTACGTACGCTCAACTGTAAGGAGTAAGTGTCACCAAGAGACGTCAGCGGGAGTAACCTTGCATAGATTATACAGGACCCATACAAGTCCATGACGGAACGTTCGCGCATTCGAAGAATTCTCGGCAATGTCGGAAAACCGGGTATAACATTGATGGTCCCTCCAGCAGAGATGATGATCAGGGAGATCGACGCGGGGAGCTGGAGAGTAGCTTGCTACAACGACTTTGATGGGCAGCCAGTTGAGTCGTTTCAGAACACTTCGACACATCTTTCCTTCACTGAATATCAGATGAAGATCTACGACGGTGCGCAAGGGATGCACGATAGTCAGCTGTCGTATATCGAGCCGGTCTTTTCTGTACGCGATAAGGGAAGCTGGGTAGCTGACATGAATCCTTCGATCTTCGCGGGTAATGACCGATTCCTCTCGGAAAATCGCTGCGACTGTGATCACCCTAAAAACCAACCGCTAGAGGATGACATGGGGAAGGTCACAGTAGTGGATAGCTGGGACGAACTGTTGGATCCACCTGAAGGCGTCTTCGTCATTCGTACTGGCGGAAACTGGGTCGCTCGCCTTGCGTTGACAATGGTAGCGCATCATCAACTCAAGAAGCTGGGGGATGATTTTCAAGTCATAGTTTGTCCGAACCAAGCCTGCTGGAAGTGTGTGCTCCATGAGTTGGCCGAAGCACGATCGCCACGCCAAGCTATAATATTCTAGTTCAATTGATGGGATGTGTGAACAAACAAAGTATTTCATAATGTTTCTAAAAGTCTCAATTGTCTTGATTGATGTTTTGACATGGCGACAGGACACAAGATAAACACTTGAATTACGAAAGTAAGTTGAACATCCATTCCCAGAAATTGCAGCTATCAGTTTGTCTTCAGTTCGGTAGTTGTTGATGTCTCTCACTGCTATGTGCATGTGACCAGAGTGATAGAGTGAATGGTCAATCACGTGACAATTATCCGATAGCGGCACTGGGTGGCCCAAGCTCCTCAGCCTCGCTATCTACCCCACGTCGTCATCAGTGTACCTAGCTTCATCATTAAATCAGCCTGGCTTCATGATACGGGCGACAACCTTCAACCGCTGCCTACGTCCTGTGCGCTCCCCTCGATATATACACAAATCTTCCGCCCGCAAGATGGCCGTCCCCGTTACCGTAAATGAGCTTCCTACGCTGAGCCTACTATACAAGCTCAAGCGCATTGCCGCCGCCGACGATGTAGAGCCCGTTTACGCAGCGAATGCCACCTTCAATGACAAAATCTCTGTTATTAAGCAGGACATCACCACTCTTTGCATCGATTCCATCGTCAACGCCGCCAACAATACTCTTCTGGGTGGCGGCGGCGTAGACGGAGCTATTCACCGCGCTGCAGGCCCCGACCTCTATGACGAATGTGAGACTCTGAATGGTTGTGCGACTGGATCTGCAAAGATCACGGATGGCTATGAGCTGCCTGCGAAGAAGGTCATTCATGCGGTTGGCCCGATATATTGGTCGACGAAACGAGAAGGCAAACATACAGCGCTTCTCTCAGGGTGCTACCGCAGGAGTTTGGAGTTGGCTACGGAGAATGGGCTGAAGAGTATCGCGTTCTCAGCTTTGAGTACCGGCGTGTATGGGTATCCGAGCGGTGAGGCGAGCGAAGTGGCTTTGGATACCGTGCGGAAATTTTTGGAGGAGGGCAAGGGAAATGAGTTAGAGCGGATTGTGTTTTGCAACTTCCTACAGAAAGACGAAGATGCATACTTCAAAAACATTCCGTAAGTCAGTCACACACAGGTAGGGGAGGCGCGCGAGGCTAACAGAGACAGCAAATACTTCCCGCAAACTTCCTCCGCCGAGCCGAATAAACAACCAGCTGCCACGTCCACCGACGCAAACGAGCTCGCAAACAAGTTGCCAGATCCTCCCGCTGCCGAACCGAAGGACCCTGGCGAACCTAATCACAAGAGGCAAAAAACGGACACTTCTGACGATGACTTTGTTGTCGTAGAACGGGGAGACGTCGATGAAGCAGAGGCGGCGTCCAAAAAGGATTGAGCAAGGTGCGCTGTCCTACATTCAGGATCCTTGTCCAATAATGGAATTGTAGCTTCCACCGGATAGGGTAGACGGAGCGGTCACTCAGGTGTACCGGGGTTCTTTTTCTAAGGTTGTTGGATCAGGCAGGGGAAGACTGTTATGTTAGCAGCTTCACAGAAGATCAGGCGTTATGGTTCTCTTCAATTCGGTCATATATACCCCTTAAACAGTGGAACTAAGGAATGCATTTTAGGCATTCCGATTTAGATACCCTGCAACAATCTTGCTCTGCTCTTCTGTGAGAAGCAGTCAGAAATCGCAGACTGTTTGTCTTACCTTGTTTCTGCCTAGCAGCAAAACGGCTTTTTGCTCCCACACCACGCTTGCATGCACGTCTGAATGATTTGGCTTATATACATCAAAGTCTCAGACGACTTACCCCTACCGAGATCCCAGTAGCCATCAGTATTCTCCTATTGAAGCAGGCGATTATTTGTTCGGAGAAATGTATATAATTGATAGCGCGGTCTAATAGTGGAGCGAACACTGCTCCCTCCAATCTAGACCAGACCAGGTACACTACTTTGCTGTGACATTAACGTGTGACAATGCACAAGTGGTGTGGAACATCGGGCCAAAATATTTCAGCCTCCACCGCTTTCCGAGTTCCTCGAAATCTTCTCGCTCGTGAGCTCCCCATTATGAAATTGATCAAATACGACTCGAAGAACTCCAGCAACTTCCAGGGCCATGATTCATTATTATATTTGGGTCGCATCATGACTAATTTAATCTCAACAGTGACAAGGTGGCCTCTCCCAACGTTTGGTCTAGATCCTCTTCTCTGGAATCGCTTCCTGCGGTCTCGCTGCCACCAACCTTTTGCTGTTTCATTAATCGCCATGACCCCAACTCTCCATGATGTATTTCTACCAAACGACAACAACATGGTTTGCTTAGATATTTTTGCAGCCTGTTTGTGATGAGCTATTACTGATCTTCCATCTTCCCTTTATCTGCAGTCCATTTTGCACGAAATTGGCGACTCGTGTTTTCATTTACGCAGGAACTGAAACATTGCCTACGGCAGCAATTGTTGCAAGCAATCTGTTTCTCGTAGCAAATAATCTGTCTTGGTGATTTAAAGGCTCAGCTTGCTTTGTGGTGGATTGTGCCCTCAAAGATATGAATGAATGTCTACATAAGTTTAGGAGATCAACCATCTTCTCGCTCGTGGACGCAGATGAATTACAATATCCCGCAGATCTCACAACCATTGGGCGCGTACGCTACGTGATGCAGGGGAATCTACAGCATAAACTTCAAGTGAACATTTCGGATGCCGTCGATGGCTTGGATCTCGTCAGTTCAGTGTCAGTCAAAGCCAGCCCCCAAGAGCTTCTTGAAGATGCTCTTCGCGCTGAACAAGGCCGCACCAACGATCACAAGGCCCGAGCATCTTTGCTGGAACTTCCTCTCCATGAACTTGTCTACTAATTCGAGGAGAACGTGAAGGACGATCTGAATTATGCTGAGCGGTCGCAGCCGATCGTCGGAATTCAGCACACCAATCAGGCAGCAACAGGAATCTCGGCCTGCGAAAGAACAGCAACAAACTTCTCTGGCTGTTCTCTTGCATTGGCTTGTTCAGTATTAGGAAGATTCTGGGTGGTTTGATTGGTTGAAATTCGGCGCGAAAAATACAAGTTATGGTCTCAATAGCTACTCCAGTATGGAAAGGTCCGCCATCAGAGATAAAACAGTTGTCGAAACAGAGGTATATAAAGTATATAGTTGACATCCAGCAATCACAAACCCAAGGCGGGACGCTTAAAGAGAAACAACCTTTCAGCTGATAAACAATGGAGAACAATGTTAGCATTGTTTGGAATCGCAGCGTATCGTCTCACACCGAGTTGTTTTCTGTGTCAACACTATGTGTTGGAATTGCACAACTCAAAACTCGAGGAATTCTATATAACTCATCCACAGCATTAAGACATTCCTGTGACCAAATTCTACACAGCTCAAACTACAAAATCACTTCAAGAGTTAAAAATGTCCCCAAAAAACACAACATACACTCTAGCCGACGTCGAAAACGTCCTTTGGGCTGCGGAGGACGCAGTCCAATATTATGAGTGGCATGGGGAGAGACATGAAATAAATCTCGCCCACCAAAACAGCATTCTCAGGGCCATCGCCGACGTCGAGCAGGCGCAATCGGGTGAAAGTGATAGCACTCCGTACGCACTGCTCAGCAACGCTATTCGCCACGAACAAGAAAATGTCGACCGCCAGAACACACGCGCACAGAGTGCGAGTGGTAATTTCGAGCAGATCATACAGCCTTTCGAGAACGACGAGACAAATGAGGCTGGATATCCTATCAGGGTTGCTGCGACTCTGATGAACTATGCTTATGACGTTCCTGAGAACGAGCATGGTATCATTGTCCGGCCTCGACCACGATAGGATACTCAATGGCTGTCCACTGGATCTGGGATTGAAACATATAGCATATTTTCCATTCCAGTCCGAGTGATCATAAGTTTTTGTTGCATAGGTAGGGTGGTCAATACCAGATTCTATTAAGCTTAATATACAGATACAAAAGTAGATGAAGAGACAGTTGATCTCTGATAACGAGTACCATTATTAGTTTATCCCAGGCAGCCAATCTCACAGATATGATTGTTAAATGTTTCAATCTTGCCCAGATTCAATGTGTTAGATGTCGAAGTAGTGAAGTGTGGACGCAGCTAGTAGAAGACTGAACCACAGAACTTCCTCGAAAGCCATGTTGGACTTTGAGGAAAGCTTTGTGTTTTCCTGAAGATTAGAAATATAACTTTAATGAACAACCTAGTCACTAGATATACAGTAGTTCCGGTTTTCTCCAGACTCCTTTTCCAGAATCATGCACGCTGCCAGTGAACTACCAGCTAAAAATATGATATCATCCTCTCGACTACGATGGGTAGCGACCATACTCTGTCTGTAACTTTGTTTTCTCCAATCTCATTGTGGTCAATGCACTACAATAAGAACCCTCATCTCCGTCCCAATCGATACTACGAAGAGTTGGCGCCCTGTAATTCAAATTGTGCCGGCACAATCGGAGCTTATACGTATACAAAAAAGTGATATTGCTTCCACTTCCGTTTAGATTTTTTTCTATCAGTTTTGACATCCCCTCGAGAATACTCTTGTGATTCGCTGGGAGGCCATCTTCATGAGTTGGTGATCCCCTGCAGACTATCGCCTGTATACGCAAACGAATGACCCTAAGAGCGGGAAACCGGCGATTGGACAGTACGGGTGTGTTCCTATAGCGCTCTTTCCAGCCCGTCATCGTCGTTCCATTCGGGAAGAGATCGTTCAGCATGGAGGATTCCTTTCGCAATTTGATATCAATCTGGAGCTCAGCAAACGTCATGTATCTTACGATAGGATGACCCGCCCATGAGACAAGAGTCCGTATTGTGTGGAAGTTGAATTTACTTCGCAAAAGAAGAATGTGTTTGGCTTCATTGTTGATTTGTTTGCAACAGAGTAGCATCGCCAGTCCATTCCGGACAATTCTAGGCAATTGAGGCAGAGGGCCAACAGGAGGCGTGAAGCAGTAACATGGACGCCAATATACATGAAAATGGGCCGAGCGAGTCTCCCCATCCGTGATCACGTGTCTGAAGTGAGCCGTTCCAGGGCCTCGTGAGAGATAACGCTGAGGGGAATGCCAGGTTCCTATGGGCAGTGCATATTCGTAGATAATCTGGCGAACCTCTAGTGGGATGCGAAGCAAGAGGGACTCGCGATGATTGCGATTTGTACTGTTCCAATTTAGTAAGAGCGGTGCATGCAATCGCACCAAGTCTCTTACTCAGGGAAGCTATGTTCTACCACTGTTCGCGGGATATCGCACATTGCATCGACTTCGCTATTTTGAGTCATAATTTCGTTGATTGTGGGCACTTGGAGTGGAAGGAATGGGCCTTCCAGTATGTGAGAAGAGCCCTATTTGCCTTTTTATTGTAGTACGGTCCACTGTCGATTCGAAGACAATGGTTCACTCGGAACAACAAGAACAATAATCGTGAATTTTATATTATTAGACGGCCTGCATGTCTGGATCATGGAAAAATCTGTCTGGAATAGAGAAAGTGTATAGACATAATAATGACTGTGCAATGCTACCCCGCGTACACAAGCTAACCCCCTACGGATCGATCGGAGCTGATTCCATCTTGGGATCCCCAGTACGAATTTCCTTCAGTTTCAGTGATTGAGTTTGAATCTGTCATATAATCATAGAAGAAGTTTTTTCGCAAGTATGTATCAAGCCATGCAATTCACGTACGAGCATCGCGTAGTGATTGCGCCTGGGTTGGCGAGATAATTTGGCTGGTACTGGTTGGCCCCCACACGCCCCTCGGATTGGCTTCCCACGAAAGACTGATCGACGAAATTGCTTATCTTTGAACATTTGAGAAGCACCCTATCAGATCGTTTTGTGGGGCTCCAGAGATTATTGTCCGAAAATTTATGTCTAGTTATATCCCCATCATTCCATGGGGCATTAATATGCCAAAGACTTCGAATCCGATGTTTCGCATTTGGCAATTCGAGCTTCATAACTCGAATGCATCCCAGCTGATGGAGATTCCGGAAGTGTTTGCATGTATGCACTCTGATGTCTAGGTGTTCAAACAGCAGCCGACTTGATTTACCTTCACCAATGACTGATACCTATGCGACTTCATTCGGCCAGCTCATCGTAGTTGGTCAATCAAAGCACCATAACAAATGCGATTTTTGTTCGTGTTTGCGATCTTCATTGGTGTTTTGAGTGCAAAACGCCATTGAGAGATCACTCGAGATCGGAGTACAAACTGATAGAGGTCATGATTTGGAAAGTCACAAAACTATACCGATTTACGGTTTTAAATGATTGAAGCTTTGTCTACCATCTGTTTCTTCGGCTCAAGACCTTCCGTTGGGGGACTTGAGTTGTAAAGGTTGAAACTGGTTCGGACGGTAGGCAGGGCCACCCTAGTTGACGGTGAGAACTCACGAAACCCATTGAGGATCATGTAGCACCCAAATCTGCAACTAAGCATCCCTAAAACATTGAATGTCCTAGTTCAACCATTGTAAGAACTGCTGATCACACATTCTTGGCCATTTATCATGGTTTTACATGCATTCTCTCTAAAAGTTGCCTGCCTTGTTATGTAGTTGCCTCCCTTACTTCGACGTGCATAAAATCTGCTGCGTCATTCGTATCCGTCTCTTCTCAACCGTTCTGACATCTCGCCGTCAATATCTTGTCTAACATTGTGCATTGCTGCGAAAGAAAAGGCATCAACCCAACGCAAGCTTGAAACAACGGTCCAGCTAACTGGCATCATGTGAACTAGAGGCTGACGCGACCAACGCCACAGTCAACTCATCCGATGAGGTTCCAGCCCCGTCGATGCAGTCGAGCGACTAGCTTTGCACTGCCATTGCAACGCTCTTTGCTTTCAAAGGAAACATGCTGCCTTCAACCCCTCAACCTGCTCCGTATGTGGCCTTGGTATCTGATCGAAGACCTCATCATCTGCATCACACCAGACCGGGGAATTTGACTAGCAAATCACATTTCAAATAGCAGGATTGGAATTTCACGACAGTATCCGATGAAAAGATTCCAATAAATTTACGACTCTTATTCAAGCTTTTCGGATTCGTATGCTCATCCTCACAGCCTCAATGGGGGAGAGCAAAACATCATCTGACAAAAAATTGCGGTCTTGTCCAATAACATAGAATCGACTGAAGCAGGTACCCGACCAAAAAAAAAAAAGCCGAAAACTCCGGGGTCGCACTACCCTCAAGAAAATTGTGTTCCTGGAGCTATTTCGTTAGCCTACGGGGTCGATTCTATCCCTGCATGGGAATTTCAGTTGCTGACCGTTCTTGTCAGGACCAGAACAGTGGCCTTAGTAGCCCCAACGATTCTGCTGCGTTTCTCACGTAGACCGAATCAGCAGTTAGAGCAGACTGCATACAACTGCACATACGAGACCATTGAGGCTGTTGGTGATATTATAGATGACGTAGAGCAAGATAGAAAGGCCTCCTGTTGAGAATATGTTGTTGCGTTGTCCTGACGTTATCGTAGAAACACGCGGAACTCTGGGGGGCGATAAACTGAAGTGGCAACACAGCCAATGGGAACTTCGTGGAGATTCACTCCAACTGCTCCTGGCCAATCTTGGCTGACATATATCCCATTATCTTCGGCCAAAAGATTTCAACTGGAGGAAAAGAAAATTCAGTATGTACCTAGATTTACTGTAGAAGTGTAGGTTCGCTAGGTGCAGCAGCACTCGCCTAAGCGTCCCACGGAAACACTCTGCCTGGAGACTTGACAGCAACCGTTGATTCGTCCAGCATCAAGAGGATACAGCGCACAAACTAAACTCCCATAAAGTTTGCACTTGTGACTGCAGTGCGACTCAGGCTAGAGTGGAGATTTCAGGCTTTGCAACACGTTTTGCATTTTGAGTGGCAATGTTGTTAGAAATACAAGACTTGCCCACGGCACAGCCTGCGTGTCCGTCTAGGGAAGACGGTGAGATTATTCAAGGGCATAATGAAGGGTCGTATACGTGCGATATTAACCATCGTATGGTGTCTTGCAACCTTCGTCGACTGGGGATCATGCACAGCACTGGCATCACCACGAAATGTCGCTGCTGATGATGTTCCCACATGCGGGGTTCGTACTCAGACAAAATACGCAATGGGCCTTTGACTGACTTCCTCCAGGTATCCTGTATTCTTGAACATCTACCTAAGTCTGGGTGTCCCATAGGAGATGCTCAGTGCCAGTGCACAAACAAAGCTTTTGCTCGCGCAGTGGCACCATGTATACTCAAAAGATGTAGCATGCAAGAGATGATAGGTGGGATAATCACTTGTTCTGATATATCCCCGTCTTCTAACACTTTAATAGAAACAGCCAGAGCAAAGGACGGCTTCTGCCATCTCCCGTCTGAGTCCAAAAGCCGCGAAACGATTTTGTATATCGGCATTTGCTATGGCGTCGCGGCCATCACTGTCGCTATGAGAATCTGGGCCAAAGCCGTGGCAAAATCTTTCGGTATAGATGACTGGATAATTTTGGCCGCACTGGCACTGTCGGCGGTGCCGATGGGATGTGTTATCAAGAGTAAAGATCCTTCTTTCTCATTTTGAGCTGCGCTGACTTTCATCTTAGTGTCGACCATTGGCTTCGGAGAACATGTCTGGAAGTTGGCTGACGGTGCAACGTTTTCCTACATACTGAAACTATGTAAGACCTATCTCAATTCTACAACAGCTACCAAATTTCACCTGCTAAGATCGACTACAGTCTGGGTATCTGGGACCACATACATTATCGTCCTGGGGACTATTAAAGTTTCTCTGTGTCTTATATACGTCAAGGTCTTTCCGGATCGGCGTAAACGCATTGTCACTTATTTCATCATGGGATTCATCATCGTCAGCGACGTCGTTCTCTACCTCACCTGGATTTTCATGTGCAAACCAATACGGGGCTATTGGCACCTGGATATTGGCGCCAAATGCTTGAGCATGAATAAGATTGGATATTCAGTATCCACTTTCGCGATTGTTCAAGACGCATTTCTCTTGATCTGGCCGCTGATCTGCATTTGGAACCTCGATATGGTCACACAGCGTAAGTTTGCGGTAGGCATCATGCTCGCTATTGGCACCTTGTAAGTGAAACTCCAACCATAGCAATATTTCTGTCGATGACCTAATCATTATATCCAGTGGTTGCATTACTACTGTACTTCGTCTTCACACTCTTGTTGCATTCCGCTCTACTCTAGACCCTACATGGGACTTTGTCGCGATAACGAACTGGACTACTCTCGAACTCCTCTCGGGGTTTTTCTGTGTCTCTCTTCCTTCCATGCGCATTCTTTTCGTTCATTATGTCCCCCGGGAACGTTTTGCTTCACTGAGTTCCACTTTCCACTCCAAACCCCCACCAATCAGACGCACGACGTACACGACCCGTCCCGAAAAGAAGAAACCCATTTGGTCCTATTCCACCAACGAAGCTCGCAAAATCGATAAGAGCATAGGTCCAGCAAGCCCGAAAAGCCTAAACGGAGTTACTCGGGTGTGGCCGCGGACATCGCATATCCAATCCTTCTCGCGCAGCAGCCACTTACGACTCGGCGACATCAACAACAACTATGACGACCCGCCCAGTAAATTCTCGAAACCGTCTGCTCTTTCTCTCGATCAATCCCCTGTTCACGACTTTAGCGCTATCCGAACTGAGACTTTGCCAGTTCCACCTAGCCCCATCTCGCCAGTTCACAGTCCTATGACCCCAATATACAGTCCGACATCCCTGTACGACAAGGGCATCGAAATGCAGCCGCCAGCCTTCCACAATCCTTACAATGTTACTCCTCCTCCGATTTCTCCATCGATACACGAAAACCAACAACAATCGATATACTTCGATCAACACGACTTGGTACGCGATTACCAACATGAATCCACACACAATCACCACAACGGGTCCTTCCGCACTACCCGCTATGAATCGACACAGGAAAATCAGTACGACGATGTATCCCCATTGGAGTCCATCCACACCAACAACCCCAATTTCTTCGCTCTTCGCTACGACGATACTCCACCATCTCCCCTCGAGCCATCTCTCCGTCGGTCTTCTACTCTCCAACAATATCCCCTTGGACTCTCTCCTCGCCAGCGTTCTCCTCTCCAACATTCTCCCCTGCGGCCCTCCTTCAATCATGACTCCAATCCAACATCTCCCCTCCAGAATTCCCTTCTCCAACCTTCCTTTCACTACACCTCGCCTCCCCCGTCTCCCTCCCAATCTTCCCACTACGACAGCACCCCTTCATTCCCCCTCCGACCTTCCTCCCTAACCCCTTCCCCCCTGCAACCCCAATCCCGCCACACAACAACCCTACAACCCCCCCAGAGTCGCACAAGCACCTCATCCTCCGAAATCTCCGCTCTCCCGGAAATGCGCCTCTGGCCCCTTTCCCAACCCACCCCAGCTCCTTTATGGCCGCTCCACTCCCCGCTTCGCACACGCGCGCCACGGGTCCTTTATCCGTTTTCCGTTGGCGCGACGAGTGAGATTACAAGGAATGCGTCGTGTAGGAGTTGTGGGAGCGATGATATCGAGGCGTTGCCGCAGTTGAAATTGCCGGTGGAGAGGAAGGATGGGGATGAGGAAGAGAGAGGGGATGGGGGACGAGGGTTTAGGGAGATGAGTTGGGAGGAGGGGATTCCGCCTGTGCCGCCTTTGCCGGGGTGCGCTTTTGGGGGTGAGGCTGGGGGGCAAGATGTTGTTGCTAGGTTGATGGGGAAGAGGGGGAAGAGGGATGGGTTTGTTGTTTGAGGGAATTGCAGCGAGGTAGAGAGGTTGTGTGGGATTTTTGGTAGTGGAACGTGTGGGATCTGCGGTTCTTTATTGTTCGACGAGTCTTTTTAGAGGGTGAGTTGGTAGTTGGTCATTCCGATGTTAAGAATGTGGAGATTTATCTGTCGATGTCTTTCGTTTTCTAATTCATGTAGTATAATTTGCGTTTATCTATACGTACACAAATTTTTGCATATCTTATCAATCACGATAAGTGTTCGAGTATCACAACTTCACCAGAAGGTCATTATCAGAGTATTATAGCCAAACCCGAAATACTAAATCAGAGGAAAAGAGGAATCATGTCAACAGTGTACGGCGTCCCAAATAGTTCAGTTCAAGCCTCCCTGCGGCTAATCTACACGGACATTTGATTTCTAACAGCTTCATCAACCTCACCGAGGGCATCATACCCATATAACCACTTCTGCACGATGGGACAGGTCCAACGACTCGGAAACTTTCCAGTTCCAGCTCCGTCCATCCACGCCCTGAACAGTTCATCGCGCTCCTTCTGCTCTGCGCCGTCTCTCAAATGAAAGTCCCTCCTCTGTGCAAATGTTTCCCTCGCAATACCCTCCCCCCTCTCCTTCCTTATCTTTTCGAACAACCTCAGCACTCCCTCTAAGTCCTTGTCCGATTTGAAATGAGGATTTTTGGAAGAATCAAGCAGAGCGCCGAGTGCGGCACCATCCTCTATCGAGGAATTGGCGCCTTGCGCAAGGTAGGGTAGCATGGGATGGCATGCGTCGCCGATGAGAACGAGGCGGGATGAAGGGTGGGTCCAGGTTGGAAGCGGGTCGCGATGCATGAGTTTCCATTTGGAGACTTGGTGGACGTGAGTAAGGAGAGTGGTCAGACTTTACATCCAGAAAAAGGTCAGCTCGTGAATCTGAAAAGTTTAGGAAGATCGGGCGGGGGTAAAAAAGTGAATCAGGGTCAATTACACTCCATCCCATCCTTCGAATAGCTTCTTCATCTCTGCAAGATCTCCATCGGCTTTCGCGACGCCTTCTTCGAGGTCGTCAGGCACGAGGAGAACTAGGTTCAGCATCGTACCTCCTCGCAGGCTGTAAGCGACCGCGTGAGCATCGGGGCCGATCCAGAAACGTACGTCGGGGTTTTGTACCATGTTGCGCAGCTTAGTGTCGGAAAGTGGAATTTGGTCGAGGGATAGGACAATGCGGTATGCGAGATCGCCGGTCGGAAGAGGGGCGTCGGCGCGGTTGAGAAGTATGGAACGGCAGGTAGACCAGAGGCCGTCTGCGCCGACGATGAGGTCGGCTGTGAGGTTCTGTTTATTGGCGAGTGTGATTCTGGCTCTCCCGTCAACAGAGCCAGAGTTGTTGGTGGCTGTGTATGTAGAGTTTCCGTTCGTCATACTCGTGCCTTCAGGAAATTCAATCCCTACCAGCCGACTCCCTAGGACAACGTGCACACCTAGATCTTCAGCACGTTCGACCAACGCCCGTTGCAGATCCACACGATGGCAGTCAGTAAAAGGGCTGTTGTATTTGCGGCGGCAGTTCTTGTCGAAGTCCTTTTCGTGCGCGAGGACGGTTCCTTTGTAGTTGTATATCGTACACGTACGTGGCTCGCAGGGCCCTTGAATGTTCTCGTAAACGCCCCATGTTTGAAGGAGTCGTGTAGCATTTGGGGTGAGCTGGATACCTGCGCCAACCTAGAAGGGTAGGATGCTTAGTTAACTCGGTGAGCCCATCATGAGGAATAGTGTAAAAGAGGCCAATAGAGTGCGGGGACTGTAGTAGATAGCCATTCTATTTTCGAACAGAAAATTGAAGCAGTTACCTCAGCTAGCTCTCTAGCACTTTCCAATACAGTGACGGAATGTCCTGATAATGCGCACTGAATAGCTGCGGAGAGACCGGAGAGCCCTGCCCCTACGATAACAATTTCGAGTTTGGGTGGCATGACGAGAATCAATCAGAGCATTCGGCAAGCCAGGTCCGAGCAGCAAAGTGGTGAGTGCGGGATGACAGAAGACAATTATAATGCTGCTATACGACGCCTCAGCTAGGTGGATGTGAAGCGGCTGGCAAGGCCATGCACGATTTCTGTAAGCAAGCCTCTTTTACCATCATTCGTCGTACATCTGCGTCATCAAACTCCGAGGCGGTTTTCCTCATAGCCGGTAAAGGCATGCCGTCCTGTGTCGTCTCGGATGTAGTGTGGGGATGCGGGGATGGTTGCTTGGTGGCCAGGTGAGAGGCTTCAGCTGCTAGCCCCGAACAGGCAATCAGCTTCAGCTTGCCCCACGCGCGCACGAATATAAACATAGCTGGGTGTAAACAAAGAAGGAATATATTCAAGAAATAACAAGAAATGGTCAGCAAAGCAAGCAAATAGACTGAGCCGCGGGAAGAAAGGACGCGAAGTACTCGACTGATCGCCGCGAACGCCACCTCACCCGTATCGTGATCCCTATATCCAACTGAAGAAAGCAAAAGAGTTCTCCACCCCCGACGCCGGTAAAAACAAAACGAGCTCTCGCACAGTCCCCTCCCGTATACCATCCGTCTCCTTGTGCCCGCGTAAAGTCAATCCGAGCAGTATATTTACTTCTTAAGTGCAGCATCATATATACTGACAAGCACGCCGACCAAGGCGCCAATTTGGAGACCATAGTAGCCTCCGGGGATATTGTTACGAACAACATTCACACTGGATTCGTGAAATGGTCCCCACCCAGGAGTTTGCGCAACGACAACATTAGGCTGGCCAGCCAAGGCAGCATCGACCTGAGTGCTGATGTGGTAGGCACTGTAGGAAAGGATAGCCTTGACAATGTTGAATGTAAGAGGGTCTACCGAAGACTGGCGGGCCGAGGAGCGATGATGGGTATTTGACCGGAGAGTCAGATTGAAAAAGTAGGAGAAGACGAGGGGGAGAGCCCAGCTGGTCACAGACCAAAGAGTTGCTGGCCCCCACCAGTTGCTTGTGAGCAGTAGCCAGACGTCTGGCAGACGGATTTCATGCGAGTGCACCGTGGTTCCGACAGCTGGGCTGTGGAGCGCGTACCAGGTGCCTAGCGTGTTGTACTGAAGTCCCACTGCTTCGATGAGCAAAATCAGCGTCTGGATCGCGCTGACAGAGCTAGCGTTCTCCCGGATGAACTCTTTCAGTTCATCAAGGCGCGTCTTGTCCCACAACTCGGTCGCCTTAGTTTTTGCGACTTGGAAAGACTGGTCCGCGACGTCGGCTATTTGCGCCGGCGATGGTGGAAGAGGTAATTCGCGTTCCAGTACGCGTTGAGCCGGGCTTACAATGGCCTTCTCGGTCTGCGAGACGCGTCGTGAGACCTGGGAAGCAGTACGAGGTGTGCGCGGCACAAGAGCAGCGCGATCAGGCGTGCGGTCATCACTGTGAGGCGGCTCGTTAGTCCCAGCGCGTAACGCGCGTGTTCGAAAAAATGGCAATAGAGATGTAGAGGGTGGAGGCTCACTCTGCGGCCAACGAGGCAGAATTCTTCATTAAAGTGCGTCTGCGCGTCTTGGTCGTAGTGACGACGGGTTCTTGGGGCGAGCTTCCGCGCTTGCCTGGCGATCCGGCGCGACCATAGTATTCCACGAAGACGGGATCCTTTGCGTAGGTGCTCTCATTGTTATCTAAGCGCTCCTCGATGGCTGCTACGAGATCGTCTTTGAGGAACGAGTCGGCGCTGGGTTTCCATCTCATCAGCTACAGCACAGAGCGCATTATTGTTCACTGGGCCATACTTACTCGGCGACGCTAGCGCGTTGGGCAAGCTCTAAGAGCTCACCCTTCCTCTTCTTCTGTAGCCAAGAGTGGGACATGTTTATATATTGTGTTGGAGTCGCGGGAGGAAAGCGACCAAATATTTATGAACAACAAGAAGAATGAATAGGCGGGGGGAGGGGGGATTTTGCTTGCCAGCGTGTTGGTGTTGTGGATCGGATGCTCGATCTGCGCGGCGGGCGTCATGTAAACAGTGCACACGTGATGACACTAGTCCGCAATGGAGAATAGGTGTGGGGGAATGGAAAGCTTCAGTCTTCCATATGCGCGACTTGTTTGGCCTTGCCCCAGGAATTTTTCGGATGAACAGGAGGAAGAGCAGCATCCTAATCTGGTTCTCAAGTTCAGGTTGCCTTCAAAATACTTATTTCGTCTACAATGAGTGGCATACATTGCTCCTGTGTTTTCCTTCGAAGCTATCAATTGATAGCTCGCTGGTTGGGAACAGTTTGGCAGCATACATGTGACCAGACGACTAGACTTCTCCATGCTTTTTGGTTCACACATACTAACATTCGTTGTGTATTCCTAGCCTGTTTTTCAACTCAGCAACAGGCAACGGGATGCGCCAAAAAAGACGGACGACAAAGATGACACATGAAAGCAAACATTCCTGTAAGCCCGGGATTTGAGCTTATGCCAGATTACTGCCTCCGAAAGTACGCGTACACTTTGCAACAAATGTTTACTAACGTGTTGGAAGGTGGGAAGTTGATGATGATTTTGAGAAGTGCACCGCCACGTGGCGCAGTACATGTGGCACACGTGCAGGGTTCATTAGGGCGGGAAGGTGCGGCTCTAATGGCCCAAAATTTCAAAATGTGAGGACGATGAGGAGCCTCCGTCATCCCTCATCAGACGTCACTCCTTCACCAACGTATCCTTTCCACGACCTTAATTCATTCTTCCCTTGATTTTCCCTGCCTTCGGGTCCCTTTCGCTCTGCCGCATTTTCAGGCGTCGTCGCTCCATCTTTTCCGCTCATGGTGCTTGCCCGCGAGGCCAATCCGTTTAACCCTGCGATTTCCAACAAAGTCGTCGACGATGGTCGGAGGAGTAGAGACTTCACAATGGAAAACTATGGATCGGTGTCGGAGACGGATCGAAGCGCAAAGGAGATAAAACGAGTTCCAGCCGACGAGGACGTAGACCATGAGGCGGCGCGCCCCCGATACATTCACGTAGGATTATACCCCGTTAACTCCATTGTCATGCCTCCCTAGGCCGAAAAAAACGTAGGCGCGAAGATCACCGGTTGACTGAGACTTGCAGGCTATGTTGGCGGGAGGAATTGGCGGACTGACGGGCGATATGCTGATGCATTCGTTGGATACAGTGAAGACGCGACAGCAGGGCGACCCCCACATGCCCCCAAAGTACACGTCTATGGGCAACACCTACTATACTATATGGCGACAAGAGGGCACCAGGAGAGGTCTCTATGGGGGAGTTCAGCCTGCCGCCGTCGGCTCTTTTCTGGGCACCGTGGCTTTCTTTGGCACCTATGAGTGGAGCAAGCGATTGATGATCGATTACGGCGTTGCGCCCTCCATCTCCTACTTCACGGCTGGTGCGTGATTCCTTCTTCTATCGCGACTGAAAAGTGTAAACATGTTTTCTAACTCTCATCAGGTCTCGTCGCCGATCTCGCTGCCGCGCCAGTCTATGTACCCTCCGAAGTTCTCAAGACACGCCTGCAGCTGCAGGGCCGCTTCAACAACCCCCACTTCGATTCCGGCTACAACTACCGCGGAACTATCAATGCTATGCGCACAATTGCTCGACAAGAAGGTTTCGGCGCACTTTTCCACGGCTACAAAGCCACGCTGTGGCGGGACCTCCCTTTCTCCGCTCTCCAATTCGCCTTCTATGAAGAAGAGCGCGGTTTGGCAAAACGGTACATGGGCTCCAATAACATCGGGCTTCCCCTCGAAATCCTGACCGCTGCCACGGCAGGCGGCATGGCGGGCGTCATTACCACCCCCCTTGACGTAGTCAAAACCCGCATTCAAACCCAACGCCACGACGCTTCCTCGGGCCCGCCAAACCCACCCACATCTTCGCTTTCGCCCTCTTCGTCTGCGAAACACTCTTCCACTTCAAAATCTACCCACGCTTCATCCTCACATAGCCGCCCGATCTCAACTGCTTCTCCATCCACCGCCGTCCGCGGACACAGTGCTGCTACCCTCGATACGTCTTCCGTCGTACAGGGGCTAAGGATAATATATAAGACGGAAGGCATATGGGGCTGCTTTCGCGGGGTGGGCCCGCGTGGTGTGTGGACTTCTGTGCAATCCGGGACCATGCTGGTACTGTATCAGCAGCTGTTGAAGTGGTTCGATCAACATCCGTTGGTCGGGAACGTTGGCGATGCAGGTAGTGTGTGATGTGATTCTAGATCTGGAAAAACGCGATAGGGAACGTTGTACGAGTATTATATGTATATTAAAGCTTTGTTGTTGAAAGCAATAGATAGGGAGCGATGTGATGGGGAGGTCCTTGCATAAGCGGCGTTTGTTTTTTGCTTCTTCTCTGAGCTGATATAGACCATGGCAATCACACTACTATTCCTCTGGCCTTTTGTTCATGATTATGATAATGATGATGAGCTTCGTCAATGTTTACCATTTATCGATGTCTCAAGGGGGATAGTATAACTTGGCAATGGGGTATATAAACCTCTTCTTTCTCTGCTCTCTCTCTCTCTCCTTCTTCTTCTTTCTCTTCCCTACACTTAAGTATATACAGTTCTCAGGGACTACTAGAGGGTTTGCACCCCAGCAAGCATGTCTGTTGTCGTCCTCGCCCCGGCGAAGCATCACTTGTATCGGTACTCGGTTGTGAAATACGATCTAAATGTGATAATGATAATCATCATACTTCTTACGGTGACACGACCTGCTACCTCCGCTTCGTCGGATGAAGGCGCGGGGAGGGGTATATAAACCCCTCCCCTTTTCTCACCTTCTTCTTCTTTTTTCTTCCTCTTCATACACGCGCTGAGGGCGTGGGCAGAGGAGTTCTCTTTAAAAATGGTTGAATTTGATGATTATCTCGGATCGTGTGTGGTGTTGGGCTCGCTGTGGGGATTCATAACATATTCCGACCAAAGGTCATATTTTCCATAGTTGTAGAAAAGGGTGGTGATGATGACCATCGCTATTTTGGCCAAAAGAGCTGTTGTCTTTTCATTGGTGACTAGAGAAACTGAAATAAAGATAAATACCCTTCTCCTCTCCTTCCCTCCTTCTTTCTCTCTTCTATATACACACGCACACTAGCGTGGGTGTTTGGATACTCTTAATAACTCCTATGAAGCCGAGCAATGTGGTATCTGTGCTGGCTCTTATGAGGCGACAGTACATGTATCTTATAGTACGTGTGTATCAGAAATTGACGATGATGATAATGGAGGTTAGTTAGGGGTTTTCATTGGTTCAAGGAATGGGTAGAATGGGGTATATAAATCTCCCCGTTCTTCTCTCGTTGTTCTTCTTCTCTTCCTCACATACGCGCTGGCGTAAGGGGAATGAAGAGTGGATCAGAACAGGCTACAGCAGCTTCTTCTGCGGTGGTATGGCTTGTCTGGTGAAGGACATTGCACATAGAAAGGTAATGAATGGTCTTTTAATGATGGAAATTAACGATGATGATGACGATTGTAAAGAGGACTATGAGGTTTGTGGTTAGTCCATTATTGTTGCAAAGACGGGTATATAAGCCCTTCATCTGCTTCCTCTTCCTCTTGTCATTCCTTCCTGCTTCACGCACGCATTAGACATAGTGAGTGTATAGAAAGGAGCATTACGATCATGCGATGTGGTGTTCTCGCTAGACCCAGATAAAACGAACCATATGGCAAGTGATGAGAGGGAAGTTTTGGGGCTGATAGGTAACGATAATGAAAATCATTGTTTTCGTGAGAAGCCTGCGGCTCGCGGCTCATGTTATGGATGGATGGATGGATGGATGGATGGATGGATGGAGGGGACATGTATTTGAACCTCTTTCTTTCCTACCTTTCACTTCTTTTTCCTCATGTCTTCACATAATTATTTGACACGGGAGAATAATGCTCATCGGAGTTGTGAATTCGAAGTGTTACTTGTATATGCGTTGGGGAGCCGAGGCCCTTTTACGACAGTGGATGGGGGTGATAATATGAGTCACAACGACAATGAGGCGTTACCGCTGCTGTTAGCTATTTTTTAAGCAATTGGGAAGGTTATATAAACCTCCATTCTTCACCCGCTTTCCTTTTCCTTCTACATGCACACACTGGCTCGGAGAATGTTTTGCGTCTCCCTTTCTAGAGATCCACATCGACGATTTGATGTGCGGTACCTTTAGCTCGCCTTTTGAATAGTACAGATATTGTAACATTGATGAGAGGAGGTATTTTTTAGGGCATAGGAGGTCATGATGATGACAATGATGATGGGCATCATACAAGTAATCCGCAAGACCCCGGTTGGGGTTTGTAGATAAGCGAATTCGAAGATATATAAACCCCCTCTTCTGCTTTCTTCATTTCTTCACTTTTCTTTTACACGCACTGACGTAGTAGAAAGTCCAAGAAAAATCCACAGAGAGCATCACCCATGTGCGGTGGCTTGGTTCTTCTGTCGACAAACAATACAACGACACCGCATGTGGTTCACACATATGGTTTTTTTAATACATCATACAGACGATGATGACTATCATCAAAAGATTGCTCGTTTGGGCTAGCTCGTCTAGCTAAGAGATAGCTATAAAAACCCGCTTCTTCCCAGCCCTTCCTCTGCTCCCTACACCTACGCCGTGGATAAAGCTCAGAGAACATAAAAAAAAGCCAATCTACCTATACGGTGTTCTTCTCTCGCTTGATTGTAAGAACGACGGAACAGACCGTGTTATGCGGTTCGTTTCCTGATTGTCTGATAGGGTGGATAGAGTAGATGTTGCGCGATGACGATGATGATGATGACTATTGTAAATTCCGGCTCCTGGTGATTAATCAGTGTGGGGATGGGAGGTATAAAAGCACATTCATTTCTGCCTGTCTTCCTATTTATTGATTACATAGTCAAGGCTTGATTGAAAGAGGAAGACAATGGCACTTAAGACGATCGTAAAGACCAGAGAAAAAGACTAATGTGATCCGCGGAGTGGTTGTGTTGTGCAGAGCAGCACATGTGAACGAGAGGAGATGGCGCTCAGAACATATGACACCTGGCGGTGATGAATCACGATAATGCTGATGAATTTCATTACTACTTACCACTCACTATATGGTACTGGATAGGACACGGCGTAGTGTTAGGTGGGGAGAAGGTTATATAAGTCTCCTTTCGCCATTGTTCTTTTTTCCCTTCCTTTTTCTCTACAAGCCTCGACGAAAAGCATCTTCCCGACCTTTTAGAAACGGGAAATGTATTCGGTGAATGAGTGCGCTGGCTCGTCCGAACGAAAGTCATGTGGTTAAACCAGCCACGTCAGTTAGCATAAGTTCCACGAACAAAAGCGATAATAGTAATAATAGTAGAGATAAATATGTCAGACCCTTGCATTCTTCATCTCTTTTTTGATTTAACACATAAGCAGAGCTGGCGTACCAATGGAATTTTTTTGAAAAGCTATTGAAAAGATGAACCCAATTCTTAGCATATGTGAGAAGTCATATAGGCAAATATAGGGTATTCGAATTCAGTAGGCATTATAATGCCGATGATCATCTGCGCGTCATCTAGAAGCTGCGAGTACATAAGTTTCCTCCTAGAATCTATTCCTATCTTTAATTCCTGCTTCACCAAGCTCCTAAGAAAGAGGTACCGCTAGAAACCTGCATGTAACAAATGAATGTGGAGTCCGGCTCCGCGGGGTAGCATATAAAGTCCACAGTAAGTTGGTTTTAAGTACATAGAATACATCTTATTGGTAAACGAACGATAATTATAACGATAATGAGCTCGATAATTATCTACATATTGGTGACTGCTGGCTAACCAAACAAGCTTAGCGTATGAAGGCAGAGTATACAAATTTCTCTTGTCCTCGCTGGCATTCTTCTTCCTACACACACACCCCTGGTCGGAGCGGAGGAGCACCAAGAACTAATATAACCGCGCGATACCCTTGGTACATGTAACATGGCAATGATGGAATTGCGGCTCGTCTATTTGAAAACGGAAGACCTACATGTATTTGACGAATAGAGTCCAATAGTGATAATGATTATGACTATCACGTTTTTAAGAGTTTGGGGGATGAATGTGATACTCTACTTTCATGTTTTGGTAGTCATATAGAAAGTCCTGCGATGCACAGGCTTGTCACAGGATATCCCATGATGTGTATACTGAGAGTGTTTGATGAATTGATATATTTTCAGTACTGATGATGAAGGTCCAGTAATTTTCAAACATCCAGATCATGGTAATGTGTCAGAATAGAGTTGACGATGTATCAGCGCCGTTTCTCCCCCTCTACGGGCGATGAAACCAAATCACGGGAATTGGTATGTGTCTGGTGATTCGACGTCTCTGCATGTGAAGCATGCTATGATATGTGGGAATATTTTGAAATTAGCATCTTACAATGATGATAATGATGAAGATTACTTATCGTAAGTTCTTAGTTAGCGTACGAAGAGCCTCAGAATATTTAATCCCCCCATTCCGCCATTCATGTTATTCCTCCAACAACGCACAGCAAAATCGATTACCAATGTTAAAAATGGAACCTACTCTCGTGGTAATGTGGGTTCCTGTGATTCAAGGATCTACTGAGACATGATATGGGTGAAACATGTTCTTGAGAAAACCGATATAGGACACAAAAGCTACCGAAGACTACAAAAAACCTCAAAAATGTGTTGTTCAGCATTGATATGGAGAATTAATACCACTCGATGATGATGATGATGAGAATCGGGGAGGCAAGCGTTACCGCATCTGGCTTGTCAAACAAGGGTTTCAACGGGCACTTTGAGGTATATAAAGCCCCTCTACCTCCAGTCTTCACCACGCATGCTGTATTGTCTCTTTTGGAACGGGAATCTGGGGTGACCAATGGGTCACAGTTGCCATCAGAATGGATTGAGATGAGATGCCATGTTGTGCGTCGGTTCTGCCTAACGAGCAGCCCGTGTAGTCATTGTGGACAGATTTTAGTTGGAACATAGTAACGGTGATGATGACGATGGTGGTGATGACAGTCATCCTCACTGGGTCTAGTAGGGAACTTTCAAAGAGTTTCGTCCATTTCCTTTTAATCTTCTTTGTTCTTTCTTCGCGTTACCAGTGAGTTCACCCTGCGATAGATGTTATAAAGGTGATGCCTTTCTCTCGATTCATATGGTTCCCAAGCACGGGCATGTAAATTTCTCGCTGCAAATTAGATACATATGTATCTTGGTATTCTTTTAGGTATTGCCCGTACTCTTGAGTTTTGCGTCCGCGGTGATGATTTCCATCGCATTTGGATTAGTGCAAATCGAGGGGAAGGCATATAAATCTCTCTCTCCGCCTCCCCTCTCTTTCCTTTCTCACACAATAAGCTAACACATATGCGTTGGGAAAGGTTTCCCGAAATTAAGCAATGGTTGTCTCCTCGCAATATAACTTTTCGTGCGTGACTGTTACTTTGCTCGTGTATATGGAACGAAACTTTTTGATAGACGTGGGTGGTGTTGATGCGGATCACTGCCATCGTCAAATAGGGTGCTAGATTTCACTTCAAATATTGAGCATGAGCAATGATCATGGAGCTTACATTTATATAGTCTAGCATTTAAGAAATAGATTATTTATCAGCTCTCCTGATTTTCTTCGGGTTTTCTTTCCTCCTCGACAGAAAACTTCCAGGCCAAGCGTCAGTAAGAAAGTAGGGTATTTCTTCAACATCAGCTGCCCTATCTTTCTTAGGGTCCACGAGTGTACTAGAACAATTGTGGCGAGCATATCATGTGGGGAGTGCTTTCAATAGGCAGATCAGCAGTGACGATAATGACGGTGGTACTGTGGTGAAATACAACAGGTTGGCCGCTCCCACCATTTGAACCTTCAACTTGCCTATTTAGGTAATTCCCGAAAGCCGTCGATCGCTGCACATTTTTAATGTATTGGCGTGAGGCGGGCAGAAATCAAGAACAATACAAATTCGCGATAATGCACTCAAACCAGCCAGGACACGGTAAACGCAGTATGATTCTCCCAGAACCTACAGTTTCAAACTACCTAACTAGGAAATTTACTGTTCCTCGTTGATCACTGTACTATCTGGAGGAGTTGTCGTAGCTCATTCGAAAACTAGAAGGGAAAACAAATTGTTGATAGTGCATTGACGCATGTTAGCATACCTTATCCGCAGCTTGATAATGACAACGTCTGCTTATAGGGCTTTCCATCTTACAAATTTATTTGTGCATGCTATTAGGGACTTATAAGAAACCTTCTCGTTTCTTCGATTTACTATCACACCGATTGCGGTAGAACATACAGCTCCCACGTCCCCCTCCTATCAGCTTTTTTCCACTCGTCGATGCCGCCTTCGACCCCCTCGGCCCCCACCATCCAATGCCCATTCTCGACCATCATCAGCCAATGCTGTAGAATTTGCACGAGTTGGGGTCCATGTCTATCGCCGAAAGGTCTATGTCCCGCCTGGTACAGATCCGCAGTTGTGTCTTTCGCGATAGGGGTGTCATCGTGGGGGTTCTCGCCATATAAAGAACCATCGCTTTTCCGCGCATGTCGGCGTGACCCTATACCGTATGGCAGAACGAATATCGTCTGATCGTCCCACCGACTGAGACTAAAGCTCACGGCCTCTAGGTAGAGACCCGCGGAATACCGTTCCACCAGGTTGTAAGGGTATTGGAAATTGCGATCATGGAATTTAGTTTGGGGGACTGGGTCTTTGCAGTCTACGTCAGAGATAAAGACGGGAATGGGTGGAACATCGATATCTTCATCGTGATACACGTAATCGTGCTTGCGGAAAACTTGCATGAACTCGCTTCGTGCGAATTTCTCCGAATTAATGGTTTTCAGGCCTGGTGCGATGTATTCGAAGTGTGGCCGACGTGCACGCAGTAGAAATTTACGCGCGAATCCATCCAATATGTTGGCTTCGTCGAGATCATGCTCGTCGACTAAGCCATGTTGTACTGTGCTTTGATCTGGTAGTGCACCAGGCATACGGTCCTGGATGGCTTCTATGAGATTGTCGAATGCGTCGAGCGTTTCTTGCAAGTCCTGTTCGGTATATGGAACCAAAGCCCACGGGGGAAATGTCATCAGCTCAGAATCTTCATTCTCTCGTATAGCTTTGACTTTTCCGCTTTTGATCATATCTAGCCAGGCTTCTAGGATAGACTCCAAGGGGTACCACCCTATTCGACCGTTGGTTATCCATCCAATATCATCGATATACGTACACATGATTGCGGCGTTGGTAACCTGATCATAACTGCGAAGATGAGAAACGGCTTCATCAGAACAAGAGTAGTAGCACTCACACAATGCCAACCTGATGCGACCAGATGCTTGTGGCATGATATAGATTGACGAATCTCTTTTCCTCTTCTATCTTATGCTGGAAGAGACTGTCCCAGAAGAACATATTCTCCAGATTGAAAAGCCCGCTCGCCCAGAAATGAAATGAATGTTCAGGGGAGTAGTCGGCGCGTTGAAGAAACGACATCAAATCAGGGTTCAGGGTCTTGCGTGCTTCTTCTGAGTCGTCTTTCCAGTGAGTGGGGACAAAGTCCTGATAATCGCGGCCTGACCCCTCCCATCCTAATCGAACTATTTCATTATGTAAATCCACACAACGATCGACATCTAGTTTTAATTGCTCCCATTCGGGTTCTCGGAGCAGTTCATCGGCTGTTGGCGTCTTAGCCACATGATAATAAGCCACTGAGAGAAAGATACCGAGCAATGTCCATACCGTTGACCGGGACATTCGTATCCTTGTGCTTCCCTCTGAGAGTTTCTATGGTTGAAATAAGGGAATCTGGAGCCTGGGAAAAAGATCGATGTTCGTGTGATGTTCGAATGGCCCCCTGGGAGAGTAAGATTTCATAATCGTATGTGTGCTAAGGAATACAAGTGTGATGACATGTACATAGACAGATACCCATTCAACCTCGGCCGATTACAACGAAAATCATCTCCTACTGCCGACTCGTCGTTTTCCAGTGTGATTAACCAACAGTATCTGAACAAAAAAGCGGTGATTACAGGATGTCACTTATTTATCCCCAACTGACTCAACGAAGTCGTGTTCTGCTTGCCCTATAATTCATATTAGAAACGAACAACTTGGAGATTCATCCGCTTGATAGTATCGTTACCTAACTTCCTCATCCTTTGTCTGAGGCTCTGTCTCGAGTTCCTTGAGTCCGGGGTCATTTTATTCTTTGATTGACACATGATCTTCCATCACTTCTTCGCCCACTTCTTATCCAGCCGCTTCAGCTTCCTCTGGTGACTGCGGACGGTCTCTATTCACAACAACAAGTTTCCAGGTTTTCTCCTTAACTTTACCCCTTATCGGCAACCCCAGGACCTGGCGCTTAAACCCTTCCCTCAGCTTTGCGTCTTTCTCAGTCATTTCCTTTTCTTTCTCCTTGGTTTTCTTCTCCTTCCTCTTTGTATCTTTCCCTGCTCCTCTGATTTCAGCAGGGGTGGCCAATGGTCCTGCACGCATTTCTGCCTTGGACATCCCAGCCCACCATTGTGGATCTGCTTGAAAGGTTTGTATTGCTGGCGGCACACCAAGGGAATAAATTTCAAATTTTGGGCCGGCGTTGATGAAAGACGCAAGGCCGGCCGTCTCAGCGTTGCGGATAAGGATGAGCGCGGTCGATGGTGGTTTGGTGACGGGCACTACGAAATGTGAGCAAACGTTCGGTTGTCGCCCGTTCGATATTTCGGATTGAGTGTGAGCGATACACTCGCGAAGTCTGTCTTCCAAATTTATCTTCTCGTTTTCATGTTCGTCAGACATTCCGGGATTGGATTGTCTTATTCGGATTTTGGGGAGGTACTAATGTAGGCTGGGCGCGATTAGGCCGTGGAAAGCGTTTGAGGAAAAGTAACGTGCTGCGTGTACAGTGTACACCGTCTCTAATTTCAATCCTTCTCTTTTTGATCTATGATAGTCAGCTGAGTGTAATCCTCTAGATGCTGATATCAACTTGCATAGTTTTCTTGATCATTGGGGCCGGAAAGGTGATTTTATGTTGGTCACAGGTTTGTTTGTTGGATACTGAGCAGGCACCTCGTGACGTGCTGTTTGTACACTCCGCATGTGATTTGCCAACAGGTCTATACGTAGCGCATAGCTCAATCATATCATAGGTCTATTCGGTGGGGGATATATGTATACAAAGGCATGCGCTCTGCCCATGAACTTGACAAGAAACTCTACACACTGCAGTGCCATGCAATCAATCCGTGCTTGATCTGTCTTCCTCAGAGAAGAACCATCTTACAATGCTAAACTTCTGACACATTGAAACTTGTTGGTGCCCGGGCGCTATGGTCAATCGTTCGCACAGCTTGCTGCAACGCACTTCCAGCGGGTTCTACGGAAAGCTTCGGGTCTCACTTGACCCCCAGGAAGCAGTTCGATATATATACAATAGACCAATTAGATACTGCTAAGAGCTATAAGCGAGATCGCACAGCCTTGTTTGCCACATGAAGTTTTTCAAATGAAATTTAGTGACTGCGTGATTTCCCACTGTCCCCGCACAGACCACAGCCTACCTATATAAAGACGCTCCCCCCACCATAGACGCTCTCCAAACCACTTCATACTCCATATACCATCATACCAGACACTTTCAACAGCGTCATTTGTCGCATAAACAGCATTCATCGGCTCACACAGCACAAATCACATACGACTACTATGGCATCTGACAACGCCCCATTCCCCTTCATGGAGCTCCCCATGGCAATCCGCTTCATGGTCTATGAAAGAATCCCCCGTCGAATTCTGTACGATCGACTCCGAATCCCCACTTTTGGCGAGGCTCTTCTCGTATGCCGTGTCACCGACACTGCAATCCTGGAAACGAGCCGACAGATCAGGCACGAGGCAATGCACTTCGTCCAGCGCACTGTGGATCGATACGTGCTGGAGCAGACACCGCGGCTTTTCGTGTCCGACGTGGCCCACAATCCGGTGCTCCGCACCATTATGCACGCCACAAGACTCCAAATCCAAGCAATCGACGCGGGCAACTTCGGGTTCCAGCTGCCGTCCCTCGCAATGAACAATCACTTCCCCGAAGCCCAAGAAGACGAACAAAAGTTCCGACAATTCATCAGGACATCCGTCAGTCAACTCATGCCCCACATCAGGAACTACCGTAGACTTCGTGCCGCACACCAAGCCCAACATGCCGGAAACCCAAATCCCCCTGCCTTCGACGCAGCAATTCCCGGATACCAAATCGTGCTACTCCAGAACCCAGGAGGATACGCGCGCTCGAACGACATTTGGCGCGCTGCTAGAGCTATCGGCAACTCCATCACCGCAGCAGGTGCTGTCGCACCCCCAGAGGTATCATTGTCAATTGCAGGTGCGGTGCCGCGCATCCACCTCCACCATTACGGTACGTTTTCCCCCACCACCATCCCCCGCATGCTTCCAGGTGGCCTGCCAAGCCATCCTGTGGTGAGCCCTCTCCACATCACACTGCTGCCTGAGATGAGTTGGGAGGAGTGGGTGGTGAATTGGTTGGACTAGCTTGGGAGATCGGTCGTCTGCGTCGGTGTTCCCTTGCGTTTGCTTTCTTTTTTCTGTTAGTATATCTTTGTGTACCATAATATCATGTACGATAATGAGTTTTCTCAATAATGCTCGATGATTCTCTTTCTTCTCACAATATGTGACCCATCACGTGACTTTCTGCTACACTATGTCAATGTTTCTTCCCAGTCTTATAGGATATCTTTCCAATAACCGCTTTGACAGTCCAATAGTCTTTCTATGTGTGTTATATGCCTTATCACATACTTGGATATCAGGAAGGGCATCATAACGAGCTACTCATAGACCCACTGTGGCGACGGAAGATGCGATAAACCATTCTAGAAAATGCTTGTACTACTCGCTGAAATGCTATCTATATAAGTGTTGTTCTAGAAGTGACATCCGACGTATAGCAAATGACGGCGCAGCATAATGAGATTGTAAACTTCAACTAAACTGTCAAAACTGTCTTCACGATTCATCACGCTAATTACATCTTAATGTACTTTTCATCAGTATCAAGCTATTCGCGGACTTCTACGTCAAAGAATTGCGTTGAAGAGAGTCCAGGTATACGACAGTTCATAATTTCAGGATCTATCTTAGTGATAATGTGCCTCATTAGATGTGGTATTCCCTCGTGCTCATTGCTTATTGGATTTGTATCACCATGATACCTTGCATATTCACTTGTTTCAAGTAATAATATTTACTACTACAGAGTTGCTTCACTGACCAGCTATGTTAGCCCCTTTACTATGACATATAATGCTTGAATGCTACGAGACACGATCTAAGTTTGAGAAACCCTGTCATCGCATAGAGATCTAAATTAGTTTCACTGCGCAACGCTGCAGACATGTTGTGATACAACATCAAAGTAATCTAGTAGTCTGAGTGCTGAGCATCGGCAATCCATTGTCTGTCATACAGTAATGATATAAAAGTTAACGACTTGAGATATCTGAGACATCTACCGCAGGGCTGGAATCCTACAAAAAACATATCTCAGCATGCTACGCCGCAATACCGACCCTTAATGCTGGTACTTTGTACCCATGGTGTTGGGAGATGCATGGTAACCGTGCACACGAGTCATAGGAAGATCGGCGCTTGGTCGTGCGTCTTCGCACATTGTCAAGCTGTGAGAATGATGGCAGCATGTCAAAGTAGTGTTTTTATTCCCCCCTTCCTCATACATGGAACAGCAGAACGTAGGCATCATAGTACTGGATATGCACTCAAATGGTTGATAAGTTCACATATTCATCGTGTGACTTGAAATAAGTAGCAAGTACTAACAAAATCCCTGACAATACCACCTGGACGCCTGAACAGTGCTTATCGTAGCATGCTATTGAAACCATTATGCCGCATCGTGAATTTATCTCACGCCGAAAAACACCACAATGTAACATTTCCCCAATATGACAACTAACTTTTGAGATTGTTGAAACTGATGGACTCAAGGAGCCAATGCCTTTACGCAGCTGCCTCCTTCACACACATATGAAAGTTCTCATGGGATACTAACCCTCTGACACGGGTGTAAGGCTCCACGATGTTATAGTAGCATCTCTCATCTAGTACTCCATTCCACCGTCACTGTCTTATGCACACCGCCCTTGATGATGACTTGCTCGTCACTGCGAGCATCATCATCTCTGCCTGCTTTTCCATATGCAGTTGTATGCCCATAGTCCTTCGGCGTCATCGTGAGCTCAATGTCTTCGCTCTTCTGGTAACCATGATTTGATGGATGCAGGCGACTCGGCTTGCTGGTTGCGTAGTTGTATTGTTTCGATGGACGCGTTGAACCAGTCTCAAAGCACGGAAATATACGGCCTAGTATCCACTTTATGGTTGGACCACAAGCAGCCAGTACCCCCAGATTGGACTCGATGTTCGACAGCGAGTTGCGCACATTGTAAGGGTTTTCGACCTGGCCCGGTGGCAAGTTGAGCACAACGACGAAATTCTGCAGGCGGTAGATAGCGATGGCGGTGACGGCGAGAGGAAGGGATAGGAATATAATGACGCTGATCTTGCTGCGGCGTGACATGTGAAAGTCGTGTAGGAGCGCGGCTGGAATCAGTGTAACCAATACATCAGTACCGATAGTCGTACCAATGACACCATAGATGTATGGTTTCCTTTCTATGCATTTGCCCGGTACCGTTTTGTCCCATGCCTTCTCGATTGGGTTGCACGAGAAGATGTGCCCAACAGTGGCAGCAATGATGAAGGCCGCATTGACTCCGATCAGGAACCACAGCGATATCTTCGCCCACATCTTTGGCGAGCGTAGCTTGAGTAGCGTTATACAAAAGGAGATCTTGACGAGCCCCAGAATCGGATTGTACATGACGTTGTTGATGAACCGCCATAGGAGCACCTCCTTAATGTCGACAGCCCCCTTCGGAATGTCAGCAGCATGGTATCCGGAGTAAGATACCAGCACAACTGTGAGTATAAGTCAATGGCAAGCTCAACATTCTCTCGTGTAGTGTGATCAGCAGAGCACTTACTCTTCCAGACGCCGGCTGTGAGTGCCGCGAGTAACACTTCAGCGATCACAATCAACCAGTCCTCTACATGACGGATTTAGCACAAAAGATGAGCGCTTGCACTGTGGAGACGTACCAATTGCGAGTGAGTGTGTCTGAATGATCTTCTTCGTCATCCGCACTGTAACAACAGCCAAAGAAAGGAGGAAAGGAAACAGAATCAAGAAAAAATTCAACGGCTGGAGTCCGGATCCCGCCATCCTGCAGCCTCGAACAAATCTGTTACCCTGAAGATACTGGAACAAGAGAAAAACAAGCTCGTAGATGTGAACATGTACAACACACTCAGGTGGAACAGGCTACATCTATGTTATATTCAGTGTTGGGTTGTGTGGCTTTTCCCTCAACAGCAAATACGAATAGTGAAGCTTCTACCCATCTGACTGGATACCTTCCTCACACAGTGGCTCGCTACGAACTTGCGACAAATCCTGCTCATCCATCACGAGGACTGTCTTCCTAAGCCGGATAGTAGCCATGTTTCCAAGGGTCATAAAAATCTCTCCGGAGTCGTCTGATTGGACAAATTGTACTCTGATACAATCGGGATTTTTGTTAGCTCCCCCGGCGCCTTCATTTCGCTTTGTTCCGGAACTTCCACGCACCGCATGCTCGTATCCGGGCAATGTCTTCCACGTAACGCTTACAACACGATCTTTACACGACGAAAATTGTCATATAAGAACTGAGTATTTTCGAACCTCCAAACATGACAGCTACGAGAATTCCATCCGACTGTAGCGCCCCCTCGTCCATCGTGGTCGCCGAGGACCACGATGTAGCCACCAACTTCATCCAAGATGCGTGAGCTGGGACGTATCTGGACCTCAGTTATGCAGATCCGGGATCATTATTCAACTAGCAACCCAATTCTCGGAAGCTACCGTGAAGAGAGAATTTTGTGCGGGGGTTAAAATCCTTCATGCGCATGCATCATTTGTCGAGTACGAGGGCGCTGATCAAAGCGCACGGGAAAATAGACTCGCTTAAATTCTTCGCCCTCACCAATTCCCACTAGGGTACATATGTAGATGTCGCTCGACGCCAGATTGAAGCATACGACCGACATAGTTTGTGGTACGGGCCGAGCATTGGCGCGAACTGCTTGTAAAATTCAAATTATGCCTTGCTAGTTCCTCCGCAAAGGGAGCTCCCGCTTGCTGATACCCGATGTATAGTACAAATCTAACCCCTTAGACTATCCGTTCCCGCGTTCTCCTATTGTAACGCCAATCTTTTCCCTCCCTAGAGCATAACTTGGGCTTTCTCGAGTCATGGACCCTTCCGCCTAGTCCGGCGTACCACATGCCAAGTGTCTGTCAAGGTACGAAGGCACCATGGTGATCTTACCTCCAAGCGGAGATGGCACGATTCTGGGGCGCCTCGACGATGAATTCTGCGCCATTCGACGTGCGAACCGGCCATTCATATAACCCTCATGCGCGGCGAGTCGGGCCTTCCGCTATGTTGGTTTTCGGATCATGCAGGGTCGCGATTGGCATACTAACGGATTATGCTCAGGGGATACTTGATTCAAAGAGTCTAGAACGACAAGAGATTCAAGATGGTAGTTTCTTGAACGAAGTGGCAAGCTCTGCAATTCGTCAGTGTGTTCCAATCTACTGCTTATGTGCGATGTAGCGCAACAGGCCCTCCTGGGATTGTCACGCATCTTGGCAAGCCTTCGCTTCCTTCTAGAATTGGACGGCAAATGCTGCGGATGGATTCTGCCGACAAAGTTTTTGTTTAAATCTTCAAGTTTGCTTCAGACGGAACGGATTTGACTGCACCTTGTGTCTTGCTGTCACTCCCGAAGCAGTGGTAAATTAATTCAGCCACCAGCAAAAAAAAACATGGCAATCACGATCTCTTTCTCGCGTGGTGCTATTTCGGCCCTCCTCCTCTTGGGCTTACCTATCGTTAATGCCCAATCATCCTCCGTCGTCGTTGCTGATGTCGAACCGGCAGCCACGGCCGTCTCACAGACCGAAGCAGCCGGTGCACCGCTCCAGTCCGCAGAGACTTTGCAGCTGACAGACGAGGTCGTGGACCGCATTGTGAGCGACGAGGCCACCTCCGAATATGCGGCTTACTTCGCTTTTGAAGACAGCGCCGTCTCTGATGAAAACCGCCGACGCACAACACAATCCTGCAAGACTTTTCCAGGTGACTGGAACTGGCCTGCAGGCATCGTCTGGGAGATCTTCGACCTGCTCTTAGGGAAGGCTTTGATTCCCACCAAGCCGTTGGGTGCGCCTTGCTATGACTCCCAGTGGGGCAAAAAGGACACGGCCAAGTGTGCAAACATTGTCAGTAACATGACGAATGCGAACTTCATCAGCGCCGACCCTACTGCAAATTACTGGCCCATCTTCCAAGGTCGTACTTGCCAACCAAAGAGTGATACCGCTGGCTCAAAATGCACCATTGGTGGCTACCCAGAGTATGCCATCAGCGTCAGGAATGTTGCGCAGATTCAGCTTGCTATTAACTTTGCCCGCGTGGCTAACCTACGTCTGGTTATCAAGAACACTGGTCACTGCTATTTGGGCAAATCGCTCGGGGCTGGTGCACTCAGCTTGTGGACGCACAACATGAAGGACATCGACTTCCTGCCCAACTACAAAGGCCCTGGTTACTCTGGTCCCGCTCTGAAGCTCGGTGCCGGTGTGAGTGTGAGAGAAGTGTATGAAGCTGCTGAGAAGAACGGTGTCACTGTTCTCGGTGCTGTCTCATGGGTACGTAATACTCATATTCCGATTGTTACCTCATTAACTGACCGAAATCCAACAGAGCGTTGGATATGCTGGCGGTATGATCACGGGTGGAGGACAAAACCCGCTCGCTGGTATCTATGGTATGGCGGCCGATCATGTGGTAGCTTTCCAGATCGTAACAGCTGATGGGCGTCTACGGACTGTTTCTGAGGATGAAAACCCCGATCTGTTCTGGGCTCTCCGTGGAGGTGGTGGAGGTACCTTTGGTGTCATCACATCTGTCATCATTCGCGCACATCCCAAGATGAACGTCGTCACTGCCAAATGGGTACTCGACACCAGCAACAACAACCTCGAGAAATACTGGATGGCCGTAAGGAAGTTCTACGACGAATTCCTCAATTGGACCGATGAGGGTCTCTACTCCTTCTACATCATGTGGCCTACCCCTCAACTCAGCATGAACTACATGTTCGCTCCCAACCATACTCTTGAATCGTACAACAAGGTGGTGGCGCCGTTCTTCGATTTCTTGAAGGAGAACAACGTCTCTTTGTCTACGCCACACACTACTACTGCTCACAATTCGTTCTACTCCGCCTATCAAAGCACTTGGGGTGGAAACAACTTCCCCATTGGCGTGGACAACTCCATTCCTGCCAATCGCTTAGTGCCTCGCCGCAACTTCGTCGAGAAGTACGAAGAGACGTATGCTCTCATCAAGGAGCATGTCTCTTCCGGAAAACACTTCCTCGGCTACCACAACGCCCCTAGCAACGCAGGTCCACACATTGCCAACCAGGACAACGCTGTTTCGCCTGCGTGGAGAGAAACTGTCTTCTTTCTCGTAACATCTTCCAACCGCTCTGAGCCCCATGCTACTCCCAAGGATCTCGCAGCAAGAAGTAAGCATCTTCAAGAGGAAATTCTCCAGCCATGGCGCGACATATCACCCGTAAGCGAGGGTGGTGGCACCTACCTAAATGAAGCCGCCGTTGATGAGGCTGACTGGCAGGAGAGCTTCTATGGTGGCTATTACCCTAGGCTCAGTGAGATCAAGCGTAAATACGACCCTAATGATGTATTCTACGCTGTGACTGCGGTGGGCAGTGAGAGATGGCAGGTCCTCGATGGGGAGCAGGGTACACAGACGCAGAACGGCAAGCTTTGTCGTGTATAGATTTGTTTATCGCGGAAAACTTCTATACGTACATATTTATGATTTCAGTTTACAATTTTGGGCTAGAACATGGTGCTTGTATTTGTTTTGGGCATAAATGATGTCCTCAGCCACACGCGTGGCCGATCGGTAAGCGTCCATGTATGATGTCCACACCTCGGCAAACATCCATCATCATCTATCCCCAACGACTCGAAAACTTCATGACAGATGATTCACAACGCTACATAATTATTTCCGATCTTCAATTTAAACATCAAGATCGCAACTAAACCGATGGATATTGTGACCCCGGAAAAGGCGGGGTAGATTTTTACCCTAACAACCGCCTTATAAACAACCCTGAGTCCCCACATATTTCATCGATACATCATCGACTCCAGTGATCAACGAAAGAAGTATGAAACCCTCAGCAATCTTCGCTCAATCTACTCTTCTCCATCTTAGCAGCGGTTCTTTCTCCAGCTTTGAGTCGCAATGCGCAGATTTCTCGCCGTCGATCTCGAATGCCACTGTGGCTGTGCAGGAATACATTGCGAGAGGCACAAATGTAACACTAATCGACAACGACAAGTCATGCAACCGGAGATTTCAAATTGTCGATGCCAATTTCTGCAGATTAGCGCTACATGTACAGACGAGTGAGCGATCGAGCATAGTAGTCGAAGTATGGATGCCAGAGACGTGGGAGGCGGGGAGGGTGCTTGCGACTGGGAACGGGGGTGTCGATGGATGTATGTGACTTTTCATTCTGATTTTTTGTTTTCTTACCCGTAATGAGCCAATCTGAAGTAATTCATTCATAAGGTCATAGAATCATCAAATTATTTCTGCTAATTGTAGTGGTCTTGGCTGGCAAACAGGTATACAATACGAAAACCTCGCATATGGGAATTCACACGGATTTGTCACTGTTGGAGCAAACAACGGGCATAACGGTACATCTGGGGCTGCATTCCTGAATAATTCAGAAGTAGTTATCGACTTTGCGCATCGATCGTAAGTACTCTCATCACTCGAAGACATGAGTGCATACAATCTCGAACAGTGGTTTACTCTTAGGTAGTTTGCACACATCGATTACCCTTGCCAAAGAGCTTTCGACTCAACTATACAATCAAAAATACTCTAAGGCATATTACATCGGGTGTTCGCTCGGTGGTAGGCAAGGCATCGACGCAGCGGATCGCTACCCCGAAGACTTTGACGGCGTGATAGCGGGGAGCCCAGCATCGGATTTCAACAACTTGTACGCCTGGCGCGCCGGATTCTACACCATAACCGGGGCAAACACATCATCAGATTTCATTACTTCGCAGAAGTGGATCGCTATCCATGATGAAGTGCTCCGCCAGTGCGACAGAATCGATGGTGTGCAAGATGGTATTCTCGAAGATCCAAGTCTCTGCGATTTCCGACCAGAAGTCCTACTTTGCGATGGGGCCACTCAAAATACAACGAAATGTCTGACGGTTTCACAACTCGAAATAGTGAAGAAGATATACAGTCCTCTAGTTGACGACAATGGTGACATGCTATATCCAGGCATGCAACCTGGCAGCGAGCTTCGCGCGAACACAGGACTTTACGCTGGGAACCCCTGGCAACCTTCTGTCGATTGGTACCGCTACGTTCTCCTCAGCGATCCAAGCTGGGATCCTGCAACATTCAACACTGCCATGGCAGTTCTTGCAGACACTATCAATCCAGCGGATATTCGCACGTTCCCTACTTCTTTGGCACCATTCAAAGCAAAAGAAGGGAAGTTGATAATGTATCACGGACTGCAAGATCAACAGATCACTTCTTTCCAAAGTACGCGGTTTTATGAGCATCTTGCGCGTGGTATGAACGCTACTTCATCTTCTTTGGATGAGTTCTACCGGTTTTTCAAGATCTCGGGGATGTTTCATTGTAACTCGGGGCCGGGGGCATGGACATTTGGGCAAGGTGGCGGAGCGTCGGCAGCAGGTGTAGGTTTCGAGCGTGAAAGCAATGTTCTGAGGGCTATGGTAGAGTGGGTTGAGGGGGGTGTGCCACCTGAAACGATAACGGGGACCAAGTTTGTGGACGATGATGCTGATAAAGGGATTTTTATGGAGAAAAAGCATTGCAGGTATCCCTTGACAAATGTTTATCTCGGTGGAAATGCGGGTGAGGCAGCTGCTTGGGAGTGTCAAATGGTGTAGAAAGTCGATAAATCAGAGAATACGGAAAGATCCAAATAATATGATTTTCTGGCAGTGTTAAACAGGACCCAATAGCCACAATCGACATGTGAGGATTTACGTAGTATCACGTGATTATGTCTTCCCCATCCAAGTCCCTATAGTGGTCTTGGATGATCCATTCATCCCAGCCCCTACCCAATGGACGACTCGAACCCGCATGCAATCAAATATAATTTTCCGTGAATTAAATCCAATGTCTCATGCCACGCTTGTTTTCCCTTGCTTTGGAATCTAGATCCTCAACCCTTCAGTCGTTTCCGTGCTCAGTGTGAATGTGAGCAAATATTCGGAGGGTGAGTTGACAAGATGTAATTCAACGATAGATGACTAGTTCATTATTCAAATTAACGAATAGGAGAATCTTATGGCGACATGCAATTCATGTTCTACAGATCTTTCAACGGATCAGATGTACTCTATTGGCTGCTTGACAGTAGTGTCGTGTACGGTTCCGCAGATTCGGGTCATATCCGTCGCATTACTATATAGAGAGACATAACTTCATTTTGGTTGATCCACTACGCAATATAATTTGCTCAGAGTACTGTATGCGCATAAAGGATTTAGACATTTCGGATCTCATTGGCGGGGCGATATGGTGCTGTTGAGCACGGAACAGGGCCAAAACATCTCTATCTTGTCGGGTAGAGTAATTCTAAATGATAGCGGGCCAAACGTTCCAATCTGTAACTTACTTCAGGTTGCGATTGCGAGCTCACGATGCTATTTCCTCGAGAATCAAAGTCTACCAATCCTACAGTGATCACAGAACTTCACGACGATAGCTTGCGATCCTCCAATGAGAAGTCGGAAAGCCGGCCATCAACAGAAACCTCTGTGCCAGTGACTGCATCCTGGAAGTCTTTGTTGCGACCTAAACGTCATTGGTTGCGTAAATTCTTGAGACCGTCGAGAAACTCAAAAACACCCTCAGAGCCTGAATTGGCAATATCCTTTCCGATACTTGACACGATATTTGAAAGTAGGTAGACCTCATTCTCATTCGACGGATTGATCGAATCTAACGGCGCAACTAGAAGCTATTCCCAAAGAACCACCCGTCCCTGATTTCATCAAGCGCATCGCAAGCTATGATGGCTACGGATTTCAGTTCCACTCGCTTTCTCGAGGACTCGCTTTCTTCGTCGTTGACCGTCGCGAGCTACAAACGCCTTGTTTCCATAGTACCCGGAAGCACGCTACGAACTTTGCAAAGCATTACTCGGAAAATGAAGTGCAACAGCGCATCGTGCTCGAAGCGATGATCCAAGAAACAGATCGCGACGGCCCATCGTCACTCGCACATTTCATCATACTGGACACGGAGCTGGTGCCGACATTGGCTCGAGCACGAGCGCTGCAGGCCAAGTTGCCTAAAGCCGAGCTTGTCATCGGGGTCGCAGAGGTAACACATCTCAAGGATTTCTCATACGTCTCCATGCACGCTATGCGCAAACTATTGCGCCTCGAATCCCCCAATCGAGTGGAAACCCGGACGTTAGTGTGGTCACATCTACCGAATATGGCGGTCAGGTGTGCTATTCCTTGGGAGCAACTTCGCAAAATACTAGTCGAGCAGAAAGTTTTCTTACCAATCCTGCTCAACAGTCATATGCAGGTACATGCATTGACCGCGAGCGATGTCTTGGATATGTGGGCAGCTGCAAATTTAACATTGCCAAAGTCTTGGGCAGATCGAAGAAGACCGGCCACAGTTTTCCTCGCTGTCTGGAAATATCTCGGCCTTCATCCACAAGAAACAGTCACCAAGCAGCTCGTGTGCCATCTCCGGTCGATGAGCAGGTGGGCATCTGAATGGAATTCTTGCGATACAGCGAGGATACAGACAGAGGTTGATGAAGAGCTGAGCAAGATGTTGATGATGAACCAAGCTATGATTTTGGTGAGATCTGGAAAAGGTGTTTCCAAAGCCAATCGAAGCACATTCGCTTTGGAGCCGATGGAAAGGTTCGAAATGCCAAGTTTCCGCTACATATGCGAGACGTTTGCTCTGATGCCACAATTCACAAGACTACCGCACCCGATGAGCGTAAGACTCATTGGGGGCGCGAACAGAGTGAGATCCAACCTTGTGATCCAATTCGACAGCGTATGGGAGGCGGATGACGAAAGAGTCATAGATCCTGAACCCTCCGACGATGATCCAGTTCAAAACACAGGCAACAATAGACACGAGATGGTGGCTAGTAGATGTTCAAGTCCGAACAAAGAAGAGGATGACGATCTTCTCACCACATTGGGGTATGGACCAACCTTTGTGGACTGTTTCCTGTGAGGGGATAGTGCAGTCTCTCGAGCTAATGCTGGGATCTATGTCAAACGATCTCAACTGATTATTGATTGACCTCAAGCTACTACACACGTGCACCTTAAGTCTTTAATTATGTATGGGTGTACTTACCTACTTGGTTACTTAACTATCTTTTGCTGCCGTAGCACGCCAACGTGCTTCGCAAATAGTATGGTGATAAATTTGAATAATCAGCATCGTGAAATGCAAACGAGAATCGACCGAAGGCATCACGAAATACGATAAGACTACAGGCCTAGTCCTGGAGAGTTTTACTCGCTCTACGAATTAACTTACGCGGCCGAGAGCAAAAAAGGGGAGACTATCGTTATCTAATTGAAGATCAGTATATGCCAGTCGTCTCAATGCAGCAAAAGGCACAGTATGCCTAAATTTCGGTGACCGACCAATCTTTACGTACGAGACGTGGCTGTGCCATTGTACTTTGCCGTTGTTGATTTATTGATTTTGACTGTGCCGTTGTACTGTGCCGCATGGAAATGCGATGATTCACTCACTACCTTGCTTAGTGCTGTTTTACATTGCGCTAACTAGAATAATCGATTTTCAAGATTTGGTGGGGTCCGACCAGCCTCTACACCAGTCTTCCACTCTAACACTATCCGTGATAATCTATTAATATTTATGGCAGGATCTATGTCCGGACACTGCGGTCATTCGCAAGTATTGACCAGAGAGTTTCATTGCACATAATCTCCACTGACAGTCACAGTCTCCCAATTTGATCGCAATATTCATTACAACCTGAGCTGCCTGGATGGAGCAAGTCGGCATCCGACTTCGAAACACCTACGATTGGGATTGAACCTAACCCTAAATCACGAGCGCACTCGACCTTAATTCCCAGAAATATGGAAACAGAACGAAAGAAAATTCTCGCCGCCTGTTCAGCTGGAGAAATAACCACTCTCGAAGCTATGTTTCAACAGTTCAATATAGGCCCCGATCATCCTGCAGACGTTTACTGCCTTGATAGAAACACGCCCATGGAACAACAACTTCCTGATGTTTCACGCATGCTCAAAACAGCTATCGAAAGCCAGCAAGTTGAAACCCTTCGATTTCTAGGCACGAAGTTTCCAAAGCCATCTTTCTTTGGCACTCCGATGAAGGCAGCTCTGGAAAGTGGCAACACGGAGCTATTGAAGGCAGTCTGCGAACTCGAGCCAGAGATCGCGAACATGGAAATGGGCGACGAATCCAACATCAACGCGTTAGCCTTCGCATGCTCCCAGCGAAGCGCTGCCAACTTGATTGAGGTGCTGCTTCAATGTGGTGCCGATCCCGACGCTCAACCCCCGATGCGACTTCCAGCCCGCAGGAATGTTTCCAGTGCAGTCATCAATGGATTACCTGTATCAACGATCGAAAGATTCTTCGACTTTGGATATCAGGGTACTGATCCCTTTGCAATCTCCTACGCGGTAGAGCATGAACGTTTAGACGTGGTAGAAGTTCTATTTAGAAGGACCAAAGCATTGCCAAACGCACAATTGCCACCCGAAAACGACATGTTACAAAAGGCGACGGATTGTAAGAATGAAGAGATGATTGTAGCGATTAAAGATGGTTACGCATCTCGCAAAAAACAAAAGAAGGGACTGATCTTGTCTCTTGCTAGCAAAGTCTGGGCGTGGAAGTAGAAGTTTAGGAGAAACCTTTGGAGAGGATAATAATTTGTGGGTTTGCTCGGTGCCTGTATTTATCATCTGGGATTGGTCACTCTGATATAACGTAAATCTCCTCTCTTAACTGAAATGTGGGGTTTCATCGCATTATGGGTGCATCCGCCTGTTTCCGAGTATCTCGGAACACAAAGCTCTGAAGTGACTTCGTGAGTTTAATCCAGATCAAGTAGAGGCAGGTTTCAAGGTTCATGGACTACCACCAAATGATACAGTGGTATTGGAATTTATTAGCGGATCTTCTGCGATCGTGCGTCCGGATTACTCGATAAGGGGAAGTACTTTATTCTCATGGAGGCGTAGCAAGGTACGTGTAAGCAAGTGGATTGTGTCCCTATCTAGTTTAACGAGATTCTCCAAAGTGCTCGTTTTCGTTATTTGCTAGGCGCGAACATGCTTAGCTGCACTAAACTTGAATACGCCGCCGGACATGATCCGTTGAAACAATTAGCATCGGGGTTCGATGGGAGCGAAAGGCCTGCAAAATATTTCGCTGAACATCTATGAATATTGGCTTCATGATATGCATGAAGAACAAACAATTATTCCTGCATAAAAACATGGACTAGCGGTTGGCTTTTATCATCTAGCGATGCCTCTCTTTTTTGTTCCTCCACTACATATTTGTTTCACATCGTGTAGCGTACTTCTCGAACATCAAGGTGCATTGACCAGCTGGATTCAGCTGATCTAAGTGATTTCGGCTGTTGCGACGGCCAAAATCAGATGGCTTCGAGGAAGAACAGCGTAAGCTTACGGGTACGCCACATATCAACCTTAGATCCAATTTCCGATCTAAAAAATAGGAAAAGCTGTACAGCCCACAGATACTGGCAGTTCAGCATCCTTGTCTCTTTCTTTGCAAACTGATTCGCTGAAGGGCCCCTACAGCCTACTTTCGACATCCGGATGGGTTGAAATCCCATCGGCACATCAGCTAAAACTATGCACTATGAGATTGTATGAGAACTCAAATCCTTCGCAAACAATTCAACCAATGTCTCAATAGCATGCGGCGCAGCACTATCGTAGTAATGTAGATATAAAGACCACAGCTATGCAGTATTGTAAGTTCATCTCATTTAGCTAGACATTCATTCGTTCATTTCTTTCATTCGCTCATTTTTCAACTTGACCGTTCGACCTACTGCGTTCTCGTCTTTCTCAAAATATCTTTCCGAAATTGTTTTATCATTCCAGACGATCGATAGGCAAACGGTCAACATGGTTTCCACGAAACCCGCCGCATCCGCAGGCATCACCAGCTTCATCCTGCGAACTCTTCTTTACAGTTTGCTCCTTTCAAATGTCTTTCCAGTTGTTGGGGCAAACCCAGTGAGCACTGCGGTGAAGATCTGTAAGAGCTTGAAATGCTGGGGTAAAAGCGATTTCGTCCCTGCGCAGAAGATCAAGGCGCACAAGACCAAAAGCATTGTATGCAAAAACAAAAACGCTCCTAAAGATGTCGATGGTACGTTCTTATATGACTCCAATTAGCTATTATTAAAATTTTCGCCAATTCCGCTGGCAACCAAGTAAGCTGTTGTTAATGGTGTACATTTTAGGTTGGAATATCTCCAAGAATAAGCCATGGCCCAAAGTCGAGGACATCGTGGCTGACATCAAACTCTGTGGTCTTCTGAAGTCGGATACACCGACAGCCTTCTACAGTTTTGGAGGAGGCTACTCAAATGCTGTCAAGTTCCAGGAGAAATACCCCGACAAGAAAGCTGTCACGATCAACGATATCATGCCCGATATATGGTACACAGCAGCAAACGCAGCTGCCCCTGGCATCGAAACACCCTACAGTCCTGCAGCACAAGTCTGGTCGGCTCGGGTATCACAAGCTTTGGCGACCGCATCAAGTGGCGACGCCTATGTCATATGCAAGAATGCAAACATCTACAGCACGCCGTGGGGAACAGACGATCGAGACTTCGCATTCAGAGGCCAACACAATGTCTGGTTTGACTACGAATTCGCAACTCTGCAGAGAAACTCTGCGATCAATGGCATATACACAGTAGCTCACGACACACTCGCAATTGACGACAGCGTTGAGGGATCTTGGGTGCGCGACCGTTCTCCCCAAGGAGAGAAAGCAAAGAATCACGAAAACGCCAACGACGCCACGGAGGAGAAGTATAAGAAGCAGAAGAAAGAGTGGGAAGACGCTAACCCAATCCCAGGCCAGGATTGTGGTGAAGCATCGAACGCCCAGGAAAAGAGAGCAAATGCCAAATCCTCTGGTAAGGCCAGCACTACAAAAGCAGCATCTTCTGCTTCTGGATCGTCTGGGGCCAGCGCTGCCGCGTGCACGTTGAAACCCAAGTCTTCCTCTGGTAGCATCTCGTCTACATCCTCTTCTTCTGGCAAGCCTTCATCTACCTCTTCTGGAAAGTCTTCATCTTCTACCTCTCGTAGTGTTTCATCCACCAAAAGCGGGAGCACAAAGACTTCTAGCGCCAGTACCCTTGCGACTTCAGTCCGATCATCCAGCAGCAAGGCTTCATCGAAGAGCTCCAGTGGCAAGCCGTCTACTTCTTCATCGTCTTCCAAGCGCTCTAGCAGCAAGGCCCCTACGAAATCAGCATCCAAGACCAGCACACCGGCCTCAAAGACTAGTTCATCCAAAGCCGCCGCTGCGACGACCAAGAAGACTTGCCCCAAGGGAAAGAAGAAGTGCTAAAGGTAAAGGATTACGATATATGATCATAAGACGGAAGGGGAGGTGTTCTTCAAGTTTTCTAGATTGTTGCTGTTTCGGGTATTGGGGTGTTCCACTTCTATCATAGACTTATCTTTTCCCAGATATTTGGCATAACTATATATTTATATATTACTTTCACTTCTTGTCATGTTTTCCGCACTACCTTTGGCCAGCTAGCATGGACGTCCCAGCACAGTGTGTCTATGCTTTGGTGTTCACTCCGCTATTTGCGACACTTGAATTAAACGGCTAGAAAGAGCACTGTGGCGAACACTTCATTCTGCCTCTACCAACAAAAAGTATATGAAGGCAAGTTTGGATAATTGGTTATTTTGACCGCAAACTTTAGAGCCTCAGAAAGATGTATGTATCGCGCATTACCACACTGGGCCCCAGGTCAACTGGGAAACCAGATACTATGTGCCAGGGGAAAAATTTGCAGGGGCGTGCTGGGACTTGCGAAAATTGGTGTTTTGCTCATCCGCAGTGGAGACAAACTGGTGGGAAATCGTGTGAGAGGTAGATAACGAAGAGCTGCTTCGAACTCGGTCACACGAATCTGCCACTATAACCACTTATTGGAGAGACTTAGGAGTAATTTGAGCTACAGCTGCATGATTCAAAACATATTGTCGCCTGTTGCACCAGTGATCTTATGACGATGACTTTTGATGATTTTTGGGCATGTGGGCCATATTATAGTGAGGGTGAATTGCGAAATGTGGTTATAGGCTGGCTAGTAAAATCAAGGAGGAGTTGAAGATTATGTAGGTCAACGTTATTCATGCGTCTGATCAAACTGATTATATTACATCCTCTTCTTCTCGACTAAATCCACATTATTTCCAGCTAGCCACACTAGAACCAGTCAATGAGTGTTGTTTCTTCACCCTGCGAACTCAATCAAAAGCTGGCTAACTTCCTCTGCCCTTTCCAACGTGGCCCAATGTCCCGCATCCACATTATGCTGCTCAAACCCAGCCTTCGCCCACGGCTCAACCATGGCCCTCTGTACCTCCGGGGGAGCAATTTGATCCCGCGCAGACCCAATCGCAAGGACCGGTACATTCAAGGCGCGGTCTTCATCGGTAAGTGCAGCTTCGTCTGCAGCATTGACACCGCGCATCAACGATTGGTAGTAGTTCAGTGAAGATGCAGTGATGTTTGGCTGACTCCATTCGCGGAGCCAGTGCTCTTTGTATCCTTCAGGAAACCAAGAAGGTGACTCTGTAGTAGTATTCGCGTTGAGCCAAACCCGAGCGGCTCCTAGGTCAGCGAAGTCTTTGGCCCACGCGGAGGAGTTGGTGTGGTAGGCGAGGTGGATGAAGGACTCAAGCTGTGATGCTGTTGTTAGTGTACCTGCTCTGATGGAATGGAGGAGAAGTCAGACTGCTTACATGATCCGCAATGATTCCCGCTGTATCCCACGAATTGAAGAAATACCAATATCCGAAAGGCTGATACCCAACCGTTTCGAGCCCCTGTTTGTTGAGTGCATCGATATCGAACAGGATTCCTGCCGCAAAATAGGATGTAGAGACGAACACAAGCTTAGTGAAGCGTTTCGGGTACCAAGTGGTCAACTTAGACAGGACGCCAGCTCCCCAATCGTGTCCAACACCGACAACTTCTTGCAAGCCTTCTGCGTCGAGGATTTCTACCAGCTGAGTTGCAAGTGATTTCCCGTTGTAGGCTTCGATCTCAGTTGGTTTGGAAGTCTCGCCGAAGCCCAGCATGTCGGGAGCGACGATTCCAAAGCCCTCGGCTGTGAGGGAGGCGATTTGGTGTTGCCAGTCCCGACGGGAGGATGGGTAGCCATGTAGAAGGAGGATTGTTGGTTTGGAAGCGTTTTGGGCGGGTGCGAAGTCATAAGTATAAGTGTACCCAGCTTTGGTTGTCAAACTCTTTGTAGTATACGATTGGTCTGCATTGGAAGCTCTGATGGTTAAGGAGGTGACAGCTCCAAAAAACAAGCTAGCTTGTGCGAATAAAGAGAATGAGAAATGCATCTTTACTTGAGCGCGGTGGAAGTTGGAATGACTTGATGCTCGATGGAGATACTTCTGCTCCATTCACGATTCTGACCATCATTTATAGTTGAGCAATTTGGGCACCTGTACTAGTATACATTTATTTATAAGCGTGGTGAGAAATGTTTTGATATATAATCCACGGCTCATACTATCTCAGAATGGGCAATAAGCTGAAAGTACAAGGGCTACAGGCGAAGGAATAGGGCGTAGCTCTTCAACTAGAGAAGCGTTGGTAGAATTTCTATCGAATAGTAAGTCATTTGTCAAGGAAGCAGCAAAAACAGGAAATTACCCGCCCATGCACCGGAACTCCGCTTGTAGCGACACACAGTTAGTGTAGCCTAGAGCTTAACTATACCTGTGTTCATGTAGAGCTGATCAACAAATACGTGCGTAAGCTGACGTCTACGCAGACATTGGCCTATCAATGATAAAAAGTGGCCAGGATGAGATGCTCTGTGCTATACTGCACGCGGAAGAATTGAGATACGCATGATTGTTGGTTTGTAATGAAGCTTAGCCCTGGACGAAATGTTCTCCGAGATGTAATGACATCAATAGACGTGCGCAAAGGAAGTACCATTGGGAACCCTGATTTCTAATTCAAAGCTTACGCAGGCGCGAGGCTCGGCATTTTACTTTAATTGATCCAACAGTATTTGGAAATGGATTCCTAGTGCCGAACTTCTGGTCCCAGATCCTCACTTATAATGTGTATCTCGAACGATCTTACACGTTAAGCACAAACGACAGGCCACTTCTAAGCTCGCTTCGCATTAGTGAGAACTCGATGTCAGATTGCGCAATTCGGAATTCGTATATTTTCATCTTTATGCGAGCTTTCCCAGTGCTATTCAACGGCTTTGCATTTGTAATCAATGAGCTGTTCGTGGCAGTTGAAAGGTGTAAAAGCAGTTCAAGGACCAGCATTTGAAGCACCATCTTGGATGATGGCTCAAAGCACTCGCGTTGTATTGCAAATTTGACTGGCTGAATGAAGTAGGAGATGTATTCGCGCGTACGGACGATGCGGAAATCACGTGATATGAAATAAACGACCACTTGGGCATTCAAATCTGCGAACATTTGAACATACGACCCAGACACCACGTCGGAGTCCACATACACATGATGACCCGGATGGAATTCCAACGCTGTAGGGCGTTAGAGAGAAGTACTATGGTCAATTTCCCACTGTTAACTTTTTCCCCCTTCCAACATTTGAACCTTTGAATATGCAGGGCTTCAAGAAGGGTGTAAACATGATAGTAAGCTAGAACTGAGTGCATCAGGTAAGATTGCTAGTATCACGAAATCACCTATCAATAGGCCATCTTACATAAACAATTTTAACGTTCGAGACTTTCGGTTGTGGTTTACATCACAATGCCAGCGAATATGTCGTTGTTGTCTGGACTACACCGCAAGTTTAAGCGAAGCCGCGCGATGCACCTCGGACTCCACCATACTAACCTGTCCCGCCGCCACTCACTCCACTCACTCGGTCCACACATCACACCGCCCGCCATCTCGTCGGTATGAAAGCCAGAGATCTATCCTTTCCTTAAATCTCCTTGCTATCGTTCTCTCTGTACCAGGTTCATGTCGAAAGGCAGGGTCAGGCTTCATTCTTCGTTTCGTCACCGAAACTTGCGCGCACTATCTTTATAACCGCCTTCACATGCTAACCGCATCACCACCATCGCTCTCACCACCACCACCACGACCGCACACCGCTTCCCAGTAGCATCGTAACGAGCTACACCATTAGATGGCGTCTCGAGCGTCCAACACTTCGCCGTCGACGCTCGACCAGCTGGTCAAAGGCGCCCCCGCGTCCAGCACCTCCCCCAATGCCGTCGCTGCTTCCGCCTTTGCGAACCCTCCACCCTCACATACAATGCATCATGAAAACACAAATGCCGGACACGCTCCCCAATACCCCTCCGATCCTACAGCCTTGCTTCCGAGCGCGCCGCCGCAAATATACCTCAACCTGCTGATCCTCGAAGCCAGTCTGCGCAGCCAATACTTGACCCTGCGAGCGCGGCGGCGGCAGAATATGTTTGTGCTGTTCCTGCTGGCCATATGGATAGTTTTCTTCTTCTATCTTATGTGGCTGCGACCGCGGGAGGACGGCAAGGGTATTGGAGGATCGAAATACTGGGTTGTAGACATGAGTCAGAAGGTCTGCTTCATTACGGGTGTGGTGACAGCGTTGTTGTTCTGGGCTACGGGTCAGTGGGAGCGCGGCGTACGCTGGCCACGGCGATGGATTGGTGTTGCAAATCGTGGCCTACGCGGTATGAACGCTAAGATTGTCGTTATTCGAGGGCCCTGGTGGCAATGGCTTGCCGATTGGCTAGCGTTCATCATGCCTTTCAATGGCGGGCTGTGGGGCGGGGAGACAGGCGGAAGCAGCTATCACTTCATCAATGTGAGCCAAGAGAAGAAGCACGACTTCAACGACGGGCGGCCGCTCCACCGCATCACAGAGGATGGGAAGGAGTATGCCGAGGAAGACATCGCGCCCGGTGGTGACCTCATTAAGCTGCTTCTCCTTCCAAAACCATTCACCCCTGATTTCCGTGAGGGCTGGGAAATCTACCGTACCGAATATTGGGAGCGCGAAAATGATCGGAGGGCGGAGCTTCGCAAACGAGTTCAGGCTAGGCGCCGTGAAATCGCGCGGGCAGAAGGCGGAATCCTATGGTGGACTGGATGGAGAGGGTGGAAACGAGCAAGAGGCATTGGTAGCGGGAAAGCCAGCGACATTGAAAAGACAGGTCATACGCACCCTCACCACCTTTCCCACGCCTCGTCCCTGAAAGACCGCAAGCGCCGCCCTAGTGTCCTGCGTGGTAGAGAGGGCTCAACACATTCCCGAAGCTCCTCCCGTAGCGTCACACCCAACCCCGACTTCGACGATAATCTTCACCGCCTCCGACCTCTCGAGACACGGGATCGAGAACGAAGGTGGAGTAACAGTACTGCAAGTACTACAACCAGCACCACCCGGGGTGAACCTCGTCGCAGCACGCGAAAAGTGACACCCACATCGCTATCGAGCACCACAAATCCTGCCCAAATGGCTCGACATCCCTCAACCTCATCATCACGTCCCACCACACCGAATGATGGCGTTAATCCCTGGCAAAGTAAGAGGGCAAGCACTTTGAGCACGGCGGAGAGTTACTCGGACTATGATGGCGAGTCTACGAGCGGGTACGATGGGACGTCTACTTCTGCGCAAGCTGCCGAGCAGCACACAGGGAGCGCTGGAGATATGGGACCGCCTGCGCGTCCTGTGAGACGGAAAAGCAGCGAGAAGGAGTTTATCTTCCCTAATGCTCCAAGTGCTTGAATGAGAATGAAGTCATGTTTTTATACTATAGTTACGCCTTCTTTTCCTGTGTTCTTGGGGCACTCGAGCTCCAGAGTTTTGATTTTTTAGGGCAGGGGTTTTTCGACGTTCATAAAGCAGAGCAAGCGCTGGAGTTCTGTTACTTGTAGGAAAAGGAAGGTATTGGTTAGCCGGTCGAGATACACGAGACCAAGAAAACGGGTTCATGATTGGAAATGAAAAAGAGCATGACACGATCCACTTCACCCAGCGATTTTACTCCAACATAAACACCCAGAACGAAACATGATGCCCCGATCCGTTCCGTCTATCCCCCGCAAACTTCCCCGTCGAGGCGAGCATTTCGAGGCCCGTGCTCAAGCTCAACAACATCAATAAACCTTGAGCTACCTTGAATTGGCATTCCTCCGCCACCTCGCCACCCGACCAGCAAAATAGCCGTCAACCGTTGAGCAATACTCCCCTCCCCATGGCCCATCTCCCCTATAATGGAAGCTCAAATATATATCCCCCAAGCTTGAATAGTTCACCATACCCGCACATCCTGCCCCAAACAGCAGGTCGTTATTGATAAGCCAAGCATTGCTAAGCTTCATCAGGCATCTGGGTAGTATGGGGTGTACCCAGCGTGACGTAGGGGAGGCAAGAGATATGCTTCAAAGTACATAAAAGAAAGATAGACGTCCACTTGTTGAAGAGAGTTTGAGTTGCTGACTGTTTCCGTCTTTGTTTTACATACAAGGTACGGATACTGCGACAAGCTCGTTACCTTCATCATGGCTGGCAAATCAATCTCGAAGGTGCATGTGTTGGCTTTGGCGTGTTCTGCTATTTTCAACTGCAGAACCCTCGCAGCACCAGCACCGGCGTCCAAAGTGTTCCACCGACGCGCAGCGGCAGCAGCGATAACAGACCCCTTCGCCATTCTCGACGAGCAAAAATGGGTGAACCCAGATAACATGACATGGGACGATTTCGTTGCACCCCCCGGCACCAATTGGGGAGACAAATCGCAATCAGGATGGTCCCGTAACTTCAACATCGCTCTCGTAACGGTTGATTACCCGGACTCGCCCTTCGCTGTCACTCTCGAGGCGAATTCGGATATCTTCAATAACCCGTTACCGTCGGCCGCAAACTTGAAGCGCGAGGATGTACCGCAGTTCTATCTTGATTTGCTGAATAACCCGAATGAGTTGAACGAAGGGCATACGCTGCATGAGTACTGGATGGGAGATTCGTTTGGAAAGTACGGTGTTAACCTTACAGTGTTTGGACCGTATCGAATGCCGAGCCTGAGTTACCAATATGGAATTGATAATGGATTCAACCCAGGGGCTTGTCCTCAGGGGCCACCATGTGCCGTTGATCTCCGCACTGATGCGTTGGGTGCGTGGCGGAGGGAGGTAGGGAACGAGACGGCCAATTCATATGAACTTGCCTTCATCTTGTCCGCGGGTCAAGATGAATCGTCGACATGGCAGGAGTTTGGAGAAATGAAGTTCGAGTCTCCAGCTGATATTCCGGACGAGTATGGACCTCCAGGAAACACGTCTGGCTCCAACGCCGCGAAAACGCGATATGTGGAGTGGACGAGCTGGGCGTCTGCTTCTACCATCTGGCCGAACGCGGGAGGAGGTTCCTCCACACAAGGTGAAAGCTCAGGCATGGGAACCTTTGCTCATGAATTGAGCCACTTGCTCGGGATTTGTAAGTACAATCCCCCTCGCCCTTATCAAGCACATTGCTAACAGGATTCCACCAATATAGTTGATAACTACAACAACCCCTACAGCATCCCCCCACGCCGCGCCTACACCGGTCCCTTCTCGATGCTCGACCGTGGCAGCTTCAACGGACCTGGAGGCCCCCACACGAGATACCAGATCCCCCCCGTCCAAGGCGGCAGCATGGGCTCCCTCCACACGATGCGCGACAAGCACCAAATCGCACTCATTGACTCAACACCCATCCTCCAAATTTCCCGCACAGCACTCGCCTCTTCCGGTCCTATCGTCGCACAGCTCTTCGCCCGCTCTGTCGACCCATCCTCCACAACCTCCGGGCTAATGGGCTTCAACATCACCCTCGACGCCGGGGGCGACAAATCCCCCGCATGCAGCACACAAACCGACCCTCTCTGCGACGGCGGCCGCTACGACAACTACAATGTCGAGGTCGTGGACCGCATGGGCGCAGACTCCTTCGCACCCGACCACGGCGTCATGATCTCGAAGACCAAGAACCGCGACAACTCGGCGCCGTTCCAGTGGCTCATCGACGCGAACCCGCAGGACGCCCACGTCATCGATTTCTACTTCCCCAACGGCACCGCCCGGTACTGGAGCATCGGCGACTACCGCCAACTCGCCGACGGCCTGTTCCACGCCGGCGCAGACAGCGGCAGCGAGTTCGAGTACACTGACGTCGCGAACGGCGTTCACATCTACATCATCGATATCCTGCGGGATGAGACGGGCGTGCTGTCGTATACCGTCGGTGTATCATCTGCTTCGGCAGGGAACTCCAGCTCTACTTCTTCTTCGGAGCAGTATTCATTCGAGATTGGAGACGGTGTCGCTGCATCGCTTCCTTCTTCTTCCTCTTCCTCCGGAGCGAAGTTCGACGAGATGTATACGTGTACGTTTGCGATACGCAATACGGGGACTGCGGTGGATCCCGCGGCTGGGCTTCATCCTCAGGATCTGACCGAGTACATGCAAGAAGATATTTACGCGCTCTCCGCCCAAGTCAGTGCAGAAGGGTGGGAAGCTGTTTTGCCGAACCGACTCGCGCATGCGCCTGCCGGCGAGGAAACCAGTGTTGTTGTTGGTGTTGGAAAAGTGGGGGCTAGTGGACAGGCAGGAGATGTTGAGGTTATGCTAGAAGGAAAGAGCGTTGGTAGTGGGAAGACGGTCAAGGCAACTTGCAAGATTGGTGGGCAATAAATCATCTTGAGTAGGTGGATATAGTAATATTTATCGCGTGATTTCGTTTATATATCGTCTATCTATTGGATATATGTGGTCTAAGTCGTCCGCTATGTGAGATGAGGGGAGGTGTGGGTATGATGTTGCTTCTCCTTCTCCATTGATGGAGAGAAAACAGTCGAAGGGAAAGAACAGCCTTGTGAGTTCGTCGTTTGACCAAACCCCAAGAAATGCTGCATGCAAGGACAAAAGAAAAAAAAAATGACCTCCGTATCCAAGTCTAAACGACATGGGATATTCGCATAACTCGACAACAGCACCCCCGACCAAAAAAATAACAAGGAAAAATGCTAAAAAGTTTAGGATATGCTCAAGCAAGCCTCTTCGCTCTAACATCCGCCATCTCTTTCGCCATGACCTCATTGAATTGCTCCCATCCATCGAGATAAACATGATGTCCTGCCTTGTTGATGATCACGACCTTCGCTTCACTGTGATCCTTCTTCTTCTCTTCAATCGACTTCCCTTCGAGAAGTCTTTCTTTCTCTTTCCGCATGACCTCCTGCGCTGCGAACCCTCCAGCAACATCCATCCAATCATGCTCGCCGTACATGAAGACAACAGGAAGCCCCGGCTCACGCTTCACATCGTTTGAAGACGGTTTCGCGTCGCCATCAACAATAGCGCCGTCATGTGGTTGTATCCACTGTCTCCCGACCCCGTGAATGCGACGAATCAAGGGGCTTCGCGCGAAAGCGCCCGGAGCGAGGAGGTAAGCGAGGGCGTACTCTGAGCTCCCGCGTTGCCGGAAGATGGAGTACGAGTAATCGTGCAGCGCCTGTGCTTCTTCCTCTGGGAGCTGCGAAAAGCGACGTGATGTCCAGCCTGAGACAAGTCGAGGACCAAGCGGTCCACTCCAGCGGATTAATGAGAAGGGGGAAATCATGTTAGATTCCCAGAGGTAGGCTAGCCATGGAGGTACACGTCGGCGTGGGGGGTCTTTTTTAGCGGCTGTGGTGGGGGCCAAGCGATGGTTGGAGGGGGTATCTGTGGTTTCGTCTTGGTCTTGTGTGAATTCGTTGGCCATGGTGGAGTCTTCGGGGTCGGGGATATCATCGTTGACTGCGTGGGGATCTTCGGGAATACCAACGGGAGATGCGAGGATGAGCTTGTTCAGGCGACCTGGGTATTTCAGGGCGTACGCAGTGGCGAGGTAACCTCCCAGACTGTGACCGAGAAGGGTGAAGCGCTCAATACCGCGCTTGATACGCCATTCCTCTAGAGCGTCGATGAACCAGTTCTCGGCTTCGGTGATCTTGCCTTCGCGATCTTTGGCATGGATCTTGAAAGACGGGCGACTGCTTCGACCCATGCCCAGCAGATCGAGCGCATAAACTTTCCAGCCTGCTGATCGCGACAGAGCCTCGAAATTGCGATAGTAAAAGCCCAGGCCTGCGCCGTAGCCGTGAAGCATGACCAGCGTATCTTCGACCTCCTCCCCAACGCGCTCCACTGAGAACTCATTGAGTGCGCGGCCCTTGCCACTCAATTCGACGATTTCCGAGTTCCACCGCCTGGGACCGTATGGATCTGTGAGCGCATCTGTGGTGGTGTGTGCTTCGGAGGTTTCGGGAGGGGCAGACAGGTCTGTGGTTGATTTGGAGCAGCGGCCGGAGCCTGTCTGCGTCTGCGTCGGAGGCTGTTGCAGGTGGGGTATGAAGGAGAGGACACGATGTTCGGTGGCCATGGGGGAAGCGCCAGTCCACCACTGACTGAAACCCTCTTTGGTGCTCAGCGGAAACCACTGTGCAGCACGACCCTGTTTCTGTGCTTGTTGGGCGGCGCGGGACGCATCGTCCTCGCCGTCGGAATGCGAGTGAGATTGTGCCATGGTGCTCTGCTCGCGAGTGCCGATTCGTAGGGGTGTAGAGAGGCTAAGAGTAACGAAGCTTGCGCTTCCAAAACTCGCAGTTCTGGAGAGGGTGCGTCGAGTGGCGAGAGGGCGTGAAGTCAAATATCTCCGCAGCGCATGCAGCGGGGTGAATGTGAAGGTGGACAGGATGGGCGAAGTAGAAATGTGCAGCTGGCGATGCGACCAGGAAAGAAACCTGGGGCACCGACGCTGCGACTATGAATCCTTTATAGACAGGTTGAGCTGAGACTGTTTTCCTAGAACGGTCGAGGGGAGACCAGGGACAGGGACAGAATGATGACGGACGGCGGCGGACGGCTGACTGACGTTGCTATGGCGCGTGCATTGGGGCGAGGGCAAATCAGATCGATATCGGCCTGATTACTGGCCGTCGCGCAGCCTCTCTTTAAACGTCCAGGCGGCGGAATTAAGACGCTCCTCCGGGCGCTGGAGCTCGAGTCACGTGCGATGGACCCTGAGTCCAGAGGATCCGGCGAAGAGTTGGGCCGGACCATTGACGCGGCCCAACTTCCTTCGCCCTGAACATCTGCATCTCGACCTCTCCCTCACATGAATATGTACCCTCCGCTCGTTTACTTGCAATGGGTGATCCCCATCTGCCTCTTGTCTCGTCGCTATCCATGCATGATGCACTTTCTACCTGGCCTCCTCATCTGATGGCACACATGCGATGAAAAAGCTACACCGCAACAATTCCACCGGGTTTAGCAGCAACGTATCTCCTGACCAATCGCGTCTCATCACTTCATCACACCTAAGTCCGACTGTCTCAACAAACACACCAGTCTCCACACAAATCTTTGGACGGTTCAATCAGTTACTTGGTCACATTGCCTAACTATTGCTCTGAGGTTCACTAAAAAGAGCTGTAGCCCTATTCCAATCTGCACAAACATACCAGCTGTCCATGCATGATGGTTCAAAAGCATGTAAACCACCTACTGCGTGTTCGGATCTTTCAACGGTTCGAGATTGTGAGCGAACGCCTCAATCTCGGCTTTCCAGTTGCAGCAATGAAGAGATCGGACAAGCCTGGATTCCTCACCTTTCTCTACTCGTCCTCTTCCCATAGCACTTCCAATTTGCCGGGCACGAACTTGTAACGGCGAACCACGTTGCCCGTTCGCGTTCGAACAACATATTCTCGTCGAATCCGCAATTCCCTACCCCAGCGAAGCTTCTCCATGAGAATCTGAGGCCGACGATGAATGACAGGCGGGACTTCCGGAGCACCGGGTTTTCCCTGTAGAGGATTTGGGACAGGCTCTTGTGACGTTTTTGTAGATGGCGGCAATTTATGGTGGTGAGTAATATTCATCCGCAAGCTCCACCTTCGGCGAGGATAAATCTCCTCCTCGAGGGGCGGATTAGGTGCAACTGGCTGTTGATTAGAGCTCTTCAAACCATACGACTCGCAGGCGCGATACCATTGCCGACGTTGTTGTGCCTCTTCCCAAGCGGAGAGTTCCCTGGTTGACCCCTCTGAATTACCGTGTTGCGAGGCACCTGCCTGGCTCTTCTTCTTGGCTGCGCGTTTGTGGAATCCAAACTGACGGTGCTGGGAGGAACCACCAGGGGGATGGGAGGCATCACGGTCACGATCTACCCCTTCCATGTTTCCTTTCTTCCTGCCAATTTCTACGTCACTCCCTGCCTGTGTATCGTGCTTGTTCCACGCCGGCCTCCCATCCTCGGGCTTCTTCGTCCCGGGACCACGTTTATCGCTTTTCTGGGTTGCCCAGTGAGTGCGGTGTTTCTCCATTGCAATCTTTTCTGTAGCTGTCGCTGTTTTTGTCGTGTTCTTTCTTCTTGATGTGCGCAAGCGTTGAGGATTCTCCTTTCGTGGAAAAGGAAACGTTTTACGGTATTGACACGACTGAGTCTTGGATCCCATTGTGACTCCACAACTACCTCTACGATTTCCTCTCGCTATCCTTGTTCATCCACAATGGCCACTTCCTGACCTTATCTGTGAAATTGGTTCGGTCTAGGTACGAGGTCTCGTCTCTGCATCGCTTCCGCACAATGCAGCACCGTCCAATCCATCCATCTCGATCCTTGAACGCCGGCGCTGTACCTCTCCTCCAGAATATCCCATACACAATAGTACCCCCCATCTCATCTTGGTCCCCTATTTTCCACAATAACCCCTGTCTCTTCAACTCTTTCTTTCCCCTTGCATTCCTTCTCTTCATCACTCTCACGCCGCCGTTTTCCAAAACAGCCGCATAACGGAATATCTCGCCCATAAATGCATAGCGCCCAGACCACGATACCCAGCGTGATGATGGCGGGGACGAGGCCGCAAAGTATGAGAAGTAGTACTGTTTTTGTAGGAAAAATTATCCCCGTAGAGAGGGGATTGTTGGTGAGCAGCTCCATTCTTTGAAAGTTGTGGATCGTGGTGACGGGGATTGATGAATGTGAATTTCCACGGGAGATGGACAAGGCGGGAGTTCTGTATATTCAAGTGCCTCCGGCCTCAGTGAACGCGATTTAAAGACAGATTGTACTTTGTCTTTGTCTTTGAACGGGAAAAGGGGGGTGCGAAGGGCAGTATCGTAGAATGCAGGCATAAGATGAGGTGTGGTATGTACTATACCCCCTCACTCACACAAAGAAAAGAATATGTGTGCAGTTGGACTACGGTTGAAGCAGTGAGAAGACTTTCCTTTCTCGGTAATTTCTGAATCCGAGGAGTGTTTTTCAAGGTGAGGAAGTTGTCTTGTTTGAGGACAAAGAAAACTCGGCCCTCTTTCCCTCTTTCGGGGACACAGGGAAATTGAAGCGAGGTTGGAGGGAGCAGGTGGATAGAATCTTTTATTTTATTTCAGCATGTGGGTTATCGATGGGGTAGCTAGTGATAATCATGAGATCTATAGGGTTTTCTATTGTACGGAGCTGGACGATTGCGCAGAGTGATTGCGGAGGTGAATGAGGTTGGTTGGGTGCTAGGGGCTGCTGATTGCAGCGCATGGGTGGAGGTGGAGCGGATGTGATGTTCGATGTTGTCCACGATTCACTGTTTCAATAATAAAAGCCCTGCCGTGGTTTGCCGTCTAGTGAACTGTCCGCGCGCGCGCGATCGAAATGGAAATATACGAATCATGCGCGTGGAGTGGCGCTCGTGACGGTTGTGAGCCCGAATGACTCCAGCACAGCTAGCGCGATAGGCGACCACTTCATCATAGTATTGTGATCTGAATCATCAAACACACACGCGTCCCGTCAGCACAAACCATCTTCAATCTCAAGACAAAATCGCAAAAAAGTTTCAGGCTTTTGCCAGAGGGAGGAGGGGTGACGTTACCTCCGTGTTTCGCAATCAGTTTACTGATGCTCTTCCCACCCTCTTCCCAGATCTCCTGCTTCCCTGCTTCGCCTAGATCAATGGTTCTCACATCTGGGACGGCGTCGCTCGTTGCAGCTTGCAGTGTCGACGCGAAGAGCTGTTCGGTCTGACGCCACGGCATCGTTCCATCGTCCTGTGCGTGAACGAGCGTCAGACGGAAGGTATTGCATTGTTTGGCGAGCGCGGCGAGTCGCTGGTCGGTGCGCCATGTATCCCGCATTCTCTTGCTAAACCACACCTGCAGTGCAGGAATCAGATTCACGGGTGCAAGGACCGGAATCACATTTCCAATGGAATACGCCGAGAACGCGTTTCCGGAGTTGGTGAATGCTGCGCAGAGTATCAAGCCCGAGAAATGGATCGGGGCAGGGAGATTCGCATATTGAAGCGTGATGCCTGCTGCAACGGCAGTACCTAATGAGTGGCCCAGCAGTACGATGCGCTCTGGCGAGATGCATGCTGTGTTGAGAGCCCAGTCGACTACTGCTTCAGCATCGTTCAGCACGCCTTCCTCAGAGGGGGACCCCGTAGATTTCCCAAACCCTCGGTAGTCGAAAGTAAGTACGAAGATCTTGTCGGATGCTCCGGAGGCGTAGGCACGGTATTCTTCTGTGCGCCGGCCCTGCGCGAGTGTTGCTGTGTTTCCGTGGAAGTAGATGAGTAGCCGGGCGTGAGGGTCGTTTCGAAGTAACCTAAAAGACGTTTCATCTTCAATGTCGCCTTCTGAGGCCCTCTCCCTCAAAAACTCTTGCGCATTACTCGAGTAGATTCCTAGCGGCGCGATCAACCACCCAAACAGCCTTTCCCCATCTTTGGTAGGAATGCGAAAGGTTGAGGCCTGATTTTCTGCCAACTATTAGATGACGTCTCCATCCACATATAATTTCTTCTTCCTCACTGAGAAACCCGGCTCTTTCAGGCTCAGTCAACCATTTGCCAGGCCACAATGTTACCCAGTGCAGGTAAAGCATCCTACGATCTTTGTTAGTGAATCCTGCCGGAGTGGGAAACGCGATGGACCCACTGTTTCTGCACCCATGGTATGCAACAGAGCAGCATGGCAGGAATCCATATTCCACTCGCAAAGCAGATCGGTATTATTACTTTGTTATAAAATGTAGACATAGTGCAGTGTAAGGGAGTAGCAGGGCCACGCGACAGGAAATGCGTACCTAGTAGGTACATAAGCTGGAGATCGCCGTCCGGTCAGCCGCGTTGCACCTTGCCCTACACGGCTAGCGTCGATGATGTCTTCCCAGTTCATATCTATAAATGCGTTCTTGATAATTTGTCTTTTCGAGGAAGAAATCGTTGATTTGTCTTAGTGGATTCCTGGTTTTCGAATAAAGTTGATGGATCAGCTGGTAGATCGTTTTCAAGAGTGATCCTGAAGGGCAGCTCCGAGGTCGAATTTTTTCTCTATATGTCGCTGCTCGATTCGCGAGATGAGAGGGATCAAAGGCCAGAGCTACTGGGAGGATAAGGCTTAAGGTGAAGAAAGAGCGCTTAATTGTGCGATGCTTGATCAAGTGCTCTATCTAGATATGATGAGGAAGGCAAAGACATCAGGTAGTTGTTTTACTGACAAGTTCCAGATGTCTGCACACCAGTCTCCTTGCTTCATATATCAAGATCTTTCAGGTCGCACAACTCGCCCGCTCATGAGCTGATAATCTCGATCTGTCGAAAGATACGAATCTGGGAGGCTCTCTTCTTCGTCGACTCGTAGCCTTCAGGCCCCTCTTCAGTTACATTGGCAACATCACGTGACTAAGTGGGCTCTAGCATCTGAATCTCGGTGAAATTATGAACTGATAATCATCCAGCCTTCTGCAGATCTTTTTTGGCTACTTGGAGATGTATGTCTCACAATGTCAATACTAGTGCGCAACCAGTGTCATGTCGAATGCCAAAGCTGTCCGCCATCAAGTCATTCCGTCTCCGAACGCCTCCATTCCTGCCGATCTTTATATATCTGCATGCATTTATGTGTGTGTACAAATGACAAGACCTATCTATCTTAATTTCTGCGTTTGGCATACAGTGTATCTAAGTGTCAGCCTCTGCAATCTCTTTTGAAATGCGGAGTGAGACTTGTTCTGCTAAGTATACTCGAAATATGAACCACATACTGATCGCCAGTCTAATAGCTGTATACAGCATGCAAGACGCCCACTCCTTAGATTACGCCTGGCGTGAGCGAAATAGACAGTTCCACGATGGGGATGGGAAATTTGAGATCCTGCGCGTGGGCTGAAGCTATTACATGCTGTTGATGACGGTTTCCCATCTCACTCACTCATAAGCGTGAGATTAGGGCATGCGCTCAATGCTCCCAAGATAAATCGGAATTTGGGTCCTCTTTCAATCTTTGGGTGTATGAAATATTCTGTTCCTCATGGTTTGTATGTCAAAAGCTATTTACCTGGGTGAACGTAGGCCAGTATATTGCATAATATCTTGACATCAGTAATACAGATAAACAACTCATTCTAATATCGTGTAAGACATTCTTACAGACTGCTGAGAATATCGCCGAGAACTTTGCGGGAATGTCTCCGATTGAACATCTCCAAGAAAACACGATATAGGTCGCGACGCTAGAGCCCAATTGATACACACTACATGTTTTGCAGCATTTCTATTGGTCCATTAGAGGACCGCCCTACGCATGACAATTAGACTGCTTACAAACAAGGTACGCAGGTCTCAGCTATCTATAAATTAACCAGTCGTCTCGAGTCGCCGTTCAAAGATCGCGAGACCTTATTGACTGCCTACACTTAAACACCATGATCACCACTAAAGTATACGACGGCGGTTGCCATTGTGGGAAAGTGAGATACAAAGTCCGTCTCGATATACCTCCCTCCTCTAATCCAGATTATCTCGGCCGAGGAACCCGCATATACAAATGCAATTGCACTACTTGCCACAAAGTGTGTTCGAACTCATGCTCGGTAACTATTATGGCCATGGCTGACAATTTCTCAGCTAGGCATGTTTCATGCGCGCCCAGGGGATCCAGCTAATGACTTCATTGTTCTTTCACCGTCTTCTCCGACTGAGAATTTGGGCGTATACAATGCTTTTGGTGGCAGCAACAACTGGTACTTTTGCAGGAATTGCGGTGCACAGTTATTTGGTGTCGGAGCTAAATGGGTGTCTGAAGAGCTTGATGTGGGAAAGTGGGCAGGAGACGTGAATGGAGATGGCAAGACGCAGACAGTGTGGAAGACGTCCGCTTTGAATATTCTGGATCCCACAGGGAAGCCGGCGCATTATGTGAGCGTCAACTCAATTACGGTTGAAGGGGTAGACTTGATTGATTGGCACGACAAGGGATACATAGCGTATCTGAACGGTCGGAATCGCGAGACGGAAAATATGAGGGAAACGGTGAGGTTCAGGAAACCTCATCCTGAAGGATGTTACTAGATGTATGTATCTAAGAGAGGGAAGTGCAGAAAGGAGAATGAAGACGATGCCATAGTAACTTTGATAAGAGAAAAAAATAGAAAATCTGCCAGACCAATGCTATGCGTCAGGAACCGCTACTGCTAGATGAACTGAATAAAGAACAAAGAAATAATGTGTTTGATTATCTATAAATACGGAACAACTTGAACAATATCAAAAACAAAAGGAGCGAGCATTGTGCCATCTGACAGTTCTCGGGCATCTGATCACGGGGACTAGGGATTGGCTGAACCGAAGCCCCCGTACCCACCAGTGCGACGGTGATTGCGAATTGATGCCGAACGATCCAACACGTCTTGCAGTGTCTCGGGCTTTTGGACCTTCGGAATCAAATTTCGGCCTGTGGACGCTGCACGTTGCACCGGGTCTCGAGGTGGGCTCCCCACGCCACGCATACGGTATGGGTTAACCGGCTCTTCTCGATTTTGCTCGGACGAAACTCCATTAGCATACCGTTCTGGGTGACTATAGCGATCGCGGAGCGTGCCCATATCGCTATCATCCTGCCCTGGCCGCATTTCTTCCGCGTCTTCTACATATGGGTTTCGATAACTGTTGTATGCAGTTGGAAACCCAGATGTGGAGTCGACGTGCTGGGGATGATCAACCATTTCAATAGGAGGCTGAGGGCCAGGTATATTGATTGGAGAGATATCACCTGTCCAGTTCTTCCGCCTACTGCTGCCAGACCCATCATTTCGTCCAACGGACCCAGGAAGGCCAGGGACTGGTGGTATGTCACCATTAGCCAGAGACCCATGTTGACTGAGTGGACGTGGAAAATTGGTGGGTCGTCTAACAGAGCCAGGACGCTGGGGTTTTTGAGCTGGAGAAGCAGGCGGATCGGGAACTTTGATAGGATCGCCTCTTTCTAGGAAAGCGATTCTTCGATTACGCTCGACACATCCTTCACAACGGCCCATGCATGCCCGCCAGATATAATAGCCTATAAAACTCAGTGCAATCACAGCAAGTAAGATGGCTGCAGTGAGCGAGAGGTTTATAGTCACATTGTCATTCCAATTACCTGATGTCGGACGTGCAGGCTTTGAAAATTCAATTTGGGGTGTTGGCGTTGGTTTAACCCTTGCGGTTGCAGTTGAGGTTACTAGTGTAGTCGAAGTGACTACCGAAGTGATGGTTTGGAAGACCACCGACGTTTTTGCCTCGGGGATTGTTTCTGGAAGAAGTGTCGCCGAGGGTCCTGGTTTGAAAGTGCTTGGGATACCATGGCTAGCAGTGACGGTATCCGTGAGGGTAACAAGAATTGTGGGCATTTTACCCGACTTATATCTCAATAAATCAACCAGTGATCAGTAAGATTTTTCTATTGCTGTGCAAAACTTCGCAGGCAAGGTGGAAGCAAAGAATGAATCAGAGGTAAAACAATATATAGTGCGACGAAAACTACTGAGTATCATGATTTGTGCACAAAGCAGTCACAATGTCGAAGCAAGCTTCTTCACTGTTTGTTGCGTAGTCAAGCAAATAACTTTCTTCACGTTTCTTTGTTCAACTTCTCGTTATGTATGTACATTATTTATGCATATATATTCATACCTACCTAAGGTATTCGTTCAATGCTAGCCAGCCTTTGCACACGTGACACTTCTCAACAGACGAGGTGATGGATTAATGGGGAACAAACCCTGCCATTCGTTTTCGGTAGACCTACTTAACAGTAAAGTAATACTTGCTAGTAATGCTCTAATATAGTAATATAGATCCTCTAAAGGTAGTATATAAGGTAGAGAGGACATAGACCTTTTCTTGCTATTATATGACTTGTCAAGCAGCAAACTAAGAGGCACGTGCACTTGAGTGGTTTGATATCACCCAAGTCTAACTCTCTACTGCGGTTTGCTCTTGATATCCCCACTGTCGAACCTTACAGTCTCCTTTCCTCATCTCCATCATACTGAAACAACTCGGTTCTCTTCAAAAAAACCAAACATGACGGAATTTGCCTGGCTAGCGTCGCTAGAGGAGCAGCGGAGATTGGCTGCTGCAGTAATAGATACAAACATTCGTACTGCACCAACTATAGACAACGACGACATCAGATAATCTGCCACTGCAGTGCCGCAGGCACCAACAGCAGGTTTCCCCCCAGCTTTCATGCTGAGAGGACCTGCTGTACCGGTATCCTTGTCGGATCACACCAGAACAGGTGCCGTAATGCCGGCTCGCGAGTCAGGTCTATTCGGGCCACAGATGCAGAAAGGAGACGCATATAGTACGTTGACGCTCTTTTCTGTGACTAGATTAGTATTTAAGACCTCTAACTTCTTGTACAGCGATGTGTCTCAAATTCTGGCATATCCAGAAGAACAGCAAAGCTCTGCTGGCGGCTGCTTGTTACAAATACATGCAAGCAGTGGCAAGTAAACTTAGCTTATCGCACATTGATATCAGAGTCTGCAGCAAAAAAATTCCATTCAGAGGAGGGTATCAAGCAAACCAGGCGTTGAAACCTCGTAGATCAACTAAATAAGAGCAATACTGGGGAGTTAAGCCGATTGGAATCTAGGAGCATGGACATTCAAGGATGGCCACGCAGTAGATTGGGGGAATCATGACAGAACAAGACTATGACAACAAAGAAATTCTTATCGGCATTTAGCGCTCAGGGAACGATCACCTTCTTTTCACTTTCCTTCCTTTCTCTCCTTCTTCGCCAAACACACACTCCCACGATCGCCGCCGAAACAAGCGCAAAGAAAAGGGCAGGAGCCCACAAATTCAGTTCATTGTCTTCGATCACATCTGACTCGTCGTCTCCACCATCATCTTCAAGCAGCTGCGCAACGCTTTTGTGATCACGTAATTTGAAAATATCGACTTGCTGTGATTCTGGATTGCGCTCTCCGCTCTTTCCTGCAATTTCGGACATGCTTATATCCTCGCCTGAGCCAGTGGCAGCGTTGTCTGAAGCAACGTCATCGGAGGGCTGAGGAGCCGCGGTGGTATTTGTAGAATTGGGTGGTGTAATTGTATTGTGCGGCGTTGTGACGTTATGAGCAGAAGCCAATGTGGCGTTGGAATGAGGCGAGACTGAGAGAGAGCAAGGCGGTAGTTTTGTCCACTTGCCATCCTGCTGTCGCATATGCGTTCCGTTAAATTTTGTGGTCGCGGTGAGGTTTAGTTGCTTCGCACATATCGTTATGGTGAAAATTTTCTGAAAAAGAGACGTAGATGAATCGGTGTGAGGTGTAGACTTGTTGGTTGAATGACTTGATGTGCGGTTCATCTCGGGATGTGTAAAAGGTGTTGTGAGTGGGTGGGCGGAGACGAGAATAACGCCGAACACCGAGCAGCTGAATACCAATATTGAAAACTGCATACTTTGTGCGCGATAGTCAACTTATGGTAATATGATTTGTTATTTGATGCTGATCTTCAATGTGGATCTTGTGGGCAGCAACGAGGGATATATCATTCCCCGAAAAGTGCCTAGACATCGTGAACGTCATTTTGGAGTTGTTCTAACCTCACCAGTTCACCAAACATGGAGCTGAGAACTATGGTTGGAACGGAAAGGCCAGAATTCGTTCTATATAGAGATATTTGTCAGATGGCGCACACTCAAGTATGTGTGTGTTGGATGTCGTGTTAGCGGGTGCCTGAGGTACGCTATCCCTGCCTTGGCGTCTCGGCCATACATGTATGTAACGTTCCGTGACACTTCTCGGATCTTCCAGAGCCCTAAAGAGACTCGAGCGGATCTCACGATTGTCGAGGTTCTGGACCGCGTGCGGACGAGTGCATCGGGTCAAAGCCGCCCAAGACATTCATCCACATCAGCATCAGCCATGTGCTAGGCAGGTGCGTATGATAGCGCGCATAACAAGAGGCGCATTGGCAATCTGATGAAGTAAATCAAGGGCGACCAATCGTCATATCGAGGAAGTTAAGGGCACGCACAGCAGTATGACATCAGTTGCCTCTTTCCAGATGCTGTACACGATACGATGAAAACATACCTGTACTGAAACCTATCGCGTTTCTACGCAATCTCTTTAGAATTGCTATCCTAGGTGGATAATTTCTTGCATCATGTACCCACAGACATGATTGGTGATGGTTGGCCAAGGACAAAAGAACACTGTGGTGCCATTTGTGTCACATCACACCACAGGATTTTTCGGGGTCTCTTGCACGCATCACTGTTTACCAACAATAAACTTCCCTGGTATCGATACGAAGAAACTCAGTGGCTGATACTCGGATAATATTTCTGGACAGTAACTGATTTTTGTGTCGTTTCTCCATCCGGCACTTTCATCACTTACTGTCGCAGTAGTGTGGTCTGAATCATCAATTTATACCCATCGTGACCCCAATTTCGGGTAGAAAAGAAGCTCGATACAACCGAAGTTCTTGCGCTTCATGCATCAGCGAGCCATTGAAAAGGATATCTGGGCTGGTTGGACCTCGTGTGAGATATCACGCACTCAAGGGAGAGATTTGAGACGGCATTTTAAAGATCTCAAGACCGACAGGCCAATTATGGCTTCCAATATTGCTGTATGTTGACATTCGATTGATTGACCAATGCATGCATTAAGGTACATGAGCCCATTGAAAACCACTCAGCCATGAGCAAACAATCGTAGAACTTTACCTCTGGAGCAGTCAGACTCTCCAAAATTGTGAAGAAGGCCCACCCTAAAGGCTACTCCCTAGAACACACTCACTTGAGCCAAGAGACCTTATTTCGTTCTGGGCAACCTGAGGTCCCATGAATACCATCAGCAATTCACAAGTTGACGTCAATGATCGATGACAGATCCATCGCCCCCAAAGTTACAAGCTTGCAAGTCTAATATCCAGTGTCTGGCGTAACAATGGTCGACTTCAAATATGCCGAGCCGAAAGGACAGTATGGCTGCTATACGCTCTCGCTTGTAGCATTGCTCCGCTTGCGGTCGCTTGTTCAATCCTGCGTTTTGAAAAGTGCTGAGGCACGCCTGCCTCTTCCTGGAGGATGCAGAGAGTTCAATTTCGGGCTAGAGCCTTGCAATACCGCTTGTTTTGATGCATAAAAGGCAAAAACTGATATCGATCCCTACGCACGGCAAGATTATTAATACGCGCCTGGCTAGCCGTGCGATGTCAGTAGATCTTAGGACGCAGCACCTCTAAGAAGCGCGCTAAGATGTTAATACGCGCTGCACAATAGGAGAACAGCTCTTACTTTTCTCATTGTTGGGGGTTTTTATGCTAAATGGATGACCCATAGCAACTTGCCACATTGTTCGTTTGCCGCACACAGGCGCGATAATAAGAGATCGATTGGCTCTCATCGCAAGACCGGTCGTGCATCCATGCATACATCCGCGATGGTGCAATCAATGCATGTTTCTCTGTACAGCACAGCAAAGCTGCAGCTCATCTTGAACTCTCCAACATCAAAACATAAAGGCTGAAGGGTACAGTGGCACAAATTCATCTTGCATCCCGACGGTCGCATCCATGGGACTTCTTTCTAACGCAGAAGCAACCGGTGAAGTGAAAACGGTCGGAATCAATAAGCACGACTGGACCATCTTCTACTCAGACAATCATGTAAAGGCAATTGGTGTTTGAGGACTTTCAGCATGTTCCGTTGTCGCAATCATTTCACCACATGCAGCCGCTGTTGCACATATCGGCCCGAACGTTCTCGGCTTTCTCGATCCAAATTCCTTCATTGAGGTAGCACAAAGATTGACCCACGACGTCGTTACGACGTGCACGACAAACCCTACGCAATTCCCGTTCGCAAGCGCTATGCATGTAGTCTGTGCTACGCTCGAAAATGATGTTATCACCGCGCCTGAGCAATTACAGGCCATGTACCAAGGTCTGAAAGCATTGCCTCACAGCAATATACAATGGCATCATTACGAACAGTCCAGCGAATCACTCATCGATAACCGAACACATCTGGGCACCGTTTTTGTGGATGGGCGGCAAGGCGCCCCTCGTTTCTATGTCGAGGATAGAGATGTTACAGCTGATCCCGGAATCAGACTGATTTGGTTCTACAACGGGCGATATCAGTTGAGGCTTGGTACTACTATCTTGGAGGAGACTGTCAATCCTCCACTCAACACATGGATAAGTAGCAACAACAAATGGATCATGTGGAATGGTACTGGTTGGAGTTCTGCGTAGTACGACCTAGATTCAGCTTAAGCAAAGCCCGGAGCAGTAGTAATCATTGTCTAGTAGTATTGTCTGAGAAGATTCGCAATGCTGGTGTAGCCTAGCCTTTCTGCAGCCTGTAAAGGCGCCTTTCCGCGCATCGACGATCTGGTAGGGTCAGCCCCTCGGCCAATGAGAAATTTCACAATCTCGATCCTTCCTTTCCTGACAGCAGTGAGCAAGGGGGTCGCGGGATCTCCCAACTTCCACTGCATCCAGGACCTTGGGTCGTCTTGGAACATTATGCTGTCAACAGGCCATCCTAAGTTTAGTAAAAGTTCGATAACCTCAACGGCGTCCTCGCCTTCTCGGTCGATCGCGAAGTGAACAAGCTGGCCGCTCCGAATCCCATTGCACCGTTTTAAGAATAGCTTGATCGTCGACATCGGAGCCCTGCGTACCGCTACTGATATCGGGGTAATGTCCATTTCCCCTCTTGTATTCAGGGAAGCTCCGTTGTCAAGCAGCCACCGACAAAAGTGTACGTCATGGACAAAGCTTCTAGCAAAAGGTCAATGGCAATTCCGATGCAACTGAATCAAGGACTTACCCAAGACGGGGAAATGTAGAATCTGTGTCTACCTGATTAACGTCCCATCCAAAATCTTTGAAGATTTGCACCACGCTGGTGGAAGTCGCACAAGATGATATCAAATGTGGAGTACAGTTCTCACAAAGATACAACAGGATATCAGGGTGATTGTTCTGTGCTGCTGCGCTGAAAGCGCCCGAAAAAGACATTGGAATATCATCTGGGTATTGAGCTTTGACGGCCTGGAAAGCGTCAATCACCCCAGCCAAGTTACCACACCTACTGGCCTCCAGTAAGCTTTGAGTCAGATACGCCATAGGTGCGGTGCGTTCATTGTTTCGTATGGAAGACTTTTCTGGTAAAATAAGATGGACAGCATCAGTGAATCGCAATGGAATCTCGTCATCATTTAGATCAATGCCTGCGCATTGAAGGAGGTACGCAACGATGGAAGGTCTTTTCCCTGAGATAGCACCAGCCAGTGCTCGGAAAATCTGCCGCTGTTCTTGTTGGAAAATTGTCATCAGACTGATCAGATTCTCCAGTCTGCCGGACCAGGCAGCCCAAAACAGGCCTCCGATATAGTGCTCGGCTGTACGAGTTGACATGTTCTGGAGAGCTGACAAGAGGATATGAAGACCTTTATGATGACCGTCTCTGAAAGCGTCTTCGATCGCCTCCCGAATAGCTGTCTCTCCAAGCATCGAAGTGTCTTTCTCTACAATATGTCGCAAGACACTTAAATTGTCCCACTCTACTGATGTTCGGATGAGAGTGATCCAGAATGCTTTCTCCCGGTCTGAATCCGAGTGCTGTTGCCTGCGGTTGAGTAAGAGCTCTACCACAGAGATTTGGCCAGCCTTTGCTACTTGAACGATTGCGTCATCGTACAAGGACTTTATTAGTGACTGGCCACAGTCCAGCAAAATGAGGACGATGTCTTTACGACCACGAAGAGCAGCAGCTTGCACAGCATGTATGTAGCGAGTGCTATTTATGTGCGAAGGGTCGTCCCAATCCCAGTGGTTGAGCAAGATCAGCACTAAGCTCAGTGAACCTGACGATGCTGCGGTAGCAAGAAGCTCGCCAAAGTACCGTGTAGCACACGCACCATTGAGGGTCGTAGATAGGAGCTCCTCCACAAGCTGAAGTTGATTCGTTTCTGCCGCCGCCACAAGCGCATTTTCTTGAACTTCCCGAGACGAGATTCGCGCTTCTGGTTTTGTGTACAGACATTCCACGAGGTGCCAATAAATCATGGACCGAGCTGCAAGCTGCGCTAAAGATACGACATACTGCTCCTGAAGCTCAGAGGAGGTGACACTCGCAAGATAGTCAGCTGTGCATTGTATTGCGCTGCAGAGTTTATTGGGTTCTTTCGTTCGCATTTTCGCCAGAATGAGTCTGACTCTTAAAGGCTCACTAATACTGTGAGAGGCAAGAATGATTCTGGGGAAATGAAAGATGCAATCTTGAGCAAGCATATCGAACCTCCCTGGCTATTATCAGCCTACGATCCATAAGCTCACTGTATTGATCTTACGACATATGAGTCGGAGCGTCTTAGCCTCGGTCAACCCCGCGACCTGGACAACGAGAAAGATCACGTCGATCAGCGTTTCATCCGCGAGGTCGAGTAACGACATAGTAGTTTGACCTTTGACAACAGAAGACTTAATTAGGGCAATTGCAGGGAAGGAAAAAAGGGTGGCTTGGTATGCGCGTCTGGCCAAGCAAGAATACGTCATCATAGACAACCTTCTTGCCAAGTGAGTTCGGACCCCACTTACCTAGCACATCGATGCGCTACCGCCACATGTGGCTGCACAAGCGTGTTTTTTATTTATTATATTCAAAAGTAAAGAATGTGTAGTAGTTCTTGATATCAGTTTAAAGAGTAATACTGATAACACTATAACTCATGTCTTTCAAAGCCGCGGCTGCAAGATGTGTACGTCGTAAGCCGATACCTAACTGGTGGTGCTACAGTGCGGCTCGGTGTGTTACACGACAACATTTTCACCGCTGATTCGGAAATCTTGTTCACAAAATATCACTTCTAGCATTCATAATCTATTAACAAATGTATCCAAGTTGAAAAATTCAGTTTCGTATTGCTTGGTGTGCCTGTTAAGGAAACACCCAGTCTATCTGAGCAGCATCGATGCGCAGAACGATTGCCACGATGGTTCTAAACAGTATAAATCATCCCATCCCCTCGCAAACTTAGCGTCCGAGGAGAGCATTCAAACGATCCTCCCATCCCTCGCTGCTCTTCTGGCCACCGTGTTGAAGAGCCGATACATCGACAACATCGAAGTTAACACCATGAACGTTGACACGGGCACTTGAAGGAACACGCATACCCGATCGCTCTTCCTCGCGGTCTGGGCTGTCAATATCAACTTCAGTGAAGTCAGAATCTTTGCCGTTTAGAGGAGCGGTAGATCCATTAACGCGGGCAGCAGCAGGTGTAACAGTATTGCGTTGGCCGGAAGCCATCTCAATATCTTTATTGCGCGTTTTTTGCTTTCTAGCTTCTTTGCGGCCTCTGTAGAGTTGGAAGACGCTCCAGGCGCAGAACACGATGAAGATTACGAGACTGAGAAGGCCGAGACCAATGGCTAGACGGCGGATGTTTTTGCGGACTTGCTCCTTCGAAGGAGGGGGAGGGAGGTTTTCTGTGCGCTTTGCGGTGATGTTGCGAATGGAGAGCTCTGGTATGTGGGTTGGAAGTGCGGCGGTGGGTGTTGAAAGTGGGTAAGGAGTGATAGTGGCAGTGGTGTAAGATTCCATCGTGTAATAAAGATTCGAGGGTTCGTTTTTCTTGACTGCGTCCTTCTATCTCGTTTTAGAAATTGTCCTGACTCGGTGTGTGAACTTTCTTCACTGGGAAAATTTGAAGACTCATATGTACGAGACGATAACGTTGTGAGGAGCTTTGCACAAAACGATTGTCAGCAGAAAACACAATGCATTTCGAATTCTCGTCCGCAACATCCCTCTCCACTCTCAATCGTTCTTGTATCATGCTGTAAACAACGTACCTTGTAAACTTCCAACACCAAAACTCCCGTCTAGAGCAACTGAACTCTCACGTCGCAGTGCCACCACCTCCTCCTATCCCCCTCCACCAATGTCTTTCTCTCCTCCCATTTCCCTTTCCACCTTGACGTTCCGCTTCGCTATTGCTTATAAGACCACTCCGGTTCAAGCTTCTCCTCTCTTCCCTTCTTGTTTGGATCTGTACCCCGAAAAAGACACAGATCACTACCGCAAACCCTACGAAGGCTAATGTAAGGGCTGCGGGGACATTTCCTTTGACGCTCATGTCGGGAGCTCGGTCGCGTGGGGTCTGAGTCGGTGTATTTGTTCGTTTACGTCAGGATACGAGAACACAGATAAGGTTTTGACCGCGAAAGTATGAGCGCGCGTTGGTGAGTCGAAGGGCGAGTGGATGGAAGTCGATGCGCTGGTACTTCAGAACGATACTTCTGCTGCCAGTATGTTTGTGTATCCGCTAGGCAGCCGTTTTTTGCAAATGTTTGATCCGCGACTGGTGTTGATGTGAACTCTTCTGTTTATCCCCACCATCAAAATCACCGATCACGTATGAACCAAGACAGCACAATGACCTTATCGAACTTAAAAAATTCCACGACCGGAACCACGGAGATATCGTCGAAACCAGATCAGAAAATTAAGAAAAGAGAAATACCAGAAGAATATCAGCCCAGGCGGGAAGAGGAAAACTCCATTTATCAGAAACGGCCCCTCCGATGACAAACAATCAGATCTCTCGTAAGCACATCGCGCCCCAAAACGCCGGATTCATCCCATACCTCCACGCCATCGCATGCTGATCACTGCTGAGCCACCCCAGGGAAAGCGAAAACAAGTGAACTACCAGGTCCCTCGACATAACGGCCCCATCCGCAAGCATCCGCAGGCAGGCAGCCAGCCACCCCAGAAACCATCACGGCCATAAGCGAGTGAAAGCACAGACAATACGTCAGATGGTATTTAAAAAAAAACGCCCTGTCCATATTTCACACACCGGAAAGAGTGAGAAAGTGAGCCAGTCGGGACAGAACTGTACCGATTGCACCGAACCTTTCAGAAGACTCGGCGTGTGTGCCGGGATGCCGAAACGAGGTAAAATCTGACATGCACCGTTTTTGCCTGGAACAAGCAAGTAATGGTGGTGGTAGTGCGAACTACTACTATAGGTGTTAATTGGATGATTTTGGGCACATGGGTAACTAAGTCAACGTACTGCGCCACGGCTTTGAGTCGCAGGAGAATTCTCCGAGACAGACGGGGAGAAAGGTAGAGCGACATCCCTGTATCTGTTCATCTGTTGATAATTCGTTGGTTGTGTGCACATGATCAGTTGATACATTTTCCTTAACCATATCTACAACTAGGAGCAACACCCTCTCTCCCTCCTTTTATCATCTTAAGATTAATGAGCTCAGCAAGATCCCCAACTCCTTGAACTACTCACGCCATTTTGCATCCACTTACAACCAATTAAATCCCATCTCTATCCTTATAGATAGAAGAACGAGTTCTCCGATATCAAAGAAGAGCAGCAGAAATCACGATCTTGCATACCCCCTCTTTTTGTTACGATTCATTCCTTAAAATCTCAAATTTTTATCTTAGGTATCAAAGGGAAGCTCATAACGAAACTGAAAAATAGAGTAAAAAGATGTTGAGCTGAAGAAGAGAGAGCATTGATAATAGAGCAAAGATCGTGTAGTGATAGGTTAACATGCGGTTAGGGAGACGTCTAAGTATACATATACACTCTCTTAGTAGGAAACATGTAAAGGTCAGACGGAGGGGAGTTTGAGTCGACCACAAACCTTCTGGAGAAGCCTAACTTTACTTTCTTCATATGAGAAGCTGTACCATCATGAATCAAGTAAAATTTTCGCTTCAGGTAGGAGTAGCTATGCGCAGTTGACCATAATGTTTCTCTGATTTTCTCATATGTAAATGTCTGAATGTTCGTGGAGGGTGTTTAGCCACAACACACATAATCATATACACGCACATTTGCGTTGCCAGAGTGCCAAAAAGATTGACTGATATATTCCCGATACATCATGTCCCCGTCCACAACCTTTATACACTCCATTTTACGTCCATATCTCCTATTCGCTGTATACATCTACCACTTGGCCTCCTTGCTCGTGGTGAACGCCGTCAAGGTAGCAAGTAGCTTCTCGAGCGCAGAAAGCCACTTCTCGAGTTCAGCGGAGACCTTTGCCTGATCGTCACCAAGCTTGGCGTAGAAGTCCTTGCGGTATGGCGTAGCGCTCATAGCGGTGCTGAAGATGGGCTTGACGAGGAAGGAGTGGTGGGGCTTGAGCGTCTTGCCGTAGGCTTCACGGAAGGAGTCGGCGAGTTCCTTTGTGGAGTTTGTGGTGTTGTGGCGGAGGGCTTGGGCGGTGAAGTCGAGGCCACTGGAGATTCATGTTAGCACTTGCATGCTTGTGACACGGAGGTTTGGGGGGTTCTCACCGAGTCAACCACAAGAGACCCTCAGTAGCAACATGTTTCTTCTCCTTCAACTCATTGATAACAAGGTCCTGAAGTGTCTCGGAGAGCGCGGGAGCAGCGAGCTGGCGGTCGCGGATTTTCTAATAACAGTATTGTCAGTCCGGTCCTATTCAATCCACCCCACCGCTCTCCCAATCTCCCGCCTCTCACCCATCACCAGTACCAACTTCCGGCAACACCAAGGAGGTGATGGCAACTAACCTTGATGTTCCCGCCCATATCACTCTTCACCGGGTTAAACGCTATGCTGCCCAACACGTCGAACAGTGTCAACAATCCCTCGGCCGCCTCCAGAAACTCCGTCGTCGAGATCTTGTCGCCATCCTTGACGGGCACATCCACGAAGCTCTTCTTAAGGGTGTCGAAGAAGGTCGCCATTCTTACTTGATCGTTGAGGTATGGGGGGGGTGATGAGGGGTGAGGGGAAAACGCAAGAGTAAGCTTAATGCAAGTAATTGGAGCAAGGAACAGAGTTTCTTGATTCGAGGGAGACGGGAAGATCAAGGTGGGAGAAGAGAACAGGTGGAGTATTGTAGGGAAAGGGGAGTTCAATTGCGTGTCGGTTGTTCCAGAAAGCTAGCTAGGGGGCTGTTGCTTCAGGGTCTAGCTGACTGATGGGCGGTGAGGACGTGGACTGAGGGAATATGGTGGGGTTGGTTACGCTAAGAGCGGGGCAGCAAGGGAGGGGTGAGGGAATCACGTGCTCGTGAAGGGTGCTTACTCGATCTCAGATTGATGCAGACATCTGGACATTTGGAGTCTTCATGTGGTGTCTCCGGATAACATTCAATGTTGTTGATATACTCAGCATGTGACTAACTACAAGGGTGATGAAGACAATCGTGCATTTCCAGCGAACTTCGCTTTACCAACAGCGAAGATCGCTTCAAGGCCCGGAAAAGTTTCCAGATGCTGTTCCCGTGGTTCCCATGGAGGGTCAATGATCGAGTGGGTACGTTGCTAGTGCTGTACGTCTACTAGATTTATAAAGTAGCACTTTAGTATCTCAATTCATCATTCTCGTCTGTTGTTGCGAATACCCCAGTAGGGATCAAGTACATCAATCGCTACCTGACCGTGCACCACCATCATCCCCTTGAAAATGCCTCCCCACATTCACTCCGTCGCAAGCGTACACCGGATAGCCTTGATACCAGGTGATGGCATCGGCATCGAAATCACGCAAGCCGCGCAAAAAGCGCTGACCACGCTTTCCATGACGCTTTCAACCTTTATGCTCGACTTCACCACCTTCGACTGGAGCAGCGCCAACTACCTCTCGCGGGGGTACTACATGCCCGACGACGGCCTCGCCCAGCTCAGGAAGTTCGACGCGATTTACTTCGGCGCCGTCGGGTGGCCGAATGTGCCGGACCATGTGAGCTTGTGGGGTCTTATCCTACCGATCCGCAAGACACTGAACCAGTACGTCAATGTAAGACCGACAAGGATACTGGAGGGGACCAAGAGTCCATTGGAAGGGGTAAATGTAGGAGATATCGATTGGGTTATTGTAAGGGAGAATAGCGAGGGGGAGTACTCTGGGCAAGGCGGGATTTCGCACGAGGAAGAGCCGCATGCAATGGCGACAGAGGTTTCTGTGTTCACGAGGGCCGCGGTTGAACGCATCATGCATTTTGCATTCCGGACAGCAAAGGACAGGCCGCGGAGGAAGCTTACAATGGTCACCAAGTCGAATGCGCAACGACATGGGATGGTGTTCTGGGATAAGATCTTTTGGGAAGTGGCCAAAGAGTATCCAGAGGTAGAGACAGATAAGATGTTGGTCGATGCTATGACAGTGCGTATGACGCTTGATCCGAAGAGTCTGGATACCATTGTCGCGACCAACTTGCACGCAGATATTCTGTCGGATCTCGCGGCCGCGCTGAGTGGCAGTATTGGAATTGCGCCGAGTAGCAATCTGGACCCGACAAGGAAGAACCCGAGTATGTTTGAGCCAATCCATGGGAGTGCGCCTGATATCGCAGGGAAAGGGATCGCGAATCCCGTGGGAGCATTCTGGAGCGCCGCTGAGATGCTGCGTTGGCTCGGCGAGGAGAAGGGTGCTGACGTGCTCATGAAAGCCATTGAGAATGTAACCAAGGCAGGAGTCTGTACGAAGGATCTGGGTGGAAGTCAGAACACTGATGGAGTGACGGATGCGGTGTGTCGCGAGATAGAGAAGCTTGGGAGTAGCACTCAGTGAGATTCGGAGCAATGACCTGAAATCAATCGGGATATCATACACATACCTGTACATTGTAGTCGCACACACTTTTCAAAACTCCGCCAGCCCACTACCCTCTCTCCTCGCACCCCCAGGTACTACTCTCGTCCAGTGTCCCTTCACTTTCTTCCTCTCATCCCCGACCTCCCTGAACCTCAACCAATCTCGCCAAACCCACGTCGCCTTTCCATCCAACAATCCTAAACATACAGGCCCGAAATCGCAACTATCGTAGCTCTTCCGCCAATTGTCACCTTCAACCCAAACATGCCCCACTGGGACGACCACCTTGCCGACTTCCACTTCTTCCCCGCCAATGGCATTAGGATCAGGCTGTCCTAAGCCATCCCATCCACCAGCTAGTCGCTCAGCATGCACAATAGCCGGGTCAAGTGCGTACCCTCTGTGAGGATAGACAATGTCCCCAGCAATGGCGACCACACGCTTGATGCTTGTCTCGTTGGGCTTGTGAGGTTTCCAGAAAGTGACCACGTCGCCTCGGTTGACACTTTGCCTTGCCCAGATATCACGGCGAATAAGAATCCAGTCTTGCTCGTCTCTTTCGTGCGCGAAGGGGGAGAGTGTGGGCGCCATGGAGGAACCGACAACAGTATCCATGGAGACGAAGTAATCGCGCGTGGTGATCATGAGAGCGATGGTCAATAGACCAGTTCCAATGTAGCGACCTGCTGTCCTGAAGTTGTGGGCGCCATCGCGTGACGGGGGAGGAGGGACTCTTTGTGTAATGCGCGGGCCGTGAGGTTCAGATGGATAGGCCGAAGACGGCTTGGGAATTGCGGGACGAGCGGGTTTGGAGGGACCGCGGGTGGAATTCGCTTTGATTTTTGGCAGGGAAGAAACTCGGGCAGCACGGAGGGGAGGCTTCGGTGGCATGGTGATGAACGAATGTGCTCGGCGAGTAACGCAATGGTTGACATCAGACGTAAACCTTTGCGAATTGAAGCTTGGGCGGAACCAAATCCGCCCGGGCCCCGAAAGCTGGCACGTGCATCATTGACATGAAAAACAACATTGAACATTCAAATGTTTAAACCGTTCCAATGTTTATGTAGCGGCATCTGGGGCAATAACTGAACCTGCGAATCGTGCAATAATGATGATTGTCTAAGCAATAGCTACTCTAAATCACAGGCCGATGTATAGTACAAGTACAAGCCGGTACATATAGACAAAATATACAGCTGCCGTCCATTCATGCCCAAACATATCGTCAATCGAAAAAAAAACACAAAGGATATCTAGTTCAATGCCTTGATGACCGCGTCAGCGTATTCAAAGGTCTTGGCCTTGCCTCCGAGATCGCCGGTGATAGTCTAAATGAATCGTCAGTCAGGGTGGAGGCTTCGGTGCACAGAAAGGACTACTCACCTTGCCCTCAGCAAGGACCTTGAAGATGGCCTGCTCAATGTTGTTTGCGTTCTCGCTGAGACCCATGTGCCTCAACATCATGATGGAAGAAAGGAGTAGGGCGGTGGGGTTAGCAAGCTGCTTGCCAGCGATATCGGGAGCAGATCCGTGGACAGCCTCGAAGATGGAGCACTCGTCACCAATATTGCCGGAAGGAGTCAAACCAAGACCACCAATAAGACCGGCGCACATATCGGACAGAATGTCTCCGTACAAGTTGGGCATGACCAAGACCTTGTCGTTGTAAGGGACGGGGTCGGTGACCATCTTCAAGCAAGTGTTGTCGAGAAGCTCGGCATCAAATTCAATGTCGGGGAAGTCCTTGGAAACGTCACGGGCAGTGCTCAAGAAAAGACCATCAGACATCTTCATGATGGTGGCCTTGTGTACGGCGCGGACCTTCTTCCTGCCGATCTGGCGGGCGTGCTGGAAGGCGTAACGAAGGACACGCTCCGAGGCCTCACGGGTGATGAGCTTGATGCTCTGCACTACACCGTCGACAACAACGTGCTCAATTCCAGAGTATTCACCCTCGGTGTTCTCACGGATGAGAACAGTGTCCACATCATCGTAGGGGGTCTTGTAGCCTTGAATGGAGCGGCAGGGTCGAACGTTGGCGAAGAGGTTGAAGGTTCGGCGGAGGGTCAAGTTGAGCGAGACGTGACCTTTTCCAATGGGAGTAGCGAGAGGACCCTTGAGAGCGACGTAGTTGCGCTCCACGCTGGCAATGGACTCGTCGGGGATCACCGTCTTGCCATCCTTGAGGCGCGGCGTAACGTCGACCGACTCCCACTTGATGGGGACATTGGCAGCCGAGTAAATGTCCTTGACCGACTGCGCAATCTCGGGACCAATACCGTCACCCTCGATCAACGTAACCGTGTATTTGCCGTCGTTGCCCTTGGTACCCTTGAAAGCGGCCACCTTATCGGCGTAGCCTCGCGATTGCGCCTACATATGATCTGTCAGCACATTCCACTCAGTTCGACCCAGCTCAATGCTTCCTGGACAGCAAAATGAAGTTGGAATTGCACGAGCGCGGCAGGTTAGACTAACGTGCACGAGCGCGGGAGCCCATCGCGAAGGGCGGTTGGCCTGGCGCAGGCATTGGCGCGCAGGGGCTGCAAAGGCACGGCCAGCGAGCATTTTGGATGAAGCGATCACCGTGGGTAGGGGAAGAGTTACAGCTACGCGCCGAAGTGTAGCAGGTGGTGATGGAGAGAGTGGTGTCGTTGTACAGAGGATGTTGGATGTGAGGTTGGGCTAGAGAGCAAAGCTCTCACTCACATCCCGCAATTGGTTGGCAGCCACGCATGGTCCGTGTACCAGGCCGATTGCATCTGCCGCGGTTCGTAGCCATGGAAATGCTAAGCACCGTTGGACAGGACATGAACAGTTTTTTTTGTTTTTGTTTTCTTGGTGATTGCGCACACATATATTCTGTAGCATCTGCTTGTCACAATTTCAGTGCAAGATGAAATCCAGCGCGACGATGATTGCTGCTGGAATGCCGCGCCAAGGCGGCTGTCACATGCGAGACGTTGCGGGAGAAAAACTTTTCATACATGATGGCTTTCTCCATGATCAAGACACTGCAATGTGAACAATGGAGAATATACAGGCCCCGCAAGTATCTGCTATATATAATGATACTTGTAGCAGCGTAGCATTCCATTTGCTCCGGCGAGTAGTGTACGCTCAGTACATGGATAGAAACAACAGCGATTTACCTTGAAGCGGTTGATGACCGAGTTCGATTCAGTTTTGCAGTCGGCTTTGCGAGTCCCTCATCATGATGGAACGGATCAATCGCCAGACAATCGATTGTGTAGTAGCCAGAAGGGAAGCGGGGAAGAGGGGCTGAAGCGAGAAGAAAAGCAAATGAAACTGAACCATGGAAAGGATGCAGCATCACATCCAGCTGCAAATCAGCACGCGTGCACTAGGGTTGCTTTTACAACAACGATGCCTCTCCAGCTGAACGCTCCACGCAGGAGCGGGGCATGCATCCCTGTGACTGCGGACGGACTGAGAGACTTCGCGTTGGAGAACAAGAGCGATGCATCTGCGTGCGTGCGTGTGTGTGATCAAGCCCAGTGCATTCATCCATAAGATGAGGATGCAACGGCAACTTCCCCAGAAAGCACTTGTTCTGTTGTGCAACGACGGTGCCCAGCATACGATTCGTATCCCAGAAACGGGGACACAGCTGCTAATGTTTCGAATTCACTGTCCCACGCCGGATACCCGTTCATGACCATTAGCGGAGAAGCCACGCATCGCAGCCGGATTGTTATTTTTTTCGTGTTCCAGGATGGAAGCGAGCTATATGCTAATCCCTAGGTGTGATGATCAGAGCATGACAGTCGCCTTTCGTCATTGCCTCGGACGGATCGATTCTCCATGGATAGGGATCCCCACTGTAGTCTCCGAGGGGCGAGACAATCCCGCGAGAGGGAATTGGAGCAATGCTGTTCCTTCGATGGAGCACGCATCTGACTGAGAGAGGAGAGAGAATTGACAACCCTTGAATGCGCAGCTCAGGGCCTGTACATTGCAGAATGCATGCACACTGCAGGCTGTATTGTACTGTGCAGCCAGCTGGCCACGCGGCTCAAGTGCGGATCCGGAAAGGTCAGCTTGGCGCGAGGCGCCACAGATCGATCTCGATGTCAACCACACCTCAACGCCCACCACTCCCCCTCACACTATGCCCCCTTGCCATGCAGCAGACTGGTCTCTGTGCTGTAGGGACTGCACCCCGCGGCCATGGCGCAAGGCGAGAGAAACACCCCGGTGAATATTTTTTTCTATGGGACCAGGAACTTGTCTCCGATGCTCACAATTACCATCCCATTCCTACTCCACAATCTCTGCCAGGTTTTTTTGCCGCAGCCGAAACAATGACCTCACTCTCCCCTTTCTCGATGTTTTATTGACAGGCAGTTGCCGGCTAACCCAGCATGGCAGATTGGCTGATCTAAGCATCAATGCTCTCTCGTCTGCTTCTGGCAATTGTCGTAATACTAGCTCGGATGATGGACAGCTGAGCAGTCCACACAAACAGCTGTGGTTTCAAGCTACTCGAGATCGCCACCTCCATTGACTGCCTGCCATGCAAAGTCAATCGTCGCTGCTGTGACGGGAGCTCTTGGAGGCACAGTAGCAGCATGTATCGACTCAACAAGCCAGCAGGCCGCGCATGCCGTTACGGAAGGGAATGCTACCAAGGAGCCTGCGACGGTGGGACCGTATTGGTGCTGTACCGTGCTGCAAATCCGCCACTCGCTGCGACTACCCTCCACTGATGTTGCTGGAGTCTCTTCTCACGCATCGCTGGAGCAGTCCATGGCTGTGGTACTAAATTAGCATCACTTGTCGTCATGGTTAGACGCGACGGCAAATGCGGCGCAGGGGCCGATCCCCCAGACAAGCTCTGGACAGAGGCAGCCAGACCGGCCAATAGCCCGCCGCTCAAGTCCGCATCCGGCGTAGCAGTGGCGGTGCCAGCCAATACGACCGAGCCGGACATACGTAACCACGTCCCAGTGGGGAGCAGCTCCTGGCGGTGCACAACGCCGGTGACAGCATGCCATGGCAAACCCGGTCTTGTTCCATTTGTTTCGTCGCCTTGGTCGACCGGGCAAGCTCAAGGCCTGAGCTCCCTGCATTACGTCGATGGCACCACATGTCCAGTATAAAGACTCTCTTGTAATCCTCCAACTTGCAATTCCCGTTCCATTCACTTCCACATCAAACAATCTCTCCGTACAACTAAACAACACACCTTCACTAAAACCTTTCCAATTCTCCAAACTCAATCAATCAACATGCGTTTCTCCACTGTCGTCGCTGTCGCCCTCTCCGCAGGTGCTGCCTCCGCCCAGAACCCCGTCTCTAGCATCCTCGGCGACGCTACCTCCGCCATTGGAGATGTTACGTCCGCTGTTGGTTCCAACATCCCCTCAGGAGTAACATCTGCCATCGCCTCTGCTACCTCGGCCGCTGGCTCTGACATCAGCTCCGCTCGATCTGGTGCATCAAGCGCCATTTCCGGAGCCTCAAGCGCCGCCTCTTCTGCCATGTCAGGAGCATCAAGCGCTGCCTCATCTGTTGCCGGTGGAGCTTCATCCGCCATCTCTTCCATTCAGGCTTCCGAGTCATCCGCCGCGGCCTCCCTCAAGAGCGCTCTCTCCACCGCCACTGGATCGGCTGCTTCTTCCATTAGCCAAGCGCTCGCTTCCCAGTCCAGCGCCGCTGCCAGCCGCATCGCTGGTGCATCTTCCTCTGCTCAGGCCGCCGCATCTGAGACTCCCAACGCTGCCGTCGCCCACGGTCTCCCCATGGGCGCTGTCGCTGGTGGACTTTTGGCTGTCGCTGGTCTTTTGTAAACAGTATCATTGAATCTGTTCAATTTCTCAATCCCTTCGGACGCGTCATGAGATTATAATACTCTACTATTTGGCTGAAGAATATCACGCATATGCACAACCGGTGTTTTGTACTTATTAAGGAAATGGGTAATGGGGAGAGAGCTTTAATCAGCCTCTCGAAATCTTGTAAATGAGATAAAAGCAAAAACAATGAAACAAACAATCCAGTATCATGTACTGTTCTCTTTTGATTATCGTTCATACCGTGATGGCTGGGGCATCCTCGTGTCCCCGACAATCTAGTCCTTCTTGATGGTCGTCCCCTTTTATTGTCTTGGTGACGTTGATGTACGCAGGGGTAGATCCCGCTTTACCCGACCTCACCCCCTTGTGGTCTGTCTCATTTTGTCCTGAAACGACCTCGTATGTTCTTTACTCTAACCTCTCTTGGGATATACTGTGCCAACGTGGCGGGTGGTTTCATATTCATTCCGTCCATGCTAAATTTACTGAAGATGCCGGATGAAGAAGATTCCGTGTAGGTGTCGAACACTGTGTCCCACACTCGCTTCCCGGTGAACGTCGAACAATGTGTACCGAATTACTGTGTGGCTACACTTCCAAATGTTGCGACACTGCATTTGAACACGTAAAGCCACAGCTGCGCCACAGGGCGATACCTAGGCATCGAAACTCGCTTCGCCGTGAACACCAGATACCCACCTCGTAATCAGAAAAACACACACCTGAACCACGTATGTAAATCTTTGCGAATTTTGACTCAGCTGAAAAGCCCCATGTTGAGATCTTTTGGCCCGTACCCGCGTTTGATAATTAGAGTTCTTCTGCTGGCAGCATTTATCGGCCTGGCCAGATATCTTTCGAATTCCTCTTCTTCGTCAACCACCATGTCCCCTCCCCCTGATGCATCTGAGGTGGCTTCAGCCTTACTCAGTGAGCATGGTCTCTACCTGCAGTCCATTCAAGTCCTACAATCCCTTTGGGCTGGGTATGGCAAGATATGTCGCATCACAGCAACCCCAAACTCCCCACAATCCTCGACATCAACATCCAGAACAGCATCCAGCGCCTCCACCCCGCAACAATTCCAATCGTACATACTCAAGCTCATAGCGCCACCACCTACATCCTCCAACAATGAAGGCCACATCCGCAAGATCTTGAGTTATCAAGTCGAGCAATACTTTTACACTCATCTCGCCCCGCAAATGCCACCTTCCATCCCCGTTGCGAAAGCCCTCTCGAGTACCCACGAATCCCGTTCAGGAGGATCCCTTAAAATGGCTATGCTCCTCACAGATCTCAAACAAATCTATCCCATCGCTGGTGAAAAGCGCTCCGAATTGACCTCAATCCAAGTCGACGCCGCTCTAGACTGGCTGTCCTCCTTCCATGGTTTCTGGCAACCGCGTGTCAAAGACTTTGACCATACCTCGCTCGTTCGGCCACCACTAGAAGAAGAAACCCATCGCAAACAGCAAGAGAGATTGAACTCTAGAAACGACAACACGACGACAGTCTGGCTAAACGGCGGTTACACCTACCTCGCAACACGCCAGTCTGAATACACATCCCTCCTCTCATCACACGACTCTGAATGGCACGAACCTCTGACAGACTGGATCCAGGACACATCTTCAATATCGCACTACGTCGCCGCCGTTCTATCTCCCCCTAAAACTGCGACTTCGCATACACCAACGACTCCGTATATGACGCTGCTTCACGGCGACGTCAAGTCCGAGAACCTCTTCACGACTTCGGATATGAAGACGGCTGTCATGTATGATTTCCAGTACGTAGGGCTCGGCTTGGGTGTTTGTGATTTGGCGAAATTGTTTACCTGCTCTGTTCCCTTGTCGCTTCTCGTGCCCTCCGACTTACTTTCCGCTTCTCTTCCGCGCAAACTCTCCATGCAGGAGGGTGAAGTAGCGCTGTTGCGGCGCTACTGGACGAATGTAAAGGAGAAGAGCGGGCAAGCGTACGATTGGGATATTTTTGTAAGGCATTGGGAGACTGCGTTGGTCGATTGGTGTCGGTTTCAAGCTAGTTGGGGGTTCTGGGGGAATGAAGAATGGTTGGGTGCGAGGGTGCGGTGGGTGTTGGCTGATGAGGGGTGGAGGGACGGCGTGCTAGGGATGGGTGAGGTTGAGGGAGAGAAGGGGTGGTGAGTATAGTGTTCACATAGAACTGCGAATAGATATTGTAGATGGACGTACATTTCTAATCTTCTGACGGTTCACAGAAAGCGCTTCTACAATACTAACCGCGACGCACATGGAATCAAATGCTCCGCTAATTATCTTCGCCACTGACCTCGCACCAACCACAGTGTCACCCTCCTTCTTCACCGCTTGCACAGAATACACGCTCTCGCCATCGCAACAACTTCAATCCATCCCATCGAAACCACAGCAACCAAAATTGAATTCTCCAATCTTCCCTTAATCCAGTTTATTGCCGTCCCATCCGCTCCACCCACCATCCCACTCCACTCCACCTTTTCTCCACCCTTCCCTCGGTCGGTCCGAGAATACAGCAACGCGCTCTTTTCGCAATTTTCCTGCCTAATGCGGTACCTTCAATACGCCCACTATACCAAATTCCCAATCTCCCCCGGTCCCAAATGCTGCTGTGGAACCTATGACGCATCATCGATCAACAGTTTTAGCGTTAAATTCCTGATATAGTAGGTTCGTTTACCGCGGTGGTTCTCGTGGTGCATATTCGTGCTCATGCAATATGCACGGTGCTATGCAGTGTGTACGGTCGCCATAGTACAAGGTGTTTGATGGTTTTGCTGTCATGTTGCCTGATACGGAAGTTTGAGAGATGCGTCGTCGGGTCATACGTGGGACAAAATGCAGGAATCAGTGGAAGTTGCATAGAAATCATGATCATATTGCGAGTCTTCGATCGACACTTTTTTACGCGTTTTTCCTGATCCGGTATGTCGAGGATAGTTCCTTGGGCTGGTGTGTATGCGGTGTTACCGGGTCGACAATGTCATCGATCAACGGGTTTTACATTGTCTTGCTGAATATAGCAAGTACCCAGCATCAATGTGTGTAACTTGGTGCTCATGTACCGCAGCAGCCAACACTTTGTCGGGATCCTTCTTCATGCAGTGTGTTCGATAGATTTCGTGTAACCAGATAATGCTGTGTCACCCGTCGTCAGTTGTCCGTCGGACGAACTGCGATCGATGCTTTTTATGTAATCTTCCTAGTTGGGTATCTTCGAAGCCGTTCAAATCCTTGTGCTCCATTTTTATGGGATGTCGGGGATGCAGTGATACCTGCCAAAGCACCGGTTGCAACGGCAGACCAGTTTACACAAACTGTTTTGAAAAACGTGCGTGTACCGTGATCAATGCTTCTTGCGATATCTTGCCTATTCAAGTATCTTCGCAGTGAGTGACATTGCGTTTCCTCGTGTCCTATTTATGAAGGCTGGGCAGATATAGTGCTATACACGGAAGGCGGCATAGTCAGTGATCGATGCTGTAGACCATCTCTTTCCCAGTCCAGTATATTCAGAGCCCAGGTCCGAATATGTGGAACATTTCTGTGTGACTGAGACACTCCCGCTGTTCTTGATAATTGGTGGATATGTGCATCGCATTCGGTGTGACTGAGACTTGAGTGACCTGTCCCCGAGTTTGAGCAGTAGTGTCACAGACCTATATTTATCATTAGATCAACCTTGTGGTTGTTATTCAACTGTAATCGATGCTTCAGACAATGACCTTCTTGATAGGGCATCTTGACATTCTGATCAAGATTTGTGGAACATCGCGTGTGGCTAGGTGACCGGTCCCCGGGTCGGTGACCGATGCTTACCTCTGGGAGACTCTCGCGTGTAAGGAATCTACACTTTGGAGATTATTGCCCGATGTGGTGTTTTCGGCTTCTGGAACTGCGTGCCCCCGCGCTGTTGTGTAATGTACATATGTACGTGGAACCCGGGCTGCTGGGTTGTACTACTATGGCGATCTTTGGTGGTGAGGTTGATTTTCTCAAGGCATTTAACATGAGTCTTCTGAAAGATATGCAGAAGGAAGATATTAGTACATAGGTTCTGAAAGATTTCCTGGTCATGCTGAGCCGTGCAAAAGCATCCAGAGATTCATTTTGACGACACTACCAGCCTTAAACACTTGACTCGTACAACATACTCACCAAGGGCGGGTCAGCATTGAGCAGTATGTCAGCGAAGAAAGAGTTTGTGCAAACATCTTTCTCATCTCATCTATAGCTATTTCCCCTCCGCCTCGTCCCGAGGCATATTCGTCACCTATCAACCCCAACCCTCTCAGCCACCCTACCTCAAACTCCCCAGTCCCTGCTTATCCGACGACTCTCTCCGGAAAAGCTTCCCTCACGACTCCTCTTGCTCAAGCAACAAAAGCGCAGATGTGCCGAAGAAAGCTGCCCGACTTCGGCAGGTGACGGACTTACAATGGCGGGGTAATTGTAGGATAGCTCAAGCTAAACCCTACCCATCTCATCCCACCCTTCTTGCCCCCGCCCGCATCGGCATCTGTGGGGTAACGGGTGCAGATAGAGGAAAAGTCGGCAACAATGGAGTCACATAGAAATAAACTTCAACATCAAGTATTGTGGACTTTCCTTCGGTTTCTTTCACTTCAACGGACGAAATATAGATTTTGGCGGAGAAGAAAGGCATCATCATTTCAATATCATCATCGCATACATAGAGGGAGGAACAGTAGACGAGCAGCATCGCGATACCGTATAGATCGGTACGGTAAGACAGTATACTTAACTGATAACCGAATTACAACTCCCAGTTTCACCAGCTACGCGTACCATCTCCAGACATCATGGTGTACGTTACCTTCTCCCTTCGAAAAAGTGCCACTATTGACCACCCTCGATGATACAGCTACACAGCCTCCACCGCCTTTTTTGAGGCCATAACTGCAGCCGGAGTGTCCCATGTCTTCGTGAACCTCGGGTCGGATCATCCTAGCATTATGGAAGCTATTGTCTCCGGACAAAATCGAAGGAAAGAAGGGAAAGCTGGGTTTCCAGAGATTATCACGTGCCCGAATGAGGTGCGTTTGCCATTTGTGTTGACATGTCCCCAAATATCAGGGAATGGAGGTAGTTGGGCGTGGAGCTAGTATTCCAGTGACATGGCAGTGTGGAACAGCTAAGCTCGACGGAGCATGTGGGTGGAGACAGCATGAATTGCTAACAAAAACCTTCGATGCAATACAGATGGTAGCTCTCTCCCTAGCTGATGGCTACGCCCGCCTAACCTCACGTCCCCAATGCGTAATCGTTCACGTCGATGTCGGGACCCAAGGTCTCGGCGCCGCAATCCACAACGCCTCCTGTGGCCGCGCACCAGTTCTGATCTTCGCGGGTCTCTCCCCCTTTACCCTCGAAGGCGAAATGCGCGGATCTCGTTCCGAATACATCCACTGGATTCAGGATGTGCCAGACCAGAAACAGATTGTATCACAGTACTGCCGGTACGCGGGTGAGATCAAGACTGGAAAGAATGTGAAGCAGATGGTGGAGAGGGCGCTGTCGTTTGCTATGAGTGATCCTAAGGGACCAGTGTACTTGTGTGGGGCTAGGGAGGTGATGGAGGAGGATTTAACGCCGTATGAATTGGAGAGGGAGTATTGGAGTCCCGTCGAGCCGGCGGCGTTGCCCGGGAAAGGGGTGAGGGCGATTGCTGATGCCTTGGTGAAGGCGCAGGAGCCGCTTGTTGTGGTTGGGTTTACGGGGCGGAATCACGCTGCGGTGCAAGAGCTGGTTGATCTGGCAGATCATGTCAAGGGGTTGCGGGTTCTGGATACTGGAGGCAGTGATATGTGTTTTCCGGGTAAGTTTGTCGACTTGTGAGGTCTAAGTGAATTTACTGAGTACGAACAGCGAACCACCCCGCTTGGCTGGGCCTTCGGTACAGCGGTGAACCCAGAATCAAGACAGCCGATGTGATTCTTGTCATTGATTGCGACGTTCCCTGGATCAATACCCAGGCGCATCCTAAGCCTGGCGCAAAGGTCTTCCACATCGATGTTGACCCTCTGAAGCAGCAGATGCCTGTCTTCTACATCAAGGCACTCCAACGCTACCGCGCAGATGCATACACAGCCTTAGCACAACTCAACGAATGCTTGTCTGCAAATTTCAAGGACCAACTCTCAAGCAACCTATTCACAGACCGCTGGACAGCTCTCCAAGAATCTCACAAGCAAAAACTCGAAACCATCGCCGCAGAAGCGAAAGTCGACGAAAACGGCCACTTCGCGACACCGTACCTAGCCCAGCAGCTGAAGAAACTGTGTCCGAACGATACTATCTGGGCAATAGAAGCAGTGACTCAAACGCCATTCATAGCCGACCAACTTCAGGTGACACAACCCGGGTCGTGGATCAACTGCGGTGGCGGCGGTCTCGGATGGTCCGGCGGAGGTGCTCTCGGTATCAAGCTCGCGACCGACTACGAAGGCAAGAAACGCTTCGTATGCCAAATCGTAGGCGACGGAACCTACCTCTTCAGCGTTCCCGGGTCAGTGTACTGGATCTCGAAACGTTACAATATCCCAGTACTCACTATCGTGCTAAACAACAAGGGGTGGAATGCGCCACGCAAGAGCATGATGCTTGTCCATCCTGATGGCGAAGGCTCAAAGGTGTCGAACAAGGAACTTAACATTTCGTTTGAGCCCACGCCGGATTACTCGGGAATTGCAAAGGCTGCGGCTGGTGGGGAGATCTGGGGCGCGCACGCGAGCACCGCGGAAGAGTTGGGTAGACTGTTGCCGGAAGCTATCAAGAGTGTGTTGAACGGAATCACGGCGGTACTAGATGCGCATCTCGAAGGACCAGAGGGAAAATACGGAGGTGGGAAAGCCGCGCTTATAGGATGAAGATCCGATAGATTTCTCAACGAAGATGGAGATTATCTCCTTCCAAAGGTATGTTAGCTACATTAAGAAAGCTACTGTTCCTACACAAGCTCAGATGTAAAGTTGTTCGTCAGTTCAATGGTACTCCGTAGTCCAAACCCATAGCTTTGGATGTTGTTATGCTCAAAGATATTCATCCATCTTTAGACACTTTGAATGAATGTTTCATGCTATCAGCCATAATAGCGAGAGGAATTTAAATATATGACTCGTCGTTAAACAGATGTTACTTGCGAAAATTTTAATTCTTTCCAAGTTTTTCCGCTTAGATATATTAGCAATCCAATTCCTCTGTGCCTTAAGAATAAGGGGGGGGGGAATCTATGTAGCAGCCTGGCCTGTGTCTAGGTTGGTAGATGGATAGGCAGAGTCACGGACCGAGTGTGTGTTCTAGATTCTCATTCTGTTCACATACGTGTCTGTTTCCAAATCATACGACACCCAGATACGCTAAACATTCTGCATTCCGGCACCTACGAGTAAGCCCGAAAGAAAGAAGAGGAGACCGCATACGGACAACAAACCAAACGGCACGGTAGTACGTAGGAATGCGACAAGTTCGTTCAGCTGAACATCAACACCAAAGATGAAACAAAACGAAACGAAACAATAGTCTGTTTTCTCTGCCTGCCATGGCCCCCCTTAGAAACAGTTCACACTGTGTGTATGTCCGGAATCGTACGAAGCTTACATAGAGACGTGCAGCGCTCGGTAGTTTGCCGGGCTTTGCTTTCGGCAACCGAGACAGCCCAACCCAGCCCAATTCGCCCCCTCCCTTTGCTCGTTCGTTTGTCCGTTCGTCTATATGCAGGGAGAATATTGGGAGGGAAAAAAGAAAGAAAAGGTTTCCAAGAGACGGGAAAAGTCGAAGAGAAGGGTGAAAGGTGTTTCGGGGCGTTTTTGGCTGTTTGTGTTTGAGGTTGTGACGGGTGATGATGGGTGACGGCCTGTCAGAGATAGATTGTGCATATGTGCCGTGCGCCCACGTGGGAGTTCTGTGTACACATGTAGAGGCACCAAAATGTGTACGGGTATATCCCATGGCCAAATTCTCAAGGATTACAGGTTTTTATCCACGAGTCGCGAAACGTGGCGTATGTGGCCAACAGTTGAAACATAGAAGGATCTATTGAATTTTTGAATTGTTTGGGCGCAATGGTTACGCGATGTTGATTAGCAGTTACGAGGAGAGTGACATGCCAGACCTCGCATCTACAACTCAGGATTAAGCGACTGAATCATGAAAACAATAACCAAGAGGTGACGACGCATCGATGAGAGAGCTCATGGGTTGTTTATTCGGTCCGTGATATCCCCAGATCCAACATTATCACAGTACTTTTGACACACGCGAAGGATGCCCGCTTGTCTCCTAGCGCAAAGTAAGCAAGTTCAACAGATGTCTAGACGCAGGAGGCGCTCCTCTGTTCTCTGTGTGACAGATAAAATAATAGCCGTCTCGTTCATCACCAAGTCCAGCGGATGCGAACAAAATGGGAGAGGAGTCGGGAATCGCGTCTAGACGATCGCGTACCTGTATCAGAAGCTGCGGGAAGAATACGAGATGCCTCCTTAACTGTGAAACGGATCGATGCATGGGCTTTCAGCCTACACCAGTTTTTGGACCCCAACCATCATTGTCCAGATCATCCACCATCGCCCAGTTCATCTAGATTTGTATTGTTTCTTGGTAGAATAGAGACTCGAAACACCAACAAACAAACGAAACAAGTCTGAATCAAGACGAAGGAAGAGAACATGTTCGCTCGGTTCACTCCACAGCTAAGCGGGAAGGGTGCTTTCAGCTCGTGGCGTGACAAGCGGGACGTGGGAAACGTTGTGCACGTGTGCCAAGTGCCTCTCCCGCAGATGAACCATAACTTGAGTTAGCTAGCTAATATACCCATTCTTGGAACCTTCCCGAGGTAGAAAATAGCACCGTCTTCGGAAGAGACACCAGCCGGGTTCGCTTCAATTTGCGGTCTCTCCCCGGTTTCCCCATGGTGCTGCTGATTGTGCGTAGTTGTCTTACTTTTTCCGCGCAAAACTCAATAGGTACGAGACACATGGCACATGTCAATGTCACCCCAAGCTTGATCGATGGCACCAGCAGCGAGATGCCTAAGCGAGAACCTTGCTTTTTTCTTACTCAACCAATGTCGAACAGCCCGCTCTACTCAGCGCTCGATGAGTGGTTGCTTTGCGACGTTGGACCAACCACACCGACAAGCCAGCCCAGCACGGCAGCGCGAAACCCGAATGCTAGTGAAGTAGTCAGCGTTCCTCCCAAGATAAATTTGCTGGCATTCTTACCGAGAATGGAGCGCTTGACCCAGAATTATGGCTATTTTCGGGTCTTTGGGGAGCAAATTTGCTGTCAATATTATCTACTTATGCAGTGCACGCTCCACCACAGTCCACATGAGCGGGTGAATAGCGCGTAGGCGACCTCCTCCTTTTCGTTTAGTCGTCGGGGCTCCAAGTCCATTCCAGCCTTTTTCTCCTTCGCTGCCTACCTGCAGCTGCCGGAAACGTTGTCAAGTTTCGTTTGTATCCAAGGGGGCAGTGGATGAAACCTGACTACATGCTGCTAGTTGTCTTGACAGCATGTTGGTGGAAGGCTGCTAACCTCTTCTGCGGTAAAAGATGTGAAGTGAAGTGTATCTCCCTCAACCACTTTGAGCAAGTCACGGGGAATCTGCTACCGCTGTAATTCCCTCGTGCCAATCGAGCGTCTACTCGCAGGCATCTGTATACGTGCGGCTCGCCGGTGAAGGTGGGCTGCCCACAGAGCAAGCGCTCCCGTTGTATTGCATCGCTATACCCTTGTCTCGCATCTTTGGAGTGAGCGTATCAGCAGCGCTTACGCACACAAGCCTTTCGAGTTGTTCTCATTCTAGGAATGGCGCCATCTAATTGACCCCGGGCCCGTGCATTTCTAAATCCATCTATGTAGCCTGCAGGTCGCTTTCTGGTAAGATGGATGATGAACATGGGTCGACATGGCTAGCCGGCTCGCACCCAGTCTGCCACCACCACCTGCATGCTGCAGAAGCGCATGGACCGGCAGCTCTTCTCCGTTACTCTTTCCAACGGGTAGACAGGGCTCCTTCCTGGAAAAGGTTATAAGGTCGTCAATCTCCAGGCCAGAAATGTAGAACAACACACCAACCAGCCTTCAACTTCATCTTCCTTGAGCAAAGTGCAGAGCATTTTGTACCACCTCAACCTCTTCTAATACTTCGTCTCCTGAGTTCGCTGTTCCGATTTTTTCAACTGCATCTGTCTTTGTCCAATTGATATTTGTTGCTTCCATCCACCAAGAAACACTTTTCATACAAAAGCAAGATCTATTTACTGTCACCAACACAAACCTTCATCATGCTTTTCTCAAGCTTCTCCGCTGCTCTCCTCCTCCTCACCTCATCGGTCTCGGCTCTTCCCAAGATCCCCCGCGCAACCAACCTCGACAGCCTCGCGGCCAGGTACCCCAAGAGCGATCTCCCCGGCCCCGATGGTCTAGAGCTCAAGTATGTCTTGCTCGGTGTAGGCACTCAAAACTACACATGCAACAGCGGCAACGAAACCGCCCCTCCCGGTACAACCGGTGCACTCGGTACGTTCATCCTTCCCAACCGCTAGCCATATCACAGCCCACTGACCCTCACCACAGCCAAACTCTACGACATCGGTACCCGTCTCAACAGAGATCCCCTCGCCCAATGGAAGATTAGCTCCATCAGCGGCCTCGCTCTCTCCCTCTCCTCCTTCGGCAACCTTCTCGATGGCTACCTCATGCTCGAAGGCTACAACGAATGGATGGGTAACCACTTCTTCACTCAGATGGACACCACAACCTCCATCCCAACCTTCTACCTCGACCACGCAAAGACAACGCCCTTTCCCAACGCCATGGTCACCAAGAAGAACGCCGTCGATGCTCCCAAGTCCGCGTGTCCTGGTACCAAGAACGAGGGTGCCGTCCAGTGGCTTCAGCTTGTTGACGAGAAGGGTTTGAGTGCTGGTGGCGTCAATGCTGTGTACCGTCTCGAGACCGCTGGTGGAAATAAGCCTGCGACTTGCAAGGGCCAGAAGGCCGCTTTCGAGGTCCCCTATACGGCTCAATACTGGGTTTACGGCACCAAGGCTTAAGCTGCTCTTTTTGAGAATTATTTCCTTGTTGGGATGATCTACCTACTCGTCTGAGCGAAACATGTTTGGATGAGAACGAACGAGCAACGATGACTACCGCCATGGACCTTGTCGCTCCCCGCGCCCCGCGGCTTTTCTTGTTTATATCTTCGATACCCTTGTATATTTTTTGGCTGATTTCTTACATTCCCTTCATTCGTCATGGATAAGCATGATATGGGAAGGGCGCTTCTGGTTTTGGTGCGGTTTACTGCTTTTTTTTACATGTTATGGGAGGATTTGATCTGAATATCATCATCACTAGAGTGAGAGAAGGGGAGAAAAAGTACTTGAAGAGATACTACTGCATATTCCTATATACTTAGGTATATCTAATACATACTTCCTCCATCAAGAACACATTCGCGAAAATATGTGAAATTGATCAAGTCACAACACTCTTAATTATAATTTCAAACCTTTGGGCGCCGTTGATTACACCACTACATCAACTATTATCTGTTCACATCGCGCGCGACCAAGTCATCTACATTAGCCGGAAAACAAAAGGCAGAACCAAGAGCAGGCTGCCAGCATCGGAGAACTATAATACCCATTCTTATTAATAAATCGAGCTACCCAACCCCATCTCATCTCATCTTAATTCCATAGCGCTTGATTACCGAGCCTCGCTATAGACCAGGGAGCCTATACATATGTATCTTGAGATCGGTTAGGGGGAGAGCGCTTGAGGCCTCGCTAGGTTGTAAGGTCGTTTGTTATGGTTCGATGTATCCAATCTCACTACTTAATCCAGAGAATCGTAGGTGTGACGTTTGACCAATCTCGTGTTACTATTTGACATTTTTGAAGCCGTGTTACAAAATAGATAAGATGAGAGGTTGGGTTGTAACATCTGTGAGGCGAGCACGTAGTAGATGGCTGGGAGATGTCATCAAAACCTTCCCCCACACCAAACAAACTCAAGATTCTTGTGGCGCAATCTTCCTTTCTTTTTTTTCCTCGACAGTATATCCATGTTCGCATTCGGCTTTTTCCTCCTTCCAACCCCCTCTTCACTCGCCACTCGTGGCGAGCTTCCAAATTCAGAAACCACACCACGCCACCCATACATCTATCCATCTGCACGAGTGCGGCGCGACGCTTTGCCAACCCACCGATCCCCACTAATTAACTCGGGTGTGGAGTGTATTAAGTGGGTGAGTGGGTGGATGAAAGCTATGGTAACGCAAGGACGCCCGCGTGGTAAAATGGGGGTCGTGCGGGCGGTTACGTTGCTTGGCAGTCTTACGGCCTTCATGCGGGCTGATAGCCAACCGCTATTAGTGAGGGATTCTTGGGCGTATCATGTGACTTCTGTAGGTAAGTTCTGAGGTGTTGGGAATTGATGTATGAGTTGGTGTGGTTGTGGAGGCGGGGGTTAGGGATGGTAGACAAGGTTTTGTATGGATGATATAATACGAGTATTGGTAGATGAAGCACTCCTGGGTTCCATGAAGGCTACTCGCATGCCAACATTTCATCTCATATCTGTGCCAGGAGCTTACGTGACTTGGAATATTTTCATTCGTTACACTATTCTATGATATCCATTTCATCTCCTAAGCTGTTGATTGTGTCTTAGTTCTCCAAGTGATTCTGCAGCATTAGACTTTTGATCTACGACGAGTCCTACTTGTTCTTCTACTGGCTTGCTCTCGTGGGCGTTACGATTTTCTTTGTGGTTTTGATCATTCCAATCTTGTTCCGAGCCCTTATTGCCCTTTGCCTTGTTTTCATCTTGTAGCGATGGGAACTCCAATCTAGTCGATCGCGAATACGAAGTCAACAAGTCACTCTCTTGTTAATTTCTTGAAAATGGTGGGCAATTGCCTTGTTCAGTAGAGGTTTTACGAAAGCGAAAAAAGAAAAAAGAAAAGAAGCAAATTGCATCATCACGTTGGTAGGCTGATGTAATGCAAAAGAGTATACATTGAATCTTCTATATGACAACTCGATAATGACAGTGGTAGCAAATGTTCGCTAAGTAAAAGGTCTCTCCAAAGAGGAGAAGAGAAGAAGAGAAGAAACGTGAAAATCTAGAGTCTAAAATCTGCCAACTCCAACCACCGGGGATCTTGGCACCCAGAAAATCGTACCTCATTTGAAGGGAGGCGTCCCGTCGACTGAGCGGATGCGTGGGCGGGCTCAAGATCTAGCACTGTCCACCGTTGGGATCGGACCTAAAAAGCGCAAAATGTTAGCAAAGTCCTCTACATCACCATTCAGCCTTGACATACCTGAAGTGCCAGCTGCCAACATCACTCTGTCCACCATAGTAGCAGCCTCCAGCCTCGTTCTTGAGGCGGTAAATGCACTCTTCCCTGCTAACGCTGCCAGTGCCCTGACCATTGTACTTAACGTACAACTCGGCCTTCTTGTTGGCTTGGAGAGACTCGCAGGCGTATTTGGTTTGTCCAGAACTGAAGGAGCCAGAGATTTGGCTGTCACAGAACTTGTCGATTGCTTTGTTGGTGGCATCGAGTTCGTTGCCCCAGTAGTCGCCGCTTCTGTAGCATGAAGCGTGGACGGTTGCGAGAGGGGCGATAAGAGCGAGGATGGTTGTGGCCTTCATATTGATAGAGTTATGAGGGTTTTGAGGGGTTATAAAAGAGAGTTCTGAGTTGGAATTGATGGGAATGTTGAGAGAAGATGTTTGAGTTGATGATGATGGTGCTGTTGGAGCAGAGGAAGAGCAGTTTATATAGACGTCTCCAACCCTTTGACCCTATCCCCTTCACTTGACCTTACTACAACACCCTCGATAGGCATGATGGCTGACTATGCTTGAGGGTGTTTCTGCCTTGCTCGCGCGAGAATAGTCTCTGGTAGCCAGTTCCTAGCCCATGGCTGAGGAGTACGGAAACTCAAGAACTTGGCGGGCAATTCCTTCGCTCGTGTCTCATATGTTCTTGATCACCGTTTTGTGTCATCAGGGCCATCATTTTGGGGCGGTATCATTGAGCTTCGCGCGTATCGTTATATCTCCGCGATGCGGCTGTATGGATATTTGATCAGCTCACTGAAAATTCAAGTTATAATTATACTGATCATAGTGCAGCCTAGTCATTTCTGTTCATTGTTGGAGACTAACTCTCGTGGCCATTTTCTTGCAACATTATCCTCTTTACAATCGAGTTCCTGTGCCGCACGTTTAGTAGCAGTGAGAAACATTAGCCACCAAACCTCAATCAGAGTATGGACATGGAGCGCTTGCGTAATGTAATTTCGTCACTTTAAGACATTAAAGTACCCTTGCACTTTAAGCCCATGCTATAAGTAAATAACTCATACCTCATGCAAGGGGTGCGTGCACTACGTCCTCTCGGGCGTGATTTAGTGAGTCGCAAGCGTATACGTTTCAGGAATTCGTAGCTGTGTTCATTCTAAGCTCAGGTCACGGTCTTTTGATTGTAAGCCAAGTGCTACGGGCCTCTCGTACGACAATATAACTGGGACATAAGCCAGCGTGTCAATCCACCTAAAATGCAGAGCAAAGTGATTTTCCGCTTTTGTAAAGGCAACGCTACAAATTTTCGAATGTCACCTGTTATGTAATTATGCTGTACCTTTTACGGGAGATCAAGTTGTTCCGCATCTTGGGTGGTTTGGCGCGTTCGCATTTTTCCCAGTGTAGTGGTTTACAAGTAATGCGCATGTGCCCACAGACTACCACCCTACTTGTATAGCCCTCAAGTGCTTGTACGTACGTAACTTCCTAGCAATTGATTCTGAGTGGCCATGCCTAATACCCTCACGCCCAAATTTGTTGTCGTCCGAGAGCGTGCGTAATATGATATATGCCTCAATGGATGATCTCACAGTACGCCTTAGCCATGGGGGCTGAGCCACGATTTTTCAGATGGATGTTACGGCTTTATGCGCTAGTTCAATCATAGGCGTTGCTGGCAATCGTCATTATCTCTCCTTCTCGTACGTACTCGCATGTAAGGGCATTGCGATCAACAAGATCTGCGGCAAACAAAAGTAACCCAGCGATCTTATTTTAACAACAGGCGGAAATACAGGTTGCGATTTTGAGCCTCGTGATGTGATCGGAACATCTTGAAACAACAAACATCCGTCGGCCCTGAATCCCTGCATTGGACAACCCCATCAATTTCATACTTTAGCTACATCCATCACTCTTGTCAAGCAGCCGCAATTTTCTCTCTTCCATTCCTCATGTTTGATTTTTCCAATAATCTTTTTTCATTGTGGTGTTAGTAGATCATCACCCAGGAAAGTTTAATAGAGGTGTAATTTATTACTATTCACAAAGGAATGATCAGCTATGTGAGTCACGTACAGAAACATATTCTTAAAGCTGCTCTCAAATCAGGTGTCTAAAGGTAGCTTACCAGTTCTCATTGGCTACTCAATGTGTCTCTGTTGTTATTGGTTGTTATTTTATCGCAACCCTTTCTCTGCACTCATTCCTGCTTAAGAAAGGAACGCGTATATACCTTTACCAGGTGATGAGAATATAGTGGGACTGAGAGTAGCCTGCGCAGCTAGTTGTCGCCTGTTTATAGGCGAGAAGACATGCACGTTGTTTGTGAATGAATCCCGATCAAAATCCACTTGCCCATCGCTTCACCCAAACAAGAGCCATCTTATGTCCCCATTTCCGTGACGTCTTCAAGGCAAATTAATTTCGTGCATGGAAGGACATGATATGGTTAGCACAGCAGCAGCTGCTGCAGTCGAATTCTCCAGGCAACAGTAAAGCAGTGGCATGCTTGGCTTTTTCAGCCTTGCGCCAACACACATGCCTCGCGGGAACCATGCAGATCCTCGTGTTGGTGGTGCCATCGATTACCTAGCGGGAGTAACTATTGGCTCTTGGTCAAGCTGCTTGGCTGGTAGCTTATTGTTATGCTTCCTTTTGACGTGTATCCAGTACGGCACGTTGGCTGACCCAGATCTGCCGGTGATATTTACGTAGCCGCTCGTCAATGTTGAAGATCATTGGACGTCTCTGCTGGTAGATAGAACTGCCACCCAGGCACCCAGGTCGCTAGAGCCTCAGCCCGGGGATAAAACAAAGCATTCCTCTTTGCATCATGGTCCCAGCCTTTTTCTTTTCTCTAGAAATTCCTTCGACTGGCGCATCTATTCTATAAGCTTCCCTAAGGTTTCTATTTTGCAAGAACAGAAATGGAGTATGCAGGCTGGAACGGGCGAACAGACCATCCAAACGCCAATTCTTCCCCGCCACGAAGCGGCAGCCCATACAGCGAAGAATATTCTTCCTCATTAAGTGACGAAATAGCGCCTGAATACCTCGATCTTCTAGCATCACGAAAGATTCGACCATGCGAAGACTCCGATTGTAGGCACTACGATGAGGAAGGACCATATAGAACCTGTTGCCAGCTCGTCGCAGACGAACACAGAGAAGTTCATCGATGCGTACGTCTCCTGTCCCCACTTTCGTGAAAACAGAAGTCTCTTACATAGGGTACGAAGTGCGGCTGCAATGGCTCGATAGCCTATACCGACTCCGTCGGGAGCGCACATTCCGGTTACGAATCCCCCGTCCGACCTTCTTCGCAATCGTCTCGCGAAGGTCGGTCGTCGAGCGAAGAGCGCGATGTGCAGGCTCGAGCATTACAGGCTCTAAGAGAGAGGCTGGAGGAATCCTCGGATGATGACCAGCGGTATCTTGAGGATGTTAGCGCAAATAACTCGTTGTCGGATTCGGAGGATGGGTCGGACGATGGGAGAGCTGCGGGGCGTGTGGATCCGACTTGGTATGGTGGGGACGAGCGGGGTGAACGTGTTGGCTATAGGGGCTATGCGTATGAAGGAAGTGGGGGAGGGTATGGAGGTGAGAGGAGTGGGTCTCCTGATTACGGATTCTAGGTGTGGGGGGTCTGGACTGGTCTGTTGAGTTTCTTTTCTTTTCTCTTTTGCTCCTCATTTTGTTTTGGAAATAGTTCGACCATGATGTTCTTTTTGTCCAATGAAGAGGGTTTATTGAAATGCAATATATATATGTATGTAGATGCTGATATTTTTTATTGTTCTCTTTGGATTGGTTCATTACACGCTGCGCACTCCGCCTGTACTCGTCTTATTCAAGCCTTCCAGTGGAGGCGAAGAAAGGCTATATGTGGTGTCTGTTACGACGTATCACGTTAACCGAATACGGCACATGTTGGTCTCTACACTGAGCGGGTGTCTTCAGCCTCGTGCACTAAAGTCAATAAAGCAGGGGCCAGCTTTTCACTGCGGTATTGTTGACCGGTTTGGCCGCATGTCTGCCATCCCGCACGCGCAAGACTTTCTTCCTCCCTAGTGCTTACCTATTTCCCAATGTATGTTTGTTGGCGCCCGGTGCGACTCGGAGATAGGACATTGTCCAGTCGTTCATAGCTATCCATATTGTTTTTCTGCCCGCGATAGCCAGAACCTTTTGCAGCCTCGGCCCGGCTCGTTATATTCGTTCTTTTCCTTTTGACTACGAGCTTCACGATTTAACGTGAAAACCCTGTTTCTTATCTTCCCTTAAGAACGAAGTTTCGGTTGAGATTTCGAGAGACCATAGTTTGGAAGCTAGAATGTCTGGCCAACAGGAACGCCATCATCGTTTCCGCAGATGGAAAAACCGATCTGACCCCCCATCTGCGTCGTCGACATCATCTACCTACGAATCACCACCTAGCGACCGAACGCGTAACAGATTAGTCAAGCCTGCTCCAGAGCAAGTTGAACCGCATTCAAGACCGCATCGCCCTGATGTAGATCATGCGACCGACTTCGTGGACGATGATGCAGGACGCATGAGTCACAGTGACCAGCATCCGGGTCCCGAGACTAAAGATTTCTATTCGCCTAGAAGTCCTACGCCTGGACAAGGAGTGAACAGAGAAGCAAGAGTAGATATTAGGCGGGTAGATGAAAGACACAGAGCACGAAACTCGGTTCCACAGCCGTATCGCGAAGATAGCGGACGAAGAGCGGACGCGCGCCACCGCGCTCGGGATTACTCTCCACAGCGATACGACGAGAACGAACCGAGAAGATCTGAGAGAAATCATCATAATCCAGAGAGTACACGTCCTGGGCGTGACGCACGAATATCGGACGAATACAATGGTAGAGCCATGCCTCAACGTCACGAAGGAAGACTTCAAGGAGAGGTTAGCAACCCACAGCGTCACGGAGACGTCGTGCGCAGCCGGAATACCCCATCGAATCGGGAGAGCAGCCTTCACAGAGCCGATAACGAGGTACACCGAGAAAGCGGAATATCAAGGAACCAAAGGCGAGAAACAGCCGCCAGAGAACCAGTCCGACAAGACACTCCGTCTACAGCTGGTAGCCAGCAATCGCCACCAGCTACTACAACACCAGAACCAGAGAATGTAGCAACCTCACAACCAAACACGGAAAACGGATCAAATGCTCTTCTCTATCGGCTGGGAGAGACTGCCCTCAACTCATCCGAAACACACCAGACACTGAGAGTCGCGATCGGAGCTGCTGCCACGGTCGCACTTTTTTCAAACCCGTTGACTGCAGTAGTCGCAGGGGCGGCTGTCGCCGGAACTGCTTGGGCATATTATCAACGACCGACAGGAAGTGTTGCGTTTGAGTTTGAAGACCCCAATCGCGGTCGCTTTCGGGGTGTTGTGACGCCTGAACCAGTTTCTTCGCCCCGACAGTTGATGGATCGCTCTTTTAGAAACGATAGACTGATCGAACAGCCTTCCAGTCGTCCGAGAAGAATCAGAAATCGTTGAGCAGACCCCAGGCCGTGTGCGTGTGTCCTGTGCGATTATTCGGCTTGAATATCACAATAAAAGCAAACAACACTTAATTCATCACATAAGATTGCCGTGCACTCGTTCATGATTTGATCTTCTACTGCCACTCCGGGGAAGTATTTCATCCCGATAGTGATGTGTCGTACGATTTCTTGAGCACAGCCTCTCGATCTCGTAAATCCTGCACTTCCGCAGTTCGTGAATTCTTCCAACGAGTATTGCAGTCAATGCCCAAAAGATTGCATGTTGTACTCGTAGCGGAAACTAGAATGTCAAAGCATTATACATACATATACTAGTAAGTTGAAACGTCGTAACCATCAGCTCCTTCGTCTTTACCCGATAGCGGGCCCCTCCCGCGCCGGTCAAGAACCCTGCAGTGAGTACGGCAAGTCTTTACCAAGGCTCCTTCCATCCTTAGGCGATGTCCGCTTTAGGCGGCGCCAACGAGGCTGATGCACTTTGTATAAGACAGAGCAACAGCCTTTCAACCCCGATGTCCTTTATTTTCTGCTCTCATATATGCGAGATAGCCTATGAGAATCGTTTGGCGGTCTCCCTTGCTATGATGATCCGACGCATGCCCTGAGAAACTACTGCCTTTACAATCTCCTCTCACGTCGCACCCCCACTTAGGGAAATAAAGGATATTCTTTGTCTCTTGACTCTACTTGCGCTGCGCAGTTGTTGCTCAGTACTTTTTTAAAAATGGCACCCACACGTCTGGACATCAACCAGTACACCATCGCCTGGGTATGCGCACTTCCCATTGAGCTCTCGGCCGCCCGGATGATGCTTGAAGGAGACGAGCACGATACGCCCACGCTGGCCGCCGACGAGAACGTATACAGCTTCGGTACAATCGGCGGCCACAACATCGTCATCGCATGTCTCCCAGACAAAGACACAGGCACTGTATCCATGGCAAGCTTAGTGGCCCATCTCATGCGCACTTTCACCAAAATACGCTGCGGAGTTTTGGTAGGAATAGGTGGAGGGGTCCCAAGAATCGACAGGACAGCCCTCAGAATACATGTCGATGGCCCTGATATACGCCTGGGCGATGTAGTCATTGGGCAACCAGATCGTACGAACAGACATGGAGGAGTAGTGCAATACGGCTTTGGCAAGGATCATTCCGATGGGTTTCAGATTACTGGCCACTTGAATGAGGTTCCGAAAAAACTACAAGCAGCCATTAGCAAGTTCCGATCCAATATCGAAGACTTAAAGCGGTCGGACTTCCACGAGCATATAAAGAAAGTCGTGAATCCCAGCTTCGAGCGGCCAAAAGATGCAACGGATATACTGGAGGTTGTGAAATGCCAGAAGCATTTATACAGCAGCGAAGACCCTGCATGCCGTGACTGTAAAGTATTTGAGATTATTGAGAGAGAGGAACGCGCGGACCTGGCGCAACAGTCCGCCCTACATTACGGAACTATCGCTTCCGGGACCTACGTTGTTAGAAACGGTAGGGAACGGGATCGCTTGAGCGAGACGTTTGGAGGGGTTGCTTGTATCGAGATGGAAGCCGCTGGGCTCATGAACCAGTTTCCATGTCTAGTCATCCGGGGAATATCCGACTACGCAGATCACCATAAGAACGACGTATGGCAAAGATACGCAGCGCTCGCTGCGGCAGCGTGTACCAAGGAATTTCTGCACGTATTGTCGCCAGCCACCGTTGACATGACACCGACGGCTGCTGTGTACGCGGGCTATGTTGTCTATCAATCAAGTAAATAACACCAGCTCCCAAATTCAAATGTTGCTCGATCGCGCTTGTTTCTGAATCAATTCGACAGACTCCGTGCGCGTGGGCCCCAGACGCCCTCGTCACACTGAATACATCGATCGAAGTGAGATCACCGATGACATCAGACGTGAATTCGACTTGGTTGAGCCGGCCTCAAACCCAGTTCCGTTGCGGTATCTGTTGTATGGGCTTGCAGGTCGAGGGAAAAGCCAGATATGTATAGATTACTATATCCGATATCACACAGAGTGAGTGAAGCATACATCCAACTATATGGTATCAAGCATTAGAATAGTGGATCTAACTGTGAATGCAGATATCAGCATAGTATTTGGATTGATGCAAGCACCAAAGAAAAATTGAGAGAGTGTTTCGTACAGGCTGGTGAACAAGCGCAGCCCCGTCAAGCAAAAAAGATGACACCCGAAGACGTTGTAAACTGGCTTTCCAACACGTCCAAGGACCCATGGCTGCTCATCTTCGACGACGTTCAAGCCGGGGAAGACTATAAACTCGAGAACTACATGCCAGCAAACGGGAACGGGAGAATTCTTGTGACATCTAAAAAGGGCAGCATTGGTGATTACCACTGTCAACGAAAACTTACCCCAATGAGCGAAGTGGATGCACTCAAGCTACTTACCAACATTGTAAAAGATAAAGTTTTACTCCACGATGATCCAGAAGAGGTAAAAGCCGCCAGGAAAATTCTACAAAAGGCCGATTATTCTCCATTGGCTATTTCCCTAACGGCAAACACTGTCACGGCAACACAGACAAAACTGTCCAAGTACCTTGAGATCTGGGACGACCAACTGGACGCAAACAAGGAAAACGACAGCAATGATCGTAACCTCTACACCGCCATCCAAGCCTCTTACAACCAGTTTAGGCGCGATACCGGTCAACGCACCGAACAAGCCGACCAACTCCTCCGCTTCTTTGCCATTCTGGATACGGCGCTGCTATCCGAAGAAACATTTTACCGAACATGGAATGCGCTCGTCGCTGCAAGAGGTACCATCCCGTCTATCGTGCTCGAGAAATTAGTCCCCTGGATATTCATCACAAAGTCGGCGGAAAAGTCAATGGCCTATTTCACGCAGTCAATGCGAGAGACGTTCAGCTTACTCGAATCCTTTTCGTTTGTCGAGCGAGTTTCTGATGCAAACGAAGAACATCGTCGCTACCACATGCACGGTTCCATCCGCGCCTGGTTGAATAGCTTTTATATGACAAAAGAGAATCGTTTCTACGAGGGCACATTGGATGTGGTAGCGAGTACATTGGCTACATCAATTGGCGAGCGACCACCGCGTTCGTATAGGAAACTAGTCATTCCGTATATCCAAGGTCTTTTTGGAGCCTTTGATGATTTTCATCGTAAACACGCTTTGAGAAAGCTGTTGAAGATACAGCCGTTTGACTCCAGGGCCCGGTTCGAGGCGGCATTTCGATTTTCGGATACGTACTCTGTGTGTGGGTATTTCAGCGCCACGCTTTCGATACGCGAAGAGATGTATAATCAGCTCATGAGCGATCAAATCAAGGTTGATGTTGCGGATAAGCCTATTTTGTCGTTGGTGACATCACTTCTAGCGGAAAGTCATGCTGATCTGGGGAATGAAGAAAAGTCGCTAGAGCTTCGGAAACAAGCACTCGAGCAACAGAAGCAGATGGGATCTGGACCGGAAAATCGTATAAAGGTCATCGCAATTATGTCAGATCTAGCACATAGCTACAGCCGGTCTGGTCGCATTCAAGATGTACGAGAAGCGTACAGCCTCCGCGAACAAGTCCACAAAGAGCTAGGCTCGCTCGTGGAAAGCAGCAACGGAAAGAACCCTCCGCATCAAGAGTTTCTCATGGCCAAGTCCGCGTTGGCGACCAGCCTTCATCAATTGAAACGATACGCAGAGGCAATACCGCTACTCATAGACAGCATCTCCGGACTCACGCAAATGCTAGAGACGTCTGATCCGTGCGACTTGGCCGAAAACCTCCCTCATAAAATCCTCATCGCGCGTGCGGAGCTCGCAAAAGTATACAGCGAGACAGGTCGGCTGAGAGATGCGCTTGACGAGCGCGAACACATCCTTTTGGTCCGAAAACAGCACAACAACGACTTCTCGCCACTACCATCATCACCCTTACAACGTGTATCTTCACCCTCCACTAACACCACATCAAACAATCCGAGCAATTCCAACTTTGCAAAACCCCTCCTGGACCACGACACCCTAGTCGCCATGGAAGACCTCGCAGAAAGCCACTCCACCTTCAACGCCATCACCACAGCACTAGCTCTTCGCAAACAAGTCTTGCAAGGCTTCCAAGATCTGGGCGCCCTCGTATCCACCGAACACCCAGGCACAAACCACGCCCGGTACAATCTCGCGCGGAGCTACTACGAAGTTGCACAAGCCGCCTTCAGCAAAGTTTCGTTCATCAACGATGACCGCGATAGCAATAGCGTCGCGGCAGCAGCATCAGCAAAGGAGAATGTGACGCGGGCCGTCAACATACATCGCTACGTTTTGAAAAAGGCGCATCCAAGGGAGATGGAACAAGGCGATAGCAGCGATATTCTCAGTTTCAAAGATGCGTTTGTGAGAAGTTTATGCTTACAAGCTAAGATCCAAGTCGCCTCCTCGCATGGGCGCAGGCAGCTAGACAAACAGAACTGGTCTCGCTGCAGCGCCGAGGGCACAAAGAGCTACAAGTTAGCCATACAGTGTCGCGAGGAAATTGCATCGGCGATTCGTCGTTCGAAGAGGTGGGACGACGCGGAGAGAGCGTTGCGGAGTCTAAGCGCCACCAACGAACTCGCAATGTGTCACTGGGAATTCGGCGAGTACGAAGAAGCCAAAACTATTAACCAGAACGTGGTAAAGCAACAGATGGAGTTGAACCCACGACACGAGAATTATGTGCATTTTTTGAGGGACGGCGGGATGATTTATCATAAACTTAAGAGTTTGGATAAAGCGGTTGCGTTGCTGGAAGAGGCGTATGGACTTGCCGTCGATGTGCTTGGGGGATGCGATTTGACTACGCTGGATATCCTGGATCAGCTGGCTAGGACGACGAGGAAGTGGAGATTGACGCTGTCTGAAAAGTGGTTTTTCAAGTTGTGGGAGGGTCAACGCAAGGTTTGGGGTGAGGAGTCGGAGACTACGCGGAATACGCGGAGGAGACTTGATACTGTAGTGGCAGAGCGGTTTGTGGCAGAGCGGGCTGTGGCATTGGCTCGGCGTTGATGTCAAGGTAGGACGGTTACTTGTTGACCCAGTTACAGTAGGTCAAGTTAATTTCTAGTAAACCTGGCTTGCTCACGTAACACGCCCATGTATACTGAGAAATGTAAGTGTGTATCACTCCCAGCCTGGAAAATCCCCCGCAGGGATGCGGTACTCCGAACTCGGTCATAGCAAAATGTCGATTTTTCTACTCAATGATTGCCTGCTGATAGCATATCCAAACTGTATCTATAACATGATAAGCCGTGATATCTTCATGTTCCCAATCAATCATGATCATGCCTTGCCATAGTATACGTCTTTCGTCCATCCAGTGGACTTGGACACCGTCAAATCTCATACCCCACGAACCAAACCAAACAAAACAAGAAAGCAAAAAAGGGTATATGTGTATCGGCGACCCAAGAACATCCAATAAGAGAAAAGCATCCTTCTTTCTTCCCTATATTACTTTGGGGGACTTGACTCCGTGCAGCTCACACCCACAAGATCATGCCCAGAAACATACCCAAGAATACGGCAGACATGACCGACCAAGGAAGTCGCATAGGAATTGACATGGCGTCACCCTTTTCAGCCGGAATAGATGTCCCAGACGCACTTGCATCGCCCTGAGAGTCTTCACTAGAACCTTGACTGGGAGTGGGGCTATCAGTAGTCTTTGCGTTGAACACCTGGCCCAAGGAAGGAAGATTACTCTTGGGATCGACTTCCCAGGCGCCGCTGGTGAATGCCGGGCAGGGAGGCGGGGTCAGGGTGGGGTTGTACTCGGAAGCCTTGACGCCGGTGGGGCTCAGTGTCTTCCACCTGTTGCTCAAATTCTCAAAGTCTGGCTTCCTAGGAATCGGGGTACCCGAGCGCGGGAAGCCATCCGGTGGTGCTGAAGGCGATGCAGGATCGACCTTGTCGCCGTACGAGACGATACCGTAGTTGTTGGCTTCTTGGATCCACTCGTAGATGATGGCGCCGCTCCAGACGGAAGTCATGTCGGAACCGAAGATGGACTCCTGGTCGGCAAAGTCGCGAGGACTGGGTTCGATGCAGCCCGTCTCTGAGAGAAAGATGGGAATGTTGTAGCCAACCGAAGTGACATTTTTGATGAGATCGACATAGCCGGACTGCTGGAAGCTTGAAGCGCCGCACCAGGAGTAGGCGTTGAGCGAGTAAAAGTCGAGAGCTTCCGAGGCATTATCACCACATGCTAGGTAGTTTTGGAGCATGGGGCGGAGAGTTGCGATATCCGCAGCAGAGTACCCAATGGGGATCTTACGATAGTCCTTGGAGTCACGGTACCTTTTGAGGTCACGGGCGGCAGCCTTGACGTAGGGAGCAGCGACCGAACCATTACCTGTTGTTCAGGGTTAGATGACACTTCATAGGTAAAGAAGACGGAGGGCATGGACGAACCGGTAGTCAAGACCTCGTTGCCAACAAAGAAGCCGGCCAAGTTAGTGTAGGTGTGGAAAGCATCCATGACCTTGGCGAATCTATCGAATTGGGTCTGGTTCCACTGGGGGTGGGTCTGCTCGATCTGGGTGTCAAAGGTGTCGAGATCCAACCAGATGTAGATGCCGGCGTCCTCGAAAGCCTTCATGCAGTCATCATGCTTGGCCGAGGGATCGACGTGATAGACACGAATTGAGTTGGTACCGATGGACTTCATCAACTTGGCGTCCAGAGAGCATTGAGTGTTGTCGATGAGCGGATCGTCAGGCACCAGTTGGTAGGCGATTCCCTTGACGAAGAACTGGTCGCCATCGCTGGTGAAGAGTTTGGCGCCTTTGGTCTCGATGGTTGCAATGGCATGGGTAGTCGCAGCGAAGCCAGCAGAAAAGGCGGCAATGACGGTGGAGAAGCGCATGACGGGATGGCAACGAGGGTCAATTCGTCGGGTGCGCGCGTGAGTAGAGGTAGAGGTAGAGGTTAGTGAGTGTACGAAGCTGGTGTTAAAAGCAGATGACAGGCAGAGGCAGGCAACAAGTATGTAGGCGGGAAGACAGGTGGGTCGCGGTTGCACCAAGCGGGTTGGGTTTTCACAGTCGCGGTTGGTAGTACGCGCAAAGTGGTGGTGAGTAGTGTAGAGAGGTTTGGGCGAGCAGGAACGAGCGGGAGAGGTAGCAGGCGAAGAATAATATGCTAGGCGCTTTTATTCAGGCTCACAAACCATGACTGTAGGGAGCGATGGATGTGTTTGTTGGTTGTTCTTGTACGACAAGCGAAGGAGGAGAAATGCAAACGAACGAGCGAACGAACGGACAAGCAAACAAACGGATGGCAACGAGGAATCAGGGCATGGTGGAAGCAGGGTTAAAACAGCCTGGTTCACGGCAGATTGGCCACCGCAAGGATGATGGATGATGCATGCAAGGAACTGCTAAACCGTAGTATCCGATATGGATCCATGACATTCATTTTCCCATGTTTTGCTGCTTTCTGCCGCGGCGGCCGGTCACATGACCATCATGATAGCGTGTCCCGATACGGTTAGCCAGGAACAGGGCCTTACACGCCAATCAGTGACAAGCTCTGTCAAGCACCTCTAGCGCCCGGCTTGACTGAGCCCGACGACTCAACACCACAACTTGTTCATTGTCAACCCTGCTGCAAACCTACCGACATGTGTTTTCATCTCTCTCGCGCATTATGGAGGGATTCTTTCATTTCGCTTGTGTCTATCTGAAACAGTTGCACCCTGTCGTTGGCCGATGGATTGTGAAACACTCAGCTGTACCTACAACATACCCTCCATAAGACGCTATCCCGACGCTTAACATCTACGGCATGCCCTCCAACAACACTCTCTCCGTCGCTAGATCCCAATGCATTGTGAAGCCTCATGTATTCGTCATTTAGCCCCTTGACGCGTTCCTTCCACTGCTGCTTGAGCACAGAGAAGATGAAGATATACTGTTCTGCAGTTTGAACGCTGCCCACTCTCTGGCGCCGAATCTTACGCACAGTATCGAAGACCACATCCCCACCGAGCTCATACTGCTTCTTTGCCAGTTTAGGTCCAAGATGCGCATCCTGGAACCAAAGAGGCCAAGGCCCGTCCTCGCCCCGAAGACAGTCATCGTACACACCCCGATCCATCTCCGATAGGAGATAGTCCAGTGCGATATACGTTCCGGTACGACCTATGCCAGCCATGCAGTGGACAACCAGAGGCGCTAGTTTCGGCTTTGAAAGCTGCATATCTGACTCGGTAGACTTCGCATCGCTTGCGCCTGGGCTGCCTTGACGCGCTAGACGGAGCAGCTTCACCAGTGGCGATTCATCCCCAGTCTTCGGAATGTTGAAGTCTGCCCAATACCCACAAAGAAAGTGCTTTACGTTTGTGGTAGATTCCAATGGTACCTCGGATTTGCAAGGACCATCCTCATACGTGCATAGTTCCAACACTCGAACGTCGCTGTTCAGATCGTCGACGTGCATTGCCCTCTTCGGGTGGAATTCGAAGGCCGCCTTGACCGCGGAGACGCTGTAAAATGATTTCTCCAGCTTGTGAGCTTGTTCGTCCTCGTCGATGTCCTCTGCGGCGGGATACTGGTGCGAGTTCATGGCCAAATTCTTATCCGCTTCGGGGAAATACTTGTACCTGTTCATCTCCCCATTGATATCCTCTGCGGGGAAATACATATGCGAGGTTAGCCCCGGTGGTGTGAGCATGATGATCCTGACTTCGTCCCCATCACCAGTCAGCCCGCGCTCTTGATTTTTCTCCCTCGCATCCCTTCCCAGTGCCTCAACCATAGCCCAAAAGGCACCTACGCTCTCCCCCAACTCTTGCTTGATTGTTTCCTCATGTTTTTGATGCGGCATTTGCGTCGCTATCCATGTCCTCGTGACTCCATCGCTTTGCATCAACTCAACTTTTGACGCATTCACGTAATGGTTGTCCCCGCGCCGATGAGGCAATTCGTATAGGGTTTGGTCGCGGGGCAATACATTTGTGAAGCGGTTCCGCGGGTGGTTTCTGCGTGCTCGATCAAACGTTGGTTTGCTTGTCCCAGACAAAAAATGTTCGTCGATTACGTCGTACCAGCGTTCCTCCTCTAGTGCGGGTCAGATCATGGGGTAGGTGGGCGACGACTACTGGTGAGGGTGATGAGGGCTTACCTTTATCACTAAGAGTCAAGAATACAGGCTTGTAGTTTTCGAGCTTGTTCGATGGCAATTCGAGCTCCAATGTTTCAGACATGGTGTCAAGTGCGTGCGTGCTAGGGGGGAGTACTTGGCAGATATGGTGTGTTAGTATGGAGAACTCGCAAAACCACCACCGTGGCATATATATATACCCTCCCCGCACGGGTCAGCTATCGTGAGTGTGACAAACGAGTGATATTTCCACGCTCCGCGAATCCTATCCCGTTGAATGAGTCCTTCGCTTTCAATTATGGAGTATTCAATGAAGTCGTGTCATACGAGCGAGTCAGCAGGCTGCGACTCACACATATCGAACGTGCCTTCCCGCACATTCGCCTGTTTCCTCGCTACTAACTTATTGGTGGTCCGTGAATGCCCCGGTCTGTTTAGGGCTGCGTAACTATCGTGAATGACTGCCTAACGTATGATTGACTGGTATGTGTGACAGCCTGCACGGCCATACGCCTACCTTATCATGTATCCAGGGAAACGTGAAAGATGCCGCTTTCCCACAGCGTGAGCTGAGAATGTAACTTGGTGAAGGTAGGAAGCTGGCCTGTCTATCCGAGATCTGGCATAACACAGGGAGATGTATTCACAGCACAGGCAAGTTCGCGAGTCAGGTAGGATCAGTGCGGAGAGTATTACGATATGCTATGTGGCTCGGGCCATCACGCAACAGACGTTGCGCGCCAGGAGTATGAAAGTATCCGGAGACAATGAATCCTACGGCCACCAATTATATCTCTTCACCACGCCCGACCAGTCTAGTTCATATCATCCGAGCATCAACCGTCTTTGACAATTTTGTCACTGTCGTAGGCATATATGATAGCGTATGTTTCCGCCTCAGTGTTGCTTGGTCCCATGCCTGGGGCGGCTGCTACTGTAAGTAACCATATTGATTGAAGTTTTATGTGTACATTACCTGTAGATATGGCTTTGTCTTCGATGGGTAGGGCGGCAACTAAAGTAATCCATATCTGCATGATGATAGTGGTAGAGAGCTTCATTTTGGATGTTATCGAAACGAGAACTTGTTGCTTTGGAAACGAAGGAGTCTGTTGGAGAAAATTCGGAAGTGATTCAGGAGTTTTCAGATGATTTTTCTTTGTGAGAATGGCGGACTTATTATATGCAGCTCTTAAGCAATGGTATCGGCTAGGTACTTGACGCGTAGTAATCAAGACTTTGGGACGATGGCCAATGCATGAACGTCAACTCGAAGCGAGTAACTGCCGTATCTACAACCAATGTTACACAGCAGAAATATAAATTGATGGAAGTTGACGAGCACCACTCACAGAGTCCATACGATGTTTCTACGACCATCTGCATGAAGACTAATCAATCTTGCAGGATTTTCAATGGGACTGAAGAATGTCATAGAAGGCGAAACCGGCTTGAGATGCAGTGGAGAAGTATTGGGTATGCACCGATTGGTCATTAGTCATGAAGTGTGCTGGATTCATGGATATTTATAGTCGGTGTTTGAACACTGCGATCCGAAGATCCGACACAGCAAGAGTACAAGGAGACGTTAATCTGCCCCAAGACTCAGGCCGAATTTATGTCACGTGGGCTTAGAGTCTCAGATATCGAAAGTACGATAGGACGTTTTTGACGCCCCCTCTTCCCTTACAAAGAAACCATGAAGCCAGTATACACAGCGATTGCTATAGATGATAGACCATACCACCCTTACCAAGATGGATCTCAGTCAACAACGAAACAAGTGAAGATATGGGAAGCAGATTTTGAGGAGTCCGATCTTACGTATACAGAGGAAAACCAACGCTGGAGATGGTTCCCTTGGTTTCTACACAGTCTTCTGCTGGTAATCTCGCTCGTCGCCGGCTTTGGCATGTCGAAGATAAGTCATGACCCAAGTTGCCTTAATGAACACTCGGGTAATAACGTCTCCATAATCGGGTGATCAAAATCACTGAAGTTTGGCAGACGCTTTGCTGAATCCACAGCGACAGCCGTTCCGAATGCGCTTCGATGGAAGTTTTCGGGGCTCTTCTCCTTACAAAGGACCCCCTTCACCGGCTGTTGACAAAGCGTGGGACGAGCTCATAAACAGTAAGCCACAGTGCCATCCATGAGACATATCTAACTGTAGTACTAGTAAGATTGATGTCGATCCCAGAATCAGTATTCGTGACACTGAATGCATCCCAGCATTCATTCAAACTCGATCCCGAGTTTGGCGGTGGACGCCTCGCCATTTTCGATACCATGCATATGCTGCATTGCGTAGTGAGTACGTTCTCACCAAACAACTACAAAAAGGCTTATTCAGGAAGCGCTCTTTGTGGAAGCTCGCGTACCCAGAATACTATGGCGACAATGGTGGCAACAATACCTCCGAACGGACTGACGGATCTCGGCGGGAATTCTTGAATCATGCCGATCACTGCGCCGACATGCTCCGACAGAAGCTCATGTGCGATGCCAGCAGCGCAATTGTAACGTACAATTGGGTTGAAAATCATCATCACCCACACCCCAACTTTAACGTGGAGCATACATGCAGGAGCTATGAACAGCTAGCGGCCACGGTGGATAAGTACGCCGTGAAGAATCTGCCACCAAATGGATTTTTCAGACCAAGGAAGGGAGCGGTGGTTGAATTTGCTGAGCCGCCGTTTGATCCGCAGGCAGTAGGTAGAATGTCCGTTGGGGAAACGAAGCATCGCAAGTAGATACGTAGTCAGTTCAAAGGAGAAGCAGCCAAACGATTATAAACTTGTAGCTAATACCAGCAAGCTGCAGAAATATAGAATGGTTCAGAGCAAACAAAAGAACAACGAACCTAGATGAAGTGATCGAATTAGTGGGGAGGAGATCAACATGACAATCTTCATGGGGACGCATGCAGCAAGTAGCACCCACCCCCCAATGGTAGCTTTAGCTCCTAAGTATGGCAGACTCATCCAGACCATCAACATAGTAGAAGCGGGTTCATTGCATCATATGCATCAGTAGGGTGTTCGAAGCATCTTGATCAGACCCAATTAGATTAAATGGTAAGTATAAATAGATGATGACCTGATGTTTCGGGCACCGATTCTAGATTATTCGTAAACAGAAGCAGATAACAAGTCATTCGGCGTAACCTCCGGGCCGAGTGTAGGAAATATTCGGTGCTGACCAATACTTAGTAGCATAGCCAATCAATATTATCTGCTACCTTTGAGCGAATCAGAATGAGATGTGACCCCGTATCAAGACGCATGCCATGGTATGTGGCGACTGTAACTCAGGGCGAGGGCAAGGCAACCGATCTGCTTCATGGGGGCCACAGCTCTTATCACGTACTTAAATCGTGAATCGAGCCGTTTCTGATTGAGTTGATCGACCCAGTGCATCATTCTAGATGTCTTACCTTTCAATCACGAGTTTGGTCGTATGTGATACGTGATTTCTATATACAATAATTGGATGGAGCTAATGGTCTAACAGGCGTTAGTCTGGTTACTGACCAGTATAGCATGTACTCTTACCATTGGCAGATTTGCCATCTACTGGAATCGCAAGAAAATTATCGGCCCGGAAATTATATTGAATGGCATCGCTTCGGTTTTGCTTGTAGGGTTCACGGCCACATGGCAGGTGTTGGTTCCTAAAGCATACGAGGCTGCCATTTCCCGTCTAGGCCACTCAGGAAACCCCTCGACCCCGCGCCATGACTCCCTTGCAACGAGGCAGGTTGATCTAACAAACGCCTTGTTCTTCTGGCTTTGCATCTATCTCGTAAAAGCCAGCTTCTTGATTCTATACTGGAATCTCTTCCATGTTTCGACGCGATTTAGAATTGCTTGGGTGGCGGTGGTAATTTACGCTTCCTTGGGGCTGATCGTTACCATTGCCTTTCGCTTAACTGCCTGTGGCAGTCCGGGAGATGTTCTGAATGCAGGTAAGTATGTCTGTTCCCGTTGATGTACTGCTTTGACTGACAGATATGTCCAGAAAAATGTGAAAAAGAGAAGACTGCGATGGTTTTCGTCAAAGCCCAAGTTACATGGTCCGTCATCGATGGTGTTGGAGATATTCTTCGTACGTACTTCATTTTCTTTCTCCGAGAATTATGTAAAAGATAAGTTTACCTTATCGTTGTACAATTGTACCCGTTTAATGTTGGATTTATTTAGCAACAATGCCCTCACATCCTCGACGCATATGTTAGATTGCGAGAGCTAACACAGTGTTCTTAGTTGTCTTGATCCCGCTTATAATGTTGCGAGGTACCTTGATGCCACTCTCTACGAAAATCCAACTCGGCCTGCTTTTCGGTCTCGTCAGTATCAACCTTGCCACCAATGTCCTTCGTGCGCTCTACACGATCAACACCTATCTGACTGATCATAAATTTCTCAACGCCTTGTGGCCTGTTTTGCAATGCAGTACAGCAGTAATGATCTGCGCATTGCCATCATATGGTCGTTTCCTGCATTTTAGGAAATACCACACTGAGCCAGTGTTGATGTAATTATATGAATATCATAGAAAGCATGAAGGTATTGATCTAAAACATTGTTGGTATGTAAGACATGAAAGTAGTTTTCCGTCACACAAGAGTGCTTGTTCTTTTAGGTGATAGAAATTGTACTACCTGAGAAACTTTGCATACATGTGTAAGCTTGAAATCTCCCGCTGAACAGAGCAGCGAACGTTGATATAGGCTTACAAATATCAAAATGTGTGGTCTCAAGCATTGTTACCTTCAGTTGCGGGCATATCGCATCGCGATCAACAAGATTCGCCACGGATACTCTTGCGTTTAATGTGGTTTTGAGTGGTTGCAGCGATTTTGAGGCGCAACACTATGCGATATACCATCGGTCATCTGTATGGTTACTTAATTCTCATGTCTTTCTTTGCCACCTCAGTGTATAAGACATATCTTTGAACGTTGATCAGAAGATGCAGCCACTTTAGTAGCCGATGAGAGCGAATGTAGTTAAATTCGGACATCTAGTCAGCCGAATGCAATGGATAATTTGAGCCATCAAAAGTGCTGTGAAGTTACGCCGAGGAATATAGGATAGAAAGACCCTCGACTGACGGAAAAGATCGAAATATTCCATGTGGAACCAATCGGAATTTCTCGTATCGGAAGCCGCGGTGGCAGATATATCGAGAAAGAAACATCAATGTCCGATTGAATTCGCAAGACGGCAAATCTGAGATTGATAGCGCCACAGCAAGTTAGTATATCCCGAATACGAATCCACCTACCGAGATACCGATTGAGGTGGCCCATTACGGTTTCAATGGCTTGTTGTCGGTATGTCTTGTTCGGTGCTACTTGGATGGAGCTGCACCTTTGGCGCGCAAATGCCATCGAGGCGCTCACCACTGGTTTAGATGGAGGTGATATTTTATTGAAGTTGAAAAAGTCTCGTCTATTGGTCAGATACCTCGCGAATTCCGGCAAGGGTGGCTGTTTTTGTCGGGTATAGCCAAAGAGCACACAAAGTTGGTGACCTCGGACAGGGATCTGCTTTCGGCTCTCCGCAGGTACCTCAATTTATGAACATATCTGCTCACTTTTATATGTATAAATAATTATGCGGGAAACACAAGGGCGCATGGAAGCTGAGAGACATTATCGTGCAAACAACGCCACAATAAAGCACCGGAAACAATGTACGGCTGAGGAGGGACCTGGAGGGTGCCACTGCAGCTAATACGAGCAACTCCTCAAGAAGACAGTTCCCAAAAATGATAAGAAGCCCTCAGAGCGCAACGAAAATGAGTACAGTACATTTTCAAGATGCTTGCTTCCACCTTAGCTGTCTTCAGTCTCTTGACAGCTGTGCACGCTGCCACCGGAAATGCCAACACCACTGCCATATGTAATTCCCTTTTGTCCGCTCTTCCTACCGATATCTTCTGGCCCGAAAGCCTGACTTACAATGCCTTAATTACATCCTACCCATTTCTCCAACTGAGACTTCATCCAAGATGTATAGTCCGACCAAAATCCGCAGAAGATGTGTCAACCGCAGTGAAGATTCTCAGCAAGCATCCTGAAGTCAAGTTCGCCATCAAAGGAGGAGGACACAACGCTAATGTCGGATTCAACAACGTTGATGATGGCGTCACAATCGACATGCAAAGTCTTAACCAAGTGAACATACCGCAAAAGGGAGTCGTCACTGCTGGCGCTGGAGCTCTATCTCAAGATGTATATGATGTAACAGACAGGCACAATATATCAGCGATGGTAGGCCGCGTCGGAGTAGTAGGAATTGGCGGATTTTTGACAGGAGGTACGTGATTCTTAGCTACATTCGCATTGGAGATCCTGGATTGAGAGGAAACAGGTGGTGTGTCGTTCTTCTCGCCCGAACAGGGATGGGCAGCGGATGCGATCATCAACATGCAAGTCGTCCTTTCCTCTGGCGCAATCGTCAACGCCAACCAGACGTCCAATAGCGACCTCTTCACTGCCCTCAAAGGAGGCCAGAACAATTTCGGTATTGTTACTCGATTTGATCTGCGCTCTTTTGCCGCTGGTCCCATCTGGGGCGGACGCATCACTTACGGCAACGGGACTGAAGACGCACTGCTCCGTGGCTTCACAAAGTTCAAGGGTCCCTCAAACTATGATCCATATGCTTCCGGTTGGTTGACGTTCGACTACAATGGGGCACGTCCGAAACTTGTAACCCCAATTAGTATCATGTGGTACACCAAGCCAGAACAGCAACCGGGCGTACTCGGTAACATCACGAATGTCAAGCCTAAGCTGGCAGATAGTACATTGATAGCTCCAATTGGAGAATTTGCGAGGAATGCGTCAATGGCAGTCAAAGGTTCGCCAAAGCGGTATGTACGCGCCACAGTGAGCCACCAACATGTACTTACTAGCTTTAGAACGATATGGGCAACAACCACGTTTCGCATATCTCCCACCATTGTGCACAATATACACAGACTGTGGAAAGATCTTGTGCCCAAGATTTGTGATCAATATCCCGGTGTTTCCTCGCAATTGACTTTCCAAGCCACAATGCCTGCCCCGAAAACAGGAACTCCACCGAATTCTCTGGGCTTTACGTCCCTAGAAAGTCCAGAAAAAGACTTGGTCTTCCTCCAGATAGTGTTTACTTTCACAGATTCTAGTGCGACAGAGGGTCTGCAGAGCGCACTGAAAGATTTTGTTAGAATATTCAATGCAGCAGCCGAAGACGAGGGGGTCAAACACCGATTTGTGTATCTCAATTTCGCTGCGTCATTCCAAGATCCATTTGCAGGGTATGGCGCAGATTCTTTGAGTCTTCTAAGAAGAGTGGCGAGGAAGTATGATCCGCAAGGTGTCTTCCAGAGACAAGTGGGTGGATTCAAGGTTTTTAACGGAACATCTAAGCCTTCTTCTAACTGGCACCATCGTTATTGATCTGAGAATACATCAATAAAGTCGTATTGTCATGAGCTCAACGGTTTCTTTTGCATGTGAGCTCCTCTTACCTTCACACAAGCTACGGTAAGGGCGGTATATAGTACTTCGTACTCGATACTAATTGATTAGCAATGATCCGATGTGGCTCTGGGCCTTGGTACCAGACCTTTTGCTCGGAAGTTTTAGATGCCATACAAACATTCCGAGTGCGAGGTTACAGTTATTTGCTTGCAAGCCTTCAAATAGACATTTGAAGGAGCATGAGTATCTATCACGTGATAAGCACGTGAAGAATGTAGAATCTTTGAAAGTTCTAGTTGACAAATGTAGTACCATTCACTGCGTCTACCCTGGTTCTCACATCAGGTATCGAGATGAATAGAATATTGCACGTTGACTAGCGATCAGTTGGACGATGAGAGGCCAATGATAAGCGATGCAATACCATGGAAGCGGACAGGCCTCCGGAGCAGTGACGATCCGCTACCCGGTAATAATCGATCGTGTAGTTCGCACGCCTCAAAAGTCAACTCACGCGACCCCGTGCCATGCAGGAAAGAAACCGTAAGCACTAGCTAGAATTTAGACGGCGTTGGTTTCCTCGTCTAGGGCAAAGGAAAGAGATTTTCCTGCTGATAATGTAAAATAGGGTTCCAAGGACCAATCTCTGGTACGAATGACCCGTTTAGGAAATCCGGTCGGCTTGATTATTGATCTCAGTTGGGACTAATGATGATTTTTGAGGGTGTATCCACAAATTACGACGAACGATTTCCAGACGTGGGGTAGAAAAAAAGTAGTCAGAACCCAACGAAAGCTGATCGCGGAAAGCAAGATTAGTAGACGCAGTTCAAAGCGGACGGCGTGCGCCGTTGTCCGTTCCCCGTGCTTTGACCTCCGCTCTAGGAATACCAATTTTTGCGGGTCACATAGTGGGAGCGGGGTATCTTGCCCCGAGGTATACAAGATACTTCCGCATCTTTCAACATTCATACAATTGCATTTCTTTGTGAAAAATGGATTGGTACCATTAATGACATGCAAAAGAGACAAGTGCTAAGTTGCCTGGCAGATTCTATTTCATTTGGCAAACCCACGCGGTTTATGCGTACACCATAGGTGAATGCCCGTCACACTATACACATGTGGTGTCGATCTCCCGTGATTTATATATGGCCAATCGATCCTGAATCAAGGGGTGCGTTTCTGTCGGCCCCTCGAAACACCAACACGACACTAGAAGCGAAGGCTGCATTGGTACATAACGCAATCGTGGATTGTGCATAGACTGAAACTATCTCATTTGTCTAGATTTCCCGTAGATGTGTAGCATCGAACCTTTCCTAGACTTGGATCAGACATGTCGATATAACTGTTACGTAGTTGCCATGTGGCATGAAATGGATGCCCGAGCATCGATTCGAAGGACATCGTCTGCATTGAGTCGCCTAATCTAACATCCACGTGTAAATCTTTGTGGCTATGAAGCAAGTAAAGTTACCTTAGTAATTGTTCATCAATGTTGTTGCGTTAAAGAATCCGGCTGAATACTTCCAGAGAAGACGCAGGAGCTAGGAGATAATGAAATAAAGTACCGCCATGACCTCAAAATCATGAAAAACGCTGGCTTTTGCGTTAGAAAATCAAAACATGTGTGGAAAGAAACAAACCTTTCCTTGATTCATATTTCATCTTATCCGGCACGCAATACAGTCACCCTCAAACGTATAGACGTCTAAAGTTCGCTCAGACACGCGTACCTATACAATCAATTTTCTAACACTTGGAAGTCGGTGGTTGCATGATGAATTATCATATATCTAGATGAGATTGATACAGATGGTATGCAGTGGGACTTGAATTGAGATGTAGTGTCTCAGTCTACACCGAGGCGCAATTCTAGTGACCGATTCGTAGCATGTCGAACATGCTCTGGCTTAGCAATCAGCGGCTTCTGGTACCATCATACTTGTCTTAATTTGTGTATCTCACTACCTTTTCCTGGTATAGCAGCTCAGTTCGGATGCGCTCCACGATTCATATTTTTGGATGAACAAGATAGAGTTCACGTATGATGACATACCACATTAATACTCATGCACACACATATAGCTCATAAAACTCCTGTATTAATCATCATTGTGCAATGCTACAGACAGACACGCTCACGCGTCTAGACTTTTGAAGCCATTCCATCATATTCATCCTGTTACAGTGGCGACGATCTTGATTGCCCCACAATGATTTGCTGATTACACGGGCGAAAAACCAATGTACCGTTGAAGTCCGGCAAGGTACACCGACCACGAGGTGTACAATGCATAGCAACGGATCTACGTATGGCATGCGGGGTCCAGAAGGATCGACGGTTTCGCTGCTGAGGTGGCGGTGATGTAACGGCTGAGTGTTAGCGGCATAGCAGGCCACATCATGCTCTGTTAGTGGTCTTGCCCGCCAGAGTGGCGCATTCCCACAACAGGTTTCGAAATCTGGGGGCCCCAGTTTCGTTTTATGCCGCACTCGCAATTATACAGAGACATGAAAAGTAGCATAGTTGGGATATTTCGAGTGGTTTTCGAATGACTTCTTATGGCCGATATAGCAGCTTGAAGTGTAATGGGGATGCTAATTTATTTGCATAGGATGCCAATATTATCATCTGTTCCAGATAACCTGCAATCCAAAACATCTCCGAGGACGCAAATCACTGCTTTGGTAGGCATGAAGCAGAAAACTCTAATGCTCGGCATAGCTTCTTAGATGGGGTCCTATTCTGAGAATGCTGTCTCCGGGCCGATAGCCGCACCCACCCGTTCGTTCGATCACGCCTAGTGCCTATACCTTTTCCCTTCTACGATCAGGTGCAGAATGATGCCCTAAATCTCGCGCATTAACTAGTAGACCACTCAAACTGTCGAGCACGAGAAATCTAAAACCCTGCATCGAACATGTGCCAGCTTGCTCGCGCCGCTTAATATCTTGCATACATCTCGCGCTTGGCCGAGAACATTCTTCACCTATCTTTGTTACCCACGATGGCTCTGGATAGCAGAGACAGTGGAATTGGTTCAGATTTCACGTTGTCGTTTGCTCAGTGTCTGACTGTTGTTGCCTTTCTCACTATAGCTCTGTATAACGTCGTGGAGCTGACGATCCTTATCTTTACGAAATTCCGCCAGTACAGGGGCATATACTTCTATGCTCTTGTCGTAGCATCCTGGGGTATCGTACCCTACTCAGTCGCCTTCATATTGAAATTCTTTCGCGTTCCGGTTCACTGGGGCGTAATCGTGGCTTTCATCGATATTGGATGGCCTTGCATGGTCACCGGCCAATCCGTGGTTCTCTACTCTCGAATTCATCTCATTTCTCGTGGAGTAATCGCACGCGGACGATGGATCTTGTACATGATCATCACAAACGCAATTATATGCCACATCCCGGTCGTAATCATCCTCACCGGCGCCAATTCACCGAACCCCGGTCCGTACTTGAAGCCGTATGCGATTGCGGAAAGAATACAAGTCAGCATATTCTTTATACAAGAGGTTATTATATCGGGGATATACGTACAGCAGACCATGAAGATGCTTCAAAGTGAGGGCAGCATCCGGGCTAGTGCTAAGAAAGTCATGACGCACCTTATTCTGGTCAATGTCTTCATTGTTCTGCTCGACATCAGCATGTTGGCATTTGAATTCGCAGGACTATATTCCTTCCAAGTATCATACAAAGCGGCAGTATACAGCATCAAGCTAAAGATGGAATTCGCCATTTTGAACCGACTCGTAGCTATGGTACAAGGCCGGCTTGGCGATTCATCGATCAACAACAATCCTCGAGCGTCTCGAAAGAGGACGGGATCCTCATTTGGTGGTGGTTTTACGATGAGGTCTGAGGGAATGAAAAGATCAGGATTCCGCACTCCACTTACGGGTAGTCTGGGAAAGAACAGTACGCTTGGTAACTCTGCCTACGCTAAGATGGAAGACACTCTGCCAGCAATTAGTCTTGCTGAAATGGGGGTTGTGAAGACCACCGAGGTCTCGGTGGAAACGAGTGCAAGGGATCCACAAGAGATGTCGACATTACCAGACGCAATGGCTGATGCAACTTGGCTCAAAGACTGGGAACAGCATATGCCGACACCAGCACATTGCAAACCCGGTCAATCGTCCAGCCAGGATTCGATAATAATTAGCATATAGCGCCGAGATCTTTCTTGGACGGACGCAGAGCATCCCACGAGATTATAGAACAATATAATGCTTTGATAGACAAACACTTGATCAAAATGAATTTCTCGGGGTGAAAGCGCCAATTAAACCAATATAAACCACAGAAGCTCTTTGTCATTCTCTGTAGACATACTGTTGAGGTAGGTAACATGGTTAGAAGTAGAACTTTGACCCCGCTGATTGGACGAGACATTTTATCTGCAGTCTGGAGTCTATTTTCGCTCTGCTAGGGATGACATCGATTGTTCTCGTTGGGCGATGTTGAAAGAAGAAGTGCAGGCTTATAGTTCGGGGTTTCTTAATTGGAGATGTTTACGAAGGCATTGCGGTCAAGGCGCGCATCACACATTCGAGAACAGTCCGAACCAATCACAATCTTCTCGTCTTCCATAGTCGGTTTAGATCCTGGCGCACGCACCATCTACCTCCGTACACTTCCTAATTGGGCCTTAGTCTTTTATCTTCCTCACCCTATATAATTTCCCCAAATGTAGACATGAACATATATATAAGGAAGCAAGATATGTGTAGGTAGTTTTGAGGATTGGAACATTCAATCTCTCCTTTCTGCAACCATGAAATTGTCCCTCTCTCCATTGCTTTCTGTGGCGGCCACTGTTGCCGCCAATCAAGCGACCTACTCGGGCATCAACGCGAACGATAATCTTGATGTTGTTACACTCACCGGAAGTTACACTAGCCTCGTTGACTCAGACTTCCCCAATACTCGTCAATTTCGTTCTGTTGCCTTTGCTGAGCCGCCAGTTAATGAACGACGCTTTTTACCTCCCCAGAAGCTTCCTCCGTCGAGCGAGCATCACTACTCCCCTGAGTTACCACCCTCTTGCCCCCAATTCATCTCGGCGACTCCTTCCTTCATGAACCAATATCTTGGATCCGGCGCTCTTATAGATAACGGCAACTCGAGTCACACGTCTGGCGAGAGTGGTGTGAATACATCTGAAGACTGCCTCCACTTAGCGGTGTGGACTCCTAAAACCGCTACATCTGATTCCAAACTCCCTGTCTTGTTTTGGATATATGGTGGTGGGTTCACTAGCGGAGGTATTAACACCCCTTACTACGATGCCGCCGCTTGGGTAGAGAAGTCGCAGTCGCACATAATCGTCTCGGTATGTTTCCCAATAGTCCGGAATCACACTCCAACGATCCTGAATTTCATCGCCGATATGAACAAAGTCATGCGACGCTTACTGATATTTTAACATTCGTATTTAGACAAACTGGCGAGTCTCAATTATCGGCTTCCCTAACGCACAAGACCTGGAAGATCAGAACCTTGGTCTTCTAGATCAGCGCATGGCACTTGAATGGGTACGAGACAATATCGAAGCCTTTGGGGGCGACCCTTCAGCCATCACCCAGATGGGCCAGTCCGCTGGATCCATGTCAATCGACGCCGCCGCGCACGCCTTTCACCAAGACCCCATAAGCCGCGCAAGCATATTGCTTTCTGGAACTGTTGCCATGGGCTTGCCAATCATGGACCAAACGTTCTCCAACTTCACATTTGTTGCCAAACAGCTCGGCTGTGGGAAGAACAACACTATTTCAGAGATTGACTGTATGCGCGCAGTACCCTTCCAGGATATCGTCAACATCGTGGGCAAGTATGTCGACAGCCAGAGTCAGCCTCCGCTCACCTTCACTCCCGTTCTTGATGAGCGCATTGTCTTCTCCGACTATGCAGCGCGTTTTCGCGAAGGAAAGGTAGCCCGGGTTCCTACAATCCTTGCCAACACAGCCAACGAGGCATCATCCTTTGCACCTTTCGATCCCAGTAACCCCAACGTCGGCCCTCCACAGGAACTTCTTACACCAGTCAACCTCCAACTCTTTGTATGTCCAACCTGGCAATTCACTCTTGCACGAAACGAACTCGACATTCCAGTCTATCGCTATCAATTTGCTGGCGTCTTCCCAGACACAACTCCCTTGAGTTGGACCGGGGCGTTCCACGGAAGCGACATACCCATGCTATTCGGAACATACGAAAAGGTAAAGGGGTTAGGAGATTCTACTGAGCTCGAAATTGAGACTAGTCGCGCAATGCAAGATTATATACTTGCTTTCGTCAAGGACCCAGTGCTTGGGCCTCCAGCATTAGGCTGGGAGACTACATCTTCACAAGGGGGACGTGTGGCGCGATTTGGGGCGGCAGGAAAAGCCGTGCAGTACGTCGATGCTGCTGAAATCGATGGAGCTTGCTATGGCGTGGGGGAGTACAACCCGTTCCCTTGAGGACCCTCAAATGTACCGGTAGTTGTTGAATTAAGATTCCCGGGAAGATCAAAATCCGTCAAACTTGACTTAGTGCAATAAAAATTCGTCATTCAGAACTTTTGTGAGCAATTGCCACTCATTCGCCACGCAAATACGAGTTTGTCAAAGTGCATGAAAATGTTATACGCAACATTCCCCGTATAGCTTCGTTGATTCCTTTGATCCCAAATTCCCACTTTGTCCAGACTATGTTCTCGGTATTAAATGTAATCCCAGCAAGTGAGCGTATGTATGAAGAAATAAGATCTTCAAGATTATCGTAATGGGCAAGATCGCGACATAGAAAACAGGTATGTCGGCATATCGATTTCCCTCGATGGAATTGGTATCGCATTGTGTACAGTGGAGAGTGCGAGGAAAGACCCAATCTCATCAATGAAAACTAACTGCGACTTGAAACAGGGCTAAACGATGAATTGTGAGGTTTTTTTCTTATTTTTGCTTAATATTCCGTGCGACTTGCTTTATCTCGCATACGAGAGCAACCAAGATGCATAATCAAGCATGAGTAGCAATTAGAAAGAGACAGAATGACCAACCCGCAGCACTACATCTCCAATAAGATTCCATCCATTTTGTGGAGATTCCTAATAAGGATATGATTTGCAGACAGTCGATTCACCGTATTAACCCACAAGAATCGACGACAGCGTGTATGCAGTCTTATGCAGCTTTAGCGTCAACTTAACTTTTGCCCCCACACGTTGCGTTGCCGAGGATGGGGGGAAAGGGTCCCCTCAATTTCGAACAGTCATACACTTTCTTTCCAGTCTAAAAAAAAAAAGACAAAAGCAAGTGGATTTGGTACACCACTGATATTCTTTACTTGATATTGGAATATTTAAGAGAATGACAAGCAAAACAACTGAACGCACACCCCTTCTACATGACGCCCCAGCTGCTGCAGCGCCATCCACCACCATACCCCCACTCCTACCAGTTGCCCCTCTATCCAAAACCCGTCATCATGATTCTGGACGCAGCGAGGAAGAAGGAGTTACAGCGCGGTTGGCTTCAACAGATTCTGTGTCTTCAGGCCATGGACAAACCGCTTCGGTCGCTGTTGGCAATATAGTCCTTATTCTTTTGATCGGTAAGATGTTCTTTGCATATCTTAACTCTCAATTTGCAAAGACCAAATGTTAATATTATATTGTTTGGTTGTAGGTGTGATCATATCTAATGCTGATAGCTCGTTTCTCATGGCTACGCACACTGTTATAGCGTCTGAATTCGATGCACTGCACGACTCGACCTGGTTACTTACTAGTTTTGTGCTTGCCGGGGCAGTGACGCAGCCATTGGTGAGTTCAGGTTTTTGAGTGTTTCTTAGGTTATAGTACGACATCGGGATAACGGACATATCTTGCAAATATTTCAGTTGTTTATCCCATTCATTTGAGTTGAACATTGATTTCATGAGTATTGCAGTACGGGAAGCTCAGTGATATATATGGAAGGAAGCAACTACTTGTTGTCGCATATTTTCTTTTCGCAGCTGGCTGGTAAGTTCTACGTCCGATCTTAATTCTCATTCCGGGTATATCCACACAGAACAAAATACAACAAGCTAACATTCACTGCACCAGCGCTCTTGTGTGAGTCCACCAAAATAGAAAAAAAAAGAAGAAAAAACACCCCACGTTCATACTGACAAACAACGAAAGCGGGATGGGAAACTCAATGTCCCAAGTCATCCTGGGAAGAGTCATATCCGGTCTCGGATCCTCAGGCATGACAGCTTTAGTCTCAATTCTAATCACCGACCTAGTTCCCCTCCGCTCTGTAGCAGCATGGAGATCCTATATCAACATCTTCGCAACCACAGCGCGTAGTATCGGCGGTCCTCTAGGTGGATGGCTCGCTGACACTGTAGGCTGGCGGTGGTCATTCATCGGACAAACGCCTATCGCCAGCGTAGCCATCATCCTCATCATTTTCATGATTCCCTCGCATACGCAAGCTCCTGAAGAGAGTGAGGGGACGGAAGAGCCCAAAGGTAGCAGGTTGGCTCGCGTTGATCTACTCGGCGCCACTTTTATGACTCTCGCGATTCTGGGCTTTCTATTGCCCTTGCAGATTGCGGGAGATCGAGTTCCGTGGTCGCATCCGCTTATATTAGGGTTTCTGGGTGCAGCCTGCATCTTTCTTGGTCTGTTTCTCGTTACTGAACATAGGTTTGCCAAGGAGCCTATCATTCCGCTATCACTGCTGGTGCAAAAGGACATGGTGCTTTCGCTCATCATCATGGTTGCTCAAGCGACAGCACAAGTTGGCGTGAGTGATCCTATCCTCGAGAATCAGTTTCTTGTTTTCGCTATAACCTGTCCCAGTACTCACATAAAATCTAGCTCATGATCATCATACCCCTCTACTTTCAGATCACAACCGAGGCATCGAACAGTGAAGCAGGAGCGCACCTAGTGCCTGGTGTAATCGGTAATGCAGTCGGAGGCCTCTTAGCTGGTTCCTTGATCCATCGGTGAATATTCTCTACTCTTGTTCTCATATCCAACCACTCTGATTCTCAACACAGCACCGGACGCTACAAACTCCTCACCCTATTCGCTCTCTTCTTCGCCTGCATCGGCTACGTCCTTTTTATCCTCCGCTGGCATGGCCATATCAATTGGTTTGAATCACTATACAATTTCCCCGGAGGCTTTGGTATGGGTGTCGTCAATTCAACGCTTTTCGTAGGTATCCAAGCCGCAATCGACCCCGAACATTCCGCCGTCGCGGCTTCTACATTGTATTTTGCCGGGTTGGTAGGGTGTATGACGGGAATGGCGGGGACGAGTGCGGTACTGCAAGGGTTTTTGAGAATAGCGTTGGAGAGACGACTAGAAGGGGCGGGATATGGTGGCGTTGAAAAGGCAAAGGTCAGTAAGAAACTTTCTTGTTATAGAGATGGCGGATGATACCAGTATGAGAGAAGTAAAGGGATATGTGCGGCTAACTACATGCTGTTAGATAATTGAGCGCGCGGTTTCCGATTTGCAATATGTCCATCATGCTGAGAAGACAGTAGCGCACATCGTAACAAGCTCTTATATTTATGCATTCAATTTTACACATGGTAAGACTCGTGTTCGATGTGCTTGGTGCTCACGACGTTTCATAGGGCTGACGATGAATTTAGTTTTCGCTCTGGTGTGTTCCTTGATAGCGTTCGCGAGTACAGTCTTCTTGAAAGAGTATAAATTGTAATTGGAGAGCGCTTGCTGGCATCCCCGATAACATAACACGCCTAAATTAAGTTCGACTGTTGCTTCTATCAATCGTCCGTGGACTGTTGCTAGCCAGAGGCGGGCATAATTGGCTAACGATATATCCTATTCAAGCAAGCATTGGCAAATCTCCATTTGAGTGCGTGCCGTAAGTTGCTGAAGCATTGCAGGCATGATGGAAAAGATTCAAGAAGGCCAAAGTGGGTAGAAGCAGGTGTCGTCGACGGGGACATATCCCGCTAGTTGCGAAATCAAACGTAAAATTGCAGATAACGTTAAATATAAACACCTATTTGGCCTCCTTCAAGAGAGCCTCGGCCGCAGCGTCCTTTTGGCTAACGCTCCCGCTGCGGGCTGCTGGTTTCAATTCAGGGCCAGAAGCGCCCTCTTTGGATTCGGCTGCCTTCTTCAGCCGCTCCGAGTCTTCAGCCTTGATGTCTTTTGTTTTCGCAGTATCTTCCTCGTCACTGTCGCCAAGGCTGAAAGGATCATGCTCGTCTGGTTCGGGATTGGGCGCGACGGACGTTAACGGCTGCCACTTCTTGTTTGAACCCTTGCCTCCGGTGACCCCCGTTGTCTGGCCGTTATTAGGCGATGGATTTCGGTAAAGAGCATCGACCTCATCCACAGGACCACTCTGGGGAGGAGAGAGCGGAGTAGGTTTGAACAGATCAGGGTTAGCCAGCGGGCGGTTCGATCGTGAATTAGCTGGAGCTGCATATGATCGTCAGTATGTGCCTTATAGAGAACGTTTGATACACATACAATCGTTGTCTCTCAGTTCAAGAGCTTCAAAGTCATCGCCAATCATGCGATTGTCGCTATCGTAACGTTCGCGATCGGCTGAACGGCGTGTCTCGGCGGACTTCCGAATCCCATGCACCTGATCCGACTGTGACGGGCCAAAGTTGCGTCGCTCATGTTCACGGGGCACAGGGTTTCCATACACATCATACTGGTCTGGCTCGCCGTCGAGTTTTTTCCTGAAGTCGGTAATCCATTTGTTGACTTTGGTCTGTGTCTCACGGAAACCTTGCTCGATGTTCTTGCGAATTTCGGGAAGTTCGTCGGCGACATCTAAAATAACCAATTAGTCTTTGAAAGATCTGTATATTAGTAATAAGCTTACCGTCGAGGAAGTTCCGGTCCTCATTGGGGTCCTGTTGATCCTGTCGGCGTCGTGGTGGCTGACCATCACCTCTTGGGCGGGAGCCTTGACCAGCATAGCCGCTCTCGTAATGTTCTGCTAGCTGTCGAGCATATATCTCGTCCTGCTCTAGTTGCGTACGGGGTTGGGTTGGGCGAGGTGGCTGAGGCGGAGGAGCTTCCTCAGCCTGGAAGCTAGGGTCCGACATGCCTGGTGTTGTCAGCGCATACTCTCCTTCAATGGTGTAGCATCATTTGACGTACTGAGCAAGGCATTGAATGCCGGCTCTACCTTGCCTCCGCTCGCGACCAGCACGGCCTTGACAACCTTAGCATCGATGCCTGGGAAAGCTTCGATGAGGGTATTCTCAGCCTGCTGCTGTGGATTGGCAGGGCGCGGAGGCTTCGCCGGTGGGATTTCTGTGGCTTCTTCCGAGAAGCGTACCGACGGTTTTGGGGACTTGGAGGCCGGCGGCGGGGAACTTATGGGTTCGGCAGCAGACGCTGGAGCATCGTTGTCATCGTCGAAGTCAAGTTCACGGGCAGTTGTGGGCGACTCTTCGCCTGATCTCAAGGCTGTATCAGCGTGGGGAGCGGGCTAGAGAAGAGGTTAGCTGGTCTTATTGTATATACCACTCCCGAGTGCATGTGCAGCAGTTTCCCTGCCAAAGCTATGCACACCGAGGGGCATGTAGCGGGGTACTGTGAACCACTGACCTTGTCGCCCGTGGGTTTTTCGGACATGGTGCGATTGCAAAATTCGTGAATATGCCAGAGAAGAGTTTGGTATAGAGTGTAATGAGGAGGAACAAGTAAATGGTAGGGGAGAGTGAATGTTGTTTAAGGCGAGGCGTGATGGTGTCGCGCATAAGCTCAATGCACCGCCCGAAGCCCTATGACGACGCTTGCCAAGATCGGCAAAGCGCCCTGCGCCACGCACGTGCTCATCAACTCAACGCACTTAAGTACTTCAACGCTTCACGCTTTGCTCTCGAATAATCGTGTGAATATCGTCGTGGTCTAGTAACCCTATTGAAAATTAAAGAGAGACAGCTTGAAGATCACATTTTTCTTCCGGTGCGCACCTCTCTCTCTCCATGCCCGTCGGGAGTCAAAGGCGCTACCATTAAGTTACAGGAAGTATGACATATCAGTTGCTGAAGTTTCAGGGTGATGGCCCAGCCACGTCCCCTCCCACACCCACCTTTCTGCAGAAGATTTGATTATAAAAATGATTATAGGTTATTTAACGTCAAAATTGCTCTCTAGATTCGTAAAGCGCACCAAGTATGGGAGGTGCGGCAAGCGAATGACCTCCGATTTCATCGCACTCTAGGAATCTTTTATCAACATTGAAAGTACTTATTCACATTGAATCATACAAAATCGAGGGGTACATTGCAGAGGGGGGTATACAGAAACCCGAAAAAAAAAAGGGGGGGGGGGAAGGAAAAAATCAACAAAGGGAAAAAGGAAAAAAAACAAAAAAGGAACAAGGAAAAAGAGAAAAAAAGAAAAAGAGCAAGCGCTTTACATGTAAGAAAGATACCACCAAAAACCACCTACCTTATTTATCCACCCCACACCAAATTGCTACTCTGCTCCACGGAGAATTTCTTCTGCTTACACTCCGTCATTAGATTCTCACTCGCTTCCACTTTCTTGGTAACTTCCTCCGAACGCTTATCATCTTCCATGGCCATCAGTTGCTCCCAATCCAATTCCTCCTCGCAGAATTTGTGCATCGCTTCCAGCCACGGGCTGTCCGAGTCCGCGACTTTGACATTTTCCCGCTCGGTTTCAGTGACTGGGCGCGTCTCCCTCTCGCCCACGTACCGCTCCAAATACAGTGTCTTAGGCAGGAACCACTCCGATACATCGTGTCCGAACTGTTCCAACGTGAAGTCGGCAATATATGCGGTTCCATCTGCTGAGGTGACCTGGAAAACGGAATGATCGCCGCAGAGGGTGGAGAGAATTTCCATCTCGTGTTTCTTACTCTTCTTTTCCCACACGTCCGACTTTTGGGGCGTCGTGATTGCAATCCCGAAGTTTGCTGTGATACCTCCGATAATCATCATCCACTCGACTTTCGCATCCAACTCCGCCAACTTCTGTCCCACAACTGCTTCGAGAGCTTCGAGGGCTGAGTCGCAAAGGAACATCTTGGTGTAAGCTTTTTGTAGCTTAAGAATCATTTCTTTGTCTAGGTCGTCACTACCCACGATTTCGGGGGGGAAATCTGTACTAAGTGCGTTTGGAATTGAGAAGCGTCCATTGAAACGTCTATCCGGAATGAGGATGTAGGTTTGCGGTTCTCTAGATGTGGGTGGTTCGAGAGGTTGTATTTTGCCGATCAGTGGACTTTCAATGCTCGCAGCCGCTGCCGTGAAGACAGTGTGGTAGACTTGGAGAATGGATTTTATAGCTGGGAGGTCGGGGTCTTCAGCAGAAATATCTGGAGAAGTATCGGCGCTTCTTTTTCGAACGGGCATCTTAGAAGATTGCCCTTCTACACTTCGCCTCGAATCGGGCATTGTTGAAGATCGCACGGTATTAAAGATGTCTCGTATGTTTTGCGGACGGTCTTTGGTAAGCTACTTGCAGAGTTGGAGTACTATGAGGAATGAAATAAGGCTTGGTCGACATTATACAGTTGTTTTTATATGGGTGTTGATGACTTGGGTGTTATGAGTGAGACACGCGTAAGACTGCCATAACTAAGTGTTGAGTCCTCTAGGACACGTCGTACGCGCACATGACTGTGGCTTTGTTTGGACGACTCCATCGCCAGCCTGAAACAAAATTGTAGAGATGCGAGTGTTCTCATAGATCCAAGTGATCTCAGCGATACACACTGTTAATGTTGATAGGAAGAGGTGCTGTATAGAGGGCGCACATCTACTTGAAGGATAAACGCATGTTGTGCAGTAAAGCGCAACATATCTTACGGGTCTCGATGGCAAGGCTGTACGGCATGCATACCGAAAGGCTCGTGATATGTCTTTGCAGTCAACGCAGGAAAATTCATAGCACACATATGATTCATATAACGCCGTGACGTGCTGTATGTTCCCGACAAACACAATGAAAGTGATATTGCACGGAGATGTTGAGCTTTCCCCACTTGGTGCAACGAGAAACCGGGCGCCTTGGTAACTATGTGAGACTGCTTAGATACTTAAAAATGCGCTTGCATAATCCTGCGTTTAAAGGGAGGGTGATGTAGTGGTGTAACCATCTGCTTCTGAGCCTTCCTGGATAATTAATCGTAAGGCTGTTCAACCACGCACTTAGCAAGCTCATAAGGATAATGAATGAATCAGAAATATCTATCTTTGAACCCTTCCTTAATGTGTTAGAATTTCAAAGACATCAGTCATTAAAGAAGAGCAGAGCGCCCTATATGTGTCGAAATATTCAAATGTTTCATTCACGACAGCCGGCTGCCATTCATTTGTTTGACACAACAGCAAAAACCCACATAACTGACCCACCTATCTTTCTATATATCACATACAGTATGCCCACCTACTACTACTTAACTACCTAATTACTAACTACTAGAATGAATGTATATACTTAGTAAAAAAATCTTGAGCAAAAAAAATTGCAAAAAAGAAACGGCTCCGAGCCATGTCCGAATCAACTTAGACGAAGCGCCACCGCTCAGAAACTTTAGGAATTGAATCCAAAGTTTGCTGACTTGGAGGATCGAACTACTAATCTACTCAAGAGGTCGCATTGGTTTGGAACGATCCTGTTGTTGGATGGCAGAGCATGAAAGGATAAATCCTCTCATCGTACCACCCGGCCAACGCTGTCATCACCAGCAAGCTGCGAGCCCTCGAGTGTTCGATGCTGAAGTTTCGGCGGGAACAGTTTATATAGTGACTTTGTTTGCTACTTTGGTGGTTTGTTTGCGTGTGCGGGGATGAGGTGGCTGCGTTGGGGCAGGCGCGTGCGTCATTGGTAGGCGCGTGTTTGTTTGTCCAGGCAGCAATAACTGAGCTCGAGTGTGTTGGTTGGAGTTGAGATGGAACGGGTGTATCAGAGGGACAGCGGACGGAATGCCAGCGAATGCGTAATGTGGGGGGTACAGGCCGAGAAGGATAACAACAATCGAGTGAGCGGCATTCGACGGCAGATGCTCCCGTACGTTGCCAGAGTTGTCAAAACGCATATCCGCAGGTCCGAGATGATAATATATAGTCTTTCGATGTAGTTGGAATCTGGGTGGTGTTCCAGCTGTATTGGTGGTAGTTGATAGTTTCGCCCGTGTATCAGAAACCTACTTCACATCAATAGACCAGCATGCTGACTGGAAAACACCATGCCCACTTCACCTTCACTTTGTCGCCGTAGTAGAACAAATGCTGCTGGAAATAGTCAGGTTTTGCTAGTCTGCAAATTTCATCGGCGCAGGGTTCCTTTACGCCTACTTCATATACGCAGACTAGCAAACTTGTACCACCTATGACCTATATTACTTCACCGACACACTTGCACATGATCAATTGAAATCTCACCGCTCCCTAATTTGGCATGGGCCAGCATCTCACAGCATTTTACGCGGGTTCTTTCATTTTCAGTATGCACAGACGAGCATAAAAAGGCCTGACCCACAAACAAATTCTCATGCTCCCTCTATTTTCCTACTACTTGCTCCGCTCCAGCTAGATCTATCCGCACCATCTATCCAGCCACTAAACATGTGCATCCTCACTCTTCTCTTAACTCTCCTCCTAACCATCTCTAACACCCTCGGTGCCCCCGCAAACACTCTCCCCATTCGTGCCGAGCCCGGTACATATCACTCCGCGTCCACGGGCCTCTACCTCCACAACACGGGTTATCAAGGCGAAGGCCTCTACCAAGCTGTCTTCGATGACTCCGGCTCCGCGACCATCGATTTCACGACTCTCGATGAACTCAACATAACTACCACCCCACCACCTGCGGAAGATGATCCTTCAATGGTCCACAAGTCGACTAGCATCAACTTCAACGTCCATTGCAGCAAGGACTGCTCCTTCGATCTTGAATCTTGGCAGGAAATGGATGATACGCAGCGAATGATGGCGGACTGGTTCGGAGGACCTGTTGAGCGGAAGGCGACTTGGTATTGGGTATGTCGTGCCCACCTTCCCCCACCCCCCTTCCTATTAACTTGGTATCTCATTGCGGAGGTGCACTGCTGATTTCTTTGTTTGAATAGCTCGTCCGTGGGCAACATCTGTCTTATATTTGCCTATACAAGCAGGGCGTAGTCAGTAGGGACCTCTTCAACTTCTTTATGAATGATGTTAGGAATAGCTGTAGCCGGTACTGCAATGGGTATGGCCGGGGCAACTGGCCTGAGGCACATGTGTGGGACATGAGTGTGGGTAATGCGAATCTAGGAGGTACTATTTGCGATAAGCACTTCACGCCTCCTCCTTCTCACTAGCAGGTCGAAAAGCTCAGCATGGAGGGGAGGCATGTATGTTAGGCAGCTTCTGGTTTGGACAGGGTAATGTGGTGGAATTTGGATAGGCGAAATCCGTTTCCATTTATGGACTCATTGTGAGTGCCATAATACCAGTGGCCTATACATACACGATCAACATACAGAAACTGGCATACTCCTCACATACCTCCAAAGTGCCCACCTGTTATGATGGCTTGCTACCCCTTTGAACCTTGCGAATCTTTTCCACCAAGTCTGATATTTGATCCCACAACGACTGCTTCTCACCGTGCGCATCCTGCCCAAGCCCGTCGCCGACCTCGCCAAATCGTCCCACATACTCCTCAAAATGCCCTTCAATCTCCCTCCACGCAGCTTCCCAGATGATTCTCTTCTCTCCAGTCCCTAAGATAGCCCCTGTATTTCCACAATTATGCTCTTGCTCATCTGCTTTATCCCGCGTTCCACCATCTGGGAGGCTTTTAGGAGCCGCACCCGTAGACGGAGAGAAATGATTCAGAGGCAGACTCGCGCGCCGTCGTGCCACAGTGCCAGAAGGAACCTCGCCCCGCCTCGGACCGAACGTCGGACTGAGCGGCGACACCTTGTTGTCCTGCACAATACCTGTTTCGCTGTCGGATCTAGAGTGGAGAGCGCGCTGTGCGGATACGAGTTCGGTGATCGTGTTTCTGTGCGGCCTACGGACGAAATCTGCAGGGGTGGGGGATTGAGGGACAGCGGGATACGGTGCGGGTATGGCGATCGTCAAAGACGATGAATTTTGTCCTGAATATGTGTGTTCGGAAGTCGGGATTCCAAAGTCGTAATCTGGAAATTGAAGGCCGGGGCTACGTTTGGAGTGGTCGTAGGTTGGCGGATATGGCATGACAGTTTCGGCGCATACAAGGTCGAGCTGGGAGCGCTTCTTGGTAAGAAGGGCAAGTAGAACGGACCGGTCTATAATCTCAAACAGAATACGCTGTGTAGAGTGGGGTTCATCTGAGGTCAATTTTTCGATGTAGGATTCGAGGGCATCCCATTGAGCTTTTTTGGAACGTGACGACGTGAAAGCCATGATGTTCAGAGGTGACAACGAATGATCGGTGGTAGATGTGTGATGAGCCACAGTTCCGTAGCCCAAGAAGAAGAATAGTTTGAAGGCGGGTGAAGGTCTTTGGATTTTCTTAGCATCCGTGCCGTGGATGAAGGGTTGCTTTAAGGTGCCGGCCAGTCGGTGTTCAGCCTGCAGAACAGCTTCTTTGTTGCATGGCAACAAACCGTAGCAAGCGAAGGTCACAGAAAGACCCTCTAGGTCTAGTAAGACATCTCGCCAACTATCAGGTTGGGCTTTTCAGACGTATTTTCCGCTTTAGAGACAGGCGAGCGAACCTGGTTTTAATTCGGTGTAGCGACAACGGCAAGGTTTCGGGTTGGTTTACTCCCAGAGCATGAATCTGAATCACCGGACGCCATTCAAAGTGGAACAATAAAACATGTTCCATGGGAAAGAAACACAAGAGTAGCTGAGACAATCTTACTCGCTGTCACTCTCGCTTTCATCGTCGTCGTCGTCGACCCGCGCTAACACTTGGTTTTCTTCTTCCCTCCTCTTTTCGACTGCCTTCAGAGCGCTTTCAACAATTTGATTTTGAGAACTGAGTTCAGCAGCCTTCGCTCTCTTGATGATCAAATTCGCTCCTTTAATCACCTCCTCTTCTGCTTTTTTGATGGTGCCGCTGACCCTAACCACTTTAATGACAACGGGTTTGTCGACCGGCCTGGGGAGCTTGGTGACGAAGGTCAAAGCGGCCCACACCATCTGAAAATGATCGCGAGGACATCGAATGATGGCAGTTGAAGTTGCAGGAGACCAGTAGTTGACTGTGTGGTGATATCTGCGTGTGAGCATGTTGTTGCATTGTCGGAAGATATTGGTAGACGAATGAGAAGGCCAACAACATACCTTTGAGAGCGTTGTTCATCATGCCCATTCCGTAATCACCAAAAAGCTCGGTGATGCCTTCTCTGATCATCCGTATTAGGTGACCCTGATGGAATGCATCTGGGGTCGGTGCGTGGAATTGTACGAGATCTGGCACGGATTGTTTCTTCGGCTGTGTGCTGGGAAAGGCAGGGTACAGAAAATTGACCACCAGGTATCTGTTTTTGACGCGCACCATGCTTGCGAGAGCTTCAAGCAAAAAGCTCGTATGACTTCTTTGCGCTGATTGTCAGTGATGAGGATCGAAGAAGCACGCCCACGTGAATTGATGGGTTCAAAATGTCTCTCAGCCCTACAGCCAACCAACGTTTTGCCCGTCAACCGCGCCATTGCCCAGTACAGACTAGCGCAGAAAGCAGGATGACGATGCAACGAACCCTGAGTGGTGAGTGCCCAAAAGCCCAGCCCCAAACGCTTAACAAACACCTCACTCGCAGGCAATCAATCTCTCACCACATCTACCCCAGGAAAGAAGCACCCGCCAGATTCACCGCTCCCCGCAAAAAGAGGACCGCCACACCTACACACTACAATCGAGATACTGTTGAAGCCAACAAAGGCCTCGACACGCCCACCATGGCACCTACACAACTCCTCTAGTATGCCTCTCTCTTCCTCCCTCATTATAACACACAAGCGCATCTTCACACGCAGCTGCTTACCCGTAACCAACAGCGCAGGCATAGCCCACAACACCAAAGTCCTCTGCGAGCACAACGCCTCCCCCTCGAGCAAAACCTCTTCCCTCCTCTCCGTCATCCTCCCAAAGCTCTCCCACACGACCTCCGAACACAAAACCCTCGATGTAGACCCTTACTTTGCGCACTACCACACCCTGTCCCCGTCTTCGTTCCCGCCAGCACAGGCCTCGGCCGGCGGTCTCACATTCCTCGTAGTCGCGGACAAGAATCTGGGTCAACGGATCCCCTTTGGGTTCCTTGCGACGATCGAGAAGCGGTTCTTCGAGGAGTTTGAGGCTGCGAGCACGGATTTCGCGGCGCTGCCTAGTTTTGGGTGCGCGGGGTTCAATGGGACGATGCGGCGGTTGATGGAGGAGCAAGGTGGCACCGAGAGCGGGCAGCGGGATGCGCTGAGGACAGCGCAGAGGGAGATTGATGGCGTGAGAGAGATTATGACGGAGAATATTGAGCGGGTGCTTGAGAGGGGCGAGAGGATTGATTTGTTGGTTGACCAGACGGATCGGTTGGGGAGCTCCGCGAGGGACTTTAGGGTGAGGAGTCGTGGGTTGAAGAGGAGGATGTGGTGGAAGAATGTCAAGCTGATGGTGCTGTTGGCGCTTGTGGTGGTATTTTTGGTGTATTTGTTTGTTGGGTTTGGGTGTGGATTGCCTGGTATGTTGTCTTTGCCCCAATACGCGAACGGAACGAGAGACTTGATTGATGCTAACTCTCACCATAGCCTGGGGCCGCTGTCTTCATCATTAGACACACATACCCTATCTGGACTCGTCCAATCACACTATTACGCCACTCGCCCGCAACCCCCATAAAAATCCACGGGGCGAGGGCCAAAGACGAGGAGGAAACTATAATCCGCGAAAACAGGGTATCTTTTGCCTTGTCGTCCACTTCTCGTCCAAATTTCCTTCCTACACGGGAAACCCCCGTTGTACAAATACCAATTACACACTCCAATATGAAGGCGTTTCCAGGCGCGATCGGGGGAGAGCGTCTTTAGTTTACTTGCCTGCTTGCTTGCTTTCTGCTGAACGTGCAGCCTTATTTTTTCCCTTTCAGTGCCCAATTCAATAAACACGTATGAGAGGAAACCTTTCAATCTTCAATTCGAGCGCTTACGATTGAATAATTCATCACCATGATTGATTGCCGATGTGTCGTGCAGCGTGTCCTGCTTGTATACAACGTGCTTTGCTGCTGGATTATCCATCTGTCCTGGGAGAAAATCTAGCACGGCGAGAGACAACGACAAAGAGACAGACGGATAAGAAATCCATGATGATAGAGCACAAGACGGGCAGAGAGAAGTGAAAGATTGTTCTCTGAGGAGAACAAATTGACGTGGTCAATTAAATGTGTACCTAGTGAGGTACACATGTAGGTATGCATGTTCAGGCTTCCGCGCATGCCTGTTTGTATATACGTTGCGCCGTCCTTCCCATATTCATACATCATAACATCCTCCTCGTGAAAATTTACTCGCACGGGGTCATCCTAAAACCTCCCTGTGGTAAGTTGTGAATGCCCATGCCGTACCATGCCATACCGTGCCGTGCCCATGCTGGTGAAAGAACGCCAGACCATTTCCCAATCGGGCCGAATTTGCTAAATCCCTTAGCCTCAAACCAAAAACCCTAATCCAACCCGATGATCCCGATCCAAAAATGCAAGCAAAAAACGCCCAAATCCATCAAAATCAAAATGAAATAGCTTCCCCCTGTAGCCAAAACATACAAGATAAAAATAAAACGCACGTCGTACACGCGTGTACACGTACGTACATCAAGATCCCAAAGAGAATGAACGCCTATCTAATGCTCATGGTGGTGTCTATGCTTTTTGTATGTACCAAAGAGTGTGAGAGTTACGTGCTTTTGTTCAATATATGTCCAGGGAAAAAGCCCAAACGCCAGAGTAAACAGAGTAAACAGAATCGTCGAAATAGATCTAGCCAAGGCCAACTTCAACAAAGATGACCGAGATCCGCATCGTGGTGGGTATAGATGAGCGCTAGCAAAGTGTTTTGACCGGGCCCTTCTACTGGGCCATGACCATGGCAAGCAAAGCCATGCGCGTGTACAAGCCGTACCTCATCTGCAAAAACGTTAGTTCATCTATTGTGTATTCGATAGTGCGGTACTCACCTGTCTGAAATAAGCCGCACGAGGATCAAAGTCCACCTCCTCATGGATCTCATTGTTCCTTGGTAGCGGGTGCATCACGATCATGGCCGTCTTCGCCTTCTTCAAGACTTGGTTATTGACCACGAAAGAGTCTTTGACACGTTCGTAGCTTGCCAAGTCCGCAAAGCGTTCCTTCTGCACACGAGTGCAGTATAGGACGTCCGAGTGGGCGACGATGTCGTCAGTCAACTCGTTCGACACAATGTTGAGCTGACCTCGTGACTTGAGCCCCTCACGGACGGTGTTGGGCATCGGAAGAGACTCTGGTGATACCAGGTTGATGGTGACATCGTAATGGGATAGGAGTTCACAAAGAGAGTGCACCGTGCGTCCGTACTTGAGGTCACCAACGAATGTGATGTTCAAACCGTTGACCGTTCCCAGCTCTTCACGAATGGTGAAGATATCCAAGATAGCCTGGGTAGGGTGCTCACGACTGCCATTTCCTGCGTTGATCATGGGAACATCGGAGAACTTGGTTGCGATGTCGATCGCATCCTCCTTCGGGTGTCGGAGGACGATGGCGTCGGTGTAGCATCCAAGAGTTCGCACGCTGTCGGCAATAGTCTCGCCCTTTTGGGTAGATGAAACAGATTCGTTGATCACAACCACTTCACCACCTAAGCGCTTCATTGCGGCATCGAAGGATGCAGATGTTCGAGTAGAAGGCTCGAAGAACATGGTGCACAGCACACGGCCCTTGAGGACGTCAAGGCAGCCCTGGCGTTGAGCACCAAGTCTCATCTCTTGGGCGATTGTGAACAGCAAGTGAAGGTCGGCGCGAGAAAACTGCTTGACAGAGGTGATGTGCTTGCCCTTGAAAGGGGACTTGGCCAGCAACTGCGAGAGCGAGAGAGAGCTGTTCATTCCGTGCTGTCGCATCAAGGACGCTCCTTCAGAGCCCGGTGCCGAGTCGAATTCTTGGTAATCAACCTTGCTAACCTCTAGATCGTAGTGACGGGAAAGGGCTTCAATAAGCAGCTTCGCGTTCTTGACATTAGATACAAGCGGGATTTGGAAGTCGACCGCCATGCGGCGGGTTCTGTATCCCCTACTGACGTAGTTGGCAGGTCGCCTGAATCGATTGCTGGATGGCAAGTTGATGTAAAGGTGAATCTTCTTGTCCGACAAGTGCTGGGTCAAGGAGTATTCTGGCTTCTGCGCATCGTGGTCGCTGCTAGACAACACTTCCAAGAACTTGACAGGAAAACCGTGCTCTTGGATGTAATCGGCTGTACCAGCAGTGGCGAAAAGGTTGAATCCCATCTTGTGCAGACGTTCGATCGAGGGAAGCATCTCTAGCTTGTCTTTGAAGGATCCAATAGACAGCAACACGTTCTTTTCCGGCAACTTGAATCCAGTGGCGATAAGCCCCTTCATGTAAGCTTCGTATTTGGTACGACCGAAGCAGGCCACCTCTCCAGTCGATGCCATCTCAACACCGAGCACAGGATCGGCACCAGAGAGTCGAGAGAATGAGAATTGAGGGACCTTGACGGCAACAAAGTCATTCGGCATGTTGGTGGGTGGGTAGTCTTGGAGGGGAAGCCCAGCCATCGCTTTAGTAGCCAATTCGATAAGATCGACACCAGTGACCTTGGAGACGAAGGGGAACGATCGTGAGGCGCGGACATTGCATTCAATGACTTTGATGTCATTATCCTTTGCAATGAATTGGATATTGTACGGGCCGGTGACATTGAGCGCATTTCCGATCTTCCTGGTAGCGTCTTCGATGCGGCGTACTGTCTCTGGGTCCAGATCTTGTGGGGGGTGAATCAGAGTTGCGTCACCAGAGTGAACACCCGCGTTCTCAACATGCTCAGAAATAAAGTGGCCGATCATGGCACCATTTCGGGCAACCGCATCCATCTCAATTTCTTTGGCGTTCTCGATGTACTTGGTGATCACCACGGGGTGTTCACGGGATACATCGGCAGCTTGTTTGAGGTAGTTGGCAAGATCATCTCGGGAGTAGACAGTATTCATGGCTGCTCCAGAGAGAACGTAGGATGGTCGCACAAGCACAGGGTAGGAGACTTTTTCGCAGAACTCAGTAGCCTCCTCGATGCTGGTGAGCTCCTTCCAAGCTGGTTGATCAACATTAATACCTAAAGTTTAGCGTGAAGAGTCAGCAACATGTAAATGGGTGAAGTTTAGAGGGCCATCAGGAATACGTACGGTCTAGAAGCCTTGAGAACTTCCATCTATTCTCAGCAGTATCAATCATCTCAGGAGATGTGCCGAGGATCTTGACGTTCAATCGGTGAAGAGGCAAGGCAATATTGTTGGGAGTTTGCCCACCCATGGAGATGATGACACCACTTGCGTTCTCCATAGCGTAGATATCCAAGACTGTTTCGAGACTGATGACTTCAAAGTAAAGGCGGTCCGCCTCATCGTAATCAGTGGATACGGTCTCGGGGTTGTAGTTGACCATGACAGTCTTGAATCCCTGTTCACGCAAAGTGCGAATAGCGCGCACTGAACACCAATCAAATTCGACCGATGAACCGATGCGATATACACCAGAGCCTAGTACCATGAAGCCTCGGTCGTTGAAATTGATGTCACTCTCGGTGGCGTTGTACGTCATGTACTACTATAGTCAGTATACAGAACCGAATGAAGGGCATTGAACACGAACCAAATAGTTAGTGACGGCAGGGTACTCTGCAGCCACTGTATCGATCTGCTTGACGAATGGCACGATGCCAGCATCTACACGCGTGCGTCGCACTGCCAGTTCGTTAGAGGCCCAGAACTTGGCCAGTTGGCGGTCTGAGTATCCAAGTTGTTTTGCACGTCGAAGCAATGGCTTCGTAATGCTTGCTGTGGTGAACTTGGACATATCTTTCTCGAAGTTGCTGAGGTCTTTGAGACGGCTCAGGAACCACTTGTCGATCTTGGTCATCTCCCAGATCTTGTCCACACTGTACCCGGCCTTCATAGCATTGGCAATGGCGAACAATCGTTGATCAGATGGAGTCTGCAACTCTTCATCGATTTGCATCAATGCAGCAGTTTCGTTGAAACCCAGGTTATTAGGATCAATGGCGCGGATGGCCTTCTGCATGGCTTCTTCGAACGTCCTGCCGATGCTCATCACTTCTCCGACACTCTTCATCGAAGAACCGAGTAGAGTGGAGACGCGCATAAACTTCTTCAAGTCCCATCGTGGAATCTTGACGACGACGTAATCAAGGGATGGCTCGAAGCAAGCGCAAGTGACACGCGTAACAGAGTTGGAGACTTCATTGAGGGGGATGTTCAAGCCCAATTTGGCAGCGACGAAAGCGAGTGGGTAGCCAGTTGCCTTGGAGGCAAGGGCGGATGAACGAGAGAGACGAGCGTTCACTTCGATAATGCAGTACTCTCGGGAGAAAGGGTTGAGCGCGTATTGAATGTTGCACTCACCGACCACACCGAGATGACGAATAACGTTGACAGCAGTAGTCCGCAACATGTTGTAGTCTTCATCCGACAATGTCTGCGAAGGTGCAACAACGATTGAATCACCGGTATGAATGCCCAGCGGATCGAAGTTTTCCATGTTGCAAACAGTAATGCAGTTGTCCTGAGAGTCTCGTACCACTTCGTACTCGATCTCTTTCCAGCCCTTCATGCTTCGTTCTATGAGAACCTGGGGACTGGCGGCAAATGCCTTCTCGCAAAGGTCAAGCAGTTGAGTCTCATTCTCAGCAAAACCACTACCGAGACCACCAAGCGCGTAAGCAGCTCGAACAATGACAGGGAAGCCAATGTCTTTGACTACTTCCATGGCTTCCTTGATATTGTTGGCAGAAGCTGATTTGGCACACTTTTCTCCAATTGACTCCATGCTGCGAGCGAATAGCTCACGATCTTCAGTGGTGATGATGGTGTCAATGGGAGTACCCAACACTTTGACGCCAAGGCCTTCGAATTCATCCTTGAGGGCGATTCCGACCTGCAGAGCAGTTTGGCCACCAAACGTGACATAGATACCGTCTGGTCGTTCAGCTTTAATGACCTTGCGAACGAAGTCGGCAGTGACAGGGAGGAAGTACACCTTATCGGCAAGACCCTTCGAAGTCTGAATAGTAGCGATGTTTGGGTTAATCAAGACGGTGTAGATGCCTTCCTCTTTGAGAGCCTTGATAGCTTGGCTGCCAGAGTAATCGAATTCTCCGGCCTGGCCGATGCTAAGACCACCACTTCCAAGAACGAGAACTTTCTTGACGTTGACACGAGGCGCGAGCTTCTTGTTCTCCTCGGCATTGCCACCGGGGAACTCGACGGGCTTCGAGAGCATATCAGAAGATTTGATTGATTTCTGAATGGTGCTGATGAAGACATCGAAGAGATACTCGGTATCGCGGGGGCCGGGAGTGTGCTCGGGATGGAATTGAACACTGAAGTAGGGCCTCTTGACGTGGCGAATACCCTCGTTGCTGCCATCGTTTGCATTCACGAATAGCTCTTCCCAGCCGGTTGGCAGTGTCTTGGAGTCGACCGCATAACCGTGATTTTGTGATGTAATGTGGCACTTGCCCGAGAGCAAACTTGTGCAGGGAATGTTGTGGCCGCGGTTACCGAACTTCATCTTGAGTGTCTGGGCACCAGCGGCTCGTGCAAGAAGCTGGTGTCCCAAGCAAATGCCGAAGATGGGTGTTCGTGCCTCGTCCATGGCTGCCTTGATGTGTCGCACTGTAGGTTCCATCATGGCAGGATCACCGGGACCATTCGAAATGAAGAGACCGTCATATTCTTTGCCGGCGAGCTTAGGGAAGTCATAGTCCCAGGGTACTATCTGGACTTCGACTCCCCTCTTTACAAGGCAGCGCAGTTGGTTGAACTTGAGACCGACATCAACGCACAAGACACGTACGGGACGGCCCGAGGGGTGCTTGAGAGCATTCGAAGGGTCGGGGGAGTAGATTTTGGGCTCCTTGATCGACACTGACAACGAGTTAGGCAGGGAATTTTGGCGGAAGGGCGCGGCACTTTACCTTCAGCCACAAGGTTCTTTTTGTTGGGGTCTTCCCATTCAAGGGCCTCGAATTCCTTTCTCCAATCGATCTCCTCGACTTCTTCAGCCAGCTCTTGTGTGTTGACAGCGCCTTCGGTGAGGGAGGTGGAGATGGGGGAGGGTGCAGTTCGCTTAAGCAGACGTCCCAGCATGCTTCCCTCCTCTCGGATGCGTTTGGTAAGTGCTCGCGTGTCCACACCGGTAATGGCTGGAACACCTTGCTCCTTCAACCATGTGCCCAAGGACGAGGTGGCAAGGTAGTGTGAGAATTCCTCTCCGGCGTACGCTGCCACGACGAGACCAGCGATGTGGATCTCTCTGGACTCGAAGTAGGCGGGCACGTCCTTGAGCAGGCTGTCCATCTCGTCGCGAGAGGGCACACCATAGTTGCCGACGAGGGGGAATGTGACGACGAGAATCTGGCCGCGGTAGGAGGGGTCAGTGATGGACTCGGGGTAGCCCACCATGCCCGTCTGGAAGACCAATTCACCAGCAATGCTCTTGTCAGCACCGAAGCTCTGGCCGAAGCAGACGTAGCCATCCTGGAGCTCCAGAGCCATGTTATGGCTCTCGTCGCTGTGGTGGGCCATGACGGGTAGAGTTGGAGTGCGATTGACAGCTCCGAGGCTTCAGAAGCCAGAAGAGACGAGGCTGCCGGGCTAATGAATGATGAAGAGGGGGGAGGGTGGTGAGGGAGGAGGAGGAGGAGGAGAAATGGTGCGTGAAAGGTTTTCTCTTTTTTTTTTTCAGCCTTCAATTTTTTTCCCTCCGGGCGCGATCGAGGGCACCTGCAGGATGGGCGAGCGGGGCTAACTAGGTTGGCGGGGTTGTTTGGTTGGTTGCATCGTCATTGGTCGTTGAGGCTCAACGCTGCAGTGAAAGGGTGTTATTGTGCATACAGAGATCAGACCGTGATTGATCAATGGGTGAATGCCAAGGTCGCTTCAGCTGTCGAGATGTCGGTGAAGCTGTCTGCAGTGTTGAGGCGCTGCTAATATTTCCATTGTCTGATTGCCTTCGAGTCTCTGCCATGGTTTGGATTTTCTGCTATACAGTTTGAGGGGTAAGTGGTGTATATTTTTTGCTCCAACGCTAACCCATATCGGGAAGGCTTCACATGTCAACTTCCAAGGCAAGCGGTGAAACTGAAGCTCTGCCGTGTGCACAATGGTTGTTGGACGGAATATGCTGTAGGTGGTGTATTGCAGGTTTATGAGGTGTTTTTCGGAACAGTTTCTCGTTTGTAATGATCCACTTGAGGGATTTAACTTGAGTTTGGAGTGGCTTCGTGAATATATATATATATGCCTCATAGACAGACAGACAGTTCAATGGGGCCGCCCTCCATGTGAACATGATTGGAGCAAGTCTTGATGCAGTGTGTGTACGAGAAGGCCTGCGGTGTAATACGCCTCTTTTCGAAGGTAACGAATCGTTCTAGAGAGATGCAGATGACATACTAAGTTGCATCGTGGAGACGTCCATACTATATACTAGACCCTGTAGGAGGAGGGAGTGTAATATCTACTGCTGTATAACTCTCTCCTCTGGCAACGGATATCAAGTGAACGGCCCTGCCTGCCATGTAAATAGAATCAATCATCGCATCGTCGAATACCCCACAACGCAGAGAGAGTTCCCCATATTCGTCCAGTTCAAACTGTCTGCAGATGGTTCTTATCGCCAGCCAGAACTCGACGAGGCGCAAATCCGGGGCCAATAACCCATGTGCAGGATGCGAATGCGTGCAGTAGTCTGGACTTGTTTGGACTCGCCGTGCGGCGTCAACGCCTCGCCATTGGACCATCGGCCAACATGACGCGGGGGTTAGCATCATCGCTATCTGCAATGCCCTTCCTCATGATCAAAAGACGATACGATCCCTAGACGATGATGCTGGTGATGGTGATGATGCTGGAGAGCGGTGAAGCGGACGGAGGTGGGTGTGTGCGACTGCTCCTAGGCAGGCACACTCAGTGTTTCCACTCGGTCTGTTTGTCGCAGCCAGGCACGACGCACTACTCTCACTTGTCCCATCCGCCGTGTCATTTCATTTCCCAAGCCCACCACCCCCCCGGCACCGTGAAACTTCGCCTTGACCGACCGCACTCGCCCGCCGTCGCGAACCTCCCTCCCTCCCCTCTCACGACAATCCACCTCAAGGCAAGCGGCTGGCCCTCGTCGCGCTCCCATGTTCGCTTCACTCCTGGGATCTCGCAAAGACCCCCGGTCCGAAACCACCCCTCTGCTCCAGGCTCTCGACAGGTACCGGCGACGCCATGCCGACCCTAACCCGGACCTCAGCGTAGATGGCGACGACGACGATGAACAGGGCCACCACCAGTTCCCCCGCTATGAGGACCACGAGGACGACCACGAGGACAGCGATGGCCGCCGGGGAGACGGCCCTCTCTTACCAGTCTTCTCCGCCGAATTTCTAGGTACGCCGTGTTTTTTCTCCCCCCTCAAATCTTTTCGCGTTTCCCACTCGTGCCTGCTACTCGAGTACTCATGTACTGACAACCTGGTCTTCTATTAGATCGTATACCCACATACAACACCACGCATGCTATCCGAATCCTCGTTATCCAGCGATGCGAAACAACCCTGTCATGGGACCAGCTGCGCTCCCCACAGGTCTCGCAATTCCTCGTCAAGCCCATCCAGCAGCAAATCCTCGCCGACCATTTCTCGCGCGGCGCTATATACTGTCTGCTGGCAAACTGCTTGCAGTTTCGCAAGGAGGGCGAGGCTAATCCGGCCAACATCGGGGTGAACAAATCAAGGGCTTTGGTGTGTGAGCTGCTGGCTATGCGTCTGCTCAAGGAATTCTCCACCCGTGAACTCATCGATGCCCTCTCCTACGACTTCTACCCTCTGCAGGGTCTTTCAAATCCGGGGACAGGCGTGGCGACCCCTGGTGCGAATCGAAACTCACAAAACCTGCGCTCCGCTTCCACGCGCATCTCGTCGGTTGAAATTGCTATCCGCGCCCAGGCAAAGAAGTTCTTAGCACATCCCTTGGTGGTTCAGCAGCTCGAGGCCATCTGGGCCGGCACTATTGTCTTCCACTCCGTCGCGGATAGTCTACATCGGAAACCGGAACCCATGATGCGGCATTACCGCACCTTTGATGATAATCCTTCACCCGGCAGGGGCCCATCACGTCGTCTTTCGCCCACAAAACCTGCCCATACACAACCAGATCCTCCTAATGCGGCGCTCATGCGGAAGACAGTGACCCTCTATGATCCACACGACGCCTCCCTCTTCAAACTTTCTCGTCTTCGAGTGCCTCGCTACCGCAACTTATTTTCTACCCTTTCCTTCGGCGTAATGCTTGGCCTATTTTTGGCTGTGCTTGGCGAGAAATCCGACGACATTACCGCCCTGGAAGTGCTGTTCTGGTTCTGGAGCGCTGGCTACATGCTTGACGAACTTGTTGGTTTTTCCGAACAGGGGTTCGGATTGTATATCATGAGCGTGTGGAACGCCTTTGATCTAGGCATTCTACTCATGTTCTTGGTGTATTACGTGTTACGACTGTACGGTATCCTCATGCCCGACGTGCATAGCAGGCACGACATGGCCAGCATGGCGTACGATGTTCTCGGATCCACGGCCGTTCTTCTTTTCCCACGTCTGTTCTCTGCTTTAGACCATTATCGCTACTTTTCGCAGCTCCTCATCGCCTTTCGCATGATGGCTATGGACCTAGTCGCCATCCTGGTCCTTATCGTCATAAGTTGCTCTGGCTTCTTTGTGGCTTTTACTCTTGCTTTGTAAGTAATCCCCGGGCGCATGGTCGCATACTAGACTATCATCTCGAGCAGTGCTTTGGGACCTTGATCGCCAGCTGAGACATGTTTGGACGACTTGTACTGACTTTTTGCCCACAGTAAAAAAGACATGGGTCCTGGTAACACAGCCTATGCTCTATTCCAGGTACGTCACCCACATCCGTCGACCCAGTAAACAAGCATGGTAGCTAACAACAAAAAGTTGGTTATGGGATTCACGCCAGCAGCATGGGATATTTGGGCCGATTACAACCCCCTGGGCAAGACTATCCTGGCTCTTTTCCTCTTCATCTGTCACTTCCTCATTGTTACTATTCTGGTCACAGTATTGACCAACTCATTTATGGCTGTGGTGCAGAATTCCAACGAGGAGCACCAGTTTTTGTTTGCTGTCAACACCATCTCCATGGTCAAGTCCGACGCTCTCTTTTCTTATATTCCCCCAACCAACATCATTGGCTGGCTGCTCATTCCTTTGAAGTATGTCATACCTTTTAGGAAATTCATACGCTTCAATCGCTTCGTCGTCAAGATGACCCATATGCCCGTTCTGTTCAGTGTTTTTCTGTACGAACGGCTGCTCCTGGCAAATCTTGAATACGGACCTACCGATTTGGTGGAGCAACGTGGACGATCGCATTCCAAAGCCCCGATGCCTGCTTTCAGCATTCGCGGCCCCATCGATATTTTCAGCCCAGGGACTCGACTGCGCGAACCCTCCATTGCTACCTTTCGCAAAGACCGTGCCCTTGAAGAGGTCTTCCGGCGTCCTTTTCGGGACACGAGTCTACAGGCACCTTCGAATCTCGGGGGTAGACGGAACTCGAGCAACGTGGTGAAAGATTGGATGAAAAGAATGGGCAGCGATGAAGGCGATGCCGCTCCGCCCCAAGAAGACACAAGGTCGCTTTTGGAACGTCTCGAGACGAGAGCTCGACCAGGCATGAGGCGCACCAAAACGTCTGGGCAACTGCAATTGAGACGCAATCATGTGTTCACGGCTAGAGCTGTCAATTCTGATCCAGACGATCACAATGCGAGCCCCTTTACGCAACCAATCGCCGAGGAAGAAGAACCGGCTATGGAGATACAAGATCAACCACAGCAAAGCGATGATGATGGCGACGACGAGCTTCTCACCAACGACGAAGACGGCGCTTCCGACCAGACTCCAAAGAACAGAGGCAATCTGGACAAAGTGACTCAATTACGTGATGCGACCTACGAGACCTCCGAAGACGAGTTCTTCCGCACTCCCATGGCTGTTATGAGACCGAAAACGCCCATGGCTCGCACTCCAGCGAGAGCCGTTTCCCCAACCTCTGCAGGCTTCGCCCCCGGATCTGCGTCACCCAACAAACGGCACGCCCGTCAAAAGCCCGGGCACAACCGCAATTGGTCCACCAACACTGTTCTCTTCAGCCCATCCAAAGAAGATGCATCGTCCAACTCTTTGTCACGATCCCCCGAACGACCTCCTCGCACCGGAACCCGCAGCGGGGCCGCAACCCCAGGACGAAAGCCCATCATCACCAGCAGCAACGACGGTCGCAAAACTCCTAAACGCACCATGCTAAGCAGCTCACCCGCAACGCGCACCCGTCCCATCATGCCACCTCCTCACCTCAACTTCGCGTCTTCCAACAACATTTCCCAGCTCATTGCGAGCAACCAGCGCGGCCGCGAACGTTCCTTCAACGCCATGGCTCTAGACTTGGCCTCGGATCTCGGCGACAACCGCCAGCAACCCGACTTCGGTGCCCTCAACAACCTGCCAGCGTCGTTCAGCACGCAGCTGGAAATGGCAGCGCGGGCGCGGGCGCGGGCTCAAGAGAGGAGCGGAAGCGACGAGGAGTCGAAGCGCATGAGTAGGATCATGCTTGCGCGGATGACGACGCTCGAAGAGGGATTCCGCGACGTGCTGAAGGAGGTCAAGGGGCTCGTCAAGGGGAGCGAGGGAGGCACATCGACGCCACCGTCGGAATTGGCAGCTATGAAGGCGAAGAAGGGGAAAGCGAAGAAGAAGAATGGAAAAAGGAGTGCTGGGGGTGAAGGAGGAGGGTTCGGAGGAGGGTTACCGGCCGTGCAGGAGCCGAGGATGGGGTCGAGTGTGTAAATTGGTCTTTTTTACTTTATTTCTCTTCTCTTGATATTGTAGTTTTGCATTATTTCTGATTTTTTTCTTTTCTTGTTTTGTTTCTTATTATTTCATCTTACCTCGGGGGTTACAAAAGTCTAAACTCGTTGTTAATGGGATGGGGTTTTGCGGTAGGGCGGTTTCGACTTGATTCTTCGCGTTTTCTCCCCTGTTGAATCATCGTCTTGTTCGATATCCCCTTCTTCTCTCTTCCTCTCTTATCCGGCGTTTTTGCTTTCTTCATCACAACCTATCTATTGCGAAGGGGAGGGAGGGATGCGCTGTTCTTTTAACTTTCTTGTTTCCTTAGATCGTGTTTACATCTTATTTTCATTTCTCATGCTTGTCATACAGTTGGTGGTATCTTGCTCTTTTCTTTTTCTCTCCTACGCCGCGTGTGTATACATAGATGATATCTTGAAATTAGTTTACCTTTCCCTTTTTCATTTTCTAGGGGGGGGGTTAAGTAGGTGAGTAGGTTGGTTTGTTACTAGAATAGCTACCTAGCTGCGTACTCTATTTGGGAAACAAAGCAATCTACATTTATCCCCTGGAAACCAATACTAAGATTATATGCGATGGAGATTTAGTTGTGAGGTAGCGTAAATATGGCTGATATGATGTTTGCGTGCCATTTGCTCAAAGAAATGTCACGATCCAACCTCACACAATCGTTCAGCTACCTACTCTGTACACGCGCGCGGTATACCTGCCTACCTGCTTTACGGTCGGGTATGTACCTCTGTACTATAGTAAGTGTGTACTTGTAAAGTACATAGTATGTAATGACATACCCATGACGCACGCACGCACGCAAGCACCCTCGGACCTTGACACACAAGAGTCCAAAGAAAACGTGGAAATCCGGTCGACAAGCAAAAGAGAGAGAAAAAGCAATTCGTCGATGGTACTAAAAAAAAGGCAGATAGCTATGATATCAGCGGCGGTCGGTGAGATTCGCAGTCTCCTCGGACGACGATGGTGGTGGTTGGTGATGTTGATCGCAGAGTCTAGACCAGTGAACTAAGAGGAGGCAGAGGTCCGACTGTGACGGAAGGTTTCCTGGTGGAGCGAGCGATCATCACGCACGCAGGGACTTTTTTTCGCTCAAGGGATATAAGAGAGCGGGTTTAACTCGGCGTGGGAAGAGAGGTAGTCTCGATTTCCTCGGCTGTTGTGGTTTGGCGGTCTGATCTGGCGTGTAGGTAGACAGACTGGCGGTGGGCTGGGCTGGGGGACTAACTAGAGGTTGATGCATGGATGGCATGGCGCTTGTTGGTGTAGGGAGATGGCCTGCCGCGGAGATGGGGGGGACTTGGGCATCGAGACTCCACAGTGACAAAAAAAGAAGACGAGGTATGTGTAGACAGCAGAGAACAACAAGAAGAAGATCAAAAATAGAAAAAGAATTGAAATGAAGAGTAGGACAGAGCGTCAACTCTCTGGTTACAAGATTCACTGGGGGAAAGAGGGTCTATTTCTATAATTATGATAGTGTTGTAGGGGATATAGGCGCGCGACTTGGTTGCTCGGTTTGAACACCTTGTACGCGGCCAGGGATACTCGTTTCATAGCGCGCGCGATTGACCAAACATTTTGAGAATGACAAAGAAGCGTGGTATGGAAGGATTGGAAGCGCGCGAAGGATTTGAGATGGGAGAATGCAAGGCCCCAGATCCGATCTGATGCGAATTGATCCCTCGAGTGCTATGCCAATGACTGCCGTGCCATGGCAGGACAGGACATGACATGACATGACGACGCCAGCCACCAGCCACTCTCTCGATAGCATGGCGAAAAGACGTTCGAATCGCGTATTCGCCGTACTGTACTGTGCATTCGCTCGGTGGTTGGTTTGGGCACCATCTGATTTCGTCTCCTAATCGTCACACACGCGCGCGCGCCTTTGACTCGGTCAGTCAGTCAGTCAGTCAGTCGGTGATGCTTCGCGTCTCCACTTTGCACCCTTGTGTTAGTCGATTTGAGAGAAGAAGGGGAAAAAGGGTTCGTTCGGATCGGAAAAAAAGAGCCACAGAGTTTGCTGGGCACATGGGGCACTGCAGCAAGTGGAGCAGCCAGTCAGGGGCGAGGGAAGAGGTCAGTCATGACGGTGGAGGCGCATGGCTCGTGACGTGGGCGGGCGGCTGCTGGCGGACACAGAGGTCATCATCATCATCATCCCTCTCATCATCACTCACTCGCGATTCACACGACATGCATACCTACTTAACTAACCTGTGGGCCCCCCTGTGCCTGTCTGCCCTTGTTCTTCTATATCTAGCCTCCCCCGGTGGATTTGTTGTTTCGTGATTGTCTCTTTTGTGGTTTCGGGTTTGATTTGCTCTCGACTCTTCGCTGCACACTTGGACATATTTGACACTTAACGACTCATATTGCCACCATCTCCCAGGACGAATTCCCGTTGACGACGTGATCTCTGCTTTCCTTTTTTTTTTTTTTTTCTTGTTTTGCTCATCTCCTTGGAGTCATCTCTGTGGTTTTGTCGCATACTCGACCATCGTGCTTTTCGGAGCAGTCAACTACCATCATAGCCGAGGCATCGCCATCATGACACGCCTTCTCCCCTCCACACTGCTCGCGTACCTCGCAGCCTCCACCTGCGCCTTCTCCATCCCCCCTTACAACAACTTCGCCCCAGCCTCGCGCTACTCCTTCTCGCAGAAACCGCTTCAGAGCCCCTTCGAGGCATGGCTGGAGAAAGAAGAGCACATCGCTCTGGACCGGCTCCTAGCCAACGTGAAGCCTGGCGGTCGCAATGTCGAAGCCAAAGAACTCGCCGTCGCTGATGGCACAGTGGTGTCAAGCTCCAGCAAAGACAATTCTGATCACTGGTACTCGTGGGTGCGAGACGCAGCCTTGACCACAAACACCCTCACCGACATCTACGCCCAAGACCCTTCTTCCCGCCTCTCCAACACCCTCGCCAACATCCTCGACTCGTATACGGGCTTGCAGCGCGACCTTCAACAGACCAGCGACCTCGGCGAGCCAAAGTTCCACGTCGATGGCACTCCCCTTACCCAAGCTGGCGCAGTGCCGCAGCTCGACGGTCCTGCTCTCCGCGCAATTACCTTGATCAACTATTTGCGCTCATACAACGCCTCGCATCCCACCCACTGGAACACCCCCAAGGGCGAGGCTTTCTATACCAGCCTCTACGCTTCCGAGACGTCCGCTCAAAGCGTCATCAAGACCGACCTCGAATTCGTCTCGCGCTCCTGGAATGATACCTCTTTCGACATGTGGGGAGAAGTTGAAGGTATGCACTTCTTCACTGCCATGGTGCAGCTTCGCGCCCTGCGGGAAGGTACCCAGGTTGCTCGTGCATTCGGCGATGATGTTGCTGCCAATCGGTATGCCGAGCAGGCGACCTACCTCACCAAGTACGTTCGCCGTTTCTGGAACAAGAAGAAGAACCATTTGGTGTCCACGCTGTGGAGTCGTCGCTCTGGCTTGGACTGCAGCATTTTGCTTGCATCCGTACATGGCATGCCATCTCAGGCCGCGGAAGCGCAACCGGTTTTCGCGCCTTGGTCCGACGAGGTGCTCGGGTCGTTGTTAGAGCTCGTACAGGACCAGCAGTCCAAATTCCCCACCGCTTACGGCAAGAAGAAGAGATCAGTCGCTGCCGAACGACCAGCTACCACAACCACCTCATTCGCCCCGCAAGGCTCAATGACTGCTTCAGACGACGAGGACGAATACGACGATGACAATGACGAAGACTCCGAATCTTCCATCCTCTCCAAGATTCCTTCGACTGCCGTTCTTCAAGGCAGCCCCTTGTCTCGCTACCCCGAAGCCCAGTCGAACCCCGATCCTTCCTTCCTTTGCACCACAACCGCAGCTACCATCCTTCACACAGCCGCCTCGCACCTCGCCACCTCCGCAAACCTGACCATTACTCCCCGCGGTCTTCCATTCTACAGAGCTCTTATGCGCACTTCCTCACTCCCTGTTGAACCAGGCGTCATGTACGGTCCCGGCGATGTCGTACTACACAGCATTGTGGAGCGTATGCGAGGCGTGGCAGACGAGTTCTTGGAAGTCGTGCGAAAACATACCAGCGAAGATGGCGCCATGAGCGAGAGTTTCGACGCAGTAACGGGTGAGCCCGCGGGCGCGAGTGATGCTAGCCGTGCTTACGCTGCGTTCTTGTCGGCTGTGCGTGTCAGGAGACAAGCGGAGAAGACGAGGAATCGCTGATTGCTCAACCTTTCCCTTTTACCTCTTTCTCGATATGACTTTACGAATGTTTTATGTGTTTATGACTTTTTCTTTTTTTGGATCATTGGGATATACCCTTCCCTTGCGTTTTGTACTAGCGAAGCATCTACTTTGCTTTACTCGGCTCTCCCCGATGGTTGGAGGTGTAGGCCGTGTGTGTGTATGTGTATGATATATCTGAGAGGAAAACATATGAAGCATAGCATTGCATAGCGCGACATCTGGTTATGTCGCGCGTGCACATATGCATGCGTTGTAGTGTATATACAAAAACAAATCAAAATAAGAAATATTTCACAAAACTATATCACTTTGCTGTACACCTTTCAGACACTCCAATTATCTACTCAGGCCCTGAGGTCATTCGCGGTAGTTGGTGTGTCTGAGAGAAGTAAACTCTATCAAGCAAACTCAACTCAAAGAATCCTCAGATATACAGCAAGAAAATAGTTCAATATATCTCAAGGTCCTCGACGACCATCCTTCTCAGGAGACTCGAACTCACCATTCACAACACTGCTGCCTCACGACTGTTTGCAGACGACATTTTTGGCGCTCACTGGCAACCTCTCACTTCGTTTGACCTACTCTCACTTTCGCGTTTGTAATACTATTCTTTTATTTCAACTGCCAGCCCTCGATTTCTCGACTTCCAAGTCTCTATTACTTACCTCCACCACACAACAATTGATATAAACCTCGATTCCAACAACCTCACACTGTTTCTTCCCTATCCAATAAACTTCTTCACACCGCCACATCAACCTCTGGTTACTCCCTGCTATATTCATCAATCTCTTTTTACGTACCTCAACTACCTTCCTAAACACTTCCTTCGATTTCACTGGTCCGCCATCTTCCACTCAACCTAAAATGAGCACACCACCCACCCACCCTCCAATCCCTCCGGACCATTACCAAGGCCACTACACCACCTTAGCCACCCTCGCAGAATCTCCCACTCTGAGGGAGCGACTAGCTAGTCTACGACCACCCTCGAGCCTGAAATTCGAGCAACTTTCACGGGACCAGATCGAATGTCTAGATGAACGCAGGAGAGATGGCGTTGTATGGGTGAGGCTGGAAGTTGGCTTTTGGCATCCACCTCCTCGTCCTCATTCACAACCTCTCCATCACCCCGAGAATCGCCATGCCAGCAGCAGCGAACACGGCTCCGCAGATACCAACAAGCCCAACGAAACTGGAGACGGTATCGCTCTCGAGGCAAACACAGAGAGATTGCCCGTGTACGCCTACATCGTTCCTTATACCGCTCGCTCCCCGTACACAAAACTCACGCTCCTCGTTGGAGATCCAATCACTTCGCCGCAATTCAAAGTGGCTCATCTCCGCGCTACGACTTTGCACTACCCGTTCGATGGAGTTGTACGTGCGTACCGGGAGTGTCCTGATACGATGATCAGTGCGCTGTGTACGCTTGTGGGGTGGTACTTTTTGAGCGCGGGCGCCGTGGCGGGGTTGAGGACTAGCAAAGAGTTTGGCAGTGTGCTGGAGAGGGTTTTGCGGAGGATTGAGCGGGTTGAGGAGAATGAGGGGGAGGATTCTACTAACGCGGAGGACGAGTTTGGAGATGGGGGTTATGATGGACTTGGAACTAACGGTGTTAGCAGTGCATTTGGTGAGCAGGATGAGAGCAGTGACATTACTCTCTGCGATGATACTGAGGACGAGTTCATCGAGGGAAATCGGTATGTTGTTTTCTGGTTACCCCTTCACCAGTATCCTTTTGGTTGGTTGCGTACTAATTCTTTGAACTTGATGAGCAGATCGAACACCGACCTCTCGGCACCTATGTCCCTACATGCATCTCTATTCTCTTCTTCGAACTCAGCATCCGAACAGCCACAACAACATATCCCTTCACCAACCACTTCACGACTGCGTCTTCCACTCCCTCCTCGTCCCCATCAAACCACGGCCACAACAACCACGACCACGACGGCTACAACAACAGCTACCACTACTACTACTTCCCAAACCACGACGACCACCACAGTAGTAGAAATAACCTCCACCCCAATCAACCCCGCCAACAACGCCCTCGAAGCCGAAAACGCCGCTCTCCGCGCACAACTCGCTCAACTCCAAATCGACCGCGACGAATGGAAGACGCAGATGCTCGCCGGCGTCGGCAGGCTAGTCCGAGCGTGGAAGAGGGAGGCGCGGGCTCTGAAGCGAGAGACGCAGGTTTGGAGGGAGGAATGTGTGAGGTTGTATAGTACCGCTGCTGCCGCTGCTACAACTACTGCTGGTGACGAGATTTCCGATGGTGGCAGTGGTGCGGAAGAATCAGAGGCAGGTGAATAGTTAGGGGGGAAAGCTGCACAGGAGAATGCGGGAATGAGGATAGGGAAGGATGGGGTTCTTGATTTACCATGGGCTGGAGAAATATAAGATATAAGATGCGATGAGGTGGATATTGATGACTTATGACGTTATCATTGGGGGTTTGGCTATATTTCTCCACTGAACTTACACACTCACATATATATCTGCGTATCTGCATACGAGCGTGCTTGCACATATATGCAGGTAAGCTATGCTTTTGGTTAGCTGCTAGGGCGGCAAAGAGAGACAGAGTCCGGTTAGGCTGGGCTTTGATTTTTATTTTCTTTCTTCCTCTTGATGAACACGAGGAGGGTTGGGGTGTTTAGTTTGGACTATATACACTTCTCTTTCCTGTTACTGTGGAGCGTTTGTGATGGTGAATACTTGTTCATTATAATTCGTGCCGATTAACATTTGGATATGCAGACCACCCGATGATAGATTCATTTGTGTATCGATTTGGGCATGAGAGATTGGACATGGGAGGATCCTCGAGTTGCTCAGTGATGTGGTTCTTTCATATCCTTTGGGAATAGAGTAAGTAGTGTAGCGCACGCAACTCTGGTGTTTCTCTTTGTATTTGATGTTTCTGTTGGATACCATCTATTTCGATGGTCTAGAATACGCAGTACAGATTGTAAACGGATCCACAGTTCAGGCATGAACTCCTGTATCACTGGCTTGCGATCGAAAGCCCTGTTCATCTAGAAGGCAGCAATCGAACGATCGTTGATCAGAAGACTGTATAGAAAAGATCCAAGACTCTTGCTTGCATGACGCCGAGTGTCAATATAGCTGTCTGCCAAGTTCCTACACATAGAATCGCTAAGATGGGACTGAGAAATTTTGAGGGAGTTCAAGCAATTTGAGCTGTGCAACAACGAAATTTCTTCTTCTGATCCATGCAAACAGTTGATTCTTCTGTGCCGGAAACAATTTGTCAGGCAGTCAGTGTTTTCGAAAACACATGGACAGGTGAATCACGTGAGCTCAATGTCCATAAACACTGCCCCATTACAACTCGGCTCCACAACATACCCTATCACTATACTATGAGGCGAGCTGATGCTATATCAGACGACCTATTCATCTGCAGCTCGTATATTGTAGTGCGATCCACTGTCGAGCAATGGCTGCCGCTTTTGAGACCTGATATGGAGGTGTCCACGAAAGGAGACAACAAATAGATGGGCTAACGGCGATCATTTCATATGGGACTCTTCTCCCGACTCCAATTCAATACAATAAGAGGTGATGCATTCGAGATACACGCGTCTTTACACTTGTGATGAGGATAACATCGCCAGTTCCGACCTCCGCGAACGTACGATACGGACATAGAACTACTACAAGTTTTGCACCGAACTGGCACCCACATAACAGTGATCTTAACTTCAAGCTACTACCCATTTTGCGCCAATGTCCCTGGGCACTATATGATATAGTCTCTGCCTTGCACAGTTGATAGCCTTGGAATTGATCGTAAGAGCATGCATGATTTGGTCATATACCTGCGAGCACTATACAAACTATGGCTGCAGCCGATGTGAAAATCGTCTCAGTACATGGAAATACCTCACTGCCATGATCTTGGCCTAGCATAAGCCCGGAAAGATCTCAGTGGCGCCCAGGACAACCACTATACAAGTGCGGCTCAGATGTATCAATCCTGGTAGACGGTCTTGGTAGCACATGCCATTCGTTCAACCAGTATCGAAGTCTGACGCCAACCTGGAATTCATATATTAAGACCCGCTGAGAATGCCATGGCATGGCAATCTTTGCTCGAACGGTCGGAGTTTAAATTACCCGTGGGACAGTATTAGCCTGATGTTCGGGCCCTGACCAACCACAACATCTGGTTTCTCTGTGGCTACCAAACATGAGACACAGCTTGCAAGTCAAATGTATCGCAAAGTCAAAATACTTTTTCTTGCCTTGAGCAACTGTTATCCAAATAATGTATTAAGAGAAGATTCAAAACCGCGAAAGAAAGACATCGCGATACACTGCAAAGGCGTCAGCTATCGCCTCAGCTTTCGGACATTATTCTCGCTGCAAACACAAACACATGCGCGTGCGGGAATGGGGTATGCATATCTCCTAATATCCGGCCGTGTGGATCGCAGGCACTCTTTGCGATCTTGGTAATGGCGTTCACCCCGGTAGTGCACGTGCTTAGTCAAGGAACCCGTCCCGTCTACGCCGACGACATCACTGTTGACATCAACCGTTGACGGTTGACTTTCACTTTCGACCCACACCCGCAAGAGCTGTTCCCATCAAATCAAACCTGCTGATGATCGACCAAAATCAGGACGTTTACGTCAATGCAACTAGATTAGACCATCACCCATAGTAAGCTCGCCTCGGCGTCTTGGGCAGAACTGTTGTGGTCAGGCTTGATTCGACGACTGCCCCCTTCCAGCTCTTGGAGTCTGGCATGGCACTATGAATGGTATAATTTCCAGAGAAAGCAACGCACGAGAACCTATAGGGGAATAACGGATCGCATTTGGCAAGCTATGTCGTTCACTCGCCTCCCTCCTGACCACGAGACCCACCAAACTTATTCCGGCAATATGCATTTTTGGGCTGTTCGAATATATTGCTGTAGTGTTCACCGGGACACATTCCCCTCAATATACTTGAACCACTCCTTGAAACGCTTAACTGCAAACGAACATGCTCACCTGTTTCCCCGCCCCCGAGCAAACAAGGGTAGACCACAATAAGATGGTGGTACCCCAGATTTTCGGGTTTTAATTTGGGGTAGCTTCAGCGAATGGAAATATTGCGTCCGTCAGTGGAGGAATTCAGTATATCCGAACAGCTGGCAAGCATAGTCTGTTTGCTGCTAATGTTTGGCGGCAGTGTGGATAGTATGATTGTTCTCCAAAGAAAAAGCAAAAGCACTCGAGTATTCCAACTGACACCATCACAGTCTGTCAGTATCTGATTGATTGCCAATCCACTCTCCTCTTCTCGCCAAGTGATTTTATCCAGAGTAGGCCCTGGTAATAGCATTCATATCTATAGAGGCCATCATGTTACCACAAGTCTTCTAGAAACAGGGGTTCCGCGCTAGAAGATGCATAGATCTCCTAGATACCCCAGGAATACCCCACCGTATGTGAGAAGGTTCATCTACTTTTCAATATCCTTCTTATCAGTCGCTTCGAGATGGTCCGAGAAGCCGCTGAGAGTGAGCAGAATCATTGTTCAATATTACGACGATCCCGGATACGCCACAGGCTACGCGCCGCTTAGACTTAGACTGACTGTCAATTAATATCGCATGTCTTCTGGAAGAATACTAATGTCCAGAGGGCTCGACATATATAAGGAAGAGAAGTCCCTCGTCACTGAGGCTCACCATCACGATCATTCCTCGTTCATCAGCCATCATGCAGTACAAGACTCTCGCTCTCGCTTCTCTCTCCCTCATCGGGGCTGCCTCCGCGCAGCAGGTCGGCACCTTGACGGTATGATTTCACTCTTTTCTTCTCTAGTGATCTTGAGCCTCACCCATCTTTCACGGATGGGGTAAAAATTAGCAATGACTAAGCGCGCTGGAGAATTTTCCTTCTCAATTACTGAGAGCTAACTTTCCTTCAGTCCGAGACCCAGCCTAAGATGAGCTGGTCTACCTGCACTGGCACTGGTGGAACAAGCTGTACCACCAAGTCTGGCTCCGTCACCCTCGACTCTAACTGGCGATGGGCCCACACCACCAGCGGATCCACCAACTGCTACACTGGCAACGAGTGGGATGCTACCCTCTGCCCTGACGGCGAATCTTGCGCAAAGAACTGCGCTATCGACGGTGCTGACTACAGCGGTACCTACGGTATCTCCACCAGCGGCAACGCCCTTAGCTTGAAGTTCGTCACCAAGGGCTCCTACTCCACCAACATTGGATCCCGTACCTACCTCATGGAGTCCACCGACAAGTACCAGATGTTCAACCTCATCGGTAACGAATTCACCTTCGATGTCGATGTTTCCAAGCTGCCTTGCGGTTTGAACGGTGCTCTTTACACCGTCGAGATGGCCTCCAACGGTGGACTCGGCGAGGGCAACAACAAGGCTGGTGCCAAGTACGGAACTGGTACGTCTTCTTCAAGCCCACCCATCTCGGAAGTCTGGTACTAATATGCCATAGGTTACTGTGATGCTCAATGCCCTCACGACATCAAGTTCATCGGAGGAAAGGCCAACTCCGACGGCTGGACCCCCAGCGAGAACGACTCCAACGCTGGATCTGGTGAAATGGGCGCCTGCTGCCCCGAGATGGATCTCTGGGAGGCCAACTCCATCTCCACCGCCTACACCCCTCACCCTTGCAGCGAGAACGGTCTCACTGCTTGCACTGGCACTCAGTGCGGTGATGGTGACGAGCGTTATCAAGGTCTTTGCGACAAGGATGGATGCGATTACAACGTAAGCTTATCATTCCCGTCATTCCCATGGAAAACACCCAACTAACTCTCTCTCTCCTCAGCCTTACCGCATGGGCAACAGGGAGTTCTACGGCCCCGGAAAGACCATCGACACCACCAAGAAGCTCACCGTCATCACCCAATTCATCGGCTCCGGCACCACGCTCTCCGAGATCAAGCGTTTCTGGGCCCAAGACGGCGTCGTCTACGCCAACCCCGACTCCTCCGTTGAGGGTCTCACCGGCAACTCCATCACCGACGAGTTCTGCACCAACCAAAAGGCCGCCTTCGGCGACGAGACCCACTTCAGCCAGCTCGGCGGAAACAACCAGATGGGTACCTCGCTCGCCAACGGCCACGTCCTCGTCATGTCCCTCTGGGACGACCACTCCGTCAACATGCTCTGGCTCGACTCCACCTACCCCACCGATGCCGACCCAGAGGCTCCCGGTATCGCCCGTGGTACCTGCAGCACCGACTCTGGCAAGCCCGAGGATGTCGAGTCCAACTCGCCCGATGCTACTGTTGTCTTCTCCAACATCAAGTTCGGCCCCATTGGCTCCACCTTCAAGCAGCCCGCATAAATGGCTTCGTCGGATTTGTAAAGCAGGGGAGTGTTTTAGACAGATGGGTATCTTTGGCTTGTCACGGGTTTCAAAGATTCGCTGATATACTTTCGCTTGTTTATATTTTGTGCTTGTTATGTAGAAGGGACGTTGGGAGAGTTCGTGAGAAAGGAACGGAGAGATTCAGCAACTGTGTATAAATGCTCAAAATTGAATACTGTCAACCATTAAGTTCTCGTTCTTTCATGATTTTACCTATGCCCTGCATTTCAACTCTTTTTGTTATGTTGCTGGTCTGCCCTACTAACCGTTCGAAGTGGCTGACGTTTCAGCGCATAACGTGCAGCATAACGCTCGACTGACCGCTTTACTACCACTGATGGTGCAACAGTGGTACATTAATTCGCAAACCTTTTGCCCATTGTTGTTTGCTGAATATTCACTTATTTCTGTTTGCCAGTCACACAACTTTCATGGTGTCCTTCTCGTGACGTGTCCCTGTGACCCAGAAGCATTCACGTGGCAAACTCGCAATAGCATTGAGTCCAAGGATGCTGCCCCTCACGGCTTGTGGTGGGTCAGGATAACAACCGTGTGCCAAACGCAGAATCAGATCAAGAAGTAAAGATATAAAGAATGTATCTCACGTCGTAAAATTAAGAGAGTGCATGACGCGTGATATATAATGCCATTAAGATTCCATTGACTTTTCTCCTTGACTAGGGGTATTGCCGACTATATACATAGAAAACCATGTACGCGAAACATGTCCCTATTCGTCTAGACTGCTATTAGAAAAGCAGAGCGATGTCCAGTCCTACAAGTTGACCAAGATCTACCCTTTCCATTCCAAGTAATCCAAGCAAATCATGCAGGTGACCAAGTCAAGCCAGTGAGCGAGAACTCGAGTCGCAGATCATCACGCACCAATGATCTCCCTCATATTCTGATTGGTCTTGCAGTAGTCATCGCAAGTGGTAATGCGATCTAGGTTCCTGCGAGCACCATCCTGGTTTGTCTTGGTCAGATTCCTCGCCATCTCCGTAATCTCCGCATTCCCAAGCTTGACGAGCGCATCGCGAATCGCTGCAAAGGTCTTGTCGTCCATTCCCGTGTCTTCGATGCTCATAATGTCGATGCCAGCCGGGGTGCCGGTCAGCTCCGTGGCAGTGGCGTAGTTGGCGTAGTAGGGGAGCCGATTCTCGTCGCAGCCCCACGCGAGGAGGTTGTAAGTTGAGTAGGCGCCAGTGATGATACCGGTGCCTGAGAACTTGAGGCGGTCGGCACTGAGCGTGAGACGGGTGTCGACGCCATATGTCGTGAAGACAGTGTCATTGCCTGGAATCTGGAACGAGCTCAGATCGTTGATGTCTCCGTTCGGCTGGCTGTCGTCGACGAGCGACGGGTCGTACTGGAAGTTTCGAAGAGCAAGATTGGCGGCGTGGGTTGCGTAGATCATGTTCCACGGCTTGAAGTAGAACCCCCGAGGAGGCGGTTGCCAGGCCCTGGATTGCTGGTCGCTTGCGTACCCCTCGAGATCTGGCGGCAGGCCTGGTGTTCAACTATCAGTACATTTGGCAATCATAAGGTAGCACATGAAGGCGCACTGCGACTTACGAACTGAAACGCCCTTGGCACCACAGACGTACAATGCATCCTCACCGGCTGCCACGGCCACAGCAAGGACCATAGAGAATGCATTGGCGAGGCAGACGAGAAAAGAAAGCCGGCCCATGGTTGTTGACTTTTGGTGGACGTTTTCCAATTCCCGACTTTTGAGGGTATAAGAGTGCGTCCAGCAAAGTAATATTGATGGGAGCGGTTGCACGAGGTCGAGGTTAGGGCTAAGTTCAAATGTTGTGACACGAACAGGGTGAGGTTGTGGTTAAAATTAGAGGTAATGGCTCGAGTAACCTTAGAATATATATGCAGGGACTAAGCGCGTCCAAGCGCTTAGCGTGCTTGTTTATTCAATATAGTGCAAACGCCCGACGGGTATTGAATTGGCTTCGAACGTGGTGATAGGAAATCATTCGATGCGGCGTACAGAATGAGCCAAGAAAATGTGGGCCATTGAGAGCTCCGGAACCCCACTGGAAGGTAAGATAAGCTTATTGTAGGCAGCAATGGACAGCATACATGCAGTGTGCTCTATCACTTTACTCGTCAGTTGAATCAAGGATCTTGCAGGCACAGCTGCCAATGACACCATCACGCGATCTGCAGTAAGCGAGGCAAGAGAGCTTCAGCTGATGGATCAAAGATTGGATGGATGAACTGAGTCTGCTCACTTCAAGTACAGCATAGAAGTATTTACCAATTTGTGGTGTTTACTCAGCAACCGTGACCTGGGGGACTAACGCCAATTGGAAATAGAAAATCAACTGTCTTACATATCTCGTCACCTGCTTTCTACTGCCTAATGGAGGGTTCTCAAGGCCTCTTCCACAGCAACGCCGATTCCACCGATTCCAATCACAGTCCACAACCATTTGTTATTGATTTCTTTTGCTGCTGGCCAGAACGAATTCTTCTCCTCGCGAAATTTTTCGAGCTCGGCAAACTTCTGGGGGTGAGACTCGGAGTAGCGGCGCTTTTGATATGTCGCTTTCTCTTTATCGCCGCCAAAGAAGCGAAGGAAGAGGTAGTTTGCAATAGGGCCAAGAAGTTCGACAGGTGCCAACATATCTGACCCATACAAGAGAGTTATGAACGAAAGGTGCACAAAGGTATCACCTAGGTAGCTAATTTCTTGTTAACACTATGTTGAAAAAAAAGGAAACAAACCTGGCACTTACTTGGGATTCCGAACAATGCTCCAGACACCTTCCTTCAAAATGCCTTTCCCTCCTTCTTCTTTGTACTGATCGAGTTGATAATCTGCCAACGTTTCCAAAGCGAGTCCGGTGGAAAACAACCCAACAGCCACCATTTGGACGAATGGGTGATAACCCATCAGCACCGCTCCTTCATGTCTGAATGGTGCGGTGAATGGCAGACTGATGAGCATTTGAAAAAAAGCCTCCGGGATGAACGTGGTCAGAAGCGACTTATTCCAGAAGTTCTCTTCCTTCTTGACCTCATCATAACGCGGGTCGTCGGTGCCACGTTTGATTGAACGGCGGGCAATACGATAGAATAGGCGACCACCCCAGAGCGTCACACCGGTGAGAACAAGGCGTTCATGCCACGAAAGACGATGGAGAGCTTGTGACAATGTAAGTCCTTGATATAATCGGCGGCCAACAGCGCTCCACCATGCATTAGCTACCTGCCCACTCGGCCATAGCCAGTCCTTGGCTTCGAGGCGTCCAGTATAGCGAGCGGCACCCCAAGCGATGATGGCAAGGCCAGAATGCAGGCCAAGCGAGGGCGCAAGTGTGTCTTTCAGGATGCCCACGTCAAACAGTGATGCAGCCTGAACGTGTGTTTTTGAATGGGTGCGATCAGCATAGCCTACCGGAGGTACAGGGGATGACTTGTTGGAACTCGGGAGATAGAAGTTGTTGGGTTCACGGTCGGCAATCTGGACTTTGATGTCCGGCTCCTGCTTTCCGAACCATCCGGATGCCATTTTGTGGGTGTACGGATAGGAAAGGTTGGAGGTGCAGTCTTGGTGGAGATGAAGGGAGGATTGTGCAACTTAAAGCTTGAGCTCAGCTTCCCCGCACGAATTGCATACAACCAATACGGCCCCACCCCCGGATTTCTTTATTGACCAGACTATGCCGGATGAAGCTGCTGGCAATCAGGAACGATCGACAGGAATGAGCCAGTGAGCGAGAACCATTATACGAGGCTATTCGTTGGTGAGTGCCCATTACTACTCATCTGGTTAGTATTGGAATGACGTCAATGATGGGCTATCAGTGGTCATAGCGTTGGTGAATCCATCCTTGGTCACGTGCATCCTCACACACTCTACCTAGGTACACTCACATAAATAGATACAATGAACAATACATGTGGTGACTGATACTTCAAAGTACGATTGGTGGTATTTTCAGCTCAAGAACTTATCGTGGAGATTGTAAACTCGTTGCGCATACAGATACTACATGTACGAAGTCCGGAAATAATATGAACTTACCGCATTTGATTTAGCGTTGTGCCCAGCCTGTTGTACATCTTCATCGTTGTCACCCACGACTGTGCTTATGTATGGCTGCAAAGCTTTTACTTTAGACTCTTCATGTTCTAGCACGATATTAAAGATGGCAAAATTCACGGGATCTATTGCTCTACTCTCGCTCGGTTACCTGGTCCACGCACGCGACATTCGATTTCCGCCAGCCAGCGGGGTCTCGGAACAGATATCATTCGGAACATTGGATAAAATCGACGTCTCTACTGGCTCCTCTTTCGCCGGACTCACCACATATGCCAATCTCCCATATGTCCATTGTTTGGGTGGCGAAAATGAGAATATCGAGAAATATGATATTGCCATACTCGGGGCACCATTCGATACTGTAAGTTCAAATGTTGTTACGCAAGCACAGCATGCTTTCGATATTGGCGATACCACAAGGGAAACAAGTTTCCGACACCACGCATGCAAAATCCGTGGTGTTTCCCGAAGACACTTGCTCTCCCAACGAGGGCGATGTACCTACATTAATTCAGCACCATTATCTACATTGGGAAGGTGAAATCAGTGACACAAAATCCAACCGCAGCTGGCATTCATTCATCGTCAATGGCATTTGTCTCTCTTTGATTGCTTTGGCGGAACATGTCGATGGTCGCTAAGCTCCTCTTTTAAATCATTGTGATTATCATACTGCTGCTGTGGACGCACGAATGCAAGAAGTTGAGGCCAAGCTGATTGCATTCTTCAGGGGGTGACGGCGAGACCGGGGGCCAGGTTCGGTCCCGAGGGCATACGCCGGGGCTCACGGCGTATAGTTGCAGATTCGGCATGGAGTATCTATACGGGTGAGTGTAACCCCTATAGCTGGTACCAAGCGACAACTATATGACACAACCGCATGATATGGAGGCCCAAAATCTTAAGTCAATTCTGCACGTTCCGAAGAGAACGCACATATGCAGTCACGATGCAACTAAACAGGCTGACGGCAAATGATGTGTAGGCAAGAACGCATTCTTGGATTGGGCGAAGATTGTCGACTGCGGTGATGCTCCGTTGACGTTCCTGGTAATCCCTAACATGAGATATAAATGATGGCCTCGTCTAACAGGTATCGGAAAGGACAATACTGTAGCGCTCCAACAACTTGATGCGAGCCACCAGGTTGGTACTTAACCCAGATGATAAAACTATACTAATAGTCGTAGATTGTGTCTGGGCGTTCAGCAAGGTCTGGGAAGGATCGAGTCCCCAGAATTATCACCTTGGGTGGTGGTACGTGTCAATTATTGCTGAGAATGATCATGGCAAGCTGATTACCCGAGAAGATCATACGACAACGCTATCCGCTTTGCGTTCGACTTATCAGCACTGGGGCGCTGTCAGCGTGATCCACTTCGATAGTCATATTGGTAAAACTCGAACCGTCCACATGCATGACAGCTAATGATTGAGCGATCAGATACTTGGGACCCTAAAGTCTTGGGAGGTGGCATCTCGCACTATGCGTGGGTGATGACACATGAACCTATCGTGGTGATATCGCACTAATGATTTTGACAGTGGCGTCAATCACGGCACGTTCCTCCATATTGCTCACGAAGAAGGCTTGATCCGAAACTCGTCCATGCACGCAGGGATTCGAGCGCCCGTGATGCGTCCAAAGGGAGATTTGAGGAACGATATCCGATGCGGATTCAAGATGATCAAAGCTAGACACATCGACCAATTCGGAGTATCGGGAGTTATCGGAGAGATCAAAGATAGAGTCGCAGGTTCTAAGGTCTACATTAGTGTCGACATCGACGTGCTTGATCCTGCATTTGCGCCAGGTGAGTAACATGTCATTCGCCAGACGGGAAAGAGCGCCAGTCACTGATTGTGCTACAAGCGACGGGGACTGCGGAGGTTGGCGGTTGGACCACAAGAGAACTCCTCACGATTTTGGATGGTCTTTCTGGTCTGCATGTTGTAGGTGCAGATGTAGGTACGTCACATCCGAAAGTTCCTCTGATGATCTGAGGGGAAAGATTGATCCCAAGTAGTTGAGGTCGCCCCGATTTACGACAATCCGGGGGAAAGCACAGTTCTTGCAGCGGCCGAAGTGGTGCATTCGCTGATCGGTCTAATGGTTGATGAACCTGTGAAGGCGAAGGACTAGTAACATGTAAACTGGATCACGAACTAGCCATTTGGTGATGATTCTGCCGAGAACTCGATAAGATATGATGATCTTGGAAAAGGCCTGAATAGAGAAGTGTGGGTGGATGACTTGTACTGTAGAAAAGAGATGTGGCTGTGCTGTGGCTGGTGGCCAGATCGGGGTGGGGGTTCAATTACCCCTCCAATGCCTTCGACGTGTTCCGCAGTCTCACATCACGTTCACTTCCACTACCATCGATTTACAAAATGACCGAAAGTGAAGGACAGCATCCAAAGGAGAGGTTTGCTCCTAAGCAACCAGTCGAACTTGCGCCTCCAAAAGATGACATCATCAGCTTGGAGTATCTCTCCAAATGCGACGGTGGGGTTCCTCTGCAAACCTACATAGAGACTGAGCCTCAGTGAACTAACGACACCCGCATCAGGGACGAATGATGGCTACCCCACACTAGTGGCTATCAAAGTATGCGGAGCTTCCCATCTTGAGTGTTCATAGGCTTACAGATCTCATAGGGAGATGTCTTCGATGTTAGTGGGAAAGACGTATACGCCCCTGGAAAGTCATATCATGGTATGTAGAACAGGGGACGTATAAAACACCTAAACCATACTTTGATACTGATTCGGTCACCGGGTACAGTTTTCACGGGGAAAGAGCCCAACCGCGCGCTCGGCATGTCTTCCACCAAAGCTGAAGATTGTGTGTCCGACTACTCTGGCCTTTCTGAGAAAGAGATGCAAACTTTGAATGACTGGTACACATTTTTCTCGAAGCGTTATAACATCGTTGGCCGCCTTGAGAAAAGTGCTACTCCAGCTTTGTAGATGTATATTTGGGAAGCGTGGCTCGATCAGCTCTTCTCGCAAAGCACATGTATTGCTTTCAAGTCGTTGAGCGTAGAATACAACAATTTTGGAAATATCTTCTACCCACAAACCAAGCCAATTATGGGTTCATCAACTGACTTATCCAAATGGCCCTAATCTACATGTATACTTGATTTGGGGGTCATTAGAGTTGATCGCTTGCAAATACCCGATCTTGTCCAATCGCCAAACAACTTCACACGGCAGGATGCAGAAACACGGGTTACATCAATCAAGCTGCATGTACAGCAGCAGAGGCGTTGCTTGAATTCATACCAAATACATCGCGTGATATCCCATACACAGACAGATAGCAAGCTCGAATGCAACACACTTCAGGCAAAAAAAAAAAGATTGAACAGACAGTAATGCACCATGCGCCACAAGCCGCCTTACTCAAGAGTAGGGGGAAACAAATGCCGATCTCCAGATTCGCAAATCTCATCTTCCTCTCGGTATACCGTACATTCTATGTGCCGGGGTGAATCCAGGAGCCCGCTTGGTGCACTCATCGCACGCGCTCTCCGTCTGTTCATAGTCTTTCAAATATCTCCAAGCACCAAAGCACTGATGACCTGGATCATTTCGGGCAAAGTGGCAGTACTGAACCAAGCGCGTTTCGGTGTGGCGACATAGAGGAAAATGAATTCTTTCATACAAGCACATCGTGGAAGGTCTCTGTGATATATCTGATACTTAGTGGGTGCTCATTTGTCTGACTAGTATCTATTTGAAGTGAAGTTCATACCTTGACCTTATTATGCTGAAGAGTATTTGGGTCGATTGAGTAGTGAAGTTTTGCTTCCGAGGATGATTTTCCGGTTCAGAGCGATACTGGGACGACAAGAGTGAATGATGATGGTTTGGATTTCAGATTGAAGTTTCCCGAACAGTTCGTTTTCTTATAGCTGATTGTGATTATGGCAAACACTAGACCCCCCTTTGATATTTTCCTACAGCCGCTGAAAGCGACATCCTTTCCCCACCCACCTAACGGAAGGGGATGCATGTACATAAGCTGTGTTGCCTTCCATGATCAATCAAGGGACCTGCAGCTTGCGCTTCCCACCTAAGTTGGACCTATACCAGCGCCCCCGGATCCAACAGATACAAATAGAAGCCAATCCAAGGCGTCAGACAAGCACGCATGGATACTACATATAACAGGGATACTGGAATTCCATGTGCTGCAACAAGATAACAGTTCACGAAAGGTGTACTTGCAGAGATAATTCTTTTAGCAAAATTTATAAGTCAATCTTTGGGTTCAAGGGGCGATACCAGCTTGTTTGTCTTGTAAGTTGCATATCTAATTGGCTTATAGCTCGCTCTACTAAGTTTACAAGGGGAATGGGGAAGCCTCTCCAACGTTAAATGATGTGTTTAACCCCGCACTGGTGGTCGTCCTCGAGTATGGTCAAGATCTTGAGCGCACAGCATAAGCCCACACAACCATTGAAGATGTGTATACAGTTAAAGAGATAGGCAAGAACCGACATTCAGTGTACAAAGTTTTCCCAGAACCAATCAATGTGGCCGGGAGAAACTCCCGGGCACCATTGCCAAAAAAAAGAACTCGGCGTGGGGGGAAACAAAAAAGGACTGCTCAGCTTTTTACAAATTGCTATCATCCGTCATTCCGCGCATCGTACAACATAATGCATGCCCAGCGGCCATGTGCTCTAACGAATACGGCGGCATCGGGCAAACCACACGCTGTGCCATGCTTGCTTTTTTCCTCAACTCTGCATCTGTTTGCTCGTGCTGGCGAGGTGCATAGATGCAGTTTTCCCCTGCATTTGCTTAATTGAAAACGTGCAAAAATCTATCGCACATGAATAATGCGCCGTGGGTGCTGAGAACGGATCGTGACGCGAATGAGCAATCAATTCTGATAATGCAGATGAACGATCACAGTACATGTCGCTCAATACAAAGATGATAAAAAACGATATGATATTTGACCTCCTCGGCCAAACTTCGACACCCACTGGCTCGCTATGAAGGATGAATTGCATGGTCCATCACATCAACGATTTATAGATCTGTGGTCGCTATCTACGAATCACGTCGCGCAAGACCGTTAGAGCATGTGCTATGATACGTGCCACATAGTCCACACTATAGTTTCTTCACCGATCATGCAGGCATCTACAAGAGATATTCTAAATTTCCCCATCTTATGCCCCACGTTGTAACGAGTCACAGATGGCCGTTCACACCACCTCATCGAGTCATGCACTTCGACAAGAAAGTTTGGTGTAATTTTCAGAGAGGAAGGAATGCGCCCACATGCATTCACTATAATTATTGCGTATCGTGGTAGTGATGTTTATAAATGCTAGCGCCAGATTTGAACTCAATTTGTTAACAATGGAAACACCTTCAATACCACACTTCTCCCCTGCTTCTGTTACTTGTTACTGACAAAATCTCACCTTAACCATGCCAATATCAAGAGCGTGAAAAGACAAGATAATAAACACCAGCAGACGAAAACTGGGTTATCGACTCGTCCAGCACCACACAAACGCCATGACCCATTGTACCTCTCCCTTTGTAGCAACATACTATGTCGCTGCATGCAATTCCGTATTCCAATCCTGCTTCGCGAAGCTTCCCCAAATACACAAATATGGGGGAGGGTGCGGGGAAGCGGGATGGGTCTAGGATCAGATCGCAAGACTCGAGATCAGAAGGAGTATTTCTCCTGACGCCTCGTTGACACAAGCAGCATATGCACAACCACCAACATACATACATACAACTCGAGACATCAAATGTAGCACAGCATCACTGCGGGGAAGCGGAATTGAACCATGTAGCATGTAATGATGTGGGATGGGGAATATCGGCTGCAAGTAACTGGTTCGGTACGAGAGGTTTGATTGGGTGTTGGAAGGGAGGTGAGACCGGGCTGTTGGCGGCGCGACGTTGTACCCGAAGCTCGGGATTTGGCCGAATACATCAATTGTTGTACGAGATTGATGTACAAGCTTTGCAGGTTGTTTGGGATGGGTGAGATTTTCCTGGAGGAGATCCTGGTCGCGAGATATTGGACAGTATGGTCCTCTTTGAAATTGATGAACATGATCACGGCAACTTATTATTAGGGATATATACAATCACGAAGAGTAGAGACACATGAACAGTGAAGTACGATGAGAGCAAATGGGTATGAATGTATGATCCACCGACGACTACTGAGAAACACATGGAAGATAAGCGTGTTCACAACACCTCATGCCTTCCCCTTCTTCCTAGCACGTCTTGCTTCTCTTTTCTTTTGGATGATTCTAATCTTCGCTTTCAACTTATCGTCTCCGTTTGCTGCATCACCCCCATTCGCGGCATCCCGACGTTGTGGTCCACTCGCTTCTCCGTCCGGTTCGTGTTTTCGTTTTTTTCCAGCAATAGGCTTCTTGCTAGCCCCACGGGCTGTACTACCATCGGCCTTTGTGTCGGCATCTTTCGGCTTAGGTTCCTTGTCTTTAGTCTCACGGTCAGATCGACGGGCTACCACGTTCGCGTTGTCGATGGCGAACTCGACGATGAGTCTCTTTTTCTTGTCCTGAGTCGCTTCTCTGGCTGCCTTCTTGCTCTTCGGCTGTTCGCCTGCCACTTTGTACTCAACTGCATGGCCATTGAGCCAGCGCAGACCCATAAGTGCGGCACGATGTGTGTAGTACTCGATGAAGCCGTAGCCGCGCGACCGTCCCGCTCCAGTGTCCTCGGCGGTCTTGCTGCCGGAAGGTGTCTCGAATACTACCTTGGCTTGTTTGACAATACCCTTCCCTTTGCGCTTTCGGGCTTTTTCGGCATTTACCATCTCCTCCCCACCACGAGACACCTCTTCCTTGGAGAGGCGCTGGCGCTTTCCAGCCTTGATGTCGTGGGCGAACCCAACAACTGCTTGGCGCGCAAGCGCTTTCAGGTCCTTACTGGTCGTGCTGCGGGGAATGTTGCGTACAGAAAGACGTGTCAAACTAAGATGAAGCCCAGGATTCTCCTGAATCTGTTTGCGACGAAGATTGGCACTTTCTTCACGCATCTTGATTTCAGAAGGTGAAAGTTTCTCGTAAAGAGGTGACTTGGCGTCGAGAGTGCCTTCAGATAGAAGGTAGAGACGTCGCTTGTCCTTGTCGCGGTTGAACCGCGTAGCTGCTCCTTCAGCCGTAAGTCGTGTGGCCTCTGAACGATCCACAGCACGTGTTATCTGGAGAACACGTCCGTCCATTGTGTATTTCCCGCTAGGATCCGCGTCTTGATCCTCCAAAACTGAATGTATGTTCGTGATGGTAGTGCCGTCTTTTCTGTCTGTCGTTGTCTTCGTGAGTTTAGTACGCGGGACTCCTTTGAGACACTCAATCATATCTTGTTCCTTCACAAAGCGAACGAAGCCTGTGCCTTTGGGTCGTTGAGTCTCGCGGTCGGTGACGCATCGCGCAAAACCGATGGGACCAAACTGCTGGAAATGTTCGAAGAGCATGTCATCATCCACGGTGAACGGTAGATTGCGAATAAACACGGTGTACTCGGGTGATTTCGGCTTGTCATCGTCGAGGGCAACGCCGCCATCTTCGTCGCTGTCTGGATCATCCTCGAAATCGATGTCATCGTCCTCTTCTTCCTCATCATCGTCATCATCATCAGAATCCGAAGACACGACAGATGATTCTGCATCCGAATCTTCGGCTTCTTTGTTATCCGCGTCCTCTTTCTCTGCCTTTTTCTGAATCTCTTGCCATTCTTCCTTGTCGACAGCCCAATCGATAGCGATGGGTCTGCCGTCAATCTCTTTTCCATTCAAGCTTTCCATAGCCCTTTCTGCATTCTTCTTGCCACGCAGAGCCACGAAAGCGAAACCTTTTAGCTCTCCGTTGGGTTTTTTGGGCAGGGTGACGAAGTGAACTTTTCCGTAGCTCAAGAACATCTTGGTCAGCTGTTCCGGCGTCTTGATAGTCCATGGCAAGTTCCGGACAATAAGTTTGGGCGCCTGGTTTTCCAGCTTCTGCTTTTCACGTTCCGCCCTCACTCGCGCTCCGGCAGAGGGGGCGACCGCACCCGACATATCGCCATCGCCTTCTCGATGTCTGCTCTCTGCCAAGTCAATCCTCATTCGCTTTCCTCTCAATTCACTTTTGTCTAGTTCTTCCTTGGCCCTCAGTGCATCTTCAGCGTCGGCGAAAGTAACGAAACCATATCCTTTCGATTCTTTTGTATCTTTGTCGAGGACGACGAGCGCATGCTTGATCGGATAGTTTTCGGAGAAGAATTCCGTCAGGTCTTCGGAGGTTACGGTCTGCGCAAGGGAACGGACGAAGAGCTGTTTGCGAGCGGTATCTTTTGAGATAGCCTTGACGGCGCCAGACGTTGTTTCGGTGTCGGAGGTCGCGGTGATGGCTTCTGCACCATCTTGAGAAAGACGCTGTCTTTTACGTCGTGGTGCCATGATTTGCAAAATTGAAAATTTGGGTCGCAAAACAAACGCCGCTTCTCAGGAACTTTTGCTTCGCGAACTTTTCTTTTCCCAGAAATTTCCAGTAGCGGACAAACTATTCGCCGCGCTAACGTCTTGGCGCACAGACCAATCGGACGCGTTCATGGCTAAACCGCATCCACATGAAAGCTTCAACAATTTTATTGCTCAATGCTACCTATACCATCCTCCGTCTTTCACGGCCTCGACTTGGTCACTGAGCTCGAGGGTAACAATACAGTAGTAACAACACACAATAACGAAACACCTCCGGCCAGATACAGTACACTGTTGGCATCCTTTCCGTTCCCAGTTCCACCCCCATATATACGCTGCGCAATCAGCGGACTAATAATTCCGAAGAGCCTTCCCCAGAAGCTTGCTAGCCCACATGCTGTGCCTCTGATGGATGCCGGAAACACTTCGGGTGTCCACCCATACAGAACAGCATTAAACATGCTTTGGAATATATATTCGGTCATGTTGAGCCCAATCGTGGAAGCGGCCGTGTTGATGGTGCTGAACGCTAGAATGGAGATTCCCATTAAAGCGGAGGAAAGAACCATAGTGTATTTGCGGCCGAAGTAGCGTGTGCGATAAAGCAGAGACCCTAACAGAACGCCTATTGTACCTGGAAAGTATATGAAGATGTATGAACAATAGGTATATCTGAGAGAAAGGCTCAAAGCCCCGTTCTTGAGGGCGATAATCTGTGGCAGATAAAATCCTGCTCGTGTGAACTTGGTTAGTACAAGTTTACTCAGGGCTCCCTTCGTAAGATAGGATACCAACTGACCAGCGATCGTGAACCCTGAATAATCGAAGACGTAGGTCAACCATACGAGAGTTGTAAGCTTCGCCATCCGAGGTGTACTGAAGAGAATCTTGAATCGGTCTGCTTCGAGTCTGCACTTCTGACTCCATGATTTTTGCAGCTGCCTGCTTCGGTTCATCATAGAACTTTCGTTCTCGACACCGTTTGCAGTGTCCCAATCAGCCTCTAATTTTTGGAATGATTCCAATGTCAAGCTAGAGGGCTTTCCGTTTATCTTTGCTACATGGTGCAGGACTTTGATTGCCTCGACATCGCGATCTTTGTGAATGAGAAATTTCGGAGACTCCTGAACGTCAAACGCAAAGCAGCGTAGAAGGAAACAGGCTGTTGTACTTGTACCGAGTGTGAACAGCAGATAGCGCCAGCCCATGTTATCTGACTTGGTGCAACACGACTGAGTTGGTATCTTGCTCCCTACACACGTAGGCAGTGGTTCTAGCTCGGTGAAATTCGGCGAGCATGAATATGCAGGTATGAACCCATAGGCGATGATTGAGCATAACGTGACACCGATAGGCTGGAAGATCGATAGAAGGGGAAGAAGGTATCTGCGATCACTCGGTGTGAACTCTAAAGTGATCAAGGTATCGATAGGTATATTTCCTCCTACGCCCCATCCGATTAGAGCAGTCAGCATCAGGATCGTCGGGTAAGTGTCTGGGAGACCTAAACACATTCCGAAGACGCTGGCTGTGAGGACGGTGAGATTGAACCTATTGATGCCTCATGAGCTTACATTCCACTTCGCGTGGTGCCATTTGACTGCAGAGTTGATACGTACGCCCACTTCCGCCCGATTATATCGACCAAGATGCCCCACATAAAAGCTCCCATTGTCAGTCCACATGAGAAAGCAGTGGACAAATTTCCAGTTTGGGCATCACCAAAACCGAGCTCTTGTTGCATCGGTGATAGGATGAGACCAAAAGCTTGCGCCCACATAAGGTCAATCAGATAACCGAGACCGCAAAGCGCCCAGAGTCTCCACTGGTACTTTCCCATGCCGAGAGACTCAATTTCCAAGTCTACCATGCGGCACTTGAGGTCATAAAGCGATTCAGGTTCATTGTTTGGTGGTGATGAGTCGTCATCCTTCCCAGGGACATGACTGCTAGTATCCATCGGCCCTCTCTCACCATCATCTGTCGATGCAGCTGTGGGGTGGGTAGAGTCTGGGCAGAAGGTTTCTTGCAAGAGTGGTCTTCGTTCTTCGGGAGAAGACATACTGGATATAAAATAGAGGCGCCCCAAAAAGTGGTGTGCTGAAGTCTCCGAATGTATTAAACCTAGGAGGCTTCACGCGATAGTGCGCAACGTTCATCGTGGTCGAGGTTGACTTCGAGGACAGTAATTTCCACGTACGTCAGAGCCACACCAAAGTTATCTCGGGTGGGGGGGACAATCTATCAATGTCAGGTTGCCATCGGTCAGACTCCAGGAATGGATGCGCCGCATTGTTGAGAGATAGCGGGGTATCTGTGGATAGGTTAGGACACTGTTTTCAACCCCTAAAAACTAAGTACGTACCTGAACATGTATTCAACATTTGGCCATTTTTTACAACAAATATGGAATGTGGATTACATCTCAGTTAAGCTCTACGAAACAATCGAGCTGTTGGACTGTTGTCGCTTAATACTAGGTGGTAGCCACAACGGCTATACATGCTTAAGTACACATATTTATTATGCAGGCAGGTAAGACGCAAATGATCCTTGTACTCAAGTGCTATCAAGATCCATGTATGAAAATCCAACACCAAGTCTATCCGTGAATCTCTATGTCAGAAAATCTCGCTCGTGTGAGAGCAAGTCCACCCCACAGATAACCTGAAGTCGCGACTACCCGACTGCCAACAATGTACATGTACCTCACCCGCTTCTTGTTCTCAGAAGCATCCACTCATCTTCGACTTTGGGTCACTAAGAACTTTCTTCTTGAATGAATCATAAGGCTCAGTGATCCCCTTATCTATATTAATTCAGCAAGGTCCACTTATATGGTTTCTTATGCCTCATTTCACTGATACCTCCTATGGGCACAATATAATTTTTTAGCTATACATGGGCTTTCCTTTCCGGAGTCACAACTTTGGAATCAACGAAGGCAGAGAAGAGTCGAGAGCCCCGGAAAAATAAAAATCGAGTTTTGGTATTTGGTTGCTAATCCACATGTCTTACAAGATGTCGGCTCGCGTGCGTCTAGGGTAGACAAAGTCTTATGGTGTCAAAAAAATAAAAAATTCTGCGACAACGCATGGGGTACAAAATTGAACCTAGAAACACATGGACAAACTAGGAATTATGTCGGGTATTGCATCCCTGGCCCAGTGCTGAAAGCAAAACTCCTTTTTTAAAGCTTTTTGTTGCCCGTCTACTTTTTGTTTAACCTTTTTTATCATTATTTTTAAGTGTAGGAATCACTGTAAATTCCAATCAAAAAAACCTAGGAATTATGTACACTGAGAAAGTTTTCATAGCGATTAACAACAAGTCGAAGTCGCCTGTTCAAGATTCTCTCAATTGATGTGTTTTCGTCTGAAGATAGTGTACAAGATGTTTACTTCCTACATAACCCTTGCGCTACACTAGACGCTGTGCTTCTTCCTTGTTATGAAGAATACTGTACTTTATTAGGGTATCGGAGACAATACTAGCATCATGAATATAGCTTCACATTATTTCCCCTTCCCTCTGCTCTTCTACCTTCATTGGATCGTACAATGCTGTAAGCTTCGTGTAATTCGCCTCTCGGCGATGAGATTTCTGGGCTGCATATAATCATCTGAGTTTACGTTCAAAACTATTCCGACGAACCAGGCAGAGAGTCCGGTGTTCTTTAACGTAGCGCTATGTCAAACTACATTAGTAGATGAGTCTATAGCAGAACGTTTAGAAGGAAGGTATACGTGTGTGACAAAGGAAACGGCAGTAGTAGGTGCTAAACACATGATCAATCTTAGTGAATTTGACAACCCGTGTACATTTCAAAAGGAACATGGCTTTATCGAATGCACTTGTCGCTCGTGTCCCATGTGGATTCATAGATACAGTTACTTCAGCTTGTTTTGTTCCGTCGCAACCTCCGAAGAGAGATTGAGGGAGCTTGCCGCTTCATTGATTAGATTCTCGCTGGTTTTTCGGGTTTTATTCAAATTGTTGTTCTCATTATCATCATTCCGGGCTTTATTTCCATCAGCCTTATCATCATGCCCGCTAGAAAGGCGATGTTCTATATGGAAAGTTGAATTCGGGCGTCGGATACTGACACGAAGAGGGCGAACGTCAAAAATGTACTATCGATTATTTGAGACTCGAAACAAACCAAGCACTCCTGATTGAATCTACCATGAGATTGATGCTGAGTGAACATCGAGAGTGCAGGCGGCGATAAACGAAATTTGATGGTTGTGTTCCCAACACGGATTAGCGCCACAACTAGCGTTTTGCCGAGAGCGCACATTCACTTTGGAAACCTCAATTTGATCACAACACCAGCGACACACAACTAACCCGCAGCCCGCCCTCAAGATGAAGTACATGTACGCACCCCGTCTGTCCCTGAGCATTACAAGCCCTTTCGTATATCCTCGCGCCGCCCTCCCCGATGGGATTCTCCAATCCAGTTGGATGCGAACAATCACGCAAATGTCAAAATATCGAACTGTGCTGACAATTGCGCGACAGCCACTCCGAGGAACTGCTCGAAATCCCCGAGGGGGTCAAGGTCTCCATTAAGACCAGGAATGTCGTCGTCGAGGGCCCCCGAGGCAAACTGTCAAAGTCGCTCGGTCACTTGGCTGTCAGCTTCTCTCACGTATGTTGGATCGACCATGAAATCCTCGTGGCCGAACGCTAACAGTGTGTGCAGCCCAAGAAGAACACCATCAAGATTGAGCTTCACCACGGCTCGCGCAAGAGCGTCGCCACGATCCGAACTGTCCGCTCTCTCATCGTATGTCGCAATATCCGATCGGAATTTAGAGAAGGAATGGAAGGCTGACTAGGGTAGAACAACTTGATCATTGGTGTCACCAAGGGCTTCAAGTACAAGTATGTCAAAAATGGCAATTATTGGGAGACTCTGGCTAACAAGAATTAGGATGCGATACGTCTATGCCCAGTACGTATATTCCATTTGAGCTTGCACTTGCATATCACACAACCCCTCGTCTGCTGCTACAACCAATCGGTCGCTACAAATTTTCGAATCATGCCCGCACCAGGATTGGTCGGGAATGTCAATATCGCCACGCTACCGACCGAGAAGACGTCGACACCGTACCCCCGCAATACACTCACGATCCCGAGTCGCACTCACATCCCATACCACTGCTGACCCTGGACTAGTTTTCCCATCAACGTCAACATTGAGAAGAACAAGGAGACCGACGTGTACGAAGTCGAGATCCGTAACTTCATCGGCGAGAAGATCGTCCGAAGGGTCAACATGAGACCCGGTGTCACCGTTGAGATCTCCGCGAACCAGAAGGATGAGCTCCAGCTCACCGGAAACGTAAGAAGGGCCCTTCAGTGCGAATGTGTGAAAGGCAAATGACTGACATGGTACTAGTCTCTCGAGGACGTCTCCCAGAGCGCCGCCGACATCCAACAGATCTGCCGTGTCCGCAACAAGGATATCCGAAAGTTCTTGGACGGTCTTTACGTGTCGGAGCGGGGCAACATTGAGGAGGAGGCGAGCTAGACGGTTTCTTGGGCGCTTTCTTACGGGCATATGGACTTTTCTGCATCACGCACGGTGTGTGAACTGGCGCCTTGGGGGAATTAGCTGAAAAATCTGTTCAACGAATGAACGAATACCAGTTCAAAATTTCTCTACACGTGAATCCTTCTAGCAATTCTATTGTGCATTTCCCTCACATGCTTTCCAAGGTAGCTGTGGTACCACCAGTCAATTGTCCGGACGTGACGTGCAATGGATACTAAAGTCCCGATGGTTGCAGCCCAATCGAGCGACAACGCGTTGATCAACAAGTACCTAGGCGAGCAACGCTCTAAACCGAAAGTACCAGATGGTACGCATCCCACGTTTACCCAGGGCATGGTCGGAGCTGCAATCACTCTACGCATGAGTGTTTTCGAATGCTACAACTTGGTGTCTCTGTGCACTGTTGCAAATCCAAACAAGGTACAAGAGGAGATGGTAGGGACAGTATATACATGGTGGACGAGGGAGCATCAGCAAACGGGGACTTTAAAGGCTATCACCGCAAAAGCCGCCATTCAACGTCATGACGCTGCAGCAGATTTGTAATTATCCGCGGACCATCTGGACTACGGCTATATAAACGACAGAGCACGGCATGTATTCCTTGTGACGGTTATTGCGCATCCGATCGCCTCGCTGGGACGCCTTGCCGATTGTATCTAACAGGTACCCCGCCACCCGTCGCCAGTGTCTCCCCCCACCACCACCAAAACACAATCAACCATGCCTTTCGACGTGCAAGCGTTGCTGAAGGAGTCCAAGGCCGAGTACAGGCAGCTTGGGAAGAGTGGACTGAGAGTTTCTGTACCGATTCTTGGTGCTATGAGCATTGGAACTAAAGAATGGCAGCAATGGGTACGTTTTCTGATATCGATCAAACCACATGAATGCTATGAGACTGATCATTTGGCAATTACTGGTATCAGGTCATTGAAGAGGACGAAGCACTGCCGCTTCTCAAAGCTGCTTACGATCGTGGAATTACAACTTGGGACACAGGTACATTTCTACTACTTCTTCATCATCATCACGAATATGCTGTTCCAGGTATTTGTAACTGACATGTGACTGACCAGCCAATGTGTATTCCAACGGCGTGTCCGAAGAGCTGATCGCCAAAGCCATCAAGAAGTACAACCTCCCGCGGCACAAACTCACCATTCTTTCCAAATGCTTTGGTGTTGTGGGAGAGTCGCCCGACGTGCGTAGCGTCCTCTTTCGCGACGAGATGCCGCAGCTCAAGGACTACACGAACCAGGGCGGGCTCTCCCGCGCTGCCATCTTCAACGCCGTAGATGCATCGCTCAAGCGTCTAGACATGGAATATATGGATCTGCTACAGATCCACCGCTTCGATCCCGATACGCCGCTCGAGGAGACGATGGAGGCGCTGCACGATCTCATCAAGAGCGGCAAGGTTAGATACATTGGGGCCAGCTCCATGTGGGCGACGCAGTTTGCGCAGATGCAGTTTGTGGCCGAGAAGAACGGATGGACCAAGTTCATCAGCATGCAGAACCACTACAACCTTCTTTACAGGGAAGAAGAGAGGGAGATGAACCGATTCTGCAACGCCACGGGTGTTGGGCTGATCCCGGTATGTTTCCCGAATTCCCCTCCCCATCAATCTGTTTCTGTTCCAGGTCACTTTGCCCGTTCGGCGGAACGAGTTCAGCTCCCCATACTTGATGTTGGAGAATGTGCTTTGCTAACCATGGATACATGGTAGTGGGCGCCCCTCTGCCGCGGACACCTCGCGCGACCGGCGTCGGCCTTCGGACAGACGATTCGGTCCGAAGCGGAGAAGAAGAACGGCAGCTCGCTGAACCAGGACTCTGACATGAAGACGATTGCGCGCGTTGAGGAACTAGCGAAGAAGCACGGGTGGAGCATGAGCACGGTGGCGCTTGCGTGGATCAACAAGAGAGTGGCCAGTCCTATAGTCGGGTTCAGCAAAGTGGAGAGGATGGACGAGGCGTTGGAGGCGAGGGGCAAGGTGCTGTCGGACGAGGAGGAAGCGTATCTGGAGGAGTTGTATACACCCAGGAGGATCATTGGACACTGATTGTCTGGGGTTGGAAGCTCTTTGGATGTCGAACAGTGTACATAGACATGTAGTCAGAGAGTAGTACGCGCAGTGGTGGAGTATCGATAGCCATTTGGATGTACACGGCGAGCGAGCGAGCACGATGTTGTCAATCATTGTAGATGAATCAATTGATGTCTGAACTAGACAATATGGTTGTTTGTTATGACTGGACAGCCATCGGTGTGCAGGCAAATCAAAGCACATGACAGGGCGGGGAAAGCAGACGCGTACGCTTCAGTGTACTCTGAGACGAGGCTGATGTTAATGGTTCGCGGGTGGGATGACGTAAGGCGGATAATCGCGTGAGTGTCACCTCAGGGAGCGGCGTGTATTCCGGCGGCGTGGTGCATTGATTCATTCCTGGTGATGGCAACAATTCAACAGGCCATGAATGGGTTTTTTTTAGGCATTGCTCTGGTGGCTCATCTACATACAAAGGTAGATCTGATTGATGTATGTACCTATGTACATATGTACATAAGTACATGGTGGTGATGGATGGACTTGGGGGGAGGATGGGCGCGGCGGAAGACACCCCGCATTTTACCCCACAGGCCCCGATGCACGCGAGCACTTAACGCCAGGGGGCCCGTGCCCAGCCATCTGCGCCGAAGCGGGCCTAGCGCGCAATTGGTGGTGAGTGCTCGAAGCGTCTGGCTGGAGTGGTGAGTGGTGGTGCCGCGATCAAGTGACTGAGAAACGAGCTGATGAAGCGTTATTTGATTGAAGCAATCGACCCGACCATCCGACCCCTCACCTGCTGCCACTAGCTATTAACTCCTTCATCCGCCCTTCTCCTCCTCTTCTCTTCTCTTCTTCCTCCACTCATCTCACCTCTCCCTTCTTCGTCTGCCTTCATCTTGCTACATACAGACACCAACTACATCATAGTTGCTCACCCACTAGCTGCTCTCCAGCTCTATCGCACCACCACCACCACCACAATGGCCGAGACGGAAAACACCCTCTCCAAGGTCGATTCTCTCGTAGAAGAGCCGCCAAAGGACGCAAAGCCCGCCAAGCGAAGAGGCAGCTCTCTGCATGCTGATGTCTTCAACATGGCTGATCTGGGTAAGTTGCTCCCGCTATCCATCTCCCATGGCTGGCCTGTCATCCCTCCTGAGCGGGGTCCGAGTGAGGGGATGCGGGGCTGACAGGTCCGAACAGAGAAGGAAAACAAGGAGATCAAGATCGCTCCCGAGACCCAGAAGCTGAACTGGTAAGCACAATTCACCTTCCTCTCCCTCCCAGCACCTATCTTGCTCCTGCGACATCTCGTCGCCATCTGGCCCGGATGCCTCGGCTGTCGTGACCGGTGCTAACTCGGTCCCAACACAGGAAGCTCAACACCTCCCCCGCGACTCTCGAGGACAAGGACATCCTCAAGAAGCCGCTCTGCTTACCACTGGTGCGGAAGATTGATCTCCACTTCCCACTCGGTCTTGAGGTTACTGCGCGCAACCTCAAGGGTGTCACCATCAAGGACGCGCTGGATGCCATCTACAAGCAGTTCAAGAAGAAGGTAACCCACCCCATCCATTCATCCCGCACGCCCGGTTCCATGGCACCTGGCTGACCGTTTTTACAGCAAGATGACGAACTCGAGTTGCCCGTCCTCGCTGGCTTCGAGTGGGACCCATCAGAGTGCTACACCCGCTTCGTCGTGCACCAGAAGAAAGAAGGTGCCCCCGCCCCTTCCAAGAAGAAGAAGAAGGGCGGCAACACCGACGAGTAGTGAATGACTCGCCCCCTTGCTTCCCTTCAACTCGACTTCTAACACGGCCTCCCGAAGGAATACCCTGACATCTTGTACTGTGCTCTCTGCAACGGTGTAACATGTTTGTGTTTTTTCTGTCGGGCGCGCCCGGGTGTGATTCCGACAGGGAAGAGCGAGGCTCTTGTTCTGCTGCGGATGGCGATGTCATGAAACGGTCCTGGCTTGCTGCGGATCTGGTATGCTGTGCGAGGTTTTTTGTGGTTTGGCCTGGTCTGCTGATGCTATGGCTCATCTCTAGCGGTGGGAAAGAGGCCCTGCTGGGGAGAACACTGCTTTTTGGGCTGAAGGGGGTTCATTGCTGACCCGGTGTGGAAAGGCGACACCCCCTCCCCCTTGTTACATGTGTATCATACTAGTACCTTTAGTCGGGTCGCCGGACGGCACCCGCTGCAATACGGACTGGTCTTCAACTCAAACCGACCTTCGGAGCGAAGTGAATTGAAGTGATGTTGTTGTAGTTAAGTGCGCTGACATGGGTAGAGAGACCCACTCACTGCTGTGGAGTTGTCCTCATGCGGCAAGTCCCAAAGTTTAGCGATACTTCCCCTGGTCTTGTTTTCTCTCCACCCAATCATACTCATTCCATTACTGTTCTTAATTGATACTAACATTGATTTAGCATTGTTCTGTAGTTGCTCTGCGGGTCGATCTTCATGTCAATTTTCCAATCGCTGTAGAGAAGTGCATGTTGATACAGGAGGCATGCAACCATGCTTACTAAAGCCTCACTCGATGTCGCTCCCGATGTCCTATCGACCACTCACTGCAGCACGCAAACCGACCGCATTCACGACTCTAGGGAGGGACCACCCGTTCCTCACAGAGAGAAAACGAGGGAGACCTCAAGCTTGTGGACCCATTGGTACATTCCTACCAAAGCTTTCCGCAGCCATTCGAGCTAATCCCAAACCGGCCGGTCAGTCACCACCGGAAGCTACACTATCCGTCCTTTATCCTTTCCCGTCCTCTCCAACATACTCGGTGGCCATTGAACAAGAGATCCGCACCCCCCAAATCTCTTCAAATGACGGCAGCATCAATATACTAGGCCGAATTCAAGAACGCCGTTTTCGTCACCATGTAGCGCTACGTGATTCAGTGCTGCGGAGAAAGGCTATCCGATCGAAAGATGTGCATCTCATCAAAGACTCGTATTAGCCATTTTCTATAAAGCTTTCTCTGCTCGTTTCCTGCCATTCATTCTTTGCAAGAACACCGCTTCGTGATTGAGACTTGTCATATACCTTTCCAATTCCAACCATGCACCTCACCACAGCCCTTCTAGCCCTTGCCGGCGCCGCTTTGGCTCAGAACTCATCTACAGACCCATCACTGTGTGATAAATACACAACAGCCCTCTTCAAAGAGAACAATGCCACGAACCAGGCCACCCTCATCACTCTGCTAGTCAATACCGCCGTCATTGGTAATCGCTCACTTCCATTCATCACACGTTCCACCCTCATCAATCATGAAGCCCATAGCTGACCCCAGTGAACCAGGCAACTACACTACTTCACCCGCTCCCAAGAATACTGTTCCAGGAATCCTGGCAAAAGGCATGTTCAACGGCGAAGAAGTAAACCTACTCCCATACTTCGATGGCACGTTGGTTTCCACCAACGGCGGCGGCAAAGCCGTGTCCGTAAACTTCCTCGACGACGGCGGCGCAGAGCCATTGAAGAAAAACATGCCCGCGAACAGCATGGACTCGAAACAATAGTACGTCCCTACTCATCTATCTACCCTACCCTTCCTTTTCCCCATTTATCCTACTTTCTTCTAACAGCATCGTGTCTACAGTAAACTCCTAACCCACCTCTACCAATTCTTCTCCGCCCTTCTCAAATGCAGCACCTACGGCACCACCCCCGCCAACCCCTCCTACAGCGGCCGCGACATGGCCTCTTCGCACGCCTTCATGGCCCTCGACCCATCCGAAGTAGGCTACTTCATAACCCAAGTCGGGCTCTCGGCCGCCTCCTTCGGCGTCGCGCAAGAAGACGTCACAGCCGTCGGCGAAGCCCTCAACAAGCTGTTCGGGTACAAGTGCAGCCCGCCTGCGGTCGTGATCCCCGAGAAGGGAGAGACTCTGAACAGTATCTGCCAGAACGAGAAGTGCCCCTTGGATGCCATGGCCAAGTGCGAGGCGTATCCTAACAATGGGACTGTCGCTGAGCCGATGATGGTTGGAGAGAATGGGTCGATGAATGGGACGAATGCGACCGGCACGGGATCGCCGATGCCGCCTATGCAGACGACTTCGTTGGCTGCGAGCGGGAGGGTTTGGGATGATGTTTTGGTGGTTCTAGGGGCTGTTGTGTTTGCTGTTGCGCTCTGAGATGTGTGGGCTTAATATGAGGATATAGTGAACGAGGCACGTAATTAATCATCTCTATTCGTTGTCTGAAAATCTGTAAAGTTGTTACTGCAATGACAACGTATATACATGCTTATACCCTTCGTGATTCCAATTCTTACCCACATTTACATACGCCATCATCTCACATTAATTTCACTTTTCATCCCCTCTCTTCCTCTCTAATCTAAAACACTAGAAACATACACACATGAACAAAAAAAACCCTTACCCCCTCAAAGCAGCCCACCCCCCAACAACACCACCCAACCCAATCCCCACCCCCCTCACCAAATTCCACCACCCAAACACACGCAACAACCTCGACACCTCATCATCAACATCCTTACTAGACTCCCGTTCCGTCTTTCCCTACGGGCCACTAAGATCGCTCCACTGACTAACATCCCCCTTCCCATCCACCGACTCCTCCGCACTCCTCACCCCCTCCCCCTTCCCCTTCTTCCCCTTAGCAGCAGCAGCACTCTCCGCGGATCTCGACCCCCCAAGCTCCTCATTAATCCGAATAAGCCTGAAATTCGTAGGCAGCATGATAAACATAGTCACGGGCGCTATACTCGCCGTCAACAGCGCCGCGAGGGCGTAGAGCCCCGCTTGGCCTTGCGCTGCGTCCGTTATCTGCGTCCATGGCGTTGGAGATGTAAAAGAGGAGGAGGAGGGGAGGTGCGTGTAAGCGAGGTAGAGGAAGCCGGTTGTTGAGAGCGCGCTGGCGGTCGGGAAGATGTGGCTTCCGCGGCTGAAGAGCCAGCGCGTTAGAGGGAGCGCGCGGGACGCGGGTTGCGAGCGGATTTCGGGGATGTCGAAGATGGAGAGGGTTGTTATTGCGCCGGAGGAGAGGAGGGCGGTTGTTATGCTTGTTAGTTGGATCAGAGCTGTTGTGGTCGTGGTCGTCGTGGTTGACATGATTGTGCTCTTTTATTTTAGGGCGCGCTCGGCTTCTTTACTGTGTCTTCGTCTTCGTTTTTGTTTTTATTTCTTCGGGAGAAATGGTTAGGCTGCGCTGGAAAGAATATTCGGTTTTTGTATTATTGGTGTTTCCTCAGGAGAATTGAGGTTCCAATGCGCGGAGTCGATTGATGATAGGAATGGGTGTAGCGGATTTTCTGGTCGATTTAGAACCTTTGTACGAAAAAATCGGCTTGCGATTTGATTCGGAAAAACTAATCACGCAGCGTGTATTACTTCCTTCTATGGCTTTTCCCATGGTATTTATATTCCACTATGTCAATTGGTGATGTTCGTTCTAAGAGTAGTGCGAACAGACTGGACGAATGATGATGTCATTGTTTTCGCGCGACAGCTCGGAAGACAGCCGATGGATCTAATTCCTTCACGGTGCATTATCAGGCATTCAGATCACCAGTACTAGTCAATTATGCGTCATGTAAATCAATATTCGCAGGGACAATAGGCAATGCGAATCTGTTCTCGCTAAGCAAGACGGGATAATTATAGGCCGCCTTGGAGTAGCGTTGATCCGAGTAGATTCCAGTTGAGAAGGAGAGAATAGCCCAATTGAACAAAACATCTTCAATGGGGAGTTACTTACCGCTGTTCGCAAGTAGCCATTCTGTGAGAGTACCGAAGATATGGTGAATAAGAATACAAAAATTTCATTTTCTCCGAACCGTAGCACTCTGTTCGTGGGAATTTCCCTGGAAGTCAGTAGCTCAAATTGCCTGGAGAAGTCGCTTGGCGAAGCCACCCAAAACTTCAACGTAAACATCTAGTGAGTTCGCAAGATGTCATACATATCGGGCTAGATGAAATTGCTATGCTCTCATAAGGCTGAGTCAGACTTAGGCGTACTTTCAAAGGTAAGAATTGATTTAGGAATGCAAGCTGAAAAGCTCTCGTCCCTGCCTCAGAAACTTAAGACACGTCACAGCCGCAGCTCGAGGTTATAAACTTAGGAGTATTTACATAAAATTACTTTCAACATTAACCATTTCTACATTTCTTCGAAATGCCTCCTTTGAGCAACATTTCGTATTCGCAGGAAGAAACAATCACAGCGATCCGATCCTACTATGAGTTCCTGACGACGTTGTATCTACCGAACTCCGCCATCATTGAGCCACCTCCAGATGGCTGGCCAAACATCACACACTCACGTATGGAACCAATGGGGAAAAACCACCGAGTAATCGAACTCCTCCGCCACCTCCCCTACATCGAAGAGCCGAAAGACGACACTGATAGAAAACAAGCTGCCCCATATACCTACATGGCCGACTATCAGGACTCGAGCTTAGACTACTATCTGCGCTCGGGAAAGGGCAATGATCTCAAGATTATCACTGAAGGTGCCGCTGCATATGAGAATACGTCTGCGCACGTGGTAGGCCTGACGATTGGTGGTCGAGATAGCCCCTTCTATCTGCTCGATACAAAACTGGGAGTAGTGCACTGGGCTGAATGCCCCCGCGGTCCCCGTCAGCATCCATGGCGCGAACCAGTCACAGATGACGTGGAGAGTTTTGCCCCGCTTGAGGAGGTTGAGTGGCGGAGCGAGGCGCCGGCGTGGGCGATCAAAGACTTTTTTGAAGTGTTGAAGGAGGAGTTCAGAGCGCTGAGATTTGTCCCGCTCGATGAACAGACCGTGTTGGATGTGTATACCATACCCTCTTCTCAGACTGAGGGATTGGTACCGTTGCTGCAAAATATTTTCAGGGAGCATGGGTGGCCGGATTCACGGGTATTCAGAAGGGAAGCTTGTTTGGAAGCTGTGAGAAAGGCGTTGGAGGAAAATTATCCAGAGTATGCGAGTTAATTCTATCTAGGTACAAGAATGGAAAATCTATAAATATAAGCAAAATAACAATCAAACCTGTTTCCAACAGAATGAATAAAAGCACAAACCAAAACGATATCCATAAACACAGAACTAACATACTATTCCTCTAAGATTGCACCACTCTAAATCATTCGTTCACAGTCCATTTCTTCCAGGCGCATAAGGTAGATCATAACGGAACGGCGGATTATTGTTGGCATAATACGGGTCATAAGTCAAGAGCGCAAAACCCGGATCATTCGTGATCTGTCTTGGCCAGCAGGGATTTGTACTGAGCCCGTCGTCGGGCGACGGTGGTTGTGCCCACGATGTAATAGTGAATTCAGGGCGTGCTTCAACTGTCACACCGACATTGTACTCAGTGGAGGCTGCAGAAAGTCGTGTCAGCTATGGTACCGTATTACGATAGGTTCTATGGCTTACTAGGTGATTGGGGTCTAATCTGAACGCCAAAGTTCCTATTCTTCGCAGCATCCAGCATTTGCACGTCTGTCAAGGCTTTTAGGGGTACAGTAAAGCATTTTCCAGCCCACATGTGATTTGCAGCGCCTGAGTTCATGCCCTGAGGGATCCAGCGTATGAGTTGACCGGTAGAATCGATACCGGCTTGACGGTATGCGGTGTCTGCCGGGCTTAAAAGGTAAGCTGGAGGGTACTCGTCTGCTCCGCACGAAGGTTCGTCACGATAATCTTTGTTTTGCCAATTTTTTCCTTTATGCTGTCTCTTCCAGACCTTTGTAGCCTGTGCATGCAAGCGATCGCGGGACTTAGTGGCTGCTTCTTGCGGACATGTCAGTGTGGCCCATGAAGGGTTCACCCTGATTGCTGATGAATAGTGATAGCATGCCTGGGCATGTTTTGCTTCGCAATCAGCAAAAATCTGCGTTGGTTGAGCTGCTACTGCGTATGACAAGGAAGTGATAGCATAGGCGTGTGTAGTTACTACTCCTCCAACGCAGTCGGTGGAGATGATGGTGTTCGTCAATCTACGTATTGGCACCACTGCTCGTCTACGATTGCAAACTCCTGTTGCTGAAGAAGACGACATGGACGTTCTTGATGAAGTCTGCATAGTCGTAGGTGCTGGGGTAATCGGTACGCCACTGCCTCTGCTACTATGTACAACAGAATTATGAGCTCGAGCATCATCTAATTTTGTCGTTTCCGCTATATGCATGATCAACGAAGCGAAATACAGAGAACGTTCCATGTATGGTACTTACATCTGACATTTGCTATTTCTGCCGTTAAAGCGGCTGCAGCTGCAGTTGTAGGTCCAGCCACTGCAATGGCAGCTGCTGCCGTAGCCGCTTCAAGAAATGGTATCAAGGTACTGATTGCAGCAATCACAGTCGCATCCGAACTTTTGATTCTCGCCTCATTTGCCGCTATAGTTGGTAATTAGTGCGGAGATACTTCGTCCCATGTGACTTCGAGAATACATACCATCGAGAGCAGATTTTAAAGCATCATGGGCTGCTTTGGCTAAAGAGGCAGATGTTGGATCTTTTCCGTAAGCGTCTGATTGCTCAGCTGCATCATGAGCTTTTTGGCTGGCAACATCAGCCGCGACGATTGAGCCTGAACCCGTCGAAGATGATGTTGAAGACGAGGATTGTGAATTTGATGGAGATCGGGTCGTTGGAACAGCGGTGATTTGAGAAACGAAACTTCCTGAGGTATGTGCAGCTGAGGAAGAAGTGACTGTTGTGGAGATGAGGCGGGTTGACGATGAATCCGATCTTGACGAAGTCTGAGAAGAAGAAGAAGATGATGAAGCTTGAGAAGAAGACGAAGAAGAAGCTTGAGAAGAAGAGGAAGACGCTCGAGACGAACGAGAGGAAGACGCCTGAGAAATAGGAGAGGAAATCTGAGAAGATATCGAAAGCAAAGTTGAAGAAACTCCAGCAGACGAGGATTGAGAAACCGAAATAAAAGACGATGACTTCGAAGTTGAAGAAAGCAGACCCAAACTGGATGACGATATCCTAGAACTAGAGAGTGATACCGGCGGAACAATTAAAGTGTTCGAGGCCGAAGACGACACTTGCAAACTCGATCTCGGTGGCGCACCAGGTAGCGTAGCACAGTCCTGAAGCGGTGAAGGGGGATTCGGAGGATAGATGTGGCAGCCGGAGTTGCAGAGATTATACTGAACATCCTGACACTGGTCCCAACAGTCTCCGCCGATGCTATATTGCGCGTTTGCACAGCATATCTGAAGCATGCAGATTTGGACATGATTCGGATCTGGAGCACAGTGCGCAATCTGCGTGCCAAAAAGTCCACCGAGCAAGAGAAAAGAGAGCAGACGAGAACTCATGGTAAAGACAGAATTAACGAGAGACTTGAAAGAGGGGATGAAAAGAGTGATGGAAAGTTATCAATACTTTTGCGGTGATGCATCACTTATTGCATGATTTATACTGGCCAATTCTTCTCCGAGCATTTGCCAAAGTTGGTCCAGTCGAGTACATAATCAGGGGAATGAGTAGTATCGGAAAATCCGGAAAAGCTTGCTATCTTTACCTGTTAGGAAACATGCGACGAGGTGTATGGCGCACACATAACTTCACTGCTATTCTAAGATGATGCGAGTATAAAGCTTGATTGGCGTTGTGTCGGGAGGGAAGGGCCACCAGAAAGAAAAAAGATCTGTAAGCAGATTCGGCGTCGTGATCATTGAAATATCCAGCTGAAGCGGTCTGAGCAGATGTGGTTCGTTGCGAGGCTGACATGATCGGTAAAAGTAATACCCGTGGGTATGAGGACCGTAAGCATTCGCGGGATACATACTGATTTGGGAATTGAAGCGTTATACGCAATTTTTAAGAGGCGACGAGAACAAATATCAATTGTTCTGGTATCAGACTGACTAAAGCTGTGTTTACCGACAATAATGATGACATCGTGTGGATGGATGCCACTGTCTTCCTCAGACTGTCCTCATGGTGAGGTTCTTGGAACTTGGCTTGTGAGAGTGAATGTAAAGTGTCACAGAACTGTAAAGATGGCGATGGTAAAGATTTTGATATGCAGGCATAAATCTGCGACTCCGTCAATAATTCGACAATACTGCTGGTCGTAAGCACGGCGCAATAATGCTCACCAAGCACCTTCGAGCTCCAACCAAAGCCACGCTCGTGTATGTTGGTGCGACATGTTTGCGCTCGCTAACCTTATCAGTGGTGTCATATTGTCAGACATTGTAAAGTCAACGAAGTTCCTGTCAGTCACTAGGGAAACAACTGAACGAAAGTCCATTTGACAGATAGATAAAAAGCAAACCAACCGAGATGCTGGCCACCATTCTTAATGAGAAATATGGCTACTCTAATGAAATAAGATGAGCTCTTCCTTGCATCTCCCACGCGTGCGCACACAAAGGAAAAATCCGGTCGTCGCCGTTTCTGCTGTTTTGTATATTGTTATGTACAGTCCATCTTGGTAACCTGTAGGATCGAGGGATCGGATAGCTCGACTCTGCAATTACTAGCCCCGATCATATTGTGATACCATCTCTTCTAATCATATAATATGTGTCTGGGGTCGGTCTATTCCTTTTTTGACGCGTCCGGGTCCGGCAGGATACCCTCTGCTTCCAACCGACGACGGGCCTCTTCAAGAGCCCAAGTCTGAATACTGAAGCGTAGATGAAGTGCACGAGTTAGCAAAAAATCCAACTTCTGACGTCTCTCTCAATCACTTCTTCCGTCATGTGCCGCTAGTTCGTCGCCTCCAATGCAAACATCCCCAATTCCCAATCGACTGCAGAAGAAAGCTTACCTTGTATCCGGCTTGAAGGCATACGCAACAATCCCAAGCCCAATGCTACCGTAGAATCCCCAGAACCAGATAGTCTCCCACCCCTCTTTCTGGTATTTCTCGCCGGGCTTGACGCCGAACAGCCATCCAGAGGGCGGATCGTACGAGGTACCGTGGTCACCAGCTCTTGTGACAGTTTGCGAAAAGGGTCGGTTGATCTGGGCCTTCGGGCTTGTCTTGAGGGATTGGTGTGCGGTGCGCCGCGCGATGGCGCGGAGGGGGGCGAGGGATTGCATTTTAGCGGGAGCCGTAGAGAGGAAGTAAGCACGTGAATATGATGGGTGGAGTGGAGAGTGTGCGGGAGGCGCGGGCTCCGTCAAGGAGGACTGTGGTGGTGGATGTCGTCGGTGTGATGTGGAGGCGTTTGAAGGTGAGGTCGACACCTTGGCTTGGCACTTTTGGCGGCACGCTTGATTGGGTTTAGCGTTCCTTTTATCCAGTCGTAACGGATTGATGATGCAAAGGCAACTGATAAAATATTTGGAACTATGTAGTAGCAATCTGCCCAGTCATGCTTAGTAGAGTCTAGTGGTAATTTCTGGAATGAAATTTTGAAATTGGGTATATGTGTATGATACAGATGTGATGAACCACGAAAAATGCTATGGACCAAATGCTGATACGACGGCACATCGAACAATACTCGTTAAGCAAATTGCCAGCTATGCGTATCGTTCACCTGAAATATATGTCTAGACACAGTTCTTATTGAAGGAAGCTGTGCAAACAATCATTTGCACCGCGATAGCGACATATATGAAGCTTATGCCGGAACAAGTGTTCGCTTCTTCACCTTCTCTGCCGCGTCTTCATTCTGGTCGACTGTCAGCTGTGAGAAACTAGTTGAAGTTTCATCAAGCTCTGCAAGCCGTCCCGCTGTCTTATGAGCTTCTTGCTGCTCTAGCTTCTCACGTTCAGCTCGCTCCAGAGCCTCGAACTCTTCGTCGATTTCGCCTTCGTCTGCGGGTGTTGCCGTTTCGTTGATGATATTATTGATCTCATTTGTCATATCCATTTGCTCCTTGACAGAATCCACAACGCCTTGCACGCCTTCCGCGCCACCAACTTTGTTGTGTAAGATCTTTAGAGCCGCTGCCCCGGCTTTCATGACCTCCACAGTCTCGACCTGGATTTGTCCCTCCTGCAGTTTTTCGTAGGTCTCTTCAAGCTGGAGGACAATTTTTGCACGGTGGCTTAGGGCGGATTCTGTCAATTTCCGTGATCGTAACGCTGTCTTTGCGCGGATCATCTGCTTGGCCTCGACGGCTTCTTTCGCGGCAGCCTGGCAAGATTCGATCCTTAGCTGCAAGACTGACATCTCAGCATGGACTCGTTCGACCGAGTCACGGAGACGGGCTAGGATTGTGTCTTCTTGTGAAATGGGCAAGGGCGTAGCTTCCGTTTCCAGCTTAAATTTGATCGTTTCATTGTCGAACGAGACCTCGTTCCTATCACGGGTCAGATGTGTGAGAAGCACATCCAAGTCTTCAGAGGAAAGTGAAGACTTGTACCCCAGTGGTTTGGAGAACCGCTTTGAAAAGGCTGAGCGTGTTAAGACTCGATCGGCAGGTGACGTATATGATGCTTTGTAGTGCTTCATCAGCTGCTCCGCAGCATCCTCGACGTTTTTGACTACAACAAGGTTTACCTCCGGTAGCTTTGTGGAGTTAAGAGGACCAAGTAGTTTATGTATTCCCCATTGTACGACTCCCGAGACGGTAGGTATCCACGATGATTTATAGATGGGGACGCGGGAAGTCTGCCATTCTTTCAGAGGCACAAAGTCGCCCTTCCGGATGGCATCGCGAATGATGGCAGATAGGCAGGTGGGCATGCCATGATCGTTATGTTGAAGCGCTCGAGCGAGGTCGGGGTTGGAGTGAATGGTCAGATGGTTTCGTACCGAACCGGGAGCGGGAACGACGCCCGCGCGGGCTGCGTTTGCGAGGGCTTTTCTCCAGACTGCAAGATTTGCCTGGTAGCCTTCAGGGTTGGTGTGAATTTGCGAACTGAAGTCTGCATACAAGGATGTGAGGCGACCGCGGCTGTTTACTCTGATGTTAGCGATGATGACGCAGGGTGGCGCGGGAATGATTGACGAAGGGTCGAGTCGAGTGGCAAGAAGAATCAAACGAATATGAGGGCGATGAGGTGATCTTACCTCTGGAATGCTTCTTCGTTGGCCAGAATAAATTGAGTGAGCTCCTGCTCGGCCATGGTGTCTGGTATGCGGACCAGGGCCGCCGCGTTGCTGCGGTCTCTCACACGCCCGAACAGCACTTTGCGTCGGTAGCCACATCTATCGATAAGGCTGGGCTTTTTCGCTGGGCCGCCGCCTTTGTCATCCTCGGCCAACAGTTTGCGCTTCATGGCTGGTCGGTTGGTTCCAAAGGTTGAACTCTCTCGGTAATGCTAAGTGAATGTTTACCTTTGGAAGAGAGCTCCCAGTGAATGACCCTCAGGACTTTATGAATTCTCGCGCGATCGTGTGAATGTAAATAAACAAAAGGAACACCCACATCACCGACCCCGCGAGCTACTCGTTCGCTCCGCTCCATTGAGAGACTGGGTTGAAACTTTCCCTTGCCGCCCGCTTCTTCCCTGCCCTTTGTCTCTCCTACCTTTCCTGTAGCCTAGACTGTCTCATGAATTCTATGATAAGAGTAGAGAAAGGCAAAAAGAAAAAAAGAAAGAAAATTGAGACACCCACACGGAATTGTTTCACATAGAATTGCTTTCAAAGGATCAAAAACGCATAGTTGCGCCCATACATTGTTAATAGTACAGCTACTGTGTCCATAGCTCACTTTCGCACCACATTGATGCCGCTGTCTTTCTTATTCTCCATGAACGCTCGCATTTCCTCCAGATCATCTGCATCGTCGTCTGGATCAGCTCGTCTGCTGTTGGCCTCTGCTGCGGCGGACCTGACAGTCACACTAGGCTTCGGTGCGTCTGGCATGCTCTTGCTCTCCTCGGCCCATGCTCGCCGCTCTTCTTCGTCTAACTCATCTCTCCGGTCCAACCATCTTTCCTGCACATCTCTCGCATCCATGGTGACTGCATCCTGACGCATGGCCATCTGCCAAACCGTGTCGTTCGCGCCTTCGGTGCCACCGAAAGCATAGCCGCCAGCGCGATCTATGGCTCGGAGCAACGTCATCATACTCTTCTTGTCCTCCACCGCGAGCGTCTCGAACCCGACGAGCGCAAAGTCTTCCACCATTTCTACAATAGCCTTGTTGAGCGCAGAAAATTTTGATGTAGGCTCTTCGTCGTCTTCATCCAGATCCATAGCCTGCGACTCCTGCTGTGGTGCTGCCGCAGGCCCTGGAATCCCCGATGTTTGTTCTCTATTCAGCAGTGGGAGTAGGTAGTTCAAATCCTGAACTTCTGTATAGAAATCGAGGTTGAACGGCAGCTCCCCATAGTCGCGTAGGTTGTCGATCTTGGTCAAAACATTGAGGTGTGGCAAATCCATCTGCAGCATGCTTCTCAGCGCAAGCAAGAGGGATGATACGTATAGCGAGGGTCTAGACAGGACGATGGAGTCGGTGAGATGTATGACGACGAGCTGGACTGGAATTAGCAGGGGACAAGGAAATCGAACGGAGGAGGAGTACTCGATACCCAAGTTTTTGAAGACGAAAGAAGATATTCCGCAACGAGGCATGGTGAGTGAAGAGCTCTACTTGACCAGGGCAGTCGAACAGAATATAGTCATCTCCAAGTTCTTTCAAGCCTTCGGCTAGCCAGTCGAAATTGTGCTCCAATTCCTCCAGCGCATACAGGATTCCACCGTTGGGGCCGAGCTTTTCCTGATCCATAATCTCGTCTATGGTAACCAGATCTCTGACGTCCACAGCGGGCTGGTAGGCAGTTCGGTCGTTGGCCGGGTCGAGGTTCACGACAGAGCATTTGCGCTCAATGGCTGTCATGAATTGTTGCATGCCGTCGCAATACGTGGACTTGCCTGAGCCCGGGGGGCCGATGACAAGCTGGGCGAACGGCATGGCAGTGTTCACCGTATGGTCATTTGAATAGGGGGTTCGAAGGTTGTCTCTCTCGCGAGGTCAACTTAGTAGGTATGTGAGTGATGATGCAAGGGAGCCCGGTGATGGTGGGGGCGCGGTTCACTCACCAGGTATTTTGGAGGGGTCAGGTCTCTAGGCCGAACATCTACCGGGCTGCTTGCGGAGCTCCAGCGGAGGTTTGTTTCCCTCGAAGCTTCACTCTACCCCAGTCAAAGTCAACAATCCCCTTCAGACCAAAAAATGTCGAGTAAGTCTCCCCAGTCAAGCTGTATAAAAATTCAAGATCAATTTCATACTGACCATCTTTACCACAGGCCAATTTGAGCTCGCGCAGAACCCTACTGATCCCATCTCCGCCGTCAAATTTGCGACAAACACGCCCACGCGCCTGCTGGTCTCATCATGGGATCGTCACGTCTACCTATATGACACACACGCCGAACCTGGCGGCAAGCTCCTGCAGAAGTTCGAGCACCGCGCTCCCGTTCTTGATGTCTGTTTCGGCCGCGATGACAACGAGGCTTTCACCTGCGGCTTGGACTGGGAAGTGCGCAGAATAGACCTCTCTACCGGCGCCCAAACCGTGCTCTCGACTCACACGGCCGGCGTGCGCAATATTCTTTATTCAAAACCCCACAACCTGCTCATCTCCGCCGCTTGGGATTCGACACTCCATCTGCACGACCTCTCACAACCTGGCCAATTCTCGACCGTTACGCTCCCATCCAAACCCTTTTCACTTTCCGCGTCACCCACAAAACTTGTTGTCGCCATGGCAAGTCGCGCATTGAATATCTACGAGCTTCAGGCCCTGTCCAACGCCGCAAAGCAAGGGGAGGAACACGTCACTGTGGAGCCGTGGCAGCGGAGAGAGAGCAGTATGAAGTACATGACTCGTGCAGTAGCATGCATGCCCAACGACGCTGGTTACGCCAGCTCTAGCATCGAGGGCAGAGTGGCCGTGGAATGGTTCGACCCTAGCGAGGAATCTCAGTCACGCAAGTACGCATTCAAGTGTCATCGCCAGACCGTCGATGGCCAAGATGTCGTCTACCCTGTGCACGCCCTTGCTTTCCATCCTGTGCATGGCTCTTTCGCATCCGGAGGCGGCGATGGTGTGGTAGCTTTGTGGGATGGCGTGGCGAAGAGGAGAATTCGACAGTACCAACGGTTCCCTGCGAGCGTGCAGACAATCGACTTCAGCGGTGATGGCAGATTTGTAGCCGTGGGCGTTAGTCCCGGCTTCGAGGATGCAGTGGATGATGTGCCTGAGGGCGCTATCAAAGTCTTCATCCGTGAGTTGACCGATACGGAAGCTCAGGGTAAGAAAGTGAAAGGTTGAATGGACACATTCACGATAAAGGCGTCCGGGCGTTTGGTATGGAATTGCGCAACTGGTGATGACATAGATCACAATCGAATGTAAATTCAAACAAGTACGCGACCGAGCATATGAGACCCATTCATTGACCGACGTGCCCCGAATCAACTATGCTAGGCCTGCCTAAGGACAATGTGGGAGGGGGGGATGGCAATCTGGTCTAGAGCCTCTGGATACTTCTCGAACGTTGTAGCTCACCTTTCCTCGAGGCAATAAGTCGCGGAAAATGAAAAGTTTTACAAGAAGTTCGTATTTTCTCCCTTAATCGCACACTGTTGTTTTGAGCACTTGAGCGCATCAATCTCAAGCCATAGGTCAGTGGCTGCTCCAGCCAGCACGTAACCAATCACCGGAGCAATGCATGATGCCGTATGTAATAGTGTCAAATTCGACAAAGTGGACTCCGCGTACTTCCCAACGATAAGCCCCTAAGAATTCCCTAAGAATCGCGACCGATTAGCAGGCTTTTTCTCCCACTCTACATCATGCGCAAAAATAACCTCCACCCCATCCTTTTCCAACTGTCGGATTCTCACAATTGTCTCCTCAGCGCTTTCCCTGTCGGCATGAATACAGCAAATCTGCCCTTCAGCATCTTCCCATTCGCCGATCGACTTCTCTCCCGTCAGAAGCCTTCTATCGTGACAAGAATCTCCACCCAGATACACCCAATGCGATTCTAATCTCACAAGCAAATTGATGTGACCGGGCAAATGACCAGGCGCATCGACGATGAATGTAGACCCGTCGTTGAAAATATCTAAAACGTGGGGGAGTTGTCGATGCAGCTTCCATGGTTGATTGAAATTTGCATCTTCGAAGTCCAATTCTGCTTCGGATCTGGGAGCTGGTGGGTGATCAGGAGCAGCGAGTTCAATAATACGATCGGCGGGTAAAAGGTCCTGCTCAAAAAAGGAGTGACCTCCACGAAGTGCAGCGCTCGTGCCTTTGCATAGGGAAGCTGCACCGCTACCGACTATGAAGATTGAAGAGGAGAAGTCGCGAGGCTCGCCTATATGATCCCAGTGTATCTAACACATCGATCTAATTCAGCATCCAAATAAACACAGAAAGAATGTGGATTGTGACAGAATCTTACATACGAGTAGACTACATAGTCGATATGTTCAGGTGCAAGACCACCTTTTGCTAGACTCTTGACTACATCGGGATCTGTGATCATAGGCTGCCGCGTTTCGATGTGTTTTTGTATAGGAGATGGATATCGTTTAATATCTCCCCTCAACCCTAAATCGAAGACGATTCGTGTGATTTTGCCAGTGTTGGAATTGTGGTGCTGGATCAAGAAAGCCAGAGAAGGAACATGTTTTCTTGCTTCGCGTGAGACAGGCTGGACGAATTGATATTCCGGAAGTGTGAAGTGTCCGGCCGAAAGGGCGTGTAAAGTAACATGGTTCTGGCTTGAAGGTAGGAGGTGCGCTTCAGTTTGCTTTGCATTGTTGGACGGAAACATTTCGCGCATTTCATAAAAGTTCAAGTAAGACTGTTTACATTGGTGCTTTATATCGAGCCGTGTTGCTACCCCTCTCATCTTTCGTAGTCGCAGAACTAACGTAGACGTCGGTATGATTAACGACACTGAGCCCAATCCCCTGATATATTATTAGTTTTCGATCTATTTATTGAAGATTCGAGCAACAGCAGACGTCCGCGACATTTTTCTTTCTTATTTCCGCAACACATTCTCAGACGGCTACGGTTCTGGCTTATACAATGTAAAGACGAGCCAGTCACGTGCCAGTGTAGAATGTCCCACATTTTCGCTCTCACTAGAGCCCTCCACTCCCCACTTGCTGTGGGTGGGGTAAACTGGGGTAGGTGTCGAACTCGGGAAACAGGAGATAGTTCAATGATATCATGAACTGATGATCGTAATCGGAAACGTTCTTCCTGCCTTTCTAAACTACGTTCTTCCTGCCTTTCTAAACTACGTTCTTCCTTTTCTCTTTATATTAACATGATTGGACGCGGTACTGATACAAGCTCCTTCCAACTTTGAAATATCTCGACCAAATGGATGAGCAGGCCGATTTTAAGACAGTAGGCTTCATAGGCCTTGGGGCGATGGGGAAGCCGATGTTGATGAACCTGGTAAATAAACTACCATCTGAGTCGCAATTCTTTGTATTCGACGTCTGTGAACCAGCGATGGACGAAATCTGCAAACAATTCCCAGATCAAGTGTTCAGACGCGCAAGCCCAAAACACGTCGCTGAGAATGCGGTATGAGCACCTCTCCACCGAACATCGATAGAACAGCAGTCTCTAAAACAACCTAGAGTACTATAATCACAATGGTTCCAGAAGGATCCCACGTGCGAACTGTCTATCTCGACCCCGAGAACGGTATATGTAGTACTGATGTATCCAACAAGCTACTCATCGACTGTTCTACAATCGACACAGCGGCCAGCATAGCTGTAAGCGACCACATATACAAGAACTTCCCATCAGCATCATTCTACGATTCTCCTGTCAGTGGTGGAGTAGTAGGCGCAACAAAAGGCACGATCGCATTCTTTTTAGGGTGTACAGATGACGACCCAAATCTGAAACGCTTGACACAGCTCGCGAGCATGATGGGCAAGCAGATCATCCCTTGTGGAGGACCTTCCCTAGGTCTCGCCGCAAAGCTATCGAACAATTACCTTTCGGGTGTGATTGCGATTGCGTGTTCCGAGGCGTACGATATGGGCATGCGATCTGGTCTGGACCCGCGGACGCTGGCCAAAGTCTACGCTGCTGGGACTGCGCAAAACGCCATATCTGATCGGTTTTGTCCTGTGCCTCATGTATATCCAGAGGCGTCTTCAACGGGTGGGTATAAACAAGGTTTTAAAGTACAGTTGATGAGGAAGGACTTTGGGTTAGCGGTTGAGATGGCGAAGCGAGTTGATTCTCAAAATGTCTTGGGAGAGGCTGGGCTTGCTACCTACGATGGAGCAAGTAAAGACCCGAAATGTCGAGATCTGGACTCGAGAGTGGTATATCGGTACCTGGGCGGCAACGAGAATTGGTTATCCGAGGGGAATGACGCGTGAATTTTGAACTGAATGATTTCTCGTCGATAAACAATAGCAGGACGAACCAAATGGTTCGTGAAATGGAAGCCTCTCGGTCTATGTCTTGAAAGATCATTATCTCGATACTGAATTTGAGATTATCTGCCTGAATGCTTTGATTCCAAAGTTCAGGTTGTTCTAAAAGGCAAACTGCAGCGTTACATCATTGCTCCCCACGCGCGTCATATCGGGTGTTTACAAGAGAGGGGCAATGAGGGGCAAGCCCCCACAGCTTCCCAAGTCGATCCACGTTAAATGTTGGGGCAATGGAACTTGAAACTTCTATCATTATACAATTATCCTATTCGTAGGTTGTCGAATCAAGATTTTGACTCTAGGCACAGAAACTTCTACAATCCTTCGGTAAAAGATTTTTCCCTCGAAAATGTCTTCCGATCCTAAATACGATGATCTTCATAAGCAATTATTCGATGAAGGACTGAATATGCGCCGCAGCGTCGTGGGCAGTGAATACGTGGACAAAGCGTTGGCCAATGGTTCCACCGAGGTATGTTCCGAACATAGGACTCATTGTGAGCTTGCCACTGACACTGTCACAGTTCTCCCGTGCTGGTCAAGAACTTGTGACTGAATGGTGTTGGGGATATGCATGGTAGGTACAACACTTGTGAATATAGATCCGTTCGGTGATGAGTCTCTGAGTATATGCTCTGTATTGATAATTCAAGACTGACTATATTCATGTAGGACACGCCCTGGACTGAGCAAGCAACAACGCTCTCTTATCAACATTGGCATGCTGATGGCACTTAACCGCGCACCTGAATTGGCTGTGCACATCAGAGGGGCGAGAAACAACGGTTTGTCAGAGTTGGAGATCCGCGAAGCAATCATTCACGCTACCACATACTGTGGAGTGCCAGCTGGTGTAGATGCAATGAAGACAGCAGAGAGGGTCCTCAACGAGATGGCAGAAAAGGGCGAAATGCCACGTGAGTTGGGAGAGAAGAGTGAAAGGGCATAAACGTAGAACAAACGAACCAAGTTCGCATCAAACCATTCGTGTTTTCGTTGTAGAAGAGGTATTGTGATTGGACCCAAATACAAGGAATCATGGAAAAAAAATTAATGAGACACTCTCTAGCTGAGGCGTAGCTCCAGAGAGGCTAGAGAATCGCGAGGCGATGATTGTTGGGCAGTGTTTCCGATCTGTACATGTGTAGTCTCATCGCCGCAACAATAACAATACTGGACTCGTTAGCCAAGAAATAGCCCGGGAAAATGCTTGATTGCTCACCCGAACCCTGATCCAAACATCAAGCTTACTCCTATGTTTTTCACGCGACTAATTCTTAGTCATTTTCCAAAAGGTGCTCGGGTGGCTGACGATATGGCAGTGACAGAGAGAGTTGCAGAAAGATCGATACATTAGGAACTCTCTAGTCTTAAACAAGGATACCGAAGCGTCTGCACTTCATCTATTTCATCTATCTTTGGGGTCCAAAACATATCTCAGTACGGAATGCTACCGCCCTTGACCAATTGATTAATGTGACGAGTCACACGACAGTGAGTCTTATGCAATGATGGTAGTCATTAACTAAATAGTACCGAAAGCAACTTTCCAGAGCTTGCGCCTGACTCCGACCATCTTCTACTGCGTACAAAATCGGTTTGTTGATGGCAATCAAATAGTTTATCATCAAAACCTCCTTTTTTGGAATATACGATTCGTTCTTGTATTCAAACTTTTTCAGATGCACAACAGCCTCGCCCTTTCACCCGCTTTACGGAGCCTGTCATCGGCGGGGTTATCGTACATTCCGAGGTCATTGGGGGTTGCGTGGCCCCGTATGCGCCCACTTTCCCCCGCACTCCCGTTCCGCCACCGTTCTTGGGCAGGCTTACCGAGCTTGAATAATGAAAATTATAATGATGTGGTCACGGAATATAAGAGAGGGCACTTCAGGAGAAATCAGTGGAGCACAATCATTAGTTATAAATACATCACTTCTGTCGCATTACGCCGTCCCTCTGTCACATTCTAGCTTGGAAGCACGCTACAGCGAGTATACACATAGACCAATACGATGGGTGCTCACAGCGGACAGGGTCCTTCTAGTCACCGCGTCGAACCGGGCTCTGTTAATGTACCATTGGGCGAATATCCAGCTTCCTCCACTTCTTCCGACGTCGATGCTGGCAGGGTCTCGCGAGATTTGGTCTCGCAACTCAATGGCGCTATATCACAAGGGAGTCATGATCAAATTGCACGTCTTTTCCTTGATCAAAAGAGCTACTGGCGCGACCATCTTGGTCTTACTTGGGACCTGAGGACTCAAAAGGGAAGCGATGCGATTGCACGTTTTGTGGAGGATAATAAATCTGCACAGCTAAAGCTTGAAATTGATGCCAGCTCGGCATACAAAGCACCCAAATACTCACCGATCGATGCATTTGGAGACGTACATGGCATCCTCTCATACGTTACAGTCGAGACGGCAATTGGCAGAGGGAGAGGTGTTGTGACGTTCGCCGAAGATAATGGGCAGTGGAAGTTTTTCACAGTGTTCACAGCTTTGGAAGAGCTCAAAGGCCACGAAGAACCAACCAATCGCAGGAGAACAAAGGGTGTTCAGCATGGCGGTGATCCGACAAGGAAGAATTGGAAAGAGAAGCGTGAAGCCGAAACAGAGAATATCGACCCCAAAGTCCTGATCTTGGGGGCCGGACAAGGTGGGCTGACTACAGCCGCGCGATTAAAAATGCTGCAAGTTCCTGCCCTCATCATCGACACCAATGCGCGCGTAGGGGACAACTGGAGGAAGAGGTATCGCCAGCTCGTTCTCCATGATCCCGTGTGGTACGATCATATGCCCTATATTCCGTTTCCGCCCCATTGGCCTGTTTTCACACCAAAGGATAAGCTTGCCGACTTCTTCGAATCGTACGTTCAGCATCTCGAACTCAATGTATGGACATCGACCACTTTGAAATCGTCATCGTGGGACGAAACCAAGCAACAATGGACCGTGGTCGTTGAACGTCGCAAGCCAGACGGAACAACTGAAACTCGCACCTTACATCCAAACCACATTGTACAGGCTACAGGACATTCAGGCAAAAAGAACTTTCCAGCTGTTGAAGGCATGGACAAGTTTGCTGGAGATCGTTTATGTCACTCCTCGGAATTCACAGGCGCAAAATCCAACTCAAAGGGCAAGAAGGCCGTCGTAGTAGGCTCCTGCAACTCCGGCCACGACATCGCGCAAGATTTTTACGAGAAAGGATATGATATCACCATGGTACAGCGCAGTACCACATGCGTCATATCCTCCGAATCTATCACCGATATTGGTCTCAAGGGGCTCTATGACGAAGATGGCCCACCAACCGAAGACGCGGATCTAGCTCTCCATTCCATCCCCAGCGAGCTTTTCAAATCACAACAAGTTAAGCTCACCAGAGTCCAAAATGAGAATGACAAGGCTCTGCTCGATGGCCTGAGATCTGCAGGTTTCGGTCTTGACATGGGCGATCGCTCCACTGGCCTTCTTACGAAGTATGTATCCTCCCGATATTAAGCCATTGCATACAGAAATTGCATGTGATGCAGCGATTGCGCCAATTCCTAGTCTACTCTCATCTTCAAATCAATGACACTCACTTTACTAGGTATTACCAGCGCGGCGGTGGCTATTATATTGACGTCGGAGCGTCCCAACTCATCATCGATGGCAAGATCCGCATCAAGCAAGGCCAGGAGATTACGCGCATTCTCCCCCACGGTATTGAATTCGCAGATGGCTCTTCTCTCGACGCCGACGAAATTATTTTTGCAACGGGATACCAGAACATGCGTACCCAGGCACGCATTACGTTTGGCGACGAGGTGGCAGATCGCGTCAATGATGTCTGGGGGCTCAACGAGGAGGGCGAGTTCCGTACGATGTGGCAGAGGAGCGGACACCCTGGGTTCTGGTTCATGGGTGGAAATCTGGCACTCTCAAGATACTATTCGAGAGTTCTTGCATTGTTGATCAAGGGGGTCGAGATCGGGCTTGTTGAGCCTAAGGGGAAGGAAAAGTAGAGAGACTTAGTTTTGATGAGTGAAGGACATACGGGGAGTGCAGGTTAAGGTTCGCTGCTCAAGAATGTATACGTTGATAATGTCAATGATTACTGTCACCACCCATGATAATCTTCCAAGGGACAATGGATTTCTTCGATCAATCCTCACCACATAAGATGGCATACGTAAGCCCACTGGGTAAGTATGCTCCCCAAGAAAGAAGGCGGATTCAGATAGGTAAGTGAAGCGAAAATGTGTGCTTTGGACCAATCGGAGTTCAAATTTAGCGAGAACGAGAACGAGTACGACAGACTGACTAGCAGGCCAAGAAACGGTTTCGTAAGATGCGCGTACGACAGTTAGACGGAAACAATATTCCTGGGGAACTAGTTCTGAACATAGCCCTTTGAAAGCCTTTTGCGGGTTTTGCTGGATTATTTGGCCAGTCAGTCAGTACGATAATGACATTTAATCGCATCTAGTGCTGTGCTATGCGGAATTTCTATTGAATGGAAGATCATGATATTTCAGATCAAGTTCAAAAGGATCGGATCTCACCATCTTTACAAAGAAGTTTTAAAATTGGAATCTATTTCTCGTGTCACTGCAGTGTAGATCCCATGAGATAAGGGGCTTGACATAGCGTAGGGCATCCACCATAAGCCTCAAGTGCTACGCAACCCCTATAGTTCCTACTTTTGCACGTCTAGCTAATTTGCGTCTCTTATAGCGAGTATTCCGACAGTCTGGGAAGGATTCACACTCACTCCGTTCATTACAAAGCAGTGTCTATCATTAGCATTTTGACGGGCTCTAAAAGGAGCATCGCAGATATATAAGAGACTGCAGTATCCTCCTATCATCGTAGCATTGTCGTCTATAAAAACATCATACACAGCTTCACTCTAAATTTGAATACAAGACCACCATGTTGCAGTATCTCGCAAAGGCTGGAGCAGTAGCTTCGCTCCTATGGATGACAAGCGCATCTCCTCAAAACTCTGGGAACGCCTCTGTACCCGTAAGATCACCCTATCTTTTGCTGAATGCAACGATTTTTGGCTAAAGCAAAAACTTGTAGTGTGAAGCATTGCTATCTACCAATCTTTCATCTCGAGTTCTTCTCCCCAACGATCCCTTGTATGAGCCCCGAGTTCAATCCTATTACATTGGCAACGGCCGACTCCACCCATGGTGTTTCTTCCTCCCACAAACAGCCTCCGAACTCTCCACAGCCATCAAAGCGCTCTCGGCAGCCGCTACAGCTGCCGGAGAAGATAGAGACTGGCACATTGCTGTACGCAGCGGCGGACACATGTGGCCAGGCTCCAACAACATCATCAACGGCGTCACCATCGACATGGGCAACATGAACGCTTCTTCTTACGACGAGCAAACCAAACTTGCTAGCATAGAGACTGGTGCTCGCTGGAGTGATGTGTATCGAATCTTGCACGACCGGTATAATGTCACCGTCACCGGTGGGAGAGACGGAGATGTTGGTGTGGGCGGGTTTCTACTGGGCGGGGGGAACTCGTATCATACTGGCAGAAACGGGTTCGGCTGTGACACGATTATCAACTATCAGGTAATCCTTGCTAATGGAAGTATCGTTGATGCGAATCAATCGGAGAATCCGGATTTGTACAAGGCACTGAAAGGAGGCGGTACGTTTTCCATTACCTTGGACGCATAATCCATCAACACCCACGCAAGAAAGATGAATTGGAACGCTACTAATTCTTAAGCCCGATTTCCACAGGTCCCAACTACGGCATCGTCACCAGATTCGACGTTGAAACCTTGCCCGCCGTCGATCTTGCATTTGGCGACAACATCTACGATGTGGAACACATGAGTGAAATGATGGACGCGCAGTCCGACTTCACAGCGACGACAGACGAGAGCGGCGGCGACCACACTTTCAATTACTTCCAGATCGGCGCAAACGATTCGTTGGTTTTTGCGAGGAAGGTGAACACCAAGGGAAACCTGAATACATCAGCATTTGATGCATTCAACCGCATCCCCACGAAGAAACAGGACTGGAGCCTCACGTCGCTCGCAGATGCTGCTCCCCCTGCGAAGGAAGGGGAAGGTTTGAAGTGAGTCCACCCCGTTTACTGTTGATACTAGCAGACTCCTATTGTTTTCACGCAATCGATCAACTCTTGACTCCATCATCACAAGGGGAAAAAGAATGCAACACTAACATCTGTTCGAACTGCTATAGTGCCGCGAGCTACACCTATACTGCAAAGAACACCCGCCCTATGGCCCAATACATCCTATCCCGCTTCCAACGACTCTCCACCACCCTCTCTACGAAATACGGCGCCGAGAAATACATGACTCTCATGATCACCCAGCCTCTCCCCGCATACTGTACGTATATCCACACTCTGAATGTATGAAACCAGAAAAAGAAAAACAAAGTAAGAACTTCAACCGTACTTACTCCACACCCAGACTCCACAATCTCCCAACGCAACGGCGGAAACGTTCTAGGCCTCGACAAACAACTCGCAAACACGTCGACGGGCGCCGCACTCTACGTCATCGCCATAACTCCGCTCGCCAGCACCGACGAAGCGCTTGCAGTTGCCGACGCAGAGATCAAAGCGATGCTTGAGGATTTGGACAGGGAGGCGGAAAAGCAGGACGCTGTCGTGCAGTGGAGGTATATGAATTATGCGGATGCGAGCCAGAATCCTTTGGCGAGTTATGGGGAGGAGAATCTAGAGTTTCTGGAGAAGGTTGCCGGGGTGTATGATCCTGAGGGGTGGTGGCAGGATATGGTGCCGGGAGGGTTTAAAATTGGGAAGGCTAGGGTGTGATTGGGGAGTGGTTGTCTGTTTGTGTGAGATTGGGAGATTTAGATATTGGAAGTGCAAAGGGGGGTGATGTTTTGAGATAAGGCGAAGTTTATTGTTTCTAAGAGGTCTCGGTTAATCGCAATGTACTGTATTGGGGTGGATGGTCAATGTAGTCATCTTTTATTCGTAATAATCTGGAGTTGATATCTATATTACGCTGGAGATTGGTCATAAAAGGGATTGAACCGGCATTGTATGATGTGCCCTGTGCAATTACTTGAACTCAGTTGCGTGCAAATCCCCCGTCCCATCATCCTCTGCCACTTTCACCACAACAGACCCAATATCGCGGTACTTGTGAAACTCCTTGTGAGCCTGCGGCACCTCCTCAAGAGTCAACCTCTTCTTGATGGGCGCATGAATCTTTCCCTGGAGACTCAATTGGAAAAGCTCCTTCATCTCCGGTTCAAAGGTCTTCTGATCCTTATCGATGTAATAAAAGCTAGTCTTGTGCGGGCAGAACGGTACCATGCCCTTGGCCAGCAGCTTCGCAATACCAACGTATTGATTCCGCGGCTCGTTGCCATTCAGGACGTCCAGGTTGCCGCCGAGACCAACAAGGTGGCCACCCTCCTTGGGTGCGAGGATTCTCCATGATTCATCGTAGGAGTCAAAGCCGAGCGCATCGAACACGACATGCGCACCACCAAGGTTCTGCATAGCTGTGATCCAGTCTTTGTTCGTGTAGACGAAGGGCAAAGTCACGCCGAGCTCCTTGAGACGTTCGTGCTTGGATTCAGAAGCCGTGCCGTACACTTCGGCGCCCTGCATCTTGCAAAAGGTAAAAGCAGCGAAGCCCACAGCACCACTGAGTCCGTGGATAAAAACACGCGAGCCCTTTTGGATTTTGGCACCCCGGTACGTCATGCCGTATGCTGTGCTCCAGTCCAGGACCATGGCGACGGCTTGCTCAAGGTCAATCCCCTCAGGGCAAGGTACGACATATTTTTCGTCAAAGTTGGTGAGTTCAGCATGAGCATCGTATTTAGTCATTGCGGCTACCAGATCGCCTTTTTTGAACTTGGAGCAGGAGGTGCCCAAAGAGTGGATGCGGCCGACGAGGCAGTAGCCAGGGACCAGCGGTGCGTCTTTCTGTCCCGGGTACTTGCCCAGGCGCATGGCGATGTCAGAGCCACCGAAACCGGAGCAGAGGACTTTGATCTGGACTTCTTTGGGAGCTGGGTCGGCGATTGGAGCCGTCATTATGGTGATGTGAGATTCATCGCCAAAGGAGGGAACGTAGACTTGACGGATGGAGGTCGGCATGGTTGTCTCGGGGGTTGGTATAGATGATCAAAAGGGGTGATGGATTTGTAAGTTCTGGAGTAGATAGTCGAGTAGGATGATATGTTGTCGACTGACGTTTCGATAGCCAGACATATTGAGGCATACTGGAGGTGCTTTATAGGATTGGGATGCCATGATATCCAACGCGGTTTACTCGTATGGGATACTGGGACGTATCTTTGCGGCGGGCAAATGTAGCCGATCGGTATGGTGAGAGTAGCATTCCCATAACGGGGCATTAAGTTGATCGCAGAAGATGGAGTAACAAAAGTATTGCGCCACGTGAAGGATGCTGATGGTTTGCCCGAGGCGGTCATACAATTCCTCCGTATCGCGCTAAGATGCAGCAGATCCTAGCCCAAACGAGACTAGTTTACACGTTAGTTATCACGATTCACTGACACGCGATTGGGTCTTCCAATGATGGTAGTCAAAAAAAAGAAAAGAATAGATATTCATCAACTCCAACAACTGTATACGGTCGATGTTATCGTATCGTCTGCCTGGTGCAGTACCCTATACGAGGGAAATAAAATGACGTTGGGAAATTTGCCCGACGTGAAACCCAAATCTGTCACTCTCAATCGCCCATTCGGCACAAGGAACGGCCAATCAACGAGGACAACGGAATTAACTGCCCGAAGCCGCTAGCTTCACTTCACTTCACTTCAGCCTCACTGCCACGATGCCTCAACCTTCACAATCTTTGCGCAGCCACTGGGCACAGTGTACTTTCGGTTTGCCCCCGACTCCCACGTGACGGTCCCAGCATCGTCCACTTTGATGAATTTGTATTCGAAGCTCGTACCGGCAGGCAGATCGACACTGCCTGACCACATTGGATTGGCTGAGCTGTAGTCCTTGGCCGATAGCGCAACCGCAGAGGCAGTGTTCCAACTTCCCAATTGTGCGATGCTGCCGACCATCTTCACTGTTTGACCGAAAGCCGTGCTAGTTTTGGAGTTGAATGTCACACCGACCGTCGCCACGGGTGAGGCACACGATGTCCCTGTTGGAGCTGGGCTTCCGGTCGTGGTCGAAGGCGGTGCAGGGCTGGAGTTTCCAGTTCCCGAGATGGCGATATCAGCGCATGTCAAATATACCTGCGGTGTCTGAAACGAATTCCACTTGAACGAGAGTAGCGTATGGTTGGAACTGTAGTTTGGAATCTTGATCTTGGAGCTGACCGTGTATCCTCCAGCAATGCTTGTATAGCATGAGTTCAGAGGCGCATCATCCACACCTCTGCACTTCCCGCCATTGAACCCCTCGCAGGTGAACCAGTCGTTCCTCCAGCAAGGTTGACCTTCTTGACAATCCTCGCTGTATCCGCAAGTCTGCCCGTCGACAGCCGTGCACGGAAGCGTGCCGGCCTCGAAACAGTCCTCGGCAGCTTGTTTCTCAGCTTCGGTAGGAACGTAGCTGGCATCTAGGAACTTGTCGACAAGTGCTTGGTCCTGACAGATGCGGTATGCAAACATCCCGCCATGATCTCCGTTGTTGTCCACACACCACTGCACGTCGACCACATCGCCGCCCTTGTAGTTTATGACGGGCTCTGATCCCCAACGAGGACCCGGTTGGTTGTAGTCGACACTGACACGGGCGTTGTAACCACACGGTCCACTGCGACCCACTTTCGCTTCGTCGAGATCCGGCCATGCATTCACGGGTTCGAGAATCGTGCATTCCGGGCAAGTGTCAGCTCCAGCCTGAGAAAGCCATTAGTTTAACGATCAGATTCATGGATAGCATATACATGCGGCGCTTACTCACCTGTGCATTTAGGCCAGTGCGACTCATGGGAGAAGACAGGTAGCCATGCGCGGCGACACTGCTGACAGAACCAAGAATAGGCAACAAGAACGAGCGCATGATGAACGATTTGATAAAATATCAAGTAAAGCCTTTCCTAGATGATAGAATGCGATACTCTTCGAGCGAAGGTATTAAAGATAGCCCAGACGACAAGCTTTGAGTAAGAAACTGTCGGTGACTTTCAAAATATCGCGCTGCTTCTCTTCTTTATATACATTGATGTCGGCCGACCGTCTGAAAACACCATCACGATATGCAAACAAAATTTCCCATACCCCAGCATCATATAAACTCCCCAGATGCACCGTGATTCGCTCCATGTCGGTCCTTCCCCATCCTCTCCACACCCACTGCTCACGATCTACGTCTATACCGCGAACAGACCACCTTTTAATATAACCACCTTATATCTCCAGCCCTCAGGAGTGTAATACCCCGCACTCGATCCAGCCATACATGCTTGTGAAATCCTTTTAATTATTGTACCTCGGCGTGCGCAGCCACAAGCAGTCTCGCTTCGTTGCCCTGCCCCTGGTCAACACACGCGGAGGATGGATCCCGATCAGGTAGTGCGATGATCTCGATCGGTACAGGGTTATGCACGGCCTATATTAAACAGGTACCGCATGATGCTCATATTGCAGCTGCCGCATTGGGGGTCGGAACACCGACTCCAACTTGTTTAGATGTCTGAAGGCTCGGGGGTGGGCACCGTTGCTGGTTGGCTGATTCTCGGTCCGGATATTTACAAGTCGGACGTCGACTTCTTTTCAAGTCATGTAGAAATAAGGATTTGCATGACGTGGATTTGATGAGTTTCTCCGTTGTGATTTCAAAAATGTGGGGATCCTGCCCTGGCTGATGCGATATCTCCGACTTGTCAGCTTGCACTTCTCTACCGCACCGCGATTGGGGAGTCTTGCAACAGCCTGTGTATTGAGATAGGCTTTGGTTTCAAGGACCATCATCTTGCTACTGTACGTCATGACTGAACGGTATTCTAACAGAGCTGACTGCTGAGCTCTGAGCAACGCAAGCTGCTGTTATTCCTCTCCAACACTAGTCTATTGTTCCCGCTGTACCGCAGTCTCAACACCTAATCAGAACACAACACCTAACCAGAGGTCAACATATCTTGGGCAGATGCATTTGATCCTATCTAGATGAATGCATCCCACTAATCTACTGTTATTAAAAGAGATATCTATTTACGATCTGTGAGAAGACAATGTAGATAGATGGGGTCTTTTGCAAATTAGCTATTGCTCAGAACTGAATACTCGATGCGCACGCCACGTATTAGCATGATGCATTGTAGCATATCTTCCGCACTTCACCTGACGTCTCTGGGGTGAAACTGCAGGCTCTGGCTGACTCTTCACACGAGGTGAAGTGTCCTAGGCAGCTAGGCTGCACCTGTCCTTCGTTAGCATTCCCTAAGGCGACGTGACGCTTACTTTCTAGTTTGTAGTTCACTGCGCCTTCACCCATTCACACAGGGTGACTAGTGAAACGTAGGTCTTGGCTTGAGAGCTTTCCAGAAGCGCGTCTATAAACAACGCCGTCTCTGAGCCCGACTTTTGATTTTGCCCGGACAGCAACAAAGCCGTACAGCCAAGGCACTACCCACACACGATCAAATATGTACGTATACCAAAGCATCTTGAAGGGATAGTGACCCTAATGTATTGCAGGGAGTTGCAGTTTGATCCTCCACCTCGCAGGTCAAGGGATCCAGCTACCTGGGACAAGCTGAGGACCGCGCCTTCGGGCAGCACGGACTTCCCAGGTAACGCCAACCTGACAGTTGTTGAGATTGTCACGTTTTTCCCGCGATGGCTCAAGACTTGGGATGTCATTGACCGCATGGCGTCTAACGGGGCTACTTGCTCCCTGCTCGCTTTCATCATCGTAAGTTTTACACCGCTCATATCTCGCTAGCGTATCAGAAGCTCATGCTGACTCTTCATTTTGACAGAACAAGCACCGTGATACGGGCACCGAAGGCTTGGTTGGAAACTCGCTGCTCAAGATGACCCAAAACTCGATGCGATCCCGCTTGCCCACCCAGCTCTACGCAGGATGGACCTTCTCGAACCACACGGTTCCTCCGTACTGGGATCATTCGAAAGTCGACGTGACTGGCTTTCGTTCTGTCAAAGAGACGCACACCTACTTCCGGAGGATCCCCGAGAAGCCGGCCTGGGAGGGCCAGTTCAAGGACCTCGCCACCGCCGTCACGATGATGCCCAGCGGTGACGATGCTCTTGATCTAACGCGCTGCGTGGAGTACCATGTGCAGCATCCAGACGAGGAATGGAATTACCCGCAGGACTACGAGGAGTTTGTGGAATTTCTGGGTGGAAAGGCTACGGTCACCCTGGAGCATTCTGATGGAGCGGCTTTTGCGCGCTGGGCTCGCCAGCGACAGCTACAGCAACCACCTACGAGCCAGCTTTCTAGGCCTTCTTCTCGTGTCTCTCGTGATAAGTCATCTAAGAAGTCGGATGATACGCTCACCGACGTCATCGACTTGACGGGAAATAAACCGATGACCTTTGTCAACTTCTTCGCAAACGAGAATCCGGAAGTCAAACTCTCTACTCAAGATGGACAGGACGCTGAAGCCGCCGATATTTGTACCCGAAAGGGACAGGGTTCTCAAGCCGTCAAGTTCCGTGTCCCAAAGAGCAAAAAGAAGCTTTCCAATCGCGTTGCCAAGATCAACAAGTCACTCGCTCCAGTAATCATCGATGATCCAGGATCGGATACCGACTGGAGCACTACTGATGACGACAGCGACGAGTGGGATACAACCGACGATGAAGATGAAGATGACATTGAGACGCCCTCCCAGCTGCGCAATTCCAGCTCGTCTCCCACAATCCACGAGGACTCTTTCGCAACAGAAGCCAATCAAGACTCTGATAGCGGCGCCGCGCAGTCCCCAGCCCACAAGAAATTGAAAACCGGAGGGGACGAAGCTAGCCGCCATGAGAACGCGCAGCAGGGCAAGAACTGGGTCGCCGTGGACCATGTCGCGGAGAAAGAGTGTAAGCCTCGCGTCCGAAAGGAACCCCGCCGACCATTGAGTTGGGTTCCCATCAATCTCCTCGACAACTTTGACGATTCTGACAATGGTGGCGCTGCGCTTCAGGACTATCTGGCTTTCAAGGCCCATGGAGCCGCCGGCTTGTACATGAGCAAGGGAAAGTAGATGACAGGTGAGAAATTGTACACTCTGGATGTTTTGGGGGTTTACGGCTGACATTTTCTCCAAGGACACACTAGTTGGTGCATTGCTCTCAGATGTGTTCTGTTGATGCACTGGAGTGATTTGAGGTCATTGAGATTACTGATTACTGGAAAGGGCTTGACGACTATTATGTCAATACCGTACTCTCTTTTTTTGTTGTGTGTGCAAGAACAAATGTTTGCTTTCGAACAGACGAACTCGCACATACACAGCAGCTGTTTCCTTGTCACCATGATGCGAACTTTGAATCTTGTTTGATAAGCATCAATGTTTTTTGTGGTTTCCGAGGAGGCTCAAGATTCGTTTGGAACAGCGGGTTGGGCTTGGTACGTTGTATACAGCATTTGCCTCTCTCCGCTGCAAGAACAAGCGTATTCATTTGCGGCGATAGGATGTGGTGATTATTTACCGCATTTGTGCTCAGCACTCTGATCATCGCCATGGCTTTATAGCTTCATGAAATAATCCAATGATTGCATTACCCCTGCAACAATGTGGTGCTCTACATTCTCCCCGTGAAAAAAAAAAGCTAAAAAAAAACTAAAAAAACTGATATATTGCTATTACCACCACAGAATTGCAAAGCTGTCGTAGTTGTTCTATATCCCCAGCGCAGCCCTCGCCTCCGCCAACTTGGCCTCACTCGGCATATTAACAATCGTAAAATATAGAATATTCGGTGTAAGCACTTTCTTCACTCCCTTGGACAGCAAATTAACAGGTCCAAAAGCCCTGCGTCCTTTGGGATTCTCCACAGGTTTTTCTTTTGGCTTCAACTTCCCATCAGCTCCTACCTCTCTCAACTTCCGCCTTCCCCTTGGCTGCGCAACCACTCTGCCCCCGGTGACCAGGGAGATCAGATGACCGTTGTTTGCAGGGTTGTTTGGGTCCGCGATTGCGGTTCGGAACTCAGACGGAGACGATGAAGCTTTCGTGAGTGTGGAATTCGGGTTGTTCCCCGCGTAATCGGCACGGGCGCGGCGGTCAAAGTAATCCGCGTAGAAATCCTTGTGTCGCATCATGCGGGATTTGAGGTTTTCGTCGGGCGCAACTTGTGGGCGGTCCAGCATAGCGTCAAGGCCCGGGTAGATGAGTGGTGCTATCTCCAGCGGGGTTTCCGCGATGTTTGTCTTGCCGGATGTGAGGCGGATGGGACGGAGGATTTGGCTGGTTTTTGATATCGTTGGTGAGGTGTCGTTGGCGGTGCTGTCGGATGAGCTCTTGGGAAGTCCCCATTTGCTGATTTGCTTTGCAGTGTCTAGGTTGATTGATTCGATGCCGAATTCGGGGTTCTGGGTTGTACCTGGTCCATCTTTGCACATGAGGACCATGCAATATAGACCGAGCGGCATGAACAGATCTTTGTTGATTTGGTCGAGGAACGCGTTGGCTTTGTAGCGTTTCTGGTAATCCATGGCAGTTCTACTTCGATATTAGTGACAGAGGAAAGACCCAGTTCGCGATATACATACCCTGAAACTGCCTGAAGACTGAATGAAATGGCCATTGTAATGTGGCCAGGGATCATGCCTATCACACCAGCAGAAAGATAGAGCGTTTTGAGCCATGGCGAAGCCTCTGATGCCTCCTCGAAATTTTGGAATATCTGCAAAAATGCTTCTTGATCGATGCCAAACGCTTCGAGATCTGGAGGATAAGCCCGGGCAAACCCGCGGCCTCTGGCACCCGGGCGTCTTTGGGGAATGATGATGGGGTAAGGAAGGCGGGGAGGTGTTGAGTTGGTTAGATCATGTTGATCCGCTAGACTGACAACATGCCGGGCAAGATCTGATACTGTCCTTTCCGGTCCAGGCTGTTGGCCGTGACCCAACGAATGATAACTTGGTGGCGGACCAGCAGCCTCATCAAGAGTCCAGATTCGCTCGTCATCAGCCGTTTCGGCGCCGGGCTCTGCTGGATTAACGAGGTTGATCTGTGATTCCGAGCTGGTGTTGCTACTGGAGCTCTTCCCTTCGGCCAATGCAGCTTTTCTCTCTTTGCGATCGTAGTACTTTTCGCTTGCCGCACCTATGCCTGATGATATGCCTTTGGTGACGGCACCGAGTATGGGAGCAATAACCATGCTGTGCGATTCGTGATGATGTGTGAAGTGGTACCTGAGGGGTGTTGTCGGTGAGGTGTGCAAGCGCGGATAATGCAATCAAGGATGGCTCTGCCGAAGGAGCGCTCCATGCAGGGCTTTATACGCAGGTCCCCTAAGATGATACAGCCCATCATGTATTCCCCTCGAATCGCCTGCACGTATCGACGCAACATGGTGCTGTTTTAGGCGTAGTCAAAAGCCAAGGCAGCGCGCTACTGAGCTTGTCTGAAATCCGCCCCCAACTGTGTCTTGAGAAAGCTTAGGTCGATTCGCTACTTGAGTAGATTTGATGGCTGCTCACCAAAATCCGTGATTGGCATAACGACGGCGTTATTTGCGGGTACAACTACGTTACTCTGATTGGCTAGCACCCCAAGTGCGGGTGCATGGAAAATGCCATCTACTGCCATAGGCTTAGGCTCATGACCGGAGGCTGGAGAGATATTTTTGTACTATGGCGGAGATTTTCCTCCCAGATCTATAACAAGTTCACCCAACTTCAAACATCTTTCTCCACTTCTTCCACGCTAGGTAGCCTGTTCAACTTGACCTCCATGAATCCACCGGCTTGCTTCACCCCTTCTAGGACCGCTTTCACGTCTTCGATACCAAACCCGATCCTCCTCGCGCCCCTAATGTGCCAGTGCGTCTCGAGCGGAAGATTTTGAATCGCAATACCCGCCAACACTACGACTTCGGTATCCCAATCATCGAGAACGCTCCGGTCCGACAAATACAAACCGTATGTGATCTCAGTACTGATCCATTGGAAGTCACGATGCGCATTAAAGAGTGCCAGAGTGTCATCCGTATTGCCTTTGTAGATCTTCTGTAGCCAATCGAGTCCGCGATCATGGTTGGCTTGATCCGCTTTCCAGTTCTCCCGGCTGAACGTGTAGTCGCGATCTTCCTCTCTTTCGACTTTGCTAATGGAAAGGATGGCTTCGATGGGTTTGCAGACGCCAATGATTGAAATGAGTTTGACAAGTGCTTCGCGGAGCCGTCTGATCAGAGCTTGGCGTGTAGCAGGAGTCTGAAATTCGGGTTTGCTGATCAAGTGGAGATAGAGCTGATCAGCTAAAAGAGGTTCAGTGCCACCGACCAATGCTGCCAGCGCGACAAGGTACCAGCGTGAAGAGCCCAAGGCTGTTTGAGCAAAAGTTTGCTCGAGTGATGTGAAAAGAGCGCCAGGATTGGTAGAAGAGCTCATGTTGCTGGAGAATGATAGCAGTTGGAGAGTGGTTTGGAATTATTAGTCGTGGAGGCGATAGTTGATAAACCGAGAATCCGAAGAGTCAGAAGTCGGAGAGTCCACAGGCTGATTCACCTACATATGCATATGTACCTCATTGACAGTCCGCCAATATCTGGTTAAGCGATCGATTGAAACGCTTCAATTGACAATGATGTAAATGAGATGCGATTGACTCGATGGCGTGCACGTCAAAAAACCATCAACGCGCAGAGATTCCAGAAATCCGACCGCAACTTGCGCTCTCGATGGCACGAAAACGCTCACTGCGGACATGCTGCAATCTGATTGGCCGCGCACAGACCGCAACCTTCAAATCCCCAAAGGGTACAACATTCGAACAGTGACAAGCCTGGAACCCTCGCCTCAATACCCGTCGAACCCTCCACCAAACGCACTCGTTTACTGAGTTGACGCCAGTCAGGTCGCTCCCGTCCTCCTTACGCGACTGCGCTCGCATCCTGATCCCTCCCACGACACCTCCACCGGACCCTCCATACCCGAAAACTACAACCCCGCGTACTCAACACAAACGAACGCCTGCCCACCATGGCTTTGAACATCTACTTGAACAGTAAGAAGATGCCCCCCCTGTCCCAATCTTCCCTTCTCCTACTCATATCCAGAAAGCTAACCCTATCAACAGAGAAAGTCTCAGTCTTAACGCAAGATGGTCGCACCATGGTCGGCACCCTCATCTCGTGCGACGGCAGCATGAACATGGTGCTCGCTGATGCCGTAGAACGCATCATACGGCCGCGCGAAGAAGATGTACCCAGCGAGGAGGTGCCTTTGGGGCTATATATTGTGCGCGGGGACAGCGTGGCGGTGTGTGGTCGGGTCGACGAGGATATCGATGGCAAAATCAATTGGACCGAGGTGAGAGGTGAAGTGCTGGGTGGTACAAAACATATTTGAGGCTTTTTTTTGGCCCAGGCACTCTGTATTATCTGGATTCTTGGATTGGGAGGGTGGGAGGTTGGAGGCATATATGCTCCTTTGCTGAGCTCGGGAACCCACGCGTTTGACGTGCAGGAAAAGCTGTAGAAAGCGAGGGACTGGTTGACGGGAAGAATGCAATGTTTCTCGCGGTGGAGGAACAACGATACCCTTGGACGATGGAAGACTACCCACAGTATGTCGCCGCGGTCTCTACGCTCGTCGTTACATACCTAGCTGACATCCTAGACACGGAAAGAATGGACAGCATTGGAAGCCTGGTAGCAGAAATGTGCGTGAGCCACTCAAGCAAATTGAAGCAGAGTAGCATTGCACATGAATGGATATCAAATCTACACTTTTGCAAAAGACATCGTTCACAAACCCGCTTCTCAGCTACTATGATCAGCCCGTACAAATCACAGTTCTCAGTTTTTCCACTCATGCCCCTTACATGTCTACTGTATCGAACGCCCCAGCCCCTCTTTCACCCCGGCAACCATCTTATGATCTCCCGGATTTGCAGCTGCCTCGTACAAGAAGCTGATGGGCTCCTTATTCAGCTTCATAAAGTCTCCCTTGAAACCCAGATAGCTTATTGTCGTGACATCCTCTTCGCCATCGCTCCAATTATCTTCAAAGAACAGCGTCAAGCTACGGGTCGTGTTGAACAGCGCCCGCTTGACGGGTATCTCCTGGACCTCGGCCGTCTGTGAGATGGAAAGTTCCTGCGTCGGCGGCTTATCCGAGGCGGTGCTGAAGTCGATGGAGTCGTCATTGATGAAAAGTTTGAGGGTTTTGGGGCAGGAATCGGTGGGCGTGGTGCGGATGAGAATACTGTGGAGACGGACTTGTCCCGTGAACCTGGTAATGCAGATGTGAGCCCCCTTCTATGCTGACACCATCTGCAATTCTTGATAAAGAGAAAAAGAGGAGTGGAACTCACGGCACAGTCATCAGTAGTTGCTCGTCCGCGAAGCTTTTCAGCTCTGGTTCCAACTCCATGCGCTGCGCCCATGTCTTTTGACATATCTTGCGCCCGGAACTCGCCTCCTCCTCATTGAGCGTCTGCAGCTTTGAGAAGTCGATCTGCTCGTATAGCAGGTTCTGTAGTGCGGGTACGATGTCGTCTGAGTGATCGTGTACGTGATTATGCCCTTCGGCATGCTCTTCATCATGACCGTGGCTGTGATCGTGGTGATGCGACATGGTGGGGTAGGCAGTGTTGCGCAAGGTATGTATAGTGGGGTAGCTAAGTAAAGACGCAAGCACCTTCGCGCGGGTGTGTTTTGCGAAAGGCGATTAGAATACGGGCCTTGAGATGAGACTTGGTTGAACGTGTAGGTATTACGTTGCTGCGCGTCCCGGGCGGCAACTTTTTGGGGGATGCGATTCCAAATGGGTGTTGTTGACGAAGACGCGGCTATGTGCGATTGATATTCATCAGGGTCCAGGGCGGGTCAGGCCAGTCAGGTCAGGCATTCAACATCAATCCAACAATTGAAGGTAACTCAAGATGCGCACGCGGGCTAGCAGAAAGGCAGCCCAGCATGAAGGTGATACGTATTCATCTAGCTTGCAAAAGAAATTGCCGCCGAGATATGCACCGCAAAAATAACAAACGCAACAAAAACGCCTCGCTCCAATGCTCTAAATCAACCGGTACACCATTATACAAGTCGGGTCATGCCGCCACCATGGGTTGCGAGGCCCGCTCAGCCTCCCTCTCCTCAGCTCTTCTGCGCGCTCTTTCTTTTGCGAGTTGAGCCTGCTTCTCTGGTGTAGGTTCTGGCTGCTCGATGGGTGGAGCGGGCCATATTAACGGTTCCCCTCTGACCTCTCTCTCCAACGCCTCGAGCTCGTCTTCGACTTCGTCCTCGTCTTGGTTCGTCATCTTGCTCGCGAGCATGTCGCTGATTTCCTGTGCCATAAGGTCAGCATAGGCCTCGAATAAGCAGGTCAAGAAGCATAATGCGCACCTGTTGATACGCTCTGGCCTCGGCGTTCTCCTCCATCAGCTTTTCCACATTCTCGATGCCACCCATTTCTTTGTTGATCTCCTTGAGAACATTGCTGCCCTGCTGCAATCCATACAGAACGTCCTTTTGCACGAGCGCGAATTCCACGTCACTTGTCAACTGTTCCAGCTGTGCGAGCTGAGCATCCGTCTTCGCGAGCAGCGACTCTTGGTATTTCTTCCGTCGAAGCGCAAGCTTTGCCTTTCTAGTGTCGCCGCGGGCGAGACATTCTTTTGCAATAGCTTTCTCGCGGTCGGTGAGGATGGTTATCTTCTTCTGGTATTGATGTAGCTTATCGCGCTGGTTCTTCATGTCCAGGATCGCCCTGCAGGGAGATTAGCACTGCAGGTGTCGAGGCATCGTAGAGAGGGTTAGAATACTTGTCCTGAGCAGAGATTTTGTGTGCGCTATTCGAGTTGCCCATGTTGTCCCTGGCGCCATGAGCACAGTAGGTATGTATGAAGCTGAAGAGTCGAAGTGCACTCTAGCCTGCACCCTGCGACCGCTATGTGACGTCTTGGTCGGGTCCGTGCTAACCACTACTACCAAGAAGGCGGGCCAACCTGAACACTAGAATCTACAGGTACTTAGCATAACCACTACGAAATCATTCTTTGAACCATAGTATAATTGGTCAAGAACCCCATAATAAGACATCGAATCCATCACCATCTGTGACTGCCACCTGACAGCGCTGAGGATCGAAGAGCCCCCCTAAGCTGGCACTTGATTCATTGCAGCACGCTTACGGTTAAGCCTCTTATCGATAGCCCTTACCGAGCCCGTGCATTTGGCCTCTTATCGATAACAACTTTTTTTCTTTACCGAAGCTCAAAGCTATACACCGCAGTGACCGCCAACATACCCCTATTGCACTACTACTCAGGCCCTATACTGCCCAAAATGTCGCGTGGCGGACGCTCGTCGTTGCAAAACAGTCTTGATAGAGATGTATATCAAGTGGTTCGAAAACATATCGAGACATACGATCAACCCTTGTCCAAGCTGAAATCGCATGTCATATATGACCATATAAAATCCTCCAATTCTTCGTTGAAACGTCGACCAAAGAAGCAGCTCGAGGACTCCATTGAGCGTGTTTTGCTCGTACTGCAAGAAGATGAGGCCAGTGAGGATGAGATGGCCGAGCTGGAGGGCGCGTTTGCAGACACAGGCAATGGAGATGACGATCTCCAGACCCCCGCGAAGCCCAGTGTAGATTTTATGAATCAACAGATTGTCAGCGCATGGAGCAAAGAGGGACCTGGCGGAAATGGCGTAGAGAAGAGCAAGAAAAGAGAGGGTACCAAAGGTGGTGAGAGGGAGAGCAAAAGGCTGAAGAAATCCGCCCCGGAGAAGATCGATACGAACCCCCCTTCAGGCTTTACTCTCCGCGACCTTGGTGGCGTTGATAATGTCAAACGCCAGCTCAAGGATCACCTTGTGCTACCACTGCTCTACCCTGAAGAATATACAGAGCGCAAGATCCCTATACCACGTGGTATATTGCTGCACGGGCCTCCTGGCTGTGGCAAAACAGTCATCAGTCGAGCATTTGCTGCATCCCTTGGGGTACCATTTGTGGAGATTTTGGGTCCCTCGGTCGTGTCTGGGATGTCGGGAGAGTCCGAAAAGCAGATCCGAGAGCATTTTGACCGAGCCAAAGAGGTTGCGCCCTGTCTGATCTTCATCGATGAAATCGATGTCATTGCCCCCAAGCGAGACAGCGCGCAGAGTCAGATGGAAAAACGTATTGTGGCCCAGCTTTTAATTTCCATGGACAGTCTTGCCATGGAGAAAAACAATGGAAAACCTGTCATCGTGTTGGCTGCTACCAACCGACCGGACAGTCTAGATCCTGCACTACGACGCGGTGGACGCTTCGATACCGAAATCAACATGGGGGTTCCAAATGAATCAATGAGAGAAATGATTTTGAAGGCTCTCACCCGCGAACCCCGCCTTTCAGACGATGTCGATTTCTCAGCTCTCGCCAAAAAGACTGCAGGTTTCGTAGGTGCGGATTTAAAGGACCTTGTCAGCAAAGCAGGAACATGGTCGATGGATCAGTTCCGTGAAGCTCTGGAGAAGCAAGCGATGGAGGAAGAGACCGAGATGGATGTCGATGGGTCTGAATTAGCCAAAGGATCCCGCATGGATGATTCTATAGAACGTCTCATCCGCCGTGTAAAAGAAAGGAAAGACCAAATTCGCCCTGCAGGCTTTGAGGATACAGCTATAACGATGGAAGCTTTTGATGCCGTACTACCCACTATTGTACCTTCATCGAAGCGAGAAGGCTTTGCCACCGTGCCCGACACCACATGGCGAGACGTTGGCGCGCTTGAGAACGTTCGTGCCGAATTACAGATGGCAATTGTCGAGCCAATCAAGAACCCCCAACGTTTCAAGGCCGTGGGCATTACTGCCGCCACGGGAGTTTTGCTGTGGGGGCCTCCTGGCTGCGGCAAGACGTTACTTGCAAAGGCTGTAGCTGCGGAGTCTAAAGCCAATTTCATCAGCGTCAAGGGCCCAGAACTGTTAAACAAGGTACGTTGCCATAACATATTTTTCTGCAATCTACTAATGACTCTAATAGTATGTGGGTGAATCGGAGCGTGCCTTGCGCCAGGTGTTCATGCGCGCACGGTCTTCAGTGCCTTGCGTCATCTTCTTCGATGAGTTAGACGCATTGGTTCCTAAGCGTTCGACAGAATTGCACGAGGCTTCGGCCCGTGTTGTGAACACCTTATTGACCGAGCTGGATGGTCTTAGCGCACGCGAAGGTATCTACTTAATCGCCGCTACAAACCGCCCGGATATGATCGACGATGCCATGTTGCGCCCGGGTCGGCTCGAAACGCTGTTGTATGTACAGCTGCCTGGTCCCCAGGAACGGGTCGATATATTGAAAGCACAGATTCTGCAAAAGGGTGGAATCGTCAATCCAGAGCTAGCTACTGTTGCATCAAGCAGTGCTTGTCAAGACTTCAGTGGTGCTGACCTTGAGGCGCTGTTGAGGAAAGCAGGTCAGAACGCGCTCAGACGTGGGGTCGACAAGGTAGAGGAAGTTGACCTAATCGAGGCTGCCTCAAACATCAAACCTTCTGTTGGTAACATAGAGCACTACAACAAGCTACGTACCAGGTTTGAGACCAAGCTTTGGTAGTTCCAATGTTTTTTTCGCATGCCTCGTCATTTCAACAATTTTCTTGGCCCCCTTCAGGATCGCGGTTTCCCCCCGGATGCGTGGATCTCATGGTTGTCGTCCGGAGACATGTCTTCCACGTAGGCACCCGAAGCAATTAATTGCTTGTTGGTCATTCCGGTATTTCATGCTTGTCTGGGTGCAGATATGGGTCATTTCATTTACACGCCTGAGGCCCGAAAAATAAGTCATCGTTGATGACATCGCGGGCAAATGATATCTACACTTACTGGGCAGCAGGGCAGTAGTCCCAGTAACGAAGCCGTGTGTGCCCACAGCGGCGAAAACGAGTGTACCATGCTGTGCACATTGGAGTGTACGGATTTTCCGGATTTTTTTTTTTCAGTCAACTTGGTTGATGGTAGAAGAATTGGGCAGGGTCCAGTTGGAATTTAACGATACGTGGTCGGGCTGTACCGGGCAGCACACTAGTGAAGGCATTCTCATATACCTGGGTACTTACACTTGAGTAATGCCTTGTGCAGTTAGACAAAGGCTTGGGGTCACGTAACCAGGTATCAACTTACTTCTACGCTGCAAACCCCACCGCATTGGAGCATTCTCCAAAGATAATGGACTAAACTCCCGAAACCCGCTTACCATCACTACCCGCGTCGCACGTTCCTCTCCATAAACTTCTATATACATTCAAGGCAATCCCAGTTCCATCTGAACCTCCTTGGCCTCTTCCCGTTCCTTCAAAAACTCCTTGAATGCCGGTGTACCCCGTACACCTCTCCCTTTATCATACCCTTCGATCATACTCCGCATCAGCTCGATCCACGCCTTGCACTCCTTGCAAACCTGTCCCCCGCTACTACTCACAATCGTACGCGAAGTCAAACCCGGACACGTGCTAGCTACATGGTTCAACTCATGATCAGGGATTCCAAAGTCATTCAACCAGCCGTTTCCGTTTCCGTTTGACGATGAAAGCGCTGGGTAAGAAGATGTTGAGTCTGACACGGCGCGTCGCGACGTAGATGTAGCTGTGTTGGAGCGCTGGAGCATATTTGACATGCTGAAAAAACGTTTTGATTTCGCAGTTGCGGTGCCAGAGCGCTTGACCTGTGGTGGGCCGCTACCGGAGTATGAAGCTGGTCGCGATGGGTTGAAGAACTCCGCGGGTGGGGAAAGGGGTGGGGAGGAAGGACCTCGTGTCGCTAGGATAGTTTGGAAGGCGGTTTCGCATGGCGTGTAAGAATTCTGGTAAGTTTCGCCGTAGTGGCCGCAGCCGGAGTGTTGGGTATAGTTGCGAAAACACATTCGTAACGTCTTGGAAAAGATTTATTTGCTAGAGGCGGATGTGTACCTATCCGTGATATTGGCAAGGCTTTCCCAGAGTATTCGATCTATTTGTACTACAGAAGATGCGTGGCGCGATTGCATGCAGCAGGAAGTCGGGGACATGCAGGGCCTGGATCGATTCAATATGTAGATTGGGTGGACGGTGATTGTTTTCTGTTTCCTAAAGCGGGGAGCGGATGGAAAAGCACATGACGTTCATACCATCAATTGAGAAGTGCGTGTGACAGGCATCGATGTATGTTGCAAAATAACAATGGAATCATGTACAAATTGTGTTCCTCGATCTCATGTTATGACGCCGGCTGCCTTGTTTTTCCAGAAATAAGCGGTGAGGGATCGGCAGCATGGATAGAGTTGTCACGTGCGACCTCGTGTCGACGTTCAACATTGATGGCATTGTCGCGCGGCTATACACATATCCATATGCCAATATCCAAACAATGGAATGTATTAGTCAATCATTGAATATAAACACCAGCGCATGTGTCACCTGGACTTCAAGTTGGGTAACATCCCCACATCTTCAACATCTTCTCAATGGACACGTATGAAAACACGCAAAGATGGATCTTCGATGTGATATCTATGTAATGAATGAACGATTCAATTTGAAGCATTATGATCAATGATTGGCCCTGGCTACACATAGTTCGAATGAACAGCTCGTATTTGTTGGGCGGGAGTGTCTAATGCATGGGTTGAAATAAGCTTTATCCAATCCTACATATGTGTGCGAAGGGGAAGGTTTCTCCATGAAGCGACTCTCCTACAAACATAACGCCATTGTTCTATACAATAGGGCTATGTTGATGCCGATATATTATCTGGTGAAACATGCTCAGCATGCAGGTAATGTGAGATCAGGCTGCTATCATCCATGAAGGGCGTATGATTGCCCGAGCCTATGCCCCAGGAAATTTGCTGGTCAAGGAAGCTGGTATATCTTAATCTTGTCGTATCATTTATCGTCCCAGTTCTGTACTGGTGCTGAGATTACATATGTACTCATCGACCCAGCAGAGCTGTCAGGGCAGGCCGCGACTGCCATTCGGGTCAGTGAGGGATTGCAATGACGTCCACCCTCTCTGAACCGTCTTTCTGATACTCCTCCCATCAAACTCTCCGCTCTCTGCACATCAAAAACTATAAATACCCCGCATTACTTTCTTTTCCTTCAAATACCCGCCGGCATGGTCAAGCTCGCCCCCAGCCGCAAGAAAGGCGCAGCAGCAGCAGGCGGAGCGAAGATACATCCCACCTCTGCTCGCACAGATGCCGTAGGATTGGGGGGAACAATTCTATCATGTTGTCAAGCCTTCATATCCGGGTTACTTTCACTATGCAGCTCCCCAATCAGATCCTCGACAGGGGGGCGGTCCGTCGGCATGGACAACCTGGAGTCCGATCAGATGGACGACAATGATACGTTGAGATTGATACCATCACTCAACACGTTGTATGAGGAGCACGAATCTTACAAGAGAATTGGAACAACTGGATACACCTCACACTACCTCAGGTTCGACACAGCAAGTCGCGGCAAACGTCCGCCCAGAAGGCCACGAGGTTCCAAAAGGTCTCGTCCTGTCAGTCCAATGTCGACAATACGAGAGGTTGATACACCTTCTTCAAGTGTCAATTTTCCACCTAGTCTTACGGGCCCGGAAATCCGCAGACGACAGCAAGCTCCACCCCCACCATGTGTGTCTTGCGGTCTCCGCCAGTCTGAATGTGCGAAAACTATTAACTTCTCTAAAGACAACCCAAGCAAGTCATTCAACATATCGATATTTATTGACGAGTTGGACCGCGTGAGACTGGCCGATTACGTTTGGGAGAACACCAAAAGGACATCAGATCTCTCTCGTGAGCGTGAGCATTACGTTATGATGTATCTCAAACATCGCCAGGAAAATACGGATAAAAGAGTTGACCTGCACGTGGGATTTGATGAAGACGATGTGCTCAGGAGGAAGATGGTCGTGGCTTATCTGTGTGACACCAAGATTGCACAGATCATGGCTTATCTTGGGCCTCACGCTGCCAAAGTGAGATTAGGAGAAGTGGTGTCGGGATATCTTTACGAGTTCGGGGGTCCAACCGTGTTCGGCATCGGAATCGTATCATCATAGAGGAATTTTCGTTGCCACCGAGTTACTCATACGCTACATTACGAGCGGTTGGGTGTTAGGAATTCTATGCGACTCGTTCTTATAATCAGATTGAAGGGAATATGTTCAAGCACAGGCTGCTCTCTTTTAAATACTTTCTCCCCCACCAATTCAATACTTAACAACCCGACTGCACACCATCTTGTGCCATACGAATTTGATCATCCAAGTTCCCCCTCTTGCCATCGTCAACTTGAGTGAATGATTAGTTGGGTCATGCATTCAAGAGGACGTAGTCGATTTTATACGGGACGCTTCAGTGGTAGTGAAGGAACCAATCCTCGTACTAATTGCTACGAAATCAAAAGTGACTCGTGCTGAAGAAAACGTATCTTAACTGTTTCCAGAGAAGACTTGGTTCGGAGCCCAGCAGCTTGGTAGATTTGTCTGATAAGAGCTGCTATTTCATAGTCTACGAAAAACTGTTCAAGGCTACGATATATATCGCTGAACAATCCATTGATCGCCTTTTGAACCTTCCGTCGACTGATTATTGTTTAATGTTTATACATTCATAGCACTTCATTGCGATGCAACCTCATCCTCAGACTTAACCCTATGCTCACGGAAAAAAGACTGCAAATTGAAGCAGACATGTTTGTATCACACATGCGAAGGAATCTCCCAGCGGAGAATTTAGAAGACCTCTTCTAAGTTTTCAGAAGTCAAGATATTGTTTGGCATATACAAATGATACATAGATAGACAGCTCCGCTCGTATTGCTTCAATGCATCTCTGAAGGCAGGGTGAAGTCGAAATGACCAGCGCGAATAATCTGCACGTTACAATAAGTATCTAAAGCTCAATTCTGTCATTTGACAACGTCACTGTCGAAATGAGTCCGCGCAGCAACGTGCCCCAAGCACGGGCCTATTTACCTATTGTCGCCCACACCGCGACTTCACCTCACTTTCCTCCCCCACTATCCACCTCACCTCATTCGCTTCCTATATTCTCTGTTGAACTCCACGATCATTCCAAATCCCATCATCTCTTCCTATTATACCAACGGACACAATACCAACCACTCTTTTTTGACTTCATATAAAGCAAGCGCCCTGCCTACTCTGAGCCTCTCTCTCGCTCCCTCTTTGACCTCAGACTCTTCCTGACACGCTATAAACACCGACACAAACAACATCTCTTGACGCACCAGCGACTCAAGCTTCTCCTCAATACATTACAACAACCTCTATCCCACTCTCTAAACCCAGCACATCAACTCTCATATCACCAAGACCAAAAAATGGCTTCCTCTTCCTGCTCTTCTCCTACCTCAGACCACACTGTCGCTGAATCCTCTTCTCGGGCAATTGTTGAGAAAGACCACGCCTTGAACTTCTCCCGACTCGTCAACGGCTTCGATAAAACCCGCGAAAACATGAAGAACGCGTTCAGCACCAATCCGCGCCTCCTGTCCGACCTGACTTCCACCATCACAACGAAAATCCAAGCGGCTCTCGGGAAACAGATCGACGCCAACACAGATATCCAACCCAGACAATTGAAGTACGAACTGGAGGAGGAACTCCTGGCAATCCACCGCCGCCACGATGCACCCACCACCATCACCCAGACGGTTGACGAAGCCAACAAGCTGCACTTCGGCCAGCATTTCGGCGGCAACGGTCCCCCTCCTTACGATGCCGACGGTGCGATTTCCAAGGAGCTGGGAAAAATCAGGCGGCTTCGCCGTCGTTTCCCAGGCAGTAAGGGCACGGCAGTCAAGCCAGCCGTCGAGAAGTCTGCCCGGGCTCCCCGGCAGAAGAAGAGCAAGCCCACTGCGGTGGCAGTCTCTCCTCGTCGCACCCGTGCGGCTTCTCGGCGCGAGGCCGCTGCTGCCGTTGCTCCTGCTGCTGCGGCTCCTTCTCCTCCTCCCTCAGCTGCTGCTGAGCTCCCCCCTTCCCCTTCTCCAGAGGCCACCGATGGTCTCTCGGTTCTCGCCTCCGCCGCTGCGGTTGTCGGAGCTGCTCCCGCTGGGAAGCGTAAGCGGGATGATGAGAGTGGCGCCTCATCATCCAAGCGCGCTCGGACAGTTGTGCCATCTGAAGGTTTCGCTGAGATTCCTTCAGCTGGTACACTGCTCCACATGACTACCGCTGAGGTATTCATGGCCGGTGTGGAGTACGCTGTCGGCAACGCCGGTGCCTCTACTCAGGCCAATGATAGGATGCGTGCCTTCGTGCTGGCAAAACTTGGAGAGATTTTGTAAAGGGCGCTCCTATGACCGAAGTAGAGGTGGGGATTGGGATTGGGGGAGGGTTTCGTACCAGAGAGAGATTTTTCTTTGGAGTTCGGGGTTCTCGGGTTTTGTTCCCGTTTTTGTTTCTGGGGTCTTTCCTTGGGGTTATGGAAAGTTTTTTTCTTGGGTCGAGGTCTTTCGAGTCTGTTTGTTTTTTGCTTTTTGTTTTGTTTTGTTTTTTGCTTTTTTTTGTTTTGTTTTTTGCTTTTTGTTTTGTTTTGTTCTTTGTTTTTTCTTGTTTTCTTCTCCTTTTTGTGTCTCGGGGAGGTATTTTCCTTTCCTCAAACCAGTAGTCAATGTATAGAAAAAGTTCAAAACAATATGTCTTCATTCACCGTGACATCTACAAAACCATCCTCATGTATGAAACAGGCAGGAATAAGTCTGTGAGCTTATTCTGTATTCATACTTTCGTGATGACCGTACGTTATATCGTGCATTTGAATTCCGACCCCACACAAAGCCAAAGCCTTTACGATATAGATGTTCCAGATATATACAATCCATGTCCATACGCATCTATTTTTCAATTCTAAATCGCTCCCAGTAGCTTCTCTGTCTGCTTCCATGCTGGAAACTCCAGTAGAATTTTGAAATTTTGCTTATATCATATACAATACATTGACAACATGTATATCCTACTATCACTCCCTCAAGAAGTTTCACACTTCACAGGATTCACACGCATGATCTTGTATACAGCACAACATCTACTTACTCGTAGTAAGTGATGTGCATCTGCGATGTCTTTCACTCCACATGCAAATCGACTCATAACTGGAGAATTCTCATGTATGTAGCCACTGACTGAGTTGCAACATCTGGCATTGTATCATTGCATATCCTAATCCATCATTTTAAGCATTGAAGAGCGGAATATACAGAAATCTTTAATCTTCTCATTCGATGCAGGCTGCTGTTTTGAAGAAGTCCTCTGTAGCTAAACTGAGCACGCCATCTGAGCAATAGTGAATTCATTATAGGTTTATCAAAGGCTTCCAAACTCAAGATATCGTGAAAGCTGCTCTGACCTTGAGGTATTCGCCAAGTCTACTGTTTCTTTTTTAGTCGGCGTCCGAGAGATTTTGTGCAATTAATTTCACAAGTGGGAAGTGTTGCGAGCGAAAGGCTCTGCAGGTTGGGTTGGACAGCCGTTTCCCCGGGAATTTTCCTCCAGGATGCTAACACCCCAATCATTCTTCTTTTGGGGAAAAGAGCGACAAAAAAAATTGATCGGTATACTTGAACGAGAAGCCAGAAAGATAGGGAAAGAAAAGACCGCCTTTGTAGGTGGTTCTCATCACCACACCGACGTCCACAGTCCACCCCCTCGTGCGCTTCGTCTCATCGTCTCACTCTCTTATCATCTTCTTTGAACACTACGCCCTGGTGAGCTACAACCTCTGCGAGCGAATTAATTTATTATTCAAAAGCGAAGATTGAATACTATAAAGGCTAGTGTTGTGGAGAGTGTTGGAGGTGGGAGAGGAGTGAGGAGAGGAAGTACGAGACTTGTACACCAAAGATAGGTAGAATGGGCACAATAAAGGCTTCCTTTTAACACTAAGAATGCTCTATGTGTTCAATTGCTACCTTATTTATACATATGCTATAGAACCCTGCGTCTAGAGATGCGGTAGAAAGAGAAGATGTATGGACATATTATTTATGAATACATGTCTACTTTGTCTTAGCCCATGCTTCACGATTCGAGTCCTGCTTTGGGTATTCTCTTATTATATAACCCCATGCCGTGTTTCCAAATTAACGCTCTAGGTGAGCCTCGTAGAAGGTGTCGTTCGCGCTTCCATTCAATTTGGACCTGCTGCTGGAACTAATATTGTCTTGTAGCGGAACAAAGTCCTTGTGGCTGCCGCCACCAATCGTCTGAGATGCCCAAGCTTTGTGTTGAGATGAGCCATTGGTCTTGGAACTCGATGTGGATGTGCGGAAGATCTTGGATGTCAAGCTCGAGGTTCTAAGCTGCTCGCGCCAGGATTTGAAAACGGGCGATAGCATGGGGAGGCAGCAGCAGAAGATGCCGACGGCGGTTTCGAGGGTTTGGAAGAGAAAAGGACCCCAGGCTCCCTGTATAGGATCAAGAGCTGCATTTCCGACCCAAAACTGCATCATGCAAGCCATGCGGATAATGGAACAGATGGTTGCACTAAGTGTGTTGTTAGCCAGGTTCTTGCCAAGTATAGATGAGGGTAGAGGGGAAGGAGAACCGCAACACATACAAAAGTCCAAGTCCAAACACGCCGACAATCAGCAGTCGCTTCTTCAATGACAGTTTCAAGGCCCAGATGGCGGGAATTGGAATCAAAAGAATGATAACATCGATCGCGACATGGGAGAAGCCCGTAGCGGAGCACACCATGTGCTTGTCCACACTGCACTTTCCGGCGATCTTAGCATTGAAGAACTTCGGCAGCGGGTGACAGCTGTTGAACCATGTGACCAAGGTGGAAATGAACCAAGCCAGTGTTACACCAATCATTCCGTAGCATGCGTAGCGGGTCCAGTTGATTATGCGGAATATACGCAGGTAGAAGCAGAGCAACGATATCTGGATCGCGGCCACTGAAGCCGTCCAAATCAAATTCAAGGAGAAAATGGACTACTCCAAAGTTAGTGATGGTCAGACCAGCGAAGACGTAGCCAAGAATTACCTTCATCCAAGTTGGGAAGACTTCAGGGTGTTTTTTCATGATGAACGACGTTGGCATTCCTTGGCCTGTCTCGTAGACCATGAAAATGAGGAGGCCGACCATGGGCCAGCCCAGTAGCTGCAATCGTGAGTGAGGTTTCGGACGCATGGAAGGGGCTGCAACGGATAATTACCAGACTCAGGATACACAAATAATCATCGATGGTCAGTTTGCCCTTGTTCAAACGCCGAACCTGAAGTCGCAGCGCGACCGTGACGGTGGCGATGGCAAAAAAGATGATAGGTATCACTATCATGGAGACTTGATAGTGGTTCACTATCTTGAACGTCGCTCGCTTCTCAACATGAAGAATTGCAGGCATGGTTGTGGTTCTTTGGTAGCGGATTAGGGGAGACCCGTCAACTTGGAATCAGGCTGCTGGTATTGAGATGCAGATATAGGCAATACCAAGAGTGCTTACTGACATCCAATCTTCAACACCGTTGGCAGCTTGGGGCGGAATTTACAGTAAGAGCAATACGAACAACCCGAAAGGAGATGCAAGCCATGCATGAAAGCTGAACGAACAGGCAGAGTGTTGCGTCCGTACCTTACTCTCTCTACCTAGACTCCTGTAGATAAGCTGTGTGCTTACACCCACACACGCGTCTTCGGTGTTCGGTTGCGATTACAAATGTATACCGGATCATCCTGTCAATACGAACCCTAACCTGAGTCTTTCAAATCGTTGAATTGGTATAATGGGTGGTCACCCTTGTTGCTTCAGATCGGTGTGTGTTTCTTTCCACACTATACGCGGCACACCCTGGTCGCAGTTCGTATAGTAGTGAATACGAACTCCCCGCACCGTAGACATTTCTACCGTTGGGCACTAGAGATAAGGATGCAAGAGTGGTATCAGACGTGATAATTTACAAGGGGCGCATGCAGGCCATCGGTTTAGCTACAGGATTCTCCCCGAGATGATGAGCAAAACAATGAAACAATCATGTCGCATTCTTGCTCGGAATACGAGACTATCTAGACCGAAGCGGCCGACCGATCAGCAATATTTCGTATGGTGCAATTAAAGAGCTGCATACACGTCCATCCTGCCTATTTTGTCTGGAATTCGAAACCAGAGCCAAGCCGCTGACCGGTTATTGATATCTACCCTTGTGCAATGAACGAGTTGCATCGGATCACATGATCTATCTATCTGCGGGTTCCCGCTCCCCTACGGGTCAGTGAAAAACAGCCCTGGTCAAGCCACAGCTTGCTGGAACCAATGACTTCGTTCGAGAAATGCCCTGTAAGTCATTGCCCCTCAAAATCTCACCATGTAGACTCTGTCCATTCTTTTGCTGCATACCAGATCGGGAGCGTTGCTCCGCTGCATTAGCAGCTTTTTATACGAATTTATTTCACATTTGTAAGAAATCATGAAGCAGCCTCGAAAATTTGTAACGCCTCCGGATTGAGTTAATGTCTGTTGGCCCATATCGAGTTGCGCAAAATTTCTTCACTGAAGAGATTCACACAAAGCTTTGCTTGTTGTCTTTCACAAGATATCTTTGACTCACCATGGACTCCACGAAGTCCGTATCGCGACTTCGCCAGCTTGCAGACACCATCAGCGCGTCTGTGAGAAAGTTGGAAGAAGGGCTATCTGCAAAGGGAATTGCGCAACCTAGTTTTGACCAGGACGCAACATTCGACATCCCGATAGACTTAAGCACTGATCATGATGCTGTTCTTGATGCTACAGCAGAGCTTCACGACCTTCTATTGGAACCTCTGAATTTGGTTCACAGACATGGTGGCGTGAGTCTACTTTAACCAAAAACATCAGATACTCAATAACTGACTGTGAAGGGCTTACAAGCACAACAACTCGTTGTGTATGCAGGCAATTGCAGAGTTCAAGATTGCGGACATGGTTCCACTGGGTGGTCAAGTATCTTTTGATGAAATTGCCACCCAAACCCCAATGACAACTGATGTCACGGCCCGCCTCCTCAGGCATGCCATGACTATGCGCCTCTTCCGTGAGCCTGAGCCTGGAATGGTGGCGCACACTGCCGCTTCTAGGGTACTGCACAAGTCAGCCGCCAACGACTGGCTCGAAGCCGGCACAAAAGAAATGTGGCCAGCAGCCACCAAAGTTCGTATATTGCATTGCTAGAGAAGAGAAGAACGAGAAGGTTAACGGTGATTTCGTGATAGATGGTCGAGGCTTTGAAAAAATGGCCGGCCTCAGAAGAGGCAAATGAGACGGTATATAACCCCAGCTTTGGTGGCGTTTCTGAAACAAATCAGCTGAGTACTCTTTTCGCAGGGCTACACGTTGGCAAACAACGGCTCGGAGACGCTATATGATGTCTTTGCCAAAAATCCCGAAAAAGCCACCAAGTGGGCCAAGGGGATGCAAGTCTTCACGCAGAGGCCTCAATTCGACATGCGCTACTTGACTGACTCCTACGACTGGGCATCTCTAGGCAAGGCTCAAGTCGTCGACATTGGTGGCTCGTCTGGTCACGCTTCCATCGCGATAGCGAACCGTTTTCCCAATCTAAGCTTCATCGTCCAGGATATGGAAATGGTGGTCAAAAATGCGACAGCCCCCCCCGACATACAAGATAGGATTCGTTTCATGCCTTACAATCTCTTCACCCCGCAACCGGTTTATGGTGCTGATGTCTACTTTATGCGTTGGATAATGCACAACTGGTCTGATAAGTATGTGAGATTAATGCTGGGTGCGTTGTTTCCGGCGCTCAAACTTGGAGCAAGAGTCATCATCCAAGAGAGTTTGATGCCGGAACCTGGAGCCGTGGCTTTGTGGAAGGAGAAGAACCTAAGGTAAGGGACCATGAATGCGTGCATCTGAGCGACTACATTTTCTGATTGTGAGATAGAGCAACTGATATGAATATGGCGTCTGCTTTCAACGGAAAAGAGAGGACCGTCGTGGAATTCAAATCTTTGGTTGAGAAGTTTGAACCAGCGCTTGTGCTCGATCAGGTCATTGAGCCTGCTGGGTCGGCACTTGGGATGCTCGTCTTTGTTTGGGGCAGGCAACATATTAAAGCAGGTAAATGAGAATATAGCAAGACCCTTAAATTTACGAGCATTGATGATGTGATATTCCGTTCAACACTTGCTAAGATACTGTGGTGATTTATGGGTTGGCTATACCAACGAGCAAGTGTTGAGACACAATATAGACCACAACGATCAATTTTAGGTGATTGCTAATCATTTGAATTGGAAAATAAATCATCTTGCTACAGTTTTCTTCTTCTTTCTACAGCTTGGTCTGCGGTAGACGAACATCCATGACAGTTTCATAACCCTGGGGATAGTACGTGTATGAACGTCGAAGCTCAAGGCCAACTTCCTCAAATGTCTTACGCCACTGGGCCTCAGTACGCTCCATGCTGGCAAAAGCGGACATCATAGTCATATCAATGGATGAAGCAATGTAGCTAACACCAGATTCAGGGAGAACCAGCTCGTCGACAAGTAATATCGAATCGGGTCCCATGGCGGCCTTGACATTCTCCAGAACCCGTCGTACATTAGGCGGGGACTGATTGTGTAGGACAGCGCGCATGTAATAGAACTTGGCGCCTACAGACAATCAATGTTCAGTTTTTTCAAGAAGCGCCAATCATGTGAGTGGGATGTCCGTCCAACGTACCAAGAATAGGCTGGGGCTCAAACATGTCATGTGGCATATTCTCAACACCTGGTGTATTGAGTGCAGCAGCAACCGAATGCTCCAGGTCCTGAAGCACAACCCGGCCTGGTATGTCAGGGTACTTTTCCTTGAACTGCGCACATTGGTGGCCAATGCTGCCACCAATGTTGATGTACAAGCCTTTCTCGGCAGGCCAGTTGACGGCTTCTTCCACTACCGGGTAGGCCGAAAGCCAGGTGACATCAGGTTTTCGGCGCAACGCCATGTAGGTATTGAAGTAAGCTAGTTCATCTGGATGGCTGGCAAACCATGCATACGAGTTCAAGTGGGTGTGGTGTGCCACTTGGAAAGGGGTGTCCTTCTCATCAACAGGATCCTTGTAATCATGATCTTTCAGAAATTTCGGTAACGCTTGATACTGCGGAGCTGCAGTAGTGAAGCTGCAGTATGTAAGTATGTAAAGGTGTGTGTAATTAAGACACAAAAACGTACTAATGAGATAAACCGGCCTGGGTCAACTTCTCTGCTAGATTCCGGGTTGTGTGATTGGCGCTATATTCAGCTTTGCCATTCTCGCTGACGGTGCCAATGGAGGCAAGGAACCGCATGACACGGGCTGTTTGCGTGTAAGCAGCAAGTCCGAAGCCCGGAATCTTTGGGAAACCCACTCATCAATTGAAACTCTGCCCCGGTTTTTTCTGAAAGTTGTTGGATGGTCAGCGGCGAGGCCGACTCGACCAAATGCTGGAACAAGTTCAGATCGATGCCGATTTGAACCACGGCAGCTTGGAGATGCTTTAACTTTGATCAGTACTTTTTGTTATCTGTGACGGGAAATCAAAAAAGAAGAAGCGAACCCCGTGTCCCAACCGATGAATTGTGTCGTTGGGGTTCTCCAAAGAGGCTGCCATGCTGTGAAGCGCTACCCTCGCCTTACGACGACCATCTTCACTTGCCGCCACTGCCAGCTTTCGGACTACTTCAAGAGCTTCTTCCATATTGTATTGAATCAAGAGAGTAAGTAATGAATTGCACAAACTGTGGTCAGAGTTCAGTGTTTATATTACTACTTAAGTACCTGTATATCCCACCCAGGCAACGAAAGATCAAAGGCTGCAATGCACAAGTGACTTCGGTCAACGTTTTGAGTAAGTGGAATGCTCACATGGCAATTATTTACTCGATGTCGCCCAGGTAGCAGACAGAGAGACCATGTCGATTAGTTGCTTGGGCGCGCTGTACAGCATGCAAGCCCATGTCCGCTGGGGCATTAGCGCTACAGCATACCGACAGGGGTCTACCTACGTTCCTAATCAGTGAGTACGGTATAGTACCGTACTCTATCTAGTATCAGAAGAATACAAAACGCTACGGGCGGCTATCAGTTAAGATGATCACAATACCAGATCAGAGCATTGCTCGTCCTGCGTCCCTTTGTAGCATCATGGCCTGGATGAATTATCTCCTCTACTCTGCCGGTGCCATCGTAGCCATCTTATCCTTCCTCTTCGCCCAGTTGCTCCGCCTCAAGTTCACCGAGGCGCGGCAACCCATCTTCGAAAAAGTAGACTCGGTTCATCCGTCACCTTACTGGTGTCCGCCCACATTTGCTAGAAATGTCACAAAATCAATCTGGTCTACGCAGAGATTCGCGACTGAGGGCTATCTAAAGTTCAGCAAAGCTTTAGACCGCCCGTTTGCGCTGCTCACAACATGGGTGGGCGGCAGCACCGTCCTGGTACTGCCACCGTCCAAGATACCCATGCTCACCCGGCCAGACAAGATGAAGGATGGCAGCGAGTGGACCAATCTCCATGGTCTCATCGCAACCACTCAGTTGGCCTATGTCATCGACGATGCCAACATCTATGAGAACGTTCTACACTTTGACGTGGTGCGTCGGAACATGGCCCACAGAGACATGAACCGCCTGGCACCCGTGACGGCCGACGAGATTGAGCAAGGCTTCCTTGACTCGTGGGGCACCGACACCGAATGGAAAACCATCAATGGCTGGGACGGCACTGGGAAGATCATCTCTCGCGCCGCACAGCGCATCCTGATTGGACTGCCCTTGAGCCGCGATGAGAAGATGCTCGAAACATCGCGCCTCTACGCGACTTCGTTGCTCGTGGGCGGCGCCATCATCAACTGCTTCCCACCCTGGATGCGCTGGGTGGCAGCACCCGTCATTGCATTACGCGCCCGGTACTATCAATCAAAGTATGTCAAGATGCTAGTGCCTGTGGTGGAAGAGCGCATCGTCCTGTTGAATCGAGGCCAACAGGAAGGCCCGGTACGTAAAGGACCCCTCGTATACCATTCCTTCTTTTCTCAAAGCTGATTGGTCTGTTTTAAAAGGATGATTTTCTCCAATGGATGCTCCAAATGTGTGCCGACAACCCCGAACAGCTCGAAGCCGAACGCATAGCCTTGCGCGTAGCGAGCCTCCTCACCCCTCTGATCTTCGCAATCTGCTACGTCTTTTCCTCGTGCATTCTCGACATCCACAGCAGTCCCTACAGCGCCGAGATCCTAGCTGGCCTCAAGGAAGAATGCACGCGCGTTTCCGCCGAGCACGGCGGGTTTCACACCAGCGCCGCCGTCGACGCGCTGAAGCGATGCGATTCCGTCTTGCGAGAATCAATGCGCGTGTCTGACGTCCAGGTCACCAACATCTTCCGCGACGTCACAGCCGGCGAGATAGATCTCGGCAACAATCTCCGCGTCGGACCAGGCGTGCGCATGTTATTCCCCACTCAAGACATCCACATGGATCCGGATAACTACCCGGACCCGAAGAAATTCGACGCTTTCCGCTTCTCCAGGCCGTTTGAAAACGCAGACATCAAGGCAGAGGGTGAACAGCTGCTCATTGCCACGCCGACACCGACCTTTATGCCGTTTGGGTATGGCAGACACGCTTGCCCTGGAAGGTGGTTCGCGGCGCAGTCTATGAAGCAGGCTTTGGCGTATCTTGTGCTTCATTACGATGTTGAGTTGGTCGGGCCACCGCCGAAACGCTGGGCGTTGCTAAATATGATGATTCCGCCTGTAGATGCAAAAATCAAACTGCGCTGGAAGGCATGAGACAGTGGAACCTCTCCCCCGCCAAATGTGTTGGGAGGAAGGGAGGAATGTCAAGTATGGTAGCGATATGGGGAGCTGGCTATATGAGTCGTCGCTTAGCGAATCAGTGCAAACAAACACTGAAACTTTTTTCTCGCGTGATGATAATCAAAAACATTTGATTGTGAAATTTATGATGGCTTCAATGTCTTTTGACGCTATAAATCTACACCCTCTGATCCATTCAGCCCTTCATTTTTAACGTGTTAAGATTCGACTGAGTTCAAATACCACCAAACGTCAGCCTTCACATTTCGAGGCAACCGGTACCTGTGTCGGGCTCTTCTGTGTCTCGAAGAATCGATTGCTTGTATTGTGTTTGCTACTTTCTGACTACCTAGGAGGATAAGTCCGTTTCACCGACTCCTTCTCCCGCTCCAAATACTCCTTGAAGCTCGTCAGGGGAGCAATGGCCTTCAGCTCCTCCAAATCCACATACTCATCCGCATGTCTCAGAATCTTATGCGTAGCCTTGAAAGCCGTCATGGCAGCCTGATTCTCCGTCTCCTCTTCGGTTAGAAACAAAGCTTCCATGGTTCCCGGCTGGCCGGCCGCCTCGGCAATCATATCGAGCATCTGCTGCACGCCCATCTGGTCGCTCGCAAGCCCCAACTTGCGTCCATGAAACCTTTCGGGGTTCTGGAACGCGACGGCAGCGATCTTGCCAATGTCGAGGTGGTCGAGGATGGGGAGCTGGGTCTGGGCCGTCATGGCCGTGGTCCAGCGGCGCTCATCGCGAATCTCCGAGTACCGCTGGACTTTGGGTTCGAAGAAGTTGGCCATGAAGAAGGTCGGGCGCAGGAAGGTCTGGTAGGGGAACCCGCGATCTTCGACGGCTTGCTCGACTGCTTTTTTGTTGATCATGTGTTTCTCCATGAAGGAGCCTGGGTACACAGGCACATTTGCATCCAGGAGGGCCACGCCGAGCGTGGTGGAGGAAATGACGTGCTCCACTCCCGCTTCCTTTGCGATGTCCAAGATGCTATTGCACTGTTGATCTACAGGGTAAGCCAAACTAGGTCACACCCATGCAAAACAAGAATTAGAGAAGAGACGAACCTGGCGACGCTCTTGACTCGGATCGTCCCAGTTTGGCAAAAGACATAGGAAGAGTTTATCACATCCTTCGATGCTCTCCTTCAACACGGCAACATCATCCCAGTCGCCCTTTTTCAACTGCACCCCAATGTCCTTGAGGGCCACGGCGGCAGGAGACGTCGTGTCCCGCGTCGTCGCGCGGACGTTCCAGCCCAGCTCTCTTAGTCGCCGACACAGACCTCCCCCTTGGTAGCCGGTGGCACTGCAGACGAAGACTGTTGGGATAGAAGCCATGATCCTAGACGTTCGTTTCTCTTGCTACGCAGAGGTGGGCTTCGATGAGAAAGAATCCAAACATGAGACAAGTCCTCAGTATGATTGATGGAATTTACTTGGGCGAAGCGATGGAGCCACGTGCGGCTTGTTCGTGAATCTGCAATGATGTGCCGAGGTTGTCAAGGCTGGAAAGAATGCGGGATCCTCCCCAAGTCGAAGTTTACTTCTCTCTCTTTCTTCTTCTTCCTCTTCCTCTTCCGCTTCCTCGTCTTCATCCTCGTCATGCTGGTATGCGATGCATTGCAGCCAGCCAAGACGCCGACGCCCGAGCCGTGCGACAAAATGCATGTAAGTTGCTCAACTGCCCCTGGCCATGCCTGGAGACACAACAGATGGTGCAGTATCGCAACATTATACTCAAAACGGTCTTTGCACAATTACCCGGGGTCGTTCTTGAATTAGGCAGAAACCCCGTCGGCAGGAGGGGTATCATGGATGGAAGCAGTGAAAGCTCAACACGCAACGGCCCCTGTTGACAAGAAGCGGATAAAAGCGACTGATGGCAGGTGATGGTAAAGACGAAAAGACTGTGCATCGGTGACCAACACGAGCGTCGGGAACCAGAGCGGAGTGTTTAAAGGCCGCACGTATTGTTGCATATGTCGCATATTTAGCTCTTCCAATGTTGGTATAGAGTTTCTATGTTCGCCAAGTACATATCCAAGCATGCGAAGCCGCCGATTATCCAATCCAAGACTTGGACCGTGCTTCAGCTACCAGGGGTTGATGCTTGGCTAGGTACCCTTGCTATCAGCTTCGTCGCTCTCCGACCCACCCTAGTCGGTCTTCCGTTTTGGGATCAATGCATCGTACTCTGCCTTGCGCCAGGACACGAAGAAGAGATAAGTGCTTGTGGTCTTATTTGCCCGTCTCTGTATGTCGGTAGTTGGGTGTGTTCGTGTTGTTGTGTTCTAGTCCATGTCTGTACATGTCGGTTGGAGAGTGGGGTGTACAGTAGCTCTCATGTTGGCAGCTTTGAGAAATGTAAACATACCTGTATTCTTTTTTAGTGTTTTCGTTTCATAATGGTTTACAATACATTGATGGAATGTCTTCGCTCATGAATCATGGGGCTAGAAGCTTGTCACCCGAGGGTTGCGACGTTGTTCTAACATCTATTTTTTTATTTTTTTTTTCCATTTCTTCTTTGCCATATAGCCATCCGTAATTTAGAATCATTCATTTGAAAAGCACTACTCATACACAACTATACACGTGTTTTTTCCATGATCGCCTTGGCAATTTCGTAGGCGAGACGAAAGGGAACTTCATTATACAAGTCAAACGTAAATACCAAAAATGCAACACAACGAGATTAGTCCATTGAAAACAGCGAGGCACTTTTCTTTTTCTCGACGCCAATGAGAAAGAACGTAAAAAAGAGTAAACCCAGTACCTTATCTTGAAGTGAATGATGATACTTTGTTGCACCCCACATCTCTTACACGCGCTCCCGCTCCCGCTCGTACTCGACGGTGTAAGCATCTGTTCTCCGCACCTTGCCCGTCTCCACGCTCTGGACGCCCGAGACGTTCGCCGACTTGCCCGAAGCGCCCAACTCATAATAACCGTCGCCAGTGATGCGCCCGCTACCATCAGTGCCGCTCCTGCGACTCTTGAACAGACTGCCGAGCGACGAAGCCATGTCGGAAATGGCCTTGACCTTGGTGAGGGAGCCCAGGGTGGGTGCGCAGCCCATCATGATGACGAACGTTTGCTCCGTCACTGACCACATGAGGGAGAGCGACGATTTGTATTGTTTGTCGGCTGTGGATTGGGTGCCGGATCTTGCGGCGACGGATTTCGCGATGGAGCATCCCATGGTGAAGAGGGAGAGTGCCAGGAGGGTGCCGATGGCGATCTTGCGCTGGAGTCGCATATTGAGTTTGGAGACGGCTATCACGGGGCCGAAAACGTAGGCCAGATCTCCCAGTGCGAAGAGGCCTTTGATTCGAGTTAGATAGTTGTCGTTTCAGAGTGATGGAAGATGTGAGTGGGACTTACCGCCCGTTACGTTGCCCAGGCGGGCTACTACGTTGGAGCTGATGGCTTTGTGGGGGATGCGCGGGTTCCACAGGGCTTGCACGGGGCGGATTTGAAGCCAGCTAGTCAATGCTAGCGCTATACTGGCGCCGACTTGGAGGACGGTGATGAAGATGAGGAACCATTTGAGGCGCTTATGGATGCCGAAGATGCGGCAGAGCAGCACGGCAATGGAGATTCTAGCAGCGATGGAGCATGTGATGCCTGGGGTGAAGGACATCCAGATCCATTTTGCAATGTTGACCGCTTCACTGAAAAGAAGGCTCTTGTCGTGTTTGCCGAAGCCATAGTGGAACGCGACCGTCAGACACGATACACAGGCCGTATTTAGCACCTAGCAGACAAAAGAAGGTATTTGTCAGATTCTCCCTTTTTTGCATTTTGCCAAGATTATGGCTCGTTGTAGCAGGCGGGGAATACGATGGGCGGCTTACCGTCGCAAGTAACATGAGCCAATCTTCCAGTTGGACTTTCGCCGCCATGATGCCTATGCGAAGCCAGAAGCGCACACCCACCAGGATGATCGCGAGCGCGGAGAAGGTCCAACTCACGCCCATAACCAAGGGACCGTGTCCCAAGTCGTTCCGGTTAGTGGGAGGAGGCAGCATAGCGTTCATCGCCGCCAAATTGGTCGGGTCAACGGGGGGTGTCATTTCTGCTCCCAGAGTGAAGGTCTCTCTCCTTGTGGTGGCGTAGGCAATTCAGGCGATCTTTCGAGATAAATGGGCGGGTAGAAGAGAGAACAAGTTGAAGAAAAGTTTTTTGAATGACCAATGTATGTCTGTCAGCAGCTGATGAATAATATAGCTGCCCTGTCTGATCAGCCCTGGGAGACATACATTACAAGATAATCAATGAATGCGCGACTGTCTACATCATTTATTGATGAACGCAGCTTAACAGAAGTACGGAAGCCGATACACTCCGCAACGCCTTCCTAATGCAACCTCAACGAAGAATATCTCGTGAGCAACATTTGGGGTCCTGGTAATCATGTGACTTTGGTGCTGTACGCGCCTGAAAACCTCAGACGTAAGACGGAGATCCAGGCCTACCTCGCTGGTGGAGTCCAAGTTATTGCCAAGCATGCATTCGCTCCGGATGAGAAAGCTTGTATGGATATCGTACGAGCCAGTCTTTTTTCTGTCTTTGAGAACAGATAGGAGAATTTGAGGGGCTGTCAAATAGAAAGCTCAACGTGATGGGACGTTGGGAGCACGCAACTTCGTTCCATGACCCTGGCTGGCTGAAGGACTCCATGCCCGACCACTATCTGGTGGCAATGCAAAACACGCGGCGTTTCGGATACAGTGACGGACAACTCATAAGGTGGGTCGCATCTACTGTCAAAGAAAAATAGTAATATCGTAGTCTGTTCCTATTATACATTACACCGAAGGGCTGTTGCAGGATATTTGGCTAAGCTGTTACAGCGACAATCATGCACATGTATAGCAATATCCCATCCAAGAAGTGTCATTATACATATAGAAGAATTGTTTACCAGTACCCAAGGGCGTGGTATGACGTAATTAAAATTTTCCCTTAGCCTTTCCAAGTGACCTCAATGATGTCTAGCAAGGAGTCTGTGGGCACATGTACCTTCTCAAGGACAAACCTCTCGTCTGCTGCAGCAAAGAGAGCTTTCCACTCATCCAAATATCGCTCACGACCGTTACCAAAAACCTGCAAGGCCATGTCCACTGATCTATAAAGTTTGTGTCAGCGTTTTGTAACTTGCCCATGTTGATCATGTTTTGCACGCGTACCTTTGTGTGCGCTCCTTCCACAGCGGAACGACATTCTGCTCAGGCATCACTACATCCTGGATCAGAAGCTTGACCCCAGGCTGAAGCGCAGGAATTTGTGCCTTGAGGATTTGCTGGGCGAATTGATCGCCCAAACCACGAAAGGCAAGGCGGAAGAAGTATACTGGAACCGTCTCGTTCTGAGGTACGAAGAGTCCGCCCTCCTCGAACAAGACACGGCCCTTCAAGTCTTCCGGAACAAGCTGACCACCGCCCATCATGGCTTTTGAATCTTGCACAATGACGGTGATGTCAGGGAAGTTCTTTGTGAGCTCAATAGCAGCTTGACCCATGGCACCTCCCACGTGAACAATCTTGGCGGCTCCGAGAGAAGCCCAGTCGTAGGCAGTGGAGAGAAGACTCATATTGTAACCGGGGACATAGTCGATAGCGCTCCGTCCGTTGATGAAGCGCTGCGCGCGCTCGGGCTCGGTAGCGATGACGTCTTGAACCGTCTTGCCATTGTTGGCGAGGACCCAAGCCTGCACACATGACGATCAGTAATGGGACTTTGATATTGCAGCAGACATTAAGATAAGAGTACATGGGAAAAACGTACTGTTTCATTTGGTTGTTGCGAGTTTGGCCATTTCTGGAGGGCATCGACAATGCGTGTAGAGGCAGGCCAAGTGTCCCGTCCTTCAAACTCAGCCCAACCATTGATGGCGGGGTTTGCGAGGAACCTGGAGATACTAGTGTGTCCAACCATGCCAGGCTCTGGCTCTTCGAGAATGTGCATGGCCATGGCACTGCGGAGGAATCTGCGGATGACATTGGTTTCAAGACCAATCTTTTCGCCAATCTCTTCGAAAGACATGCGGCCCCCGGGGGGGATCATGTCTGGGATCTTGTAGCGGGCGACGGCATCGATGATGGCCAAGTTGGAAATCTGCAAGCAGGTGGGTTAGATCTGGTTGTGTGGGGAGGGGAGTGAGGAGAGGAGGGGTATTGGCATACCGACGCAAACTTGAAAAGGACCAAGAGAGGATCAAGCAGCAATTCGTGAAGCTCGGCCGTGGCATCGAGCAGCGAATCCCTCAAGTGGGTCACGTTGGCGGGATAGCTCGCGTTGAAGTTCTCGTTGAACGAAGGGCTGGGCAAGTCTTGAGCCGACAGCTGGCCTTGCAACTGGGCGACATTGGAGCTAATTTGAGCGGCCAGCTCGACGATTCTGGAAGAGTTTCCTGCCATGCTGGCGTATGGTGTGGCTGATGCGAGAGGGAAAGAGAATAGAACGCCGGATAGCAACGAGGAGCAGAGGACAGCTACGAGAGGAGCGATTTTAATCGCCATGACATAGGTCGCTGGGGGATGACAAGGCAGCTGCAGGAGAGACAAACAAGCCGGCTAGAAAGTTTGTTGCATTCTCTCGGTCTCGGCGGGTAGCACAGGGGCGAGATGGGACAAGCGTGATGGACTCGCAGGAGAGATGCATGCGGTCCGGTGAAGCCCGGAGCAGGCCAGCTTTAAATTGCTTGCATTCACCGCGAAATCGAACAAATCACGTGAGTCACCAAGTACCGTATTACATGGTGTGTATGGGCGTTGTTTTGTGGAACAACCAACATGGAAGCTGTCGTGATTTGTTGGATGGCTTATCACTCTCCAGCTGTGCCACTCTCTCTAACACCACACCCCGCTTTGTGTACGACACACGCCGGACAGGGGTGTCATCCAATGTCACCCAAATGCGGCATGGACGCCGGGGGTATCCGGTGGGTCGGGCGCACGCAAGGCTACGCTAACCACGAGTCGAATACTGGGGCATCGCGCCCCAGGCGTTCGCACCCACGTTGCAGGGGTCCTACTAGTGCACTTCGCATGTCCTGCCAAACTCACCCTATCCCTAGTTGGCTGATTGTCGATTGATTCGTTAGCGGTACTATGTAGTTACACACTAACTGATCAACTCGACATATGTACAATATGAGTACATGCCCACGTGACTATGGAATACTTCACCCCTCTGCTTCACGGCCATATCTCTACTTTTGCAACGCCTTCTCTCCCTCTCTGTCTTCCTCTTCCTCGCAATTTGCTAAGCATTGCCCATATTCACCATGGCTTCCTCTGACCAATTCAAAGCACTGGCCGACCAGCTGGAGTCCGTCCTGCATGACCCGTCAGGTCCAGGCGACATGGACCCAGCAACTCGCCGTCGTCTGGTCGCGAGCGGCCGTAAGCTTTCTGTGCTTCTAGAAGAGCCTAGAGAGACGGGGCGGCGTATTGGATATGCAGTTGGTATCAGCCCTCTTCGTTGGTGTTCGTCTGCTGAACCAGCGACCCCAGCACCTCCAACTTCCTCTGTCCCTCGTAGGTATCGAGAGCAAATTGTTTGCCACATTGGCAACCGAGCCTCGTTCCTTCACCCTTCTCGAGCTCAGCGAGAAGACGGGCATAGACAAACAGCTCCTGAGTACGTAGAACCTCCCTTTGCTCGTGTATACGGCGTGGTTGATGTGACCCCAAAGAGCGACTGTTGCGGTATTATCAGGCCGTCGACATCCTGGCCCAAGTCGATGACGACGCCTACCAGGCCACCAATGTGACACGTGCACTAGCCAACGATGATCACGCTAATTCGCATCGCTGGACGTAAGTATAGCTTCCATTTCTTTTCCTTTCGTATTTCCTCCAATGTTAATGCTCCGCGCGCACACAGACGCCGTATCACTGCGCGAGGCGCACTCCACCTCCCAGACTGGCTGCAAAAGCACGAGTACAAAGATCCCGTGGGCATCCTCCCAACTGCATGGAGTGGCTCCATCCCCACGGATGATCATCCTTACGGGTATTTGGCGAAGAACCCCTGGGCGCTGGAGCTCGCCCAAGCTCACATGAGAGTCCAGCGCGAGGGACGCCCTGTCTTCTTCGACGCCATGGACTTTGAGCAGCGCTTTGCCCAGGGCGCAACGAGCGACACCGTTCTGTTTGTCGACATTGGCGGTGCCACGGGCCCCCAGGCCCGTGAGCTTCGCAAGCGATTTCCCGACCTACCCGGCCGCGTCTTGCTCCAAGACCGGCCCGAAGTGGCCGAGAAGTGGAAAGACGATCTGGCGCAAAACAGAATCGAGGCGGTTGTGCACGATATTTTCACGCCACAGAACGTCAAAGGCACGTAGCTCCCTTTCCCCATAGACAATATAGCTTCTCTTCTGACAGTTGCATAGGAGCCAGGGTCTACTACCTCCGCAACATCTTCCACGCCTGGGGCGACAAGACCTGCACTGAGATTCTGATTAATGCAAAGGAGGGTCTGACTGAGGACTCGGTGCTCCTGATTGACGAGATCGTGCTGCCCGAGCGGGACGCAACGCCCCAGGGCGCGCAGCACGACATCGAGGTTATGATTTGCGTTGGCGGTATCGAGCGCACCAAGGCCCAGTGGGAGAATCTGCTCGCGACTGCTGGGCTCAAGTTAAAGGAGGTTATCAACTATGACGATGAGTTTGAGGATTCGGTGATTGTTGCGGGTTTGTAAGCGTCGGAATACAATTTGTGTGTGCGCCTCAAGGGATGAGGGAAGAGGGGTGAAGTTAAAGGGCAGTAGTGCAATATACAGAGTTTCTACTAGAACACTACACCGTTTGTCTGTTCCAAATCTATCGAATGACTAAACGTTGAGCAACACGAAAGTGGGAGACCATGTACAAGAATTAATTCCTCCTTCTCATCCATCGCCTTCTCTCGAGGTACAAGGAGTTGCCCCACTCCGGGTGTAAGCGAGTAGGATTCCCCGCTTATTAGACAAGGAGCTAGTGGGCAAGTGGGTATTGAAAACACCAAGACTCCCAAGCTAAGCCAAGGGGGCAGGCACGCGGAAACTCTAAACAGACAACTAAAAAGGGGCCATCAGAATCAACTTTTGACCTCTGCCTCGCCCTCGCCCTTCACATCGACACTCTTTTCCTCTTCCGCCCCCGCCGCCGCCGCCGCACCATCCTTTCCCTTCTTCCTCACATCGTTCCAGCCCAAGCCCCACAGGAATATGCCGCACGCGCAAGCAGCCGCAGCCGCGAGGTAAAACACGCGATCGATACTAGTCGCGTACGCTGTTAGCACGTTTGGCATGTCGGCTTCGGCCACGAAGGCGCGGAAGCCTGTGGCGCCGGCTTTGATGATGGCCGCAGTGTCGACGTTGGGCGCCGACTGCTTCAGTTGGGACTGCAAATTTTCGAGGAAGACGATGTTGTATATGCACATGGCGATGGCCGGGCCGAGGGCTTGGCTGAAGACGACAAAGGCCATGCTCGAGGCGAGTTCTTCGCCGGCCATGGCGGCTTGTACTGCTATTATGGCCTGGTGGAGGACAAGATGGTACAGTCAGTGGGGTTCGGCAAAAAAGTGTGTGTGGGCATGGGAGACGTACGAGTTGGAGGCCGGAGCCGAAGCCGACGCCTCCGAGGATTTGATAGCCAATCCATTGCCCGCTTGGGGTGCCGGGCTGGAGGAGGGAATAGAGCCCCGTGGCGATGGCGAGGAAAATGGTGGAGAAGATGGCTACGGGGATCACGTAGCCGATCTTGCTTACTGTTGGCAGTATTCAAGTCAGCAATGGAACCAGCGGGCTTGAATGAGTACATGTCTTGGATAGCGTGCGACTTACCTGCCACGCCAGAAACACCAGCCACGATGAGTTGGGTTATGATCAAGGGGAGAAGATAAACTCCGCTGTTCATGGCGCTCGCGCCCTTGACAGCTTGGAAATACAAGGGGAGATAGTAGATGCCTGCATAGACGGCCGAGGTGAGGAAAGCCACGTAGACGCCCGAGAGCATGACATTGTACTGACGGATCATGGAGCGAGGCATCATAGCCTCCTCTCCGCGATGCCAGTTCCAAAAGCCCCAGACAACCCCCGTGGCTGCAGCGCCACAGAAGAGGCCGATGACTTGGGACGACTTCCAGGGAAACGCCAAGCCTCCGAATTGAAGGGCGAGGAGAAGCATCAAAACCGCTGGTGCAAACAGAGCAAATCCCACCAGATCAAGATAGAGGTGTAATTTCGGGAAGAGGGAGAAAGCCCTGGGCTTGATGAAGTCCTCGGGAATGTGCAAAGGCAGCATCGAAAGTACTGCCGCTCCACCAACAGGTAGGTTGATGTAGAAGCCTGTCCGTCATTTTTTAGTCGTCGGCACTCTGAGGGGAGCGTAAAAGAAAGAAAAACAGAATACGTACACCATCGCCAAGAAGTGTAAGACGTAAGAGCTCCTCCGATGAGGGGTCCTAGAACAAGTCCGAGCAGGTTGACTATTTCACGGTGAGTTTAGGACAACACTTGCGACGGGTGAAAACCACGTACAAGCCAATTTCAATCCAATCAGGGCTAAACAGAACAAGAAAAGTCAGTTCACGTGTGCCTCGGTAGTTTATGAGATATGCAGCTACGACTATACTCACGGGGTCGTTTCTCCAGGGGTGCGGCAAGAGAGATGATTGTGATAGATCCAGTAGCGACGCCAGCTCCGCCAAAGCCAGCGATAAAGCGTCCTACGATAAACATGGCCGACGAGGTGGCTGCTCCGCAGATGACGGAGCCAACTTCGAAGACGAAGAAAAACCATAGAAACGTCCACTGCCGTCTGTTAACACCATATTGAAACAAGAGCAGAAAGAGGTAACGGACCTTGGTATTGAAGTACTTGTAAATCCTGCCCGTCAGCGGCTGTGGCGCAGAGCTACCGAATTGGTATGCACTCGCGTACCAGCCCACGTCGGCAAGCGATTTGAAGTCATCAGTGATGGCGGGAATGGCCTGGGCGATGATTAGGGATTGGCTTGCCTGGTTCCATCCTGCATGTTTTCGAGGCGCGTCTTACCGTGCTAACAATCATGTTGTCCAGGAGCATGAGGAAGCTGACAAAGGCGAGGGCCGCTACAATCAGGTAGAGTTTTACACCCGTCACATACACGCGCTCTGTATTTGGCTCCAGAACGACCAGATTTTTCTTTGTAGCGACCTCGTCCGTTTTGGCAGGGACAGAGGTTGTGTCGGGCGACGCCGTCATTTTAGGAGAGGAAGCAGCTGTAGACATGGTGATGATGAACAGCAGTTGGGGAGATGTGTGTTGTGAGCGGCCAGAGAGAAAAGGGAAGCGGAAGGCGCTTCTCTCAGGGGAACGAGTGCATGGAAACCATCGTGTACTCGTCCGTACTGATTAATCCACGCCATGCATGAATGGAAACGGTTGTCTATCACTCGACCGAGAAAAGCATTTGATTGCTTGCCTGCTGCCTGAAATTGTTTGTTTCGGGTGCAGTCTGCAGCGAAGTGAATACCCCCAGCGAGAGCGTTGTCAGGCCTCTCACTGCACCCAGCCCAATGCTAGGTAATGTAATGTCGTCAGCCGCAGCCGCAGCCAGGGCCATCAGTTTCTCGCCGGAAGTGGCAGGTGTTTAATCTAAACAAACTTTAGATTAACGCTGAGGGGTGCTTGTCTATCAAGTGACAAGGGCCTACCCTGCAGCCAGCAAGGGTCTCCCGATCAGGTTGTATGACTTACATCCACAGTGGTTTGACGCTGTATATTACTGTTTTATTTTCCCTTTTTTTTTACATCATTCTGTCAGATTGACACAACTGATTCAAGGACATATATGAAAAGACATCCCGTGCACCTCAAAACACGCTTGGACAACTTGGAAACCAACGAAGCGCACATTGTATTGTCTTGATATGATGATGAATTCCACGTATCTGCCCCTGTGGTGGGAAGCTGCTGGCCTTACCTTGGCCATTTACTCTCTAGGCTTGGCCTTCTATCGCCTCTTCCTGCACCCTCTTGCCCGATTCCCGGGACCAAAATTAGCTGCAATTACGCGCTGGTATGAAGCCTACTACGATCTCATTCTCGACGGACAGTACACCTTCAAGATTGCAGAGCTGCACAAAACATACGGTAGAGCCCTTTAACTTGTGAACATTGCAGAAGTATGTATCCTGATTTGGCCAGGACCCATTATACGTATAAGCCCTCATGAACTTCATGTCATTGATCCTGCTTTCTACGAGAAGCTTTACTGCCAGGAAGGTCGCTGGGACAAGTACCAATGGGCATGTAATGGATTTCTTGCCGAAGGCGCCACCATCTGGTTCGTCTCTTTCCCCCGCATTTGTAGGAATGACGTTGATCAGACGAATAGCACATCTGTGCATGAACTTCACCAGGCCCGCCGTGCGCCGCTCAACCATTTCTTTAGCAAGGCCAAAGTGGCAGCTCGACAGGAAATTATCATCCGCCATGTCGAAAAGCTCTGCAACAGAATCGAGGGCTTTGTTGGGGGTACGGTGAACCTGGGTGCTGCTTGTAGCGCGCTGATCCACGATGCGCACTGCGAATTCGTCATCAACAGAGTCAATGGAAGTCTCGACAAGGAAGATTTCAACTCTGCGTTGGCGGGCATGTGCCTTAATGTTGGGTTTCTCTGGCGCGTCGGCAAACACTTTCATAAGATTTCGTTGGCATTGAAACGCATTCCTTTGGACTTCGTGGCCAAATTGTCCAACGAGGATGTCAGGATCTTCTTCGACTTTTTGCAGGTAAGACATACCCCTCTTCCCACCTCATGAGACCTTCCGAGGGAGAGAAAAAAAGACTAACATCGTCAAGGGAGTGGATAGAGACACCGAGGCCCTTCTCAAATCCGCCACTTCCCCCTCGGCCAAGCAAGATGCTGGCCCGCGTACCGTTGTTCATGAGATTGCCGAATCCAACCTTGACCCGTCCGACAAGGAACTCTCGCGTCTTCTCAACGAAGTTCAGACTGTCGTCGCTGCTGGCCTGGAGACGGTCTCTAGCGTCATGCGAGTCACGTTCTATCACGTCTTCAGCAACCCCGAAATCCTGCGACGCCTGCGAGAGGAGCTCAAAACCGTCGGCACAGACACCTCGCCAGGTGGTAATATGCTTGAATTGAAACAGCTCGAGCGGTTGCCGTACATGACAGCCATCATCATGGAGGCGTTGCGATTGAGTCCTGGTATCGCGACGCGCATGGGTCGCATGCTCCACGATAAAGACCTTGTTTACGATAAGTGGTGCATTCCGGCAGGCACCCCAGTGGGCATGACTACCATCTTGATGCACACCGACGAAACACTGTACCCAGATCCCTTCACGTTCAACCCTGACCGGTGGATGGATCTGGAGAAGCGCAAGACGGCTGGAAAGACGTTTGCGCCTTTTTCGAGAGGGTCGAGGATGTGTGTGGGCTTCCAGTACGTCTTCTCCTCTTTTCACTCTTTCGTTCATTCTTACTTCGTATCTATACACTTCTATGCGTCGGGATTGTTTCACTTGCTAATCTTGGATCACAGTCTCGCGTGGGCCGATCTATACATTTCTCTAGCAGCGCTAGCCACGCGCTTCGACTTTGAGTTCCAGAATACACAATCTTCAGACTTCAAGGTGTTGAGGGATGATTTTGTCGTCGGAACCAAGTGCGGATCGACGCTCACTTGTCATGTTTCGCTGCACGAGACTTGAATCAAGCAGAACTACATGTAGCTTAAGAGTGTTTGGATAAGCCGTTTGGCACATAATGATCTGATTTGACATGTGCGCGAAACGAATGGATGACGATGAGGTTTCTTTCAGAATAGTGCGAGACTGCGCCTACCTTGAGCACCGTTGAGACGATAGTCTCCAAATGAATGAATGATAATCAATATCTACCTAGGTAGTATATGGTACAAATCTGACATATGTGAACCTATTCTTTATATCTTGACACTGCCAATGAATAACTTCCAATTATTCAATACACACCTTAGTCGCCTTGCTCACCTTAACATAACTTTGATCTAGCTGTTCAAGCAAATGGCTACCTCGGTACCTCGTTGCTTCACGGAAGTTTTGTTGTCGTTGACCCCGCTTCTACACCGGCCAATACCCGGTCAGTATGTGCATTGTGAACTTCTCGCAACACGACACGTCACATTACCAAATGCTATGAATGTTAAACCAGTTTTCAGGTTTTGCCCAAATGTGCAATTTATCTTCCCGGATTAAGCATTCCACCCGGTGTGGCAGATATCGGTAAGCAATTTGCGCATCGGATCGTCCTTGTGCCTTTTTGATAGACCTACGCTACCCATCTTTCGTATAGCTACGAAAGATTCCACGGATACCGGGATAGTTTATGATATACAACCCACGCTCGTGTATGCCGATTGCCCACATATGCACTTACGATGATCGGTGCTCCGAGTGTTCGGTCGCCTGCAGCGCGAATGCTCGTATATAATCAAGCTACATGCCAAGATGCACACTAAGTTGTAGTGCATTACTTGCCAATTGGACACTGTCCCCTGATCAGCACGGAGAGTTCCAGATAGTTTTCTGCTTGTACCGAAGGAGCTGTTTCCCCATCAGGGTTCCCTGTGTGCATTCGACAAGGGCTGTACGGACTCCGAAAGTCGAAAGTTGCATAGCAGACGCGCCTCAGATCACAGTCGTTTTGTTACATAAAAAGGCAACGACGTTTGGATACGATAGTTCATGTTGCAGCCGATTCTAAGTGCCGTTCTATCTTGGACATTGCACGGGATTTTTCGGTCAGCTAAGTTCTGGGGTGGTGGGCACACGTACATGACTTGTGCAATGCATGATTTGTGATCTCTTGGGTTCATCTGGGATACTGAGACACGGCCGTTTGCAGAATAGGGCCTGTTCGCGGCTGACCTGTATGGTATGAAATCGCTCTTGACATGGATCTCAGCGAATCTTTACGGTAAAAGTTCCAAGGGGCCAGAGCCTCCCCTTGCAAACCGTTTCACTAACCCTGGAACAACGGTACCAAGACCCTAAACTACGATTACTATGGTAAGCAGGAATGCCCATCTAATACATACAAGTTCTTTGTTACTTATTGAAATCCGCCAACGAAGCCAATTCCATTGCAACCGTAAAATTCTTGACGATCACGCAATCTCAGGCCTAGTCTCGGGAGATGGTTCTATACCAACATCATATTGAATAGTAAGCCATCTCTTCTCGGTGTGATGGTTTTTCCAAGTACAGAGTACGGACATTGACCAATGGCTGTAGCAAATATTAGCATTATCATCATCAAAATCTCGAAGCTATACCAATCCAATTGAGTTATTCTGCAAAAATGGCCGCGTGGGAAACATGGCAAGATCTCTTCAGGGAGAGGGCCAACGCAGAGATTCAGCAAAGCTTGTTCTTTTACCCATTGGGAAACACCAGAAACCCCATGGAAATCACTTATGCGAGCCTGTACCATGAAGCCAAACAAATCAGCCACACGATCCAAAGCCTCAAGCATTTCAAGCTTGGGCATCCCGTTCTTTTGCACTGTGACGATCATCGGGATTTAGTCTTATGTTTTTGGTCTGTTCTGTTCGCCGGTGGCGTTCCCGTTCTCTCGTCACCCTTCAGCAACATCGAGGAGGAGCGTCAAAAGTCGATTCAGTCCTTGTCTACCCTGTTGGAGTCGCCCGTGTGTATCACTAGATCCAGAGCTCTGCCATTGTTTGGTGAAACCCATGGTTTATATATGCAAACCATCGAAAGGCTGCTTGAGAAAACAAAACAACCACCTCGTTCAGATTCCATAATCGGCGAGACCACGGAGGATGCCCCTGACAGCCCATATATCCAAAAACAAGACGTGCCCAGCGCAGAGCCTATGACAGAAGATGAGAGATTCAATTTGAGCAACGGTGTTGAAACACATAATTCTCATGGTGGAGATTTGATGATGCTCATGTTGACATCGGGGAGTACTGGAAATGCCAAAGCTGTCGAATTTACCCAGGACCAAATCATGGCTGCAGTATCTGGCAAGGCTTCCATGCGCGATCGGCCCCGAGATAAACCGTTTCTGAACTGGATTGGAATGGATCACGTCGCCGGTCTGATTGAGATTCACCTTCAGGCAATGTGGTTAGGTGTTGGTCAAGTCCACGTCAGTGCTGTAGATGTTATCACATCTCCCACGACAGGCTTCCTAGATCTACTCAGCCGACACCAGGTATCTTCCACGTTTGCCCCAAACTTTTTTCTTGCCAAATTGGTAGCCACGATTGAAACGCTTCAAACGGTGCCTGAATGGGATCTCTCGAGTCTGGTGTGCGTCACATCGGGGGGTGAAGCAAACGATATCAAGATCTGCATTGCAGCGTCCAAATTGTTCGCAAGGTTTGGCGCTCCACAGGGCGTGCTCATGGTCGGTTTTGGAATGACAGAGACGTGCGCTGGGTCTATCTACAATACCGATTGCCCTGAGTACGATATCTCCTGCGGCCACGAAGTAGCATCTCTTGGAAAATGTACGACTGGTGCAAAGATGCGTATCGTTACCCCTGGAGGAGAGCAGGCTGCGACTGGACAGTCAGGTGATCTTGAAGTCAGCGGTCCGGCTGTTTTCAAACGTTACTATCGAAATCCGACGGCTACAGCTGAGTCTTTCACGTCTGATGGTTGGTTCCGGACTGGCGACCGCGGACTCATTGACGTGCACGGCAATCTTAGCCTCTTGGGACGTACCAAGGAAGTCATCAACATCAACGGTGTAAAAATTGTTGCATCAGACGTACAGACCGCGATTGAAAATGTGCTGGGCGATCTAGTTACGCGATTGGTGGTTTTTCCCACCAAAGCCCTACACACTGAGCAGGTGACTGTGGCATACATACCCAAGCTTTTCCCAATTCCTGATGAGGATATGGCCGGAATCTCAAAGCTCGTGACACAAGCCTGCTTGATACGTACATCGACTAAGCCAATAGTGTTCGCGATTCTAGAGGAGTCAATACCCATCGTGCCCATGTCTACTCTGGGAAAGATTTCCAGACTCAAGATGACGCGCCTCTTCGAGGATGGGAAATTTGCTGCCGACTTCGAAGCTCACCAACAGGCGATGAGGCGCGCCTCAGAGGCAGCGAAGAGCGGCGACCGCAACGATTTGGATCCCAAAAACAAAATGGAGGCCAAGCTACTCGAGCATATCGCCGAAGTTCTTGAGGCGACCCCAGACATGCTTGACATCCACCCCGAGGCCTCTCTGTTCGATATTGGTTTTACCTCAATGCACGTCATCAAGCTCAAATGGATCATTGATAAATATCTGGGGGTCGATGTACCCGTCATTCTCATTATGAGGAACCCCACGATTCGTTCCCTGGCCGTTGACATCGAAGCACACCTGCAGCGTTCCAAAGATGTGACAGACCAGCCGGCAACCAGAGACACGTACGACCCTGTCGTTGTATTTCGTCCTGACGGCTCCAAAACTCCACTGTGGCTGTTTCATCCCGGCGTGGGAGAGGTGTTGGTCTTTATTGGCCTGGCGCAATGTCTTGCGACAGACGACCGGCCCGTATACGCATTGCGCGCAGCCGGATTCGAGCCTGGTCACAAGCGATTCGAAAGTATCAAGCAGGCTGTGGACGTCTACACGGCCGCGATACGGAAACGCCAGCCGCACGGTCCCTACGCAATGGCGGGCTATAGCTACGGCACGATGCTGGCGTTCGAGACAGCGAAGGTGCTGGGAGCGGCCGGCGAGGAAGTTCGTTTCCTAGGCTCGTTCAACTTGCCGCCTCACATTAAGCAGCGAATCTCCACCTTGGAATGGAATGTTTGTCTCCTGCACTTGAGTCACTTCCTCAGTTTAATTACCGAAGACACTTCGGACATGTATGAGGTAGATGGTGCATATAGGGATTTATCACGCACCGACGCGATTCGAACAGTCTACGATATAGCGAATAAATCGCGCTGGGATGAGCTCAGATTGGAGACGGCCGCCCTAACGCGCTGGGTCGATGTGGCGTTTGGGCTTCAGGCCATGGCGAGCACCTACGACCCGTCCGGTGAGGTCAAGAACATGGACGTTTTCCATTGCATACCACTGCGGGCTGTGGCCGAGTCTCGTGAGATCTGGATGAAGGATCATATAAGCCGATGGGCTGAGTTCGTCAAGGGGTCGCTCCAGTTTCACTCTGTTCAAGGCGAACACTACACTATGATTGATGCTGACCACGTTAATGGATTTGCTCAGACACTTATGAAGGTATTGAAAGCGAGGGCGGTTTGATGAAAGCATTCTGGCGATTGAGATGCGAGTAACGGGCGACTTTGATAACTTTATTTCCTAATTCCACTTCCTATCTTTCCACGATCATCAGGCTTAGAGAAATCGGGCTTAGTTTCCTCAAGTTTGCGTGTAGTTGTGAGTGAGCATTTCCATTACTAGCCGCTATAATACTGAAATATCATACTCTGACATCAACCCATCGGTCCCCATATGCACGAAACAATGGAAGCGTTTCATGTAGTGACGTCTGCATTTTTCTTCTAGCAACCGTTGAAGAAGCTCAATATAACAACACGCGACTGTTCTTAATAGCGTCACTTCGAAACAGAAAAGATCGCGTGAAATTCCATAGTTACCTAGGTATGTACACAGATTATATCACCCAATGAAAACCACAATAGGGAGCTCTTGCTTCCTGCTAGGGTTCTCGTTCTCGGCGACAGAAAGAGAGCGTCAGTGACTCCAGTTACATTAGCGCCTTGGCGCTATATGTATTGATATTGCTTCCGACTCCCCGTCGCTGCGATCTAGGTAGATAGCTTTAACACGCAATCCTAGAATCCCACAAACTATCCAACCAAAATTAAAATAAAAAATCCAACCAAAAAAGAATTCTTGGATTTGAAAATGGACACCCCAACTTCCATCAGCCAAGCGAAATTCGGCTTATCAGAACGAGGAGCGCATAATTCCGTCCAAGAATTACCATGGGATGCACTTGAGAGATTGATGGCAAACATTTGGACGCCAGATCATCCCAGCGGCTTGTGAGTCTAGCATAGATGCGGATAGAGTAAGTCAGGAAGGTCTACATGCTGATAAGTATTAGAGTTTTTCTCGGTGTGGCCGAGAACTACCTTCTCCACCAAGAAGTGGCGGAGTATCTCAAAACTCATGTGAACATTCACAAACTCTCCATGAAATTCATGATTTTAATAAGATGATTAGTCAACCATTACCGCGAACAATCATCATCTAGGGTACGGAATTGGCCCACGAGGGTCGCCGCGTCTAGTAAACGCCCTGGTGTCGTTTCTCAACTCCGAGCTCCAACCATCTGCGCCGGTATCAGGAAGAGAGATCCTGGTTCTGCCAGGAGTTGTGGCAGTACTCGATGCTCTCGCATGGTCCATCTGTAACGAAGGCGAGGGAATCCTGACTCCTGTTCCTTTCTACACCGGCTTCAACCCTGCCATTTCTACCAGAGCACGCGCAAAGCTCTTACCCGTATCATTCCGTGACCTTGAGGGTTATCGAGACTTGGATGATGTATTCGATCCAGAGATGAATGCTAAGGCCTTGGAAAATGCCTTGCACAAAGCTACTAAAGACGGTGTGAAAGTGCGAGCTGTAATGATTTCCAAGTACGAAAACTCGATTCCCCGGGGTACTTATCATGATTAAATTGCAGCTCAACTAACGGAACTACAGTCCGCATAATCCGCTAGGAAGATGCTATGTGAGTTTTAGTGCAAAGACATGGGCGAAAACGTGTTGACAATCGATAGCCTGTCGAGACACTCCAAGCTATCGCACGCTTCTGCAGTTCTCACGAGCTGCACCTTGTTAGTGACGAGGTTTTCGCAATGTCGGTATACGACAACTCTGCGGCTCCAAATTCCACGCCCTTCACGTCGGTCATGGCGTCTAATCTTGAGGAATATATGGATTGTAATTTCGTCCACGTTGCGTACGGCATGGGTAAGGATTTTGGTGCTACAGGGCTTCGATTAGGCGTGCTACATTCGAAAAATAAGGGCGTTTTAGCAGCAGTGTCCAGCATATCGTAAGTGAAGCTTCACGGCCGTGTGGTTCAATAAGCGTCGCTCACACCCTTACAGTGTTTTTGGATGGGTGCCTTATATTGTCCAGGACATGTGGGCATGCATTCTTGAGGATGAAAACTTCCTGTCCGAGCTCAAAGCCAAGAACCGGAAAGCACTGGCCAAACATTTTACCATGTTGAGGTCGTTCTTAGAGCAGCACAATATTCCATATTACAAGAACGTGTGGGTTCTATCACTAGTTCATAGTTATTCAGATGATGCTGACTCTTTTCCATTAAGCAACGCCGGTGTATTCATCTGGGTAGACCTACGCCAATATCTGCCCGAGGCTTCGGTCGAGGAACTACCTTCAGGTAGCCAGGAAGGCGCACCTCCTCCAGCGGATGCAAAACAAACCCGTGAAACGAGACTGTTCAAACGATTGATGGGTGAACGCGTGATCATTTCTAATGGGAGTAGTTTCGCGACTGAGGAGCTAGGTTGGTTTCGTATCAGCTTTGCAGTTGAAGAGAAGGCATTGATTACAGGAATTGAGAGATTGGCTCGGTGCTTACAACATATAAAGGCACGCGGCTGGGAGACGAAATAGATATGGACATGCTAGATACAAGGGGGCATTGCCTCCCGTCGTAACCGCTCAACTTGTAAATGTCGGAAAGAGGAGCTCCATTAACGACATCAAAAATTTCACGAACTTCTGCCTAGATAGTACCGTGGGACTTTTGATCAATCAACGTTTTTGAACAAATGTAGAAGCGAACGAAACGCTGGAATTTTCGCTTCCAATACGCAAACACCTCCTCTTCCCGTCTACAACAAGAAGAGAAAGAGCCACATTGCGATGATTGAGCTTTCTCTTAAACTCATAGTTTTCTATGTCTGTAAATAAGTTGATGATTTGCGCGCTCGGAGGCTGGAGCACCACCTCCAGTGGCTCCGAGCCGCCGTCAGATGTCGGAGCGATACTACCTCAAAGTGCTCTAATGGGTTGGAGCTATTGGAAAGGCGTTGGAGTTTGAGTACCCGATTAAACGTAAGTGCGTAGATTAAGGGAAGGTGTTGAGGTGCACGGAGGAACAGTCTGTTTATGTTCATGCGGACGGGGTCCTGAAGTCTGGAATATGATGGGTATGACGTGAAGATGGCTGTCATGTTTTGATTTTTCAAAACACATAAACGTACGTTTGATGGGCATTCAGTCTTCAGCAAGCAATCAAGTACCAGCAAAGAGAAGTTGTGTCACGACTAGGATGAGCGTGCTCTTAATAGTAGATATGTGTAGATTCTTATAATAGCTAGCTAGTAATGCCTAAGGCCTATATAGTCCTATAGCTTATGCTCTATTACGTGCCTATATCTTTATAATAAAAAAACTAGAGTTTAAAAAAAATAGTAAAAAAATAAATAGTAATATTAACGTAATTCCCGGGCGAGTGGACACCCCGACCGAGTGGACACTTTTTGCCAAGACCACACTAAAATAACACTACCTACGTGATGCCTTAACACTAAACCTCTAAAAAACACTTAAATAAAGCTAATATATAACTTACTTTTTAAGCTCTTAATTAAAACGCAAAACTCTCTTTAAAACGCGCTACAGACATATATAAAGTGTCTAAAAGTATACTCTAATAACAACGCGCTAGTACCTCTTCTTAACGCAATACTACGCCTAATTTAATAAAGATTTCTCTAACAGAAGAGGAGGTAATTATTAATTACATCCTTAAGCTAGATGTATAAGAATTTCCGCCTTAAGTTACTAATATAAAAGCTATAGCTAATTATTTGCTTGCAGAGCACAACTAGCTACTTATTAGTAAAAACTAGGCTAGCACCTTTATTAACTGCTAAAAAAAGCTTTAAATAAAATACTTTTAAGTATATAACTATAAGAGAGCTCTCTGCAAAAATCCTAAAGTTATTTAAAACTAGTTCCGCCTAGTAAAGAATACTAAAGCTAAGTATAGCATCTCTAATAAAGACATATATAACTTTATTAAATCTAGCTTTATAATAGGCAAGATATTAACTGCTTTTGTTATTACTAGTTTAGAACGTAAAGCGCAAGCTAAACAACTACAACAGGGCAACTAAGAGTAAGTTATAGTAACCTAGGGAATTAACGTAATAAAGTAGGCAATTTTACCTTTTTTTATTTTTGCTAGTAAGAACTACCTCTCTGCCTAGTATAAGAAAGAAGGCCTACCTAACAACTAAGCTATTACTGTCTCTAAAAATAGCTAAACAACAAATAAGCTTAGGGTAAAGTAGCTAGAGCACTTTAATAAGCATATAAAAGAAAAAGTAGTTAGCACCTATTAACTGCTTATTCTAGACAGCTATAAAAGCTATAAGTTAGTTAAATTTTATAAATGCTGCAAGAAAAAGAAAATTATTTTTTTATGCATGCCCTTACACTTGTTGCACCTCCTCTAGCTACTTAATATAAGTTGTTTTGCGCTGTTAAAGAGGGTATATAGGTGCTAAGCTAAAAACCTAATGCGTAACTAGATTACTTATATTACTAAACTTAAGTTTTTACTATGTTTTAAAGCAGCTTTTTTTAACGCAATTACTAAAAGCAATATTTAGAGAAGCTTTAGAAGTGCTAAGCTAGTTCTATTTAGCCTAGAGGCTATAATATTAAAGCTTAATATAAAGCTAAGGACGCTAATACTACCCCTTCTAAACAAAAAGCCTTAGAAGTCTAAAACTCTAAGTAATACTTTTAAAATTAGGTTTTAGTTAACGCTAGTAAAGACAAGGATTTAAAAGCATCTAGATAGTTTACTAACTTTAATAGTTAAGGCCTTTAAAAAGCTTGCTAAAGGTGCAGCTATTATAGCGCACAAGCTAGCGCTAGTGTAAAAGAAAATTACTAAGCTTTAAGCTGTAAATAAAGCTACTACGTAATATAAATTACACAAAAAAAAGCAGATATAGATAAAAAAAACACTTATAGTTAAAGAGGGTTAACGCTTAGTAGCTCTAAAGAAGTTTAAAGTACGTAGTAATAAAAAGAAAGTGTTAAAGAAAGTATGTATAAAAGAGGCTAGTTCCTTTTAAAAGCACTATAAAACCTATAGCAAGACTAGGCACAACTTATAAACATATTAAAAAAGTGCCTAGAAACTAAAAAAGTTTTTAAAAAAGTTTTCTAAAAACTATAATATAAGCTAGTGTTGTAATTTTTTATTAAAGTTGTAGTTTTAGTGTAGTCTTAGCAAAAAGTATCTACTTAGTTAGGGTGTCTACTCGCCTAGGAATTACGTTAGTAAAAGTAAAAAGTTTAGCTATAAAAAAAAGAGTGCTATTAACAAAAAAGATTTACTTATTTATCTATTTAGATATCTTTTTAGATGTTTATCTTTTCTTTTCTTATACTTTTATTATTTATTTTTTTTCTTAATTTTTTTGTGCGCTCTCTATGCTTTTATAAATTAAATTATTATTACTTTTAAGTTATTTTACTTTTATATTTTAATACTTATTATAAGCTTTACGTCTAGTATTATGCTTATTAAGTTTGTTGTTTATATATTAAGTAATAAATTAAGTAATAAAGTAGAAGTAGTTTTATTAACTCTAATAAAAGAAATAGCTTTAAATAAATAAAGTAGCTCTAAATATTTAATTATATTATCTTTGCGTTCTATCTATAGCGCTATTAAAGATTTCTATACTTATAAAACTAAAAAGTAAAATAAAAAATTAATAATAAAATAAAATAGTAAGCTTTAGATTATAGTTAAAAATTCTAGTATACTTAAAGTAATAAGCTTATTTATAGTAATTATAGTTATCTTTTTAGAGCACTCTGCAATTACTCTAGTTACTATTAATTATAATTATTTAAGTACTCTACTTGCGCTACTATAATTAAGTACTTATTAAATTATAGGCAATTAGATGCTCTGCTTATAAGCTAACTTATCTTTTTAGTTATAAGCATTTTAATTAGTAATACTTAAAAAGTAATTATTAAAGAAATTAATAGTTTTTTTAGTAGTCTTATTACTAAATGTTATAATAAAGAGTTTAGTATTTTTTTACTATAGCTTTGTTAATAGCGTAATACTTAGTTTTTTATTATTAAGCTAAGCTTAAAAGGTAGTATTATTAATAGTTTATAAGAAACTCTTAATAGGTTTTATACTAAACGTTATTATAAAGTATTTATTACTTTTATTTTTTTTGTTTAATTTTATATATAGTGTTAGGTTTAGCAATACTTAACTAAGTTTTATTTATATTTTAAAAGCTAGCGTTCTACTTACTAAGTTTAGCTATATAACCTGCACTAACTTTATTTATAATCTTTTTTATATATTTTATATCTAGCTTACGTTTTTTAGCTAAGCTAGGTTTATTAAATAGTTTATTAGTTAGTCTAGCATGTTTTTTTAAATATTTTAGCTGTTGTTTTTAGAGGTATAAAAATAATTTTTAATTTTATAAACTGCTTATTAGTAAAAGCTTTTTTATTTTATTTCTTTACAAGCTTGCCTAAGTCTGTAATAGTAATAAAAAAATTTAACTTTTTTATATTTTTTACTTTACTCTTATTCTAGAGGTTAACATTGTTTACTTTTTTTTAAAAAAACAGCATCTTTAAAATTATTAAAGTTTTTTATTAAAGCAGGTAAGCTTTTAAAATAGCTATTTTTTAAGTAAAAAGTTGCATTATTTTTCGCGTTTATAAATAGTTTATAGTTTTTTTAATAAGTACCTATAATCTTATTAGCAAAAATATTTATATTTTTTAAATTAGTAGCTATATATTTCTTTGTGCTATTTTTGTTAGATACATGCTAAATAGTAAGAGGTTTTATAGTAGTTTATAGTAAATTACTGTAAAATGCTCTAGCTAATAGAAAAGAGTTAGGTGTACCTAACTTTTTCTAATTAGCTAATAGCTAAGGCAACTAGCCACCTACCCTAGGGGTTAGAACTGTCTGATCTTACAGGAGAAAAACAACAACACAATTATTAACTTTATTATTACTACGCATTACTGTAATATCTAACAATTAAGAGTCTTACTGCCTCTACTAACAAGCAATTGCTAAAACAACTACAAACTAAAAAAGCAAAGCAATGCTAAAAGACAACTACTAAATCTTTAAAAGCTTAATACAATATGTTAACTAGCTATTAACTCTATAGTTGCAAGCAAAGGTAAGCAGTATATAAAATCTATTTAACCTAAAAAGCACTGCAGCACTAAGACAGAAACCTAACAAACTCTAGCTGCTATCTATAGAGCAATTCGCATTAGCAGAGAGAATAGTTCTAGCTAGTTCTTATTAACTAGCATTAAAAGCACATAAGAATTTATAGCGTAAGCAAGTTAAATAGTACAAGCTCTAATTTAACTAATACTAAATAATACACACGCGCTACGTAGCAGAGCAGCGCAGTATTAAAAAAATTGTTAATTACCTAAAATTAACTCTACCTACGCATATTTTTGGAAGTTGTTGTCTCTCTAAACATAACTACTATACATAGATTAAATCTATTAGGGATAAAATAGGCGTTAATAGTAAGGAGTTAAAAATTAGGGCAAGACAAGAATACCTA